TCTTCTAATAAATCTTTTCTAAAGGTTCTCCTTAATATACTTATATAGTATACTAAGTTTCTTTTCTAATAACTAGTATAGTAGCCTAAAAGTTAGTTACTTTCCTTTCTAGAGCTTAATTTTTTAATCTTAAGGTTTATACTTAGGTAGGGCTTTTACTATAAGCTCTTCTTTAAACATCTATATATATTATTAATATATATCTAGGATACTAGAAGTTATATATTTCTTCTTAACTACTACTTTATAAGGCTAGAGCTAGTTACTCTCTATATAGTTAACTACTCTATCTTAGTATATCTTAGTTAAAGTAATATTACTAATTATCTTCTTATCTACTAGTTATATATAGTTTATATAGGTTCTAACTATATTATACTATATTTATAGTGCTTTAGTAAAAGCTTCTTAAGTGCCTAATCTATCTATAGGTTATACTTTTATAACTAGAGAATTCCTAATATAATATTATAAGTAGCTATTTTAAAAGCATCTAGGGTTATTTCCTTATAGTATTTTTAGATAGTTATTAGAATAGATAATACCTTATAGGTTATTTCTAATTTCTTAGGCATAGGTTCTCTATTAGCTACTTATAGTAGGTAAGGTTCTATCTTCTAAGTAGAGTATAGTCTAGCTAGCTATATTACTTATAAAGAGATATAGTTAGACTATAATCTATAGTCTAATAGTGCCTATATCTATACTCCTCCTAATTTAATAAAGAGTATAACTAGGTAATTAGTACTAATATAAGTATATAGCAAGTAACGCAGTTAAGTAAGTAACGCACTCTAATAAACTATTAGGCCTTCTATATATAATTACTTAATACTATAATATTATAATATAGCTAATAAGATATATCTTTAATTACTAACGTCTACTATATCTTTTTTATATATGTATAAGTTATGCCCTATCTTACTATAGCGCTTATAGTGCCTTTTACCCTGCTTACCTATACCTATTAGGCTCTACTCTTATATGTTTCCCTCTCTACCTATGCCTTAATATCGCGTTAGGCTATTAAATTCTCTGCCTATTCCTTTAAGAGGTCTCTACCCTTCTAAATCTACTTTCTTTTATATAATTTATAATTAGAAGCAGCCTTATTTAATACTTTAAGCTGCAGTACTTAGGCTGCTAATAATATCTGCCTATATAGTAGTATTATAGTACCTCTCTATAGCTAATTAATAATCTCTACTATTAGAGTTAGTAACAATCCTTGGTGCTTCTAAATATAATCGCAAAGCAGCGTTAATTAAGACTCTATCTTATTAGCGTTAGTAGGTGTCTTAGAGTTCTATTAGGCCCCCCCTAGTAGAGGTAGTATTAGCGCCTAAAGCTTAATATTAAGCTTTAATAGCACTACTAATAGGTTATTAGGCACTAAGCTAGTTGCCTTAAAGCTTAATATAATATTTGCCTTTAAGAATGCCTTCTTAAAAACCTTTGCAAATATTATAATAAAGGCCTTCTTATTAATTTAGCTAATATAGTCTATTACTAAGACTCTAATCTCTTTACTATACTCCTGCTTTAAGGGGGTAAAACAGCCTATATTAAGCAGCTGTAGGATGTGCAACAAGTATAGAGGTATATATAGAGTAATTATCTTATTCTTCTTATAAAGATTCTAGAATATAAGCAACTTATAGCTTTTATAGCTGTTAATTATTAGTAGTATATAGCTATCTACCCTCTAGCTCTTAATCTGCTTAATAAAGGGCCTTAACTAGGCTATACTAATATTATTTATAGTCTAGCTATTATTACTAACCCTAATGCACTATTAGGGCCTTAAATTAGGGTACTAGGACGCGTTATAGTTCTTTACTTTAAAGATAAGGTAGAGCGTAATTACCTAGCCTATTGCGTTAATTGCAGCAATAAAAGTTACCTACTTATAGTCTCCCTATTGCAACCTAATAGGCTTAGTATATCTCTCTAATATAGTAACTACTTCAATATAGTTTCTAATACCTATAGTAAAGCTAGTCTTATTAAAGTTATAGGTATCTTTATCTAGAATGCTATACTTAGCCTTAATATTCTAAACTAGGTTAAACTAGGGCCTAATAACCCCTAAATTACTGCATAAGACTCTCTAGCAATCTCTCTATTAAGTTATATATAATTTTAGTCTAGGTTTATATTTAATAAAGTTTAAAGCCTATTATAGGCTAATAGGCTTTATGCTATATATAGCGCGCAGTTAATTAGCTATATCTTTAATATAATAGAGCGTTAGGGCAAATCCTTAGAAATCTAGCTTCCTAATATACTATATAAGTGTCCTCTACTCTATTCTCTAAAGATTCGCTAATTTAGGGTAGGTATTATGTGTTAACTGCGTCCTAGCGCGTTAGTAGCAGAGGGTTGCCTTAGAGACCCTATATACTATAGCAGCGCGTTATACGCTTAGCTCTTAAGGTTTCTTAATTACTTAAAGTGCAAGCTTAATTCTATCTTCTTTTAGGAGTAATTCTAGGTTAAGTAGTTAGTCTATTAAGGTTTAAAGGTAGAAAGGCCTAATAATTTATTAGAGTATATTACTTGCTTAACTGCGTTACTTGCTATGCACTTATATTAGTAGGTAAGAAAATAATTAATAAAGCTACTATACTTAGAATTAACTAAGATAGATTCTTTAAACTATTATAGTAGCTTAATAATATTATATATATATTATAAGAATACTATATACTAAATTAAGTAATATAGGTATATAGTAAGTAGGCTAGTATACTAAGTAGGCTACTTTTACTAAGACTATACTAAAACCTAACCTATTATAGCCTAAAATACTATAAATTAGTGCTATATAAGGGAAAATAAGCTATAGTATTACTTAGAAACCTTATCTACTCTATTCTTATATATTTATATATTATACCTACTCTCTCTATACTATCTATAGTTTTATTAGGATAGTTTACCTCTTTTAGTATGTACCTACTTCTTTACTCTCTTACTATTACTATGCGCCCTAAACTCTTATAAAGTAGTTAACTACTAGCCTTCTTTAACTATAAGGCTTCCCTTAGTATAAATATACCTTCTTTTATATAATTTTTATTATATAGTAGCCTTATTAGCTACTTAAAGCTTACTAATTTCCTATTATACTAAAACTAGCTTATATATAATAATTACTACCCCCTTTAATACCTTCTTAAATGCCTAAACTATTAATATAGGAGAGCTATCTATATACCTTTAAATCCTTATCTTTATAAGCGTTAATTATAACCTAAGTTCTAGGGTATTACTTAGAGTTTATAACTACTAGGGCTTGTTATTTATAGGGAGTAGTAGTAATAGAGTGCGTAGCTTTATATTAAGGGTTAATATAACCTATTCTAGGTTATAAGGGACTAGTCCTGCGCCTTAGAACCCTCCCTAGATATTGCTAGGGGTAATAGCTTTCTTATAAGCTACTTTAAAGCATAGTAGGAACTCCTACTTTATAATATAGTTAATCTAGTTATATATAAGCTTATTAACCTTATCCCTATATACCTTCTTTAGAGGGCTAAAATAAGCTATATTAAGGGGCTATAGAAGGTGTAATAAGTGCATAGGTATATATAGAGTTATAATCTTATAATCCTTATAGTATTACTTAAATTCTATAGAGTTATAGCTCCTATAACTATTAATAATTAGTAAATAGTAGGTACTAATAGTATATATCTTTATATACCTATTAAAGTGCTTTAACTAGTTAAAACTAAGCTTATTAGTAGTCTAGCTATTTTTAGAGATAGTAATAGTCTAATCTTAAGGTAGGTTATTATCCTTATACTAGTTAGACAGGTATTAGTAGGCTTTAAAGATAATAAAGAGTAGAATAGCCTATCCTATAGCATTAATGCCCTTAATAACTATTACCTACTCCTAGTTGCCTAGCTAGACCTGCTTTGCTTATTCTAGCTTCTCTATATCTATAATAATAACTCTAGTAGATATCTAGCCTATTATAAAGCCTATCTTGTTAAAGTTATATATATTATTATCTAGGATACTATACTTAGCTTTAATATTAGCTACTAGGCTAAACTAGCCCTAGATTACTATAGAATCCTTGCAGAGGGCTTGCTTATAGTTATACTTGCAATTAAAGACTATTTTAAGCTCCTCCTAACGCAAAACAAACCTACTAGCCTACCTTAGGCTAATAGGGGCTAAACTATACTCTTTTTATAAAGAATTAGCTATATTAGCTATAATTATAAGCTAAGGGGACTCTTCTTGCATAACTAGCTTAAGTATGCGTATAATAATTACCTACTCCTTAGTACTAGTTAGATTACGTAAGTTAGCTATAGTATTAACGTATAAAGGTTATCCTGCACGTTAATAGTCTAGTATAGTTTAAGAGACTCTATAGATAGCTGCAGCACATTGCACTAGGAGTTTTGCATCTTGTTTAAGAGCTTAAAGCACAAGCTAGATCTAACACTCTTTTAACGCGTTAAGATAGGGTTAGTAGGGGGGCATTTAGATAGTAATAGTGTTTTAGTGTAGTCTTAGCAAAAGTAGCCTACTTGGTATACTAGCCTGCTCGGTATATACCTATGTTAGCTACTTAGTATATTACTATATTAAGATTTAAAATATAGACTTATTAAGCCTCCTTGCTTCCTATCTAGTCTTATACCTATACCTAATCTATCTCCCTTAGAGAGGCTTACCTATTAGCCTATCCCTAGTCTTTAGAATTAACTAGGAGGAGAGTTAGGAGGGGAGGGAAAAGGAAGGGGGGGGGGGGAGATATAGTCTATAGGTTTTGCTATTGTATTATAATTTGCGCGTGCTACAAGTTTATTATAGATAAAGAGAATTTAGCAAATAATTAAATTATATTAGTTTTGCTAGCTTAGAGACTAGCTAAAACAATTTGCTAGGCATAACCACGACTTAGAACTAGCTTCGCGAGAATTATTGCTGGCTGGTTAAAGGGTGAAGGCGTAATATTTGCTCTCTACAGGTCACACAGCTAAGCTGATGCTAATAGTCTTCGCCTGCAAGTAAGCATATAGCCCCTCCTTCCCACACTCTCTGCCTTGACCGCTCTGTTTATATCCACCAAACACAAGTTTGTGACTTGGAATGAAGGGTGCATTGACACCCACGGTGCCAGCCCGGATCTTGGATGCTATACGTAGAGCACGCCCCGTGCTCCCGGTATAGACACTGGCTGTTTATTCATCAGTCACTTGATCTGCAGGTGTATATCGCGTATTCCGGGCGTGGTGAAACACTTACCTGAAAGACCAAAGCTGGTATCGTTCGCTAACTTCACGGCTTCCTCTTCCGTTTCGAACGTCAAAACACTCAGAACGGGTCCGAAGATCTCTTCCCTGTAAATCTTGGCGTCTTTGGCAGGATTTAGGAAGAGAGTAGGCTGCACAAAAGCTCCCTTGTCGCCCTTACGCTCGCCACCGAAAAGCAGCGTCGCTTCCGATTTGCCCGATTCCACATATCCAAGCACGCGCTCCATCTGACCCTTGTCGGCCAGAGGACCTAGGAAGGTAGTAGGGGAGTTTGGGTCGCCGACAGTAGCGTCCAAGGCGGCGAAACGGGCCCTAAGACCTTCGATGAACTTGTCTGCAATGGAGCTTTGCACGAAGACGCGGGAGGAGGCGATGCAGACTTGGGAGCTGTTGAAAAGGAAGCCTTGGGAGTTTCTGATCTCACGTTAACAGCTTGCCACATTTAGGAGGGAGTGCATACGCGGTCAAGGCATTCTCGATGTCTGCATCGTCAAAAATTAGGGAGGGCGATTTGCCGCCCAGCTCCAAAGTGACCTTCTTCAAGTTACTCTTCGCGGCCGCCTCGATGATCTTGCGACCAGTCGGCCCACTGCCGGTGAAGGAGACCTTGTCGATGTCCATGTGGGACGCAATGAGAGCGCCAGTCATCCCGTCTCCAGAGATGAGATTGAAGACACCGGCAGGGAATCCAGCCTCCTTGAACAGTTGTGCAAGGAGAAGCACGCTAAAGGGCGATTTCTCTGACGTCTTGTAGACAACAGTGTTACCGGCAGCCAGCGCAGGAGCTACCTTCCACGAGAGCGTGCTGTTATTTGAATAAGCTCTGAAAATGTGTTACCGCCGCTAGGGGACTCACGAAAGTGTAACATTCCAAGGACCAATACCAGCGCATACACCAAGTGGCTCGTACTGTGTCACATTAAACGTGCCGTCCTCCGAAGGTAAGGCCAGACCCTCAATCTTGTCCGCCCAACCAGCGTAGTATCTGAATGTGGCCGACGTTGCAGGCACGATTGATCCTCGAGCAATGGAAGCTGGTTGTCCCATAGCTTTCACTTCATCTTCTGCAAGCTGCTCGTTGTGGGCATCAATCAGATCGGCGAGCTTATTGAGCAAAGCAGCACGCTTAACAGCAGGCGTAGCTGCCCAGGGCTCGAAAGCTGCTCGGGCAGCGGCGACGGCAGCATCGAGTTCTGCTTCGCGGGCGCAGTTGATCTTGCCGACGGATTCATCCGTGGCGGGGTTAAAGACCTCTAATGTAGCGGATGATGAGCCCGTGACCCACTGATGGTGTATGTTAGCGATGGCGAGGGGTGCATGGAACAAGTATGCATGCCTCGTTCTGAATGAAGTGGGAGTATTCAACCATGTTTACACTGATTTCGTACTTTTTGCCTTGGTATGCAGCGGCTCAAGAATGGTGAATAAAGTGTGATCGATCACATCGCTGTCTCACCACACCTTTTAAATACGCCGTGAGCTCCCTCGCAGGCTTGCATGACACAACATGTTACAGCCTACTCGGAAATACAGCCTACTCGGAAACCCTGCTAGTTTACTGATTGGTTTGAAGGTCCTTACTCGGTCTTAGGATTGCTCCAGGCCTTGGCGAATTGTCTTTCCTAAAAGCGTTAGCCTTTCATCTTTTCTAGTTTGCGTTTCGTTCTAACTATGTTTTAATTTACCCTGAGCGTTCTTTTATAAGCCGAGAACAGATCACGAGAGCAGAATGGAGGAAAGCAGAGTACTCCTAGCAGTAACTTTCCCGCCCTTCTTCGTCCGTTGATTTGAGCTCAAACGACACGCGTCGTGAACATCGGGGGAAGGGAGGGTCCCATGCTTGACGGCGATTTCCATGGAGAACAGACTATATAATATACTCGCACACAACTCGGCATTGACATTGCTGGTCATCTGACTACAGAGTTATTGATTATGCCGAGAAAACAGCAGACTCACTAGTGACTTGATCTGCAGAGATCGTTAGACCTATAGAAGAGAGTGATCTGAAAAAGTCTGAACGGGCCTGCAAAGAAAAAACTCAAGTAGAGCGTTCGTCACGTAAAGGCAGGGATCTTGCAGGGTAGGGACACTAAATCTGCTCCACTGTTGATGCGTAGGAAATACAGCGTTGAATAAGGTCAACATTGATGCGTTCGCGTTACTCCTATGAGCTTGGCTGATCCTGTCCACAAAGAGATGCTTATAGTTAGCCTGAATCAGACAGGAAGGGCACGGAATGAGGCGGAGCTACCGTGAAGTGCCAACGGGGATGAGCCCTCGATCGTTTAATTAACGTTACTTGTTCGATTCCGCCTCGTGATTCACAGCTTTACCTTGGGTTTCATGCTTTCCTGGCGTTCTGTTTCCTCAGACGCGATAATGTTTTGAGAGTTGTGACGGAAGTCGCAACACAGTGCTCTTTGCTTGACGAAGGTTGCCGAAGCATGGATGGCAAGGGCAATTGTTCTGTGAGGGTTGCACGTCCGGGCACCTAACCCCAAACCGGACTGACACCATCCTAAAATGAACTCTGGCTCCACCCACACGAGCCTGAAGTCTATACATACTTCTAGATTGCGCAGCAATGCTGGTGCAGAGCTCGCCGACAAGAGAAGCGGTTCTATGACACTGCTCACACCGTCTCGTTCCGCAACGTGTAAATTTATTTCAAGACCTGGCGAGCTCTCGATTATCGCCTGTGCATTTGTGCCACTAAGCTAAAACTTGTTGATGCTGGCTCGCATAGGAAAGCCAGTAGGAATGCTTGGGCCACGGCAACGCTCTCCTCGGAAGGACCCGCGCATCGGTGCTATAGTAGGGCGTAATGTTTGGACCATGCTCGGTATAGTGCACGCTGGAGGGCACGGTTTAGGGCTCTAGCTCGAGAAGTACTTCGATTAAAAGGGTCGCTCTAGAGTAGAGTTACTATGTATACTAGACCTATACTAGAGTACTAGTAATCTCTAAACTTAGTATATAATACTTCTAGTTATTAAATCTATATAGTTTACTACTAGTGCTAGACTCTTAGTAGTTACCTTTTATACCTAGACTCTATCTAAACTCTGTCTTTTTAGTACTATATCTACTAGATGTATCTAGAAAGCTACTAGATATCCTAGAACATCTACTAGATATTCCGAGCTACTACCTATCCTCCTAGATAAGCTGTTAGGACTATATTCTTGCTCGAGTAGACTCTGAAATCTGCTTCCACATCTTCAAAGAGACGTGATCCTTAGGCTGATACCACCTGCTTTCAGAGATGCGGTATGGCGCAGGAAGATCCACCTCCTCCGCATCACCAGTCACAATCATGGACGCTACTGCCTTTGCCGAAAAAAAGATCTGCGGCATGCCATGCCCGCTGAACCCCGCGCACATGTACTGGCCGGTCCGACCGCATGCCGGTCCAACATATGGGAAGCCGTCGTTTGAGTAACCCATGACTAGCAGGGAGAACGTATTAGTTTCAAATCTTGAGTGTGCTATTCCGGTGGTGGAAGACTTACTACCAGTCCAGACATCTTCCGTTTGAACACCGCTGTCTTCCCACCCGTGGAAATGCCGTTGCATATATCCGTCAAAGTACCGTCGCGCACTCTCGATCACCTTACTATCATCCACCACATCAAACCACTCATCCAGGTTCCTGTAGAAATCCCGTTTCGCGCCGCCCAGTATGATACTGCCGTCCGGCCGGGGGATCATGTAGTCGTACTCGTACTCCGAGAAGCGCATCATATAGCTCTGCATCAGCTTCGGCGCGTTCACGCCCGCCAGCCGCGCGACTATGCCTTTGACGGGTACGATCTTGCCTCTCATCTCTGGGACGAGGGCGGAGGTGTAGCCGTTGGTGGCGTATATGATGGTCATGGCTTTTACGGTGCCGCGGGGGGTGTGGACGAGCCAGCGGTGATTCTGCGCGTTTGCGTTTGCAGCTGAAATGTGCGTGACCGGTGTGTGGGTTTGTAAACTGACTCCGAGAGACACAGCTTTTTGCAGTAGGTGTGCCACGAGTCTGTAGGGCCAAAGCCGCGCTGCGTTATATGTGAGGCAGGATACGGCTCCTCGGACACCGGATACCTGCAGACATCGTCAGGTCTTTGCAGTTCGAGGAACAAAACCGTGAGCAAGCGAGAGGTTATTTGTGATATGTCTCCCACGTGTACATACCTTCTCAGCCTCGATACCCGAACTATACTCTACTTCTTTCGCTGTAGAGATTCCTGCTTTAGCAACTCTTGCTAGATCGGCTTTGATCTTATCCCGGCCGCCATTGTAAAAACACACGTCTGCGACTGTCGTTTCTTCAAAGTCACAGTCAATACCTTCGCGCTGGACTAGATCTTTGATTGCAACGACCTGACGAGCCTCAAACGAAGCTACATGTTCCGCGACCGCTTTCCCATGCGTCTCAAGGATACTGGCCGCTCTGAACAAGGGGTCGGGCTTCAGATGACCGCCTGGATATGGACGATCAATTAGTGATTACAGGAATCAATTTTGGCAGCTGATAAATTACGTACCATTTCTTCCGGTAGCCCCAGAGCAGGCTTCGCGGGCTTCGAGAATGAGTATTGATGGAAGTGGACGGTCGCAGCGCGTGTGTTCCTCTATGAGATGATGCACGATCGATGCGCCCACATACCCTGCACCAATGACCACGATATCGGCGTCGGTGCCAAGGGTTTCGGCGCTGCGGTGGCTGTCGATTGGATCGACTTGTTTTCTCCAATAGGACGGAATAGCACCGGCAACCGGGAATTTGCTTTCGCAGGAGGACATTTCGGCCTGTAAACTCGAATTCCTCAGACTAACAATTGTTTGATGAAGCACGCGTGTTGCGAGGCTGTTACAGTTTCGACTTTCGAGTCGGCGCGAATGCGCCAGCCATGGATGGTGCTCATCGGGGATCTACAGACCGGGCCGGTCGCCGGCAAGGAAGCGGCTGAGATTGCTGGGGCGCAAACCGCGATGGATACGGAACGCAATGGACCGGTCTATCATAATACCCAAGAACACATCTCAAGATAACTATGATTGAGCGGTGATAGGACCGCTGAAACACATGGGCTTATGGGATTCGTCCCGCGGCAGATAAATCTATGCCAGAGAAGTCCCACGTCATCTGGGCCTATCACTACTACATCAATGTACCGATTACCGAATCTCAAGGGACTTCAGGACCTGCTACAATTGCCGTGATCACTGAACCAATCCTAGCTTTGACTCAAGAAACGCCCGGTCAGTGATCGAGTAGGATCGCAGCCACGAGGACTAGTGAGACGAAGGGGCCAACACATAGAATGCCTTATCGGATTTCAGTATGACGCATCCTGGATGTTGACAGAATTGAAAGCCTGTACGTGTAGGCTAGGCGTTGGCTCAATGTGCGACACATTTATTCATACTCGCATACATCACTTCATGGTAAGACCAATGTTGGGTCGTAATAGGATCGATGATCTATGCTTGTAATCCCAAAAGAGCTGACTTGTTGTCGATGTTATAGTCGAAGATGATTGTTCTTGTTGGACGAGATAGAACACGAGTCATCGAGTTCGGCTCAGTAGTGTAAGTTGAGGTGAGACGAAAGGCACTGATCCAGTATTCGAACAACGACTACTTGCTCACATAGTTGTCTTCTTCCTTCTCCAATTGATACTACCTGCCAGAAACTCAATACTTTGCGAGCTTTGTTGAGCGAGACCCCAGTATATTCATTCCTGACCCACCATCCAGTTTATCTTCCTAACATGCTCTCACAGTCCCTTCTGAGACTCTTCCCGTGCCACAGAATCTGGTACTGTAACAATGACACCCGATGGTAGCTTTGGTACTTTCCCTATCAGTGCGACCATACTGGGAATAACTAGTACCAGCACGGCACAATTGACATAGAGCGGAATCACTGGACCTATGTGGCTCGAAGAGCTTAGACCATAGGAGACTGCCTGGCCCGTAACCTCAAATGCACGGAACACACCTCCAGCTCGTGACGCAGCCTCTACTTCGTTTGAAAACGTGCCCAGAACCCAATATAGAGTCAATTGGGTCCAGTAGCCAGTAACAAAAATAATTAGATACGGTACCCACGCTTTGCTCCACCTCGCTGAATGCCTGTGTCAATCAGTCTTGATAGTACTTGAAGGTTTTGGTGCGGCTCACAGTTCGTAGTCGAGAGCCGACTTAGAGCCAAGCTGATGGTACTCGATAGCAACCCAGATGAAGCAGCCCATTTGTGGGATAATCCAAGCTAAGAACGCAACCCACGCTCGGCGCCTCTGCGACCAACGTTGGTTGTCCAGTAACTTGCCGAACAAGATCACCGATGGTATTGTGACGCATGCTATCTCCGTTAGGATTATGACATTGACATGAACGACCAATACATACGAACAAGGAGTGATGAAAGGGCGCGCGCGCGGACTGAAAAGTGAAGCGAAAGATAGGTGCCCATGGTTCCTCCATAGAAGAAGGAGTAGAAAGCTGGAATGAACACAAGCCAGGTCTGTGAAAGAATCAGCAGCTAAAAGAACAAGTGATCTGACATGACGTACTTTTGTGAGTCGCAAGTAGCTCCAGAGAGCACTAAGTTCTTGCTTCCATGTTTGCATCCCGGCCATCTCAACTTTACTGCCGTCGCGGCGACGCACTCGAGCTGTTTTGGACAGCAAAAATGCCCAAATAACACCAGTGCATTCTGCCATCTATTAGCGAGATCTCTACCAAGACACACAGAACCGACGTACCAATTCCAACAAAGACCAAATATGTGGCCCATGCCACACCTCCACCTGATGAGTCAGTAGAGTTTGTGGAGAAGTTAATTGCGCCACCGATGACGCTTCCACTACTTCGCATTGCGGACCAGATGCCTGAGATCTATCAGTGGACTGATCGCCATGCCGATGTTTCTCATTTGCCTACCGAGGTAGAACCCCCTGTCTTTTGGGTTAGGGTACGTCAACATAGCAGTAGTCTCCCCCACGTAGAGGAAACCAGATGCAAGACCTTTTATGACCTGGTCGTATTAGTAGGCGTTGCTAATAAGTAGGCGTCTCGAACCTACGCTGGCTGCTAAAAGATACCTATCAGCACTGTATCTAGCGCTGACATAGTACGAAGATCCGTCTAGTGGGAAGGAAATAGCTGCAATCAAGCAAGCCCACTTGATTCCAATTTTGTTGATGAGGGGTCCTCCGAAAATTGTACTCAGGAAGCTGCAGGCGTAGCTCAAAGAGTTTGCAAGATTTGCCAGCCATGGTTTAGATAATCCACCTCCTCCGAGATTAGATATGGCATCAGACATAGCGGGACCGACCAACGACAGCCTAGGCAAGAGTTAAACCACCATCTGCAGCTTTGGGTCTTACACACTCACATTCCAAATAGTACCATCTGAAATAGCACGCTACGAAAGAAGGTCCGAGGCGTGTAACTCTGAGTTTCTTCCAGCGACCCAACCGCCAGGTCATCTGGGCTATCATCATTCATAGCATCAACGATATCGGTCTTCTTGGTGTCGTGGGCATCCATGACAAAACGTGTTTGGATTATAGCCCTAAAACCGAGACATGATGGACGACTTATAGTTACAGAGAATACTACCCTATCATAGCGAAAGGAATAAGGAAACAGCCTGCCCGGTTTTTGATGAGCGTGATTGGCCAAGATTGCACAAGCGACTTGCGGACACATCCGATTAGGTGTGCGCACCTACCTTTGAGACCGGCCCGGTCGGCGCTCTTATCTCAAGAACATGATAGCCTAGGTGTCCCAAGGTTCAGAACTTACAAGGGACGCCGCCGATTCTTTGATATCCTATCTCATATCTATGTTGTGAATGCAGAAATGATCGAGCGACGAACATCTTGTTGCTTGATACTTGGTTATGGTATGCTTATTCAGACTTTGCCAAGTTCGTGGGTAGCAATTTAAGAAGCTAGCCACTCATGGATGTACTGTCGCAAGTGATTGAAACATCCCTTTCAAGATCTCGAGTTGAGATGCCCAACACGATGTAGCCGGACACTTCAATTGCCGAATCGCACTTCTAAAGCTCTAGAGACTGCGCTCCAATTTCAACCGTCGCGAGACCAGCAATGAGCACATTCTCTATGCACTTGACAGCGGCAGCCCTCTTTAAAGTCCAAGGAGCCCCATCTCGGCCTTCGATGGCCTCGAACGGTAGTGACCAATGGTTTGATCGTCTGCTACAATCCCGGAGGCGATGTGTCACATCGATCGAAGCAAGACAGGGCAACCAAGATGATTGACCCGATTCGCACATTTCAAACGGAACAGACAGGGGGAGCGACGGAACTGGAGGAAGCCATTCCGGCGAGCGCATTTATGTTGACACATCCGACGGACCTTTGCAGGAAACCGCTCAACAGAGTCAACACAACCGCTAGACAGTCCCCGTGAAGAATTGAAGCCAACCACAACTTTCTATCGTATGTAGAGACACCACTCCTGCGAGCAGCTCAACAGGCCTAGCCTCACTCCATTTTCACCAACTACCTGTCCCCATGAAATAGAGCTCTTCTCAACGTAGACCCCATAGATGCTCTTTGGAAATTGATGAATGATGGCAGCCCCGACCGTATGGGCGCCAATATAGCCCATGAGCTAACCGACCTCACGCATGGTTAGGTGTCGACAGGCTGAGCAATAGATCGGCCCGCAGGGGAAGAGGAAACAATGACTCTAGCAGCTGCCTTGGATAAGAGAGCGCAGTGAATAGTGGGATAGTGAGAAGGATAGCGGGACTGAACAGTCTTGGGAGGAGACCTGCACGTATATACGAAGACGTTAGAGCGAGTAATTGTACGCGACTGTCGATGAAACAGCAACAGCTGGTACTTCTGGTTTACCGATTGGTGAGGTTCGTGTCTAGTCTTTAAATCTCCATTGTGCCTTCATGTCAAGACTGAGCTTCTGTCCCCTGAATATCGCCCTCAGAATCTCAATCGGGACGTTGTTCTCTCGCATGACAGCATCGTGAAAGCTCTTCTCTTTCCACCTCGGGCCTTCAGCATTATCAACAAGCTCCCTCCGTAGTCTCTGGAATTGAAACGCCCCTAGCAGATAACCCGCTTGGTACAAAGGCGGATACTCGCCAGCAAGGGATCTTCGAACTTCGCCTTCAGCCGTGGCACGCTCGTGTCCCACCCTTGTCACTAGCAAATCAATGCACTCTTGCGGCGTCATCTGTCCGAGATGAAACTTGATTGAGAATATTATGCGAGCGCAACGATGCATCCGCCAGAAGAGCATTCCTATGCGATTTGCGGCTTCGTTTGTTGCCCATTCTTGACCGATCTCTGATGGGAAGCCGCGTTGCCACAACAGCAGTTCCCAGTACACAGACCAGCCTTCGATCCAGAAGGGTGTTTGGAAGACACTGCGGTGCGGATTATAGCGATCCATGTAGTAGAACTGAAGATGGTGGCCCGGAATGAGCTCATGGTGGACTGTGGAGCGAGAGAATGCCGGATTGTTGCCGCGCATGCTCATCAATTTATCTTCATGGCTCATACTATTAGTTGGGTACGAGACAATGATCTCCTCGCCACCGAGGAAGAAAGGGTTGACTCTTTGCCTCGCGGGCGTCATCATGGTCGTCTTCCAGTAGTCTTTGGCTACAGTCGAAACAGTTATCAGATCGTGCCTTTCAACGTATGCAACTGCCTCATCGGCGAGATCGCGGACAACCTAATCTCCAGTGTTAGCTGTGATCTCAAAGACTCCTTAGATGACTCATTCTCACAAAAATTTGTTGGCCGGGCTCTACAAACGTGTTTTTGACATACTCCAGAGCCTCTTGACGTCGATCGAATCCTAAAGCCGTGCTCGCGTTCTCCATCTCGTCCTCACACCACATAAACTCTTGTTCAGCTATCTGCACAAGCTCTTCAGGAGTATAAGCAATCCACTCCGCCTCGAGCTCTTGTAGTAGTCCCTCACGACCAATTGGGTCACCGACGATGTCATCTGCACTCCCAGATCCATCAATTCCAGTCTTCTTGCCCAAAGCCGAAGTCAAAGCAGTCAGTTTTGTACTCAAAGTCTCCCAAGGTTTCTCTATCCACCACGAGATGACAGGATCATAGCCTTGGTAAAACCCAACTGCCTCCTCCAGTGCCCTTTGCAACTCTTCGAACTTGCCAATCGTCCAGAACATGATGAACCGCTTCTTACTGTCCCCAAAATCATCTTTGGAGTCGAGTAAGTATAGTAATTGAGCGACGCCCTGCTCAGCGCTTTGTAACGCATTGGCAATTTGTCGACCGCTCTGTCTGCTAACATTGTGTCTCGTTTCGACCAAGTTGATACAAATTTCGACCCATTTCCCAAAAATACCAAGCTCTTCGGCTGTGTGGACCTTCTTGGTCGCGGCCTTGTGCTGATGGAGCAGTCTTTTGATGTGGGACTGCAGAAGGAGATAATCCACTTGTTCATTATCAGAAAGAAGATCAAATTCAAAAGTTGTGGAAAGAGAAGCAAGAGTTGATGTGAGGTATTTCTCGACTTTTTTGGCACGAGTTTGGCTGAATGAGATGCTCAGAAACGACTGAATGTCGGCAAGGTCTGCTGTGAATGTTCGAATAGTGGTCTGGATCGTCGTGATCTCTTTTGGTTCTGGAAGCTGGGCTGGCTTCGTTGCAGCAATTGACGTTATGGGCTGTCTGCGGGTCATGGTGTCCACGGTAGGGCAAGGCAATGGATACTGCGTTGAAATGAGTTCGATAGGAGCGATGACGAGCGGAGATGGTCAGGTGACGGGCTGCTAGTAAACGCGTCGAAGTCAATGCGCGGCCTGTGTAACCTCGGCAAGCTCCCCGTAGTGCTTATCATCGAAGTCAGATGCTGCACATATGCGGTCATGTCGTTACACTGTGGTTGATGCACGCTGGATGTTGCCAAAGGCTGGTGTCGCGGTGCGCCCGTGCGTCCACTAGAGTGGCAGTAGCGGGGCACTAGTCCCACCCTGCATCCGCCACAACGCTTGTCCCAAGCTGCCTGCATCAACTTTGTGAAGGATGGATAGATGGCAACTATTCTGGTCTCATTCGTTGTCCATCAAAGTCTTATGTACAGTATACAACTCCCATCTCTACTCATAGGTTACCCCGGGGCGGACTTGATCCAATGGGCGACATGCGACTCAGGTTAAACCCTTCTGGGATGCCTCATTGGCTGTCGATCCGCCCGGGAAGCGTGCGGAGTACTTAATCCCGCGGCAAAAGATAGCGACCCCACCTTTCGTGGTACGAGGAAGCTGGATGTTAGTGACCCACGCCACGCAACGCAGCAAGAATCATACACAGCACAATGTCGCCAATCGAGAGATACTTTATCAAGGAATGCGACACTGCACTGTTATCTGGAAATTGGATGCTTGCGTCCAGATCATCTGTGAAGCAGAAGCCATCCCGGACTGTCCAAGTTTTTCGATTACGATAACATGTCACTTGGAGATGCGACCTTCTCTTTCACGCCAAGCGCCATGATAACCAATGCCTGCATGCATGCTAGGAGGAGCAATTGATATGACCACGCCACCATAGAACATCCTTGCCCGTGTTCACACTCAACTTGAATCGTACAAAGTCATCAAGGGAACCGCGACCTGCACTTTCACGGTCTCCTTGGCCAAGCGCTGATGATTGACTACTGCTAGTCAAGGACGAACATTATGGCTGAACACATCCGCTCCTTCGAGACAAGCGACGCCTTGGAAGCCCTAGACGAGAAGCGATCGGCCAAAGCCTCTGCGGATGCAGTCTGCACTTCCACCGCTACAAACCAATCCACTGAAGCCTCGGACGAAGTCAGAGCTGCGAGCGAATATGTGGAAGCCGCTGTTCGTGTCGAAGATGGCGAAGAGCCTGCCAACACACTCCGCGCATGGGTGCTTGGCTTTTTCTTCGTCACCATCGCCGCGGGCGTGAACATGCTTCTTTCTATGCGATCACCTGCCATCTCCATTCCCGTAGTGGCCATACTCCTCCTCGTCTATCCCGTTGGCTGCTTCTGGGCTCGGGTCATGCCCACTTGGACGTTCAACACATTTGGTTTAGTCTGGTCCCTGAACCCAGGTCCGTTCAGCATCAAGGAGCATACCGTCGTTACGCTTATGGCATCTGTCACGTATGGATATGCCTACTCTACCGACGCTCTCTTGGCGCTCCAGGCCAAGTCACTCTACAATCACGACCTTGGCGTGGGCTTCCAGCTTTTGTTCACTATCAGCAGCCAACTCATCGGTATCTGTCTTGCTGGACTTGGCCGCCGTTTTCTGGTTTGGCCTGCCGCTCTGACATGGCCAACCACCTTTTCGACCACAACGCTACTGTATGCCCTCCACGACAAGTCTAAGACAGATCCTGCACAGGCCAACGGCTGGTCTATCTCTCACTATCGCTGGTTTGTTTACGTCGCGTCAGCTATGTTTGTATACTACTGGTTCCCGGGCTTCATATGGCAAGGTCTATCGGTTTTCGACTTTCCGACGTGGATCGCGCCCGACAACGTCGTTGTTAACCAACTATTTGGCGGCTTTACCGGTCTCTCATTGATCCCTTTGACTTTTGATTGGTCAAATGTGATACCGTATCTGTCGGATCCGCTTCTATCACCAACTCTCTCGCACGTGAACACTCTCATTGGTTTGATTGTGTTTGTCATCGTTCCAGCGCTCGGGATTTCGTATTCGGGTGCTCTCTATTCTGCCTATCTACCCATGAACACCTCGACTCTCTTCGACAACACCCAAAACCCATATGTTGTGCGCAACATTCTCAAACCAGACTTCACCTTCGACGTTGAGAAGTACAGGGCCTACTCACCCTTGTTTCTCGCGCCGACATTTGCGCTCAACTATGGTCTCAGCTTCGCGGCCTTGACCGCGTCTATAGTTCATACCATCCTTCACCGAAGTAAGATCCTGGTCCGGCAGTTCCGGGAAGCCTCATCTCAAACCGAGGATATTCATTTCAATATGATCAAGAAGTACACACCAGCCCCGGATTGGTGGTATTTGGCTTTGCTGATTGGCTCGCTTGCGATGGGTTTCGGGGTCGTGGCAGGCTATGACACTCAACTTCCGTGGTGGGGGTTCCTCGTCGCCTGTGTTATTGCTGGAGTCTTCGTCGTTCCCTGCTGTACTATCTTGGGCATGACGAACATCCAGCTCTCCCTGAACGTCATAAGTCCTTTCATTGGCGGTTATCTCTTCCCGGGAAAGCCAATCGGCGTGATGATATTCAAGGTGTACAGCACGATCGTGTTAGGTCAAGCTCAGGTATGTGGTTTTGTTGACTTCTGTCTACGGTGTTATCTAGCTGACATGCTTTGCCTCCAGACGTTCTGCGGCGACCTCAAACTTGCCCAATATATGAAGATCCCGCCGCGTATCACCTTCAGTGCACAGATAGCTGCCACAATCTGGTGCTGCTTCGTGCAGATTGCGACAATGGACTGGGCGTTGGCCAACATCGAGCATGCTTGTGAACCCATCCAAGCCAACCACTTTACCTGTCCGAACGGTCGAACATTTTTCTCCTCAAGCGTTGTCTGGGGTGTCATTGGTCCTACGCGTGCGTTCGGAGGCCACAGCATTTACAAGTACTTCAACTTATTCTGGCTTGTGGGCGGCGTCCTTCCGATCGCTCTGTGGGGACTTGCAAAAGTGATGAAACATCGCTACATCAGCAACCTCCACGCTCCGGTCATGCTTGGAGCAATGGGATGGCTGCCCCCAGCCACTCCTCTCAGCTTCTTCTCATGGGTCATCTTTGGACTTGTCTTCAACCTATGGATCAGAAAGCGATGGCATGGATGGTGGCGCCAATACAACTACTTAACTGCTGCCGCATTGGACACTGGCTTGATCTTGAGCACCGTTGTTATCTTTTTCGCTCTCACTCTTCCTGGAGTCAATGCACCGCAATGGTGGGGCAACGTAGATGTTTTCAATACGTTGGACTATAACATGATGGCGTTCCGCAAGACTGTAGCAACGGGGGAGACATTCGGACCTAAGGAGTGGCATTGATTCAACAACTGTATACCGTAACGGAGAAGCAAACTTGAGGAGCCTCAGTATCTAAGTGGGTCATCGCCACTTTTAAATTTGTTAGTAGGTGCTATACGCTGTACCCGCCATAGTTTGGTACACTACCTTGCATAGGTCTTGCTGAATTGCAGAATTGGTGCTATGATCACGTGCACGTGATGGCGCGCTCTCGCGTTCCGTCTGATGCTGACGTACAGCGACTGACGACAGTGCCACCCATGCGCCATGCCTCACTCTGGCACCACCACCATCATCGTCATTGCGCCTCTAAACGCTCACATGCCGTCGGTCGTATAGCAACACGCCCCGTCGCCTTGTCCGCCTCATCTGTCGACGCCGCCATCTGCCCGGTGTCGGCGCACGCCCACCGTCGTCGCGAGGCTAACGAGGCCTCCGGCGTACAGATTGCTCTCCGTTTCTACGCGCACAACTCGACAAGAATTGGCACTAGCTGGCCACCGCCAGAGAGGTGGACATTGACTTTCGGCTGCTGCGCGGGCGCGCCGGTCGACACGGGCGACCGCGCTCGAGTCAAGGCTGCTCGTTACAAAGTCTGAATGGGCGGCTGCCACTGCGGCGAGCCACCGCAGGGAGGATTTGCAGTAAGAAGACTAGATCGCTGGGCGCTCCAGTGCTGACCGGCGCCGGCAACGGCGCCGGCAACGGCGACGGCGACGGCGATGGTCATGTCTCGCCATCGCTGCGGTTCCTGCTGCGCGTCCAGCAACATGAGGCGCCCAGGCAGCCAATGCCGATGCTGGCCACTGTTGTTGCTGTCGCGTCTGTTCAGTGCGCCGACAAGGGGCACGTCTGTATCGCACACGAGGACGCTAATGAAATTCTCCCCAGCACGCCTGCCACGCCTGATATCGCCGCCGACGCCACCGCCCCTCCCTCTGCAATCGTCTCGCCAAACACACTACCAGCCATTCAATCCTCAACCTCAAATGGATGTCTCATAATGCCCGGCTCGTCGAGACGGCAGCGGCGCCTATGCCGGCTTCCCTGTGGCGCGCGACTACTGTACTTGCAATTTTCGAGCGCCATCGACTAAACAGCCCTCAGGCTAGAATCGCTGCAGAAGCGCCCGAGCGAAGGCAAGCCCAAGGTGTCCTTGTATTGATCTGCTACGGGTGACCAGCCCAGCCTCAGCGCCCTTCACACACCCCGACTGCAAGCGCGCCAATACTAACAGTTCATTCTCGCCCACCACCATCCTCATTCCGACCAAGGTGGCCGGTCGCATTGCCCGGACACTCGCCCACCCACTTCACCCTCCCCAACTATGCCGATGCCGAACAGGCCATTGCCCACACCATTGTCCACGCCCTCCCCAAGTGACACTTCTATATCGTTCTCCCAGCTCCTCCCTGGTCTTTGTGCCCTCTTCCCCTTGTCATTCTACACCTCTATTTCTACTTCCTCATATCCCCTCGCCTCGACCCCAGACCTCATTCCCTTTGGTACTGCCCTCATACCCTCCCTTATCGAGCACCTCCGTTTACAGCTGCAGCACATAGTCCAAACACCAGTTTTCTTACAAGCAGGTAAGTTGATGAATTTAGACAGCTGGTAACAAATTGTATTCTCTTTTATCAAGTATCAGCTAAACATAGACAGCATTATCATCGCGCATAGGGCTACGTAGAGCAGCTCTACTGGAGTCCTAGTGTGGTTGCTCGTAGCTGCAAACGTGCCCTAAATCATTCACGAATATGATTCGGAATATTTGATAATGCTTATCCTCGACTCCTTTCGTCTAAAGCAGAGCTGAGCAAATTGTTAGCTTAAGATCGCGCAAGAGCGAAGGTCATGTACTGATAGGTTAATAATACCGCAGGCTACGCGATTGCCAGAGTTACCTCTTTTATCTTTACTAGTCTTGCCACCATCATCCGTGCCATCGTGCATAACGAAAGTGCCCCATCATACAATATGGCCCTGAAAGCGTGACAAGTCTGGCGCTTAAAGAGCCTTTGGCATTGCCTGAGCCATCAATTGCGATGTTGCCCAAACCTCCTGCGTGGCGCAAGGGGTCAATCAGCAGGCCATGTCCTCACTTGAAGGGGTTATCTGCTAGAGTGAGATATGTTCGTGTGCAGAGATAGGGTCAGGGCTTATTATACAGTGACCGGTAGCGAGTGTGCAGTCAGTGCTACCCTCTTCTTGAATGGGTATTCCGCGCTGAGTATTATGGTCATTGCCAGAGAGGTCGTATGTGATGGCTTTCGCAGAGTTCGCATCAGCCTGTTCAAAATGTGACCGTCCCCTTCACGGTTGAATTGCCGAATGGGGTGATGGTCGCCACAGTAGCATTCTATCAGCTATCCGCTCAATCAATGTCTCAGAGGACTGTTGCCTACATACCAGCTCTGATTGCCGTGCCAGTACTGCTGCTTGTGGCCGGCAAGGATGCTTCACTCGAGAGTGCCGAAGCAGTGAGTAGAGTTGGGGGTACTAAGTGGGCGTGTTGTGCTAGACGCGTTGTGCAAAGTGATGCGAGTACAGGAGTGCGGAAAACAGGGGGCGGAACCTGCGCTAATCCAAGATCCTAGTGGACCTCCATGCAGTCGCTTGGAGGTCGGCATTTAGTATTAGTTATAAACTGCATTGCATTGTGTAACCCCTAGCCGCAAATTCCGAACACTCGCTCGTAACCAACAGTTGTCGCAAATACTCTGCCCTCTATAAGTTGCCTTTTTCCACTCAAGACCAATCTCCTTCATCCTCGATAGGCTCATCTCTGGCCGAAGCTTCAAGAAGCTCCTTGACAGTCCAAGGGGTGTATCTATGTCCGGGTACAGTGTTCTTATGCTCAAATGGTGCTCCTACTAGAAGATGCTGTGCGCAGCTCGCGTAGGCGTCGTACGCGTACTGCTCTGGGTCGTGATAGATGACCCAATCCCCGACCATCTTGCCTATAACCTGTGGGTTCTTTGCAACGACACCCCAATCTGTGTTGTGGAAGACCTCTCGATTTTTGAATCCCATTTTCTGGGCCGACGAGACTCGTTCAAACCTGGCTCAGTATTTCAGATCAACTTGGAGACTTTCAAAGACGCGCGAAGGCGAGAGAGGCCAAACGGTCGCAGACGTACCTTAGATGGTTGTGCACCTTTGTAGCCATACACACATTGTCCTTGCCCGCTATCTGTAGGCAAGCAGCTAGAGAGAATGCGTCCTCCATAGCCATAGTTCCACCACTAGCAGAGGTAGGTAGAAATGAATGTGCGGCGTCTCCAATCTGCACAACTCGGCCAATAGGCGATGCCCAATGCGGTTCCGGATCGCGCCACATCAATTTCCAGTCCAGAACAGTGTGGTTAGGTGTCGCTTTGATAAGCTCTGTGACATACGGCTCCCAGCCCTGGGTCACTTCCAGAGGTCTGGCGATCGAGGTCGCTTTAGCCCAGTTTTCTTCGGCTTCGTCGCTGTCCTCCTAAACTCAGTATTAGAATGTGCCTCGACTCAGCATATAGGATGACTTTACTCTGCATGTCAACATCCAGCACATTACGTCTCCAGACAGGTTGGAAACCATATGTGCGCCAGGACCGGCGTGTAACAACGTATGATCGCCAATTCCTTCAAATGCTTTGGCGATAACTGGATTCTTCAGCGCAGGGGCTGCGGGAAATGTAATCCTATACAAGACGAACCCCGAGCTTATGGGGGCAGTCTTCTTGCCAACGACGAGCGACGATGACTTCGAGCCGACTCCGTCGGCAGCCACTATGACATCTGCCGTTATTTCGCGACCGTCCTGCAGTACTACTCCGCCATGATCTTCAGTTTCGAAAAAACCTACAGCCGTTGCAGCGAACTCAATTGGAATGCCGAGCAGCGCGGCATACTCATGGAGCACGAGGTGAAGTTCCGATCGATAGATGGCCAGGGATGGATTGTTCGCATCCCCAAGATTGAAAGTTTCCACCTTTTCTCCGTTAGATTTCTTGATGGTGAGCAAAGGAGGAAGTGCCCTCTTCCTCGCGAGGTCCATGAAGCCCGGCCATTTCTTTGGTGTGTGTAGGGCCGAGGCTGCGATGCTGATCACTTCGCCTATTACAAACATGTTAATGCAATTGAAAGAATGTGTTTATCTTGCTTACCAGCACTCTCCTTGGGGATTCGACGTTCCACGACGCGTACATGGTGACCCTTGCGATACGCCTCGATGGCAAAACTCAGGCCTGAGATACCAGCGCCAACCACCAGGATAGAAATCCCGGTTTCTTGATCTCGTTCCATCTTCAAGGCTGAAATTGCAACCATCTTGATTACTTCAAATGGATATCTGCGAATGTTAACTCAGTTGATGATGGTTTATTGTGATTTTGGGTGTTCCATTCCTATTTAAACTATCGAGGTATTTAAGACCCCACATATAGCAGTCTATACCTTGAGCATTCTAATGTACCGAAAGCACGCCCGACATACGCCCAGGAGACTCCTTCTGTGTAGCCATCTCGGCGTAGTAAATCCTATAGAGTATCGATTTAATATAGCTCATCATCAAACTCCTTCAACATCAGATGTGCCGAAATCTTTTCAGTCTTCTTCTTCTAATAGTTTTTCTTCTGATACAGAGTAGTTATTCTTCAACAACCTATCTTGCACGATAAGTGACTCTGGAAACCACCGAGATGGCCGTCGAACGCACAGTCCACGATGGATAGATTGATCCGTGTGTCGGGGATCTCGGGTGCACGGAATTCAACGCGAAGGGCAGGTTAGAAGCCATGAACCTCTGCCAGACTCTGCTGGATGCGTCTTTTGCCGTTTCGGGCGGTGAGCGCATTGACCTTTCTTCTTCACAATAGATGTATACCACCGACTGATCTTGGACAAGCAGATCAGTCCTGCGAGACCCACATCGCGATCCATGTTCTTCGGCCCTTTATAATACGCAAAGACCATCGCTGTCCAGAAGGCCCTAGAGTTTGTCCCCCTTGTTATGGCCTGGGATGCATTGGCGTTCACAGACAACCTCCTTACGCAACAATTGTTCATTGTTGTTGGAGTAGAGTTAGCAAATAAAGAGCATGCTAACATGCTCTTTAAACTTCTTAATGGCAAGATGCCTATCACATTGACTTTTACAATAAGGAGGAGTATGATAAACTAAGCATTCACGAGCTAACACTGTGTCGGGTTAGGATTGTGTTCTGAGGGTAATAGCATTGATCCTTGCGGGACCATAAAACCCATTGTATCAACTATCTCTGTCGCATTCACAGCCGCCCACTGATGTCTTGCCATGCCTAACTGTTCTCTACTGATCTGGTAAATCCCTGGTATTTGGCTTCACAAGCACTACAGGCATAGCCCCGTTACATAATGCTCTGACTTCCGTACTCTGTACCTCCAAGTCCGTGACCAAACAGTGGCACCGCAAGGAAGTTCGGTAGATTTTGTGGCCGTAGTGCACAGGCATATCCAATCGCAGATTATTCACGCTGCATTCGTGCATCGGTCCCTGATAGGTGTCTCGTAGAAGTATTGGCGATCAGCTTACAATGCAGCTACTGAACGGATGTATTTTGCGTCCGTGACGCTAATGCAACAATTTCCTGACTAATTAAGCTTACGAACTTTGTGCAAGATGATTGAAAGACTACTGCAAATGCATACGGATCTTTTTTGCTTCCGTTCCACTCATGTAGCATTTTCCGGATTAAGCTTACAAGCGCAGGCCATGACTGAAAGACTCTGTGCATGCAATCACGTGTCCGATGTTCGAAGTATATATCAGGGAATGTGTCCTGTAAATAAACCAGGCATACCATAACTTCTTTACAGCTTAACCCAGCAGAACTGTCTTCTACTCTCAAATCATCCCCCTCTGTCTTCATAATGAGCACCGTTAAAAACGTCGTACTCATTGGCGTAGGTTTCTATGGCAATAAGACATTCGTCCAACGCTTTACTGACTTCTGTCTGTAGAAGGGCTTACTTGGCTCTAGAGCACTCCTGCTCTTGTCGATGCTGGTTTCAAGGTGACTCTTCTTGGTAGATCGGAGAAGAATAAGGAGGGTCTTCCAGCCGGGGTCAGTTTCGGAGTTGTCGACTACAACTCTATCGACAGCCTCGAAGCTGCTTTCCGTGGGCAGGATGCTGTAGTGTCAACTGTCGGTATAGAAGCTGTTTCCGGTCAGAAGTGGATCATCGATGCTGCCATCAAGGCCGGAGTCAAGCGCTTTGTTCCCTCTGACTTCGGAAGCTTGACTACGGACCCGAATGCCGCCCACTTGCCCCAGCATCTAGCTATGGTTGACATACAAAACTACATCAAGGCCAAAGCCAGTGCTGGCTTGATCGAATACACCATCATCTCTATGGGAGCTTTCACCGAGTTTCTAGCGTCCGATATCCTCATCGACTGGCAACACAAACGTGCAGAGATATGGGGCGACGGTCACGCTCGTATTAGCACCACGAGCTTGTCTGCAACTGGCAAGGCTATTGCTGGTGCCTTGAAGAACCTAGAGGCGACAAAGAACCGCAACATCTTCGTCCACGAGTTCGCAGTGTCGCAGCGACAATACTTGGATATGGCCAAAAAGTACGCAAAGCCAGAGACGAAGTGGTCTGTGACCAAAGTCGAGGATTCAGAGGCTGAACTGGAGAAGAGGATAGCCGTGTTCAAGGAAAAGGGTGACAGGGAGAGCATTTACCCTCTCTTGATAGGTTCGTTTCTGAGTGGGAAGTACAATTCACACTACAAGCATACCGACAACTCACTTGTCGGATTGGAAGAGCTTAGTGAAGCTGAGTTTGAGGCCAAGGTAGCGAATGCATGCAGCTAAATCTATAGAAAACAATCCACTATAGTACCGGGCATAAGTTTTGTGGATCGAGAACCAGAACAAGGGGACTCGGTTGTTACATTCAGGCCAACTGAGCTCCAACTTATCGTAGTCAACAATCAAGGCTCAGTACTTTGTGTGACCACCCTGAACTGCCTCTGCCTGCCATCTCTGTCTGCCAGTGGTCTCTCATTGTACTCATGGCCGAATGCCTCTCACTTAGCTTGAGAGTTACTTATGTAGTCAAACTTGGGATGAAGCTCATGGAGCTTCTTTTCAAGGGCCCACCAAGGGTGCTCAATCGGGTTAAGGTCTGGAGAATGTGGTGGCTAGTTGACAGTAGCAACCCCATGAACCACCAATCATTCTGTGCAGGCACGCGCAGTGTGGACAAGGGCGTTGTCCTGCATAAACCACTCGCCTGGTCTGTAATAAGGTAACATCCCTTCTTCCAATGCTAATAGGTAACTTCAAGCCGTATACCCACGCCGTGCAGCTGCCCCATTCCTAGTCATGATAACCAGAGGAGTACGCCAATCTTGAGCCCCTGGTCAACGAAATCGATCCCCACACATGTGAGCAGATTGGCGAGCAGTATTCACCTCCTCCACCATATCGTGAGATTGTTTCTCGTCTGCTAATCGCCATACCTAGGTGGTGTTGTAGCCAGACCCACGTGCTTCGCTGCACCCGTCGCTGGACCTAAGCACGCGCCTGCCCCAGTTGAAGCCATTGCCAAGCGTGAGCAAGAATCAGACAAACTTTAGCTCTATGCCTACTGGTTTTCGGTCTACGCTTCGCTCTAAACTTGCGTAGGCATGCTTTCCCTTAAGCTCGCGTAGGCCTTCGCTGGCCATGGCGCGTTGTTAGGCTTGGCCTTGTCGACCGGGTGTCGCCATGACGTCTTAGGGACAGTGGGAGCTACTTCTAAGTATTGGCTAGTCGAAAGCCGTCTTGAGCATTTTACGTGCGTTGAACCACGTTGATTTCGCCGGACTAATAACAAGCTTTCTTACGACGAAGCAACAAGTTACCTAAAGTGTAGAGAGAAGATTGAATGTACAAGACTTTAGAGACTCAGGTACAAATACACCGTAGACTCCATCTGTTAGATCAGGCTCAATTATGTCACAAAGTACCAATGATGCTTCAACACGCAATATAGAGATGTTACTCAAGAGTCCCTGCGCAAGATACAAGAAGTCGCTGACTCGTAGCAACTTTAGACGTACTGACTGGAAGAGCGAGTAAGTGGGAGATGTCTTTCAGTATCTTGAAATAGAGTGCAATACTTACCTCGAGCTGTGCCCGTGTCGCATCATCGGGCATTACTTGTCCTAGAACCAAATTCTGCTCGCTGGCCTTGTGAGCATCGACAGCACATACTGCGGTCTGGTGGAGCCTCAAGCATCCGTCTAGCAGCTTTTGAACATCATTCCCATCTCCTTGAAGTCGTTCCAAGAACTGTATGACTTCCCCTATGGTCCCCACATCTGACTCCGCTAGATGTGCAGCAGGATCTGCGAGGATCGTAGACAACAATATTAGGGCTGCCGAGACAGGGTAGCACAGAATACCCCTTCGTAGGTAATTAGCAGATGATTTGGAAAAGAGAGAAACATCTATACCAGAGATTCGAGAACGGCTGAAGTGGCAATTGGCGCAGCACGCCAATAGTTGCACGAGCCGTGGCCGCGCACATAGCCCTGGCAAGTTTTCCACTTAGATAGTTTTGGTTGGCTTCTAGATTGGTGTCTCTGGCCGAGTCGGAACAATCAGGTTCCAAGATACGGGCTACAGCCATGTGGACTCTGGCCAAGGAGCTGTAGTACGTGAAATGCAAGAAGGCGAGGAGCATGTCAAGTGGGTTTTCACAGGATACTCCTCCCGGCTGCATCTGTTCAGGGAGGCTATTCTTCCACGTCTGGAGCTCTTGGTGCATCGCTGCAACGTCGTCGAGGAGATCGATACTCCTCTTTTGCATAAACTTGTCCGACATCAACAGCGTATGTATCTTCGACTGGATAACAGCAAGTCTCACCCTCTGTTGGGAAATCCCGTTTGAACTTTGCCCGTCAAGACTTGTACGGTCGCAATAGCCGTCGATCTGCTCGCCTTTGCGCAATTCTGCGTGTACATCGCCATTTTGTAACAGCGAGGGCAAGCCATATTTGTGCATCATCTCGACATCAAGGATGTAAACTGTCCAGAAGATGTGTCGATACTGCGCCGATTCGACGGGATCTGTAGAAAGATAGTAGCCCCTCCGCTGCATGCCAAGTCCATGTGCTAGGCGAGCCGCGGCTGCTATCAGTTGCGAAGTGGTTCGGGCATCGGCCGAAGCCAGCATAAACATGGCCATCGCCAGCAGCGCTTCACAGGCCGATAGTTCGGCTGCCTGAACTACGAGCTCTGGAAGCACAGCAAACGAATTCTTGAAATACGTCCAGGCAGTTGGAAATATACCCTGGAATGAATTGCAGGTCGTGCTTTGCAGCATGGCGCTGGCCAAGAACGAATTAACAACGGCCCATCTAGAGGGGTCGTCTACACAGTTGCCAGAGCCGGCTGTATATTGCTGATTGAGCAAGCTCAGTAACGACTTTGCTGTAAAAAGTGTCCTGTGGAGCTGAGATTGCTCCACTAATAGCTGTACCAGTTCTGCTGTAAGGTGCTTGGCAGGAAGAGGCGTCATCATTCTCCTGTGGACATGACTGCCATCCATATCAGCTTGAACTTGTTGGACCGGCACAACCAAATTTGCGCAGTTCAAGGTTCCGGACAGGACAGGGGTATTGTCACTTCTAGTCCGGCCCCTAGAATCCGAAAGGTTGTTCGTCACGGAAGCGATGGCGTCGTGACCTGCGCACTATCTTTAGGACAATACAAGTCTTGTGAAATTGTTTGGGTGCTCACCCTGCGACCTCCCTAGAGAGTTCCTGCCACTATGAGGCTCATCATGTCCATTCGCTTCATCTTCGGAGACAAGCAGCTGCGGAGGCTGTTTACGTAAACGACCCTCGATTCTCTTAAGCCGGTCCTCGAGAATCTGCACGTGTTCCTTCCTGCAAAAAGTAAGTGCGCTGCATTTGTAATCCTGACCGTCCACTGCTTACTTCTTCCCTGGTCCTCGACGTCTCCGCTCCGTGTAGACACAGGTCAAGTTTAGTCTCGCGCATAGGTCGCAGGAAGGCATTGCCCCACTGCACCGCTGCTTCCGTTTCTGACAGTGCAAGCATGCCTAGAGTGTATGGTTGTATGAGCGTCCCGATATCCTGGAAGCAGTATAGAGAGAAGCACTTGCCATGAAGGTCCGTTTGCAATTGCTCCTGTCAGCCATAGAAGCAACATCTAGATTGTCTTCCCCCACTCTGCCGTTAATAACGCAAGGATCGTCGAGAATGTGATTGCGAGATGCGTCACTTTCGACAAATTTGTCAATGATACCTTAAACATTGGCCTGATACATACCAATAGTATATGCTGTAGTTTAGCAGCCAGTGCGCTGTGTTTTGCCTCCGCCCAAATTCTGCTGCTTATGTAGATCAATGTCGGGCATTACATATCCGTCACATTACATACGCAAGGCTAAGGGCGGAAGTAATTTGCATCCGAGCCTAACGTCAACTAGTGCACACAAGCGAGTGGACTACGGCAATATTTACCGTGTCCGTACGCGTGATACACAGATTCGCCGAACCACCAAAACACCTCTACCATCTCAGCACTACTACAACACAACGCGATAGGCTTAGAAGAAACCCTCACAGTGGTAATACTTTCACATCTGAAAATGCATTTGATTATAATAGTCCATGGTCTAAATGGGAGGATGCATGCTGTTTTGCGGTCAACGTCGACGCGCACAGGTCAGGGTTATTCTCCATCGCCTACAGGCTGGACCAACAACGATATAGGCCTTGCATGGCTTCAACAGGTTTTGATCGTGCCGCCAAGACCAAGGCATAGAGACAGTGGCGCCTCCTAAGCCTTGACGGCTAGCGACGATGGACTTCATCGATCACTGTGATCAACTGGCCGCAGACTGTTGGCACTGAAACTTTCTGCTACTCACGATAGATTCGACAACGAGGTGCTTAAGTACTGCAGGCCAAGCGTTGTAATGACATGAACTATAATAGTGATCGCGACGACCCTAACCCTGAGATGTTAGCATCCAGCCTGAAACAACTTTATAATCCGGCGCAAAAAGGCCAAGCGGACACAAATTGTATCCGCTTTGATTATTGTGACGAGAACAGAACACCACAACATAACTAAGCAACAGTTGCCAAGGGATGTAATATTCGAATGTAATACGCATGCTGTCTAACCAAGCTGTAGTTGGGCCATTCATCACTAGTTGCGGACGTAGATTCTCGGGCAAACTCAATATCAATTGCAGAAGGTAATTTCAAACCCAATAAGATTATATAAAAGGAAACGCTCCCTTAGCACTGGTTTATGCTCTACTACCAACTCTACCAGTGTTATTTATAATGTACACGCAACTCAAATCGTTCTTTGTAGTCTCTACGACTCTGATCTCTCTTACTGCTTGCGCCCTGAATGAAAAGGGTTCTAATAGTCGCAACTCCAAATGTCCACAGTTTAGCGGTAACTTTACAATCTCAGCCTATCAGTTATACCCAGAAAATGCGGACTTCGACTTTAACTCATGTGTCTTGTATACAGGGTGTGTTCATCAAATTCGAACTCAATTAGCATCAAACACATGTTTGTAAGCTAACATAGACTCTAGAAACCTCTGGAACGCCTCTGTCGGAATCTATGATCCCTATACAACCGCCTATGAATCTATCGAGTTTGAAAATATCACCGGCAATCCTGATTTCTTTATCGGAGGGGTGAAAATGAATCACCGTACGAATCTGCTGTCCGTTACCGCCTACGCCAACAAAGCTTTCGGCACTGAAGGACAAGACCTGTCTGGAACCAATTATGTTATGCAGTGGAATCCGTCTACACGTCAGCTACACTACAAGCATAATCTCACCGCCACTACACAGGGCCGGTTTAGCGGCCTCCAAGATGTCGCGCATGATCCAGCGAACAATGTGTATGTCATTGGCACATACCCAAGCAGCATCGTGAGAGTCGACCCGAAAGGGAAAAAGGCGCAGACCTGGTATCTGGAAGATAGACTGGACAAAGTGATTGCTGGTTATTCTGGAGTGGCCACCAAAGACTGGACTCTTATAGCAAACGACGAAGCAACAGGTAGTCTATACCGTTTCGACATGCGTGCCAAGAAGGGAATTCCAGTTCGGATCGAGGTCACTCCTCCTCACGAAATTGGCCTGACGGATGGTATCCAACTACCTCCGAAATACAATGGCACTGTTCTTGTAGTCGCAGAGCGCACATTGGGTGCCTCCGTGTACAGAAGTCGCAAAAGAGATTGGAAGAAAGCGGAGTACCTCGGGATCGTGCCTTGGTTCAGCACAGATAGAAACGTCACAAAGGCTTTGCAGGTTGGGGATGCCGTGTTCTTCAATCTAACACCCTTTGGGGATACAGGGATTGGTGGGCCTAGGTCTGCTGGAAATCGCACTGACTTTTTCTACATGGATATTACGGGGGAAATTGATGCTCTATTAAGGAGATAAAGTTGTAGAATTAACAAAGTTGGGTATAGAGTTTAGTCCTTTGTTCACATAATACTCAGTGTGCTCTCGATCTCTGTACACTCTTAAGAGAGCGTAAGATAAGAAGAGAGTATATTATGCTCGCCCTGCTTCTTCACTAACAGAAGATTAAGAGAGTAGTATCAACGTACCTCACGGGCAAATTGCTTACCCGGGCGCGCTGCTCACTTTGCACCGAACTTCATACAAGTTGTAAGGTGTGATGCCTCAATGTAACAACGCTGGAAAGCTCTCAAACGAGACAGTTATACAGCTTGCAGTCCAGGCTATCCAATACGATGCAACGCTACCACAACGACATGCTTCTGTCATCTACCATATATATGTAGAATACTTCGACTGAAGCTAGTGCCAGGACTGAACAGCTATGCAACCTTGTTTGTATTCTAGAGACGCCCACATGAGCTCTTTCAGCCAGCTTTTCGTTCTTGCGTCTCTCGACTGCAAGCTCATGCTTCAATGTCCGGATCTGGCGCATCAAGTCGAGGCGCTCCCTTCGGTAGTTCTGCTGCATGCTGACGACGGTTGTGTTCCGTGCGAACAGGCGCTGGCCGACAGCCGCTGGCGAACAGCGTGGAAAGTAAGGCACACCTGCTTGTCTGTAGCTCGCTGTCGTCAAGCTACTAAGGCGCAGCTTGAGGGCTGCAACAACGCCAATAATAGCATTGTTCAACAATGCAAGCATCACCTCGATCAGCTTCTTCATCAATCTCGCAAGCATGGGCGAAGCAGTACGCGCCGTGGGCACTAGCCATCATCTTCTTCGTCTGCCTCGTTCTGATGTCGATTTCAGGATGGGGTTTCAAGGGCACACTGAGCGACGACCTCTACTTTTTCAAAGTCAAATTCACCGAACTCGATATGATGGCGTCCGACCTACCAAACGACGACTTGACAGCCGCACTCAAGTACTCCGCCGAAAGCAGCAAGCTCGCACGGGTCTATGAAGTCCACCTTTACAACTTCTGCCAGCGCAACCACGCCGAGCGGGTTGTCACTTATTGCCCACCAAGGGTGGGGGATTACCATTTCGATCCCATCATTATTCGGAGTCTGATCATGCCCATGAGCGCAGGCGCTGAATAACACAGTCCCACGACAAAGGAGGATAAGAACAAGCTTCTGGGTGAGGCGGCGCAAAAAGCGCTAGATGCATAGCGCGGACGGGCGCTTCCGATGTTCATTTTCTACCAGGTCTCGTTTTGGGCTACTCTAGTGACTATCTTATCTGGTATGCTTGCCGTGTACAGCCGTTTCGGGAGTTTCCTGACTTAGATTCTCAGCATCGTACGTCTCAAGTCTCTTTCCTGCAACACACTCGACGTTGACGATCGTGATACAGATCTCTTCGGTCTCCACCGTCGCCGCTGTGCTCATCAGCACAGCAACCTTCTCCGCTTTCGTCAGAGCGATGAACGAGATCCTTCAGCACTACCGTGTTTATCTGACCGTGGGCACGCATGAACTTGTGATTGCTTGGCTCGCTGTGCTGTGCGGCTGGGCCAGCACATCCTTCTGGCTGTTCAGCGCCTGCAGCTGCCCCAGCCGCAATGATCCACATCATCGTTCGAACAAAGGCGGACTATGGTCCTCACCGCCAAGTAACTACGGCCGCCGCAGTCGTGTGCTCGTGGAAAAGACTGGCGGTTTGTATGAGGGTGTCTTAAATCCTTTCTTGGCGGAGGACAAGGATCCGTTGGTGACGGAGTACAAAGGTCCTGCGAGTGGTAAGTTCGAGCCATATATGCATCGCAACAGCGAGTAAGGTAAGCGGCAGAAAGGGCGGAGGAAGCTTTCTTGGACCCTGCGGCTGTCTGGGCGCATGTTGTGTAACTGTGTTATATACGGAGCTCCTCGAGCTACATTGAGACTGAACAACGCCCACCGGACGTTGTTGAATACCATCATGGACGCAATGAATGATCGAGCCAAGATTCTTAGAAAAGTAGAAGATTGCCCATACTATTGAGGTTACCCGCTGGGGGGAATACAAAGCCGGGCTCAATGATTTACAAACACTTTGTTATAACCTTCCATAATCTGCGTTAGTCTAGCTAGAAAGATGATACAGAGGGATAGCTTCGGTTTTCATAGCATTTAGGGATTCATCCATCAGTACAATTTTGTCCGTAGCACATGTCATTTCGCTGACGCACATATCCATGAACAGGTAGATGGGTAGACTCCTTCATGACGCACACAAAACGTCACTTCGGCATCCAAAATAAATTTTCGAACAGTTCCCTCTCCGGATTGCCGTGCTGATTGAACTCCGGCGTGAAGAAGGCCGCATTCCCATCCGTGTGAAGCAGATCAAAATCGAAAGGATACATGTCCATGGAAGTATCATCTGACATACCAGTCACCGCCGGGTCATGGATGCTTGGTCCAGCATGTAGGCCGAGTTCTCGGGTCTGCGGCCTCGCTCGTTGTTCGACACCACCATGTTGTGTCCACTGTGCGGTGCGGGAACGTGACAAACCTCCTAGTCTGGAGTACCAATTGACAAACCCTTCATAACCACCTTCTTCTACTAGGTCTTCTGCTGCTGCGACTTTTGGTCCGGTAGTTGTCGGATCGAATACGTGAAGTCGATGCAATGCCGATTCCAGCGTCTCCAGCAAATGAACTTCTGACCGAGCGGAATCTCCCACAGAAGCCATCTCTCTAATTGCATCCAGACCTCTTTGCAAAGTGCTCGCAAACTCGTTCGTACGATAGCAGACACTGTAGGCGATCAAGACCAGTAGTGACGCCCGGCAAGAGCTGTATTCAGTGTAGGATGACTTTGCAAGGCCAAGGCCGCCAGTTTGCAGATCGTGGCAGACACTGATCACTTCTCTTGCTGCCGCTACACAGTCCTGGACCAGAAAGTCCCATTGCATATGCGACTCCGCTGTCTTTGTTCGTGATGCTTCGGACGCTTGCGGAGAAATGTCATTCGGACGCCTCTGACGATGGGCAAGAATGAAGGGTCGACCAATGAACATGTGCAGCAGACAACATTCCAGCCGAGAATGTATCTCCGCGCGAGACAACGATCGCTCTTCTCGATTTACTGTTGACGGCGATTGGCCATCCCTACAAGGTGGCACCCATGATCCTCGCAGGTTCGTCTTCATGAGCTTGATTCGGCTCAAGATAGTCCCGACTTCAGATCTCTCGCACGTTCGGAGACGCGATCTAGATCACAGTCAATTCGGTTTCTGCTACCTCGGCCCTTTTTGAAAAAGTCTGAGCAAGAACTCACATCTCTTGAAGGAACGCCTCGGCGTGACGTGTCAGATCGATCGACTCTAAAAGTCCGGAAGTATCGAAAGAATCATTGCTTATATTACCACCCTCAACACTTTGCGGAATATCTGCATCGATATCGGAGCGGTTTATGGAAGCCGGACGTCCATGGTAAACTCCAATCTTCCTGATGCAGGCCTATGAGCATGACGACTAGTGTAGGGACTGAATGCCAAAACTCACCTTTCCATACAATAGGCTGTCCACCAAATGCGACGTCTAAATTCTTTGTTCTTGGCATCAATGGCACTACGAGAGACCTTGCGATGCATGCCGTTTTGTATAGCAACTTTGACGGCCAGGTTCAAGTAGATGTAACTCAAACCAGAGGCATCAATGGGTAGACAGTATAGGCCAAGGAGGAGGAAGACCTGGACACTCAGGAGCGAGCCAGAATGAATGACTTCCGATAAGAGCTTCGCTACCTGACGATAGAATGATGTTCCAATGTCAAGCTCCCAGCTGTTCGGTGCCTCGGAACTTGACGAAACACTAGAGATGCGTCTACTGTTCTTGTCTGGAGATTCCAAATGGACGTATTGGGTTCCGACTGCGAGGACCATCAGTACCAGGCATGACGGGGTAACGTCTTTCGAACGTAGTCCGGCCACGTTTGTGTATATACGGTCCAGAATTCCGTCAAGCCAGCCTCGATCTATATAGTAGTAGAAACTTGTGGAGTGCTTGAAGAAGACATTGATCAGAAACGTAGCTACCGAGCGAGGTGGAAGGATGGCAACGATGTCAGAGATGGAGGTGGAGCCCGGGTCGGCCACTCCGACGCGGATGAAGTCTGGCACTTGGTTGGCATTATCTATGCTCTAGAAGGCAATGTTAGTGAGAACCTACCACAATGCTACGATATGGAAACACTACCAGAACTGAGGATCAGTACATACCGGCACATTAGATCTGGCCATCAAATCATCTATGTTGCGTTTGATGTGCATGGAGAAGTTCCAGTGAGAGAACTCACCAGAGTAGTCTGCATTACGACAAGAAGGATTGTCAGTGACGCCACTGGTGGTGGAGTGGTGAAAAAGAAACTTACGGACTGTAGTGTCATCCACCGAGTCAATAGTGCAATTTTCATCTTCAATGCCTGAACTTTCAGACGGTTGCGCATTTATAGACAGATCTAGCAACTCTGCCGCTGGCTCGCTCCGGTCATTCTGCGTAGACAGGGTATCGCACGTACGTCGCAGAGACTCGATGTCGAGAGCGAGATCGGGGAAGTGGTGCTTAAGGATGAACCCCATACATCTCAGTCGGTCCATCAAATCCTTTACTGAGCCAGCAGAGTCGGGTGCTCGCTTATCAGTTGTGGCAGGCTGACGATTGAATTCACATGGACGGCGTAGATGGTGACAACGTCTACAGGGCATACCACCCTCGCATTTTTCTTTCAGACGGCGACATTCTACACAACTGCGCGACAGGTGTCAGTCGAGATCATGTCTAGTATACATGGCAGGACACAGCGTCTTACGCGCGGATCGCTCGCTGTCGCTCTTCCGCAGCCAAATGACGCCGTTTGGCGGGCCTTGCGTGCTCAACGTCCATGACACAATGGGCAGGAGCTGGTCGGGGCTGGCGGGGTCATCGATGAACTGTCTGGTGGATGGTCTGAAGATGTGGGGACAAGCCGGCGCGGTTCACGCACAGCGACCGGCCCGGTCAACCAGCACGTGACTGTGACTGAAGAAGCACCGACATATCGTATAGCACTACCTTACAATCTCGTGCAGTTGCTATGGATAAGACCTGATTTCCTCCATCGTGAATACATACACAATTACACATACACACGCCATCCTTGTTGAAGAAGTACTCATGCAGGACGGTCGTCCTGATCTCAAAGCTGGGGCGAGTCTGCTAGATGCTAACTCTGATGGGACTAGCGGATCTTAGCGCACGAAGCTGATTTATCTATCACCGGCGTAGCTCCGCTACATCTCATTGCTACGAAACAAATGCCCTGTGAACGGTCAGTGGGCGCGGGTGATGTTCTCGCGGACTTTGTTGGATGGTGATAGCCCCGAGACCTCATAGCCTGCTGATTAACACCTTTGGCGTACAGACCGACCCAGACAGCGGCACTCCCTTCACTACCTGTCCCGCGACCGATGTGTCCGACGTTGATGGTTGTGTTGAGTCGTCGCAAGCTGCCTTCGAGATATCCCGCGAAATGCATCCTCGCCAACGAGCAAAGCGACTTCTTACCTGGCACCATCACTTCGAAGAGAACAAGCGGGACATTGCGAAGATCGTCGTATGTGAGTCTGGCAAGCCCTTGGCTGAAGCTGTAGGAGAGCTTGAGCACCTTGGTTCGGGTTTCACATGGTAGATTGTCGGAGAAGCAGAGGGAATACGAGCCTCCGTGGTACAACTATATGTCTCCAATTGCCGCGTGCTGGTGATCAAACACTATTGCTGTCGCCGTTGCCATCGTCCTTTGGCACTTTCACGTCCGCATTCACGCGCAAAGCGGCTGCTGCACTCGCAGCTGGCAACTCTACGATCGTCAACCCTCAGTCGAGACACCACTCAGCATCATTACCCTGGTCGAACTTGCCCAGCGAGCTGCCCTCGCCGATGGTGTTTTGAACGTCCTGACGACGGACCTGCGAGACGCCCTGTAAGCACAATTTGATACGCAAGATCACTCTTACTGGAAGCACAGCCGTCGGGGCGTCTGATAGCGCGACACCGCAGCTATGTACTGGAGAAGATTACCTTGGTACTTAGTAGCAACTATCCCTTTCTCGTGTTTGGTGACGGCGACTCAATCACCGCTCTCGACGTTCTAATGGTCTTTAGGTGGAGGCCAGCCGACCAAGTATGCAGACAAGCCAATGGCACCTACGTGCAGAATGGTGTCCTCGAAAAGCTCGAGGAAATGCTCCTTTATGCTGTATCGAAGATCCGTGTTGGCCACGGCTCACAATCGGGTACCACCATGGGCCGTCGACCATGTCACGGGGCATTGAGAAGCTGGAGGGGCTCATGAAGGACGCTTGTAGCAAGGGCGCGTCTTCAAGACTGGCGGTCGACCGCCCCCAGCTCTCCCCAAGGGGAACTTCTTCGAATCCACTGTCATCTCGGTGATCACAAGCGACATTCTTGCTTTCAAAGAGGAAATCTTCGGTCCATTGCTTTGCTTTTATTGCTTCAAAACTGAGGACGAAGCAGTCAATAATGCCAACGCGACATCGATGGATCGTGCGTCCTATTTCTAGACAAGAGACGTGAATAGGACTTGGTGTCTGCCAGAACGTCTGGTGACTTGCGTGATCAGCCAGAACTCAGGGTCATGCATATATGATATTCCTTCTTACCCTAACGGCAGATGGTTTGATTCATACGCTCCTTTTGAATCATTGCGACTTCTCTACAATCTGTCGTGCCATCTCCTCCAGGCCCCCGGCCACAATCTCCAACTTCGCATCACTAAAAACATCAAGACAAGCCTCTTTCTCATACACCGAACTCCACGCGCCGCGGAACCCAACCTTTGTCGCCGCAGCAACATCCCACATGTGCGCCGCCGCAAACCACTTCACATCGTCCTTCCCCAGTCGCTTCCACACGGTTTCGTACGCGGACAAAGCCGGTTTCGCCACGCCACCTACATCACAGCTGATGAAGTTCTCCAGCGGCATGTCCACGTTCGCACGCTCAAAGTAGCCTCGCACGCGCTGCACGTCGCCGGTCGTAAAACACCAGACCGTAAACCCATTGTCGCGCAGCAATTGGAAAGTCTCGCGACATCCTGGTCGCAGCTCCAGCGCTCCGTAGCCCTCAATGCATTTCTCGCGCTCCTCGTCGGTAGCCAGCGCCCGCGGATCCGCAACGCCGGACAGGCTTAGCGTGCGGTAGAACAGCCCCCGTAAAACCTCTTTGTAGGGCTTGTAACTGCCGGAAATAGACAGAAATGTGAATTCTAACTCTGCGGCTGTTTGCCAGGTAAAGCCAAAGTGTTGGGGGGTTATTGTGTGTTGGCGCAGTCTTGCGCCGAGGACTGAGTCGAGGCATGAGTAATACGCGTCGAATGAGACACAGGTGCCGACGACGTCGAAGACAACATGTTTCTGAGGTTGAGGCATTGTGGTCGTGTGGTGGATGGGGATGCGGAACTGTTGATCTTGAGTGTTAATCTTGTTTACCTACTTTAGTGGTTATCATCCGTCGGTAATCGTAAGAGGAGCCCCGCTTGGACCACCACCGTTGTCTGTGGACCGGGCCGGTCGCCGGAGACGCTTATCTCATGATCCTCAACATCGCGAGTCCGCTATCCGGCCGATGTAGTCATGGCACGATATCTTTCTGCACATATCCTGCTGAAAACATCGCTAGGAGAACGTAGCCTTCCCCAAGTATCCCGTTGAGTCCTTGCGTTCCAACGTGTCCCACAATGGTCTTGCCAAAAGCCAACCCCACCAAATCCTTCTGGATCGAGGCTGCTGAATCGCCACTGCGGAACTTTCGTTCCAGCGAATATTTACCAGAGGAGACAGATGTAGTAATTGTTGGCAGTGGTTATGCAGGTGCAGCAACTGCTTATTGGATCCACAAAGTTCGCACCAAGATCACTCTGACCAATCAGCGCACAGATTCTGACATAAGCTCAGTATACAGAGAAAGCTTCGAAGCAGCCTACAATAACCCTTCTAGAAGCACGAGATATCTGCGGATCTGCTACCGGAAGAAATGGTAATAATCGATGTTTGTGTGTGGAACTAGCTAATTGTGCGCAGGGGGCCAATTGAGACCACATGCTTATTCTCGTTATCCGCCATGGTCGGAAAGATTTGGACCTAATGGCGCGATGGAGCTTATTGCACATGAGATGGCCCATTTACCGGCATTCAAGGACCTGGCTGCTGAAGAGGGTATCACTGAAGAAGTGTGCCTCAAATTCGGCGAGACTTTTGATGCTGCCATGACCGACGAAGCCTGGGCACGACTCAAAGGCGCTTTGGAAGCTATGCGCAAAGACCATGGCGTCGACCATGAAATCGTCAAAGCCTGCAGGATCATTGATGACGCCCAGGAAGCAGAAGAGTTTTCACAGATGAAGGGAGCTCTTGCAGCAATCGTGCACCCTTCGGGGCAAATGTATGTTGTCCGTACTGACAAGCTTGCCTGGAAGATTGTCTGACCAAGACTTAGATATGCATACAAGTTTGTGCATGAACTTCTGCGCATTGTTCTGGAGAAGGGTAATCTTAATTTGCAGGCGCACACACCAGCCTCAAGTATATCCGAGCGGGATGCCAACGGTTGGATCACGGTCAAGACCGGTCGAGGGACTATGCGTACCAGGGCAGTAGTTCATACGACGAACAGATGGGCTTCTCATCTTCTACCAGAATTCGAAAAGCTCATAATGCCCGTCCGAGGAACTGTGGCTGCGATCAAGGCACCCGCAGGGTTTATAAAGCACACGGGTGCTCAGCACTGGGATAATCGCGTGAATGTAAGGATTGATATGGCACGATTCATGGTTTTATGATTGATGATGATTGCAGAACTATCATCTCCAGCTCCCAGCGCCGTATAACACCATCCTCATAGGAGGAGCAAGACAACTCCTCGTCCACAAAGCCGACGACTGCGTTCTGAACGACGAAGAAGACAAGCCCATGACTGGTGTAGCAGAGTTTTTCAAGTCTTGGCCCGCCTCAGATGTCACAGATTGGCCAGGCTCAAGCTGTGCAGAGCTTGGTTTGAAAGACGACCAAGGCGGCTCTTGGACTGGAAGTAAGTCAACTTCCAACTGAAAGTAACAAGTTAATTAAGTGGATCACAGTTGAAACTTCAAGTGCAGATGGTTTTCCATTTGTCGGACCTGTCCCAAACCGTGACGGCCACTTCATCGCCGCGGGCTTCGCTGGACACGGTACGCATCCAATCTTGAGGACTGAACCAGAAGAAAACTGATTTTGATAGGCATGCCTCGAATTTTACTCTCAGCTGATCATGTTGCGCCCCTTGTATTAGAGTCTATCGGCGCCGAGTTCAGCCAACCACTGCTCGCTACCGCATATCCTCCCTTGCCCCAGCCGTTTCGTACTACTCCTGAACGGGTTGCAGCGCTTCAGGGTACAGATTTTGCTGTGATCGTTGACGACTACAGAAGAGGCTGCGCGGAGAGTGCGAAAAAGCCTTTTTGTAACATTTCGAGAGTTAGTTTAAAGGCTTGAGGGGTTGAAGTGTTTCGGCTAGGGTCAGCTGAGGTTGACAAGCGTGGTGCAATGCGTAGATCTCAACGTGATAGCTTGTAGGCAGCGACGCAGCGGTCCTTACACAAGGGCTTATTGTATTCACAGTACTGCTAGAAAAATGAGCAGCTCCTGCTGTGAGGATGGAATGCAATCTTATTGTTGCCTCAACGTCTCAAAGCTCGAACAATCCACCAATGAGAAGCGTACTGGCTTCAGGGAAGGATCTCAGGTCACTATGTGACGGCTAGAGTAGAGCTTTTGTCTGAGATTCTGCCCATCTGAGGCCGTGGGATCTCGAGGTGTTGGTGAGGAGCACTGTGCGCCTGTTTGGAGCTTCCGCTAAGCGTCGACGCCCCGACTAGTCTTTGGGTAAGCCCTGACGCATGTCACAGCAGCTATGACTAGACTTACAGAGCCTGTCTAGACAATGAGTGGGGTAACTTTGATGATCCACGTAAAATGGTTATACATGTTTTGTGCCAACTGAGATTTTAGGCAACTATGCAGGAGCACTTGCATGGTGAAACAACAAAGAGCAAATTGGTAATGACAGATCAAAGTATCAGGACGGTACCGATATCCAAGATCCAGATGATTATCATCATATTCTGAATGACGCAACGCTGGCAATGCACTTATGCCAGCTCGCCATGCTGGTGTTCTTTAGCCGAAAATCCGAAGGCATGATCGACCAGCCCATCAGGACCCAGCACTGTATCGACAAAGTCTTTGCTATCTTCTCCAATTGAGATGCCATGAACAGCAATATCCTATCCATCTCATTGGCTGCGTGAGCAACGATCGATCGCGAGCCGTCGTCCTTCGTGTCATTTCCAAGACAGAGAAGATGAGCTCGTTGCGATCTTTCACTTGTTGCAAACTAGTCATTGTATTATTGTGCCTCCTTTTATATAGCTGGGAATAGGGTTCTGTCGTATAGGTTAAGGTAGTGTGGAAAGCTAGAAAATATGGTGACTGATCAGGTGCGAGAATAGATAATCAGAGTCTTCTGTTGAGGTATTTATCGAACAGGCAGGTACCTATAGTAAATTTAATCACATTCGCCAGTCGCCTTTTAAATTAATCCCTTGCATTTCTACAAAGCTTCTCCATGTTGATCATGTCTTGATCCGCTCAAACAGTGAACCAATTTTCTCAATCAACATTTTGGCTAACCTCTAGTAATATAGTATCATTATCTCATCGTATATATAGTGATAGAGATGTCTAGGCCGAAGTATCGCGTAGCTGTCGCGTATCCCTAAGCTGCTGGAACCGGCCGTTGCTATCTCGAATCTCCAAGCTTGCCATATCTCTTGACACCAGCGCAGGCAGATGCACATCGACGTTCTGAACCATGTCGTCCCACTGCCTTGCACTCTTATTCAGCACAATGCGCAGTTTGTTGTCACCAGCTTGTGGGACACGAACGTCAACAGAGCTCGCGCCCAGCGTGTCCCACGCCGGAAGTCGAGTCAGTCGGAGAACCTCGTCCTTCGTCTCTCGCTTGGAATCATCATCCGAGCTTGACCACTGGCGGATTGTGATCTGGTTGCTTGCATGAACTATGCTCGTGCCGCTGGCGCGGTCGTTAGTAGCGACAGATGTAGTAGGCCGCAGTTGCGTGTGTCGAGACGCGCTTGAAACATGAACAGCTGGGCTGGAAGACTGGGATGTAGTGCTAGAAGGCTTGTTGAACTCTGTTTGTTCCACTACTTGCTTTGTTGACGGGATGATGGAATCAATAGGAATGACTTCCGGGGCAGTTGACGTGCTGGTCTGAATAACGAGATGGTTGCCATCTCGGGAGAAGTGGACGTCCTCTATCGCGTCTTTATTCAAGCTTATCTCTGAAGTCACGTAAACTTCCGAGAGTGTGTTCGACCCTGATTGCAGGTCTCGTCAGCTATACAAGATTCCGATCTTGGACACGAATTGCGAACAGACCTTGAGCAATGTTCCAGAGCATAACACGAGAGGCCAGGCTGACCTTTGGGAAAAAGAAGGCTAGCAGCGAGCCATATGGGTGACAAACTACCTTGGGCTGTGGTGCTTCGCCAATTGGGCAGCAAGCTTCCCTCGCTGTATTCAGGACGCATACCTTCAGCTTTTCTGTTGTATCGATCTTGAACAGAGCGACGTTACTTGGTGCCATGCCATCAATACGGGAGCTCTCTTCGTGATGATCTAGAACCAATAAGTAAGCACCGTGATGTGCAAACGATAGCCAGTGCCTGTAGCGATGTTGGGAGGCAATCGCGGGTCTTCCTTCCGGGGTCCTAGATCGTGCGACGGACTTTGGTAGCATGCGGAATCGTGATAAACCTTCTTTGGACTGGCTTCGTGATATCTGCTCATCTCTAGGCAGCGATTTGGATCGCCTGTGATTTGTGCCTGGCTTCAGCAGGCCGGACATAGATTTTCTGAACCCAAATGTAGCTGTTTCTCGAGTTGTTTGTGGAGCCTCTGACGTATGTAATTCCAGAGCTGGGCCCAACTGAAGCGGAAGTAAGACGGCATGCATCATCGCTTCATTAGGTTGTGTTATTGTAAATGAGTACACCGTCCGGATGATACAGAGCACGCGTATATCGGGGCTGATCGCTGTGGGGAATTGCACTTTCCAGTACGCGTGAGAGAACGATGGGTCATCCTGCCACATCGAACGGTGAACTTGTGAATGAACTTCTTGCGAATCCAACGGTATACAATCATCAGCAATGCATAATGGATCGTCTGCTATTGTCAGCAGATGAGTTTCGTCGAGTATCTGAGCAGCAAGAGGCCATTGGAACCTATATGGCCACGAAGACAGCGTATCAGGTGATTATTTCTGCGTTAATAGCGCTAATATCGATTATAGAGGTGCCCTAGCACTTATTTAGACCTAGCAGTCGTTCTTGTTGCAATGTATAGCGGCAGGAAAACCCACTCGTTCCCTCGAACAGACCGGAGCAAGGAGGCTCATTATAGCGCAACTTCTACTCTTTCTCACACAGCAAAGTCTGTTACCTAATGCGCTCAATAGTTGGTGAGGTAGCGACATCGTAGCTCCTTGCTGTGATTCTGAATTATAATTGGTCATGATATGGCGGTTATTTAAACTAGTCATTGCATGAGCACCAAAGATGTGTGCGCTAGTGCCCACGATACTAGTGACACCCGCACATACTGTGTATCATTCTTAATCTCGTCTTTCGCTTGAGATCGTACAATCGGATTTCGTCCGTTGCTTTCGTGAAGAGTAACTGCCACGGACCACAAGATCACTAAGCTTAATTAGGGCAACATGGGAAATACACTACCTATACGAAGTAGCCAACAAAACGCGCCCTAGAGTCTAGCCGAGATGGGGCTCCTTTGACTACTACGGTGTCATGCATGAGTGTACATAGGTGGAGAATGGTGGCCAGGGCCAATGCGGCTAAAATTTTTACAGCCTTTGATAGGATAGCTCCTGCGCACAGTCAGCACAAGCTTCTCTTCCTATTGGATTGCATAACGTATCAAAAAAACCGTGACTTCGGTCCGTATCTCTGGCTATTGTTCCCCACCTACACTACTTACTGTGTATCGTACAACAGTAGGTCTGTACTGCCTGTACCTTCTGACTAGCGTGTTTCGGTGCTTGGCCAGCAAGCTAACGAGTATAGGTAGGGCCGAACGTATGGAGTCGCTTAAATCGTTCTGGGTATGCAACAGCTACGTACACGTATCAGTGACTATGTCGAACAAGTAAACCTATTAACACGTGCTCTCTGCTAAATGTTCTCTGCGTCTTGTGTGCTCAGCATATCATGATTATGTGCTTAAGGATAGATAAATGCTCATGTGCACATATACACTCAAGTACACGTACAGTTGTACAACGTTAACATCGTACTCCAACGTCGTACAACCGATCACTCCCTCTATCTCGTAACTCGTCCGAGGTAGAAAATCCATACGCAAATGGAGATTCCTTATACAACACATCTCGACCAATAAGATTCTACTTATAGATTCCATAAAATCACCCGAACTGTGCGGGCTTGGGAACCTGACTGAATTGCGACTAAAATCTTCTGCTGAGTCGGACGTAAGGAAACTTTGCGAATCTAGGAGAAGCCGTTGTTGTGACATAATGATGCCGATGGTTGCTACGCAAAAGAAATTCATCGTATACAAAATTTAGGCCTGACGAGCGTAAGCGTGAAGGGCGTTTAGAAGCAGCCGTATGCCAATTAAGACAACTTGTTCACGCAAAAGGCTCGCTCATATTTCATTTGGTACTAGCCAGAGCCTTAAAATACTTGCAGGAGAATCTATCTGACGCACACGAAGCGGACGGTCGCGTGGTCCCTTTACCAAGCACAAGAAATACGATGATCACTGGCTGGCATGAGGATAATTCATCAGGACGCTCATCCTTGAGGCCGCACTAGTGCATTTTCGAGCCAGTTGCTCGTCTAACATGAGGTGTGCTAGGCAGGGGCGCATCACCCACTTGTCGAGATCCCTTGGGTACCACCCTTAATCCCTCGCTTTCGACTTCACTGATTCTCAAGGTTAAATACACACTGAGGCTCTGCAGCAATTCTGCACACCTGTTACAATTTGGGGTTCAGTTTCAGTTTGTTTTTATGCCTTGAACCCACTTGGAGAGTAGGAATCCGAGGGCAATGCCGGACGGACTGTGCGCTGGGGCAACAGCGCAATATCAGCAGTACGGAGCTTTCAATATAGAGCTACGAGTCGGTCCACGATTAATACTGCGCCATCATTGACACGTCATCAATATCTTCAGCCTGTGCCTCTGTTGTGCCTTAAAACACGTTTAATCAATCTAGATATCTATATAAGTCGGGGGACATTATGCAGCAAACGAATACCACACTGGATCTCAAACTATCGGTCAGCATTCAAGGCTTCATTCCAGCCCTACACACCTCCCGAGCTATCTTTTCTTCACCATGCGTTTTTCTTGGATCCCCACCGTCGTACTGTGGTCATCCTTCTTTCGGACGACAGTCGCTCTACCGTCTCCTAGGCCTTCTACAGCGCAGAACGGGCTGCTATTACGTAAAGAGTGGTTGGTAGCCGACCTCGGGAGAGCTGACTTCATCATTGCGCCCGCTGACAACGCGTTCCAGGCGATCCCTCTCTGGGGCTGAGAAGACAGCTTATATCAGTGCCGTCAAGTGTCTCTTAGAAAAGCCACCTGTGACCTCGAAAATCGACCTTCCTGGTGTACAGAACCGCTTTGAGGACTTTCTTGGCGACCACATTCGTCAGGCCGATGCTATGCACTTTGTAGTGAGTACTGAGACAATTTGAAGCCGCTGTGATGTATCACTAACGACTACTCTGAAAGGGCTACTTCTACCCATGGCACCGTCTGTTATTGCGAGCCTATGAACTCGAATTAGCTGCTTGTGGGTATGCAGGGGGTCAGCCTTACTGGGACTGGTCGCTCGATGCCAACTCCTCGGACGACTTTTTCAATTCCCCAATCTTTGACCCCATCACTGGCTTCGGTGGCAACGGTGACTACATTAACGGTACTAAGGAAAATCCTTTGCCTGGCGTAACTTCGACTCTCGGAGATATTCCCGTGGATGTAGAAGATCGAAGTGGGGGAGGGTGCCTCTCAAACGGACCTTTCGCGAATTTATCTATCCACATGGGCCCTGGATTCAACACCTCGTACAATGAGTGGTGCATACGTCGAGATTTTGTGCCCTCAGTTTTCATGGCTGCCGGGCACTCCACAGCAGTGGATGCAGCTATGAGTCATACCACTTTCGGGGCCTTCAGCCAACAATCTGAAGCCACAAATCACGGTGCAGGCCATATTGGAGTTGGTGGACTATATGGGGTCTTGACAGATGTCTGGGCTAGCCGTAAGTGCTTTGCACCTCTGGGATGGAGGGAGAATTTTGCGCTGACTCTTCATATCTAGCTGGAGATCCTCTCTTCTTTCTCCACCATGCGAACATGGATCGACTGTGGTGGTCGTGGCAGCACAAGAATTTGACTGCGAGGCTTACTGACATATCTGGTCCAGTGGTTCCTCACGATTATTCAAATTTAGAAGGGCGAAACGTTACGCTGGATGACGTTGTCTACGTCGGGACAACTGTCAATGTGACAGCTTCTATTCGACAGCTCATGGATATCCGCGGCCCTGCGCTCGGGTACACTTATGCCGATCTATACTAGGAATTTTTTTTCGGACTACAAGATTACACGCCGCATTTGTCGTATCAGCGGTGGCACAGATACGTTAAAACAACCACCCAGAATCCGTCGCCTGGTAGGCAGTAGCTTCCAAGGGTCTTAAATTTCTTCAACCTGGTTCGCGGCTATATTCTTCACATTAAATCACTACTACAGTTAGTGATCTTATTAATAGGTTCAGAATTATATAATTTCAACTGTTGCTAGAATTTAAATAATGTCTGGCTTACTGTTCGAAAGTTCATAGAGACTGCCCAGCTAGTTGGAAGTTGCGCTTCTCGATCCTTGACCACTCTACTCCGCATATCCTGCTTTCTCTGGAGACCTTGAGCTAAAAGGATGTCTGGTATTTGTGTTTCGCGACATTGTGCGCAGTTTGATTCCCGTCGGCCGGCCTAAGTCATCAATAGCGTTGACTCGGACTGTATTTATGTAGCCATTTTTACTGTGTCTTAGCACATGCATTTACTGATTGCCTCATATTTTAGAACGATAATCTCTCTTTTGCTGTTTTGTGTGTGATATGTCTAAGGTTTATAAACTTAGCGGGCAAGTAAACTGTCACGAGCTGGTGCAGGGCTTACTTCGACAGTTGCAGACGAAAATCATTTCGAATCATTTCAGGCGTAACACGCTATCGTACTCGTGAAAGGAGTACGATTGGTGCAAAGTAAGTTTTGTTTACTTATTGATGAAGTGTTGAAATCTTTGTGGGGTATGTTAATCGAGTTTTTCAGGCTTCTTTGAATTCCCAGTTCGCAAAGTCACCAACGATGGATGACCAAGGTCGATAATCCATGCTAGCTCGTAGGAGTCAATCACCATTTCCTCAACCATGTTTGACGAGCAAGACGGGTCATAGTTGTGACCTCACAGACCCTTTTACTTCGTACGTTCCAAAAGAAATCGCGCTTTCACCTTACAGCGTTATGGTATGATTCTTGAAGCGTTGGTAGATTTATTCTTATAGCATCTCAAACTGGAGACAGTGAGTCGCAGCTTTCAAAAATGCTTAAGCTGAAATTTGGGTACATCCAGTAATACCGGTACCGCTAACCCAGGTACGACAAATAGTCAACAATGGTACACTACAACAGTTTTTCGGAATTTTGAGCGCCTATTACAGGCTATTGATTCCTTTCTCACTCCACTACTGCAACGAATGAAAACGGCTTCGTCTTGTTCTGCCGCAGCTGAACTGACAACGAGATCATTGCTTGTACGATCTGCACCTTTCCGCGGACATCGTAAATTAAATGTTGCCATGCTATCGCAAATGCGCACCCACATCCAATCATGGTGGCAACAGACACCTTTGCCAACGACAGCACCGTCTAGCTTCCAGAAGTGGCACACCTTTCATCAAGACCGGTGGAAGCCATTTGTCAGTGGCAAGACTCCTCGGCCTGGCATCAGTCATCAATGGGCAGGCTCTTTCCGTCTTGTGAGTTGGAACGTAAACGCAGATGCACCGTTACCAAAGCTTCGCATAGCTGCACTACTGCAGGCTATCAAACTTGCAGGAGCTGCAGATGTCATCTCCCTACAAGAGGTATCAAGGGAAGCGCTCACAGCAATGCTTGAAGAATCCTGGATACGGCAAGATTGGTACACAAGCGATGCCGATACCTACGCTTTCGCAAACCAAAAGTTCATTAGCATCACCCTGATGTCCAAGCTCTGGGTAGCCAAAGAGAACATTCTGCTCGGCGCTATCTGGCGCATCCCATTGCCCAGTCGCTTTGGTCGAGACGCGCTATGCTGCGACGTGGTGCTCAACTCCTCAACCAAACAAACGGGTAGGCAACCTCTGCGAATACGACTCATCAACGTCCATTTGGACTCGCTGCCGATCAATCCGTCGCTCAGGCCACAGCAACTGTCCATCAGCGCATCGTACCTTAGCGCAGCGGGTCGCGGAATCATTGCCGGCGACTTTAATCCCGTTCTTCCCGAAGATGCCGACCTGGTCCGCGCGATCGGTCTTACTGATGCATGGACACACCTCCATCCAGACGACCCGGGTCATACTTGGGGGGTGTACGGTGAACATTCCTTCCCACCAAATCGATTGGATAAAGTTGCTTTGTTCAACCTTACCACTTCAAGTATGGGGATTCTACAAACAAGGGAGTTGGAATTCTGTGGCGAACAGACTGCGATTGATGGAATGAGGTCGGGCTCGAGAGCGCATTTCAGCGATCATTTTGGTCTTTGGTGCGATGTTGGATGGGCAGAAGACCGACCACTATCCGAATGATAGACGTATGGAGACTGAGTGAGTAGGACATTCCACAAAGACTGTGTCTATGGTATTCGTTTTGTTGTTTGTTTCAACAGTCAACGCGGTCAGACGCGCGTCGACTTCCCTGCCTAGGTATCGCGTTTCAATACCGACGTGATGAAATGGTTTGGCAAGAGACTGAGTACGATAAAGCCGTCAAGGCGTTTCATGGTTTGGTATAAAGCTTTCAACTATGTCACCCGAGGTCTACTGCGCACTCGACCCAGCAAAGTATATACAAGAAAGACGGTATCGTCATCTACAAGTGCCTCGCGAACCTGGTCCTGCTTTCCCATCCCAATGCCGGAACCTCACGCTTGCTCATCATGCTCACGCTCTTCGCGTAATCACTGGTGCCCTGGCTTGGCTCGGCATCCGCCGACTTGCACGTCGGCTTCGCACCGTTCTTGCCCAGCTTGCCATCCACAGCAGCGAAGTGCTGCTTCTCGGCGGTCGCGGCGATCATGTTGGTGGCCGCATCCGTAGTCCAGCCGTTGATGAAGTCGCCATGCGAGCACCATGCGGCACCGCACGCGAGCTTACCCGGAAACGTGCCAGACCAGCCGTTGGGCAACGCCTTGCGCAGGTCGTAGCGGATGGAGAAGCGCAGCTGCGGCATGGACTTCATGCCGGTGGGGCACCAGTTGGTGGTGCCGTGGCTGCGAGACTTGTACGCCGTCTCGAGGCTCTGCTCGTTGACGCACTGCGGGAAGAAGAGCAGCTGCTGCAAATGCGTCGAGCAGGTCTTCGAGGGGAAGCCGTTTTTGTCCAGAGGCGACGCGTCGTCGCCTTCGCAGAACCATGAGATCTTCGCGTCGGCGGGCATGGCACTCTCTGAGGTCGCGGTCGCGTCGCCAGCTACCATTTTCAGGTTCTGCGGGATCGCGACTTCGGCAGGCGTCTCGCCGAGGTTGTAGTAGGCGCTGAAGCGCGACACGGGAATCGGCTCATAGGTCGAGCCATCGGCGGTGTAGAGGGGAGTAGGGATCCAGTAAACAGACAGATCGTTGGGGTTCTCTGCATTGGTGCAGCCGGCCTGGAGTTCGGCAGAGGTGGTTGTTTTGGCGGTGACTGCGTCAGAGCCAAAGAATGAGTGCAAGTGCGACTTGCTGTAGGAGCCTGGAAACACAATGGGGTCGACGTTCTTTGTCATGAAAGCTGAGGCAACATTGACCTGAGTGTATGCGCTGGCGAGCTGGGCGAGCAGACCTGCGCTCAAGAGGAGGGTGGTGGAAGGAGACATCCTGTGTCTGTTATACGAAATGAATGTGAATACGAAAAGTAAAGAGCGATAGTGGTAAAGTGAATGGAATGGGCGAATTGCTGAAGATCCATATACGTTCGCATCAAGAGTATTTATTCCTCAGGCAAGCGCCTTCATGCGTGCCTCAATACGGGACAAACTCTTCCTCTTTCGAGCTGTTTCTCCTAACTCGGTTTCAGGACGAGCTGCCGCTGTTCGTTGAAGCAAGCATTGGGAGCCGCGTAGCCGCGCCCCTCTGGCTCGTCTTGTCTGCGCAACCGAGCGCACGCCAAAACATGCTTGAAAATGTATGTCGCCGGGAGAGGGGGCATAAACACGGGACGGGTCTGCGATCCACTCTTTCTCGCACGACGCGCTGATTGGCCAACGGGTGAGGCTCAAAACACTAGCTCCCGCGTTGACAGTTTTGAAACAACCCCATTAATTTCGTTCCAAACGCCAAGGTGGAGATTGGCTATGCTTTGTGGCTCCATATAGGCGATTTGTGGCGCGGCTGTTCCTGCGAGAGCCTCAAAGAGGTTTTCCTCCGAGCAGTTCTTGATGAAGTGATCTAGATGTTACCAGTGCAGTATAGGTAGGCCTAGAATAGTCGGGCACATCAGGAGCGAGCGACGATCCGTTGAAGACCATGGGCATGCATCGGTATTGTTAAATGCGTTCTTCGAATGCACATTCGAAGACTGTAAGGCTGACTCCCATCAGCTCAGTTTTGAAAGCAATTGCATTTGCCGAGAGACCTAGTTGATTGCGGCAGACTCAAAGGGTTTGAATGCAAAGTACGCCTTCGATTCTGTCCCGTCCTCTGAACATCCTTGGATGTGATGACCAGGATACCTGAGAAAGGAGGCATGATGCTTGCGTTGGTAAGTGCAGGGAATAGTTCGCTCTCGCATTCGTCCTCGTGCACGTGCAGAGTGTCAAGGTAACTTACTCGCAGCGTCCTCAGCTCTGACTTGAACTCGGATTGAGCGTGCGCGGGTCAGTTGAGCAACTGGTTGGGCGATGCTTCGCCGAGTCACCTTCAGAACATGGTCTTGTATCGATGGTTGTCCCCTTGGCTCCGCAGAGGCCACCGCTGTGGCAATCTTTGCCAGTGGACGCAACCTACATCGTGACTATTGCATCGACAAATAGAATGCGACAATCCTCCGGACAATAGGTAAGGGCGGGTCGTTGGACATTCTCCTTAACCACCTCAAGACCCAGCACGCATCCTATACGAATTCATGTCCTTGCCCTCGTTGTCAACACAGCCTGCAGATGGCCCTGTGACGAGAAGGTGATGGCTTATTCTTCATCCATTGATACGGTGTTGGTAGCCGCCAGAGTAGTTCTCATGCTGTGCAACGTGAGTCTGACACGAGAAGGAGCATGACATCGCGGGGTAATAACAATGCGATCTCACCAATTCACATCCAAATCAACATCCCATAGATCCAACAGCCATGGCTTTCAACTCTTCTGGAACCATCACAGTGCAGCATATCACGACTCCGGACGCGCTCAACACACTCTGTCGAAGCTGCGATGGCTTACCAAACGGTCCAAAAGACCCCGCATCCCTCTATCTCTCTCACAATACTCGGAGTCTGACCATTTACATTGCTCCACTGCGCGTAGTCAACGTGATAAGCTTTCCATACCTGATCAAGGCCTTTGGCCAAGAGGAGATGGGCGCGTCTGCACTGAAAAGCCTTCTCGAGACCAATGCGGCGACCAAGGTTTTTTTCGATGCACGTGAGACAGCGAAGATTCTCTTCGACAGCTGTAGCATCAAGCTGGCTCTTCCGGTGAGTCTCAGTAGACCTGGCGCCTAGTAGTGGACTGATTAAAATAAATTGCAGCTCTACGTCAAACGAGCACACGTCCACGAGGTGCAAATGATGGAGGTTGCATTGCGCCCGAACGATAACGAACGTGAGTGGCTGCTAGGACTTGACGAATGCATTGCACGGGACTCAAGCCTCGACATCGATTCGCTCATGCCAGATGACCTTGGTAGAGTCAAGGGCTTCGATAAGAGGACTCTGCACTTGCCATTTCTGTGGAAGAAGTACCATGACCGTTTACTTGACACAGGCTTTCAGGGAGGAGCGTTTTGGACGGCCCAAATTCGCGAAGCGACGCGAAAGCGATTGGCAGTGGCGTGTGGTGACTACCACGCTGGATATAATGGCAACAATGCCTGGAGCACCTGGGATGAGGATAGCATCGAAGAGCAGACTGATGCCTGGAACGACGGGGTTGGGGACGACGACCTTAGGGGCATTGCGGGCCCTGCGGGGCATTGTCTGTGAGGCTGCGTGCGAACAGTAGGACCTAGAGTGGCAGAGAAACTCAAGGGTCCACGAGTGCTTTCTGTATAGTTCAGGGCCTTTGCAAGTGAGCTGTCATGTTGTGTGATAAGGCGTAGTAATTGACACACGACCTTCAAGCCGACTGGCGGCAGGGCATCGCCTGACCTTGGACAGTGTCTCGGCGGCCGAAGAGAGGTGTCCCGGACTACCTCGGACGCTCTTGTGTACAAAATCTAATCACGAAAGTAAGTGTGTACGTCGTTCTCCTCTTAGAATTGGCTGAGGATAGAGAGTCTCGCATTGAGCCAGGCCAAATGCGGCCAACGATGCGTCACTTTGCCTGTTGAGGAGTGCGCCTCGGCACAAATCCACAGAACTGGAGCGATGACGAATTCGAGCAGCGACAGCGAGACACCGGAGGCACGAAACAGACCAATTGCAATCGCTCTCGGAGACCTTGGCTGCGGACGATAGAGCTGCCGGTGGAGATGGAGCAACGTTGTAGCGTCGGCCAGTGCGGAGGCTGGTGTGATATATGTAGCTGCGCATGCTGAACATGTGCTTGCCTCAACTTCATCTTTACAGTATACGGGCGTTGGCTGTATTCTGCTGCAGAACACCCTGCTAAATATCTACATCAGTCCAGCATTTAGAAGGATCGACAGAGCTCGCCCCCACATTCCGTACCTGCATCTGCAGTCAGCACGCAAGCGAACGTTACACAACGCCGCCATGAACGGCCACGCCACGAAGAAGCGCACCGCAGGCTACGCCGACAACGAGACCCACCTCGACGTGCTCATCATCGGCGCCGGTATCAGTGGAGTCAATGCGGCCTACCGTGTACAAACAGAGCTACCCTCATCATCATTCGCGATTCTCGAGGGCCGCCACGAGCTCGGCGGCACGTGGTCGCAGTTCAAGTATCCTGGCGTGCGCTCCGACTCGGATCTGCACACGCTGGGCTTCAAATTCAACCCATGGAAGGCGCGCAACCCCATTGCGACGGGTGACAACATCCTTGCGTATCTGCAGGAGACGGTGGACAAGTTCGATATAACGTCGCGCATCCGCTTCAACCAGAAGGTCGCGAGCGCCAACTGGAGCAGCGAACAGCAGCGATGGCAGGTGCAGGTCGACGTCGGCCGCGGTGATGCGACGCAGCGCGTCGTGTACTGGACCAAGTGGATGATTCTGGGCACCGGCTACTACAGCTACGAGAAGCCCATGTTCGCGCACATCCCCGGGCTGGCGGACAACTTTGCGGGCCAGACGGTGCACCCACAGTTCTGGCCGGAGGACCTCGACTACAAGGGCAAGAAAGTTGTTGTCATCGGCAGCGGGGCCACGGCCATCACGCTGCTGCCGGCGCTGGTTGAGGGCGGTGTCGGACACGTCACGCAGCTGCAGCGCAGCCCGAGCTACATCCTGGGCTTATCGCAGCCGGGTAATAACTCGACGCCTCCTTGGTGGCAGCGGGCGCTGCCGCAGTGGATGGTGCTCAAGTGGAAGCGTACGGTTACACAACAATTCTTAGCACGGTCTTTACTAACACCCAATAGGCTTTCAGTTCACGCTCGTTCCGATCCTGCTCTACTACTTCTGCATCTACTTCCCCAACGCCGCCGCCAGCCTGATCCGCGGCGCCACGAAGAAGCAGCTACCCGCCGATTTCCCCCTCGACCCACACTTCAAGCCCGGCTACAACCCCTGGGAGCAGCGCCTGTGCCTGTGCCCGGATGGTGACTTCTTCAAGTGCCTGCACAGCGGGCGCGCTAGCATCGCCACCGACACCATCAAGACCGTTGTCAGCGACGGCATCCTCCTCAATAGCGGCGAGAAACTCGACGCCGACATCATCATCACCGCCACAGGCCTCAACCTGCGCTTCCTAGGCGGCATTGACCTAGCCGTGGACGGCAAGCCGGTCGACGTGCCCAACGAGTATATGTGGCACTTCGCAATGCTGTCCAACGTGCCCAACCTCGGCCAGATCATCGGCTACTGGAACGCGTCGTGGACGCTGGGCTCGGACACGGCGTCGCGCCTGTTCTGTCGCGTGATCAAGCATATGGAATCCAACGGCTTTACAGCAGCCGTGCCCTCTATTTCTGCTGCTGAGCGCGAGAACCCGCAGGATGTTAGTCCGTTGAGTAGCACGTATGTTAAGAGTAGTCTGGCTAGTATGCCGAAGTGTGGGAGGTCGGGGCCGTGGACGCCACGAGAGTATTATTTCAAGGATAGCTGGAAGGCGGAGAGGTGTGATTTGAACGAGGGAATGAGGTTTGAGAGCGTTAGCACGTAGACGTGGAAGTACAAAACTCAGCATCGCGCAACTTCAGATATGTTGGCCTTCGCCTTCGTTGCGATGTGTTGGCTTCTTCGCTGCTTGAGGGGTTTTCTGCAATGCAAGATCTTCGCGACTGCACTTTTTGTCGGCACATGCTCAAGCGTGCATTTCAAGGCAAGAGCCAGGCTTGCAGTTCCTCCACAGCACGTCAATACTGCATGTGATGCCCGATTCGAAGTGCACTGTACCGTGCAGTCCTGTAAACAGAGTCGCCATTTCACAAAAGTCCCAGACACTGGCTCGCTCGCGCTTCAGTACTAGAATTTCCGTTTATTGCGGTCCGGCTTTAGTCCGCGGGCAGTTATGTATAAACAGAGCCAATGCACTCTAGCGTGAGATGTAGACGCTAGGCTCGAAAAGGAAAAACGGTCATCGCGGTGTGATGGAGGGAAGTAAAGATGGTGTTTTCGAGGTGCACGATTGGGAATCGAGACGGGCATAACCCTAGGAAGTCTGATTGATGGTGTAGTGTCGGGGTTTAGGATTTTTTAGCCCCGTACATTGAGTCGGAGCTTTCTTTTGTGAGTCGAGTATATAAGTAAACAGCTGCATCCTCCTGCTTTTTTCTCACATCTGGTCAAGTCTTGAAGAACACTACAACAACGCACAGCCACTCGAACCTTTTTCAATCCTCTCGTTCATCAGAGTCTATTGACATCACCCTCTACAAAACACCCGACTACCTCCTCCAAACATGTCCCGCTACGCCGAAGCACACGTTAAGCCGAACGGCCCTGGTGATGCGCGTCCAACAGCCCTACAAATCGTCAAGGATGAAGGTGCTGAAGGCAGTCTTAAGGGCCAGGTCGTTGTCATCACCGGTACTTCTTCCGGCATTGGTATCGAAACTGCCCGCGCCCTAGCCGCCACTGGAGCCAACTTATTCCTCACTGCTCGGGACATTGGCAAGGCCCAAACCGCCCTTGCTGGTGTGATCGATCCATCCTGTATGGAAATCGTCGAGATGGACCAAGCAAGCCTCTCTTCTGTCCGCACAGCTGCTGCGACTATTCTCGCCAAGACGCACAAGATTCACCTCCTCATCAACAACGCCGGCATCATGGCTATCCCCGATCTCCAGCATACTACTGACGGCCATGAGCTCCAGTTTGGCACAAACCACCTCTCCCACTTCCTCTTTTACTCGCTACTAGAGCCCGCACTGCTTGCGGCCGCAACTCCAGAGCTGCCCTCCCGCGTCGTCAGCCTCGCATCCTCAGCTCACAACGTTCACGGCCTTTTAGCCTCGACGGATTATGCTTTTACTGAGACTCCCTACCAACCCTACGTTTCCTATGGCCAATCTAAGACAGCCAATATCTACTTGGCCAACGAGATCGAACGCCGCCACGCCGGGCGCAATTTGCACGCGACAAGCGTCCACCCCGGTATTGTAGCCACGGGACTGGCGCAGCACATGCCTCCTGATGCGTTCAAGGGCATGGAAGCGCTGTACCCAACGATGAAGAGCGTGGAGCAGGGCGCTGCAACGTCGGTGTGGGCCGCTGTTGGCAAGGAGTGGTCGCATAAAGGCGGGAAGTATTTGGTTGATTGCGCCGTGGCAAAACCGTATATGGACGGCGAAGATAAGGTTACGACGCTTGGATATGCGCCTTGGGCGTATGATGTTGACGAGGCGAAAAGGTTGTGGAAGGACTCGCTTGTGCTTGTCGGGTTGCCGGCCGAAGAGTAAGGGAGGGGTTTAAGCCATCTAGCTAGTCGGTGTCGAAATGTAAATTTTGATAAATTCAACGTTGAAGTAGCCCAGAAATCCATTGCGATTGCAAGTGTGAGCATCACCCTATGTGGTCTCGCACCAATCAGTCCTTCTCTCTTGCACAAACTTACACGCTCAGCCCGGAAGCATGTCGAATAGGAATTTGCAGCGGCTCCTCGCCCCTTATTGCGCGCCACCGATTGCTTGCCTCAAGCAACTCCCCACAACCCTCAACCGCCCAGCCCCAGCGCGCCACAAACCCCGGCGTCGCCTCCCAGTTGCGCATCTCGTGCGGCTCACCCCACACCACCAGCCCACTGCTCTCATCGCCCTCTGCAGTCTCAGGGCCCGACAGCGCAATACTAGCAGGCAGACCAGAAAAGCGCACGCCGCCCATCAGCGCACCAATGAGATCATACAGCAGCGCGCCGTGATCAAGCGCCTCACCCGCCCGAATCAGATTGTCCCGCATGCGGGGGAACGGGAAGAAGTTGATCCACAGCGGGTGCGGCGTTTCCTGCTGCGTACGTGTTGGGGCAAGTGCGGCGGGGATGTTGGGGTTCAGCGGGTAGATCATGGTGGCGTCTGTGTGGGGGCCAGCTATGGGACATGTTGTCTGAGAGGCGGGCGCGGGAGGCCAGCCTTTCAGGAGCAAGTTCAGCGTGGTTTTGTTGGTGACGAAAGCGCGGAAGACGTTGTATTGGATGAGATGCAGGAGGTGATCAGTTGAGAGGGGAAAGTTGAGCGACGGTGGGGTAACGGGCCGGGGTTTGGCTAGAACAATGGAATCTGGCCGTTCTGGACCTTGAACAGGTGACGGGCGTTTGATTGTGGGTGGTGGTGTAATTGGAGAACAGCCATATTGTCGAGGCGGTGTAGTTGGAGAACAGCCATGTTGTCGAGGCGGAACATGTATTGCTATCACGTTACTTGTTGAAGACAGCGAGGTGAGTTCATCGAGCTCATCAAGCCGCCAGCGTTCGACTCGGTACGGGAGTGCGGAGACGTTACCCGCAACTGGGCCTTTGTTGCGCAGTCCTCCACATTCTATGAGCATGACAAACGTAAAGACGATTGGGCGAAGACTCACGGCGTGCTCTCTGATTTTGGCGATTCTGCATCTGTCTGCGCCATTTGCTGGCCTTGGCTTCGGTGTGCTCCATCTCGTAGTGATCGAAACCCAGTTCCGTGTCGACACGTCGTAAGAAGTCGTGACAAAAGAGGCCAGTGGAATGGGCGTAATGCACTAGGCTGTGATAGGATAGGGCTGAAACCCCCGCCGCTAGACTAGACTGAAAATGACAAAATTGTCATCCAGGGTCCAGGTTTGTAAGTTCGAAGACATGAAGGTAATTACAGACGATAGTGATTAGTCTCGAGCATAGATACCCAGCTGTTAGTCAAGAAACGGAGTTAACTGATGGGTGTATCACAATCTCCAGAGATAGACAGAAGTCAGCTGAGAGCTAGAGTTGAGGATGTCGTTATGGAGAAAACAACCTTGGAAGGATGTCGTTATGCACATCAACTAGAAATAGAAGGGAAGTTCAACCTGAATGCCACCATCAAATCCTACCTACTACAGCTTTTCAATACGTATCTAACTTACCACACGGAGTTACCATCGTCACTATCGTCACCAATCATGTCTTCCACTACTTCCGGAACCCTTCGAGCGCGAATCGAAGCTACAGCGAGGTCCTTCCTCGCCAGCTTTGAAGATGGCGGGAACCAAAACGACAGCTCCCTCGTCAACCGCGACGTTACGGCATCCTGCACCCGACATTTTCTCCCAGCTTCCGTTGCGAAGGCCTTTGGCTTCCCGGTCGACTTCTCTTTCGACACGGCCACGTTTGAGCAAGCCTTCGCGAAAGATATCAAGGTCCTGAGCTTCAAGAGCAACGTCATCTCAAATTTGGTTATCGACACCGAGACGCTCAGAGCTTCATTTACTTCGTTTGCGGAAGTGGAGGTTAAGAAGACTGGAGAATCATATTCTGTTGAGCAAGCTTGGGTCTTGTACTTGACCGAGGATGGGCTGAAGGTTAGCAAGGTGATTGAATTTTGTGATAAGGATGCACTTTTGAAGATGGCGAGTGCTTCCACCCAGCCGGAATAGATTGCGATATATCTTGGAGATTAGATTTTATAGATACAAATTGATGACAGTTGCCATCACGTTCTGCGAGGGTTTGGTCATGGTGACATGTAACGCACGTGACTACCATCGGTTCAGGGGTGTCCGGACCAAATCGCACACGCCTAGATAGATACCTATGAGAGTGGGCATGTCTGCCGCAACGTCTGCAAAAAGTGTAGAGCTTAGTAATCGTGATACGGCAAAAGGTACCCGATACGTTGCGTTCGGCCGCGATTTGCACGTGCTCACGCACAACGTGGAAGAAGAACCTCTGATGAGGGTTCTCGAAGGCCCGTTTTCGCGGTGATTTAGAGCCGAATGTTCTTGGTAGCGTCTTCGGTTCACTTGGCGCGAATTCTGATAACGAACCGAGCACTTTCATGCAGAGACGGTGATTAGCGCTGTTCAGAGGTTGGCTTTGTGAGTTATCAGTACCATGGACTTCACAAGTTCATTCGTGTAAGGATTCTGTGAAACAGAGGATTGTACCTTCCTGTCAAAACGAGCGTAAGCGCCGAAACGCTAGCCTACGCTTGCGCTTTCGCAACCTCGGAGCAACTTCCGAAAGTCTGCGTATGCTTGGCAGTTCTCTTGCTAATTATCGAATTAATGCCGTTGAACTATATAGTACATCGAGGGTTGTACAATGTGCTATCTACTGGTTGTCCTTCACTGTCTCTTTTTTCCAAAACTATCATCAGTAATTTAGATCATGTATTCACTCATTTCAAGCTATTCACTCATAGCCGCACTCTTCCTAGGCACCACCAGTGGCCAGCAGCTCTTCGCTGCGCACTCAGATGGTAATGTCACCACACTCGCACTTACTGGAACTGGCAATGCATCGAGACTTTCTGTCACATCCGTATCGTCAGCATGCGATGCAAACCCGGCAACGTTGAACTTGGATTACTCAAAGCGTATCCTGTACTGTCTTGATCGAGGCAGGGGTACGAGCCAAGGCTCCCTCAACTCCTTCTCTATCGACGCTGCAGGGAAGCTCAACAGAATTGCACGTGTGAGTGCGCCTCCTTCGGGCGTCACTGCCGAGTTCTTCGACGTCCCGGGAACTGGGGTACGTGGCTATGTATCTGCCTCTTAGTAAGTTCAGATGGCAAGAGATGATCGTAACTTGGCTTACCAGTGCAATAGCAACAGGAGTGCCATTGGAGTGTTTCGTCTTGGTGAAAATGGCGCCCTCACGGAGCCACTCCAGACCATCCTTCCTAATCTCACATCGATTGGCCCAGTACCTTTGAGACAGGACCGCAGCTACTTGCATCACGTCATTCTAGACCCGACTGGTGAGTTTCTACTCATGGCCGATCTTGGGGGTGACCAGATTCGTGTCTTTACATACAACAAACAAACTATTGCCCCTTTGAAAGAGCTAGCTCCACTCGTTACAGGACGTGGAGTAGGACCGCGGCACGCAGTCTTTTGGCGCTCTCCGAAAACCCAACAACTGTATCTGTTCTTCAACGGTGAGCTCGACCAAAGGATCTATACTTACCGCGTCAAATACACGAAGGGGGGTATTTCATGGACACTTGTGTCTTCAATCGCTTCCATTGGCGACCATCTCCCAGCGACAACATCGCCCACAAGTGAGATTGCAGTTACAGTAAGCCTCCCACAACTCGTTGGTAGTTTCCAGATGGTACACTAACGTCGTCCAACAGCCCGATGGTCGTTTCGTGATTGTATCGAACCGCGACGTGTCCTTCGCTGCCTCAACCATAAACCGTAGCGCACCCAGTGATACTCTCTCGGTCTTCTCTATCAACTCCAATGGCACTCTTAAGGCGATCCAGCATACCCCATCAGGAGGATATTCGCCTCGCCAATTCATGATCAACAAAGCCGGTGACAAGATTGCCGTCGGCCATCAGAACAATAACACGGTCGTTGTATGGAAACGTAACGTCGAGACGGGGTTAATTGTTACTGAGGCTGAAGGCGGAAAATTGGGCGTCGCGACTCTAACAGGAGCTGTTGTGTACGCACAGTGGGACGAGTAGAACGTCTTCTATCTGCATAGTGTGGGTCTGTAATCTTACACAACAATATTCGACATTACGATTGGACAAATGAAGTGTTTTCAAAGTGTTCTCAGTATACTACGAAGTGCTTGAGTTAAGATCATTACTTTCTGTACGTATCATATATACCTAGGTAGTGTGATGCAGAGATACTTGCGATAGGGGCCGTTGAAATCACACTCTGAGCGTGAGACATGCTGTTAGAGAAGACAGTGTCTGCAGAATGCGGCGTCAGGGTGCAAATAAATGATAGAAGCGAGAAACTTATGAACGATGAAAGTGCAGGGAGTACTAGATTGGAGAAATGGATTTTCGTGTGTTTTATAAAGTTGAATCATTTGGTGTTGACTAACGTACTCGCAATCATGTATCTTATGAAGTGCCCGTGCCCTGTCTCGAACTCTCGCCGACCTGTGAGACACCTTGTACCTGCCAGCGATCTGTAAGCACCTGGCAAAAGCTGTGAAGGCCGTGTCAGCTAGCGGGAGGGGTTGTGACTGCAATACTTACCGATCATGCTGCTCGTGGTCGAGACTTTATTGCCCAAGGCGATTGGATGTCTGTCGATAGTATGTAGAGTCGGTAGAGGGTGGTATATTGTCGTACAACCTTTTGCTTGCTATCCAAGTCTGGGCCGAAGCGCAGACGTAGCAGCGTACTCACCTTGAAGTTGTCATGTGGGTTTGGGCCGCAGCGCAGATCCGACAACATACTTACCCTGATTTGAAAACAAACGTTGCAGTTGCAGAGCACAGCTTTCAGCACAGAATGAAAAATCAAGACTTACTGGAGGATTGACTGGAGGATTGACTGGAGGATTGACTGGAGGATTGACTGGAGGATTAACCGGAGGATTGACCGGAGGATTGACTGGAGGATTAACCGGAGGATTGACCGGAGGATTGACCGGAGGATTGACCGGGGGGTTGACAGGAGGATCTGCAATGTACAGAGCTATCGTGCGTTAGTCGTAATTGTAGCACATGTGATCTTACACATACTTATAGTATCCAGTTTAACTGCAGAAGTGGCACTTCTCGAACCCTTCAGGTAGCAGAAACTGGGGCGCTGGGGGTCCCCTGATCCAACAAAGGCAGCAGAAACACAGAGAGGCTCAGCGGTACAAGCTGATGCGCAGGCTGCAACATTTCCAACTTCAACAGCTGGGCCAAGATCGCGTCCAGCGTAGTCGATGCCGCAGCCAAGTGTAAGGGCTCTAGGTCCAGAGCCGATTACACAATCGTTGTTCACGGGACAGGCGTAGTTGGCGGGACATGCACCGGGGGCCTTTTTGACAGTTAGCAGCTGTCTTGTACAGCAGGTTAGACTGTCAAACATTTTGAAAGCTGTGCGCTGCAACACGCGAAACAAAACAGTAAGAAAAGAGCAACAGAAAGAAATCCATTAGTGGAGTTCGGCGTGCTGAACAAAGCTCCTAAGAACTTTGCCCGAGCGTTTTGGAAAGCAAACAATGGCAGTAGACTTTGAGTAATAAGACCGAAGTGACTGCTGTGATGATTAGAATTAGTGGGTGGGATGGCCTGTATTTGTACATCTTCAACGCAGTATCTCCCTTGATGGAGATGTGCCCATGGCATTTCACACCTACTAAGAACAATGATAGTCTGAGACATGGGTCACCTCTCCATCCAAAGAGAGCCATTGTAACTCCGTCATACAATGCCAAAGGGAGCATCGCAAGCTGTGGAACAATCTTCAAGAGCGATCCTGTTTGGTATTGTGGCTATTGACCCCCTTGGAAATCAATCTTGGCAATAACATCACGGATCATCATGAACGGGACTTGGACATGCTTGAAAGAAGTATCATTTCAAAGGGCTAAGGATAGAAAAGCAGAGAACTTGATCGGCGTATGGTACAGAATCTGTCCAGACACCTCCACCCATGAACCTATTTGCTAACTTAATTGACTATTGCATAGTGTACTACTGATATCTATATGTGACACAGAACATTATCGTTCGATCAAGCTATCCAGTAGCATTGACCAATTACATGTATCGTGAAATGGGAGATGATCCTACGAATTCTCCTCTCATCATGAAATGAGATGATTCGTTTGTGCAACATAGCGTAACGGACGATCCTGCACTCATCAAGTTGCAAGCAAAAGTAAACATTGCTCGCACAATCCATTGTCGAGATAACAGCCCCCTTGCGTCCCCCTTCGAAGGCGGAAACACAACACTGCCAACAATGGGATTATCGGAAGTAAATTTGAGATACAACGCAGGCTAGCTGAAGTCAAATCAAAGCTCCTTCTATGTACCCCGGCAGCAAGTGACGCCCCGAGTGGCGAGTGTTCAAGTGTTTGTTTGACATCCTTCTGGAGCGTTGCTGAAATGTGCATCGCGAAAGCGGTGCTCTAGGTACCTCCTTACAAGATCAAGTTGCTTGCATTCCGAGCACGGGCATCCCTTGCATGCCGCTTCATTGTTACCGAGCCAGGACAACTCACCTTCACAATGCCATTGTTACATTTCTCAGTCGTTGATGATGCAAGGGAGGCCGAGAGACGTATGTTAGCCGGGAGAGGGACTTCTTATCAGTGCTTGGGCATCTCCGACAACTCTGGACGAATTGAGATTGTGCAAGATCCGAGGTATGTGTCTGGATAAATGGTTGTATACCTAGGGCTACGTGGTTCACACCGTACTTTCCAGAGGGCAGATAGATCGGAGATCATTACGAGGAGTTTTCAGTGTGGAAATGCGGAAGCGTGCACTACTTTTACACCACGAGAAGCTACATGCACTCAATGGCCACCTAACGCTGTGTGACTTGGTTGAAAGCACTCTGGTAGTCAACGCTGGAATATTTTGTTCTGGCTATCGTCGTGGACAGCTTTAGATACATCAATCTACACGTGATTACTAGAAGACGCCCAGGCGAGGGACACGTCAGAGAATCTTTGGATCCAAAGCTATACTGACTGCACGTAGCACTTGGCAGAAAAAGTTCTGCGAAGATCATGAGTTGACAGCATGAGGCAATTATCATGGCACTACTGAAATGCCCCTAAAGTGACATTTGCACACAGGCCATCATACTGCTCTGGCTTAGCAAATGTCACATTTGGTTGGTTTCCGACAGCGATCTCGACCACACTATTTGTGTGCGGATGGAAAGAAGGCCAGCCAAGCTTCGAAAGACCATTCTTGGGGTCTTCGACGAAGGCAGCAAGTGCTCTTTGAAAGATCTTCACCGTATCCTTTTGTGCCTGCGTCTGAGGAAGACCACTAGCATCCTCTGAACCACCAAGAATCATGTGCAACTCGGTACCATGATAAGCACCGCTCGTCGGATAGAGGCGAGTGTTATCCCAATCGCCAAAATAACGATAGACCCACGTAGGAACCTTGGCGTTGGCACGCTGTTGTGCTTCGAAAGATGTCGGGCATACGAAGGACTCGAGTAATAGCTGCGCCCCCTGGGCTTCGGTGACATTGCGACCTTGGGCGAAGGCTGGGATGACGTAGTATCCTTGCTCAAAGTTGTTGTATCCGTGGAAATAAGGAAGCTTCGCAAAGCTTCCAGATGCGGATAACGAAAGGTAGTCGGTCAGCAGAGTCTGGTTATCGACCGTGGGATAAAAGGGCGGTGTGGACCGGACGGGGCTCCCGCCTGGACTAGGGGCAATCTTTGAGGCAGCTGCAGAAATTGTCTCGAAGGGCAGCCCGCGCATACAGCTGATAGTGTCGGACGAAGAGGAGTTTCCGCAGCCCAGGGAAGCGGATAGTGAGTACCAGTTTGACACCTGTTTCTGTGGCGTGTTGAGTGGGAAACTGAACGCGTTGCCGGAAGTAGACACCAGGCCATGGACGATAGGGTTTTGCTTGTAGGCATAGGACCACCAGTCCACAGCCACTCCTCCTGAAGATTGCCCACCGATAACGATCTTCTTTGGATTACCTCCGAAACTTTTGATGTTTTTCTGAATCCATTCTACGGCAAGGCGCTGGTCACGTAAGCCGAGATTGGTGCCAGCACCAGGGGCACCTGGGAACCCGAAGACGTTCAGACGGTAATTTGCCGAGATGACGATCAAGTCCTCCCCATCGGCAAGATACTTTCCGTTGGCGAATGGCGTGTTCGTGTTGCCTCCGGCGAATCCTGTCGACAAAGTCAGTCAAAGAAGTCAAACAGTGACCATTGACTACTATGAGACAGATGGGTGGCCTTACTTCCTCCGTGGAACAAGACAAAGACTGGTTTATCGGCCTTATAAGATTTTGTTGTTGGCTTAGCCCAAATGTTCAGAGTGAGACAGTCCTCGCTTCGCTGTGTTCCAGCAGCACCCGTGAAATACGCCAGTATTCTTCGAGCTTGGGTCGTGAAGCCTGGGAATGCGGGTTGAACAGCTGGTTGTGAAGGACAGTCGCTGTGATTGGTCAGACACGGAATCTTCTATCTCACGCGGTGTGTGCGCACAATCCCTGCAAGCCAAGGTAAGTTCGTGCCTGAAATTCCGTGACAGAGGACATGTGCTTACAAAACTCTCCGCGACATACGAACCGTTCGCTTTGTACTTCTGCGGCGCTGCGAACCGCAGATCCCCCAGTGGTGGTTGCGCATATGGTATTCCAAGGTACTCCCAGACTGCTTCAGCCCCTGACGAACGATGGCCAACAATGGGTCCGTTCTCTGTCTTGACAGTCTCAAACGACGCGCCTGAGGCTGCATGCCCTCCATATGAGGCCCAGAGAAGGATCGTGATGGTGCTGAGAGTACGCATCCTGCAGCAGCTGTACACGAGGTACAATGAGGGAAGGATGAAGCAGATCCGAACAGCGGCACAGGTGTAGGTTTAAATGACTGCAGTTAATCGCCAAGCTACTGTGGGGACGCTTTGAGTTGACATGTTCTGCTGCGGAGCATTTCCCAATTCCGTGGCTTGCCGTGCCGCGACCGTAAGCACGCCAATAAACTAATAAACGTCGCTCCAATGATTCGACAGTAATTTCTGGAGGTAGTCAATCGAGTAACAGGAACTTCACGGATTGCGAAGTAATAAAACATTTTGACCATGGCCATGTCGTTTGCACTCAGCTCTGACGTAGGGAGAGGGTGCCTGCGCTAGCTGGATTGGGCGACAATGGCCAATCGCGCATTACCCTACTCTTCTGGGAGGCCTCCTACGAAGAAGATCGTTACTTATAAGGCATCACACGGATTCACACCAGGTAGATTCGCCCTGCAGTGCACGCTACTACAAAAGTATCACGTTAATATCAACTATGTGTTTTGCATTATAAGATAGAGAATTACTTTTGCTAAATATCGATGCTTATAAAAAGCATGTATCTTATTGCAATAATAACTTATGGTAAGTGGAAGTTAGAAGGGTGTTTCAGGTGTTCCTCCTGGTAATGCCTTATGAAATTCTGCTCAGAACAACTGCACACTGTCATGGTAAAGGTCTTTAGCAACATCATCAATGGAGTCGTGACGCCGGGGGCTAGGCACGTCTCATCCATGCCTGACTTCGCTCTATACGCCACTCCCGGTTCGAGCGATTGTATCGTGGCAGGTTGCACTCTTCGTCCTACTGCAAATTCAAGGTGGCGACATGGAATCACATAGACTCAATTTGAATGTGGACAGCAGTTGCATGAATGGTGCATATCACCGAGAGAGCCAGGAGGCGTGTCGGACGCGGGAGGCCTCTTTGGTATAACGTCACATGGGCTCCAACTTCACATCGTTCTCAACTCCGCACCGTCTCCAAGAGTCAATGTTTGGGATTCAACAAACTCGTTTCTACATATTTTTGACTGAAACTGCCTCATGCACTTCTGACTCAAGTGCAGAAGACGCCGTTGATCCATTCCTCGCGACAGCTTTCTCTCATTCGTAGCTCTCTCTTTCAGCCCGACGCAGTGGGGCATTGACGGACTTGAGCTGAAATGCTGTGGCCAATCTCTCGGTTGCAGTATAGGAAAATCACCTCCACTGAGCTGTGTCCCAACATGATTTTCAAGCCTTCCGCAGCTGCCTCCATTCTACGAAGCGACGGCTCCTCTGGGCCAAACTCGACCTCAACGCGCTGCAGCTTTGGCAGTATGTCTTCCAAAAAACAATCCATATAGATTTCCATCAGCCACAAAGCACGCCAAGCAGTAGGGTAGACCTTCAATACTGTCATGGTCCGGTGAGAAGGGCACGCTGAGATGATCATGTCGCGCGAAAGACGGCCCTTGATACACATGATGTTTGGATCCGCAACAACAAAGTGACCTGCCTCACTGCTGATCTGTCGGCAGACCATAAGTAAGGGTACACCACTTTTGACTGCAAATGCTTTCTTGCAAGCTTTATCAGCCTCGATGGTAACCGTATCGGAGGCGTGTGCGTAAATCTTGTTGCGCAATTCAGAAGGCAAGCGTAGCAAAGATGAGTTCTTCTGGTTTGCTTGGAAGCTGTACTTCATTAGCTCGAACGATCATGAGTTCACGGCTGTGAGCTTGCTCACATTGCTTCGCGATCCTGAGGACCTCCGTCGCCTTCGCCTTTGAGGAGATCGTTCGATTGCGACATGGCGAAGGTGTGCGCGCGGACGCAGGTTGTTGTGCTGGCTTGTCAAGGTTGGACAGTTGTGTGAATAGAGCGAAGAAGAATATGGAAGTGATAGCACTAGCCAGCTTCGCGCTTGGGGGTGCATTAGCCATTTACGGCAGATCTGCATCATTTGTTTGCTGCTCATGTAGTGGTATGGTCGTGTAGTGAAAGTCACGCTGATCATCGATCAGAACCACCCATCAATTGTCATGCAGAATGCGCTGGAATATGTGCAGAGCATCTTCTTGAGAATTTCAAGTGCAGGTGACAGTGAGGAGACGACTATCATGCGCTTGCACGGGTGCTGCTGACATCTAAGTGAGATATATGATGTCAAATGAGATGAATTGTGATATGGCTGGAGGTGATATATCCTGATGACCTCTCCACTCGAATGTAGCCCTTTCCAACCCCTGAAAGATGTGGAAACTCTTGAGCACATATGACGCAGAGAAGCTAGCAGTCGAAAACCATTTCCAAGTCTGGTTTGTCGAATATATTCCTCGCAGCGCGAAGCATCTCTGGGTTCCCCTCTGTGATACCCCAGAACCGGTCTTCACACACGACTTTGAAAATGCCCAGACGCTTGACATTGGGGAACTTGCGCTTCACTTGTTCCACATTATTCCAGCCGTACACTCCTTCAGATTTCAACGTAAAGCTTACGCCGTAGCGCATGCTGCAGAAGAATTGGATGTACCGTACTTCAATGGTCTGCAGCGTAGCAGGGTTCAGTTCAGGCAGCCTTTCCAACTGCATGAAGCTCACTATGTTTTCTGAGGGCATCGATAGCACTCGGGGCGAGTCGACGAAAGCTCTCGATTCTTGATTCACTTGTCGACATATTGAGAGTAAGACGTTTCCGCTCTTCTTCACGCTTAGAGATCGTGAGTATGTCACGGTGACCGTATCTGAGACGTGAGCGTAGACCTTGTTGCGCAATTCAGCTGGAAGGCGCAGAAGTGGAGACTCGATCTGATTTGCTTCAGTGCTGTGGGAAGTCAGCAATGGTCAATGATTTTGCACACAGCAAGGTCAAACCTACATTGAATCACGGTCTTGGATATTAGTGCTTGTCATGTTGAAGATGTTGGTAATTGAAGCCGTTGTTGATTGAAGACGTTTTGAATTGAAGACGCTGATAATTGATGTGAGGAAGTGTAAGTGTGATGTGGTGAGTAAGGCTGGGTCGAATAGTTGATATATTCGTCGCTTGCTATTGCAGACCCCTTCAACCGTGGGACAGACCTCGGGGCTCAGGTACGGACCACGGTAGCGACAGAGAATTGACCCTATCATTATTGAGTTCCCGCGTTGTAGCCCTGTATTATGTTGAAACAGACTAAGATAGCCAGTCAAATGCCTTTCTTGTATCTAAGTTCCTTGATTAAAGATGTCTGCATATTCTTGCCGGCATTGACAGCAACGAATCACCATGCAGATTCAGTACAGCAAGAACGAAAGAGTCCAGAATGCTGCTAGAACCGAGACTGCAAATTCTTTCCAAGACACAGCCATCAGCTGATCAGATGATCTCCATGCAACAGAGAACTAGCGTAAACCTACTCAGAAACTACCTCCACTTCAAATCGTCCAAAGAGGTCCCTCACAAGCTGCCAGGCACACTCGTCACTTTCCTCCAGGCCTGCAACAACTATGCGCTGAAAACTTATAGACCTCTTTCGTAGATAATTTTTATGAACTGATAAAACCCGATGTCCTCGACACACCTCATGTTTGTTTCACAGACTGGCAATTTATTGAGACTGCATGAGCTACGCAAGGCGTTGAGCTTCAATCATATCCGGGTAGTGATTATTTGGACTCTGAATCGTAGCCAGCGAGCCAACAAGAAAATAGCAGATTGGATTGAATGAGCGTAGCCCTAGCGTGGTCATGCAAGGCAGGCACTCACACGTGGACAGCGAAGCTCCAGGGCTATCCTACGAATATCCACAACCACTTCAACACCCACAGCTCAGTATTAATCCACCCGAGTCACCGCATCATTACTCACAACGCCACCTTCTCGCTCCCCTCCCGCGCCCAACCTCAGTCCCGGAACACAACCTCCAACCCCCCACCCCCAAACACCACCATCAACCCCTCCCTATACTCCCCCCTCTCCTCCTCATCCCAAATCGCCTTCCTCAGCCCCTCATCCGGCCACACCTCCACCCTCCTCAACCCCGGCATCTCCACCGGCGCACCCCCATCCCTCCCACACCACCCCACCGCAACCCCGCTCTTGCGGTGCACACGCACATCCGCCGCGACAACGTGCACGGTCGAGATGCGCAGCAGCGCCGTCTGAATCGCGGACAGCCCGCTGAGCTCGCCGCGCGCGTTCAGGGCGAGCAGGTCGTACGGCGAGACGCTGGGCTCGAGGCGCAGGAGCGCGGGGCGCGGGATAAAGGGCGCGGATTCAAGGGCGATCTGGGTACAGATGCGGCGCAGGATAGAGCCGCTGTGGACGGTGTAGGGGGCGGTGGAGTGGCGGGTGTGGGCGATGGTTACGGTGTCGGAGACGTGGGCGTAGATTTGGTTGCGGAGTTCTGCGGGGAGCGCGAGGAGGGGAGAGGTGGTGCGGTTCTTGTAGAATTTGGGTCGTTTGCTGGGGGGAGTTAGGGGAGGGGAGGTGGATGTTGGGGAAGTGCTTATGTGGTTTTGCGGTTGAGCGCGCGGACGAAGGCGCCGATCGTGAAGTGGTCCGCCTCGCGTTTGCGCTGGCGGCGGTTCATGGCCATGATTTGAGATTGATCGCTGGATCAAGTTACGTGGAAAAAGGTGGAGCGAGTTGAGAATGAAAACAAGAGTCTAGAGACAGGTGAACAGGCCTAACTCTCACCTTCACCTGGCCATCGTCAGTTCGCCACCGTGCAAGCCGAGCACAAGATGCGCCTCTGTTTGCGCCACTTCCTTTTATGTTCAAGGCCTAATAATATGTTGACCGCGACGTTCATGCAATCAGGGCCTTCTTGGAGCGATTTATTCGTTGCTTCGTACCTAGTTCTCGTCTGTTATCTGGGTATAATGCTGGCTGGTTATCTGTGCGTGTTTTACGGGCCGAGTTAGATACAAATTTTATCAAAGGTCTGCTATTATTTTATGGTAGTGACAGAGTCCAGACGTCCTGCAGTCCTACAGAGTAGACAAGGAAGCTAGCTGTACCACGGTACTTACACATTTCCCGACCGGCTGTTCCATGGTCCATTTACCACCCATTCTTCTGACATACTTAGACCTACCAGGTTTGTCATTGTACACTTCACGTCCCAGAACGCGGCACAGTCATGCCAGTCACGACCTCGCATCCGTTCGGCATCCAATTGACTTACACACGCCCAAAAATCCAGCCTCAATTCCTGATCGACAAAAACTAAACCTACGACGACAATGTTTCAACCAGAAAGAGTTCTCATACATAGACGCGTAACACAAAAGTTGAGCAACACTCCCCCCATCCCCGTACTTTCAACAAAGCAGCCAATTCATCCGTCAACCACTCAACTATCTTACATTAGGCTCTAACTATCTTTGCATACTAGCCACAGTCTTTCTCTCAGCTATTGGTAAAGAAGCTACTGCTAATAATACTGGCACAGTAACAGCCAATACTTCAAAAACGGATATAAGTGTTGTTAATTACGCAGCGCGTAAACTTACAAGAACCCCAGCACCGCCTAGATTTCCATACCCCCAATTCCCAGCGCCTACGTACACCGCCCTCACCGACTAAACAGACCCCCCCCCCCCCCCCCCTCATTACGCTACTTTCGTCGACATAAACTGCCGTACAGCCCAAAACCGCATCCTACCATCTGCCATCTCACATACGCCAGTCTTCTGCGCGCGAGTTACGAGATGACCGAGACCAGGCACTGTCGGGATCGGATCCAGAGCCACGGGCGCGGAACTCAGAGCGTGCAGCCTGGAGCACACGGCACATAGCCCGCAGCCCATGAACCACGACTCACGAACCGCAGCCCAGCGCCCAGAGCCCAGGAACCCAAGGTACGGAACCCACCACTCTACAGCCTTGCAATACAGAGCTCACAACGCAGAACCACCCACAGCCCACACACACACAAGCAAGAAATGCAGAGCCACAAAACACCAAAACAGGGAACCACGAGGCTTGTAACGCAGAACCTGTCACCGTTAATCGAGAACTCTAGACCTCAAGAACCACAGCGCAAAAGGGAATCGAGTTCAGAGCCGCGGACTGACAATGCAGAACGCAGACCGCGAACCCCAAGCCTGCGATAGGATGACCCGTCGATGCAGAGACTGGGGAACAATTCACAGTCTAAAGACCAGCACCCGTGGCCCACAACCAGGAGGGGGAGAGGGAGGAAGGGGGTCAGGGGTGAAGGGGAGGGTGAGGGAGCGGTAGAGGGAGTGTGTAGGCGGCCATCCAGCCAGTGCATCGCACCGTGTGCCAAACAGCGCAGAGCGGTGCAGTGCCATGCAGTGCAATACACCACAGCATTAGCCCACCAAACTGAGATAAAACGAAACTCTATTCCCTAGCCCTAGTACACGCTCACGTGCTTCTCTGCTTCTCCGCTTGCCTTCTGTGCTCGGTAACTAAGCGTCAGCGTGCACCGTATCGTACACGGCTTGCACTACACGGCTTGCACCCGCCGCGAAGCGCACCGTCGTCGGCAAAAGACCCATCCGTCCGCGAACGCCGCGCTGATGCAAAAACAGTCCTCCACCACCCTCTCTGTTCTCCCCACCCATCCTTCCCTGTTCACCCCACCCATCCATCCACCGCCCTAATTCCCCACCGCAGTATCATTAAGCGCGACACAAACCGCGCCCCTGTGATGCCCATTATACTGCCTAATAATACTCTGACTCCCCAGCTCCCACAGCCTGGCATAGTGATCACTACACGCGGTCACCAAATACGCGCTATCGGCGCTAAACGCACAGTCCCAGACCCATCGCTGGTGGCCGTGCAGCGTGGTCTCGAGCGGGAAGGCGGCGGGGTCGCGTTCTGCGGCGCTGGGCAAGGCGTCCGAGGGCGTGGTGTTGTGCGGGGAGGTCAGGTCGACGGACCAGATGCGCGAGGTGTGGTCCGCGGAGCAGGTGGCTAGGTGGCGCACGTCGGGGGAGAGCAGGACGCGCGTGATGTAGGTGTGGTGCGCGACGAATTTGCACACGGGGATTATCGAGGTGAGGTCGTTGCGCATGACCATTTTCCAGACGTAGACGTTGCCCTGCGGGGGGTTAGCACGTGTTTGGGTGCTGCGACGCGGGGCTTCGGCCACAAGCAGGCAGACTATGGGGAGTGAGGAGTGTACGCACCGCGTTGTTGCCCGCGCACACCATGCTCCCGTCGCTGGCAACCGTGACGCTCGCCACGCTCACGTCGTCCTCGGGGATCAGCTGGTGCGAGCACTTATTCTCGCCCAGGTCCCAGATCCTGACATTGCCGCCGCGGTCACACGAGATCAACTCGCCCTGATTCGGATGAATAACCACATCGTTGACGGGCACGCCGTGCGTGTAGTTGCGCTGCACATTGCCACTCCTAGTGTCCCAGATCTTGACGGTGCCGTCCTCGCTCGAGGTCACGAGCCACTTGGACTCGCAGTGGAACGCGACGCCGGTGATGTTGCTGGTGTGCCCGTCGAAGGTCAGGATCGCGTTGGGGTTGGTCGACTTGATGTCGTAGAGCTTGACAGTGTGGTGGCCGGCGGCGGCCAGGTAGCGCTTGTCGGGCGAGATGCACAGGCGGTTGACTTGGCTGTCCGGGTGCGGGATCGTGCGCGAGCAGATGCCCGAGAGCGCTTCCCAGAAGCTGTGCGTGTTAGTCGGGGCGGCGCGGGGGCGGGCGGGGTGGGATGCACCGGATCGTGTGGTCGTAGCCGGCTGGGGCTGTTAGCAGGCGTGCGCGCGTGGGAGTGGGGGACGCACCGGTGCAGAGAATAACAGACATTGCGGCGGCGCCGTGTCGGGTGGGCTGCTGGAATTGGAACTGGGGGCCAGTTTGCGACGCGACTTTAGTACTCGCGCCTGCTCCACTACCACATTGCGCGCGTGCAAGTGCAGACGTGGGGAAACTTCGTGCTGCTGAGGTTGAGCTGGGCGCTCGGACCTCTCAGCCCTACCGCGGTGAGCCGAAGCGGGAGTGGGACGCACATGACGTTTAGTCAGCAATATCATATGCAAAGTCATTACATTTCTCTATCCAAACAACGTTATGTGACCAGAATGTACAATTCACCCCCCCTCTACAGCTTCGACTTCTCGATCCGCTTGAACAGCACGTCGTTCTGCGGGTACGGGTCCACCGTGATGTTGTTCAGCGGGTTGAGCTCGCTGGCGCGGTGGAACATATCCTCGTACACCTTGCCGTCGGCGCGTCCCAGACTGCTGTCCAGCACCCAGTCGTCGAAGCCCCAGGCATCCACCAGGCGGACCGCGTGCGGGCGGATTTCCTGCAGCAGCTTCATCACCGCGTTTGTGCGCGCCAGCATGATCTGGTGCTTGCTGCACGCGCCGCTGGCGTAGAACTCGCTGCCCTCCTGCTCGAGCGTGTGCAGCGCGAACAGGCGGAACAGCTTCATCAGGACGTCGACCGTCTCGTTGTTGACCTGGTTGCCGTTTGCGATGGCCTGCAGCGCCGAGAGGTTGTTCTTCACAATCATCCACTGCGCGTGCGCCTTGGACAGGCGGTAGAAGTCGACCAGGAGGTCGTTCCACGGCTTCTTCTCTGTGTCGCGGTGCTTGGACGCCTCGAATGTGAGGAAGGACACACGCCATGCGAATGCGTCAACAAGGTCCTTGTCAGACCCGATGATATCGAACGCGCAGCCAATCTCGCGCCGCGACTGGAACTCGGCGAGGATCTTGGTTGTGTCGTTGGTGGGGCGCTCGCCCTTGAGGACGGAGCGCGCCGACTTGAGAAGGTAGCGAGCCACCTGCTGGGTGAGCATGTAGTTGTCGCCCTCCCATGTCAGAGTGGGGAGGTAGTCGGCATACCACGGGCCAATGCCGCTGAAGCTGGAGTATCCGTGGCCACCGCACGCACGACGGCACACTTCGAGACCCTCACCAGCGATGGTACTGCTGAGCGACTTCAACGCGCAAGACGATGCGTGCAGATCAGCCATCAGATCGCTGCCAGACTCCAACTCCTCGGGGCCGGCGCCACGCTTGGCATCGCCCTTGTCACGTGTCTGGGTCATCTTCGCCTGGTTGGCCTGGTACATGTCCATCATAGACTTGCCTGTGAAGTGCAGGGCGAATGTGGCGGCAATGAGGGGGAGGAGACGGATCTGGACCATGGTGTAGTTGAGCACTGGTGTCTCGGCCTCGCCAGCAGGCGCGTCACGATCCTGGAACTGGCGACGGACGGCGGTGTAGCGGGTGGCAATCGTCACACCGCGAGCAAGAACGCTGCCGGCCTGCATGACAATCGTCGACCGGACCCAGGTAAGGGTACCGTAGACGAGCGCGGGCGAGCCACGACGACCAAACTTGTTGGTGTTGGGGTCAACATACTGGTACTTGGCCAGCATGCTGATGTGGGGCACCTTGACGTGGTTGAAGAGAAGGAACCCGTTGTCCATGGTGTTGTATCCAAACTTCGGGCCGATATCGCCCACGTGGATGTTCGGGAGCGGCTCGTGGGTCTTCAGATCACGGACCTGAACGCAGAAGGGTGTAGGGCCGTAGGACTTTCCCTTGATGATGAGCTGAGCCATAACCACGGCGTAGTTGGCGGTCCGGCCGAGGGAGCCGATCCACCATTTGCTTGCTGTCAGGTGGGGCGAGTGGATGGTGAAGGTCTTGTCGTCCTCGTTCCATGTGGCGGTTGTCTCGAGACCACGAACGTTGGATCCGTGACCGAGCTCAGTCTGGGCGTAACACCCGATAATCTCGTAGTTCTCGGCCTTGGTGAGCCACATCTCCTGCTGCTCGGCTGTACCCTGACCGGCAAGCGTGACCTGCATGATTAGCGAGATGCTGACGTGAACGGCGGTGAACATACCTTGAACATGCTGTCGTGGAGACCGTATGGACCAGGCTCGCCGACAAGCTCGGTGGCGGCCCTGAATTCATCATACGACCACTTGTGCTTCTGCTTCAGCAGCCTCAACTTCTTCTCGCGGGCAAGGGCTCTCTCGAACCGATCTGTCCTTCCCATGAAGTAGTTCTGTGACTTGTCGAAAACGGGCTCGGACTTCAGCAGCGCCGTGATGTTATTCCGCCTCTGGATGACCTCCTTGGTGTGTAGCAGCTCTTCGAGCGCCTGGACGGGGATGTTGGAGCTAGCACGCTCAGCGGCGAGGAGCTCATGGCCCTGTACGCCCGAAGGCTTCAATTGCTTGACCCAGTCTGGTGTTGGTGACATGGTAACTGATGTGAGGTGAGACGATGAACAAAGAGTGGAAAAAGTGTGGGAGAGCTGAGCTTTGTATGTAGTACGTCAACACGGTCGAGAATCCTCGGCAGCCGAATTCGCTGGTGACGCGCTAGTGAACACCGAGGCATTGAGCACACGGCTCTTCGTTTGAGCCTCTAAAAGCGCCGAGAAAGCGCGTCTATTCCGGAGACGCGCATTTGCGGTAAAGCGCGTATCGGCAGTCTCCATGATGTCTCAGTAGCCGGCGTGTGCCCCCGTGTCTCGCCCCACGGGTCCAATCAACCCCGGATGTTGGTCGGGAAAACGAGCTAGACGTTGTTGGAAATGCCGAGGTTCATCGCTGCGGTGGCCTCCGCTTGCTCACGTGTGCTGATTAGATGATCTGATAACTTTGGATGGGTAGGGCGAGGGTCCTGACATGAGTCGTGATGCAGAACATGTGAAAGCAGGCGGTGTTAGGGATGTGGCCGCAGTATACATGTGGCAGTGTCATCGATGTCATCGTCAACAGAGGTGCTGTTACCGGAGTCACTGTCAGCAGAGTCACTGTCAGCAGATGTCACTGTCAACACGCGTAGTTTTCTATTTCGTGGGGGCCGATGATTCGTCGGAGTGGTGTCAAGACGACCCTGAATCTGGGGGAAAGCAGCACTGAGTGAGGTGTGCTGAGCTCCGCTTTGTGTTCAGAGTGTGACACGGCTGTAGAGAAGATACTCGCCTCAGGGGTCGATGAAAGCCATCACAGCCTCCCGTGCAACGCGGCTGCTATGACGATGGTGCAAGACACGTCTCTGAACCGGTGGGACAGCTACAGGTGGGGCAGCCGGCCGCCACTGACTTGACACAGACGATGACCACGTATCTGCTGTAGACTGGCCGTGTGCGCGATTTGCCTCTCAACTTCTTAATATCGTCAACCATCGTCAACCAAGCAGTGAGATGCAGGCGTGAAAACCCAGCTCCCACGCAGCGCACATACGCGCAAGCTAACGAGTTGATAAGCATGCATACCTAGGGCCACAGTCACATGTGGTACATGACAGACTGGCTAAGTCGAGGTAGATGGGCTCTGTCGTGCGAACAGGTGATTGACAGTGTTTACCTGCCCCTCGTCTACCTGCCTCGCTCCAGAAGAGCCCGACGCAGAGAGGGGCAGTCGGAAACAATGGCTGGGCCTGCTGTCAGCCGCAGTAGCGGCTAGGTAGCAGCTGGTCTCGATTTTGGAATTGCCAATCGACTCAGTCCCAGCCCTGTGCGACGGCACGCGAGCTTGAACATCAGGCTGCGATGAAGCCGCAGGCAGACAGCCTCAGGCCGCTGTCCACCGGTCGAGGGGCGCAGAGTCGAAGCATGCCGTCACGCGCAGCAGAGGCGGACGCAGAAACTTGCAGCGTTGCCGCCCCTCTCTTCCTGATGTTAGCTGGCGCTAGCGCGCTGCTGTCCAGGCGGAGTGACGCTTTAATCTCTTGACGCTCAACACCAACACAACCGTCCTGTTTACTCTTAGCGAGCCAGGCACGCAATTCTCCCCTTGCCACCCCCCTCGTCCTCTCTTCTCTCTGCTTCCCCTCCGCAGCCAACCGCCCGCCCGCTCTGCCCGCGCTTCCGTTTTCCGCCCACCCCACTCAGGACTCGAGTGACGGCTCACAATTGCATGCACGCGAGACTCCGTTCGCTGCACCTCCGCTTCTCCTCGCCCTTCGCCCCGCGGTCCTCGTAGGCACCAGGCACCATGGGTCAGACACTCTCCGAGCCCGTTGTTGACAAGGTAGACGCCCGCCCCGCCCCGCCCCGCTCCGTGCTTGAAAACACCACACCTCGACGTGGTGGCCGCGCGGATGCACGCACAGCATTGCTGACAGCGCCCAGAAATCAGAGTCCGGCGATGGCGACAACCTCATCTTCGGCACCTCCTCGATGCAGGGCTGGCGCATCAGCATGGAGGACGCCCACGCCTGCATCCTCGACCTGCAATCCGCGATCGAGGGCAAGCCCAGCGACGCCGACAAGCGCCTGGCCTTCTTCGGCGTGTACGACGGCCACGGCGGCGACAAGGTCGCCATCTACACCGGCGAGCACCTGCACGAGATTGTCGCAAAGCAGGAGGCCTTCAAGGAGGGCGACATAAAGAAGGCGCTCCAGGACGGCTTCCTCGCCACCGACCGCGCCATTCTGAGTGGTACGTCACCTGTGCATCCGGCTGCTGACTGCGCGCTGACCCCCACCAGACCCACGATACGAGGAGGAGGTCTCTGGCTGCACAGCCTCCGTCGGCATCCTCTCCAAGGACAAGATCTACGTCGTAAGTACGGCCCTAAAATGCGGAACGCCGTATCTGACTCGACTAGGGCAACGCTGGTGATTCGCGTACAGTCTTAGGTGTCAAGGGCCGCGCAAAGCCGCTCTCCTTCGACCACAAGCCCCAGAACGAGGGTAAGCAGACTCGCCTCTCACGGGCGACCGCGCTGACAAGCTGCAGCTGAAAAGGCACGCATCCAGGCCGCAGGAGGCTTCGTCGACTTTGGCCGCGTCAATGGCAACCTCGCCCTGTCCCGTGCGATAGGCGACTTCGAGTTCAAGAAGAGCGCCGATCTGCCCCCTGAGCAGCAGATCGTCACCGCGTTCCCCGACGTCGAGATCCACGAGATCAACGCCGACGACGAGTTCCTCGTTGTTGCTTGCGACGGTAGGCTAAACCCTCTCTACGATAGCTCCCGCTAACACCTGCAAGGCATTTGGGACGTGCAGTCCTCTCAGGCCGTGGTCGAGTTTGTTAGGCGCGGAATTGTGGAAAAGCAGGACCTCGCCTCCATCTGCGAGAACATGATGGACAACTGCTTGGCGTCGAACAGCGACACGGGAGGCGTCGGCTGCGACAACATGACTGTCACCATCATCGGTCTGCTCCAGGGGCGCACCAAGGAACAGTGGTACGAGGATATCGCAAAGAGGGTTGCCAACGGAGAGGGCCCATGTGCGCCGCCCGAGTACGGCAAGTCTGAAGACCCAGCTCCGTCGGCCCCTGAGGCCGAAGAATAATTCAAATCTAATACAATCGTGCAGCCGAGTTCCGCGGCCCGGGAGTTCACCACCGCATTGACGACAGTCCCGATGAACATGACATGGACCTTGACCACGGGTTTAGGCAGACTTCCGGTACGGGCGGCCGCATTATTTTGTTAGGCGATGGCACTGAAATTGAAACCGACGGCGCAGACAACGAGATGTTCAACAGTGCCGACGAAGAGAAAGACCTCGACTCGCAGGTCAACAAGTTCAGCAAAGATGACAAGCGGGACGGCACCCCCGGACCCAATGTCACCGAGGTCACCGAATCGCCCTCGTCGGTCGCAACTGAGAAGTCCGAGGACAAGGATACAACCGAGAAGACCAAGCTGGACACCCCTACGAGCGCGAAATAGATACTAGACCCGGTGCTGGTCGAGTAATGTCTCTCATACCATGATTACGGCGATTCGTATGTTTGTTGGACGCGGTTATGAAGATATGGAAATGGGCAGTGTCAAAGTCACGATTCAAGATACCTGGCGTCGTAGCCTGTCGCCATCCTCTAGCTACCTATCTTTTTGGTTCAGTTACCTCCGTCTGATGATGCTCGTATAGATGATGAGACGCTTTTGACGTGATGCCATTGCCCAGAAGCCCTTACATGTACAGCTAGTCCTTTACCATGATGGTCGTAGTGACATCAAGCACACCAAGCATGCAGGGCCGTTTATGTCAACGCCAATTCGCCGGAAAGTGTGTGGCTCGGTGCTCGGTCCCCACATCCGACCAGTCGCGGCCGCATTCTATCCCAACCACCACCACCAGAGCATCAACTCCCATACATCCCCGTCACACACTACTCAGCGCAAACACAAGTGCTCGTTATTCTTATGTGACGGCATAAGAGACTCTTTCGTTCGCCACCTGAAATCGGATTATCGTGCACTGATACTCCATCTTTCTCTCGGGAGGAGTGTGAGTGGGGTGGTAGGCGTCTGCACCTACCGCCGGTTCTCGATCGCGAGGAACAAAAATTCCTACTGAATGGCTAGGATAGAGGGGGCGATTACCATGGTTCTCTGCCACTGGGTGTTCTTTCTTGATTAGATGTGCGTGCTTGGCTGCCCTTACGTGACTTGTTAATGAACAGTGTGGAGGGAAGCCAGGACGAAGGCGCGCCTGCTCATCGAGCTTTCCTGCGTCACTGCATAAATAACCACGCTAAGTACCAGCATGCATCTTGCAGTTTCAACTCATATCCTATCATCAACACTCTCACCATATTCTTTCGTTTATATCGGTGTCTTATTCGTTATCACAAAATCATGGCTACTCGCTCTGCTGTTCTCCCACGAGCGAATGATCGCCGCCCAGGGTATGCTGTCATCAACACAGAACCGCCCGCATCGCACTCTCATGCTGCTCCTACATATCAAGATCGGTACCGCGAGTCTTCGAGGACTCCATCTGCCCCAGGTCCAGGGTACGTCACATACAACTCGATCGGTATTCCTACATTCCACCCATTTGAACGGCCAGCGGAGCGCCTGGTAGCGATCAGATCGTTGAGTGGCACAGAAGGGAACAACTCGAGGAAGGACAACGAGGACCGAGACCGAATGGGTTTGCCTCAACAATTCCAGCGCAGCTTCAAATCACAATGGGCCAGGGTTCCCCGGTTAGGACTCCTTGGCTTTGGATGCATGAATCTGGCGATCTGGGAGCAACTTATCCTCTTACTCCCCCTCGCCTTACCGCACGGCGGCATTGGAACGATTCTCGTGGCCTTTGTTGTCATTTCAGTACTGTATGGCTGCATCAACACGAGCCTCGCCGGCATGGCTCGAGAGTACCCCACATACGCTGGGCCTTTCTACTGGACGGCTGCGTATCAGACATCATGGACGAATTCCGGGGCCCGGCACTTGTTGAGCTGGTACTGTGCGTGGATGAGCTTTCTGGGGATGAGCATCAATCTCGTCGTGAATATGTACTTCATTTCGGATGTCGCGATCTTTCTGTTTACTCTGGCCAAGACGGAATCAAGGTTCTTGTATTCAGACAAAGAACCTGAACACCACCTGAGGGTATCTTGGGCACTTCCAGTCACCATCGTCATTGCAACTGCCGTTGCTTACATCCCCAACTGGATCAATGTCAAGCACCTCCCAAGGCTGCACACGTGTTTTGCCGTTTTCCATTGGCTCGGATTCCTGATTTTCATCATCGCCATCCCGATTCTCTTCAACAAAACCTCCGGTCTCAGTATGACAGTCTAGGCGACCTGGCGCCACTTTGCCAACAGATCCGGGTGGAGCAATGTTGTTTCAGGATTTGTCGCTTCTGGTGTCCTCGTGCAGCCGTTTCTTGGATGTGGATTCGTTGCCCATATCGCAGAGGAAGTCGTCGATGCTGCAGTCCATGTACCCTTGACTATGTATGTCTCGTACTTCATGGAGGGACTGATGGGACTTATAGCACTCATGGTAGCTGCGGTCTATGTTGGGGAGAACCAAGTGGTCACCGCTCACGATCTGGCACTGTTGATGCTCCAGACAAGTTACGTTCCGGTGACCCGGTTTCTCGCGGTGGTCCTCATCATACTGCTCGCCATGCGTAGTACGACTCTTCTGGCAACTTCTGCACGCCAGATTCTGGCTATCGGCAGGAGCTGCAACATGAAGGAACTCAACTTCTTGGGGGAACTCGATGGATCTCCCGCACCTCGGAGTGCGCTAAGTTTTGTTGCAGTGATGACAGCGGTGACTGAGCTTCTCACGCTTTTGAAGGACTACCGGCTCGTATTCGAGCAAGTACGCCGGCTGGGAGTCTTGTGCACTCTCACCTCGCACATCATTTGTATCGGTGCAGTGTGCATCTACCGTCTCCGGGATCTCACGAATCGGAACAAGACCAGGCCCCGCTTCAGCTACTCGAAAGTACTGCGCTTTATCACCAGCTGGCTTGCTTTTGGGGCATGCGTCTCCTTTCTCATATTCGTCAATTTCCCGCCAGAGCTGCCAGTCAAGCCGGCAAATGCACCATGGAGCTTGCTAGTGTGGGGTCTGATCATCATGTGGTTATCATTCTGTTATTGGAACTCAGCCTGTGTTGATTTTGGCATCGAAAAAGTTCCAGGTAGCTTCCCGGGCTTCTCAACGGACATGCTTTTACGAAGTGTGAACAACACAACGTCTGCAGCGGCGGAACCCATCAGGCCACATGATCCAGAACCACACGATGCCATCAGGAGTCAAGAAGCATTGGGCAATGATCAACTAAATTACCATCAAACAGCCCCAATGCCGGGGTGGCTACATGAAGGACCTGTCGACCACGAACAACCTACAAACCTGGAGATGCTAAACACACTTGGGCCCATCACACAGCCAAAGACCAGGAATAGCCATCGCCCAGAAATACCCGCTCATATTCCGGACACCCTCGCCTGCTTGGCCCCGTCAAGATGCTTGCAGGGTGCTCGGATCCCTGGTGCTTGGATCTCTGACATTGGTCCCTCTGATTTTGCCAGAGGCTTGTGTCGAAACTGTAAGGCTTCGCGTCAGAGGGCAGCGGTGATGGAGGATGGGTGGCCGAGTCGTGCAGACGTGTTCGAGAGTGCATATGAGTCCGCGTAGGGAATGTGAGAAAGGTTGGGGCGGCTCGTGTCCAGAAGACGAGTGGGTTGCATGGGTGGGTGACGAGTGGAGAGTTCAGCTGCACTCGCTTTGCGGATGGTCCAGCAAACAGATCTTCGGGATGGAAGTTCTGAGACTCACAGAGTCAGAGTAGCAACTAGCGCGTATAGCTGGAGAATTGTTTCTACTTCAAAAATACCCAATCTCGCCTGGTGTTATACTACCATCAGAAATTCAATGCCTCTACAGTTTCGCAAGCACCCCCTTCCCCCCATCCCCACTCCCCAGCACAATCTCCTCACTCCTCCAATCCACATTAAACGTAACTTTGTTCAGTGGATTCCGCCGATGCGCCATATCAAACAACTCCTCGTACACACGCCCATCATACCGCCCGAGCGCCGAGTCCAGCAGGAAATCCGGTATCGACCAGGCATCCACGAGCTTAACCGCGTGCGGCCGGATCTGCGCCATGAGGTCCAGAATAGTGTCAGGCAGCACGGCGAGACACGCCGGCGGGACCGCAGTCGTCAGCACGAAAGACGTGGCGGCCTGCTCGAGGGTGTGCAGCGCGAAGAGGCGGAAGCAGGCGCGGAGGAGCTCGGGTGTGGGCGCGGAGAGAGCCGTGGCGGCCGTGGCGGTAAGCGCGTTGTGGAAGTTGGAGACGAGGATGTGCTCGCTGTAGGCGCGCGAGAGGGCGTGCAGCTGGATCATCATGGCGGTCCAGGGCTTCTTGTGGACGACGCGCTGGGTGTAGGCGCGGTGGCTGAGGGCGGCGGCGCGCCACTGGAAGATGGAGACGAGGCTTGTGTCGCTGGGCTCGCCGGGCGTGGTGGCGCCGAAGTAGGATTCCGGGATGCGGTGGTCTTTGGTCTGGAGGTAGTGTTTGAATAGCTCGTCTGTAGGGTCTCGGGAGGCGAGGTCGGGGTTTTCGACGCAGAGTTGCATTTTCTTGATCAGGTAGGCGGCGACTTGTTGGGTGATCATCCAGTTGTCTCCTTCTACTGTGGGCTTAGAGAGATAGTCGGAGTTCAGGCCTATGAGACCGCTTCCGCCCCCGAAACCGTGTCCGCCCATTGCACGTCGGCAAGTTTCGATTCCATCTGCTGCAAGTGTTGTGCAAAGTGACTTTAGCCCCGAGGAAGCACTGTGGAGCTCTGCCAGCGGCCCAAAGTCGCCCTTCTCGATTGTGGAGCGCGACTCATTGTAAAGTTTGTAGAAATACTCGCCAGTATAATGCAGGGCAAAAGTAGTAGCCAGAAGGGGCAGTACCCGGATCTGCACTGTCGGGTAATCGAGCACTTTCATCTCTGGAGCATCATGTGACTTGGCGTCGCGATCCGAGAACTGGCGACGAATGCTACAGTACCTGACTGCCACGGTCACCGCACGCGCCAATACGAGGCGGGCATGCATAATGATCTGGCCCCGCACGAAAGTCAGGGATCCGTAGACCACAGCCGGATGACCGCGCCGTGTAAAGGTGCCGACTTCGTCAGAAACTTCTGCGTAACGCGACAACATAGCTGATCTCGGGACGCGGTGATGGTCAAACAGCATGTACCCGTTGTCCATGGATGCGTAGCCATATTTCGGGCCGATGTCACCTACGGCTATGCCTGGCAGCGGTTGGTGAGTCGTTGCGTCCCGAATCTGCAGCAGAAATGTTTGCGGGCCGTGAGAAGTATACGCGATCGGGTCACCTTTGGACGGCAAAAGTAACTGTGCGACCACAATCTGAAGGACCATTAGCTCGATTTTAGATGTCGGTGGTACAAATTGACGTACAGCATGTGTGGCGGTTCGACCCATGGATCCATTCCACCACTTGCTCGCAGTCAAGTAGGGGCTGTGGATCTCAAATTCTTTAGTCTTGGGGTCCCATGTCGCTGTCGTCTCCAGTCCTCGGACATTGCTTCCATGGCCAAGCTCCGTCTGCGCATAGCACCCAATGATGTCGTAATTCATAATTTTAGGCATCCAGTACGCTCGCTGTTCCTCGGATGCTTGTTCGCGTACGGTGGTAACTGGCGGTGTCAATCAACGCCGACGTTGCACAAGCAAAAGGAAAGATCTAACCAAACATAGACATGTGCAAGAAGTACGGCGACATTTCGTCGTTCAGATACTCTGCCATGCTGTAATCTGCGTGATCCCAGCCTTCCCTGCGAATGATCCTTTGTATTGCTTTTGCCCTTGCTAATCCCAAATGATACCGTTCAGGTCGTGACAAATTGAGCTGCTGATCCTTCTTGAACAGACGTTCTTTGCTCAGAACCTTAAGCACCTTCTCCTGTCGCTGCAAAAAGCCATCACGAGACAGCAGGTGCATTGCCAGCTCGTCGACGTTTATCGCAGAGCCGTCGCGTTCAGTTTGTAAAGTCGCTGTGCCATCGTGGGCGGGTAGGAGATGATCGGTGAAGTCGGGCATGGCGCAAATGTCGCTTGCGCGATAGGTGCAGTAAGCAGGGCGTATCGAGGTCGTGGTGTACAAGGGCGATTCGATGACTGAGCAGATCGGCAGCGCGCAGCAAAAGAGAGTTCAACCGTTCGCGGCAATGGCGCGAATATACGCCATGTTCAGGGCTGTTTCAGCCTCGGTAGATGTGATTAGAATTGCCATTACTTACATACAGCCTGTCGCTGTGCTGTTGATGATGCGCATCCGCGCTGCGGGGATGCCATCGCACGCTGTGAGGGCGGCAATTTTCGGTATTGTTGTCGAATCCAACAAAATCAAAGACACGCGCACAATGCTTAGATCCAGAAACGTAAGCACGACACCGAGGAGAGGACATGCGAGGGCTCATTGACGATTCTGACGAGAAGGTGATGATCGATTGAAGAAGAACCAAACAGCGCTTGGCTGTGGCTGCTGGGGTAGAGCCGAGGTAGGCGCCCCGAAATTACAGCAGAGTTGGATTGAAATTGCAAAGAAACGCCAGGATCCGACATCCTCCTCATCAAAGTGGGAACAAATACCTCCCAAAAACAAAACCGACTAGCTATTTGTACAGGATATTCCCAGTTGCCATACCGTGGCGATGTAACGCCATAACCATATCCTTTAATAAATGCAGGACGCATATGCAAGAAGAGTTCATCAACAAGGGTGCACCAGGCATCCAAGAAAGGCCACGACAGGGCCAGACATCCACAGTGTCGACAAGACAGCGATCTCCAACCGCGTTTGCCGACAGTAATAAGTCAGCTGCAGTCTACAAGACGACAGCTTCAGACCAGCTGCATAAGCCACCGTCTTCGTTCAAGACGCGATCCATATCCTCTTTGGTCAGACGGACTAGGATCTCAAAGGGCGCTTCGGCATCGTTAGCTACATGCCTCCTCCTCGGGAGGAAGATAATGCCGCCGTCGCCGGGACCGTATGCTCGCCTGATGAACTCGGGTCGGCCCCCGAGGGAGTCCTCAGCCAAGTCGGTACCAGGAATGCCCCAACGGTAGTCAGCACCGAAGTTGAGCCAGGACGTCTGTAGCCGTCAGTATAGTGCGTTGTCAAGGGGAACCATGTTACGTACAATGTAGCAGTCAGATCCGAACCGCAGCGCCAGCGCGCATTCTGTGTCTTTGATCTCTTGCAGCCCTTTGAAGAAGGCAAAGTGACGGTCGATCCAGGCATTGTTCACACTCGTGATGGTATTCTTGATCTTCTTAATGACGTGAAGAATGGTTTTATCCGTTACACTGCATCTTCGTTAGCTAGGCTGACTACGACAGATAGGGGTAGCGCATAGTCTAGACTGTGATCATCGTGCAGGTATGCAGATGCGAGGCGCACGGATCGACAATCACAGGGTAAAAACAACTTACCATTCCTCAGATGTTAGGTCAGAGATCTCGGTTGTGCATTTCGAGAACAATGCACAGTTGCCGGTGTAGTCGGCACCGACCGGGGGCTGCCATCTCATGCGAAGATCGGTTGCGATTCCACAATTGGTCTGGACATAACCGTGCCTTGCTAGCCGAGCTGCTCTCGCGCGTGTAACATGCGTCCATACCAGAGCAGCAAGGACATTGCACAATGTGGGTGGCGATGACAGCGGGAAGTGCGGCCGCAGGCGTTCGCGATACTTGCGGACCCGCTCTGCAGGGAGAACAAACAGTCGTTGTGTGCACTCGGTGTCGTCTGGTAAGGTCTTCCTGTAACGGAAGGCGCCATCGCAGTAGCAGTCTGCTGTTGCGCTTTTCGCTCCACTGTACGACACACGCTCATCGAGCTTAGCTCGTAAGGAGGATTGGTAGTCGGCTATACTTAGGGGCACTATCGCGGTTAGCCAGACAATAGTCGATTGTCAGTGCGTGATGTTACCTGAATCCGAGTCCCTGGAACCATGCGTCTGTGCGACGTGAGAAACGTTTGCAGCGAGCGACTCCCAGAAAGTTGAGATGCCGTGAAAATCAAGCACGCTGTGGTGAATGTACACGCTCAGGACAAGGCCACCAGGAATGAAGCATGCTTGAATCCTCATGACCGGAGCATCACTCTGGTTGAAATCACAGAGGCCCTCACCATTGGCGGGAACACCTGGGTAGTTCGCAAAGTCATCCGGGAGAAACGTGGCACTCCTGAACGCGCTCGGAGGCATTCCGGTCTTTTTGAGTCTCTCGTAATGATGAGGGAAGTCGTCCATGACGATCAGCTTGGCCGCAAAAAGGCCTTTCGTCGCTTCTCGACCCGTGACATCAACTGGATACTCAAGCTGGAGTCTGCCGGAACCATCACCGGCTAGGCTCAGCATCCCAGCGAGGAATGGGAACTTTTGAATTGTGAGGCGCAGTCCGGCGTCGAGAGCGTGGATGGCCGCCTCGGCGTTGTTCTGATCTGGGAACTGTACAAACTTTCGTCAGCGTGCTTTCGTCCTGACGGACAAGGGGCTTACAGGGAAGATGCATAGTGTTTGTGTGTACACTCGAACTGCGTTTTGGTCGAGGAAAGACAGGTGGAACGACCTGAGATCCTCGGCGGGTGGAGATTCTGCTTTGACGATCATGTTGGTACGAATCACGATAATATGCTAGCGTCAGAATTGCGCGTTATTAGAAAGAGGTTTAAGGACATATCCGGGGCCTGCCGCGCTTAGTATATATACCAAGAGAGGGAACAGTCACACATACCGTGAGCTTGGGGGGTTGACAATGAGACCTTGCGGTGAAGGGGGAAACAAACACGCACGAAGACCACGAGAGCAGTCACCGCAAGGTCCCTTTGTCGAACCTGTGTGACGGCTAGGCCGCGTTGACCGAGACGTTTGGCACACGGCCCGAATGCGCTAACAACAATTGCCATTCCATTTTGGTACGATGGCGGTGCCATCGTCGGGCTCCAAGCCGCATCCCCGTGCAAGCTTCGTTCAGACAGGGGTCCCGGGTCACACCCGGCGCCCAACGTTCAGCGCCCCGTCTTCCCCGTCCGCCTTATGATTTCACGGTTCCTGAACCAAATGCTGCGGATGCGGGCAACGTGCTTCCGCTTGTGGGAACGTTCCAGCTTGCGTCCCCACCAACCCGGATGCAATGGGCAAGGGCTTGATCAACACCGGCTACCCACCGAGCAAAACCGTTGTTGCGGGCCTGAGGCGGCTGACAATTCAAAAGCAAGCCATCCCCTCCCGCAGGTTGCTGCGCGACGTCCCGGGAGGACAAGGCGGTGCAGTAGTCTTTTGTTTGCCCTCTTCTGTTCTTGGCCAGGCTGACGCTCAAATAGGCTCGGCGTTCGACGCTGGCATGCTGAAGCAGGCTCGAAGACAAATGCAGGGCCCGTCACGCCATGCAAAACAGTCGTATTGGTCGGCAACGCGGCGACTAATGAGGCGACGCCACCATCTCATCACCAAAGATAGCCGCTGTGTTGCCCATTGCATAGCAAGCGCGTACTGGTCAATAATCAAGGCAGCAGGCAGACATGTTGCGCTTCTTGCTTATGCAAGGCAACGCAAAGTTCCCACCATCCAGGTGGTCGGAAAGGGCACTTCTGTGTTTTGATTCTGAAACGGAAGGTACAACGCACTCGAATGTGGGTTTGTGTCGTCTGAAACAGCGTAATCGCCGCGTAGCGGTGAACATTTTACCAGCCCCAGAAGACTTGGGCCACATTGTAAGCAGCTATGCGTCATAGTTGCACGCGCATCGACCAGACACGTTGCAAGTGGAGTTCGCGAGTTTCGGCCAGGACCCAATGTGCCTGCCAACAGCCAACTCAACGCCGGAACAAAACGACAAATCGAAGATGCAGCCAAAGCCTGCGCGCTGTATGGTGGAAGCTGTCAGGGCGATGGTCGCGATTTGAAAGAAGTAAGCGCCACGTAGCGTATTCACATCGCGTGCAACTTTCGGACTCCAATGAACGAGAGATCGCTTTACCGTATTGATGCACGTCGGCGAGACGCTTGACGGCGACTGGTAGGTACGCACATGCGTTGGTTTGTCCTGTATGCACAGCTGAGGTACAGGCGCAGGAGTGTTGCGGCAGAGCATTGCATGCAAACAGGTCCACAGACGCAGCAAAACGAAGATCCGTCTTTGTTTGGATGACCGATACAGCTCGAGCGACATGAATGGCCGGGTAGCCTTCCGTGTCTCTGGGGCCATGTGGATGGAATGGGACGGACCATCCGGCTGCGGACCGCAGTATCAGGCAGAAGGCTTGTCTGACGTTGTTCACCGGTCCGGAGTCATGAGTCCCTCGAGTAATCTTCTGGAACAGTGAGGCATTGGGCTGCTTCGAGAACGCACTCTTCGGCGGCTCAACCGAACCCTGCGATTCGCGACCATCGCTTCTAGAAGTAGTGTTGGCAGACTGTGAGGGCACATCGAAAATGCTTGGGTTGCAAACACAAAGCCAGCACTTTTTAAGACCTGTTTCGAGATCTCGCACTATCTCTCGTACTGACCGACAACGTAGCTTCGAGTCGTGAGTGGACGAGGGCGATTTGCAGGTGGTACCTTTGCTCGCGACACTCCGATGATGCGATCGGCGCAGCCGTCGAACACTACTGGAAACCAGCTGTCAAGACTGAAAAGTCAATATCGTCGAAAACGATTGACTGTATGAGTGTTGCGTGGTTGTCGCGCATGTTCACGGCGTGCATGTGTTAGCGCCGGGAGCGAGTAATGGCTGCGGGGTAGAGTTGGGGAGCCCCGCGACAGCAAAGAGCCTCCAGAAAATACCGATGTTTGCCATGGGACTAGCATGACAACTCAAATCGATTCGGCTCTTTGCGTGCCTAGGTATGTACTGCGTTAATGTAATCACAAAGTCTGGATCTCCGATCGAGGCTTGCCTGTAAACTTCAAGTAGCCCGATGGCCCTCAAACATAGGTAGGTTTGTCCAAGATGGAGGACCGTTCGTTCATGGTCCCGAAACATGATGGCTACAACGTGTTTCCAAATACCGTACGTGGCCTGAGTTGGTAATCGACTGCAGCTGACTCTAGCAGCCGTTGTTCAGCCGACTACTGCGATACGCAAGTCGGAGACCTGCGCGCATAGCGATCGATGATGTACGATCCAAGCATCAAAGGACACACATCGAGTTGCTCTCCGATGTGTTGGCGTTGCGCGAGGTAGTTTCAAACACGCTGGATCCTGTGATCTTGACAGCCCTAGATCAACGAGATGAGGTATATATTGCGATAGTAGCGGCCGGTGGTTATGAATATACAGTTGCAATGCTCACTGTACTTTCCTTGGGTGCAGCAGCTGTACCTATAACACCGGCGCTTCCTGTAGAAGAAGCAGCATACTTTATCGAGAAGTCTCAGGCTTCAATAGTCCTTGTAAGCTCGATGGACCTCGAGAAGTGCTGTGCACTCGAGAAGCGGATCGCGGCTACCAGTAACGCCAATTTTCGCGGAATCCCAATCGGTTCATGTATCTACGCACCAACACTGGATCCATCGGACATCTTGATCTCTTCAGATCGAGCGCTAGAGGAGAATGCACCGGGAGTCGTCATCTTTACAAGCGGGACAACTGGTCCTCCAAAGGGCGCTGTCATGCGCAGATCGTTTGTGTTTGACTGCGCACTGTCGGTTGCGGACCACTATAGGCTCACAGAGGATGACGTGATGCTCCATGTCCTCCCCGTACATCACGCAACCGGTGTGGGAATCAACTTTTTCCCGTTCCTGATATCTGGCAGCCGCATAGAATTTCGGAGTGGTGGTTTCGATGAAGTTTGGATGTGGGAGAGATGGAAGCAAGGCGCGACTAACCCTCGAAGACGGTTGACATTCTTTTCGGGCGTTCCGACCATATACATGCGGATGCGGCGGCACTATCAACGCCATTTAGTCAAGCTGCCGTCAGAAGATCTGGCAAAATACATTGCTGGGGCGCGACAGTTTCGGGCATGCCTCTGTGGAACATCGGCGTTACCACAGCCACTGAACGAGTTCTGGACCTCACTCATGCAGAAGAGAATAGTGCAGAGATATGGTGCTACTGAGTTCGGTGCTATCTTCAAAGTTCGTTTGGACGACAAGAAGGTTCCGGATGGATCTGTCGGTCAAGTCGCAAGTGGCATTGACGTGAAACTATCAGACGGTGATGAGGGTGAAGTCCTGGTGAAGAGCCCAGTAAGCGAGCTAGATACTGCATTTGAACTTTTGCTGACCATCTTAGCACATGTTCTCCAAGTACCTGCAAGATCCTGAGGCTACTGCGAAAGCTCACGACGAGGATGGTTACTTTCGTACCGGCGATATAGCGCGAAGAGAAGATACCTATTACTATATCGTCGGGCGAGCATCCTTGGACATTATCAAGTCTGGAGGGTACAAGATCTCTGCCCTGGACATTGAGCGCGAGCTACTCGGACTACCGTACATATCCGAAGTCATGGTTGTGGGCGTCGCTGACGAAGAATTTGGGCAAAGGGTGGCTGCAGTGATATCACTGCAGGAGGAAGAGCTGACTGACTCCTTCTTCGAAACATATGGCAATGCTGATTATGTCCTCACCATTGAAGACCTACGCAGAGATCTGCGTGAAAGATTAGCGGGATATAAGCTACCGACGCTGTTACGCATCACACCTGGAGAGCTCCCAAAGACGGCGACTGGCAAAGTGCAAAAGAAGATCTTAGGTCCGCAGTTCTTTCCGGCTGACTACGAGACGTGCTCAGAGGTGCAACAGTGGCTTTTTCCAAGCATACAATTGGCGAAACTGTAATTGAGGTGTGACCACTCCAAGCTAAGATGACAACATTCGTGTCATTGTCAAGAAGCGGTTGAAAGGGATGAGTGATAGTGGTGCTGGACACGGGGTGACACAAGTCCGTCAAGGCGAATACTACCCTAGTATGGAGGCTTTATGCAAGTCACTTCCACGGTCGTTCCTGCTGGAGAGGGCTGAGGATTCGCCTCGCTCAACTCAAACAAACCGCTTTTTGACAGTCAAGATTCACGTCTTTCACGAGCTTCATCTCACTACGTTCCGCGACAAGTATTAAAGCTTGAACACGTACCTTGAGTGCGAGTATATATACCGTAACTACATGATTATGATATCTTGGCATAATACCAATATACGGGCTCATACGGTATCCAAGCAACTTCGACACAATTTGTTGACAGGTATTGTTCTCCTTCACCCAAACATCAACGCCGGCCTCCTTCTCACCCTCAACTTGTACAAAGTATACCATCTCGTACCACCTGCCGTACCCCAAGCTGACTGTGTTCCAGGTTTTACGCAGTAAAGCACATTGGAACATCTATGCCGGATCTAGACTCAGATAGCACATCTGATCGTGACCAGCTGCAAGTCCTATGGCTAAGATGGCTGACGTACATTATCCGCTTGCGCACCGACGTTGCCTGTATCCACAGCTTCTACTGAGTCTCTTATCCGCGTGCCTTATCCGCGTGGTGGATCGCGCAAGCAGAGCGGGAAAAATCGGCGAAGGTGCGACGGAGTTAATTTTTGCTTCGGCCCTTATCGCCTTCAATTACATTGTTCGCCAGCTTCAACCCCGCTTGCATGCCAAATAACGTCAGGAAGCACACCATTGAGCTCTGCTATTGGTCGACTACATCCAGTGCTTCCGACAGCTACCCCACCAGCTGTACACGCACAAAGACAACTTGCGCCCACCGTCGTGCCCCTCGATCCATTCAAGCTTTCAGAGATACAAGAATATACTGACCAGCAAACCCGCAAGATGTCCTGCGAAAACTGCAAAACCGGCTTCAAGTGGAACGGCACGACCACTGGCAAGGAGACCACGCTCAACAGCTCAAAGGCCTACGTTGTTGGCGATTCGAAGGATGCTGCTGTCCTAATCGTGACCGACGTCTTTGGTTGGACCCTCCCAAACATCCGCCTGATTGCCGACAGTTTCGCGAAGGAGTCGCAGGCAACCGTCTACGTCCCTGACCTGTAAGCTCTACCCTTGTACCTAGGTAGCGACTCGCAGACCCTGACCCAGCATCTCACAGGTTCGAAGGCGAAGTCGTCGCTCCTGATGCACTTTCCAACCCAGGGTCATTCGACCTCCCGGCCTTCCTCGGCCGTCACAGCAAGGAGAACCGTTGGGCGCAGATCAAGGAGTACGCCCAAACCCTGAAGAAGCAGCACAAGAAGGTCGTTGCGATCGGCTACTGCTACGGAGCATGGGCATGCTTCAAGCTCGGAGCCGACCCCCAGCTCATCGACGCATTCTCCGTGGCACACCCTTCCCTGATCGAGAAGGCCGAAATCGATGCGGTCAAGGTCCCTATTCAGATTATCGCGCCCGAGCATGACTTTGCATTCACCGAGGAACTCAAGAAGTACACGCTCGAGAAGCTGCCGCAGCTGAATGTACCCTGGGAGTACGTCCACTTTCCCGGTATGCAGCACGGCTTTGCGGCGCGTGGTGACCCCTCCGTTGAGGCACAGAAGAATGCGCTGGAGAAGGCGAGGAGGGACGCTGTTTCCTTCTTCAACGAGTACCTGCACTAGGACCTCAGCCCGTAAGAGCTAGATATTAATTCTACGATTTGACGACACATTGCTTTCTCTTGATATCTTGTCAATCATTGATTGAGTCTGAAGCAGAATGAGTTGACGTGCATACCTTGCACCTTCCTACCTATGAAGTAGCCGATAGAGCAGCCTTCTTTGACGTAAATAATTATACAGTAGCCGTGCGAAGCTAGCGCGTACACGACGCGTCGGTCTTCACATGTGCGCCTCAAAGTAGCACAGCGGGAGGATCATGATCTGAGGTGGGGATTGAACTCCGCCAGCAGTGCAAGCTACCACACAGCACCTCACATACCTCGTAAAAGATCCGGTGCAGCGGTGTGGCTGATTGAGGTGCTATATTTCTCCTTGCACAGAACAAATACGGCGAGTGATGACGAATTCCCTACCCCCAGCCACGGCTTCTGACAGATTAGGGATCCTAGATAATTCCACGTGTTGTTCAAATCAGGCCACCACAATCCACCCTTACCGACACCACCCACCTGCCCCTATTGTGGACGATGTCCATACAAAGCAAGTCGTCATGCAGTCGCTTCTCCAAAGTCTCCACACGGGTGCGGCGTCCGGACTTCGAATGACGGGCTCCGCAGAGTACAAAGGGCCTCATTGTTTCATTTTTCATGCAGCAAACAACAACGTGATACGACAAGGAAAGACGGTTGATGGCTGCACGCATAAGTGCTACCTAGCGTTTCGAGGACCATCACAAGGCTCGCCTAGTGTTTGCGGTTGGCAGTATATGATAGGAAGCCGACCGAATTCAAGGTCGTACAGTACTCAACATTCTCAGTTGCACAGGCATCTAATCGTACACCGCTATGCATTTCTCGACTACAGTTATCGTCGGTATCTTGGCAGCCCTTGCATCAGCTCGTGCGATCGAGCGGCGTGCGAATGACAAACCTGTGTAAGTCAGACGATACGATTACAGGAACATTCCTTAACGGCTGTTACATAGATTCGTCCACTACATGGTCGGTGATGCACACACTTAACAAGACATTGTCGATGCAAAGGCTCTTGACTTTGATGCGTTTGCTCTCAACTACGGTTGGTTCGTTTTTCCCTCAAGTGACCCACACTAAAGGTGTTTACAGATCAATATGCTTACTGGTCCAACAACACTGTTAAATCTCTATTGTAGAATGCCGACGACCTTGGTTGTTTCCACCTTTGGCTGCGACAACGTGCCGGATTCTCAATTGCACTAATCTGACTTAGGTGACTGATTCTGCATCGTTGTGCAATTATAACTTCCAGGTTCGGGGTCTTTCAAGCTGATTATGGCGGCGCAAACAGAGAAAGCAGGATGCAGTTAGGAAGCCTATGACGACACCGTCGGCCCTACGAAGTATTAAGCGAAATTAGACTTGTCTGGTTACATAAGACCCACATATTGCCACGTTTGCCGAAGCAGACAGGAACGTTGCCTACCAAATACTTCGTAGCTGAAGTCCATATCCGATATCTGAGCATGGCATCAGCAGGAGAAAATAATATGCCCAAAATCGAAGAAACTTGTTTACAAGTGCCGCGCTGTGCCACTTACGAAGAGCTAGGCAATGACTTGTTCAAGCTGACCTTGACGGAAGAGAACAAAGCCGAGGTCTTCGAGTATGGACTCGTGAAGCTCAATGGAAATCAGGAAGAAGCAGCGACCATACTGCATCATCTCAAGCGATGGAGCCCATCTGTCGGGTCATTATTCATGCCACGATCTGCATCTACTATACTCAGTTCACCCTTTCGTCTCGTCTACCCAAATGCTGACCTACCGTCATTCAATGAGACTGGGTTATATGTGCGTCAGTACATGGCTGTGTCGTACTGTTGGCGTTCCGAGCAATTCCTGCCCAAGGGCTATGAGAGATACGGCAGCTGGCCCATCAGCAAGCCATTCGTTGACGCTATTATCGGCGAGAAGAATCATCCTCGTGTGGGCATCTGGATGGATCAGCTCTGTATCGACCAAGAATCGTTGATCGACAAGCACAAGTCTGTTGCAGCAATGGACGTCATCTACCGATCCTGCATCCGTCTTCTCGTGTTGCTTGAGGATGTGTTTCTAGACGAGCAAGAGGCGGCGTTGCACCTGAAGTATGATCCCACGAAATCATATGATCCAGCGTGGAGGCCATCCACGGATGAAAGAGTCGTTCTGCAAAGCTTCGACGACAAAGTCAACGCGGCGAGATGGTGGCAACGTGCGTGGTGCTTCCACGAATTCAATGTCAACGAGCCATGGGGTGACAGGAGGCAGAATCACGAGATTCATAATGCTACTTTCATAATGAACGGGCCAAACGGCTCGACAGTGAAGATGAAGTGGTGGACCCTGTGCCATATCATGGGATTGGCTGCACCTGATTCGATAGGTCAGGAGATCTTTGTCCCCATCGATGCTGGGGATCGCGAGCCAGGGTACAGAGGCAGTCTCATGGCCAGACACAATGCTGTGAGTAGAAAGGGGTGCATGCTCTTGGAAGACAAGATGAGCATCATGATCAACATGTCCGGACTTGCACTTGCGTATCAGGGACAGACAATGAGAAGTCAAGATGAACTTCAATACATCAGTTCTTTGCTAGCTCTTGCAGCCGGAGAGAAATATCCACTCACGATGTTCAACAGCCAAGCGATACCCAAGCTGCTCGACAAACCTTCGTGGTTTCAGCGTCACAGCGTCGACGAGATAGCGATTCCAAGGTTTAAGCGAGGAAGTTTACACAGTATTCATCGGATCACTGAGCAAGAGATAGAACTAGACGTGATTCTCCTTCCGCACCCTATCACATGGACACGCGTGCAAGATGCGGATCTTGTACCGACATACAAGATATTCCCAAGCACCATAGCTACTACACGTATAGCTACTTACGGACCTGTGAACGAGTCCCTCACAACAGCCAGCCGACCAGACGCAGAACTCGACGGCCCGCGTCGCAGATTCCTCGCTAGCTGTATCTTGAATGGATACGACTTCACCGCCAGACTCTGGAAGCAACTAGAGCAAGACGTGGTAGGGCCAAACTACAACCTGGGCCTGTTTAAAGACCTAGCACCCAACCCATCCCTTACCTCTGCTGCGCAAGAACTTATTGTTCAGCTTCTGCCAGTCACAACATTACTAGGCATTACAGCACCTGCCATCTTCACCCTTGGAGATGCACACATGTTCATCACGTGGCTCACAGACCCGCGCTCCATGTACTACATCGGCGTCTATGCTTACCATCTCGATTGTGATGGAAAAAATGCATTTACTACCGGTGCGGCGGTCAATGCAAATTTCCATGATGGGCCTATGGAAGAATTGAGGGCAGCTGTACCGACTGATCTATTGGATGCAACATGCATTCCTTTGAGGGTGTGGATACTACGGCGGTCAAAGACAGAAGATGCTGTAGACAAATACAGACTTGTAGGGAAGGCGATGCTGCTTGGTGAGCCAGATTTGAGAACTTTGGCTGAGGGGAGTGACGGGAAGGGTGAAGCAGTAGTAAGGTTACAGAGGGTGATCGTTGGTGGTTGACTCTGAGACTCTCAAGGGCAATTTCGATCACCAAATTCGTAGATCAAGAGTCAGTTGAATGTTTGTGATGGTGCGATGTTTGGGTGGGCGTTTGCCGCCTTCAAACGGAATGGCAGATGATTTCCAGGGGTGCCCGGTCAAATGCGGCCCCGCAAGCAGAACCCTGAATGCCGGAACCCGGACTGTCTTTCCAGCTCCCAACCGGCCGCGGTCTCCATCGTCGACATACAGTGCAAAAAAACTGCTCTACATTCGTGCTCTACTCCCACGCGTGTCACCAATGTGTCCTCGACCGGATAGATTGGTGTGTACATGGCTCCGCCAAACCAGCAGCGAGCGCGCCGAACGATCAAGGCGTGCGTGATCTGCCACAAGAAAAAAGTGCGATGCGACATTGATGAAGTTGGCGGGGATCGATGTACGCCATGCACTCGAGATGACTATCAATGCGTACCTCGCGAGCGCAAGCGGAAGAGGTTCACATTCAGTCCTTCCCCGTCCGCAGACCAGAGGAGAGTGAAAGCGCAGGATGAAGCACCTTCTCAAGAAGCTGCCAGAGACAACTTTGCAATCAATCACGCAGCAAGTGGGAGCTCGGGCGAAGGAAGCAATTCTGTCTTTGTTCCCAACAGCGCCGCAACGTTGCCTGACCAGGAGCTCAAGTCCGAGGTCGAACTCGGCAGAAGACTGTCAAGCACCGCGAGTCTGCAGGAACCTCCACTTTTGGATCGTCAGTTTGATCCCTCGCTCAACTCACCCTACGGAAGCATCCCATCTAGCATGCCCGAGTCCACCTATAGACCCAAGAATAGCGTCAGTTATCTGGGAAGATTGGAATACCTCCGTGGTGATCTTCCTGTCGACGATGACTCAGAGCTTCCTAACAAGGTCCCACATCGATTCTCAACCTCCGATATTGAGATCCTGCGAATTCAGCAGGTAACTGAACTTCCTCCCCGATCGGTCCGAGAAAGCTTGTTGGATGCTTTTTGGACGCGATGCTACCCGTGGACTCCAGTCGTGGAACGCAGCTGGATCGACGAGCGCAGCCCTGGCACAACATCTCTCCTCCTTCAGCATGCTATCTTCCTGGCGGGTAGTAGAGTCAGCGCGCCTGTGCCGAACTACCCTTCGGAAGACTTCTACAAGAAAGCTAGATTGCTGTTTTGGATGGGTGCCGAAGATGACCCTATCATCAACATCGCGTCGGCATGCCTACTGCAATGGTGGAACCCTGAGGGGCCAGAGCGGGTATCATTAGATACAAGTAGCTTCTGGGTACGTGTCTGCGTCGGTCTTGCGTATCAAGTCGGTTTGCACCGAGAGCCGAATGGAAAGCTAGATGCCGGTCTGCGAAAGCGAATCTGGTGGTCGCTTGTAACCCGCGATTGTCTGATCAATGCAGGCCACGGTAGACCTCGCGCAATCGATCTGAAGCTTGCAGACGTGTCACCTATCTCTGTCTTGGATTTCGACGGTGTGGCGGCTTCTGCAGACCTGTTTGCAGCATATGTGGGCATCTCGTGCATTTTAGGTATGTCAATCATGGCGTTCTGATTTGTCGTCGTAAAGTTTTGACGCATTCCACAGGTGATCTCACACAGAGCTACTTACGCAAGCAAGGTTTGCAGGAGCAGAAGAAGTCGCTCGAGGACAGGCTCTTTCGCTGGCTGAAGACCCTGCCGGACCGTCTACAGCTGTGTAGAGCCACAGAAGAGCGAACACTCAAATCATACAGCTTCGAAGCCCGTCAGCTCCATGTTCAATACTTCACAGTTCTGGTTATTCTCAACAGACCACTTGATCCAAAGCTAGCACCATCGACAGCAGCACTGCTCGCGTCTTCGTACATCGCTGGCATCTTTGAGGATTTCATGGCGCGCGACGAGCTTCGCTATCTAGGCCCCATCTTCACTTTTTATTGTCTGACTGCTGGCATGGCACAACTTTCGTGTTATCGCTATTCAGAGATGGTGACTGTGGCTGAACAGAATCTCAATATCATGGCCCGAGCGCTCGAGGAGTTGAGCAAGAGATGGCCTACTGCTGTCGGCAGTCTGAAACATCTGTAAGTCTTGCGACCCCTTGCCTTCAACTTACAGGTACTAATTCAACCAAAGAATGGATGTTCGTGAGAAAGCAACGCAACGTCCTCATATCGGCACATTCCCCGAGATCAGCCTTCCAAGTACTACATCACAGTTTTTCTCCGACTTCGGTCCCGACCTATGTCGAATGTGGCACACAATTCATCAGCGGTTGCCTCAAGCTGCGAACTTTGCACCACGGGAACTCGAAATGGCTGGCATCCTGCAAGGCTTGCGCACGCCCAACCATCACCTTGATCTCGATATTGCTGCTGATGTCGCCGCGCAGCATATGATGAACAACCAAGTCACGACTGAAGTTTCAGTTGAGCCTACACTCTTGCAGCCGCAGGAATGGTTCGGCCCGTACGCTATGGGCAACTGGCTCATGACCGATTGGGATCAAGGCGGCCTTGGGTGGTAGATTACCATTACGGCCTTCGCAGAGGAGCCTTGCATGATCTACACCCGCAGCCTCGAGGCGAGCAGCGCAGAGCAAGCGAGTCAGTCAAGAACTCGAGATGGCAAGTTACCGAGAACTGCCGCCTACTTGCAGGGGTCCAATGTACCCCACATCTCCGCACTTCGCGCGCCGAGGCTTGCTACCCGCCCCGCTGTTGCGGTTCGCAAATCCATGCATCGTCATCATTAGTTTTGGCATTTTGTCAACAACGTGTGATTGCTACAGAGTAGTCCTCGCAGCAGCGATTGCATCGACGCTTTGACAGTGATTTCCAAAACCCAGTTGTCAGCCGATATTGTGTCCATCATCACCATGACATTGGGCCCGTACTCGAACCTGCGCGTCGATCGCATTGATCGCATTTTCGTGATCACCATGCAGAAAGCGCCAGAGAATCGCATCAACGTCAAGTTCGCACAAGAGATCATTCGTGCGCTGCGAGACATCGAGCACGAACTAGGACCAGATTCAGAGGGTTGCGTCATAACAAGAGGCAACGATGAGAAGTTCTGGTGCACAGGCTTAGATCTGGACGAGTCTGACACAAATCCAAACGCAAATAGCGATGGTTTCTTCCCGGTTCGCAACACGACTTGTGAGCAACGAGACCGCAATACTGACATCGCCACAGCTTCTCGCAACGCTTCTCGACTACCCCTTCCCTACTATCGCGCTCCTCACTGGTCATACATTCGGCGGCGCTTGTCCCTTTGCCCTTGCCCATGACTACCGCATCATGAACTCCAAACGCGGCTTTTTCAGCATGCCGCCCGTCGATCTCGGCCTTCACTTCCCTGGCATCGGATATCTCCCTCGCCTAAAGCTCCGGCCCCAAATCGCACGCAAGATGCTGCTTGAAGCACATAAGTGGACAGGGAAGGAGGCGTTTGAGGATGGAATCGTAGACCAGATTGCCGAGCCGAAAGAGATGCTGGACGTTGCGCTGAAGAAAGCGAAGGAGATACAAGGGAAGGCGAGAATGGGCGTGTACAGTGTGTTGAGAAATGAGCTGTGGGGTGAAGCCGCGGAGAAGATTAGAGGGATATGTTACGTACACGGGCAGAGAACGATGGCGCCTGCGAAAGCGAAGATATGAACAATGAACTTCCCCGTTTGCCGCTGTTTGGCAACCGAAGGGCCAGTGGGACTTGAATAAGATGAACCCTCCGACATGACCGCGTTAAAACATAAGGACTTCCACTGCCGCTGCAGATGTACTACAGTGAGAATCTGCTCAGAGCTTTCTAGGAAATAGGTTTCCTTGCGGTGTGTGACGCTGGCGTACGACACTGGCAAGGGTTTCGACAGCCCAACGTCAAAGTTGAGGAGACATCTTCGCAGACGGGCTGCTATCGCTGGAGCACTGGTCATAAGTTGAAGTCAAGCGCTAGAGCTCATGCTTAATTTCAGCGCTCGAAACGCAGCTAAATCATCTGAGCAATTCACGGTTATCACTCAAACTGCGACATTATTGTTGTCCACACTGTTGTGACACTGTTACACCATTCTCGGCTACACAAGATGCCAGCCATTGTTGTTTGATGCCCAACCACCAGGACCTTCAACGCTCTCTCAATCAACAAGATCATGGCTACTAATAGCAATACTGTAGCATACGATCGAGATCCACACGTAGACAACGAAAGGCGCGAGATGATGTGAGTCTCTGTCGTTCGCATCCAGAAGATCGTTTGTTGACCATATGAAGATCGTTTGTTGACCATATCCAGCACCCTCAACAATCAACGCAATTCGCCTCTCCTAAGTCTTCCGGCCGAGATTCGCAACCAAATCTACGAGCTTGTATGCGATAGACTCTTGATCGGTTATTATTTCGGCACGTTCAAGGTCCAACAGCCTGGATCAGTCTTCGGCCTCTCGTGTCGGCAGATTCACCAAAAAACCCGTGCGTACATCAAAAAGATTCCCACGAGAATACAAGCGTATATTGGTTTCAGTCTCCATGTTCCAGCTGTTCTGCGGCACGTGGTGATGTCAACGATGGTGCTTGAGCACACCTTCTGGGTTCATATTATCCGCCTCCATGTGTTAGACCCTAGTCGGCCGCGAAGACTGCTCGGGGACTTTTCAGGTCGGGAAATCAAATTCTACCCTGGTAGACGAGAACGTATCCTTTACACATATTTATCACATGTATTCCCGCATGTCGGGCAGATCGTACTTTTACAGGCTCCAAAGCCACGCCAAAAACTTGGATCATTTGACGCATGGAACCTCCAAGAACGATTTCCACGGACACGTCTAGAAGTTTACGTCAAAGTCACTGCCAACCTTTCACTCAATCTAACCAACTATGCTACGTCGGTCACTTGAGTACTAAGTGAAAGTTCGGATGCGCCTCAGTGTAGTGCCTCACCTCTATTTAATGATCCGTACCTACCATGCAATCTTACTCCCACATCTCCACTGCAACTTGCTCTCAGAAAGCCCCAGAGCCCACCACAATGACCGCCAGCGCTGGAGACGGAGACGGAGCCGACCCCATGGACTCTTCTCGTCTTCTCCCAACAAACAGAGTCGAGTGTGCAAAAGACTCTCCTGACAAAAACACTCTCCAGACAGCTCAAAACTGCTCTCCACTTCTGCAACTTCCACCAGAGCTCCGCAAAAAGATATACAACTATGTCTTCGACACCATCTACGTATCTCAGGTGCCGACAAGCTACATCAGGGGTCGAGAAGAACTCCGATTCTCATGCCTCCCTATGGTCAGCCGTCAGCTCCACTATGAGACGCTAGGTCTGCAGAACACGTACACCCACATCAACATTGACCCTGAGCTCAGCGTCCGTCACGTTGCCTCTCTCATAGGGGACAAGAAGTGTGCGGATATACGTTCGATCACCGTTTCCCCGTCATGTGCAATCTGTGGGTTCCGGGCTCATGGGATCAAGCAGCGATTTCTTGCGCTCCAGTGTGTGACGGTGAAAGGAATATTCTGTTGCGACAGGGTTGAGGAGGATACTACTAGTCGTCTGAGGGAGTGGACAGGGCACCCGGATCTTGTGGTTCGTTTTGTCCATACATCTCGTTCAACAGGCAAAGTCTGCTCTGCAACTTGTAGCAATCGGGTGCCTAGAAAGTAGGCTAGTGGTCTGGTCTGGCGTATGGTAATATATCACTTCCTGAGACGTTTACGTTTGCTATCTATTCTAAGCAAGCAGCCCTGAAAGTTTGTGTCTGAGTGACTGTTCTGTGATAGTGCGTGCAAATTCCATTTCGTCGAAGTGAAAGACCGCCCGTGCTCAATGCGTGTCAATCCCCCACCTCGACGGTCGCACTTCATCTGGTCAACTACTCCTCTCTGATCATTCACCACCACCGACCAACTATATATACACGCATCCATATTGACACCACCATCAGATGTTTTAAGCTATCGTTTGCTCATTCAAGGTATACACTGACCACTGTAGCTCTCAGCTAGACGAAGGACGCTCGCCTGTGACTGACGATATGGTCACTCACTTGCCGTCTCTAGAACATCTGTTGGTAGAACCCCCATACATCTTCGGGACATGACTGATCTGCCGTCTAGCACACTGATCAACCAGTTTACGTCACCTCTGCTTCGTCTGCCGGCGGAGTTGCGCAACGATATCTACGTATCGGCCTCTTCGTCCATAACACTTATCCGCAAGAAGATTAACCTCCAGAGCCGCGATCTGTCTGTGAGAGACTGGAACAACGCCTTCCGCTTCGAGAACTCTAACAAAGGGTTGAGCCAAACATGTCACCAGCTTCAACAGGAGACGTTCAAGTTTAACTAACAGCTTCCTGACACTCTGATTCTCCCATTCGATGTCGATCTAGATGTTCTAGTGTACATGCTGGATGCTCGTCAGCGCTCTGGTATTCGAACCATCGACATCAATAAGACAACGGCCAAGCGGTTCCGCGGCATAGCGTCAGGAAACTACATGAGACGTCGCGTTGACCACTGGAAAGATTAAGGTCTTGTGAAGAAGACATTCCCTTCTCTCGAGATTGTTGTTGTCAGGAATGTTTGGCGGAAGATCCGAAACGTGACCGCCGATGCAATCAGGTCTTGCCTCGGGCAGTCGGACTTGAAGGTAGAGTTTCGCTAGGATTGGAATTGCGGTCAATCTACTTGAGTAGAAGTGCAGCGTCTATAAGATGCAGGGCACACCGCACAGGTTACCTCAAAAGATGATGGACATATACTAGTACTGAACGTAGAGTACAAAAGGGTGGCAGAAAAGCAAGAAAATTAGCAGATAAATACAATGTGTTGTCTCTAAATCTCGCTTTTTCAACTTGCTTCCCTTCCCTGACTCTGGCCTCTGTGCTAGTAGACAAAGATGGCGGGTCAACCGCCTCCCTGAGTAGTCTGTTGTGGCTGATGGGTGACCTGATTCAACAGCAGAACCGACTCAGCAGCTGCTGTGAAGCGAGCTGTCTTTGGATCCGAAAGCTGTCAACGCACGCATGTAGTGCAACGTTTCCGTCTGCAGGACTGCGGTCTCGACAAAACCAAATGGTTGCCTCAAGATCCGATACAACATGAGGATTCATCCATGGTGCCGGCAGGTAGGATCACGTAACGTCATCCATTCACCGAACATATGTGGGTATTCTGAAGTCTTATCGGAAGCATATCGTCAAAGTAAGAGTTGAGACCACGAAGCCATGCTATTCTCGGCTAGGAATTCTGGTGGCGGCGATGTTACATCCGCAACTTCCTCGACTTCCGCTATTTCCATTAGGTGCTCCGCAACGCCCCGCCGAGATAACATCGATCTCCATCGCTAGAGGATACATTGTCCCCACAAAAGATTGCAACTGAAGGGCTTTTTCTGCGCACGGCCTTTAGCCGGGCCTCTTTGCTATGCAACCACCATTGCTCTTGTGGGTCACACGATGCACCGCCATTTCCGCACAGCTTTTTTCTGGCCTTCGACTTTGAGTCAACAAGCGTGGATTTTTCGAACGATGTAGGCACAAAGTCTCGCAGAGCATCATTGAACGCATGCCTTGCATCACTCGCTCCGTTCTATTGTGCTTTCGTTTCCTAGTTCACAAGATCGAATCAAGGAACCTTCTCCCATCATGCTTCCTGGCACGATGAGTGACAAGACAGCCGAGAAGAGTTCAATATCTATCGGAGGGGGCAGATTCATCCCTCAAAGTCTCCCGGACCGGCAAGAATATATTGTCGCATTCGAGAACTCGCACGACCCCATGAACCCACAGAACTGGTCGACAGGGAAGAAGTACGCACGTTTTCTTAGATCTAATGAAAGTAAGGCTAATAAAATCCTAAGATTGTGCATCGCTATAGCTTCATGCTTCGGAACCTTCGTGGCATCCTTCAACAGCGCCATCTTCGCGGCAGGTGAAGCGCAAGTCCGCCAGGAGTTCCAAGTTGGGAGAGTCGTTGCCGCGCTCGGGACGAGTCTCTTCGTTTTGGGTTTTGCAGCAGGACCACTGATCTGGGCGCCCGGGTCGGAGCTCGTGGGGCGGCGCTGGCCGCTGTGCGTCGGCATACTGGGGTCCTCGATCTTCACGATTGGAAGCGCGGCCTCCAAGGACATCCAAACGCTGATTATCTGCCGTTTCTTTGCTGGCCTATTTGGAGCCAGTCCGCTGTGTGTGGTACCGGCGGTACTCGCTGATATCTATGATAACGTCTATCGGGGCATGGCAATACAGTTTTATGCCATGACAGTCTTCGGTGGTCCGTTCCTGGCACCGATCGTGGGTGAGTTTGTAGTGGCGAGCTACTTGGGATGGCGTTGGACGCTGTACCTCCCAGCGATAATTGGCTTTGCCAATTCCTGTTTTCTGCTTTGTTTCCTTCAAGAGACGTCGGCACCCTTCGTCTTGATTGAGAAGGCCGCACGGTTACGAAAGCAAACTGGCAACTGGGCTATCCATGCTGAGCAGGAGCGGGTCGAACTTGACATTAAAGCAGTGGCCCAGAAGTATTTTACAAGACCACTGCGAATGCTTTTCACGGAGCCTATCGTATTTCTTGTGTCGCTGTACATGTCCTTCATTTACGGACTAGTATACGCACTTCTGAAAGCGTACCCGTATGTCTTCAGTCACGTCTATGGCATGCCTTTGGGTGTCAGGACGTTGCCATTCCTCGGACTGTTCCTGGGGATCCTCTTGGCCCTGGCTTTTATTCTATCCAAACATCAATCGTATATCCAGAAGCTGGAGGCTAACAACGGTAAACCTGTACCAGAGTGGCGCCTCGGCCCGCCCATTCTCGGTGCATTCGTTTTTCCGATCGGAATTTTCTGGTAAGTCTTCTCGTCACAGAAGGCATGTAGCAACCTGGCTGATATTTTGGTAGGTTCGCGTGGACAGGCTTCACCGATTCCATTCATTGGATGTCACCAGTCGCCGCTGGAGTTTTCATCGGCTTTGGAGTTCTTTGCATCTTCTTACCCTGCTTCAACTACCTTGTAGATGCTTTCCTACCGTTGTAAGTGACATCGTGTTCGATCAGCTCTCTTCTGCTCCAGCTAACACTATTTGCTACCAGGGCAGCGTCCACTGTTGCAGCCAATATCATGCTTCGCTCAGCCTTTGCAGCTGGGTTTCCTTTATTCTCTACGCAGATGTTCGAAAATCTCGGGGTTCAGTGGGCGGGAACGTTACTTGGCTGCCTGGCTGTACTTATGATTCCCATTCCCGTGGTCTTTAGAGCATACGGTCTAGTCTTGAGAAAGCACAGCAGGATTCTGAACCAAGGATGATAAATGGAAATAACATCATAATGGCAGCTCAGCGTATTGCTTGTTATGACGTTCCATCGCCTCAAAAAGAATACGCCATCCAATCTTTGCCCAAACACGATGTTCTGAATGACTAGATGCACAGTGAATATCGTCGTCTTGCACAATGTAGACTTCGTGACAGTGCGATATCTTTGTTGAGCTATACATTGCGGGCAGGAAGCAAGACTGGCTCAGGTTAATCAAAACTACGGATAGCTCAATACAACGTTGCTTGCCGAGGCCAAATGAATTCAAATTCGGTAACCGCTGAATATATCTACATTTTAGGGCTTTCAATTTCATTTCAAAGGCTCTTCTGCAAGCTGGGTTCCATAATCATTCGGCAAAGATATGCAACTCCTTGCACAATAACCTCGAGTCGCAGCTCAGCGCTACCAGCAAGATGCAGCAGGACGAATCACGCCGCAAAAATCGGCATTTAAGCATAATTTCGTAGTTTATCGTTGGAGCTGTCAGCTGTTACGATAGGAGGCAACTTGCACAGAATCGTTTCTTGTTCGGTTCACTCTTCTCGCTGGCTGCGAATTGTCTTGCACTAAGAAAATTCAAGCACACCCAGGACCAGACTGATGCCCAGCAAAGTACACATGAGGGCGTCAACGCCTTCGTACCTCACGAACGAGGCCAGGCATCTTCCTGCGAGACCACGCTGAGGCTTTATTGACCCGCCTCTGAGACTCGCACTGCGAGATCTGTGACAAAGATTCAAACCCTTCGATGTCCTTCTTCAGATACCACTGCATTCCTTCCTTGCCGAAGTGTTCGTCAGCCCGCATCAACATTTCTCGAGTCATCTGAACCTCCTGGATCCGTGCGCTGTTGTTTGGTCCCATGATGGCGCATAGGTCGGCGAAGAGATCGTGTGTCTGTATCTCGAATGGGAGACGAACTATAGTGAATTTTCCGTGGAACGTCTTCGCTTCGTGTCGAGTCTGGCGGCAGGTGTCGATCAGTGCCGCAGCATCGTTGACAATGCTGGTAACTCGAGAGCCAACGTCGACACGAACAGTAGCTGAGTCGAATGCCAAAATATAGATTTGGTTGCGTATCTCAGCGGGGAGTCTCAAGAAAGCCGAGTCGGAATAGTTTTCGAATGTTCTGTACTTGTCAGTTGCTTCATATAGAAGCTCATCAGTCAACTCACAATATGTCAGAGCTGAACACTGCGAAACGATTTGCTGATGCCATTGTCATTTAGTTTGACACCTTAGTTGGGGTAGCTTGTGAGTGTGCGGCAGGTCTGTAAATGAGTGAATTTCGCATCGAAGATTTAAACATATGCTCGGCAAATTTTGGAGGAGTGAGAGTGAGAGTGAATCTGAGTCTCGATAGAGCTTGCGACCCGTCTGACATCCATTTAGGAGCCGAGAAAGTCTGGATGAGCCAGGAACTGATTGAACCACCAAGAATCCTGCAGTGCATCTCCACTCAAAAGGTCATCCTGCGCTTCCTGGACCTGGGGATCCAGTGAAGGGTACAAATCCAGCATGTCAGTGTGATTCCGGATCTCCGTCTCTCTCCGTTTGCGATGCAGCTCAACTAGCGTGTAGGCCGCAGTCGCTGCTTCGCGCGTTGCTTCGGTCTGGTATGCGTTGTTGACAGCTACAATGCAGGCCAAGGCTTCGCCGAGGATCGCAAACGACTCCACAGTGTCAATGAAAAGGAGCATACAAAACACTTGGAATGGGATGTTGGCTACATGGTGCCACGGAAGACCTTGAGCAATCGCTGAGTGGACTGCTTGGATCGACTTCTTCAACTGGGCAAAGACCTTGCTTTTGACGGTATGTGTGATGACCAGACTGGACGAATGGAGCCTGCGATAGATGCATAGCGTCAAGTTGCACTGGGCGAGGACTGAGGGCGGCTCTGTGTGTGTTCGGTCTAGAACTTCCACGAGCGTGACAAGAAGGTCGTCCAAGCTCAGCTTGTTGGCTGGGTCCAAAACCTCGGAAAACGGAAGAAGACCTAATAATTCCGCTGTGAATTCTCCTGGCTTCACGGATAACGGGAATGCGTCCAGATTTGGGATCACCACTCGCCTCCTGCCAAGATCGAAAGAAAGCCAAATGTTTAGATGCTGCGCGACACCTATCAGACTCTTTCGAGTATCATTGATGTCTTGGTTCTCATAAGATGGAGGGATGGTGCTGATTCCAACACTATTCATGGACACTGCCGCATCGATGATGTGGAGGGTGGTACAGCTTGCCAGCCATGCCTCTTCTGGCTTCGCGGTCAGTCGCAGATACACCGTGTGGAGTAGCCATGCAGTAGCCAGGTGCAGGGAAGGAGGACCTGCAGTCGATGGATCTAGGAGGCGTTTGGCAAGTACAACAAGACGTTGCTCGGTTGGCAAATTCTGCGTATTCGAGAAGAGGCTGCCGATGGCGGCGACACCACAAAGTACGGCGTCCCTCGCGTCTGATCGATCTTGGTCCTTCCATCTACTGGATATGTCCCGATGAAGTCTGTCGAGAGCCACAAATGCGTAACAGGGGTGGAACTTTGCCGAATAGATCGCCGCAAGGCTCTGCATGTCCTGCTCAGTCAGAATCTCGGTAACGTACGTGGCCTGTATGGTGTTTGTATTCTGTCTTTCTCCGATGAACAGGTTCCACGCCAGCATTCGCATCGGTGAGACACTTTGAGTCGACTCGAGCGTCATTGTAAGGAGCCGCACAAATGCGGCACCAGAGTTGCTCTGGACAGACCGTAGGTAGTAAGGTCGACCTACTTGCTCTTGCGCTCGCTCTTGTAGGGGCCGCGACTCTTGAAGCCGCATGGAAACATCGTGTGATGGTTGGTGCACCAGCGGTGTACCCCCAACCAATGACGGATTCTCTTCCTGCGCAGCTATGGCCTGCGACTGACTTGTGCCTCTTCGGCTTCGTCGACTGCGAGGCGTAGAGCGATACAAGCATTCGTATCCATACCCAATGCACATGTTGCAGGGGCGGTTCCCGTCGCACTTTCTTTTGCGATCCCGACATGGGTCGCACGCGATGCGGAGGCGCTGTCGCTGGGTCTGCCTCCTCTCCACACTCATTGTAACCACTCGGAATTATGCAAGTGGATTCGATGGAATGGCCCGCTACCGCCTTTGTGGAGTTGCGAATGAATGATGCCTGACACAGCCACGGATCTGGCGGAATTGATACCGGCGCTAGTACAGAAGTGGGCTAGCACCAACCGCTCGCATTGACTCTAGATGACTTCATCATCCCAAGTCGAAAGATTCTCACAGCCCGCGGCTGCGGAACATGCACTTCACGCCATCCAGGACAATGGCACTGCGAATTCCAGCAGAGAAATGTGCTTGTGCGAGTGCAAGTCATTCCTAACCTCAACGTTGGCAAATCTGTCATGCTGAGTAGGCAGCAAACCCTTAGCTGCTTTGGAGACAGAATCAGCTTGTGAGCAAACGATATGATGAGAGCACTTGTGCTCACCAACTTCTGAATGGGTGCATTTGTTGGTCATGCAGCACGAACACCGTTTAGCAGATGACTCAATCTGACACCAACAGCAAGGATAGAAGCTCCCAGTGTCAAGCTGCTTGATCAAATGACTATCCATTCTACGATTTCACGAAACCACAAATAATGAGACCGAACGATATAAAGGCAAGGTAGTCAGGTAACATGGAAAGCCAGCCACGAGGTGGCCCACCTAGTATATACCTTTCATCTTATGCCGGTTCTTCATCTACATCATCCACGGCGTGGCTCACCTAGTATATCACCCTCAGATGGTGTCACGCGGGTTGCTTTGGAGAGAAAGCCATGGACGACATCGGAGAAGGAAGACCTAATGGTCTACATAAGGCCGAGAAGAAGCGCGAAGAAGCAGCGCTCGAGCAGCGCATTGAGAAGACGGCTGCTGCCGCCGCTGCCGCCATGCGGAATGCCCGATCGCGGGCAAAGACAAAAACGGCATACCAGCAGGCCCTGAAGGAGGACCTGACCGTGTGGAAGCGTGCTGCCGAGTTGTTCGATGTCACACCCCGCGATCTCTACTTCCCGGAGCAGTACCCCGACAACCGACTTCCGCTTAGGCGGAGAACAGGGTAAGCTGTAGGATTCTGCGTATACGCGCATCATAGCTGGTGCTAGCGAACTCCACCGTAACGGGATTGGCGCGTGCGGTTCCATGCTCAATGCCGACGACACGGGCTACGGCAAGCCATGGACAACGCTAGACAAGAATGACCCACTGTTTACCTCAGGAGCCTTTTCAGGAATGAAAAGCTCGTTGTGGAGATTGTCAGAGCGCATTTTCAGCACCAAGGTCTGACAGAAGACAGTTTCCTTGAGACAGCAAACTGCAACTAGACGGAATGAACGAGGAGCAAAGCTCGAATCCTCCTGATGTTGTTTACAATGAGTTATATACCGACAACAAGCTGATTGGACCTCTGAGCTTTCTTATTAGACTCCGGGAACGATTTAGTGAACGATGACCACAAGGCTTGTGAGCACGACCTCGAATTTAGGTGCTCTACTATCTCTGGTAGCGAAGCCTTCTTTACTTTATGCCGCCGGTTTTGCCACATGCCACTATATATAAGGACACTTCAAGCACACGAGCAATTCCCAGGCTTGCATCGTTGTCCAAGATTCTGGAGAGTATGATGTGGCACCAAAGCATCGCTCAAGACTATTCACCTGCCTCGAGAGTGCCTGAAGGGAATACCGACAACGTTGATCCTCGACGCAACGTTGACGGCGAGCCTACTACTGACAGCATCTTCGTCGACGACGACGTCTCTATCGAGGGCGAGGATGAGCCGTTGCCGCCTCCTAAGGGCATGCTCGACGAGAGCTAAGTCGTCCTGTTGACTGCGACCTTGGTCACTACGGCCTGCCCGCAGCACATCTAGTCCATTGGCTTCGGCTTCGAGGGCTCGTACTCAAGCACTGACGCTAGCTCGAAGCACGGCATGGTCCACAAGTCCGCAGATATATGCTTCACCCGCGACAACCTCCTCGCGAGGCCCAAGGGTAACGACGACAACGACGACAACGACGACGGACTCACGTACGAGTCGGTTAAGCCAACAGACGAGCGCTTCACCCAGCACGTCAGCCCCGAACAGGTGCAGGTTGTCCAGAAGCTACTTGACGGCGAGCCCGAGGCCATGTTCGTGCACGTTCAGTTGCGCGTACGTACGACAACCGGCGACGCCGAACCTGACAGCCAGCGTCCCCTCTACGGCAAGGCGTTCTACACCAACGAGTCCCTTAGGCCGTTCGATCCGCTCTTCCAGAAGGCTCGCGGCATGCTCGCCGGCAGCAACGTCGTGCACCTTCACCTCTTCTGCGTCGCCTCCGAGGCCCTGTTCAGCCGCTTAAACGCGGTAGACGACAGCATAATGATGCAGAAGGAGCAGCCTGCTATCCTCGACTAGTGGAAGGATCGTTGGATGAACCTGCAGAAGGGCATGGAGATGGACGCAAAGGATTAACTGAGCGGTTTCTCGCTGCGCAAGCGGCACACTTTTCTATCCTTTAACGAGTATGTGACCGTTTAGTATCACAACTAAATCAGCGAGCTTGATGCTCTTAAGCTCGCTGGCTACTAGCTCACAACCATCTATATTGCAACCTTCACCAGCAGCGGCGACCAGCTCTACTACGCCCACCTCAAGATTCCCGATGGCACCCACTACTGCGCCGGCTCAGGCATTAGCATCAAGCTCAGCAGCCCCCACGCAGAAGACGAGGTCGACTGGCGCTTCGATGTGATCGAGTCGCTCGGCCTCGGCAGTGCAAGTGGGCCGAAGCTCGCATCGGTCGCTGTGTACAAGTACTACTGTAGGCATTGTGAGGCACCCCTCCAGTTCCGCCTCCCATCCAAACTTGACAACCGAAGATGGAGAGGACAGCCGCCGACCAAACCCTCGCGCAATGAAGGCGGCGGCCTATTGCGAGCTTTTCCTACAGAGACCAAACCCGTATGGCTAAAAAGGCCGAAAAGGCCGGTCCAGTTCCAAGATAAAGTCGCTGTTGCATCAGATCCTGCGACACAGAGTTCTCAGTACATTGTATGGTATAAGACGAGTGAAATGGCAGTCGTCTTGAAGACTATGTATACCTAGGCGGGTCATCAACATATCACATCAACACACCACATCAATAGGTTTGCACATTCAACCAAGCATAGTGGATGGTAGATCAGACCTCCCCGTCGCCGACTATTGTCGATTCTTTCAGCCAGTCTCTTCTGGAAGTTCCACGTTCAAAAGCTTTCTATAAAGTTCAAAAAACGCGAACAGCCAGTACATTTGGTACCCGTGCGCCTCTAGTCCTGTATTGGCAATATCCGCAGGAGATCGAGACAAAAGCAAATCACGTTCTTGTCCAGCAGATGATAGAAGACTTCTTGTGAGTCCATCAGAAATCTGGTCGGGCAAGGGGCTATGCAGCATCGAATTGTCTATGGATTCACCGGCTCGAGATGCCATCAAACATCAGTTACTCCGCCACGCGGTTCTTGGGAACGAAAAAATGGTGGTTTGAACAAAGTGGCCCATTGTCCAGCAACTAATCAAAGAAGTGATCTTGAGCATCACTGGCATCGACGAGAAGACAGAGCTGTATTCCATCGACTCGTCAATGGACCTGGCATTGAGCGACGTGATCAAGGACCGCATCAACAACAACTCGCCAGACGAGATAGACTCGTGGGGAAGATCCCCGAGGCTATACGAGGAAGGGACAGCGGCGTGCGCTGGGATCATCCAGCACATCTGCATGTAGAAGGGTGTGTATTACCATGAGATAGATGGCTAGTACTGTACTTTACTAGATTCGACAGATGATGAACACGAACTCTCCACATCTCTCCAGTCTTGGTTTCCTGTCTTCTTTCAATCTTTGGGGATAGTCGATAACCACAACTATGCGTCCGAGCGGTGACAAGCAGGCAACCCGAGATATTTGCGCATCTAGTGTCAATTCTATGTACTGTGTTGAGTGACCACATGGTTGGGATCTTGGGCCGCGTGTTAGGGATCTTGGGCCGCATGTTCGGGATCTTGGACCTCGTTTTAGGAATCTTGGCTACAACTTCACAGTATTTCAAAACAGGTTTATAGTCTAGGCTAGATTGAACAAGGCACCTTGAAGACCACGCTTCTACCACCTCTAGTACACAGTAGTCCTGCCCTCTAAGCCGTAGCAACGCTATACAATGTAGCTATAGGAATTTGATTAGACGTCCTGCAATTCAGCAACGTAGGAATTGACTACCTGTATTGTGTAGTCTGTCCTATGGTTGTATGAGTCTGTAAAAGTCGCTAACGATTGTACTGCAAGATTGCAGCCTAGATTCATGACATGTAGTTTTCTAACACAGTCTAGAAATTTGGCCAAGCTTACCGCGCAATCAGTCGTCTTGTTTGCCGTGGGCGCTTTCCGTCATGGCGCTCACTTTCACTTGTGAGTCGCGTTGGTAAATACAGGTTAGTCTTTTCTCGCCGAGACTTGCATCAAATTCTTACCCCACCACCTTCTCCAACGCTGAACCGCCAGAGTCTTCACCGCTCACCGAAAGAGCGGCTGCTCACCATGTCGGATAGCGCAGGTACTGACCCCCGCGGTCCTGGTCCGCCGCCCAACAACACATCCACACGCTCTCCACAGATTCCCGGCTTCAACTACGCGGTCAAGCCAAGTCACTTGGTTGATATCTTGAACGGCTTTGGCATTCCAGACGACAAGCATGCGAGCGTGCAGCATCAGTTGGAAAACGCGCACCTTGAAAATCACCCTTGGATCGTCGACGGTCTATTTACGCGGACAGGCTCGCTCGATAGCTTATCTCGGGACACATTGCTAGAAGCCATGTTCAACGACGTGCCCGACCTCTGCAACGCGCCAGAAGCATGGAGGAGAGACGCTCTAGGCCGTTTTGCTATAGGCGCGAGGACCAATGTACAGCGTCGGACTCGCAAAGGGCAAAAGCCACCCAGTCCAACATTATCAAAGAGCAGAAGCCCACCCAGCCCAACATTATCAATCTTGATTCGAGCTCAGATTCAGAGGCCGTACCCTCCGCACCTTCAAGGAAGCCCCAAAAGGAAGAGAAAGCAGACACTCGCACGCTTCTCCAGACCAACTACCCACCGCGAACACCGCTGCGCGTCACCCCAATCTTCTCGCCTCCTGCACCCACGCCCGAATCTCCCGACCCCACGCCCGAATTTTCCAAACCCACGCCCGAACCCTCCAAACCCACCAAGCTGCGGTTCATGGACAAAACTGGCCAGATGGTCTCAGAGCTACGCGTGCACAACGTGACTGGCGCAAGAGGAATGATAGACTGGAAGTACATCCACGACGAAGCGATCACTGCAAGAGGGTCAGGCTTCACGTACGACGGCTCTCGATTGTGGGCGGCTCCTGGTATCCACTGTCGTGTGGCTGTCCGCACGGGCCCGGGTCTCACTGCTCGCCTGGAAGATGCTTGGGGAGACGTGCTTTTTCTGACCGCTACTGGGGCGGTGCTGCGAACTGTGCGGCCCGCCGGCGATGCTATCGACGCCTGAAGGGCTCTGAACCGACTGGGTATGCCTTGTAGGCTAGTTAGAGTCCTTGACTTATTGTAGTCACATCTCAGTTCTATGATTGGGAGGGTCTGCACATTCTTCCAAGCAGCGATAAACAAGAGCGAGCTCTGATGTGGGCTAAGCAGGACGAAGAGCCCGGGGCGACGACGCTTTCACCACAGACCCATGGTCTCTGCTACCGTTGCAAGAACTTACCTCGGATGCCACAGTGCATCGAAACGTCGGATTTAGAGATACTCGACCATGGCTTTTTGGACTAATTCACGTAGACTGAGTTTCCAACACCCTCCATACCAAGCGGAACTACGACCATCAAAAACCCACCCCCCTTATCTCAACGCCCCCCTTCAGTCTCGTGCCCGAGTGGCCTGTACCTCCACCCCCCTCCGCGGCTCCAGCTGCCCCAGCACCAAGACACCCCTCGTCACCACCTGCGACGGCAAAAGAAGGAAATCCCCTGGTCATGTGCCTTATTCAGCGCACGACACCTCCCCGATGTAGCTACCTAAGTCAGAGGCCCTTACTATCTATGAGTACATCTCTGTTCCATGGTTGCGGGGGTCTGCATATTTTTACAAGCACCGATATCATCCTACTTAGATAGAGTTGACGCCTTAGCTGATTCGTAGCCTCCATGATATTCCGCACCCCTCTCAACCACCGACAACTCATACGTATCCTGCACCTTCTCTTCACGTCGTTTTCGAAGCCCCACGAAGCCCTCTGCGATATCTTGCAAAACGTCTGTAAAATTCAGCACCTGGAGAACCGCTCGACACCAATGCAACGCTTCCGACTTTGGATCTGCGGAATCTCCTGTCAAGGAGGTGTTGTCTGGAAACAGAGGACGTTGAACGTCTTTGTGGTAAATGTGCCACGGATACGCCCAAAGGTGCAGGATCGATACAGCGGCCATCTCAAAGCAGAGCAGCGTGTTGGGAATCCCGACGACCAGCGATGGATACGATATGGCATCTGTTGGCTTCCAGGGGCCGCCTTTTGTGGTCAATCGGTCGAGGATGAACTAACATACCTAAGTTAGCATCGCGTTTGGCGCAACGCTCAGGGCCGCTTACCGATTGGACGTAGAAGAGAAACACGACGAGCTTGACGGCAACGAACTTGAGCAGCGGATTGTGCTCTGCAAGGGCTTCGTGGCATTGGCTGTAGAACTGCAGGAGGCAGAACATGGCTGTCACCAGCGAGAGGATCTCGATGACTTGTACCTTTTGGTGAGGATTAGTGTTGTGCGGATCTCAGTCGGTACGGGGGACACACGTACCCAGACTTTGGCGTGGCTGGCGCCCCCAAGCTCCTTGCAGTAGACATCCAAGCCTTCCGTGATGCACTTGGTAAGCGCGCCCAGGAACTTCACGACAACGAACTGGAAGATAGCAGCCCATATGATCTAAACCCCGTAGACAGAGTAAGCAGAGTACCGCAGCGTGTGGTCTCCAGCGCTAGGGTCCGTCTAATCGTAAAGACTTACGCTGAGCCACTTCGCCCCATCCTCCGTATTGGCAGTGCGCTTGCGCCATACCCACTTCCTCAGGAACCGGACCGGGTGGAGCCAGGGCTGTGGTGTCAGCGCGGCAAACACGCTCCGCAGCGCGTCACGCTCCGGGTTGAGATATCCACACAGCAGCAGGAAAAACGACGCAATGACCAGCGCCTCGTAGAACTCGTATATGGCAGCAAGATAGACGTGCTGCTTGTAGTACACGATGCTGAAGACGCAGGCCGTCGTGTACACGGGGACCATGAGCAGTATGCGGATGATGCTGGGGAAGCGTTAGTACTCCATTGCATACAACGATGTCGAGGGGTTGGCTAGGTAATGGCTGTACAGTTTCTGCTGCGCGGGGACAGTGTAGTTGGCCAGGTGGCGGGCGATCAGGTACAGCGACAGTGCCCATGCGGAGACGCTGCATGAGGCGGCAATCGTGATCAGGATGTCGTTGACTTTCAGTGAGCCCGAGATCTGGATCTCGGTGACTAGCAACAATTAGTTTGCGTTTCTCGTCTGCATAGATTGAATGAACACACCCGGAACGTCGAGAGGATGGGTGTCGCACTTAGCCATTGTGAGTCGAGCTGCTGCGTGCCTTGGGTAGTCACTATTGCAAACGAAAGGCCGTCTTGATATATGTTTGCCTTTCTGTAAGCATCTTCGGCGGGAAAACGGCGGACCAAGATAGTCGGCCACTTGGCACGGAGGGGAGTGGAGTGGACTGGGTGCCAAGATGCTGCGGAATGGCAGTTGCACAGCCTCAGTCATATATCAACCTGGTACGTTGTATACTGACTACGGAACAGCTATAGAATCCTTGTGGAGAGTTCGACGTAGATGTACGTCACTGACGGTGTGTCACTCAACAGATGGCTTGCAGAGCATGTTGCTTTACCGCAGAGAGACGTCTGTTAGGATGCCTGTGCATAGCCCTTGTAGAATCGTGTAAACTACGCTTTGCCTGGAGCCTTACTGCAATCTTTCCATAGAGGGTCTGCCTACTCAAACGTTATCGTAGTGGTCCGCACCTATCAACACGCACTGATACACTCTAGTACCTGGGTGTACAACAACTCAGTGGAAAATCTCGGTGTAACCACACCGACTAACCCAGCACCAGACCACCTCATGATTTTAGCCGTGCTCCTTCTGTACGACAAATACGCTGGCAGGACCCCACGAGCCACCCCGCGCCGCCCATCCCACAGCTCCACACTGCAAGCTGGCGACGGACGAACGCTGGACGTGCCGGAACACTGGATCAGTACCCATTGGAGCACACCGCGTCTTCGGTCCTTGGGCGCAATCCCAGCAGCGAGACACACTCCGACGGTGTCGCACGAAGGCGCGGAGCGTGCAGGGTGAAGGGCCCGACCGTCCGGCGTCTCGGCCGAGGGTCGACATACGTCGTTCAGGCTTGCGTGGCGCGCAGCAGGGGGTCTGTGGCATGGGGATGCGACTATGTTGGCGTTTATGTAATTTTTGTGCTATAAATGTTGGCGATTTGTGTAGACCTGTCTAGCTGTAGAACAGATTGCACGGTGTAGGTATACGTACTATAGTAGCAACTAACAAACTACCTTATTATTAATTAAATCCTACATTATTGCCCTATAAGACGTCCAAACAGACTCCTATAGCTCGTTAGAGGCCTTTACTACCTATAGGTACATCTCTGTTCCATAGTTGTTAGGGTGTGCACTTTCTCGCAAGCACTAATATTGTAGGCAGCCCTGACCACTTCGATGTCAAAGCGTACTAACTCTACCTAGATCTTAGAATTGAGCGTCTAGGTATCTGCGCTTAACTAACAACACCCGCAAGTACCTAGAAACTAGCACACACACACATCCATACCCACCGTCAAAACACCGCTCCCTCCCAGCGCAGGCTAAAAACACCACAACCGCACGCTTATCCACACGCAGTACCTACCTATCACAGAGCAGAGCGCCCCTCCATAGACCAGCAACACCGCGACCCTGCAGCCCCCACCCGCTGAACAGCGACGCACACACACCAACCCCCCCTCTCTACCTAACCTCGCACCCCACCCCACCCCGCCCCGCTCATGGCCAGCCGTCCCAGCGCACCACCACGATCGCCACCCCGCCGCATAACGCATCGTTTACCCACGCCACGCCACGCCTCATGAACCCGGACCCCGGATCCCCGGCAGCGTACGGGTAGACGGGTTGCTAGCCCGTGCGTTGCAGGGCGTTGCAGGGTGCCGGGTGTGTTTCTTGGTGGGTTGTGATAGGAGGTGATGGGAGGTATGGGTACCAAGTGTCTCTATACCTTTGTATGATTAACGAAACACAGTGGAGACGTGCACGGCATTGCAGGGTTCCACAAGCACATAGATTAAGCTTGCTACATCCATAGCCTCCCACAAGGTGCTGGGGCGCGCGTAGACCCCAGGAGATTGTGGAGTGCGTGGACCTCAGGAGGTCGGGATGCAGTAGTAGCTAGAAGGCGGGAAAATGGAAGGCGGAAGGCGGAAGGCGGAGAGCAGAATAAAGAAGGCGGAAAGCAAAAGCGCACGTAAACAGCCGGGGGGGCGGGGGGGGGGGGGGGGGGGGGGCGGACGCGAGGCACGTGTACCAAGTATCTAGATAGAATAGGAAGCGATGAGATAACATTCTCTTGTTGTAGAGATGCCCGAGCTGAACGCTGGATTCCATATGCTATGTATGCTATGAACAGCACTGTCTAAATCTAGGGGTTGTGGTATATACTATCCTCCAACGCCCGTCTCGCTACGGGCGTGCTGTGCCGTGCCGTGCTGTGCTGTGCTGTGGTTGCAGGGCCTTTGCAATTCGTGTATAACGCTTGGACACGGGACTTTCAATGTTGAGGGTCGAACATGCTGTGTGCGCTGTGCTGTGCTTTGCTGTGCTGTGCTGTCCGCTCGTTTCGCTGCATCGCGACAGTGACTCACCCCCCCCCCCCCCCCCTCACGTTTACACCTCACGCCTTATCGTACCGCCCCAGCAGCCCCGAGAACCAGCTCGCGAGCTGCTGACCGCGCAGGCTGGGCGTGGGACTGAGTGTGCTGTTCGCGGCGTCCCTGTCGTCCTGCGCGTCATCGGGTGTGCGGCGCGGAACCGTGGACGCTCGCGCGCGCTTAGGGAGCGGAGAGGCGCTATGAGCATTGCGGGCGCGCAGGCTGAGGGGCGGCGTGCGGCGGCCGCGGGAAGAGTCGATGCTGGGCGGAGTCGCGGGTTCGGCCGTCTCGACGCGGATAGTGGGTGTCGAGGCGCTGTGGGAGAGGTGTGCGGCCAGGCCTGTGTGCGCGAGGCGCATCGGCAGCGGGACGCCCGAGGTGACCCAGGGGCGGACGGTGTAGCGCAGGCGCGGGGTGTCTATGCCTGGGATCAGCCACAGTGACAGCTAATGTGGATCAGGCGGTCTCAAGAAGGGTTTGCACCTTCAGGCGACGGGGCCTTCTCCTCCTTAGCGTCTTCCTGCGTGTCTTCTGGGGCCGCTTCTTCCTTCTCGGCGCCGTTCTGCTCTGCGGCCGCGGCGTCTGCAGCGGCCTGTAGTCGGGCCTGCCGCTGCGCCTCCATCTTCTCTGACTTCTTCCGGAGGCGCTCGGCCTCGCGCTCGTTGTGCTCCTTGCGGGCACGTTCCTCGCGCATCGCGCGGACGCGCTCGACTTCTTCAAACCCGCCGCTCTTCTTGAGCTTGCCGTCTGCAACAAAGTCGCCCAGCTCACGCTTAAACTCGTCGTCGCGTCGGGATTCGAGATCGCGCTGCCGTGCCTTCTCGGCGCGCTCGATAGCTTCGAGCCGGCTCTCGTGGTTTGGCTGCAGGGCCTTGACTTCGCCGAGCACTCCGTCGCGGGCCTGGCGGGGGTCGACTGCCTTGTCGATGGCAACCGCATTCAAGGCCTTCTGTCCGCTGACTGTGCGGACGCCCTTGGCCTGGTCCTTCTCGTTCTGCAGGTTCTGCTGCTTGGTCGCCTGCTCAACGAGCTCGAACGTCTGTGTCGCCTTCTCGAGATCGTCCTGCAGATCTGCGGCGAGCTCTTCCTGCATGGTGAGGAGATCCCTCTCCTCGCAGACTGTCTGCAGTTCTTGCTCCCAGATCTTCGTCCAGAGAGGCTTCTCCTTGGCGAGGAAGTCCTGCAGCTTCTTGAGCTCAGCAGTGGCCTTGGACAGGTCCTTGGCTGTGACTTCGAGCTGGCGCGGCATTGGTCGCACACCACGCATAACAACATCCTTGCGGAGGTCTTCCACAAGATCTTGGAGATCGTCGACCCGGTTGACAATCTTCTCGGACTCGTCCTGCAGGTTCTTCTTGCCTGTGTTGATGTACGTGCGGCCAGTGTCTCCGTCGAGAGATGGCAGTGCAGCTTTGATCGCCGTCGACTTGACCGCGGCCGCCTTGGTGCGGACGGTAGCCATGCTGGCTTGTATGTCGGAGACGAACGAGGTGTAGGTTTGTCTGACAACAGCCAGGTCGCGGCGAAGTGACTGCACCTCGCTCAGCTGGGCGGCCGATGTCAGCGTGCCCTCGGGTGGCGTGCCGTTGAATGGCCTGGATGGCAGCAGTGCCGAATTGCGCGCTGAGCTGGGTGGCGCTGCTGCCATGCCAGCAAGTTCACGTGCTGTTTGTTGCTGGCGCTCGGCAACGCGGTCGATGGCCGACTGCTGATCCGTCACGACAGTCTTGATGCTCTCGACCAATTCCCGTAGCGACCCAAACTTGTCGTCGATGTGGTTCTTGACTTCGTCCAGCTGTTCTACGTTGAGGACGAGGACCATGCGGTCTTTGATGTCGTTCAGGTCCTCAAGCTCGTAACGCACACCCGAGACGGGATCCTGGATGTGGATCTCGGGCAGCTCGCCGTGTCGGTGCGTGTCCCAAGCAAACTTCTCAATGAACGCCAGCTGCAGGCGTCCAGCCGAGAGCTCAGATCCATCGGGAAAGACATACTTCATGACCTTCCTCTTGTATTGGAGGAACAGAGTGAGTTCCTTACCGGCCTGGGGTGACTGCTCGGGCACGAACTGCGGCTGCGGATCCGGCGATTTGGCCACTCTGCGAGAGCCATTGCGCACAGGCACGTTCGCTGCTTGTTGTTCTTCATTCTCGCCAGCAATGTCGATTGGGTCGCCCAACGGGCCACTCGTAGCCCCGAGAGATGGGTCCGTGGCGGGGAACTCTGGCTTGGCCAGCATCTCCTCCGGCGTCTGCTGCATGGGACTCAGCTGCGGCGCGGCCTCCTCCGGCGGCGGCAAAACAGGCGCGCTCTGCGAGCTCTCTTCGGAGATGCGCCTCACGTGGGACTTTTCCACGGCGGTGTCGACCGTCGGCCGCTGCTGGTTCGAGCGCTGCCGATTGTGCATGCCACCCCTAGTTCTTACAGCATTCATCGACTCTCGCACGTCCCTCCCGCGGTTCGGTATTGGCGAGTTCTGCACGGGGGCAATGGGGATGCCGTTTGTGCCCAGGTGCTTCTGTATCTGGTAGGCCGAGAAACGGCGCGAGGCCCTTCTCTCCAGGTCGCCGCCCCGCTGCAGGGCCGCCAGGGCATCCTCCTGCTTCGGCGGGGGCGGCGGCGGGGGGAAGTCGACGGGGTAGTTGTTGGAGCGCGGAGGCTGTGCTGGCGGTTCGGGGGTTTGCGGCATGGCGTCGTCGTCGGGGTACGGGGCCATGACGGGCATCTGCTGGGCGGTGTTGCTCGACATGGACGAGTCGGTGGACAGCTGGCTGGCGCCCGTGTTGCGGTTGGCGCGCGGGTTCGTGGGCAGCGAGTCGTACTTGGACGGCGACACGCGGCCGGCGACAGACGACGAGCGCGGCGGCAGGTCGGGGTTGGTGCCGTTCTCGTCGCGGGGGGGCAGGCGCTGGCTCGAGGCCCGCGTCTGCTGCTGAGGCTCGTCGGGCTCAGCGGTGCCGACGCTCTGGCGCGGACTGCCGCCGTTCAGCGAGCCGTCGCGGCCGGTCCGCTGGCGCAGGCGCTGCTGCTTCTTCTTCAGGCCATGCAGCAGGTTGATGATGATGTCGCGGATGCGTGGCAGGAAGTTGTCGAGGCTGGTCTGCGAGGCTTCCTGGCTCAGCGTCTCCTCCAGGATCCCCCGCAGCAGCTCGGGCACGTTGCCCAGGTCATTTGTGTCGACGCCGATGGCGTTGAAGGCGCGCGAGGCGATGTTGAACTCGTAGCCCAGCCGCACGTACACGTCCGAGACCTCGCTCTCGGTGGCGGTCCCGCGCGACCACAGGGTCAGAGTCTCTGCGGGCGGTTAGCAGGCGGCGGGCGGGCGGGCGGCAGACGCACCGAGCAGCTGCTTCGTGGCGACGAGCAGGTGCGTGACGGACTTTTCGATCTGCGAGAGCTGCTGCTGGGGCTGCGCGGGTCAGCAGGCGGGCGCGGTTGGGCAGCGGAGGCTCACGTTCTTGGGCGCCCGGCGCGCAGAGCCCTGCGAGGAGCGGATCGAGGACGCTTCGTCCGCCATGGTGTGCTGCTGCAGTGCTGCAGGCAAGCGGCGAGGTGTGATGGGTCGGGCCGAGCGCGGTGGTGGTGGAGGGACGTTGGTGTTGGGCACGTGACGGGCAGTCTTCAATTCCAGGATCACGGATGCAGGCCAAGACTGTGCGTGACGTTACATGCGGACGTGCAGCTGCAGCGATGGGGCAGATAGAGACAGCGCAGCGATAGTGAAGCGACAGCGGTAAAGGTCGCCGTGCAAGCCCGCCCGGCGTCGCGAGGGTCTCAGGAGAACATGTACTGTACACAAACAACGCCCGTCATGGCGCACTGGACGGCTTGACCCGCCGATGCTGCGCGGCGCTGCGATTCGCCGGAAATAGTGTGCTGTGTCGAAGCCGCGTGCGCTACGCTGGGCTAGCTGCCGTCGGGTGGGTATGGTTCGCAGGCGTCTCTATTTGCAGACACTACGAACATGCTAGGGCGAGTCTCGTAGGAGACTGCACTGTCGTGTGCGTGGTGCAGGCTGTGGTGTGCAGACTGGGGTGTGCAGACTGTGGTGGTGTGCAGGCTGGCTTGTGACTGGCTTGCAGTACTTTGGACAGTCGAGCAGCGCGGTGCGCTTCACTTCACTGCTCGCCTCACGTCCACGCCCGCTCGCCCGCTGCGTGCACCGCGTGGTGCAGTGCGTGCCGTGTATGGACGGTGCAGCGGTGGCGGCGAGGTGGTGGCACGGCGTACCGTTCGCGCTCTCAGGCCTGCACTGCACCGTCGCATCGCCTGGGCTCGGGTGCGCCAGCTTCACCTCTAGCTCCCGTTGTTTCAAACGGGGCGATCCACCTTGGCGCGCAGCACCCACGACGGCATCGCACCTGGCAACCTCCCACGCCTCCCACCTCGCGTGCTCTCTGCGGCGATTCCTTGCTGTCGCCCGTCGCCCGTCCAGCGCTGCACCTCGCCCCGTGCCCGCCCGTGCCCGCCGTGCCCGCTCCGCTGCCCCCGCGTGGACGGTCCTCGCTGCCCAGCGCCCGCGTTATTATTCAGCCTCCGTCTCTCCATGTCCACCGCCGCCGCGACCCCCCCCAGCGCTCCCAATGCTCTGACGCCCGCCGCGACCCCCGGCCCGCACCTGAAAATGTCCTCGTCGGCCAAAGGCATTGACGCACCGCGCAAGCCCGCCAGCCCCGTCGACGCCGCCCAGAGGTGAGCTGCCCGCCCGCCCACAGCCCGCCCGCCTCCGCTGGCACCGCCGCGCTCGTGCGACTCCGGGCGGTCACAAGGGCACACAATGCACACGGTGCAACGCCCGCGCTGGCCGCCCGCGCGTCGCTGCTCTGCGGGGCCACGCACCGCCGTCCATGGCCATGCTGACCGCGCCCAGGAAGCCGCCCGCGCCCAAGGCCTGGTCGCAGGGCACGAATCCCATCACCCAGCGCCCGTCGAACCCCGCGCCCACCAACGGCGCCGCCGCCTCCCCAAAGCCCGCCGCCCCGCGCGAGACGGCCACGCCAATGCGGCACCTCAGCGACCGCATGATGTACCTGCTGGCCAACCTGACGGTGAGTGGCCCGCACCCGCCGCGGGCCGCCGTGCTAATGCATCCAGGGGCTGCCCGGCACCATCACGCTCAAGAACGGCGCGCGCTACTCGGGCGTGCTGTCGGGCACGTCGCTCGACCCCAGCGAGCTGCGCTACGTCTTCAAGATGGTCAAGCAGCTGCAGCCCGCCGGCTCCGCCGCCAATGGCCAGCCCGCCGACGAGTACGCCGGCCAGGGCGAGTCGTACGTCATGTCCTTCGACATGAGCGACGTCGCCGACTTCAACGTCAACCACGTCGTGCTCGACAAGACCCAGGCCAAGCAGAACGGCGCCGCCGCCTTCCGCACCGACACGGACATCTCGGGCCACCTGGCCATCCGCGAGCGCAACCTGCAGAAGTTCGAGTTCACCGAGCCCGACACCAGCCTCGAGCTCGGCACGGCTAGTGTCGCCGGCTGGGACCAGTTCGCGACCAACGACCGCCTCACCGGCCAGCGCAGCACCTACGACGAGAACGAGTACACCACCGCCATCGACCGCAACAACCCCGAGTACGCCCGCCGCGCCGCCCGCGCCGACCGCATCGCCCGCGAGATCGAGTCCAGCTCGGCCACCAACTCGCACGTGCGCGAGGAGCGCGTCTCCTACAACCCCAACAGCGTCGAGGACCAGGGGCTGGACGAGGAAGACAAGTACGCGCCACCCCAGACACGATGATCTACGCTAACACCCCCCAGGTACAGTGGCGTTCGCCGCGACTTCTCCCCCCTGTCGAGCGGTCAAGCCAACCGATACACGCCCCCCGCGCGACGCGCTCCGAGTGCCCAGGCCACCGTCCAGGGCGCGCCCGTCGATCCCGCCATCCTGTCGTCCACCATCGCCCACCCCGACTCTGCTGCCGCCAAGGCCGCGCAGCAGACGGCGCCGCCTGTTGAGAAGCCCGCCGACGTCCCTGCCGCGCCTGCCACGGTACCTTCGCAGCCAGAGGCGCCCAAGGAAGCCAAGGAGACCGCCGCCCCGGCCGACACCCCTGTCGTCACGCAGAAGCCCGCCGCGGCCAAGCCCGTCATCGCCGCTATTCCCCCACGCAAGGTCGCCAAGCCGCACGACGCCACGACCAACGTCGAGCACGACCTGCTGGACTCGTTCAAGGCCTTCTCCGCTGCTGAAAAACTGCGCATGTCCGAGAGACAACGCAGCATTGCGCGCGAAAACAAGGCGGTAAAGTTGAACGACCTCAAAAAGTTTGCCCTCAACTTCAAACTCAGCACGCCCGTGCCCACCGACCTTGTGCCGATTCTCGCTAAAGATGAGACAAAGCAGGCTGCGATTGTCGAAAAGGCCCTCAAGCAGGCTGCGGAGACCAAGTCGTCGCCGCCCAAGACATCGTCCGCTGTCTCAGACCCGAAAGCAGCCGCACGCGCACCCGCAGCCAAGCCCGACGCCGCCAGCACGTCGCCCACCGACCGCCAGGCCCAGCGCCCCCGCCCCGGACAGTCGGCCTACCAGTCGGCCACCATGCGCGACCGCCCGCACCAGCCGCCCGCCCAGCCGCCCGCGCGCAGCCAGGGCATGCTCAGCACGCGCCTGCAGCAGAACCAGCAGCAGCACAAGCAGGGCGGCCAGCCCTACAACGGCGTGCCCCAGCCCATCCCGGCCCAGGACATGCGCGCGCCGGCCGGCCCCTCGCAGACGTCGAGCGGCGTGCAGACCCCCGCGTCGAATGCCTCGCTGCGATTCAACGTCCGCGCCCACGAGTTCAAGCCCAACCCCGCCGCACACACCTTCCAGCCCGGCGGCAACACCAGCGCCGCGTCCAGCCCCAGGCCCGACTCTGCGGCGTCCCGGCCCGAGTCGCGCAAGCCCGCCATCACCAGTTTCTTCGGCGGCCAGCGTCCGACGCTGAAGAACGTCGACCTCAAGGCCGCCTTCAGCCCGTTCGACCGCCTGGCCAAGTCGGCGTCCGAGGCCGACAAGAAGCACAACGCCGGCATCCCGTTCTCGCATCGCACGCCGCCCACGTGGGACTTCCCCGAGTCCAACAAGGACAAGGGCTACAAGGAGCTCTTCGAGCATGCGCCGCCGCCGCAGATGCTGGGCCCGCACAACGGCATGGCAAACGGCCCGATGGCCCACCAGCACCAGCTGCCGCCGCACCTCCAGGGACCACAAGGCATGCAAGGACAGCCGCAGCACACGCCCCGCGGCCCCCACGTGCAGCCGCACCACCAGGGTCCGCCCCACTTCGAAGCGCCGCACATGCAGTTCTCGCACTCGTCGTCCTCGGTCCAGCCCTCGCCGCGCCAGATGCCGCCGTACGTGTACAACGCGCAGCCCCAGCAGATGCCCGGTTACCCGCAGCAGATGCAGGTCCCCCAGTACGGCATGAGCCCGGGCATGCAGCACGTTGCGCTCCGCGGCCCCCAGGGCGGCCAGTTCGTCAACGGCCCTGGGCCGCAGATGGGCGGCCACATGATGCAGCAGAACCCGTCGAATGGACCGTTCATGGGCATGCCTGGGCAGCCGCAGATGCAGATGTATGCGCAGCCCGGCTACCCCCAGCACGGATACATTCCCCCGGGCGCCAACGGCTTCCCGAGTCCTCGCCCGGGCGCGCCAATGATGAGCCACCAGGGATCGAACCAGGGCCACCAGCCGATCATGTACATGCCGCAGGGCGCGCAGGGCCCGCACATGTACCAAATGCCGCCTGGGTCGAGTAAGTAGCGCCTTGCACTCGACGTCCCGCGACTAACCCGTACAGTGACGCCGATGCGCGGCCCCTACCCGCAGCCCCACCAGCCCCAGTACGGCTCGCCCCACCAGCAGCACCAGTTCCCGCACCCGGCGCACCGCGGCACCCCGAGCACCACCTACGCCCAGCCCATGCTGCACCAGCACTCGCAGCACCAGCACGCCCCGCCCACGGGCCCCGCCGCCCACGCCGCCGAGAACGCCGACGAGCCCAAATGAGCACCCACTGTCCCCGTGACTCCACACGGCGGCGCACGGTGTTTCAGAGGAACGCCCGCGCCCGTGCGCAGTCACCATGTTATAGCATAGCGAGGCGTTGGACGGCGAGGGAGGCGCACGCGCCAGGCGGTAAAAGTGAATGAGATGGTGATGGATGGAGATGGTGATGGAGATGCAGGGTGCAAGAGCGACGGCGCCGTCTTGGACTGAACTGGCCTCGGCGCGCTGCGAGGGTGCGCGAAGAATTCCGTTGCGGAGGCGGCGCGTTGGGCGTGCGTGCGTGCGTGTGGCTGTCTGTGTGTGTATGTGTGTAGCAGTGTAGCAGTGTAGTCCAGTCAAGCAAAGTCCAGCCAAGTCCAGCCAAGTCCAGCCAAGTCCAGTCAAGTCAATTGAAGTCAACTCAACTCAACTCAACTCAACTCCGCATCACCTCAACCCACCTCAACCCAAGCACCCCACAATCCGCATACCCCGCGTCGCAGCAACGGCAACGGCACATCTACACCCCCTCTAAGGCTCTAACCCTCCACTTAATTCCTCTCTTTCTTCTCTCTCTTTTATAGTGAAACATGTATGTATATATATATATATACCTCTAGCTCTGGCTCTGGCTCTATCTTTTTATATACCTCTCGCTCTATATAATTTATAAGATGTAGTATGTTTCTAGGTCACTCTATGTTCTACTAGTGTTTAATACTTATCTAGCTGCCTACATCCCGCCGCGCCTCTGCGATCCCTCCGTGCGTCAACGACGGGTTTGTACCGGGATGTCTTGGTGACGCTTATCTTGGTGGGGCTTGCGCGAGACGCGGTGGAAGGTTATGTCGTGAGACTGGACGTGAGTATGCCGGGGTGCTCGGTGTGTAAGCTAGACTGTAGTAGCGCCCGGGGTGGGGTTTTAGAGGCGATATCGCAGTTCTCGTGTTTGCAATGTGCCCGACACACATCGACGCAATTGTAGCACGGTCTGTGCCGTTCAAAGCCTTGCCCCTGTTAAGGTTAAACAGACGTTGGAAAGCAGTGCTCGGGTTCATCATATCGCCGTTTTGTGAACGAGTTGGCACAGTCTGTCCAGCGCTCAGATATGCGTGGCGGATACTCAACCTACTCTGGACACGCTGACGCTGGTCGTGTGCATGTTGCGTGTAGACAGACCGGCGCACAACCCCGGCGGCGGAATCAAAGTCTCCGCAGGCAATTACGACGTCGATCAATGCGGGGTAGCGCGCCGCCGCGGCGGGTGCCTGCATATCTCGCGCCGCAATACCGCGAAGCCGAGCGCGACCCCAAGATATGTAGTCGACCATGCCAGGCGTAGCTTTTGGTCTGAAATCGACCTGAAACAGTCCAAGCACGCACCATGCTTTTCATCCGTGTCGTGGCACTGTCGCTGCTCGGTCTGACGTCCGCGGCGCACGCATGCTGGCGGAACAGCACCTGCGACGGCCCCACGCAGCCCGCGTTCCCCGGGCCCTGGGATAAGTACAACTTCGCCCCAAGGTCGCGGCACGTCGCGCCTCGCGCGCTGCTCTCGCTGCCGGGCGGCATCCACGTCAGCGAGTATAGCCCGAACGCCACCCGCGTGTCTGCAGACAGCGAGGGCGTCGTGCTCGACTTCGGGCTCGAGGTCGGCGGCATCGTGGCGTTCGACTACGCACTGCGCGGCACCGTCGCAAACGCCTCGCTCGGCCTCGCGTTCTCAGAGGCCAAAGACTATATCGGCCGCAAGTCGGACAATTCCAACGGCGGCACGGGCGCGGACGGCGCGCTGCGCGTGGATATCGGAAACGCCTCGCACGGCCGCTATGTCATGCCCGACGCCCGCCTGCGCGGCGGCTTCCGGTACCTCACCGTGTTCCTGCTCGCGCCCGCGGGCGCAGCGATCGAAATCAAGAACGTCAGCGTCGAGCTCAGCTTCCAGCCCACGTGGCCCAATCTGCGCGCGTACCAGGGGTACTTCGCCTCGAGCGAGGAGATACTCGACCGCGTGTGGTACAGCGGCGCGTACACGCTGCAGACCAACTCGGTGCCGGGCAACACCGGACGCGCGAACGTGCAGACGGACCGCGTGGGGTGGGACAATGGCGCGTACATTGGGCCCGGCGAGACGGTGCTGCTGGACGGCGCGAAGCGGGATCGCTGGGTGTGGATTGGCGATATGGGGGTTGCGGTGGCTTCGGCGTTTGTGTCGACGGGCGAGCTGGAGAGTACGCGGAATGCGCTGCGGGCGATATTCGACTATCAGGTGAGTGTTGTGGCGGCGTGGGCTGGGCGCTGGTTAATCGGATTTAGTCGGCAGATGGCACGTTGCCCAAGGCTGGGCCGCCGTATCTCGCGAAAGATAGTGATGGTGAGTTCTTCCATCTTGTGTGTGTGCAGCCTGACGTCCGCTAGCCTACCATCTCTGGGCGCTTATCGGGCTTTACAACTACTACCTCTACACGGGAGATGAGCCGTTTCTGCAGGAATACTGGCCGAAGTATGTTCTGGGCGTGGACAGAATCTTGAGCAAGATCAACGACAAAGGCATTGTTAATGTTACCGGCACTGCAGACTGGGGGCGGTGGCTGTACTCCACCGAGCGCAGCTCCGTGAGCATGCTGTCAGTATCCTGAAATATAGCATCTCCTTGAATACAGAATCACTAACAGCCACAGCCTATATCGCGCACTAACAACAGGCGCCTCCATCGCCGCCTGGTCGCCGACGCTCCCCAACGCCACGCCCCTGCGCTCCAAATGGCTCTCCGCAGCCTCGCACCTCCGCGCCTCCATCCTCACCACCTTCTGGGACGACACCCGTGGTGCTTTCAAGGAAAGCCCAGACTCGACCTCCCTCTTCCCCCAAGACGCCAACGCCATGGCCCTCGCCTTCGCCGTCCTCGCCCCGGCCGATCCGCGCACCGCCCTTGTCTCCACCCACCTAACCCGCGCGTGGACCCCGCTTGGCCCCGTAAACCCCGAACTCAGCGCCAACGTGTCCACCATCTCGCCCTTCATCACCAGCATCGAGCTGGAAGCACACTTCCGCGCCGGCTTCCCGCAGCGCTCGCTCGATCTGATTCGTACGGCGTGGGCCTGGTACCTCAACAACCCGAACGGCACGCAGTCCACCGTCGCGGAGGGCTGGCTGGCGGACGGCACCTGGGGGTACCGCGGGGATAGGGGGTATAGGAGTGATCCTAGCTACGTGAGTCACGCGCACGGGTGGAGCAGCGGGCCCACGAGCGCGCTGACGGAGTACTTGGTCGGGCTGAGGGTCACGGAGCCGGCGGGGCGCAGGTGGGAGCTCCGGCCGGCGGCGTGGGCGGGGGTGGAGCGCGCGCAGGCGGGGTTCTCGACGGCGCTGGGGAAGTTCGAGGCAAAGTACGAGCGTGCGGCGAATGGGAGCGTGGTTGTGATCTGGGATGTGCCGGAGGGCACGGTGGGGTGTGTGCGGGTCCCGGGCCACGCGGGCAGGGTCGTGGAGGGCGGGAAGGGGGCGGTGGTTGTCGAGCTTGTGTAAATCCTGGCAGTGGCACTGTCAGTCTCTATCCGCTTTGAACAAAGGGCTAGAAAGTCACTGGTTGCTCTTACACTGTGCTCGATGCGCAGCCTTGTAGTCGTAAGCGGAAGCATGATGGTCTCGTTGAAGTCGCAATAGCTCCCCCGTAAGGTCCAGTCAACAAGAAACGCGTCTCCGCCATCCGACTCTTGCATCAGCAGCTGATATAGTCGTGCGCGGTTTTTGCAGATCCCTACACCCGCTAGCCCTCTGAGCGCAGGCAGAAGTACAGCGTCGAGCCAAAGCTGCTAGTCTTGCTTACTGGCGTAGGTGCTGTGCTAATCCTAGCTCCCCAAGTAGAGCTCAGGGGAGAAAGCATACACCGGCAGCGAGTGAATGCTGCCCGCGATGGCCCTAGGGCAGCAGTAGGGGATCTTGTGTAATACGATATCTTGCGTCGTTGGGTTGTCGCAGCTGTGGTACGTAGACATAGCAAGGCTGAGATGTATGTCTGCGTTAATGTTCAAGATTACGTTCGCTCCAGGGCACCAGTTGATTTTATTCCGCGCACACTCTACGCTCTAGGGAATTACAGAAGACCTTATGATCTTTCTTTTATTAGGGCCGCAAGGACTAGAGCTAGCAACAAAGCAATAGCCTCTATCTACACTATACCTTTCCTGTACTTGATCTATGAGCGGTTGCTGCTAGCTGCTACATCCCCTACTAGATCTACTATATCTTTGTTGCGTAGGCTTCACCAAGGAGAGCAAGAGCCTAGTAAGAGCCAATGTGCACTGCAGCTAACGCAGACTCAATCGCTTCTACATACCCCAGGCGATACAAAACGCGTCATCTGCACTACCTGGCGATTTACCGTGCCCGACCACAGCTAGAAGTTGAGATGCCTGCACGGAAGGGGTTGCCCTCTCGCCGCCACGTCTGCAAGAACTGCGCAGCGCAGTACTGGGAAGACTGGATGCCCAGAGCCCGAGTCTTCTCAAGCACGCCGACGGCCGTGTAGTATGGCGTTGGCGATGCAGAGTAGAAATCTGCCTCTGCCGTTAGCTTCTGCCGTATGATCCACGCAATGGCTGACTTGTCCTGCACCAGTATGGATCCGTATGTCGCACTGATCTCCTGCAGCAGCGCCTTGTTACTTAATTCTATTAGGCCTATTCAAGTCGCTTCTTTGCGCGCGAAGTGTCATGTTCCTCTTCCGTTTTAATGTAGCGCGACTATTGTTGTTCGTGACGGTGATCACACTCTCTGTGAAACGTCGCGGCTGGGGACGTCCACACCCTTAAGAAGACTAGACCAGTCACGCTAGTCGACTAGACTAGTCACACTAGCAGACTTAGCTTGTTTCCTTCACGCTCACACTGCGAGGTCACTGTACTTAGGCAGGCTGGAACATGGGTTTGATGGGTGCTGGTAAGGGCAGAATTAGGTATTATTTGATGTATTATGAGATGAAGCATTGAGGTAAGAGCTCTAGTGTTCGGACGGTCTGTATAGGTGGGTCTGTGCGTACCTAGTCTTGGTCCGAGGTATCCGGTAGGAGACCGAGGCAGGCCTTGTAGGAAACCCCCGTGACACTCACACCTTTATTACACTAAATTTAAACCTGTGCATTATAGCTAGATCTTAATATATTCTAGAGCCCTAACCTGTTAGCCCTAACACTAGCCCTGACTAGCCCTAGCTCTAAGAACTAACCCTAATTAACCCTAAGAGTAGAGGGTGAAGGATAGGTCTAGCAGAGATTTAATATTCATTGCCAAGGAGCTGTCTTTGGCTTAATTGCTAGCGCTTCTATATTAGGAGTGTAGGCGTCCGCAGACACGAAGTGTGGGTGTTCCCAGTCGCAACGCTGTGAAGTCCACGCTGTCTATAGCTATCCTGTTGTCGGTAATACTGCCCGCCGCCTCGTGTGTCGTCGCAAGACCCACAGTTCGTTGCTATGGCATGGATTGTGGGCTTTCCGGCGGGCGTACGGGCTCAGGAGCAGGCACCTGTGCTGACGGTGGCGCGTCCACCTCAACATCGCTGCCATATTCGCTTCGCTGCTCTTCCCCGGTGCGGCGACGTAGAGAAACAGCCGTGGCGACCAGCGCCGAAGCCATCTATGTTGGTGCGTGCTTCCCAATGCGTATTATTAGAGATACTCCCCACGAGCTAGGTCGCGAACAAACGCTGCTACTGACACTCAAGCGCTGCGATTCATCAACGCCCAGAAGAGCTTCTTGTTCGGCCCTAGCTTCTTTGTGGTAGCAAAGGCCAGGCGCGCTCTATATCCCAGCTGAATCTTCTCGAAGTTGCACGCTTTAATCACAAGGGACTCCTAGGGTCCACTGAAGACTCCTCGTCAAGCAGTTGCCTTCAGCCTTGAGGATGTGGTATTATGTGCAACAGGGAATGTTTTGATGTTGTGGCGTATATCATTTGTTGTCTTGTACGGCGCGCTCTCGTGGAAAGAATCAAGCCGAGCAGGCCAGTGGCCGTGAGTAGGCCGATGCCCAGGAGTCGCCCTGATATCCCACGTGCATCCAAACGAGCTGAAAGAGAAAGCAGACTTTTTTCGGTCTTTTTCGGGTACAGGCGGTGGTTCTTAAGATGATGTGGTGGACCTAACAGTAGTTACATATAACAGGTACTACCTTGGGAAATCATGCACACACTTTAGGCTTGTAGACAGTAGCATAGTTTAAAGACGAGGCGGAGCCGGGGGAATTAAGTGTTGGGGGATGAAAGAGTGGCTAGTATATTGTTTTCTCTAACACTGCGGCGTGGGTGATGCCTAGAGACTGCGGCGACCTAGGGTGCACAGTAGTAGGCGTTTAGGAGAGACGCTTTAGAGAAAGTTAAGTAAATTAGACTGAACGTTGGTTCTAAGAAAGAAGAAGAGAATACCAAATGCTACGATACATTGCTCTATGTGTTATTGTCTTAAACATTATCTCTGTAGGAGCACTGTCGTGACGATCGAAAGCGCCGTCTTAATTTAGTTTCAGGCTTAGCCTAATTTTGTCATAGGCTGTTTGATGACTAACGGATAGATGAACAGACAGAGCGAGAGATACAGGGTACGTAGGCAGGGCTCTTGAGAAGCTCAAGCAGCGGGCCGCAGCTCTATCTGTCCATGCACTGACAGTCGTCCACGCCGCCCCACTCTCCCGCACCGCTCAGCACACCGCTTGATAGAGTTGGGCATTTCTAAGCTACATCCATGTCCGAACATTGAAACAGTATGTTCCACAGCTGTTTGATAGTGTATCCAAGGAACGGTGCGCTCATAGGTACTATCCACTGAGCCGTGCAGATACGGTTCTCGGCGGGCCTAGCTGCTCTTGTTGGCCAAGGCGCTGTAGAGCTCTTGATACAGACCCTGACCAATGCCACGAATACGCTTCGAAGAGAAGATAAACTGACCTTTATAGCCCAAAAGAACTCTTCAGCATGGCTCATGTCACACGTGCCCACACACGTAAGGAGCGATACCAGAACAACCACTCCATCTCCATCGATCAGATCCGGGAAGAGCTAATGCTTAATCAAGGGCTGCCATCCAGGAAGAGCCGATGTTTAGTCAAGGGCTTCTATCGGGATGGGCCGATGTTGAGTCAAGGGCTACTACCCAGGAAGGGCCGATGCTAAGTCACGGAGGACTACCTAGATTTCACGGTTAGTCTACTATCTCTAGTCTATAGTAGTAATATAACTTCAAGTATAAAAAGGCCTATAAATCGCTTTCTTGTTTCTTCAAGAAGTCACAATCCAAACAGTGACAACTGCACCTCTCGAAGAAACAACACCTACCAATCTTTCCCTAACCCTAACCTCGATTCATACCATGAAGATTTTCGCTCTTATCTTGCTTGCTGCCCCGGCTGTTCTCGGGGCATGCAACCCATCTGGTAACACTGGACTTGGCCCCTGCATTGCCTGGTGCAACAGCGGCGGCCAGCAAGCAAGCGCAGCGGCAATTGCTGACTGCATAAGGAGGGGATGTGATACTTGCAGGTACGTTAACACTCCAAAAGCTTTATCTACGTCCACTCTGAATAGCTGACTTATATTTCAAATAGGCCTTAGAGTACACAATAGCACACATTAAAGTGCGCAAAGCAGTGTGCTCGTACACATGGTTTCTTAAAGCAAATGTACTCGCTATTCAACTATGCGAATCTAAAGCAAATATACTCCATATTCAACTATGCGAATCTAAAGCAGATGTACTCGATATTCAACTATGCGAATACATTGGAGAGAGCAATTTCCTTAGCGGGAGGGAGCAAGGAAGGCAATTGATTAGTTTTGAAATTAATATCTCTTGGAACCACTTCTATCAGTGATTGTCAATATATGCGGACCAACCCCTCTCTAGTACGGATGGAAGCTACCATGTGGTGCCCCGCACTGAAACAGTGGTAGGCCTATAGTATACTAGCAGCGAGAGGCAGTGAAGGTTCACACACGTGACGTGCACGGGTATCGACAATACTGACCCAACCTACTAGTAGTCTCTGGCTGGTGTGAGTGGGAGTATATGGGTGATTTACAGTACAGTTAACGGAAATTACGACAGTACTCGTGAGTCATTTCTTTCACTAGTACACTGCAGTAGTACAACTAGAGCTGATGTACAACGTGTGACGTGATGCCTGGTGTGGTGGTGTAGTACTACTATAACCTGTGCCCTCCGATGCAAAACCGATCGCTCAACACCCACGTCGACGTCCCATACCCAATTGTTCACCATGCCAAGCTTCAGAAGAGGCGCTCAAAACGTACTAGCGGTAACTCCAACAGTATTAGTTTTAGTGAAGGATATCAATTTTCTGTGCAGGACTTTCGGAACAATGACCGAGACAGAAAGCACAGAATAGCTTCCTAGAGACGGACTAGAGGAGCTAAAACGAGCTACACCTTTTTGCAGCTGAAGTACTGTCATCCTCTAGCCTGGCATGGTGCTGATATCCACCTGTTTGGCTCTGCGAGGAGTGCATCTTATACATCTTTGGCTAGAAAATCATCTAATCGATTGTTCATTGTCATTTGCACACAATGCGTCTGGCTTGCAGAGAAGTACGATCTTCCCTAGCGGCCAATGAATGTGATAACTCACTCGAAGCTAGTAGGTGTTGACCTTGCTTGCAATCTCCTTCGTCTAATATTTACACTTCTAGCGATTCTGTCCTTGCATGCTTACCCTGAGCCAGAACCCAGCTCTTCGCTTTCGCCCCCAACAGTGTTAATAGCGGCATCGCGACGGGTTGTTGCTGTATTGACAACAGATTGAGGCGTTCTGGGACAGAGCCTAATGATCTGCAAGGTCCCCTCCCTCCGGTCGCGGCAACCAGGACCTCTATTTGCGTGCACATTGTGGCACGCACTTGACGGACCTCGAGCAGACCGACTTGATCCTTGTTTTCGTATCATCTGGACGATGAGATGGAAAGGGCGTCATAGGCGGTCCGTGCAAACGAGAAAGAATTCAACTTCCCGCCACCTCGTTTTCCAACCACCTGCCACCATTACACGCTCTTCAACGCAATACTCGAGAACACGTACGAGTGTACGCTTTATGTGTCAAGCCATAATGGTGGTCAGACGAAGCAGTGGCAGATTTGAGGCGCTGGAGAACCGGAGCTGTCGGACGCACAATGTTGATCGTTGTTCATGCTGTGCTGCGCCGCGCCGCGCCGCGCCGCTTTCCCCGGAATCGGCGCCGCTCCGACGATCGTGTTCTAAGAATAACAACACCGTATGCAGATGGCATTCTCCGTACCCAGATGGTATTCTCAGCAATGCTGCTTGCAAGAGCTGGTTTCAATGTCGTGGTATGTTGCTTACTGCGCCAGAAAGTTGGGCATCAAACCCCGCATTCGGCTCCCAAAGCCCAAACCACAGCTAAATTTTGACGTTGTGAAACTTTCGGGTGGAAATCGAGAGGTTGACAACTAAGAGTTACGAGCGCCAAGTGGCTGAACCCAGCAGCTAGTCATACTTTGCCTCACAAACACGAGGTAAGTCCAACATGGAAGTGTGTATAAAGGTAAGACCAGGTGCCTGCTCAGATCCTGCATCAACATCATCAGTCAATCTTCGCAGATTCAGCACATAACCTCACTCGTTATCCAGACACTCGTTACTTCGACTACAACACTACGTTATCAACCAATATCAACATGCAGTATACTATTTTTTCCCTGCTGGCAGTAGCCTCTCTTGCCTCAGCGCAGAGCTCCAGCACAGCCGCCTCTGCCTCCCAGACTCCCATCGGTCAGGTTATCCCTATCGGCGGAGACTGTGTCCCCAACGGTGTTCCATGTGCTTTGGGCGCCAACTGCTATGCCACGAACTCTATGCTTCAGCCTCGCTGCGGCAACTTCCAGGCTTCCTGCACCAGCAACCAGCAGTGCGCCTTCAACACCTGCAACGGAGGTCTTTGCAATGGCTTCATCCCCTCTTCCTCTGCCTCATCGGCAACACCCACCATCACATCCGCGTCGTCCAGCGCAGGAGGCTTCCAGCCCCGCCCCTCATCTACCGTCACAGCTGCACCTGGCACTCTCCCCCTTGGCGCCGAGTGCGATGCTTTCGCGTCTCAGAGCCAGTGCGTGGCCGGCGTGCAGTGCTGGGCCAGCAACTCCGGTCTGATCCCCCGGTGCGGAAACTTCAATGCGGCCTGCACCGGCAACTCGCAGTGTGCGTACAATACCTGCAACAACGGCCTCTGCAACGGCTTCCTGGCGTCTTCTAGTGCCGGCAACGGTACCGTTACTGCTTCGTCCTCGGGCACTGTCAGGCCCAGCAGTGCTTCTGGAAGCGCTTCCATGACTGCGTCCCGTAGCGCAACGGGTACTGGCTCCGTGACTGCGTCTCGCACCAGCAGCTTGCCTGTGTTTACTGGCGCTGCGGCTGTTGCTACCATGGTTCCTGAGGTCATGGCCGTCATTCTTGGTGTTGCCGCTTGGGCTTTGTAGATGTCTCGTTGGGGTTGAATAGGCGGTAATACTTGGAGACCCTGCAGTTGATGATGTATGTAGACCTAATAAATGTAGTGATGATATTCTAAACACCAATTGAGACTCCATGGGTTCTGGCCGATTGTTGATGATGTGCAAGGACCTCTTTGAAAGGGCATGCACATGGCCTTTACTCAGTCTAGACTACATAACAAAGCTTGACGAAAGCAACGCCAGAGCACGCAGCCGAGAGGTGGAGAGATTATAGATGTTTACTGCAGATTGAAGGTAGAGAACGAGTCCGAGTGTTGATTGACAAGTATGTGAGGCGGTTGTACTGAGGGAAACCGTACGGCTCTGACCCGTCGTGAACTGCCATCTTTTGTTAGCATCAACTCGCGCAAGAGCCCTCTGCCATGACCGGCCGACATCGCTCGTCGCAAAGAGAGATGATCGACATGCATACAGATGCACTTGCCCATGAGACTAGTGTGCTGATACGAGCGCTGGCAGGCAGATCGAGACACTCAAACACTGCTCGATGAGGTCAGCGAGCTGCAAGAGAAGAAGACGGACATGCAGAGGGCGATGGAGAGTGTCAGCGAGCTCTGAACAGCTTCACACGAGACGCTGTATTTGGCACATAGACTTTACTGACAAAGCGCTTCTGGAGGCTGGTCGATATATGGAGAGTAGAGTATTCGTTACATATCTCAACGCGTATTCCAATAGTACGCAGTCCTTTTTGATCTAGGCACGTCAGAAGCTTACACAACAAGTGGTGGTACCATAGGCAGTGACCAAGACACGAGCTCAATCCTCCCACTTGCTCTTAACTTCAACATCCTGTTCTACCGTGCTGGTAACCTTGACACCATCGTTCAAGATGCATTCCTCACTGCTCGAATCCGGCACTATCCTCCCCTGCACCACACTTGCCATCTTCGAATCACTCAGCGCAACCCACTCCTCATCGTTGCCCCGAGGTCTCGTCGATTTCTTTGCATAACTCTGACTCGGGGTGTTATTCGGTGCTGTGTCACCGCCAAGGTTGAATACGCGGCGGAACAGAGGTCGTAGAGTCGCGACGCATCCGACGATCATGCCGACGCCGTTCTCTGCGTAGCCCCACAGCACAACGTCGGAGATGCCGTAGAGGAATTCGTTGGAATGGGTAAGGTTTACCGTGTAGACGAGACGGACGCAGGCCGATAGACTGGCTCTGCGAGAACGACGTCAGTAGTGTTGAATATATCTAGGGTGAAGCGGCTTACAGTGCACCGAGACCGAGTATGATACCGACAGAGAGCTTGGCATTGCGGTTTAGTTGGACGTTCCAGAGTAGTGGTATAGGCAGCAGAGCACAGAACCAGTCTGTAGCGATGTTGACAGCAGTTGTTGCGTAGTAGATGTCTGCCAAAGTCTGCGCGGGGTTGCACTTCCCGCCTTTGATTGTGGTGTCCCAGGCGTACTGCACTGGTAGACAGTGGAAGATTATGTACAGCATAGCAATCAGGTTCATCGCTGTGAACATCGCCGAGACGGCGTAGAGGCTGTACGTGTACTTGATCCTGTTGGATGCAATGCGCACCAGCATGAAAGAGATGCTCAGTTTGATCGGAATGATGGCCGCGCAATAGAACACTTCGAAGAAAAAGAAATACTGCACGGGTCAGTGGATGTTGTCAGGCTGCGTGGATCGTAAAATATACTTGCATGCCCTTCATTGTCTCGAGCTTACTCAATCGGTCCTGATGAGTACCAATACCGTTGTATGCACCTCCAATGCAGGCGACCGTCAACCCAGTGAAGGGGATCTGGAGGGTCAGCACTATCTTCTGCGAGCGAGGTGTAGTGGATTGCCTCACAGCTGCAGCTGCCATACTCCAATCATCAACACCAAAAGACCTGTTGCAAATTCTTGTATACATGCGTAGAGCGAGCGCTACGTATGCGATAGTTGCAAGAGCGATTACCGTGCCGGCGAGTTGAGTAGCCTTGTCGCCGGAGTCAATCATCTTGGATGCTGTAAAGACAGACGTTGGAGAGAAGATCCGAGGAGTAGAACAGATCAAAGACGCAGGTACAAGAAGGTAGAGAAAAGATGAATCCAGGACAAGACGTCGACTAGTTACAAAATAACATGTGAGTCGCGAATCCTACGAGTGGATTGGAGCTGATACTGGTGGCAAGAAAGAAATTGTTCAAGAGCTTGAAGGTGACCTCCTATAGATGGGGTTAGAGGTTCGCTGTTCTTCAAAAGAGATGGGGATTAACTGCTGATGAATCACTTGCGCAGCAGCAGCGAGCTTGGTCTGGAGAAACTGACGGAGCCTGACTCCGCGCACGCGGTGGTTTGTGATTGGCGTGAAGGGCCCGACCGGTAAACTGAACATCCATTTCTGGCCTCCGTCCATTGTTGTCGCATGCGAATCCGATGTTAGGCCGCAGCAATTTCCTGATTTGGTGACATGACATGGTCTGTGAGGTTCTGAATGCGAGTAGGCTCTGCGAAAATGTGACGAACCGTCCCGGCGGGAGATCCGCAACGCATATGCTTGGGCGTGTGCTTAGACTTGCAGATACGGCAGATCGTACGGGAGAGCATCGTATCCGAATATCGCTGGTATTGGGAGCTGAAAAGTTTACGAGAACGACGATCTTGAATAATTTCCATCTTGAGTGAGGCGAGTTACCTGGGCGCACACTTCACCAGTTGTCGCACAATGCCTTGTATACAAGGCTGAGAGAAAAGACAAGTCCCATTCGCTGCATGGAGCCTGGCAGTTGAGTGATGTGTACCTCGAACTTGGAGGATCACACGGCTCGGCCCAGTGGCGTGGCCAACAACAATGTTCACTCCACCTTTTTAAGTTTGGCGGTGCTGATCTAACAGGGGGTCAACGTCGGGCTGATATGTACAGTGTGTCGGCGTGGCATGCATTCAGCAAGTCAGAAGCTCTTCTAGGAAAATGGTGTAGCTGTTCCAGATTGGCTAAACTCTCAATGGATACTCGTGAGCTGTCAGCTGGAGAATAAACTAGGCAGCGGCTGCGCGGTTGGCGGGAAGAGCGCGAAAGCCATTCAACGCCTGTCAAAAGTCTCGCCCGTGTACCTGACGTGCGCTATGGCGTTCCTTACCACAAAGGGGTCTGTGGCTGCGATCAGCGCAGCGATGCCATCGTAGCAATGTACAGGACAATATGACCCAAGAACGACGGACGCATTCCGTCAGGGAATATTGATGAGCAGTTTGTAGTACGCCTAGAAGCCTTATTTGTTAGCAGCACGATTAGCCTGCTCGTGAGCTGCTGCAAAGGGGGCAAGTAGCACCTAAAGACATCGGTGGGTACTGTACCATAACCCCCAGTATCACAAACAGCTTCTGCTATATTGTCCTTGTTGTAGGCCGACTGTGTACGGTGCTGACAACTTGCGATTCGGTACAGGCAGATCTCTTATCGATAAGGTCTCAGCCAATGTGGGACTAGGGTCTTGGCAGGTGCGCGTCCCCAGGTGGGGCGTTTCGGCAGGGGCGGACTGGGCGTTGACGGACGTGGGCGGGAGTGGACGGGGCGTGCAGGACGGCCGTGATGCCGCCGACGACGTGCCGTCTCCTATTCACGGGTGTTCCGCTCTTCTGGCCAGACAGCGGTCCAAAGGCAACCCGTATTCTTGGACGTGTCCGCATACGCCCTTGACCGCGGATTCTGCATCAGGAAGTGTGGATTCTCGACGCTGCTGCGTGAACACACGCGTACGCAGACACGCATTGCTGTGAGCGTAAGGAGGCGGAGCAGAGGAATAGGACGAGGAAGAGAAAGACAAGATAGAACGGAGCGCATGCAAACGCATCCACAGAGGCGCATCAAGGACTACACGCCCACGCATCCACAGCCACGTTTCCGAAAACAGAAGGGAAACAGCGCCACGCATCCACACGAGTAGCCGCACACATACACGCGTTTCTTTCTCCAAGCTTGTGCGAATATCTGGTACCAAGACCTAACCCAGGACCAAGACCGGGACGTCTACTCGGATTGCTGAACAGGAACACTGTTCAGGACCCAGACCCGGGCGTAGCATATTCTCTCGCAGCGCCATCCTGCTACACCGAGCAGCCATGTCTGCGGCGGGACCTAGCGGCGAAGACGCACGACCGCTGCTGCAGGGGAACGGTGACAGGGATGGAGATTCTGAGCACGTGGAAAGAAGCGGTGAATCTGTTACAGCAGACGGAAACAGAGATCAAGAGCGAGGTGAACGGTCTGGCGAGCGACAGAGTGGGGATGTACTATTCGCCGAAGCAGATGCGTATGAGGACACGGGTGCACTGTTAGGTCCGAATGAGGATGCAGATGCGGATGCGGATGCAGACGAATTGAGCATGGACAGCCCGGGGTTGTTCGTCTGGGGGCTTACGCTTTGTGCGTGTGTCAGCGGGTTATTATTCGGCTACGAGTAAGTCTTTTTCTTCTTTGTTGCCCATATCTTGGGCTTCTGATATGTGGATTGGCGTTGGGGTGGGTGACTCGAGACTCGAGACTCGGGACTTGGTGTAGTACCGGGCCACCCTATCGTCGATTTCCACACATCGTGACCACAGTACTGCGGACTCGTTTATCTCCTGACCTCCCAAGCTATCGACTGCCGTCCCTTCCAGCCCCTAGCATTTACCCGAAATCCTGACTAACATCCCCCAGCACCGGCGTCATCTCCTCGACCCTCATATCAATAAACGCCGACCTCTCTCACCCCCTCACAACCCTCGACAAATCCTTAATCACCTCCTCTACCTCCCTCGCTGCTCTTCTTGCCTCCGCGCCCGCCGGCCTGCTTGCCGACGCGCTCGGCCGCAAACCGCTCATCCTTGCTGCCGACCTCTTATTTATCTTCGGCGCGCTCCTGCAAGCGCGGGCGACCAGCGTTAGTACCATGGTAGCCGGGAGAGCGATCGTGGGTGTTGCGATTGGGGCTGCGAGTTTTGTTACACCGTTATATATCGCGGAGCTTAGTCCTAGTGCATTTCGCGGAAGGCTGGTCACGGTGAGCAGTTTGTTTGTGACAGGAGGGCAAGTAGTGGCGTATATCGTAGGTTGGGGATTTAGTGAAAGCGATGGGGGGTGGCGGTGGATGGTGGGACTGGGCGCGGGACCGGCGGTGCTGCAGGCAGGGATGCTGCTGTTTATGCCAGAGACGCCGCGGTTTTTGATGGGAAGGGGGAGGGTAAGGGAGGCGAGGGAGGTGCTGGGGAGGGTGTACAGCGGTCTCGATGGCGTCGTGGAGAAGGTCCTGCGGCGCGTGCAGACTGAGATCCAGCACGAGGAACGCGCCGCGCCACACAGTCCGAAAGACGATGGCTCCTGGCGCTCCCGCGTGCAAAGAGCCACAGCCTCATTCCGCGCTCTTACCGCCCCTGGCGCGAATCGCCGCGCCCTCGCCCTCGCGTGCCTCCTCCAAGGCGCTCAACAACTATGTGGTTTCAACAGCTTGATGTACTTCAGCGCGACGATCTTCGCGCTCGTCGGCTTCGCCTCGCCGACCCTCACCGCGCTGTCTATCGCGCTCACAAACTTCGCCTTCACGCTGTTGGCCTTTGGGGCTATCGACCGCGTCGGTCGGCGCGCGATACTGCTCTACAGCATCCCCTTCATGGCAGCGGGGTTAGCGCTGTGCGCAGGCGCATTTCAATTCGTCGACCTCGCGCCCGACACCTCGCACCCGGCCCAGCAGACGGCCGGCGGCGTCTGGCCGACCGCCATCCTCGCCTCGATGGTGCTCTTCGTCGCCGCCTACGCGCTGGGCCTGGGCTGCGTCCCGTGGCAGCAATCCGAGCTGTTCCCTCTCTCCGTACGGGCGCTTGGCAGCGCGCTCGCCACAAGCGTTAATTGGGGGGCAAACACGGTCGTCGGGGTGAGCTTCTTGCCGCTGATGGAGTGGGCGAGTCCGACGGGGGCCTTTGCGTTGTACGCCGGGGTGTGCGTCGGGTGCTGGGTGCTGGTCTGGGCAGTGTATCCCGAGACGGCGGGGTTGGGGCTTGAGGAGGTGGGAGGACTACTACAGGAGGGGTGGGGAGTAAGGGAGAGTGTGCGGCGTTTTAAGCAGCGGAAGAGGGGAAGGAGTGGCGAGTGAGGAATGGCGATTCTGTCTCTCCGCTCTCTTGGTGTCTTTGAGTCCAATTTCTCACACAGTTCAGCCCAGACTCTCAGCCCATTGTAGGTACAAGAATAAATACTGGATACATTGTGCGTCCATCCCAGCTCCCCACAGCACAACTGCCCACAACGCAGCACAGTGAAAGGATTCCGGTTCACCGTCATCCATCCCCCCACCAAAGAAATCAATATGCGAAGTCTCGGCAGGACATCCACATTGTCGCTGTAGCGTCGGGGTTGCGAGTGCTGATCGTTCCCTCCGGATTTGCAGGACTGGTGCCGTGGTCTTCGGTGCATTGGTGATCGGGGAAGGGGAACGCGGATGTGTGACACTAGGTCTCGGAGGCCGGCTACTACGTCGCTCGCGCACACCGACTCGCGTGTTTAGCTGGTACGCATGGGTTCCTGGGCGCGCTGGGGTGGAGGTGGATAGTTGTAGTAGGCACTGGGGCCTTTCGTGTTGTGCAGCGGACAGTTGGACGATGCAGGCTAGATGAGGGGAGTAGTAGGAATTGAGAGGCGCGGCGATTGTTTTGCGTTGCGTATGATCCGGACCAAGAGAATGAAGGCGATGGGACGCTGGACGAGAGAAAGTCTATACGCATCGTGTGAGGCGCTGTGATGGTGAGCAGATATTCCACCGTCTCCTCGTCTTCGTCTCGACTTCTGTGGTCCCCAGTATCGTGTGTCTAAGCGAAGCAGAATGTCTACAATACAAGAGCAACGGCGGAATCACTCAAGAGAAGAGAGGGGTCTAGACTCACCTTTGGGCGCTATGGGGGTGGGAGGACGGGTCATTGTCTCTCAATCTAAGTCTTGACTTGTGTGGTCTCCTCAGTATCGATATCGCTTGTCGAGCGAGGCAGGCTTTGGAGGTACCTCTTTGGTGTCCTAAACGGGATCCTCGGTGGTTTCGGGGTGTGTGGCTGCCGCTGAAAGCTAATCGCTGGTGCGACCAATCTCGGCTCGGTGCTCAGTGTCAAGACTAGGGTTGTATGCCTTGAGTCTGCGATAGTCCGATGTCAGTGGCTACACTGCGAAGCTAAGGTATTGTGTGTTGATGCGATATCAGCTGTCCTCAGATCCAACGACAGAGCGACCAGGAGATTCAGATCCCGCGGCTTGATCAGATGCTTCTGCTTGCGCGGCAAGCTCCACACGCTCAGTTCTTATACATTATGCCACCAGATACCGACTCCAGTGGATGCTAGAACTTTGCCGGTTCGTCATCTCAGTCTTGGCTTCTGCCTTCTCGATGACCGCGCCTACAGAAACTCGATGATCAACCAGAAGTTGTGTTCAAATCAATGGTCAATCTCCAGCAGCGCCCGCTGCGCCTTGCTTCCCTACCCGCGCAAGCCCACTCCATGGCAGCTCACTCGGATTGAGCAGATGAGTCTTGTTGAAGATGCAAGACATTATCTACACTGCAAGGCGCTGCCCGGCAACAATACCCATCAAGCAAGCCTTGACGGCGGTCTGGAGGATTCGGTCTCGATCCTGGCTGGATTAGCGGCAGGTGTGTGAAGTAGTTTGTTATGAGAGGAGTGCGCTGCGCGTGCTGAACGCAAGGTGGATTGTGTCGAGCAGTGCTACGGCATTGTGCACATATCAGTTTCGCGTATCTGATGAATTGTCTATTGGTACGAAGAAACGAGTTGCGAGCTATGATAAACGGTTGTACCCATCAATCTACCCGAGCTTATCGTCGGTATAAGGTAGCTCGGTAGGTATCAAGGGCATCAAAAAGATCCAAGCTTCGCGCCCCACCCACTGTCTAAAACCAGTTAACTGACTCCATGAAGCCGTTCCCAGCCAAATCCTGATATTGCTCCCCAGTGATTTCCACAATGAGGTTTTGGTTCTTGAATAGACTTCTCAAGAACACCACGGGGTCCTCGGGGTCCAGCGTCGTCCACTCCTTGATCTCCAGGACGACGCGGGTGACTCCATCAAGCGCCGCTGGCAGATTCGACTTTCTCAGACCTCTCCTCATGACATCCTTGGGGATGCCCACCAGACAATCTCGGGGCAAGCGGACGGTCTTGAGCGTGATAGTTTGGTACCACGTCATCAGTTGTGGCACTTCAAACAGTGACGCGTACTCTGGAAGGTGCAGTGTTGTCCATCTGCCTTCGTAGAAGATAGCCTCTTGGCGAGTTTGACGGCAGGTCTGAAGGATTTCTCTATGGTCTTGAAGAACGCGACACTCAGCAAGTGTCTCGTTGTCTTCAGGGCCCCAGTTCGGTCTACGATAAGCCGTAGCAGTGCTGAACACAAAGCCGTATATCTCGTAGCGTAACTCTACAGGAATACGAAGAAAGCGCGAATTACGCTGATTCTGCTGTGTACTATGGGTGTTAGTCGTAGCGGAAGAAGGTACATGGGGTTCATGGTGCTCACATCGAGTCCAGCTCATCGAGTTTGATGGCCGATCTCGCCATTGCTCGTTTTGTCGATTGTAGGAAAAGTTGTGGTCGGTGAATGTGAGGAGAAGATGTGGTGGAAGGTTATAGCCTGGAAATGGAGGTGCTGCAGGTGGGGGATTGACGTAGGCGAGGGGGCTAGCGAAGCCGCACGTGCTGTGTGAGGATCGGTGAAGCCATTCACTATGGCTGTAATTTTCCTCCCCCCACCATAGGAACACACTACCCAGTCAATTGCAACAACAGCAGACTCTCGCAAAGACTCGTTCTGTTCAAACTAGACTCCGCTGCATCTCTCTGTGCAACATGGTCCGAAGTGCGTCCACAATGCAAGGCATGCACAGTGTAGATCTGCTCAGTGTGAGACGAGTCTTCAATGAAAGGCTTTTAGGAGCCATATCGTTTGGATCAAATGCTGCGGTATGAGAAGTCATTCGTGTTGATATGTCTCGCCAATGGTTGGTGTTATCACTTGCCGTACTGACTTCCAAACACGGAGTTCAGGTACGCGATCCCAGCCGCCCTCCAGCTATCCCGCTCCACTCTGCTGGCTCTCTTGACCTCGAACACGAAGTTCTGCCCATATCCTCCCGCGCCATCATCATACCTTGGCCACTCTGCAGCGCCCTGCACGCCATGTCCATTGGGATCCTGTGTGGTGAAGAACGACACCCACATGTTGCTCATCATCTTAGCGGTATCGCGATAGCTAGCCGGCACCGCGTCTGCGCCACCTACGAAAGCCATGCGCTGGAGATTGTAGAAGACGTAGGGTACCTCGACGAAATGCGTGGATCCAGGCAGGTTCGCCACCTCGCCGTTGAAGCGGTAGCAGTATGCTGTGACATTCTGCTTGGACCAAGATTGACAGGTCAGTCTTTTCGGCGCAACGAATGTGTAGTCGCCGGACAGTGCAGCCCAGCGCTTTGTTTGAGACCCGCGGCCCGGTGGCGGTACGGTCCAGATCTCGGGTACGCCAACGCCATTGATGTTGGGATACAGCACCTCGAGGAACGGAACTGTGGAGTTGGAGCCATAGGCTGCAGCGCGATTTTTGAACTCGGCGTCAGTGTTGATGTTGACACCTAGGGCTGTGAAGATTCCTTCATCGCTGTTCGTACCCGCAATGATGGGAACCTTCACGAACGCTCCGGCCTCCAGCTGATCGTACAGACTTCCTTTGACGAGATCGCCATCTACGTACGGAAAGAATGATCCTGCGGCTGTCCCGTTCAATGCGGCGTTGATCGTGGCGTATGAAAGGCCGCGCAGGCAATGCAAGGTGCCGTTGAAAGTCGATGAGCATCCAGTTGCAGACACCAGCTTATCATACTTGGCCTGCTCCACTGCGGCGTTATACTTACTGCCCAGTAGAAGAGGAGCACCAGATTCCATGATTGCAGCAGAGAACAGCTTGTCATCGCGACCACCGTATGCCGTCAGGTGGATTCCGATAGACGCTGCACCAGCAGACTCGCCGAAGATGGTAACCTACAACGATTATCAGCTTCTCATTCGATCGAGAACAAGTATACCGAGCTTACCTTCGAGCTGTCGCCACCGAAAGCAGCAATGTTCTCCTGCACCCACTGCAAGGCCAGACGTTGATCACGGATACCCAGATTCGTCACGCCAGCCTCTTTGACTTCCTTGCTGTCAACGAAGCCAAACGCATTGAGACGATACTGCAGCGATACGCCGATGAAGGGTTTGTTCAACTCGAGGCTGTTTTGAATCATATAGCTCATGTTGTACAAGGTGTCAACTGTGCCTCCCTGCGAAAATGCTGCGCAGCGTCCATCAGCATACGCGCATCCCAAAGTAAAGAGATAACTCACCTCCTCCATGTATCCATACAGCAACCGGCAACTTGGTATCGTCGTATCCAGTTGGCCTGACGACGTTCAGATACAAGCAGTCCTCGCTGACCTCAAAATCTCCAATTTGCTCGCTACCATAACCAGCGCACTTCGGTGGATAGGATTGTGCAACGAGGGAACTATTCCAGGCCTTATCCAGAGGTTGTGGCAGAGAGAACCGTAGCGATCCGGTCGGTGGCTTGGCGAAAGGGATGCCCAAGAAGGCATCTTGCTTGTACGATGGTATGTGTGTACCGGTCACTGTGCCATTTTTTATCTGGACCTGAGGCACGGTTGTCGTGTTCGACTCCGCGCGTGGGTGCGCAGAGGCCGTTGCCAGAGACGCGCTCGAGCAAAGTAGGAAGGCGATGAATGACCTCATCCTGCTTGAGATCATGTCGATGTGTCAAGGATTTGATGGCGTCGGCAAGGCCTGACAATGATTTGAGATAGTCCTTTTATATGACTGAATTGAGGATCTCGTGCAGCCCCACTGCTAGTAGATGAGTGCGTAGGTCTGACCGGGAACTGTAATCCTTCGCGAAAAATAGTTCAGTACTAGTTGGTCTCGAATCATGGGCCATGGTAAAGTCAATAATAGCCCATGGTAGACCAGGTTGCTATAAGTTCTACCAGTCGCAATACCTACACACCAGCAGAAGAAGCAAGGCTAGAAACGAAGTTGGAGAAACGTTCGTATGTAGGCATGCTGAGACGTTACCGCGTTCCATCCAAGGAGGTGATCTCCGCCTCATCTATCCCTTTCTTCTAATGGGTAACGCTTACCGAATGCCACGCCGGAATTATGCATGTCTGCAGGGTCTCGAGGTCAACCAGGAGAATTGACCACAAATAGAAGGAGATCTACACCGGCCCAACTGTCGCGCTAGCCTGATTGGGGCTCACCACCGGACGCTCAAGATCTGACGCCATCTTGCGGAGATTTGTGCCGTGTATTTGGGGCAGCCGACCATCTAGTTCTTCCGTAGGATGTAGGATGGAGGATTGGACTAGCTGGTATGCATCATTGAGTGCACATTCGAATATGGCAGTGCTATATCAGCTCGTGCACGCTCAGCGTGATGGCTATCGGATAGTTGTGATACGAAGAAGTGGTAAAGCCTTTGTGGAGGTTGAACAAGTTACCAGGCGGTTAGAAAATAGGAGGAATCCCCAAGTGTTCCGCGGCCAAGGTGCTTCATGGATCCCAGTGGTTGTTACTGCATCCTACATCGTGCAATGCCTAGGTACTGTCCGTCAAGCTGGACTACCTCTTCTGATCATGTCATCCTCATATATAGTTACTTTGGTAGTCTTCAAGATGCCATTGGAGTGTCCATATCTTCGATCTTCCTTCTCTGGGTCTTCTAGAATCGACCTGTCGCTCTCGTCATCGCCCACACTCGGGAGCCTCGTTCCGCATCCCTTGAAACCCTCCATTTTGTTCCTCCGTGTGCCCTGACCACGGTATGACTGCATCTTAAATGTGCTGTAGGTCTCGTCGGACGTCTTGTCGGCGGCATCGGTAGTTCTCATGCTTGTAGACTGGAGTACGGATCTGAAGAGCTTTTCGAAGGGCTTGCGTAGCAAAGGTAGGTTTCCGACGACTATGCCAACCGTGTTTTCTGCGGTGGCCCAAAGGGTCATCGATACAAGATCCCACGTCAGCTCTTTGGTTCCTCGGTGCATCTCTTGATCCCAGATCTTGAGGGCAGAAACCGTTGTACACCTAGCGAAAAGCGTTAGTGGAAGAAGATTCCACAAGAACTACGTAGCTTACACCAGAGACATGACGAAGACCGCACGTACACCCCATTGTGTACGTTTCCTGAGCTGTACTTGTCTGAGGTATACAATCGGCGCTGTTGCGTACATGAGATCCGTCATGATATTCGAGACGGACTGCATGTATCCAAACGCGATGCGCACAGTGACTGGCCAGCACACTTTGTTGGTGATCCTGGTATCCCATCTTGATGCCAGTGGACGACAGAGACCCCATAGGCTTACCGATGGGAATACGAAGTTGAAGACCACTACAAAGACCAGTGTTCCCCAGATCATGCGCCGATAGAGCTTGGAGAAGTTCAGCGCTAGTAGATACGCACAAATCGAGAGCTTGACCAGAAACATGGCGTAAATGTTCAGAATCTGGCCTACAAAAAGATATTTCTGCATCTGCACCCTCCGATCAATCGTCAAAACAGGGTCGCGTTGCAGACGTCCGGCGCCTGCGAAACCAGCCATCACGTTGAAAACGCAGTCAACATCGTTTACGATCTGTTGGCCTATATCAGCAGTCTGCCTAGTGTTTAGTGTTTTTGTAAGCATTCCATACCACACCAAGCAGCATCAACCAGTCACTTGGACCGAGCCATCTTGTAACCTTTGAGCGGACTATCAACCTCCAGATTGTGAAAACCGATCCCAGAATGAGGAGCACAAGGGACGTTATGATCATCTCCCACTGCCGACTGGGCAGCGCATTAGTATCGGTCATGACTGCTGCTGAGGATCATAAGAGGAGAAGGTACACTGTTCGTCGACGAAGTCAGTGACCCGGTGGGAGCGGGGAACCGGAACAAAAGCCATAGAATCTAGAAGCCATCTAGCATGTGTGCATGGAAGACGAACCTGTAGCTCGTAGATGCCCAATCGTCCAACCAGATGGCGTTGATGGCAGCATTTCTCCGGAAGGATTCGGACGGCTTGAAGCGATCCGACACGTTGGCTGTGCCGCACATAATTTTGTGGTACACGACCCGTCTGCAGACAAATTCTCTGGGTCAAGAAATCCTCGCGCATGATAAAGTTTGGGACTTTTGTCGTTGTACAACTATGAATTACTGCTTCTCGAAGAACTGGGCTCGATGCGCGATTGACATCAGCTTGACAGGTGACAAGTATGGGGCGGCCCTATGAGTATGGACCCGCAGACGTGCCGTGCCGAAGTGTAAGATAGCAGGATCGGTGCATCGGTACATTACCTAATTTGTCCTTCTCTTCTGGTAGAAGGTTACATCCCCTGAGTAGATGTACATAGCCAAGGCGTCTCACTACCTAGTAGTCGCACTCGCATCCAGCCGCTCCGCTCGGAGCCGGGAAGCACGCGCGACCCATGCGAGTCTGCCTACGCTGAACCACACGGATTTGTGTAGATTAGTAACGCTTTGACTACTTACGCTTGCGATCGAAGAACGCTCGATGATGAGAGAGAGACAGCGTGTCGAGAACGGCGAGCGAGAGGAGGCGGTAACTTGTCCAAAGCGGTTTAGCGCGCTTCCGCCAACATCCTCACAATCTGGTCACGATGTCATGACAATGACAAGTAGCTCCAAAAATTACAGAGTCACTGTAGAGGAGATGCGTAAAGAAGATTGGAAGAGTGCACCGAGGGTCGCAGGGGCTCACTTGAGATACACACAAAAGGCCACAGATTCAGATACACGTCGAATTAACTTGAACGGTGTGTCGTGAACAATAAGCAACAGCTACTGTCCGCTGTTCTGGGTATCTAATGTGCGTACAAATACTCACAAAAGGTACATCAAAGTTTCACGACATCGTTGCACGTTGCGAGAAAATCCCATAATGACCAATCACCAATCTTCACCACAGGGTTTGGAGACTGCGATTCCTTCCGCGTTCACACATCCACCATCTCGATATCAGAATCCATCGCTGCACTAGGTAGATTGACCTGAGAAGGTTCAAGTTCGACAAGATTCGGATCTCCAACTGCGGTTGGTTGCACTGACATCTGCGTGAAGCTGACGACGAGATCCTCCTTGCTGAAGAGACGGCGCATAGCGGGGACGAGAGCGAGCTTCCTAGTCGCCTTTTTAAGCTTGGGGTTGTTGACAACAATGACAACATGACGGAGCCTCGCAAACGTCTCTGCAACAAGCTGCGCGTCTTGCCAGTCCTTGTTCTCGAGTCGCAGTCTCATGCAGCCGTCCCAGATCAGTATGGCAGCAGACAGCGTCAACGTGAGCGTCACTAGTGTAGCGCATTTCGACTCGGGCACGACTTGGAACAGACCGTCGAGGGAGAGTGGCTGATCGGACGGTATGGTCAACGAGGTGTAACTGTTCTTGAGATGTGCCGTCTCTTCGTAGATTTGTCGGCAAGAATGCAGCGCGCCTTTGCCGCTCTTGGTAAGTTGGTGTTTGCCATTTGGTCTGGTCGAGATAGTGGCGCAGTCAAAGACGTACGCGAAGATATCGTTTCGCAACTCTCCAGGCAAATGTAGCAGTGGGGATCCGGGTCTGCCTCGGAGGGACCTAAGCTCGTCAATGATGGGTAACGGGCGTGGGACTGGTATCGATACATACAGTGACTCAAAACTCACAGTGACGTCCTCCATGGTGTCGGGTTTGTAGTTCGTTGTTGGCAAGATGGTCTTCTCTCGGTCTGCCTTTTGATAGAAAGAAAAGCGGGCTTGGAGCTAGGACTAAGCGAGGGGTCGGTGGACGGGAGTGAAAGGAAGATCACGTGGAGGGTCAGCAGGTTTCTTCGTTTGCACTTGAGGTGCAGGGTCTCAAATTGAGATACATCTCAAATTGGTAGGAATGATTTCAATTCGCTAAGTGTTTCCGAGTGAAATGTCAGGATTTTGGATCGGATCAGTGAACCATACTTTGTGCACAATCAGGGTTCCCACTCATGTACCCGTGTTTTTGCTGCCGCTCACCGCCAATACCTTGCCCCCCGAAACTGCACATCAAGATCCGGGTTCCCAAAAAGCGTCTGCAGCGATTCGCCAATCTCCACCGCATCGTCGGCGAGAGTGATTGGATACGTAACCACAACGCGCTTGAGCGACGAGAAGATCTGTTCTCCGCTGGCATCCCACAATCCGTTATATTGTCCCTGAGGCGACGCCTCTTTGACTCGCGGACGGATGGCTCCAGCTAGCGACTGGAACATGTCAATCTGTATGATCTGAGCGCACTGAGCTTGCCCGACCCAGTCGACGAGATCTGCAATGTGACGGCCTTCCATTCTGACGGTGAGCCGGCGATACGTGCGATTGCCCCGGAAAGGACGGGTCTCGAAGTGGATCTGTCGACAGACCAAGGTCAAGCGTGGAGTGTCGGGTACGACAAAGTATCGTCCAGCTGAGGTGGGGCTCAAGTCGCGCCTTAGTGTGGCTGCATCGAAAGCGAACTCATAGATGCGATTACGAAGCTCGGCTGGTAGGCGCAACAGAGGCGAGTTGTTCTGGTTGCGCTGCGTACTGCACGTGTTAGGAAAGCGGTGCCGGTTGATAGGGTGTGAAGCTCACATGTCCGCATGATCGTACGCAGAAAAGCGATGTCCTGACGCGGTTGACCCATTCATCATATGCCAAACTGCGGGGTGTAGGTTATGCCGCTGATGTTGATTGGTAAAGGGCAGTATTCGGACGCTGAGCTTGGGGGATTGTTCATTGCCAGTTGAACACCACCTTCACCTGATCTGCAGAACTCGGAACACCTAATGGAAGGGATTGAGGAAGAGGCATACGCATCTCACACGCAGCATATCGCCATTTCATACATTCATCATGCCTCACACGCACCTTTCTAGGCACCAGTGTAGGTCTTAGGTTGATGGAACGTAGAAGGAGCGGTGCAGTGCCGCATGTGACGTCATATTATCGTCAGCTCGGCTCTTACTGTTTTTGTGCGAATATTCAGGCACTATGCTACTTCCATTACTCTGCTCAAAGTTCGCAACAGGGCCTTCTAGGTATGTTTGACACTGTAGGTTAGCACATACACCGTGAAACGTAAATGCCCCAATCACTGTGTGGATGCCGAACAATGATCATATTGTGCAATGTTCGATCTTCTGTGAGACACTACCCTATGCTAAATGATCCAAGTAAGTGTTTATGACTGTATAGGCATTAGCTGTAGTAGGCAAATACCACCTCAAATCGCAGAACTAAACTCTGCAGCACTGTAGCAGACTTGGTGCATCTGCAATGTCGAAGGTATTTCAAAAACATGGCAACCAAGGGAAAATACACCATATCGCGCTTGACTCAAGAAACGAGGTTATGGTCATGATTCTGCACTTCGAAGCGACGACTGAAGTGTGAACTACTGGCCCGTGCTTGATCGACCACCAAAGACAAGCGAACGCTCACCTACTGCTTTCGGTAAGACTGCAATGGCTCGGCTTTGCTGTGCGGGAATATTAGGATTGTAACAAGGTACCAGAACATGTATCGCGTGTTGCCGTTCGATACTGTACAGTCCATTGGATCTCATAAGAGTTGATCTGTTCATACTGCAGGGTAGCAAGTGTCGCAGAGTACTGGCTTCATGAAAGCCTCGGTGGACGCAAACATTGATACTCGTTCGTTTGCAGTGCTCGACTCTTATCACTTATCCACCCTGCCGCCTAACCAATCACGGGATCGATCTTGGCGCAAAGGCTTGAAGGCCAACCTTTTTGCGGACAGCAAAGAGAAATTCCTGCAACAAGCGATCGAAAATGTCAATGAAAGTCGTGGAGGAAAGTGGCTGATACCTATTTTTTCAACGACCCCGATGTGGTCCGAGATATGTGGTCGTCGTAGGTTGCATAACTTGGGCTTGTCCGGAAGGTCGGTAGCACCGATGGTACCCTGACGTTCTTGAGCATGCAGCTTGAGTCTCAAAGATGTCAATTGACATGGCTCGACAAACACCCCAAGAGCACAACAGAAAAGCTCCCGCAACCATTCGCACGAAGCTCGCCATTGTTAAGACTGGTCTAGTCTCCGACGAGCGTGTGGCGCACCGACCACTTGCGGATGGGGTTGGGTGTTCGGAGACTAGTCCTATTTGGACGGAAGTGGCACGTCAGGCGACGAAAAGGTACGGATCTCCACTTGCAGCGCAACGATGGGCCCCGAGGAAATTCTCCTCGATATCTGGAAATGCAGCAGCGGAATTCTCTTATGTTTCATGTTGGTGTAAAGATCCGCACTTCCTGCCACTTCTGCTGAAAAATAGAAGTGGCTGCTCGCGAGTCCAACCATACTATGCCCTGGAGCCGAACAACAACATCGGCCCAGGTCTGCAAGCCGAGAAACTCAGTAGCCGTACGAGCCTGGTTCGCGAACCATTGGCCTTCAGGTGTGCCTTCGGATGCCACCATCCCAACGAAAAGCAGCCACAAAGTGAGGGATCCATGACTGTATAACATGTTGAACCAGGAAAGCTCCATTTGTGCTTGGAGCTTCAGCATAATGGCGTACTGGAGACGCGCGTGGGAAAAGTATGTAGGTCCGTGAATGATGAGCAGGTAAAGTACTAGAGCATGTCTAACGGTACCGGAGGCGGCCAGATCACAAAGGAAGCTGTTGGTCTGAGGCTGAGGAGACCAAAGTAGCAGTCTATGGACGGCGTAGCATGTAAGGTCGTGAAGATCAGTGCTGGATAACGAGTGTTGGTTAGAGTCGAAAAGGTTGTGTAAGCGGCAGAGGACATCAGTAATGTCAGGATCAAGGACTGGGACGTTGAGAGCGATCGGGCTCGTATCGTTAATGTTGCTGGTCGCTTCGTACCACTGCGATATAGGAACGATGGCCTCATCGGTTTCGTTACCGTCCTGCGCTGGAAATTGTGGGGTTTGTGTAACGATCATGCAGACCCTTCCGGTGTCAGCTAAATCAATGTTCAATCCGAAATTTGCAAACATATGCGTACCATGCAACCATTCTAGCAGTGAGTGGGCTTGTACGTCTGACGCTGTTGATACCCCCTCTCAGCTCGACAAGACGTTTCACGCCGTCTACATGTAGCGCACTGATGTCAGTATTGCCTTTGCCATATTCGATAGCCGCCAGTGTGATAATTGAGTCCATTGTCTCATCTTGTAACGCAGAAGTGGGATCGTTGATCTTCTGTCTGACTAGCGAGACAGAATCTGCCATCAGTATTTCTGAGTTGGCAAACCCCTTCTGCGCCCGCAGATCGAGATCAAGCGACGCGGTTTGAAGTGACACATGGAATAGAGCGGGATCCGCCAGAGCAAGTGGCCACCAAGATACAACGAACGGATTCGACATGATGTCGAGGTCCAATGGGTAGTATTGGAATGCGATATGAGACAGGACTGTTACGGGTCAGCTAAACCATAAGCTGGCCGCGATGATGACGAAGAAAAGCTTACAATGCTGGATCAACTGCTGCACGTGAGGCCGTGGTAGTCTGGTTTGGGGATAGGTATCGAACGGGTCGAAGGACTGGATCCCTGGATTCACTAACATGATCGTTGTAGTTTCTTGACCAACGGTTAAACCGTTTGACGGCGGCGATGTCGCGCTCTCCCTTGGTGCGGCGGACAGCGGCTGGTTGGCGTATGCACATGGCAAGTCTCTCTTGGCGCATCGTGAGCACCGCGGCGTCTGGAGGTCACAGGCCAATTTGGATCTTGCACAAGCGTCGCAGGACCGTCGAAGCGTCTTGCGCATTGTGTGTATAGCCATGCATGACTTTCGTGCTTGGGAATTCGGAGAGCCGGAAGGAGCGGATTGCTCAGCAGGTACGACTCGCTTAAAGTCACGACATCCCTGCCCGTCAGCCTCGAAGTCTCTGTTGTGGGACGTCGGGAGTGCATAACAGTCATGGCGGTTTCTCTTGACCCAACGACCCAATCAGCTCATTAGTACTTGCTGTGTTTTTCAACATTCTAGACACAAACGCTGGGAGGCAGTACGGGACGGAGCCATCTGATACGTCGGCTCAGAGGATCTGCATCAATCTGCGAGATCCAAGATGTTTGTAGGTCTAGACAGATATACAGCTGTGGTGCCTCATTTGACATGGATTGATAAGATTTTGATGGACTCATGGTACGTGGTATGTATGATGCGAGTTGTAATGCTGAACACGAAGTTGAGGCCTGGATGATGCCAAGGCCGGAGTGACCTTCGAGAACGTCGCCGGCATGACGTCGCAGTCCCTTGCGACTCTGTTTCAAAGCTCACAATCGAGCTCGAGCTCAACTATACTAGAATAGTCCTGGAACGACGACCGTTCATTCGTTGCTGCAGCAATGTATGTTGAAACCGTAGCGGCGGTGAGGCGCCAACGCATCGTCATCCCAGCCTCGCAATTTGCATGATTCGCGCGGTGCGGCTCCACCAGCCACCTCATGAGAGTGTGGTAGAATATCGAATGCCTTGCACAACATTACTCCGCATTCCTCGCCCTGCGTCTTGACCCGAGCCACGAGCTTGCAACGTGCATCACACTTCAAAATGCACATTTCGACCCTTCTGTCACTGCCGTCGTCCGTACTTTTGCTGCTCTGCGCGACGCCGGTAGCAAGCGCCCAACAACAACAATGGCCCCACAACCTCCCGCGACACGTGAAATACTTTCCAGAGGAGGAACAAAATGTGAAGCGCGGGTTGGAAATCAGGGAGAGACTGCGACATGAGAAGCCAGTGGGGATGAAGAAGATGAGCACTGACGAAGGAGAGATGTTTATGTTGGACAACTGGGTATTCGCATCGAGTGAACGCAAAAGAGCGGAATATGGAGATCTGGGGAATGGTACATACCTGGCACAACCAGCGATCAGGCCGAACGCCGCAGACGAGTGGTTCGAACGGCAGCGCATCAGAGATGTTCTACTCAAGAGACAATTCAGGTGTCCGGAAGGCACTTTGAGCTGCTCATCAATTGGCGCACCGGATGTGTGCTGTGGAGGAAGCAGTACATGCGTCAGAGTACAGGATAGCGATATTGGAGACGTTGGTTGCTGTCCAAACGGACAGATTTGTTCTGGCAGCATCAGTTGCAACGAGGCTGCCGGCTACACAGCATGCCCGAACTCGTCGAATGGAGGATGCTGTCTACCTGGCTTTCAGTGTAGTGGTATTGGCTGTAAGTTTTCCTCTGCACAGTGTGCAAACCAGCTTGGCTAACAAGACACAGGTGTCGCTGCTGGAACCTCGATAACCTACGTACAGCCATCTACATCTGCACGGCCATCGTCGTCATTAGGCGCAACTTCCACACCTGCCTCATCTTCCGCCACACCCACAACCTCTTCTACGCCATCGTCTACTCCAGCACCGTCGTCGTCGTCGAATCCGAGTTCCGCATACACTTGCTCCACTGGCTGGTTCTCATGCCCCGTCAGCCTTGGTGGCGGCTGCTGCCAGAACGGCCGCGAATGCGCCACAGGGGCATCATGTATCGGTGACGAGCCCAGCAGTCAGGCCCCATCCGCACCCGTTCGACCGACTAGCGAAGCCGCCACAACCACAACTGAGGGTGATGTATGCCCGACAGGCTTCTATGTCTGCAGCGCTTACTACCCCTCCGGTTGCTGTAGAGTTGGTCGGGACTGCCAGACCACTGGCTCTTGTGTTCTTCCGTCCTCGACCACAGTCATCGAGACAAACGGCGTGACTGTTGTTGCGCCATCCGGTGCCAGTGTTGCCATCAATGGCGCCGCCGAGGGCAGCTCGTGCCCAAGTGCTTGGTACAGTTGCCCTGCGATCGATGGCGGGAACTGCTGTCCCAACGGCTATGCGTGTGGTGAGCAGTGCACGGCTACTGCATCAGGCGTGTCCAGCGTCGAAGCAAAAGTCGCACCAAGCACAGCATCATTTGTCCCGCAGTGGTCCATTTGGGGGATGGTGATCGCTGCTTGTGCAATTGGTGCTGCTATGGTCGCGCTATGAGTGTATGTTCAATGATTGATGATCATGACTGACAAGTATGTTATTGTCACCTACTTTTGTGGATTCATTTAGCGTATTCGTTTCTAGCATTAGACCTTCTCATTCTATCCCAGAATCATCATCAGAAATTGTAGAAACCGATACCAATACTTTTAGAACATTTGTCTGAAAGATGCGCACTGTATGGTTGCGGGCTGTTATCTCCGTGGGGTTCAGCCAATCAAAGCTCTTAGCGTCTAGCGCATACGCACGGATGATGAACTGCAATCGATAGGCAAAAAAGTTTCACGAGAACGTCAAGCAACGCCTCGACTCTCGTGTAGCAAACCTAACAACTCGAGATCAGCACACGCATGAGCTGAGTCGAGCATGGCGCCTTCGACTCTATCACCGGACACATCTATCTCATCGCGCACACTTTCCGTCGGCTCTGCGCAACCCACCCCAATGGAGCTGTCTTCGAATCCCTCCTCGAGCCTGCTCGCAAGCCCTCTCACATTCCTCCAACCTACCATACAGCTCAATGCTGCTTTCCTCGCCGCTGCGAAACGGTACCTTGATCCTGTCGCCGCCGGTATCAGCGAGTCGCAGACACAGCGCCAACAAGATGCGCGTAAGAAGAGGAAGCGCGGGGGGGACTTTGATGGGGATATGCGCGTGTTGCACTTGAAGAAGGTGCATCTGGACGGCTTTGGCGTGAACCAGGTCTTCGAACAGACCCGCAAAATTGTCGAGGCTGCGACCGAAGAGATTGAGCTGTCTCTACCAGAGTCGGATGATGACGTCGTGGCGGTAGATGGCGAAGATTCCGAGGAGGGCCTATCAGATCCCGAGGAGCAGTACCACACCGACTCGGACATGGGCGAGGAGGGTGTCGATTATGAGGTGGACGGCATCGACGACGATGAGGACGCTGTACCCTCTGAGGAAGAGCCGTCTGATGCAGAGGATGTCGAGATGGAAGATGGAGAGGAGGGGTTGTTTTCCAACGAAGAAGAGTCTGACGACGAGCCTGCCGCGGAGTACGTACCGGATCCCAATGGCCTCAACGACGGTTTCTTCTCGATCGACGACTTCAACAAGCAGTCAGAGTTTTTGGAGCAGCAAGATGCTCGCGGTGAAGCAGCCGATAGCGATGACGATGAGGTTGATTGGACAGCAGATCCTATGACAGGAGGTGCTGACAAGGGGGAAGTTGGCGGTGATGAATCAGGAGATGAGTCGGACGAGGGAGGGCCGACGTTCGGCAACGTAGATCTCAACGCACCCGACGGTGATAGCGATGATGATGCAGAGTTCGAAGAGGGCGATCTTGACGGAATGGACGACAGCATGAACGCCAACAACGTCATGTATGCTGACTTCTTCGCACCCCCAGCGCAGAAAGCTGGCAAGAACAAGAAGAAGCGCGGGCGACCGAATCCACACAACTTTCCTGCCAAGACAGCGGCCGATGAAAAAGCGGAAGAGAACGCAGATATGGAGAACGCCATGGCAAGAGTACACAGAGATCTTTTCGAAGATGATGACGACGCTGAAAGCGAAGCCGCGCTCTCCGACCTCGACCCTTCAGATCCCAAGTCACGGAAATCGACCCACGAGCGCCGTCAAGCGAAACTGCAAGAAGAGATCCGAAAACTCGAAGCCGCCAACGTCGCCAAACGCCAGTGGCAGTTGTCAGGAGAAGCACGCGCCGCCGACCGCCCTGTCAACTCGCTGTTGGAAGAGAACCTTGAATTCGAACGCGCCGGCAAGCCCGTGCACGTTGTGACAGCCGAGTTGTCTGAAGACATCGAAGCCTTGATCAAACGTCGCATTCTTGCAGGCGAGTTCGACGAAGTGCACCGCCGACGTCCAGATGACTTGGCCACAGGCCCTGTACGCCGCGGCAAGTTCGAGCTCGACGATACAAAAGCGCAGAAGAGCTTAGCCGAGATGTACGAGGAAGAGCACCTCCGCCTCAACGACCCGAACTTTGTGGATGCACGAGACGAGAAGCTGCAGAAGGAACACAACGAGATCACCGCGCTCTGGAAGAGCCTAAGCGCCAAGCTCGACAGCCTGAGCTCAAGCCACTTCAAGCCCAAGCCCGCAGCCCCGAACCTCGAGATCCGCGTCGACGCGCCCGCAATCGAGATGGAAGACGCAAGACCCACAGCAGGCGGCGACGTCGCCAGCGCATCCATGCTCGCGCCACAAGAAGTCTACAAGCCCGGCGACGAGGAGAACAAGGCCGAGATCGTCACCAAATCTGGCATGCCGCTGTCCCGCGAAGAGCTCTCGAGAGAAGAGAAAGCGAGCCGCAGGAGGAGAGATAAGGAGAGGAGCAAGAAGGCCGGGCTCAACAAGCCCAAGGCAACGAAGGAAGAAAAGAAGGGCAAGAAGGGCAAGGAACTGCGAGGCGATAAGAAGCAGCTTGTCAATGATCTCAAGAAAGGCGGCGTCCAGGTCATCGGGCGGAAGGGTGTTATTACCGATGTCGAAGGCAAGGATGTCAAGGAGGCTGCTAAGAGAGGCGCCGGAAGCTTTAAGCTATAGGCTTGCGTGGGGGGTTGGTGATTTACAGCTATGTGGACGTTTGAAGATGAAGCAATTTATCAGTTTGGTCAAGCCGGGTTCGTGTCTGCCTCAGTAGGCGCGTGACGCCCGGTATCTGAGGCTGCAAGGTGGACGCTGCATATCGCAAGTCAAAGAGACTAATTTCATGTTAAGCTTTGCATTTTTATCTGCAATCCGGGCGTGCCGCTGCAATATCGTACCCAGGCACATTCGAGTCACCCTTCGACAGTTTCGAAGGTTTGAAGTCAGGGTTCCGAGTCACGACTACACCAACAACGGAGTTTCCTGTCGGTGGCAAATCGGACGCTTCTGGACGCTGTATCGTGATGCAGTAGCATTGCAAGTGCTGAGACGAACCCAGTGGCTGCTTGTCTGCTTACAAGTCCTTCGCTGATACATAGTATCTCGAGAACAGATTCGCCGTCTCCACTCACAGAATCCCGCACTGTTCTATTTGGATTTACCTAGTCACGACTGATCTCGACGGCGACCTTCCAGTCAGTTCTTTGTGCAATAAATGCAGCTCCATCCTCGGTACGCCAATAGAACAGCTGTTCACGGGAGAGAAACTAAGAAGGAGCAGCAGAAACCATTCGAGTTGCTGCAGACAGTTTTCGTGTAGCTCTTCGTGTGCTACCAGTTTCACTTCTAAGTCAGCCTTTCCAAGGTGCAATTGAAGTGGCCATCGCTCTTGGAGTCTCATACCCAAGGATCGATCCCCTATATTTAATACAAGACGACAAGCAATACTGGGAAAAATGAGCATATTACATGCGTCAGGTCTACCAATAGGCTACTGCAATATATCGACTATGGACTCTAGGTCCGGGCCAGTTCTATGAACCAGCTGCCGCCTTTAATAATGTTCAGTGTGGAACCCTGTCACTTTAAAGCAGCGCCTGACAGACGATAGGAAAGTTTAGAGTAGCAATGACTAGATATCTCGGATATCTTCTCTCAGTCAGACGTCCGAGAATGCAACCTACTTTATTACAGATGTAGACTCGCTTCTTCTCATCGACTGCAATCAATCACATGTCAGAGACGCGACAAAGTTGAAACCCGGTGACCGACTCGACGAATCAGATCGCCACTTCGAATCTGATCACAACCGTTCACTGTGGATGACAGAGTCTCCTGAGACAGAAGACAAAAGTTTCGTATTAACAAATTCCATGCTAATGATCAGAGTCAATACTACAAAAACAAGCTTCACACATGGAGCATGGGGGATGCTGGTAATACGAGGCACGGAGGCTGAGTCGGCGGTGTCAGCCTTGCCGGCTCAGGCACCGTAGCGCGCAACAGGGATTTTGTGGTGTGTTAACGGCACTGTTTTAACATTTAAACGATGTTGGCGCTATTTTCGGCATCCCTGATTGATTTCTGCACTGGATTCAGTGCTGTCAGATCTCCACATCCCGTGGTCTCTCGACTCCGAGCACCTCTCGTGTCTTAATTAACTCAAAAGCTCTCAAGCTCTACCAAGAGACTTCTACTGCGCCACAAGTAAGGCTAGGATACCCTGTAGCTGCAAACTTAAAAAGAGCTTACTTCTTTACCTTTAACACCAGAGGCCTGCACACATTACTAGCGTGTGCAGCGTATGAAGGTATAGACTAAGGCTCTCCTGAATGCCTCTCCTCTAAATGCGCATGCGCAGGGTGTAGATTTGGGCAGGGTCTGCCCCCTCCTCTCGAGTGGTAGGTAGTCTTGACAGACCCCTGACACTATAAGCATCTTGAGAAACTGCAGATATATTCCATCCCTTAGAGCTGATCACAATTGAATTCGTGTTAACATACCTTTAGCCTCCGAGATCTGTTAACTCTGTAGAGTATACCTACAGTCACATGTCACCGTATCACAAGACCACCCATGCGCGGTACGGGATTTTCAAATCCGCCACTGAGCATTAGGAGCAGGTTTAGTCACAACACCAGACGGATTTGTTGATTGATGATTGCGCCGATACAGGTGATGACGACAGATGTGAGATCGCTGAGATTTGATTGCCGAGAATCCTCAATCGCGTTACTGTCGACCCATCATTTCACATGTCTGCGGAGAAACGAGAGGTCCCAACACGTAACCTTGGGAAGTGATTGAGTGGAGAGCACTGAGACCCGTTTCATCATTAGTCCAGTCGCGTTATACCTCAGTGCACAAACGCGATGGTGTTGATACAAGTGTCAATGTGTTTCCGGGCCTTTCCCCTTTACATATGGCGAGATTTTGATTATGAGAGAGATATAGCTAAGCCACGTTGCTACTGTAGCCCGTTCGCCGCCCCGCCCTCAACACATTGGACTCGGATGTCTGGCACACTACTTCGCCTCCATTTCCGACACGTCCAATCATAGGAATACGTCTCGTATAGCAGTTCAAAAAGAACATGGCAGAATAGAACTAGACCTTGACAGTGACTCCTTTTTGAGACTTTGGCAAAATTCGATCTGCAGGAAGCACTTTTCGCAATGTTCATGCTTGTGCTCAATATGATCCTGGAATACGAGTCCCACAATGCTGAGAAGCTTGCTTGACTGGTTCTGGAGAAGTCGCCTTGTCATGGGGGCGATATCTTTCATCGCATTGATACAGGCTGTCTGCGAAGTAATCGATTAGATCTGAAAGTCCTAGTGGAGTGGTTTGTCTATGTTCTGGGTCAAAAGCGGTTCGAGAACCCACTAGATCAATGAAATTGCAGATTCAGGATAGTTTGATTCAGTCAGCCTCTTTGTGGCACGCGAATTGTGTGTATAATGTATATATGCTACTTTCAAGCCTCATGGCACACGCAATCAGCATCAAGAGATTGATATTTCCTTCGTCTTCGCTTCAACCCATTCGCGATGCCCAACGCAAATACTATACAGCTCGCGAGAAAACCCAGAACGACCCAAGGTCTTTCTACGCACCACAGCACAACAGCAACGTCGCCACCATGCCATGTACCGCCAGGGCTGTGTCCGAAGAAGGTGAACTCCTCTGAGTAGAAGATTTGCGGTAGGATACGGAAGCTCGGCATATCTGTCAAAGTATTAGTGTCATGATCATGCCAGTGAATATAGTAAGGTACCACTTACCACTGCCAGTTTGTCTTACTCCATGCTTCCACCACCACCCGCGCAGTAAGTCACTGGCGAACTGAGGACCTGTGCTCCAGAAGATAGTCAAGTACGGAAACAGCAAGTTTTGGTTCCTTCGAGGCAGTGCGCGAGTCATCTCCAGCAGTATTGGGTGCTGTGGTGCACTCGCCATCAAATCGTTGTTCACACCCAACGGACTTGCCTCAGGGAACCAGGCTGGAAATTGTAGCAGCGGCTCAAGCGGTCGCCGACACGCAATATCCAAGTCCATGTAAATGCCACCGAAGTGGTACAGCGCAAAGTATTTGAGTGCATCGACCCGTTGTATCGGGTGTTTGTATGTCTCGTATGTGGGTAGGAACCATGAATACTCCGTCGCAATGAGATCATGGGCATCGGTCTCGTTCCAGATCCGTATCTCGAAGTCAGGATTGAACTTGCGGCACAGATCGGGAGCGTGAGAGCGATCTGTTGCGGATAGTGAGGGGGTACCGTCGCGACGGTGGTAAAGGTCTGTGAAGTAGATGAAGTGAATGATGCGCGGAATCTGTAGGTTGAGAAAAGTGGCGTTGTAATCGAAATTCATGAGCCCGTCACCATCGGTGCGAGACTCGTTCAGTAAGGCTGTGTATGTTTCTGGAAAGTCAGAAAAAGATACGTAGAGGGAAGGTATGATGCGTTGGAAGGCATATTGACGTCTGATGTAGTAGGCGGCTATGAGAAAGGGAACGAAGCAAGCGGCCTTAGCGAAGAAATTGCGAGACCTCATGTTTGACAAGAAGTTCAAAGGAAGAGACGTCCAGAAATGCGACCAAGAAGGGAGTGCTGCACTGGATTGTGACGCTCCTAAATGGCACGCATGAACACGCACTGTGAGGTGGCTCGCTGCTTTCTCGGTTGACTAACACCATCACTCCAACCCAGGAGTACCTCCCGGTCCAGGATTCTCCATACACCTTTAGTAACGATGTTCAACGGTTAGACTACGTTGATGGTCGTGCAGTAGTTTTGTGATTGCAGTGGTACAGAAGCCGTACCGGCAAGGCAGACAGCTCAGGGGATACGAATCGGGCTTTAGCGCAAGGCTGTTGACCAAAACTGGCTGTGACATGCATTGGTAGGGCGTGAGTACTAATAAGTTACTTCAACCCGAGATTGGTTAGAGTACGGCAATGCGAGGCGTTCTCGTGTTCTTGCGTCTGAAGCCAGTGATTGGTGACCAGTGTTTTTGCGCATGATCACACTGGGGTGACTGATACTTAGTAAGAGGGTGATTTTCCCACTCCACACTTCCCTGCACTAGGTTTCAGATGAAACAATCTTTGGTCCGATGTTCCTTGCTTAGCCTTTTACTCGCTGAATCTTTACGTCTGTAAAAGAACAGCAAATCTTCCAGATTGTTTGCAAATAAACCATGCAACCAAGGATTTTTATTGGGGGAAGCTTTTCAAACGTACGTTTGGGGGAGGCGAGGAATTAGGTAGTGGAGGTAGAGGAATACAAAGAGGAAACGTGGCGTCGTACAACGTTGTACAGGCCGGCCTTTCTAAGTCCTACAACGCGCACGTACCTTGCACGTTGCTTGCATAAGTCGGCCTTTCTAAGTCCTATAACATGCATGTACCTTGCACGTTGTATGTAAAACTTAGAAACGCCGACCATTTAGTGCACACAGACTTGCCTACGTATCGATAAGCCCGACCCAATTTCCTCCTAGATAATACACCAAAACTCCAGCCTCTACACATAAGGCGTGCCGCCACCTAGAACAAGGCTGCAAACGGACCAGGTATGCTGCAACAGGCCATCTTTGGTAGCAGATTTGTTTAGTATCTTTGCTAAGTCTATACAAGGCTGTGTTCACCGAATAGCAACCTGTGTGCTCTGAATATAGATAGCCCTCGAGCAATCAAGTCGCTTTGTGAGACTTGTGCTCATTTCCCTACTCTGCGGGTGGTATTCTCCAATTGATGGGCCTTCGGTAGGAGTGGGAAGACTCCATTCCCGCAGGGTGATAAAAAGGGAACAAGCAGTTTAGTAACACCAGACTCTTGTGAATTCTTTTTTCTACATGTTGCCACAGACTTAATGAGTGTTTCCGGTGCTACATGGAGTGTGGGTCAAGGTCGGTAGTTTCGGGGTTGGGAACGTATCACAAACTCGCTGCAATATTGACGTTTCTAGTAATTTCAGCTGACTACATTTGCATGAGTACCCAGGTTGGCGTCCTGGGTCACATCTTCATGTCTGCATTCTCGAAGCTCTGTCTCAGCTCAACTCCAATTCTTTGGGAAGCGGCACGAAAACAGATACTGGTCGCCAAGATCATGAGACGGTGCCGATTGTTCACATGAAGCATGTTATAGTGAGTCGTGATTGAATTGTGACATCTTGCAGTGATAATCATTAATAGTAAACTATTTCTGTACGCATAGTAGTTCCTACTGAATACAATCAAGAGAGAACGCAGACACTGCGAGAGTATACTCGACTTTAAGCTCTGAGCGTTCGAAGCATCTTGTCTTCTACAGGATTGGCTCGCACTTCAAGTCGCAAAGCGCCAAGTCGTGACATCTCCAGTGCGTTCCTCTTCGCGATCAAGTGCCTTGTTCTTGCGAATGCACCAGAATCTGGCAAGGAGACAGAAAACGATGGTCAGACCGCAACCGGCGATAATAATACCTCCACCCATCTGGTACCTGGGCTCTTGCGAACGCAAGAAGAAGTATGGGCTGAACCAATGCGAGACGCTCGAGACGCAGTTGGCGATGGCAATGAGTGCAGCGCGCTTGGTTCGCGGGCGGGGAACAACCGTGGTCTCCCATGAAAGTTGAATGTTGAGACCAACGAATGGGCCCGAGCAGAGCAAGATCAAGGAGAAGTAGCGGGCGCCGACGTTCAGAGTCGAAACCATCAGAACAGCACCAGCAAGTGTGACGGAGATACAAGCAACAATATGCCAGCAGTGTTCGAGCATGCGACCAGAGGACCAGGATACAACAAGCGTGACAATGTAGGCGATGACATAAGGCGGTGCCTGGACAAGATATGTCTCGACCTTGCCGAAGCCAAGTGTTGCCATGATGGAAGGGAAGAAGTCCTTGAAGCTTTGAGCAATGATGAGGGAGAAGTGCATGCCAGCAAAGAACCATGTGAAGGGGTCCTTGACCGCCATCCAGACACCTGCGACCATATCGCCCTCCTCATCTTCTGATATACCACCAGCCGAAACAAGCACACGATACTGAGAAATCTGTTGCTCTTCTTCGGTGAAGTAATATGTGCCAGTGTTGTTTGGGAAATTGGGCAGCATCCAGAATCCAAGGATTGCGACAAGGATCGAAGCGATTCCTTCGAGCAGCAGGAACCATTGCCATGAGTGGAGGCCAGCAATATTGTCCATGTTGGTCAAGATACCTGCAGATAGCAGACCTGAGAAAACATTCGAAATAATGTTACCAGCATGCCAAATACCCATGCGTAGAGGTGACTCTTCCTTGGTGTACCACGACGATGTCATCAGTGCGACAACAGGCAGGAATGGACCTTCTGTAACACCAACAAGGAAGCGGCAGAGCATGAAGCCCCATGGTCGTGTGACGGCTGGCATAGCAATCGTGACGGCCGACCACGCTAGCATGATGCATGGCATGATGACTCGGGGGGAGGATTTTGCGATGATGACGTTGCCGGGGACCTGAGAAATGATGTAGCCGACATAGAAGAGAGAGATTCCGGCAGACCATTCGACGTCTGTCATGTGAAGGTCTTCCTGCATGCCGGCGAGACGAGCATTGGATACATTTATACGATCAAGGTAGCTATGAGTGGTCAGTATTGCAAGACTTGACTTCGGGGCCTTGAACTTACTTCATGAGCAGCATCAATGTAATGCACGGTAGGAACTTCCAATCCAATTTTCTCAGCACAGATTTGTTGAGAGCTGCCAGTTCTTCGGGAGACTTGTCACGGATGAGAGGGTATTGTTGAATCCAAACGGAAGCATCTTCAGGAGCAGCGCGCTCGATCTTGACAATCTCCGCGCTTGGTTTCGAAACAGACGAAGAATCTTGATGGGTCATGATGAAGGACGATCCAAGATTGAGGTATTGGTGCTCTTGTCAGGATCGGGCGACTGACTTGCAGATAGAAAGTAACCCTTGGGGATGTTCAATGGCTTTATACGCCCCAGTGGTGATCAGTCGTCATGGTTGGTTGAGTGTCCGATGTGCTGCCAATGCTTGCCAAACACACGATGGCGTCGACTTCAGACGTGGGGTCTATGGGGAAGCATGGACTCCCCCATACCCCAGAATCTCCCGCGCTGGTGTTCGCTACGAGGTGCGGAAAACCCTGCCGATGCGGCGAGATCGGGGCTGACCGAGAGCGGGGAAGGGGTTTCGGTCGTCGTCCGAACGGTCGTCAGGATGGGCCTCGGGCGCTTCGGACCACCCTAACTCTCACCACCGAATTGCGCAACAGGAGAGGATCGCCGGCCGATTCAAATCTCGAGATGCCCATGTCGGCAGTCACTGCGTGCAAGTCATTGAATGGACGTACTTAAGCCAGTCTGGGTTCGCTGAGTATGAAAATGCACAATTGAGTCTTCCAAGCACTTTTTTTCCTTTAGCATCGATCAATTCATTACTCCACCAACCAACTTTAAACATGACCGAAGTAACGCTCGCCAACTCTCTTCGCGAGAAGATGCTGAGAGATGAAGTCGCCTATACTCTCTCAGTCAAGCTCGTTCGCAGCGTTGAACTACCTATGATGGCAAAGACAGCGGGCTTTGATGGTATTCTGATCGACATGGAACACTCATCATTCGATCTCGACACTACCAGCCAAATGTGTATAGCCGCTCTGTATGCCGGTATTGCACCCGTCGTCCGCGTCCCATCCAAGGACCCTTTCTTCGTATCTCGAGTACTCGATGGAGGTGCTCTAGGCGTCATCGTACCTCACATCCGCTCAGTCCAAGATGCCAAAGATGTAATTGCGGCAGCAAAATTCCAACCTCAAGGCCATCGGTCTTCGACGAACAACCTTCCGCATTTCCAATATCGGTCCGTTGCGGCCAAGAAGTCGAACCCTGTCGTTAACGCCAATACGCTTGTCATCCCTATGGTGGAGACGCTAGAAGCTGTCGAATGCGTGGAAGAGCTTGCTGCGCTAGATGGTGTCGATTCTTTGCTTATTGGCACAAACGACATGACAGCGGAGATGGGTATTCCTGGCGATTACGAGAACCCAAGACTGACAGAGGTCTATGAGAAGACAATCTCCGCTTGCAAGAAGCACGGCAAATGGGTTGGCATTGGCGGCCTCCACTCGCGGATGGACTTGGTCGAGAAATTCTGCACAATGGGAGCGCGCTGGGTAATGGCAGCCACCGATGGTCCCTTACTGCTAGGTGGCGCCACGAAAAGGGCGGATGAGATGTCTCAATTGAGCACAAGAGTCAAGGCAGCGACTGAAAACAAGCCTGATTTGAAAAAGAATGTCAGCAACGGCCTCACGGGCGTAAAAAATGGGATTATCGATGTAAAAGTCGACGAGATTGCTGTCGATGTACGTTAGCAAGCATCATAGGATTAGGCTGGAGATCGTATGTTAATAGGTTGAAATGCACATTTTCGATAATGATGATGTACATTTGATGCGTATCGACCTCGAGTTAAGACCAGTGATTTTCGCCGGGTACATGATTGGTCCATTCTGCTGACTAATCCGCGGGCACGGCAAACTTCGTGTCTCAAATCCTCACCCTGCCCAGCACTCTGCACTTTCATCTCCAGCATGCGATGACCATGTCCATGCCTCAAGCGTGTGAACGGTGTTGGAGGAGGAAGCAGAAGGTCATCCGCCCCAGAGCTTCGGATGAAACTATCAATTGACGCCATCAGTGCGCTCGCGACTTTCCGTGTCTCCAATGCCGAGTTGCGTCGAAAGAGTGCACCCGCCGACAACAAGGCTTTGGAGTGGACTCACTTGATGTTGGAGGCGAGAGCTATGTCGAAGGCTTGAAGGCGCGCATTGCCTTCCTGAAGACGCGTCTCAATGAGTCTATAGAGACTCCCAGGGATGATCCTGAAGTCACAGCACCATCAACTGCCTCCACGACGATATCTGGACAGCTTCAGACTCCACGGGAGCCACGGGACGATATGCATAGCACGATGCAAGAGGTGTCATATCTCTCGCTCGCAGCGATGGCTGAGCGGACTGACAAGCATCGCTCGATCGCCGAAGGACTATTGTTCCGGTCGCTGCTGTGTGCAGCCATCAAAGGTAGCGAAAACAGTCATCAAGCATCTGATGACCGCAACGACAATCTGTTGGACAGTCGTAAAACAGTAAATGATTTTATATGTGGCAGAGATTCATCGACTGCATACCGAGCCTACATGCAGCATGTCTGTAGCACATGCCCATACATCGAGCCTGCAAGGCTAGAAACGGCCTATCAAAACGTCAAAGACGAACATGCTAAAGGGACAGCTTCGGCAGAGAGCAGTACGTCGCCTGAGTACTATATTCTTGCCTACCTCGGGTTAGCTACTGGCATTCAATTGTCACCAGGTTATGAGCGCCACCAACAGACCGCTGAGAATTTGGTCGAATGTAGTGTGGATGCTTTCCGCTACGTCCTGGATATCGGAGATGATCTTGCTACAGTCCATTGTCTTATCGCACTCACGTTATGTTCGCTGTTTCTGAAGAAAGCAGGATCAACGTGGCACCTTCTCGGTCTTGCAATGACACGCGGCGTAGCTTGTGGTATGCATACAGCGAAAAGACCGCATACTGATTCTCAGAGCAATTCCTCTGAGCACGCTCAAGCTTTTCTAGCACTATTCCTGCTTGACACGCGCGTGAGCAGCGCTTTAGACCGACCATTCTACCTGGACGATTCTGGTTTCACAATGCCGGATCTGACTTCCACCGAAGATAGCCTGATTCATCTGGTTACTCAGGCCCGTATGATACGTGCCATTAGACGACCCGAAAGTGAAGGAGCATTGTGTGCTTTCATCAATCTACAGCATCTGCACGAAACCACCGCTAGTCGACGTGCACTCGAGGAGACTGACAGCCTCAAGAGCTACGCTTTTGGCCTCACGGAGTTGTTCAAACACGCTGATACAGCCGATAGCTCCAATAGCAGGATGATCGTTACCGAGACTGCGAAGGTGTTCAACAATTTTTTGGCTTCCTTCGAAGACCAGCTCATGTCAAGGGCTACTGCACCAAGCTCGCTGGATGGGCTGTTGATTTTTGCCATCGGCACTATCATGTGCTGTCTTCCCGCTATTGACCAGGTCACAAAGAAACAAACGGCATATCAGGCGATTAATATCTTGACACTCCTATCGACGCGCTACAGTTATGCCCGCGGACTTCGCGACGTTCTGATGGAGTTGATTATGACCGCCGGTGGCGCCGAAGAACAGCCAAGCGCAAGATTGCGCAGACTCGTTGAAAATCTTGAAGATCAACTGCCGAGTCAGATCGAATTGATACTACTGGGGAAGAAAAAGGTGTGAACGGACCTGCCGAGGCGATACTGCGGGGTCGGACAGCGCCCGAGACTGCGCTACCCCAGACGCGCGAGATTTCGGACCACCACCGAAGCACTTCGGCCGTGAGTGTTAGCCGCCAAGACTAGCAGCACTCGCTCTATTCCCCGATTTGACCATGAATATGGAATCGTAGCATGGTGTTGCGCAGCCATATATACTTGACTCATCCATTGCTTTGACTGCAGCTTATTACATCCATATCTGCAACTATGGCACCTGGACGCATCGACTCGCCCACCGAGAATGTCCATTTGTTTACAACAAGTAAAGCGACCGTCTACCTCCTCGATACCTTTCATCCAACTGCTTTAAAGCATGCCCAGGCCAAATTCAATGCAATCCTTCCCTCAGACCCAAAGCATTCGCATTGGCGCGAGAACGCTGAATACCTGTTGATTCGCGGCTCGTATCTCACAAGGCAAGATATTGATTCATGCCCGAGATTGAAGGCCATCGGAAAGCAGGGAGTTGGTATGTGCACACTTATGCCGAAGCTCTCGACTGTGCTTGTTATTGACGGCAACAGGTATCGACAAATTAGATGCGACCGCTTGCCAGGAGCGTGGTATTCCGATCTTCAACACCCCTGGTGTAAACGCCCAGGCCGTCGCAGAGACCGTCCTTTCTCTGACCATGTCCGTGGCTCGACAAGTCGGCCGTGTCACCGCATTACAGACCCAAGGAAAAGTTGTTCCCAAGGAGTCGTGCTCAGGACTTATCATCCGCAACAAGACAATTGGCATTGTTGGAATGGGCAATATTGGCCACAAGGTCGCAAAGATATTTCAAGCTGGACTCGGGTGTAAGATCGTCGCTTATGACCCGCTGCTGCCCCGGGATGCGTGGGCCGATACACCACATACGCGCGCGGAAACGTTGGAGGAGATCCTTGATCTGTCCGATGTTGTGACATTGCATATCCCTCTGCTACCGCAAACTCGTGGACTCATCTCATACTCTCAATTGATGCGCATGAAGCGCAATGCGATTTTAATCAATACAGCAAGAGGCGGAATCGTGAACGAGGCAGACCTCGAGCGCGCTCTCGAAGAGCAGCTAATCTTCGGGGCCGGACTGGACTGTCATGAGCAGGAACCTCCAACCAAGGAGCGGTATGGAAATCTTTGGGCGACAGGGCGCGTAGTGAGCACACCTCACATCGGCGCAGCTACCGCAGAGACACAGATGGAAACCGCAATCGCAGCGATTGATCGGTTGGCCGATTTTATAGCAACGACTTCTTAAGCAAATGAGAACTGGTCCCAGACATCTCCATCCAATGGCAATGACCCCCATGCATATTCGCCCATTCCTGCTTCGAGTTGTGTCATGAGATCATCTGTTAGCCCAAAGTCGGTCCCAAATATGTTGCTTTCGAGCGTTTCGACCCCGGTGTATGTCCAACTGCCATTCAAGCCCTCTGTAGTCTGCAGGGGAACGCTGAGCGAGGCATCGGTAGCCCCGGATTCATTGATAGCCTCATGGGTAAGCGAGGTAGCTGAACTGCCAAGTATACCGTTGATGCATTCGTCTTTAAGGAGCTCGAACACAACTGCGAAGGATCCCGCGTCCGGCATTTGCTCCTTGAAGTGGCTCAGCACCCTAGCACATCTTGTTATGGTCTCGATGGCGTCATTCTGGGCTTGTGGGTCGTGTGAAATATGCGCAAGCATTCCCAAACTGATACAGTAGGTCACTGTAAGCCCTGCTGTGAATATGACCTGGAAATAACTCCGAGTCCAAGTAATTGCTCTTTTGTCCATGAGATCAGCGTACAGCTGGATCACTCGAGCGGCCGACATGTAGCACGCGCTCACCAGATCGACGGCACTGCTACTAGCGAGAACTAATGGAGTAGGAAGACTGTGGAGGGCTCCGCGGGTGAGTAACAGCATGTCTTTGTGATACATGAAGTCGTGCCAATCTGATCGCTCGTACAGCGATCTCGGATTGCCGAATGTGGGTATCGTCAGCCGCCAAGCATCCAACTCTGACTTGAAGTGCACAAAAGTAACGTAAACATGACCCATGGAATGAGTGCCCATACCATGTCGATCAGTTGATGGCATTGTGGGCCTCCTTGTATAGAACGTCGTGTGGATGCGTGAGCTAATTCGTCGTAACTCAATGAAAACGATGAAGATTGACATCTCTGTAATGCCTGTGCCTCCAATTTGGTACATAGAGTCTAATTTCTCAGACAAATGTGTAGCGATGTGGTCGTCATATGCGTTGACAGGCAACAACACGGTGATGTCCGCTTCAGCAATGGCAAAAGGCCGACCGAGTATGCCAGAGCTATAACGGTCCAGAATATAGCATTCCCAGAAGATCCGGCGAAAGTGTTGCTCTTTTAGTGGCTCCAGCGGTTTTGAGGGCTGCTTGTGGAGACCAAGTTCGATGCATTGTCGCATACAAACCTGCGATATCTCCCACAGAGAGCAACCGATATGGTGATACATGCCGAATCTGGCAATCAGCAGGAGGTTTTGCAAAGCCTCGGTACCTTGGATCAGTGGGATGCTGGTGAGACATGATTCCGCGGCAAGATAGTAGCCATAAGGATGCTGAGTGCAAAGACCGGCCCGGTACCGGGTGGTCGCACTAATGGCAAACACCATCAGGAGACGGAACCTATCTTGCACATCGGGTGCATCAACGATTGGGATAATCGCGTCTGACGGGGGTGATTGGCCGTAGAGCTTGTAGAATATGTTGAGAACTTCCTGGCGCAAGAGAAAAGTGTGATGAATGTGGAATCGGGTGAAATAGTTCTCAAGCAGCTGCTCAGCTTCAGACAATGTTGGGAATTCGTGCGGCGTGATGGACTGCTTCGAGATTCTTGGCCGGTCCGCAAGCTGATCCAAAACGCGGGCTCGGTGGTGCTGCCACTTGCCCTCAGACAGAATGTGGTGCAGAAATCTGAGAGATCAGTCCACGTTACGGCTCGTGTAAAGAAATGACCTACCCAAGGCCACTTCCGTCACCAACAAACCCACTATGTGATACCACAGTCTCACTCGTCAATGGGCCCCGAGGAACCTGTTCGGCCTGGTCCGATTGCAATGCATCATGTGGGGTTCGAGTGTTGAGCTGTACTTTCAAGGATGCTTCCTCCTCCTCAAGTCGCTGAATGTAGTCTCTCGCATGCTGATCGCCAGTAATGAGATCCACGATGATGCACGCGGCATTGCCTTTCGTGCAATTGCCGCATTTCGGAGCTTGCCGATCGCAACGGACTTTTCGGACTCTGCACTTTGAGCAAGCGGGCAGCTGTGGAAGATCAATCGACATCGTTAGCATACATTATCCAACAGGACCGGTGCCATGATGGATGTTCGACGCCTTTGTCCTAAAGCATGGTGTGTTAGCAGACTGGAAGCAGAAGGTCGCCGAGGATCGTTAGCGCTTGCTGACTAACATCTGGTACGGAGTATCTCCCACGGCCAGCGTCACATCTCCCAAATGCTCCACCCTTCAAAGTGTAATGTAAGAACTGACTTTCACCACAAAATCAATCAAATTGAAGCCACTGGCCTCGATCATAAACAATGATTGAGCTAGAATGACGTCATCAACGACGGCTTTCAGAAACTCATGAAGTTGTGTACAATCAAGTGCGTGATCGGGTACCAACATTGCCTTCAATTAACGCTCTTCGGAAGCGTCCTCTACAGGCGGTCATGAAACCCCGGATCGAAACAGCACCGTTACCTTCACAAGACTGGCGCTCATGCGCAACTGGACGAACGCTGGTGGAACAGCGAGATTCACATCGGTAGAATGTTCATGCACTTTCAACATGCCAACACGTTGCAGCATGCCATGCAAAATATCGCTCCTTGATGAGGCTGGGCACGTTATAGTTCAGTCACAAACTGTGGCTCCGGTCAGATGCAAGGTCCAAGCGGAATCTGATTGTCAGACGTATAGTCGTTGTCGAATTGTGCGGACAGCCACATGTTTGGGACGCAACTACGAGCTGTCTGTAAATCTCCTGTATACTTATAAGCGCAGCTGTTAAACTCCAGGTACGGTCATGGTCAAGAACTAATAATGCTGACCACTGTATACAGACCGATACGCTATCAGTATATATACCATTATGCCAGTCTTGTGGTGAACTTCACATATCGAAATGCACCGATATCAATGTTACATTGAGTCGTGCGTGTTTTATGATACTGTCCTAAGTCACCTGTCAGCTGATTCCGACGCCTTCATTGTGACAAAACTCACGACCTGGAGCTATATGGGTTCACTATGTAACCGGGACTTTCACTTCTTCCCCCATCTTGTTTATTTCGACCGTGGTCTGCTCCCTTCCAACATTTCCAAACCACACCTGGTCCAACAAGAACTAGTATGGATACTGCACGCCCAGGAAACATGCAGTCGCCTTTCCTTCGCCTACCTCCCGAGATCCGTAATAAGATCTACTCGTACGTCTTTGACTCTGCGATCATCTCGCCGAAGAAACACAGCGGCCTGTTCCTTGGCGATTTCAGAATCAAAGTACGTGGCAACTCCATGCTGCGAGTCTGCCGACAGATCCACAGCGAAGCCAGTGGCTACAAGCTCAGTTACACGCATGTGCTCCTCTACAACTTCGATTTATCAACTTTGCAGCACCTTCAGTCATTACCACGCGAGACTCTTGCCAAACTCCGCTCATTGACCTTCGGCAGCGGTCTATCAGACACAATCAACTTCCGCGCGAGCAAGTCTATCAACTGGACAGAAGGACTCGGAGGCCTGGAGTTTGCAGCACTTGAGTATGTGTACTTGTTATGCAATGTTCACGAAGATGCGGAGACATCTGTACGTGCTTTCTTCAAGGATAGGGTTACTGTGGTGGGATATACCCTCGACTAAAGCTACGGTCAGCAGACTTCAACCATTGCTTGGTCAGCATGTTGAATATATATACTGGACACATCACTTGCATGCTCGATGGATGACAAGCAATTCTACAAATCTCAGACACGTGCAGTGTCACGTCTTCTACGGTATTACACCGACGCCAAAAGCTATATGGTGTTGGAATTATGATAAATGGACAGTGCTCCCGAGATCAATGCTTCCCAGTTCTTGATATCGAATTGTTTATGCAACGTGATGTTACGTCAACTCCACTTCATCGCTACTTGATACGCATAATGAACCATTCCCTCTTCACAAAGATCTCACTTCTACGCATTGTACTCATTTGACATCATGTGGTATGCGGGCAGCTGCAACTACATTTAGCTGAGAGAGGGCAACACCTTCACTCAGATCAGGTATTCTACTCCCCGTACTCTGATTTTCTCTCGTCTGCATCGCCTCCCGTATGGTCTAACACCGGATTCCACAACTTCGACGTCGCATGTTAGTGTTGTCAGAACAAATCTGACGAAACCAGGCTCAGATGACCTAATCATGCTAGCCTGCGGTCCTGGTGAATAAATGGATCACTTTGTGTGAGGTCGAATATTTGATTGAAGAAGGAGGCAAGCGTTTCAGCGGAAAGCTTCCTCCCATTAAAAACCCCCAAATTCTCTGCAAAGCTGTATTTCTATCCCGAAGTCCTGATCACCATCACCGCTCTTGTCAGGCAGCATCAGATTCTCCTTGAGAAACCTGATGGGATATCTGCATATTCCAACAATACCACCCACGTTCGTCTGCTTTCACTGACTTTTTGGTCTAGCACAGTGTCATAGCGCGTCGATACTATGCGATATCACTGGGCACGATCACTTCGTGCAACGCACAAAGCCATCACGCAAGTCACCTAACGGATCCGAGGCAAAGCGAGGCATTGGTTTGCGCCTGGAGAAGAGAGTGATCTTCGATCGTATCAGCGTAAAGCTTTCATATGGCTGCACGCCAATACAAACTCCGTAAACATAGCTGAACATCAGTACTGATATCGGGTGCTCATCGATTTGCGCAAGCGGTCATTGTCCAGGTTCAGATTGCAAGTATGTTTTCAGTCTTACAAGGAAGCTGCGCTCTTCACGTTCTCATCTGTTGCGAGACGAAAACGGCAGGAAATTCTTCTTGATGAGCATTGTGGAGGATATAGTCTGATCTGCAGGTTATGACTGTTGTCACACAATGCTATATGCGCATTATTGATGATGGATTGCTGTTTCTGTTTCAAGGACCTTGATCTTTGTTCTGCATTCAATGTCATTTTGTAAGCAAAGTTACTCATCATCCAATGTGAAATGACGTTGAATTTCGAAGTTACGTGACGGGTTGCTCATCCCATGAAAGATCGCCACGCAACCATGTATTTACAGCACCGTTCAGCTGAAAGACCAACGCTGTATCTGCACAATGAAGTCGAAGCAATACCATGTGACCATGCCCTATTCTGTCCCCTTCACATACTTTACTTCTGTGCCCTCTCCCTTCCTGTTACCCATACCAACTCGACGATTACCCAACAACTACGGTGGACGCAACCAAACACAACCAGCAGAACTCGCCGTTCCTGCGCCTACCCGCCGAGCTGCGCAACAGCATCTACGCCTACACGTTCGACAAGTTCACGGTGCACCCTCGCTCAGATTCCAAAGGGTTAGACCGGGAAGTCTCCCCTCTCACCCAGGTGAGCCGCCAGATCCGCTACGAGACCAAGTCGTTCGTCGAGTCCTGCGCCGTGCTGGAACTCGAGGATGTGCGCGAGTTCAGGGAAGTTCTCTTAGAACTCGACTGCACTGATCGAGTCCTGCCGAGTGTTCGCACGATAGAGATGGACTGGATGCCTGCTGTCTTGAGTGACGCTGATCGGGATCGCTTTGGTTGGTACTGGGGCCGGTACGACGAGGAAGATAGAAAACGTATCCAGCGGCTGCTGCCGGCTCTTGCGTGCTTCGTGCTCCCCGGTAAAATGCCGATCTTTCGGTACAACGAGAATAGTCTCATCTATATGGAGCGGCTCGGTGTGCAGATGGTGTTCAAGTAGGGCTTTGGGCGCTGTGGTGTGAGAGTCTGAACTCGGGCAGGCTTTGGGCAATCATGGAGGTATCCGGTGCTGGTCACTGAAGAAGAGATCGAATCGAAAGCCTGGTATGGCTACATAGATCGTTTGATAGTTCATTACGCGCTCAGTAGTTGCTGTTGGAGTTTCCGTAGCCTGCACATCTGCTTGCAGCCAAATGTTACCTGATTTATCACAGTGCGAAAAAGAATGTGCTCGATAACTTAATGCTGAGATCGGAAATTCCCGAGCTCCGTGATACCGTTGCTACTGTGTAAGTGAACTGCAGCTTGGTCCGTCGCGCAAGCTAGTAGGTATTTATATCGCGTCCCTCTTCCTTCTCTCCAACACTCCACCACCATCTCCACCTCATCACACCATCACATCAAATCAACACTTCATGTTTTCGATGGCCTCCTCGATGGCAGCTGCGTGCGACAGGTTGTAAGTCACTGCTATATAAACACATCTTATGACGCTCACTGACAACTCCCCAGGACTGAGTCCAACCGACTCAGCTCCAACCTTCTCCGACTCCCCACCGAGCTCCGAGAGAAGATCCTCGACAACGTCTACGAAGTGAACTGTCTCCACTACACGGCAGACCAGCGATCCCTCTGCCCAGCCACCGGGATCTCTCTGTCTTGCCGACAGATGTACCACGAGTGCAGGGGCCGTCGCACTACGGCGCTGTACCTCGACAGCAGCTGCGACTGGGAGGAGCTAGTCTTCTGCCTGAGCAGGGAGTGGCGTGCCTTCAACAACGTCCGCACCCTGTACGTGTCGTTGCCAGTCGCGGGGATGGTTCTCGCGTACAAGAGGACGTTCCGCCACGTACCTGTCGAGCTGCGATGCCGACAGATCCTCCACCAAGCGTTGCCCCTCCTCGAGGCTGTAGTACTTCCCTGCGAGTATATGAGTCACGGCGAGTTCGAGATCGAGAAGGCTGTCCGAGCTTGTTTCGGCGACCAAGACTTGCGCGTTGAGTACCAGACTCTGATCTGAGCTGCGGCTTCGGAGACACCTTCAAGGAGGACAGAACCCCACCTACACAGGGAAAAAGAAACATGGATGGAATCCGCAAGAAGGCGGAGGATCACCGCTCAGCGGCACCACACATTGACACTCACCGGCCGGTCAGCAATTGATAGAATTGGAATTGACACGAAACCACAACTTTGCCCACTTCACTGTGCACTTCCCACCAGCCCACTATGCCCGCGTGACATCATCCCCACATCACAAGCCATTCCCTTCCCTTCTTCGCGTCCCCAAGTGACTCCCCCGACTACCTAAGCAGCAACACAACACCGCCAGCCCCAGCCGCCTACCCAACTCCCCCCAGCCACGCCATACCCACAGCTCTCCCTCCCACCGACTCAACACCACACACACCGCCACGAGCCAGCTAGGCAGACCCTCGGCACCGCATCGCCTCGCTCCGCACCGCCCTCGCGGCTACGTTACAAGCGCGCGGAGCGCGTTGAATCTACCCACGCATGCACAGCGGTACATGAGACCCCACGAGGTGAGAAAATGAGAAAAACGAGAAAAACGGTGGTGGAGGCGGGTTCGTGTTGTAGCTGCCAGATACATTGTGATGGTGATGAACTGATAGTGGAATGATAGCGAAATGATACTGAGATGATGGCAAAATGGTGGCGAAATTATAGCGAACTGACACTGACACCGACAGCTCACTGATAGCCCACTGACACTGACAACCCACCGCCTACCACCGCCTACCACCCCAGAGCCCCAGAGCCCCAGCCGGACTCCACACGCATCCCACGCCCTTCCTTGATTCGACTACCGCTCAGAAACTACTGCTACGCGTACCCCGATCCTCAGTACCGCGCGACGAGCTCCCATGCACACACGAGGAGACAGCAGCGTTGCGGCGCGACACCGGGACTGGTGGGGGGTGGGGGGTGGCTGCTGGACGCGGGGGATTGGTTCTGGGATACAGTGGTGCGCGTTGGAATGGTGTGCGTTGGAGTGCTACACATCATCGTACGCCACATTGTCATGAGTCGCAGCGTTACATCGTATCCTGAGAAGATCCCGCCCGGTTAGGATGGAAGAGACACTGTGCGGGAGGAAGTGTGAACGGAATGGACACTGTGCAGACGGGGCGGGTTCTAGGGGGTCACTATGAAGAACTGATTTGAATTTCAAGCAGCTGCGGGGTTTTTCTGTGTGAATCTTACTTTTTATGGAAGTTGACAAGATAGCACTCATAAAAAGTGCAACGGAAAAGCTGCGCCTCGTACATCCCTACCTCTCTTGCTCTCTCTATCTCTTGCTCTCTCTCGCTCGTTCGTTCGGTCTCTCGCTCGTTCATTCGGTCCTCGACGCGCAGCAGTCTACACAAGTGGACTGGCCACGCAGCCATTTCAACCGCATCTCATCAGCCTCTCGACAACATCGAGGCGAGAAGAGGCGAGTAGACACGAGTCTGCAGACTGGGGCCCAGTGATAGAGTACCTAGGTATGCGGCGATGCGGTGCATCGAGGTCAAGAACTGTTGTGGCTGGGGACTGTTAGGACGCTGTGCAGACACCGATGGAATAAGTCCTCGACGGGTAGCGGGTTGGATGCGTGAGGTAAGGCGAGTAGACGCAGACACGACGGGGCGGTTGTTGGTTGTTGGGTGTTGGGTGTTGACTCTGGATTGCGCTGCGTCGCATCGAGTCGGGTCGAGTCGAGGTGAGTCGGGTCGAGGCCAGTCGAGTCGACATCGCCGCGGACTCCAGTACGCGAACTGCGGTCGCAAGTCTGTATCTGCCAGTATAAGCCAGCGACACATTCTGCGTTGGTGTGGCGCTGCCATGCTACCAGACTGCCAGACTGCCAGACTACCCAGCTATCGGACTGTTCGAACTCTTCAAACCACCCAGGGTCTGAGGAGCGAGGAAAGCATAAACCCCATCAGTGACCGCGATCCGTGGTACCCTGCATCATACTCAGCACTATACATGAGGCCGTGTCTGCGAGGGCGTGAACGGGCAGTGCGCCACAGTGCGCCACAGTTCCGTTTCCACGCCGCGCCGCGTCTCGGCGTTGGATTGGGATACTGCGGCTTTTGCACCAGCGTCCGCGTATCATGTTGTCGGGCGTGGTCGTGGCTCTGAGTCTGTCTTGCTATGTTGCTGCGTTGCTGCGTCGCTGTCTTTGTTTGTGGATGGCACACCCGCCTTCTCGGTTGCGTGTCCACTCGTCTGCTTCTCTGTCCTGCTCTGCTCGCGTGCTCGCCACGCTTCTGGGAGTCCTGCGGTGATACACAAGTATGTAGCGTTGCATCGGTCGATGCCGTGGATTGGTTTGTAGAAGATGAAGCGGTTAGCCCGTGTTTTCCGGGTTGATAGTACTGTTTCCCTCTCCCTCTGTCTGCCTATCTGCCTATCTGCCTATCTGGCTTCCATATTCCACGTTCCACATTGCCAACCCCTACGCCCTATTCACCCATATTACACCCCCACTCCCGCCGTATCCCACTCTCCTCCCCTCCCCTCTCTCCCGCACCCCATCCATCCCCCATCCAACCCTCCCTCCCCGAACCTACCCCTCCCCCTCCCCCTCCCCCTCCCCCAACGCCCCCTCCACAACCCCCCTCACAACACCAACCCACCCCTCAGTAACAGGCACATACAGCCCCTTCTTGATCCCCAGCTCGACGGCGCCGTAGTACAGGAGTGCGTTGAGCCACTGGCGGCGGGCGGGGATATCTATGCCCTCGACTTCTCGTACTGCTGTGGATGTGGCTGTGGGGGCTGTGGTCGCTGTGGTCGCTGTGGGCGCTGTGGTCGCTGTGTGCCGCGATCCCGACACTCGGCGCCCGTTCCGTGTGTCCTTCGAGCCCCGGCGCGCCGCCCACGCCTCTTCGAATTCCTCCGCCCCCGTCTCGTCACCAGGCGGCGCGTCGTAGTAGTGCGGCGCCGAGGAGTCGAAAATGTGTGTTTTGCGCGGCGCGACGAGGCTGGGGTCGCGCGTTATCGGGGGGTAGGGGTGGTGCATGTTCTGGGTCAGGACGTCGGGGACGGGGAGCGGGGTTTGGGGCGCGGAGAGGACGGCGGGGGCGGGGCTGAGGGCCGCGATGGGGGTGATGGTGTAGCCGGTGCTGGTGTCGCTGCCCACGCTGCCGTTTCTGCCGTAGCCGTGGTTGCTGTGTGTGGGGACGGCACTGCTGTCCGGCACCAGCCCGGAGCACAGCACCGCGTCCATGATGCCCAGCGGCCACAGGTTGATGTACCCGCGCATCCCCATCACGTCCCCGTCCCACTTGCCGTACACCTCGACCGTCAAGCTGCCCAGGATCGCGGAGCAACTCTTCTCGATCACGCCCACCAGCGCGCCGGTCGCGCGCACGCGGTGCGCCCGCAGCGCTGCGCGCGAGAAGCCGACCGCGGCGACCTGGTCCGCGAGCGGGAACGGCGAGGCAAAGTGCGACGGCAGCGGGGCGTTGGTGAGCGGGTCGGCGGCGGGCAGCCGCGCCATCCAGTTCAGCATCTCGAGCAGGTCGCGCAGCAGGAACATGCGGCTGGTGCGGTAGAAGCCCCAGACCCAGCAGCGCTTGAGGTTGGGGTAGGCGTGGATCTCCTGCGGGGCGCCGCGGGCACCCAGGATGAGGGCCTGCCAGACGCGCGGGTAGGTGGCGCGGGTGGCGGGCGTGTTGGGTGTCGCGGAGTAGTCCCAGATGGCGGGTTTGTTGTTTTCCCAGTTCTGGTACTGCGCGTCGAGGTCCAGGGCGGCTTGGAGCAGCTCGGACAGGTCGCGGCGCGTGGTGGGGGGGTGCGCGGATTGCTTGATTTCGTGCCATTTGGCGTGGAGTCGGGCTTCGCGGTGGATCAGCTGCATCACGAAGATGCCGGTTTGGTTGTACATGCTGGGGAGGTGCTGGCGCACGTTGAGGGCGTCGTTGACGGGGAGGGGGGGCGGCTTGCCGGCGTGGAGGTTGCCGAGGAGCTGGGGAGTCAGCTATATCAATCATACAGGTAGAAATAACAAACCATCTGCGAGTACGCGACCTCGTACAGCCGCGCCGACACGGGGTTGCTGTAGAACTCCTCGATCGAGCGCATATTGACCAGTGCATTCGCGCCATTGGAGTGCGCGATGTACGTCCCCTGCCGCTGCTGCGAGCTGATATTCTGCACCAGTCAGCGCGTCCCGGACATGTCCAAGATACCCTACCTCATACACGCCCATCAGGTACACCGAGCACAGCGCCTCGTCCGTCCTCGCCAGCCTCTTGTCCGCTATCATCTTCGACAGCAGCACCGTCGCCTTCCCCAGACACTCCTCGCCCAGCGCCTCGGCATGCGGCGCATCGCACCGATTCGCAAAGTTGACGTACGCGACCGCGTCCACAATCGTCGCCACACACGAGTCCGCGGCGGCCCGCTCATACAGCACGGGGATGAAGCTCCACAGCGAGTCGGACGGCTCGTCGGGGGGGCGGTTCGGGGCCTCCAGGATCACAAAGTCGTAGAGGAAGCGCTCGTACGCCGCGCGGCGCAGATCGGGGGCGAGTTCCGGCACGAGCGACAGCGCGGAGATGCTGACGCCGTAGTCGGCGTGGTCTTCGTAGATGGTGTCGGTGGTGGATGCCTGCCGGGTCCGCGTCACGGGCGAGATGCTCTCGCTCGCCGGCGACTGCTGGCTGTCGCTGCTCGCGCTGAGCGTGCGCTGGTGGCACTTTGCTCTCTTCCGCCAGGAGTCCTCGGCTCTTTGCGCCGCAAACGCGGTCTGGTTTCTGAATAGCAGGTCGCCCTGGTCGCGGTACCGGCACTCGTGGGAGCCCTTGAGGCAGCGACGACATGCCGGCTTGGTCTCGTCGCACTACATCCGTCAGTCAGTATTCCACCAGATATGTCTACAAAAGCAACGGGCTCACCTTGACCTTCCGCGCGCGACACGGCTCACATCCCTTACTGGGGCGCCCGCGATACGCCATGCCGACAATCTCTCACAACACGCAGGTCCGCGGAGCCTTCTATAGGTTATACCGACACGCAGGCTATATCAACGCGCAGGGATCCCACCCTCACCACCTCCAGCTGTAGGCCCGATGACTTGGGTCTTCCACGCGGTCTCGCCAGGCCGGGGAGCAGCGACATGGGCCGTGGGAACTGTGCATGGACCGACGGCGCACGAATCGCAGGGAGTTGCATGGGCCGTGAGGAAGGTGCATGAATCGCAGAGGAAGGTGCATCCCGCCGGCCAAGTCGACGACCAGCAGCGCCATAGCCCAAGCGACGACGTAGCCAGCATCGGACCCAGGTCCCGCGCTCGTCGATCCCGCAAGCGGGCGACAGGGCAGCAAGCGCCACGGCGAGTCGCAGCCAATCAGCCGCGCGCGATCGCCGCCAGTGCGCGATCGGCGCGCGTCTCCGCACCGCAGTCGGCTGTGCCCGTGCCGACGTTTGCTTTTGCGCCTGTCTAGATCGCGGCGGTTTGCTCCGGCTCGTGGCCCGCGGAATACGGTTTCCTGGCAGGTGGGGCCTGGAAGGCGACGTCAGAGGCGGTGCTGGGATCTGGGCGTTGAGGTCCATGGTGTTGGTGGTGAGGGGAAAAGCAAGGTGTGGTCTGGGCGGAGGATTGATTAGGTTGGTGGACACGGCGGCTGGCTGGTGTGTTCAGGCGGAGTGGACTGGAGGGGGGAGAGGAGGTGGCAGAGCATGAACAGTGATGAAAAAGTAATGCTGTTATCCAGATCCCGGTACCGTTCTGCAGGTCGGCCGTTACGAGGAACCGCAGTGCAGTGCAGTGCAGTGCAGTAGCACAACGGCGCCCGACGAGAGCTGTTGTCACCGTGCATGAACGATGCTCGTATAGGGTGTCGATACTTTATCGCTTATCAGAAGCCCTGCAGTAAGGTTCTGCGACCGATAGAGCGACCGAATCAACGACTGTCCTGTTCGAATGCATCAAAACCTTGTCGGCGGTACTCGGGCGCAGGACCATGCTCGCGGTGGAGAAGGAACAAGATTATCCAAACGGATCTCTGCCACGCTGAATCCTTCAGGTCTGCATTGATCCTTCGACGCTGCGTCGGATCCTTCGAGGCTGCATGAATTCTTGCGTCCACGCAAAGCTTATCGGCCATACTCGGACGTAGCCACGCCTGCAGTGAACCGAAGATCGAAACGAGAAGCAAGAAATGAGAAATAAAAACAAGAAACGAGAAACAGAAAACAAAAAATGAGAAACAGAAAACAATAAACGAGAAACGAGAAACAAACGCCCAAGTACGAGATACCACACACCCAACCCAGTACCAACAGAACTAGCTAGAACAAACTAACGCCTCTATCAAGCCCAAATCCTACAACTACTCCCCTTACCCTAGACCTCTCCTAGGCACTTAGATCCTAAACACCTCTCTATACTACACCCGATCTTTCCTGCCTATAGAAAGGTAATTCGCTGTACCTAGACGTAGTATCATATCTGCAGGATAGGCAAAGCGTAAATCAAGCAACAAGAAATAGGAGACAAGAGACAAGACACAAAAAAACAAGAACTAAGAAATAGAAAACGAAAGCTAAAAGACAGAAATTAGGAATCTAGATGAAACAACAGCTCTAACTACTTCTCTACCTATTTACCCCCCCCCCCCCCCCCCCCTCGTAAGACTTACCTCCAACACCCACACTCCAAGACGCGCCTCCCTTACTACCCACACAAGCACCACCACCTGCTCCAAACCACCAGTCCAACTCCAACCTACCCTCCCACTACTAACTGTCTCACGGAGAAACGCAGCAGTCTGTCTCGCCTTATTTCTCAGCCGCGGTCTCTGCTATCCCGCGGGATAGCTAAGTTGTGTTAGTATTTGTGTACTGCTGTTATGGTATAGGGATAGATAGTGGATGCACTGGGAGTACCTACTTGATTAGAAGTGTAGTCGCTGGAAGGATGTAGTGGGGGAGAGGGATATAAGGTTGCCATTGTAGCTATAGTAGAGGAGGAGAGTAGGTATAGACAGAGCACAAAGAGCCCCCACCAAACACAACCACTCTATACCTACCCACGCAGCCAGTCCACCGAACCCGGCTGTGTGCACACTCCACCCGTCTTCTCCGTACTACACGGTAATGCATTGCTTTTCGGCGCGCTGGGGCGTGTGCTGATACCTAGGTGGCTGCGTATCTGTTGTTTCCTTGAGGACGAAGAGGACGAAGAGGACGAAGAGGACAGGAGCTAGACTAGCTACCGGCTGCAGATAGCACACTCCCTGGTACCTACGAACTACTAGCCACCGGCCTAAGTATCCCGTGGTTCTGTGGCTGCTGGATGTGCTGTCTGTGGGTTCGCCTGTGTTTATGCTGAGGCGACTCGCGCGGGTGACGCGTACAGAGGTAATCCAAACAGAGTTGACTTGGTGACGTGTACATAGTTGACTTATACATAGCTGACTTGGTGACTCGTACGCAGTTGGCGCGCAGATTACATCAACACAGAGGTCTTGATCGTCTGTGCAGGGCCGCGAGCACGATCCTTGATATGATTTTGGACGTGGTGTTGGCTACTGGATACGGGACGCTGGGTGAGGGATATTGAACACTGAACACTGAACACGAGATACTAGACACTAGATACTAGACACTAGACACTAGACACTAGACACTAGAAAATCGACAAGGACATGGGATGGGACACAGCTGGAGGGCAGAGAATATATGGCACAGGACGTGGGGCACTGAACACTGAACACTGAACACTGAACAAGGGCACGGGGTAAGGCACGAGACAGGGCACGAAACACTCCGTTATCCAAGACCCCTGGTTCCTCTCCCGAACCCCGAGTCCCGATCCCAAACACCGCTTGCCGTGATTAGTGCGATGATTGCCCTGGGTGCTTTGGGCTGCGTGGTAGAAAGGACCTGGAGGTAGGGAGGAGGACGTAGGTTCGTCATAGCGTAGCAGGCAGCTCGCGAGATGGACGGGGAAGCGGTTGGGGATGTTGCGGCCGGGGATGCTGCGAAATCAAGGACAACAGAGATCGGGGAAGCAGGAGGACCGAGGACAGAATAGCATACAGCGGTGCTCTCGAGATGTCGGCCCAGGGAAAGCGCGCCCGGGACGCGAGAACACGGCCCCCAACGCGCCGCTGCGTGCTGTTTTCGATGTGCATCGCGAGACCCGAGAACCGGGGACCTGAGAACTGAGATGCGTGGGATCAAGAGACGTAGAAGCAGAACAGCACAGCACAGCGATTGGTTTATCGAATCGAGGCTAGGCGGAAGGGTAAGATGATGTTCAAGACCACGTCCAAGACCACGTCCAAGACCAAGTCTCAGCCCACGTCTACCGCTCCTCCAACCCCGACTCCACGAGTCTACGGTACTGCGATATAATCAGTACGGCGCTTGGCCATAGACTCTCGACGCTGCTGAGCGGGTGCTGAATAAAGCTTCACGATGCTTTCACGATGCCCAACGCTGCCTAGCGATGCTCAACGATGCTTAACAAACCTCAACAATGCTCGATAATACTGAACGATGCTCGGTGATTGTGCCGCACTCCTGATCCTAAACACAGCGTGTCTAGACAATGCTGGTAGCGCGGCATACGCGACGCGTGGGCAGATGACAGAGGGGAGACGACTGTGTCTCGTGCGTTGTGTCGATAAGGGGGGGGGGGGGGGGGGGGGGGGGGCACCGCGCTGCGCTGTAGATAGGTAAGTGTACCAGGGCACCAGTAGCCAGGGGCCAAGAAACCCCAGTCCATCACACGGGGAATGAGACACAGCACAATCTCCCTCAACCAATTAATTTCGTTTTGTGTTTTGTGTGGTTCATACAGATACAGGAGAGCGATACGTGCACATGTGCCCAGCTGCACGCGTCGCCGAGCGTCTCGATGCCATCGAGTGCGCAGGGCCGCATGCGGCTTGCGCGGCCCGGCGGGGTCGAGATGCGGGAGTGCGGTGCCGGAGGGGCGTGGAGGCGTGCGAGGCGGGCCGGGGCGTGTGCTGTGTCTGGATACGCGCTGCGTGCGCGGCACCGTACTGAGCTGCTCCGCTGCGAGTCGCCCCGCTGTAAGTCGCTCCGCTGCAAGCCCCCTCCGCCCCAGCCACTCTACGCAGCCGCCTGCTCTACGCAGCAACCTCCTTCCCCCCCACCACCTCGACCAAATCCTGCACCCCCCTCTGCCTCCCAATCGCGACCTTCCGCAGCCCCTTCCCATCCTGCCCCTCGTCCCCCACCGCGTCGCCCTCATCGCCCGCCTCCTTACCATCATCATACGCGATCTCGTCCCGCTCGATCTTGCTCAAATCCATGCGCATGCTGTACGCGTCCTCGCCGTCGGCGTAGTACTTGGCCTCGATCTTCTCGACGCTGAAGCCGAGGGTCTCGCGGTACAGATGCAGCGCGGCGAGGTTGGACATGCGGACGTGTAGGGAGACGTAGGAGGCGGAGAAGGTTTCGGCCATTGCGCGCTCTGGGAGATATGTTAGTATCGGTGTGAATGTTATTGGTTCGAGGTGTGGTGTTGGGGGGAGGCCGGGGGACACGTGGGGGAGGGTGGACTAGGCAGGCTGCGTGAGAGAGACAACGTACGACTCTGCCGCATCAGCTTCTCGGCCAGCCCCAGCCGGCGGTGCGTGCGCATGACGCTCAGCGACGTGATGTGGCCGTGCGGAATGCCGTCGGCGGGCTCTTCCTCCATTTTGGCCAGGACGTAGCCGACGATCTTGGGGGGGTCGTAGGGGGTCTTGGGGGGGCGCGAGACCTGTTTCATTTAGCATTGGAAGGGATGTGTATTCCGAGTACGAGATGGTGGAGGGTGGTGAAGAGGGTGGTGGGGTGGGTGAGTGGGGGGTAAGGGGTCCGTCTCTTGTCTTGCTTCCGTCTCTTTGAATCCTACTATCCGGCTTTTTCGGGGTGATGTAGATTCCGGCTCTTGCTGCGGGGGAGGTGAGATCTGCCCGCATCTTTCTTCCCTGCCCACACCTCTCTCTCACCCCACCCTTCTCTCTAATCCCCCTCTTTCCCTTCTCATCCCCATCTCCCCATCTTCCTCTCGCCGTCGTTTTCTCTCTATTTTGCCAGTTTCCTCTCTTCTACCCTCCTCTCCCTTTCCCCCCATTCCCCCCATTCCCAACCCTCCTCACTCCCACAGCGCAATGCAACCAGCAATATCCGCAATTCAAGAAAAGAAAGAAAAACTCACATCCACAGCAACCCAACTCAACTGCGGCCAACTCATCGCATGATACAAGTAATACTTGCAAAAATAGTTCTCGGGCAAGTTCGTAATGTTGGCGAGCTGCACGTGCGGGATGTCCGAGGGGAGGAGGGGCCGGATGTCCATGGTTATGTTTAATTTCCTTGCCTCGCAAGACAGAGGTACTGGAGGGGATGTGCGGAGTCGTCTGGGGAGCAATTGGCTGGGACTAGGGTGGCGGCGTTGGCGTTGTTGGTGTTGTTGGTGTTGGTGCTGTGATGGCGTTGGCGTCGGCGTGGGTGAGGTTGTGGAGCGCGAAAGCTCGGTTAGTCAGCGGGGCGGGTGGGGCGGTCTGACGACGTGCATGCGATGCGCGAGGGGGATGGAGCACGGGTGGCCAGAGACTCGCTGATGCGAAATGCAACCACGATGATCGAGGTAATTCAAATAGTGAAGCGCGCATGCGCCTGCGTTCTCCTGATGCTGTCTATGTGAAGCGCAAAATGCACAACTCCACCACGATCACATCGTGTAATACTACATAAACCACCCAAGACCATCCAATGCACAAACTCCGGGTATCAAAAAGCGTAAAATCCTACATCAGCCCCCCCAACACTACCTTGCCGACGCCCCCAACCTCCCCCCGCACGCCCGCGCGACAACTCTCCTCGAACTCCCTCACCATGCCCGCGAGGATAATCTTCCGCACGCGCGCATCCGCCTTGGCGAACAAATCGCCCACGACGCCCGGCACGCCCTGGCCCGCGAGCACGACGCTCTCGGGGGTGCTCAGCATGCTCAGCATCTTGGTGTAGCAGTCGATGAGGACATCGCAGAGGCTGGCGAAGGTGGAGAAGAAATCGGGGTCGAAGGGGAGCGAGGGTGTTTGCAGGTACACATACGACTCGCCCGGGGCGAGATCGTCGGTCGGCGGGTCGGTCGCGTCTTGTGGTAGTAGCAGCGGGAAGTCGCCGGTCGCGGAGGAACTGCGGCGCCCCTTGGCGAGGTTCGCGCGCTTGAACATCTGCGGGATGCGGGCGCGGCTCAGCGAGGGCGCGGTGCCGTCAGTCGGGTGCGCGGCCTGGTACTGTTCGAACTCGAGCAGCAGGGCGTTGAGGGCGCGCAGGTAGTCGGCAGGGGCGGCGGCGTGCAGGTCGAGGATCGAAGGGAGCGAGAAGCCGAGGAGGAGGTACTGGGTGGCGCGGCGCGACTGGGCGCGCGGGGTGAACGAGGGCAGGCGCGTCAGGTCGGACTTGGAGAACAGCAAGGTGTTGAACCAGTAGATGCGGCCCTCGTGGCTGGATTTGTTAGCGGGTGGCAGACACGCATGCAGCTCAGACGCACGCCTTGCGCAGGTAGTCCAGGGTCGAGATGCGCTTCGAGGCCAGCTCGTGGATGTGCTGGAACACGGCGTGCGGGTTGCCGGGGGCGGGCAGCGGGGCAGCGGGGGCCAGGGCGATGCTGGGCTGGCGCTGGGCGGCGAACTTGGTGTCGGGGTCCTTGACGCTGTCGCTGCTGCGCGGCTTGCGGGCAAAGGTGGCCATGCTGAGGGTCGGGCGGGCAGCGGGGGCGGGCTTGTCGGGCGACGAGACCGAGTGCATGGTCGAGGCGGACGCTTGGCGGCGGTGCGACGAGGCAGAGCGCAGCGAGGCGCTGCGAGAGCGCAGCTGCAGGCCACGGGCGCTGCTGACGGAGAGGGCGCGCTGCGGCGGCGAGACGGGCGAGGGAGGGTCGGGCGGCGGCGGGTGCTCCGCAAAGGCCGGTAGTAGCAGGGTCGGGGGCGCCGAGGCCTTGTGCTTGTGCTTGGTGCTCTTGCTGAAGAACGACGGCCGTCTGCTGAAGACGCTGCTCGGGGGAGGCTCCATGGCCGCCCGTGGTGGGGACTGGTCAGGGGCTTGAGACGCGGGGCCTAGCGCATGGTGGACGCGGGCGGCAGTGGAGGCGGTTGCAGATGGTGCAGATACGCAGAGAGGCGCCAGACGCAGACGGCCCCCGATGCTAGGAGATATGGACAGCCATGCGCTGCCAGGATATATGGATACACAGGCCTGCGCACGGCGCGCCGTAATGGAGCCATGGCCGAGCCAGGGTGCGAGCCACGCGCAAGGTGACGTGCAGCTGTAGTCGATAGCGGGCCCTGACTTCCCCGTTGCAGCGGACCCTGACCGCCCGTAGCCTCCCACACACCACCATGGCCCATCTGCAGCGCCGCCAGAGCGCAAAGGGCGAGCACATCCCCGTCGCGGGCGCCTGGCCTGTCGACCCGCAGGAGGACGTCGCCGTGTCGCCGCAGCGCATCTGGGTCGACGGCTGCTTCGACTTTGCCCACCACGGTGAGCCGTCTCGTCTTCCTCTCCTACTCTACTGACTGCCAGGCCAGGCCACGCCGGCGCCATGCTGCAGGCCCGCCAGCTGGGCTCCGAGCTGCTCGTCGGCGTGCACTCGGACGAGGCCATCCTCGCCAACAAGGGCCCGACCGTCATGCGCCTGCCCGAGCGCATCATGGCCGTCGAGGCCTGTCGCTGGGCCACCAAGGCCATCCCGCACGCGCCCTACGTCACCTCGCTGCCGTGGATCTCGCACTACGGCTGCCAGTTCGTCGTGCACGGCGACGACATCACGTCCGACAGCGACGGCCGCGACTGCTACCGCTACGTCAAGGCCGCCCAGCGCTTCAAGGTCGTCAAGCGCACCCCGGGCATCTCCACCACCGACCTCGTCGGCCGCATGCTGCTGTGCACCCGCTCGCACTTCATCCAGTCGCTGGAGAAGCGCCTCGCCGGCGACGAGGGCCCGGGCGGCGAGCTGGAGCGCCAGAAGGAGGGCGCCGCCATGCTGCAGCGCATCACCGACTACGCCACCGACGAGACCGGCAAGGCCCCCGGCTGCGACGTGTGGTACTGGACCGCCTCGCGCCCCGCGAAGCTGCGCCGCACCACCACCACCAGCACCCCCGACCCGCGCCCGGCCCCCGCCCGCGCCCAGACCGGCGGCTCCGTCGCCGTCAAGGAGGAGAAGGGCAAGTTCACCCAGCTCGTGCAGGGCAAGGGCGTGCGCCCGGGCCAGACCGTCGTGTACGTCGACGGCGGCTGGGACCTGTTCTCATCGGGCCACATCGAGTTCCTGCGCCAGGTCACCGAGGCCGAGGAGGCCGCCGCGCGCGCCCGCGGCTGGTACAGCGAGGAGGCCGTCGCCGCACGCGTGGCCACCGGCCAAGACTACGGCCCCGTGTTCCTGGTCGCCGGCATCCACGACGACGAGGTCATCAACCACTGGAAGGGCATCAACTACCCGATTATGAACATCTTCGAGCGCGGCCTGTGCGTGCTGCAGTGCAAGGTGCGTCGTCACAACTCATTACATCTCCCCCGCTAATTTCTCCAGTACATCCACGCCACCGTCTTCGGCGCCCCCTTCTCCCTCTCCAAAGCCTTCCTGCAGACCCTCCCCTACGGCACCCCCGCCGCCGTCTACCACGGCACCACCCAGTTCATGCCGCTGACCTACGACCCCTACGCCGCCGCCCGCGCCCTGCGCATCTACCGCGAGGTCGCGAACCACGTGTTCCAGGACGTCAATGCCGCTGAGATTGTCGCGCGGATCATGAAGAGCCGCGAGGCGTACGAGGAGCGCCAGCGCCGCAAGGGCGAGAAGGGCGAGGGCGAGGAGGCCGAGAGGGGGAGGCAGGAGCGCGAGAGGGAGATGCGGCGGAGGGAGGTGGAGGGGCAGTTTGGTCTTTAGGTGGACTGGAGCGGGGACGGGGTGACTGGAAGGGGGGACGGGGTGAACTACAAGGAGGTGAACTGGAACGCGGAACAAGGGTGAACTACAACGGGGAATAAGTGGTGACCTGCTGAACGGCAACACTGGGGGCGGGGGCTACATAGTGGGGCGGCGGTTAAACTATCTCCGTGCTAGCGCGGCGCGTCGCGAACTTTGCGCCGTCCGTGGCCCACGTCACATCACAGTCCATACAATCAGAGTCTATACACATCGAATCCCACCCAGTAAGACCTTAGCAGACAAATCGTGATCGCATAATTCTCGAATCGTAGTCGCATAACCCTCGAATCGTAGCCGCATAATCCTCGACTCTGTATCTGTATCTCACCATCGAAATCCCCGCGCACGAATCATACAGCACAGCACAGCATACCACAGCGAATAACCCACCCAACGCAGCCACCCTGCACCGCGCACACGAATCAAGCCCCAAGCCCCGCAACCCAGGACCACAGATCCACGATCCAGGAATCGAGCATCACGAACCAAGACCACGAAGGATAAATAAGGGAATAAGGGAATAAGGGAATAAGAAACAGGGAAATAATGCCGCCCCCGCGCATGAGCGCCGTCTTCCCGCCTTCGTCCTCGTCGAATGCTACCACGCCTTCGGGGAAGACAGCACAGACGCCTTCGGTGCTGCATGCGAGTGAAGGCGTGAGTGAAGGCGTGAGTGAGGACGTCACGCTCCCACTCCTCGGCTCTGCGCGGGAGAACGGACATAGTATGGTAAAGCGCGGGACAGGGCGGGGAATGAAGAGAAAAAGGGGCGGTGGCGGCGCTGACCCAGAGGCGGGCGCAAACGGCGCGGAGAACAAGGCGAAAAACGCTGCGACGGGGAAGAAAGATACCGCCGCAACACAGCACGGTCACGAGACTGAGAGTGGGTGTAAGGGTGTGAGTAAGGGTGTGGGTGCGGCGCGCCCGCATCATCCCGCGTTGTACGCGCCGTGGGAGCTGCTGCCCAGCGCGCTGAGACGCAGTATCCAGCACTGTATCCCCGACACCAACACCAACACCGACACCAATACCGACACCGACATCGACACCAACATCGCCGCCCCCCACTCCGTCACTTCCGCCGTCAATCATGCCGGCGCAAACACCACAAAACCTGCAACCGGAGTCAGTGTCCTAGTCATAGGCCGGAACGCGAATATCCACACCTCTGTCCGCCGGGTCAGCGCTTTGCTGGGGCTTGGTGTAGGGCTCGGGGCTGGGGAAGGGGATGGGGTGGTGGTGGTGGATAATCTGGCGACGGCGATGAAGACGGCCGCGGCGGTGAAGACGGCGGAAAACACGACGGCGGAGACCTTGGAAACAGGGAAGGGGACGAAGGAGGAGATAAAGCAGGGCACGGCGAAGGAGATGAAGGAGGGACCGGCGGCGGTGACGACACACAAGCAGCAGAGTCCAGAAGAAAACAAGACTCAGCACCCCCACGCCTCCCTCGTCGCGCTCTCCGCACAGGCAGACGCCACGGTCAAACTCATCGGCGTCGTGGACTTGGTTCGGCGGCTGGCGCGGGGTAAGAAAACGAGCAAGAAAACGAGCGCGGGCACAAGCACGAGTACGAGCGCGTCTGCAGGCGCTGCGGATCGTGGTGCGAAGGGCGCTGCGGATCGTGGTGCGAAGGGGGTCGGGAGTGGAGATGGGAGCGGAGACAAGAGCAAAGGCAAGGAGAAAGAAGAGGAAGAGGACAGCGGGTGGTGGATGTACACCGTGCTCAGCAGCGTCCAAGTACCGCGTGGACAGAGAAAGCCGCGTGGCTGTGTGGCAGGCGGGGGGGAGGGCGACGCTGGAGCCAAAGCTGATGGCGAGGGCGAGGACGAGGGCGAGGACGAGCGTGTACAAGGCGTACAAGAAGACGAGTCCGCAGACGAGGGGCAGCGTATGCACATCGACTCCACCACCGCCCACACCGGCACCGCAGACGCAGACACCCCGATACACCCCGCAACCCCACCGCACCCCCCAGCACCCTCGCATCCAGCAGCAGCGATGAAGAAAGCCCCCACCCTCACCGTCTGGCTCAGCCGCGACAAAATCGCTGGTTGGGGGGCTGTGTTTGGGGAGGAGAGGTTTTGAGGCGTTCTCATTCCAGGTCGCACTTTATTCTGCTTAAGGGGCTGGGGATGAGGGTGAGGGTGTGAGGACGAGAGAGGGCTGTGGATGAGGATGGGAAAAACGAGGAGATGAGGGTGAGGGTGAGAAGATGCTAGGATGAGGGTGAGAAAGCGCCGAGGACGAGAAAAGGCGCCAGAGATGGATAAGAGTACGGGTATAGGTATTGACATTGGCACTGGTACAGGTGTTGGTACAGGTGTTGGTATGGGTACGGCAACGGGTCTTCGCTTTCCGCTAGAATCTCTGCCAGCATCTCTGCCGGAATCTCCGCCAGCATCTCCGCCAGACCCTCTGCCAAAACCCCAAAATCGCGTCTTAGTGCTACTCCGCACCTGTGTTGGCACGTTGCGTTCCACCGCCACTCCCAGCCCAGCTCGCGGGTTTCTAGCGGCGTCCTGGAGCGGTGTGTGCTGCGTGCTCATGTCCGGCTGCTTTCCACCGTCAATCTCAAAAGCGAGACTGGGTGCTATTCTGCATCTGCATCAACACGCTGTGTTCCACCGGCACTCCCACTCCAGGCCGCGGGTTTCCAGCGAAGTCTCAGGATGGTCTGTGACGTCCGCTTATGCGCTGCTCTCTGCGCCTGCTCTGAGTTCTCTTGGCGCTCTACAAGACATCGAGGTCTGGCGCGCCATGCATCCAGCAAGCCGAAGCTGTAGCGAACGGCGTATCGACGGCTGCTCCAGCAACAGGCTCGGTGGGTACTCGGGCTCACGGCTGGAGCAGTGTCCCTCGTGTACACACGCACACGGCACATCCACCACGCATCTACTGCCTAATACATCTACTACACATCCACGGTGAATCCACGGCACAGCACGCGTCTCGCGGTGGCCGCCGTGCCACGACTCTGCGCCCGCAGATCCGCAGTGCGTCCCGAACCCCGCCCCGTGTTCTGGACCCGCTCCAGCGCCCGAGTCGTGCGGCCTGCGGTCCCGTGTCGAGCGCCGTGGCTTCCTGCTTCTCGTCTGTCGAAGTCCCGGACATCTCCTGTATCCTGTATCCTGTATCCTATCCTAGTGCTAAACGCGTGGCTTCCGTGGTACGGTAATACACTATATCATCCATCCCTATCTGCCATCTCCCATCTCCCATCTCCCATCTCATCTCCCAATTCCCATCTCCCAGTGTTCTCCACCTCGCCAGCCCAGTCCCCAGCTGCAGTGCGCGTTCACATCACTGACCAGGAACCCAAGCGTGCCGTTGCTTCTTGGGTTCGTTGCGCTGGCTGGTCTGACGAGACGGGAGTGCATGGTGTGGAGTCGGCTTCAGAAACCTGGTTGTAGTTTGGTGTGTGTCTTCGAAGAGGGGTTGTGTGGGGGTCCAAGGTCTAAGGGTTCTATGGTGCAGCGTGTGTTTGGGGTTCTGCGATTGGAGATTAGGGCTTAGGGATTAAGGACTTAGGGATTGGGACTTGGGGATTAGGGATTAGGGATTAGGGACCAGGTGTTGGGGATTTGCGGATGGGGATTGGGCCAGGGAGGAAAGGGAGCAGGAGGAGAAGAGAAAGACGAGAAGGAAGAGAAAATGCAGGACTGTAAGCAGATCAAGACTAGGACCAGCATCAATGATATGAGTTGGAGATACGGGTTGAAGAATCAGTGCCCGCAAAACCGAGAGCAGAGGCAGCACAGGGGCCAGTGTCAGATACCAGCTGCAGCACGGAACTCGCCCCCAACTGCACGTTTCCTGGCACACTGACCCACATAATACGCAGAACAGGCACGGAGTGTAGATATATAGTTCGGGTTGCGAGACTGGACAAAGACGATTCCGGGCAGTGTGCCGCGCTCCTCACATCCAGCATTGCCGCGTGCTACGGCATAGATCCTGCTCACCACCGCTGCTCACCATCCCGGTCCACCTCCTACCTAGCATAGCTCGTACCGCCGCCGCCGCTGCTGTTTAGAAAGCCCGCCGCGCCATCAAACAAGCACTTAGTCTGGTCAAAGTCCGCAACAGTCCCACAGCTCCGCGGATCCACAGATTCAAAATCATCATCACAAGAGCAGAACTCCCACATCCCCTCACCTAAGAACCCAGAGCCCCAGCGTGGCAAGTCGCCGGAGAATCTCCACGAGCTGCGCGCTGCGGGTTACACCCGCCCGCGCAGTCTGCAGCAAGTGTCGTTGACGGTTCGGAGTCGGAGCCTGCACTGCAGGCTCGGGCAGCGGCGACCCGTTGCTCGCCCGGCTGGGTCTGGCACGCCGGTCACTCGGCGCGGATCGGTAGATGGCAGCGCGTGGGGATTCGTGACGCCGGGCGTGGATGGGAAGCTGGAGAGAAGAGGTGAGATTGCGGTGGACACAGAGACTTGGACAGGGATGGGATGGTGAAGGCTGTCTGGGTACGGAGGAGGTAGTGAGGTAGTAATGTAACCTACAGTGGCGACAGAGAAACGAGACTATTATTAGTTAATCAGCGTATTTCACCCCAGCACGCCACCAACGCAAACAGTGAGCCAGTAGTCCTGCACCCCCCCCCCCCCTCCCCCGGCGCTTAGCTTGGCCCGCCACACCCCATTCTCCTGTCTTATATTGGTAGTCTACGACGCAGATAGATCCCCTGCTACCCCATCCTCACACATGTCATCCATCAACACAGTCCGAACCGCAAACACACACCCATCCTCACCGCAGGCAGTCTACGCGTACCCCTTCTAGAACCCGCACACCACCGCCCCAACCCCTATCACCAACAACGTATCACCTCTACAGACAGCCACCCTGCGCATTCCACCCCGCGGCCTACATGTACAGTCCACTGCACTGCGTACCCAGATAACCAGGTCTCTGTTCCAAGCACACTTCCCCCCCAAGCTTGGCCCTCGTGTTCACAGCGCCGATATCAATGAGTTGGGCAACTAGACAAATGCGCAACTACGCGTCTTCTGATGCGGTACGCCTGATACGGAGACGCCGCTGAGGGGCTTGTTGGGTGTCTTGTCGGTGGGGGACTGAGTTCGGGGGCGAGGGCGAGGGTGTGTTGGGGTAGGTTTGCTGTCTGGCTGGGGTGGGTGGAAGTGGAAGGGGGTCTCGCGTGGAGGGTCTTGGGGGTGTGGAGGGCTAGGGGCGTGGAGGGCTGGGTGGTAGAGTGGTATAGAAGTGCTACTGGTATGCAGAAGTGCAGGCTTTCGCCCGTTAATATAGTAGTTGTTGAAGCGTGCGGACTATCTCTGTTGAGTACAATGCAGCTCTGCCTCGTGCGTTTAGGTACCTAAGCACACTTATTAGTTAACGCACCTAGGGGACGAGGACAAGCTTATATATAATTAACGATGTAAGCTATAACGTTAGATATAACATAGGATGTAAGAGGCTATAGGGATAGACTCTTAGCTATAATACTCCCCTTAACTAGAGTAATAGAGCTACTAAGTTCTAACAGAGGTTGTATTGTTATATTCTATTATTACAAACGTTAGCTAGTTACTACAGATCTTGTCTAGACTAAGATGAGAAGGACAACTTGCGTTTTTACCTACTATATGTAGTCTAATACTTTTACCTACACGGGAAGTTCCTAACAGCAGGGCCTCCCGTCCTGTGTAGTAAAAGAGAGGGGGTCTGTACATTTTGTTAATGATTATATTATACGTAGTCTAATACTTCTACCTGCAAGGAAAATCCCTTAGCAGGGCCTCCCGTGTTGTATACTAAAAGAGCGAAGCTATACATATTCTGCTAACGATTATAGTACCTATACTCCTCTTGTAAATCTGCTAAGATACACAACTACCCTTAGGTAGAGATAAGAAGAGGATTGCCTGTCTATAGATAGCTAGAAGATGCCTAGCACCTGTACGCAAGATATCACAGGTACCTAGGCATGTAGGACGCATTTTGACAGCGGGGCTTCCCGTATGATGTACTAGGGGTGGTCTGCACATTTCAGCAAGCATTATATACAGACGAGTACACTACCAGCGCATATAATCCTGTGCTACGTCAAGGGTGGCCTGTATCTAGGTGCGTATCAATAAGCACCGATACCTAGAGTGTACTTTTCCGGCCCCATACGGCCCTAAGCCTCGTTTGTCTAATCTAAGTTACTGCACACGACACTGCCCTGGTGCAGAGCTGCCAGCGGTTCCAGTACTAAGGCTGGAGTCAGTGTTGTCGCGTGCGCTTGGGAGCGAGCTTGGGACGGTGCTGGTCTTTGGGACGTTGCTGGTACCTGGGACGTTACTGTCGCCTAGGACGCCACTGTCACCCATGACGGCGGGGGAGACGGAGACACCGATACAAGACCCCGATGCAGATACAGAACGAACTCGAGCCCAAGCTGCAGCCGCAGTCAAACCAAAAATCCCTCAACTCCGCGTCCCTCCCGTCCCCGTCCCTCCCTATCCCTCCCCACCATCGTCGCGATGAGCGAGATACTGACCCAAACAATCTACCAACCCAAACAATCCACCACAACCCCCATCAAAAGATCAGCAAAGTACATGTGTGTTAAGCAGACGTAGGCGCGCAGGCGCGTGAGGCGTGCGAGAGAGCGGGAGAGCGAGACAGCGTAGAGGCATAGGGAGTTGGATGTCTAGGTGTCTGGGTATTTAAACAGGACTGGGAGACTGGGGGATGGGTGGATAGATGGATGGACGGGGAGCTGGGAGGTGGGTGAGCGGTTAGATGGATGGATAGATAGACGGGGAGACGGGGAGATAGGTGAGCGGTTAGATAGATGGATGTAAGAACAGATGTATACACACACCACAGACGCACAAATACACCCCCCCCCCCTCCCACTCCACCACACCTCACACCTCACACCCATCACGCCACCCCCACCTCCCCCCACGACATCACGCAAACCGTCACGCAAACCGTCACGCAAACCGTCACGCAAACCGTCACGCAAACCATCACGCACACCATCACGCAAACCATCACACAGCACAATCCCCAACACCGAATCTCGTCGTCGCACACTCATCTCGTTGGTTGATTAACATACACCCACAGCCACAGCTATCACGCGTGTCCGCATCTCCACGTCTGTTGTGCGACTCGCACCGCGCCGAAACAGGTCTATAAGCGGAATGGAGTAAACAGAAGAAGAATCAGAGAAGAGTAGCGCACATGCCATCCCGACCCGTCCCGGCCGTTCTTATCCCATCCCCTCCCATGCCATGCCATCACTCCATACCCCTCGTCGCTACCACCAGCACAGCACAGCACAGTGCTTGTCTCCGTCTCGATCTCTCGCCGCCTCGGTAGTGAAAAAACAGACCACGAACACGCACATCTACCCGACCTCAGCCCAGCAACCTCGCCACCCAGCAACCTCGAACAAACACAAAACGCCGCCCAAACAAAGGAAAAGGGTGCCCCGCCGACCAGGAGCGGTCTGGGCGGGCGGGGCGTGGTATGTGTGCAAAGCCGGACAGAAAACCGTAGAAACAGGGAAAACTTGAAAATGGAAACAGGAAAACTGTAAAAAGGCAATACTGAAGGGAGACGCTATGCAATCGCAAAAAGCCAGCCGTATGCGGAGGAGATAAGGATGTGAGAAGCAAGGCCGCGGGTGGCGGGTGGACAGCGGGTATCATCGATGAACCACCGCAGCTCAAGGAGGTCTGCAGGCAAAGACGCCCTACCACGCGCCGATACTGGCGCTCCCGGCGCCGTAGCTGCCGTTCAGCAGCTGCTGGCGGATCGACATGGCGTCGGCCTGGCTCGCGGGCGCCTGGGAGTCCGCCGCCATCCAGCCCAGCCCGCCGCGCAGCTCGTTGACGGCATCCTGCATCTTCCCCGCAGCAACCTCGTTGTGCTTCGCGATCTTCTGGTCCCAGCCGCCGTACAGCAGCTGCATGCCGCCGGCCTTCTTGGCGGCCTCGCGGATGACCAGGGCCCAGGCCTTTGCCATTTCCTCGTAGGCTTCTTCCTTGTGGCGGTTGTGCTGGTACGTGTCCCAGTTGGGCAGGCGGTGGATGACTTCGGTGGCGCCGTCGAGGAAGGCGAGGGCGGTGGCGGGTTGCTGTTCGTTGGGCGGGAGGAAGTGCGTGGTGAAGTCTTTCAGGGCTTCGAGCAGCTCCGTCAGTTGCTGGCGGACGCGGTTGTAGGCGTAGTCCGAGGACGAGCTGCCGCCGAAGGGGAAGGCGGCTCGGAACTGGGATTCGTAGCGCGAGAGCACGTCCAGTGTCGACTGTATGCTGGGCCGTGGTGCGGTTGTGACGACCTCGTGGCCGATGGCCGGGTGGCTCTGGCAGATGGACTGCAGCATGTTCCGCATCTGGTCGGGGGACAGCGTCTCGAGCAGGCGCGGCAGCGGCAGGGCGCGGCCGGAGACGTTGGAGCGCACCCGCTTCTGCAGCGAGCGGGGCGGCGGGCGGGAGGCGATGGCGGGGGAGTTGGACGGCGACTGCGACATGCGCTCGTCGTCGATGTCGTCGTCGGCCTTGCGCTTGCGGCCAGACATGGCGGAAGAGGGCGACAGAACTGCACGGTCAGCGGAGGCGGGCGTGGCGGCGGTGGACGTACTGTTGCGCACGGGCGAGTAGCGGTTGTGCAGCTGGTGCGGAGCGGAGGGGAAGTTCTGGTTGATGTCACACATGGCGGCCGCCCGGCAAACGCTGAGGCTGCAACGTGGTCGGCAGTCGGAGTGAGACGTGGAGCGGCGGCGGTGAAAGTGGGTGCGGTGCTGTGCTGGTGTGTTGTTGTCCAGGAAGAAAGCCCAAGACGCATGTCAAGAAGCTAGGCTGCGGTGGGTCCACGGCTCACGGCTGCCCATGCGTCACGCCGCCAATCAGACCGCCGCCGCTCCAGACGCTTTCAGCACAGCAACGAGTAAGCATCACATCAGTGAAATAAAATAATCGGGGGATCCTCACCGCAACGCTGGCGGCCAGACCTAGTCGATTCTACACAGTATTCAAACAGCAATCGCGCCGCAACGCCTTTTGTGCGCACCGCCAATGCACGCTTGTGCGCCCGAGACACTCAAGCTCCTGTGGCGTGCGTGTCTACATGCATAAAGAGACGCAACGCCGCAAAGAGCGCCAAACTCACCAGGAGAACATCAAAACTGATTTACACGCCCCACTTCGCCGCCGCCACCAACAAACAAGGCTAGTCTGCTGCCTGAATCAGAGGTACAGGGACTGTGCGGCCACCAGATCGCGACGCACGAGCTCGAGCGCCGCCGTGAACTTCTGCTCCAGCTCCTCGCTGCCCATGACTTTGGACGCCTGCGCAATCTGCCGCAGCAGCTCCTCGAGTCGGCGGAACAGACGGATCAAGCTGCCTTCGTAGACGTCGGTCATTTTGCTAAACGAGTTAGTCGTGTACATGGGGCGGGTCAGTGACATACCAGATCTGCGCAAACGAGGCGCCCTTGGACCACGCATACACAACCTCCATGAGCTCGTACTTGAACGCCTTGAGGTACTCGTCCTCGTTGACCGTGAGCTTGCTCTCCTGCGAGATCTTTGCAATGACGCGCGCCTGCTGCTGGATCTCACGGTAGGGCTTGGCCAGCTCTTCCTTCAGTGCGGGCACCTCAGTGCTCTTCTCCTCGAAGATGAAGCAACTCAAGCAGGCGGCGCACTGCTCGGGTGTGAGCTCGTTGAAGAAGCGGTTGAAGAGCAGCTCGCTGAGCACGAGCTCGTCGCCGGTGCTGATCTCGCACGCCACACGGGCCTTGAGCTGGACCACGTCGGCGTCGTCGATGAACCCGAGACGGCGCAACACGCGCTTCCTGTTCTTGAGCTCATCGAGCTGGATTACTGAGAGCGCGTCGTTGATGTCCTTCTTGACCTGCTTGATCTTGTCGGATAGCGCCATCTTGTTGGCGTACTGGCTGTACAGCTCCGGTAACCTCGGCGAGTTGTGGAGGGGGTTTGATAGTAGACGAGACTCGAGGACCTCAATTTTCTGCAGACGTTAGCCGGTTTTCCATAGCACAATTTCACTGCCTACCCTTAGCAGACGCTTGAAGCTGTCGTCTGTGATCTTCATGTTCTCGATGGGGTCCAGGATGGCAATGCCGTCGGGGAAGCGTTTCTTGACTTCGTCCAGCGCCTTGCGCACGCTGTTCTTCTGGTCGGCTGACTTCAGCTCGTTCGGCAGGAAGACGCGAAGATGCCCTATTGACTCGATGCAGCTGAGCAGGACCGGCACGACTTCTATCTTGCCCTTCTCCCCAGATGCTGGCGGTCGGACGCCCGGTGGCAGGCCGTCGTTCACCTGTGGCGCGAACTTGCTGTCGCTGGCGACTGACAGCAGGACATCGACGACGTAAGAATCTTGCGGCTGCAGAATCTCGCCCTTGCCCGCCCTCCGCGGTGTGAAGGCAACAACAGCACCCCACCCGAAGTCGTAGTCCTTGTACTTGATCCTGATCAGACGGCCAGCTTGTAGGAACTGCAGGCAGTAGTTGGGGTGCATGATGACATCGCGCATGTCCTTGGTGTGGGTGTCGAGCTGCTGTCGCAGGTTGTAGTAGTCCTTGACTGTCGCTTCGTCTGTGATGGCTGTGCTGGCCTTTTGGTTCTCCAGCTCTGCCAGCTGCTTCTCCAGACTTGACACACCGGCGGTGTTTTGGAACTGGAAGAAACAGCGCTCCAGCATGAACTCTGGCGAGATGCCCTCGACACGCATGAGATTGAGAATCATGTTGTATCCCAGGTAGAAAGCGGAGTTCAGGTTGTCTTGTTGCCCACGAACGATCTCCTTTGCCACGGCGGGATCCATCTGCTCGTCGATCATCATGATGACAATACCACGGTCATCAAGACCACGACGTCCGGCACGACCGGACATCTGGATGAATTCGGAGGGTGTCACCCATCGCTGGGCCACGCCGTCGAACTTGCGGACGCTTGTGAAGACGACAGTCTTGGCCGGCATGTTCAGACCGATGGAGAAGGTTTCTGTGGCGAACAGGACCTTGATGAGGCCCTCCTGGAACAGGATTTCGATCGTCTCCTTCAAGATGGGCAGCAAGCCCGAGTGGTGGACACCGATACCTCTCCGAAGAAGGGGGAGAATGTGCTGGATTTGAGGCAGCGCGCGATCCTCCTCTGACAGCATCTCAATGGCACTGTCGAACACCTTCGAAACCATAGCTTTCTCCGAGTCGTCATTGAATGAGAGCTGGCTCATGGAGAGCGCGTAGTTCTCGCAGTCTCGTTTGCTGAAACTGAAGACAATAACCGGGTTGTAGCTCTTGATCATGATCATCTTGACGATCTTGTAGATGTCGGAACCCTCCTTGTTGCCGCCGGTGTTTGTCTTCTTGTCCTTGCCCTTGCCCTTGCGCTTCGCCAGGAAGTCGTTGGCCGCGGACCCTCCCTTGTCTGCGATGGACGTCATGGCTTTTTGGAAGTTCTCCTCGCGGAAGACGCCCTTCTCGTCGACGATGAGATGGATGCCGTCGGCGCCTTTCGGGAAGAAGTAGTGCTGCAGAGGCGTCGGTCGGAAGTCGGTGTAGACGACGTGGCAGGGCTGGCTGTGCGTTTTGGTGATCCATTCGGCGAACTGCATGGCGTTCGGGATGGTGGCGGACAGGAAGACGTAGCGGACCTTGTCGGGCAGCAGGATGATGGTCTCCTCCCAGACGACACCACGCGACTTGTCACGCAGATAGTGGACCTCGTCGAAGACGACCCAGGCCACCTCGCGCATGATCTCCGAACCGCGGTACAGCATAGAGCGCAGAATCTCGGTGGTCATGACCAGACATGTTGCAGTGGGGTTGATGGTGACATCACCCGTCATGAGACCGACGTCGCCGAACTCGGCCATGAACTCGCGGTACTTCTGGTTGCTGAGGGCCTTGATGGGACTTGTGTAGATGACTCGCTGGTTGTTCTTCAGACACTGTGCAATGGCGTACTCGGCCACGACCGTCTTTCCTGCCGACGTGTGCGCCGAGACCAGCACGCTCTCGTTGCGCTGGATGGAGGCGATGGAGACCTGCTGGAAGGGGTCGAGCGTGAAGGGCCACACGCGCGCGGGCTCGGCGGGGGCCTTGTGCTCGGAGATGGGGACGTAGTCGTAGTCGGGCGGCAGCGAGACCTGGTGGCGGACCTGATGCGAGAGCACCACGCCCTGGCCGTCGGGGACCGTCTGCGCCTGCAGACCGGCGGCGGCGGCGACCTCGCGCGTCTGCTCCGTCTCGAAGTCGTCGGTGACAATCGCCTCGGGCTCGTCGCGCTTCTGTCGCTTGGGCAACTGCGGGGCGCTGCTCTCGGCGTCGTTCTCGGGCTCGGTCGCCGTAGGCTCGCTGCCGGCGGCGGGCGCATCGGCCATGGGCACATCGGCGACGGGCGACTTGACGGTGCCGTTCGCCTGGCGCTTCTTGCTTTTCTTGGGCGCCGTCGGCGCGCCGCTGTCGCCGTCGAAGACGTCGAAAAGGTCGTCCATGGCGGCGGCTCGGTCGGTCGCGGCGGGAGAGCGAGCAGTGGCCTCGTGTGTGCGAGAGTCGGAGCCGGCGGGGCGTGGGTGGCTGTGGTTGCGCGGGCAGAACAGCTCGGCGCTGGGACGAGATCAAAAAAGTTGACGCACCAACGGCGCGCGACAGCAGCTGCGTCGGCGGTCGGGGCTTGCTGCCTTGGCGCGGACAGCAGCAGCCACAACCTCGTCAAACGCATCACTCCACCGGCAACGACACTCTCCACTCCACCACAACGCCAATGTACGCCCGCCGCCGCGCCAATTGCACTCCCGCTGACTCCCTCAGATGCTCGCCCGTGCTACCTTCCGCGCCGCCTCGGCCCCCACCCTCGTCGCCCGCCGCGGCTTCCAGTCGACCCGCGCGCAGATGTCGTCCCCCTACCACTACCCCGAGGGTCCCCGCAGCAACTTGCCCTTCGACCCGCTGAAGAAGGGCTTCGCCTTCAAGTACTGGGGCTTCATGGGTGAGCTTGGCGCGCCGCATGCATGACGTCCACGACTAACCCGCCCAGCTACCGGCTTCTCCCTGCCCTTCCTCCTGGCTGGTAAGCTCCCGCCTGTGATCGCACGTCGCCCGCGCGCAAAACTAACCACGCTCCTCCCACAGTCTGGCAGACCAAGAAGAACAAGCCGTAGATGCTTCCCTACGAATTGTGGACACGGCTTGGGGACGGGAGATATGGGGAACTGTAGTATAAGTGGAGGTCCCGACGACGACTGTACTAGACGCACAGCATCAATTTCATTGCCTGTCACTACAGCAGCTGTCCCACCTGTAGCTTCGCCGCATTGGCGCTGCTACACATGCAACCTTCGTGACGATGCAGTCTTGGCGCATGCGCACACTAGCGTGAGTCGTACCTCGAATGAAAATTGTTTGATTTCCACCATCTTGCCAGGCAGACTCAAAGGGCGCCAGAGCCACGAATACCGCCGGGATGCGAAACCTCAAGATCGCCGGAAGGTCGCTGCTGCAATTTTCTGGGGAAGACCCGCTGCCCCTCACTGCAACAGCCTGGGATGCGGCCGCGAATGCGCTGATATGCGCGTTTGGTCCATCCGAGTCACGTGCTACCATCGAGCTCAAAAGACTGCACTACACACGCAGCGGCGCGGAGGACCGCCTGGAGAGCATAGCTGCGTGGGATGCACCGTGTCCACTGCCGTCACTCACACACGACTCCATACTGAGCCTGCACCATTTTGCCGACACATCGACGTCATGTCTGATCCTCGCGGGCGGCGACATCATCCTGGTGCGAGAGAATCCACTCGCAAATGAAGACCTGGTCGAGATTGTGGGGTCGGTCGATGCTGGAATTGCCGCCGCAGCATGGTCGCCTGACGAGGAACTCCTTGCCATCACCACCCAGGCCGACACGCTGCTGCTGATGAGCCGGGAGATCGAGAACATCGCCAGCATCACCCTCGCGCCTGAAGACGTGAATGTCTCAACCCACGTGTCTGTCGGTTGGGGGAAGAAAGAGACTCAATTCAAGGGCAAACGAGCGAGAGCGCTGCAAGACCCCACGGTACCCGAGCACATCGACGCCGGCGAGCTGAGTCCGTTCGACGACCGGTCTGTCACCATCAGCTGGCGCGGAGATGGCGCGTACTTCGCGCTCACCAAGGTCGAGCAGGAGCAGCGCCGCATGATCCGTGTGTATTCGCGAGAGGGGCAGCTGGACAGTGTGAGCGAGCCTGTTGACGGGCTCGAGGGCGCGCTCAGCTGGCGGCCTTCCGGCAACCTCATCACGGGCGTGCGCCGTACTAGCGATAAGCTTGAAGTCGTGTTCTTTGAGCGAAACGGTCTCCGACACGGCCAGTTCGATCTCCGCTTCACGCAAGAAGAGCTCGCAGGCCTGACAACGCCGCTGACTGTCAAGTGGAACAGCGACTCGACTGTACTGGCAGTGTCATTTCCTGACAAGGTACAGCTTTGGACGATGAGCAACTATCACTACTACCTGAAGCAGGAGCTTGTCTTTCCCGAGACAGCAACGCGGACAGCTTTGTGCACATGGCATGCTGAGCGGCCACTTGCTGTTGCAATCTCAACTCCGGGGGCCCTGCAGATCGCAGAGTTTCTCGCTGCTACTGCGGCTGGTGCAGTTGCCCCACCAAATGACTACGGGCTGGTTGCGTCCATTGATGGCTTATCATTGAAGCTCACACCGCTGAGAGTAGCCAACGTGCCACCACCCATGGCCTTTTGCACGGTGTCTCTGGAACATAAGCCTACGGACGTCGCACTTTCAAAATCTGGCACACGCCTTGCAGTACTCTCGAACGGCCACTTGGCCGTGTACGCGCTCGACGTGACGAAGCGGCCCGTAACGAGACCCTCGCTACTGTGGCAAAGCGATGCTCTTGAGGGGCAATCCGCACGCCACGTCACCTTTATCAACGACGAGCAGCTGTATGTGTTGACAGATAGCTGGCTTGAAGACGAGAGCTCTTTGTGGAGAAGTGAGGGAGAGTTTCTTCTTCCTCAAGGGCCTGTGGTTGAGTCTGAGAGCGTATCATCGCTCACGAGTGGAGTCGACTACCAGAATATCTACCTGCAGTTCCAGAACGGCGCAGTACATCAGATTGATACGAATGAGTCGGCTTCGGATCTACCCCCGCAAACTACATTGGTGCAGAAGTTTCCTGCCTTTGCGCCGGATTACAAGGTTATCAGCATCGATGGACAGGTAGGAGAAGCACTCAAGTCATTTTGAGCACTGCTGACGAGACAAGGACATTGCATTTGCTTTGACCAAAAGTGGAGTGCTGTTCGCTAACGACCGCGTTCTTGTCCGCAACTGCACATCGTTTGTGGTAACACCCGCTCATCTCATCTTCACAACTACACAGCATCTTCTCAAATTCGTTCACTTGACGAGTATAGATGGTGAGGATTCAAAGTAGTTCACCCAAGTTCTATGCTAATAACTATCAGAACTCGAGGTTCCTGGAGATGAGCCACAGACAGATGAGCGGTGCCGAAGTATCGAACGGGGCGCGAAGCTGATCACTGTCATGCCTACAACGTATTCGGTAGTTCTGCAGATGCCGCGAGGCAACCTCGAGACCATTTACCCCCGTGCACTCGTGCTTGCTGCTATCCGACGCAACATTGAAGCAGATCAGTACAGCGATGCGTTCTTTGCATGCCGCAGCCAGCGCGTAGACATGAACATCCTGCACGACCACGACTCGGAGCGTTTCATGAAGAGCGTTGAGCTTATTGTCAACCAGGTCAAAAAAGTCGAGCACATCGATCTCCTCCTATCCCAGCTACGGTGAGTGGGAATAATAATTCCAAATAGTGACTGCGCTAATGAATGCAGCAACGAGGACGTTTCCGAGACTATGTATCGGGAAACACTCAAAACAAAGGACCTCGTGAACAAGCCGAAGCTTTCGCAAGACCAGATCGCGAACAAGGTCAACCGCATATCGGATGCCTTTCTGGCTGTGCTGGAGCAGCCACAGTACAAGGACGAGCACCTCCAGAACATCATCACATCTCACGTGTCCAAAGTGCCACCTGCCCTGGAGGCTGGTTTGGAGATGATTGGGCGACTGCAATCGTCCCAGGACCCGCTCACAGACAAAGCTGCGGAGCACATCTGCTTCTTGGCAGATGTCAACCAGCTCTACGACACTGCGCTGGGACTGTATAATTTGGATCTTGCTCTTCTGATCGCTCAACAGTCGCAGAAAGATCCCCGCGAGTATCTCCCACATCTGCAGTCACTTCAAGATCTTCCTGATATCCGACGGAGATTCCAGATCGACGACCAGCTCAGCCGTCACGTGAAGGCACTCACACACCTCAAAGAGCTGCAGGTATTCGATGAAGCACAGGACTACATCCAGCAGCACGCTCTGTACACAGAGGCCCTGGACATGTACCAGTACGACGCTGCCCACCTGAAGAAGATCATGCGCCTCTACGCCTCCTACCTCAGCACCACAAACAAGCACAAAGAAGCCGCCCTCGCGTACGAATACCTCTCGGACCACGCCTCCGCCTGGCCCAGCTACCGCGCCGCCAACCTCTGGCGCGAAGCCCTCACCTCCGCAACCCTCGCCGGCGTCTCAGACGGAGAACTCACCTCCCTCGCGACCTCGCTCGCCGAAGGCCTCACAGAATCCAAGGACTACCACTCCGCCGCTCTCATAACCCTAGAATACCTCTCCGACCTCCCCTCCGCCACAAAGCTCCTCTGCCGCGGCCACCACTTCGCCGAAGCCACGCGCCTCGCAATCCTGCACCGCACCCCCGCCCTCCTCGAATCCGCCATCGACCCCGCCCTCATCGAGCGCTCCGCCGACACCACCGAGTTCCTCGCAGACATGCGCTCACAGCTACTCGCCCAGGTACCGCGGCTCCTCGAGCTGCGCGCCAAGAAAGCCCTCGACCCCGCCGCCTTCTTCGACGACCCCGCCGGCGACGCGAACATCCCCGACAACATCTCGCTGGCCCCCACGGACTCGACGGCAGGCCGCACGCTCATGACGCGGTACACCCAGCAGTCCGGCACCGTGGCGTCGAATGCCACGCGCAAGACGAGCAAGAACAAGAGGCGCGAGGAGCGCAAGCGCGCGCGCGGGAAGAAGGGGACTGTGTACGAGGAGGAGTACCTCGCGAACTCGATCGAGCGGCTTATCGCGAGGCTCAACGGTATGCAAGGCGAGATCGGGAGGTTGGTTGACGGGCTGGTGCGCCGTGGGATGCGGGAGCGCGCGAAGGCGGTGCAGGCCGCGTGGGCGGAGGTCGTGGACGGGTGTGGCAAGGCGGTGGGGGATATGTATCCCGCCGACGCAACGGCGAAGAAGGACGAGGGCGTGGAAGGGGAGCGTGTGAATGGCGTGGATGGGGTGTTTAGACCAACGGGCGCGGATGCGACATTGTGGGAGAGTGTGCAGGAGGTGCAGAGGGCGCGGGTTGCGCCTGTGATTGAGAAGGTGGAGAAGTTGTGTTTGTTGTGAAAAGCGGATGGTCTGTAGAGACGGGTATCTGTTGTGAGAATGGATGCGCTAGGGACTCACGCTCGCTGTTCTGATTCTCCTTCTGCCATACATCATAATAGTGCCGTATTCGAGTCAGTGATTCTCGACGCCTGGCACGGGCTTTAGAGCATTCGCGGATACGGCATCTCTCAGGATCTGGGTGTGGTGTTAATTGCCACTCCGCACCGCAGCAGTCGAGATACTCAAATGCGAAGTGTCAGTGTCATTTACTGTCGGAGCCGAGTTACACGATGGAGTGTCGTCTGATTTAGTGGGTCTGCATCGCTACTTCGCATTGTCACTATTCTGTGCAGACCTGAGACGCTTTTCGGCTAACGTTGAGTCTAGGCTCAGGATTTCGGTTCAGAGATCGTAGGCGACGGGCGTGCCATGTGATAGTGATCTTGCTGGACGAGGCTGGCGTTGAAGTATCGGTGGTAGTCATGATCGCTGACGTCATTCCAACCCTCTCCTGGACGACAATCAACCCTTGCTCTACATCACATGGACGTCGCGTGCTTCTGCACCCAGTTGCTCTGCAAGCCACCTCCGCATGATTTGACAACAGAAGAATTGAGTATCGTGAAATGCATCGTCCAACGGCAGTTTGCCGTGCTCCACTCGTGCAACTCCAGACACGCCGTGAAACGCGTCGCGCTCTGCAGCGCCACCTCGGCCACAACAGAGACGGCGAGGGCGAGAGCCGCGGGCGAGGAGTCGAGGGCATTATGTCCAGACTACACAGTCTTGTGGTGACTTGCAAATCTGCTCTCTAAGCTCTATCGGCACAGCAATGTTGGGCTAGGAGATGGTTGTACACGCTATACGAGGCTGAAAGCGAAGCCTTACGGCGCGGCTTGGCCGTCGATCATTGTTGTTTCCTAAGGCGTTTATTGCGTTCCTCAGGCGTTCGGCGGTGTTCTCAGGCGTTTATAGCAGTGGGGCCCGGGGCGTTTCGCGATTCATGCCCAGGTGAAACACCAGCATCGTACCCAAACGGTCGCAGATCGCCTCGGATCACCCTATCCGACCCACCCTGCAACACAACACAAGCGCGAGAATCAATGCTTGGCCGCGAACAAGCACTGGGGCGGGGCGCATGAGTGCCTCCATGGCGTTTTAGTGGCTTCTTGGGGCGTCCGGCTCCACCTGCAGCTCGATGCTTCCAAACAGAAGGCGACTGGGCATGAGACTCGGCACGAAACTTTCGCCCGGCGGGTTTCTATACGCGTCTGGGGACTATTCGAGGCTGTCTCGTGGCGATCTCTGCGTTTGCGTTCAGCGTCAAGCTCCGCTTTTGGCCGCGGCATGAGATTCAGCTCCAGGAAGGCTCCGGAACCCTCAGCATCCAAGAAGTATATATCTCTGCCCCAGGAGGGCCTCTTCCTGAAAACCAGAATTGCAGGTCATTCGCATCCACTACCCGGTTTACTTCTTAATACCTTTTCTAATTACCCAGTCTGCGACTATCCACTCACATCCAATAATCTAATCTTCACCACCATCACAATCATCAAGATGCTTTTCTCCACAGTTCTCGCTGCCGGACTTCTCCAGGCCATGACCGCTTCCGCCGCCACCATGATGGTCACGGTCGCCGCGAACAACAAGTTCCAGTTCACCCCCAACTCCGTCACCGCCCAGCCCGGAGACGTCGTCGCCTTCAACTTTGTCGCACAGGTACGCACCCCCACCTCTTATGAACAGAACCACGCAGCTAACCCACCCAGAACCACTCCGTCGCGTCCTCCACCGCCAACAACCCCTGCCAACCCGAGCGCAACGCCATCTTCTCGGACTTCCAGCCCATCCCCGGCAACCCCAACGGCAGCCCCAACGCCGGCAACGGCCGCAACACCAACCGCCAGGCGGGCAACACGCCCATGTTCATGGTCCCCGTGACCGACACCGCGCCCATGTACATCTACTGCTCGCAGGCGCAGCACTGCCAGCAGGGCATGGTGATGGTGATCAACCCGCCCAACGGCAACGCCGTCACGCAGTACGCGAACAAGGCCGCCCAGGCGAACAACAACGTCTCGCCCCGCGGCGGCCAGAACGGGGGTACCGTGGTTAATGATAACGCGGGCACGAACCCGAAGAACGTGCTCGGTGCGAATGCGGGCGATGCTGCGACCGCGACGACTAAGGGCAAGGGTAAGGGCAAGGGCAAGGGCGCGGCGGCTGGCGGTGCTGCCGGCGGTGCGGCGGGAGGCCTCGCGGCGCTGTTGGGCGGAAAGGGGAACTAGAGCGTGTGCGACGGTGGCTTAACGGGGGCGCAACGGAAAAGTAGATAGGCGTGATGGGTATGTACATAGAAGCTGGACATTCTATCACTCAATAGTAATTGGATATCGCATGACGACTTCTTCTTTCGCTGCCTCGCTGCCATCAAAGATCCGGGGATTGTCTCGGTTGCTCTTGTTTCTTCTCACGTGTGCTGCTGGGAGGGGTCGTGGTGTAGCTGTTGCCGTGTGGCTCGCGCTTGTCCTTCTCTTCGTTTCAGAGTGTTTCGTCGCGGCTGTGCGGGCTTCCGGGGACCTGGTGCACGCTGACTCGCGACACGAGAAACAGACAGAAGGCTTGGTGCGGAGTGCTCGGTTCCGTGCTCCTTGCCGCAGATCGCGGGTGTGGAGATGGTCGTCGTCCGCTGCGGAGGTCCGAGTGCGGTGGTGTTCAGATCAGTCGCAAAGTAGCTCTCATCTTTCGTTCCTCAAATCAGCGGCGCGATTATTCATGTTCGTGGTTTGGGTTTTCGGGTTTTCTATGGTGATAGTTGGGACCTTCAGACTGTGGTGATAGCGGAGACTTTTCGAGGTGACGAGGCTACAGGCTTCGTGGACGGAGGAAGTGGGTTGGTGGTTAGTAGGATCTCGAGAATCCGTACAGGCCAGGTGGTTACAAAGGTACAACCTTTGTTAAGACTTGTCAGTGGTGCAACAATGCATGGAGCGTATACGCTGTGGTGGAGAGTCTCCACGGCAATAGAGCCGTGGTCTCGCTATTATGATAGATCGTACTTGTACATGTCGGGCGGACAAGGTATAGTTTGGTCTTCATGATTCGTGCAGGCTCAGTCGTTACGAACACTTTCTCAACATATGTCCGTAGTGCGACCGACGTATGCAGTGTGCACATATTGTGAGGGGAAGTCTCCAAGGACAACATAGCCCTGGTCTTGCCATTGTGATGGTCCGTTCTTCAGGATGTAGAGCTTTCAACTGTCAGCTGGTGCAAAAATATCTGGGATTGGTGGAGGGTAGCGTCAATGATGTCTGCAATTGATTGTTTAGTTCAATAGATCGCAAGATACCTAGGTAAGGTTCGTCAAAAATCTCAAGTGTTGACGAGGGTGGAAGGCATGACGTCATGGGCCATGAAAATGCCCTCGCGACCTTCCGAACCCTCGGTCGTAACCACAAACATATCAGAAGTATCCATAAACATACCGCTGCACACTCCATGTGTAGATAATAGTCCGGTACAGGTCGCAGCGGAAACAAACTTCCGTCAGGTGACATGCGCAAATCAGTTTTAGCCTCGGGCGCAGCGCCGAACTCCAGATTTCCCGATGCCCGGGACGACGCGCATGACTTCTTAGTTCCCTTGCCGGCTCCACATTAGACTACTGCCCACTACCGTATCCTGCAACCTTGTGAAAGGCAACTGCCTGATTGCGACAGCCGGGGTGTAGATCCTCGTTACTCGCCTCGGTATGACGGCAATCGTGCGCGACCTCCACACCATCAATCGAAGAGCCACCAATTGGGCATTTAGACTCCAGAAGAACCGACCGGACAAAGCAGGAACCAAGACCCCGCAGGGAATGAGGTCGTCTGGGCGCGCTGAACAGGCACGACAAGACTAGCATGTCCCCACAGTCGCCATCGTTCCAAGCTTCACAGGCAGTGTGGAGGATGGGGTGCATTTCCTCAACTGGAAACCGGCGCGAGAGTCACCCAGAAGGAGGCCCTTTCTGTGACGATCTGTTGACCTCAAGGACAAGATGCGCGAGAGTATATAATAGAATGGGCATACGCTTGAAGACGCCGTGATCATCACAGCATTGAGCATCCAACATGCGCGTTCTCAGTCTTTTGTGTGCTGTACTGCCAGCCATTGTGTCCGCATTTCCCAATGCACCCTTCGTCACCGAGGGCCAATGGGTCCACGACAACACCGGCGAGAACTTCACCTATGTTGGTGTCAATTGGCCCGGTGCTGGCGAGGTCATGATTCCAGAGGGTCTCCAGTACCGCAGCGTTGCATCAATCGCGGCAATGATTAAGAGCCTGAACATGAATGTTGTTCGGCTGACCTTTGCCATTGAGATGCTCGACGACATCGTGGACAATGGCGGCGACGTCACACTCCAGAATGCCTTCAAGAAGGCCCTGGGCGATGCAAATGGCACTACAATCTACAATCAGGTCATCAAGAACAACCCTCAGTTCGGTCCCTCGACTACCAGGCTTCAGGTGTGTAGACCAACATACTACCCAATGAGTAGCTATTGACTGTTATCTAGGTCTACGATAATATCGCTGCTGAGCTCGCGAAACTCGAAATTTACGTACACCTCGATAACCACATGTCCAATGGCGCATGGTGCTGCTCTACAACCGACGGCAATGCGTGGTTTGGTGACAGAAACTTCGATGTTGCAAAGTGGAAGCGCGGTCTGGAGTACATGGCTAAACATGTAAAGTGTCCTCCTATTTCTTATATGTAGCGTACTGACACTTCTTACAGAGCAAGCAATGGCCCAACATGGTTTCTATCGGCCTCCGCAATGAGTTCCGCAAGCCAGATGTCGCCGGCTCTTCCCTCCCCTACGACTGGCCCACCTGGTACGAGCAGAACGTCGACGCCGCCAACATCGTCAACGCCGCGAACCCCGACATCCTGATCTTCTTCTCCGGCCTGAACTACGACACCACCCTGCAGCCCATCCCCTGGGCCGACGATCTCGGCAACGGCCAGAAATTCCTCCTCACCGACTTCGCCTACGCCGACAAACTCGTCCTCGAGATGCACAACCACCAGAACTCCGCCACAGACTGCGGCAGCATCGAGAGCGGCCTCTGGAACAACGGCTTCCGCGCCACTGGCGAGCGCGCCGTGAACAGGATGCCGGTGCTGCTCACCGAATTCGGCTTCTCGCAGGCCGACGGCAGTTATCAGGGCGTGTATGCCTCGTGTCTCCGCAAGCTGATGCCGCAGTGGAGGACCGGCTGGATGGTGTGGGCGCTGGGCGGTAGCTACTATATCCGCAGTGGCATTCAGGATTACGAGGAGACGTGGGGCCTGACGAATCACGATTGGACTGGCTGGAGGAACGAGGCTGCGATTGCAGAGCTTAAGGGTATGGTTGACGCTACGCTTGCTTCCGTGCAGTGATAGGTGGAGATCAATAATACAATTCGTTTTTTTCTGCAAGAATTGTGTCACAAAGTGTCGGCAATCGGCATTGAACACGAGCGCCTGGCGGGAGGTGCTTCGAGTGGGAAACACGCTATCGGTGATGGTTAGGGAGATCCACCGTATCACCGGAAAGCCATCGTCGTGGTGTATCGAACCATATCATTGATGTTGAGACAGCACAGGCAGTATGTATTACTTTTCGTTTCTTGAAGTGGCAAATGTCTTGTACTCGCGAGAACTCTGCATCGTGTTCCAACTCTAGCCTTTTGAAAAGGTCCGCAAATCATTGTGAAGTGGTTCGTAGATGCTGGAGCCAAGACACTTCTGAAGGGTTGCCGAGATGAGCCACTGGTGGCCTTACTTGGAGTCCCCTATTGAGTAGGCCGAGAAGGAAAGCAGAAGGCCTCTTTTGAGTCGGGACTGGTAAGGTGGGAGCGCTGCGTAGCTCAGGGAGAGCGAAGTACGCTCCGCAGTCTGACCCAGCATCTCGACATAGGTCAGAAAAGAGTGGTTGATTTGGCGATATATCAACGGCTTCGGTCGCGCAAGTGTCGGGCTAAACATTGTGGGGTTTAGCGCTGTTTTCGGGCGCAGCCGAGGTTCAAATTGGATGAACGGGTGAAGAGCCCGCCACCACTGCTACATACTCGTCACCAATTTCCATCTATCACAGTCGGATTACTGCATCAAAAAGCTCTACGTATGTGTTATCTAGGTTTTGGACGGGTTTGCTGCTCTGTGAGAGAATCGCAGTTTCGGCGAAGCATAGCCAGCTGAGGCTCAGTCTCACTTGCGATTAGCGTCAGGTACAGTGCGTGGACCAGGATTACGGCTAAGATCCTTCTCTTCCGGGCCGTGCTCAATGAGTCTGTGTAGGCATCCCGTACAGCATAGTGATTTAAGTACCAGTGGCCGTCCATGACAGGACCATCGCCTCTAGAGCTCCAACAATCACCCGCAGAGCACACGATCTTCAACCTCTTCCTTGGCCCTGATCTGCATTATGGTCAAATCTCTCGTCGCCCTAGCGGCATGCACAGGACTCGCATTCGCCCAAAACCAAACGATTGAATTCTTCTGGCCTAAAGGGGGAGACTACGAAGTTCCTGATGTGTCAATAAAATCCGTCAATGCTTCCGCCACAGTATTCGCCGTCGCCTGTCCGAGTCCTTCGACATACGACTGCGATTGGTCGCTTGGATTCAACTACACCATCGTCAATAGCTCAACATATGAAGCCACGATGTCTCGCGACGATTACATGGTCTCGCGAACTTGCCAGGACAAGGGTCAGGGTGGTGTAAATTGCTATGCGGAGGGAAACGACAAGGCCCACTTCTCGTCGTTCGCTGCAAACGAGGTTTGGGGAGCAATAACCGCAAACACGTTCACTGCGACAGTCACGTCTGGGGGAGAGCTGTTGATGGCAGCTTCTACGGGGAGTGCTTCAAGCTCCAGTCCGTCACCACAGGCTGGTTCTAGTGCACCCTCCGCCAGTGTCTCTGCGACTGCTTCGACGACATCTCAGGCCACAGGTGCGGCTGGAAAAAATTACGTTGACCATTCGATGGGCCTCATTATTGTGGGTGCGGGCGCAGTCGCTTTGTACGTTTAAGCAGCTTGCACATTCCCATATATGGTGTACACCAATTCTACTACGTTTTTGTCACCAATCTTTTAATGCTTGTCACCTGTGTACTTTTTCGCCTCTTTTTCGCATACTCAAATCAATCACGAGCCATTTCAAATGCGAAGGGAAAGTGTGCTTTCATTGTCACACCAAATTTGGTCCTAACGGTAGCTTTCCACTGACAACATCACCCATGCCTTTCGAAAGAAAATCACATTCAGCGAAGATGAATGCGTTTGGTGGAAAAGCCCTCCGCTTCTGTGGCTTCGCCATCCATGAGGCCGTCAATAAAACAAGGTCCAACAAGTTGATATACCACATCTTCGTCATGGACGCAGGATTCCAGATCGGCAGAGAACGCGGTAGGGTCATTCCCATATTGCAACCCTCCTCGCTTCACAGACACGATTGGCCTCAGCACTATTGGCAATCGAAAACCTTTAATGACATGCACTTCATCCCCTACCTCAACCCTTGTGAAATGTTCAGAGTCATTATTACCCGCCCCGGAGCCAAACCTGCCTTTTTCAGACACGAAAAGCCGCCTGTACATCATTGCGTGATGCAACCTGCGGTTGAGACGTGCAAACCCTTCAGCCTGCTGGAGCCAGTCCACGCGGTAAGCGTTTTGGTAGTCCCCTTCGAAAATTGAGGGGTCGAGAGCTCGGTTCGGATCGTGGAGCCAAGTCTGCCATCGACTGATGAGTGCAAAATCGGCGTCGGACAGTCGTTCGTAGGAAAACGGAGACGATTGGAGGGCTGAACCTAATGCTGGAAGACAACCGCCCAAGACGGTCCTCCAAAAACTTCTCTCGCGGTCAGTGGCTGTGGCGTCTTCTGTGTCGCTGGGAAGACTGGCGCATTCCTTCCATCTATCCACATTGTGAATGATGTCGCTCCACTCGCTGTGATCACAACTTTGACTGAATGAGGACACTCTGACAATGACATCGACCTTGGCTGACGTGACTGAAAAACAAAGGTCTGTTTCCATTCGGGTGTCACCTTCAGAGCCGGGGAAAGCGTCGAACAATGGAGATATTTCGGGGAACAGTCCACTCCACTCTAACGGCGCGGTGAAATCTATGCACCAAGACGGGAGTTTGTGCTTCAGCTCTTCAGAACGGCCGTATCCTGCAAAAACAAACAGAGAATCCTTCTTGCTCTCCAGGAGAGCTCTGGATGTTGCTTGAGCATAGATGCGCTCCACCGGTGCCGCATAGTCTACTGGTATGCGATCGGGTCCCTCGTTGTCGATCATACCAAGCGTGCTAAAAACCATGTCGCGGGCCTCGGTTGCTTGCCGTTTCTTTAAATTCGATAACAACACTGTAGTAATGCTCGAGTTTGGATCCTCTGAGTCTGATTCCTTGAGCCGCCTCGCGAACCACATCTCGCTGGGACTTTCGATAAAGTTTGTGAAGGTGCTATGCAGCCTCGTCCACCAGCTCGGCGATGAACAAGCTGCAGTCCCACCGGCAGGAACCACATCCTTACAGCAAGTCGAATAATGCCGATTGAAATTTACCATAGCCTGAACTAACTGGTGATAAGGGAGGGTGTGCTTGCCGAAGTAGATTTTGGGCACGCGCGCCAGGACGAGCTCCTGAAGAATCCATGCGCGAGTCCAGTATTTGTTGCTCAGTAGGTGATAGAGCGCGTAGCAGGATTTGTTCCAGGCTTGAGCTGTGATGCCGACGACAGAAGATGCGCCAGCGGACCCAAAGAAGGGAAGATCATGGAAGTGGACGTCCATCCCGAACAGAATGATCAGGATGAACGCACCAACAATTGGCCAGTCGCTACCCGTCATCTTAGCTTCAAGGTATTCTGAGATTCTTAATTCATCATCCCAATTGTAGCACTCCGGCGTCTCCGTGGTGACGTCTTGACACCATGAGTTTCTCTTCTGAACCTCTCCGAAATCCTTGACGATGTTCATGTTCGATGTAACTTCCAACAACGCCGCTATATCAGTAGAGAAGCCACTTTCCACTCGATCGGGCGCGAGACCGTTTAGCACAGATTTGTCAGGTGCGCTTGGAATTGGCCGTATGCAAAAAGGTAGCTGATACAAGATCGATGCAAGATCCATGAGACTGGCATTGCTAACGACTTTAAAATCACGATCTGCAAGGACCGAAAGGTGAGGCCGGATTTGAGGGTAAGTTTCTGGAAGCATGGCTTCAAGCATCTTTGCGGCTTCCTCATGACATGGGATCTCTCGTGGGTCGTCTGAAAAGGCCTGAATTCGCGCGGGCTCCCCAAGCCACATGCAGACCTCATTCGCATTGGTGTAGATCTTGTCCATCAGCCCTATCTGACCCTCCTTCTCTTTCACATCTTTCTGATTGATGCATAGAGCATCAATCCATATGCGTCGGTGCTTTTCTGGTAGCCTAAGCCGAGCTAAGGCGTCATAGAGGTTCGTGGTAACCTGATGCGTTCGTCCCTGAAGTGATATGAAATCGGTACAGTTGGGATCACCCCATACGTACGACAATGCATCGTATGCAGGACAGTTTGCGAGGTCAACAACCTCCAGCATACAAACGACCGGGCTACCGTATTGTCCACACTGCAGCTGAACGATTCTTATCTGAGAATTATCACTTGCAAGCTGAAGTTTGTCGTATAGACCAACATCAGGATCAGATTGATCTGTGTTCATGTTCGGGACTGTCGAAGCTGTCGGCTCATCACTGATGTCGCTCCAGCGAGGCACATTATGGTTCGAGCGAGGTCCGTCGAAGGCAATGTGGTTGAAAGAGTAAGCGATGGCAGCATCGTTCAGTGAGATTTCTAGCTCGAGTCTTTCAGCGCCTGGAACGTCAGGGTAGGCATCGGCGCCTAGTTTGATGCAGCGTTCGAGCACGTCTTTCTGTTTTGACTGTCTGAACTGGTGATACAGCAATTGAGATAGGCTTGCTGAAACTGAGCCAAACAACTCGCGATATTCGGCTACCTGATTTGGATCTGAAATCGAATCCACCTCTTGAGTATCTCTCAATTCTTCCCGCATCTCCCCCAGAAAGTCTTCGCAGTTCTGGATTGCATCTTGGAGACTTTCGTCATCTTTTCTTTCCTTGTATATTTCAAACTTGGCCAGCGCATATGAGCCAGTTTCCTGAAGTGTAATGACGGCTGGAGCTATCTCATACTTCCATCCAATGGCATCTATAAGCCGGCGGGCGTTCTGTGGAGTTTTTTCCATGTCCCAAGCCAATAAGCGATAGAACACGTACGCGTCTCCGAAAGTATTGTCGTCCACATTTGAGAAAATTGACCCCTCAAACCCCCGAGGTATATTCGCCTTTGCTAGATCTGAATAGACCATGACCTCTTCACAGTTGGTCCCATCGCGTAGAAATCTTATAGAGAACAGATTGGTGAGAGCATCGTAGTACTCGAAGCGTGCAACTGGATCCTCGGGAACCTCTCCACTATTGAGCGCTTGTAGCACAGATTGCCGGGGAGTACGTGGAAGTGTCTGACCGAGCTCATGGTTATCACTGGCGACTGTTCCCGGAACGGTGTCACTACTCTGCTCATCGCACGCTTGTGAGGCTGTCACATTTGCCGTCATTGTTGTTGAAAGGCTTGTCAAGTCTCAAGGAAAAAAATTGCCTCCGATAATATATGCGGTCGATGTTAAGCTGATTGCGCGTGTTTTGGGGCTGAGAGCAACACCAGATCAGCCGCACTCCCAAGCGACTTGGCGTAAGCACTCTCGGTACACGACTGGTCAAGAACACCGCACAAAGAATCATATGCCACACTCATAATGGTATCCTGGTCATTTGTTGCTGCAATAAATATGATGTGGGTGAGCAAAGTAAATTATGTGGGTAAGATGCGACTGACGGCACTACCGATGAAGGTGTGCGAAGCAAATCTTGGAGAGACTAAGCCCATATCTATCCTCTGAGTAGAATCGATATTTTCCGGTTGAACTTGGTTCTAATGCACATTGAGATGGGTCGCGGTTGAACGAGCGATGCTGCACGCTCATACCTTACACGATGGTGCAGCGCAGTGTGGGGTCAGCAGGCTCCGAAAATTCGGGACTTCGAGTAACCGTCTGAAGCGCAAAATCTATCTTTGATTGAACTGTTCGGTCTAAGAATCAAGAGAACTCAGGTATCAGACTCCACTGAGACGGAAACTGTTACCCGATCTCACAGCCACCGCAACACGTGTCCGCTTCCTCGTTTTGATAGAATTCTAGACATAGCAGCCAAAACTATGCGAGGTCAGGAGTCAGTTTGCATGTATTCAATTGGTGGGTCATTAGCAGAGTTCGTACTTGCAAATGATCTGACAGACTGGGTTGATGAAACATGCCTAACGCATGTCAGGATGATGCGAACGTATCACCTGCAGTATGTTCAACAGAAGCCAGGTCTAGAGCGGCATGTGGCATTCTACTAAACATTGTTTGCTTCAGAACGTAGATTCATGTGAGCAGAGGTTCAGCCACACTGGTGACCTTGAATGCAGGCTCCTGTACAGTTGCGATGAAAGTTCTCGACGTTTTTAAGTATTACGAGTTGATTTGTATAGTAGTTCAAGACCAACTCATGAGAAAGCAAGCTTAGTATGTATAATAAACCCCCACAGCCCAATGTAGCCGGTTGCTAAATTGTGTAACACATCCTACTGCGCTCCAGACATCTACAAAGCCCAAGCCGCGACACCCAAAACGACAGCAGCGAGACCACTCAGCTCAGCCGAGTTATCAGCGGCAGCGTTGCGAGTAGCGGAGGCGGAAGCGGAAGCAGCAGACTTCGATGCGCTGTGTTCAGCAGACTTCGAGGCGCTGGCACTGTGCGAGGCAGAAGCAGACGCGGAAGCCAAAGCCGAGGAAATTTCGCTGCGGATAGATGAGAGAGCACTGATAGTGTTAGACGGACCTGCGTGATTGTAAAGCCAGAAGTGGATGGACTCACGAGCTCTGAGCTGCTGCAACAGCAGCAAGGACGGGCAAAGCGATGATCGAGAAACGCATCTTGGTGTCTGTAAGATAGTCTTTTTGATCTGTTTGGACAGTGTCGGGGTTGAAAATAGTTGAAAGCTTGATAAAGTTGATGAAGGAATGAGTTGGATCTGATGGACCAGTTGCTAAGTGCGAGGCAGTCTTATATCATGTCCCTTTAGTGCACGCACCACACTCCAACGATCCCAGTACGTTTATGGTCGCAATTCCAGAGCGCTCCTCGTGTTTCTAATAAGTCTAGTCGGGGTCAAATTGGGTTGATAACCAGGTAATATCTGTGACTGTTCCCCGCAAGCATCCAAATGTGTCGCCACTCCAAGGTACTGTCCAATGAAAGAGGGATTCATAAATTCAAATACGGTTACTGTCGTTACAACCTCGTTGAACATTGTGGAGATCGAGCACCTCATACGGGTAACCTTGGAACGCCCAATTGCATGATGCCACTATGTATCGTACAGCCAACGATTGTGGTCGTGCGTGCGTCCGACCCAAGCCTTTGGCCAACCAGGTGTCGTATAAGCAGCACGAACTGCGCCATAGTACTAGGGTGATTGATCTTAGTGCATTGTGGCTGGTGACTTGCAAGCGCTGGTCAACAACGGAATGAAGTCCAGGCTACTTGAGGTGCATGCGGAGCGATGTTGCGCGATTTCTCGGAGCTGCAGTCAGTTCAGGTAACGAGCTATTAGAGTGGTTTCTTTTTGGTGCCTGCGTTCAAGGCCCAGCCCTCGGGTATAGCGGAACAATAGCTTCAACAACACAATGTCGCATGCAGTCTGTGAATGGTGGATCGGTTGTGTGCCTTGCGGTCGGCCCAGCTCCACGAGATCAAAGTTCTGTTCCTAACGTCAGTAATGTCACGAAAGGTTGGCTACAGGCTACGTCCTGATTGTTAGTTCATGGTCCAGCCCCCCACCGATCTGCCGCCGCGTGATGTTCATCGACCCACTCTCACAATGCTAAGCTTTATGTCTTAGCGGCCCAAAAGCTTGGTGTGCTTGTTTCGTATAAATATAGCCTGAGTTTCCTTGCCAACTGAAGCACAGTCGCTCTCCATTTGGCTGGAGCTTCATCAATTGGGTACTAGTGTCATCTTCGTCACGGCAGAATTCGCGTGGATGCGTCGGAAACCCGAGAAATTACTGTACGTTGATTGGACATTGCACAAAGCTACCTAGCGGTCGCGCCCTCCGAACCGAGTCCTCACTCGACACACGCATCGCACCCACTCACACCCCTTGCATAGTATCTGTATGTGGCCCGTTGAGGGTAATCAAATGAACCACGCCGCGACACCCAAAACAATCGCTGCTACTCCACTAACCTGGCCCGAGGAAACTGGTGCTGCGCCACCGGTGGCTGTCGCAGCCGAAGCCGAAGCCGACTGCGATGCTGAACCACTACCGCTAGAGGTACTTGTGGCACTAGCAGAAGCCCCTGAAGATGCAGACGAAGCAGAAGCTCTGATACTGTTTAGCGAAGGCCTCCCTGAAGGTTCTTGCTCAAGACTTACGATGCCGACGCCGATGCCGAGGATGAACTTGTCAAGCTTGCAAGTTGTGCGTCATCCAACAACTGGCCTCCTCGAAGCTGGTTAGGCGTCTCTGCCTGCTGGACATTGGCTGCTGCCTGACTGTATGCATCGATAGTCTCGCTGCCCGAGTTACTGGTAACTATCAGCTCTCACACTTTCCACACGCGCCAGGTACTGTCACTTACGGGATATTGATTCCGCCAACCATTCCGGACCTGATTGATAAGTAAGAGTTCATTTGAACCATGGTTGAGTACTTACTGGCAATGCCTCTGTACGCTGCAGTAGTAGTATATGGGATCATTGCTGGTGACATTGACTACAAACTTCCTGGCCCCGTTGTCGGTATCCGAGTACGGACCGCTGTAGACTGCAACTCGTCTCAGCTTCAATGTTCGCCAAAAGCCGGACTACTCACAGTCATCATCATCAGTCTGGCAAGGACTGTCGAAGTCACCCTCCACTACATCGTGGGCACTAAAGAGCTCGAAGATGACAGTGTCGCCTTCAACCGCGCTTATAGTTCGAGGGACGAAGTCAAGCCCTGACTGCCCGACTTGTACAGTATGCACAGCAGCCGAAGCGAGTGGTACGAGAACTGGAAGGATGAAGCGATGCATCGTGTGCGATTGGATCAAGTATTTCTGGAAGTGCTAATTCTGGCAAAGCGAAGTGAGAGGTATTGAGCAAGTTTCGAGGATGCAAGGTACTTAAGGGCTTCGTCGTCCTTGCAGTTGGCCCATTCTTGCCCAGCCGTCGGATCAGGGAATTGCGCAGACGGTACAGGCGTGCCCAATAGGAATTCGACCGTCATTGTCACTCGAGCTGAAAAGGAAAGAACCGCCATTTGTTCCTTGGTACAAGGCCGATCGGCCGGAGGCTGTGTAAGCTGAGTACTTTGTCGATTTGGCTGGGCGTGCAGATTGACTGCAGATGAAAGCTCACGCAACCCGCAGGTCTGCATAATCACAGCCAATTGTGACCCGTCTCGAATTGACATACTCAAACCGCACGAAGTACTCGAAAATCAGAGCTTGATAAACAGTTGTTTGGATGGTGACTTCACCGAATGGTGGCGCAACCAAGAAGTCTAAATCTCCGCACAAAGCCCGGCTCAGCCCCACGAGTCACCCCGCACTCTCGATGCCCGCTACTCTTAGCTTTTCCCCAGGCTCATGGTAATCACATTGGTAAGCGACGAACTCGAAAATGAGCAGACTGGCCCGGGATATCGGTGGGAACGTGGTCAACGCAAGGATCAATGTGAGCGGGGCTGTGTCTCTTGGCGAGCCAATCATCATCACCGGGAGGCTTCGGAGGGAGGCAGATGCTTCGTACTCAAGTGCGGCGGAGCTCACAGCGAACTCTCCAATCTTGATCGGTACAATCATTTCGGTAGAACTCTATCATAGGCTGCGCGTTCCGTTCGGTCCCTTGGAATCCTGGCATGCCAACGCCATTGGTCTGTAGCGCGAGCTGGCCCAACTGATTAATCATCAGCCTTTCGCATTCACCCACACGCAACAGTATATGTAAAACAGCGTGGTCAGAGGTAGATTTGCTGTAGAGGGTGCAGTAAAGACAAGCAGCAGCGGCATAAGTTGGCGAGGGTTTTCGTGGACAAGCTCGAGATTACCAGTCTGCTTCATCACCTACCTTTGTTTTACCTTCAATTGAATCACACGAAAGAATCTCTCTATCGAGGCTTGGTAACAATCTCTGGCTTGCATAGTGGGACCAACCCAGCGCGTGCTGGGTACCTTCCTGAACTGGCCAGTACTGAGCGGCGAAAAAGAAGTTATCAAGCGTTGCTTCAACCGTCGACCACGCGTCTTGCATAAGCTGAGGGTCTCAAAGCGAAGCCGTGCCTTGGTGTTGTCCTTGACACCCACTTAATCGCGACTTGACGCGTCGCAGTTCAGACAACTTCATGGTCCGTGCATCCACGACGATGTTGCGGATCTCTGACGCTACCTGTCTCGCGAGACCACACCCACCAATCTCAGGCCCCAGCAGACGTTTGATCGCTGCTATCAGCATTGCAAGGAAAAATAAGATGGAGCGGCACGCAGATGCCCGCGTAAAGCGTTGCCTCGCTTGTAACGAAGAAGCAGCCAGATGCCGGGCATGTAGCATTGACAGCCGAGCCCACAGACAGGCGGTGGACGTGCGAAACGTGACAGCTGTCGATGACCGAGCCTTGTAGCATATATGCCACACACTCAAACGGACCGCGAAATCGTATGTATTCCCGGCCGTATCACGTTGTCCGCTGTCCACTCATCACCCGTTTCCTCTTCTTGTTTCTAATTTGAATTGCAACTACGGCTTGCCAACTTGACTTCTCAAAAGTCAAGCTTGGGGGCTGAGTCTACCTAATCGCCTAATACGGGCTCAACTACAACGACTGACGAGGCATCAACCTTGAGAAGAGCTGGAGTAAGGTCACAAGCCAATGATGGACAAGATCAATTCCCGTGGCCAGGCACTCGTCAGCAGGGTTTTCAAGCGGTCCAGCAATGATTCTTCGATGGATGCTCCTCCACCCTACAATGACAGTCGCCAGTACCGTTCAATGCGACTCCTGTCGACCGTAGCGCTTGCTCTTCTTCTACTTCTTTCTATTCCGGCGCTCGCCCTCAAAACATACAGTTATAGTTTCATTGAGTCCAATTCCGGGATGGGCTTCTACCTTGTGGATGCGGAGACCCAAGTTCCAGATGCAAGGGATATTCTGGTAGCCGCACTTCCAAGCAACCTCTTCCGAGTACCCGAGAAGCTTGTTCTGGTTGTAGCAATGCTGAACATTCTACTGAGTATGGCTCATTTGGCTTTTGTTGCCTGGGATTGGAGGTGTGGCAGACGAGTAAGCCATCGCCCTACGGTCAGCAGAAGACTCTTTGCTTACAATAATGTAGACACAAACGCGGTCCTTTCGCCGCAACGCTATGATTCTGCACATCTTCAATGTGGTATTGGTTCTCACTGCTCTCATCGCCATGTTTGTGTCGCACAAGGTCTCGTCAACATTCGACTACACCCTGATTCCTAAAGAACCCAACGCCGTCACATCGTCTGGATTCAGATACTACAGCTATGATGTCGGCACTTTTGATCTTGAGCATTGGACGTGTGAGCTCATGAAACCAAAGGCAGTGGGTGATGCACGAAATGACTACAAGGCACAATGCGAGATTGAAGTGGCTGGGCGGACGATTCTGGTACCCTTTTTTCTCGCTGCACTAGCTGTTGCTGGTCTATCCATCTGGGCACTCATAGCCGGTGAGCAGCAAGCACCTCGCGGCGAACACATCTTTACAAAGGATATCGACCTTGAAATGATGGGTAAGGGACCTGAAGCTGACAAGCAAGTCCAAGTCGAAGAGGTGGAGCTTGCAACCTTACAGAGGTCGGAGAGACAGAATGATGACAGGTTGAGCAAAATCGCGGAAGACGAGGAAGAGATGGACGAGGTTCCCAAGCAGAGGTCCACAGAAGCCGTTGTCGAGGAGAACAACACCCAGTCGGCTGACACCAAGGACGCAAAGGCGAAGAACGCGGGTGGCGTGTCCTGATCGTGCAAATTACGTGCACGGATTCTCTCGATATTCAGATGCACGCTGTTGAGAGATGATGCAATCCGAGGCCGTATGCCACTCTCGGCAAAGATGGAACTGATCACTTCGGTACTTAGAACTGTCTAGTTAGTGCGATTCCTGTGAAAGAAACAGCGAAGATTCACGCATCATCAGCAGTGGTAAATCCCGAATAAATCGAAAGAATTGAATGCTGCAGACAGGCTACGGCATACCTAACAATCAAGTTGATGTTCTGGCTCCCGAATGAGACAACAGTTCTGCAAGTCAAACACACTAGGAGGTGGGGCATCGCCTAATGGGGTCGCGCTAGAATGCTTAAGACGATGGAGAAGCGGAGCCGTACCTACTCAATGTTCCGGCGCAGCCTGCTCCTGAAAACATGTCATCCCTGCGATCTCAACTCTGGTCAGCCTACATACTCAACACCCACACTGCCGGTATTTGTGTCATTGATTTCTCTGCATATTATGATCCGCTAATGGATCACGCTATTGTGTCAGTCCTCAATGCGGATCATCTGTCGCAAGTTGCTGTTCACACTTACAAAAACGGATGCGTCTTCGGATCCCCAGGTAAACGCCGGCTGACATGCATAGCCGCAGTCGGCACACAAGAAAAGCGCAGACCGGTGCAAGGCGCAGGTTGAAATGATATACTCAAGAATGATGTTGTTTCAGTCGTGAATGAACGTGTGGTAGATGGTAGATGCAGTGTGGTATCGTTGCACAAACGAGTTTTGTTTGTGTGAGGTATATCTCTTCTCAGGACCCGACACTTGGGTCTTCGCAAGTATAGAAACCAACGCTCATGAAGAAGATCACCATTACATGAGGCTAAGGCGTAAGCCACAAGGCCAGCACCTTCCTCTATACGAGCATCGCCCCGTGGGCCGACAGTCGGGGTTCCGAAAGATTACCTTGGTACTTTGTCCCCATCAATCGCATGTCTTTCGACAAACAACAAAGCCGAGGATTCCAAAGTAGCACTACCTATAAACTCACTGCCATCGAATTCGCGTGCTATTGAAACACTCTTTACGCTTCCAAAGCCGTACAGCAACAAAGACACAGGATATTAGCAGACCCGATGGATCAGAAGAAACCATTGCCGATGGACCAGAAGGAGCCATTTCCGGAGGATCAAAAGAAGCCAATGCCGAGCGACACAAAACCTCGCGACCAGAGCGACGACCCGAACGTCATGGAGCTGCCACGCTTGGTGATATTGCGCAACGAACAAGGAGGGGTGACCGCCATGTCCCCAAGTCCAGCAGACAGCGACTACGAGACTTCCGCGTGGACATCGAGACGTACAAGTGTGCAGCATGAGGATGGAGTCACAGAATCAGTCCTGGACCTTCTGACACCGACAATGAAATCGAAAGCAAGCGACTTACGAGAAGCGCAATCTGCTCAAAGTGAAATCAAACCTCCGATCACGTACCCGAAGGATAACCCTCCGCGGTATCCCGGGAGTGAAGGCCCACAAGCCTACCCATCTCTGGCGAAGACAGTCCTGATTATGATATCGCTGTACGTTTCAATCTTCCTCGTTGCGCTCGACAGAACGATTCTAGGACCAGCAATTCCTTCCATAACAAACCAATTCAACAGCATAACGGACATTGGCTGGTACAGTTCAGCCTACATGCTCACGTCCTGCGGCTTCATCCTCCTATATGGCCGGTTTTACACGTTCTTCCCCACGAAACCAGTGTTCATGTCTGCCATCTTTCTCTTCGAGATTGGGAGTGCTCTTTGCGGTGCGGCGCAGAGCAGCATCATGTTGATTATTGGCAGAGCGATCGCAGGTCTGGGTAGCAGTGGGGTGTTTACAGGAGCAATTCTCATCATGCTCAACACAGTCCCATTGCACAAGCGACCCTTGCTGCAAGGCCTGTTCGGTGCTTGTTTCGGTGTCGCAAGCGTGACAGGGCCATTGCTCGGAGGTGCTTTTACGGAGAGTGGACTGACGTGGAGATGGTGCTTCTACATAAACATTCCCCTTGGAGGCATCACTATCGTGGTGGTCATGTTCCTACTGAAGTTGAAAGAGAACAAGCCGCCAATCAAAGGATGGAAGGACACGATCCAACGTATGGATCCGCTTGGAGCCATATTGTTCCTTCCGAGCATCACTTGCCTGTTGCTGGCTCTGGAGTGGGGCGCTGCAGAGTACAAGTGGAGCTCACCGCGGATCATTGCGCTGCTCACCACCTTCGCATTCTTGTTTACAGCCTTCGTGGCTTGGCAGTACTACACTCGAAACACCACAGCAACGTTGCCTGCTCGCATCCTTTTCCAAAGAAGTATTGCATGCGGCTGTGCATCGCAGTTTTGCGTTGGCGCTGCGATGCTGACAGTGTCCATTTACATGCCGCTTTGGTTCCAAGCCATCAAGGGAGTTTCCGCGTTCCAGTCTGGCGCCAATTCTCTGCCCCTCGTGCTCTCGACCGTTGTTGCTTCGGTTGTATCGGGCGGATTAATCCAACATTTCGGATATTACGCCCCTTTCATGATCATCGGATCTTTTTGCATGGCAGTCGGTACTGGTCTAATCACGACATTAGCTGTCCACACCGAAAATGCCAAATGGATTGGCTACCTGATCGTGTTGGGCGTAGGTGTCGGCTTCTCCATGCAGCATGCCAATTTGGCTGTACAAGTGATTTTACAGAAGCGCGACATCCCAATCGGCACTGCCATGTTGTCGCTATGTCAGACGCTTGGTGGCGCAGTCTTCACTGCTGTTGGCCAAAACTTATACATCGACAAGTTCTCCAAGGGTCTGCAAGATATCGAAGGCATCGACATTGGCCATGTTATGCACTCTGGAGCCACCGAATTGACACGTAATGTAGCTCCTGAGCTTCGAGAAAGAATTTTGGAGGCCTACAATCACGCCTTGACACATGGAACGTTCCTTGCGGTGCTCTTTGTCGCTTGCTTGGCGGTACCTGCAGCTCTGGGTATGGAATGGCGAAGCGTGAAGAAAGCTCCGCCAAAGCCACAAAGGGGAGGCGCGCAAGATATGGAAATGGGTGAAAATAAGAAGGGGGGACCTACCAAAAGTATGAGCGCCCCGAGGCGTGAGTCTCAGAAAGATGCTATCAGGCTGGATGACGACCACACTATCACATCGCCAGTTATCCAATCGCCAGTTATCCAATCGCCAGTTATCCAATCGCCAGTTATCACATCGCCAGCGCCAACCTGGAAGAGGATGTATCGATCGAGCGGATACTTCTCACAGTGGATGACTGCGAAGGTTAATCCTGATCTACGATCGGAGCTCGAGTCCACAAGGGAGTGAAGGGCTACGCGAAATCGTAAAGGCTGGAGATGGGCTGTACACATCCGTTCATGTTTCTTTTTGACATAAACGGTTATAGATGTATTCGTAACTTGATTTGGTAGACAGGCGTTCCGGGGGTAGTGCCTAGTTCTATGCAATCGGTAATCCATGGTATTTATTGATATCGTATAGAGTGCCAAAGGCTCTGGGTCCTCACCAACTTGCGTGGAATCCTCTGTTACTGTTACTACCTGACGCATCAAGTCGCGCTTAGGAGGATGTAGTCGACTCGAAAGACGGTGGTTCATTGGTTCTTTCTCGCATCTACAAATTCAACATATCTTTGTACCCTTAATTTTTTCAGTACACATAGCGGAAATTTCGCATTTCCTTATCAGTCATGTCTGCAAAGTTCATATCCGCAGCATCATCTGCAGAGATTCCTTCGAGACCAGTCTCGCGATCGCGCTTCTTGTTCTCCCAGACCAAGTAGAAGCGCAATGCAAAACACAAGACAAAAGCAGCTCCACAGCAGACCATCATAGCAAGAAAGCCAGATGGATAGCTGGGGGCCTCGTTTGCGAAGAATAACTGAGGGCCGATGATGTTTCCTGCGCAGTAAGCGATGAAGATCTATGGCCGTTAGCAGACTGTTCAAGGAATCGAGTGTTGATATAAACAGAGCTATCTTACCATTGCGTTTGCAGTGTTCTTCTTTGTAAAGCCACCAATATTACCGCTCGACATGCTGAGAACCATTGGAAAGTTGGCTGAGAAGGCGATGCAAAGACAATAACCCATGAATCGCGCCCAGATCTGGGTAGGATGTATCTCGCGAATCATCACAGCGCCAACAAGCGCGACGGCAAGATTCCAGGCCATGAAATAAGTGCGGGTGTTGGTGAAGTATGTGCTCCCCGCTGTTCCGATAATGACGAATACGCCTTGGAACACTTGGCCGAGCATCTGTACCAGCAGCGTGTTTAGCGTGGAGAAACCCATGCCCTTGATGATGATAGACCCAAACTAGGAAATTGTTAGCGATGTCCTGAGGTGGTGTGTGCATGTTCATACCCCATGAAGACCACCATTCGCAACATTCTGCGCAAGCTGTATGGCGACAAGAAGCCAGATCTTTACATCAAGCAGTGCTTCGATTGACTGGCTCCATTTCCACGTGTTGTTCTTGATACCAGTCATGTTCTCTTGTACACGATCTACAGCCTTGGTTCGGTCAGATGCATTCAGAAACCGGGCACCTGATGGCTCGTTGGGAAGAAAGTAGTAGATGGCAGCGGACCACGCTACAGTGAGGGCTCCGAATAGCAAGAAGACGGCCTGTTGTTCGAGTCAGCGGAGCACACAGGTCCTCAGGATTTGTGGCTTACCTTCCAAGGCTCGATGCTACGAACGTGTCCAACACCGTATGCCAGTATACCTCCAAAGATTCCAGCGAAAACATTTCCCATGAACCAGGCACCATGTCTCAAGGGTTGTTCAGATCTTTTGTACCACATAGCTACGATGACCGTCAAACCTGGTCCGATCGCAGCTTCGGCCGCACCGAGGAAGAACCGGATAGCAAGCAGGCCTTTAGCGTTGAAGCATGTCGCTGTTAGCATGAGGATTGCACCCCAAACGATGCTGTGTAAAGGTCAGTTGGGCACTGAAGTGCAAAGTGTCAGAGCTTACACAGAGGCCGCGATCGTACGGGCAACTGGAAATCGTACCATCAAGGCTGCGGCAGGGTATGATGCAGCAAGATAGCCAAAGTAGTATATGCCACTGGCCCAGCTGTACTGTCCTCCAGACATGCTAAGGTCGGTCCGCAAGCCCATGATGGCGGTGTACCCTAAAGCCGACTTGTCAAGGAACTGGAACATATAGGATAGACCCATGATCGGCAGAAGGCTACGGACATTAGCAACATGAAATTTCGCACACATGCAACACTTACTGCATGTCAATTTTGCGCAAGATGCGACGGTCTTCCTCGGGGCTGAGGGCCTGCCTGGTAGCAACAATATCGCCGAGTTCAGTGAGAACATGGTCCTTCTCTGGATAGTCTTGGCTGTCCTTCTTCTCATTCACAGACGACATATTTGGAAGAAGAAGATCTAGGGATCGAAAATTTGATAGATTGAAGATGATGTGTCTTCTAGACTTGGATCTTCAGAACGAGTGTTCTTATAGATCATGGTTATCGGGGCAAGCGCATGCATCACGCTTGGCATATTGATAACCAGCCCCCACTGAGATGTTAGATACACAGGCCGATGAGAATGCGGGGATTCAGATAGCAGTCGGCTAGCAAATCTCGGGACTTGCGTGCGGAATTGTCGACTCTACACGGTTCTGAATTAGGCGAAGCACGTGGTGTGGCGAAGAAGCAAATAAGCGCTCCTAGGTCGGATTGGGTATAGGTAGATAGGGAAGGTGGCTTGTCGCCAATTGATATCCAGGACAAACTTTGGAACATACCAAATAAGTATTGTCATAACCTGATCACCAAAGACAAATCGTACCGCTCAGCCCAATACGAACATCTCATTGTGCTCCATATGCAGTCTGATATCAACGCGTTTGCCATTACGCCGTTGCATGGGAAGGACTGCCACTAAGAAGCGATGAGCCCGCTCGTAGTTCTTGCCGTAGAGACGGAAGGTCTCGAAGCGGTCCAAGATAAATTTCTGGTGTAACATGTCTTCGGTTTCAAGGGCCGCCATGAACAAAGGCCAAGCGATTCTCAGATTCGGTTGGTCGCCGCCGTGTGTGAAGTCCTGGAAACAGAGGTTCATGATCTCCTGCAGAGCATGACGTTGTCGCTCGTCTTTAGGTTGGTCGAAAGCTGTTAGGCGTTTGAAGTCTAGTACGATAGCATAGTACATAGGTACTATCGCCCGCATATTCGCAACCAGCCTGTGACTGTTATCAGTTCCTAGAGACAGCTCATGGGCCACTTCCATGAGTTCTCTGAAGAGATCGCCAACTTCGTCGATAGAGTATTCAACTTCATGCGCTTGCTCCATTGCTAATGTGGGATCATCGCGGTACATTGTTGCAAGCTGAGCGGTTAAATAACGCAGGTAAGCGCAGTGGCCGAGCAAGGCGTACACATTGCGGTTCTCTACATCATCTACAAGCTCAGCTTGAGGATAAGCGTCGCCCCAAGCCAGTCGATATAGGGAGTTGGAGTAGTGGTGGAGACGGGCAACTGCCTTTATTGGATCCTTGGACCGCATACGCGAGTCCGTGGGATTCGAAAGCAGCATGTTTATGATTGCCTCATTCACGTGCCCGCCAACGCCAGAAGTTGCGGCTGCTGCATCAAGCAGCACGATCCAGATCAGAACACGTGCTGCGTAAATCGAAATCTTTGACTCTGCACTCGACTGGTTGGTCAGAACAGCCGCTGAGTCCTTTTCCAGGATCCCAAGCTTGTGTGGTGGAATTTGGAGGAGACTACCACTTTGCGATTGCAACAGAGATGCCACGCCTTGGAGATGGCTCAAGTACGCTCTGCATCTCTCGTCACCGAATTGCTGCTCGTAGAGTAGCATTAGCCACAAGGCAGTAAGGATAGTATCCAGATCCTTCGTGGCAGCGTTCGATGGTATTATTGCGTCGGCCATTAATCTGAGGGCTAAACCATAGTGATTTGACGCGGCGTGCTGAGCGCTTGCCGAGGATTGTTGTTGTCGAAAGCCCATCTCTTGATGTCCGATCGCAACCACCATGTGCATTATCATGGGTTCAGCCTGCGCAAGCTTGAACATGAGCGATATCAACGAGTATTCCGGGTTTTTGGTGTGATGCAACTTGGCAAACTCGGTGCGGAAGTAGTGGATAGCTTCATAGTCTTCAGCACACAGATCTAGACTACAGTTGACACCATCCTTTATTGACCCTGTCAAGTGACTTGAAGCTGGGCTTGCACTGAAAGTTTCAGTAGCTGAAGGTGAGTCGAATGTGTCCTGGGCCGAATCCAGGGTGGCAGGCGACGTTCCATTGCTAATCGAAGATAATGTGCTGAGCGCAGAGCTCGTACTGCGGTTTGCCCTGCGACGTTCAGCGAGTGTTGGCCGCATTGCATAGTCGCATTGCAAATTCAGTCGCTCACAACGCCCACAGACGAGACGTTGTTGATCGCAGCGTTTCTTGACTGCTGGACTGCGACACGTCCAGCATCCTGCTCTACTACGGCGTCGTACCGGAGGAGTATTCTCCACTTCTGTGGCCATGAGTGTGGATGCATTCAGAACCGGTTATCAGGAAACCTACGCGGGCGACCGAAACGCGCTTCCTATCTTGTGCGTCGTGGATGAGAATAAGCGTCGGGCGGGGGTCAAAACGACACCAACTTTGAAGCGCTTATTTTTAAGCGCTCCTTATCGGGTCGCCTCTCGAAGCGCTCCACGAAAGATGACCACAACTTCCAATGCCGAGATTCATCTTCCGGAGCTACAAAAGTCCCCCCATATCAAAAATGTATTCTGCAACCCCTCTTTACCTTCTAACACCTAGAGCGATACATAATCATTCTCATTGTCGGACACAACACCACAACTTTCGAACCCGCAACGTACACAAATCGATATGGTAGCTCAAATGCACGCGCGAAAAGCAACTACGGATTTATCGGAGGGAGCACGTGCGACCATAACCTCAACCATCGATAACGCTGACGCCGAGCTGTTCAAAATCAACAGAGCTCTCCACGAAAACCCAGAGCTGGGTTACGAAGAGCATTTTGCGCATCAGACTATCACGTCTTATCTGTCGTCCCTCGGCTACAGTGTCAAGAAGCATGCATATGGATTTGACACCAGTTTCGAAGTGGAGTATGGGTCAGGTGGCCGTCTTGTCATCATATGTGCAGAGTACGATGCACTTCCGGGTATTGGTCACTCGTGCGGTCACAATTTGATCGCGACTTCTTCAATTGCCACTTTCATCGCTGCTGCAGAAGCAATGAAAAAGCACAACATCAAAGGGCGACTACGTATACTTGGTACCCCGGCTGAAGAGGGCGGAGGCGGCAAAGCAAAGCTGATCGATGCTGGCGCATTTCCCAAAGACACATCTGCAGCTATCATGGTACGAAAAGATGAACGATTGCAGTATCAAGACATGACTAATGCATATCAGGCGCACCCGTTAGCAGCGCACCAGGTTTTCAATACGCCTGGCTACTATCAAGGCCTTGCTGGACTGAAACTGATCGCGAGTCACAAGTTCAGAATCGAGTTCCGTGGCAAGCCAGCACATGCCGGAGGGGAGCCATGGAATGGAGTAAACGCTCTGGATGCGGCTGTCTCAGCCTATGCAAACGTAGGTCTGCTAAGGCAGCAGATGGAGCCAGATGAACGAGTGCACGGAGTTATTGAAGCTGGAGGCACCGTGCCAAACGTCATCACTGAGTACACGCGGATGAACTGGAACGTCCGCAGTCCTACTATAGAGCGAGCAGACAAGCTGCTTGCTCGTGTCAAGAACTGTTTCGAAGCAGCAGCTCTGGCCTCAGGCTGCAAATTGGAGTATATCTAGTGAGTATATCAACTGCAACATGGACAGTCTGTTCATACTAACGAATTACAGCTCCCCGACATATCTCAATCTTCGCGCAAACAGAACATTATGCGAGCTGTATGCTCAAGACATGGACACGCTTGGTACAAAAATCCAAGTCAACCAGGAAAGAATGATGAATGCTTCGACAGATATGGGTAACGTGTCTCACATCATCCCGAGCTTTCACGGCGCTTTCGTGATCCCAGCTGGAAACGACGTTTCAGCACACAATCCTGCATTTGCAGCGTGTGCAGGTACAGATGAGGGCCACAAGGCAGCGTTGAACTGTGCAAAGGGCATGGCAATGTTGGCTCTGAGAGTACTGGTGGATGAAAATGTCGCCAGGAGGGCGAAGGAAGATTTTGAACTGGATGATGAGTAGTCATATGTTGTAGCTATGCTCTTGCTGTAGGATGATGTGCGTGCATGCCGTGTTTGCAAGCGAATACATTGCGTTTAGGATGAATTCTCGCGTTCTGGGGGCATTTGATGATCGATGACGTCACAGACGCGTCTCATCGGCCGCGCTTTTGAGTCGTGTTTTGCTTACCAGCCACCAACAATCTATCAACGTATCACACCACGACGCGCTCTACCAATGAAACGAGATCCAGTGATATAGCATCTAGAATCTTACGGAAGGCAATTTGCCGTGTGCCCTACCACATGCATGACATCTTCGAGGCCGTGTCATCCAAGTTTAGCACTGTGTAAAGATGTAGAAATTATCGGCCCGGAGAACATCAACTCGGCCCGTGCCCAAACCTTTGTGGGATGAATGGCCGGGGAATAATGGCATGAGCCCAGCGCAGCCTTATCAAGCCGAGAATGCCCACCTGCGGGATGGGGCAGGCTGACTCTTCAGCGGGCGCGAATATTGTCGATGTCGCGGTGGAGACGAACAAGACTCAATCGGTAAACAAGCCTTCCGGAGTTGTATAAGTCAGGGTGCACTTCACGATTACCATAACCATCCCAGGCTGCGCATGTTCACAACATGAGGGTCCGGCTCGCCCCGCGAATCCCCATCAGTCGAACGCCAACTCACGCGCAGGCTTCTGAATCCGGTGGGCTCGACTGTCGAGGCAACGAATAAAGTATGCGAGCTCCACATCTACAGCCAATCAGCGTCCGCTACGTTGAGAATCTCAGGCAGTGCTGGGTCACCGCCCACTGTCATGCATGCAAAGCCACCTTGGCTTGGGAGCCCAAAGCTGTTGATCATCAACCTTTAAATGCTGGATAACCCCGGATTTCGATGATTCAAAGTACTCTCACTAGTTCGTAAACATGGCAGAAGTTCCACCTCCAGCGCCGGCTCCTCCACCAGCGGTCTCGGCGTTGGCCTTGATCCCGCCCCCTTCGGTCGGGTCGCTTACATATCGCGAACGGCTGGCACAGTTCAGAATCTTGGAAGAGAAAAGGCTTGAGCTTATTGAGGTAGCTGATCTTGATGATTACATACTACAACACCTAAGATCCAGCAGGAACTACTTGACAAACTCGAGAAGACCGAAGCACGACTTGCACAGACTGAGCTAGACCTCAACTCCGAACAAAACGTTCGTCGAACACTGCAGGCTGAGGCTCACGAAGCGAAGACTAGGGAAGAAGCACTGGCGCTGAAGCAGGTCAGTCTAGCCGCACTCGGCTAGCTTTACAGATGCTTACCAGCAACAGTCTAAACGTCCATTCGTACTAGTCCTTATCGATGTAGATGCAGAAGGCTTCCTTGTCAGTATCACTCTATACTTGTGACAGGGATGATGCTAAACCCTATTAGTTCCAAGACAAGTACACCACAAGGAAAGCTCAAGGCGGCGAGGCTTTGGCTGACGAGCTACTACTCCGAACCCGAGAGTACCTAAGACCACAGTTCGAAGATGCAGACAGCCTGGACATCATCGTTCGTGTGTATGCAAACCTCGAAGGCCTTGCAAAGTACCTGGTACGACAGGACAAGATCAGCAACCTAGGATCTTTGCGTGCCATGTCGACGTCTTTCAGTGGACGAATGGCAAGTTTCGACTTCGTGGACGTCGGTGTTGGTAAAGAGGGCAACTCTGGACGGAAGATTCGAGGTATATCAACTCGCCAGACTCTTTCTCTAAAACGACCTGGGCTTACAACTTGCAGAAAACCTCGCATTTTTCACAGCGAACTGCCATCTGCGGCATGTAATCGTTGGCTGTTCGCCAGTCGACCTCCCAGCTGCGCTTCTATCTTCACTTCCTCTAGAGAAAGTCACTCTGATCGAATCTACGCCACTACCATCCGCACTCACCACATTGCCTCTGAAGGTCACGAAGTACTCCACTGTGTTCCCGCCCCCGCCATCACCCAAGGCTCCGCCCGGGCGACAAACAGGCCGCAACGGACCACAGCTTCAGCTCATGCAACAGGAAGACGACAACGGAGGCCAGACATGGCTTGTCATTCAACCCGAGCGAAGCGACAGCCGAGGCCATCGTGACCACCGTGACCATCGTGACTCTAAGAGGAGGGGCAGGAGCGAAGACGAAGCGTCCAATATCAGCATATCGATCGGTCCAGACAACAGCGTCAGTGTTGATAGTGGGCACAGCAGGCGGGTCATGAGGTAGTGGTACTCAGGTACCATGACTCGGTCAACTAAAAGTCAGTCAGCGACGGCACGGGGTTTGTTAGCACATGTAGATTGGCGGCATAGCATAGCGAAGCGTAGCATTGATTTTGAGCGACTCAAAAAATGGAAGGGCGTAGACACAGGCATACAACGCATAACGCGATCATGAGAAGAGCATTTGTGACTATCAAGCAATGAAGGTACCGGTCGAGTTGTGGGCACCTGAGCTCTCCTACTCCTATTGCACTGCGGACGCGCATATCCATCCTGCAGATCATCGCCTCAAAGTCGAAGTACCGAGGAGATGTTGCCGCGCTAGTACAGCCTTGGGAGATGTGCATCAATCCTCACGCGGAGCACGTCATTCGCTAGCCAATCGAATGCGAGGCGCTTATCCGACATCGCCCATCGTCCATCTTGCGTGCAATACCAAGCAACTATTGCGCAAGGATTCATGTCAGTTAAATACTGTTCAAGTTCCGGAATGCTGGAACGTGTCTGTCGCGTACCAGATTCCCGGATACCGCACGTGGGTTCCACGACCTGGACACCAAGCCACAGCTTTGAGGAGACTTGAAAAGGAGGCTTAGTCTCCATTTCCTCACGACAGCTCAAGCATGACCGATCAAAAGCATCATGATGTGCTTGGCGGTGCGCCAACAGAGCATGGCAAGGAGCCCAGTAGGTCTCTCCCCCTCGTCTCGTAACAGCGTCCTGACCAACATCGAAAGTCAAGTGGTACCGCACACCCTTCTACAATGCCACCATCCTTGGCTTCTGCAGTCTCGCAGCTCCCGGACTATGGGGCGCAATGAACTCCCTCGGCGCGGGTGGTGCCCAGAAACCCTACCTGGTCAACACCGCCAACGCGCTGACCTTCTGCCTGATGATAATATCCTGCTGGCTCACATCCTCACTGGTCAAGTACGTCGGCATCAAAGGCGCGCTCGTCGCTGGAACCATTGGCTTTGCGCCGTACAGCGCCGGACTCTACACAAACAACAGGTTTGGGACAGAGTGGCTCGTGCTCCTCGGCGCGGCGCTGTGCGGTATCTCTGCTGGCATCTTCTGGGCGAGTGAGGCGGCGATTGCAATCGCGTATCCAGAGCCGAGGAACAGGGGGAGGATGATTGCGTACTGGATCACCTGGACGTGCGTGGGACGGATTCTCGGCGGGGCGATCAACCTGGGCCTGAACCACGAGCAGAATACCGCAGGAAAGGTCGGTTACACAGTGTACTTGATTTTCATTGGACTGCAGTGCCTTGGTCCTTTCGTCGCGCTGCTGCTGAATCGGCCGGAGAAAGTCCAGCGCTCTGACGGGGTGCCGGTGAAGCTCCAGATCTACGACAACCCATGGCAGGAAATCAAGGCAACAACGAAGACGTTCTTGAATAAAGAATTTTTGTTGCTGGTATTCTGGATCGGACAAGGAGTCTACAGTGAGGCTGTTTACTACACCTATATCGCTCTTTGGTTCAGTGTCCGCGCTCGTTCACTAGGCTCGTTCCTGTCTGGCGTTGTTGCCATCGTGGTCACCAACCTGCTAGGTGCGTGGCTGGACACACACAGCGTAGCGCTGAAGAAGCGAGCGCGCTGGGCCTTTGCAGTCATCATGGTCACACAGGGTACGTGGTGGATCTGGCTCACCATCAACGTCACTCAGTACTCTCAATCTGGTGCTCTCTTTGACTGGGCAGATGAAGGCTTTGGACGTGCATTTGCACCTTTCATCTTCCTTGTTGCAGGCTTCCAGCTAAACTACAACTTCGCATTTTTCTTGATTGGCCAGATCTCGAACAGTCCGCAGGAGACAATACGCCTTGCTGCACTTCTGCGAGGAACCGAGTCAGCCTGGCAGGCGCTTAGCTATGGTTTGAACGCCATTCCGATCTTTGCCACTGTTGGAGGAACGTATTTCAATTTCGGGCTTTGGGCGGTAGCGCTGCTTCCTGCTTGGCTGGTTGTCAAAACCATTGGTGTGAAGCGGTACAACGATGAGGCTGATTGTGGAGGTGTTGAGAGAAGCGCAGAGACGATCGGGGAGAAAGGCAGATCCTAGAGAAGATTTATCATCTGGCAGTTCGACCGGTATGTAACATGACTGGCCCGAGTCTACGCTTTTGCTTTAGTCTTGTGTGATTTGGGAAGGACATCCAGCTGCTCTAGTCGTGCAAGCAAACCTTCATCGATGTTCTTGATCTGTTCGGCCGCATCTGAGGTGATTTCGAACGGCTTCAGCTGCACTCTCTTTCTATGAACCAACTGACCGTCAAGTGCTTTTACTGCTTGCTCAGCACTATCCTTTGTTGAAAAGTCGATGTCCACCATGAAAGTGATGTCGTTCTTCCTATCCTTCTTCCAGACCGGGTTCAACGCTCCCATTGCTTCTATTCCAAACGGACCAAAGTGCTCGTCGATGATATTCTTTCTGTAAACGTTGGCAGATCTGCCGGCGAGCTGCTTCTTATTGTACCAGCCGGGGTTCTCTACGTAGAGGCAGTATCGCCGACCGTCGAGGAGGGGCTGGATAGCCTGAGACGGAGTATCGGCATCATAGAAAAAGAGCCGGTCATGTTTTTGAAATCCAGAATCCCAGTAAAACTTCTCGTCTAGGGGACGAATCGTCAAGGCACGACCAGACATCGTCCGGCCATGCAAGGCCTTGGTAGCTTGCTGTGCTTGCTCCTCGCTTGCCAGCTCGACAAACGCGGTACCGTCGCCTCTGAACGTGAAGCGGTCAATGCGGAATTGCAGCCTCTTGCTGGAAACTGTCAGTAAGGCACGTGACTCTGAAGCAGCCCGCTGCGATCACATCCTGCTGAGTGACACTCACACATCGACCCCGACGTCGCCAAGTAGCTTCTCGATATCAGCGGGTACAGTCAACGCAGGTAGCCTGAAGATTGCGATCGATCGTAGGTGGCTTCCCGAAGCCGAGGCTAGGGCAGCTGATGGCGGAGTTTCCGCTCCGTTCTCCAGCGTCTGGGTGAACTCTCCGCGAAATCGTGCGCTTGAAGAGAATTGTTGTCTTGGGGCTGCAGCGACAATGCGCAGTATCGAACCAGTGGCGCGGTGCATCGTGAGGCCTCTGGGAAGCGCGAAGCGGCTCTGCGCGAGGACCCTTGACACTGCCATCACCGTCGAGGTCGCTTTACAATATCGTGCCCGAAATCTTCACTATGGAACAGAATGAATCTCGAACTCCTCAGAATGTCAAGGTGTTTTGTTGATGGCAAGATGGAAAAGTTCGTTGTCGTCAGTGCCAAGACCATACCTATCGATACGCACGGTCGCGCTTGCTCATCTTGCGAGAGTAATAGTAGCATCCATCACCACTCTTTAAGCACATTTTTTTCTCCTTTGGACCTCATCGTGCTCATCATGGTCAGATCTCTTAGAGTTCTGGCGCGGAGTGCAACCGTCGCCAGGCAATTGATCGCGCCAGAAGCAGCTGTGACGGCAACATTGACATCCTGCTATCGTCAGACGCCCTGTATACGGCGTAGTACGCATACCAGCAACCTCTCCAGTACGGCTACTGCCAATGAGAATCCTGTCCAGCCCATTTCTACCATCGAGGCTTCCAGTCCATTGTCTCCCATTGAAGGACCTGCTAGCAAGCCTCTCCGGCACCACAATAGCTTCGGATTCACTGAAACTGAACTTCCACATCTCGTCCATATGAAACTACCTCGAACCGTACGGGAACCCGATGTCAAAGCTTTACTCACCAGAGCCAAATTGGAGTAAGTCAATGTTCGAGTCCCGCTCCTCGCAGTCTGCTAATGCACTCACAGTGCTCAAATCAATATGACTTACCACTTCCGAACGGGCAAGCCCAGGGACTACTGTTTTCTAAAGTTTTCTGATGCAAACGAGGTCGGAGCTGCCATTTTCACCTTGTCTCATTTCACCCTCGCTGGTTCTGATCTCAAGCCAGCGAGATTCGGCAATCACTCCGCTCTTCTCGCAGACCCGCACCTATTGGCTGGCTGGTCTCCGTCACCAACGAGTGATCTGAGCTCTCGAGTGATTCGTGAGCCAATCAGGGAGCCTCCAAAGCTCCTAGCTACGATTCTCGCAGAGCAATGGGTTTCATTCACAAGAGTCAAAGATAGTCCGGAAGATCCGACTGAGATCGCACAAGCGTTCTACAAGCGATTCCATCAATTCGACGTCGTAGGTATCTGGCTCGGAAACAGCAAATACAAAGATAAATGCCTCTGTAAAATCCTTTTTGGAAACTCTGCAGACGCAAAGGCGGCTCGCAAAATGTATCTGGAGGGATCGTCCGAGCACAGACCCGGATATGCGAAGATATACAGGGCAGGGCCTGACGACCATCAGAAACTTATCAAGTATCGAAGTTCTTTGCCCAAAGATCTGCCTGCGGCTGAGGTCGGCGATCTTTTGGAAGAGAAGTATAGGCAACTGCACATGACGCCTGAAGACGTCCAACGCTGGAAAGACTACCCGACCCCGGAGTCCGCTGTCGGGTGTAAAGGTGGAAAACCCACAGTGGAAGCTGTATGACTTGGCGCTCAGTATCTTCCTGCGGAGTTTCACCACATTGTGTCGACTGTATGACGACTCATTTGTGTACATTACTATTCGAACTTCAAATTCTAGCCCGGAACTGCAACATCGGTCCGTCCTTCTTACTTGCAAAAACGTCCTGGATCTGGTACTCTGTAGCCCTCGTCCTCCCGACTTCCAGATCCTTGCTGCCAGCACCCAGTGTCGTCCCAGGAGCGAGCCTCAGATCGTAGAGATACAGAACCCTCGCGATCGTGACCGTCAGCTCGACGTACGCAAGGCCCTTGCCAATGCATCCCCGCGGTCCGATGCTGAAGGGGTTGAATGCCGACTGCGCAGCAGGCAGGCTGCTGTGCATGGGGTTGGCCGACGCGTCGGCGAGCCAGCGTTCGGGAACGTAGTCGAACGGCTGGGGGAAGTATTCCGCGTTGTGATGGATGGTGTAGATCGGCACGCCCACGTCAACGCCGGCCGGGATGTGTTTACCATCGATCTCCATACCGCCCGGCAGGACCTGGCGGGGAAGGGCACCGGCGACGGGTGGCGTCATGCGCATCGTCTCGTCGATGCAGGCCTTCAAGTATGCGCAGCTGCTCAGCTTGGGGCTGGTGACGATCTCCTCGACATCCGAGAAGGTCTCGCGGATGACCCGGCACAGCTTCTCCAGAACCTGGGGGTTGTGTGCCAGGTAGAAGAAAGTGCCAGACATCGCGGTCGATGTGGTGTCAGAGCCGGCAATAATCAGCAAGTTCGACTCGCCCCACAACTCGTTCACGGTGAAGCCCTCGCCCGTCTCTGCATCCTTCGCGTTCAGCAAGTAGTAGAAGAAGTCCTTGCGGTCAGCCTCGAGACCCAGCTTCGTGCGCTCCATCGACTGTCCCTTGCTGTACTGCATGTACTGCGCGCGCTGGCCAGCAATCTTGCGGAAGAACAGCTTATCCAAGTGCCAGTTGTGGATGGTCAGATGTGTACCGCACTGCCTCTGTCAGCAAGATCCCGTCCACAGGCTCACTCCACTTACAATCAGATGCCTGTGCGCCGCATTTCCCACCAGCTGCGTCGCAAAGCGGTTCACGGGGCTCTCCAGCATGCCAAACGCCTTGCCAAACACCAAATCGCCCATGATATCAAACACCAACCACTCGCACCAATGCGCCGCGTTCCACGCGCCCTTCCACTCACCATCCCCCGCCTTCTCACCCGGCACACGCGCCTCGCTGCGGCCCAGCAACTCGCACCCCACCCGTACATTCGCAATAATGTACTTCTCCAGACTGCGAATCGCCGCATCGCTAAACGCGGAGCTCATGACCCTGCGCTTGCGCGCATGCTGCGCCTTATCAATAGCCGAGTGCACACTGACCGCAGCGGGGGTGCTGGGAAACGCCTTGTAGAAATCCGCCTTCTTGACGTTACTACGGAAGCCGTAGATAGTCTTCAGCCCGGACGCGGTGTTGACCGACAGCAGGTTGGGGCCCAGGCGCACGTACGGCCCGTAGCGCGCGTGCGCGGCGTGGAAGGCCAGGTGCCGCGAGCCCTTGTACGCGTAGTAGGCCAGGTAGATGTCGGTGATTTTGGCGAGCGGGGGGCCCGGGTAGGAGGCCAGCGGGTGCAGGGTCAGGCGGTAGACGACGACGAAGAGGATCTGGGCTGTTAGTTTGGGATCGCGGGGGCAGGTGGTGGAGTGGTCGTACCCAGAGTCCCAGCGCGCCGGACACGGTCGAGAGCAGCAGCACCGGCGACGAGGCCACGGCCCACGCGAGCCCGAAGATCTCCATCGCGGGTGTGTGTTGCGTAGCTTGCGTAGCTTGCGTAGCGTTCGTAGCGGTCGTAGCAGTCGTAGCAGTCGTAGCGATCGTATAGAAAAGATATCGAGTGTTATTGCATTGGCACACAGCTTTCACACAATGAACCGTACCAAACCCAAGTTCAAACCCAAGTCCAAAAACAGAATCTAACAGACTCAGCACCCTCCCTCCCAAGCCATCCCTCTTATACTCCTCCGCCTCCCCACCTTCCCTACCCATCCTCCGCGACCTTCCCTCCGTGCCCTTCCCTCCGCCATCCGCACCCCCAATATCCCGTCCCTCCCATTGCAGAATCCTAGCGCAACGGTCCCTAGCGCACCGCACCCTCGTGACGCAAAATCACTAAGCATTACCTAGCATCAGCACCCCAGCGCAGAAAAAAGCTGACGCCGGATCGCGCAGGCAGCGCGCGCTCGCGTCTTAACACAGCAGTGCGCAGTGTCTGGGCGCACGGTGCTGGGCGGTGGTATCCGCGTACGGCCGGGTGGGCGCGGCACGGGGCGGCTAGGAAAGCACGTGCGCAGCTGCAAATCCTGTAAGCGGTGATGGTCACGTGGGGAAGCCGGCGGATAGAGGCGCGGCGGGCGGCGGATAGCGCAGCGGAATCAACTGCACACTGCGCTGCGCTGCACGAGGCGCGGTGGGGCGCGCGGATACTGGCTGCACCGCTGTGTTGGGGTGGATACACAGTACTGGACACATGAGTAATGTGAATTGGGGGACGGGGAGTGGCTGGGCATGTGCTGTGTGCAAGGCGTGGGCGAGCGGTCAACAGCGCTGAATAGCTTGCCGTCACACCACGTCGTATCAAGACCGCGGTTCGAGCACTAGCTACAGGTTTAGGAGTCACGTATACACGCAGTCTCATCCACACGTATATCAACCCTGAAGTCTACTGTCCAAAAAGTCTAGTATTCAGAATGTCTATAATGTAGTCTATAAAGGAGCGGCGGAACGGGAATACAATACAATTGTTCAGGTATCGATGAGCGGCTCCGACGGCAGCGGTTTCTCGGGCAGCGGCTTGGTGGGCAGCGGCTTCATGCGCTCGGCCTGCCAGGCAGAGCTTGCGCGCGGCGCCGAGTCGAACGAGTCTCTGTAGTCGCTGCGGAAGTCGGCGGTGGAGGTCGTGGAGGGCGTGGTGGCGGGGGAGCGGTCGGTGAAGTGCGCGCGTGAGGTCCACGGGGTTTGCTCGCTCCACTGGCCGTGCTCGCTCCACTGGCCTTGCTCGTCCCAGTGGTCGTCGTCGTCGTCGCTGCGGTCCTGGTTGAGCTGGCTGTAGACGGCGTCGATGCCCTTCCAGCGCGCGAGGCCGCTCTGCTGCTTGGCGAACAGCCACAGGCTGTGCACGATGCGCAGGGCGATGAAGCCGCCGACGATGCTGCCGAGGATGATGAACACCAGCCCGACAAAGGTCGAGTGGAAGACGCGGCCGACCCAGTTGCGCAGCGTGCCCTTCTTGCCCCAGACGCTCCACTCGTCGCTGAGGTACACCAGCTCGCCCTCGGCCTTCCACACGTCGCCGCCGAAAAAGCGCCTGATGGTGCCGAAGAAGCCCAGCGAGGGCGAGGCGAACTCGAAGCGCCGCATCACGTGCTCGACTTTGGCGATCTCAAGATCGTAGTCCTCGCCGTCGCTGGAGGAGCCGAACAGGCCGCCGTCCTGCGAGTTGTGCTTCTTGATCGTCTTGCCACGCACGAGCTGGCCCGCGACCACGATGTGCAGCGCCTTGCGGTCCGGGTCGTCGAGCTTCCAGGCCGGCGTGCTGGCGCTGGCGACGGCACTGCGGCCGCCGACAGGGTCGAAGACGACGTCCCAGTAGCGGATGCCGGCGTCAGCCTCCTCACGCTGGATGTGGGCCGAGTAGGAGAAGTCGGCGAACATGCGGGCGAGGGGCAGGGCGCACCATTCTGTGCAGTCGGAGCTGATCTTGCCGGTGCAGGTCGGGTCGGAGCAGGCGGCGGCGGCGGAGAGGTTCGTGTACGAGACGCCGGGGTGGAGCAGCGGGACGGCGATGTGCGGCGGGCTGGGGATCGTGGCGAGCAGCGGGAAGATCTTCTTGCCGTTGAGGTACAGCGAGCGAGTGTCGTTGGCGAGGGTCACGTTGAAGAACTGCGGCGGTTAGAACTAACAACAGAAAGCGGCAGGCACGGGCTCACAAGCTCCTGGTCGCCGTGTGTGACGCGGGTCTCCGGCTTGCCGTCGTCCTCCGCATTCCTCGTCTCGGCGTAGGGGCAGTCCTTGCATGCGATCGTCGACCAGTACGCCCGCCCGGGTGTCACTGGGACGACGCCGTCGATCGTCTCCGAGCACTTCTGCGGGGCGTCCGCTTTGCTGCAGCCGGCGAAGTCGAAGTCGAGGTCGTCCTGCGCCAGCGCCGACGAGAGCAGGAACGGAACGAGTGACAGCCCGAGAACGCGCATCTTGGGCGGATGGGAGCAGGTGAGGATCGGTGAGCCTGAGCTGGAGATCAGCCGTCGCCTAGCCGCACGCCAGGGGTCTAGCGCTCCAGGCGGGTCCGCTAGTTGCAGTGGTGAGCCCGCGGATGCGCCTGGCCAGGAACGCTCAACCGTCAACCAGCCTTGTGCGAGGACCACACATGAACTTCTCGCATCGCAGACTCGCATCGCAGCCTCGCAAGGCGCACTCGCCGTGGATAGTAACAGATAACGACGCCCCGGATGACTGACCATGATCTCGTGGACCGCCTCGTGCTCCGCCCCTCTTGGCTGGCCGGTGAAGCCACTGGGAGAACTTCCACGAGTAGACTCACGATAGACAGATAGACACGTTAGATATAAAAGTACATCATCTCCTTCATGCACCGACAGACCCACATACTCCAAACTCATCTCATCATGTCTGCTCCAGCCCCCACCACGGCTCCCACCGCCACCGAAGCCACAAAGGAGAAGGACACCGTCGCCGAGACGATTGCCTACGCCCGCCGCACCTACAAGGGCAACCACCCTGACGCAAAGACCTTCGAGCCCGAGAAGTACGTTCTGGAGTTTCTGTATTGGCATGTGCTGACTTCGCAGTAATGGCGCGGTCAAGAAGTTCTTCAACAACGTGAGCCACACGCTCATGTCCAATCGCTATGGAGGATCGTGAGCAGGGCAAGCCATCTCGCAAGCCATCTTTTTACGTCTCCAGAGCCTTACGTCTTGATAGCTCTATATCTCGATAGCGAGCACCTAATCTAATCCATCATATTTCAGTCGTTCTCTGTATAAGTAACAAGCCAAGCCCCCCACTTCCGCTGACGTTGTACCTCTCTGTCCGCCCGCCTTGCACCCGGCCTCCTGCACCGCTGTCCTCTCCACTTTCTTTATATCGCCGTCTTGTACCCGGCCTCCCATGCTGCTATAACTCACAACGCCCATCACTTAGGTCCAATTAACTCCCACCTCTCACACACTTAGCGCAATGCCTGCCACCCAGCCCACCCCGCCCGACTCCATCAACACGTCCAAACTGAGCGAGCCCATCACAATGTCCGCAGATCAAAAATCCGCATCCAGCTCCAGCTCCACAGAAGCCAGCACCGCAGAAGCCAGCGCCAAGAATGCAAACGACATGGAAGCCATGACCTCAGAAGCCCTTAACCCAGAGGCCAAGCCCGTAAAAGCAAGCAGCGATACTACAGAAGCCAGCACCGACACTGCAGAAGCCAGCACCGGCAGCACGCCAGCCACCACCCACGTCCCCACCGCCCCAAGCCCCAACACCCCAGCCGCCCAACCCACCGCCCCTCCCCTCCCACCTCTACCCCCCTTCCTCCTCCGCCCAGCCCAGGGACCCAAAATCACCCAACCCCTCCCTCACCCACCCTTGCACCCCATCCCGGCACAACCCACCCAGCCAACCCCCGACACAGACGACACGTCCTTCAACCTCACCCTCGACCTCAACCTCGACTTCACCGACGCCGGGGAACTCACACACTGCCCCTTCGACCCCACGCTGGCCCCGGACTATGTCTGGGCGCCGGGCGAGAAGGAGGCCGAGGAGAAGCGGTGGGCGGCGCTGAGCAGGGATGCTCTGAGGGGGATTAGGCGGGATTTCGGGTTGGGCGAGGGGGCGAAACTGTGATTTGGGGATGTGGTCTGATGTGAAGGGGTGGGGAGGTGGTTGATGCTGGAATGCTGGGATGCTGCGATAGGTGTGAGGTGTGTCCGCTGTCACTTGTCTGACGGACTCAATAGACGTGTGTGCAGGGTTCGCGGGGATCAGGATGCATACTACTGTTATATCCCGTGCTAGCACGAGCGGTGTAGTAGCAGTATGTGCCCCGCCGCTGCGGTTCCACATTACATTACATGGAATTACCCAGCAGTCTTGTGTTTCACAGTAACAGCAAGTCGCACAGAAGGCGTGTGTCGTGTGTTGAGCGCCCGCTCTCGTGGACCCGGTGACGTCACGCTTCTCCGCATTTCGAGGAGGATAAATCACAGCGAGCGCTGGCTGGTGCGAGGAATAATCACACACGCACTTCACACTTCACACGTTTCTTCCTAGGCTATAAATTTGCTGCTATTGTATCTTGGTTTTTGAACTGCAGCACGACACTACAGCCTTCACGCTACGGTCTTCACTCCACAGCCTCCATACCTAGGTATCAAACCACACACCACCACACACCACCACACACCACCACACAATACCACACAATACCACAACACAACTCCACAACACAACCCCACCAAAATGCCAACCTTCTCCCAAACCTTCTCCTCAACCTCCAGCACCATAAACGGCCGCACCACATCCCGCACCCACGCCTCCGTGACCGACAGCACCGGTACGCGCGTGCACACCACGAGCCAGGACGCCGGCCAGCCGCTGCGGGAGGAGTCGTATCAGGTTGATGGGCGGGGGAGGAGGGTTGAAGGCGGGGGCGGGGGTGGGGGAGGTGCGGGGAGAATTGAAGGTGCGGGCAGGATCGAGGATGTGACGGATGCGGAGGCGAAGAGGGAGGAGATGGAGCGGCAGAAGGAGAATGATAGGTTGTATGAGGAGAGGATGGAGGAGGAGTATGCTAAGCGGGAGGGTGGTGCTTAGGGGGAGTGTGGGATTTAGGGGAGTGTGGGATTTAGGGGTGTGGGGTTTAAGGGAGTGTGAGGTTTCTTACTGAGGTCTAAGTTCGTACTGTGTTGATGCTGTGGTCTAGCATGTACAAGTCACGATGTTCAATTTCCGTCTGCGGGTTTCATACTGTGGAGTCCACATCACGGCTTCCACACTACGTCTTCTACACCACGCCTTCTACACCACGCCTTCTACACCACGCCTTCTACACCACGCCTTCTACACCACCTCTTCCCACCACCAGCTCACCTCCAAGACACTACGGCTTCCCCGCCCACGCTCTTGTAAGATACTCCTCGACCCCCTGAAACTCCACCTCAGGGAACCTCTCATTCCACTCGCGCCCGACCTCCCACGCGCCCTCCAAAATCGCGCCGAAGAACTGAAGCACAAACATCCTAGACCACTCCTCGCGCTCCTCGTCCCGCACAATCGGATGCTGCACCTGCGGCACCCACTCGACATCCAGCACCCCCCTCCTGATATCCTCGCCCTTGACATGCTCAACCACCCACTCGCCGCCCCTGATCCGCCGCCCCAGCGCAAGCAGCTCGTTCGTCGTCATCCGACACCCCTGCACCCCGCCGACAGCGGGCCACACCCGCTCATCTCTCAGCGCGAGATCGAGAATCTTAGATACATCCCCCGACGCCGTCAGTACTAACGGCTGGTCCCCCCCATCCAACACAATCGCCCTCCGCGCCCCGAAATCCACGAAAAACGGCCAAGTGAACAGCCCCCCCGGCGCATGCGGATGCGCGAAATAGTCCAGGAAGATGCTCGGCTGGAACGCGCAGGTCTGCATTCCCAACCCCCCTTCGCGCGCGTTTAAGTCTGCGAGGTGCGCCGCCAAAGCGTCCTTGCCCGCGTACGCCGCCACGCCCGAGCCGTGCCGCAGCCCCCACTCCGCGGGCGCGAAGCGGCGCACGCGCGCGGCGCGGCACGCGGCGATGAGGGCGCGCTGCGCGGCGTTGGAGGGGTCGAGGTGCACGACTAGGAAGGAGAGGCAGGCGTCGAAGCCGGTCAGCGCGGCGGTTAGGGCGGGGAGGTCTGAGTAATCCACCGTTTTGTAGTGGAAGCCCGGAACGGGGGTTTTGGGGGTTGGCGGGGAGGAGCGGGTTAGCACGGTGATGGAGTGGGAGGACGCGAGGGGCGCGAGAAGGGTCGTGGCGACGTCTGTGGGGGGTGAGTACACGAAAGAAGGCTGGGGGGAGGGGCGCGGGTACTCCCGGTGCCGCCTGCGACGGCGATTTTGACCATTTTGGGGGGAGGGGGTGGGTGTAAGATGAGGGAGGGTTTAAGGTTCAATTGAAGTTGAGTGCACCGTTGATAGATGTATCATCGCGGGGCTCTTTCACCGCCGGGCAGGTCGGGCCGATGGCGACGGCTGGAGCTCCACATCGAGACCGGGGGGGTTCGAGGTTTCGTGCTCGTTGTGCAGAGTCGAAGTTGCACTTTGTTGAAGTCGCACCTGTTCGCAGAGTGCTGAAGTGGTATATCTCGGCGCTAGCGGAGTTAGCGAAGAATGTCAGAGGGCGAGGAGAACTTACGCATGACTCGCAGGCTTGCGGGGTGTGTGACAAACTTTCGTGGCGTCTGTCAGATCGAACAGAGTTCGTTGCTTCATCACACAACATCCGTCACCAAGGGTGTGCAATAATTCACTCCGTTTGGTGAGCTGAGGTAAGCACACCACCAGAGCGCAACAACGTAAGCTACTCACCTGATCTAGTTGAGGGAAAGCAATCTTGCACTCCTTAATGCCGTGCTCACAAGGTAATTAAGAGATTCTGTAACGCATGTTCGTATATGCAAATCTGAAAGCAAAGTATGTACAAAAAGTCGCCCCGACGCTATCTCCGAGCCCGCGTCCCATCATCCCCACTCAAACTACCCCTACGAGATGAAGTACGACTTGATCTTGGGCAGGATGTTGATCCACGCAACACCAGTGGTGGGCTCCATGTTGTAGATGTAGTCACCCCACCACGGCCCAGCCGCCCACCACGCCGCGCCGTACCAGACATCGCTGTTCTGTCCGAGATACGCAAGGCCATCCTGGAGCGCTGAGATGCACTGCGCGTTGTTGCCAGCAGCGAACTCGCCGAGGAAGCCCTGCTTCTTGTTGTCCTTGAGCCACTTGGTTGCGGCCTGGAGACGCTCCTTGAAGATGGTGGACGAGACGCAGTCGGTGCTGGTGCCAGAGCCGTCAGTGTCGAGGTACTGGTGCATCTGGTAGATGAGCTTGTTCTGCGGGTCTTTGAGGTTGACGAGGGATGCGCCGTTGCCGGAGGAGATCCAGGTCCAGGCACCGGTCCACGAGTTGCCCTCGGGGGTGATGTATTGCTTTGTGGCGCCGGCAGCGCGGATACCGTCAATCGAGGCCTGGTTGAGGTTGAATACAAGCGTCTGGTCCATGTCGTGGTACTCGTTGTTTGTGTCGAAGACGACGAGCGCATTGTCCTTGTACTGCGCGGCCACGTTCTTCCACCACGTCTTGAAGCCGGAGGTGTCGGTGATGATGTTGCCGTAGAAGCGGCCGTAGTTGTGTGGCTGCACCATAGCATACGCGCCCTTTCCGGTGATGTAGTTGATCTGCTGGGTAAGGTTGCCAAGGTAAGCCTTGTCGAACGACCCGGTCAGGGTGTTGGGAGTGAGGCGCTCCATCACTGCACATGTTAGTGAAGCTCACGACAACAGCACTGATACATACAGAAGTTGAGACGGAACACGTTCACGCCCTGACCGATGAACTGGTCGATCGTCTTGGTGTCATACCAGATGTAGTCCTTGTTGTAGACACCAGGTAGGTTCTTCTCGCCGAACTCGGCACCCGACTCGTTGATGCCGAACCACTTCAGCTTTCGGTTCGCGCGGGTCTCCTTGTTAGAAGGAGCTGCGAAAGCGGCGCTGACCAGAGCGGCCGCCGCAAGGATATTGCTAAAGAGCATGGCGAATGTATGGGAATGTCAAAGAAAGTAGTCGAGTCTGCAGCTGCCTCATCCTCAGGAGTATGGGTCAAACCCACTCTTATACAAAGCCAGTCCCTTTAGCCACCGACAATTTGCAGTTGAGTGTAACGGACCGTCACCTCCGCTGTAGTGGGTCGATGACCGCAGGGACGTTTTGCAATCTGAACAATTTGCTCAAGCCGGACTGGCAATCTGGACTCGCGAATTGGCCATGGGGAGTAGATTGCTTGAGTGAATTAAGGATTGCTTGATGTGGGTCGAGGTTGACAAAAGTGTGGGGAAGTAAGGAGAGCCTTGTGCCGAAGAGCGGATGTAGACACCGGAGCTTTGTCTGAAACGTTGGACCACCGGCAGTGTCGTGCAAACATCTGCAAAAAGATCAGTAAAACATGCCATGATTCAGCGAATGGTCCAATGAGAGCCCTCAAATACAGTTAGGGACTAGCCCGGGCACCGCGTGGTCGTCGCAATCTGCTGTCGGGGAATATCTCGGCCCAGCCAATTACCTTGCGCACATCATTTACGGAGTCGTTTATCGACAACGCCTTAATTTCGAGCAAGCTCCGCGCTCAAGGCAGACAAGCGCATGCTAATATGATGTTAAGCTTTGTGGATCACAAGGTCACTGGTAATCGTTGTCGGGGCTTCCAGCCGGTACGTGCTATATTGCATGAGTTTGTGCAGATCCTGTGTTGGGCTCGGAGAATAACGTCACGCTCTGTCATTGGTTATCCTGCAATATCCATCATGCATCTGATAGCTGCGTAAAATCCTTCAATTCATAGGTGAGATACTACCAGTCAGTCGACACATCATCGTCTTACGCTGCGCCGTTCAACGTGCGAAAACGGGTTTGTGGAAGACGAATGTCTCGTGTTGCCTGATATCTTCCCATAATGACGACGACTGCTTCTCACACCTGCTCGCTGCAGTGTGTCCCACTGGGTCCGATTGCGTACCGGAGAATGATGTGAAGCAATAGGCGGCATTGTTGATGGGAGTTGTCCAACACGCCGAGGAGCAGCTCGGCTAGAAGACACGGGCGGTGATAACACTGGATACGACTGTACATGTTGTTGCCGAACAAAGGCAGACCTAGGGTGCGCTGGACTATAGCCGCTGTATTCAACGAGAGAAGGTTGATACCTGTCGGCCTGCGTCACAACATTGCGCGAGTCCTCGTGGTTTCTTGTAGATTCCTGCCGGAGCTGTTGTTGGTGTCGTTTCTGCAGTATGGGCTCATTACGCGAATCAAGAGGTGTGTCGATAAAAGACAGCCCATTCAAGCTGGGTTTATGCCATTCGGTCACGGTCCGTGAGGATGGGTGTCTCAGTGACCGAGAGGCGGCGAAACGATGTGAACTGGTATGGGTCTCAGTGATCCGGGGTTGTGGCGGCGCAGACGCGTCGTAGTGACTGCGCCCAAAGAACGGACTTACTACGTTTTGAGCCTGGGGGGCAGGTTGTTGGGGCTGGTGAAGACTTGGGGTCGCAGTCCTGGTGTTAGAGTCGTAGTTTGCGCGGTTGAAGAAGCCCCTTGTCTTTGCGAGTGGTGAAGAATGTTGCTGGTCATTAGACGGTCCATCGGACGATTGATGGAGGAAGGCATGGCCCAGCCTCCAGCGTGGCTGGCTGCTTGGTTCCGGGTTCTGACGCTGGTTGTGAGGGGTACTGATAGCCGGTCGGGTATTTGTGTTAGCTGTGTAACTGCTTGACGCGGCCTCACGTGGATCACTCAACCCCAACTCCATGTCGTTGTCGTTCACTAAGCCATCCATAAGACGAAGGTATGATGGTACTGAAGGTAGTTGAACAGGTTGATTCCCGCCTCTTCCGTCACTCTTCTTGACAGGCGATGGTGCGCGGAAGGAGAATCTCGTGGCCTCTGGGTCTGCTCCTACGTTCGCTAGTAGCTGAGACCGCTGGGTATTATTCTCAGCTGGTAAAGCTCCGGACATGTATGGTGTCTCGCTTCGTAGATCAAAGCGTGGTGATGATCGACCATCTCCTGTGCGCGATTCCGCTGCGTCTCGCCACTCTCCATTGTCATACATCTGCAGATCTGCATCGTGACTTCGCGGTTCTTTTGACAGTGAACGACTGCTTGAGAACTTCTTACGTATCGAGGGTAGGAAGCGGCGAACCGAATTCATGCTGGAGCGAGGTTTCAATGCGGGCGGCGGCATTCTCTCACGACTACTGCGGGCGTGGACCTGCATGTTAGGTAGAGGAGAATCGACCCGCTGACGCTTCGATGGACGATCGCTCGAAGAAAATGGGTGGCCAGAGGTGTGTGCTGAGCGTCCAGCGGTATGAGTCGATGACGACTTCTGGAATTGTCTATCGTCTTCAGCATAAGCATCAGCTATGCTCCCGATCTCGTCGAAATCATCAGACTTCAGTTGCGTGTAATTCGGAACAGGCTCGACAGGAATTGCAAACCCCAGCGAAGAAAGTCGCTCTTTCATTCTGGTATTCTGTCTACAGTTCGTCAGCATCTGGTGAAGGGATCGGCTATTGGTTCTGCTCACTCAATGACTTTGGGGAGCAGTTTCATGTACTGCAGTATGGCTGCCTTGTTCTTACGTAGAATGTCCAGGTCACGTACGTCGGCTTTGAGAAGGCGAACTGTCTCGACATCCGCATCAAGTTGATGTTTTGCTAGCTCGAGGTGTCGAAGCCTGTGTACTTCGGCCCTTAGCGCTTCCACTTCGTTTGCCTGATGTGCTGCAGCTCGCAGTGACTCGTTAGCGTGTTGCAAAGAGACTACTTTCGAGTGATCGTCGGCGGCGCGTTGCTGCATCGTGACAAGTTCTTGCCTGGTCTGCTTCAGAGCGTCTGCGAGTGGCTTCGTCGTCAGGTAAGACATCCGGCAGTAGCGAGCAAGTGCTAGATATTGGAACTACGCACGTTGAGCTTCATTCTCCAGAGATAATCAGTAACATACTCGAAGTACTTCCATCTCATTGGTCTCATTTCTGAGGCTCATGGGCGGTGTCATGAACCAAATGGGCGAGATCTTTGGATCGTACTCGTCCTTGCCAAAACCGCGAACAGAGTATAGATCGCGAGGAGTAGAATCGCCCTTCTTCTTGACGCAGTATGGACATGGTGCTCTAGGCGTCTGGCCAGCGGGGTGGAATGGAGGTCCTGCACCGGACTCGTTCAGTTTTGATCCCGCAATATTGTCGAGTACACTTACCGCCGCCTTCGAGGTGCTCGCCACAAAAGACATGACAACAGTCACTAAGGAAAAGCTTAGTCACCAGGCGGTCCTTGGGGTTGATGCCGTCCGAGAGGCCCTGGACGGTTTCGTTGTGGCCCTCATATCTATCAGCAAAAGTAACGCCGCAGATCGAACAGGAATAGATGAAGTTGAGTGCCGAAGCGCCAGGCTCTTGCGATGCCAAAGCCAAGTCTGGCTCCATTGCAGTCACTGAGGCCATGGGGGAGTTGCGAGGTGCGTGACGTGCGGTGGAGGTGAGACGCGCAGGATGCGGAAGTCGCGATGCTGCCAAGCCTGGTCTTACGCGCGCTCGCCAACTCGAGTGAATTGCACAAGTGGCGAAACAACGCAGCAGCAGCATACCATGCATTCCAACGTGGGATGCGGGGACTAAGGATACTGCAATAGACGAGAGAGGAGCAGGATGAAGATAATGAGATGAAGAATGATCTTGACGTAACATCACACAAAGAAAAGGTTGCGGTGGTATTTACAGGTACTTCTATCGTCCTCCACGCACTCCGGCAAATCGACCTTTAATGTCTCACGCAAACGTCCTGCAAGGGTAGCTGTGGAAGGTCAGTGTCAGCTCACAGTTAGGGTCATATCCACTTACTCGGCGCCATACGACTGATCCTTCTCCAATTCATATCTCTTGGCACCAGTCTCGCTGCTGTGCAGACCGCTGGGCAGCGGTGGCATGCCGCCAGGGCCGAGCACGTCCTTGGCCAAACCCGTGTTCCTCTCAAAAGCAACAGCTAATCCCTTTACGCCCTCCTCTTGCGCAGCAACGAGCTGCTGGGAGCCCGCCTCGCCGATCAGCTCCTGCTTCGGCGCCGCAGCGCTGCCGACCTGGAGCAGCGCGACAGCATCGGCCTGGGTGACAGTCGAAAGCCTGGGGTATCCTCGTCGCACGTCACGCTTCCAGTACGGGTTGTCTGCAATGTCGGCGGCGGGGAGTGTGACGGGGTCGTCGTAGGTGGCCGGGTCGAGACCGCCGGGGGGAGGGTTGCGGAATTGCGGGTTCATAGGAACACCAGTCGAGCGGTTGGGGTCAAGGGCAAACAACCTGTTGATCGCCGCATAGATACCGGTGGGCTGAACTGTGTACTTCTGTTCCTGCCGTCAGTAGGCTGCTGGCAGAGCAATGATGGGTTGCTGCGGAGGGGTGTTGTAGAGGTGCGCGAGGGATGGTGAGGCGTACCGCGAACGTGGTGGTGACCTTCTTGGACGCCATTTTGAGTGGCCCGGTATTGATCGGAGTTTCGAGGAGTGGAGGAGGGCCAATGCGCGGATTTGGTGGTGCTGCGCGCGATTCGGCGTCGTAGTGCAGCTGGATGATGTTCGTGAAGCTCGAATGCAACTGCCAAGGCGGCACTTGCCGGGATGGGTAAGCGCTCCTGCGAGCCCTCTCATTCGTCATTGACAGACCCACACGCACATCACATCACTCTCATGCTGTGGGAACTATTGCTGCAAACCTTCTCGTCGTATTCCGCGATATCACTGCTAAGTAAAGTAATACAGTGCTTATTGACACTGCAAAGTCTCTCACTTCGAGTCCAACTTTCCCGGGTTTACGTACTGCATGACGTGATTACATGACTCCAACATCTTTCGCCAGGCTGATTTCCTTCTAATGATCTTTCCATGAGGTAGAGCTTGTGAGTGTCCCATCATTACTCAGTATCATGGACACCGATGCCCTTTGACCTGGCATTCGGTGTCCTAGAGTGCGACAATTGGTTTCCCATCAAATCGGTGTACCCAGGCGGAGCTCTATGATACCACTGGCCTTGGACAGCTCCACCATACTCATTCAATAAGGATCGTTTGTCGAATTTGTAGTACAGATCAGCATCTTGTATGACATCGCGTCCGACCTCACATCTTCCCAACTCGCGCAAGCACATAAACGTGCAACCGTACAGCAATGTGACTGGGGCTTCCGTGTGTCGTGACCGTGACATTCCAATGCTGTCTTCGCTTTGCGAGCGCCACCATGGCGGCCTCTCGTCGTCTACGCTGAGAGGCATGATCTCGAAACGGAGCACTGCTAGTATGATACCCCTCTCGAAATGCCCCGGGGCTGATACGTCGTCTCGCCATGCTGTTGCGTTGCATGTTCGTGAGCGCCCGGCTGACAACATGTAATCAAGGCGCATCTGAGGAGGCGCAGTCGTAATTCTGGACCAGCTTCTTAATCGTACGTCTGGTTGGCAAGTATCTTCGTGTCGGATCTCGTTCCCTGTTTGTGCACTGGCCTGTCGAATGGGGTTGCATCAGCTCTGAAGAAAACGCTGCTATACTACACCGTGCTCGCGGGTACGCATGTTTCAGTCAGTCTAGTATACTGGCTTGCTGATTGCAGACCTATTTGCGTTAGCTGATCCATGTGGAGCTCACTACAAGAGCGATGACCCGCCGTCATCGAATACCACATGTGGAATCGCTCGACCTTCCTGAGCGTATGAGCGTGGGTTCTCTGATCTCTGAAGTGGCGTCGAAGCAACGCACAACCACAGCCAGAACATCACACGCAACATTGGACAGCCCAATAATGGTCATCAGCTCGGCAATAGCCTGTGAGAAGTCATCTCATTCATGAACCTGGTCTGCGCCTAAATGACACCCCATTCCCAATCCTGCGCCTAAAAGACAATCCATACCCGACACATAATACTGTGCCCGTATCCCCTTCTGCTGGATCTCGGCTTCGAGTTTCAGAAACGCTCGCCAAAAAAATCGTACAGGTGCCAATCATGCCGTGTCCGTTCTTCATGATGTGGGCTTCGAGGTCAGGCAACGTCCCAAGTCCAATCCCCGAATGCGAGCTCTCAGGCCATCTTCGGCGTCGTCGACGTCGTTGTCTTCGTCACCTCCACTGCTCAGAGGGGACCACCCGCCCCGTAGCGAATGGGGCCGTTGGGGTTGGCCCTCTGCTATCCTGATGTTAGTATGAGGTCGTCAAAACAGAATGAAATCGCTTACGCAGTGGAGCCAGTCGTCGGCGAGTTGGCGCCTGCCCAAATCTCCCATCAGCTGCGGCTGCTGGGCTGCGCCAGCACGGTTGCTGGCGGCGAACAAGTCCGCCAGCCAATCGTTTGCCTGCGCGCAGCTGATACGGTGCTGCATGAAGTTGTTGAGACCTGGAGGAGGAGCGGACGAAGGAATGGAGTAGGAGGAAGGGCTGGTGCCCGGGGGATAAGCAGAGTTCTGCATTGTTTAGCGTGTAACTCGTTGTTTAGAGTTCCTGCTTATCCCCCGGGACAGCAGTATTTATGTGTGAGGGGAGTGGGGCTAGTGCGCCATTTCCGCGCAGTGCTCCCCTTCACCATGAGTCCTCAGCCAGCAACTAGAGAAGTTGCTGTAAGTGTGCCTTGTTTTGTTGCTTCGGTAGGACAAAAGGAAAGTTCCGTCGGTGTCTTGGTGTAAGATATACTGGCCGGTGTGGTCGCAGGCGGTCTCCAGCCAGATAGATCTGTTGCTCTTTGATAGCATTGTTGCTTCGAGGACAGCGGGACAAACATTCGAACCCCTGCGCGGTATACTCGGAGTCCGTATTCGGAAGAGAAAAGGCTATGATCAAGATTGTTGGAGTTGGTGATTCCAAAGACTGCTGGATCAGTTCGACTGAATCGTTGAGATGCCCTGCCCAAAGATATTCAACCCAGAGATGTTCAGGTAGAGCAAACGAGCGCATCGGTGCACTCAAATTTGGATGCCAATGGGTTAGCATCGTGATTTTTTAGCCCATTTGCAAGATAGCTTCCCCTAATGAACAAGTACATTCAGAGTGTGTCCGCAAGCTGAAACCTGAGGGTGTTCGCAGCGTGGACCTGCAACACCAAAGCCGCCGCTCCTTGGTGCAGACAGGCTGAAGCGTTCGGTGTACCTCCATCTGCTTGATCAGGTATGTTTTGATCGACATAGCTGCTGAGCCGTTCGTTGTGGCCTCTCAATCTGGTGCAGCTAGTCTTGCGATGGTGATGTGCCTGGCCCTCTCGCAGCGCTGGCAGGGTTTGCCCAAACACCAACACCATCAACAACACCACACACTGTAACAGCTTCAGCGCCGTCCGAAACGATTTGAATAGCCGCCGTCGCTGGCATAGAATTCCAGGTTCAAAGAAGCACACGCAAGGGCACACCCACCGAGCTGCGTGCGAAGGTAGCCGTGAGCTCCATGCACCGCGGCAAGCTTTCGAGACTCTGAGACGATCCTGAAGAGTACTGTTGGTTGTGACAGTGGTCTTTCTAGTTTCTCGAATGCTGATACATCGTCGTGGACCTAGGGTTCGGCGCCGTTGAGCTTGTCGGCGTGCTCCCACTCTCTCCGCCGTAGGTGGCACGCCGAAGAGCGCTCGCATTACTGCAATCACGGGATGCCATGTGTAGCCCCTGGCTATCTTCTGGCGATATAGCGACGACGATAACGATGGCAAGATCAGTCCAAGAGATCCTCATCCGCGCAAAAGGGCTGGAGCCGCGTCGACAGGGTCCGGGCAAGCCTCCTGGTTTCCCGCCAGCCTCTCAACAAGACAAACAAAGGACTTCGAAGTATCTTAGGCTGACAAGTCGCGATACTCTTTCTCTTGTTCAAGAACATTAGTCGCCGCGTTGCACAGGGCGGCGCAGGCTTTGCTCGTACATAGCCGCCGGCTGCCGACGTGTATCGAAGTCATCTCGACCATCACGGACAATCGGGACCCCTCAGGCTTACCAAACCATTTGCAAAGTATCGTGGAACGTTTTCGACCGAAAGATAGGAAGACGGAAGCACAAACCGGAAAGAGCGACGTTCAAACATCGGGTGCATGTTTCCTGAAGCGAAGCGGGGCTGACAGGAACACAACCGCGGGGCTGCTCTATGGGTGTGTTGTTCGCACCACACTATGATTTTCTCGTTCTTGGGAAGGATTTTCTCGTTCTTGGGAAGAAGTGCAGACACTGGAGATGTCTTCGAGAGAAAACAAGGAGCCTGTGGTACTTAGCAAACAGCCATCGCAAGGCATGGCGCATGAAAACACATACCTTGGGATCACGAGGGACGCACACCCGAAGCCGAGGGGGCTAGACGGCTGAAAGAAATAGACTTGGGCCTGGGACAAGCTCGGAAGAAGATGTATCGCGTATCCGAAGACTTGTCCCAACCCATATCGCGTTGCAACACCGATACTAGCATCGACATCTGGCGTGCCGAGCCGAGGAGGCCGACTCCGTCTCTGTCCAATACTTTATCTTCCTTATCCACCTCATGAAGGTGTCAACTCCACCGCCATTCTTCTCTCCCACTCTGCTTCCGGTCAGAGATCATGGTGTTCGAGACGAGGATCGTTGGTTTAGTCGAGAAAGAATGTGAACGTTGCGGAAGAGGTGCTGTTGAATGCCCACATCGAAGCGGTTGGTGGCGTTCGGGACGAACCGCTCGTGAACGAACCAGCGTTGCGGCCCCTGGTACCAGGGGAGGACTGACTCCTCTACCCCGGTACTAGCCGCATATGATGGCAACAACCGAGCGTTGGTGACCTGGTGCTAGGGGAGAACTCCGTTCTCTACCCCAGCCGCAGCTTGGTGGCGTCGTGAGACCCTGTGCATACCCGGCATGGACGAATCGCCTCGCATTTGCGTGATGCAGGTGGCGTGACACGGTTATCTTGCAGAAGGTTCCATGCGTCCTTGAAGATTCCATGTGTCCTTGCAGAAGGTTCCCAAGTATAGGGTGACCCGTGTCTCCCACCACATATACGAGTCGACCCATTAGGTTCTGGCTGCTGAGCGTCGCCATGACATTCTGCCAAGTCAAGTTTGCCGGCACAGAGGCCTCTCTGTGCTCATCACGACCAATGTGTGCACGACACATGAGAGGTAAGAGAAGAGGCGACACTAAGAGCACGTCAACACGTCAGCAAGAGCAGCGCTATCAGAAGGGAGCATACTTACATCCCAATCCGCACAGCGGGACACGATGCCGTCTTAGTCGTCAGCCAAGCCGAGTCCGCAGAATTCCTTTGTCACAGGTCAGCCCAGTCTCGAGACTACTGCACCGTGCTTTCGAGTGCATCTGATGTTGTGAATCGCAAGGTTCTCTGCGATAGATCATGCGAAAAAATCGGGCTCGACACCGACATTTGGGCTGAAGGTCGCTCCTCATCTTCATCATGGTGATGTATGGGGAGAACATCAAAGCAAGACTTACGGCTTGATCACTTGGTCGAGTTGGCTGAATTGACCGAAGGTGAGCTTCCAACAGGATCTCGAAGTCGGCCAATGTGCATGTGGTTCCGCAATTGTCGCCACGTGCTGATTGAGGATGACAGAAGGGCTGCTCATGTCCCGCACCGCAGACCTGACATCTGTATCGAAAGATGGAAGGAGGCTGCCGAGACCGCGTCGCTCAAGAAGCAAAAAGAAAGAGTAGGTGGTGAGGAGAGGAAGCTGTTGAGCGAAAGACTTTATACCTAAGCCCCACCCGTACTTGCGCCACCCTCACCGCCGTGCAATCGGGCTGCAAGTGCGGCTCCATCTTCACCCTTGCTGTGCTCAATCCAAGCTGCAACACCACAGGGCTGAGCTGTCAACATCGGGGAAGTTGGAGGAGGATGCTCCGAGTATCGCCGTCCTTTGCATGCTGGTCTCATTGAAAATGATGGGTTATGTATCGAGCAAGTAGCCGGCGAGATCAAGCAGTACAATGGGCTCAACGCAACGCCAGGGGCACGGACCTAAGCCTTGTGAAAACGCAGCGGGGAGGGGCAGCGAGAGTGGCGTTATGGCTTTCACGGGGTCGACATGTTAGGGAACACCGAGCGAGACTACGACAATTCAACACAGTGCACACAGTCGGAGGTGGTTGCAACGACCTCTGCGCTTCTTTTGGCACCGGTCTTGAGCAATTTGATGCTGGGAACGTTGAGATCCAGGACTGCGAGCGTATTCAGTGCGAGACTGTTCACGGAAAACAGGGGTGCGCCACAACACCACGAGCCAATTCCTCATGCGGTGAAGGAAGTGCGTGGCAATGTGCTCTCTGGTACGGTATGGTATCGCATCACGCTGAGAAGATCACCCCACAAGCTAGAGAGGAAATGCACAAGTCCTCGAACAAAGCGCACTTCTCTCCGACTTGTTGTTGTGAAGATCGGGTTGAAAGAAGGCATTTGGTCATTGAAGATTCGCCGCACAATGCAGCTATTGGAGCGAGCACCTTGGGGCTGGATCTTCTGACATTGTGCAATCACTGTGCAACTAGCCGGAGACCATCCTGAATAATGCTTGCGATCCAATTCTCATACTGGGTCTTAGTATCCAGCATGTTGGGATCGGAAGCCCATGGGGATCGCTTCACTGATACAACCCTCCACATATCTGAAAGCGAACGCCTCGGACCCACATACCGTGTGGACCGCATTCCCTGCCCTAACATCCCTCCCACGCCAGTACCTCCAACTTCGAATCACTCGCGATGTCGTGTATCTCGAACGACCGCTACACCGCAGGGCTTCTTCCCACCTTCAGCATGCAGGGAAACATCTCGGGCGCTCGACTGAGACAGACCTGTGTCGAGGACGCGGAAGGCAGTGCAGGCTACGCTTTCGAAAGCCAGGTACCTCACAAAGACTATCATACCGCTTCGGAGCAGCCTCTTGAATGGCACGGCGTCGAGATTACACCAATGCTTGGTGAGCACTTGCCACATACTGGAGGACCTTAGCTAACGCTGTCAGGCGCTGTCGTATTCTGTGTGCCATTTGCGCTATGGTCGCTCTGGATCGTGCTCCATTGAAGGCAGCACGTCCACAGAGATCAGTGGACCTTGATCCTCAGGCAGTTACGAAGATCTACAGCCTACCGAACCCGCAAGCTGTCTGAACGAACGACTCGAAGAGAATTTGGTGGCGTGCATAAACAGACGAGAAGCCAATTTCGGGTCCTACAACACCTCGGCATCTGCGGAATGATGCACACAAAGACTTTACACAACGTCAATTGTTTGCTCTCAGGCTACTCAAGTCCCTACCTTAGCGTTCGGGTGTGGCAAGCCGCTCAAGGTAGTGAGGCGCGGTCTGAAGGCTTGTATGTTTTCTGTTCAGTTTTATGACCCTTTGTGAGCAAGCGCGTGTACCTGTGGATTTCACAGGCAGTTTGTTCCTTGCGAACGTTTCTTCCTTCCCATATATAGCGAATCAGCCTTTCGCCACAACATCCATCTATACACATGTCACTCATCACCAGTCGTTGTAAGCTGCAAATCTCCTCCTCAGTTGCAAATTTCAGTGCCCCTCTATCGTTGATTGTTCAGTAGCTAACACGCTCCCTTCAGCTCTTCACATTACCATGATGCCTCCAGCGGGGTAGATCCGCCGCGATTCGCTCAATGGGGAGAAAGTGCTACTAGAAGCGACTGCCTAGCCATCGTCCTTCCATAATCCATCCAGCCGCTGTATCAACGCCATAGAAGCGCTCATAAGTCTCCAGGCCGGCCAGAGTCAGGATACTAGCCGAAGGCATTGCCATAAACAAGGACGTGCCGCTCCTTAACACTGGTAGCAAGTTCCCATCGGCATCCAGATAATGAACGAACTCTGGGACGCCGTCAGCATTGGCAGCAACTTCACGCTCTGGAGTAAGTCCACCCGCCTAGGACGAAGTTTCAGATGCTGACCTCCATAGACGGCTTTATCATCATCCTCGTCCTCATCGACCTCATGATCTGGTGCCCAAGGTAACAAACAGCCTTTGAGCTCCTCTACGACCGCTACGAGATATACGCCAAGGCGGCGAGACGCCTCCAGGAATCTACAAAAAAAGATGGACACCTGTCGTTGGCCTTGTTGCTAGCAAACATAGTGAAACCGTGAAGGCACGAGAGCGTGGTCGGCTGCACATGTGCCTTCAATGCTACATAGTTTGGCTCACTATATTTCCCAGCTGGATTCTATATATTCTTTTCAAAATCAGAGTCAATCATCATGTCCACCCAAGCTGATGAGCATGACGCCCCTCTGCCGCAGCAGAATACACCCCAGCCAATCTCCCGCTCACCAACAAACGACACCAAGACCCACGCCAACGCACAACCAAAGATCGAGTTCGTACCGTTCAAGGGGGGCAGCATGAGCTGAGGTCGAGCACTTCAGATCCTCAACGAAGAGCTGGATGTGAAGTGCGTGGAGGTTCGTCACGAGCCCGAGCAGTGAGCCTAGATCAAAGACGCGCAACTGGTTATCACGGTCGAATAAAAACGCCTATACGACCTCGCGATCGAAGAGTGGCACTAGAAGAGCAACAAGGCCCCGAGACTATTGAAGCAGGGCCTATTGTCCACGAACCTAAACACACCCTGGTTGAGGATCATGTTCTGTACGGATTGGACCCGCTACTGAACAACAACGACATGGTCCAATGCTGTAAGCGCTAGCACCGGTCTGGGCAGACGTACGGCTGCGAGGTCAGGCGGCTGATTACAGTGGGTGACAAGGTGGCAGTACGAGAGAAGTGCTTGTCAACTGAGGCTCGCATTGTTGCCCGGAACCGTGGCAAGACATCCTTCTTTTTGAGTCTGAGGACGTTGAAGGGTGTGGGTGGCAGCAATAAGGATGCCATCGAGCTTAGCGATGACGAGGGCGAGGAGGACAAGTCGCAAGATGTGGCACATGTCAACCCTCACTATGCGACCGCAGAACATTTGCAGGTTGGCTCGGAGATTGACATGGATGGTCGCTTCAAGCACAACGTTCCCGCCAAGCTTATAGCTGTCCTTCGGACATTACACGATCCTCGGTTTGCGAATGGCAAAGCGCCAACAGGTCTGCCAAATCTGCCTCACAAGACAAGCTTTGGGAGAGAGCGAGGAGGACGGATAAACAGTGGGATCGGGTGAGCGGAGCCTGTATGTAATGAAGTGTGAAAGTTTAGTATAGTGAGCAGAGCAACCACACTGCCTGCTCTCGGAAACAGTAAAATCAAAACACAATCTATAACCTTTCGTAAATGTAAAGCAATGAAGTAAGAATAGGAGCCTGACGAGTACTCCTCGTTGAAGATTCTTACGCCGAGGCGTTTATGTAGGTTTTCCGCAGATGTAAGATCAATCGTCTTGACTAAGAATAATGTCTCGCTTCGGAGAGCTTTTTGTAAGGGAACTCTCTGCGTTCCTCACTGATACTGTGTACTACCTGATTCCCCTTTCCAGATGCTCTCCCTCTGATCGAACTACCCTATGATCTTTGAGACCGGAAGATTGATCTCCCCGTACAGTTCGCTGTTCCTGCAAGCCTTGGACAACAAACTTGGGTCCTTTGGAGATAAACTCAGTACGTCTACCATGTTTTGATCTTCTTCGTCCACTCACTTCCATAAAGATCAGGAACTTCATCTTTCTTTCTCTGCTTGTGTGTCATATATCCTTGTATTCCTTACGATCCGTGTCTCCGTGACCGATTGATGAGTCCCATCGTCCTACCTTCAATCTGTATACACACACTCCCCTTCTCACTGTATACTCCTCAAAAGTCTTGTTTTTGTCTGCTTTGCCGATGAACTTCCTCTGTCCAGCAGCTGTTGCAGTTACTCGCTCTCGTGTATCCGCCCACACGAGATCCTCCTCGGTTTCGGCGTGAAGGGTAGCTTGGGCCAATCCTTATCTCCGAAAGCCTCACGTAGAATCAGCAAGTAGGGACAGCAGTGTTGACATGCAAATGAAGTAAGAATCGTAGATTCGAAAGATGCAAAGGATATATCACACCAGACCCAAACCACAATAACAACGCCTCGCTATCATCATAAAACTCGTCATCATCATAATCGAACATCGCCTTCGCGCCTCCACTCCACGAAGACTCACGAAAGCCAGTCTCGCGAAGCCCCTCACACAACATGATCGTGACCTACACCCCGTTAGCCCATGTTCCCCATCACCCCAGAAACTCAGAACTTACGACCCAGCGCCCTCCCCTTCTTCCCCAAAGCCTTCGCCTCACTCTGCTTAATCTTCGCCAACCGCGCCTCCTCCGCAGCCTCCCTCTCAAGCCTCCTCACATGCTCGCGCGCCTCCCGCACCGCGTTCTTCGCGCGGAACAGCGCCGCATCGGCCTCGCGCTCCGCCGCCTCTGCTTGCCGCAGCGACTGCGTCGCGGCGTGGATACTGGGGTCGTTGGAGCCACGGTGCAGGATGGAGGAGTGGCGCTTTGTGCTCGTGGTAGTGGTGCTGTGGTGGTGGGACGCGCGGTGGATATCCGAGCTGGACGAGCGGCGGCGCGAGAAGAGGCCTGAGCGGCGGGGCGGAGAGACGGGGGCAGGGGGTGGAGAGGGCTCGCGGCGGGCAAAGAGAGGCATGGTCTTGGACTGGGGCCGGGGATGCCGGGCTGGTGCGGGCTAGGGTGAAGTGGTGTGTGGGTGCGCAAAGTGGATTGGATTGGGACGCTGGTCGGATCAGACGGCAGCGAAGTTCTTATACTGGACGTCGTGTGTGTACGACGTTGCGCTGGTGGTTCATGGGCGCAAAGCAGGATCAGGGAATGCGGGTGACGTCAGATGCGGCGATCTCACCCCCTTCCACACGCGGGACCGCGACGGTGAGATCATCGTGTTCAGCCACTAGATGCGTCGCGATATGGCTTGATAACGATTCTGGTGAAGTTTGATGCCTGAGGAATGTTTGATAGTGGAAAGAGAGACTAAGACGGACTAAAGAGCGTTTTGGTGGGTCTTTGACTGCGGCTGGACCCTGGCGTCCCAGATTTGGAGGGGAGCTAGTGTGTGAGCTCGTCTAAACTTCAACTGCATCGTGTGCACAAATCTGTTGTATTCAAAAGGACGAAGTGAAAGCTTTGATTGAAATGCTCAAATGGACCTTGAATCGGAAGTCAGGCGCTCTCGTCGGAGACAGGGTCATCCAATGATTACAGCCTTCCAAAGCATCATCAAAAACCATGTAGACCTTGCCACAGGACGTCTCCTGTCCCTCCATATGTCTAGACTAAGTCATTAGGCATCCTTTCGGAGTACTGCTTGATGACCAGCGCAGTGAATGTAGGTGGAAACTGTACCAACGCCACGTCGTCCTCGAATTGTGATTTCATGGCGTTAAAGTCATCGCAAAACCTTGCGACAAGGATGTCATGAATGTTACTGTCGTAGATGTTTGCAAACGCAAAAGCAACTGCTGGCAAGATTGTTGCAGGGCTCAAAAGAGCTTGCAGGAGCGACTGGACCAGACGATCTTTGATCTCGCAGCGGAAAGCAGTGGCAATGATCCTGTCGCCCAAATGATGGGCCTTCAGGAGTACTAGGATTCTATCGATTGGATCCGACGAAGTGGACCCATTGACGAGGTGTCTGAGAGCTTCGTAAGATTGAGGCACCTGTCGAGTGTAGAGCCAGTGTACGAAGATATTGACTGCACGTGTATAAGCATCTTCCTGTCCTGTGCGTAGAGTTGAACTTACATGCGTCTGTCTCCACATCTTCGATGGTCACCACTCGGTGCACTGCCTCGGCCCAAGGACCATTGAGGGCTTTGGCGAAGTACTCGGAGTGGTAGACAAGCAGGGTCTTGTGAACGTGGTGCGTAATCTTGTCGGGGCCTACTTGTACGAGGACCATGCCGTCCGCGCTCGCGTGCCTGTCAGCTGCATTAGTATAGTTGGTAACACTGAGTGTAAGAGCCGACATACCCAATTGGAGGCGGCGGATCTCGCTTTACGCGATCTTGTGATTCGGGCATATCTGTATTGGCAGGCCGGCGAGTGTGCGTGGATTATAGGCGTGCTTGCTCAGGTTGTTCGTTGTGCGGTTGTGAAGTGATACCCTTGAGACAGGCGTGAACAAGAGTGTGAGGGTGATGTGATACCCTTATAAAGGTATCGAGCGCGAACAGGAGTGAGAGTGTGATGTGTGGCTCTTGTAAAGGCAAGGTATGTGCAAGAGTAAGAGTGTGATGTGATACCTTTATAAAGGTATCGAGCGTGAGCAGGAGTGAGAATATGCCCATCATCAAGGTAATTGAAGAACCCTCGCATCAGGTCTGGACGCTAGACACGATATCCAAACTTCGCGCTAGCAAATGATCCTGCGTTCTCTTACCACTCTATCACAAGCACACATGGTAGTCCCAATAAGCCGGTTCCTAGACGTTAACATTCCTTATCGTTACATACACCTACAACACCTGCCATGTCTTCGTCCGATGCACCCCAAACCCCAAACCCCAAACGCCCCCATGCATGTTTTTAATCCAGCCCATCATCAACTACACTTGACCGTCTCGCCCTGCCCAAACGCCAGCTTCGCCGTCGTCTTAATCACGCTGATAACCAGCACCGTGCAGCCAAACGCCACAACGCCCATCGCAAGATACGTCTGCGCATCGCGCTTCTTGGTGAGCTTGATGAAGCACAGCGGAGGCAGGATAAACGCCAGCGCACACGCGCTCGTGGCGCCGAACAACTCAAACACCACGCCGAGGTCGCAGGTCAGCAGCGACAGCACGAGCGCGGACAGCACCAGCGAGCTCGTGAACACGACGTGGCGGTTGGGGTGGTACGGCTCGTCGGGGAAGTAGTACTCGTTCATGACCTCGCGGCACACGAAGGCCTCGAGCGGCAGCGTGGTCAGCATGTTGAGCCCGAAGAACAGGCGCGCGATGTTGACCATCAGATTGTCCTGCGGGAAGTTGTTGAGCACGTTGCCGAGCGTCTTGTCGCCGAAGGTGAGGTAGCCGCAGAGTGCCACGATGAGGCATGCGAGCAGCGAGATGCCGGTGCTGTAGTGGGTCACGCGTGAGAAGCGGTCGATGGTGGGTTTGCGCAGCGAGCCGTAGATCAGGAGCGAGTTGTGGTGGCAGACGAAGGCGAAGGAGATGACGCCGATGGCTTCGAAGATGCCGTCGTTGACTATGAGGGAGCCGCGTAGCTGGCCTTTGGATTCGGCGGGAACGCGGAAGGATTGCGTGACAACAGTGATAATGATGACGATCATGCTGACCAGGGCGAAACCGCTGGCTTTGGCAAGCTGTTGTGCGTTAGTGGGGGGTGTTGCATTGGGCTGGCAAAAAGCATCACCTTTGCAATGTCGCGGTAGAGAGACAGTGGAAACGAAATGCCCAAGATAAGCAGGACCATGACGGCTCTTCTATTGGTGAGTAGCCACAGAAATGGCATGTCTTCGAGAGCGGGAAACAGGTGGTCCATGACCTGGGGGATGGTGTCTCCAACGATGACGCAAAATGCCATCATACCACCGAAAGCACTGTAGAGGGTCAGCAGTGCGACTCGTGTCTGTGACGTCCAACGTACAAGAGCCATTGCGCCAGCGAAATGGCAACCAGGCCGGACTTTCCAAAGCAGTGTTGAACTGTCGCCTGGAATGAGTCTGTCCCGCTGAGTTTTGAATTGATGACGATCAGTCGGATAGTCCAGTCGACGACAACGGTGAGGGCGATGAGCAGGATAGTGCCTGAGAGTAGGCCCGCGTTTTTGAAAGCATAAGGTTGCCCGATGATACCGGCGCCGCTGCCCGTGTCAGCCTGTGATTCCAGATCCACTACGCCAGGGAGACTCACATGATGCTGTTCGCCATGTTCATGAACGAATTGCGCATACCACTCCGCGGTTTCGCGCTCTCGAGATGGTCCTCGGGATCGAAGTCGGAGGCGACGGTGACACTCGGCGCCTCGATGCCGGTAAGCAGAGGCAGGCGCTGCACTCGCTCTCGCCCATCGCCTCCCTGCCCTTCCATGTAGTCCTCGCCCTCGAGCTCGATCCACTCGCGATTCTGGGTGCCACCGTTCATACTCCGGCGCACCGGGTCTTCGTCGAACCTGACCCGGTTGGGTGTCCTTGGCGTGCCATCTGGCCTCACGTGCGCAAAGGACGACTGGCGCTTGAAGCCGTTGCCATTTGGACGCGTGTCGGGGTATGCAGGGGATGTCGAATGTGCTCGTGAGGACGTGGGAGAAGGTGACAGGTGTCTGGGCCCTGCGCGAGGGCTCGGCGCGAGGTCGTCCTCGCTGTCGGAGTTTTGCTCATGCAAGAGCTGTCGGGATTCGCTCATTTTAGCATTGTCGAGGTCTGGAGGGTTCGAATAGCGAAGGTAGAAAGGTGTCAGCCCGGTATAGTTGACTCGTGAATAGCACCCCTGTAGCTGCCGCGTTGATACTAACGGCATTGGGTTGGCGCAGCATGTCGCTCCCGGACCCGAATTACGGGGAACGTCGTCACCATCGTCGTCTCAGACTCACCCTGGAGATCGTCGGTTGTAATGTGCTATGCTCGTGCATCGAAGTAGGCAGTTAAGAAAGGGAGATGCGTAGATGTGACCAGGCTGAAGATTTTCAGCTTTCCATCAGATTGACCACATTGACATCACAGCGTAAACGTCTTTTCGAGTAGGACAATGCTGGATATGTTTAAACTCAAGCAGCCAGACTGCAGGACTGCGACGCACAACTTGTGCCCGTACAACAGAGCCCGAATCCACAGAAGCGGAATACGAATGAAACTACTACAATCAAGCAAGACGCCGAAGCTATGCGATCCCAACCATCTAATAATGTTCAACCTTTTTGAACCCTGAAACGCCATGCTATGCAAACGACCAAACCCAGACAACTTTCAGCAAGACTTCAATACCATTGTTCGTCTTAGACCTCGTGGTCAGTGGCCTTCCACGCCCGACTCTGAAATCGGTCGATCGAACTGCAAGATAATGCTGCGCATATTCGGACTTGTCAGGCCCCTCCTTCTTCGTACAAGACTCCCATACTTGTTGACCCTGTCAAAATCGACACTCGATCCTCTTCGCTCTGCAGTACGCTCCTAATTCACTGTCGAGCCTCTTCGCGCATCGCCCGCCGAGGCCAACTCGCCGCCACTTGTGTCTCTCCTGCGTCTTACGATCTGCAGACGTGGCAGCGGCGGGGTGCCAGGGATAACATTGTTTCCATTGCCTGGGGCATCGTTCTCAAGATTGTAATTGCTCTGTCGGCGTTTCGTTATCGCATCGCCGAGGCGGCCAGCGGCGTTCTGTGCGCGCGCTTTAGGAAGGCGGGAGCGTTCGGGCGCGCCAGAGCGGGTGTTGGATTGCAGGTGCAGGAGTGAGGACGTTGCGTCTCGAGAGGCAGGCCGAGCGGTCGATGGGCGGGCAGCCGCGGTGGGAGACGCAAGAGCGGCGAAAGAGGTCGTGGATCGTGCGAGGACGGGGGCTTTCGAGGAGCGGCCTGCCGATTGTGGCGTCGTGTTGGGATCCTCGATGAGGTCCCACATCGAGCTGGAGGATTGTGTACGGGGGATACGATCACGGCCACTGCCCGGTGTGGACATTGGCGGAACAAGGAAATTGTTACCCTTCAGGCTTGTTGGTGTAGGTGGGGTGAGACCCAGCCCAGTACTAGCCAGAGTGGAACCGCTACTTGAGCCAGAGCCGTCGCGGCGACCAGACGACGAAGCAGGCCGACGCAGATTCATGCCGATGTTCGATGCTCGGCTCAGACTACGTTTGCCACTGCTTACAGAGCTGATCCCGTTAGCCTCAACGTCGTCGCAAGCCTGAACAAGCTCTTCCGCCATTTGTCGAACAAGGACAGCAGGGTCCTGCTCCATGAGCCAAGTGGTGCGCTCATAGCAGCCGAACGCGCGAATCAGCCAGCAACCTTCCTCCTTTGCGTCGCAGATCGTTCGCAGGATACGCAGCAGGTTCAGTCGCGTGACAGCGTCCTTATGATTGAGCTTCTGCTCCGTGCGTGAAAAGATTTCAGGAACTGCCAGTGATGCAGCGATAGACGGCGAAATACGGACAAGCTTCTGCAGCGGCTCGAGCATGTTTTCAAAAGTGGAACGAGATGGTCCTGACGAAGTGTATGCTGCGATGATTGCTGATGTGAAATTGGAATGAGCAGAAAGCAAATATTGCTCAACTCTCGCGGTCTCCTCTTGAAGCCTGCAACTCGTTAGCATGGTCAATGTAACGTCAAAAGTTGATCAAACGTACCAGACAAGAATGGCATCCAAAGCTGTCACTGCCCAATTGACATCACCGAGTAGCGACACGTAGAATGCGAGTCCCTTCGCATCCCACAGCATTTTCCGAGAGACCTTGCCCGAGTTCACCATCTCAAGCAGCACAGGCAGAGCAAATTCTTTCAAGGGGCCACCGTCATTGACAACATCCTTCAGAAGTGGGATGATGTCAGATAGCGCAGCCTCCTCCTGGCGGCTCTTATTGTGACGACAGAGATTGTACATTGTGTTCAAGATCTGGTTGGAGATCTCGCGCTGGAACGAACGGGTCGAGTCGTTGCCCGGCCTGATGCTACCCGACTTCGATCCAGATGCGCGAGTGACCTTGAGCAGCTCGATGAGGATGTCGATCGCGTTCGAGTTCTGTAATGCTTCGTGTGTGGATGAGAGAGAGCTGAGGTTCTTGATGAACTTCAGCATAGTGATCTGATGAGGCGGCGCCATCTTGCGCAGATCCTTGAGTACACCTGAGGTTGTTAGCTGATACTTAGTGTGTCGAGGACTGATACTTACGCTTCAAGATCATACGATCTGCCACTAGGTCCTTGACGTGACTCTCGGCCTGGCTGAATATGAGGAAGATGTGCACGATCCTGCCCACGATAAGCCTGGCAACTTCGCCATCCTCTTCAACCATCCGATTGAGTACTAGCGACAGAGGGTAAAGAACGCTGCTTCTGCTGAATATCCGGCAGAAGTCATTCTTGGGAGTAGGTCCCTGCAACTCGAAAACGCCGTACACTCCGTTGACGCCAATCAGAACAAGATCGCGCTCAGCATCAATGTCTTCCTCAAGAAACTCCACGAGGACGTTGATACCTCCACAGCCAATGAACATCTGCATGGTAAGCGTGCTTGTCTGATACATTTGTCGCACAAAGGCTGCAGCTTCCTTGCGAATCTCGCTTGGGTATCTCTTGTACGCATACTGGCAGATCGTAGGTATGCCTCCTAAGAAAGAAAGACTTTCTTGCGCTTCTGCATCCTCCAGGATGATCAAGTTGATGATCTTGAGAAGTGGAAGCACAAGATCATGAGGCGGAATGTTGCCCAAGATCTCCAATACGGGCAGCATACCGTGACTTCTCAGAATGATGGAGCGCTTATCCGGCGCCTCGTACAGGACTTGAAGGAGTTGGTCTGCGATATCGAGAAGAACGTCGTCGGGCTGACTAAGCTTCAAGCAGCTGACCAGATGCTCGGTCATCTTCGTTAATCGGTCGTCGCGGTCTCGAGCAACGTTATTCTCGAGGTTGATGGTATCAAGGCCTTCGTCGAGATTGGCAAAAGGATCCATATCGTCTTCGTCTGCGATCATGAAAGAGCCGGACATCTTGGTCGTGATCATAGCAAGGCTACTATGCTCACTGCCACTGTCACTCTCTGCTGTAGTTGTGAGTGTGGATTGTGGACCACCTTTTATGTCTCCGACAATCTCAGAGAAATCGTCGCCCTCATCTTCAGCGTACTTCTGAATTTCGATCTCCGACTGTGTTCGATGAAGCTTGCGGTTAGAGGCCGTGCTCGCCGCCCGCTGCCGAATTGTTCCTTGGCCCTTGAGCTCTCTTGACGATTTCAACGTCGGCCTCAGGTCTGTTGGATGAAATAGTCGTGGAGAGAATATATCAGCGGGTGAGCCTGAGAGTACTGGAGTCAAGTGTGGTGGTTGCTGCGGTACGACTACAAAGGGCTGCGAGTGCTGCAATGCTTGCACGCGCTTTTCAAAAGCATCTTCGTCCGTAGGCATAAGGTCTGAGTAGTCCTCTTCCTCTGAGTTCTCACGAAATGCATTACTGTTTCGATTTGGCATAAGTGCCCGCTGCTTAGACGGTTGAGGTGCCTGGGGCACACCACGTAGGAAGGCAGTCTTGGGCTGAGCGTCATAGCTGCGACGTTCCTCGTGTTGTGAGGCGTTTGATGATGACCTAGAGTTTGAGGCTGATGTCGATGCTGATGCTGACGTCGATGCAGAAGACTTCGATTTTGGTGTCCGGGGTTTCGCAGATTGTCGTGGACTGAAGCTGCTGGAAGGGCCTTGCAGATGCTGCAGATTCAGAGGGCGTCTCATGGTAGCCTCACCGTCGCCTCCGTCAGGACTGTCAACGACAGCCTCGAAACTGGCAAACGCCTTCAGTTTGTCGCTTGAAAACAGACCCCCGAAGTTGTCTTGGGGCTTTCGATGCGATGGCATCTTCAAAGCCCGCGGCGAAATGCTTTCGGCGAAATCGTTGTCCCAGTTGTCGTCTTGATCCAGCTCCGGTGAGCGAAAGGCCTCCGCAGTGGGCCTGGACTTTGCGACGTTCAGTTGATCGACGTTCGCCGGTGGTTTGCGCGCAGCTACCGCAGCCCCGTTTGCATGTGCAGGGGAGGGAAAGTGCTGCGACGGTTTTTGCACGCCAGATGCCAGCCTCGAGGTTCTACGCAGCGAGTTTGGAGATTTGAGAGCCTCGTTCCACTCTTGCACAGACTTGACTGCTTCTTGGTATTCGGTAGGTTTTGCGGGTACGGCGGCGACGGTTTTCTTCACGCTCTGGATCCAAGGGTGCTTGAGCAATCGCTTCGCAGAGATACGCAAGGTAGGGTTCTTTTGGAAGCATTCCATAAGAAATTCGCGGAGCAACTGAAGTTGTTAGTACTGCAAGCATGTAGAGGACGCGCAGAACTTACAGGTGATGCGCTACCAGGTATGGGCGGGTGCTCGTCGTTGACGATCCTGAACAGGGCCTGCATAGGCTGCAGCTTGTGGTATGGCGGCTTGCCTTCGATCAGCTCAATGACGGTGCATCCCACGCTCCAAATGTCTGATGCAGTAGTGGCGCCTGACAATTCAATGACCTCCGGTGCCATCCAGTACGGTGTTCCAACAACGCTGGACTGGTCGAGGCCCGACTGTTTGGTAGCCACACCAAAGTCGGCCAGCTTCACGAGTCCCTCTTTTGTGGTCAAAATGTTAGCTCCTTTGATGTCCCTGTGTATGACACCCTGCTCGTGGAGGTAGAGCAGGCCGTGCAGCGTCTGTGACATGTACAAAGCAACCAGGTTTTCTGGAAACTTGCCGAAGTTCTTGCAGATGCTGTGCAACGAGCCGTTTTCGCAGTACTCCAGAATAATGTACAAGCTCTCCGAGCTTCGCACAAAGCCCTGGTACTTGACGATGTTGGAGTGGTTCAGGTTCTTGAGCAGGTCGATCTCCATCTCCATGTTCTTAAGATCGGCAGCGCCCAGATTCTCGAGGCGCACCTGCTTGATGGCGACCGTCTCGCCGGTGCCCCAGTTGAGGGCGCGGTAGACGCTACCAAAGGCGCCCTTGCCCAGACAGTCGCCCAGCTGGTAGTCCTTGAGGCCGACGACATCCTGGGCAGCGCGCTGTGCGGCGCCGTCGCGGCTCGGGCGCTGTTCACGCTGCTCGCGGTCGCGGGTCTGGGCGCCGTGGTTGGACGAGGACGAGGCCTTCTTCTCGTGGCGCGGCGTGCCGGGGTGGGCGGCGGAGGGCTGCGAAGAGCGTGAGCTGGGGGCGCCGTGCGAGAGCTTCGAGGGGTTGTGAGACACCATGGCGGGCGCTCGCTAGGCGGCGTGCCGCGTCGCGTGTCGCGTGTCGCGTATCGTCCGCCTGGGCCCGCGGCCAGCTGCCAGAGTGGCTCGGGGCGCGAGCTGCCTTATTCGCGCGACGGGCGTCTGCTCGTGGTGGCGGGCGAGGGCGGTGAGTGCGGTGGCTGCGGTGGCTGCGGGGGGTGGAGCGCGATGTTGGCGCATTCCTTCGCATGCACAACGACAGAGACAGAGAATGCGGCCGAGTCCTGCGCTGTTGTTGTCGACGACTGCGCGAGTCGCGCGGCCTCACTGGCGGGGTCTGTGGCAGCGCCCTGGCCGTTCTTTGGCGGTTCTGGGCTGCTTGCGTCGTGGGGATCCCAGCGGCGACGGGCGACGGCGTGCGTGATGTAATTACGTCCGGCGTACCTAGGTAGCCTGCTACTGCGCGGAATGCGAGACGGAGAGCTCTGCGCGCGACGCCTGAGCCTGCAGCGTGCACTCGAGCATGCGGGGTACGGCGGCGAGGAGGGTGGGCAGTGGGCAGGTGTCAGACGCGGTGAAACAGCTGCGAGCTCGACGTTCCCAGTCGCTCGCAGGCGTCATTGGAGTGGTCGCGGCTCGACTAGCACACCACACCCAACGTCCATGCCAATATCCAGCCCTGCGCTCGAGCCGTCCCTTGGACTCCCGTGCGACGCGCTCGACAACAACGCGTCATGAATCAGCTGCTTGCATAGCCACACCCGTCGACGGTCCGCTGTCACCACGCGCTCACGTGCAGCCGCTCATTGTGCCCCTGGCTCAGCCCTATCCTTCAGGACGCAGATCTGGGGCAGGAATTTGGCCTAAGAGCGATCATGCCAAGTGCCATCAGACTCAGTCTTCGTCGGTTTTGATCCCCCTCACACTTGGGAGCGCTGCGACACTTGACATAGCACTGCGCCAGGCCGCCAACCGTCACGTCGACCTGTTCCTGACTAGACTTCGGCCGACAGCTACTTCAGGGCCGTGCCTTGGTCCTGCAGGGCAGCCATGACGCGAAGATGGCACGAAAGGGTTCTGTTGAGGCCTGAATGACGCCTGACTTTGCTTGGGTATCATTTCCTTCATTATGCTCGACAGTCAATTCTATCTATCTTTCTTCGCCATGCGCCGTCCCTATGCTATGCATTCCCATCGTTCATTATTCACTAGCTCATCGTCCGGCGACGACATTGAGCACGCCGCCATCAACAGCGATAATCTCGCCGTTGACATAAGAGTTCTTCGTGAGGAAGAGCACAGCCTGTGCCATCTCCTCGTCATGGCCAGCTCGTCCGTGAGGAACATGGCCCTTCTCCTGGATCTTCTCGTCAGGCAAATGGCTCTTCTGGTTCTCGTCACTCTCTTTTGCAGTCATCTCCGACGGAAAGTATCCCGGCGCGATTGAGTTGACCCTGATTCTTAGTTTCTGGAACTCGGCCGACATGAGCTTGGTCAAATGGACGGTACCGCCCTTTGCGGCGTTGTAGCTGAAGTGCCCCTGCGCGTGGCGCATGATTCCAGACATGGAGCTGATGACGATGACTGAGGCTGAGAGGTGACCGTGGGTCTCGGTGCCCGCCTGGAGAAGGGGAAGCAGGACGACAGTGGTGAAGTACACAGAGCTGACGTCGGTGTTGTACGTCTGGGCCCAGTCCTCGAAAGTCTCGTTGTCCCAGAGCTTCTGCTTCATCTCCGTGGCTTTCTCTGCATCAGGCTCGGCTTTCTCGCTGCTGATACCAGCTGCAGCGACGAGAAGATTGATGTACTTCTCCTTCTTTGACAACTCCTCGTACATCTTCTCGAGGTCGGACTTCTTAGTCACATCGCATGGGCTAAGAGCAATGATCTGGCCTCGGTCCTTGGGGTTGTGCGATTTGACAGCATTCTCGAGAGCCTCCTGGCGGCGACCTGTGATGTATACTTTTGCGCCTAGAATTTCTTAGGCTTGCTACGTGACAAGGATCTGCGAGCAACCTACCATTTGCTGCCAATGCTTGTGCAGCCATCAGCCCGATACCAGAACCACCACCAGTGACCACGCAAACATAGTCCTCAACTGAGAACAGCTTCGACGCCTGGAGATTTTGTGTGCTCGCCATGTTTTGTGCTTTTGGGTTGATCAAAGTTGCAGATAGGTCTAGAATGAACAGACACTGCTGTCAACGCGAAACGACTCTTTATACGCCCGCGTTACGTAGAGGGGAAATGTTTTTGACATGACGTACCAACGATGCATACGCGATCGTCACCCGTAGTTCGCACCTTCCGCGAAACGGTTAGATCCAAACACGCCCGTTGGGGTCTAGCTTCCGCGATCTCAAGATCCACCAAGATTATCTCAGCCGCAACGCGTTTTCGCGACGTTGACATCTCTGCCTGCAGGTGTTGGACGTCGAAAGGGTGGCCTCTCAGGCTCTGTAATATTTTGTGTATTCGAATTCGTTCTCTACCTTCATTTCGTCACTACCATTGACCTGTACACCATCTGCACCCGCTTCTGATCGCCCTTTTCAACTTTCTGAACTTTTTTTCCGCTTATAGCACGTGCCCTCCTATTTCTACGTCGCGACCTGCCAATCGTTGTAGGGAATCTTCTATCGCCCTCCTTTTGTGGCGGTACCGCTTCTATCGACTTCTACTCCTGCAATTGATATGGCGGCGCAAAATTCAGCCTCGACCGATCTGGTTGTTACAGCACCTGCCGACGACACGCTTCAAACATGGCCGGAACCAGTCGATACGCCTGGTGTTCTTCCGCGCCACCTTCTCAGACAAACATCTTCTCGCCTTCCTTTTCTTGAGATTTTACATCGTTTGCTGTATCGCCTACGGCCAGACACCCATAGCGATTTGGACAAGGTTTTAGCCGTGATAGCGCTCTATAGCGCCGCTGTACCTATATATGGATACCTCAAGGATTTCGCTGTATGGGCGTTCACTGTTCAAGTCACGATATCGGAACAAGATCCGTGAGTAGAGATCTAAATTATTGACAATCTTGCTGACCTCGTCCACAGAACTGCCAAGGACATACTGGCTTGGATGAGCTCCAATGTGATCCAGAACCGCCGGAGTAGGAGTGCTATGATCATCACAGAGGGACAGCAGGACGAAATTCGTCGTATCTTGATAGGTCCGCATAGACAAGCCGGAATTCGTAAGATACCAGGCGTTGTAGAAAATGAGGTGATCTGTTCGCCTCCTATTGGCTCACGAATCTTCTGGTGAGACTTCCCAGCACTACTCTCCCATCTACACCTTGCATTTTGCCTCCTGTACGTCTACAAGTTGAACCGTCGCGCTGACTGAGCAGGGTTGGTTTCCGACCGTATCTCTTCGATCGTGTCGGAGAATCGAGAGGTATAGGGCTCGGAGGGATTCAAGGATCTAATGGTAATTTTACCGACGCAAACGGTAGGCTTCAGAACGCCCTCACCCTCACCACGCTGGGTTGGAATTTAGAACCGCTCAGAAACTTTGTGGTCCAATGTCAGCGATGGAAGAAGACCAACATGACCGGTACAACGACCGTGTATTTTGCAGGAGGAAGCGGTTATGAGTATGGTGGCGGCCAGTGGCAGTCGGTCAGCAAACCTGTGCGCAAACTCGACACTATTGACATGGATGAGAGTATCAAGATGGATCTTGTGCAGGATGCTGAGTATTATTACAGCGAGCAGTCGTAAGTGATCTCCCCTGGCCGACACATCTACTAGCTTACAATGATTCTCTAGAAAACAATTCTTCGCAGATTGTGGTATCCCCTATCGACGTGGTTATCTTTTCTACGGTCCACCTGGCACCGGCAAAACCTCCTTCAGCGCAGCTCTTGCAGGCCGTCTGGGATGCGACATCTTTCATGTTAATCTGGCATCTGGCGACATCACTGATGGCAAATTACAGAATCTGTTCTTGGGTCTGCCGCAGAAATGCGTCGTGGTTATAGAAGACATCGACTCCGCCGGCATTGGACGTGAAGTCACGATCGAGCAGAAGCAGGAGGCAGCAGATGTCGATCTCGCCGCATCACTCATGCCAGCACACTTCCGAACCCCCAGGGTACCGGCTAGCGGCAAGGAACGCAGTCTCATCACTCTCAGTGGTCTGCTCAACGCCATTGATGGAAATGCATCGCAAGAGGGCCGACTCCTCATTTTGACGTCAAACAATCCCGACGCTCTGGATGCAGCGCTTACACGACCCGGTCGAATCGACAAGAAGGTTTACTTCGGCAATATGAACAAGTCGGCCGGTAAAAGCATATTTATGCGTCTCATCGGCCGTTCGGCACTCGCCCACGATGCTGTCTTCTCGATGGCGTACATCGAGCAGTGCGCGGCCGAATTCGCGGAGAAGGTACCCGCGCACACTTTCACACCAGCGCAAGTGCAGAACTTCCTGCAAGGCTGCCGTGGCGATCCGATCAAAGCTCTCGCTGACATCGATGCCTGGGTTGCAGAGAACCGTCCTACTGTTGCTGGGATGTCGACAAGCCCCGTCTCGAATGCTACGATGGTGGATGTTGAGGAGGGCGAGCACGAGGCTCTCTAGAGGAGTTTGGCATGAGCGCAGTTTGGCACGAGCGCAGTCTGTGGGACGAAGGGAATCTAATCTGGATATAGGACATGTACACTACAATGGGTCGGCGTTCTTACATATGCACATAGAGTATCGGGTACCAGGGAGTTCAAGCATCCATATGTCTCACAACACATCCTTCACAACCCAAATTTGATTTCTCACTCACACATTCACCCCTTTTCACATCCACCATGCACCACATCGCTCCCCCACATGCACCACATCTCTCCCCACCCGACGCTCACCCGACGCCGAACCCTAAACGCGCCGACTCGGCCTGACGCGCGAAGCTTGTCGGCACAATCGGCCGAAGCGGGCAAAACAAGCGCTCCTAGTCGGCCGATTTCCCGGCCGCGATCAACACCTTTCACTTTCCTGCCAGAAGGGGCATGTATGCAGTGTGCCGCAGCAGGATAATCGGCGCTCGGCGGCGGCGCTCGGCGGCAGCGCGCGCCAGGGCGTCTGCGCAGGATGCGCGGATGGGCGAGGTGGGCTGCTGAGACGCTGCTGAGTAAGGGATGCAGGGGCCACGCGGGCCAATCAGGCGCGCGGACTACGCATCGCCATAGTCGGGAGTGGGACGCGGCGAGTGGCGTTGAGAGGGATGGGCGTTGGGAACATGGTCTCGGTGGAATTCTGCGAGCGCTGAATTGCTCGAAGCGGTAGGAAGTGGTATTGCTGTCGACGACGGGGGGTCCGGTTCGGTGAAACTATTCAGATGAGGGATGGGGGTTGCCGCTGTGCTGGAAGTTGTGCGAGGTTGTTGATTCAGGATGATATGATCAACTCAACCGCTTTCTGGCTCGATGCGGTAGGAGTTGACATTGCTGTCGACGACGGGAGGTCCGACTCGGTGAGATTATTCGTACTAGGGATGGTTGTTGCCACTGCACTGAGAAGTTGTGCGAGGCTGATCACGGAGCAGAGCCTCGATATGGTGAGTTCAAACGACCTTCGCTGGAAATAAGATGAAGCCAGAGGGGTATGCTTGCAAGTGTTTCTTGTATCACCGGTGTAATGTCTATACACCAGACTCTAGGCTCTTACTTACAATGCAGCAGGACAATGACGTAACAGCAAAAAAAAAAAAAAAAAAGAGAGGCTCCCTCCCGACGACTCTTCGGAAGATGTACCACGGGCAAAAAAGGCAAAAAAAAGATGCTTCCGTCACGGGGAATCGAACCCCGGCCACATCGGCGCTTGCTATGAGAGCGATGTATCCTAGCCACTGTTAAATGTTAGATGGAGTTGATGAGAGGGATGATGATTGAGCTTACCTAGACCATAACGGATGTTGTTTGATGAAGGTTCGGACGATCATAAAAGTCATATACTAAGCACAATTGTATCAGAACCTTTCTGTTAAGCGACGCCGGTCCTCTGCTTCCCCGCACTCTGTGGGTCTTGCATCGTTCTGAATTGCGCACATTGGCTATGTGGCCCCTGGGTATCTCAGTCAAAAGATTGCACATCCCTAGATATTCTTCACAGCGAGCCTGCCCGGTCACAGCCACTTGAACATCGCATCATTTCTCTTACACAATGTCAAGTGAGTTGCACACCAGTCTACAATGAACACTTAGTAGCAAAATCTGAGGATCAATGTTGCATGAATGCATTATTCATTGTAGAAAATTATGTCTATGTCGTAAGGAAGGTCATGCCACTCATCGTGGCTTCGAGAGATCAAAGAAGTCCGATAACATCCACACCTCGAACAGGTCGACCAAGACTCACTTGCACATGATGCTTCAAGGAAGGCGATGATGGCAAGGCCTAGTGCAGTGCGCTTAGCACTGGCGGACATACAAGCCAAGGGGGCTAGGGTTGTAATCCTGGAAGTAGTCGAGAGCAAAATCGCCCTCGCTGCAGATCTCGTAGCTGACAGTCTGACCAGCGGCACAGTCACCTGAAGCAATGGAGTACGAGTTTCCAGGGGTGATTTCAATGGAAGCGAGATCGTAATCCTTGCCAGGCTGGTTGGCCCAGGTTGTCTGCTGGCTGGCAGGGCCCTTGAGCTTGGTGAAGCTCACCGGACCAGTGCCAGATACTGTGAAGGAAGAAGTCTCGAGATCTTTCTGCTCGGGGAAAAGGAAGACTACTGAGCAAGTCTTCCCAGAGTACGAAGTGGGGATATCGAAGTTGAAGATCGAGCAAGTGTGGCTGTCGACTTTACCATTGTAAGAGGTACCAAAGGCCTTCGAAGACTGCTCGGAGTCGACAGGGATAATCAAGTGAGGGAATTGATAGGCACCGTTTAGATCAGTGGGGCACTTGTTGCCAGACTGAGCGGGAGCGGATGGAGACGGAGCTGGTGCACTCTGCGCTGGAGCCGAAGGCTTAGGAACAGGAGCGCTCTGCGCAGGTTGCGATGGATTCTGCGCCGACGGCGATGGCTTAGGTGCAGGCTGGCTCTGGGGAGGATAACTTTGCGTGGGCTGCGAAGGCGTAGGGGCAGGACCGCTCTGTGCAGGCTGAGATGGCTTAGGTGAGGGCTGACTCTGGGCAGGTTGGCTTTGCGCAGGATAACTCTGGGCGGGTTGTGATGGCTTGGGAGCAGGTTGAGAAGGTTGAGGAGTAGCAGCGCTCTTTGCAGGTTGCGAAGCTGCAGGTGCACTGAACTGTCCAGACTCTGCTCCGCAAGATCCAGCAGAGCTTAAAGAGATCTCGACACACTTGTCCTGTCCAGATACAGGTGTAGTGTAGACATTGTACTCGGTGTCTGAAGCAGGGCAAGCGTAGAACTTGGAGCTTCCATTGTAGGTAATGGACCCGCTGGATCCAACAGCAAAACCAGTCGTAGGGCTAGCACCGACATCGCATTGAAACTGCGTTGTTGGGGGAGTGAGAATACAGCCACGGCCATTTGAATCGGTAAAGCCACCATTGCTCAGGCAATAGCAGCCGGTAGGGTGACCACCATGGACCCGGTTTTGACCGTCATCGAGCTGGCCCAAAACTCCGGACTGGCCACCGGAAGCCTTCAGTTGAACACACTGAGAAGCCTCACGGGCAACGAGGGCGTTGGCACCAAGGCCGAATGCGACGGAAGCGAAAGCGTACTTCATATTGGAAGCTCCTTTGCGACAGGTAAACGACTGTCAGGCGTAAGGACAAATTGAAGGTGAGACTTGAAGGAAGAGCAGATGCACGTTTCTTATAGAGAATGAGAGGTCAGCAAAATCGAGGCGATGACATCGAGTACAGCTTGTGGCCCACGCCAACGATCCACAGTGTGCTCACTATACTTGGTGTCGAGTCTACTCTAGACGTGGCATATCGCCGACCGACCTATCGATGATGATGACGATATCAAGCAGCGCAAGCTCAACACTTGTGAGCAACCGGATCTTGAATATGGGAGCAAGCCGGTCGTCCTCGTACCAGGGAGTGGGTCTTTTTGGAAAAGGAAAAATGTCGCAACCACGTAACAGCATCCGCTCGCATTGGCTACACTGCCGAGTATTCCCCAGAGTTTCTCGACGCCAAAGCCGTTAGTTAGTCGATCAACGGCAGGCTTGAGGTTTGACGTAGGCAGATAGGCAGGAACATTACCAAAAGCGCCAATTTAGGCTGCAGCAGCCAGTTCATCGAGGTTACAAGTTGTTGCATACTGATGCGTCTCCCTCTGCCAAACGTTTGTGCATCTCAGGTTGACACCTTACACATGAAGGATCGAAAGCCAATTGATACTCCATTTGCTTATCCACTGTACACGTTGCATGGCCTTCAAAGTCAGATTAGACATGCCTCCAAGCCTTTCTTCAGTATCTTGCTTGGCTCGGAAGGCGAACAAGTCAGTCCGAAACGCGCGGCAAAAGTGGGTTGTTCTGAATATAGAATCCCATAGATCCGAATGCTCCGACTTTGCAGTACGTATGAGTGATGAGGGAACAAGCTTTCTCTTAAGGCGCTAAAGTCGGTGACCCCAGAATCAGGTCGATCGAAATCATGTGTGGAGAAGTATCCGGTGATGTGATGATGCAAGTCATGTGATGATAGTCCGACTCGTCGTGTCAGAGAAGCGGGGCTGTATACGGCATGCAGTTGTGAGCTAGAATTGTTGAGAGGGCGAACGCGCGAGCATAGGTAGCGTTGGTGTTGTTAGAGTCGATGTATAGCCGACTGTGCCGAGGAAAAATAGTGGAACGACAGGTAGCGAGCGCATGCTTCATTTGGTCGGTAGCACCGAGCATGGCAGCAGCAGCGACGTCTCTTCCATAATTATAATGGTGAAGCTACTGCGGCACGCTGTTCGTACTGGGGCTTCCAAGGTCCTGGGCAGGTAGGGTATGCTCTGGAGATTGTAGGTCGCTGTGTCGTATGATTTCAAGATTATTATTTCGAGGTCTGCTCAATTGCGGCTCAAAAGTTACAATTGTCCACGAGGTGAAGCCAGAAGTGCGGTGTCGTTTGTAGTGATAGTATTTCGAGGATCTGAAAACTGGGGAAAGACCAGAGTGCCATGACGTCACAACCCATGCAAAAATGTGGAAAAGGCGGTCGACGATAGTTGCGCCTATCGACCTCTCAATACTTTTTCAGCATCAGCATAATACAGGGACAAGCTGAGATGCCGTTGGTACCTACCAAGTCAACTAACGGAAATTAAGAAGAACATATCTCAGCCCCAGTCAGCACTACGGCAAGGCTTACATAGCCTCGCATGACGCCAATCCCGACCTTTTCCAATTGCGCGCCACACCGAGCATACAAATGGATCTACTATACCTAATCGAGACTCGGTGATCCTGCTCTCAGCCTCACAAGACATTGAAGGCGTTCTAATGCTGGAAATACAATACTTTCCAGATCATGTGCCGTTCCTACCTTGCAGAGATGGGGGCCGTAGAAATGCCTTCAGATACAAATACTTGCACTGTCCACCATCACAGCAGCTTAGTCGTAACTCTCCAACTAAGGAGACATATCAGACAAGATGCAGTTCACCGCGCTATCCTCTATCTTTCCCATCTTTCTTGTTAGCCTTGCCAGCGCTGCCATTCCTGAACTCCCTGCATCATGCCCTCAAATTCTACCTGCTCCTGCTCCTGCTTCACTCCCTAACTACTTCTTACCAAAGACAATTAAAGGCTCTCAAGCCGATGACATCGAAACGATCCGCCAAACACTACACTTCTACGCTCTCGTCCTGGACAGTAAAACGTTTCCCCTCCTCGACCAGGTCTTCACTCCCACAGCTACCGCCAACTACTCTGGGCTTGCTGGTATCTTCGAAAGTCTTCCTGCTATTCAGACGTTTCTATCAGGCTCTCTCGCGCCGTATCCGAAAACGCAGCATTTGATTGCCAATCACATTATTGATGTATGCGCTCCCAAGACGGCGGTAAGCCAGACATACTTCCAGGCAACGCATTTCCCAAATGCAACGGGGACTATTTTCACAGCATATGTGACGCATCAGGATGTATGGGAGAAGACCAAGGACGGGTGGAGAATCGTGTACAGCAACTTTGGGATCACGGTAAGTTTTGGCTCGATGAAGACGATGTTGGTCGAAAGCATACTGACAATATTGCAGGGCCGGCGTTGAGTATTTTGTATAAGATGGTTCATATACGCTGCTTTATCTCGAGCAATCGTACGCCTGGGGCAAAAGCTCTATGGAATCTGCACATCAAGCCTATATGTTTTACCAGCCTCTACATTCTGCACAACCACACCTTCTATGCTCTGCCCATCTAACACCAGTTCCACGCTCTTCACCCCAGTGCGCTTGATCTTGACCTCGAAAGTCGCTCCTCTGAATTGCCTTGTCGCCTTGATTTCATCCCACCCCTTCGGCAACTTTGGATCAACCTTCAAGCCCTCCCTCATACCCCTCAGCCCAAACAGACCTTCAATTATGCATCGATACGCCCAACTTACTGTTCCAGTATTGAACAGCTGCGAACTACGCCCGGCCGTGCGATGAAGTTTCTCGATACCCCACCCGCCACGGTAATAGTTTGGTATGAACACCGGCAGCTGACCTCGTGCTCGCAAGTCTTCGTCGTCGGGACCTGCAATCATTGCACGCAGACCAGAGTACGCACGGTCCGCCTCATCGATGGTGTACAGTGCCCAGGTGTAGAAAGATGCGGCATGATTGTACACACTCCCGTTCTCGCCTTGCCCAGGGTATTTCTGCGTCACGCGACCAACATCTTCGCGCATCGCTGTGAACGGGGGCGCGAACATAAGTACGCCGTACGGAGTTGAGAGCTGGCTGTCGATCTGAGGTAAGATCTTCTCGATCTTGTCGGGCGACGCTGCACCGCCGAGGATACTCCATGCTTGCGGGTTGAGCCAAATGCGGCCCTCTTTATCGTCTTTGGTGCCAAACGTAACGCCGTCATCGGTTATGCCCCGGGAAAACCATTCACCGTCCCATAGATGTTTGTTTGCTGACTCATTGACCGCTTTTGCACCCTCGCGGTACTTCTGGGCGATGTCGACTTTGTCAGCCTGTTCACAGACACCAGCCCAGAGATTCACAGCGTAGGCGGTAGCGACAGTTAGCCAGCCTGACACACCGACGCCTTTCGGTCCAACCATGTTCATAGGATCGCACCAGTCGCCTTGAGCGATGTAGCTCAGACCCCGAGCGTCTCTCGACTTGGAGGAAAGAAGCCAGTCCATTGCGCGACTGAAGCGTTCGAAGACCGTGTAGCTGTCTCCGTGCATACCCTTGACTTGCTTGTCGAGAAATGCGTAGTCGCCTGTTTCATCAAGGTAGATCTCCAGTGCAATGGGAAGCCAGACGCAGTGATCAGTGTGCGGAACCTGGTTGATGTACTTCAGTTCCGCGCCCTCTATCAGTAAAATGCCATCAGGCATTGCGCCACTTTCATCCTGCTGACCAATTGCAGTAAGAATAGCGTCACGGCAGACGTCAGGCTTGACATATGCCATGCCCATGTTGTCTTGCAGATAGTTTCTGGTTTGAGGATCGGTCGTAAGTCGATTGACATCCCCGTGGTAGTAGACCTGTCGCGGTAGCCAGTTGTTGATGAAGTTGTCAAGGTCCTTGTCAGGTGTCTCAATTTTGATACATCCACTACCTGCTGCGATGTACGCTTCGTACTCTTTCCTTGCTTGTGCAAAGCCGGCTTCGCTAAGGAGCTTCTTCCGCATGTCAGAGATCTCGGCTTCATCGAAAGCGGGACCCAGTATGAATCGGTACCCTTCAGATGCATTTGGCTCGAGGACAGCTTGATACTGCACTACCGCTGTGGGAGTCTCGTACCGAGCATCGCTGCTACTCAAGTGCTCGGTTTTCATAGCATCTGGGTCACTTAGAGTACCCTCGCCTTCGAACGCCTCTTGTCTCGCTTCCCACGCAACAGGTTTCCGTTCACACAGAAAGTAAGTCTTGTCCTTTAGGAACTTTGTCTTCGGGTAATCTGACGCTTTTTGGTACGGCGTCTTGCAGCTCCCCACAATGCCACCTAGACTATCGATCCACTCTGCCTCTTGGTTCATCCAGGACATGTATCCAAAGGGAAAGTATGGGTATATGCTGATCTTTCGTTTCCGATCTGAGACATTTGTCACTTTGATAGTCCAGAGCTCAGCAACATCCTCGGTCGGCAGAAGGAGATTCATCTCCACTCTCACCCCGTCTTTCTCCGCCGTCCATGAGATATCACTCTTTCCCACCGAGAACACGAAACTGTCTGGCTTCGCACGAACTGGCTCGTACGGTGCCGACCAGATCTTCTTCGTGTCTTCGTCCTTGACATACACAAATCGCCCCGGATGATGAGAATAGTAATTCTGCTCCGGCTGCATAAAGGTCTTGGCCTCGAGGTTTGGAGCGTGGACATACTTCGCAGGTTCCGGCTGCATAAACTGGGCTGTTGCATAGCCACGGCAGGTTACCTGGATCATCATCTTCTGATTCCACAGGAAGCCGCCGGCTTTAGGCATCGCGGTGGGGTCTGTGAGTTCATAGCGATCTCCATTCTGTGTCGAGCGGATCATGGTGGCTGTCTGAGATAAAATGTCCGTATGATTTTGTAGCGGAAGGTACTGGACAGATATTTGCCAATTTTAGGTGATAGTTGCTTCAGAGCAGCTGGTGAGAAGCTTTCATCAAGCCACGGTAACGGGCCCGGGTCGTTATACGGTTCGGTAAAGAGAAAGCCGCGCATGGAGCAGTACATGGATAAAGAACCGAAAGATCGGTGTGGAGGTGTGGGGTTGTGCCCAAAAGGGTAATTCCAGGGCGGTTAAACGGTCCGTGACGCATTTAGCCAGGCGCGGAGCGTGCTCGTGGGGGTGAACAGAGGCCGACCATCTTGGCGTGCGGCTTGCAAACGTAAGCCTGCTCGCGTAATTCTGCAATCATATACTGAAAGTGTAAAGGACCTCAGGCAGAGAATATTCGGGATTTGAGGCAGATCATGGTGGAAACAAGATTGATATATTATCCCGCCCTGCTCGTCTACCCTTCTCTTTAGGCATCCAACCTCTATACTTCGTATGGTAAGCTCTTACTTTGCCCCCTGAACAATTAGGCCCTGCCTAGACTTTCCGGTCAAGACAAGGTTTTCTATAAAGCACCTCTAATTGCCTTTCTGTGGCTTTTACCTAGTTATACTGATCTAAGCTGTGCGCACATTCATCATTACGACTTAAAACATCTGCAATCATGATAATCCCTGTGGTTTTTGGTCTGGCCTTGTTGCCATACTTTGGCGCAGCGTATCTCGACGAGCCTCCCACCACCGCAGCTCCCGATACCATTCCGGAATGCTCGCTGTGGCATATTGTCACAGAGACCGACACTTGCGCAAGTATCAGTGCAGACTGGTTCATCACCGAAGCGCAGTTCTCCACTTACGTACGCTTGAGATCCGCATCAGATTCAGTGTGAGACTGAAGTATATACAGAACCCAAGCGTAGCCGACAGCTGCGAGCTCGTCGTAGGAAACTCCTACTGCGTCGAGAAGAACTGGGGCATCCCTGACCCAACTCCTACGAGCACTACTCCGACTCCGACTCCGACTCCAATGTCGCCTGCGGCTTTGGCAGCTTGCGAAGCTGAAGCTGGAGGGTACAAGAGTTACTGTGAGCGTTGTGCTTACCGCTGCACAGATGAAGCCGTGTACTCTGGCTGTTTTGACAACACGTTCAGGACCATCAATTACTACGATAGTCAATGTTGGCAACACGGCGGGAGAGATTGTGAGAACCAGGCAGCCGACATTGTCTGTCCGCGGGGATAAAAGTCAGATTGAAGCAATGTCATTCAGAAGACGTAGAAAATGAAAATTGTGCAAGACCATGCCTTTCATGGATATGAATGTTCCCCGCGTGGTATCGTTATCGCGTGTTCTATGTGCGACAACTACCGCAATGACTGAAAAGATCGCATTGGAAGAGAGATAGCGGCGATTTGGTCGCTTCCATGACTTAATGGACATGTCTTTTATCTGAAGTTACAAGCAAATGATGCAACTATGTGGCCGGTGCTAGCACTGATAGTAGCTGTCTGTCATCCAGGCTTACCTTTGTCTGGGAGCTTGGTAATCATTGTGTATTCTCCGGACGGAGGAGATAGCTTCTTCTTTGAATCGAGCCCTCATGCTCTGCTTTCTTTTCCAGCGCGCTTTTCCGCTAGAACCCTCGATCTATGACTTCCGTTGACCAATATCGTATCTTACCATCGCCGTCGACGCTGACATGGCCACCCTGAATGCCAGTTACATCGATGTGGCCATAGAAACCATCGGATACCCACACGCTGTCCAGGCCTTTCGGGTGCATGAACAATTCTTTTGTATTGGTCTCAGTATCATATACGAGGTTTGTGCCATCAGAGAAGTGCAGGTGTAGGAGGCGCCCGTTGGCTAGCCAATCAACGGATTCGACACTTGCCATCATCCCCCAATTGCTTTCGTCTTCAATCTGATAATGCTGGGTGATTTCGCTCTGGTCCGCTTCAAAGGGTCGCCAAACGTATGCGTCCTTTCCGGCGCAAAGCGCGATCTGTTGACCGTCCGGATGCCATGCAAGACTACGGCACCAGGTGCGGAAGGTCTTAGGACAAGAGGATACTCGCTTTCCGTTCTTCACTTCATGGACAACGACGGTTTGTCCGTTTCCCGTACTCCAGACAATGTGCTTGGAGTCGGCGGAGAATGCCCCCGTCCAGCTCTGTCCACCACCGGTTGTGCTCCACTCAAGTTCGCCGGTCTTTGCAGAGTACATACGCAGGTCACCGTCCCAGGCCACCGAAGCGATGTGATTGTTGTTTGGACTAGTTGCGGACCACATTATAGCATCTGTATGGCCCGAAAGGCGGTGCAGCTCCTGGCTGCTCGTAACGTCCATCACGACGACCTGTGGGAGAAGATTAGGGTCTCTCATGCCTGATTGAGTCGTCTGATTCTTTGTGTGATACAGGAAGAGCCTCCCATCGCTATTGAAGGATGTAGAGCCGAACCCGCCCAATTTGGCATCGTCGAGTATCATGTTGTGTCGGCGGCGGTGGACTGTAGCGACATTGCCAAGGGTGGTCATGAAATCTGCATGCAAAGATGATGCCTTGACAAAGTCCTTGGACCACTCGTGCTTCTTCATAAGATCCGGGAGGATCGCATCGATCGCTTGTTGAGCGAGTGCGGAAGCATCTATTGGCTCTTCTTGGTTTAGCAGTCGCCCCTGCCCGTCAAGCTCCCAGAAGACCAGCTGATTTTTGATTCCGGACCTGCTGCTCTCATCTGAGGTGCTGCAGCAGATAGTGTACGCAGGTGTCGACTTGTCAGTATCCTTCCTATCGGCCAATGGTATCAAAGGAGCGAAGATCAAGTGGCCTGCACCATCCAGCACCTGGCGCAATTCGCGCGAATCGAGATCGTAGACGATAATACGCTCATGTTTCGACGTGATTGCAAGTAGTTTGTGATCGTGGCTGATAGCAGCATAGTAGCTGTCGTACGAGTGCTCCGATTGTCCATCTTTTATCACATTGCTAAAGTCTATGCAATGCGTCTCATCCCCCCAGTGCCTCGGATCTCGAGCGTAGGATGCAGGTATTCCGTGAAGTCCAAAGTCATGCAACGGGTCTGTCGGAAAGGTCCACTCATCAACGAAATCCTTGCGCGAGAAGCACGTCTTTGTCGCTCGAACAGTCTTTGCTGGTGTGGCTTCGATGGTGGTCATTTCGATTCTTGTTTTTCTCGTGCTTTGGTATCGTTCGAGATCGTAGTCGAGGTTTTCATATATAGTTGATGCTGCGGTTGCCTGGAGCTTGTTCGCCACCTCCGTAAGCCAAGGTCCACATGACTTTTACAACATGGCATCTATCAGCAACGATTTAAATCGCGAACAACGCGAGAATGAATCGAAAGTTGTCACTATAAAACCTTAGACAGTAATCCTCGAGCAAGTTCAACTGGGAAATGTATGAGCTGAAACGAAACGCCAATCTCATTGAAAGCCAACCACCCATCGAAGCTCAACCGCTCCGAGAAGCGGGAACAACGAGGGTGGTATAGCAGAGAAAGATGCCAGAATGACTCACCCATCTGAAGCCACTGATAGAAGTATGCCACAAAAGCGGCATGTATCCACAGCAACTCAGAGAAGTTGATTTGGGGCGTTGCCTTTGTTCAGCAGCCATACATCGGCAGATGTTGGGACGAACCCGGCTGCTGAACCCACATCCGAGATTCTCGAATCTCGGATGTGTTACGCCCGTGTGCTAGATGATTGGTAAGTGAGGTGATACAGATCCCCATGGCGAACAATGCGGGGTGCTCAGTCGGCTACGTTTCTAGGCATGTTCATTCGACCACACCTTAGATGCATTGTGGACTACATCAACCAAATGAAAACCTGGACGATTATGGCGATAAGTTCACATTGATGGAAGAGCGATGGATAGCGAAGAGCAAGGAAGAAGGGTCCAGTCGCTCGCTTAGCGCGTCACTTAGCGTGGTTCTAGCGCGTTATTGTCGAGACACACGTAGAGTATCCAGATTACGGACAATGTCCTCCCCAATTTACTCGACCTCGATCGTTGATTTCATTTTCGCCATTTCTCGCATACTTCGTTTCGAACGCCGGACGCGGAATGCCGCCTAGATGGCCTTCACCCCTCCCATGGGTATAACATCTTCACTGCCTTCAAATCGCTCTCCGTCGGCACTAGATTGAAACCAATCATCACCGCATTCTCGATCGTAGCCTCCTTCGGCGGCTCATACTCCTCTCCGCCCTCCTTCCATGCGACAAGCGGCATCTGCGGCAAGCACAAAAGACCACCACTTGCCACGTTTATGACGCTTGGATAGTGCATAATGGACTTCAGATCGTAGTCGCGGTCATGCGTGACAGTGTAGCGATGATCGAAGCCGTCGGGCTTGCCGTCTTGGTCTGTGTGGTGCATGTCGTAGTAGCCTTGGGTTGAGTACTCGTGTGGCACGAAGTTGAGCTGATTCCATGGCCAGAGAAGAGAGTAGATGGGCGATTGGCAGAGCTTGTCCATGGTCATGCTGGTGGAGGTGCGGGCTATCTGCTCGGCCTTGTTGTAGTTGGCCAGGTATTTGCATTCGAAGTGGACGTAGTGATCCCCTGTGTCGACAGTGAGTGGTGGGATATGCGACTGTTACAGGTGACTTACGATCAGGACGCTGGTGCTCGTGTGTCAGCCCAAAGACATGCCCGATCTCATGAGCGGCAATCCAGTGTTGGAAGGCCGGATTGCTGGCGAAAGCCTTACTCCAGCCCATTCGAAGTTGGTTTCTGTGAGGGCGATTGTCCCAGTCTACTGGGTTGTATCCCATCGTTGCGAAGCCTCCCCAGGTCTTGTCAGGTATGATGTCAATTACCAAAGTACCGCTCGGAACCTTAGGATTCCCTGGAGTGATCAGTGTCGACCTTTGCGTCGATCGCACACTAACACGCTCTCAACTCACATTCCTGACGATCCTCGTCGAGCCAGCAGAAGATCGTCTCTTCACCATCCACGTGTTCCGACAACCCTCCGAGACGATGGCCTACATCAGGCCCACCGGCGCCCAGTAATTCGTGCCACACCTCCCAGCCGCCTTGGATGACTTCTCTCAGTTTCTCTCTGGTTTCAGAGTTGGACCAGCAGTACTTGATCTTGACAAGACCTGCATCATCCTTCGGCCACGGCTTTATGGGACTTGTGCCTCCAAGTACATGTGCCCAGCCCATCGCAGGGTTAGCATCATGCTGTAGCACTGCTTCTTCGAGCAAGGTGGCATTGTCGGTGTACTTGAAATCGTTGAAAGGTGGGATACAGGACACTGTGATGGTCACGAGGGCTGCCTGTAGCAGCAGTACGCGCCAGAACCACGCAAAGGATCGCGACATCTCGAATTTGAAGTTGTTGTAAGAGGAAGGTCGTTTAGACGCATTTCGATCCAATCTGTTACATTTCAGCGCAGTATTTCTGCGTGAATTGGCCTTTGAGGAACGTAGGTGAAGGTAGCGATCCGAGATCGGAGCTTCTTCATCCACCCATTTTAGCCATCTGCCATCGTATTATAGCAAAACTGCCACACCATCGCCGTAATCTCCAACAACGGACCCCAACCATCACCTCCCCCCAGTCAACCCATTCCAAGGCGCCTCTTTCCTCCCCTCCCCAAGCCACGCACCCAACCTCTCTTCCTGCTGCTGCCGTCTCTCAGCTCGACGCGTCGCTTCTACGCCTTGTTGCTTGTTTGCGGTTGCCGTGCGGGGCCGTGTGTCGAGCTGAATGGTAATGATTTGAGATGTTTTGGTGGGCTGCAGCGGATTAGTGGACTGAAACGAGGAGGGTTGTAAGTGTAATTACTGCGCCTGAGCCCATTTTTGGAAGGAAAGAAGGTTTTAAAGGCGTGGATGTATTTGGGTCGTAGAAACCGTAGAAGTAAGGGTGGCGCTGAGAGTCGTGTCGGTTGCGAGTGCCAGTGTTGATACGAACTGGTTGTTTTGGCCCTGAGCTACGATGAGGTGTTGCTTGTGTCTCCGACTAAAGGTGGCAGAATCTTTAAACCTTTGCAGAAAGACTAGAACACAGTGAATTCACCAGCGCCGGCGACCCGGTGCACCGCGTTCACCAGACTGAGGACTCGGGCGGGAATTTCCAATACTCGGTTCAACTTCCATCGCCAGATGTGGCTCTTGGCTGTTTGCTCGTGTTTCAGGTGATCTGTAGTCTGGGTGTGGCGAGTACATGGATCTGCTATCGGGAAGGTGGTCATAGCAACGGTACGTAAGTGTAAGATGGCCCCATCGGCGCGATTACTCGGGCTCTAGAACATAAGTGGGTGCGGTCAGATCAACATAGTGCCTTTCACGTATTCTGTTGAGACGTCACGTTGTTCTAGGTGAAGGTCAAGAGTGGCATCTCTTGCCGACAAGTCTTAATCATATGTCCAAGCACGAAGAAGAGCCTTTGTAGTCACAATGCCCATGAATTCGCATAATGCAATACGTGTATATCAGACCCTACCATTATACATTATGAGGTGCATGAAGTTATCGCAAGCCGTGAGCTTACCCGAAGCTCGCAGATGGCGTCCGGGACGACGAATCTTCGAAAACTCTAGTAGTAGATCTTCGCATCTCCATCGAACGCATTACCCAGGTCGACATTACAAACTCTTATGGGCGATACATCGTCCTCTGGAATCGTGCTCATGAACCGGTCCCACGACACCTGGTCGTCCATTAGCGACTGCAGAGTCGCATTGTGATGGTCTTTATAGTCTTTGCGAGGCGCCTGCGGCGGACTCGATGGAAAAGCGATCTTTTGGAAAGCTAGCTGTGCCAGCGCAGCTGCGTTATCACCCCATCTGTAGTATTCAAGGAGATCCTGCAGATGAGGTTCCGCTCTATTTTCCGGGTAGCCTTCAACTCGCCCAGTATTGTGCTGATTCCAACCAAACTCTCCCCTCAGCTGAGGTTGGAGGTGCAATATCTTACGCCACTCTGATTGAATAGCCGGTCGCTGAAGGAGAGAATAGATGACATTGCTTTGGCGCCAGTCCATCATAGTCTTGCCATCTTTCTCGAAATGCTGTGCGATGTGATTACATCGTTCTTGCCAACCAGTGCTGAAATGCGTGCAAAAGCCACAACCCCAACCAGTACGAGTCTGACGCTCCTGCTTCGCACTTTCCAAGTGTCCGTGTAATTGGCAAGTCTCGCAATTGTGGCGTGTCTCGTGATGATGCACAAAATCCTTGTCGAGAAAATAGAGTGCGCTGCAAAGATTACACCAGAACGTAAAGCGCCGCTCCTGAAAAGTTTCCTCGTGACGTTTCCAGTCATACTTCTCGACAAAGGGCTCTTCACAGGAGGTGCACCAGTACCGTGGTTCTCTTTGCGTTCGTCGATTGCGACGCCTCCGCGAGACACATGTTGCAAAAACATCTCTCTCCGGAGTAACCTGGCGTTTCACTGTCTTCTTCCGTGGAACCGATGGTGTTGGCGATGTAGGACTCTCAGTAGAACTGGCCGCAAATGGTGATTGAATCGGCATCAAAGCACCAAGGCTAGCCCCACTGTATGATTGCTCGGATATATTTGACCAAGTCGAATTCGTTGAAGCCATGGATGATCGTGTCTGCCATTGTGGATATATGCCCACATTGGTTGCGATTTGTGGGTTCGAAGAGAACGAAGACTGCGTCGACGTCGAGTGATGTCGCCGATGTGATGGTGGCAGATACTCTACGGTTGGTACGGGCCAGAAAGCTGGTTGCTGATCTGTATAGTCAAACTGTTAGTTGTCTGATCTTACATGTTCCGGAAATAGGACATCATACCTGTGATAGTGTTGTACCACCAGCCGTCATCTTGCTGTGTAATCGAACGTTGTTGTCCATCAATGAACTCGGCATTGGGGAATACAATCTCATCCATGTTCATATCCATTTCTGCGACGCTTGCTGTCTTGATGCTGTGGGCGAGCCTGCGCCAAAGTCTGGGGTATTAATGCTCGTAGTATGAATGCATGTACAACACGCTTCGCTTAGAGGCGGGGAATTAAATATCGACCCAAGGAAACACACACATACAGTCACCGCTGGAATTAGACGAAGTGATCACTCCTTGCCTCATGGTGACCGATCTTAATAGCCCCGTGCTGGAGTGACTGAGGCAGCAAGATGCTTCCCAAAAGGGGTTAGTCGCAAGATGTTCACCTGAAACGCGACCGCGAGGCGCGACTCTGACAGCGGGCGTGTTTCGTTTCAAACGTCACCGCACGGAGCCCCAACGATGACGGTGGTTGGTCACTGAAGGACCGCACAGAGGCGCAGTGTGTTTTGTGCGGCTGCACATATCGTGCATGCGTTCGTTTGCCTGCCGGGGCGAGTAAACAGACGCGGGCGGGTGATGTTCAGGGAGGAGGCCGGACAGGCAGCCGCGTCGCGTTCGCCACCCCAACTGTCGTCATCGAGCATGTAGGAATGCAGTGCTTGGCTTTTCTACTCTCCGCTCTACACATGTGCCCACATGGTATTGTTGTGAGCGAATGTGCCCGAATGTGCCCAAAGGTTGGCGAGGGAACACAAGATTATCGATGTACCCTTCAACCGGGTACCCTTTGTCTGCGACCCTGCACTCGATCACTGTTCACCAGAGCCTCGAAGTGCGGAGCACCCCGACGTGGGGACAAAGCCTATAACCATTCATCCCTTTGATGAACGGCCGTCAATGCCAAATGCACCGAGGGCCTGAGCCAAGGACGCGGATATTGTGGATACCTCTCTTCACATCTCATTCGCCCAATTGCCGGCTTCAACACATTAATCGTGCCGCAGATACCTCACATGCTGCCTACACCGGATTCTCATTAGGGATAGCTTCAGGACTTGGCCCGAATCAACGAAAAAGCCAACTCAACAATGTTCATTCTCTTGTGCCCGTTCAACAACTCTGTCTCCTAGTTCAACATCTCGGCGCTTGTTGCTTATCCCTTCTCCGAATCGATAGGCTCAGTCAATGATATCGCGAAGCGCGGGACTGGCAGCTACCCCACGATCGATCCAGCGCTGCATTTCTCATTCCCAATTGCTGGCTACACTTCCTGCTTCTTGTCATCTAGGGTTCTAGATCCGTCGAGGGGCCTGGGCCCGTACTGGTCTCTCCTTTCATGCTGAGCGCGCTTGAGCTTGTAAGTCTCCTGAAAGGACTCAACATGCTGCTGCCACATGTCGTTGCTGAGCCAGAGCCGCAAGGAGTGAGGTAATCAAGGCGACAGTCGCAGCTAGCGTCCTGTGCGAACAGGCTCTGGCAGTAGAGGATGCTATGACGAGACAGGAGTCTCGCCTTTAGCGAATAGCTGCTAGAGGAGGGACTGATGCACAAGCTTGTGACGGAAGTCGCGGAGGCGCGGCGCGGTTGAAGGCAACGGGCTCGGCGTAGGGTGGAGCATGCGACGATTTTGGAGAGTGTGGTTCTACAATGAGCCGTTGCGGGAAGCAAGAGAGTATGAGTAAACATCTCCAAAGCCATGGCCATCAGCGGGACTGAAAGGTTGCGCGGTACCTGGAGCTCAATGACACTTCCGGGCAGCATGGGAGCTGGTGCAGACTTGCAGGGAGGCGGGGTCGAAGTCGGTCGTCTGGAGACGCTCTCTGTGAAGCCGATGTGAGCAGCGCTGCACTTTCAATAGCTGGCCCATGCTCATGTGAATTGCTCCGAGTAGTCCATTGCCAGCAGGCTTACATCAAATGCAATCGCCGGACTGCCTGGAACGTTGCTTTCAGGGTGCACTTGTGGTCCATGATCCCCCTCCTCCACTTCCAAGTCTTGCTGAGTGGGGCGTCTTGGTGTTGTGCAGCTGCACGGCTGCTTCCCCTGCCACTCCGAACCATCACCACTTCACCACCGTAAATTTCAAAATCGCGCCTGAAATTGTACCACAGTCCCGCTTCTTTGACGAAGTCTCCAGCACACCATCTCCTTCATCACTCTCTTTTCGCCTCGCTGGCCGCCTTGCATTCGTGCTTCCGAGCCGCCTTGCCTTCATCACCCCACTAACGCCAACATCTTCAGATCAGCGTCTGCCCGTGACGAGCTTCAGCAGGCTACGTCGTCTTACTTCTGTGTCAATGGGCGCTGAATGCGATCAGAGGGCGGGCCTTCCTCAGAGACTTTGTGCGAGGCGGCGTTGCCTCAGCACTGTGACCACGCAAGGTGATTGAGGGGAACAGGTCCACCAACTTACCAGCAGACATGCAGATAAGTTGCAGATACCCGAACGCAAAGACGGGTTTACTTGATGTCGGCCTTGAGCTTGGCACATATACGCGCGCTCTTTCCAGCCTCACCCACCCTACCTGCCTTTTTCGGCATGATCCGCATGGCGCACGAGAACACCTCGCAAGAAACAACCTTCGCATTGCATCACGCCATCAAGGCATCGCGCCTTTGATCAGCGCGGCATTCGCAGATGTGATAAGCTGACGACGTCGGAAGCCTCCCCTATGCACGCAAGCCAAGATGGGAACCTGCGCGGCCGCCGCGGCTTTGTCGAGAATGAAAACGAGATACTTTACCGAACACGTCAACCCCGTGAACATGAATCAAGAGGTTCGACGCTCGCTTCGGGAGGGAATGGTGCCTTCGCACCGCACCATGCGGCGAGGCGAACACCAGTTGACATGGTCTGATCAGTCGGCGACATGATGAGGGTGCCACAGCTCGTAGAGAGATGACCGGAAACGGCCATGCTATACCTTGTTCGAGCTTTCCTCGAAGACACACCTGCCCTCGAGTCGGGCATCGGCCGTTGGAATGATCACCGTATGCGCGGAAGCCGCTCTTCGTCAGGCAATGCGAACGAAACGACGTCGACCAGCTGCTCCCAGAAGAAGAAACAGCAGTACAATGTCGGCAGTCCTCTGGCAGCTTACATCATCTGACAATGCCTGTTGCTGACAAAGAAAAACTCGGGATTCGACGTCTTGGGGATGGCCGGTCCAAACCAAGGGATAGGAATGACTTGAAAGAAGCATGAAGAAGACAAGACAAAGAAGACATGGATATTGATGCCTCGACAAAGACCACTAATATCAAAAAGAGTCGAACAAAGAGCAGCTGTAAGAGAATCCTTGGCACATGATGGCTAGGATTGGCAGCTCTCGATCGCCGCTGGCGATGAGCTTCACAAGGGCTACCGGGATAAAGTCAATCAGCCACTCAAGGATCCACTGGCTGGAATATCAGACCGAGTTGTGGTGACAGCGCATTGTGACCGGAGGCAGGCGGAACTCGATCCAACAAATCATGTGTGCAGTCCAATCAGCAACGATCTTTGGCCTTTGCTTGAGCATTAGCAAGGGTCGTTCGAGTAGGCGGCGCATGTTGCGCAGTTGCTCAACAGTACTTCAGGCCATCTCTTCATCAACCGATTCAGTGCTGTGCACTACGCCTCCAGGGCCGAACTAGAGCGTTCATTGTGTCGACCATAACTTCATCAATACTCTTCAGCTTCTTGGAAACTCGGGAACAGGCAAGAGCTCTTCCAGCCGCTGTGCAACCGCTATGCATCGCTCATTGAAAGGCTCGACGCAGGCTTGTAGCAGCGTCGTCCAGTCGCTCACATCCTGCAGCTTTGTGCCAATAAGTGCCAAGCGAATATCTTCATGTGTCTCGTCCGAGAAGCCAGCTTCGACATCGAGGCTCTTTATGACGCCGTGATGCACATTCATGGTGATCTCGGGTCCATCAACGAAGTCGAGCTTCACATCAAACTGCGGTGTTTGTGCCCACATCCAGTCTTGTGTCTGCATCTGTCAGCAATTGTCTTACACGATGCAATTCGAGAAACTCACACGAAGCTCATCGTAACCCTTTTTGACGTCAGGAATGTTCAGATACTCGTCGCCGACGGTCGTGGCAACGTCAATCTTGCCGACGTTGGCATACATGGCCGCGAAGACATCCTGCAGGCGCTTTTGATAGGCTTTCAGATCTAAGCCAATATTTGAAACGGGTGAGCTGACGCTCTCAACGCCCTTTGCCTCGATATTGTGCTTTGCTGGAGAGCGTAGGTACTGCGAGATGATGTGCAAGTTCGGTGACTCGAGAAGCGTTGTCGCGTGGTGCAAGGCTCTTTGCCGTGTGAGCTTGTATGCCGACCCAGAAACTTTCAGCGGCTTCGGTATGCTACCATCGACTGTATACGGCGTGCGATGCGTGTCGTCCGGGTCGGATGGGCGCTTCTCATGCCCTTGATCAAGGACGATGTCGTGTCGTTCATTGACCCTGGCTCGTGCAATACCCTGCTGTCGCAGCGCACGCACAACCATCTCAGCATGTTTGTCTCTAGTGAACTCAGTTCGTGGGCAGATGATGCTCCAATTGAGATTTCCTTCGTCGTGGAAGACAGCACCACCACCTGAACGCCGTCGCACAAGATCAATGGCGCCTATTCCGGGAGGCTCCGTATCTAGTAGATCCTTTGTGCCAGATGCAGCGTTGAGGATGCCTAGGTTGACCTCACTCCATGGGTTCTGGTTGCGCCCAATCACTACGCACGGCCTGTTCACATACAGGAAGAGGATCGTGCTGTCCGGCGGCGACTTGCGCAGGATGTGGTCTTCGATGCTGAGGTTCAGATACGGGTCGCTACTGCGAGAGATGTAGCTCTGCAGCTTGTTGGAGGGGTTCGAAAGGTTCTCTGTGAACGACGAATAAGCTCGGCGCGTGTGCGTCGACCTTCGCAGCGATGTTGCAGGCGGTACATGACGATGCAGGGAGCTGCAACATCGATTGGAATCTCTGGAGAGCCATAGCAGATACAGACCTCTTGAGGGTGCCATTGTGCTCGCTCGCAGGACTGGTGTTGAAGTTGAGAAGCTCCACAGGATGTGAGCTTCCGCCGCGCCAAACCCCTGCCGGGCGGCGTTCGGCCCCACGCATCATCATCCTTCTGGGCCTGAACGTCAAAACTCAGACTTCAACCCTCGCGTTGATGAAAGGAGCTTTTGACGCGTCGTCATCAAAGCCACAAGACAACACAGTATGACATTTCTGTCAGATTCATCTGCTACACGTAGATCATTCTTTTCAGTGCGTCGTCTGTCTCCACAGGGGTTCCAGCGACGCGACGCCTCCTTACTCCACTGAGCACAACATTGCCCATATCGAAGTGGCATTCCAACCACTACATGGCCTACTACATACTACCACATGAACCTACTACATAAAAGGTTTATGTCACTCATTTAACAGTAGCAGACCTTGTCGTCGAGCATATCGCTGCCATGATGGCTATCACATCACGAGGCACGGTCGAACACGAAATATTTCTCTCCTTGTCCTCTTATTTTTTTCACATTTCATTGTCAATACATCAAGGAAAGAGTCTCTCGGATCTAGAGACACCCCGTTCTTCGATATGGGCTTTGATTACCGATCGATGTTACAAGTACCTTTCACAGCGCAGACACATGGCTCTGCTCGCTCCTCCGTCTCATCTTCTTTTCTCCTTCCATCTCAGTCATCTCCTTGATGCCAGTCTTAAGTAAGTTTCCTCAAAACATCGGAGCAGGCTCGGCGGATCGGATCGCTGTTGATAAGAGCCACACGCCGGCGCAACAACGGCAGATAACCATGGGACGGTGCACTCGAGTGCAAATGCGTTGCTCTGGAGTTGAATCGTTATAAGTCGTTCAGTCGAGCCAAACAAGTTCACGGTAACGAAGTCCAACATTGTCATCGATACCCCAGGAGTTGCTGGTGCCTTGTCGGATCAGTCTTCGCGTCGGTCACACCAAGGGTTGTGCCTTTCACCTACTTCACCCACAACAACGAGCGACGGCTGTTCCTTTCGCGCGTACAGCCTTCGCACCGAAAGTTTTCTATCAGGAAGGGAAGAGCTGGACTACGGTTATATTAAGTCCAAAAAGCTATCTATTTCCATCAAGACAAGCAAGACATCTCAGTGGTGTGGTGGTGATCGCTTCAAACCGATCTCTCCTCCGCGCTCCCTGGTTCGATTCTTACTAACAGCACTTACAGGGCACTATCGGGGCTCGGGCGGTGATGACCCTCTGTCGGTAGCAGGTAAGTCAGGTAAGTCTAACGGTGAGTTTGGCCCTCAGAGGTGAACTAACCGATAGCTGTCGCGGATGTTGGGGGTTTTGGGTATCTCGCAAAAGTAAGTTACATCTGCACACTCCAGGTTTGAACGAGAACCACCTACTATTGAATGTCTTCTTTTTTTGCGTCTTTTTGCGCTTCTACAAGCTCAGCCTCGCGCCAGGCTCAAGGCGCTGCAACCACAGAGAAATGGGTTCTTTGGTCTTTGCATGCTGCAGCTGCTTGAAGCAAATGTGCAGCATGGCACGACTGATAGCATGAATGTAGTTGATGCCAGGTTCCGGCGGTGAATCTGCTTGTTGTTGTTTTTGCTGCCCTTTGCTGCCCGCTCGCGCTCAACTCGCTCCCCTTCCGCTCTCCCACAACACACACAGCACCTACAACCATCACAGCCACCATCACCACAACCATCATGCTCTCTTTCCTCCGCAGTCTCTGCTGCCTGGGCTCCTCGCCCTCCTCGCCGACCACCCCTCTGCCGCCGCCGCGCCCTCATGCCGGCCCGCGTCCTGGCCCGCGTCCCGCCGCCCTGCCCGCCATTGCTTTCCTGCCGGTGCAGACCGGGCGAGTGCCCAGCGCACTGCTCGTGAGGCGCAGCCTCGCTGGCCAGTAAGTCGTACCCTACACCATGCCTTGTTGGCATTCAGATCAGGAGGAGCAGCCTCAGAGGGATCCCAGGCTGCATGCTGTCTGAGCTTGCAAGGCGCTGCATCAACCCGAAGCTCTTCGCGTCACCTTGACCGAGCTCTAGACACAGACGCAGCAAATTTGTATATCAAATACTGACATCGATACAGCCCCGTCCCCACCAACATGACCGTGACGATCCCGGCCTGAGGGCACAATGGCGATCGAGGAGGCGACCGAGTAAGTGACCTCTCTAAGATGCGAACACATTTCGCTAATGCACCCAGAAGTTTGATACCAAGAAGAACCCCACAGGGGAATGAACAATTTTCTCACGCCTATATACTTTTTGCATGGTCTCTGTGTTACCGTGATATCACGCTAATCCTACAGTTGAGGCTGAATTCTTATGGCAACGCTAATTCGGTTCCCCACGTCCGACTCCGACATTCCTGTAATATGACAGCACGAACGCTTCGAGGACCCGATATCTCGGTAGTTATATTTAATGCTAACAGGCTATAAGATCACTACCCAGCAACAACATCTCGCCGCCCACACGAAGCCAGAATCGAGATCATTGCCAGTTCCACACACCATGGCTATCGCAGCACCAAGCTATGAACAGCTCCCAATCGTCATATCTGGGGGCGGCTGCGTCGGCCTCTTCCTTGCTCTTCTTCTCGCCCAATCGCCCATACCAAATCGCGTCATCGTCGTCGAGCCACAGCACCCAGATCCAAGTTCAACCCGCGCAATGGCTCACCAACCGCCCACCTTCCCTCTTTTCGCACAGATTCCTGGGCTCCTCCCTGAGCTCATCGCCGCTGGCTCCCTCAGCTCCGGCCTATGCTTCCGCACGAGTGTGAAGAACGGGAGTCAGGTGATCGCCAGCAAGACATTCAACAACGAAGGGGAGGGGATGAAAGGCAAGGGCCAGCTACTCCTCCCGCAGGGCAAGTTCCAGAAGATCCTCATGGAGCGACTAGCGAAGCTAGAGGATAGGGCAGAGGTCAGACTGGGCTGGAGTGTCGAGGGCTTTACACAGTCCGACTCCAGCCCCTCAATCTCAGTCCAAACTAGCAGCTCCACAGGGCAAACAGACTCCATCTCCGCCGTCTATCTTGTCGGCGCCGACGGCGCCCACTCGCGCGTCCGCAAGTCCGCCGGCATCGAGCTGCAAGGCGAAACCCTCGACCGCCAGCTGGTCGCAACCGATCTGCGCTTCCCCTTCACAGCCCACGGCTTCGCCGACGCAAACTTCATCGTCGACCCCGAGCACTACGGCCTCATCGGCCGCATCGACAACACCGGCCTGTGGCGCGTCAGCTACGGCGTGCCCGCCTCGGTCTCCGAAGCCGACATCGCCGCCACCGCGCACGAGAAACTGCGCGCCATGCTGCCGAACCGCGGCGCAGACGCACACGGCGCGGACGCCTTCGAAGTCGTCAGAATCGCGCCGTACAGGGCGCAGCAGCGCTGCGCGACCTCGTTTGTCCAGGGCCGCGTGCTGCTCGTCGGCGACGCTGCGCATCGTACGTCGCCTGCCCTCGTCCCATCCCGCGCCGCCCTCGCCGCTGCTGACTCCCACAGTAACAAACCCGTATGCGGGTCTCGGTCTCGCGTCAGGCATCGCCGACGCCGACGCCCTCGCGCCGATCCTCTCGCATATCCTGCGCGGCAGCGCCACCGACGCGTCGCTGCTGCTGTCCTCGTGGTCTGCGGCGCGGCGCAAGACGTTCGCGGATGTCGTTGACGGGCCGAGTCGCGTGGCGTATGCGCGCGTGCGGAGCCGGGTAGATACGCAGGAGGATGTTGAGGAGCTGGTGGCTAGGGACGCGGTGGTAAGGGGGCTCAGGAGTGGGGTGCCTGTGCTGCCGGGGGGGTTGAGGACGGTGGGGGAGGAGCTTGAGGGGTGGTGAGGGGGGAGAGGAGAGGCCGGGGGGGTGACGGAGGTATCTAATGCATAGGGGAATGTTGAAAATTCCCGGTGGGCTTTGGAGGGGTCTTGCGATGAGGATTGCGTGAGGAGATGGGGTGGCATGGAGCGATGTGAGGAGTTAGGCCCGATGAAGAGCAAGCTGGATACCAATGTTTTTTGAATGCCAACTAATAGCATGATGGCTCTGAGAGTCGACATGCTTTGAGAAAATTCATTGTGTGGCATTCTGTGGAGGACTTGATGAAGGACTTGCATCCATGATACAATTCGTTTGCCATTGATCGAGAAGCCCTGCTACGCAGCACGGTCGTCACCTAGACACCTGTTCACCACTGCCCAGGTTGCCCTTGCCCTTTTCGCCGCCGGCTTGGCCATCATTCGTAGAACCCATAACCCGTCTCCTCGCTGAACCCTACGTGGGGTTTCCCGCAGGCCCTCTTGTCCTCGTCCGAGTCGTGTTCAGAGTAGCAATGGGTACTGCGCCGGAGAGCAGTCTTTCCTTTATCCAAACCAACCTGGAGGATGCCCATGTTGACACGCAGAAGAAATTCGGTTGGTAATGAGCGCTGCACACTGATGCTGAGCATGTCACGGGCGGACTGAACTCGATGCGAGATGCATTGCCGATTGCGATTCTTCTCCACGATACACCACTCCATGCGGTACTCGTCTGCTAGCTGCTGCAGAAAAGGGTGGCGTGGGGGCAGGTTAGCGTAGGCGTAGCGAACGACTTCGGTCCATTCTGGTGTCCAGGAGAACTGAAGAACCTCTTGTACTGCGCAACCGAAGGCACGGGCGAGATACTTGTCCCCGAAGACGATGGCTTTGACGTATCCAAGAACGATTGTGAAGACGTTCCTCGGAACACCCTCGGGTTCGGTACCCTCCAACATGCTAACAGTGAGCTTAGGTAGCGTACCTGCGTAGATCCAGTGTGCAAACAGATCGACTAAGTCTTGTGTTAGCGTTGCGTCCAAGCATTACACCAATCGCATTCGAATCAACCAAGTAGCTTGACAGTCGATATAGTCAATTACTTACAAGTCTCGACCTCAACGTCAGCCAAAGCTAACACACCATCCTCGGCTTCCTTCCACGGGCCGCTGAAGGCGTTGCGGAAGAAATCTGAGGAATGAGCCAGAGCATCTTGATGCAGACAATATCGTTTTTGTTCAGGTCCAACTATGACAACGACGGTTTTCCCACGAAGAGCAGGCCTAATACAGTGGTAAGCGATCTCGGTGGACTAGTGGAGAGTGAGCTGATAAGACACACCCCAGCGCAAGCTTTCTCCGCGTCGAGGTTTGATGTTGACGCATGTTACAGGATGTTTCGTACAGAATTGGGCAAGAAGCTGGAGCGTGGAAGGAAGATGGAAGGAAAGGTAGAAGATCAGATGGAAGCTTGCTGATGAGGTGGACAGGCAAATGGGTACACGCGTTCGGCAACGCAACGTTACGCTGTCACTTTTCCTGCAAACGAACATGTCAACAATACAACCATTAGACCGCGTTCAAATCCACCTCTTGAACCTGGGCAGCTCAACCGTCTCTGCGACTCGTGCACGGATTGTATCAAGCTTTTGGAGGCAATTGCGGTCAGTATCCTTGGTAGCCCAGATTTACTGGAGTCGACGCACGTAGAAGAGAAACAAACGAGCGCGATTGCTAAGATGATCGTACACATGTCGATGTTGGTATGTGGTAGAGATTCTCGACCTGATAGTAGCGAATCGACAACAGGGTTTCGCATTTCTAGGAATCTCAGAGCCTGCTGATGAGCTAAGAAAGGATCTGCGCTTGTCGAAAATCAGTCGAATCAGCAAGAGACTCAACACAGTTGAATGATGGCAATGATGTTGGACCAAAATACGTGTATTGTGCTGGAGGAGCGCGGTGATGGCGCTCAACTCCCTGATCGCTATCTGTCGATCTGAGCACTTCGCCCTCGAAACTCGTACAACACAATATTACAGCCATATAATACAATAATAAAAACCTCTGTATGTGCCCTTCTTCTGCACTAGAGAGGGGTGGAAGAGCCTGCAAGAGTTGGGAAAGTCCATAACGCCAGAAATGCGAAATCAAAAAGTCGTCAATAATCGAAATTGTCCAGCGATCCAATTCCAGCGGCGGCTAAAGCACACTCGACCGCCTCGTGGCGGTCCCAGAAGAACTCGCGCATCCAAGCGGCGATCATATCGAGGGCGGAGACCGCATTCGAGCTAGTCCAGATCTTCTCATGTCGGTTCCAGGCCTTGGTTTGCCATAACGTGTCTGGATAGCGCTGCTGCAGAGCGGGGATCAAACAGCGTGGTGCAGATGCTCGTCGCTCCCACAGTAAACCAGTTTGAGCCAGGTGCAAGATACCAGATGAAACGCTGAAGATGGCATGGAGATCGGGGCTTGAGCACTGTAAAGCGAGGAAGGATGTTGCTGCATCCGATAGCTCCCGTGTGGAGAACGATCCGGGCAAGATGAGCACATCGAACTGCGGTGCGTTTGCAAATGAGTTCTGATACAGTCAGCAATTGCGCTTTTGAACTCTTGCTTGCGGAGGACGGTAGGGTAGGGTATGTGTTAACCTTTATCTCCCTGCCAGAGACTCTAAGATGACCAGAACGGTCAGGTACAGGCGAATCCGGCAAGACCAGGAAGTGGTGCTTCTTGACCAAAGGAGTGGTTTGTGGGGCATTGCTGTGGTCGTGTTTGCTTGGAGCAATCCGAAACTAGCTCACCGTCACTGGCATTCGAGCGCCAGAGGTGACTGGAAACGACCCTTCTCCGGTCACACTGACATATCGAATGTCCACTTCATCGACAGCTTCATCGAGCGTACTCGCTGGTGTCTGCAACCTGCTGATCCGATTCCTGCCCAATGTTGATAGAAGGTCGACAGCGGCAAGATCTGAGAGTTGGATCTGGTCTTGGCCAAGGATGATGACTCCGACTCGCAACGAGGATTGTGAAGGAGGTGCGTAGCTGATGCCGAGATCTTCTGCGGATGTTGATGATGTCGTGCAGAAATAGAAGAGATCTTCGTCACTCGGGAACGTTGTATAACCTCGTGGTGGAGACGGCATGAGAGTGTGTGGATGTTTTGTGGAGTGTGTACAGAGAAATGATGACGGGACGGTCCCTAGAGAGGGTGATGGTGAGAAGGGCCTTACATACCGGCTTCGGCTCAACCTTTATATGATTTGGTGAAAGAAGGATGAAGGGCAAACATTGATGGACCAATGCACTCCGTCCAATTGACCGAAGTCCATCAGAGTCGACCGCGTCATTGCTAGCGTTGAGTACTGTACGCGCTTACCTGAAGTTTCCCGCTACACGAGAGATTGCATAGACGAAGTGGCCATTGCTCAACGTGGTGGAGGCTTGTTCTGATGTGCTCCCGTCTTTTCGCGAGGTTCAGCTTCCGAAGCGCATCCTACAACCAACTCTAAATGTGTCATCTCGGCGAAGATCTGCAACGTTCGCATTTCCTGCTCAATAAGCGAACCGTAGAAATATGTCCGAATCTACGATACTGCAGAGTGGTGAAGTCAACACTGCGAATGTTGACTGCCTGATGTAGCGCCTCAGGACAGGTGGTCAAAACGCCCAGGCAGCACAATTCGAACCCATCTGGTTGGAGCAACTGAGGGTCATCGCTCGGGGGTGCGGCGCGAGGGACGGGAGCCCCGAGCGCAGGTAAGCACTTGCTGTTTGGAATGAGTCGAATCTGATTAGACGGTGGCTGAGCCCGTTATTTGCTTGGTACCAGAGGGACAAGCCGGAAGTGTGAGGTAGCGAAGAGGGTGGGGACGGCCATGACGCCTCAGGCACGAGAAGTTTGACGGTCATCTGCCTCAGAAGTTACATCAGCGGGAAATTGTTGCAACAAAGATAGCAGCGGGCATCCCGTAAAGCGAGTCAACTGACAATGGCTGTCTCAATCGAGGTTCCGAGCGAGAATACGCCGGAAGACGGAACGGACAGGCGCTGTCAAGGCTGAATGCCGAGTGTCCGCGACCACAAAAGCAAAAGGCAGCACGTGGACAGTTGCGGCAGCTGCAGCCGTCTTGATTTACAGGTTTCATGATTCCGCAATATGACTGAGAGTGCGCATGCATGTCTGCTGGATTTTCTGTCGCACCTGCAATTACAGGCTATATGAAAGGCGTGCGTCTGTCTTCACGATGCAGCATCTTCACGCGCGATGAGTGAAAACATTCTTTGATTTGCGGTGCCCAACACCATTGTTATATGGGTTGTAGCACAGCAAGAGACTCAGTTGCTACGAAAGATGGTATCCATTGGTCGCTGCCAAAACAACAATACGCCGTAAAGAGATCGCTCGGGCTGATTTGCAGGGTTTAGATGTCCCTAGGAGTGCCATCGGCCTCACCCGACTTAACGGTCTTGCCGGTCTTCTTGATCTTCTCGAGTACGGTCTCGTAGGAGAGCGATTCTTCGGTGACAATGTCGGCGGTCTGGGTTTCGAGGGACACGTTGTACGACTTGACGCCTGCGCTGGTTAGTTGCCACGTTCTGTCGCCAAATGTGCCACAGAGCACTCACCATCGAGCTTCTTGAGCACGCGCTCAACGGCGCCGGAGCACCCGCCGCAGCTCATGGCGATGTTGAACTTGTAGTTGTGTTCGGACATTATGTGGTTTGGTGTGGTGTGTGCGGATTTGGAGGCGTAGGGTACGAGTGCAAGCTGTAGGACTACGGATGTGGGGAGGCGGTAACGGTGGGATGTTGGTGATGTGGAGCTATGAAGGCGTTGCGGCGACGCGGATTATATACACGGACTAGCACACGGCTTGGACAAAGACGGATTGCGCAAGTTTCGTGACTGTGTTGCAATCCGCTACTTACCGTAGATTACTATAGATTGCGGCGACTGCTGACATTCCCATCCAAAGGACGCACAGCTCGGGTTTCGCTGAGACCAGACGCGCTTCAGCGCCGTCCGTTGTTTCAGCACTGACTGCACTGTGGCGCGAAACTTGCTCATTGTAATAACATGGGTCAGAACAGACTACATCAACGGCAACCATACCAAGAAGACACTGTGTTGTTCTCGATGGCGTTCAGGCCTGGAGACTATGGAAGCATGAGCGCAACGCTACATGTTTGGCGCGTGCAAGCCAGTCAACATATGCCTCTGGTGAGCACTACTCTCGCTATAGTGGAATGCGCGACATGATGTTAGCATGCAGCATGCATACGCAAATTATCGTATCAGAGCAACAGCCTTGCACTATTCCGTCGCCTTCACGGGCGCGTTCCTGAACCACAGCTATTGCCCCGCGCATGGACCCCTGCGTGGCGGGGCACACCATGAGGCTCGGCTTGGTTCTGGCCCCGGTGACGTCTTTTCACCTGTAGCTCCAGCGCAACACCAAAACATTTCGTACCATGGCATCGTAAGTAAAGCACGAAACCCTGCGTCGCAGTTTAGACTCAGATATGGACAGCAACATCCTCTTCCTTCCCTTCCGGAAGTCGCATTCCGTTAATCTCACGGAAGCAATCAAGCAGTACATTTCCACCAAATATGACCAGCATCCAGATATGTTCAAGGCAGACCTTGAAACTATCGAGAAGCTGCGTTCTGCCGCAGTGCACGCACAAGAACCGCATCCCAGCAATATCTCCAAGCTACAACAATACGCAGCACAGCTAGTATGGCTGAGTGGGAAGTTCCCCGTCGACATCGGCGTCGAGTTTCCATGGTACCCAGCGTTAGGATACAATACGAGCCGTCCCGTATCGCGCAATAACCTCCGCTACGAACTCGCAAACATCATGTTCAACCTTGCCGCCATGTACTCGCAGCTGGCTATGTCATCGAATCGAAGCACACCAGACGGCCTGAAAGTCGCTGCAAACAACTTCTGCATGGCTGCTGGCACAACATCACATCTGCGAAACACAGTCCTGCCTGAGCTCCGGACCGAGCCTCCAGAAGACATGGATCTCATGACGTTGGATTGTCTGGAGAAGCTGATGCTGGCTCAGGGCCAGGAGTGCTTCTGGCAGAAGGCTGTCAAGGATGGCTTGAAAGATGCTACTATTGCAAAGCTCGCCGCCAGGGTATCAGATCTGTACAACGAGGCGACCGAGGCGGGCATACAGTCTGACTCTGTCAGCAGCGAATGGATACACCATATGACAGCCAAGCATCACCACTTCGCTGCTGCTGCTCAGTACAGGGCGGCGTGCGATGCATTGGAGAAGCGCAAGTATGGTGAGGAAGTTGCGAGATTGAAGGACAGTCTTACTTGCGTCAACGAGGCTCTCAAAGAGCAACGCTACATCAATAAGTTGGTGCTAGCCGATCTCAACGGTCTCAAGAACAGGGTCACTGAGGATCTGAAGCGTGCGGAAAAGGACAACGACATGATCTACCTACTGCCTGTCCCACCGAAAGCAGAGTTGAAAATCCTTGACAGAGCCAACATGGTCGTCTCGAGAGTGCCTAAGGAGATTGCCGACTCGAATGCACTGCTGGGAGAGAAAGGAGAACTTGGGCAAGCGCTGTTCTCGAAGCTCGTACCTTACTCTGTGCACCTGGCGGCTAGCATATACGTCGATCGTCGTGATCGACTAGTAAACACTACCATTGTTGAGGAACTTGAGAATCTGACCACTCAGATCCATGAAGTGCTCCGTAGCTTGAACCTACCAGGCTCTCTGCAGGCTCTCGAGAAGCCTCTCGGTCTTCCTCCAGGGTTGATGACCCACGCAGAGGAGATTAGGCAGCAGGATGGCATTCATCGACTCGAGCGCTCCATGGAGGATACGCAGAAGCTTATGTACAGTGACCAAGCGGTTTACAACGAGGGCGTTGAACTTCTCAAGTCGGAAGCTGTGGAGGACGAGAATGCTCGACGACGCTACGGAACGGCGCTCTGGACAAGACCATCTGCAGAACAGGCTGCATCTAAGCTCTATGGCCAGATCAAAGAAATCGATGGGTATTTCAAAGCAGCGTCAAACAGCGACAACATCGTCAAGACGAAGTTGAGGGAGAACGAGCGCTTCATTAGACTCCTCAGTGGACCCGACCATGATCTGGAGAACTACGTACCTAGTGGCCGCCGGCCAGCTATCACCGGTGACGTTGAGCGGGAAGCAGGCAAGTTGCGCGGGTGTTTCAACGAGGTGAGCCGTCTTGAAAGCAGGAGACGCCGGAAGATTGAGGCCTTGCGAACCAAAGCGAAGCAGGATGACATAAGTAAGTCACCGATCTGTCCCCCTGTCATAGTTTGCTGACGGTGCTAGATCCTGAGTTGCTGCGCGAAGCCGCTCGCTTAGAGCGGGAGTATCCTATGCAGACCATCGAGGCTGTACAATTCGAGGGTCTCTTTGATAGGCGGCTGCAGATGTACGATGCCGATCAAGACATGATCCAGGAAGAAGAAAGGGAGCAGGCAGAAGCGATCAAGCGATTACAAGACGCCAATGCATCCTTCTTAATTGCGCGACGGGGCGATCAGTCTACAAAACAGCGCGAACAAGCCCTGCAAAATCTGGAGAACGCATACTTCAAGTACAAGGAGATCATCTCGAACTCCGACGTTGGCCGCAAGTTCTACAACGACCTTGCTAAGATTGTCAACCGCTTCCGCGACGATGCGCGCGGCTTTGCCTACCAGCGAAAGTCCGAGGCATCGCAGATCGAGAGGTAAGTCCTAGACTATGCACTCAGTTGGCACCATGTGCTGACAGACCTGCAGTGACTTAGCAACTCGAATGAGTTCTCTAAACCTCCAGCAAGCGAACTCGGAGTCGTTGCAGCAGCAGAAGAAAGCCGATGCACAGAATCCGCAATATGGGGCAGATGCCCACGCAGAGACACCTCTTACTGCACCAAAGCCTACCAGGGCGAGTATACCGCCCCCAGGTATGTGGACTCCGGATGTTGGGATCAAGTTCGGTACAGTGGGGGCTGTCCCTACCTCGTCTGGCAATGCAAGACCTACAAATGGTCCTGCACAGGATGGACGATGGGACCCGACTCAGGGACTGAAGTTTGCTTGAGCGGGACACAGAGCGTTGTGGTCCAGACGCTGGGCCTGTTGTGCACCCAGTCCTCCGGTTCGAACGCCACAGTTGATCTGGATACATCAGTTGTAGCAAACTTTAATGCAGTAGGTAGAGGCGGTCGTGACACCTTGATATGATGCAATTGATGGTAATTGCGACCACGATTCCACCTCAGCTTGCAGCTGTAGTCGCGGAAATAGTGGCAGCGGGAAGGGAATCTGCCTTGGTGGACCAATCTGCCTCACAGGGTTGTGGCTGTGCAAACCACAAACGTGCACAACCATTTCAAGTGGACCGCGATATGACTTCATCGGCGAATACGCGTTCTACGGTCTGCGCGCCACAAGAACAGTGATTTAGTTGTTCGAGGAGATTGCACACCAAGCTCTTGGTATTAAAAGGGTGCCGGCGTGAGTAGTGGAATTCTACTCGCGATGAGCGCTCCGTGATATCTCGCCAATTTTCGGTCATATTTGAGCCACAACCAGCATCAATCAGCTAATGCGACTTGAGTACGCAATCCATCCATCACCGCACGATTACACTTTTACCAAGATCCTGTCGAACCACTCGCGCGGTGTTCAAGGGTTGTAAGGCTGAGGCTGAGCAGCGCGTCGTCGCGGCACCTTCCAAGACACTCAAGACGCAACCGCCCAGACAAGCAATCCGCTACAGCAGAACGATCGCCCTCGGTAGCTCTGACGAATACGCACGCGACAAAGGTGGACGCCCTCGAAGCTCTACTCAACGCCGGCGCGTCTGCTCATTGCTGTCTTGGGCGCGCATTGCTGCCGGTAGCCGTGATCAACGTCACGGCGAACCCCCACAGCGGCGGCGCGTGTCACGCCCCGTGCCGCAGGCTCGTATCTACGAGGGTTTCACGTTTTCGAGAACCTGAAACCAGGAACGCAGTCGAGGGCCTGCTGCAGCGCGCAGAGGTAGGCGCCGGGGAGCTCATCGCGGGGCGCATCAGAATAGCATCAACCTAGCCCCAAACGGGCATCATCGTCTCTTGCTGCACAGCCCACCTCACTGCGTTGTGTTCACCGCGAGGGGACTCACACAGCCTCCTTCACTCTCCAGCCTCAGCCCGGAAAAGCCAGGCACGCGTCGCTCGCGGCCTCTCGACCACTCAGTGAGCGCGAATCCGAGCTTGAAGTGCCCGCGCCCCCGCTCGTTGCTAGACAAGGCTACCTCACGTTGTCCCTGGGCCTAAGCGCGCCCGTCTACCTCACTCCTTGCACGCCAGAATAGCAACACGCGCAACCACAGCCATGGACAGCATGCAGCAGCGCGGGCGCTCGCCGTCTGCAGGCCACCGCGCCCATATAAGGCAAACGCCGTCGCCGTCACCGCATGCGCCTTTCCACAACAACGCGTCCGGCCTCGGCTTCGATCAATCCCAGCTACTGAACGACCCCGCCAGCTTCGCCGTCAGCCACGCCCAGCTCACGCCCTCGCAGTATTTGTCCTCGGTGCAGTCGCAGCCCTTCCCGCCGCAGCAGGTGCTGTCCGACCAGGCCTTCCTGCACTCCAACCCCGCCCTGTCGCAGCACAACACGCCGCACTTTGGGCCGCAGGGAAACGCCCTCACCCCCGACCCGCTGGACATCACCAATCCCGGCCCGGCTGACTTCAGCAACTTCTTCGCCGGCAACGACCTGAACCAGGCGCACGCGATCAACCCCGCGCAGTTTGGCAACTCGCTGGACCCCCACCTGCTTGAGAGTCAGCCGCAGCAGCAGAACCTCTCCATCAACCCCACCGACCTGATGGCCCAGATGGCCACCTCGCAGCCGCATGCGCCCACGCCGCCGCACCTGCTGCCAAACGCCATGCACAACCAGCGCAGCCCCAGCCCCCATGCGTCGCCGCACCAGAACCAGGGTGCCTTCTCGCCGCCCACCCACTCACGGCACCCCTCCCTCAGCCACTCGACTCTCGACCCTAGTGCAGCGTATGGACAAGGCACCGAGTGGGCGAACATGGCCAACTTCAGGGGACATAGGCGGACTCCCAGCGAGTCTGCCTACTCAGAGATCTCTTCGGCGCACGCGTCGCCGTTCTTGGTCACTCACGACAGCTTCGAGGAGACGCAGCCGTCGCCAAACCTCAACGCGCAGGCCGATCCCCAGCTGTTCCAAAATCCTATTTCACAGTTCGATCAATTCAACTTGAATGACGGCGCACACATCAGCCCCGGTCACAGCCCTGCGATTTCGCCGCGTCTAATTCCACAGCAGCAGTCGTTGCCCGCGTTCATGCCTGGCAGTTTTGGTCTCGAGTCAAACATGAACCACCACTTTAATCAACAGCAAGGAATGGGCTATCAGAACCAGGGCACTGAGGCATTCCCTTCACTCAACGACTTCGGCCAGGCTGATACAATGTCCCCTCCTGAGATCAACATTGACTTTGCCCCGCCATCGCGACAAGCAAGCTTTGAGCCACCTAAACCGGGGAGTACTGCTGATGCTCTGACCGATACTCTAAGCCCACCAGACCGATGTAAGTAGGCTATCTGACTCTCACAAACATCTACTAATGCCCAGCAGCGAGGAGTCGTAACAGGACGCGCGCCAAGTCTGACCCTTTCAGCAGCGCGAGCTCGCGCGCCTCCACACCCGGCTTGGAGGTCCACCGATCTTTGTCTCCCAGCGCTGCCAAGTCGCGCTCACCCTCGCCTTCTGGCAAATCCTCCCGCCGCTCGTCGACGTCGAGTGTACCTAACCGAGATTATATTCTGGATCTTGCAGATCCCTCGCGACCCAGCAATCCTGGGGATGGTTCCAACCCCAAGCGCACGCAAAAGCACCCAGCCACTTTCCAGTGTACACTATGCCCAAAGCGTTTTACCCGAGCCTACAACCTGCGTTCGCATCTGCGCACTCACACCGACGAGCGCCCGTTTGTGTGCAGCGTTTGTGGCAAGGCATTCGCTCGCCAGCACGACAGGAAACGACACGAAGGCCTGCACTCGGGAGAGAAGAAATTTGTCTGCCGCGGTAATCTCAAGGAGAACGGTCATTGGGGTTGCGGCAGGCGGTTCGCTCGTGCAGACGCTCTTGGTCGTCATTTCAGGTCTGAAGCTGGCCGCGTCTGCATACGACCCTTACTCGAGGAAGAAGCGCAAGAACGAGGTGGCTGGGACGGTCAGCAACAACCCATGGCTAACGGCAACGGCATGTTCAACCCCGCGCCGCAGAATTTTGGCGGCATGATGCAGACACAGCCTGGCTACGAAAACTTCCCGCAATTGACACAGGCGCCTCAGCCCTTCCTGCCCGCTGCGCTGCTCGCCCAGTACCCAGCTCTTGCGACCATGGACTGGAACTCTATGCCCCTGAACGGGCCTGACGAGGCTGATGAGATCAGCGGCCGCAGCAGTTTCGATGCTAGCAGCGGAGGAGAGTACTACGAAGACGAGAGCGACAACTACCAGCAAGGCCAGCAATCAGTCTTCGCAGGCAATAACAGTGGCTGGGTGAGTGACAGCTACGATGGGCGAAATTAGGAGTCTCTGCCCTAGCACTGCGACGTTCACATCTTTGGCCTTTCTTTTTTCAACGGCCTCGCGCTTGGGTTTATGATTGTGGCTTATTACTCTTCTGATACCTTCTTCTTTTTCAAGATACCACTGTCACTGCAGACATGCATGTCATGTTTCGTGCGTTGTTTACTCAGGGTCCAATATACCCCAGCCTTGGAAAGTTCTTGTTCGGATTGGTGTTTTGAAGACTCGCGATTGCGGTCACTTTCTAGGTGTTTTGGTCCATAGATGATACCATAGCAAAGATGATCAAAGTTCCAAACAAGCATGTTTCCAGTGTCTGCGTCTTGGTGCACAGTGTCTTTGACTCGCGCTCTGTTTCCTTTGACGTCCACGGCACAATGTGTTTGCTCCAGAATGACCACTCCTTCCTTTGTCTTCGCGCCCTTTCACCCTCGCCGTCGATAAATGAGTCTGCATCTACCCAATCCGCCCCGACACTAACAAGCACGCATTTGCAACCCATAAGAAAGCAGCCTTTAAGCACACATACAACCCACGAAAAAAGTAGTATTGCAACACACCCAACCAACATGGTAACCACAGCACCACCCCAACCAGCCCCACCCTTCCTCTCCCCCCCATCTCCCACTCCCCCAGACAAACCCTCAGACAAACCCCCCCACCCCTCCCCCTTCCCAACGAAACCCGTCCTCCTCACCGCCCTCACAACACACGCCCTCACCAACCCCGCCCCCTACCTGCACCCTTATACCCACCTCGCAGCCCTCAGCTCCCGCGTCTTCCTCGCCGTGGCCCCGCTGCTGCGGCTCGCGCGCACCGTAGCACTGTACCTGTGTGTCTGGGCCGCGTGCGCGGTGCACGTCGCATACCGCGTTGTCTGCGGCGCGGGCGCGTGGGGCTGGGCGGTGCTGTGGCGCGTGGGGATGCTTGCTGGGGTGCTGTTTGCGGTTTCGTTGGTTTGCGTCGCGTGTTCCGGGTGGGTGGCGTGGGGGATGGGGCTCGAGGAGTGGGTGGGGGGGTTGTGGTGCTGGGTTTGGGGCGCTGGGGAGGGGGAGGAGGAGGGGGAGTTGCCGAGGGGGTTTTTAAGGGGGCGTGTGGAAGTTCCGGAAGCGCTGCTGTCTGCGCGGGAGAGGTGTGGCGGGTGTGGGTGTGGGGATGCGGCCCGGGGGAGGTATTGGAGGAGGTTTGATTAGGGGGTGGTATCGTAGTAATGGACTCACGTATTTGCGCTTAGATTTTTGGTTCTGTTCTAGCATTTCCCGAAGACGTCGCAGCGGCACTGGGCTTCGGTGGGGCACCATGCGCTCTCTTGCCCGAAGATGACGTGCCAGATCTTCTCGAAGACTTCTCCTGCGCTGTCGTCGTCGATCTTCGTGCTCGCCAGCCATGACCAGTACCGCGTGTACTCCTCCACGCTGCGCTGGCGAATCTTGTCCCTAGACACCACAAATGAATTCCCGCTCGCCCCCCCAATCTTCTCTGGAACCCCTGTCGCGTTGAAGATCTGCATCCACGCCTTCCCCATGTTCGTCTCCATCGTTCTGAACTGATCCGGCGGGTCGCGGCTGGGCAAAACAGGATCCTCGCACTCGACCTTGCTCGGACACCGTAGCGGCGCATACCCAGCTTTCTTCACATGCGCCACGTCCAGACTCTCAATGCTCTGCACAGGCTCCTTGTTCGGGATGCGCCAGGCCTCCTTGTCGGCCTCCTGGTCCTGCAGGCCGGGCGGCACGAACACGATGACCTCGGAGAGGTAGTCATAGTTAGTGATAAGCCAGCGCAGGTACGCGTCGGCGATGCGGCCTTTGTCGACGCGTTGGGCGCCAGCGTGCAGGTGTGCGAACGAGGCGTCGATGGTGATGACTTGGTTGCGCCACTCCGGGCGCAGTTTGAGGAGCCAGTTGAGGTCTTCTCCTTTGAGTTGAGCTTTGACGATGAGCTTGGGGGGCGGCGGGGTTGCCGCCGGTTCATCTGGTACGGGGGGACGGATGTCGGGCGTCGATGGCTTGACGTAGGGATAGCTGCCTGGGATGTGGTTTCGTATCCTTGTTATTGTTGATTTTGGGGTGAAGAAGAAGGCGACACATGTCAAGAGGACAAGTGAACATGTTACGAAGAGGCGCCCGCGTAGTGTGCTTAGCGGTGGTGGTGAGAGGCTCAGTGTACGGCGATGTGTGACCCCCATTTTCCAGCTCTTTACATGTAGATCAAGAATTACGCAAGTTTCCTCCCAAAATCCCTTTGATGTTCGATTGCAAAATCGGAGGATGTTTCCGGTTGGTTTTGTAGTAAACGCTGAGCTGTAAATGGTAAATACCAGTACCTATGAAATGGGGCCGGACTTTGTCCGCAGTCTGTGCGCTTCCCCTGACCGACTGCGAAGGCGCGCTATTACGGTGCTTCTGTGGAGCTTCGAGTCGGGACACGAGTGGCTTAGAATTATGTCCGGCTTTCTAGCTTGCATCAGGCACTTGAAGCCGTGAGACGCGCAAGTAAGACTCAAGGACGTCGCAACATTGGAAGGAATCGAAGCATTGTTTGAAACGATCATGGATGGCCTGAATGCCCAGTACGAAGCTGGGCAATTGGACCGGGTGCTGAAACCCCTGAGAGATTGTATTAAATCGCCGTATCTCGAGTATCTACTTCTCACGGAAGCCCAAACCACTGCTACTTCTCGGCGGTGGGCTGACGGTGCTGCCCCTTCTACTGGCGTCCTTTCCATCCTTCCCCTCAGTGGTAGCCTCGCGCTCCAGGAAGTCCTGCCACAGCTCTGCCAGCGACTCCTTGTTACTTGAGCTACTGGCCATAAGCATGGGATCCGACATGGAGCTGAGCGACGGCGTGCTGGGCGTCCGGCGGAAAGGCGACACCGGTACGCCCAGTCTGGAGTGTGTGCCTGGCCGCGCGAGACCGGCTTGCTCTTTTTGTTCTGTAAGATGTCAGTATGGACGCTATATAGCTTGACGTTGTGTGACTCGAGACATACCTTCTGTCCAGCCCAGCAACATCGAGATGAGCTGCAAGGCCTCAAACTTCTTCGGGTCGGAACGATCGATTGCCAAAAAGTGCAGGAAGTAATTTGTAATGATCTGGCGGTCGACGTTGTCTTCTGGTCGTCCCTTTTTCAGAATGCGCAGCGCTTTTGTGAGATGCTCGTTCAACGTTACCGCCTCGTGTCGCAGTTTGCCAATCAGCAGATTCTTCTCCTTGACTTCTTTCTCAAACGGCAAGGCTCTTTCCAGCTCCTTCTGCGTCGCTTCGACCGAAGCTGTGGCGGCTTTCGATGCTTCTTGTGCAACCTGGACCTGTTTTCGGAGCTCGTTGATCTGTGCTTCGTACGTCTCCACGGACTTTTTAAGTTCAGTTCTTCGCACTGCAAGTTGTAAGCATATATTGGAGTGCTGTTGCGAGACAACGCACGAGTCTGCACTTCTTGTAGTGCCTTTTGAAGCCCTTCGACAGCCTGGTTGTTTTGGTCTCTGTCTCTTGCAGCTCGTTCGTACTCGTCTCTGAGGCCGTCAAGCTGGTCTTTCAGCTCGGCTTCCTTCTCAGACAAGCTTTCGCGTAACGACCGCTCGTTCATGGCCAGCACTTCCCAATCCTGCATAGCCTGTTTTGCATTGTCAAATTCCTCCCGTGCGTATGCTTCACGGGATATGAGCTCATCGCGCTCTTTCACCCAGTTTTGCTGCGAAAGATTTGATCTGGTCCGTAGATTGCTGATCTCGGTCGCCTGTGATTCGTTTTCTTGTCGCAATTTCGCCAGCTCTTCGCTAAGGCTACTGTTCGTTTCCTGCAGTTCGCCGTTCTGGTCCTGTAGGTCTGCGATCTGAGTCTCGTACTCCTCCATCTTGGCCTGCCAACTGTCAGTATCTCCGTTCCCAATTAAGCTCTCGCAGAATAATACACACCGCATCAGCCTTCATGCGATTGCCCAGGCTTGTCTTGATTGTGTTCACTCGCCCCAGAAGGTTGTTGTACTGCGTCTCGAAGTGCTCCTTGCCCTCGTTTGCTTCCTCGAGTTCCTCTCTCAAGGCCTGGACTTCCTCCTCATGCCTCGACTCAGCACCTTCGGCAGCCTGACCATCATGTCTGCTTTGTATGCTCTCCAGACTCTTTCTTAACTCAGTGACCTCCTGCCGCAGCGCATCTCGTTCCTTCGCTATCGCGTCGAGTCGAGCCGTGGTTTCGGAGTCTGACGGCGGAGATGGGGACATGTGTGGCGAGCGCGAGCGCGAGAAGCCCAGAGCGACTGCGGAGGCTATGCTGTGTTGGTGTGTACCGTTGGACTGAGCTATCGTGGGGGAGAGTGGTTGCTCGTCGTCGTCGACATCGTCTGCGTCTCGGTCGGCTGCCAGCGCAGACGCAGAAGCAGATGTCTGCTCATCTTCGTCTACATCATCGTCGTCTCCCTCGGTTCTGTCGTGGCTGCCATTCGTTTGCGCGATCTCGTCGGCCTTATTCGCTCCTTGGCTGCCACCCTTCTTCTTGTTCTTCTTCTTTTTAGACTTTGACGGGGACCCTGCGCGCGTATCGTCAGCTTTCTCCGTTGCAGACCGTGCAGTTGTTCCGTGCGATGTTCCGGCAACACCGCGCGTCTAGATGCAAGACCAGAAACTGCGAGCTCACCTACCACTTTGGTTTACAGGGTCTGCAATCGCTGGCGCAGACATGGTGTAGATTGCAAAGCGGCTGAACGAATGAATACGCAAGGAAAGCTACAGGGCAATCAAAGCATGGACAGTGGGCAAGGGAGCAGCGATCGAATGTTGACTTGGCGCGTCGTGTCCCTACGGAACCCTTTGGTCTCGGGGACGGCGCAAGCACGTCACTAGCCACGGCACGAGCCACTTGTTCCGTGTCTAATCCGAGGCGGCGACTGAGGTTCTCGACATTGGCTTGAGCGACCTCAAAGCAGTTATGATACAGACTAGAAGAAGGAAAGCGTTTCGGTGTTGACATCTTTAGTCTGTTGACTAGGTAGACCGAGTGATTGGAGCACCATAATGAACGCATTGCTTGCGGCCTTTGCGGGGTACAACATGTCTCTGTGCATAATCTCTATTTAAACCGGGCCCTTCCCTTTCTCTTTCTCCACAGGTGCCACTGTGCAGCTAGTATGAGATACTACAAACCCATGCTGTACTCGGCCATTGCTATCATCTACGCATCTCTCGGCTTCCGTATCTTTAGGTTGGCTTACATCTCAAACCAACGTGGTCAGCACACGGGTCTACGAAACGCACAGTCACGATTCTCGTAGGCGATGGTCGTTCGACGAGAGCGGGTTGCATTGACGAGACTATTAGCTGAGACACCGTGCTCGAGCAGCCCATGAGGGCGACCCACTGTCAGCCGTCTGCCCGAGACGCTTGCAAAAGCTGGGATATATATTTTACAACTCGCCTTCTATCCATCGATCACATCTCTTCCCAACTTCAAGTTGGATATCTTCGATAGTATAGTGGTCAGTATTTCTGCTTGTCATTCTTCGGAACAGCTCGCAGGAGGCCGGGGTTCGATTCCCCGTCGGAGAGATTCGATCTTTTTGTCTTTTTGCTGGCGCTCCAGCGTTTCCGAAGCAGCAGCTGGATCGTCTGTAGGTGGTCTCGCTTTTTGGCCTGTGCAGAGATCGCAGTGTAGAGTCAAGTCTTGCACGTCACCGAATGCTGGTAGCTGATATCAAAAGTGTGCTTTCGCTATTTACAGCACGTCAAGCTATCATATGTCATGTCGAGAAACACCATGTGGTGTCGTTGATTGCAAAACGTCCAAAGCGCCAGTGGTATGCTCGCCAGCTATGGTACAATATCGTCCACGCCTCATCCTGGTATGGCGCTTGTGTTGTACATCTATTCTCCGAGCCCGTTTCAGAGCTCGATCCTTTCCTCTGCAAGCAGCGGAGCCAGACAGCGATCTGCATATGCTGGTCCGAGCATTCCTCGCAGTCTCTTATTTGGTCCTCCTCGCCTCCGCCTTGTTGAAGCCCCAGCCGGTGTGCTTGAGGATCTGCGCCTCCTTCTCCTCGCGAGGGTCCGCCTCCATCGTCCGGCCGTTCTTCTTGTACTCGCGCGCCTCGCGGTGCAGTTGCTTGCTCTGCTTTGCGGTGGGTCTCCTAATGGACCAGTTGAGCTGGCGGAAGATGTTCGTCTTGATGGCTGCGACAGACGTCAGACACTTTCACATGCTACGGTCCGCTGCGCAACCTACCGTCGACACAGTACGGGCACAGAATGTGTGCACGCTTTGGCCGCCCGCATGCAGAGCACTTGTTCAGTGATGTGATGTCCTTGATCTCCTTGCCCGCCAGGAAACGTGTGCGCTTCTTCATGTATGACGTCTTCTTCTTGGGCACTGCCTTGAGAATGCCGTCCCAGATCTCACCCAGCGAAGGGAGCGCCGGCAGCGACAGCGACGGAATGGCGAGTGCGGCGAACGGCGTGGACTGCGCGAGGCGCTGCAGGAACGGCAGGTGCAGGACGGGGCGGACGGGGCCATTGATGCCGCTGAGGCCGGGCATCAGCGTCTGCCACAGCGGGGGCAGCGGTCGGGCGAGCGCCATGATGGGGAGTGCGGCGGGGCGGGCGTGCGGGCGCGTGAGACCCTCCAGCGGTGTTGGTGATGGAGAACAAAATGCACCCCAGCCCGAGCGCCGGTCCGCACTTACCACCCCCGTCGTAGCGCGCTTTCGCCTGCCCCTTTCCCTGCGCCTGCGACTCCGCGAGAAAGTCGCCAGCGCAACGTCCCTGACTGTCGACTCCCCATACTTCGTCCCGTTGAGCCACCACCCTCCCACGCCCACGCCGCCCACCGCAGCACTCTCGCAGCACTCTCGCACCACCAGACCCGCCAACGAGGCCCACAGCACCCGCAATGGCTGCCGCCCCTCCGCAGTCCATCTTCCCGGACAGCTATGTCGGTTTCGACAGCATCACCAAGCAAATCGAGAAGAAGTCGGTGAAGCGGGGGTTCCAGTTCAACGTCATCTGCGTTGGTGAGCTTCGTGCAGCTCCGTGTGCCCTTGCAGCCAGCTAACGCGTGCGTCAGGCCAGACTGGTCTCGGAAAGTCGACTCTCATCAACACCATCTTCGCGTCGCACCTGATCGACAGCAAGGGCCGCCTCTACCCCGACGAGGAGACGCGCTCCACCACCACCATCCACCCCGTCTCACACACCATCGAGGAGAACGGCGTGCGTCTGCGCCTCAACATCGTCGACACACCTGGCTACGGTGACCTGATCAACAACGAGCGCTGCTGGGACCCCATTGTCAAGTACATCAAGGACCAGCACAGCGCCTACCTACGCAAGGAGCTCACCGCCCAGCGCGAGCGCTATCTGCAGGACACACGCATCCACTGCTGCTTGTTCTTCATCCAGCCCTCTGGCCACGCTCTGAAGCCCATTGACATCGTTGTGCTGAAGAAGCTCAGCGAGTTTGTCAATGTCGTGCCTGTCATTGCCAAGGCAGACAGCCTGACACTTGAGGAGCGTGCTGCCTTCAAGGAGAGGATAAAGGCCGAGTTCCAGTTCCACAACCTGCGCATGTACCCCTACGAGAACGAGGAGGACGACCAGGACGAGGTCGCCCACAAGACCCAGATCAAGGTGCGCAATACCAGATCAGAAGATACCCGAGGCACTGCTGACATGACCTAGGACCTTGTTCCCTTCGCCGTTGTTGGTTCTGAGAAGACTGTTGTTGTCAACGGCCAGAATGTTCGCGGCCGCACGACCAAGTGGGGTGTCATCAACGGTACGACCAGGCCTCGATTCATGAAACACTTGACACTAACTCTTAACAGTCGAGGACGAGAACCACTGCGAGTTTGTCTACCTCCGTAACTTCCTGACACGCACCCACCTCCAGGACCTCATCGAGACAACCGCCCAGATCCACTACGAGTCCTTCCGCGCCAAGCAATTGCTTGCCCTCAAGGAGAGCTCTGCTGTTGGCGGCCACTCGTCTCGTCCCATTTCCCCGTCGGCCGACCGCGAGCTCAGCAGGAACAGCCAGCGCATGACAATGAACGGCTACTAGGAGTTGCCGAACCACAGCCGCGTCGACAGCCTTCCTGGGATGAAGGTTGGCCAGCCCCCGCCACGCATGGAACGGCCCGCGCCAATCATCGATGTCTAGACGGAGGTGGGAGACGCAGCAGATATGTGCATGTCCAGGAGTTTTCGACATGTTTTGATACCAGTGCGCTTAGCACCAAACCCGGGGGAGCAATGAGGGGCATTATGTTCACCAGACTTCACTTTTACCAGTTTTCTCAATATCTTTTTTAGTTTCGATGAGCTTCTTGGCCTTGATCTTCTACGTCATAGCACGGTGTAGTGGTGGGCTTGGGCCTGGGTTTAACTGGTTATACCCTGGCTCCTTCGGGAAAGCGTAGTGATGAAAGTAATACCAAGATGGCGCTTCTGATTCTATTGTGAAATTTGGTGTTCGCCGATGTTGGTGATGCTCCTGCCTGTGGGAGAGGTTGCTCCTTCTCTTCTACACGAGTGTCGAACCATGTCGAACCATGTCGTCCCTCACATCGTACGACCGGTATCGTGTTGAGCCTCGACGTGCAGTCACAACCGCGTGTCGTGCTTTAGGCACAGCGCACCTCGCTCCAGTGGCTCAAAGGGTTGTGCTCGGACTCTCGTCCACGCGACGCGTCCTCTCAACGAATCAGCCTCGAGCCTCCAAAATCCTCCATACTATCATCTCCTTTCTTGCCTCCCTTCTTCCCGCCCCCATCGCTCTCCAGCCTCACATTGCGCGCCTTCGCCGCTCCGCCGCCCCGCTCCGGCGACTTGGCGTCCTTGCCAGGCGCGTTCTCCCCCACAATGCGCTCGATGACTTTCGCCTTCGCGCCTGCGCGCTTGAACCGGTCATCGAAGTCCTCGACACCGGCTTCGGTGTTCGCGGTGCTGAAGGTGAGCGGGTCGGTGAGGTGGTAGAGAAGCGAGGTGTTGGAGAGGAGTCTGGAGGAGGGGTTGGCTAGTGGTGGGAGGGGGGTGTGTGCGCTGCCTGCTGTTGTCGTTGATGTAGTTGGTTCTGTGGTCGTTGCTGGGTTTTTGACTCGGCGTGCTAGCCGTGAGCCCCAGACTGCGCCGCGCCCGTGCAGTTCTCCCAGCGCGGAGAACTTCTCGAAGCCCTTTTCCAGCCCGAAGATTCGGCCTTCGATCCGGCCGGCGCGGGCGCCGTCTGCGACGCCTTGGTCGTGGGCGGTGGTGTAGAGGGTGTCCTCGAGGGTGAGGAGGTCGTCGAAGGGGTCGGCGCTTGCTGGTGACATTTTGATTGTGGTGATGGTTTTAAACAGCTTATGGCCCAGTGTTACTTCAAGCTCGAGTGAGGTCTTGTACTGTCTTCCTGCTCTTTCAAGGGTACCGGCAGTCCTGGAATACCGCACTGCGCACCTTCGTCTGGAACCGCTCGATTCGGTCTTTCGTGATGCAAGGACCGGCTTTTTTCTTAGTGACAGAAGCTTTTGGTGTTTTTGAATTTGGGTCTGCCAGTTCAAGATTTTCTTGGTCAAATACCGAGTCAAAATAGCTGACGAATCAAAAACCCTGCAAGTAGCCTGATAATTACAGTCACGTTCAAATCGGCTTCATACTCTACATGTATATAGAACCATAAAAACATGTCAAGGGTCGGCAAATAACTGTCTTGCCGAAGCGTAGACTGACGCGATGTGGCGTTGTGGCTAGTGCGACCCGCGAATCGGCGGGGTTGGAGGGGCAGCGTCGGTACCATACGAATGTTTGGAGAGTCTTGAGTCACTTCACAACCACATACAACAAAAACAGCTACAGTACTGGTCTGTGGCATATATCACATCTCAAGGAGCTCAAAAGTATATCATAGGGTTAGTCTTGCAGCTCCAGCGCTACTCTGAATCACGAATCCACAAGAATACAGCTGATATCGACCCCAGGAATATTCGATGAGCGGCACCAAGAAGATCATCCTCCCCGTGGAGGGCGAGCGCAACGTGCTCATCACGAGCGCTCTGCCCTACGTCAACAACGTTCCCCATCTGGGCAACATCATTGGCAGTGTCCTTTCTGCTGACGTTTTCGCTCGTTTCTCTCGTGCGCGAGGCTACAACACCCTCTACGTATGTGGAACCGACGAGTACGGTACGGCGACCGAGACAAAGGCAATCGAAGAGAAGTGCACACCACAGGAGCTTTGTGACAAGTACTATGCGTTGCACTCGGAGGTCTACGAGTGGTTTAACATCAGCTTCGATCACTTCGGCCGCACGCCCACACAGCAACAGACCGATATTGCGCAAGATATATTCACAAAACTGCACAAGAACGGCTTCCTCGAAGAGCAAACCACAACGCAGCCGTACTGCGAAACCCACAAGAGCTTTTTGGCGGACCGATTCGTCGAGGGTACCTGCCCGCTGTGTAATTACGAAGATGCGCGAGGTGACCAGTGCGACAAGTGCGGTCATCTGCTCGACCCTCTTGAGCTGAAGAACCCCCGCTGCAAGCTCGACGGAGCAACGCCAGTCCCGCGCGAAACGAAGCACGTCTACCTCTGCTTGGATAAGCTACAACCGCTGGAGGAGGAGTGGTTCAAGAAGTCGAGCACGGAGGGCAACTGGAGCTCTAACGGCGTGCAAATCACGGCATCTTGGCTCAAGGAGGGTCTGCGCGCGCGAGGCATCACGCGTGATCTGAAGTGGGGAACTGCAGTCCCACTCGAGGTAAGGCATTTGAGCCGAGCGGCAAGCAATGGACTAATGAGTTTCTAGGGCTATGAGGATAAGGTCATGTACGTATGGTTCGACGCCTGCATTGGCTACGTCTCGATCACAGCAACATACACCGATGAGTGGGAGAAGTGGTGGAAGAACCCCGAGAACGTCAAGCTGTACCAGTTCATGGGCAAGGACAACGTGCCGTTCCACACCGTCGTCTTCCCATGCTCGCAGATCGGCACCAAGGACAAGTGGACCATGCTCAACACCATTTCAACAACCGAGTACCTGAACTACGAGAAGGGCAAGTTCTCCAAGTCGAGAAATATTGGCGTATTCGGCAACAACGCGAAGGACACTGGCATCGCGTCTGACGTCTGGCGCTACTACCTCCTCTCGCATCGACCGGAAACCGGAGATTCAGAATTCGAGTGGGACAGCTTCATTGCGGGAAACAACAACGAACTGCTGAAGAACCTGGGTAACTTCGTGAACCGTGTCATCAAGTTTGTCAACTCAAAGATCTACGATTCGGTTGTTCCAGATTACACTAAGTTCGAGGACGACTACTTCGTCTCACACAAGAAGAAGGTCAACGACTTGCTGAAGAAGTACATCGAGGAGCTTGAGGATGTCAAGATCCGCGCGGCACTGAGCACAGCATTGCACTTGTCCAGCTTGGGCAACCAACTGCTGCAGGACAACAGGCTTGACAACAACCTTGCCACAACCGAGCCCGAGCGATGTGCTGCAGTCGTCGGCCTGGCTTTGAGCCACATCCACCTTCTGGCTAGCTTGATCGAGCCTTACATGTGAGTTTCGCAGCTATATCCCGCAATCACAATCGGCTAACATGGCTCACAGGCCCGATACAACAAAGAACATCCTCAACCAGCTCAACGCCGAGTTCCTCATCATCCCCGACAACTGGGAGGCCAAGTCGCTCCCCGTTAACCACAAGATCGGCAAGGCTGCCTACCTGTTCTCTCAGATTAAGCCCGAGAAGGAGCAGGAGTGGCGCGAGCAATTCGGAGGTGAGGAGGCGCGCAAGGCCAAGGAAGAGAAGGCGAAGAAGGCCGCCGCAAAGAAGGCCGACAAGGAGAGGAAGAAGGCGAAGAAGGCTGCTGGCAAGGCCGAGGGTGTCGAAGCTGGTGAGAAGGGCAAGGATGGCCCAGCAGACAAGAAGGCCGAAGAAGCTATCTCCAGTGGTGTCGAGCAGGTCACTCTCCAAACGTCCTAGTGGGACGTCTGGTTAAGGTACTACATGGAAGCTGGAGTGGCGTTGGACAATCCGGAGTCAGTGGGTGTTGAGACTCTGCGTGGCTAAGGGTCAGTGTTTGCAAAAGTAGCAGCGACGAACACCTCGCGCGCAAAGATTCGATAGCAATTCAACATAAGTTTTCACAGCCCGCGGCGCCTTTGACTTGAGGTTCTCGGCCTCGCGGGACGAAGACAGTCCGCATCCTTTACGCCAAGGGAGCTTGACTCGAGGTCTTGGAGCCCCCACTCTTTGCTCCCAAGACGATAAACCCGAAAATTTTATCTGATCGTCTTATGGCGAGTCGCCCGCCTGATTAGATCCAGAAACTGTCTTCAGGCACCTCGGTCGGTGTTGCCGATTGGGTGGCGAAGGGAGCTGATACTATCTGACTCGAAAACGGCTTGCCGTTTTAACGTCACTTGAAGACACACAAGCCGGGTGCTCGATGATACCAGCGCGGTATATGCTATACAAGCTCACGGCCGGCTAAGAACGTCGCATCCGCTGTAAATACAAGTCGACCACCATCACAACGGCGTTCCTATCGGCATCAAGGAGCATCTTGATATCCTAGCATCGAAGCCAAGCCTCGAAGGCATGGTACGGGGTCATGCACACGTGGGTTTGTATCCACTCAGACTACATATCTCTACCCTGCCCTGTCAACGCCAAGTGAGCCTTACCTGGTTCCACGGAACTGTTACTCCATGTCACCTTCTATACACGGCCAGACAGCTTGGCGAGAGAATTCCTCGGGGCAGAACGCCTTGTTTGGCATATAAGATGTGACCGCTACCCAGTGCACCGGTACTCCCTAGTCCCTTACCTTTAAGTTGACCACTGAGTCTTTTTGTGGCCGAGAAAGTTGTCGTTTCAATATGGCTACTTCGAACGTCGCGAGTTTGGAGCTGGCTGCTAGCCTGGCGTTGCCGTCGAAGAGCTTCGATGGTCCCAACGCTTCCGGCGATGTCAAGACTGCGAATGTTACCGAGGCGGGTGAGCAGGATGATTCGTTTGCGGAGAAACCGAAGGATGTGGAGAATGTCGACGAGACGCAGCCCGCTGGTCTCAGGCAGATGCAGGCCATCACCATGACCTGGTCAAAGAAGTGGCTCATCACTGCGTACTGCTTGTAAGTCTCAGTATCTCCAATCCAAGTTGTTCGAGCTCTGAAGCTAATGCCGATCCCAGAATCTGGCTCATCTCCTTCACCAACTCCCTCCAGCAGCAAAGCAACTTCTCCTGGACCCCCTACGTGACCAGCGAGTTCCTGTTTCACGGGCTCACGGGCATCACGGGCATCGTCGCCAACCTCATCGGCGGCGTGTCCAAGCTGCCGCTCGCCAAATTCATCGACCTCGTCGGCCGCCCCCACGGCTTCTTCATCTGCCTCGTCTGCGTCGTCCTGGCCCTCGTCATGATGGGCGTGTGCCAGAACGTGCAGACCTACGCCGCCGCCCAGGTGTTCTACTGGACGGGCATGAATGGTATGGATTACGTGCTCGATATCTTCATTGCGGATACGTCGGATTTGCGGAACCGCGCTATTTGGCTGGCGTTCGCGACGTCGCCGTATATTGTTAATACGTTTGCGGGTCCGAGGCTCGGACAGCGGTTTTTGGATGATTCGACGTGGCGGTGGGGATACGGTGCTTTCACGATTATCACGCCGTTCATGTGCATTCCGTTCTGGCTTATCTTCTATATCATGAGCCGGCGTGCGAAGCAACAGGGTGTTGTTGCGAAGGAGAAGAGCGGGAGGACGTTCGTGGAGTCTGTCAAGTACTACTTCATCGAATTTGACGGTAAGCCCCCCATCAACCACACGCGCTCGAGTCACTGACAGCAGCCAGTCATCGGCCTACTCCTCATCTGCGGCGGCTTCTCCATCTTCCTGCTGCCCTTCAGTCTCGCCGCCTACCAAGCCGACGGCTGGCGCTCGCCCACCATAATCTGCATGATCGTCTTCGGGCTCGTCCTGCTCGCCCTCTTCGCAGCCTGGGAGCGCTTCTGGGCGCCCAAAACCTTCTTCCCATTCCACCTCCTGACCGACCGCTCCGTGATCGCCGCCTGCCTGCTGGGCGCAAACTCGTGGATCGCCTTCTACTCGTACAAAATGTACTACGCCTCCTACCTACAGGTCGTGTTCGGCCTGTCCGTCGCGAAAGCCGGGTACATCACGAACATCTTCAACATCGTGTCGTGCGCGTGGGGCGTGCTGTTCGCGTTCGCGATCCGCCACACGGACCGCTACAAGTGGGCGGCCGTGGCCGCGCTGCCCGTGCAGATCCTCATGACGGGCTTGATGGTGCACTTCCGGCAGCCGGGGACCCGCATTGCGCTGCTGGTGCTCGTCGAGGTGCTGGGCGCCATGTGTGGCGCGATGATGGTCGCGGTCGAGCAGCTGGCTGTCATGGCGGCGGTGCCGCACGAGAACGTGGCCGTCGGGCTCGCGCTGCTGGCCATGGTGACTAGTATCGGCGGGAGTGTGGGACAAACTGTTAGTGCGGCGATTTGGACGCAGACCGTGCCGCGCAAGATCGCGGAGTACTTGCCCGAGGAGCTGAAGGGGCAAGCGCCGGCGTTGTATGCCAGTCTGGTGACGCAGTTGGCGGCGCCGTGGGAGAGTGCAGAGAGGCAAGCGGTGGTTAGGGCGTATGGGGATGCGCAGCGGTTGATGATCATCGTGGGGACGTGTGCGCTGGTGCCGTGTATTGTGTGGGTGGCGATGCTGAATGATTATAAGCTGAGTGAGCGCGGGACGAGGAAGGGGCTGATTATGTAGAGGTGGATGGACAGTGGGGTTTTGTCTGCAAATCCGAATGCTATCCAGTGTTACTTATTGACGGTCTGTTCATAAACCATTAGTGCCAGTGTTGTTTACAAAGACGTCTCTCAGTCCAGCAGCGCCTGTCTCATCGAGCTTCTTTCCCTCGTGACTCAGCCGCATAGAAACCCAGTACAGCACGCCCAGCCCATACCCATTTCCTTTCCTCACTTCTTCACTGCTCCAATCTCGCATCTCAGAATATCAAGGGAGGATATTTCACATCTGCTAACAGCACACGCAAACACAATCACCAAAATTCATGTACAACCGCAACCACAAACACGCACTTTTCCGCGCTGTTGAAGTACGCCATCATCCAGCGACCCTTTTCGTTCAAGAAATTTAGGTTGCTGGCGGCGCGATCATCTACATTCGTAGCTTCGAGACTGCGGAGTGTAGATACGAGGTGGCATAGTGCCGGGTCACAGTGTCACAGAAGCAGCAAGATCCGAAGGAGGCGAGATGCGCAAGATGGAGGATCGCATTTGATGATAAGTAATGGCGGGAGCTAGACTATCTGACACATCTTAAGCTTCTGAATTTGCGACACTGACGGGTTACGTGGTGGACATATGCCACACGCAGACCCTATCGCTCTAATTCAGCCCAGCTGTAATCGATGTCGGTATCGTAAGTGAAGTGATCTTCCTTGCACTCTTCCAGTTCAGCGTCAGTGACGTGCTCGCGGTAACAGTTGTCATCATCATCATACATAACGTGGTCTGGTGAACAGTCGGGACCATCGCGAACGACAGCGAAGCGTCGTAAAACGCGTTTGATGAATTGAATAGGAAGCTCTCCAAGCGCCTGGATATCTTCATCGCAGTCTTGATGAGGACACCACGCGACGCAGAACTTGTTGACAAAATATTGCAAAATCGGCCTGTCGCTAGGTATGTTCGCGAATGCCCATGCAACTATCGGCTGTATGGTATGAGGATCCATCCAAATGACGAATTCGCGACTGATACAGAGGTCGTTGGTTGCCTGGCGGAATCTTTTGGCAAGTATTCTGTCCCCGAGCGCATACGCTTTGATGAGAGTGAGGACTGCCATAGGTTTCCCAACAGTATCATCTTCTTCTCGGCCCACGACGTGACTCCATGCTATGAAATCGTCCCTGCAGTCGGGTAGCTGTTGAGTGTAGAGCCAGTGCACAAACAGATTGACTAAGGCACTGTCAGAAATTTTGTTGCGATCTAGCTTACCATATGGAGCGACCACTTATACTCTGGCATGTCGATGTCGACGAGCGTCACAACACCGTTCTCAGCCTCTATCCAAGGCTTCCGGAGAGCTCCGCGGAAGTACTCGGAATGGTGAGTGATCAAGGCCTTGTGGATGTGATAATGCTTCTTTTCAGGGCCAATCTCGACAATGACCATGCCTCCGGCATTTGCGGGACTGTACTGTTTGTCAGTGGGAATATGTGGATAGTGCTAACGAGCAACATACCCGATTGCTGGTGGAGGCATCGCTTTCTCGGTCTCCTCGGAAATTGACCTTCTGGCGTTGCGCTTTCTGTGACACGGGCGTTGGTGTTGACGCCAGCGGACGGCGTTACGGGGGTATAACTTGACGACGACGCTAGCGCGCGTCAAAAGTGAAATGCAGATGAGAACCAAGGCAAAGTGAAGCGGGTGCAAGCGAGAGCTGGGCAAGAAGAAGTTTCCCGTGACTGGCCGTAATTGACACGAAAGCAAACTACCTTTGATCCTACGAACGAGCGTCCGAAGTCCATCGGAACACCAGTCGGCCGTTGAGACCCTACGTAGGAAAATACCCACAGACTCGCTTCTCGTCCCAGATCATGTGGGCCTTATCACACCCATTCTTCTCGTCTTCGTTCGCATGCTCATCGTAACAGCATAATAACAAAGGAGTCCTGGACTTGCTGCGAAATTGCACGAACGTCCTCAACACGCGAACAGTGAAATCGGGCGGAAGCAGCTGTAGATAATAGTTACTCTGTTCATCCTTTTCCCTCCAGCTAAGACAGAAGTAGTCGATGAGCAACTGCAAGATGGGTCGATTCGCTGGAATACGTGCGAATGCACAATGCACCATGTTGAGATAGTCCGTGTTACATGGGCTCAAATCTCTCAGAGAAGAGTCCTCCCAGATGGCGCTGATGATCGAGCGGCGAAATGATAATGAAAGGAGTCTGTCTCCGAGAACGTACGCTCTGATCAGATGCAGAAAGCGCGTGCCCTTTAGGGTGTCCTTGCTTTCGGTGATTTGTTGCCAAGCAACAGCATCATCTGCTGGTAGGGTCTGACCATGCAGCCAATGTACGAATATGTTAACTAGAGAGCCAGGTTAGTTGAGCAGCCAATTATACGAAAAGGCATCATACATTCGACAACCTCTACATCTTCTAGCTGTAGCTTGCGCTCCTCTGCTTCCTTCCAGGGTCCATTCAATGCTTTGCGAAAGTATTCAGAATGGTGGGTGAGCAGCTCCTGGTAAATACAATACGGTCTACGGTCTGTACCAACTTCCACGGTCACAATGCCGCTTCTAGTGAGAGACCTACAGTGTGCGATTAGAGTTGTTGTTAATTCGCATATGCACTGAACTTACCCCCAGGTGGGCAGCGGTGCTTCAGCCATGGTTGTCGGTCTAGCAGTTGAGCTGTGGTTGATGTTGCGAGCTTGGGTACCTGAAGGGGAAGACAGCTGCGACGAACTAGATAAGTTTACCGGCGATGGAAAAAACTGTCCTGGCCTGGAGGCTTCGGGAAACGGCGGTGGCGGTGCTCCTCGACCTCGACCTCGACCTCGACCTCGACCGCGACAGGAATCTGGGCCTTGACGCATTGCTCCACCGCGGCCACGTGCAGAAATGCTGGATGGGCAACGGGCTGTCAGTGAAAGCCGAGAAAGGTTGGTGAGTAATATTGCGTTGGGCAAAGGGAAGTAGGCGTGGTATTTGGAACCGAGCACGGCGAGAATGAGAGTGAGAGTGAGAGTGAGACCCTGATGTGGCAAGCGCGGACCAGCAAGCTAGACAGGGAAAGAGCGCCTAGGACAGCAATTGCGAACAGCCAAATTGCGGTATCAAATTCGAACGGTGTTGTCTTATACACTCTAATGCACAACGGAGGTACTCGGTCATCGGCCCCAATCATTCTCTCTTCAGCAGCACCATATGTACAATCTAGTGGCCGGCGTTGGCCTGCCTCTTGGTGATGACCATGGACTCAAGATCCTCGCGCTCGGCCATCTCGGACTCGATCTCCTCGATGTACTTGGTGAGGTAGGGGAAATCCTGCATGGCGTTAGCTCGGGCGTTGCGCGCTGCCTGCAAATCCTGCTACGCACCTGCTCGTTGGTGGTCCACTCCTCCTTGGGCAAGAGCTGATGGCTCATGGACAACTACGATATCTTAGCATCCGGTTTGTGGTTGGTGCTCGGCTGCATGTACCTGGAATGCGCGGCGCAGACGGAAGACACGGTCGTAGGCGTCCTGGGGGCTGAGGCGCTTGAGAGCGGTGTGCACGACGTCGTTCTCCTCGGGAAGCAGGTCATCGGCCCTGTGAGGCAATCCGTCAGCTCAGGTCCCTGTGCATCTCCAAAGCCGCTGGTTTCCCCTCCACAACGCCCAATTCATCCCATTCATCCCACACAGCCCTCCAGCAGGCGCGGCCAGCGCGTCGGTGGCGGGCCCAGGGGTGCAGCGTACCTCAGGCCGAGCTGCCTGTAGCCGGCAGCGTTGATGTACCAGTTGGAGAGCGGCTTCATCCAGCGCTGCAGCCACGGGCGCTTCATAATGGCGGGGGCGAAAGACGGGGCGGACATGATTGCGGTGTTCGGCGGGCGTGGGCGGGCGGTCGAGAGTCGGCGTGGTCGCAATGGAGTCGTGAAGTTTCGCGGCGGTTGTGCCTGTCATCCATTTTGGAGGCTCGGAATTGGCTGCGACGGGGGCGCTCGGACCCACGTGCTTGGCGCAGCAGTCGGCAGCTCCCCACCGTGGCCGGGTTTCTGCGCGCGAGCTGCTCACCACTGACGTCCCAGCCCTCCGCCCTCAGCACCCCGCGAGCCCTCACCGCCCACCCGCGCCGCCCGTCCGTCCGCCGCCTGCACCTCCTCGCGCCCTCTGCAGCCCGCCCGTCAATGGAGCTGCCCATCCGCTAGCTTCTGTGTTACTCGAGTGCTGCGGGGCTTCCGCACACTGAGGCACTCCAGAGGGGACGACGGCCAGTACGGACCCCTCCCCCGCCCCGCCCAGCATGGCGTTCCTAACCCGCGGTGACCGCAGCTCCTCCAATGTCTGAACACAACCCCGAGCCGCCGTCCCCGACTGTCGTCCCCGACCGGTATGCGCCGACGCTGCCCGCGCCCGCCGACCGCACCATGGCCGATGCCGCCCAGCGCAGCAATTGGAGCGCGCCGTTTGCTGCCCTCGCCGTCCGCGTGTCGAAGCTGCCCGACGGGCCCGTCAACGCCCTGTGCGGCGCCTCGGCCGGCGTTGCGTCCGGCATCGTGACGTGCCCGCTCGATGTCATCAAGACCCGTCTGCAGGCCCAGGGCTCGTTCCGCCCGCGCCCCTACTCGGGCCCCGCCCGCGTCGTCTATAAGGGCCTCTCGGGCACCGCGCGCACCATCTGGCTCGAGGACGGCGTCCGCGGCCTGTATCGCGGCCTCGGCCCCATGCTGCTGGGCTACATTCCCACCTGGGCCGTCTACATGAGCACCTACGAGTCGACCAAGGACCTGCTGAACGAGCGCATGGGTACGCGGGCTCCTGCCGGCTTTACTGGCCTTGCTAACACGTGACGCTGCAGAGAACAAATGGCTCGCACGAACAATCGCCTCAATCACCGCCGGCGCCTCCTCGACCTTTGTCACGAACCCCATCTGGGTCGTCAAGACCAGGCTCATGTCGCAGGTCAGCGCCCGCGCCTCGCCTGAGCACCGTCCGCCGTGGCACTACAAGAACACCTTTGATGCATTCCGTAAGATGTATGCCACAGAAGGCATTCGGTCCTTCTACTCTGGACTCTCGCCCGCGCTACTCGGACTCACCCATGTTGCCATACAGTTCCCGCTGTACGAGTACCTGAAGATGCGATTCACTGGCCTGGAGATGGGCAAGGCAGGCGGACAGTCTGAGGAAGTCCACTGGTTTGGCATCATGGCCGCAACCGTGCTCAGCAAAGTCTGCGCGACAACAGCCACATATCCCCACGAGGTCCTGCGCACTCGCCTGCAGACCCAGCAGCGGTCGTTGCCATCTGCTTCCCACGACCACGTATCGTTCCAAGGAGGGCGACACGGTATAGGACACCAAACACGCCCTCCAGGCACGGCCTCCTCTGACGGCATGATCAACATGCCCAGATATCGAGGAGTGATCAAAACGTGTAGCGTCATTCTACAGGAAGAGGGCTGGAGGGCCTTCTACAACGGCATGGGCACTAACATGGTGCGCGCCGTTCCTGCTGCTGTCACGACCATGATGACTTTCGAGTCACTGAAGTTGGTCCACCAGAAGCTCAAGATGGAGGGCAAGCGGATACAAGAAGAAGACAGCGAGTACCGTGGAGCATGACCATAGTCGTGGATGTGGTTCAAGAGCAAGACATCATCAGAGGCGTTTCGCAAAGTAGTGGCACGATATCCCAGTGAGCATTCCAGTTTCTGTTCTCACATGTGTACATACATCTCAGCATTATCTCGTATGCGACATGCAGTTGCATCGGCTCCTAGGCGTTGGCAGGATACCAACGGTATATGGGTTGGGTTATTATTACGTCGCCTAAGTATCGTCAATGCAATCTTTCAGAATTTCTGTTCGCATGCTCTAGTTCTTGTTGTATCAAACGCGCCTGCGCCTCTGACCAATGCTAGATCAGGCCCAACACTCGTACCGATATCGCACCATTCACGGCGAGAATACCAACGAATGCAATTCAAGTGATGTATGGATCACCCAAGTCTGCAAGACGGCGCGCATTCTTCTTCAAGTCTCTTGCTGCAGATTTCGCGCTGTCAGCCGCCAATATGTTCGAGCAGGGCGCGAGAGTGCTCCTGGCGCCATGCCCTTTGCCTCTCCCCGATTTCCCAGTCCTAGCACATTGCCGCAATGCACCTTCGAGCCCTACGCACAGCGATCGTACAGCAAAATCGTCACGAAGGGAAGGTGAGACTATGAGTGACTTGCCAGATGCGAGACTCGGACTTTACGTGCCATTCGGAAGCAAGTCTGAATGCCTCGAGACTTCAGGCCTTGCCTCGATGTCCAGTACTTTGTACGAGTTCGGTTGTAGGCGAGCAGCTGTGTCGTTAGATTTGGATCGACGCCTTCCACCAACAGGGGAAGCGATGAGTGGCCAAGTCGAACAATCACACTCGATAGCACAGCTCAGAGGCGGCGAGGGCCAACCTCAGACAGGCATGTTTCGATGGTTCAAGAAAGCCCGGAGCAGTGATAGGACTCAATCATCGTTCCCCACAGTCACTTACAAGGGCAAAAGGATCGGATCACCACACTTGATACCAGCTCTGAACGTGCTGCCGCCAGCGTCGAGATACGTGCCACCTCAGAAGGTCTCGCCTTTCAGTCGCTCCACGAGGGCATCACTCAACAATTATCAAGACAATGTGAAAAAGTCACTCGATACGTCGCATCATAATCACGGTGCCTCTTTTCTGTCGCCACCAGCTCTTCTCGCCACGCCATCCCGACCAGCCACGTCCAATCCCTTCGCAGGAATATACGGTAACCCAGACATGCGTAGAGCGGGCCCAGTATCTCTGCCAGTCGACAATACAACAGCAAGCAGCCTCGTCGGCAGACCCAGTGCACTCGACGGTTCGCAAACCGGATACGCTCAACCACCCGCCATACCAGACCGGTCACCGCTGCGCAAGTCCGGCGAAGCGCCCCAGCATACCCGACAGGCAGTGTATGGCAGTGCGCAGTCGAGCTCGCCCAAAGCGTGGGCAGATAGGAAGTGGGACGCGCTTCCTGCTTTGCCGACGGCGACGGGGGGCGAAACGCCTGAGCCGATACAGATGTACGATACGGCGTGGATGCAGGGCGCGAAGGATGAGCCGTTTGATACTGAGGAGGTGCTTGGCTCGCTGAGACCGGAGCGGCTTGGTCTTCATCCTTTGCAGGGGCGGTGTGTGGATGGTCGTGGAGATACTGGTCGTGATACTGCGACACTGCCAGCGCAAGCAGCTGCTTCTGACACTGGGAAGCTGGCCCAGGACCCTGCAATACTGCCGGCGCAAGCAACTGCTTCCGACGCTACGAAATTGGTTCGTGGTAGTGAACAGGTCAAAGCGACAGATAATCTCAGTACTCTCACTCGCGATTGGGACCTCCAATCCTGCGACACCGACGACCTCGGTGTCGACAAACTGGTGGAAAAACAGGAAAGACGTGCTCGACGTGCTCAACGCACTCTCAGTCTTCGATCCCCGCCACCGCAACTTAGGCAGGCGAATGTCCGTGATAACAACGAGCCACTCAATGGTCTGCCCGAAGAGGACGCCCCGACTGCGGAAAGCCTTTTCTACGCTGACTTTGTGGGTATCGTGAAAGACTACCGTGAGCAGCTGCACCGCATAATCCAAAGAGCTTATGAAGCGGGTGACATCAGCGAGGATCAGTGGGTGCGCGAGAAGTGGAGGCATAAGACTTCGATGGAAAGGCGATTGCGGGCTGCCGAGGAGATGAGTGGATATAGGGTACGTCCGCCTCAGACACAGGACTCATGGACTCGCGAGAACTATGACTAACGACAGAGTAGATACTCACCTCCGAGCCCGACATCAAGACCGCCATCCAGCACCCCACTGGCTACGCCATATACAGCTCCTTACTCAAGATCCGTGACCCCGAAACCTGGCAGCGCATCTTCGAACCCGCATCCCCGCAATCCCCCAACACCGTCCCCCCACCACCCACAAACCCCCTCACCAGCGCTCTTTCATGGCTACTCCGCAAAACCGCCCGAGCCCTACGCTTCATGCTCGCCGTCCCCTCCTCCCCAGCGCTGAAAACCTCCTCGCGCAGCCACCCCCCCAACCCGCGCCCCCACCCCTCCTCCACCAGCACCCCGCACCCAAACCCCCTCTCGCGGGCCCACCACATCAACCCGCCCTCCATCTCCCTGCGCCGGAAACCCGTTCCCGCCACCGAACACCACAGACCCAGCACCGGCCAGCGCCCAAGCACGTCCGAACCGCGACCGAGCACGCACACCGCGCGGCCCTCCAAGGTGTCGAACACCACGACGCAGATCAATGGTAACACGCTGTTCACGGGGACTAGGCTGGCGTCGCCGCTGAATGGGAGGGTGGTGAGGGCGAGGCGGAGTCGGGGGTATGAGGGCGGTGGGTTTGTGACGGTTGTTGGGCCCGGGGTGGGGGGTTCGGAGGTGGGGAGTGAGAAGACGGTGGAGGGGTATGGGGGCGGGGGGTTGGGAGGGTCGCGGAGGGCGGAGAGTGTGGTTACGGGGTGGCCGGAGGCGGAGTGTTGATGGGGGTGAGGCCGTTTGATGCATGGACTAGCTTGGGTGGGTGATTCGTTGTTTGCGGATTCGAAGAGATGGCTAGGTGCGTACTTCTGTCCGGTACTTCTGTCTAGTATCTTGGGCAATATCAAGGACACGAGCAAATATTCCGAGGTGCCAATGCAATGATGATTATGACGCATTGATTGACGGAGCTGTGCCAGTCCGTCTTAGATAAGCAGGCAGTGAGCGTGCACGATAGGCTCACAGTGTAAGATTCAGCCTCTTCCAGTGGCAGAACACCTACATGTCGACATCCCCTACTCTGCTACCTTACAGCTACGTGTTTTGCTTTCACAAGTAGAATCATTAGCTTTTGCCAGTTAAGACCTGTTATCTAGCGTACATAACCACCAAATATCAGCAGGACTACCTATTCGGGACATACTAGCACAGCCTCGTCCATAAACACGATATGTCAGCACAACTCGCGCCATCACGTGCCTTGGCGTAAGCGTGAATGAAGCTCCCCCGCGCACCGCGTCAAGCTCCCCAACCCACCCTTCCCTCCCTAACCTCCATGCTATCACAAAGACTAACCTCCAGACTTCTGTCCAGATACGCGCCCCGAACCATCGTGAGCCCTCGAACCCTCGTCCCAAGCCCTTGACACCGTGCCTCCTGCTCACACGTGACGTCAGACCCCCAATCCGCAACGGAGCTTCACCATGGCCCTGCGGCGCTCAGCCCGCAACGCAGACAAAGCCACCGCGGCCGAGAGTCCAGCACTAGACGTCCCACCGGCAGCGAAGAGCGTGAAGCGCGCGGCAGCCACGAAAAAAGAAGCAACGGCGCCTCCTGCGCCGCCCCCGAAGCGCGAGAAAAAGCAATCCGCCGCGGGCCAGAAACGCAAAGCGCGCGACGACACAGCGTCTCTGTTGCTCGCCGCCGAGCCGCCTGTTGGTCTGGCCAGCGCCGCGAATCCTCTCGCTGCCGCGATCGCGCCCCCAGAGATCCTCCTGCCCGGTCCCAACGCCGCGCTCGATGCGCCGCGCTCCAAGCGCGGCAAATCCGCTGGCACTAAGGCGCCTCGTCGCGCTGCGAAGACCGCTGTGGAGGATGCCGACCTTGTCCCTGGCGACGCCCCGCTGCCCCGACGCCCCGTGGCTGCAGCACCACCCTCCGCGACAGCCCCCGCGGCCCCCCTCTCCGCAGCCGCGAGTCCGCGGAAGCGCGTCTTGCCGCTGCCGGACGTCGGATCGCCGCGAAAAGCGGCGGGGGAGGGCGACTCGCTGCTACGCGAGGCCGAGGCGCACTTGGTGCGCGTAGACGGGCAGGGAAAGCTGGGGCGGCTGATTGGCGGGGCGCGGTGCGAGATGTTTGGCGCGGCGGGGTTGGCGGAGGTGGTGGATCCGTTTACGGCGCTGGCGAGTGGGATTATTGGACAGCAGGTACGTGGGATCACGTGGTTCGCGTGGCAGAGGCATGGGATGGAGTGGTGGTGGGGAGTGGCAGTGGCATTGGTAGCAATGGATTGGAAGCAATGGCTATAGGGGATGGTCGAGCTGACGAGCTGACGATATCTAGGTCTCTGGCGCGGCGGCGTCGTCTATCCGCAAGAAGTTCACGGCCCTCTTCGAGGATACACATCCTGAATTCCCCTCGCCCGCACAGGTCCTCACTAAAGACCTGCCCACGCTGCGCACTGCAGGTCTCTCGCAGCGCAAAGCAGAGTACATCAGCGGCTTGGCTGAGAAATTCGCATCCGGCGAATTCACCGCGGACGGCCTGAAGAGCGCCAGCGACGAGGAGCTGATCACCCAGCTTGTCGCGGTCAGGGGGCTGGGTCGATGGAGCGTGGAGATGTTTGCATGCTTCGGGCTGAAAAGGATGGACGTATTCAGCACCGGGGACCTGGGCGTGCAGTGAGTGCCACTCCCCTTGGACCTCCCTGCGCATTGTTTGCGCTCTCTCGTCGCAATGTTATGGCGAGCGGTGCAACACGACGATGCGGTTGCTCCACCGCGCAGAAACGGCTGCATGCATGGCGAGCGTCGCACAGGCAGGACGTTGCGAGCGCGCGCCAAGCGAGGGCGCTTCGTGAGACTCTGTTTTACACGACGTTCCCCGCAGCGGCGGCAGCACTGACAAGGAAGATTCTGCTAACACGGCGTAGGCGAGGCATGGCTGCATACATGGGGCGCGACGTCTCCAAGCTGAAGAACAAGGGCGGCAAGTGGAAGTACGTACCACCCTTGTGCATGCTATTCACCTCCTATTATCGTCAACGTCGTTTGCATGGCCGCGTTTACACTCAAGTATGCCGTGCATGAGGGTACATGAACCGACCGCGGCTCGGAGGTCACTTCGCGGGGGTCTCTTTTGGTTTTCTGAGCGCGGTGCTCCTGCATCATGCTTGATATCCAACGCTGACATGAGCCGCACAGATACATGTCTGAGCAAGAGATGCTGTCCATAGCGAGCCAGTTCGCGCCATACAGGTGCGTTGATCTCCGATGCGCGGACGACCGCGCGGCATTATTTTGCCTTGTAACACAGCTGAGATTTCGCAGGTCCTTGTTCATGTGGTATATGTGGCGAATCGCAGATGTGGAGACTGAGGTGCTGGAGTAGCCCAACGATCCCGCCGTTCTTGATGGTCTGATAGTGGGCAGATAGTGTAGCATCTTGACGTCAGCTTGAGACCAGAGTTGATGATGTTGAGTGAAGCACGATGTTCACGAGCTTCAATGGCTCATGCATATAGGGTAGTAACGAGGGTTGCAATACATCTGACGTCTGCCATATGCCATATGACAGGTCGCCTGCAGGCCGTGAACGAGCCGCGAAGGGCCGATAGATTTCCGCTGCATAGCATTCCTCGCTTCCGCTTCCCGAGTACTTGCTGCTTTGCCATGAGCTTTTCAGGCGTCCTCGACTGCCGTACTCCCTGAAGGCGTGAGGGAGACGGTAGCAAGCGAGCACAGTCGCTTGAGTGCAGACCAGGTACCCAAGGAAATCCTGCGTCAATGCTTGCCATCTTCTGCATCGAGCTGAAGTGACGGGCTGACAGATGAGGAGTCTCGAGGCACCGCCTGTAGATACAACATAGACGTTGTGTAGCGAGACCCACGGTTGCTGCCGCAAGGAACTGCTGGTCGATCTTGATTGCGCAGATATCCGTCTCCCATGCGGAGAAAAGGCGGTCTGCAGACCGCGGATCCTGGTTGGCAACAGCCTGAACAATCGAATCGATTGGAGTGGAGGATCTCGTGCTGCCAGGAAGTAGGGGCAGATTGGGTCTGGTCTACCAGGGTTGAGCGAGAGAGCAAGCTGCAAGCCAGTGCTAAACGCTGAGAGCGAGTGTGTTACAGACTGACTGACAGTGCTTCTGTCGGCTCCGGGTGTCGGAGCGAGACCTGCCACATAAAGTTAGAGGTAGACTTGGTCGAGACATGATAGGAGGAAAGACCGCTACGGCAGGAGTTAGCATGTGTGGTACAACATTCCTAATATGTCGATCCCCTCACTTCAACAACGTCTGACCAGGTATGCATGTAGGTGCTGGGACCTCGGGAATCGTCTCGCGACTATCGATCAGTCAGTCTATCCAAGATTGAAGCTCAGTCTGGTCGTGCTGTGGTTACAGGTCGTGGTATGCAACCTTCCGTCTGCACCCCAGCTGACATATGCAAGACATGACCGCGAACCATGCGCCTCGCACGTCTAGTGCGAGTTTCGTGTGACGTACACTCGGTATGCGGTACAAACGGATGAGAAAGACAGGATCTCGATCACGTGAGGTGAAGCCCTTTGTGCTACCTGAGTGATTGAGATGGGTACCGTGAGAAAAACTGTTTCTCGGTGGTCGATGTTGATCAATGCTGGTACTGGAATAGTGGGAACAGCGGATGACGGTGCACCTTTACCCTCCTGAGTCTTCACAATACGGTGTCATGGCCATTGAGTTGAATAGGTGCCTATGGGAGACCACGAAAATGAGTCGTGCGAGGTACCAGCGGCAAGCAGAGGTGCGTGCATGGGACATTTTTAGTTCTCGTAATGGTGCGTGTGTATTGATAATCATCCTTACGCTCTGGGACAGCTCGTCTAGAATTACACAGAAAATCGTCTTTCACAGCTAAGCTCTATGAACGCTGGTTCCGGAGCTGCACAGTCGAGTCATGGAGATTACGGCATCTGGTCACGATGATCAGGAAGACTGCCCAGCAAAAGTGCCCTGAATGGTGACGCCTTGGCGATTGAGCTTTGTTGCGTTGGTTTGAGGTAAAAGGTCTCGGCAGAGCTCGCAAACAACTTTTTGTTCCTGACGATCATTGTGGAGATAAGCTGCGATGAGCAATTTGCACGTGGCAGTGAGTGCCATCCTCCCTGCCTGCCTGCATGTCGGCGCTCCAATGTGAAGCGATCAAGTTGGCGATCTCCATAATTGCATATCAAGTGGAAAGTGGCTCTCGGTGTTGTGACATCAGCGATTGTGGCAGCAAACGTTGCAGCGCGCGGCAAGAGAAGTTTGCAAAAGCTTGGGAGGAAATGAGGTGAGCTAAAAGCGGAGCCCTCGGCGATCAGGGGGAACGGGTAGAAGCAACGGCCAGGCCACAAGTGGAGCTTCCCACTCATAAGTATATGACGGTGGTGTTGTTTGCACAGAGCAAGGTGGGTTTGTCGAGATTGCGCCGGACGCACTTGCCCAAGTTGAGGTCGTCTGACCTAATTTGGGTCGGCTGGCTGGGATGTGTTCTGGCTGGAGACGCGCAATACATAGCTCAACACTCTGCGGGCTGGGCAATGCAACCAAGGAAATGGCAGTCTGGGGCTGGACCACACGTGCGCGGAGACGCTGTTGCACATGACATGTGAGAGCGTGACGGTTTGGAGAGTGCGGGACTGTGTCAGAGTTGTCCGACGCCGTGCAAGGGGACCCATTCGGAAGTTTGAAGTCCACGCACGGTCAGCTCAGGCGTGTCGTCCACTCCATCGAGGATAAACTGGCGGATGCTGATCCTGAAGAGGCGGGTTTTTGGAAGTCTAGTACAGCGATGTGGCGCGCCATGGCCGCTGGAACGAGCAGGCGGGTGAATGCACCAGCGATGAACGGCAACTCTCGACCGATGGGGCTGGCGCTGAATGAGGCAGCACATGGGAAGCAGCGCAGCAGTCCCGAGAAAACAAGATTTGCAAGCCGCGGGACGAGGGTGGACGTGCAAAGGCTATCCTGGCTGGAAACGCCGATGCTTTCACTGCCTGTCAGGATTGTCTTGACAGCCTCACGAGCCGTGGGTGGCGCCGCCCAGGCGTCGCAGCCGCTCAGCGCAGCGAGACAGCAGCGAAGCCGCTGCTTTATGCTGCGTGTGCAAGTCCGAAGCCCTTCAGCGGACTCGACGGGACAAACGGCAGCCAGCGCATGGCCCAACAGTGCGCCGGCCTGCTTGCTCGGTGCTTGTTGACGGTCGACGCAAAAAGAATGCGTGGGCACGAGCCAATAACGATCGATATCGGAGGTCGCGCTAAAACAACTAGGGGCGCGCCTGCCTTCCTCCTTTCTTTCGCAGGCCGAGCGTTGCCCTCCCTCTTCTACGACCTCCACCCTCGTTCCTGCTCTCGTCAGACCAATTCGCTTTCCCCGTCGGCGCTGGGGCTACTCTTTTAATACGGTGCTCTTTCGTTTGCAACTAATTCAGTCACTCGCTCCACACATCTTTCTACCCTTCACCGAATAACAATCGGCCACCACACGCAATCTTCATATCCACAGTTTGTGCCACCCAGCGCCTCCCTTGGCCGCGACAACTCGACTCCTCGCGCTTCAATTCTCCCGCGGCCAGCGACTAACGCTTCAATCCCAGTTCTCGACTCGAATTCACACATCCGCCACGATGCACTCCTTCCTCCAGATCGCCCTGCCGGCTCTGGCTCTCACAGGCTCCGCTTTTGGTACGCTTGCTCTGGCACTGAGCCGTCTCGTTACTGGGGCCACTGCTAACACTTCCCTATAGCTCAGTCCAGCTGCACCAACACCGCGACTGCGACCATCTCCAACGCCGCTGATGCCACCGCTCTCTCTGGATGCTCCACCTACTCCGGATCCATCGCTATCGCCACCAGCGTCACCGAGGACATTGCGCTGAACGGCATCAAGAGGCTGAGGGGCGACTTGGTCGCTGTCAACAATGCGAACATGAAGCGTCTTAGTGCAGACAGCCTCGAGCAGCTTGATGGCTCCCTCACCTTGACCGGTCTCGTACGCCTGTTCGGCATCGACTTCCCCAAGCTCAAGACGGTCACTGGCATCAAGTGGAGCGCTCTTCCCAACCTGAACACTATCGGCTTCACCGCCGAGGTCACCAAGGCCAACACTGTTCAGATTGAGAACACCGGTCTCCGCGATCTCAAGGGTATCAACATCGAGCAGGTCGATACTCTTTTCATCGCCAACAACGGCCAGATTAACGAGGTCAACATGCAGCTTGGTAATGTCTCTGACTCGCTGACCTTCGCCAACAACAACAAGGAGCTCGCCATCACCCTCCCCAACCTCATCTGGGCCACCAACCTTACTTTCCGTTTCGTTGGCTCCCTTTCGATGCCTTCTCTGAAGAGCACCAACGGCTCCCTGGGTCTCTACAACAACGACTTCTCGTCTTTCTCCGCTCCCAACCTGACCTCTATCGGCGAGGCCCTTGCTATTGTTGCCAACGAGAAGGTTTCCAACATCAGCTTCCCTCTGCTCACCAAGATCAACGACAACCTCCAGATCGCCAACAACACCAACCTCACCACCCTTGATGGATTCCCTCTGCTCAAGAGCATTGGTGGTGCTTTCGATATCTCTGGAAACATGAGCAAGTAAGCGACGGCAATGTTTCTATCCGTGTGGCACGCACTAATCACACGACAGGGTCGAGACTCCTTCCCTTGAGCTCGTCGAGGGCACATTCAACCTGCAGTCTACTGATAACGTCACCGAGGCTTGCGCTTTCTACCAGCCTCTGCAGAAGAAGGATGCCATCAAGGGCAAGTTCTTCTGCAAGGGCAAGCTCGTCGACCCCGGCCAGCAGGGAAGCAAGCCTACCGAGCAGAGCGGTAACAGCAACTCCCAGACTGGTGCTGCCACAAGCCTGAGCGCTGTCAACGGTGCTCTCGGTCTTGCTGCCATGGCTGCTGTTTTCCTTCTGTAAACGGTTCCGGACGCTGGCGTTTCCATTGTATTTGCATAGACTAATCATCCATGATCTGGCTTCTTTTGATAGCGTATGGCATCTCCCGCAACTGCTCACGTTTGAGCTCAACTTATGAGGACTGAAGTGGTCGGGGCGAGGGGGTAATAAGCCCGCATGCATCGCTTGTATGTATCAATTGGCTACTGGTTCAAACATGGTAGACTTTCAATCTGCAGTATACACTAGGCAGGTTTCTCCGGCCTCGTCGAGCGGAACGGCACGACGGGCTGCGTGAGAGACTGCACTTGCGCATTCTTTACACTCTTTCAATTCTGTGTACAAGCTATTTATGTTTCTCTTGTCGTATATGCTACTTACACAAAATCACACTCTTGGGTTGCATCGCAATTTTGACGTCGTCGGGGCGTGCTATAGTGCACATCATGCGCTTACATCCGTCCCGATCCGCAATGCATCTTTGTCACTTTTCGTCGCTGTCCTCGAAGGATTGCTCGAGCCCGGGGAATGCGGACCAGCGCTTAGTGTCCGCTTAGTGTCAAACTAGGGTCGTTGCTCACCAACATCAACCCAGGCACGCAGGTTACACAGCTTCTCAATCCCAACCCATGTCTGTTGCTCCACTTCCTTGCCACCGACAACGCCCGAAACGACGAGCCGCTGGCTTAGAGGGTTTCGCGAATCGAGTGTGCAGCCGTCGACCGTGAGCCTGGCAAACGGTGTCTTCAAGGTTTACTTTTTCGAACCGGGTTCTGCTGCTCAAATCGAGCAAGCCACGATGATACCTTGGCTACGAATCGAGCTTCGCCATCAGCCTTGACGCCCAAAGCAGAGCATCTGCTGCCCTCTAAGACATGCCTACAGCGGAAGGACGCTACGTCTGCACGTTCTGCATTTGACAATGCTGTTCTACATTGACGAGTCCAAGGACGCAGGTCGGTTGCTGCATTGCTCGAATCAACTGTTGCGTTGGCGGAAGCGAACATGAGCGGTGAAAGTGCTTACAGCCTTGCGTCTTTCGGCTGTCATCGAGCAAACGGCCAGAGAATGTGCAGGGTCCCCTTGTCTATCAGCCATAGGCTGCATGTCTCAAACGACATCCCTTACTGATGCACTCTGAGCGCATCGCCCAGCCCACCCCCACAGCTCGAGTAGTACAAGCTATTCCTCTTTAAACCAGCCATCTCGACACGACTGCTCTTCTTCAGGATCTTGCATGATAGAACTTTGGTACCGAAAGAATCCTTGTCCTCGTCGGTGTGAAGGGTTGCAATGGCCAACTGCTAACGTCTTCGAACATGGATGAGCACCCGCATCCGCGTTGCCGTCGCTGAGATCTGTGCTTGAGAACATGGCCTCCAGTTCCCAGAGGTTATAAAGGACATGTGTTTCCTTCTTTGCTTCCACATCAAAACATCTCATCATCACGACTTGCATTTAATACATTTGTGTCCTTTGGCGGCTTCTTGTTTTGCGTTTGCACGTCATCAATCTTGATCAATTTTACACAATGCAGCAATTCCATCTGCCCAACCCAGCATCGGTGGTGTCCCATCAGATATCTGGCGACATGTATGATGTTCCACGCCATTGTCGTTGTAATCAGCTCTAACACCGCCCAGCAAACCCGAACTCATCAATGTCAAGCTGCCTCCTATCCGCCAGATGACTCCTGAGCACCGTTTCAACTACAACTCGAGTGTATCTACCTACGATTCCGACATGTCCAGACGTCCATCTGTATCATCGATAACATCATCTGGCTTCCATCCTTCTCGTTCTGCCTCGCCTGCCTTCTCTACCTCAACCCTGGAACCACAGTATGGAAATTGCAGATCTCTTGATCGTCTACGTCTGCAAGCAGGTCATGTCCAGACCTTCCCTTACACTACACCCACGCAGGACTCCGCGGCTACTGCATCTCACGCTGGCGGAAAGGCGGGCAAGACGAAGCGAGTGGATCGTAAGCAATATTCGAAGCGAGCCGTAACTGGAACCACTTCTTCAAGGGTCCGCAAGAGCGACAACGAAGCGGGCAACCGTTATTGTCAGGCCATTGACCAGGGAGACCTTGCACGGGTGTGCCGAGAGGCCAACCCCAATATCGAGCACACCGCAGCACCACGACACGGTGGACAAGGCCCCTGGGTTCTGCTCAAGTCCAACAACATCGCAAGCGATGTTCTACAAGATGGTGTTGAGCCGTCCAGGTGGAACAAGTCTTCTGTCAATGGCTCAGCGATCCTGATCATTGAACACAGCAGTGCACAGCTTGATGATGAGATCAAGTATCTAGGGGGTCTGCAATCACGACTTCCCAAGGAACTACAGGGTGAGATTGCCCAGCGCATAGAGTGCTTGATCGCTGCCAAAAACACTCGCGGTGAGGCCGAGTTCAAGGTAGCCACCGAGCAGATGACTTATCAACATTGAGTTGAGATGGGCATCGCATCACGACATTGCAGCGCCATGTGCTTTTCTCGCGGCATCGGAGGTGTTTTGAGTACAATTCTTCGCTCGGCATTTTGATCCACCCAAAAGTTTGTTTCTTTTTGTCGATTGGTCGCATCTTTCGGTTAGAGCAAGTCTTGCTCGTTCATCGCACGCGTACATTGCTTTTGCAGCGCTTCATTGGGAGGATATCTCGTGTTACTTTTTTGGCCTTTCCTTCTTCACGATGAAAACGTTCTGTATGACGACTCCAACGGCCCCCTAATCATGTACATTCTTAACATAGTATTTTGGTATACCCGCTTCGCATACGCGATGCACGATCTACAATCAAGTCAATTATATTCATCCAGTTTGCCTTGTCACTTCTTCGCTTTTCGTCCACGATTCTTCCTCATCGTTGCCGCCACTAATTCCTTTGATGTTATCTTGCAGACAGTCCAATTTCCTGATCCCAGCCCCTCGATTGTGGCATGTGTTGCTTTGCTACCCTCCGCACCTCGAGTCTTCTCGCTTACGGCTTCGGCAATCCTCTTCCGATGCACAGCGTAGCCGCAACTAGGTAGACTAGCTAACGTGCATGCATCATGGCCATACTTGCAGCGAGTTCTCACATCTGCACTGCCGTGGACGGCCTGTCTGAACGGTAAATGAAAATGTGGAGCACGAGGATGGGATAACCCAGATTGTCTTGCTTCAGGTGGCGCCTTCGACGCAGCGCGCGGTTCGAGATGCGCTGATGGCTGATCCTTTGCAGTGTCGTGTTCCCATCCACATCAGCTCGATTCTACCGCGCAAAGATGCGCTCTTCTCCGCCCCTCCGTCAAGCATCCTTCTCAACACATGCGCCTCCCCTGACCAGCATTCCTTCCATGACGGCCGTTGTTGGCCCGAATTCGTATGTAGTCCTACATCTCACTACCGCATCCCACACACTGTCAACTCTATTATGGGCCTGTGATGTGCGAGCGGCAACGGCATCTTGCATAACGCGCCGACTAATTGGCCGACCAGTCGCATCAGAACGTGTTTGTCACAGCAATGTGCGACCTCGAGGCTCGTTTCGTCCTCCACACTGACCTGGCTCGTGGTCTGGGCACTAGGTTCCTGAGTCTTCCTGCATGACAGGAACCCATTCCCTCCCTGGTCCACGATTCTTACTGGCTAATAGAGCCTCGTTCCCGTGCCGGTGCTTCCCCCCGTGAGTAGTGTGTAGTCACGGTTGTTCTGGCGATCTAGCATGGTCTATGTATGTACGTTCAGCGGCTCGCCAGCAGATGACGCAGAAAGCGTTGGCATTGCCTGCCGGAGTGGACGAACGTGGCATTGCGTAACCGGTTGGCCGCCTCCGCTGGCCTCAAATTCTCGACATGTCTTCTCGTCGGCTTGCTGCAGCAAGGAAATCAACATTTACTCAGCGAGCAGACCGGCACTTCGCTGATCTTGCAACCTGTCACTGATGCTGCAGGCACTCGGTCATGCAGTGACCGCAGTGTGAAGATCTGTGGGCATCCGTACGCCTTTGTGCTACGTGTCAAATGTTGAATGAGGTATTCGACGACTTATGAATGCTTGGCGACATTCACTCTGGGCCCGACCCGCCACTGCCATGTTCCCCAGACGCCAGAGGATCCCGCAGCGGCCATCAAGATGTTTCATCGCTGAGATTAGACTGACGCACTGTCCCTGAAGTTCTCTCAACGTCTTTCAGATCGAGGCTGCGACCTGTAGCTGCCCGGAGTGTGACCGGTGGAGGCCCGATTTGATTCGTCGACGGTTGTTCTGTTTCTACATCTCAGCTGACCAGTTGTACTAGATATGGATATTACAGTCAACATCACATTTGACACAATGTCAATATTGCTGCAAGCCACCAGACTTGGGATGGTCCATGTACGTTCTGGTCAATCCATGATGACATATCTCCACAATCCGCACTGTGCAGGCCTCGACTCTCACAGACACCCGTAGGCACTGCGGTGGTACCATTGAATGCTTCCATCGGAGCTATTTGGTCGTTGGCGTGTATACAGATCCAAGTCTAGCATGGGCTTGCAGCTCGTGTTAGCGAGGCCTGGGGAAGTACAGTACCGTACCGTGAGCAGGGAGTTTATGGCTCAGGAGCAATACGTGCAGTAGTGTGCACTAGAGTGTTGACAGCCAGAGCTAGAGTAGCATCATGGATGAAGCTGGGAGATGTCGTATTGAGTATACATGGAGGCTGGAAGGGGCCCGGGGTGCGTTGCTTTTTCCTTCGACAGTCGATGTCATCGTGCTGACCCTGTATGTCTCAACAGCTACAAGGAGTGAGACCGACAGTTCCCCTGTGAAGAGGAGAATACGCACCCCGCTGAGACCGGCGCGTGATTATCTCCTGAGCCTGAATACGGCCGCGCGTTTGAAAGATGCGACACTTCTCTATTGACATGTTACTGCCTCCACCTGAGACCTTCTCGAAGCGCTGTGCGGGCTTGAGCCAGAGAGATGCTGTAGGCCAAAGCTTCTATAGTCCTCCTAAATTGCGGTAGTATTCTGTGGCTGCTCGATCTTTCCCCGTTACCAACCAATTCTCATACCTATCTCCAAGCTGAGCCACAGGTACCTACAACCATGTGGCGTGGAGGAGGCGGTGCGGCGCGTCGTAACCCCGTGAAACTAGTTTCGAAAGTCTCGGTACATACGACGAGGCGTCCAGTGCGGGCCGCAGCGGGCAACTAGAAGGCCCCTAGTTTATGACGCGCGCAGTATCTTGAGCAGAAGAGGTTCTTACCAAGTTCATCTCTAACGCACAGTCAGCTTCCAGATACCTGGTTGCTGCTCAGCTGTAGCTCGTGCTAGCGCGTCGCTACCTATTTGCACGTGTCTCCGACCAGGGTCCATCGCGACATTCCAGAATGAGCAAAAAGGTTTGCTTGCAAGATAAGGAGCCGGCAAATGCCAGAGCCAGAACACATTGCAATTGCCAACAACAACACTACACATTTCCTCTGAAACGTCCACGGGCTGTTCCCTACCACGCGTCGTCATCAGTGGACCTGCTGCTGACGATCTGTTTGGCTAGCGCATCCAGCGCATGGTCGACCTTGCGAACGACTGTCAAGACCTGGAACCGCAGTCGTTTACCGTCAGCCCGTCGCTCCTTCCACCCGCAATCGCGCACAGCAGGAACGTGCTGTCACGTCTGTCGTTTCCGGCAACGGCCCCACTCGCGACGGTAAACGTCACCAGCCTAGCTCACTTGTAGCTCCATCTGCGCACCGCGCACCCAACCACCACGCTGGCTTCACCAGAGTCGCCGTCGCAGCCCCTCCATTCACAGCGCCAGCGCAGGAACACGGGCGACATCCGTGCGAGGAGCTCGTCCATTCGCATCAGCCAGGCCCGGGGAGAGGAGGAGGATCGACGGCCTGCGAGCCTCGCCAGTCTCACCATGCTGCCACAGATGGTCGCGGGCAAGAGTGGCTACTCATGGAAGGCGGCAAAGGCGAGGATACCGCCGTACAGACAAATCGCACACACCGTCCGGAGCCCGAGGTTTCTGGTGCCGCTGGCCATTGTAACGGCCATTGTGCTGCTATGGCGGTCCATGGGCACCGCTGCGAGCGAGGTGCAGAGGTACGAACAACCCCGCAGGCCGAGTTGCTGCGCAGGCGACTTTTGCAGGCCATACTCAAGTGGCTGTGGGCAATTGCTGACCTGGCCTCTCCAGATTCTACTGCTTCGGCCCTTCAACACCTCCTATGCGAATGACGCCGAACGAGAATGAGGAATGGTACGGCCACCTCACAACGCCTGTCGTTTTCAACCATCGCAAGCCAGTCGAGATCAATAGCACCGAGATCCAGCATATCAATCTCGACCCCATCAAGTCGACCGTAGATGCAGTGCGCAATAAGGAGAAGATCCTCATTCTGACCCCGCTGCGCGATGCCTCCTACTACCTCGCCAAGTACTTCGACCTCCTCACGCAGCTCACATACCCGCACGAGCTGATCGATCTTGCTTTTCTTGTCGGCGATACCACGGATGACACCATGGCAGCGCTGGCAATGGAGCTTGAGAGGGTGCAGAACAACCCGGAGATTGCCTTCAGATCGACGATGATCGTGGAGAAGAGCTTCGGCGTGACAACTGGACAGAGTGTCGAGGAGCGACATGGCTTCGCCGCCCAAGGCCCGCGGAGAAAGGCCATGGGCAAGGCGAGGAACTACCTCTTATCAGCAGCATTGAAGACTGATCATAGCTGGGTGTATTGGAGGGACGTGGATATCGTCGAGAATCCGCCAAATATCATTGAGGACTTTGTCATGCATGACAGGGATATCATAGTTCCCAGTAGGTGTGAATGAGCGCATTGAGGTTGGAGAATACTGACGAGATACAGACATCTGGTTCCACAGGTACAAGGAGGAGAAAGGAAAGATGGTTGATATCGAAGGCCGCTGTATGCGTCCCCACAATCCCACATCGATACCGTATTGACGTCCAACAGTCGATTATAACTCGTGGCAAGAATCCCCGGATGCCCTCAAACTCGCCGCGACGCTTGACAAAGACGTCGTGCTTGCTGAAGGTACGCTTTTTCTGATCATGCTTCGCCTAACGCACTGCTGATTGTATCTCAGGCTACAAAGAATACAAGACGAACCGCATCTACATGGCCACGATGGGCGACCGACACGCTGATCCCCACGAGGAGATCCCCCTTGACGGAATCGGCGGCGTCAATATCGTCGTGAAAGCCGACGTGCACCGCTCCGGCATCAACTTCCCCGCATACGCATTCGAGAATCAAGCAGAGACCGAAGGCTTCGCGAAAATGGCTAAGAGGGCCGGCTACGGCGTATACGGCCTGCCAAACTATGTTGTGTGGCACATTGATACAGACGAAAAGCCCGGCAATGCATGAGCTGTCGTTCAAAAGAGATTTTAGTGTAGTTGCAGAAGATAGAAAAGGACAAACGCGAGCGCAGCAAAGACGCATACGACGGCGTTTGGGGTGTACATTCCAAACACAAATAGACGGCACGATTACTGTGCATGCACGATATGAGAGCAGCATCACACACTGTACATTCACGACTTGGGGGGCGCGCTCTGGGAGCTCGCGACTTTAGATATACAACCCACTTTTAAATCATGTTCGCTCTACTCTTGTCATGCCGCCGCGGATAGTCGCCTGCGTTGCTCGTCGTTGCTGGCTGGAAATGTGATTTCATGTCTGTCTCATAGGAGTGCAGGATCTGTTCCCGCGTCTCTCCTTGCACCATTTGGTCTCCACACATGAGCCTTCTCTTTCTCTATTCCCATTCTTCTATTCCCGCTTGCACACTTTTCCTACCACGCTGCGCCGGACAACTGAATGGCGCTTTGCAGCAGCACAGGCACCGCCGGCTGGCGTTTGTGCTCCTGCGCGGCCTGGGTCTGGAGATTTGCATGGCTGGATCGTATCACGCATCGTTTGACGGCGACCCAGGTGGAGGACCGCAACACTTTCCATCAGTACACCACCAACACGACATCAGAGTGCGTAAGACTACTATTAATAATATTCTACGCTCACGCGAGCTGGTATAGTGATCTATCCTATATGGCTGAGTATCCTGTGATATATACGCTTTCATTTAGCTAAAAGAACAGGGTGGATGAGACTTAGTGATCAAATGTGCCAGCATGGAACTTGCGTTCGTCGTAGTACTGCGCGCGAATGTTCCTGCCGCGATATTGAAAGCCTTCGGCGAAGCGGTTGACAGCCTGAATTCCTATGTTAGAATACGCAGGTGGAGCGCTGGGAGGGAGACTTACGTTGAGAGCGCTCAGGACCGACTTGAAGTGGATGTACACCACGCCGTCCGGATTCGACTCATCGACCTGCAGCCGCTCGACAGGACCGAACTGCCACATGATTAGCCTCAATGTATACTGGCGCACCTCGGTCAAGCATACCTTTGTGCTGAACACGTCTCCCATATCCTGTCGAATCCCTCCGTCGTCCCTCTCGGCGTTCTCCTTCCAGTCGACCCCTTCGACGCAACCCCAGGCAACGACCACTGGGCTTTCTTCGCCAAACTGGCCCGGCTCGTCTTTCTTCCTCTCCCCACCACGCACGTCCCAGACTTGCGCGCTCTTGACTTTGTTACCCTCGCCGTCGTCGAAGATACTGGATCCACCGCCTGGCGCAGGCTTTCGAATCTTGACCTCCAGATGCGTGGTGACACCGTCGTTGTTCTTGCCCAGACCTTGTCCCTTGACGTAGCCCATTTTCGCCATCATTGCTTCCGCTTTGCTTATCTTGGGTCGTTTGGCAGGGCGCTCGTAGAATTCGGATTCGTCATTCGAGGGTGGTGCAGCTGGCTGTTCATACCGAACGGGCGGCGCAGAGATCGTAGCGTTGGCGTAGCGCACTGGAGGTGCGGAGATTGTGGCGTTGTTGTAGATCGAGGAGCTGGTAGTTGCCGTACCAGGTGCACCGGCGCTAGGTGGTGGCGGTGGAGGCGGTGGAGGCGGAACGTCGTCGGACACAGTCGCTTGTTGGGAGAAGCTATGTGGCTGAGGCTCAGATGGTGGAGGCGGTGGTGCAATCGACTGCTGTTCTGAGAGACGCATGCGGCGAGTGTAGGGATCTTCATCGTCTTGTTCGGTGGATGCCGTAGGGATATCGTAGGACGCTGGTGGCGCGAAACTGGGCTTCGCGGAGAACGAGGGTGGTGGTGAGGCTGAACCTGGCGTCGATATGGGTTCTTGAACGTTCGGACCCTCGCTCTCTTCTCTCAGCCTCTCAGACTGGCGTGCAGCCGATCGCAGGAAGTCGTTGAATCCTTCTTGCTTGCGCCTGTACCCTCCACTAGCCCTGTAGGCCTTCAGATTTGACCAACGTTCTGGCTTGTGTGGGGCAGTCGGGTTCCAGTAACCAAACTGCTTGTGGAACTTCTTCATTTGTTTCTTCTTTTGCGCCTCTTCGTACTGACGATGCCGCCGCTCCTCTAAGATAGCTGCGTCGTCGTCAGCGGTGCTCCGGTACCAGTCTATGCCATGTTGCTCTGTTCTTGAAGCTGGAGCTGCGACTGGGTCCGAGGAGTTTGTGGTGGAAGACGATACCGCAGGCATGACAGGCTTCTTGACAGGGCCGAATTTCTTTGCTTGAGGCCGCTTAATGTGGTGTGGATTATGAAAAGCTGTAGACGCTCATGAGTGTGGTTCAATAAACAGTACGGAGCTCGTCGAGTAGATACCAGGTGCTTTCTTCTGCTGCTCGGCTTTTGCTTGCTCATCTGTAAATTTAACGGGCGCAGACGATGCAACAGTAGCTGCAGCGTACGGATTCGGCAGGCTCGCCTGGGCGTATGGATTTGGCAGGCCATATGGGTTGGGCAAGGCCTGCGCCTTCTGCGGTTGCTGAGAACCCATCTTCGCTAGGAATTTCGCTGGATATGTACGAGGATTACTGCATGAAGTATAATTTAATGTGTAGAAAGGGCAAAGTCTAAAAAACCTGCATGAGGTGCCCGCACTGCAGTGATGTGGATGTTGAAGCCAACCGGTGATGGTGAGGGCTGCCGCGGGTTCGCGAGAGCAAAGCGCGTTGCATGCGAGCACCCCACGCTAGAAGACGACCCCGGTCGACGCCGCATTCCCGTGATGCGGCTTGACGGCAATTGGGCCAGATCGCGTCATTCGGTTGCAATCGAAACGAACCAGAGACCGGGCCGGGGGAAACTGTGCAGTTGCATTCTCTTACACACTCAACTGGCTTTGGTGTGCGCTGTAAATCCATAGATTCTCTTGTCGCATTGTATAGACATCCATCAAGGTACCATCATCGAATGCGCCGAGTCTGTACCGTGACTGACTCTGAACGACAGACATCTCCTTATCTAATCTTGAATACACAAAATGGCTCCGACCACGCTCGCCGACGCCTTCTCGCCCATTTCCTCCGCGACCGCCGTCATCGTACCCGGCTCGCCTGCGCTCGAGGTCTCCTACAAGAAGCTCACTACCGACGTAAAGGCGTTCCAGGCGCAGCTGGCAAAGGTCGGTGTGTCCGCGGAGGCGGCTGTGTCCATTGCGCTGCCCAACACATACGAATTTATTGTCTCCTTCATTGCTGCGTCATGGCAGAGAGCGATTGCAGCTCCCTTGAACCCAGCGTACAAGCAGTCTGAGTTCGAGTTCTACATTGATGATTTGAGCTCGGCGATTGCTCTGGTCCCTCAGGGTGCATTTGCGCAGGATGCGGCTGCTGTAAGGGCGGCGAGGAAGTACAACGCAGCGATTGCCGAGTGCTACTACAACGGAAAGGAGGTCGTCCTGGATGTAAAGGAGCTTGGCAAGCTGGCTGGCAAGAGTTCACCAGTTCTGTCTGCTGAGCCAGAGGATGTAGCTCTCGTACTACACACCAGTGGCACCACTGGACGCCCCAAGGCAGTGCCACTTACGCACCGCAACCTCCTGCGCACCATGCAGAACATCCAAGGAACTTACGATCTCACACATGAGGACCGTACCATGCTCGTTATGCCCCTCTTCCACGTGCATGGCTTGCTTGCTGGTTTCCTTGCGCCGTTGGCTTCAGGTGGTTCAGTTGTTGTGCCACCAAAGTTCTCCGCATCGGAGTTTTGGAAGGATTTCTCGGCGCACAAGGCCAACTGGTACACAGCTGTGCCGACCATTCATCAGATCTTGCTCAGAAGTCCTATCCCAAGCCCATTGCCTGCGATTCGGTTTATCCGATCATGCTCGTCTCCTCTCTCACCGAAGACGTTCCACGAGATTGAGAAGGCATTCAAAGCTCCCGTGTTGGAGGCTTACGCAATGACCGAGGCGTCTCACCAGATGACGAGCAATCCTCTGCCCCCTGGCCAGCGCAAGCCAGGCAGTGTGGGACTTGGTCAAGGCGTCGAGATTAAGATCCTTGACGAGGCGGGTGATGAGGTCCCCCAGGGCAAAGAGGCTGAGATTTGCATCCGTGGTGAGAATGTCACCAAGGGCTACTTGAACAACCCTACAGCAAACGCCACAGCCTTTGCCAAGGGAGGCTTCTTCCGCACTGGCGATCAAGGCAAACAGGACGAAGATGGCTACGTGATAATCACAGGCCGCATCAAGGAGCTGATCAACAAGGGTGGTGAGAAGATCAGCCCAATTGAACTCGACAACGTGATTGCGCAACATCCGGCCGTGTCCGAAGCTGTCAGTTTCGCGCTAGAGGACGAGATGTATGGGCAAGATGTCGGTCTCGCAGTCGTTGTCAAGGAGGGCCAGAAGCTGTCCGCCGGCGACCTGAAGACGTGGCTGGCCGACCGTGTCGCCAAGTTCAAGCTGCCAAAACAGGTGCGTCCTTCTCCAATGCTTTCAGTGCCGTGTAACATGTTCTGACGATCAGCAGGTCTTTTTCACCGATATCATGCCTAAGACAGCGACTGGCAAGATTCAGCGCCGCCTTGTCGCTGAAGCCATGCTCAAGCAGCCTAAGGCCAAGATTTGAGTGAGTATCGCATCGCGCTTGTAGATATCGCACCGGTACAATTTGCATCTTCCTTCTTCCAGACAATCTGGCGTGTGTTCGAGCAGATGTGGATGTTGTTGTCGTACGAATACTGAATCAGCAACACTTACCCCGCTCTTCTCACTTTGTCCGAGGCTTGCACCTATCCTTGTACACTCATCATCAACTGAGCGGATCGCGGAATTCCTCAGGGTCCAGCTTGGCGCTTGCGTGACTCGCGCAGCCCCATCTTCAATGCTATTCTTCCGTCGCCGTGACCCTTTAGCTACATTGTCACCAATCTCCGGGCGCTGCCGGACGAACGTGCTGCTGTGTTTCCACATAACTAGTCTTTTATCGCATGGAACTCGCTACGCCCGGCATGCGGTGTACTTTTTTCATCGAGGCGCCCAATCTGGCGCGCCTTTACGAGCATAGCTGATGGATCTCAGTGTGGCTATGGTGGGTCCTTCAGCTCCCATTCGTCGTGTCTCTACCAGTCGTTGCTATTCCTGACGCTCTCGAGTACAAATGTCTTGGATGTTAAAGCAGACCAGAGGCTGTCACGGCTGCCTTGTGCGCCCAATCTCCTTGCCTACCATGTCTTTCAACGTCGTCATCCTCATCCCCTTTCTATTGCAATCTGTCTCGGCGCAGTAACCGAGATCTCCAATTACCTGAACATCTCGTCATATTAGCTCCAGTATTCATCAACCCACCCGTCAGAGCTGGCGTGACGAAGCAGATCACTAGCAACACCCCTGCACGGATGGTACGCTATGTCTCATCTTATACAACCAGGGACCAACATCATGCAGACCGCCATTCATTCGCAGACTTCACAAAAGAGTTGCGTTGCCCTTGTTGCGGGTGCCTTTGAGTCCAGCACATCCTCAGGCCAACTCCCTAATAGCTCCATAATGAATCGCAGTGCTACTACTACCCGGACACGGCCTCCACTGTCGAGCAATAATACTACACCTACGTCGACGCGCAGCTCAAGTCTATCGTCGCTCAGCCACCCTGATCTGTCGTCAGCCAGCAGTGATGCTTCCGCCGGCGATCTCAAGCGGTTATCGACCAAATCGAATCTGAAGTCCTCGAGATCAGTAGGAGCAGATCTCAACCGCAGATCGGCACCGCCAACTGTTCGATTCCTGGACCCAGAACCGATGCCACGAAGGAGTACAGAGCCTGTACCGGCGATCCTGAAGTCACAAACCCCTGAGCGTCTAGTCCGGCCAGGCTACTCCAGAGGCATGTCCACTCCTGACCTTGGACCACATCAGTATAGAGAGAAGAAGATTGTGATCCCCACCTTGACACGTCCTCCGCTACTTTCGCAAGCTTCCAAAAGGTCGAGCGCTGCTAGTTCACCCGGGGGCACCGCAAGCTCACCACGCACGTTGTCATCAGCACAATCTCCTCGGGGCCGCTTCCAGCATTCCTCGGGGTCTGTAAATCAACTCCGTCAACGCGTTGACAAGCGCTTCTCCGCGCCTGTAGTGCCATCCCAGATCGATCCTCGTCTTGATCCACGATGGTCCGGCATACCTCTCCCGGCAGGCTTCGTACCACCAAGCCGAACCCCAACTCCAACACAACGAGTCACATCTTATCACTCTATCGCATCAAACCTGTCCTCGTCACCAGCGCCTTCGGTGAACACGGCCCCTCCCTCGGGCAAGTATGATCCGCTCCAGAATTACATACCCTGTATGGCAGCCATGTGCACCGCGCATTACACACCGGTGCATTCTGGCCCAACATACTACGCAGCACAGGAACCCTACCGCCTGTCCAAGCACCATGGATACTGCCCGCGCCATGCCAGCAAAGAGATGCAAGAAGCTAACGCACTCTGTAAGAGGGAATACGAGACCATGCGCCAGAACGCTGGTCGCAAGACACTCGGTGCTGTCGCACAAGACTTTGAAATCTTCCTCCAGCTATACCGAGAGGCTCGACAGACCGAGGATGCGCGCCTGCAGGAGGCGCAGAGCCAAGCAGTACTCGGCCTATCCCCGACAGCCACAATAAAACAGAAAGCGCCACAAAACAATGCTTCTGACTGGCGCTACACACCCCGCAACTGCACCAAGAAGCGCTGCGCATCAATGCCGTACTCACCATACTCCACACAGCACTTTTCGTTCTACAACTCGGCCAATCCCTCGACGCAGCTGCTTCCGCTCACCACGTTGTGTCCGAGTTGCTCCAAGGCGGAATCCGAGGGCTTCGGAGCTAAGTTGATGGAGAAGTGGAGCAGCAGATGCGGATGGGACGGCGAGGAGTGGGACGGGTGGTACCAGACCGCACTCCACCATCGCAAGGGGGAGCAAGAGTTCTGGGAGAAGGCGCAGGAGCGAGTCGTCAGGGAGAGGCGTGCTAAGAAAGCCACTAGCGAGGCGGCCGAGAAGGCGGAGGAGAAGCAGGAGAGCACTGAGGAACAGAGTGTTGCTGGTGCGACACCGACCAAAGAGAAGAGGAAAAGTATTTTCAAGAGGATGTTCAGGCGCAGCGAGACGACGGGGGCTGTTGCTGTTGCTGTTGCTGCTGCGTAAAATTTGGATGGAATACTTAATTTGGCTACGGCGAGTGAAGCTGTGGTTTGCAAGATACACTTTCGGCTCAAGAGGATGGGTGAAATGTCACCTGTTAAGTAAAGAACTGCGAAAGAAGACGCTGTTTCGGTTACGTGGAAAATGCTATAGCACACACATAATGTTGATACATTGACCGCATCAAAACTACACACAACGATGCATTGACCGACGATGAGATAAATTGATGACTGTAAAACCGATCGCCTCAACCAATGCAAAGCAACCACAAACATGACGATCTAGGCACTCGATCAAATTGCTTCGTTCAGAAAATTGTGCAGTGATCATGAGAAATTAGTGACCGACGTATTTTCTTAAGTTGGAGCCACGGCAGCCCTGTCACATGTTCGCCACCATTTCACAAGCCACTAAGTAAGCTTCTTACTTGTAGGGGAGACTGTGGGAGGTATAGCAGGGCAGTGCTTGCGGTGGCTGTGCGGGAAACACCAGCAACGTCTGGCATGCAGGCTGACCAGGGAAGTCCGACGCGTTCATCGTATACACTACATGTTAGTTTCTAGCCTTATTTTTTTCCACACGTAAGTGTCTGCCCCTAGTTATCTTCATATGAGCATTATTACAGGCAAAGTTATATGAAACGTCGACTATATCTGCTTCCACCCGCGGTGCTTCGAGATCACGATACCACTAGATAAACTACTGAGCGGAGACCATACCAATAAGTGCTCTCTGGATTATGTAGTTGGACAGATATTGTACGTCTCCCTTGCTGCAGACAGGTTCGATTGTCGTCATCTCAGCACTATTTCCCTCTCGATACAATCGACACCATAGAAAATCCCACAGTTCATCGAAGTAGGTTCCAAGAGCTTGCCTGCATCTTTCAAGGAATGTTGGACAGCTATATCAGCCATGTCATGGTCGGAATGTCCTCGCCAGGAAGCCTGAAGTCTTTTTTCTTTTGTACTGCGCCCGCCAGACGCATATCCAAGATATTCTTAGTTCAAGCAATTGATGAAATGGTTCTACCTGATGCGTACAGTATAGTGTTATCTAAACAGGCACCAGACACAAAGGATCCTGCGATGCCTGGCAACAAGCAGGATACAAACCAAAATGACATGACGAGGATGCTGCTAGAACTAACGGAAAGTTGCAATGCAATATCAATGAGACGACAACGTGCTACAAATTTGTGAATCCTGCTTGTATTAGCAGTATGACCTACGAAAGGCCGTACTTCCTGCATGTGAGGCATCCACCATTCCAATATTGCCACAATGCAGCCCAGAAAATAAAATCTGTAGATGTACTCCAAGTCCGAAGTTGATGAATTCGAGTCTGCGTCATGCGGTAAGATGTGACCACGTTTTTGTATTCAAGGGTACGCATGACTGTGATGCTTGGTTGCGTGTGCGAAATGACGACTGCCACGATATGCTGCGATACCGGGACAGTGTGCGATACGTCAATACGGGATCAGGAATGTAAGTATGCATTGGTTTGATGATGAGCTTGATTCAAAAAGACACAAGTGTTGAGCGCAAACAAGCACCCGCGTATAGTATCGATACCTTCACTCACTGTTACCACACGATACCTTCACTCACTGTTACCACACGATACCTTCACTCACTGCTTGCCACACGATACCTTCACTCACTGCTTACCACACTAGCTGCATCCTCGCCCCCATAAATATGCGCTGAACTTCTCTCCGTCCTCTTTCACAATCAATCACCCACTGCGTGATCCTGGCGCATCCTGCTGCTATACTATCGCCGATAATGGCGGACTCGGATTGGGGTTTGCTACCCGATGAAGCTCTGGCTGCTGCCGCCGGTTCACAACCCCATATCTACGGCGAGAGCAGTGGTGCGCAATCACAGCCAAACTACCTCGACTACCTGCAGCTACCGGACGTCAGCTCTGCTATCCGCCGCAGCATATCCGCGGGTAATGAGGTTGAGAGCCGATTCTCGGTCGATGCACTTGGCGCACTCCCAAGGGCTGACTACCCTAACATTCGCCAGCTCAGTGAGGCGGTATTCAGTCTTGTTGAGAAGCGACTTGAGCTTCGTGGGATCAAGTCTGAGAGGCTGAAGGAATACACGCAATGGGCGCTTCCTATTTCGTAAGTACTTAAATGCACTTTTAAATCCTTGCTTGACTTACACTTAGCAGGACAGATCACACTGCCTTGTGGGCAACCTTTATGCGTATGCCGTTCCGCATTACAGCAGAAGAGCTCCGTTCTATGCTGAAGCTTACGCCTGCCACATCAACAACAGTTGGACCACCTGGCACAGAGATTATCTACGTCCGCTCCTTCAAATTCACGATTGCCGAGTTCCGATACATCCTCCTTCTTATGGTTGACAAGCACTACTATAACTATATATACGAGTATATTTTCACCTGGCTTGGATTTATCGGCGAGCTTGAGGAAAAACAACGTTGAGCTTGAGGACGTTGAGTGGACTATTCGGTACTGCGGTACCACTAATGGCGAGGCGTGGGACCGCCACACAGGCGACATGAACAAGAGCTCAAGCACGGCTCACACATGGTTCTTACAGTTCTTGAAAGTGGTTTCCGAGGAGTTTCCTCACATCATCGACGGTATCGAGATCGATGTTGTGCCTTCAACCGTTCTCTCTAAGCTCGTCAGCGCGGATCACGACCTCCGTGAACAATATCTCATCAGCATGTGTGGTGTCGGCGCCATGAATATGCAAGCCGGGGGAAGCAACATCGTCAGCTCATCCTAGAAGAAGACCGGGATGCGTTCCAGTCTCTAAACACAGGGCTCTTCTTCAAGTAGGGATTACTATATATCAAAACTAAAGCCTTGTCCACAGTACATGCGCGAGTCTGTCGTGAACTACGGCAAAGAGGTCCAAAATTATGCGAAAAACAACTCTGAGTCCACCGGCACGGACAAGCGACCATTTACCTCCAAGCTCCGTGATTGCATTATCAAGCAAGCCACACCTGCTGTTGTTGGACCACTTCAATGCGCATTGGTCACGACGATCGGATCCGATATTGGTCCAGACAGTCATGAAGATAGCACGTTCTACGCCAGCGGCCGAAGATCCGCTGATATTGTCAATCAATGCTTCGACAATCTCAGGAACTGGGAGTCCGCTGTTGAAGGCCCGCTTGCGTCTGGCACCTCGCAGACAAACCTTGGCTCTGGTGACGCATATTTCACCTTCGGTGATATCTTTGCCTGGCCCAAGAAGGACAAGGAAGACTACACTGAGGCTGGAACGTTACTCAAATCGTACCTTGCAGCGACGCAGCCCTTGATCATCTTTACTTATGGCGCGTTACCAACCTACTTCGCTCTTGACTCGTTTGGTGATCTTACTCAAGCGGGATACCACAAGAACCAACGTACCGAGAACTACCAGACTACAGACTGGAATACGGCAAAGAGGGTTAGAATTATATGACAAACAAAACCGCCGCGCATTTTATGCTAAATACTTTAACTTCCAGACAGACGATCAAGTCTTGGGTATCTCTTAGGTCTTTTGTAGCTCCGTCATCACATAGCTGCAGCTGTTGGTAGATTATTGTATCCACGCCACCGATAGACCTGGGCGTTCTTGACTGCTCTAGGTATGCAACAGGATCTTACAGTATAGCAGGGGTAAGTAATCAATGTAGATTCTTAAATATTCTTCTTTTAGCAGCACTTCTCTATAAGTAATAGTAAAGCACACTAGACTAAATAATAAAGTACTAAAATTAAGGCCAAAATACGTTGTATACCTCTATAGGTTATGTTCTGTTAACAGCTAGCTGCTGCAAAGTCTTGTAGCACATTGACTACTCCTAAGGTTCAAGAACGAACCAAAAAGAAGTCACTACAGGAATAGAAAGCAAAAAGATATAAAAGGGCCTGGCCGGGATTCGAACCCGGGGCCTGTCACAATCTACGATATCGAAGATATCTGGGCACGTGACCCGAAGCGACAATCATACCACTGAAAAGGGATTAGCGTTGTTTAGAACGGTAGTCAGAGCAAGTCGTACCTAGACCACCAGGCCGCAAACTCTCATCCGCCTTGAGAGGATTGATGACGAATTTGCTGGCAGCTTACACTATATACTAAACATTTGGCGGCGTTGAGATCCCTGGCCAGGCCCACCAACCTTTTTGGGCCTTCCACCAACACGTTTTGGGCTTCCTTGATCTTTTTTAGTACTTTGGCACGTCAAAGGTCGGTACCACCATACCTACACTGATCTGTGTGCAGTAATTTACTGCCTGTTACCTTGCATATGCATAATACTCAACAAGTTTCTTACGCGACAATAAGTCACCCGAGTGAAGCGAAGAACACCACGAACAGTCTTGCACAATAGTCCGACATCTCCTTTTGACAACTCCGAGCACTTGTTGTTGTGTGCGCGTGCCTGAGTTCGCCTTCCAAGGTAAGCCCTACAATGGTCCGTTCCTGACACTGCCCAGCTGCCAGACCTGATTGAGCAGACTTTGCGAATACTGCCGTGGCACTCCCGCGGGAGCAGCCTCACACATCAGCGATGCCGCGGCACCAGTCAATCCACTGATCCATCGATGTTGATTGTTAATCTTGAAACATTGACGTTGAGCTGCGCCTTATCGCTCAACGGGCTTCATGACGACGGATTCCACCAGTCACATCACATTGTTCCCCAGCATTATCAGGTTTCAGGTACTTGCAACCACCACCGCATCTGCATCCGTCGTGTGTGAGGCAATCGGTCCTCGGGCGGAGAGCCGATCTTCAGGCACAGCACCCGCGGGAGTGCACAAGCATTCCCGACTCACCTCAGCATGGCTAGAAGATGCGATTCGCGACCCTTTGGGGCTCTGTACGTGCGCAAGTCAACTGATCTGATCGCCACGCACACCGACTTTGTCGTGAGGCTGCAGTGAACGCGCGTGCAAAGATGCCAGCTCAGTCGCAGCGTCGGACGGTTACAGCCAAAGAAACGACCGCGTGAGACTCAGGTGTTCCGAATGCATCACTCCATGCTTCAAGCAGCGATGAAAGTGCGGGGTGCCATCTTAGCTGGAGGGTGGATCGTTACCATTGGCCCGGGACCCCGACCAAGCCTGTTGCAGCATGGACAGGCGGGTTCAGTGGGCCCGAGCTCCATTTGTATCCATGTTGAGACAATCGAGTTGCACGCTGTGTCCAGAGTTGCTGATCACGCCAATTACGAATGCGCGTTTTATGAATGCTTAGTGCGCGTGCAACGCAGTTGACATCGCACGCCAGCGCCTTGACCGCCGTTGTAGGGAAAGAGCCAGATAGGGCTAGGGTTCCGAGGTGAACTCAAAACCGCGAGGCCCCCTCGGTACAAGCAGTCATTCTCCTCAGCTCCGAACTTGATAATAAACATCCGAGTCGCGCCGAACTGCACTTCTGACGTCCGCGCCAATCCGGTCATCCAGTACTCTTACGCCTTGCATCTCTATTTAATTGCTGAGCTTATCTGCTCCTGCCTCATCCAACTCTCACACTCACACCACTCGACCTTCACTCAACATGTCTGGCCCACGTCTTCTCCGCACACAAGGCCCACGCCTTCTCGACACCCAAGGTCCCCGTCTCCTTAGGACGGAAGGCCCGCGTCTGCTCCGCACTGCCGAGGGTCCTCGTCTGCTCAAGACTCAGACTCGCAGTGTCCACACTGACGGTCCCCGCCTTCTCCGCACTCAGGGACCGCGTCTTCTGAAGACGGAAGGACCCCGTCTCCTCAAGACCCAAGGTCCTCGTCTCCTCAAGACACAGAGCCGCAACCTGCACATGACCGGAGCTACCAGCTCCTCATCCCTCCTCACATCAGACAAGCCCACCTTCGGCTCGTTAAGCCCCAAGCTGCCCTCTTCTGAGGCTGCAGCTTGGAAGCACGAGACCGGTAATGCCATGCGTCACTTCAACACAAGTCGAAGCCTGAAGGCCGTCAACGACACCTCCACCATCGACTTCATGTATGTCCCGGACTTTGACCCGGACGCGAAGACTGCACCTACCAAGATCAACGTACCCATCATCCTGTCGACTGCTACGTCTTCAGCGACACAGGCTGCTGCTGCTGAGGCTGAACAGCCGGTACTTCTGCCCACTGCTTAATCTGAGAGCTTTGGACTGATCAAGCAGGTCATGCAACCGACCATCTACACTGCCGCCGCCGACAGCTCGCACATCTCCGCGCCGTCGGCGATCTCTGATGTAACAGAGGGTAATCACATTGACTTCCAGGGCATGGCTGCCAAGGTTGCGCGCAACCTGCAGAAGCCTGTCGAGGAGGCCGAGGGTATGGCAAAGCAGATCTGGAAGGGGCTCGTCGAAGACATCTTCGGCCCCAAGCATGGCGGTGCTCCAAAGGCATGAGCAGATGATGGAAGATGGGGCTTAGGTAGCATAGGCTTACGCTTACCCGGCATTCGGCGTGTACACTGTGCTTTTCGGCAGTGGAGCGATTAAGGTCCGCAAGAGCTTGAAGTGCTCAAGCTCACGAGACATGATTTTATATACTTAATAATATATCCTTACCACACAATCCGTTTGTCGATTTCTCGTCTCATGTGTATAGTCCCTCGCACAATGCTTTGATATGTACTGCCTAAGAAGAGGAGCGAGCCGTGTGGAATTCAGGTAAAGATAGAAGTACAGCGCACATCAGATCTATGTACACGAGAGTGGAGCCCGTTTTGTTAGATCCTGTGACCTTACCGCTTCCATCCTCGCGTATTTTCAACCTCATTTGAAATATCCGTACTCTTTCTGCTTCTTATACCTCACGTGAAGGCTCGTACTTTGAGATACCTCCCGCTTGATATAGCAGCGATACTATAAGATCCGTAATTTGCCTGGTCCTTACCAATGCTTCGAAGCTCGTGAAGGTGTCCCATGTCTCGGACTCTAATCGCCGAGAGCAATCGTATCTAAACTTAGACGAACGATGGCTAGATTAATAGATGTAGCCACGGACGGTGCACTGTTGGTTACTTCTCTTTCATCACAGTGGTCAAAGGATTAGTATATGTTTGGGAAGTTGGGGCTTCCGGACAGGCAAATGCCACGGCCTCGACACATGCTTCTAAGTCAGACAATACTTCTCATCGTTGACCAATATAATGAGAAAAAGACAACATCACTTCTGGCGACAAAGGTGGAGACGGTCCACACATTGCTGTATCGGTCCGTGAGCTCAGACGACTTTGCCACAAAGCAAAGGCTTTGCACTCACTGGAACTATGAACATGTCATGATCAGCCCTCCAAGCACAGACGTGTCAAGCCGTGGGCCGCCGTTGACGGCCAAGCTTTAGTTGCAAGAAGCTCTTCCGGTTAAATCAAAGATGAGACGGCATTTCATCATATATACGGCCATCAGGAGTGCGCACAAGCAGAACTGGGCACAGTCGAGCCGCCAGATGCTTGATATAGTCGCGAAGGAAGGCCGAGCATTGATGACCGCGGGTGACAGGCGTTAGCGGGTGCCGCTGTACCCTTCGTGGCTAGTGTGACGTATTCGAAGCTTCCTTTCGACAAGGCCTCCAAGGCTTCCAAACGTGATCTCCACCTCGACAGCAAAGGATTCCCATGTCCCGGCTATGTCAAGACTTGTTGCGTGATTGACTCGCCGTCGTGGTTGGCTTGCTGTTGTTGCATTACGATTACTATTTCTTACTGTCTTCTCGCCGCGTGAGTGCGTACGTACACCTTAGGTGAGGTATGACATCTCAGTGATGCAGACCACGCAAGACAACTCTGCAGCCATCCGGTGACTGCAGGCATGCCCACAGAACAGCAGCACAGAATCGCCGCTCGATATAGCTAATTATACCTTACGCATCCGTGCCATAGCAGCAGAGGCAGTGCAACACGCACGCGGAGCATGTGCGCTAACACGCATTCGGCGGAACCACTCACACGAATCTCAAACTTCAAATACAGAGTTGTCAGCGCTGCCAAACGACTTCATATCATATTCATCTCTGTGATTTACCCTCCACTTCAGCAAGGCCTTTCTTCTGTTGCATCAGTCGTTCGCTAACACTCATCTGACCTCTTGTTTTCACAGCCACAGTCAGACCGCTCGGACCCTCCATCATCAATACGATCTCGAATTTCCGAACCAAAGGGAGCACCTAAAATCGGCACGAAGTGAGAAAGGACAGAGTCAACTGAGACCCTCCAACCATCGGCTTGGAACCGTTGCATCCTTTTCTGAGCCAAACGTTTATCGGCCTTTGCTGCCTGCCTCCACGGAGAAGCCAAAATGACTTCATGCTGCCGGACATGCTACCATCGCAACCACGCCGTCGCCTCTGCACAATCAACCCCTTCGCTTGTTAGTCTAAGCCTCGTTGCCCTCACCTTCAAGGAGGACATCTCACCCCGTACAAAATCGTACTCTGCACTCACCAACCTGCTGAACGACATTATCGATGCGACCGATTCGTCGTTACACCCGACAACATTCACCCTGTGGTCTCCATGCCTGTCGGACCCTAGAGTTGCTGTGGTTGTAACAACACTGAGCGAATGTTCAGATGTTACATGTCCCATCTATAATGACATTTTCGCGTTCCTCGCGCATCCGCCCAGTATACAACAAGTATACCTCGATTACTCTATTCTCTCGCTTGCCACACTATCTCCAGAGCGATCAATACCATGCGATATAATGGCGTTGAAAGCACCTAATTCCGGCGTTGCTGCGTCAATCGGCAAGCATTTCGGCTGGCAGCCCAAGCGTTCGTCCTTGTCCATGCAGATGCAAAACACAGTACCAGCGTTTAGTCGGCCGGGTGATCTGATCCGGGATTTCTGGGCATGGGCTGAAGTACCCTACCATGGCCGCAAATCGCGATCCAGCTCGCTTGGATCCAGCAGCACCCACCTGCCATCGCCGTTGATGAGCACTAACTCGGACGAGAAGAACATGTCGCTCTACTTCGCGGAGGATGAAGACGAGGCAGACGATATCGATGAGGCGGACGAGGAGGCTTTGGTGATGATATTCCAGTGGCACGACCATGCGGCTGCAGAGCGGTTCAAGCACCCGCTTCAGAAGAGCTACGGGCCCAATGGCGAAGAGGTCAGAAGCGATCTGTGGGATGAACAAGTCGCGCGTCCCTTGCGACATTTCCAGAGCCATGGCGCTAAGCTAGATACCTACAAGGTTGAGCTCAAGGCTGTAGAGCCAAGGATGCGAGCGGGCTTGCAGACGACTGGCAGAGAACGGAGCGGTAGCAAGCGCCTGAGCATGATGGCTTTGGAGCTAGGGGAGAAAGTCAGTGGAATCTGGCGATGATGCGAGGGGTCTCTAAAGGTTTACATATGATGCAAGAATGCTTGAGAGGAGAAACCTTGGATAAGGGGGGTCAGGGGGTTGGTTCAGCTCGGCTGGATAGTCGTGCGGAATTCGTGTTTTGCGGCTGTACTGGCTACAATATACAGGGAGGGCCGCGTCACGTCAGCTCATGCTGTCAGAGATCTTTGTATTGCAAAGGTATTGCGTTTTTAAGGAACGTATCCGGTCCTTCGCAACATTGGTCGAAATGCCGCCTAGCTGAGACGCATGTAAGGCGTCGATGCATTGTATAGTGGATGTACCTTCGGTGATCGCGAGATGATCGCCACCGCAATGACCAGTAATGCAACCTGCTCGCGCGACACTGCTGTCTGTTCTTTAAGGATCTACAAAAGTGCAAAGCGGAGAACGGAGATGAGTCCGTCGATAGGGTAAAGAGTGAACATGGAAACACCGAAACACCGTCACACGAACAATAACCGAGACGACACCTCTTGCGATTGGTTGTCTAACATCTTTTCGGCAACCCGTATCAGAGCCTTCACCTAGCGGCCGTCATACCATCCGCACTTCGCTTCGCGAAGAGAGTGTTCCCATAGCCCGGCTCTCCCTGACACAGCCACACAAGTGGCACAGCCTTTTGATTGGCTTAGGCCCACCACTCATATCGGCTCCGCCGACACCCTCAAAACACAGCCACCAATCCAATGCCCTCCTGCCTTACAAATTCTTCTCTGATACTACACTGGCCAGGTACACCCGTACAAACGCGTAGCTTGGCACCGCTAAGCCTTGAGATGGCGGCTCTCGATGGGACTTCTGGGCCCCGATTGCACCAAGGCAGCTGGAGGATCGTGGCTCAGGCTGCAACGACGACTTGCATTAGGCTTCCGAACCATGAGGCTTGAAGATGACTGTAGCGCGTGGTCCCGTGGCCATGACGATGACTCGGCCCGTTTGGGGTCCGACATGGCTAGGATTTTGGTAGAGGTATAAGGGTATGGAGAGGGCTGGTGCGTAGTTTGGTAGCAAACTAGCAACTATGGCAGCCGCAGAGTACTATTCCGGTGCGTGCATGGAGATGCTGCCACCACATCTGCAGGACTCACATAAGTTGTATCGAGCGCAGACAGAGCAGATTGGAAGGAGAGACGATGATATCGATATTGCGCAAGGCCGGATTATGTGGCTGCCGGCGTCGGATTCTCTTCCCAACCACGCTGTAAAGCGAGCGCACGGGAAGGGCGCTGTCGAGGAAGGCATCTACAATCACCCCGTTGTGATAGTCTCGAGGCCACAGGACGACAAACGAAGTGTCCACTTCCATCTTGTTAGTTGGCAGTTGCACAGCATGAGCCGTTGCTGATTCTTTCCAGATCACGTCCTTGCAAGGCAAGAAGCTCGACCAGCTCTATCCCAAATCTAACGAGTTCCACACGAGCCGACGCTCATGGTATCTGCCAATTTCGCCCAGCCCCGAGCACCCAGATGCAAGCTCGAAGAAGGCGAAGAAACGCTTCCCTACACTTGTGTTGGCAGATGATGCGGCTCTGCGGTGGGACTCATATGTCAACATCCGACACGTGTACAAGATCGACTGGACCCTTCTCAAGCCCTACTCGAACCTCAACACTCCCAAGATGTCACTCTTCCGGCTTGACCGAGAGTCCACCGTGCGGATGATTGCCAAAGGAAAGGTCCTTACTTTGTATGAGCCCAGCGAGCAGCTGCCAACTCCAGGGTTGCTGTCGAGGAATACAGCGCCACCACGACTTTCGATTTCGACTTCATCATCGCCCATCGAGCGGGGCAATCGTCGGTTGGACTCGCCGGATTCTGACGATGGAAGTGTTGCGTCGCCTGGAGGTCCTCAGACGCCTGCTGCGTACGAACCGGATCCTCGAACATCGAGTGGGGTTGTCGGTGGCAGTACGGGGCTGCCACCAAAAGAATCTCCTGTTCCGACATCGAAGCCATCTTTTTTAGGGCGTTTTCTTACTAGATTGTTCCCTCGTCGTCGGAAAGAATAATGCGAAGTGGCTCAACATCGGGAGATGTGTTCCCTCAAGGTAGTGGTCTTTTGCCTGAAGTCTTGATCCACCGCAGACTCTGTTTCACATATGTCGAGTATGCACAGTCTGATTCTGTGTCTTTGACGCTTGCTTCAAGAGTCTCGATCAAGGTTTCACGATCCCCCAGAAGTGTAGGATGCGCAAGCACGACGCGGACAAAACCCCAAAGCGATTCGTTCTCGGACTTGATCTGAGCAGCGTATTTGAGAACCTTCTCGACTATCTCGTCTCGCTCGTCGACAGGATCAAGTCGCATGAGCAGGAAGAACAAATACGACCAGCCTGAGCAATCGCTGGGATTCTTGAAACACCACTTGCAGAGTCGCTCTGAGAACAAAGACACAATCCAGTCGAAAGGGAAAGGTGCTCCCATCTCTCCGGCAACCCAATCAAAGGACGTGACCAGCCGGCGAGCATAATTCCAACCGTAGTAGTTCTTCGGATGCCGTTCTCCAGCTTTGCACACGGAGTCGAGCGCAGTGGAGATGATAGAAGCCATGCGTTTGCCGGAAGCGCGTTCCACTTCAAGGGGGCCAATCAACCCCAGCAGCCACGCACGGTGATACCAAAGAGTAGGTGATTTGGTCTGTCGGTGCAGTGGAGAAGAAAGGATGCTACCTACGAAAGCGAGCTCTGCAAGTACTGCTTGGTGAAATGTAACCACGTCGTCCGCATCTCGCAGGGCAATCAATCTGCGCTTGCGGAAGTTTGCAGCCGTCAGCTGCTCTCCATCAAACAGAAGCATAATCTTGGTTGCCTGAAGGGCCTAGTGAGGGGGTTAGTTAAGCCGACGAAGAACCGTGTAGATGAGATTTTCAGAGTCTTATCCGGAATGTATCTTTATGTACCTTTGGGTCAGTTGGACTGTTGTTTCTGTTGTCGAAGAATGTTTGCCGTGCTATCAGAAAGGCAGAAACCAGAGCCTTTTTTGATATCCCCAAGCTTTTGCCATCTTGAATGAGACCTCCAGAAGGCTCCAGTGCAGGTGGAAGAATCTCAACTTCGAACACACCGGCCTCATACTCCTCGAAGTAGCGAAGCAACGACTCGTATATGTGCTGCTGCTGCTCAACCGCCGAGGGGTCGCCGTGAGCCATTGTAAAGTCTCAACAGGTAGTCCACTGACTGTGATGTGCGTGAGGCTCATTTATATGTATCATCGTAGGAATGCTGATTGTCTAGGCCTCGGGGAGCTGAGGGAGAGCTAGCCGGAAGGAACCCGTGCTGCCGGCGCCTAACATTGGGAGCGCGCGAGCCGCTGCCAATTTTACCTCCGTTCGGCGGATGGATGACATAACGTGGCCCCTCCACCACCAGCACCAAACACCAGGGCGTACGCCGGAGTTACCCCACGCCACGACCCTGTCGACCCTCGCCGCCATGCCTTCTCTTCTCTTGGTGGTCTTCATCTTGCAGCTCGTTCTGCATTTGATCAACACTGTAGGCGCAAGCAGCGTAGACGAGCTGGTACGCATTCCATCTCTGCTGTACTCCACTGCAACATACTGATGCCCATCTAGCTATGGGTTCTGTACAACAAGCTGCCCACACCGACATCTAAAAATGCGCAAAGATGCCAGGCGCTCAAGAAGGAAATCGTACAGCTGAAGCGTGAGCTTGGAAACACATCGGCGCAAGACAACTTTGGAAAGTGGGCGAAGCTCGATCGCCAGCACAACAAGGCTATGACCGAGTACCAGAAGCTGGGTAAGCAGTCCGAGGCTCGAATCATCACACAAAGCTGATTATGTATTCGCAGATGGCTCCCTCCGCACCCACCAAACAGCGTTCAACTCCGCCGTCAAGGCCGTGCGATTCCTCGGCACGCAAGGCCTTCGTTTCGTCCTACAGTTCTGGTTCTCCAAGTCGCCCATGTTCTGGCTACCAGCAGGCTGGGTGCCATACTACGTGGAATGGATTCTGAGCTTTCCACGCGCACCACTGGGCAGCATCAGCATCCAGGTGTGGACTGCTGCCTGCGCAGCCATCATTGCGTTGGCATCTGAGGGGCTTGCAGCTGTCTGGGTGCTTGCGACAAAGAAGCCTGTGCCAACGGCGAAGAAGGAGCCTATGGCTTTCGAGGCAGGAGCCGACGAGAAGAAAGAGCTATAGTTTACACCAAAAAGCTCTCGCACCACAACGTGCTCACAGCACAACAAAATACAAAAACAGTTGATATCACGATATGTCTCCCAATGCTTTAGACGCAAAGTCGTCCTGGCCTTTCAGCTCAGACACTGCAACACGAGTGGGATGACCTTGGCAGGTCGTTGGGCTCGATCTAGGCTACAAATTGAACTCGTGATCGTGGAGAGTGTCGAATCGCCGAGTCTTCGAAAGAGCCAATCTACATAGAACACTGCAAAACAGCTGACATGAAGCTGCTACCTGCATCGCAGGTGCGACGTGGTTCGTTGGTGTTTAATGAGCGGCCAAAAAGCAGAACGCAAAAAATGTAGCTCGGCTTATGGCGCGGGCCGACCATGCTGCCGACGCGCTCAGACTTCGTGGGGCCCCTTGAGGCTTGAGCAGGGGGAAGAACCAAGATCCACTCAAAGCTCGAGCAGAGCTGGAACATGATTTACAATGAGACGTAGTCATCAAAACGTAGAAGCTTTGCATTACCTTTGCGGGTGATGTTTTCCACGACCTTGATGTCGCCTTCGCCCTGCACAACTAATCGGTCCTACACATCATTCTGGCGATTGGCCGTCTCGGTTGCCTCCGGCGCAAAGCGACGAATGGTTGTTCAAGCCTGCGCATTCACGTGGCAGTGCAAGTACGCTATTATTGCAGCATATTGGCTCTCTTGCCCGCCGTGTTCGACGGTTTTCACGACTGCCCATGCACACCTGCCTTTAACGGAAGTTTGAGGGGGGCAAAAGGGGCTTGCACCTCCAACTGGCTGATGCTGCGAGACGACCCATACGCGGGCGGGGTAGCCGTGCGTCCACCGTGTTGTTTGGTGCGGGAAGCGCCATGCTCGCAGCCCTGTGGAGCCTGTGAGACTGACATCACATCTCTCGAATCAGGTGTTGACGAGCTGTCTTGACCTCTCCCAGGACGCCATCATGCACGATGCTAGCCGGTGCATCAGCATGTCCAGAGATCGGCTGGAGCCGACATGTGGCCTTATCTTCATAGGGCTATCGTGCATGCAGCGGGGATACTTCCGGCTTTCCACCATGTAGAGATGTGGGCGTCTTCCAGAACCATGACTGCAGCAACTGAACCTTCCAAGGCGCAATGTCGTCTTTCCTGCAGCTAGAGGGCCTGCACGTCTTCATTACCGGTGCGGCGGGAGGCATTGGCAGCGCCATCGTCCGAGAGTTTCTGGGTCAAGGGTGCAAGGTATCAGCACATGATCTACGGCCCAATGCCCTCGCTTCGACCACGACTCCAAATCTGCAATTCTTGCAGGGCGACATCAGCGTTGAAGATTCCATATCCACATCCATCAAACAAGCCGCAGAAACTTTTGGCCCGGTTCATATCCTTTGCGCCAATGCGGGCATCACGGATGAATCGAACAACTACCCGATCTGGGATATGCCGACCGAATTATGGGATCGAACGTATGCCTTTAATGTTCGGGGGACTTACTTGACAATCAAGCACTTCCTAAAGCAAGTCGAATCGAGTCAGACTCGGGTCGGTAAAGAGCTGGATAACGTTAGCATCATTGTGACTGGGTCGGAGTGCGGCGTGTTCGGTCAAGCAGGACACGTCGAGTATGCATCTGGCAAATCTGGTCTACAGTATGGTCTTGTCAGAACTGTCAAGAACGAGATTGTTAGACTGAATAGCAAGGCGAGGATCAATGCTGTGGCTCCTGGCTGGGTGGACACCAAATTGATTGAGGGCCGGCTGGACGATCCGAAGGAGATGTGGAGGGAAGCGCAAGCTACGTGTGTATTCAACCCTATACTGTCACAGTGTCGGCTCTGACAAGTAGTAGTGTTCCACTCAGGAAGATCGCACAGCCAACTGACGTGGCGAGAGCAGCGGCGTTTCTGGCTTCCCATCGGGCTGCTGGGCACATCTCAGGCCAATGCATCTCGGTCGACGGCGGGATGGAAGGCCGAATTGTATGGTCTAATGAGGAAATCGAGGCGTCACAGTCGACAAAAGACTCAAACATAGCATCACTGAGTCGCTCGGAGGCCATCCAGTCGCACACTCTACCACCAAGCACCAGTATAGAGCCGGTGACTCTCGTAAAGTCTCGACCCAAGATCAAAGTTCTCCTCTCCGTCGACTTTGACGCTGTCTCTGGCTGGCTAGGCACCGGTCAGCATCCGGACAACAATCTTGCAGACTACAGTGCTGGGTTCTTTTCCGCGTATGTCGGCGTCCCGCGACTCCTCAAGCTATTCAAGAAACACAACATCCAAGACAAAGTGACTTGGTTCGTGCCGATGCACTCGGCAGAAAGCTTCCCCAAGGAGTTCGCAAGCATCATGGACAGCGGAGCCGAGATCGGCCTCCACGGCTACTGCCACGAGGGCGCACCGCAGTTGACAGCCACCCAGGAGCGCGACGTGCTGGAGCACTGCATCACCCTATACACGCAACTCATCGGCCGCCGGCCCGTCGGCTACCGCGCCCCGCTGTACCAGCTGCGCGAGTCGACCGTGGGGCTGCTGGAAGAACACGGCTTCCTCTACGACTCCTCGCTTTCGCACCACGACAGCAAACCCTACTACATCCCCGCCCTGCCGCCCATCACGCCCCCGTCGTACGCGGCGCACGCGCAGGCGCGCGACTGGATGAAGCCGCTCGCCGCGCCGGGCGCGCCCACGCACAAGACGCTCGTCGAGATCCCCGCCAACTGGTACGCCGAAGACATGACGCCGATGCAGTTCTGGCCGCACACGCCGAATTCCCAGGGCTACGTCGACGCCCGCGTCATGCAGAACATGTGGAGGGATAAGTTCGAGTGGATCAGGACCGAGGTCGACGACATGGGGGCGAGCGACACTATGGTGTTCCCGCTGGTGCTGCATCCCGATACGAGCGGCATGGCGCACATCATCGGCATGATCGAGCGGACGATTACGTATCTACAGGGCTGGGGCGAGGAGGTGGAGTTCTGCACTTTCGAAAGCGCAGCACGGGAATGGAAAGCGAAGAACACGGTCGCATGAGGTTTGTTGTTCAGCTCGCGGGAGTGGATGTGGTGGGAAGCGCACTAGCGGATATTCAAGGTCCCCGGATTGCGTGAGGTAGTAGTTTGCGAGCCCCCCAGCATTCGACTCCTCACACGCGCATCGAGCGTCTAGCAACGCTCACTCGCGATACCAGCCCTGAGTTCATATATATAGTAAACAAATCGTCTATCGCACACCCAATGTTCCTCCTCCGCCGTGCCCCGTGTCCCCGCGCCCCTCTCCACCTAACCCTCCCCCCTTCCCACCTCACCCCGCCACTCCTGCACTCCCGCAAAATGGCCAGCGCCCCAGCACCCGCCGCGCCGCACATCTCGCCCCTCGAAGAAGCCGACTACGACGAGTGGCAGCGGCTGTTCCGACTCTACATCGCGTTCTACAAGGCCGCGCTCCCGGACGCCCAGTACCCCAGGACCTTCGCGCGGCTGCTCAGCCCGAACAAGGACCTGCACGGGCTGGTGGTGCGCGACGCCGACGACCCGCGCAGGCTGCTCGGGCTGGCGCATTATTTCCCCACGCAGACGCCGTGGGCCGAGGAGCCGGTTATGCATCTCAACGGTGCGTGGGGCCCGTGTTTCCTATCTGCAGTGTTCAGAGCTGACTGGGGTAGATCTGTATGTCGACCACGAGCTGCGCGGGAAAGGGTTCGGGCGCGAGTTGATCAAGGCGGTGGCCGCAGAGGCGCGGAAGCAGGGCTGCAAGCGCGTGCAGTGGACTACGCAGCATGGGAATCCGGCGCGGAAGCTGTATGACGAGCTGGCGGCGTGCGAGTTTGTGTATTACCGTATGAACCTCGAGTAGGGGAGAGCAATTGAATGGAGACTGTTGCTATGGACAACCCCCCTCCCCCTCCCTCTTTCCTGGCGACACCAATGTCGCAGCTTCTAAGTACCTAAGTACCCCCCCCCCCCCTCTACAGCGACAGCGTCGCCCCCGCAACACCCACCACCGCGGCCTTCACCCTCGCGCTCCCCAGCAGCGTATACGCATACGGCACACTCGTCAGCGTGCCCGTGGGCGCCTCATTCGTGCCGATCCCCAAATCCACGTCCCTAACAACCGCGTACCCGTTCTTCGCAATAATATCGTCATTCGTGGCCTCGAACACGCTGCTCTCGATCAGCAGCTGCGCGCCGGCGCGCGTGCGCACCCCGTCGTCCATGGTGTCCCAGTACGAGTTGAACAGGTGCCCCGTGCCGATGCGGAACATGGGGCCGCGCGAGTAGAGCCGCGCGAGGTGGTTGTTGGCGTAGGTGACGTGCAGGCGGCCGGCGTCTTCGGCTTGGTTGTTGTCTGAGTGCCCCACCAGCGAGCCTTTCCAGTGGTCGTGCAGGTAGCTGTTGGAGATGGTGATGAAGTCCTAGGGCGTGTGAGTAAGTGCTGCGAGGCGGCGGGGGGGGGGGGGGACTTACGGAGGCGCGGCTCACGTCGACGAGGCCGTCGTAGTAGTCTTTGTCGTGCGTGCGGTCGTTGCTGATGTCGACGTGGTCGACCCAGACGTTTGTCGAGTACTTGATGGTGATGGCGTCTTCGTAGGTGGCGAGGACGTATTGGTGGACGGTGTTGCGGATGATGACGTTTGTTGCGTTGACGACGGAGAGGCCGATGCCGACGATTTCTGCATTGTCAGACACCATGTCACTTGTAGTTGCAAGAGGGGGACGAACTTCCATTGCGGCCGATGATGGACTTGTTGGACCCGACGAAGATCTTCTTCGCGCCCGTGATCGTGCCAGAAACGATAACAATCCGCGGGTCGTTCCCAGCAATCGCACCCTCGAGCTCAGCAAGCGTCGACACGATGACCGTCGCGCCCCCCTTCCCTCCCGATGTTCTGCGCCGTCTCAGTGACCCTTCTGCCAAGACCGATCCTTCACACTCACCCGCCATTCAGCGTCGCATACCCAACGGTCGCCACATCCGTCAGCGACGCCGCCGCAGCGCCCGCAATCTGCGCCGCACACACAAGAAGCGAAGTAAGAGACCGCATAGTGCTCTCGAGTCGACAAAGGCCGGTTTGAAGCGCTCCGAACAAGCTATTCCCCCAAGACTTATAAGCCTCGCACCCTCGCACTGCCAAGGCCCATGCCTGGCGGTTTCTCCGCTCCCCATACTACACCATGCAGGCGCAGATTGCTCGGTTTCTTGATGCGGCGGCGCGCACGCGTTGTTTGGGCAGGCGGGCGCTGTCATTGGCGGAGGAACTCGGGGGGGTAATATCGGGGGTGTTATTTGCACGGGTACCACGGCGTGGGACTGGGACATGTCGATATCTGAGGGCTGGATTGGGAATTGTGGGGTTTGGGGTCTGGGGTAAAAGGTCGCGGGGGTGGTTGGTAGGGAAAGGAGGGCGAGTGCTGGATGCGTGCGGTGTAAGCGGGTTTATTGGCTCGGGGAGGACTGGACCGAGTAGGGTAGAGATAGCTGATTGGAGTATCTGCAATGACTTCAGTTTACGGATCTGCTGGTTTTGGAATGTTTGTTTGCTATTTTTCATGTGAACGGGCGAGTGCTTGCAACCTCAATCCATTGCCATAGGCAACATCCAGCAGTGAAACCCACCACAACAGGCGACCCCAGCAAACACACCCCCGCAGACACACAAGCACCAGCTCTGCAAAACATGGATTGGTATCACAATCGAACTTCTTCCACTACTTCTCTCTCCTCATCTCGCGTCTGCTACGTACAACCCCACGCGTCCCAGAAGTCAGAGCCACGGATGGCGCCAACGATAAGCGGGCGGGCCGATGCCACGGTCCCTGGTGGTGAGCAGGGCGTGGCTCGTCTTAGCCAGCGCGGGTAGACGACGACTACACCTCTGTTACATGCTCGCTTCATTGGAAGCCGCGGCGGTGCTCAATGTGACAATTGAGCCCGCGATACTACGGCTGCACAGGTGGCTGGTGTGCTGAGCGGCTAGTGGGAGGCGGGCAGATGTGACGATTCTGAGGATTGTAGGCGTGAGGGGGTGGCATAGTACATGGCCGTTGTATGTCTGGCCATGCAACGTCTCGTAGACACATGTCAGCCAGTCAATGTGAATCCCTCGTCCTCTATGCCACACACGGTCAACATCATAATCTCTCTTCTCTGCCACCTCAAAACCGCCTAGCCGCCGGCTTCGTCTTCAGCGCCGGCGGCATCTGGAGCGGCCTACTGCAAGCAGTGAAATCCGTAGGCGCGGGGTACTTCCAGTCCAGCCACTTATTCCACAGCATGACCGACGACGTACTGCCGGCCCAGTACAGCATCAGCCCCGAGGGCAGGTTCTGGCACAGCGGGCCGATGAGCAGCGACACGCCCAGCAGCAGGCGGCGCAGGGCGGTGGGCCAGTTCTTGCCGGTGGCGGCGGCGGCGTTGCGGGAGAAGTAGATGTTGGAGAACATCAGGGCGGAGACGATGAAGGGCAGGAAGGGGTCCGGCAGGATCAGGTTGGGGAACCAGAGGATGCCTTCGGTGGCGAGGGTGGGCTCGAAGAAGGGGCTTGTGGCCAGGGCGAGGGCGTCGGGTGTTGCGTCGACCTGGGTGAATGCGCTGGCTACGGACAATGCATCGGGGGCTGAGAGTGCATCAGGGACCGCGAGTGCATCGGGGATCGCGAGCGCTGTAGTCGCATCCCCAGCAGAGCCAGGCGCGGGACCAAACCACGTCTTGATGCCATCCAGCGACGAGACCGTCAGCGCGAGCAGCCCATCGCGCGCGCCCGTCATCTTCCTGATGACCTCGGCCATGGTGAAGAAGATGGGGATCTGGATCAAGCTCCACCCCAGCTGTCCCCGCACCGTGACGTTCCAGCGGCCGTCCAGCTCGGCGACAGCCTTCTTGACCTCGGCGGCAGCGCGCTGCGTCGCTTCCTTGGGCGTGCGCACGCTGCGCTGGGCGTGCATCTCGCTGAACACCTCGTCACGCCGCTGCCAGGCGAGGGCCTGGCGCAGCGGCTGCAGCCCCATGTAGCGGGCCAGCAGCGCGCGGGCCCAGGTGCCGACGCTCAGGACGAGCGTGGCGCGCAGCAGGAATGCCGAGGCCGGGATGGCAGCCCACCACGGCACCTGCGTGTGCATCAAGCTCATCATCTCGTGCGGCAGGTAGAGCACGGCGTCGAGCAGCGGGTCGGCGCGGGGTGCGGAGGCGTGGAAGGCGCGGGCTGGACGCAGACTGCAGCGGGCGGGGGCGGCATGGCGGGCGGCGAGCAATTGGCGGGCGGGCCGCCGCAGCAGCGTCGAGGCCATGGTGGTGGTGTCGTGCAGGGCTGGAGCTGGGCGCGTCTGTGAATTTCGCCGCGGGAGAGCGCACGAGCTCCGGGCTGCCGGGCTGCAGGGTCCACCGGCGCGTCATCCCACCTGTGCATTCGTGTCAACAGTCCGCGCAGTGACCGACGCCCTTCCTCACCACCGTTTCCGGGCCCGAGCTGCTCGCCATGGCGCTTCTCGTCGTTCTTCTCTCGCTGCTCGCGGCGGTCGCTGTCCCGTTCGTGTTCTTCCCCGCGATTGTGCGCTTCCTGGGCGCGCTGGTGGGCCGCCATCTGCGCCGCTCGTCGAGCACCCGACGCGAGCTGCTGCTGGCCAGAGTAGCCTCCGAGGCCAGGGCCTACCGAGCCGCCCACCCCGAGGGCGACGACTGGGAGGAGATTGCATCCGCTGCAGACACGCCGGACAAGCCAGACACGCCGGACCCGCAGTGGGACGGCATCGTGGGCTTCTTCCACCCCTTCTGGTACGGACCACACTCCTACACTCCCCCGCCTGCACACAGCTAACCTGCCCAGCAATGCCGGCGGCGGCGGCGAGCGCGTCCTCTGGGCCGCCATCCGCGCCACCCAGAAGCGCTGGCCCAACGCCGTCTGCGTCGTCTACACGGGCGACCACGACGTCGACAAGGCCGCCATCCTCAAGCGCGTCGAGGACCGCTTCAACATCCACCTGCACCCGCCGACCATCCACTTCCTGTACCTCACCACCCGCCACTGGGTCCTCGCCACCACCTGGCCGCGCTTCACACTGCTGGGCCAGTCGCTGGGCTCGCTGGTGCTGGCCTACGACGCCTTCTCGCTGCTGGTCCCCGACATCTTCGTCGACACCATGGGCTACGCCTTCGCCCTCGCCCTGTCGTCGTGCTTCTTCCCGGCCGTCCCCACCGGCGCCTACGTCCACTACCCCACCATCTCCACCGACATGCTCGACTCGCTGCAGACGGGCGGCCAGGGCGTCAACGCCGGCGCCGGCACAGGCTACCGCGGCGCCGCCAAGCAGAAGTACTGGCAGCTCTTCGCCCAGCTCTACAGCCGCGTCGGCAGCACCATCGACGTCGTCATGACAAACTCCACCTGGACCCAGGCCCACGTCAGCTCGCTCTGGGGGCCCTCGCGCCGCCGCACCACCTCCCCCCACCCCGACATCGATGTCGTCTTCCCCCCCGTCGCCGTCGAGGAAGTCACCTCCGCCATCCCGCTCACCCCCGCCTCGCCCCCGCGCGACCCAACACTCCTCTACATCGCCCAATTCCGCCCCGAGAAAAACCACGCCCTGATCCTGCGCGCCTTCGCCCTGTTCCTGCGCTCCGCCCCCGCCTTCCCCGCCTATCCGGGCGGCAAACCGCACCTCGTCCTCATCGGCTCCGTGCGCGACTCGCTCGACGAGAAGAGCGTCTACGCCCTGCGCCTGCTCGCCCACGAGCTGCACATCAAAGACCGCGTGACCTTTCTGTGCGACGCGCCCTGGCCCGCCATGCTGCGCTGGATGGGCCGCGCCAGCGTCGGCGTCAACGGCATGTGGAACGAGCACTTCGGCATCGGCGTCGTCGAGTATCAGGCCGCGGGGCTGATCTCGGTCGTCAACGACTCGGGCGGCCCGAAGATCGATATCGCGGTTGAGGTCGACGGGGGCGCTACTGGTACGTTATTCCATCTCGCTCACTCTATTACGAAGGCTTGTGCTGATCTGTGCGTTATAGGCTTCCACGCGACAACCGTCGAAGACTACGCCGACGGCTTCTCAAAGGCGCTATCGCTCAGCCCGCAGGATACCCTGGCCATGCGGCTCCGCGCGCGCAAGTCCGCGGGGCGCTTTACCGACGCCGCGTTTGCCGAGAAGTGGTTGCGGAATATGGACAAGTTGGTGAGGCTGCAGGTGCAACGTGCGAGCAAGTGAGATGTCTGGAGCGTGCGAGGAAGTACGTATTGAGGGGGGAGACTGAAAAAAGGCTGGAGTTGTGGGCGTTATTGTTAGACTTTACTTGATACCATTGGCATTGGGCGGAGTGGGAATTGTATTTGTATTTGTATCGTTTGTTGGGGCTGGGTCGCGTTGTGCTTGCGTGAGATCGTGATGATGTGATCAAGAGTGTGTATGCACGCATAAATGTGACAGCAGACAGCAGGGAGAAGTCAGTGAGTAGCACGAAGCATGGCCAAAGGGTAGAGCAACCACAAAGTCCGTCTTCAAATCGCGGAGCACATTCACGAGTACAGAAGAAGCAGCATAGAGTAGTCGATCACATTGAGCGGACATCGCGGAGGGGACCCAGCTACGACGCCATTTCTTCTCTCGTAGCCATGCCGCCCAAAGCCGATCGTCTGGGGGGACACGGGCACACGGCCCGACACATCACAAGACATGTCCCGCGTTTTTGCACTTTTTGGATTGTTTCCATTGACCTGCCGACCTCTACGTTTCTCATGACGCCGTGCATCGTGTGTTGCGGCCGGCCCGCTGCAAAAGCGCAGGCGAGACGCTGCCCAGCCCCCGGCTACAGGAGCCCGCACCGAGATTCCGTGGTGCGCTGCCCCGCGAAAGGCATCTGGCGAAAAGGGACAAAAGGCGCTTAGTCGAACAGTCCGAAGCCCATGTCGTCGTCGGACTCCTCCTTCTCTGCGGTGCGAATTAGCAATGTGTGGTTTTCTTGGCGGTGTGCGCGCGAGCCCGCGGCGGGGAAGGGACTGCGTACCCTCGACCTTCTCCTCCTCGGCGGGAGCAGCGTCGGCGGCGCCAGCAGCACCGCCAGCGGCAGCGCCGGCAGCGGGCGCAGCGCCGCCGCCGGAGCCGACGTTCAGGAGCAGGTCCTTGACGTCCTTGCCCTCGAGGGCCTTGGCGAACAGGGTGGTCCAGATGGGCTCGACCTCCTCGATCTTCGCCGCCTTGATCAGGGACTGCAGCTTATCGGCCTGCACACGTCAAATTAGCTGCGCGTTCGGGACGGGGCCGCTGCGTGCGGGCGGGGAGAGCGTACAGTGATGTCGACACCGTCATCGGCGAGGATGAGGGCCGCGTAGGATGTGGCAAGCTCGGAGACAGACATCGCGACTGAGTGACTTGTGGTGGTTAGGTCAGGTGAGGTCAAGTTGTTCGCGGTGCTGGAAGTCGAAGTTCTGGTCAAATTGATGGTGGGCACTTGGCGCGCCTTCCCTCTTTGGCGCTAGTCAGCCGACGACCAAACCACCAGCGAATACCGAAGCGAGCGCGGTGTGAACATCAAATAAAGTGATGCAGCCGAGTGATGTTGAAAGACGCTTATTGTTTCTTGTCTTACGGCGTTCTACATTTGTTGATGTGTGCTCTCAGATGCGTGGCAGTAGATCACGCCGCATGAAGGCAGTGAGTGGTGCAACCACGTGACCGCTGTTGAACTGCTGCATAACAGCACTGATGCAGTTGAGTAGACTCTTCATATGACTGGACTGCTCGTCCCGATTTGTTTTTGACTATTTCCCGTCTGGTTGCTGTCACTTTCGCCTTCTGCGTTGGTATCGACAAGTACATATCACACGTCTTTTCTGCACTCCTCTCTTTATCTCAATAACGTCCTCGTCGTCATCTTAATCTTGGTTTTCAACGGTCTCGTTTGTATATCGTCAAAAATTTCAGTCTTCGTCAGCTCATGAATCTGAGCACTCGAGATGATTCCATCTCTGACATGCACCGCCCTCGATCATGGTCGGGTCAACTCTGGCAGGCTCGCCCAGTGATCCTGTTCAGGCTCTGCATCCTACTCTGCAGGCTTCCCATTATTCTTTGATAGTGGATGGACAGGCAAAGGCTTGTGGAGGCTGACACGGCGCTCAGCTTAGTTCGCCCCAAATATCTACCTGTTGCTAGCTCTGGGCAATGGACTCTGCAGAGAATCGTCGCGGGAAAGTATTCGCGGATACGCATGGATCAGAACGCTTCCATCCAAGTCAAACACCGAAGATAACATACTCCGACAAAGGATGGCTCTTCTTTGCCTCTACGTGAACGTAACGTGTTCGACACTCCTCAGATCATGCTTGAACTATTGCCCGTACCGACAGCAGAGTTTCATCGTATATTCGACTAAACACATACATGCATTCGGTAAGTTGATGAGTTACGTGAAGCGAGATGGAATGATGAGGCGGGGCTTGCCGCTTGCGATTTAGGCCACGCTGCACGTGACTTAGTGACGTCTGCAGCTTCCCCACCATGGATCGAACGGCTGCCGAATCGGTCCACTGGCACGTCGCAAACTTGAATGCTGCAGACCACTCTATCCTTGACTCTCCCTGCGTCGTCGGAACACAGAAGTAACATACTTGAACATTGTAGTTGTGCGCAATGACAGACTCGCCGTTGCCGAGGATCCCGCTGGACCCGAAGGAGCAGCCCATCCTCGACAAGCTGCAGTCGATAAGGACCCAGCTGGAACTGCTGAAACGCGACCGGTCGACGTATGTCCGCAGCCAGGATGTTCTGCAATTGTATGATCAAGTCATCGAGCAAGTGATGATCCTCAACGAGATCCGAGTAACGAAGCGCCTCGAACAGAACAAAGGTATGTCGGTTTTGTTGAGGTTGGACACTGCTCACATGATGTAGTTGATTACATGCTGGACGACTGCTTCCAGCTCATCTCACTTGCATACATGACAGTGGGAAAGAACCATGAACCGCCGGCTGTGTATGTTCTTTGCCACATAGTAATTATCCTGCTAACCACGTCATAGCTACTCCTACATCTCCACTGCGAAGGTACACGGTTTTCGGACTTGCGCGACACAATGTTAACTCATCTACAGCGACTCCTGGACCATCTTAAAGAAGCCATGTTCTATTCCCCGAAGGATCTCGATGGGTTGAGCAGCCAGATGAAAGAATGCCGGCTCTATGTTGAGAGAGGCAGCGATGCGTACAGTCCGCATCTCCTGACACTCCTAGACGCCCGCATCAAGGTATGCGAAGAGACACTGGCTACGCTTCGACTCAATCTCACCCACCTTACGCCGGAACTGACGCCAAAATGGGAAAAACTCGTCTCTCTCCTTCGATCGTTGGCTGGCTGCAATGCACGATCAAAATTCCCTAACGAGGAGGTCGACGCATATGCAAAAGAGCTCTACGAGCTGGAAGAAGAGCTGAAGAAGGACGGTATTGTCGCATACGAGACCACTGGTTCCACAGAGGACAAGCTCATCGAGATGACCGAGAAGATGCAGTTGACTGCGGCAAACCCAGAACCCGCACCCGAAGCTGAGACTCTGATCTCACAGCTGCTGCGACGGAATCTACTATGGGTCGCTCTAATCAAGGAGAAGTCAGCGATCCGACCCTACTAAAGAGTTTAGATCTAACAGTTAACAGGCAAGGGCGAATCAACCCGGCTTTCCAAGATATCTACGACAGGCTCCTGTCCATTCGAAACAAACTCGAGAAGCTCTCGCTTACACAAGCGTGGTCTCTGCGTGAGACAGACCTCTGGGACTTCCAGCGCCAGCTGGATCGCATCGACGAGTCACGGGCTGATGACGGCAACTTTTACGATGTCCTCGGCAGACCCGCTGAAATCTATGAGCAGAGGGTACGTTGAGTGTGATGGAATGATTGTGGTGACTAACGCAGTTTAGACACTTCTCTACCTCTTGCGCAAGAGCTATGCCATCATCTACCAACTACTTCTCACCTCCGAGCCTGTTTCTGAGGCACTGCTACCTATCTACAACCAGCTGACGACCCTGAGGAAATGCTTGCTCGAGGTCAAGAAGCTTGGTGGTGTTTCCTCTCCGCGTGAACTGTACCCTTACAGTATGAAGGTATGCAATCCCGCACGATTTGAACTCCGCTTGCGCTGATACTTTGTAGCTGAACTCGATCGACAACATGCGCGTCGATGGAAAGTTCATGGTTGGCGATGAAATTCCAGACGGCCAAGGAAGCGTGACGCAGCTTCTTGAAGAATGCTTCGATCTCGCCTACGAACTCCGAAACGACGCAGAGGAGAGCAGCTCGGCCGATGACACGCCGGCAGAGGCTACACCGCAGAGCGAAGCACCTAGCGAGCCTGTAGTCGCAAAGTCATGATTGCTGGTCCTCCGTGTCTTGGTGGCGTTTTGTCTGATTCAGGTCATTGGTAGCCAGGCGTCCTTGAGGGGAGGTTTGAAGGTATTCGTCGGCTTACGCGCACTGTTTTAATGTCTTGTACTCATATATGCGCGATCCAAGCTCAATCGATCTGGATTGCATTGAACAGCTCGAACATTTCTTCTTCGGGTGGCGGAGCGACTGGTGCATCGGCGTCTTTGAACGTAAGGTGACTCCCGTACGAGATACCTTGTCTGTCAGTAGCCGAGTCGTCTATGTTCATCATCCACTTACAAAGCTCCTCGCCAACTGGTATATCACGCAATGCTTTGTATGTGATGATGAGGCGTTCTGGGTCTCGTTCCCATACAACATTCTGATCTTGGGTCGAATGATTGAACATCGACCCTAGACCCAAGATGACGGCTTGGGCCACTCGCTTGTTGCCATCAGAGTCGATCGTCGGCCAGTTACTGCAGTTATTCAGCATGATATTTGCAAGCATCGATTGGCCTAAATGCATACTATGTGTAGTGATACAACGATGTGTGCTCGACGTGGGTTTTGTTCTCATCCAAGCCCAGAATCAGGACAGGACAGACTTCAATCACAGTCTTTGCGGGAATGATTTTGGTTGCAAATACACCTCGACCTATCCCCGCGTCAGCCCCTCCATCTAGTATATGCAGGAGTGCAATGGACCTTTAGGCGTGTCAGCTTTTATGTACAGCCATGGAAACCGCTGCAAAGGTATGTCAGCCTTGTTTGATGGAGTGGCCATGGTTTCTAGGAACAGGAGTATGTGCCACGGTTGAGAGAGATATTGAAAGTTTAGAGATTTTGAGACCGCGCTTCTGGATCGACCCGCCAGCCCGAGCTGCTCGGGGATGCCCCACATCTCCGTAACCATCATAAGCTGCCGTACTCGACGACTTGAACACTTGCAATATGGCTCACCAGCGCAATCAGCCCTCGATGGGCGACTCGCTCAAGACTCCTCATTCGGTGAGCTTGAAGGTGCTGAGGTGCGCTGTTCTATAGGAGACTCTCATTGCATAGCTCACTCCAACCACAGACTGTCGCGACCGTCGCTCGCAACGCAGTACCCGCTGCCAGACTCGCAGGAGCTGGGCATCTCGCCCAAAGCTTCACTCGCATACCCGTCGGACACCAACAAGAACAACAAATTCATCCTTAGTCCAGCCCTCAACCTCCCCGAAGCTTTCGGCAGCGCCTACGTCGGCGAGACGTTCTCGTGTACATTGTGCGCCAACAATGAACTCCTTCCCTCCGACCACACGAAATCAGTCAGTGGCGTGAGAATACAAGGCGACATGCAGACCCCGTCGAACCCCACCGGCTCGCCGTTGGACCTCACAGGTGCCGACGGGGAGGTCGATGGTGCTGTGTCTCCAGCTCCTGGCGAGTCTCTGCAGCGCATACTGCGATTCGAGCTCAAAGAAGAAGGGAATCACGTCTTGGCTGTGACTGTTACGTATACAGAGACTGCTCTTGGCGAAGGCAAAGCTTCGGGGGGCCGAGTACGGACGTTCCGCAAGCTCTACCAGTTCGTTGCGCAGCAGCTGTTGAGCGTGCGGACAAAAGCTGGGGAGCTGAGCCAGAAAGACGGCAAGTCTAGATACTTGCTAGAGGCTCAGCTGGAGAACATGGGCGAAGCTGCTGTGAGCCTCGAGGTACGTAAAGCGACGACACCGCGTCTTTGTTTACAGACACTCGATTGTGCGCGTCTCGACAAGGTTTATCGCCTCAATTTCACACCCTGTAGTCGGTCTTGGTGGGTGCGATCCATTGCAGCACTAACCCTGGTTCCTGCATGCACTTTCACATATCTCGGACGTGATTCCGATGCTCACGAGATTCATCTCCTTTCTCACAGCCTTCATCAAATCCGAAGTATGTTCGTATGGCTAATTCAAGACAGGCAGTCACTGTTAATCCGAAACCCCCCTTGATGGCGACATCTCTAAATTGGGATATGCCTTCCCCGGGATCTGGTCAAGCTAAAGCCCCTATACTGACACCTCGCGATGTCATACAAGTCGCATTCCTGCTAGATGAGCAGCCCAACGTGGAAGAGTCCCATGACGAAGCCTCAATAACAGATGACTCTAGGAGGATTCTCGGTCAGCTAGCGATACAATGGCGGAGTGCGTTGGGCGACCGCGGGTCCCTCAGCACCGGTTGGTTGACGAGCCGACGATGAGGCTGCGATTGAGTTTGGCTACAGAACTTAATTGCTGTGCCTTTTTTCCGACACGATCTTAGGCTCTGGTACCTGCCGCCCACAAGTCAGAAGCCCAAAGCGTCGGTGCCACCGCCTTACCCAGTCGATCGGAGTGTAATCCGGCTGTGCCTCCAGCGCGCGTGATTGGGGGTTAGTGGCGATTTTCGGTAACGGACCGAGAGGGGATGAGGATAGACGAGATGCTGGACACATCTGCCGAGCGCGCAGGGTTGTGTGCATGCTCGTACCTGCGTCTAGGGTGCGCCTCTGCGAAGACCTCAGACCTCCATCGGTACGGTTCCGAAGCTGTCAAGTCGAGACGTGACAGGCACCGACAATCTATTCTTGCAATCCTTGCCATGTAGTGTGCGTAGATTTCCGCTGATGTTGTGGACTGTAACATGGGGGCACTGCAGATCATGGTAGGCACGATTTGGATAGATTGTATCTTTCAGGGTTCTGCCATGCGCATGGAACGGATCTTGTCCCTTTTTTCCGCCGATTTTTCTCTGGGACGAGCCCCTTACCTTCTACACATTCTGCGTGATCAAGCGAACGTGCAAATAAACTAGATGCCACGCTGTCGCGTGGGCTCGAAACACTGACAAACACACAAGACCTGATCAAGACCCTGTGACCAGAGGTGTATTGCCCCCGCGACTCGAGATACGCCATCACGGCATCGAGTCAGCGAACCTCAGATCTTACGCCTCCGACTAAACCGCGCCTGCTTGACAAGTCAAGATGGCGTCGCACAGCAAGGTACCCCAGAGCTAGCGGTGCCCACGTAAACCCCCAGTGGGGCACCTTGGTACGACGGCAACAAACGGCACAACCCTACCTGTCGATTCAAGCAGCAGGCTTGCCTGTTCCGCGGGTTTAAAATTGCGAGCAGCAAACCGTTGAAGGGTCTTGCCGCGGTTGTGCGAGGGTCTGCAGACGTGGATCGGCGGCTGCGCTGATGAAAAGCGGGATCCTGCGATTCGAGGGGTGGATAGCTCAGGGTCGCGAGTGGCGCAGCGCAGATGATGATGTAGAGTTGGAGATGAGGATGGTAGTGGATGTGCGGGCTGTAGCGGTACTATTGGCTGTTGGGAGTGGTAGGCTTAACTACCGTATTGATCTTGACGTGAGGGTGTATTGACGGTTGAGGCCCTGACTCTGACTGCAGAACTTGGCCCATCGTAATTCGGCGAAAGGCTGCCGTGAAATAGAATTGCGATTGCGCAGAGTGTTGCATCCTTCGTGAATTTTTTGCGACCTGCCCGATAGAGGCGACGGCTGTATGCGTGCGCAATGAGCTCGATCCTGACGGAACGTTGCGACTACTGCAGGGGACAGTCTGGAGGCCATTTCCGTCACGAGCTTTAGGACTGTCACGGGCTTTAGGATGGCGATCCTTTGGCATTACGAGGTTATCGCCAGCAGTCGAGTTGTGAGCAATTAGCACAGGCTCACCGTCTCGAGCACTAGAGTGGATCTGGTATGTGTGCGCCGTTGTGCTGGCACAGGCGGCTTGCATTGTGTAGGCGGCGAGACGGGTCTTGACATTGACAGATGCCACCGTGCACTATCGACGTTGCACACGGTGGTAGTTCTGCCAGGGCATGAATAGGCACGGTAGCAGGTGCTCTGCACCTGAAACAAGAGGCGCTGGCACTGGGTGGGTGCCGGTGGGTGCTGGTGGACGCATAGTGCACACATGGCGCTGTTGGATGGATAAAGTCGATGATTTGCAGCAACCCTGGCAGCAGTCGGCGATTACAACGCATCCTTGCCCGCGCCTCGTTCCAGCGCCATGTGTGGGGGATCTTCAAAAGAAAATCCCAACGCTGCCCAGCGGCACTTCTGCGCAGTTGTCGTGTTGTCGGGTTGACGGCGCTGCATGCTCGTTTGGCAGCTGCTCTGCATGCGTCCGTGTTGAGGATCCCGGCCAAACACGCGTGCCCAGATAGGCAAGGGCCCAGATGCGACTTCCCAAAGCGTTGCCGTGTTCCGCAGGGGTGCCGCGCCAGGCTTGCAGATGCTGCAGTGCTGCAGCATGTCAGACCGACCACAACACAGCCAGCACTGAGCACGGCTGCTTTGTTCGTTGAGCGCCAGGAACGCCGCTGGCCACGAATCGCACGAACACTGCTGGGCTGCTGCAGGCTAGCCGGTGCTGGCCCACCCAGCTGCCCCACGCCGGCGTTGGTGTGCCTGGCGCTGTTCGCGTTCGTGCAGTGGTCCAGGATAGGCGCTCTCCTGACAGGCCAGTGAGCGCGAGAGGAGCGGGAGGTGTCGTGCGCTAGGCCCGATGTCCGCAAGGCATCTGCACGATAAGGTCGCAGACGGGTATGGGCCCCAGCGAGCATTGCAGTCAATGTGGCCTAGCAGCTCACAGGCCCTCATTTGTATGGCTTGTGGCCGGCCGAGAAGCCCACAAGGACCATCTGGCTGCTGCGTCGCCGTCGCTGCGTCTGCTGTATCCACCTGCTCTGGCTCCTTTACTGCCATTCACGCCTGCATACCGGTACACAGCACAAACACTGCCAGACACTGCCAGACACTGCTGCCAGAGCCGCACCGCGCCGACGGCTGCCCAAGTCCTCACGTCTCGCCCCGCGTACACCTGCCTCACCACACCACCCTCGTTTCTGGCTAAGCTCCCCGTCCGCGCTGCGTGCTACGCATTCTCGCCCTGTCACCGTCGCACAATCGCAAGCCTCCCGCGCATATCGCCCACTCTGCATCACACACGCAACCGTTGGACCTGGCGTCCAATCCCCAATGACCTGACGCCGCGGCCAACCTCGACGCCTTACAGCCTGTGATCGCGCTCTCGACAACCTCCCAGCAGCCGCCCTTTTTGGTTCTTGCATGCCCTGTTAGCAGCCCGACATGGCCCCCATCTCCTCCGCCGACGGCTCGTCTGCGCCGCTCGCCGACTATTTCTTCATATCCGGAATCGAGAGTTCGCAAGTCTACGACGAGCGCCTGCAGCCCAACGGCCTCGTCGGCCCGCTCGCGTCCCCGCCCGTTGGCGAGACCATCGAAGAAGATCGTGCCCTTGAAACCGATTCAATTCGCCCAACCTCGCAAGACGGCCTGACCAGTGGCAACATCACACGGCGGCGCTCCGGGCAGCGCCTGAGCGAGAACCGCCAATCGGTGGCCACCATCACCGCCCATGACAGCAAACCAATCGTCACCGCCAGCAACCGGAGCAGCGCTACCATCAAGGGCGTGAACCTCGGCGGCTCCGGCCTCAGCGACGTCGACTTTGAGAATGCCCTGCGCAAGTTCGCCTCCGAGCGAGACACGTTCCTCGAGGAAATCTCCTTCACCGCAGGCGTTGCGCAACAAAGTCGCCAGACCCCGACCCGGCCGCGCCCCCGCCCACCACGAGTCTCGCAGGCACCATGCGCAAATGCCGAAGATGGCATCGCAAACCTAAGATCAGGCGTAGGAAGCATCCGAAGGCGCTTGTCGACAATGCAGAGCAGTCTGAAGAGGCAGCCTTCGACAGCACGTCAATGTAAGTGTTATTCCGTAGCACAGAGCCATGTGCAGACATGGATTATTTGCTTTTTGATCGACCGTCACTAACACCCTTGCAGCTTCAATACGAACATCAAAGCGCATGTCAGGCTATAACTCGGTCATACCGGCGCCACAGCCTTTCAACCCGGATCCTGACATGCACCCACTCTTACGCCGTTACGAGCCCGTGCTCCTGGACCGCTATCCACCAAGGAACATGGTCGAAGAACTCAAGCGGCGAAACCCCTTCCCGGACTACGTTCCAATGTTTGCTTTTCCCAACGATGTCACTGTAGTGTCGTCCGACGAGCGACCAAAGTCTCAATGGCACGGCTTTGCGATGACTAATGGTGACAGCTCTAAGCTCTACGGCATCACGATCGTTGTCTGGCTGCCGTTGAACGCAACAGCGGCGGAAGGGCTCGAGCGTCAATGTGAAGAATGGAGGAGAAATCACATGAACGCAGAAGAGAGAGAATTAGCCAGCAGCCTGGGCGAACGCCTGGCCTTGGAGCGGGCGAAACTGTCGCAGCTGCTGGCCAAGCTGCCCGCCGTCCAGCCTGACTCAGAAGCGCGCGATAACCTTGACGAGGAAATCGGTGCAGTTGAGGAGAAAATTCAGCTCATGACAGACCTCCTTCGGCCAGTACGCCACGGAGCAGCGTCGAGGATCGAAGGTCTGACTGATGGAGAGTCTGGCCTCTGGATCCCACGTGCTTACGGTGTTATGGGAAGGGATGCCAGTCTCACGCCTCTGTGGAAAGAATGGCTAAAGGCAATCGTTGTCCCCATGACGACGGGCACCATTCTCCGCGTTCCACCAAGCTCGCCGCGAGTGGGTATGTGGCAACCACTCGAACGTTACGTCGTCAACCTCTGCGCCGAGGCTCTTAGTCCGATTACCTCGATTACCCAAGTTGAATTGGCCGTACGCGAACTCCGGATGTACGCTCGCAAGGAAGCAGAGAACGAGATCCCAGGCTCTCGCAACATTGACATCTACGCACTCTTCCGCTGTCTCTCAATCCCCAACATTGTCACTCTCTTCGAGTACGTACTGGCTGAGGCAAGAATCATCCTCCTCTCCTCGCACACAGCTATGCTTCACCTAGCAAGTATGGCTATTACAAACCTTGTGTATCCGTTTCAGTGGTGCGGCGTCTTCATCCCCGTTCTGCCAGCACGACTTGTGCAGACGATTGAGGCGCCGTGTCCTTATATCGTTGGCATTGAGCGGAGATACGAGCCTACTGATTACCCAGATGACGACTTCGTCCTCATTGATCTAGATCAGAACTCGATCGTTTCGAACGGGCCTCCCCCTCCACCCCTGCCTCGCCAGCAGCGCCGAAAGCTCATCTCCCTCCTTCAGCACTCAGCGCCCCACCACATGCGCTATGGCGTCCCGACTGGACCTCCAGCTTATGCTGTAGAAGCGTTTCCACACGATACATTCTGCTCCGAGAACCCGTCTGTCTTCACACCCAAGGCACATGCATCGACCGTGCAAACCTACGTCGGTCTCAACTCCACGTCCTTCGGCACTGTCACCGGACCAGCGAGCGGACGGCCCCTGATCTACAACGCGTTCCTACAATCCAGCGCTCATAGCCGTGGGAGCGACAGACCTTCCACGTCATCTACCATCAGGACCTTTTCAAACTCTCCTCCTTCACCGAAAGTCTCTCCGGTGTCAACCGTCTTCCCTCCTATGCCCAGCACTCCAATCTCCCGTAGCGATTCAGGGTACGCACTGCAGGCGAATTTGCGCGAGAAGCGTTCAGCGCATTTCGACACCCAGTCGCGGCGCAGCTCTTCGGTAAGTTCATAGCTTCGGCTCGTTACTCGGCTCAAGCACTAACGATTAATCTAGTTCGGATTCGAAAAGGTACCGCAAATGAGGCGACCCAGTCAGCCGATGCTAGGCCACGCGCCGAGTGCCTCAACATCGTCATTGAGTCAGGAATTGCGAGCGGGGTCTTCTTACGCGCCATCAGTGTACGCCCAGTCTACTCTGGCCGCTTCGACCATCATGCCCGGCATGGCGATGCAGCCCGTGCGCAACACGGCAACTGTGCAATGGCAGGAGGGTCATTGCTTGCAGTGGAGGCCGCATGAAGATAAGGCTTCCTGCTCGATTTGTGAGGAAAAGTCGGATGAGGGGCTCTATCGATGTTCCGGTAAGTCTCAGATCACCCCCTACTTTAACTCCCGTCTCACCCACACAGGATGCACTACCCACGTCCACGCTAGGTGCGCGCCGTCGATCTGCATCGTTTGCCCTACGGCTTTCCGACCCGATCAAGTCCGCGCATCGTTTGTGCGATGCTTTGCCAGTCTGCTGTACACGTACCGCCGCTATCTTGTACCGGCCACTGGCGAACGCAAGAAGTCCGGCATGCTCTACCAGTTCCAAATGGAAGAGTTTATCAAAAACCAACCAGCCGAGAACGTCCAGTATCTGACTGTGCTGCAACAAACGCAGGCTTTCAACGAGTTTGTTCACGAACGCGAGAGCATCTCCGGCGACAACCCCAAGATTAAGCTTTTCGATGAGGTCATTCTCGCAAAGAAGGGGCGTGGCGCGTCCTCATACTTCTACAAGACCAAGGCCGATTTTCTCTCCGACACCAGCGATCATCTTTGGCGCACCGCGCACGCTACTCCCCCGACGTCTCGTTTCCCCGGAGACTACCGAACGGTTGTCAGTCGGATCCCCGCAAAGCTCGATGTTACCCTTATGAAAGAGCCACGCGTCATCCAGGGCGTCCCCCGTCCGCAGAACGCAAAAGCACGGCGCAAGCCGATACCCTCTTTACTGTCGAACGGCGTCCCCGCATCATGACAGCCATCTCAATCCACACCTCTTTTGACGACGATCTGATTTGCATCGACACTTACGCCACACCTGGACCACTGTCACTTTGTTTTCTTTTTGTTCGTATTTGTACAATAACAGCGATGGAGTTCTGGGCGTACCAGCCACCTATTGCGACCGCCTGCATGGCCAGGGTTGGTTTCTGGACAAATCAATCTGTGAACCTCGCATCTACGGTGGTTGGACGGGACCTCTGGTCTTTGGATATCCCGTCACCTATGGGGTAAGAAAAGTTGGAGGCACATTCGACCTGCACGATATCACTTGTAATGTTTCGTCCGCATCCGCTCGTTTGGATTCCGCTTGTAATCCGCGGATCCTTCCTTCTTGTAGTATATTGAGGCTTAGGACAGGGGCACCGCCCGATATAGATATGCAGTCCGTCTGGATAGCAACAATACAACATGCAAAGCACGTTCGTCCACCTCTTTTGTGCTCAGGCACGTTCTTTCTATGCAAGTCTCATGCAGGAACACGCCAATCACATCAGCATCGGGCAGATGTTCCTGACTAAGGGGCTAGCGCCGGAATCAGTCAAGCTTCACGAGTCGCGGCTGCCTCCTTGGCATGGGGATAACGGCTGGGCCCCTATCACGCCTCCATTCTTTTGAACTTGTCCGTCAATCACACTTCTACAGTCGTCGCTCTTTACGCTCGCTCATCCGTCGCTCATTAGACTAATATCTCTACACGCTCGCTCTCGCTGCCGCTCTCTACCTTCCAAGCACGTACTCGATCGAACCACCAGTAAATTCTTAAAACAACTCGCAAATACCGCCAATATGCTTGCCAAGACCGTCTTCGCTGCCACCTTCTTCGCTCTGGCACAGTTTGCCGTCGCTTCGCCTCCGGGCTGCCTCCTCGGCGCCGTCAACCAGTACTCCGACCCTGCGGACCTGAAGTCCATCTGCAAGGCCAAGGATGCCACCACCAAGATCACCAGCTTCTGCGGCGACGACTCAAAGGCGGCCTTGAGTGCTTTCGCAGACATCTGCAACAGCCAGGGCGTCAAAGTCGGTGCGTACACCCAGATCATGGACAGATGTGAAGCAATGAGGTCAACGACTAACGAAAGACAGCGACCGACGTCCCCACCTCGACCGGCAGCGTCAAGCCCAGCGGTACTGGCGCGTCCGCTTCCGCCTCAGGCACCGGCTCCAGCATCCTCTACCCGTCCGGCAATGCAACGCTGGCGGTCGCGAGCGGCGCATCCCCCAAGCCCACCGGCGCAGCCACCGGCACATTCTCTGGCGGTCTTCCTGAGTCCACCGGCGCTGCTGGCAGACTCGAAGTTGGTCTTGCTGCGGCTGTCGCTGGTCTGATGGCGATCGCTTTGTAGATGCGGACCAGGACAACATGTGTATATAAGAGTGGCGGAACTAGGCGGGTGGGAAGGAAGAGACGTTTCTAGACGGTAGGTTGCATATATCGGCGAATTCTTGACATATTGAAATCAAACATTGAGGGACTTGGACTCCATGTGCGAACATACGATGAAGCATGTGACAGTAGTATTTGCTACAGGGGGGTAGCACGTCGGGTGGATACAGTGTGCCGGCGCGGCATGCATTCAGCAAGTCAGAAGCCTGGTCTTTGTAGCGACGCACGCTCCTAATAGATGGGATTTGATGTTATCGTGCTTCTCCACGAGGGGTTGTACTACACTACTCTATCATTACTTCTTGTTGCCCTTTGGGCCAGTGCACACACGGTGCTTCATCTTCGACCCCGCAGTTGTCTCTATTGCGCCCAGCTGGTCGTCTTCTGGGATCACGTTTCGGTCTTGGATTCCCTTTGACTCGGACTTGCTGTTCACCTCGTGCTCGATGATGGCGCAGAAACTATTTGTAGCAACACGTAAGCCCCTGTATATGATGGTGATGCGGAAGGGACTTACCGGGCAACTGATTTTGAGTACCAGTCCTTCCTCTCGCCAAGCTGTAGTAGGTGGGCCCGGATCTGGTCCTTGGTGAGGACGAACAAGCCGCCTAGTCCCAGGTATGGGACCAGAGTTGGCGGCCGGATTGCGTTGAAGACCTGGGCAATTCAGCATTTGTAGCAACAGCAAATGCCTTAGAGCTGACATACCTTGTTATACTGGAAAAGGAATTATGCGTCCATGTCGGCCTCGTGGAGCATCTCGACAAAGGTAAGAAGCGAATTTTCGTCGCATGTCAGACCGTCGGCCCCGCAGATAAGCAAGGTGATGTTGCTTTTTAAGGGCAATGCTTTAATCCACTTCCTATCGCCGTTGCATTGTCGCGGCCCGATTTCTTGTTGAAGTTGGTGAACTCGCTACTCTTCCGATTGTAGCATAAGCTACCCGTCTGCCCATAGCGGAACGGAACAGGGCTATTGCGCTCTAGGCGTCTGCTGAGCTCTCGGCCGTCGCTTTCCATCTCCCAAATTACCCTTGCACGGGCAGCAGCATCGCCGCCATACTTCCTCGCAGAGGACCAGCTTGAGAGTCGGAGAATGACTAGGCAGTAGTCCTTCCATAGTATGAATGAGGAGCTTGCCGTTGCTACATCCTCAGATGATGAAGACCATTCTTCTTGGTTATCCTCAGGTGATTGGCTGTCCTCGGGGGGTGGGTTATCCTCGGGGGGTGGGCTTGAGGTGGCGGCGTCCTGGGTTGCTGCATTTACTTGGTGGGGCCTTTAAAGGCGTTTCCTCGGCATCACCCCGCCATTTAGCCGCAAGCACATCGAACATAAAGGGACTGCCCGAATTGTGCCAGCGCTTGTGCAGTGGACTGTTATGCAAGTGTCGCTGGGAGCTTTCTGTATCCACAATCTGAAAGGGTGTTGCCCACATCACACCACCCAAGCCTCATCGTATCTATCAGACGAGATGTGTCAGGTGCTGAGTATTTTAGAATATAAGTCGACCTACTCCTCATACTTTCATCAATCAAGCAATTGATCAATTGGACAGATGGCCGAGTGGTTAAGGCGCTAGCTTCAGGTGCTAGTAGAGCAATCTGCGTGGGTTCGAGTCCCACTCTGTTCATCATTCTTTTTTGCTTTCTTTGCTTCTTTTTCGCTTTTTTTTTTTGCATCTCTTTGCATTTTTTCTTTTTTGCCCTGTCGCTGTTGCCGAGTCAGCGGCGTCGCACTTATGAGATCTTTTGGCTCTGCTTCGCGATTAGCAGTAACAAGCTGAAGGAGATATACTGTGTTCGCAGTAAGGCATTGTTATACGAATGTCACACTCTCTTCCCGCGCAATTGCAATTGCTTCGGCATCTATCTTGTGAAGCAGCTGTAGCTTCATGGTCTGAAAGACTCTTTTTCCCAGGCAACATAAGCCCGCTTTGTGTCCACCACCCATAATCCAGAGCCAGGCTGGAATGTCAATCTGCAATATGGTCCCTGCTTTGCATAGTCAATTGACTACTCACACTCCATGATATAAAGCTGACGAAATAGCCGTCACTCGTCGCACTACCCATTTCGAAAAGCCAGAAGCATGTTGTAACGTACCCGCCTTGCAGTGAATTAGCACGGTCAGGGATGGCGTACAACTTCACTTATCACCCGAACCACTGTCACTGAATCAATTAGACACGCACTGTGCCAGTTTATGCCGTAAAAAGCCACGAATGCATTGAAATTCCATGAAAAAGAAGACGCGTATAAAATCATAAACCAGAATCGCTACCAAAACACGCTCGCACGCACAAAACCAAACACTGGAACCCTGAACTGCTTGAAGAAACCCGCAACAATACATGAAAGAAGTCAGTCACCACAGATCGATGCTGTATAAAAATGGGCTTGCCAGGCGCCATTGCTGCTATTTCGCTGCAGCTGCGGTCCATTTTGAGGCAATGAACAACCTTTGGAGAGATGGGCTTGCCAGGCACCATTGCTGCTATTTCGCTGCAGCTGCGGTCCATTTGAGGTAAAGGACAACCTGCCGAGAGGAGGAGGAAGAGGAGGAACGGGCTTGCCATCGCACCGAACCCGAATTGATGATTTCGCTTTCCATGCGGTGATGCTTTCGCGTTACACTTGCGGACCGTTTGTAGGTGACGGACAACTTGTGGAGAAGATAATGAAGAGGGTGTGATGATTTCGCTTTCCACATGCGGTGATTGTTTCGCTTTTCACGTGCGGTGATGATTTCGCTTTACACATGCGGTTCGTTTCAGGGTGACGAACAACCATCGAGAAGAGGATGAGAGGAGAGGGTACTGCTGTCGGGCGAAGGGTGTGTCGCGAGGGCGTGATGCTCAGAAACAGCTGTCACGTCGACCCTCGTTCTTGTTGAATTCAACCAGTGCAGCTGGGCTGAACTGGATGTCACCCTTGCCCTTGGCAATGTACCGGTGGAGGTGCTCGTGCTCAATGGTGAGCTCGTTGTCTGGCGAGCAATTGACGTAGGTCTGCTTGACGAACTCGTCGGAGTCGTCAGTCAGGTGGCCCTTGTCACCCTCCACGAAGTAGCGGTGGTGGTGGGCCTGCTTGTGGTTGATACCACGCCCACCGAAAGTCGTGCAAGTTCGTACCTTGACGAACTTGACCCCGGAGGCCACCCACCGCTCGGTGATGACGGCAGGATGGTTCCAGGGATTGCCCAGCTCGTACGTGCGGGCGATGCTGGACGCCGGGAGTTGTTCCTCGGCAGGCAGCATGACTACTCTGCCGACGATCCAGTCGGCTGCTGGTGGCTTTGTGGTGGTACCACTTCGCCAGTTGCCAGCAAGGGCCCTTGGCTGCTGGGGTGGCTGGGAGGAGGGTGGCAGTGAGGGTGTGGGTGGTGTTGGCAAAGCACCAGAGCCACGAAGCCAGGTAGCGGCTTGTGAGGCACGACCACGAGGGCGTGGAGGGGGAGGGAAGGCACTGGGTGGTGATGGCAAGTCACCACCGTCAGCACGTGGAGGGAGAGGGAAGGAACGGGTTGGTGGTGGCAAGTCACCAGAGCCCGAACGCAAGCGGCAGGGACTCTCCCAGGCCGATGGCCGGGCCTTGTTAGTGAGAGTATAGCGAGGAGTGTGAGAGGAAGCCATGTTGCTGATGAGGGTAGGAATGGCTTGAATGATCAATTGAATGATCAATTGAATGATGGATTGAATAACGAACTGAATGACGAATCAAATGATGGCTTTTGAGAAGTGAGTATCGATGATAGTAATGATCGATAGTGAGAGTTGGTTTGAGATGATGAAAGTTACAATAGAAGTGAGACGGGAAAAGTATTTAAAGACGCCCTGGAGACTCAGAGAAATAGTCAATATCTTAGACATGGCTCTGGATGCTCAATACTTCTATGAATATGTTTCCCTGAGCCATTCCCATAGAAATACTTCGTAATATTGTAGGTCTCAATTCTGGGGCCAAGACCCTTTGATTGCGGAAATCTGGCGACGAATCGCGTTGCCATTTTTAGAGCAGAACCTAGACTTATTTGTTGGTCTCTGAAGCTTGCAATGAGTGCAATTGGACAATTTCCCGTGAGCACCGCGAGAATTGCAGCTCAGTGTTGAATCAGTGCAAGGAGACACCGACCGCACTGGACAGGAAATTCGCTGTGTGTACGTAGCATCTGGTTGAATATTTTTAAACGGTTTGCAAATTTAGGGAAGGCCGCGTCCTAAGATAACTACAATTAATGTGGCGGTTGTTACGTGGTTGAGAAAAGTTCCCCGCTCAGGTGCCGGACATCGAAACGGTCTCGAGGGCGATGGAACACCAGCTCCCTTGGTACAATTGACGATCTCTGATACCCAATACTGGACTGAATAATGGCAATGGCTGTGCAGTTTCTCAGAATCTCATGGAAAGAACATTCTTTGGGACGATTGCCAAAGTTTGAAAGCAGATTCTGGTGTGAACGAATAGAGTAGGTATGAAGCGCAGAGGCAGCACCAAAGACCAATACTGGGGTGGCGTGAAGTTGAGTTGCAATCATTCAAGGTGCAATTGAGTCTTAGTCTTCGACCACATTAATCTTAAGCTCTAACATACAGCAATTGCAATTGCATGGACACCGCACGAAACGCACTGCTGCGGCCCCACATCAGTGCAATTGGACAGGACGAAGAGACACACAATTGAATACTCCAAAGCATAGTCCCGCATTCTCGGGAGTGTAGATGACGGAATTGGTGTTGAATGGTGGAATATGATTTTCGAGATGTTGGTCGTCGATCAACGGAAGTCTTACCCATGGACCGACATCTGCCAAACTACGTTCAACATATCCCCTGAGACCCTGAAGTGCGATGCCCCGAATTTAATATTCTCCCCGGGCTTGAATAAGCCAATGCGCGGCGTGGTATACCTATCTCACATTTACACCATAATAGACAATTTATTTCAGAATAGGCGTGGCTTAGCTTGATCTAAATCCAGAACCATGGCTCTGCGTGTTTGCAAGAATGTCGAAGCATCACGAGCATATTACCCTATTTCGGAGATCGGACAAGTCTCAATCAATAATGGGAAATCTATTCACGAATTGTCGAAACCCAACAGCACAATTGCGGGGCTGGGGGTTTCCACCTCAAAATTGTGTGGAGTCTGTGTTGACGCCGAGGCCTCAAGAGTCAGTTCTTTGCATAGCACGTACTGACAATAGACCGCAATTGGACACAATGGGCTCCAATGTGTCCCCTCTTAAAGCATCACGAGTAGCGATCTCCTCACACGCGTCCTCGCTCATAGACCGCCCAACTGCTGTCTTCTTACGGCACACAGCTTCCAAGTTGTGGCTAGATAGTTTGCCACACAACCGCCAACGCGCGTCTTGGGGAGAAGAGCGTTCCAGGGTTGGGGCTTTCGGCTCGAATGAGGCTGGACTTCAGGGATCCAGAGGTCAGGTACCTGGGTCCATGATGATAGGCGCGAGTGGAGCCTGATAGACGATCCGGAATCGGCTCATTGGTGAAAGCCCAGGAGGCATTAGAAAGGTCCTGTGACAGTAAGGCGCTGTTGAGCAGCGACACGCTAATAAAGGCTACATGTATCGTCATCATTGAGCATTACTTCCACATCTCGGGTTAACCAGGCCTCAAAACCACCTCGCCTACTAGAATTACAACATTCTTGAAGAATCTCCTCCATTCGAGAGGGTCTCCACTGGCCTTCACAAATCTGACCTCGCTGTAGGCCATGCCTTCATATACAGCCTTCTCAATCACGATGTGTCCATTCAGGCCTTGTCGCCGCCCGTCGGCCATCTTGACCCTGATACTCGCGTTCTCCTCTAACTCACACTGCGCAATCTGTTGTTCATTGAAAGCTGGTGGTGGTACACCAAGCCGATGCAAGGCCTCGAGTAGGAGTGGGACGAGGAACGTCAGAGAATGTGGCGATATAAAGCGTGCGAGTGAGTACGAAGGCATAACGTCTGCGAATCGGCGCGCTATCTGCGTCAGTGTCAAAGGCACCTGCGGGTTTGCAGTGAACTGTGCCATGCCCGGATCCTGAGATAGCATGTCCTGTGTCGAGGGTGGGAGCTGTGACATAAAAGGGGTCGAAGTAGCATCCTGTGATTGATAGACCGGGCGCTGATTATTGCCCATAGGCTGAGAAGCCGATACTCCGTCGTGAGAAGCTAGGCGAGGCGGTCGTTCCCAGTCAAAGACAGAATCGCCTGCTGGGTTCTCGGGCTGAGTCGCGGAGAGGAGATTGACAGCGTTCGCAGGGTTTGCACTCGAGCGCCTCGGCGATGTGTCGATATCCATGGCGTCGGGGTCTTGCGAAAACCCTCTTTGAGACTGCGTTGGCCCGCGAGCGAAGTCGATGCGAAGTTGCGACAGCATCTGTGTAGCCATACCAACAGGGTTGGCATTACCTCCACTTGGAGATAGATATGGATTTGGCCGCCTGAACCACGGATGCCTTCGGATTTCGTCAAGTGTGAACCGTGACGCAGGGTCCAGCTTCAACATCCCTCGAAGTAGAGAGATAATCTCTGGAGGTACGAGTTGCCACAGTTCGTCTGTGGTGTGTCCATCTGTTTCGACGTACTCCTTGAACTCCTCACTCCGCATCGTGGGTTCGTCCCATGGCGTGTTACCAACCAGCAGAACGAACAATACAACACCACAGCTCCAGACGTCGCAAATGTTGGCATGGTAGCCAACATCGAGCATATCTGCTCTCTTGCTTCGTCTCCCACTGACGATCTCGGGGGCGATGTATGGCGGTGAGCCACATACAGTGTTGCACAATCGCGCTTTCCCGTCCTTCTTGAACAGTGCTGCTAGCCCAAAGTCACTAAGCTTCAAGTCTCCCTCAGCACTTAGTAGCACATTCTCAGGCTTGATATCGCGGTGTGCGATACCCTTGGAGTGCATGTATCCAACAGCACTGATCAACTGGGAAAAGTAGAAGTGTGCGATGTCTTCCCCCACGCCTTCATCAGCCTCGATCTTGTCGAAGAGATCGCCGCCATCAGCGAGCTCCATAGCTATCCATGTCCACAACGCATCCTCGCCCGAGCCAAGAAGGTGTACGATGTTCTGATGCTTGCCGAGATGTTGATGCAAGACTATCTCCATCTTGATCTGTTTCGGCGAGAGGCGGCCCTGCTTGTATGCATGTTCCTTATTGATGAACTTGATCGCGATGACGGGTTTGGGCTTATCGTGGGGTACCGCCTTTCGTATGCTGGGGTTCCTGTCAGTATACACTGTGCTTACTGCGAAATATCTTACTGACGATGCGTAAGCGCCCTGTCCTATTGTTTTGCTGACAAGACGAAAGGGTAGATTAGATGGTAGCGGAGCGACTTGACTCTGAAATAGAGGTTAGCATTCTTGCTGTGACATCATTATTGTCGTCTGAATGGAGTGCGGGGACGTTGTGAGATGGAAATTGCGGTAAAGGTGCCCCGAATCAGTGCGTTTACAATGTGGGCCCATTAGACAAAGAAGGTGCTTACCCCAGGCGGTGCGCCCATCGCGACTCAATATCCTAAAATGCAACCGACAATATACGGGGGCTGTGATGTGAAGCAAAAAAAAAATCAAGTGTAAAGACAGACGTTGTTGTTGCTCCTGCGTCTGCCTGGTTGTCGAGTCCCACCCGTTCCCCAAACAAACCAAAGGCTCTGACTCCAGCGCACCCGCCTCGCGTCTTATCGCGCCTGCCTTATCACGTAGTCACGTGTCGCAACACGAACGGGCGAGGTTCGCTCGTCCATCGATATCCCGAGCACAAACCTTATCCCTCATTCCCGTCGCTTCACCTTCTTACGTCCTGCAAGATTCACAACACTATCAGATCAGGCCCCAGGATCGTATGATATTATGCACGCGTTTCTTTACTTGATGGGGAAGACCACCCTCCTCAACATTCATCTGCAATCGATCGACCCAATGCCAAGCGACAGTGATATTGTTCCCGGTGCGCATTGAATGTTTGACTCTACTCGAAATATGCCTGTTGGCGTCATGTCTGTTGGAAGTCTGCGGGCAGCGCGTCAATGATGCATGATAGCCCGCTTGGGATCTGTTCGAAGCGAGATGGACGATCGTGCAAAGCAATCAGGGCACAGTGACATGCATATAATAACCAGGCATACTGTCAAATGCACCAGGCACAGGCCTCGAATCATGCGTCGCGAGCACGTACATACCCGGCTCTCGCAGCGCAAGACCGAGGCATGTTCTCCGCGAACTGCTTGATATCATAAACCGTTCGGACCGATCATCCAGGACAAGGTGTCTGCAAACACGAGAAGAACCACACATCTGGAATTTTCTGCCAAACAGCCAGTCCATGCCTACTGCAAAGTTTAGCCCACATTAATCAGCCCACCTCGGAATAAAAGCAACGCGCAGGTGGGTTTGCCACGAGCTGCGGATGCGAAGACCAGCCACGCCGCTTCATCTGCAAACTCTATCTGCAAACTTTATCGTGTTCTTGCAGAGCCGCGGTGGATTTCGGTAAAAGGTGTCTTCGTAGTGACGCATGGCTCCCTTCCATGCTTGGCCGCAACCAATCTGCCGCAACCAATCTGGTCGGTTTCCCAAATGGTCTTGGAGGTTCCGGCAGAAGGGCTCAGTGGTGTTGGCCATGATCAGCTGCGCGGAGCCTTTGTAGGTGAACTGAGTTAGACACTTCGTGATCGATATGCTCTAAATAAGGAGAGAATGATCTGCGAACTCTGAATATGCATATTAAGCATGGTGAAGCAGACATTGAAGCATAACGAACCGTCCCGAGCGGAGGTTGTTACCAGATCTGGCAATAAAATGATCCTTGTCTTGTCAGATCTCCAGCCGCAAAACGTTGAATGCTTGACACGCAGCAGCAGCTGGGCAACATGCGGGTCCAAGATGCAGCAACTTGAATGCACGAAAAACAATGGCTGGATGGAGCAACATGTGACAAACAGCCACCCCAGTCTCTCCCGCGTCTCCCGCAATCCTTCCGTACCCGTCGAATCCTTCTCGCAACACCAGAATATCAGCCTAAACTTCACCTCCTGACTCAAACATGGCCAAATTTCGCTCACCCTTTTCACACTTCACTTCCAATGTATCCCCTTGACACATCGCATCGATGGCATTGACGAAACCACCTGTCTGTCACCGGCGGCCTCCGTCCCAATTGTGTGTCGCGGAGGTCCAGCCGAACGCCCAGGAATACCTAGCAACATTAGCATGCGACAGCCTCCAGCGAAGGTTTTGACAGCAGATGCTAAGGAAAGGGTTCAGAGAATCCGTCAAAGCTAGCAGCGTTGCATGCATGTACGAAGTAGGCTCTGCACGGCCCATTTAGGGGTGGAGTGCACGTATGTAACCAGCGTACCATCGTACCAGCCAACCAACTAACCAGCATCGGAAATTCAGTCAGTATCGGAGATGATTAATCGTACATTCAATGCTATACCGGCCCGACTGCGAAACCCTCTAGAGCAAGGCTGCTCCGGGGACGCGTCGGCCGTATTTTGCAAGCGAGAGCAGCCACAGGCCTTGCAAGAAGCTTGTATCAGGGCCAAGGCCCGCCGTGTTCCGCGTAGTTTTGCGATTCTACGCGCCACGTCGGCCTTGTGGCGGACGCATCCCTGAGTTCGTCTCTTGTTCTTTTCTTGGGCACGGGGGTCAACGTAATCTTGAACATCGGACTAAGCACCGATTTGGCTGTAGATCGCGGCGAGGAATCGAACGCAACGCCAGAAGTCTCTAGGGGGGTGTTCGATGTTGGACTAGGGACAATATTGAAGGGGACTATGAAGTGCCGATTGTAGGCGCAATGCCCGTAGGCGCATAGACGCGCTGAACATTCTGAAAAGATCTGGGCTCTACTAAGTGCGGCAGTAAGTGGAGACGTCCTGAGTAAGGACTTGCAGATGGGATGGAGTAGATGTGTCATGAATCTTTCTATTGAGCACCGAGGTACACGGACAGCTGGGGTGTCAAGTGTCCTTCAAATTAGGCGGTACAGCCGAGTGTACCGAATGCTATCTCTTCCTTTAAGGGGAAGAAAGCGAACCCTTCACCTCAAAGACATCCTTATGCACATGCGATGGAGCTAAGCCAAAGCGAGAGCGTGCTGGGTATATCCATCTGAAGGTCGTAGAGTCCACTGCTGCCATCTATATGCCCCTGTGGGCTCAAAAGTAATGCACCAAGAATCGAACGGAAGCCTATGGAGACTTTGCTTTCGCGCAGCCAATCTCGTAAGGGATCCAACCCCTGAGACTCCAAGATCCGCGAAAGGGCAGACATTGCTAAGAAAAGTCGTGCGAACGTGGGAACCGGATAGTTAGGATGGCGTGTCAGAAAAACCTGCCGCAAATCCGGTAGCCAAGGAAATCAGAAGAACCAGTCGCCCGCCAAATGCTGATGTTTTATCCAGTCCAAAAACGCCAGAAGTCTATGAAAATGCACCAAAAGATGGGGAATAATGCATCGGTCCAAGGAACACGTCCAAGATGGTGAAGCAAATCGTCAAGTTGTGAAAAAAGCCGGTAAAGACTATGTAGTCTTTCATCGAGAGCCTGCGGGCAGAGCGGCGTAGGATGAGGCGGCGGCGGCATCGAGGCCACGGAGCTGAGGAGCGTACTTCGGGTGCTTGACGAACTTTGGTACAGAGTCCTGCTACTTGTTAGTTGAAAGAGAATAAGCTGTTGGACATGATCCTTACACTAGACATGAGCTTGAAGATCGAGTTCTGTGCCTTGTCAAACAGTGTAGCAACCTCGTTAAGGCTCTGGAGCATCGCGGCATCGTCGCCAACGGCACGTGTCATCCTTGTGGCAAGCTGCGTGCGGAGACCGTGATCGATGTTAAGCTCGTTCGGTGACCCAGGTGCTAGGAAGGCGTTGTACAGCCCATAAGCGGCTGCAAGGGTTTCTCGGATGGTTTCAACCTTGTTATCACCCTTATCACCGGTGGCAGCTCGGTACTGCCTGTTGAATTCCTGAACCTCGAGATAGAACGACAAGTTCTCCTCACACATGGTCTCCTTCAGGAACTCGCGGTAGAGAAGGCGCCATGAGGGGTTGCGGATGATAACGTTCGTTCGGTTGCTGTTCGAGTCACGAGCCATGCCGTCGCGGGTCTTGGCGGCAACAGCCTCTCCGCTTGATGGAATCTCCTCGAGACTCCATCCTGCCACGCGCTCACCGTGTGGGGTGACGTAGTAGTGGACCTGCTTCACAGGCTGGAAAGTGTGCTCAGGAACACGAGGGTCGACAGGTGCAATGAGCTTGAGCTGTAAAAATAGAGACCCTATTTCTATCGATTCGCGCGGGTCGACCATCGTAGTGCAGTCCATAAGCCACTGTGCAGCATTGCGGCCGTTGAAGGTATACTCGTACTGGCGGCTAGTGGTGGGACGGTGCTTGACCAGCTTCACGCCGATGTCACACTTAGAGAACTCGTGTATTGAGTCAGAGTCAGACGCCGTCTCGTTTGCGGTGGTACCGATGAATCGGCGGAAAAGAATCTCGACGGTCTGTTCGTCGTGGTGGAGCTTATCGTTTTCTGTGTTGCGTTCCAAGATAACTAGCAAGTGGGGATTGCGGTTAGACTCGATGACGGCCTTGACGTGTGCAGACTGGATGCCATTGCGTGTGCAGAAGCGCTCCAAGATGTGAATACCCTTGGGTGTTAGCTGCCACACAGAGCTCTTGTTTGTAAAGTCGGTCTTGCCCTCTACGGATTCGACAAACTTTGCTTCCAGAAATTTCTGGCAGACAGAGCGGGCCATTTCTTTTGCCATCGAGAAGGTAGTGGTGGTGGTGGTTGTGACGACACGTGATGAATCCTTGGGGTCAGGCATGCGATTCGACTGCGAGAACTTGAGAGAACCGAGGTTGGTAATGGCCTCGTCAGAGGAGAAGGTGTAGTCAATCATCCTGAAGCGGACACGGTGAGCTGTGAGAGGGAGGGACACCATCAGGGTCGAGAACAGGTCCTTGAAGTCCTATTATGGATGTCAGTGATAGTTCAGGAAGATATGTACAGGCGATAAGCCAATGCGTATATGATCAGTAGTAAGGGTAGTGATGGTGGCTGAGGTCCACGTGGTGGGCCAGGCTAGGCAGAAATTTGTTTGGCCGCGTTTGTCCAGCGAACATCTTCAAGCCAACAACCGCGATCGTGTGCAATTTGCTTTGGGAGATGACCAGATGCAGCGGTCGGGGGCACAGGAAAGTAGAATATTCCATGTTGAATGCCATGTTCGAGGCTGGTCGGTCATTGCAGCCTTGGCTGACTGGCTGACGGCGCGCTCAGTGCGGGAGATGGTTCAAACACTCACTCTTGTATACGGCCGCTCATCATCAGTCATACGCAGCAGCCTCGAGCTGGTCTGATGCATCTTGGCAAACTGCGCTGCTTGCGACAGGCTCGTGTTCTTCCTATCTGGGTAGGGTCCGGGTTCCTCTGCGCTGATGCTGCCGGAGCGAAGACTGGCGGAGACGGAGGGCTCGCGTGCTCTCGAGGGTTCGAATAAAGGAAGCTCAGTACGGCCACGCGCAAACGAGGTCCTGGAGGCGCGAGGAGCACCGGTGGAGAGGAAAGGTGAGTCGGCGCGGGAAGGCGGGGCGGCGGCCGAGATGCTGCTGCCTCTGAAATGGGTGGCCCGGGTGAGCTCGCGGCTGCCCTTTCGCAGGAGAGGAAAGCGGGTAAAGGTCAGGCGCCTGCTGTTGCTGCGGGCGGCGGGCGGGGTGGTGGCTGTCTGAGCTGTGGTGGTCGCGCAGGCTTCAGATACGGCAGACAGTGCTTCAAGATCAAATCGCAGCTGGGGCTCGTCGCTGTCGGGGCCGGTGTCGAGCGTCTCGCCGATGTGGGAGGAATTGGAGGAAGAAAGCGAGGCGGCGGAGACAGTCAGAGGCAGAAATGGAGTCGTCAAGGGCATTGCCGTTAGAGGCAGGATGGTCGCGGAGAGTCGTCGCAGACTGACGAAGGGCGAGAGAGTGGGTACTCTAGCAAGGATTGGCCGTCCACTCGACCGTCACTCGGGGGTCCGTGACCACAGTGTCTGCGTCTGCCACACCGCCCTCCTAAGACAGCTTAGAAGACGCCGGCCGTGGGCTAAGGCGCACGCAGTTCTGACAAAGGCACACGCCCACTAGTCCGCAGCGGCGCCCTAGTGCCAGCGCGAGACACATGGCGGCATGCACGCTCACGCCCGCATGGGAATAAAGGCCTTGGCTGAGCGGCGCCCACGAGGCATCCCTGGCCTACGTGCAGCGTGCACAGGGCGGAGAGCAGACTCTCCAGCCGCCCCCTGTCTCGTCGTGCGACGTGTGCCGAGCCTGCCATACCGCCCACGGCGCGCACAGGGATGCATGACTCGCGAACTGGAACATGCTGTGGCATGCAGCTTCGCAGCTCGCTTTGGGAGTTGAAGGCGTAGCTGTCCGTTGTCGGCCAACGTGTAATTGTATGCGTGACGTACCGCCATGTCGTGATGAAGCTGCACGTCTTACGCTGGAGCCAGACACCAGGGCCCGCGAGGCAGAGGCATGACGCCGTCGGCAGGCCCGTCCGAGACTTTCCATGGCACCAGATGCTGGAGGACGTGGTACCGCAGCACCAGTATCGTGTGTCGTGCGCAGACTGCACCGTCCCCTCGCGTACTGCAGCAGCACCCACCCCGCTGCAGAGACAAAGACGCTCCAGGAGGACCATGGTGAGGGGTCGGCGTGCGTTCTTTGTCCCAGCTGCTGCGTTCATCTGCGCGCAATACCGGTACGGCCAGTGGAATGCGAGCCTGTGCGGTGCTCCTGGTGTTGCGAAACGCTTCCTCGCACCCAGCGCCAGACAGCTGTCCTTCTGCACCCACTGTCCAGAGCGGCCGTCTGTGCTACAGCCTCATCTCAAAGCAGCCGCTCCAGCCTCTGACACACCAGCAACGACCAAGTTCTGACTGCTGCAGCGCCGTTTGCTCAACTCTGGACACGACCCGTTTTGGCGTAACGTAGGTGGCGACCCATTCCACGCATGCAGTCAGCATCGCACACGAGCAGCCACTTTGCCAATCGCAATGCTGCCAGCTTGTGGGACGCCCTCACGACTCTGAGAGGTGCGGAGCATTGCGCTGATTCCGCAAAAACGTGGACGGCACGTTGCACCCTTGCTTCAGACACAAGCCTGGTGGTCAGCATGATCTTCGACGCTGCACATTGCTCCTTCGTGCAGGACAGCATCTGAAATCGTGAACCTGAGCGTTCGGTCCTGGCCGTGCTCACAACGTCACACCATGCCGGACGTTCCACCACCATCATGTCATGTTGCTGCCCACGCTTGTTCTGCATTCGGCAGGTACAGCAGTTGTCAGAGCGCAGCTCGCAACTCGATTTCTGGCGGTGCAAGATGTGGAGCCTCCTCTGTGGAGACACTGCCAGGTAGGTATGGTCTCTTTTTCGCTGGGATTCCGCGTTTTCCACGTGTGTAACCCCACTGCCACACGGTTACGTTGTTGGGCACTGCATACAAGACATGTCGACCAAGCAGGACCTTGGCCGGGGCTCGCCAAACCCGCCCTGCTGGACCCTTCAATGCTTCACCTGTCCATCACGCCCGTTTTCAGCACGCTCCGCGGAGCCCTGGACGTTTACACGTCGGCACCTTCGGAGGGCGATTACAATCGTTGTAAGGATCAGCGTTGAGCAAAACCCATGCTGCCCAGAGGGCAAATGTCAAAGGACTCCCTGAACACGGTGGTCGACGAGTCTCACCGGACTGAAGTCCTCTGTACACAGACTGGCGACACCGTAGGTAGAAATCTCCGAGCAGTCAGCGACACGTGCGAAGGCTTGGAAGAAAAGCACCACGCTTGTGTTTCAGAGTGTAACATTAATTCCGCTATTCTGCCGGGCGGAATGGTCTCCGAACTATTTTTGCGACATCGACTGAAGAAAACTGAGGAGCCACTTCAACGCCACTATCTGCCGCCGACGGGGGATGCCCGGCCTCACCACTCTCGCCAGCTTGCCGAACGCGCTTCCAGAACAAGTCAATAAATCAAACCGGCCATACCACGTTGGCGAGTGCCAAGTTAGAGCACTTAGTGAGCTTTGTCAGACATTGCTAATGGCGCCAAAATATCGATCTGTCTGCGTCGCATTGCCCTTGCTCATTTAGCTGTTCAAGCCTTCCAGACAATCGGATCTTTGGAACGATGCCAGACAGCAGTGTTGCGGCGAGCCTGACTGCCGAACACAGATGCCGACCGGCAGATGGGCAAGCCATGGTATGGCCGACGATGGCGGTGATCCTGAACACTCTGGGAATTGGACAGCGAGGAAACATCATCAGGTCACTTTGTCGCAGCCCTATTCAAACCGTCAGGGCGAGGATCGCCGGCAGAAAAACCACAGCCTGACGGACCGAGTCATGACGGAACCGAAGGCGCTAGGGGTACAAACACGTGGCAATCGATTCCTTCTGTCCTGCGGGCCGCTCTGCCCTGGCGTGAACCAGTCGTGCCACCCACGATGTCGCGCTTGCCTATCGTTTAGAGGAGGCTGGCATGAACGATGCAGTCCTCCCTTCGGTCGTTCAGGAGCACTACTGCACGCTGTCGCGTGGTTGACAGCGCTGCTCTTGTTTACCCGAAATACAGCGATCCATATGACGCTCACGAGCATGGCTTCGAAACTCATGCACGCCTCTTCATTTGAAGCTCGTTTCAACATGGGCTGTGCGCATCACGCCGACATTGTGCGTGTCCCTCAAAATTGCGAATCCCTTCGTCGCTCTCCACCAATATTGCCGCCCGCTATGATTGACCTTGAGTCGCGTGCTGGGTGGCGCGGCACTTGGGTCAGACCGAGACCCTCGAGTCAGGATTATCGGTGAGACTTTTGTCATCCACGAGGAGATAAGGTATCCATCAAAACCCTTGAGTGGTTGCGGGTTGGCAAAATCCTACTCGGTAGAAGTCTGTGTCTGCGGGGAGCCTTCGCGCCTTACGCCGTCTTGGACCTGGTACTGAGGCGGGCAGCCGGACGGTGCATAGTCCCGGCTAGTTCTGCAAGAGGCGGTTATCGTCAAGCCCGCGGCCAACATCGGCACTGCGCTCTCGAACGTTTTGGATTGAAGAGGCTGGAGGGTCCTCGGACCCTGTACGGATTATCGCAGTCATGGTCGGTAGTCAACCCAAGTCTCTAACGACAAGTAGTGCGAGGTGTTTACATGCCCCAAAAGAGAAAGGTATGTATGTCCACCGCCTAAGTGTTATAGCTGCGGGTCTCGTACGAGCGGCGCCTTATTCTCATCCCATTGTCGTGCAGACTTGTATAAATTTTGTCACGAGGTATTACTTCGAGGTTTGACGACGTTGTGTGACAAGAGCTGGGAATCTAGATGCGGGTGCACACGCGTATCCAAGAGTTAGTTCTGGAAAGCTTTTCGGGTTCGGGTTCAGTGTCGCTTACCTGACCAAACACGGACATCTTATATTGGGTCTTCTGTGCCATTCCGAGCGTGATCGAGCTCACCTGAGTTGCTCTCGGACGTTTTCGTGGCATGCGCGCGCACGGGAATATTTTGTTCATTACAGTGGAGGCACCCTGTGGGTCTCCAAGAGCGATCGAAGTGCAGGAGGTCAAGCTCAGTGCCCATAATGTCGCGTTGTAGCATCAGTCTTTGCTACTGGCGGGCCGAGGAGGGTGCCGGCGAGGAGAGCTACCTAGAGCTCAGATCTCCACGAGACCCTACGCGGAAGAGAGGGAATGGGTCAGTACCTATTGTGTATGTGCGTAGGGCCACCTCGGGGCTGCTTTACTCCGGGCGGTCGTGCGTGAAGCGCTATTCCCGCTGCTCAGCGTCATGGTGCGTGGCAGAGCGAGCTCGGTGCTGGTAGATGGCAACAGTACCAACGAACGGCAGGAAAGTAACAGCCACAGTAGCGAGGCTGGGAGCGCGGCGTGTCGCAGATGGAGAACGTCGTCACACGCTCCTCGTCATCGCGAAACTGACACGTCTTCCGTGACCACATCAATAACGTCTAAGCACCATATCGGCGATCCAGGCGAGAGGCCACACTGTCACACTTACCTGTTAAGTGACGGACGTGGTAAGCTGGGCTCTCCACATCGTTCTTCTCGGTCACCCTTGGCCTCCGCAAAACCTATAAGCCTATGACAGCGTCCATCTCTTTCCAGGTCGTTCCATCCTCCTCGTGGCTCACAAGGCCCAGCACCCCTGGGATTGCTGTGATATAGGAATACAGACATATTACAGCTGTCGTTGAACTGGGTCGAAAGCACGCTGTGCGCTTCATTAGCTGCCACAGTGACTACGCGTCCCCGTACGTTTGCTCGCGGGCATTACATGTACAATCTTATCATGCTTTACCAGTGCTGGAGGCTGCAAGCTGGCAACTGGGCAACAAGACCTCAGACGTAATGTCGCACCATGAATGAGTGGGTCGTAGCAGACAGCCGGCATGGGTGTCTTTGCTAGAGAAATGTCCAGGTACCTTCGTACTCTTAGTGTCAATAACAGACAAAACCACACACCTTCATGCAAGACTCTTCATAGATCATACGCGTGCAAAGCTGACGATCAACAGTCATACCTTTGTTGTGGATACTGCAATGTACTTCATCAATGATCGCATGAATACCAGCCAATACCCTCGTCGTCCCAACGTACTACAAGCGTCCAAGCACGCTCACAAACCGTTATTAGGCAGATCTAATCTCCACCGCCCGGGGTCCATACGACATTAGTACCAGTGCCCTGGCTCGTCTGTGGATACTCTGTCTCAAGGTTACATAGAACAACTACACCAAAGAACCACGCAACCACACTGGAGCTGACTGCATCGCTTTGCCCCCGCAAACTGGTCCGTGGACGTGCTCGGTGATATGCATCCGACAGGACGGATGTGTGCATGGTCTAGGCCACGCGGACGGATGTTCCCTGCAAACTTCGGTGTAATCCTGGATGACTGACCCCTCGAGAATATAGTCTGATACTTGAGGTGTCAACACCGGCAGAAAGGTGAAGGAAATGAAAGTGTGAAGTAAAGTAAGATCGCGCCGCGTAGCAGACTAATGCCTCAACGCGGACCGAACCGAGTCAAAACACTGGTAGCCGTTATGTTTGAGATCGTCATCCGCGATTCTAATATCCATTGCAGAAGCGCGATCTATGTGGACAAGGCTGCACACCTGGTAGTTGCAATGGTTGCTCAGTGTGCTCCTTCCCTGCGAAGACCCTAGTTTTGTCGCTAATTCTTCCCTCTCGACTTATCGGGACTACACCTATCTGTGTTATTCTGCCTCTATCGTGTGCATCTGCATCTCGGCCCGTGTGCCGTCCATCAAATCCTAAGTCGAGGTCTCACATGAGGCATATCAGCCTGTGCACTCCGCCAAGCAGCCGGGTGGGCTCATGGATACATGATGCAGGGTGAAGCAGCACGAATTCCGGACGAACTTAGGTACTGTAGCTTGCAAGACAACACGATCAACGGGATGTTATTCGTGAGACCCACTCTCGAGGGGTAGATCTGCAGACGACAGGAGAGCCTTACATTGTACTCCGTTTGAAGCTACGTGAGACACGGATGAATGTGTCAGAGATTGCAATGGCCATAAGAGTTAAGTCGAATACCTAGTTGGATGGTTTCTCATTCTTACAAAATTGGCGATCATATCAAGAAATACGAGTTAACACTGTTACTTCTATCCGCGCGCGGAGTTTACCGACGAGCATGGATGAACAAGGAAGGTGGTTAAAAACGTAGATCGTATCACTGATTACTATAAGATCGCATCATCCTTGTTCACCTCGCTAAAATTACCACGTTGAATAACAACTAGATGTTAGTAAGTTTGGACGCCGAGGTCGAAGTGTCGAGTAGGTACTGAGGATGTCGGCGCGGTGTTCCGTCGACTGACGCCCAAGAGACTCATGCACGTCACGCATAGGGTATCGGTCTTTTCTCTAGTGACCATCGGGCTCCTTACTCAACAATAAAAGCTGCAACGTATTCAACTCGTTGTTCACAACACCGACAGTGATACAGGCTTGTGACTGTCCTATCTAGCCTTGTTAAGTCTCTGCATGATCAGGGCAAAGACTTCTAGTACTTTCTAGCTCTGAGAACGAAACAATGATTGCAAAGTGTACTTTCGATTCCATTTGCCATGCTTGATGTCGTTTTATCAAGTTCTTCGGAGATTCGATGATCTTATGTCGTGGGTAAACAGGAGAAGCCACGTACGGTTGTAGGCTTGACTTCATGCTTCAACCAGCACCTTCTTCTCGATACTAGAACATTCAAACTCGACACTGTCGATGCTTTCTACATGAACTGTTTTATCTGCAATACATTATCGTCTGTGACTTACACCGAAGTGTGTCTTGTAACAACAACATTCAATGTATATGACAAAATTTCGCAAACAAACGTGAACGAAATTTTCCTGTGACAGCGTATAGGCTCTCACCCTTGAGGAGACGACCGAAGAAGGTATATAGCAACAGCATTCTGGTCGGTCGAGATCTATCTCTATCCTCACTTGAGGGGACATGGATTACATCACGACAAATGGTCGCCGAATACCCGTGAAGACTTCATTCCGCGATATACTCAATTTGAGCAACGTTCCAGCCGCAGCTTGAGACAATCGATACACCTTGTTCGCTATGTCGGTCAATGACTTGGTTCTAGCTTGAACGTCAAGAAGATCCGAGTGCACACAGCCAACACATAACAAGAATCAACTCCAACTGCTATCCAGACATGCAGCCACATCTACTGACATCCTATACCTATGCCTCTCTACATTGGCACTTCACAAACTGCCATCTGAAAGCCCACGCAAACTGCATCGCGAGCCCCCGATTCTGGCTCCCCGGAACAAGCTCTTCTGCACACTGCCCGTAAAGAACCGTTACAGTGACCGCGTTCGATTCGTTGACCTTAGTCGTCAGTACAGTGACTTCCTTGTACTTAGCCTCAATCTCATTCATGAAGCATGCCATAGGGAGACCTTTGACGAGGTGATAAATGTTCCCGTCGTAGTGGAATAGGGATTCGGTATCTGCATGCTCTGGGTGAGTGCTTTATCAATGCTCACAGGTGTATGGATGTTCCTACCTATAGAACAGAGGTGCCGTGGGAGTCTTTTATGCGCTATAAATGGGTTTTCTAATATCGTGCAGGGTGATAACGTGGAGCCCGGCCACTCACGGTGCTATTTCTATGTTAGTACTACAGCGCTGTGCGGACCATGGTGACAGGGGCCTGCACATTTTGACAAAGACTATACTGTAGGCGTTTGTATAGACACTGGAGAAAGATCGCAGCTTTTGCCGCACACCAGCCACGAGCACTTGAGACTTGTTCAGCTTGGATTTCAAGGTTGTGCAAACCAGGCCCGAAAGTAGACGACGGCCAGCGCGTAGGAAAGAATGTTGCAGATGTCATTCTGAATCTGCAAAGGTAGATGGAATTGGAGAGACTTCTCCGGAGAACGATATTCAGTCCTGATATATGGAGTTTGAAGTGCTCTGTAAGACATAACAGTAGCAAGACAAATCTCAGAGACATCGCACATTTGCTTCTGGTCGTGAGACTCCAGCAATGTCAACGGCAGCCCATTGAAAGACCAGGGCGGTTTTGCAAAGTCTCACAATGCCTTTCTCTTTACCGCAATACGAATACAAAGCCAGCACAAACATTGGGATGACGTCAATAGTGCAATACAGAGAGGCGAGCTCGCGTAAAATTATGATGTTGTTCAAAAATAAGCTCCGTTGGCTTGGTGTTGCAAAATTGCCAATCCACCACCTCGGCCGCTTAATTCACCCTCTATCGCACCACAACACACAAAAAGAGCCCGTATCGTCGCGAGGGCAAAAAGCAATGGACTTGCAGGGAATCGAACCCTGGACCACTCCCACGTTTTTTACAAGTCTCAACTGAGGCTGTAAGATGCTAAGGGAGTATTATACCACTAAACCACAAGCCCTTACTGATTTGATGAGGGGTATTGGATGATCAGATATTATACTCTAAAGCATTTGGAGGAATTCTGAATCCGCTGGTCGTTAGCTGTCCCCTGATTGCCGGGTGATCCGGCTTCGGCATGGTCCAGGCTTCCCAATGTAATGTCGTTCCACGACTTCTTTTGCTGCCCTCCTACAGCCAGAGCTTCGCGATGATAGTTGATCATACCTTGCCGTCTGAAGATACAAGCGTTTAGTTGTTGTTGCGGATCTGGAGGAATGATCCAATTTCAGCCGCTGTGCAGGGACCAGCTTTGACAGCTTGACAGCTCGACGCGTCTCCATCACGAATTGAAGAAGACCTGTGGTATGTGCTGTCAATCGTAGATGGATGGAAAGTACTCGATACATTCTGAACCAAAATTTGATCACAGTTTTATGTTGGCGGATCGTGAGGAAAGTTTGAACAATTGCAACGAGAGGCACTCTTCGTAAAGCACGCCAGGCGCGTAAGCACAGCCTCCCACAAGGCTGACATTGTCCTCCGCCCCCCTTTGGCTCAGCTTAATGTGCTCAGCTGAAGATTGTAGACTCGCTTTTGTTCGTTTCCAGCTTAGTTGCGGCGTGGTGCTGACAGCTGAGGACTTGTACATCTACCCCGCCGCAGTCGGCATGAGTGCGAAGAGCAACCGCGGCCGATCATTATGTCGGACACCTCTACAACCTCCGACTCTGCAACATCGTCAACGAGCATCATCAAGACTCCTCTGTTCGAAGTGCAAGGAGACAAGCCTGTGCACTATGGCATCCTTCTCTTCCCCGGATTCCAGGCGCTGGACGTCTTTGGTCCTCTTGACGTTTTCAATTCGCTCGCAATGTTGTACAACTATCCCATGAGACTCACCAACCTTGCTGCAAATCCCGGCTCGGTACCTACACACCACCCTTCAACCAGCACTCTCATTCCTGCACATTCGAATCCGATGTCGCGATTTTCTGAGAGTCTCGTTGTCGACCGCACCCTGGACGAGCAACTCAAGATCCAGGAATCGGCTCGCGATGGTGATCGGAGCGAGGAAGCTCTTGACGTACTTATTGTACCGGGCGGAGTTGGTGTGCGCGGTGATGTTACGAAAGAGATAGAATTCGTGAGAAAAATGTACCCCCGGCTGAAAGCCGTTCTGTCTATCTGTACCGGTGCAACAATCCTCGCACGAGCCGGAATCTTGGACGGACGCCGCGCCACAACAAACAAACGGGCCTATAAGTGGGCAACAAGCACGGGGCCAAACGTTGACTGGGCTGCGAAGGCTAGATGGGTGGTAGACGGAGACATCGTGACCAGCTCTGGCATCTCAGCAGGTATCGACGCATCTTACGCTTTCGTTGCATTGAATTACGGAGAAGATGTCGCAGAAAGCCTGGCGGATAGTGCAGAGTATGTTCGATGGATGGACCCAGAACACGATCCATTCAGCACAAGATGGAATCTTTCGTAGACCTGGGAATATGAGTAAGAGTTGGGCGTCACTCAAAGCATTCGTTCAAAGAGGTTGATCCCTCTAGAAAACGCTCGATGTCTCTTACCGGTTGCACATGCTAATGATAGGCATGCGCGAGGTATCAACTTCACTTACTGCCTGTATACATATACAATACAACCATGAGCCTATTGTTTGATGGACACTTGCCTACTTCACACCGCTAATCTCACTCTCTGCTCAGTATATTATCGCGGCCTTGACTTCTACTGCGACAAAGCATCAACTGCGACTAATCATCAACAACAACAACCCAATATGCAACGCCAACGCCACAGGAAGATGGCAGTAGGTGCTAGGTCCAAGTCCAAAACGCCCGACCGCTTCACTCCATTGCTCGCGGACCTTCGACGAGGTCTAGGCGATCATTGGACGTTCTATGAAGAGTGCATCGATGAGATACTCGATGCAGCCACCCAGCAGCAAGACACATCTGCATGGTTTGAACAGATGCAACACCTCGTTGAAGGAACCGAAAAAGTCCAGATCAGTCATGAAGGCATACTCTTTCTTCTCCGAGATATGGGTATCCACCCGCCAAGGCAGCAAAGCTGGGTTGAAAGTGAATGCACACGTAAGTACTATTCACCGTGTTTCTCACTGCCCAAAGAATATGTGCAAACGCCACACTCGTCCGTCACCAACGCGGTTACACATCCAGCGCGTTCGTTCTCCACCATGACTTCTCTCCCTTCCCACCAACCACCTCGACCAGAGACGCCTGCCATTGCAGACTGGCCGACGTCTCGCCTACCGAAACCTCGCACACCGACACCTCACGCCCATCAACCGCAGGTTTTCCGCGATGGGGTATTGCCGCTCGACTTCAGCGCACCTAAACAGCCTGGGCTGACTTTCCCCAAGAACTTCAGGACCTACCACTGCCCGCCCGACCAGATCACCACGACCCAAGCTCCGGCACCCAATCCACTGAGGAAGACCTCAAGCGACCCGGTGTTCTTCAGCGATCCGGCACTGAGAAAAGACGTCGCTGAGTCTTTCGGTCACGCGGTCCAGTCGAAGAATGACAAGCAGCCTGCAGGTGGCGTCAAGAAGACTGAGCGGAGGCTGCCTTACAAAGTCAACGACGATGACCTGGTGGCTTGGAACACAGGCTCAGATACTGGTGCAGATGATCGAGAGGAAAAGGTGAAGGCAAGCAGCGACTTCGTTACCAACACGTGGCCACCATGGAATCTTCGCTTTGATCTGGAGGTGTGAACCCTGGGCGTCGGAGTCTTGTCCATCCTGCACTGAATGAGCGATTATTGCCATTTTGAAGGGCTATTCACAGCAACAGAGTGCGAGCAAGTATGCCCGCTGCATTAGGCAATGCGCTTGATACCTACCCATGAATGAAATTTCACTATGAATGAGATACTATTCCATCACAGCCTGTAATAGTATTGCCGGACCGTCGGGATCTGTGCCAGGATGTTTGTGCGAATCGATGTTCTGTTACAGGTCCTTGACTACTTTCTGAACGACTTCATCAAGATCCTCCTCTTCCAGTCCTAGTAGCTCGTTCGCAAAGGCCTCCCGCTTCTTCCAGTCCGCCGCAACAACACCCCAGATTGCAACTACCTCTTCGCGTGCATCGTGATCTCCTTCAAGCATCTTGGGCCTGACTATCTTCAACTGCGCTTCGCTGTCCTCTTCGATTCGCTCGAACTTGTCACCCGTGGCTTTCTCTAGCGCTGAGAGCACCTCTAACTGTGTGATGTAGAGGCTGTGGATATACAGCAGCTTGTTTTCCGTCTCTTGTGGTTTTTCCAAGATCTTGACAACGGCACTGCCAATGAAAGGCAGCGTTGATGCGGAGAATTTGATGTTACCGCCATCAAGCAAGTATGCCTTGCGCCCTCTGACATCGAACTTCAACAATCCGTTGCCCAGACCCCAGTCGAAGAAGTGCGCGTTGATGAGACTCGTCCATGTCAGCTTTCCTCTCTTGCCATCTCGTTCCTTCTTTTCTAGCTCAACGAGGTAGTCGCGAATGCCCTTCTTACCCTTCATCAAGGGCAGGATTTCATTCGTCTTGTCGTCAGCCGAGTCACAGCTGCCGAAATCGGCTGGTAACACCCTTTTCACGCCGCCTTTGAAAGCAGCATCAATTAGCTTTTTTTGCTGCTCGACATGACTTCCGGCGATGGCAATGACGAGTGCATCGATCTCCTTCTCCTGGAACTCTCTGGCCACTGCATCTACGTCGAGATCATCTGGAACTGTGAGGACCTGCGTCCTGGGGTATACGGATTTCGAGGTTTGGCGGTTGATGACCCAGACGTTGAATTCGGACTTCTTCAGCGCCTCTAGGACGGGCGAGCCCAATGTACCATTACCGCCAATAATGGCGACATTTTGTATGTTCGACATCTTGCTTGCGGTCCTTGTGTTAAAATATGGTCTGGAAATGACAATTGGTATCTTGACACTTGGAAGTAGCTCTGTAGACAAGGTTGATCGTTAAATAGCGATGACGTTAGAGTTGGCTATAAAGACGTGCGCTTATGTACGGTGCCCGCTCGACGGTTCGGAGTGTTCACTTGCTTTGATGATGCTTATTCCGCAGTTGCTCCGATCGCCTTTCATTCGTCCTGGGATTACAGATACATCTTACCAATCGCTGTTATTTACAGCTTCATCCCATTTTATCCCACAACGCAAGTTGAGTTGTAAGTATCCATAATGTGGCTTCACACAAGTACCTCGGAGACGTCTCGATTCGCACTCCTATTCCACGAACGTCAGCGCCATGCGACGTTCTCATGTGCGGTAAGTCGACCTAATTAAATGCTTTCCTGTGCAAACGCGCTCTTGCGCCAGGTGGCACGACGCACGTACGGGTCGCACAAACCGTAGTACCGCTGCATATCGCACTTTGCAAGTGTTTGAGGACGACCATACCCAGATGTAAATCTATCAACGCGGCATTTCGATTTCTGGTGATCGAAATTGAGCTGATGAGCCCTGCTGTTTCTTTCTCACACCGTGGCGTGACCAATGATCGAACCACCGTATCGTAAGACACCACACCACTTGAACATGCGGCAATGTCCCCACGCAACATGGATATCTCGTCCAAAGAAGATAGTGTGTATTATAAAGATACTGAGCTTGACTGGCCGAAAAGACTGCATACAATTCTATCGACGCCGTTTCCATTCTCACAAACGTGCAACAACTTTATACAACGAAACGCGGAGCGATTATACCAAGCTCCCACTTGCATCAACGCCAATTACCCAATATGGCTCCCTTAGAGCGCCGACCAATGCAGCACATTGACCGCCGGGACTTGTACACCAATCTGGAAACGCGAGTGCAATATTTGCAATCATTCCTCGACTTCAGCTCACGTACGTGCTGTTGCAACACCCACACAGATTTTTGTCGCTGATATTGACAGGCGACATTGAGAACCTTACAACTGGAGCCAAATACATTAGAGCACTCATACCGGCTGTAGTCAACATTGTCTACAAGAAGCTGTTGCAATATGACATTACCGCACGAGCATTTGAGACACGATCGACATCATATGAGGGACCTGTCGACCTCAATCTCAGTGAAAACTCGCCTCAGATTATGCACCGCAAACTATTCCTCCGAGGGTATCTCAACAAGTTGTGCAGCGATCCTTCGAAGATGGAGTTTTGGGAGTACCTTGACAAGGTCGGTATGATGCACGTAGGACAAGGACGCGCCCATCCATTGCACGTGGAATATGTGCACATCGGTGCCACACTATCGTTTGTTCAAGATATCTTGACTGAGGCCATCCTATCACATCCCAAGATGAGGATGGAACGCAAAATTGGGCTGGTCAAGGCACTTTCCAAGGTCATCTGGATCCAGAACGACCTGTTCGCAAAATGGTACGTCCGCGATGGCGATGAGTTCACCCACGATGCGCTTGTTCCAGAGATCGAGCCAGAAGGGTACCTGCACGGAAAGAAGATTTTGCACGACGGAAGTGAGAGCGAGAGCGAAATTGAAGATGCGGCCATGGCAGCTGGATCATGTCCGTTCAAAGATCTGGCAACATCACCACGCGGCAGCGGCTCTTTGCGGCAGAGCATGGCAAGGGCGAGCTTGGACGAGTCCCCACAGAAAGATGGCGCTGGTTCGCCGGAAGCCGAAAACATCCGACCTGCTCCAGCATCACCAAACGGGGGGATATGTCCTATGAGTGGGATACCGCAAGCGGTGAGCGACGCATAGGCGTCCGGTGAACGGCATTTGCTCAATGAAGAGTGGAGAATGCAGATGGCATAATTATCTGTTTCTAGGCCAGGCTTTCTGGGGGAGCATGTAAACCTTTTCCGTTCCTCACGCATTTGCCAGGATCCTGGTCTTCAAGGTGCTCATCGTCATGATCGCCCGCGATCGCGGCCGTGCAAGGACAGGAGCTGGCGCGAGGCACGTTGTAGGCTAGTCACCACTACTTTGATAGAATCCGTACCTGCATCCAGGTCTGCGGTGCGTGTTGTGTGCTCACATGATGAAATTAAAATTGCGCCTCACTGCAAACCCCACCCGTCGAAGCCGTGATTTGCGATGTGGAAGTCCGGAGGCGATCTATCGTTTCGCGAAATCACGGAGAGGGTCGTGGACTCCGGATAGACTCTGGGTGGACGATACCGGACGCCTACCCGGATGCCGCGGCCTAGTTTCGGAGACATGCAATGCAGCACGCCTTGAGGCTCGTCGCTGCGTGGCGGTGGACAGCTTCACGCTCACCGACTGACTGCAGTTGCTTGGGCGACCATTCCAGCCCTGCATGCGCATATAGTAGTGCCCCGCATAACGGCAAGGTCGATCCTTTTGTATGGCCATGAGACAGCGTGGTGTTGAGTTGTTTCAGCGTGGCTGATGGCATGTGGAGCCGGCAGCGCAGAAAGCAGCAGAACGATGGTGGCGCTTGGCTGTTCGATTATCGACAACTCGCGCAAGCTGGCGGCGCCCACGACGAGGACGCGGCCCACCCCGCCAAAATTGATTGTGACGCGCGCAGAGTGTTTGAGAGTGAGCGCGCCTGGGATCTGGCAGCGCCGGTCAGACCGGGCCACCGCGGAGTCGATGCGAGCCGTCACGCTGAGACAGTTGCTGCCAGCAAACGTTGGACAAGTCAGCCAAACCTAGTGATGCGCCCCAGAGCCAAGAGGCCCACAATGATGTATGCCCATGGACAGCCCAAACCTTCGTACGACTCACTGGCGGCGAGCGGCTGCTGCGAGCGCACGCCCGCGTTCACGCGCACCACGAGCGCTGCAGGCTGCTCGGTCGCCCGGGCAAACAGTAAGCTATGGGAAATTCGCTCATGATGTATTGCTTTGCCAACAGCCAAGCGGCATTCCGTGGTAGGAAATGTATGACACGAAGCCAATCGCAGCCGATCAGGAGAAGACACTCGCAGGGGTGCCTCTGGAGTGGCTGCGCTTCGGGCCTAGGCTGCGTTTCTAGCGTGCAGTTCCATGGCAGAGCAGCCCCCCAACTTCGCGTCTCTTAACTTTTGGTCGCCATCATCACAAACACCATCTCCCCTCACCACCCTCCCCTCCCACCACTACCACTTTGAACGGATTCTTGTAGCGCTGCAAGGCTGCTGCACGCCCGTCTCTCCAGGATCACGATCTGTTCGCCCAGTATTCGGATCTCGCAGTGTTGATTTTCCCGTCCACCGGCCGATCTTCGCCCTTGCACAACACGTCACCCCAACAGCTTTGCTGCCTGTTGTTCCACTTCTTGCATTCTCTCACCGCGCCTTCTTGATACCCAGTACACCTTCTAATATTGCGCACTTTCCACCACTTTCTTTCTCGACTGCGCACTTCACTGTCGCGCTTGCCACGACCTTCAACGGCGTGACTGCTTCTTGGACTTGAATGCGCCTGACCATCCCCGCAACAGATGAGCGTTGTTGTCTCTAGGCTTCCACTTCTTCACTCTCAATGCAGTCCATGTTCCGCCTCCCATGGAGTACGGAGTCGCCTGGCGACAGAATCATGGAGAAGGCTACGCTGCACAAGTCAAGACAGATGCCGGTCGTTGAAATCCCAGCTTTCAACATGAACCAAATCAAGCGCAAGGCGACTGACAGTCCCGAGCCGGCATCAACGCAGCATGCGCACGCAGTGAAGAAGTGGAAAGACGCCCAAGGCGAGCTGAAGCCCGTGGTGGCGAGCCGTAGTATGGACGGTGGCGCAACTGAGTCTCCGCGATCGGAAGATGCGCAGAGCGTGCCTCAGGCAGCTTCTGCGGATATTCTGGACTCGCGACCAAAAGCACCGCTACCACGGAAGGACAGCGTAATGAAGGCCAGGACATCGAAGCCCCAGAAAGTCAATGTGAAATCTGAAACTGTCAACACTCCTGAGACTTCGACGACATCAAACTTGACCGCTGTACAACAAGCGATCGAGGCGCAAATCAGCTACGAAATTCTTCTGAAGCATAACGAGCTTCGTCTGATTGAGCAGGAGTTGGCCAAATGTCAGGTTTCGCTGGAGCAGCTGCGCCGATGCTCGATGATTCCGTTCCCAGGCACTGAAGGTCTCTTTGACGACCTCAGCCGTGGTGTTGGCGCTGCTCTGCAGCCGCCTGCCGGCTACACAGAGCCTCAGAACGCTGCGCCTTGGGGAGTCACCGATGGTCCATACACTCGTCATTACGCCAAGTGGTTGATCTCGGACATGCAGTTTGACCCTGTGTCTGAACGTGCGCTCGCTCAGCAGCAGAGCTACTTCGGAATTGGTGAAGGCAGGGCGACGCGTGGCAGTTTCGGTGACTTTGGTCATGGAAACAGGGGCCGCACGTCACGAACTTCGACTGGAATGTTGAAGCTCCCGCCGCTCGGTGAAAATCCAGCACCAGTTCCAAAGATTGATCCTCTGCTGCACAAGCGATCCACCGACGGTCAGTGGGTCCGACTTTACTGCGCTCAATGCGGTCACAGCAACTTCTCCAACACGCAAGGTTTCCTCAATCACTGCCGTATCAAGCACAGCCTTGTCTTCAAGAGCCACGACCAGGCAGCCATCGCCTGCGGTGTTCCGGTGGACATCAACGAGGCTGGCCAACCGGTCACGGCTACTGAGCCCGTCAGCACGCCAGCCTTGGCACCTGCAGTGTCGTTCTCCATGCCCGCTACACCTGGCATTGTGAACCCTCTTGCAGCGCAATCCACCCTGACTGCGCAGGCCAAGAACGTCCATCGTGATTTCAACGCTTCCCCACGGGAGGAGTCGAAGCCTGTCTCTGCCAACTTTACCGGCTCGCCATCAACGCCGCATCTGAGTGCTTTGGCTCAAAAGCGCGGGTTTGAGGGCAACCTGAAGGAGCTTGTCACCACTGCTCGATCGAAGGTTGACCTTGACGCGATGGAGCACTCAGATGACGATCTCGCGGACACCACTGCGGCTCCGACCCCAGTCAATGCCAACCCGCCTCAGCTAGCGCGCCTTCCCGCTAGCGCCCCCAACAAAGCGCCTGCAAGCAAGGCTCCCTTGGCACGACCAGGCAGTAGGAAGGGCAATCAAGCCAGCCACGCCCGACTTCCGTTCTCGTTGCCGTCCCCCGTCAAGTCAGAGTGTGACGAGCACATGCCAGACTCGCCGTTGGACCTCAGCCCTCACACCGTTGACTCCAACCCTGGTCTCGTGAGCGATCACGATGACGATGATGACGATGACGAGGACGCGCACAGCCAGCCTGACTTTATGCTTCACGACGACGTCGTTGTTGAAGATGCGAGCGACGTGGAAGGCTCGCACGAGCGCGCAAGCTCTCGCCATGGGCTGGACAGCTGCTGCGACAAGGGAGAGATGAGCCACAAGCATTAGGCAGCGAGCGGGTTAAGTCCAGCTCCCTGTCGCTTTCAGACATGATTGATGCTTATGGTTTGCAGTTCTGCCTCTCCTTCTCGCCTTTCTTGCTTTTAGAATTTACGCCTTTTTCTCACCGTCGACAGTTGTCGGCGGCTATACATGATACCAACCTTTAGTTGGCAGTTTGCCAGCGGACTCTCTCAAGCTTCTCAACAGCTTGCGCGCGTCTGCTTCTCCTCTTGCGCTGTTTTTTTCCTTCATCGATACCCCGGCTCGATGATTCTCCAAAATCTACCGGTCAGAAAAACTCTCAACTCTCATGTGCGCCTGAACGAAAGGGAAGGTGTTCTCTAGGCGCTGGATCACGTCTGTGTATTATCATCACCTGTATGAATTGGTATAGGATGGGTCTATGTCTGGCAGAGGGATGCCCTCGTTTGAAAAGGTGCCGGTACACTTTTTGTACCATCAACGTCTGATCTGAAAAGCTCAGAAACAAAATTTGGCGAGCAAGCGTGCTCGTTATTGTATATACCACATCTTTAATGCTAGCGATGACACAAATATTCAAACATGATTATCTCCATCATAGCCACCTGACATGCGTGGTGCCGTCGTACATTCATCACATGCAGTCAAACCTGACGAGGACATCGCTCGCCTGGAGTCTTTCCTGCGCCTGCTTGCTCACATGTCGCAGCTCGAGTGACCTCAGTCTCTAGGGCTCGCCACCGTTGCACCGCGCCCGCGCCTGCCCTTACCGAATTGATTGGTAGCTCATGCATAATCGTCGTCGTAGTCCTCAATGCTAATCAACGCTCATCCCATGAACGTTAGCCCCTGCAATATGTCAGCATCCGCCTGTCTGTCGGGCATTCCGTGCTCGTCTTTTCGCGTTCATGGCATGTCCTGTATCTGCCCGAAGCATTCTACGTCTTACTTCGTCCTATCCTCCGCTATACGCACACAAGAAATCCAGGACTTACCGCCATGATCACGCACGCCAAACTGACATACGGGCTCAGCCTCTCACCCACTCTCGCGGCCTTCCATATGGGGCTGACAAAGTAGTTCTCCTTGTTGCGGTCGATTATGCCGGGAAACACGTAGTGCGCGTATGTAGCGGTACAAATTGTGAGGAGGATGACGAGGAGGAGGGACTGGAAGTTGAACAGCGCTGTCTGATGGACATTAGCTCAGCGTCTTGCGGGAGGACAAGGGAAAGCGCAGTACCATCTTGACTGAGGACCTTGAGGCGCGTTGTTTATGGAGCTACTGCGATGTCGTTTCCGGGAAACCAAAGTACTGCACTTGTGTCGGCACCGAGGGTGTCAAGTGAACAGTTGTCGTCGTTGGGAGTGATGTCTAGTGGGGACACATGCGCCGGGGTTCTTGGCCAGTGCGTGCATGCATGGATCGTCATCATTCACGACCGCGTTCTTGCGCGCGAACACTACACATCAACAGTCTGAAGCAGAACATACGACGCTTGAACGTCTTGGTGTATCGCTATTAATACACGGCTGTATGACTAGGTAAACAACTCCATCGCTTACACTCATGAGCAAACACCAAGATCGGGCGCAACCACAGCTACAGCTACTGTGCAACACACGCACAACGCTAACTCACGTAGAGGCAGAAGTTGCGTTGAACCAGTGTATTACGCAGAAGAGAGCGAAGGCAACGCCTCTCACACAAGCACATCATGACGGAGGTGCGCATGCGTCTGCGCCAGAAGGGACAGCAGTTTCCCACGCAAGACTGTAAGTGATTCACGTCTCACTTCACCACCAGTCGCGACTTCCTCTTCGCCTTAAGCTTGGTCTGCCATACCCTCAATCAACTCTGCCTTCCAACGCCCAACGAACGAGACCCCACAGTTTCACTTTCTAATAGACGCCAATGCCACCACCAATCCTTCCTCGCGTGCCCCTCCCCCGGCACGTCAAGAAACATCGAACACTCCTTGACCGTCCCTTAGTAGAAGCCTTCCTCCTCGCTTTCGGCGACAACGACTACCCGCTCCCAGAAACCGTGCGCGTGCTGGACGAAATCGTCACAGATTACATTATCGAGTCATGCCACGAAGCTGCGGCCGTCGCACACCACGCCCGGCGCGCAAAGATCAAGCTCGACGACTTCAAATTCATGCTGCGCCGCGACACGGGCAAGCTGGGCAGGGTCAGCGAGATGCTGGAGACGGACAAGGAGCTCAAGCGCAAGCGGAAGGCGTTCGATACGGATGAGGGCGCGGTGCTGCAGAAAGGTGATCCGAAGGAGGATGAGGAGGTGCCTGTGAAGAAGGGGAAGGGGGACGACGAGGGTGAGAGGAAGAAAAAGAAGAAAAAGAAGGTGAAGAAGGAGAAGGAGAAGTTTGCGGATGACGAGAGCGTGATCTAGGCCGGTGTGGTGCTTTTCGATCATTGAAATGTCGAGACTTTGACAGGAGGCCGGCGTGGAACGGGATCTGCCACCGTTGCATCATCCAGCTTCACGGACATTCGACCTCTCGAGCTCGTCCAAAACACCACGACAGAGCAGCTCATTCCAACCATCACCAAAAAGAGCCGGCACTCACAGCAGCCCACCCGCCCAACGAATCACCTTGATAGGGACATAGACACATGCATCGCGACGGCGTTCACAGGCTTAAGATACCAACATCAAAATGCGCAATGGAGGCGCACATGAATATGAAAATAGTACTCCAAATTCCGTTCTACAAGACTCGGCCGTGTCTCATTGACGTAGCAAAAATCCGACTTCTCCCTTGGCCCATACATACAAGAGCCCAGCGTGTTGGACTCTCGTACGCACCGTACGCTTCGGCGGAGAGCCGAGGAAAGCCGCAGCCACCTGAGACTGTGGAGACGCAGGACAGTACTGGCAAGCCCACTCCAGTGCGAAGATCGTGCAGTCTCGTTAATTATAGCAACAATCGATTCATTATCGTTGATATTCGCGCTGTTCTGACACGTCATTTCGGAAGACGCGCTTGTGGAGTTTCGTCTAGATACAGAAGCTTCACGCGTTGCTATTTCTAGTGAGACACTCATTTTGCTCATCCTTGAGAGTGCTGTATTGAGAGTGCTGGTGGCTGGCTGCTGCTAGGGATGCTAGTGCGATCAGCTCAGACTGCGAGTTTGCACATGCCGTACGAGACGGTGGTTTGAAGGTTGAATGGTGTTTCATTGTTGAGCTTTGCGCTCATATGCTCAAGCGCATGCTCATGCTCCACAGGCCTGCGATAATCATACACGGCCTCAGATGACTCCAGGCAATGCGTGCTTTTTACGAGCGAACAGCTCGCGCGTACTATTCGACATCATGCAGCATCTCCACACCACCACTCGCGCCCTCGAGTGGCGCTTCCTGCCCCGCCTCGTTCTTTTCCGTGCCCTGGTGTTGCCGCTTCTAACGTCTTTGAGCAACACGACACTCGCACGTTAGCCAAAACGCCAGACCCAAGCTCTTAAGAATGCATCATAAATCATGTTCAGGCCTCCTGTTGCCTTTGCTGCCTGCCCTTGCCGCCGTCCCTTCCGCCCCTGCCGCCCTGTTTCCTGTCGCCGCCCTCCTTCTGGTTGTCGCCAGCAAGCGCGTCGCCGCCACCGAGAGTAAGCGCTGCGGTTGCCAGACGGTTCGAGAGATCGATCTGGGTGCGGATGGTGTTGGCGAGGTAGGAGACGACGAGGACATCCTGGATGTGTGCGTTGCTGGGGATTGTAAGTATCAGGTGTAAATGAGGTTCGTGGGTGGACATACAAGTCACGCTCAATATCAGCAGCGTCGACCTTGGGTGCCAGGCTGAGGGCGTTCATCAAGAACTGGCCCAGCGCAGACGAAGGCTCTGCCTCCTCGTCGAGAACGTTGTTAACGTAGTTTGAGACGCGCTCGAGCATGTCCAGGACGTGCTTGATGGCAATCTCCAGCTGGTCGAGGTCGGTTCCAATCTCCTGTATCCTGTCCTCGCGGTTCTTGGCGCCGGAGACAAGCTCCAGGCCAGACTTCTCGGCCTCGCCGTACTTGATCTCGTGGGGCACGGGAATGAACAGGCACGAGTCGGCGGCGCGCTCAGCAGTGACACCAATGGGGGCGGAGATGTATGTCCGCGACTCGATCTCCTTGCCGGGCTCTGTGGAGACAGTCAGGTGGACTGCGGGGTGGGGCCATGTGCCGTCGCCTTGCTGGCTGTAGAAGTTCTGGATGAGGGCGGAGAAGGTGTTCAGGTCGCTGCTGGTGGCGTACCAGCCGACGAGGACCTCGCGGGGGTTGGCGCGGAGGTGCAGGGCGAGCATCTGCTTCTGGTAGTCCATGTCGACCTCGACCTGCTCGGCCGTCTCGGTGTGGGGGACGGCATAGCAGTTGCGGATCTCGATCTCCGTGCCGTCTTCGCTGCGGGTGCCCAGCAGCGTGCCGATGACGCGCTCCTGGTCGGCGGGGCGGCGCAGGGAGTGGTCGAGAATGGAGAAGATGGCCTGGTCACGTTATCAGCGCTGCTCAGGCGCAGGCAGAGGTATGCGCACCTGGGGCTGGACGACGACGTTCAGCGGGGCCGTCGAGGGCTGCGCGCCGACGGGGGCAGGGCCGAGCGGGCGGGCGAGGTGGAGGAAGGAGTCGTTCTCGGACATGATGGCGGAAGGTGCGCTGGGCGGTGCCGTGGGTTATGCGAGGCCGTCGGGAGCGTTGAGGGCGTGTTGGTGGTGGGGCAGAAATTGTATTGTTCCTGCCAGGTGCGGCGGTCTCGCTAGCACGGACGCTAATATTTATTTTCTGGAGGAGCACTGCATGCCGGCAACAACTAAGACTAAACTTCCCTGGATTTTCGAGGTTCGCTGGCTGATTTTCACTCGGAGAAGGGGCCGCATAGTTTGAATTGACAGCGCCACGCTGTGACAGACGCCCGTTCAAGCACAATCAAAGCAGCGACCAGCAACATGGCTTTCTCAAGAGGGCGCGGTGGCGCGCGCGGTGGTTCCCGTGGAGGCTCTCGCGGAGGTTCTCGTGGAGGATTCCGTGGAGGTGCTCGCGGGGGTGCTCGTGGAGGTTTCCGCGGCAGCGACAGAGGGGGCAGCAGGGGAAGGGGGGGCGCCAGGGGCCGAGGAAGGGGCGGTGAAAGTGGTGGCTACGGCGGCGCAAGAATACGGAGCCCAGACGGCGAGGCGTGAGTACGGCAACGAGCTGGACGCCGCGCACAGCATTCGCTGACTGGAGCAGAGAGGCCGAAAGGATACCGTCGCCCGAACCAGAAGACACCGAATCAGAGCCATCTGACGAGCCTGGAGACGACGAGGAAGACGACGAGGACGCGGAACCCGTTTCGAACGCCTACTCCGCCCTGCTACAGTCTCTCGCCGCCATGCAGCCCCAGGACCGACCGAGCAAGAAGCGCAAGGCGCAGAGCGAGGAGGACCCATCTGCCGCGCAAGGATCCAAGCGGCGGGCACAGCAGTCAGATCTGAGCGCGGCTGCAGACAAGGCGCCAGACGACTCCGCAGAGGAAGAGGGCGATGAACTGGCAGACGACGACGAGGTCGAGGAGGAAGTCGAGGAGGAAGACACCCCGCTCGACAGCGAGGCGAACAACCCCTTCTTCGACAAACACTTCGGCAGCCCGGACGAGAATGAGCTCACCAAACGGCTAAAGAGGATAGCAGCGAATGAGTGGTCGACCAAGAAGCTAGACGCAGGCCTGACGAAAGCTGGCAATTTGTGGAAAGCTCAGAAGCAGAGCCACACCGACACTGGGAAAGGCGTCTTACAAGTTCCTAGCCCTGATGAGAAGGCGCTAGAACGACCCAGGTTCAAGAGCACGCGCAATATTGGCCTGAAGTCAAAGTTGGTCGAGAACGCGCAGAAGGAGATTGGCGACTTCAACGACCTGGAGCAGACGATTGCGCCGTCCCTCTTCAGCTACCAGGATATATTGTTTGGCGCACGTACGGTGCAGAACGCCGGCCGACTCCGAGACCTCACCTGCTTGCATGCCCTCAATCACATCCTGATGACACGAGACCGTGTAATAAAGAACAATGCAAAGCTGGCGGCTGCGAAAGAGGATGAGGACGTTGAGTACCGCGACCAAGGCTTCACGCGACCGAAAGTCCTGTTCCTTCTTGAGACAAAGCAAGCTTGCGTACGCGTGCTGGATTCAATTACTAAGTTGCACACGTTCGAGCAACAGGAGAACAAGAAGCGCTTCCTGGACAGCTTCTCACAGCCAGAGGACAAGTTCTCAGACGATCGGCCAGAGGATTTCAAGGAACTCTTCGAGGGCAACGATGAGAACGAGTTCCGTGTGGGCGTCAAGTTGACGCGGAAGACACTGAAGCTGTACTCAACCTTCTACAACTCAGACATCATCTTTGCGTCAGCGTTGGGTCTACGACGAGCCATCGAGACTGGCGACAAGAAGAAGCGAGGGGACTACGACTTCCTCTCGTCTATTGAGATGGTGATCATGGACCAAGCTGATGCAACACTGATGCAGAACTTCGAGCACGCCGAATTCGTCTTTGATCATCTGAACCTCCAACCCAAGGATCCTCACGGCTGCGACTTCTCTCGCGTCCGTTCGTGGTACCTCGATGGACACGCTCCTAATATTCGCCAAACCATCGTCTTCTCTGCCTTCCTTACGCCCAAGATCAACTCCCTTTATTACAAGCACATGCAGAACGTTGCCGGTCGCTTGCGCTACACGCCAGACTACACATCGGGTCTGATTGAGTCGCTCTCGTACGGCGTTAAGCAAACGTTCTTGCGCTTCGATTCGCCCTCGCACCTGACGGACCCTGACGCCCGCTTCAAGTACTTTCACTCTTCGATCTTGCCCTCCATTAGCCGTCTGCCCAAGCCTGCAAGCGGCGGCGTTGGCGTGGTCGTTTTCATCCCTTCCTACCTCGACTTCGTCCGCGTCCGCAACTCCCTTGTCGACTCGGACTTCAGCTACGGTCTGATCCAAGAATACACCGATGCCACCGACGTCCGCAAGGCACGGTCCCACTTCATGAGCGGAAAACACTCGCTGCTTCTCTACACCGGCCGTGCACACCACTTCCACCGCTACCAGATCCGCGGCGTGAAGCGCGTGGTGTTCTACGGCGTACCTGAGAACCCAAAGTTCTACGACGAGATTGTCGGGTTCATCGGAAAGAGCGTTGAGCGTGGCGAGATCAGCAGGCAGGAAGCGAGTGTGCGAGTGGCGTTCAGCAAGTGGGAGAGGCTGGAACTCGAGAGGATTGTAGGCACGAAGCGCGTTGGAAAGATGATCGCTGACCGAGGCGATGTATTTGACTTTGTATAAACATTCTTGCATATAATATTTGGGTATAGACGGTCGGCATTGCATTGGTGGGCGTACTATAGACATAACACTGCTCTCAACAGTAGCGAAGCTCCTTCCTCATCCTCTCACAACACATCCTCAAACTCCTCATCTAATGGCAAATCAGCACCCTTGCTGATCATCTCGGAAAACTCATCAGCGCCGCCATCCGCCCAGTGATTCCCGCGAAACAGTCCAGCCGACGGCCCAACACTATCATAGTAAGCACTCATACGCCCCGCCGCCCACCGCGACACCGGTTCATCCCACCTAAAGTCCTCGATCGCTTGCAGACCATTCTCCCAGCGCTGGTCCTCAGACAACAAAGCAGACTCCGACACAAACGCCCTGAATGCCTCCTCCCCATCACGGTCTGGCGCCGGCGCTGCGCCTTGCTCACTCGCACTTACCTCCGGCACAGACACAGACACAGACGTGGATGGCGACGCAGAATCAATAGACGCTTCCCAGGCAGGATCCTGCATAGGGGCTGCTGCGCCTTGCGTACTCACATGTACCTCTGACACAGCGCTCTCTTGACGCTGTAGCAGCAGCGCTGAGGGCCCAGGATGCGCTTCCACATGGTATGCCGCGGAAACTATGGGTTCGGTGAGTACCGATGTTGTAGGTGTGGGTAGTGCCGCAGGCTGCACGGCTGCTACGTTGGTGAGAGTCGGACCGTCGGACGGTGACGCAGGCTGGTGCGGGTCTGTTGACTCCTGGTCTAGCGTGGGAGTTCGGTAGAGCTCAATGGATTGATTTGGCTTGGGCGACGGAATGGGGCTGGGGCGGGGTGTGGTGACATTTGGAGATTTGGAGTGAGTTGGTGGAGATGCAGAGGGAGACCGCACGACTGGTGGTGGCGAAGGGTAGAGTAATGCTGTCGGACTCGATTTAGTAAGCGTATTTGGTTCTAGGGTTGGAGAGGATGGGGCAGCGATGGGTGGTGTGGTGCTGTTTGAATACCCGGTGTGAGATGTTGGGGACGCAGATGGAGACTGCAGGTCTGAGCCAAACATGGTCGTTGGCGAGGAGGCGAGCGATACCGGTGCACTCGGTATAGAACTCGCGTCTGACTTGGGTATCAGAGGAGACCGGACGGCTCCGGTTTGCGGTGTGGTGTTATTTGGAGATGCGGTATGAGATAGTGGAGGGGACCGTATGCCTGAGTCGAGAATCAGCGCCGCTGGAGGCGAGACCTGGTCCGGCAAACCCAGCGCAGTAGTCGTGTCTGGCTGTAAATGTTGTTCAGCCTTTGCCTTCTTGGATATCGGTGCAGACAGCGCTGCACTCTCAGCCGGAATCCGCTTGCGCTTCTTGTTTTCTTTCTCTGCATCAACAACGCGCTCCCTGACAATCGGGAACTTCACCGGCTGATACCCCTCGTGCACATCACTCTCAATCTCCGCGTTCATTTCACGCGCAAATGCATTGTGCATCGCTGCAATCTTTGGAAAGGTATCAACGAACTTTGCCATCGCCGCCGCAGACTCCCGTGCGCATGCCTTCGAACACATGAGATCGCGGTAGTATTCGTTGTAGATCGAGCGTGCTGTGGATGGAAGCTGTCTGAGAAGCGTTTGTAGAAGGCGCTGGGCGGACTTAGGCAGGTAGTAGCTGAAGCCTTTAGAGGCGGCGATGGCGTACATTGTCAACTTTCCGGGATCGACTTCTCGGGAAGAAGTCATGTTGAGCGAATTGGAAAGGTTGGAAGTGTTTGTTAAGTTGTGATGGGTGGTGTTAGGCCCTGTCAAATATCAAGAGACGAAAGTAGGATACAGGGAACCAGTGAAAACGTCTTCCATATTATTGTCTCGTCTTGGTTGCCTCAGGGTCTACTTCTGAAACGTTGAGCTTGTAAGTGAACGTGAAGTGTCATTCACTTTGCGGGTTCCTTCACAACTGCTAGTACAGCAATTTCGCACATCGGTTATAGAATGAAGAACCATAGATTATGAGATCTTTGTTAGTGTGAACCTTCGTACTGACGCATCCCGGATAGAACACATACGCTTCCTGCAAGCTCGTTGACTGATCCACAGCCTCATAACTCTTCCAATTTCTCCACACTTCTTTGCCGATCGAGGACAACTCTGACCATTCTCCCCTTGTCTTGGAAGAGACCCTGCCTTAGGGTATCCAAATAGACCTCATAACTCGGCATGTATCCGTCGATGAAGTATCTGACTTGCTCATCTGACATGCCTGAACCTTTTGCCGCGATCATTTTGTGTTCCTGTTCCAAGCGCCAGGTGTACACGTTGTGCAGATCAGAAGTGTCTATGTGAACGAAGAGATCAAAGTGAGTAGGGCCCATAAACGCATCGCAATATCTCTTGAGATTGTCGTTTATCTCCAGTAGATGTGATATCTGATGTTGCGCGGGCGTGTTGATGGGCAGCTTTCCAGCAAGCGCTAGTGAGTGTTTCTCCTCAACCGCAGGAGCTGGGAGAGGCTGAAAGCCGACGCACCAGCCTTCGAATACCACAACATCAGGCTTTCGCGAGACCGAGTGCCATTCTGATTCAGGCGCTCGATCGCCCTCGCCGTTGAACTGGCTCTTGTCGAAACTTGGGATCTTGAGCTCGGCGTCTCCGCTGTACGCTTCCAGCTGCTTGAAAAACTGCGCGGCCAATCGCTCATCATGGGTTCCTGGTTGACCACGCACACGATACAGCTTATTTTCGGGATCTTGGTCTCTTTGCGACACTAGGCCATCGTGTGTCTTATAGAAGTCGTCCAGAGACACGGTGACAGTGTACAATTGGTGTTCAGACGTAAGGATCTCCACTATCTTGCCAGCCCAGGTAGATTTGCCTGACCCTTGCAATCCCGTGATCCCGAGGACTATCGGTTTAGAGGAGCTTTCGTGTTGCTTCTGAATCTTGGGTAGCAGCACATCGAGCGCCTGTCTGATATTGGACTCAAGTGTGGACATTGCGGGGTACAGCCTCTGGATTGAGCGTAGGGACAGTAGGGTTGGTCTTCAATAACGCGTTATAAAAGCTGCTCCTTTGGGTCGGGATTACATTCTTTTTGTAAGTACCAACGTATGAAGCTCTGAGGTATAAAGCCCGGAGTGTGTTTCCGGAGGAAGAAAGCCCGCCCAGGCGTCGGCTTGGCTCGGTCTTCTCCCCGCATCCCAAAATAGGAATCACGATCGAGTCAGTCTCACATAAGAATTCTGTGGAGTCTAATGCGACCGGATATGCAAGCAACTCAGGTAATTGCACCTAATGCAGTACTTCTAAGGCGTCGCGAGGACGGAAGAAGCACGTGTGGAGAGAATCACGGATCGCCTGGTTTGTTGCCGGGATGGAGCTTATCTCCGAGCACGCAACTGCGACCCGCTTTGACTGATGGCTCCTGAAGTTGTCACGAAAGCTTCTTGACATTTCCTACATCTGCCTTCCAACACAAAGCTCCCGATGAAACAGGCAGAGGACGCTAACGTCGAGGTTGGCGGTGCTGGAAGCATCACGCTTCCAAACTCGTCGACTACTTTGAATGTGGAGGAGTACGCTTCATCTCCCATAAGTCATGCAAGAACGGGATTCCCTAAGCAGGGTGGGCAGTCGCTCTCATACTGGTTACAGCAAGTAAGATCCGATCCATTACTGGATCATCGAACGACAGGAGATTTACCAGACGAAGCCGACACTGTAATCATCGGATCTGGCCTCACAGGCACACTGGCTGCCAAAGAACACCTGAGTGTTTGGCCTGACAAGAGTGTCGTAATACTGGAAGCAAGGGAATTTTGTTCGGGGGCAACAGGACGAAATGCTGGTCATTGTAAGCCCGATCAATGGCGTGGATTCGGCAAGTTCGAGAAAGCGTATGGCAAAGAACAAGCTATCAAGATCTTGAACAACGAAGCGGATACCTGGAACGCACTGGTTGACTATATCCGGGAACACGACGTAAACTGCGACCTGTGGGTCGGCGACACGTTAGACGTACCCGTTGACGATGAAGTTGCAAGGCTGGCGAAAGAGGTGTTTGACAGGTACAAAGAAGCTGGTGGGAGAACAAACCACATCAAGGTCACACAAGATCCCGCCGACGCGGCACGAGTGTCAAGAATCAAAGATGCAAAGGCCTGTTATGCGTGGCCGGCATCGACTCTACAGCCTTGGAAGCTGACAGCTCATGTCATGCGCAACAATATAAAGGCAGGAGCCAACCTGCAAACCTACACAACAGCAACATCAATCTCAGAAGCCACCGAAGGACGTAGGTGGTTCGTTCACACTAGCCGTGGCCGAATTGCATGCGACAACATTGTACACGCTACCAATGCATACAGTGCAGCTCTCGAGCCCGCTTTAAAGGGCATCATCACACCAAAGCCACACATATGTACGAGGGTGGTACCACCACGTGTACTCAGCGGCTCCCGAGCCATTCGCAACTCGTACGGGGTTCTGCTTCCAGATGGTGCATTCTTCAGCATAAACCCTCGTTGTACCGCTGATGGCAATGTGATGTTCGGAGGGTCTAATCCGGGACAGAAAGCGCTTGACGACTGGGTCACGAAGCATCCCGAGAACTGTATTAACGATGGGCTTGCAGACGCCGAAGGTGTGGTTAAATGTGTTCGGAGCTTCATCAACGAAAGGTTCGACGGATGGAGTCAGGCTGAGTATGGGCCAGGTGAAGGGATACAGTACAGCTGGAGTGGCATCATTGGACTAAGCGTCGATGGAGTTCCCTTTGTTGGAGAACTACCTGGCAAGCCTGGCCAGTGGATATGTGCTGGGCATCACGGACGGTGAGTTGATTGACTCTTATCGTTGCGTGAGCTGACAGTAGACAGCGGCATGGCACGGATCTTCACTGCCGCCCCGGGCCTCGTCAGGCTGATGAGCGGCACCTCGTGGGATGCGATAGGCCTGCCAGATGTGTACCAGATAACTGCGAGTCGGCTAGAAAGGCTGCAGGGGGCCACTGCCCCGAAAGTTACTACCATCTAAGATATGATCCGTACAATAACGGGATAGGGGCTATGGTACCAGAGACTGGCACGCTTACTTTCATGAAGTATGGCTCGTGCTCCACACGTCTCTTTTCTTCTTTCTTTGTCTACAACACCATTTAGCGCCCACTTATTGCTATTTTTACCCGGACAAAGCATTATGTAGTGGAGCGTTGCCACGACGCATAAAGCGGCATTATGCAAACGTTGTGCAGTCATCAATGACGGTCCTGCGACGGCAAAGGCTCGCACGGCAGGCAAATTGCGACAAGATGAACCGTGGAACATATGCGCCCACAGCTCTCTTTGCTACCATGGAATGCACACCGCCATCCACACTAAGATGCCAAACCTGCCGAATGTGGCATCTTGAATGGAGTTAGAGACGGCGTTGTGGGGCTTGGAGCTTCACGCGACTGTCTGACAGGAGGCTACTGTACGAGCGTGACTTGCGCCAGCGCATAGATATGCGCATTTGCGGGACAGAACCGTGGGTGTTGATGTGGCAAGAAGAATGTTGTTTTGCCTGAAAGTTTCCGTGCACCGTCACTTCCGTTTTGGGGCTATGACATCAGGGTCCAAACTTTGACACTTGACACGGCGCGTGGCATGCACGCTGTAGGCGCCCTCAGATTTGCTCACAACTCTCAGCCGCCCCTGCCCGGTGCCGATATGGTTCTCATCGCGTGTTGAGATTATGAGACAGGAGACGCAAGTGCATCCTCATAGTCCGTACTGCAAGATTGCGATCATGTTTAGCGACACGGAAGTCAGTCCGTGAGGAATCAACGCTCGAATTGAGCCGCGTAGTGCATTTGCGGGGTAATGGGCTAAGTATCCCAGCTTCACAGGACGTGGAACATCAGCGTGAAGCTCAAACAAGTACTTGCAAACCGGATGAGAAAGAAGGTTTGAGCAACACTGGACTGAGTCCCGTATAGAAAGATACCACACCAAGATGACGAACCTTTCAACCAAGCTTGCAGCACTTGAAGATGCTGGCAGACCAATACAGGTCGGCATCATTGGGGCTGGTAAGTTCGGCTCTATGTAGTGAGTAACACTCTAACGAATAATGGACTCCGCGCACTTGCTGACGGAGGCATAGTATCTCCCAGTCGCATCGAACGAAAGGTGTACGATTGGCGGCCATTGCGGACCTTGCCCCTGAACGTGCCCTCAACGCACTCAAGAAAACGGGCTTCCCGCAAGACAAGTATGACGTGACTGCATCGCTATCACTCGAAGAAGGCCTCAAACAAGGCAAGACAGTAATCACTACCGATTCCGCTCAGTTAATTGCTACTCCTGGGATCGATATCATCCTCGAAGTGACCGGGAGTCCAGCTGCTGGCGTGAAACATGCGTTACTCTGTTGTGAACACAAAAAGCATATTGTCATGGTCAATGTCGAAGCCGACGTACTCGCTGGCCCCTTACTCACCCGGAAAGCGCAAGAGGCAGGCATTGTCTACTCTATGGCTTATGGCGACCAGCCTGCACTGATTGCTGAGATGGTTGACTGGGCCCGCACTGCTGGCTTTGACGTCGTCTGTGCCGGAAAAGGAACGAAGCACTTAACGCAATACCACTATAGCACTCCTGACACGGTTTGGGATTACTATGGTTTTACTAAAGAGCAGCTGGCCACAGGCGACTTCAACAAGCAGATATTCAACTCGTTCTTGGACGGCACAAAGAGTGCGTTGGAGATGGCAGCTGTTGCAAACGGATGCGACTTATCGCCCTCTTCGGATGGTCTTGCCTTCCCGCCTTGTGGGACGCACGATCTACCTGAGATTCTGAAGCCCAAGAGAGATGGTGGTCAGCTTGAGAAGAAGGGTGTGGTCGAAGTCGTTTCATGTTTGGAAAAGGACGGCCGAGCTGTGTTCAACGACCTGCGGTGGGGCGTGTACGTTATCATCGAAGCACCGGACGAGTATCAGAGGGATTGCTTCAAACAGTATGGGCTCAAGACCGACTCCACTGGATGGTACGCAGCACAGTACAAACCGTATCACCTCATCGGACTTGAGCTCGGCGTTTCCGTCGCCAGCATCATGGTACGCGGTGAGCCTACCGGTCAGTGCAAGACATGGTCTGGGGACGTTGTTGCAACGGCCAAGCGCGACCTTGGAGCTGGCGAAAAGTTGGATGGCGAAGGCGGTTTCATGGTGTACGGCAAACTCATGAATGCCACAGACTCTTTGAGGATCGAAGGTCTACCTATCGGTCTCGCATGGACTGGTGTTGAAGCGGGGCGTGGAAAGAGATCAAGGCCTATCTTGGGCAGATGTCGAGTACAGCGAGACTACTCAAGCAGTGGCTTTCCGGCGGGAGATGGAAGCTGTATACCGAGAGGAATTCAAAGCAGCGGGAACGCTGAATACGAATGGTGTAGGCATCCGCCGTGCGTCTGAATCCATGGTCACTGGACTGCAGATTCCATAACATCGTCCGCCTCTGGAGATTGCCCTGTAAATTATCGCCACTCGGCGAGGTCTTTTACCATCTACTAAACGCTGGTATGTCTGAATAGCCCCTCAGCAAATCGCAGCATAAAGCAAGAATGATCAATAACTTCATTGCAGATCTTTGTTTCATGCTTTTGAATGGAGCTGTTCAGTTGTAGTTGTGCAGTCTATCGGTGGCGATGAGAAGGAGTTGCATCCTACAAGTGGCTAGTCAAACGTGCTTCGGTGCAGTAACCATATCCATCATATGATGCTATCACATCGTTGATGTTTAGACTTCGACAGTTCTTGTCCGACCGAAGATCTTAGCCGCATGCGTGTACGCCGTGGTTGCATGGTCGTCAATCCAGCTTCCGATGGCGTGCTCGAACACCACAACGTTCTCCCGCTTATCAACCCCACACGAAGCTTTGTCGCCAATGATGGCGCGCTCTTGTGTCGTCACTAAGCCTTTATGGCTTTCTCCAACATCTTGGTATGCTCGAAACGTGGAGGCGATTGCTATTCCCATGATTGCCGGTGCATGTTGACCCGGGGAATTGAGAGTGTTAAAAGGCGACTGCTCAATACCTGCGCAGCATGGCTTTGCCCTGTACGGAACTGCACAGCCTGATCTCCCGTGGTCCAAGTCTTCTTGTTTTACAGCCTGTCTTGTGAGCGCCTTGTCGAAAGTCACCTTCCGTAATGGCGTCATATAGCAAGGAGGTCGATGCCATCCAGCATACACCTGCGCTCTCGTCCGAAGCCTCGTCTCAGCTTGACGACACATACGAAGCCTACAAAAGCAACCGAGATGCCGAAATTGATCCTGCAGAAGCGAAGCAAACGCTCAGAAAGATTGATCGCCACATAGTGCCAATCTTGTTCTTCACGTATTTACTACAGTATCTTGACAAGAATGGCATCAATTATGCTTCGGCATTTGGCCTGCAAGAGGGTACAAACCTAAAGGGACAGGATTATTCGTGGCTAGGTAAGTGACAAGGGGGCTCTAGGATATCTTAATTAACCGACCTTAGGCAGCATCTTCTACTTTGGGTATCTTGCAGGTCAGTACCCAGCGGGCTACTTACTGCAACGGCTGCCCATGGCCAAGTTTCTCGGTTGTTGCACGCTTGGTAAGCTATACCCCTTGTCATTCATCTCACGCATTGACGAGGTCAGGTTGGGGAATCATTCTCATGACTACACCGGCATGTCACAGCTTTGCTGGCATGGCCGCAAATCGGTTCCTACTTGGTTTGCTTGAGGCAACTGTCAATCCTGGCTTCGTACTGATCATGAGTATGTGGTACACTTCAACCGAGCAACCCCTTCGACTCGGAATGTACTACTGCACCAATGGCATTGCAACCATGTTTGGCGGACTCATTGGCTATGCAGTGGGCCACATCAAGACCGGTCTACCCCGCTGGATGTATGTTTTTCTGATATTCGGATCTATAAGTACGTTGATGGGCATCGTTATCTTGCTTTTTCTTCCAGATCTGCCGACCACAGCCAGATTTCTTACCGAACGGCAACGCGGCATCGCTGTTGAGCGAGTCTCTGGGAATAGACAAGGTGTCAAGAATAAACACTTCAAAGTCTACCAAGCGTGGCAGACGCTGTATGATCCAAAGACATGGATTCTGTTTGTTATGGCGACTGGCGCACAGATACCAAATTCTGCTTTAACGACAGTGAGTAGTCCTTCGCCAAATTTGCCGGAAATTGACTTTGTTCAGTTCAGCTCGATGATCATCAAATCTTTTGGTGTCGACACGCTCGGGACCCAATACCTCCAAATTCCAGGTGGTGCCGTGCAGTTCGTCTCCCTTCTTGTCGGGAGCTATATCTGTACACACTGGCCCAACAGTCGGTGCATCACCATGACCGTCGCGAATTTCATCTGCATAATTGGTGCCAGCCTTTTGGTTACTCTACCAAGTAATAACAAATGGGGTCGACTTGTTGCGCTGTGGATGTGCTACTTCCAAGGCCTTGGGTTCAGCATGAGCCTGACCATCGTCTCCAGCAACATTGCTGGATACACCAAGAAACAGCTTACTGGTGCATTCTTGTTCACAGGTTATTGCGTAGGCAACATCATTGGGCCGCAGACGTTCAAGAGTAGTGAGGCACCTGGCTACAAGTCCGCATACATTGCGTGAGTCACGGCTGTCTAACGAATGAATTTATTGATTGCTAATTCTCAACTGCAGAATGCTTATCGGATATAGTGTGAAGCTTATCGCCGTTCTTGTACTTTTTGCCTACATGTGGTCAGTCAACAAGAAGCGTGATAGGGAATCTACGAGTGGCGTCCAGCTTACCGATGAAGAGATGAAGGCAGCAGTCGAAGCGGGAATGCACGATAGCACCGAGATTGATAACAAGGGGTTCCGGTACATTCTGTAGAAATCATAAGTAGCTACGTCAATGATCATTAACGGTTGCTTCCCATTGCGTATCTTCAATCATTCCTTGCATACACCAGTTCCAATTTCGACGCGTTGTCGATAGGTTGCATGTTTCCGTGCGAATTGTGTTACAACTCTGTTATTCGTGTGTCACTCCTTCCAGCTACTGCGCGCATGTTGGATGTTGAGGCACGGTTCATGAGTCTTCACTATGAATCGGTGCAGTGTTGTTTTGCCCATCAGTGCCTCACCGTGCGAGCGCGCCCCCTCACTCCATTTGCTCTTGCCAGAACAGTCACCGTGACGTCGCTTTTGGCTAGGCACAGCCAATCCGTAGCGCACTTCCATAACAGCGAAATTTGCGTCGATTTTCTTCTTCACAACAACACCCACACCCGCCATCATGACGGACACAGACCCGCCTGATAGGCAACACCACAACCCAGACGAGGGACTCGTCAGAGCTTACAGCCAAGCTGGCACGCGTGAGAAAGATGCGCGTTGCCCTCGGTGCTTGGAAACCGAGCCAATGGAGCACCGCAGATGGGGCGCCGTTGCATGTGGTGAACGTTGCGTGCTATGCCGCAAATCCGGTCACAAAGGCAAAGTTTGCCCTTTGATGACAACCGAATACAACCATGTATTCGGAAAGACGTGGCTTGATGAGCATTGGCCTAATCACGACACGCCCATGACTGATGAAGAGATCAGTGCATTCAGACAACACCTTGGTGAGGTCAAGGCCACAGCCAATCGCAAAGCGCAGATTGAGGCCAACGAGAAGGCACGGACTGAACGAGACCGTGGCAGCTTCCAGCCCGACCAAAACTTCCGTGGTCGAGGTGACTACCGCGGCCGAGGTGACCACCGCGGCCGAGGTGACCGGGGTCGAAGTGACCGCGGTCGGGGTGACTACCGTGGTCGAAGTGACAACCGTGGTCGAGGTGGCAGCCAAGTGCGAAGCACCTCTCAAGGGTCTTGGTCTGGTTACCAAGATCCTCGGGACACCACAGATGGTGGCCCACCTGGGAAAAGGCGACGTCGCGAAGGTAGCGACGATCGTGGCCTTGCAAAGGTGGACGACATCAACCCAGATGTCGATCCAGTCGCATACCTCCGCCAGAGGCATGCCAAAGCAAAGGCTGCATCAGAAGATACAGTCATGGGCAACGACCCCAACGAGAGTCTACAAGGTACCGTAGACCGGTTGCAAGAACAGCTCCGACTGGGTGATCTGCGATTCACGCGGTTGCAAGAACGCTGCGAGAAGTCTCGTACAGCCTTTAATGAGCTCCAAGAAGACTATGACACAGCCAGTCTTCGACTTGAAACTCTCAGTGAGCAGTTTCAAAAGACGTGGGATGACAACGAGTCCCTCAAGAAGCAGCTTGAATCTGCCAATGCAACAACTGCTAGGGTTCAGGAGCAAACCAAGGCCCAAGTGTCGGTCTTGGAACATCAGAGGAATGCCGCCGTGTTCACTGCTGGGAACAATTCAGTTCTTCTGGGGTCGCGCGAACAGGAGCTCGCGAGCCTCCGAGCCGAGTTCGAGCAACTTCGCGCTCGTACAGAAATCGCGGAATCACGAAACCGTGATTCTGCTGATATCAATCCTGAAGACATCAAGATTGACCCGACCGAGAATGTGCAGCTGCTACATCGAGGTAGGTCGACATCCCATGACGATGTCGGCTATAAAGATGAGGATGATGTCCTCATCAAGCGAGAAGACTAGGCGGATCTGTCGTCTCGCTGGTGGGAAGGAGAGCTGAGTCAGATTTTGTTCAACTTGTAGTTAAATGAAAACTGTTTGCCTGAATCATTATCCGCTTGTGTGAATCTTTTGTGAGACGTCGACGTTGAGATCCCATGTAAGGTCACTTTGTTCAGTTCCGGATGTCTAGTCTAGCCTATGGTCTAAGATACTCGGCTCTATGTCGAGTCGCATAGCACAGTACGCAGTGTGTGTCCGACGGTTTTCGCAGCTGCACATGGCTACAGCCACGTATCTCGATGAGACTGTATGAGAATCGAGAGCGAGAGGCTCAAATCCAATTGTTTGTAGAAGATCTTAGCTGGTCAAATGGCTTTGATACTAGGAAGTGAGAGCCGGACAGCCAACTCCGATGTTCCATTCATGTCCTTTGCACCGGGTCTAAGCTATGTGCCGTACTGTTAGTCTGAACGAGAACATTCCAGACACGGTCGATTTACCGGTGAAGTGAGCTTCACCTCGTTTGTCTTGATAGTCTAGCGGCTCCGGGCCTGCTGGGTGCCGGAAGAACCTTGCGCCGCCAAGGGTGTAAGAAAAGTTGCCGTCACCTTGCACCTTCCTCTCACCTACATACCAACCATTGCTGAGCATGGCTGAACCACCAGACAGGCCCAGATCTCGGGCACTCAAGCTCACAGGTATACTATCGCAACGACCTTCTTCCTGCTCATGCTGATCAACACACTCGCAGACGGCTTCGCCGCACCCACCCCCACAGACGGTGCTTCCAGTGCCAGAACACCCGCTTCGACGGAAGTGGGCACAGGCAGTGCCAGACAGGCGCTGCTACAGTCCGTCACTTCCGAGAACGCGGAATTGAAGGCAGAAATCGCAGCCCTTCGTCAGCAGAATGCTGACTTGGCAGAGACTTTGCTCAAGCAGGAGCAGAAGATCAACAGGCTGGAGGATCCGCCGCCAACCGTGATAACATGGTTGGACGCGACGATTCGAGACAAGTTCTCAAATCTCAACGAACTCACGGCAGATGTCGAGAAGTTCAGAGGCCGCGTAGATGCCTCTTCCATTGAGTTGCAGGCCGAGCGGGATGCATTCAACAAAGATCGTCAAGCATTTGACGATCTTGTGAAAATTGCCAGCAATGTCGCTCTTTCGAATGGCATTGATATCAAACCGGCAGCTGAACGCCCCAACGCTTCAGCAAGCGAAGCGTTGGAGGCAGAGGTGTCGCGCATGGTTGCGCTATGTCTCAAAGACCATGCAGTCATCCAAGAGGCTGCAGAGGTGATGAAGGCCAGAGATCTAGCTCAATGCAAGTTAGATGCTGAACATAACCACGCCAAGGTTATGACGTCTCTCGAATCTAGAGAGGACAATATCCAACGGCGAGAAGCGCATCACGAACAGTGGCTTGATGTGCTTAAGAACTTCAAATACGTATCTGAAGAACACCGCCGCAGAGAGCTCGCTAAGATTGGTGCAGCTGCTCCCCCAGATGAGCGCAGGTATGCGCTTTCTGATCCCGAAATCAAGAGTCTTCTCGTTGAACGAGAGCTTGCGGGATACCTCGAGGTCGGTCGGATGCTTGACCTTCGACGTGCCTACCGAGAAAATTTGGAAGGGGTTGATAAGACTCAAACTGAATACCTCGAGGATTTCGGCCACCCAAATAATCCTCACCAGGTCGGCATCAAAGTCGGTGAGATTTTGGGGTTTCGCTGTCTGTGTTCCGCAGTCGGGAAGCCAGAGTGGGATCACAGCCTTGACACTCATCAATGGAAGTGGCAAGAATTATGGACACAGTTTCCGGAAACAGTGCCAGATTCCTTTTTCGCTGGTGTCGAGAAAGGCATGGATCGGGCCAAGAAGAGGCTCGACATACTGAAGGTTCGACACACTGATGTCAAGGGAGCAGCCATACGCTTCCTTAAGGACCGTTGCCCCTAAGTAGGGTGCAACGGGTGGAGACATAGTCGAGGGTTAGAGTAGTCTGAAATATAACATTCTAATCACTTGTGGTCGTTTCAAATGTTGTGAATGTTGCACATGATGCTGATCCTCCCAAATCGAGCAAGGTGTGCAAGCCTGTGGTCTGTATGTGCGCACGGCAGTGGTCCACGTGTCCGCCATCTGAAGTGTGTCCCTGGCTGATATGCTACGGCAGTCAACTCGGTCTCCAGATTGTGCCACTGTCAAAAACGAATGCGGATATATCCACCTGTCTGTGATTCGGAAGTATTTGTGAGCTGGTATTCGAAGTAAACGTGATGCCATCTTCAATGAGTCGAGGAGTGGCCAAGATGGAACGTGGCAGTTGAACAACAGCAATGCTCTAACAGACAATGTGAATCGTCTAAGGTGTTTGCTGCCAGAACAGGCGCAACACGTCGGTAGCTGGGTCCCAGAGGGTATGTGTTCTTTCCCCCGCTCGGTTCCTCTCAGGGCATATTCAGACATGTTGCATAAATTCCACGTCCGCTTGGATGGCAAGGTTGGGATCCAAGGACCCAGAGGCAGCCTTCTCGATTGCTGACGCAATGAAATGACTCGCAAGACATACCTAATCAATCTGTATATAACGAGAGAAGATAGCACTTGACAAATCTCTCCGATAAACCTGTCCGAGTGACCTGCACCGGCACGTGGCACGCACTGGACACCTCCCGGTGCCTCAGCAACAGCCCCGCTTGCAATTGCGCCTTGCCGCACAGGACGCAATGCAGTAGCACCGGCCCTAAGCCCGTGAAAGGTATACGTTTGCAAATGGGTCGACGAAGGATGCGCAGGCAGTGCTGCAAGCGGGACCGCAGCAACACAGCCGCTGGAGTCGGCCCCACATTTCCAGCCTCGTCCGCGACGTCGCGCTAGCTTACACCACACCCACTCACGACACCAGCATGCCGGCGCCCGAGCGTCTTGAGATTGTGGAGCAGGATGAGGCAGGCGTTGTGGTCTCGACGTATATCGCGTCGGGGGATTCGCGCGTTGATGTCGTCGTATGTGATTGCGTGTGCAGGCAAGCGGTATAATGACGGTTCGAGACTGATATCTATGTCTAGCTGCCGAAACAGACGAAGGGCTATGCTCAGCAGTTGCTTGATGTGTTTCTACCAGCGGGATATCCGCAGAGCGTGACGGAGGATTACATTCAGTGTGCCTACCTAATCAATGCGTGTCTATCTCCAAGCTGACTCGACCATAGTTACCAAATCTACGTTCGTTGACAGCCTACGTTTCATTCATCGCGCAACTAACACCATCCAAGGACTCCCTACAAGCCTTCTCGTCCTCCATAGCCGGACTGCTCGCCTCCCGCGCCGTCCTCGAGGGCGTCGGCGTCGGCGACTCAACCGCATCCCCCACCAACGCACTGCTCCTCTCCATCCTGCAAGACTCCATGGGCCGCATTGCCACGATCCTCTTCGCGCACCGGCTGGGCACCTCGCTCGAGCCCGAGTGCAAGATGTACCGCCTGGCCGCCGACATCTTCAACGACTCCGCCATGGTGCTGGACTGCCTGTCTCCCGCGTTCCCCAAGCCCGCGCGCGTCGCCGTGCTCGGCTTCTCGAGCTGCTTGAGGTCGCTCTGCGGGGTGTGCGCGGGCAGTGCGAAGGCAAGCTTGAGCGCGCATTTTGCGAAGAGGGGGAATCTGGGCGAGTTGAATGCGAAGGACTCGAGTCAGGAGACGGTGATTAGTCTGCTGGGGATGCTGGCGGGGAGTGTGGTGGTCAGCTGGGTGACGACGCCGGCGGCGACGTGGGCGACGCTTATCGCGCTGCTGTCAGTGCACCTGGCGACGAACTATGCTGCGGTGAAGGCTGTCAGTCTGACGACGCTGAATAGGCAGCGCGCGAACATCGTCTTCAGTCACATCCTGAGCGCTGATGGGGGACCGAGAGTTCTTAGTCCGAAGGAGGTGTCTGCGCAAGAACGGGTGTTCGAGAGAGATGGCGTGTTGAGATGCATTGGCAAAAAAGACGGCGTTCTTCGAGCCAATGGCGAGATGTTGAGAGACGCGAACGATATTGTGGGTTTTTGCAAGATCGGCGTCAGCATGCAAACATTGTTGAGCCGCATCAACACATCCAAGCGCACGGAGTCTGGGGCTTTCGACGCGCTGCCCGTCAAGATCGCCGATTTATTAGATGTCTTCGCCAGTGAAGGTTACATCTTGTGGCTACCTGACATCCTAGGCACAGACACGCGCAAGAGGGAAGCTCTGATAGTGTTGAAGAAGGACTGCACTGCGCAGGACCAGCTCAAGGCATGGATGCACGCATGGATAGTTTCGCAACAGCGCGCGATGAGTCCTTTACTTGCCGTCACTCTCCCGGCCCACAAAAACAACGCACGACCACGCCTTCGAGAGCTTGAGTCATCACTCTTGATGGTGCGAGAAGTCTTCAAACTGTACGCTCCAGCACTGAGAGAGGCAGGTTGGAACCTGGACTCCGCGGCGCTGGAAACCCGCGCAGGAGTCCGTGCAGTCATCGATCGAAAGGGTGATCCCTTCGATCAGTGAGCATCAGGACACACATCACCTTGCAGTGGCACTGAGTCGTAGTCGGCCGCTCGCCGCCAACCAGAGTTTGGACTTGAGTGGATAGCTTGTCCTCCCCCTTGGAAACCCGCACGGCAGCTGCCTTCATCTCTGGCATTCGGGAGATTCTTCCAAAGCAATATGTGCTAAGAAAGATGGCATGGATTTCTTGTCGATCAACGCAGAGCTTAGACACGCACTCAGCAGTGCGGAGACGGTCTGACAGCTTTGACGCGTGTGCGTCGGGGCGGCTTACTGAGCTCAGACGCATCCTGACACAGGCATGGAGAGGGTTTGGGAAGTGTGCCGGGAAGTGGCTGCAGCAGCGACGCGGGCGACTGTGGTTGAAACGGGAAAGACTCGGTGCGGGTATACATGGCTGCCTCAGGATTCCAAAACCTTTTCGTGTGCACACAGTAAACAGCAGTTTCGCACAGCCGGAGTCCTTTACCGTGGAATTCAGCAGATCACACCACACGTCATGCGGACACTTGTTGAATGGACTTGGACCATCTGCTGCACCGTCCGGCACGACGTCAACGCGGCCCAAACGAGCCACATGTACTCAGACAGCAAGAGCGAATGCTTTGCTGACTCTGAATGTGTCCACAGTCAGTCATCTGACCGAAGTGAGTTTTTGTCGGTAAGCATCCGAAACTGGCACCTTCGTGCCTCAGACTGTCAGACAGTAGTGGAGGCCCACCTGTCACGTTTCACGTTTGGTGACATTTCTGGGCAGATTATGTCAAAGCTCGATCTGGAATGATACCGCCGGCAAAATGTGTAATGGCAGCGATGAGGACTAGTGTGTGACTACAGTAGCATGATGCACGCGACTGACTTATTGCCTTTCTTAAGAGAAGCGACAGGGAGTGGTGAACTATGCTGTGCATTCGCGGGGCATCGCAAGGCTTCGCGAAGCTCACGATGCCAAGCGATCTTCGCATCCTCGCCTGAGATCGCGAACGCGGGATGCGGCTGGCCCCAGAGGCGGTGACGGGTGAAGCACAGAACTTACTCAGGAGCCCACCAGCTGCGTCATGGCTTGAAAGCACCGGGCGCGTGTTGGTGATGGAATTTTTTCTGTCACGATTTTGTTGATGGCGCGTGCTGAAACCAGGCGCTTACACATACGAGCGATGCATCAGGCCACGATACAAGCAAACGCCCTCTGCTTCTAGAAGGTCTTTGGAGACAGCCTACCGAGGCAGTCGGAGTGCACGACCCGAAGTGCATCCGCAGAGTTTTGGACAGAATCTCAACACGTTGCTACGCGACAAAAGGTGGAAATGAAGTGGGAACCGTTGCGCCCAAATCATGCGCGAAACAGGAGATTCACGCGGAAGAGATCGACCGTGGCGGACTTGTGGTAGTACTAACAGCTTGTGGTAACCTTCTAGAAATCTAGAATGCTTCTGGAAAAACTCAACGCGCACGGCCGATGTTTGCCGGGAACAAACAACGTAGTCGAACACGGCAGGTGAAACGTCAGCCCAGCTCGGCTACTTTTACGGGCACGACTCAGCAGCGAGACGCTGAGGCACGCAGCATCGCGCGTAGTGGGCTGGCGTGTGTCTGGCGTGGAGCATACTGGCGGTTGACGCAGGTGTGCTGAGACTTGGCCCAAAGAGTTGAGCTTTTTTGGGTGAGTGCCATGGCGGGCATGGTGGGGCGGGTGGATCTACAGTGAAGGGCAGGATGCGGCAGGAATAGATTACGGTAATCAAATGTCTCGAGGGTCGGGCAGAGATTGGAGGATGCGCTGATTGCCCCCAGCAGTAGGGCCAATACCAAGGCGTGTGGCCGTGCGATCCCCATCTGTGGGCAAAGGATGCAACGAGTGGCCAGTCAGAGCCGGGGCAGCATGAGACCAGACCGAAGCGAGCGCTGGCGTCATTACATCCGAGCACTTGGGAAGCCTATTGCCGAGCAAGGCAGCCATTAGCGGGCTGAGGTCGCGCTGCAGGCTGAGGTGGTGGTGCTGTGGTTGCATGATTCACGACGAGGCCGTTGAGGTGACGGGAGGTGTCGTGTCGCACCGGCGGACAAAGAAACGCTGGCACGGCCTTTGTGTGCTTTGTGGCGGAATAGGGTCAGGGCGGATTAGCGAGCGACGCAGCGCGGCGTTGGGACTGGCGGACGGTCGTTTGCGGCGCGTTGAGGGCCAGCGCCTGGGTCAGCCGGGCTGCTGGGACTGAGGTCGCAACGCACAACGACGACGGCGCACGGGGGCTCAATGGCTATATACATAGCACACGTCGAGCGGACGTCTGCTGCTGCGGACGGGCAGACGTGCTCAGGGCACTCGGTATGCCGACTAGGGAGAGACAGCGCGGGCGGCGGCCGGGGCGCCAAGGCGTAATCTTTCGAGAAGGGCCGAGTGAGGGCCGGGGTCGGGGCGAGAGCGGGCGTGCGTGAGTGGAGAGAAGACCGAGCTGGGGCACGCCGCAGTGCGACGCAGCGCAGCGACACAGCAACGCACAGCAACGCAGCAGCGCCGGGGCGACGGCGTGCAGGCGTGCAGCCGCGGGCGCTGGGAATGCTGCGCTCCGGCGGCCGCTCGCTCGCCCGCACCCTGGCCACGCTCGACACGCTGCACGCTGGCACGCTGGGTGACTGGCAGCACACTGGCGGGCACAGCTGGCGGGGGCCGCGCGAAACGGCGGCCGGGCAGCTCGCAGCCCACGGCGCGCTGGGGCGCTCTCTGTAACAGCGACTGTGATGGCTCTGTCTGGCTGAGGTGGCGAACGAGCGCGGCCGACAGGGGTTCCTTCCAGAAGACGCGCGCGGCCGCCAATCATAGCGCGCGCGGGCGCGCTAGGGCGCCGCTAGAAGCATCAGCGCCTGCCGCTTTTGCGCTGGCCGCCTGCACGGGCTGCAGCCATCGCACCCATCGCCCTCTGACATCGAGGCTACCCACCTTTGCTCAAGCTTCGCCAACCGCACCGAACATGCTCCACCCGGTGGGGCCTGGCTGGTGCTGACCTGCGCGCCCGCCTGCCCAGGGCGTGCTAGTCGTGCTAAGACTGCTTCCGCCCTCTCCTCATAACCACCGCTGAGCCGCACCACCGCAGCGTCTGTCTCGAATCCTGACGGCATACTGAACCACGTCTCACGCCCGCGTCACCCGTCGCCCTGCCCCGACACCGCCGCCGCCCTCTGTCGCCCACGCACTGCAGCCAGCCCAGCGCACTCTGCGTCGTCTCGCCCTCGCTCGCCGTCCGCTGCCGTCCGACCCGCTGCACCACCCTAGACCTGTGCGACCGCCCCCGCCGCCTGCAGCCGCCGTGTCGCCTTCGAGAAGCACCTGCACCGCCAGCAAACACGCTCCGGCCCATCGCTGCGCTCTGCTGCGCTCCACCGCCCGCGCTCTCGCCGTCGCTGCACCACCGCCCACGGCTCGATGCTACCGCCTGCGGCGCTGTAGACTTACCCACGCTTCTCCCGCTGCCACCAGGTTCTCCCCGAACCTCGTGCCCTGCCGTCAAGCTGGCGCAGTCTATACGAACCCTTCCCTGTCCCTGTGAGAGCCTGGAAGAGCAGAGCAAAAAGACGGCACGCCGTGTCTACTCGCATTTCTGGAGGACCGTGATGATCTCACGGCGACCCGAGCCCACTGCACTGTCCATCCGCACCAATTCCACCATCTCGTCTCCTGCCTCGTCGCTCGACGACTCCGACGGCGAGGACATCAAGATGGCCCTCTCCGACGGCCAGAAGGCGCCATTGACCGTCTCCATTCCCAAGAACATCCCCAGCCCCCACAGCCGCAAGCCCAACCTGGCCGAGATCCTCGCAAACAACGCACCGCCGCCCTACACATTATCCTCCTTCATGGCCTTTCTGTCGCAGAACCACTGCCTGGAGAACCTGGAATTCACCATGGACGCGTCCAGGTACCGCAAGCACTACTCCAAGATGGTCAACCGCCACCCGGGGACACCCATCTCTCCTCTGTCCGACGAGTGTGCGTACGTCCTCATGCTCTGGCGCCGCCTGATCGACGCCTATATCCGGGAATCTGGCCCCCGCGAGGTATGTCACGTCACTTAACGTCACTGCATTCCATGCTAACCAACACAGGTCAATCTCCCTGCTGAGGTCCGCGACAACCTGCTTCTCCTGTCTGAGTCATACGTGCCCCCTCACCCTTCAACACTCGACGAAGCTGTCGCGAAAATCTACGAGCTCATGGAAGAGGGCGTGTTGCTGTCTTTCCTGAACTCTGTCAGCCCCCAGAGTGCGCACCCAAGCATCATGAGCCACGAGAGCTACAACGCCAGCGTTGCACGCGCCTCGACACGCAGCTATGACGAGCGCGGCGCTCTCCCACACAAGCCGTCGCACGTCCCTGCCCACCAGCGTGCATCAGCACCGTCCTCTCTCACCGCTGGCTTCATGCATTCGCGTCCCTTCTCTCACTCCCGGTTCCACTCGCACCCCACTTCATCTGGTATCCCTGCTACCCGCGTCACGTCTGGTTACACCAGCGGTAGCGACGCCATGACCGATGACACAGGGAGCGCAAGCCCGTCGATGAGCGATCCTCTTACCCCACCAGGAACACCGCCCATGAGTGACTACCCCATGGTCGACTCGGCTCACATCTATGGCGAGAACGGAGGTGCCAGCGGCACCCCCAGCCCCCGCACCAGCCGCGGGGAGCACAACGGCATTGGCGCCGCCACCCGAGACAGTTGGAAGCGCGTCAGCAGCAAGCTTTGGCCGAAGAAGAAGAGCGGTGGCCAGCTGCGAGAGGACGAGCACGCCGTTGTTGATTCGCCAGGGGGTTTCATCTAAGCCGCACCACCACCACCACCCGAGGACACGAACATTTCACCACATTTCCACATTAAAAGCGATCACGGTTACGAACATGCGATTTCAGCGACCTGCATAAACAGCATTTGGGCTGCATACACTCGGCGTTTCGATTAGCCTACAGCGAGGCGAACAGGCGTATACCACAGCCACGACCGGCGTTGTCGTGGCTTTCTAGACATTTTTGGCGTTTGCAAAATTACGGCTGAGGAGAAGACAGCTGGATAGGCGTTCTTGCACTCATCAGTCTTGGCACATGATGACACGAATGGGCGATGCAACTGTATCAATATTCTTCTATTTCTATTGGGGTCTCCTGATGGAGTTGTTTACGAGACGGAGGCTTGGAGTAGATACCACGGCGCAGAGAGCGCGAAGCAAATGAAGCATCTGGCAAGTGCCACAACCCAATGCCGTCACTGCTGTCCAAATGTGACTTCTAATAGTGCAAGCAAAACAACCATGCTCAACCAGCGACTCAGGTCTCTACAAGCACGCAATGCAATTTCCAAAGCACAGCGGCCGGCAAATCCTACGGCAGGCACTCCCAGAACTGTCTCCACGATAAGGCATTACGGCACGCTGACAACCCGTCACGCGCACGATTCGGTTGGTCGCTGTCATGGAGCCCCCGTGTTGCGCCCAAGCACGAATCATCTGCCCCATACATTATGACTTTTAGGGGCCAGCAATACAGGAGAGCGGCCGACGTAGCACCGTGGTGCTCGGTCTGGAACTCCAAACGGGGACGGAGAAGGGAGACACTCTGGTAGCTGGATGGTAGGAGCGTGTGATAAGAGAAACCATACGGATATTGACATGGAGATGAGAAACCGGAGGAAAGATCTGAGTTTTCGAAACGCCTCCCGCTTCAGTTCGCGGAGGCGCCGGTGTTCAGACCGCTGTGCACTACCTACCCGTAGCATGAACCTTGACATCGGCCTCGCTCTTACTTTGCGACGAGCAGACCCAACCGCTCGGCCAAAGACACGTACGATACCAAGCTGTCAGGTCAAGGCGCGTTGACATTGGGCTCCTTTCACAGCAGACCTGCGCCGTCGATCGTCCATCGCTCCGAACTGGTCCGTGCCAATTGACAGCTCCGTGGCCGCCATATGGCATCCCCGGATTTCAAGCTGCGTTCTGGGTTCGATGTGCGCTCTTGGGTCCAACGTGCGCTCTGAGGCTGTGGGCTTGGTGTTGACAAGGACAGCAGGGCCGATCTCCTGCGGCGTGCGCCCTATCTTGCGTTTAGGTGTGCGGACTTAAGGAGTAGGACCCAGAAGTCTGCTTGGCCTGCTGCGAAGCTGCCTGACAAAAAGTCAGGACGGTGTGCATACGGGTACGGTGACGAGGTACTGTTCAAGTTGCTGCCGGGCCGAAGCAGGGACCAGCACATCGCGGCACTTGTTTCCAAACGCAGTGTGTTTGGGCACACATGAACGCATGTCGGCTGCAAAGTTTACAACACCCGTTTCGCCAACGCGTGGGCATGCCTCTCAACATCATGATGCAGCCTGCAAGACAGATACTAGATAGTTACCTTCACGCTTGCTGTCTCACCAAGCTTTGATCATCCTCTCGCGCCTGCGCCGCTTTACCCCAATTCTCTACACTTTCCCCAATCCTTCACTGCTAATCCTACTGTACTTCCCCAGCATCCGAGTACATGATATTAGGTACCGTCCAATTGCGCTCCGCAGCGGTCCTATTGGTAGCGGAAACCACCGCAACGGCATCCACCGTAGCATATTCGACTGAAACCAGGGCTCAGTGCGCGTAAAGCTGCTACACGTGCTGGCGTATGTACCGTCAGGTGCTCCTACCAGAGCTCGACAGATAAACTTCCGCATCCGGCCGCTCGTCCATCAGGCGGGAATACTCAAGTCAGACGTATCCACTGGCGGAGGCATGTCCGCCAGACAGGCCCGATTAAAGTCTCTTCCTACGTGTGGGTGTGCCGTTGCCAGTCAATACTTTTTATCAGCAGTTGAGGCATTTCACACACAAAAAAAAAAGTAGACGGTGGCGGAGCCTAATTCGCAGCAAGCAGGTCCCGCGACCCAACATCCGCAATTGCACCATTGTAGATCGCAGATCCCACTATCTCGATAGATGGGCGGCGGAGCCCGTGCGCGTGACGGTCGGAGAAATCGACTCATAGCAGCCGACTCACACGCGTCGACTGGACGGATTGACTCGTAGGCGAGAAGAGGCATTTTGCGCCCTGGGGGCGCGTCTGCACGCTTCGGGCATTCCAACCCAGTTTCTCCTCCGCAAGTGGAGCGTGTTGCAGATCGGCCCTCAAAGCATACCGAGGCGCAATACCGAAAGGTACCGGAGAGCCTCACTCGGCGACTCGCCCGGTATGAGATCGAGATCGTGAAATGCCTTAGTACTTTCCGATCTGCACGTGAGAAGCCGCTTTGTGCTGCGCTGTGCTGCGCGAGAGCTCGTGCGTGCCTACATGCCACTACCGTCTAATACAGTTCCAGTACCATAGGTACATACCGTACAGTACATACATACAGTACCCTTCATACAGCACCACAGGCATCCACCCCGTTTCCACGCAGCATGTGCTGCAGAATGACGCAGCGATTGTCGCTCGCTGCCAGCCACCCCCTCGCAGGCCCCCCCAGCGATGCTTCCAAACTCTTCTCGAAGCCGTTCGCCGCGCCACAGCCCGCCGTGCCTAGCCGGCTCGTTCGTTCCCCTCTGATCGGCGCTGTGCTGGCACCGCCACTGCTCCGCGGAAACGTGTCTGCGAGCCCTGTTGAATCCTTATTCCCTGCGCTAATCGCTGTGTTGGGATGCAACGATGCATCTCCACTGCACAGGCAGATCGGCGCAATGCAAGGGGAGGAATGGACGGGCGGTATGTAAGTACTCGCCGTGACGGTTGTGGGGCATGTGGTGCAGTCACTGCTGCGGGAGAGAGAGGGTGAGTAGGTAGGGCGTGGATGAGGAATAGGTGTGACGCGGTTGGGTGCCAACGGCTGGCGAGCGTGTAGACGCTATAGGAACTACGACGACTGGACAGGCACTGTGGATACGTCTTCGACGCTCTGCATATCCACCTGATACCTGCAGTGGTCCCTACAGTACATAGGTACTTAGAGTCTTAGACTGCCCGCTGGATACTTTGTAGATCGGATCTCAGTGCACCACTCAAACCCAATCCGCATCCCGCCCTTTCAACCCTTCTCTGCGCTCCATGCACCCAGTGACCGCTCCTCTGTCTTACCTTGCACTCTGTTGCGTTGCCCTGCGCCACGACGTACGTCTTGTAAAAGCAGCGACGCGATCGGCTCTGCGGGGTAGCGGGACGACGCGATTGGGCGCGCTAGCGTGCGGAGACATGGTGCGAGAGAGGACGTGTGGTGTGCGACGAGTGATGTGCATGCGCAGTGTGGGTGGCGACAGAATTAGGGGAAAGCACGATTGGCAGATGATGCGTGGGCTGAGGGGGTGAGGCGGGGCTTACGCGGAGCTTGGTTCGACGTCGGTGGTTGCGAGAGGTGTTTGCTTGTGACAAGGCTGTGCGTGATGTGCTCACTCTAGTTTTAGAAACAGACTAATGGTGTTTTGCTTGTGACGCTTTGTGGGTATCATTTCAGACTACGGTACATGTACATGTCTCCTCCACCATGCTCCCAATCTATCTCGATCAACGACGGTAAATAAGCCGGTTGTTTACAAATGATCGGCTTGGCCACTATGGGGACTATCGACTTGCGAAGTGCCCGGGTGATAGCCATACGTGGTAAGCAAGCCGGAGTCCGATGAACCGAATGCGGAGACATGTCGAGATCGGAGGGCGGACAGAGATCAAACGCATAGACCAGACCGTTTCGTCATTCCGTCATAGATAAGCGGTATTCGAACAGGCGCTATGCAGCTTGCAGTGGAGGACGGGAGGCCGTGCGAACCCAGCAGAGCTGAACACACCACTAGCGATAGGAAGATTGCGGTCAGAGAACCAGTCCTTGGCACCGACGCGCGCCTTCAGGCAGTTGTCGATGTGCTAACGCCGAGAAGAGGATCCGAATGGCTGGCGACACTCCAAGGACCCAAGGCCTTCGGGGCAGCGGGCGGCCTGGCTGAATACATATCCGTTTCCTTAGCTGCATATGTCGCAGAGACTTTGCGCAGGGGCACGGCACGGCCAGCATGGGAGTGGCCGTCCGATACCTCCACGTCGCTTCAAGCCAAGAACGTATTTCCTGCGATCGGGCTGGTCCACTTGCCCTTCCTGGCTGCCTTCATCTCAGCGAACAGTGCTGGGTTGATGCCCTTCTTCTTGCACTTTTTCAGTTCCTCCGGCGTCAACCCACTGATGTCATGCGAGCTCGCTGTCCAGGTACTGCTTGACCGCGAGTTGCCTGTCGAGGGCGGATACTGCGAAGGCGCGCCTGACGATATTGTGTTGGATGCACTTGACGAATTGGAGCGATACGATGTCTGGTCTACCGACACTGTCCGCTCTATGACAAGCCGCTCGCCCCCGCAGTCAGTCCCGACCGAATCCTTTCTCTTGGAAGGCTTCAGCTTCTGCAGGACCCCTCTAGATGGGTGATTCTCTGCAGAGCTTACAGGCGTCGATGGTATTGAATTCATGCTTGCTGTGCGTAACGACTGCGGTAACGAGGCAGGCTTCGGTGGCTCGTTCATCGGCGGTGGTCCCAGGTCCACGTCTGGTGTTATAGGATACTCAGATTCGAGAGTGAACATGGATGGGGAGGGTGTCTCATCATCGAGTGCCTCCGAATCGACCACGGAAGCTGTTGTCGTCACCGAGGCTATCGTATCCAGGGAAGTCCGTCTGCGGAGACGAGGGTGGAGTCGCTGGTTGGCGGGCTTGTACGACACGAGGTTCATGGGGCGCCGACGAGGTGCCGGTTCTGGCGCTGGTTCAGGCAGTGGCTCTGGTGCTGGTTGAGGTGCTGGTTCAGGCGATTGCAGGGCAGACAGCTGCTCTCTGAAGGGATGAGAGTACCGGTAGCGGGGCGCTGGACGTGTCGGTGCTGAAGTTGGTGCTGATGTCGGTACTGATGTCGGTGCCGGCGCTGGCGCTGGCGCTGGCGCAGGAGGTGTCGAAGCTGATGGTTTGTCTTCCGCAACCGGATGGGATCGCAATGGATTCACATGTGACGGACAGCGAGGCGGTGGTTCGCCTGGACTGGGAGTCATTGGCGGTTCTTCATATAAATCCAGGCGTCTCCATGGCACGAGTGGAGGGATCTCCTCTTGATCACCGTAGTCGTCCCCATCTTCGTCGTCGTCGCTGGTGTCGGCCGGCTTGTTGTTTTGGATTTGGAGCTGCTCAAAGACTCGCTGTAGCTCGTGGGCCGCTCGAGGGGAGCGGCGAATAGGAGGCGGGTAGTCGTCATAGTCCATGACGATGTCTGCGCTCTAGTCGATCGTGAGGCTCTCGCTGTGGAGAGGCTGTTGAACAATGACATTCAGATAGCTAAGTTTGGCCCACAACGGCAGCCGATCGCCATGACGAAATCAACGGCCAATCGACGGCCCACCTGCTAGCGTGCGATCGATGGGCGCGGTTGGGGAGCCCGTTCAACGGTTGACGTCCTGCACTGCAAGTGGCTGCTGCGATTGCCAGGGGTGCATTTTGTGGTAATGCAACCTATCAGCGGCGCTGCAGCACGGCAGGCCATGGTGGAGGCAGCGACGGTTGGCCTGGGGCGAGGGAAGTCGCTCCGACTGCCGTCTATTCGCCGATCTCCCCGCGGGAGGCTGCACGAGCACAACGGTGCGGTCACGTGACGTGGATGTTCGCGACCACACTCGACACAGCAGCGACAGAGGCCCGCCTGCACGGCTTCGACGATAGCGGACAGTCACGGGACAGGCCGTGGAGGCTCCACGCTGCAGCAGACAGGACGCGGTTCCAGCGGCGGCGACAGGGCTGCGTTTCCGCGGGCGACTGGCTGTGACTGGCCCGACCACCCATGTCAGGAACGCCGCCGACTAGCGCAAGGTACGCTGGCGCTCTCGACGACACCGCACCGCGCACCAACGTCGCCCCCGACATGTCTGCCCGCCGCTCGCCATGAGCAACGACGCGCCCGTCCCGATCCCGGACGACGAGGTGGTCGCCCTCGCAAAGGCGGCCTTCAGCCACTCGCGCCAGGACATCAGCCAGCGTGGCCCCGACGCCCCGCGCGAGGTGCAGCAGCAGCACACGGGCATTACCATCGACCTGGGCCACAAGAACATCGCGCGCCTGCCGGACGAGGTCGTCGATGTCATCCGCCAGGAGATCGAGAGGTGCGCTGCCGGCCCCCGCCCGCCGCCGCCCTGTCCGCCGCTGACCCCGCCAGGCTCGCCCTCTCGCACAACCTGCTGCAGACGCTGCCGTCGCGCCTGATCGAGTGCCGCCGCCTGCGCTACCTCAACGTGCGCTACAATGCCATGCGCGAGATTCCCAGCGCCGTCCGTCGCCCGCCCGTCCCGCTCGCCCGCCGCTGCTGACAGCCGCAGATTCTCGAGATGACCTCGCTGGAGATCCTGGACGTCAGCCGCAACAAGATCCGCGCCGTCCCGCCGCAGATTGTCAACCTGACCTCGCTCAAGGTGCTGGCCATTGCCAAGAACAAGATCGAGGAGCTGCCCGTGTCGCTGGGCGAGATGAACACGCTGCAGGTCCTCAAGCTCGACAGCAACCCGCTGACCTTCCCGCCGCCCGACGTCTGCACCATCCGCGACAACGCCCCCTCGCCGTCCAACGAGAACGAGCGCGATGCCGTCATCGCCACCCAGGTCAAGAAGTTCATGCGTCAGCAGGCCTCCAAGCAGCGCCAGCGCGCCGAGCTCGAGCGCCTGCGCGTCGAGTCCTCCAGCGACGAGAGCTGGACCGAGAGCAACCCCGAAACGCCCCGCCCCAACAAGCGAGCTGCCGGTGCGCGCTTCCCCGTGCGGCCCAGCGTCAGCACCCTCGACGGCTTCGCAGAGGGCCGAGCAGACTCCCCAGGTCTCGCTGGCCCCCTTATCCCCGGTGCTCCCCCCATCCCCAGCCGATCTCACTTTCGTGTGTCCTCGCAGACCAGCAATAATGGCACCAAGATTCGACCTCCAATCTCGCCCTTGGTCTTGACAAATGGCTTGAATGAGCGGAACAGAAGCCAGAGTGAGGGCGCTGGTCCGTCGACTCACCGTCAGAAGCGCATGGGTATCTACACCAACAAGCACCAGCCCTCGGAGCAGCTTGGCTCCGTCGACGAGCTGCGACGCACCAGCCATTTCCGCGGTTTCAGCCAGGGCATCGTCATTCCTTCCATCACAGCCAACGGTGTTTCTGGGCCTGCCACTGCCATTGGCTACGGCGACACAGGAACGGTCAGGTCGCTGGCGAATCGCCCGCTGTCTGACGTGCGAGAGCACAGGCGCGGATCTCGTGCTCCTGACATCGTTGTCGAGGCTGCCAGGAACTTTCTCTATGCCATATCCCAGCTCCACGACTGCGTATCTCATATGGTCCGTGCTATCAAGCTGACGACGAGGCCAAAGGAGGCGCTTCGCCGAAAGGAAGACTTCTATCGTCGCTTCTCGAGCGCCTATCTCAACATCAGGGCGCTGAGCGACGTTCTCAACAAATTCGGCAGACTTGTCGAAGAGGACGAGGAGGAAGCACAGAGGCTCTCGAGGAGCGTGTACATGTATGCATTACGATGTCTGGAATCGTTCATGTCGATCACCCTCTCTATTGCAGAGAACCGTGTGGAGATCACGCAAAATGCGAACCCGCAGGTTCTACGGACGTTTCTATTTCTTCAACAGGGCAGTTTGATCGAAATGAGGAATGCTTGTTCGGTACTGGGGGCGCAATTCAAGGATACGCTTGAAAGCTCACGAAGACCAAGTGCGGCCGACGCACCTAGCACAGTACGCGCAAAGCCACGGGTTCGACGGTTCCCAACATCGCCACCACAGCGAAGCCAATACCAGGTGCCACCGCCAGTCATCTTGCACAGCAATGAGAACAGCCGGACAAACACAATGAACAGCATCAGCGCTGCTACGCCCAGATCAGGGGAGTCTTTCTCGACTCTGGCTACGACAATGACCCGGTCAAACACGATGAACAGCAGCTTTGACGAGTCTGATGAGGACGCTCAGTTCGACAAAGTCTACCAAAAGCTGAAGCACGCTAGCGAGAGCTGCAGAGCGGCCATCCCCCAAGCCACACGTCTGCTGAGAGAGCAATTCGACGCGTTGCGCCGGGACCTGGATAACGACCATCCTCGAATCAAAGCACTTGCTAGCCTCATTGATAAGAGCAACGAGGTACAGCAGATGACGATTCCTCTTGCGAACCGCCTGTCGCAGATGCAGCTAAAAGACAGTTACACTCGCAACCAGACGGACTTCTGGCAACAGTGCATGGGTTTCATCAAGGTTTGTTTCCCCGTCCCGTTTGTTTCATACAAAGCACCACGGCTTACATTTGTTTCAGGCTTGGGGTGAACTAGCCTCTGCGTACAAACAGCAAGGCAAGGATCACAAGCTTCTGAGCTCTGAGCTGAAGCAGCTGTTGAAACCGCTCCACATGACGGTCAAAGAGGCCAGTGCTGCCATCTACAGTTCTCCATGGTCGCACCTGACGTCCAACAACCCTACCTCAATGGGTCCACCATCGCTGTCATCCATCACATCACGCACGCAACCCCCAAGGTTCCACAATCGGCCAGGCCTAAGCGCTAGCGGGCATCCTTCCTACCTCAGCAACATCAACACCCAGGTCCCCACGGCGAACTCAAACTACTCGGCGCAACCCTACTCGACAGCAAGCCTACTGTCACAAGGGTCAGGTGGGTACGGTACCCCTGCAACACCACTAAGTGCTGCTCTCGGCGCCGCAGCGCAAGCCACGGTGCCAAACACGCCCAAGTTCCCGCCCGGCCACGGATCCGGTACCCTCAATGTCTTTGAACGAGCAGATAGGCTGCTGAGCCAAACATCGCGCCGCATCTGAACACCCGCATCCTGAGTACATTTCCAGCCTCGGCACATTCATTCTTTATAGCGTCTGCATAGTGTTATCATCTGAGCCTTCTTTCCTACATAGTCTGCACATCTTAGCGACGGCGTTGTCCGGGTTCCACTCGTTTGCATGGCATATTGGATTGCATATTGTACCAGGTGTTTGTGGTTATTGGGGTTTATGGCATGGCTGGAGTCTCGGCAAGACTATATGAAAGTATGTATATGTATGGCATGATCTTCTGACGCATTTTCTGCACTGATGTTACTGGAGACATGGGTGATGTGATTGGTACTGAGTGGCATCATCCGACTTGACACTTCATCTCTTAGTCTATGACATGGTTCTGTCGAATACCTACGCAGCCCCGTCCCGAACACGTTCAAGCACCACATTTAACAACTATTACTAAACACCGACACGATAAGGTGACGATAGACTACGAGACGTATCGTATACCGGTTGCGGTACAATTAAAGAGTCAGTCGGGGCATGCATGACCTCTGCTTGCCTATCACTCGCCGGCGCTGTGTGTGTCGACACCGTCTGAGAAAGCAGGACGCCACTTGCTACCTCCAAGTCCACCTCACTAGCCCCCAAGGGGGTCAAGGCTCGAGACGAGAGGCCCTCATCTGGATCACCGTATCAGCGGAGCACCGGAGCAGAGAGTACCGATACATACAAGAAGACTTAGACCGAGCACGGCGACTCCGAAAGAGTACGCAGCCCAGGGAATCTCGATAGTGCAGTCCAGCGAGCGCGACGATGATGCCGAGGACACTGATGATGCCGAAGCTTATCTGCAGTGTGATCTCGGTGCGGTTGCTTGAGGATGACATGCACTTGTGTCAATTGGAGGTGTTGAGTTCGAGGAAAGCGGTCTTCACCAGTGAAGTGTTAGTTGTATGGAGAAAGAGGCTTGAAATCGACGGTCTGGACGAGCGACCCAGCGATCCAAAGCAAGTCATGGATACTTATACGGCTGCATCGAAAGACTTGCTATGGTATGTCGTGCTGATATTTGACCGGACAATTGCGAGAACATGTCTCATGGTTCTTGGAAGAGAACCAAACGGCAATTTCGTCCAATGGGGTGAGAAGCGGCTTGAGGTGCGTGTTGGTAGCTACACACAGGCTGTTCGTCACTAGACAGACTGGTCGAATCTCCTGCTGGTTCAACTCGAATCTCCTGCCGGTTCAACCCTCCCTCCTGTCAATCAAGCACCCGACTGATCTCGGCTATGCAGAGATCCCGCTGGGTTAGTTCTTAGCCCGCTACTTCTCTCCGTGAGCGTAGTAACATCCAGTATCACAGCCTACCCATTCTGAAGGACCGACGGGAAGACCGTCGGCTTTCCGACATCGCTGGTGAACTTAGCTCACAGCTCTGTTCGCTGGCTACACCTAACTCGTCCGGAGGAAGAAGGATCCCTGTATTCTGGTAGGGTGATCCGGCGTACGACCAGCCTGATTTTCACCTGGTGCATCCTTAGACTACGGCTTGCTGGTGGCTTGCATCGGGTGCTTTCGGTATTGGTCCGCACACACCGTTGCTGTGCGCGGCTCGGACAACCAGGATGACTGCGCTGTGCATGCAACAGGCTGCATCTGCACGTCAGCTGCATTAATTACACGCTAAGATGACTTTCGGCGTGTTTGCAATATCAGTTTGAATATGATTCGGTCGCAATGATGGAGGGACAGGATGCTACCAATCTAGGCACGGTTCTTGCATGGCAGACTCTACGATGACATGTTCATTGATTGATGCAGAACCTGGATACAGTGGGCATGGCTTTTGAAGGAAATGGAACAGTGTAAGTTTGAATGACTGACACCACGGGAAACCATCTACAGATTCACGTGTCTTGCTGTGCGTTAGAGTCGCTCCACTGCTTTGCGAGGACACACAGGTAGAACGGCAAACCGCTCGAAACGATGGAGGTAATTTGGCGAGATATCGTTGCGCGCATGGCGATATTCAGGTCTTCGTTCACGGACTATCGCCCCTAAGGCGTTCAATGGACACGCTTGGTTCTGTAGACGGCGTGAGTTTGATGAAACTGGAGCTCTCACATGAAAAGCAAAAGCAAGGATTTGGTCTCAGAGACATCAATTTTCTGCTGAGATTAAGGCTAAATCTGCTGCGGATGTGGAGAGGCCCTATCGTCCTTCCTCTATATGCGTGTGTCTATTTTGGTGTGCCGGCATTCATGTCGAGGAAACAGCGATCAACTCTTGTCGCAACCTTGCCTTTGCCACTTGTTGGATACCACTCAACGACTCTTGATAGTTCATCAGTAACGATTCCCAAGTAGGCTGGCTATTTCTGAGTTGAGTTGGAGATCGATGTGGTAACGTCGTTGTCCGGTGAATCAAGGTCAACTATATCGGCATTGATCAATGCTTGGGCCGTGTCGGTCGAGGCGTGTGCTGGAGACGAGGGCGAAGCTGTTGGTGTGTGTCCAGATGTAGAGCGGACCGAGAGGTCGTACGATGGAGGCAGAGTAGTTCGCCGTGAGTACTGGACGGGCGGTTGGCTTGATGTGTCTGTCACTGTAAGAGGATCGGTTTCAGGGTCGGTGACTGAGGTAGACTTAGCATTACAATGTCAGATGTGGAAGGGATCAAAATCACCTCGAACATGATTCAAGAACACTCGACGAAATAATACGCAGCCAAGAGAATCTCGGTAGTGTAGACCCGCAAGTGTGATCAATGTGCTGAACACACCGACGATGCCGAAGACTAGTTGGAGAGTGCGCTCATAGGGATCAGACATGATATGTCAGTGCTTTAAGTAGCGAATATCGAATAATGATAGTTGAACAGAATGCTAAGGTAGTTTGAGATACAAAGGCCTCTGCAAGGCTGCTGTTCTTGGTAGCGCGGAATACGATATAGAAAGCATTTTGACTACGAGCGAGCAGTACCCTCTTATTCAAAGATGGAGAATTGGATCTCTTCTGGCTTTATATGTATTTGGGGGGTTACGATGGCTTAAATGCAGATGTACCAACACATGAAGGACCATGAGTCTCGAAATGAGGGACTGCGCACAGCCCCCAAGGCATTACGAATTGAGGCTTTGACTTAGGTACTATGGTTTGGTTTGATCAAAGCCACACCGGACACTGTGGAGTCGTTCCAAGCAACTCAAGCTGAAAGAGGAGTTCAAGCCGTCTTGGCCGTGGCGTGGGTGCATGCTTGTGCACGTATGAGCCGTGAAAGAACTGGCCGGAACCCACAACCAACACAGATGATACGTACGTCTGCAGACTCAGCCTCTTCAAGGTAGATTCTGACCAATGGAAATCCAGGTTTCTGCAAATTGTTTGGCAACGATGCGTTGTCGTATGCAATTGTGCCCAACAAGGCTGAGGCTGTGCTGCTGCAGTGTGCGACTACAGAATTCTCCATAGGTGGAGACTCGCTCAATGACAGATGATTCGGAACCTTATGATAATGAGCTGCGATCAATAACAAGGTGTTCCAGTTTATGCTACCTTCTGGTCACTCAGCCACGCTGTTCCGTGCTTGTCGAGCACAGGCGGAAGAAGAAGCGTCTTACCGGTATCTGTGGCCTTCGACAATTGCGAATGCATGGACTTAGACTCTCTCGAACTTGTCAAAACTAAAGTGTACAAGAGTAACATCTTACCTGATTGACCTACCTTCGGCGTAGATTGATGGACCGCATGTCGAAGGTAGCCTTTCCTTGCTGCACTAAATCGAGAGTATCCTGGTGTAAGAACGGCCAGTATTCCTGATTTTGTGGGGTCTCTCCAATTTTCTTCTAACAATCTCGAGACGACCTAGACAAAGCCGTGAGAGACATAACAAGAAGTTATGCAATTACTACTCTCTGAGCGGCATCTCAGCGGGTCTCTGAAGCCAGGCCCATAAAAAGAGCACCCAGAAGCCAATCAACATGCTTTGCTGCCTCATCCACGATACCCAAAATTGATTAGCATGTCGAAGTTTCACAAGTAATGCGGTGCAGCGATCGACTGTTTTGCAAACCTGCCTAGCTAGGCAAGATGCGGCTGATCGCGCGATTGCGGCGCTGACCTCACATGTCAACAGCTTCATACGCGACCGCTGATCGCAGGCTTGCGCCTTTCACCTACGAATCGTTAACACCATCCCCTCTTCAGGCTATCAGGAGCAGGTCTGCGATTGCAATTCATCAGCCATTGGACCTGCCGTACCTTCGATCCACGCACACCTCATCACCCTGAGCTCATCATGGGTATGACAACCGGCTTCGTGAGTGCCCATCAGCCTTACCCTATATGCTGCCACTTACAACATAATAGCTCGGAGGCTTCACCCTCACCTCGGCCATCCTCTACCTCTCCATCTCCCTGCACGCACAGAACCGCGCGACGCAAGCTGCGTTGCTGCGCCAACAGCGCAACGTCCTCACAAGCTTCTACGAGCCCAAGGAGCCCGAGCGCGAACCCAGGGCGCGTGAGGTGCCGATCGGGCTGGCCGAGATGGCCAAGGACAGGTGGAATAGGGTGCTGGAAGAGTCGGTGCAGGTGGCGTACAACACAGATTGGAGGAGGGTCAGGGAGAGCGCTGAAGACAGGGTGAGCAACATTGCACAGAAGATCAGAGAGAGCGGGAAATAGGTGCGCTGTGGGCGAGATAGCTGGACGAGGCGTGCGAGTGAATGCGACGATACCCTTCTCACAGCGACCATTGTGGAACTGCTAGCTGCATCGAAATTCCTCAAGTAGGGTGGAGTGTCGCTTCTTGCGTGCCTTCCGAGTATGCGACTCAACTCTGCGTGTTTCTTGTGTCACATTCTGCCCTCTCACCTTCACTTCAGCACTTTCACCGTTAGACCACAAACTCCTATAATCCCGACTTTTTTGCCTTCTGCACTTTCACCATTTGACCACAACATCCCTCCGACCTTGCATTCAAAGTAAGTACTGCGCACGGTATGGCATCTTTCGGCAAGGTGCTCGACCTGCTCGACGACCGCTACCTCGAGCTGCAGGACGTCGTTGGCAATGCCGAGCCGCTACCAACACTCGTTCCGTACGAAGAGTATGCTCAAAACGTGCTGGTTTACCGCATGGATACGGATCATGAGATCGTCATGGGCTTGATCCAGGACTTCACCTTTCGTCTAGCACACCAGACGCACAAGGAGCTCTGGACGTGGTTAGTGCAGTGGGAAGTTGACAAAACGCCACCTGTGCAGCAGGCTCAATCACCAAAAAAGGTTCGCCTAGACGAAGAGCAGCCAACGGCGCCGCGTCCAGCGCCCGCTCTCACTATCTTCGAGCGACGCACGCTCGACGGCGCGCTGCTGCTGGAGGATGATATGTTGCGCATTCTGCTTGACATTGTGCAAGTTGGCAGCGCACTCGTCCCCAACTTTATCGAGTTTTTGTACCGCTGGATTGACTATCACGAGGGCGACGGAAAAGCGCTCAAAGCTGCGCTGAGATGGGAGATCCCAAGTTTGTGGGACTTTGACTATCACCCTCTTGTGCTGCCGCCGAAAGAGGGAGAGAAGACTCAAAACACAGGCGGGCAACACGAAGAAGGAGAGAGAACTGTAAGTGACAGCGAGGCTACTGAGCTGCAGCAAAGCTCACCGTCGAAGATGTATGGACGACAGAAACCCGATTTAGCAGCCATTGAGCGCCGCACGTTCTACACCGAAGAGAGCGAACGCCTCTTATACCGCGAAGTCAAGTTCGGCATGCAGCTACCCAAGGTTCATCAGCCGCTGCCACCACTCATCAACGTTCCCCACGAATATCGTAAACGTACGAAGTACTATGCCGCGTGCTTCAGGTCCCGCCAACGCGCCCTCTTCCTCCTCCTTGAAGCCGGTCTCACTATGAACCAGGTCAACAACTATCAGAAGCTGCAGGCTGAGCACCCCAAAGAAACGCCCGATACATCTACCGGCAACGGTCTCCGCAACTACGAAAAGGACGCTAAATACGCACAGAGGCATTTCGAGTGGAGGGAGAAGCAAATCAAGCAGCGTGAGATCGCCATCAGCAACAATCTCGCCGTCGAAGCCCAGCTCGCTGCCAGCCATGCAGTTCCCGACGGAGCAGCTGGCCTGCCGCTCATCCCACCTACTCCGTCGTACACAAGGAAGACAGACATGATGGCCGCTATGTTGCGGAAACTTAAAGAGAAAAGAGCAAACAAGGAAGAGAGGATCAGGATCGTACCGAAGTCCCTCGTGGGCAGGATGAAGAGTAGTGTGTTTGAAAACACAGAAGAAGAGCCTTCATTCCTGCATCAGCCTGACATTGGAAGCTCACCTATACTTGGGCCAAGGCGGCAACCTTTCCACCCCCAGTCTGACGATGGCAACGAAGACATGGATGTGGAAAGCGAAACCAACAGCAACGCAAGAAGCGAGGCTGGTGATGAGGATGCAACTACTGAACAAGCGTCAGCTGCGAGTCTGCCACGCCCGTTGCTACCACCGCCACTACCACCGCCTCCTTTTACGATAGCTAGCAACCCATCATCGAATTCGAGCGATAGCAATGGAATAGTTGGCCAGCCAGTAGACGACTTCGATTCACTATCTGCTCCCGATCCGTCTACAACATCTAACATCGTCAGATACATCCAGAACCTGACCGTGGAACAAGCCCAGCGTTTGATTCCTCTGCTACAGCAGGTTGCCGTAAACAGGCTTCAGCAAGATTTACAAGCGCAAGAGACATCATCATCTGACTTATCGCAGTTGGATGACGGACTATCGAGCTCTGTTCAGACAGGACCCATGACAGATCCCTACTTTTCAACAAGTTTACCGGGAACACTTCCAGCTCCATATCCGACATCTTCAGGATTCAGTCAAGGGCTGGAGCTGCCCAGAAATACTACAATACCTCAGACAATTGTGCCAGGATCTTCGATATCTATGCCAGCCTCGTCTCACTTGCAAGAGCTACAGCCATCACCCACGCCGCCCTTGGGCACCATGCTGCCACCGCCTCGCCCGGGCATCGTACGAAACGCGCCGACGCCTCTTTCCTTGTCTCCATCAAAGCCCTCACCATTCTCGACCCTCGGACCCGAAATCCTCGCCACATCACCCTTCCGCGCTGCGTCCTCCCCCGCTAGAACACCAATCCAGATCTACCTTCCCAAGATCCTCGTCCCAGGTAACGGCATTGGGCCGGGTGGAGCGAAGATGGGAAACGGCGGATGCACCGAGACCGACGCCCTGCTGCTAGGCCATGAGGACGCGCAGACCCGACGATTAATCCTCAGCAAGGCTATCCTCCTCCCCGTTGGTGTATGGGAGAATACGCTCCGCAAATTGCGTTCCGACCACTGGACGATTCTGGAGACGTATCCCTGCCCGTCGTCTCGCACAGCCGGGGGGAAAGGTAAAGAGAAGGCTGTGGATACCATGGGCAAGGGATGTCACCGGGCGGTATACGACAAGTTAGCGTATGCGTATGGCATGATGAGAGGCGCGCCGAAAATCAGGGAGGATGAGTTGACAAAGCGCTGGCGTGTTAGTCCTGGACCTATGACGAGCCGAGATCGAGGGGCTGTGTGGGAGGGGTGGGGCGTGTATGTGGATCGAGAGATTGAGATGAGTGCTGCTGAGCGAGCAGATGCGCTAAAGCTCGCAGTGGACACGCCTGGAATGGGTGAAATTGACGGCACGGAAGACCTGGATGGAAGAGCGTATGAGACTGAGCGGAGGAGAAAGGAGGTGAACGAGCTCCTGGATGAAGATGAGGAGATGACCGACTAGTCTCGGATGGAGTGCAGAGGAGACTGGTTCCGGAAGTTTCAAAGTCATCTCCAAGAAGACAATAAGAGTCTTGATTGGATTGCAAGAGGTTCTTACAGTCGCTCCGCAATTTTGAAATTTCTCTATATGCATCGGCCACCGTCGACTTCCAAATTCGTTCCTGTGATGAACCTCGCCTCGTCACTCGCCATGAAGACGCATGCATTCACAACGTCCTCGATCTCTCCGATTCTGCCCATCGGTACGTTGCCAATGAATTTCTTCCTGTTGTCGGGGGTATCCTCCATGCCCGTGAACGCTGAGAACAATCCTGTTGCCGTAACAAGCGGGCAGATGGAGTTGACTCGAATCTGGTGCGGTCCATACTCAGCCGCAAGGCCTTTTGTTGCCTGGCGCGGATTAGCAACTATCCCCTCAGCATCGACAGTGAACTCACGTTCCAAACCGCGCCCTTTGACGCATTGTACCACACCAACCCAGGCCTCGGCCTCGTTGCACCCACACTAGCAATGTTGATGATCACGCCCCCCTCCTTCCTCTCCACTGCCTGACCGACCCACGCCTGGCACCCCAAGTACACACCCTTGACATTGACATCAAACACCCTCTCGAACTCCTCTTCAGTGACGTCTACCGTCGGCTTGTTGACATAGCTCCATCCCGCATTATTGATTAGAATATCGCAGCGCCCGAACTTTTCCTTGACGGTCCGCATCGTAGCCTCCCAGTCAGCGCGCTTGGTCACATCCATCTTGAATGCTGCGAGGTTGGCGCTGTCCTTGGATGCTGTTGCCTGCGCAGTCGATTCGTTGATGTCGCACACGAGCACCTTTGCACCTTCAGCGGCGTAGCGGAGCGCAATGCCCGCGCCGAAACCCGAGCCAGCGCCTAGGGAGTTAGTTGGGTAGTGGGGTGGTGGGGGAGAGGGGTACCGGTCACAATCGCTACTTTGCCGTCAAGTCTGCCCATTGTGTGTGCGTTGATTCTGGTTGGGGGATTTGGGTTGAAGAAGGGATGTGTTGATTACTTGTCTCGATCTGTGCCTATAGAATGACAGTAAGAGCGATGGTCAAGTAACCGAGCAATATCCGGGTTTCTCTCCGCAAAGATCACTCCACAGTCTTCCGTACATGGTAGCCGCACCTACGGGTTACCAATCAAGGCGCTCCCGGGCCAACCGCTGTGTTACGGAGAACAACACAATGAGGGGTAGCAAAGACGTGTGCTGACGTCGGTTGCAGAGCGGTGGTGGTCGGCCTAGATGGCCGCTCATTGGTCATCCTTGTGTTCGGCTATATGGTTCGTTAGGTGGGGGTTGCTGATAGATGTCATTGATCCCTGAATCCTCAAAAGGGCGAGAAAGGTCCGGCTGTTTCTTGGTGGATTGTTCGACATCCCATTCAATTCATTTTCGGTCCAATTTTCAGTCACGTTGCCGTCAATATGGGATCAGCACAGAAGTACGAGCTTCCGTTCAAGGTTAGCAAAGTGTTACAGTCCTATAATCTTCAATGACCGACTTTCACTAGCTCAACAACCCCGAGCTCCTCCACAACAAGTCGTGTGTTGGTGGCGAGTGGAAGGATGCGAAGTCCGGCAAGACATTCGAAGTCGTTGGTCTGTTACTCCCCTGATTGTTTTGGCTATTGCTCATGAAATGCAGACCCCGGTACCGGAAAGCCGTGGATAGAGTGCCCGACTAGCGATGCATCGGACGTCGACGCTGCCGTCAAGAATTCGCACGAAGCTTTTCTCGAGTACAAGAAGATTAGCCCCCGCCAAAGAGCACAGTTTCTGTACAAGTGGGACCAGTTGATCCGCGACAACAAGGAAGACATCGCTACGATTCTCGTTTACGAGACTGGAAAGCCTCGCTCTGAAGCCTATGGCGAGATTGACTACTCAACAGGCTTCACATGGTGGTTTGCGGGAGAGGCAGAACGCATCCAGGGCACCAACTTCACGCCTGCGTTGCCAAACCGCCGCATCTTCACCATCAAGCAGCCTGCGGGTGTCGCTGCAGCACTCGTTCCCTGGAACTTCCCTATTGCCATGATCTTGCGAAAGGCTGGCGCAGCTCTTGCCGCAGGTTGCACCATGATAGTGAAGCCAAGCCCAGAGACGCCCATCACAGTCCTAGCACTGGCGCATCTTGCGCTGAAAGCTGGTTTCCCTCCTGGTGCGCTGAACGTACTGACCACAGACCTTGACAAGACACCCGAACTCAGTGAGGCCCTCTGCCGTCATCCCCTCATTGCCAAGGTTACATTCACCGGATCGACCAGAGTTGGAAAGCTGGTTGCAAAGATCTGCGCAGACAACCTGAAGAAGGTGACTCTGGAGCTCGGAGGCAACTGTCCCGTCTTGATCTTCGACGATGCGAACATCGAGCAAGCTCTGTCGCAGATCTTTGCCCTCAAGTACCGCCATGCAGGCCAGGCCTGTATAACAGCAAATCGAATCTACGTTCAGTCTGGCATCTTCGACAAGTTCCTCGAGAGGTGGAATGCCGAGACAGACAAGATCGTCGTCGGCCACGGCTCAGATGAGAAGACGACCATGGGTCCAGTAACCACTCCTCGCGGCGCGCAGAAGGCGCTCGAGCTCGTAGAGGATGCGAAGAAGAAGGGGGCAAAGATTCACAAAGGTGGCAACAAGATCGATGGGAAGGGCGGCTACTTCTTCGAGCCTACCGTCATCACCGGCATTACCCCCGACATGGACATTGCAAACGAGGAGATTTTCTCGCCCATCTGCACATTCATCAAGTTCGAGACAGAAGAAGAGGTGGTCAAGAAGGCGAACGACACTTCAATGGGCCTGGCATCATACCTCTTTACCAAGAACGTAGACCGCTTGTGGAGGCTATTCGAGAGCCTCGAGGCGGGCATGATCGGGTTAAACACTGGTAAGCAGACTAGAGAATGACTCGACAAGAGCCAGCTGACAATTGCAGGCAACTCATCGGCCGCCGAGTCACCGTTTGGTGGCATCAAACAGAGTGGATACGGCAAGGAATCTGGAAAGGACGTGGCTGTGAACGAGTACCTGATAACGAAGACTGGTACTTTTACTCTAGAGGAGAACGCATGAGCGTTCGTAAGGACGGCTGATAGGTCGTTTGAAACGGATAATTAACAAACGATAAACATATGGTCACTCAACTTCAGCAATCGGAGATTTTGTGTCATTCGCCGTTACCCGTTTGACATCATGGGTGGCTTACGTGATGGTGTGCTACTAACCGTAACGAACCCTGGTGTCGGCTGAACCATCTATCGTTGCACGGATAGACACCAGCCATTCACCCCGCGTCTTCCTATCCATTGACCTAACACGTCAGTAATTATATTCAACATGGACGTCGAAATGGGAGACGTCGCCTACGACATTGACATCGATGTCGGGGCAGGCGTTCAGACCTCAGTCGCACAAGCAGCAAGTCGCCCGTGGCGCGTCGCATCCGCCCGAGACTGACATTTGCGCAGCCTGAACCAACCACACAAGGCGAATCGGTCCCAGCAGCATACTTCGAGGATCTTCAGCCCCAGAAGCCATGGCCCGAGTATCTGAACCTGCAGGGCGTGAGCACTTTCGACCCGAATGACCCTCTCTACTACACCATGGAGGTCCTCGGCGCCGAACCGCGTGTCAAGCAGCTGCGTTGGGTCAACGACAACTCGGTGAACCTCGAGTTCTACAGCGCCGAAGACGCTGCCACCGCGCTGACCGCCCTCACCCATCCCGACACGAACCCCAATTCGATCGCTTCGCAAACGTCTCGGCCAGCAAAGCCATACTCGAAGAAGCCTGACAGCGCACTGGTGGTACGAGAGTCGAATGCCGGCGACCAGAAGCCGAAGGGCGCAGCCAACCGCAGCAACTACTATCAGCGCAACCCAGACGTCAGGGACAACAAGCAGAGGGAGCCACGGCGCCGACAGCCGCCGAAGAGAGACTTGCTTGACTACGGCGACGAAGAACATGGCTCGAGGAGTCGAAGGAGGAGAAGGTAGGCAACCATGCCAGCTGTCACTTCTCACGCTAATCCAAGCAGCCGCAGCGGAGACATGTCAATGGACGAGGATTCCGGGGTTGAGAGGCGGAGAAACAATTACCCCCGCAACGACAGAAACGGCCGCGACCGCCGCGACGGGCGAGACAACCGTGACGGGCGAGACAGAAGACCCAGAGACTCTGGGAGAGACTCCGGCAGGCTCAATGCCGATGTCGACTCTTACAGGCCTGGCGGTGATGGGTACGCGAGCCTCGCAACCTCAAGTAATCTTGACTAACTCCTCCCAGTGAATCGCGGCATGGCCGCCTCCGAGGCCGCAGCGCATCCCCTGCGTCGAACGACGAGGGCGACGGTCGGTTCGGGTTCGCAGAAGATAGCAGCAACGTGCGCACCCGCTACCGCAGCCGGAGCCGCAGCCGCGACACGCGCCGCCGCCGTGAGCCCAGCGCTGAACGATGGACCCACGACCGCGCCAACTACGGAGACCGAGGCTCAAAGTCAGACGGTCGCTGGCAGAAAGACATGTTCGCTGTCGAGACATCACCGATGGGCAACCACCGCCGGTCAGACGCTGGGTCGGGTGGCTCCCTACTCTCCCGCATGACCAAGGACGGACGGCCAGTCAACTCGCTGGCCAGCCGGATCACACGCGACGACGACGAGCCCAGGCCGCGTTCGCTGGCGAGCCGCATGACACGCAACGGGGAGGACGACGGGTATGGGCGGTTGAAGGGCGACGACAGCATACCCAGAGACTACGAGTTCGACGAGCCCAAGCCCCGGCGCGGACTGGCTGACCGGATCTCGAGAGAGGCCGAGGGCATCAACATCCGCGGCCAGGGCTCGAATGGCGGAGCAGGCATCAACATTCGCGGTGTCGCAAACACCTCCTAGGTGGGGGGTAGGATTGGATATGACGATGCTGGTAGGACGTAGAAAAGGTCTGCTCAAACGCTGAAGGCCAGTGTTGTGCGCACCTAGATTGGAAAGGCGGGACACCATACTGTTGCCTGCTTGAATGAAAGCACAGACATTTCTGCTCAGCCAAACTGCTCTGACGCGTGACTGCCCCACTCCCTCTTTCACGGTGTCGCAAACGGTCCTGTGGCGGCTGGAACCGCACCGCAGCCACCATGCGCGGGTACATAAACGCTGCAGTCCGATGTTTCTGCCAGAAGTTCATACAATCCTCATCGGTCTCCGTGGCGCAATGGTAGCGCGTTGGACTTCTACCACCTCTGAGCGGTCATCCAAAGGCTGCGGGTTCGAGCCCCGCCGGAGATGCTTCTTTTTGCTTTTATTTTGGATCTATTTTGCTTTTATGCTTGGCCGGAAAGGAGCGCCACGTGGGGGTGAGGCAGGCACGAGACGCAGGCTAATGCAGGAACGAATGCAAGGCAAGCGCACGAGGGTGCATTCAACTTTTGAAGTCTACTAATATCGTATCGTATCCTATCGTATCCTATCCTACTGTCGCAGGCGCCTGCGTGCGTCTGCGTGCCTGCCGCCGAAGGCCCCGTTGCGTGCGTGCAGCGTAATCGTATATCCATGTCTGTTTACCGTGATTTTCATAGCCAGCTGTGGCTGCTTCGCGTGCGCAAAGAATAACAACTCCGGACCCAAACGCTCAAGAACAGAAACAAGTCTCGGGCGCACTGCCGCGCCGAGACGGAGAAAGACACGCCCCAAGTCGGCCCGCGCCTGTCGCCGGGACAGGAGGCTGGCTGTCAGCCCAGCCTGGCCCGGCGGCCGTGTTGCCAGAAGGGGTAGATGGTGGGCAGGGCGACACGCCCCACTAGAAGCGTCCGCGCTCTTGCACGCGCTCGACGCCGTCGGCGAAGCTCCTCGTCAGCCCGACGCTCGCCCAGAAGTCGTCGCCGATGTCGCCGCGCCGCGTGAGGCGCTCGAGCAGGCTACGCGCGTCCCGCAGCTCCTGGTCCAGCGGGGAGGCGGGGCTCGTGCTGTGATCCGCGTCGTCGGCGGCGACGGTTGCGAAGCTGTCTGCTTCCTGCTCGTCCTCGCTTACGACGGGGATCTGCGCGTCGGCCTGCGCGTCTTGCGACCCGTCGAGTTGGTACAGAGCGCCGTGGGTGTTTGGGTTGGCGTAGTAGCTCCTCACGTATCGCCGTGCGTCGACGCCTTGGTCTCTTACGCTCCTGCCGTACCGCCTCGGGCTGGGCGGATGGGCGGCGAAGTAGCTGGGGCGCATGCGGCGTCTGGTGAGAGGGTTGGCGCTGGCTTCGTCTTCAGTGTCGGAGGCGGTCGAGTCACCTTCGTCAGAGGACTCGCACGCACGCGCGAAGCTCTCGCTCATCTCCTCGCCGCGTCTGCGTACGGCACCGGGAGTCGGCCGCCGCGACGGGATGGTGACGTGGGTGTGCTCGCTGGGAGCCGAATTAGAGTTGCTGCTGCTCGCTCGACTGCTAGAGGCAGCGAAGGAGGCGCTGGCGGCGGACGAGGCGAAGGAAGACTCGGCGGTGGGCGGGACGGGGTCTGGCACTACCGTGCTGAGAAAGTTTTGCCAGGGCAGGTTCGAGGAGGTGCTGGACATGCTGTTGCTGCGCTCGCGGTCGCCAAGGCCGTCGACGGTGGAGACGGGGGACCAGGACTCGCGGAGCGACGAGGCGGGCAGCGGACCGTCGGCAATCCTGCGGTGGCCGACGCGGCGGAGGGGCGGGTGCGAGACGGCGTTGGTGCGTGACATGCCGTCGTCATCGTTGGTGCGCGGCGTCTCGTCGTCATCGTCGTCGGAGTATCGCTCGTCATCGTCGGGCACGATAAAGCGGTCCAATAGGCGTGACCGCCGCGGGCGCGGGCCGTCAGATCTGGTGTGCTCGCCGGGGATGACGACGGGCGAACGGGGGCGCGCGGGCGCGAAGCCGGGCGTCAGGGCGGGCAGCGGACGCGTGCCGTCGGCGTCGGCGGGGCCATCGGCGGGACCGTCGGCGGTGCGCAGCGGGCGCGGCTGCAGCTCGTCGCGGTCGAAGTCGCGCGCGCGCAGCTCGGGCACGGGCGGGGCGGGCGGCAGCTGGGTGCGAGCGTGTGAGAGGCGCGGGGCATGCTGCACGCCGTCGAAGCGCAGCGTATGGCCGCTGAGCAGCACGGGCTCCAAGGGCTCGAAGGACCATTCGCGCCGCGGCCTTGCGGCCCTCCCTCGCGTGCGCCGTCGGATGGGCGACCGCGCGCCGGTCAGGTCGGCGCGCAGCACGTCCTTCTCCTTTGCCTCGTCGCGCACAATGTTCCAGCCGACCGGGATGCCCATCGCGAGGGTGCCGCCGGCACAAATGAGGGTGGCAGTGAGAGCGGGCGAGAGCGGCGGACGGGCGGGCGGCGGGCGAGATGCGTGGTGAATGGACGCTGGAGGCTGGACGACGGGAGCGATGGAGCCAGCGTTCCTGGCCTAGCCACGCTAGCCCGTGATAGAAATGAGGCTCCAGCCGTTTATGCACGCCTGCGGGTCCGCGGCAGCAGCAGTCGACGTCCTGCACCGGCCCCGGCACTCAGAGATGAGACGTCGTGAGCGCGCCGCTGCTCCCTCTGCCGCGGCCGCCCGTCCTGCCCCTCACGCGTCCGCTGATCGTTGCAAGGCTCGCAGAGGCCACATCAAGCCGCACTGCCAAGACCCGCGGCCCGATTCGGCTAGATCGCCTTTTGCCTTTCTTCATCCAAGCTTGTCCAGTCGCCGCTGCGACGCAACTGCTGCCTGCAACGCCGCATCCTGACAGCTCTCCATGGCTGGGATCCAGCCCGGGCTGACACGCGTGGCTGCCCTCCTGAAGGGCGTCGAGTTCCGGTGGAAGGCCATTCACGTGGCTGGCACCAATGGCAAGGGCTCGGTGTGCCACTATGCATCGTCCATACTGGTGGGCATGAGCCGCAACGTCGGCAGATTCACGTCTCCGCATTTGGTAGATAGGTATGGGCTTCCCCCTGCCTGCAAGCACTCGACTAAGAACTCAGATGGGACTGCATTACTCTTGGGGGCAAGCCCGTCAGCGAGCACAAGTTTCGTGCTGTCGAGGCCCACTACCTCGCAGCCAACAGAAAGCATCACATCGGCGCTTCTCCATTTGAGATCTTGACGGCCACAGCTTTCACCATCTTCAACGATGCCAAAATCGACATTGGCATCGTTGAAGTCGGCATGGGTGGCAAGCTCGATTCCACTAATATTCTGAACAACCAAGCTGTGTCTGTCATCACCAAGATCGCACGGGACCATGAAGGCTTTCTCGGCAGCACACTGTCGCAAATCGCTTCCCACAAAGCCGGCATCCTGAGGCCCAACACTCCCTACATTATCAGCCCTGACAATGAAGTGAATGTCCAGGCCGTCATCGAACAACACGCACAGAAAATTGGAGCAGGTCCCCAGCTCTTGAACACTAGCTTCAATTTTCCCCAAACGCTGTACGGCCTCGCGAAGTGGGCTCGTATCACGCAAGGTCTTCAGCCATTCCAGATCACCAATCTCCAGTTGGCCGTAGTTGCAGCTATGCAGGTGTTGCAGACGACAGAATCGAAAACACCAAAACCCAACGAACTCGCGAAAACCCTCCTGGCCAACAAAATCAGGCAATTCCCCGGACGGCAAGAGATGGTCAAAGTGACACCAGTCTTTCGTCACTCCACCCAATTAAGAAACCATGTCTTAGTTGATGGCGCACACAACACTGACGCTGCGGTGGCGCTAGACACCATCGTGCAGGCAACCATGAGATATGGATCAACGCCTGCCAAAGAGCGGCCTGAGTCTGGATGGCCTGTCACATGGGTTCTCGCTATGACCGAAGGCAAAGACGCTCGGAGTTATCTCGCCACACTGCTGAAGCCAGGAGACAAAGTTGTGACTACTGCTTTCGGTCCTGTGGATGGTATGCCTTGGGTCAAGCCGATGGATCCTAAGGAACTGCTCGAGATTGCGAAGTCTGTTCAGCCACAGATCACTGGAGTCCATGTTCCTATCGTCGGTGCGCTTCGAGCCCTCAGTACGGCCAAGTACATGTCAGACCAAGTGGCAGCCTGGTCGCCTATAGTCCTTACAGGCAGTCTCTATCTCGTCGGCGACTTGCACCGCGAGTTGCGACTGCTAGCATATGACTGGTGGACGAGCACAGAACAGGACGTAGTAGCGGACAGGGAATCGTTCATGAAAATACAGGCCGAGGAACGCGAGCGCGTGACCGTCTTACGCTCTAAAACTGCAACCAACGAACAGACAAAGTTGCAAGAACAGCTCGACGCTCTGGATAGCGAAGTTGAGGTCCTCAAGATACAGGAGACCCGTATTACAAAAGAACGCTCAGTGGAATTGGACATGATCGACAACGACCCAACTCTGAGTGCAGCAGATCGCCTTGAGCGCATTGATCAACGTTTCGTAGAGCTTCACGCAACTCCAGAGGAGCTTGCTGCCTATATGGTGAGGGCTGAGAAGACGGCAGGCAACCTCGCTCGTTATCAGGCCGCAATGGAAGTTGCAGCCAAGGAGCGTGCCGCAAAAGCCGAGATCAAACAAAAACGCAAAGATAGGATAGAGGAACGGAAAGAAAGAAAGGCTGAGAGGAAGGCCAGGGACGAGATGCTTCTCGGAGGGAAGCAGAGGAGAGGCAAGTACTCAGGGAGTGAAGAAGGTGGCCCGAAAATATCCAAGTACCTAATGGGGGAAGAAAACGGTCCTGTGAGGATAAGCAAGCGCCGAGTGAAAGATGAGAGTAATCCTGTGAGAATAGTCAAGCACTACTACAAGCCCACAATCGGCCTGGCAGCCATTCCAGAGCTTCTAAGGACGAAAGCCTGGAAAGCTGGCGACGAGCGGGATGCATCGAACGCAATCAGGCATTACGGGCCCCGCGAGCATGGTGAGGATGGGAAGCCTACGCGGTAACGATAGTGTTGTCTGGCACAATGTACTATCTACTCTCAATTCACCACTCTGCTTTACTCCACTACAGCCAGCCAATAAGAATTAGATGCAGTGCCGAGCCAGTGTGTCCTGGAGTTGAGTCGTGCATGAATGTGCGAGTGGAAGTGACGCTGGAGACGATGGCCGTTCAGGAGGGCGATTCAGCCCACGTGCGTTGCGCCGGCCGAGACACTGTCAAGACTCGTGGTGCGCGCTTTGATCAGGTCACGCAGCGGCGAGCATTGACGCGACATCAGATTCCTGAACATCAGCTGCAGCTGTCCGCTCACGGCCGCGCAAGAGCTGTATCACCAAGTAGCGGCCGTAATCTGACACTCGAACACCTGGGGGCTGAAGAGCAGTGGGGAGGGACATCTTGATGGCGAGTCGGCCGTACACACGCACCGCAAGGCTGCACTACGGTGGTTCTCACGTTGCAGGATTGTAAACGGCGGACTAAGGATGAGCCGAGTATTCCACCACAGCAAAGTAGGGAAAGTCCAGAAAGAGTTTATAGACCACTTTTTACCTACAATAAAGGTAATGCCTGACTAGTCTTTGTTAGCTCTAGGCATCATAATAGCTGCAAGTTCTGTGATCAGTTGGTCGGCTCAAAACCACTTCTCCGCCGATTTTCCTGAAGTGCGAGAGAGGCTGGACAGAGCGCAGGAATCCAACATCACGCCGCCGTACAATACCTGCAACACCATGGGGCCGGCAAGCCGGTGCGCGGGGCTGGCTGCAGACATCACGCGTTGCTCGCTTCCCCATTCGTTTTCTCCATGACGGCGTCACGATGTAATTCTCCACCAATTCTCCACTGCGTCCTAGCAGACGAGGAGGCTCTGCTGGGCTGCCGGGCAGCCGGCGTGGGGGCACCGCCGATCGGTGGGTCGGCTGCAGCAGCTTGAATCAGGGATGCGCGCAGCGCAGCAGAGCCGCAGGCCGTGGCTCCGCCGGCGGGCGACGCGCTGTGCACGGAAACCTAGCCGCCGCACCGGAGCGAAGGGTCTGCGAGACGGCTGCGCTCAACAGCGGCGCGCTGAGCTGCAGCCGCGGTTCCAGCGCGGCCCTGACACCCACGCTGTGCTGGGCGGGTCCGGAGTGGGGCTGCACCTCGTTAGCAACGCGACCGCGCGCGTCATCGGGGCAGGGCGCCGTTCAAAGCTTTCAAGTGCCAGGGTCTCGATATCCTACGCTTCCTCCCCGCTGCATTGCCCCGGAAAAATTCGAGACTCCAGCATTGGGGTGTCATTGTGCTGGTAGAGAAAATCCGAGGTACGTCGAGTGCCACCTGGGCGCGCTGCCCTGTTCCGGGCGTCCTGGCGACAGCCGCGAGCATCGCTGCATTGCTTTGCGAAGCCGGGAATGCGCTGCCTGCTGATTCGCCATGTGCTGCGCGGCCGGCTAACCTTCGTGCGTGCAGGTCGAGGTCTCACGTCGTGTCACATTAATCTGTATTCTTATTCCTACTCTGTAAAATATTCTGCGGCGCTGTAGCATCCCGCATCCCCCTCGATCCATCACCGCACGCCAATCGATAGCGCATCATGGCTGCACGACGCTCGAGTCGCTTCCTCAAGCCGCTGGCCTACGCAGCCGGCGCCGGTCTGGCTGGCAGTGCAGTGCTGTACACAGTCATCCGACCGCGCGACATTCCCGGCACAGAAGCCGCCGCGGTGCCCCCACCGACCTACGGCGAGGGCGGCGTCTTCAACCCGCCCAAGTTCCCCAATGTGCTGTCGAGAGACGAGCAGATTGCGAAGCTGAAGGCGAGCGGCGGCATTGTCGCCCAGGTTGCAGAGAAGGCAAAGCACCTCATCACAGGGAGCGCATCGCCACCCCTGCAGAAGCCTGAGCAGGAGGAGTACGATCTGCTGGTCATTGGCGGTGGCGCGACCGGTGCTGGAATCGCGCTGGATGCTGTCACACGAGGTCTGAAGGTGGCCATGGTCGAGCGTGACGACTTCAGCAGTGGCACCAGCAGTAAGAGCACAAAGCTGGTGCACGGAGGTGTCAGGTACCTTGAGAAGGCTGTCTGGAACCTGGACTACAACCAGTGAGTAGCCAATTTTCCAATTGCGATTGCAATTGCAGTTGCTAATTGCACATCAGGTACGCCCTTGTCGTCGAAGCTCTCCGCGAACGCCGTTACTTTTTGGACACCGCACCGCATCTGTCGCAATGGCTCCCCATCATGATCCCCATCCAAAAGTGGTGGCAAGCGCCCTACTTCTGGGCCGGTACCAAGTTCTATGACTTTTTGGCCGGCTCGGAGAACATTGAGAGCTCGTACTACATGACCAAGAGTAAGGCTCTGGACGCTTTCCCCATGTTGAAGAAGGAGGGCCTTTTCGGAGCTCTTGTCTACTACGACGGCGCACACAACGATTCTCGCATGAACGTCTCACTGGCAATGACGGCAGCTCTGTACGGCGCAACCGTCGTAAGCCACGTTGAAGTCACCAGCCTGACCAAGGACGCGAACGGCAAATTGAACGGCGCTGTCGCAAAGGACCGCGTCGCCGAGTTCAACGGCAAGAAGGCCGAGGAGTTCACAATCAAGGCCAAGGGTATCATCAACGCGACTGGTCCTTTCACCGACTCCATCCGCAAGATGGATGACCAGACAGTTCAGGAGATCGTTGCCCCCAGCTCTGGTGTCCACGTCATCCTGCCCGGCTACTTCAGCCCCGCCAACATGGGCTTGATCGATCCCAACACCTCCGACGGTCGCGTCATCTTCTTCCTGCCATGGCAGGGCAACACAATCGCTGGTACCACCGACACTGCTTGCGATGTCAAGCAGAACCCCATCGCCGGCGAGGAAGAGATCGAGTGGATCTTGAAGGAGGTCAAACGCTACCTGCAGCCGGAGATCAACGTCAGGCGTGGCGATGTCCTGGCCGCATGGTCTGGAATCCGTCCTCTTGTCCGCGACCCTACCAAGGACAAGTCGGAGGGTCTCGTGCGCAATCACTTGGTGACCATGTCCGAGTCCGGTTTGCTCACCTGCTCTGGAGGAAAGTGGACAACCTACCGCCAGATGGCCGAGGAGACCGTCGACGAGGCTATCAAGGAATTTGGCCTGAAGGCCGAGGCTCTCACAAGTGCACCTTTGGTTAGTGGAACTCAGGTCAAGGATGAGGCCCCTCTCGACGGTACCTGCCAGACGCACCGTGTCCGCCTCGTGGGTGCCCACGGTTTCTCCAAGACCCTCTTCATCAACCTGGTCCAGCATTACGGCATCGACACCGAGGTCGCCAAGTACCTCTGCCAGGCCTACGGCGACCGCGCCTGGACCGTTGCCGCCCTCTGTGCGCCCACAGAAACCCGCTTCCCGGTGCGCGGCAAGAAGATCTCCGAGCTGTACCCCTACGTCGACGGCGAGGTGCGCTACGCTGTGCGCCACGAGTACGCGCAGACCGCTACCGATGTCATTGCGCGCCGCATGCGCCTCGCCTTCCTGAACGCGCAGGCGTCGCTCGAGGCGCTTCCGCAGGTCATCGACATCATGGCTGAGGAGCTCAAGTGGGACACAAAGCGCAAGGACCTCGAGTTCAAGAACGGCGTCGAGTACCTCGGCTCCATGGGCCTGCCCAAGAACAAGCTTAGCTTGACGCGCAAGGATGTCGAGAGCGGCAAGGTCGGCAAGTACGCCGACGAGGAGTACCACCTCTACGCGCGCCATGGTGAGTCTCCCGATCCCCAGCACTGCGCTGACCTTTTCGAGTTGGGAATCGCGCTAAACCGTGGATTTGCAGACAAGCCCGAGGAGCTGCTCCAGAGCGACTCCAAGATCCAGCCTGGGCAGAACCCTGTTGTTGGTCGCGACTCGCCCGCCAACAAATAAGTAACAGGACGTTGGAGTGTACATCTGGTTCGAACATCTTGTATATTGTTGCATAATCGGCGCGTTTGTTCTCGGGGAGTCCGAAAAGGTAGTTGCTAAGATACCTCTCGTCCCACGGCGTACGTCCTGGTCTGGATGTGCGCAAAATCCTATTCGTATATATTCTTGTTCAGTCAACTCTTGACGCCCGTCTGGGTGTCTGATGCACGTTCATTCTCGTGAGCCTAATAATTACGGCACAGGTGCAGTTCATCAATGGTCGAGGCCGATGGTGAAACGAAGATTATCAGACGATGGGAGCGTCGGGGATGTCGTGAGCGAGGTGGAAGAGCGAGGCGAGAGTGGTCTGTGGTAGAAGGAGAATCTCAACACCCAGCTGCCTGGTTTGGTCGCCTATTGCAGGGAGCATGGCCGATCTAAGGTAGTCGGCATCTGCTAGTCCAAGACAGCGTTCGTCTTTTGTGCGCGCCCTACCTATGTACAAGTGTTTCTAATTCTCTCGTATTACATCTCTTCATCAGCAGCAACTTCCTTGTTTCCTTCTCTTACGCTCAACAAAGCCTCCTGTCATCTTCTCACACGACTGCATTCCTGTCCCACTTCCAGACTTTTCCCCCAAGCAACAAGATCCCTACATTTTCAGCGTCGGCAACTATAAAAGTGTAGACAAGACTTAGGGCTGAGGTCAAGCCTTACTGTCGCCGGTGGTCCGCTGCAGCTTATTGGTGGGCGTTACGGGCGATTAGGTATCAAGCCACCCCAGCGTGTCTCCTCTTCCCCACGATAAGCTAACCCCAATGCAAAGATAACACCCTCGTGGAAACCTTGTGGCGAGAGCCTCTTATCCACCTTGCAAGCCATGGTCGGGCGAGACCGTCGCGCTGAGGAAACTGGTCCGACCACCCTGTCTATCAGCGCGCAGGCCGTTGCGTAACGAGCAAAGTCGCCCGCTCCCGAACCACCACCAAAAGGGTGCAGCACCAGGTCATGTTATCGGATAAGTTCTCGAGTATCACTTGGCACGCTCCAATGCAACGATCGTGCGCCGACTTTTTCCCTAGTCGACAGATTGCAAGTCATGGAACGCGACTGGCCTAGCACCAAGGCTCCCAGACGCGCCGCGAGTTCTGTATAAAGAGAAGGGCGATCTTCCCGGATCTTTCAGAGTCGCAGGTCTACTTCGTCAGCCCTCCCAGTACCCCATCTCAGACCCAACCCCTGCACATCCGCCAACATGGGTGTCGATCCGGAAATCGCGCAAACCACGAGTGCCTCCAAGACTGCTGAGGTGACGTCGCAGTATGATGGCGATGTGAAGCAGGGCCTTGTCGAGGGTAACGCACACTTTACTGCTGCTGAGCTCGAGAAATACGGCCAGACCCATCGTGGTCTCTCGCCGCGCCATGTCCAACTCATGGCCATTGGAGGTGGATACCCCCGCGCTGCTTTCAGTTCGCACAGACACTGACAAACCTCAGGATCCATCGGCACAGGCCTGTTCGTCGGTATCGGTGGCTCGCTTTCCAAAGCCGGTCCGCTGTCTCTGGTACTCGGGTACATCTTCTGGGGCGCGCTGTTCGTATGGCCGGCCTACCTGTGCGTGGCAGAAATGTGCGCGTATCTGCCTCTGCGTGGTGCCATCTTCGAGCTCGCAGCGCGCTTCGTGGATCCCGCGCTCGGATTTGCTATCGGCTGGACGTACTTCTTCGCCGGTGTCATGCTGGTGTGCACTGAGTACAGTGCTGTTGCGACTGTCATGCAATACTGGAACACCGATATCAATCCCGCGGCGTGGATTGCGATGACGATGGTCGTGTGTGTATTCCTCAACGTTGTCGCGGTGAAATGGTATGGCGAGTCCGAGTTTGTCATGGCTTCGACAAAGGTCTTGTTGCTGATCGGACTCGTTTTGCTCACCTTCATCACCATGCTCGGTGGCAACCCGCAGAACGACCGTTACGGATTCCGATACTGGACTGGCGGTAACTTGATCCACGCGTACTATACCGACGGCGCTACGGGGCGATTCTGCGGCTTCTGGAGCGTGTGCATCTACGCAGCCTTCACGATTGCCGGACCTGACATGATCTGTCTCGCGGCAGGCGAGATTCAGAACCCCAGGCGCACGATCCCGCGCGTGGCTAAGCTCATCTTCTACCGTCTTGTTGGATTCTACGTCTTCGGTGTGCTGGCCGTAGGCATCATCTGCTCGTCCCGCGACGAGAGACTGCTTGGCGCTATTGACTCGGGCGAGCCAGGAGCTGCTGGTAAGCTCACACATACCTCCTCCTTCTCTACTCTTACTAACACCTCCTAGCGAGTCCCTGGGTTGTAGGCATCACAAACCTGGGTATCAAGGGTCTGCCCGGCCTGATCAACTTCCTCATCCTCCTCTCCGGCTGGTCATGCGGAAACGCGTACCTGTACGCCTCCTCGCGCACACTTTACGGTCTCGCACGCGACGGCCAAGCGCCCAAGATCTTCCTCACCTGCACCAAGGCTGGTGTTCCCATCTACGCCGTCGGCGCTGTGACACTGATCACGTGCCTTACGTTCCTGGTCAGCTCCAACAACGCCGTCGAGGTGTTCTTCTGGTTCGTCGGACTGACGACGTGCGCACTCGTATGCACATACGTCGGCATGCTGTGGACATACATTGGGTGGTACCGGGCGCGCGTTGCGCAGAACTTCGACGCGAGCTTGCTTCCCTACAGGGCGCCATTCGCACCGTACACGGCGTACTTGGCGATGGTGCTCGGTGTGTTGATGATCATCTTCATTGGGTACGATACACTTGTGCCATTCAGCATTCAGGGCTTCATCACGAGCTACTTCGGAGCATGGTTCAGCATCTTCGTGTTTATTTTCTGGAAGGTGTTCAAGCGCACGTCGTTTGTCAACCCTGCCGAGGCCGATTTCGTCACTGGAAAGGCGGCCATTGACGAGGAGTGCAGGAAGTGGGAGGAAGGTGGCATTGAGGAGAACCATCGCGCAAGAATGGCGGAAATGCCCGTCTGGCGGAGGTGTTGGGAGAGGATGTGGTAGACGCTCCTCTGCTAGATAAAAAGTATGCATCTTAGACGCGAAAAGTGGTTTTTCGGACTATATAATAATCGATCCGCTAGACAGTACTTCAGTCTCCCCGCTTTCAGTTTCACTGTTCTTCATGATTTCCTAACATTCGACTCTCGCTCAATTTGAACAACTCATTATGCTCAACAAGAACCTTGTAGCCAAAGTAACAGGTCAAAACTGATATATTACTGGCGCTACGATCCTGGCGCTCCTGCCTGAAAAGTGCCTTGACCATCCCCGCGGAAGGCTACGCGAGATCGACGCGATGCGTCCGCGGAGCAGACCAGCCCCATCCATTTGGATTGCAGTAGCCCGGAGATCCTTTCTTTGTCGCTATTTGCTCAAGGATAGGAATGATTTTGTGGGATTATAAGTAACGCGTTCCATGTCAGACTGGTGTTTGAAAACGTGAAAAGTATGAGACAGAAAGAATCGACGTCACCGCTTGTGTGTTTACCTGGGTCAAAGTCTAGACCACGACAGCCCACGCTTTTCAGACACTTGCCTCCTTTTACTTCCGTATTGTGAACTTCACACACACAGGTAGCTATGGCCAAATTGCAGACATTTAATCACCCACGAGAACTCTCCGTATCTTCGGTTCGCGCGGATTGATGCGACCTGCGGAGCCAGGACGATCTCCTGCACCATGGATCCAGATTCGCCTCTGACTCCACAGCTCCTACTCAATCTGGACTCGAATGACGCAGAGCTTCTTCGTGACCTGGGATTACCGGATCTACTTGAACACGATCCTCGGCCTACGTTCGTGCTGGATGCCACAAATGAGAACAACTCTGCCTTTGAGATCAGACTCGCATTCTGCAATGCTGCGTTTGCCGCTGTAGAGTCAGGAGCATTGGAATCTGCCCTGGATGGTGGGGGAAGCCCGATTGGCAAAGAGAATGCCGCGTCGTTTTCGCAGTTTCGACAGTGGGCGTGTTGCAATGGCTTGACCTCACGAATCCCTAAGTCTTTTGGTGGGTATAATTGGAGAAGATTCCTAATCGCAAAGCGTTGGATTGTGATAAATGGAACACCCACGAAAGCCGCTCGTGTCAACCAAGCAGTGACAGAAGACGATGCACCACTTTCAAGGACCCATTCCAAAGCATCATTTACGACATTCGACTGGACAGACGATCCTCCACCAGTGAAGTTGTCTTCCCATGTTGCGTGGGCGCGTAGCATCGACTGGGCGAACACTCCATTGGGACCGATGAAGGGATGGTCACCCCAGCTTCGCAGTAATGCTAGCTTGATCATGCAAGACCCACGGCCGGCCGTCGGCTTCTATGGCCAGGAACTTATAATGATCTACAATGAGCCATACATTGAGCTTCTTGGGGATATTCATCCATGTATGGGTCGCAGCGCACGAGAGGCTTTGGCCCCAATCTGGGACGAATATTTCGAGCCGATCATTGTGCGAAACATTGCCGGCGAAACCGTGGATAACTCTCACACCGAAATTCCATTGAATCGCAATGGCTTCGTGGAAGAAACATACTTTTCCACTCGTTTCATACCGATTTTCAACTCGGAGGGCGCAACGATTGGTCATTACGAGCCCGTGGTTGAAATTGTAAGTGTTGAGCGTTCTCAATGTCATCACTCTCTACGAGTAAACGCCGAAATACCGGTGATGGCATGACACATGAACGCTTTGCTGATATTCGAGCAGACTAAGGAAGTGATCTTGGAGAGACGATCTCGTACCCTTCTAGAGTTGAGCCAAGAGCTACCCCGAGCTCGCGACAGTGATACGTACTGGGATCATGCGGCGCAGGTATTCTCCAGCAACCAAAAAGATGTTCCATTTGCGCTCTTCTATTCGAATGAGACCGCTGACAAAGGAATGGAAGCTAATACTGATTCCAGTGGGGGTCTTGATCGCCGATGTCAATTCAGACATCGACGATCCACTGGACTCCTCGATGAACCACCCTCCGGCTTTGAGATACTCGACATACGTCTAGAAGAGGGCATCAATAAGTTTCTCAAGCAGGCTATCATCGCAGACAGACCCATTGCTGTAGATATCGCTCACGATCTTGATCGGGAAAACCTGGCAGAAGGGCTACAACCCCTTATTTCAGGTGACATCTGCAGATCAGTCGTTATTTGTCCTCTACGCTCATCGTCCTTGAACGATACAATCCTTGGTTTCATGATACTTGGTTTAAGTTAGCAAATCCTTGGAACGCTGATATGATGTCAACTCACATAGTCGCAGATCCCAGAAGACCTTACGATCAAGCCTATTCGCAGTTCGTTTATGAGGCGACGCGTCTCGTTTCCGCATCGTTAGATTCGCTGATTCTGCACGAAGAAGATATTGGGCGTCGGGAACATACTGCTGAGCTTATCAAGACCGAGCTCAGACAACAGCTAGTGGAATCCCAAAAGAAGGCCGACCGTGGCCACTCCAAATTTCAGGTTGGTCACTTGTCTGTTCTGTGGCACCCCAGCTGTTTAATGACCTTTCTTTATGTATAGCGTTTCGCAGAACGAAGCGACATTGGAATCTTCATCATCGACGCAAAGATGGAAGGTATCTACTCTTACCGCAATGAGGCTTGGTTTAGTATTTGTGGTACTAAAGACCGCACTCTTACTCTTGCCGAGGCGTGGGACGTGATTGTCGATGACGAGTATGCCGTGTTTGGCAAAACCAAATTCGAAGCGCTTCGGATGACCAAAAAACCACAGTAATGTGTTTCCAACCTGCAAACAGAAATGAGCTGAATCAATGCAGGTCTTTCGAATTACGCCTCAAAAGCACGTGGTCCGTATCCAGCAGTACTGGTGTGGACGATTCACCATCTGAGGAACAAAAGAAGTGGGTACTGTGTTCAATATTTCCAGAACTCTCAGACGAAGGTGAGATCTTGGAGCTTGTCGGGTGCATAACCGAGATCTCCAGGCAGAAGTGGGGTGAACAGTTACAAGCGGTCCAAGCCACACAAGCAAGGGAATCAAAACGGCAACTCGAGAGCTTCATTGACACAACATCACATGAGATGCGAAATCCGCTGTCTGCAATCGTCCAGTGTGCAGATAGTATTATAGCTTCCCACAAGATCTTGGAGCAGGCGTCTTGTTGCGACGAGAACTACCAACGGACTTTACTTGCTACAGTAGATTCCGCCGAGACAATAGTGCAATGTTCAAAGCATATGAAAACTATAGTTGACGGTAAGTATCTTTCCCTCTAAACTCAGACGTCAGATACTAAAGAGCGCAGATGTCTTAACTATATCCAAGTTGGACTCTGGTCTGTTTGCCATGACCCCGATCGATGTTCAACTTGAGTCAACTGTTAGAGACGCAGTCAAGATGTTTGAAGGGGAAGCTAGATCAGCTGGTATTGACCTTGAGTTTTCCATCGAGGACTCGTGCAGGGAGTTTGGCATTGTTGACATCTCACTCGATCCAACAAGGGTTCTGCAAATACTCATTAACCTCATTACTAACGCCATTAAATTCACCCGTTTAGAAGCCAAAAGGCACATCCTTGTCGGTTTGAGCTTATCACTTGAGCGACCCACACACGACTCTGACGGAAGAGTTGAATACATACCACGGACAGAGAACTCAGAAGCCAAGACCTTGCTAGAAGATTGGGAAAAAGGTCGAAACGTAGGTATCTCAACACAACGTACAAACAATCGGCTGAGCCAGTGTAGGTCTTCGTGCGCTTCTCTGTGCAGGACACCGGCACGGGAATGACCGATGAGCGTAAGTCTACAGATCTATCACAGATTCTGGGTGCTCATCACAGATACAGAGCATCATCTCCTCTTCACACGATTTTCCCAAGCATCACCGAGAACACATATCGACTATGGTATGTCACTTCTCTCACTACGGTAGAGTGTACAGCGCACGAGCTCTAAACTGACTTTGGATCATAGGTGGCACGGGTCTGGGACTGTTCATCTCAAGAAGACTGTGCGAGATGCATGGCGGAGCCATTGGCTTCACCTCGGAAAAAGGCGTGGGGAGTACTTTCTCCTTTTACGTGCAAAGCAGGCAGAGCCTGCCGACCTCATTCGGTAGTGGCAGCGTCGAGCGCTGTGCAACTACCGTCGATTCATGTTCTCAGACCCATGGCTCCTTTTTGCGTAGTACGTCGTACAACAAAGGGAACACTCCGCCTTCGTCGGGTATAGTCATCCCCGAGAACATCATCCCCGAGAACATCATCCCCGACAGCGACCTACATGTCCTCATTGTAGAAGACAATTTGGTCAATCAACGCGTCCTGGCGAAACAACTACGCAACCTTGGAATGAATATTGCTGTCGCTAACCACGGCGGTGAAGCACTGGAGTACCTGCAAACAACCAAATTTTGCATTGGAGATGAGTCTGGTACCGAGTTGACACTTATTCTTTTAGATTGGGAGGCGAGTCTTACTGTCTGCCCATTGTTGCTACGATCTAACAACCCATCTCTAGATGCCAGTAATGAACGGACTCGAATGCGTGACGAATATTCGGAAGATGCAAGAAGAAGGCAGGATAAGTCGTCACGTTCCTGTCATAGGGGTTACAGCGAACGTCAGATCGGAGCAGGTTGGGATGGCGTTGCGAGCTGGTATGGACAATGTCATCTCCAAGCCCTTCCGGATACCCGAGCTTCGTGACTGTATCCAGAAGACACTACGTGTTACATCGTTAGCCAGGTCTACAGCCGTGTAGTGCTGTCGTCGTCGAAAGACAGCTAGACAGTGGGAAAGCGGTGGGAGAGGTCACAAAACTCTACAAAACTATATACAAATTAGACTTTATTCTATAAGTTCCATAACCAGATGTAAAGATGACGCTATTACCAGCTACTGTTTGATCCTGCCCCACAACTCCTTTATCGTAAAGACATCGCTTTGCACAGACGCACTATCTTCTTTTTGGTCCTCCTTGTCAAGCTTAGATCTCAGCCTCGCTACCATCAAGTCGCGCGCAAGCTTTGGCGAGAGGAGGCGGATTTCTTCTTCCAGCTTGGCTTGGCTAATCATCTTGCCATTGCAAAGCTCCCGGACAAGATTCTCTGTAAGATGTTGGCAATTGTTCGAGAGCAGATTGTATCGCCTGTTTGTGGCGATGAAGTTTTCACCTGCAAAAGATTAGCATGCGGTCTACTGCCATTGCTCTGTGGCTTACCCAGGGCCTGGATTTCCTCGTTTCTCTTTGTTGTCTCTCCCACATAGTAGCACGAGCTCCATGTCGCGATGAATTGCTCAGTAGCTTCGTACACGCGGAGATAATTATTCATCAGCATCTGCACCTTCAACTGATCGCTCATCAAGTCGTACGCGTAGGTTGGCCCAAGCCCGCGATCAACGACTACCACAGCCCAATGTGAGATGCTGTTCAGACTCATACCAAAATGTTTGGCGAGAAGATCATAGGTATTCTTAGAGACTTCAAGCCTGCCAAAAGCAACTGGCGTGGTGATTAAGAAGACTGCACGGCTAGGTGCCTGTGCTGTGCATATGAGTGGAGGCACTTCGGATTCCGAGTTGCCTGTGATCTTCGCCGCAATTTGTCGGAGATAGAGATTCTTCTGACGAATGGCTTCTGCCAATTGCGCATCAGGTTGGCCCCTTTTCCTTTCCAGCCTACAGTGTGTGCAGTCAGTATGATGCACGTGACCGTGCTCGGATGTTCGGACCGTACCATCTTTGCTGGAACGACTTCCAGGCGCTCTCGCCGGCCTTGGTCAACTTCGATAGAGCATCCGATCCCATCTAACGTTGTGCTGATGCATGTGCACAGGTGTGAAATGAGGTTGGAAACTTGGAATGAGCTGGCGTGGCTGTGTGGCGCATGACACTAGCGCATTGCCGAATCCCGGAATGACTGCGCGGCTTGGCTGTATCTATCTGTGACCCAAACAACACTTTACTTTTCCAGACATAAGCCCATTCAACGACAAAGAGTGTTCTCGTCGTAATTGTCAACAACAACAACATAATGCGGATTAAAATCCACTCACAGATGGTCATTCCGATGGCGGCCATGCAGCACATGTAGAGGCTTGGTAACAGTGTGGGCGATTGCAAGGTGTCAGCTACCAGTAGGATCTCCAAAAATACGACTAAAAAGGCACATTGGTTGTGAAGAGATTGAATGATTAACAAGCAGCTGAACAGAATATGTAGTACATCGCTGCAGCCCAATGACTTGCACGAGGCAAAGAGCGTAACCTCTTCGAAAAGTGAATGTAGATGCGCTGACAGACTCATGCGTTTGAGTAGAGAGCCGTATCTGCCCTGATGCTAGTAATCCAGCCTTTGGTCATCACCCAGTTCTGTAGGACGAGATTGATCCTCGTAAAAACTTGCACACAGCCACTTTGAGCGGTCCGATTCACTCGGAATCTCACCGAGGTCAAAACAGATAAGCTCCGAACAATGAGAAGGATCAAAGAAGTGTCTCACCACCTGTGGCCCAATTGACGCCGCACCCAGAATTGATGGTAGGTCGAATAATCTCTCTCGCCGCTCAGGCCCAGTTGGCTAGCAATATTGAAATATCCTTCTCCGGTTCTCTGTAAACCCTTTGTATCGATGCTTCCCGAGATACCGTTGAGAACTTCATCTGTGTCCCATGTTGCTCGACAGTATGGACATGTTGCCTTGCCTCTCGTAGCAACCTGAATCCAAGACTGCATGCAAGTTTTGTGAACGTTGTTGCCACAGCTGGCCTTGCAATAGACAATATCGTCTTTCTCTGAATCGAGCGCATCGTAGCAGATAGGGCACTCGCCTTCGATGGGTTTACGATTACCATCTCGCTCTTCACCAGGCTTGTCGTTGCCATCTGTTTCGACACCAGGTATGAGTGGCGCATGCTTGATTAACTCGCGCAGTTCGGTACCAGTCAGTGCGAGTTGATACGCGACATCTTCTCGTGTCTTGAGCACTCGGAGCATGACGTAGACGATATGTTTGCATTGATTCCCTTTCCGTGCGTGTGGACAATCGCAGCTAGGTGTCAGGCCTACATTTACAGTGTAGACATTGCCTGTCGAGCCAGCAATCACCACCTTTTCGCCTGGCAACTCAGCGGTACCACATCTTTCTCGAGACAGTACAGTCAAACGTTGTGTGAGTGCGCGATTTTTCACTTCGAGGTAGCTGCCAGGTGCTCGTGCACGATATCGGCGGAGGCGCTTCTCAGGTGGTGCATCGCTGCCACACTTGGCCTTTTCTTTGCTGGGCTCCTGGGATGTGTCCTCGGCAGGATTAGCATCCGTGGCATTTTTCAATCTTTTCGATCTCCTTTCGGGTGACTGGGAGTTTATTTTGGGGTTGTCGTCGCCAGAGTCGACGTAGCTCACGCCTGCCTTTCGCTTGCGTGTGCGTGTGGCCTCCATGTTGCTGGCACAAAATAGATACCTAGAAGAGCAGTAGTGAGAGGACTACTTGGGGTCGAACTGGGGCAGGTGAAGCATATGCTTAGAAGCGGCTGTGTTGAAGCGAAATGTGGAGGTGGCGATGACGACAACTATCATCAATAGAGGCAAGCGCGAGCGCGTCCCAACAAGCGCGCTAGCACGTGATGTACTGCCGTTTCTACGCAAGCAGTGAAGTAACCTTTCGCAATGTGTAGAAGGACACACGTTGTGAGTCTACGTCATTCGTAAAGATTCAAAAACATGATGACTCTTCATTTTGGAATACTGCGCTGACTAGTACAGCTTCCATCTCATGCATGTCTAGACAATTAGATGGTCTCTCTGTAGTCTTGTTCGAATTTGAAACACAATTGCAAGCGACGGTGCCGGTACCAAGGCAGCTCTTCACTCATGGAAAATTCATGGAAAACATCATCTAAGTTCATCTCATCTGATTATTATCTATCGTTTTCTATCCTGACTGGCGACCAGTTGTTGGCGCAGGAGAACACCTTGCCTCCAGAACCGTTACGCAAGTCGTGACCTGAGGCCCACATTCCCAGAGCGAACTTATAGAACATTAGTGTTCGGACTCTACGACGATAGGGTCTTCAAAACTTACGATGGCAACTCCGATACAGAAGAGAAACGCATTGCAGATTGACCACACAATCATGCGCTTACTCTTGAACCAAGACCCTCTATACTGATAAAACCACATGACCATCGGCAGCGCATCTAGATCAGATCAGTATCTCTGTTGTCGCACAGGCTTTCGTACCGACTTACAGCTGAACCAGGACCCGAAAAGCGCAGCAATGAGACCAAGCAAGAGGTTGAAATTTGGAATGGCTTCAGCGAGAAGCCATGCAACAATCCAAAGTGCTGCACAAATGGCGACCCAACTCCCTATACTTTTGAAACTCTTCTGATGAACAACGTCTGTTCCCTTCCACATGCGGATGTAGAGATACTTGCAGGCCACTGACCCGTTGACTACGCCTGAGATTATGATTGTGGGAATGGCGAAGCCAAAAGCAATCTTCGTGACTACGGGGCTTGCTGAGCCGAGGGCAGGAGACGTGACAAACGGACCAGCGTAATAATAGATGACAGCCGAAATTGTCATGTAGAAAGTCACTGCGATGCCTTGCTCAAAGAAAAGTGCCTTTTTGAAGTCGCGTGGATCTCTCAATTCAGATTGAAACGAAAGAAAGGCAACGTGGCCAGCTAGTTGTGATTAGATTGAATTCAGGCAAAGATCGGTGCTTTGCAAGAAAGACTTACTGTAAGCCAGAATAATGTTCAGGACTGGACCTAGACCCTTGACGAAAGGGAGCCCAGGGCGAACCGCAAGAATATCGCCTGCATGTGGCTTCGAGATCCCGATACCAATCATAGCGATGGATACTGCAAGAATGATGCTTGCACAAGCTTTTACAGTTAGTTTTAATTCCATTCCAGCACAAGAGAGTGATGAACTTACATATGATGGACAATTTGCTGACGTCCTTGAATGTTCGTGGCAGACCCAGTATGAAACAAATGACCATACCAGCGACAGCGAATATGATCGTGCAAGCTCCATGGCCTGTCAGAGCATTCAGAGCAACCGAGAATGTCAGCACATGCGCACCGCTGACGAAAACCAGGATGAGAATTGAGCCAACAGCCATGATCTCTCTTCCTACAGGGCCCGCGATGAGTTCTCCGCAGTCAGGGAAAGACTGCACCCTTGGGTAAGCAAGTTTGAATTCGCCAATAAGCCATCCAGTATATGTGGCGATCAGTCCTAGGAAGCAAATGCATATGAGACCTGGAACTATGCCCAGGATCGCAAGAGCTTGTGGCAGCGCGAGGACGCCGAGCGAAACATTCTCGGCAAGCATCACTGTGATGTGTTAGTAGCACATCGTGCAAGAAGATAAAGCATTGACCTAAAAACTCCTGTGTGCCTATTAAGATATGTTAGTAAACTGTGATGCAAGAAACACAAAAATTGGGAGATGTGAACAAAAGCTGTACGTACCACCATTAACATGTCTCATAATGAATGTCGGCCCCTTCTTCGTTGCCGAAAGCATTGCGAGTGGTTGTTGAAGAGATCTGCTCTTCTATATCTGACGACGTATTGACCTGCTGTACATCAAGCGTGTTTGATGGCACCGTCTTCTCTCTCTCCGTTCTCGTCGACCCTGCAGAGACACTACGACGCTTTGAAGAACGAGATCTGGACAAGGAATGGGACATCGTGGCTGCTGGGAATATTGGTGTCTACGACAACGTCTTGAGAGTTTCGGGTGTAAGCCTGAGGAAATTAGAGAGAGACAGGTCGAGTATGAATTGTTTTTGTGGTGCGGATTCCATGTTTATACTTACAATGGTACCGATTATCGTTGAGCCAAACATGGCAGAGCAAAAGTAGTTGAGAGTGTGTAGCATACACTGGAGGTGCCACTTGTTGGTCTCCATTGAGTGGAGTCCATAGGGCAACCCATGGTTCCAGTGATGCCCTTGTATATGGTACCGACTTGCTCCTTTGCTATCGCTGGAAGTCGACCGGACACACTGAATATCGCGAGTGGTTCCAGGCATGCGCGCTGTGCCGTCGACTTCGTTCGTGTTTACACTGACCAACAGTGGTTACCTCTGCATCGCCTCCCACTTGTTCCAAGTGCAAGGATGTATCCACGAATGGAAGGGTCCGGCTTCGCTGGGGTGGAAGGGGTAGAGAGCTAATCAGGTTAGCGCAGACTGGAGCTATGACGGTTTAGGGGCCAGTAGCCTGAACGGCAAGTTGCGTTGCAGCGTTCATGCTCCTCATCCCCATCAGCCAATCAAAGACGACATGTAACCCCAGGTCTGGAGCTGAATGTCGCGAAACAAAAGACGCAAGCTCGTGTAATCCGCTTAATTTCGAAAAGATGTAATTCCTGCCAAGGGGAGGCGGGAAGGCCGTAAAATGATCGCCATTGCGCTGGCCTCTCCGGCTTGAAGCTCGACACATCGCTCATCCTTATTGCTACCTCAATTCCGCAACACGTCGCAGCTGCCGTCGTTCCTTTCGATCCGTAACTGGTGCAGGTAACACACAATAGCTCTTGGACAACGCACGAGCAGGTAAGCGCCAGTCCCTCCGTCTGTTTTGACGCGCAGCTCCTTCGGACCCATTGCGTTGAACCCCATCGTCGCCGGAGCATTAGATACACAGTACCGTACTGACGTGACGGTGGAACAGCAACGCGATCACGTATTCATAATGGTGGAGCTACGCAAACGCAAAACGCCCCCTCCAGCGCCCGTGCGCCAAGCCAAGAAGGTGTCCGCGCCCAAGGGCAAGAAAGCTCCGAGCAAGAAGACAGTTGTTGAGCAGGCAACTGAGGCTGTCGCCGAAGCTGCAGCAGCTGTCACCGAAACTGTTACCGAAGCCGTCGACACCGCCAAGGAAGCTGTTGCTGACGCAACTAACGGCGCGAGCAAGCCGGCTGCTGCTACCTCCACAACTGGACCGCCCAAGGCCGGCGATACGATTGATCTCACCAATTTTGGTGGAGAGGTCGAGACGCACGATGGAAAGAAGACCACACTTGCAAAGCTCGTTGAGGAAAGCAAGGGCGGTGTCGTTCTGTTCACTTATCCCAAAGCCTCTACACCTGGATGTACGTTGATGTATCCTGCCAGCCAGAACCGCCGCTAATTTGCATACAGGCACCACACAAGTCTGCCTCTTCCGCGACTCTTACACGCCTCTCACCGCGACCGGCTTCAGCATCTATGGTCTTTCCAACGACAGCCCTAAGGCAAACACGACCTTCAAGACCAAGCAGAGCCTCCCGTATAGCCTGCTTTGCGACCCGTCGCAAACCCTTATCTCAGCGATTGGCTTGAAGAAGGCTCCCAAAGGTACCACTCGAGGTGTCTTTGTCATCAACAAGGACGGCAAGGTGTTGGCTTCTGAGCCTGGCAGCCCTGCTGGGACCCACAAAGTCGTTCAAAATCTCGTTGCAAATGGCGGTCAGGCTAATGGCGAAGACGCGAAAGCGGCCGAAACTGCGGCCGAGGTTGCCGACACGGCGGCTAAGGTTGATGGCGATAAGGCTTAGTTCATCGGCAATCGTGCGAGTGTTTTGGAGCATCCATAACGCTGTCTACAATAAGTTACTAGACAGAATAGAGATGAACCGACACTGTCGCTGTGTATGTCTCCCAACACACCCAATTGATGAACATCATATCTCTATCTGCCTTGCTCAAGTCTTTGCTTCAGGGGCGAAGCACTTGACACTTGTATGAAGTGTCGTTTCCGATAGCTAAGGTTGGGTGGATCCTTTGTTCGAGTAAGGTGAACATAATGGCATAGCTCTTCTGAGTCATGGCGCATATGCAACAACACACTCTCCAGCACCGAAGCGTGGCTATACTTCTCTGACTAACAGGCTTACGCTGAGCGCATGCTGCATGTACGGATCACAACCCTTCCAATCCTTGCTTAAACGAGTGAGTTACACACCTTCTCCCTGTCCAGTACACCAGTTTCGTTGAATACATACTATGCTATTACAGCGTCCCTCCAGCTTGAACCGTCAAGGCGAAATGCGACGTTTGCCAACTGCGTTGAATCGTAATCTTTCACGCTTTGTCCAATGATTCTTCAGGGCCCAACGGCCATGTGGCCCTGCAACAACTGGATTATAGGCATTGAAGCAGACCACTATCTGGGGGTAGACGCTGTGATGGACAGAGGGACTGCTGTGAATAATGCCAGTCCAGATAGCATCGGCTCTCGTGCTTGTAGTCACAACAATTACGAGGATATTGTATTAATTAAATATTCCAGTGGAATACTTTCGCCGTATTCTGATAACTATATGTATATATGTCAAGTGGACACTGTCCAACCATTCAATCTAGAAAATACAACCATACGAGAGGTCTATGGAATACTCCGTTCGAAACGCACCGTTTCAGTTTCTGGACAGGAACGAGGCTGACACTCGCCGCGTTCTTGTAGATTCATGGCGCCTTGCCTGTTCCTTCCTGAGAAAATCCTGGAGTGCCTTGAAATTGACTGGTTTGGTCATGAAATGATCAATGCCAGCATTCCATGCCTCCAGCTTTGCGCTGGCAGATGCCAGTCCGGTCAAAGCAATGATACAACATCGTGATATGTTGTATTCTTGCTCGTATTGCCTGATTGCTCGAGTTGCCGACATGCCGTCCATAACGGGCATCGACATGTCCATGAGGATGATGCTGAATAGCGTCGGAGTGGACTGGTATGCGCGAAGGGCCTCGAGGCCATTCTCTGCTTCCACATATTGAAAGTTATGTTTCTTCATGAATGCTGTAAGGAGCTTCGAAATGTCAGTTTCGAAGATGATGGATTGATTTATGGCAGTGGACTGACCCTTCGGTTGATTGTATTGTCATCTGTAATGAGAATTTTTGACGATGTGTCGTCGACTGCACTGTTGGATATCGTGAGCTTCGGGCGAATTGGAAGCGTACGCTTCTCAAGCTCAGTCGTCTCTGGGGCTAGTGTTATAGTCGCTGGATGCTGCGATTCTGTAAAAGAGGGAGGATCCAACTTGTCTGTCTGATGCCAATGAGGCTGATTCAGAAGCGGCGGCATCTCAGCTGGAGAAGGTGATAGAGGCATTGGTCCTTCGACGGGTGGCGGCTCTGACTGTGCTGAGTCGCTCGTAGACACATGAATGACATTCTCGTTCGGGTGTACAAATCGGTCGAGACATTGATTCAGCACATAAGCCAGTTTGAAAGGCCCGAGTCTATGGGAGAGTCAGCGTTAGTCATTTAGAGGTTGTTGATTTACTGACGGCTGGGTCATGATCTCGACCACTGATTCCTTGCTCGTGACGCGAACATCAGAGCGAAGAGTCGCTGCTTCGAGGGCGTCCAACGCAACAAAGATAGTCACTGCTGCTTTTGCGGCTTGGTTTTCGGCTCTTTTAGTTCTGATAGCAGCAAGATATTCGAAGGATGGTTCCGGGCAGATCACAATATCTGCATTGTTATCTTCCCACTTCGTCGTCTGTACAACGTCCATCTTCAAGTGGTTGGACAAAGTCGTTGCTAAAGCACGGGTGAACTTTGCGAGGCCTTCTGTGTTCTGCGGCTCATCCACAATGTCCTGGTCGGCTTCGGGCCTGTGAAGGATGCACACTTTGCGGCCTTGTAAGCGTGGTAGCCAGCGAAGATACTCATCGCGTTGCGGAAGGTTGGTATGCACTGACTCGGGCCTCATCAATGACAACTTGACGGTGACCTTAGTTCCAGATAAATGGTCACTGCTAACTTCAATCTTACCACCGTTTGTCTCGATGATCTGCCGGACAATACTTAGCCCTAAACCCACTCCTGAACTATGTGGATTCTCCTGTGAGAACGCTTGGAACGCTTTGTTGGCAAGAAAGACAGAACTCATACCAACCCCTGTATCATTTACGGTGAGTGTAATCGTAGTGGCCGAGCTTGCAGTTTTGGCGAGGTCTGTGGCGTGGATGGAAATCGTAATATGGCCTCTGTGGGTGTATTTGATGGCATTGCCGAAAAGGCTGTGACCTTGTTAGCGGGGTCGTATGTTTAGAGTATATAGTAGCTCGTACTTCATGACAGTTCTTTTCCAAGACCCTACAGGGAAGCAGTATATCCAGTCCTGCTCAGGGGCAATGTCCAATATGATGTAGCACGTTTTACGTTTAGTGCTAATATCAAGTGTACTCATGTTGTCTTCTGTTGTGGATATTGATCCGCTAGGAGACATGGGTGCGTTCTTAGAGCTCATGATCGGGAGAAACGAGGATCCAGCGAAGATAGCCTCTACGACCTCCTCAGTGGCAATGCCTAGATCAAAGGCTAGGTCTCGTTGCAAACGCCGCGTCTTGAGAGGTTTAGATGACAGTCGTACCGTCTTGGTATTTTTGAGTCGTCTTGTGGAAACGTTCTTTGTAGTTTCACTCATTTTGGAATAATCCATGACGTGGTTGATCGTATCAAGTAAGGTTTGACCGCAGCTGTTGAGCGAATTGAGCATGCTGGTTTGGAACGTGTCCAGCGGAGTATCCTTTATGAATTCCAATGTGCCCAGTATCCCATGCAGAGGAGATCGTAGTTCGTGTGAGATGGAAGCAACAAACGTGGTTTTCTGTTGGTTCAACGCAACAGCATCGAGACGTGATAGCTCTCGCATGATGGAATGACTGAAAATATTAAAATATGCCAAATCTACCGAAGCTGACAGTAAACGGTCGTGGCTGCTAGTCCAGCAAAGACAACCTAGACGCATTAGCAACAAAAAGGTGTTGAGAAGAAGTTGAAGTTACCCGCGAACCATCTTGATCTCTCATAATCCCAGAAAGGCACAAATGCCACACTCCGGGCATTTGGAAGCAGCTCAGCGATGGCTTTTGAGCTTCTGGATATTTGCCCTGGTCTGTGGTACGCTTTAGGACGTAGATCGTCACCAACTGGTATATTCCGGTGGAGGTCCCTGTTCGAGGATGACTCATCCGTCGAGGACAAGAGATCACCCTTGGCAGAGTAGTGGAACAACTTTCCGTGTGGGTAATCCCGCAGCAAGCGGGCCAAGCTGGCCTCAGCGAAAGATCCGTCTCCTGGCGTCCCGTCTGCGTTTACAATTGGTCTAGATGGTGCGGCTCCAAGAATTTGGCATCTCTTAGATGAAGAAGACTTCGGTCCCTCTTTGGCATTGCTACTTTGCGAACTACTGTCATCGCTTGACTCTGATCTCGAATTGAGCCCTGCAGAATCGGAAAGGCTGCCGCTCAAGCGTCCACGTTCCGGAGCTGCTGGATGCTGGCGATGTCCAGTTGCTGCAACAGATGCATCGAATATGAGGACTCCGTCAAGGTCGCTGGATGCAAGCATAACATTGGAGGCCCGTGCGAACATCGATCTCGAATTCATCGGCAGTATAGTACTTTGCAAGGCTCGCAACGATGATTCCCGTGTAGAGCCTGGTCGAATAGTATCCGAACCGGTCGAAAATGGTTGCTGCTTTTGCTCTGATGAGTCCCGATCAGTTCCTGCAGAGCCCGCTTGTGATGCTTGCGAGGCAGCATCATTCGCCTCTGCCGCACGTGATGGCGCGTGTTCCTCTGCGGGCGCATTGTGTGGAAGAATGGATTCTATATCAGATCCCAGGGTCGATGATGTTGGCGTAGTAGAGAGTGGTTCCAAGTCAACTTCATTGCTGTTATCCAATGGCAGTAGCGCTGATGCGCCTTCTGCGAAGGAAATAAGGCCTCGAGTGAGTTTCTCGCCGCGCCTGAACCGATCCTTGACCGTATAGTTGCGTAGATACTCGATGATCGTGGCTGATAGATCCTCGAGACATGTCGCGTTCTCCTCTGGAACACCTAGTGGCCTGGGCGTGTCGTCAAAAACACACAGCGCGCCCACAATCGCACCCTGCCGACTCACAAGTGCGGCACCAGCATAGAAGCGGACGCGTGGGCCGTCTTGAACAAATGTGCGCTGTGCGTAACGATCGCTGTCACGAAGGTCTCTGTTGACAACAATCGATGTTCCTGCGCGCTCGGCAACGTTGCCCGCGCCTAAGTCTAGGACCTGTTCGCAAACACCCCAACTTCGAGGGATGCTGACACTGCCCAACCACAATGGGTTGGACCCATCGGCAGGTGGGGCGCCTCCGCGGAGCGAGGTTTGAGGTGTTGCCTCTGCCAGAACGTGCTGGTGTTTGTCGTCTATCAAGGAGATCAAAGCCCGCTGCGCGTTCATGCGCAGCGCTGCCAGCTGGCATAGTGCAGTCAGGGTCGAGTCTGTTGAGGGCTGCGCGCAGTAGTCAGGAGGGAGATGGGATGACTCTGGTCCGGAGGCCAACTCATCGAGGCGTGGCAGGTCACGGTAGGCGGCGACATATTGGAGGACCTCGCGCTCTCTCTTCTTCTCTGAGAGGGGCACGGTGTGCGATGGGAGTGGCGGGCGGCGACTCATATCGAAGTCCAGCTCTAGACGGGCGCCTGTGGGATGGAACGAACAACCTCCTCGCGCCCCATGCTCTGCGGAAGTCAGTGTCGGACTCAAGGGGGCAGGATGGCGTCAATAGTGTCGAACAGCATGGCGAGGGTTGCGCCTCGCGGTCCAGAATGGTTTTCACTTTTCGGGCGGAACGAGTCTGGATCACTGCCCTTGCACATGGGAGTTACGATCTATCGGGCTATCGTCTTTCAAAACTAGCGTCACATCATTAGGCCATTTTGACGTCTTGATGTACCTAGGTAAGCAGGCGCGCCTTGTCCGGTGTTTCCAGACCTCACGTGGTGGGGATGCTAGACAATCGATAAGAGACTTCTGCAAACTGCAGAATGGATTCAGGTGGCGGTACCTGTCCCGATTCGGAAGCCTTGGAATACTTTCCGGCCAATATCCGCTTCCGGATTTCTTCGAACTTTGGCTAGTCTGCGTGCCATCTCCGCTGGATGCAGCACAACGTCTCGGACGTGGGATTCACGGATTGGGGGTGTATTGACTTCTGTGCAGCCTGGGCGTTGCCGCGTTCTTGTAATGCTCCATTACGTGCAAATGAGACATTGCAAGACACAGATGCACAAGGCGCTTATGCGATTGAATGAGGTGATCTTACGTACTTAGGTAGGCATCCCGACACCTGTGAGGACAGAGGCCTATCTCAGTGACTGTTCATTCTTCGTTGTATGTAGTAACAACAGCGAAGAAAACTGTGTAGGTACACACAGTAGAGTTGTTGTACTGCTGACTGGCGATCGAAAGGCAAGGTATATATGATGTTATCATGAAATTCGGCGTTACAGCATATAAGAAGTCTATAAAGATCCCATACAAGAACGAAGACTGGAAGCAGTACTTTTATACCCCGCAGCTAATGGTGCGCCTCAGCCAGCTTAGCCGCGATAACCGCCTGAACTTGAGCTTTTGGCAGCTCGGACACTGGCTTTCCTGTCCAGTACCTGTCCTGCTCCAGACCCTGATAGATCATAGCTTCAGTGCCCAAGATGAGCTGCCAACCAGCCTTCTCGCTGATGCCCGCAATCTCTGTCCATGGCGACGGGTGGTAGCACATCTCCAGGATAGCTCCCTTGTGTGGTTTGTTCAAGAACGTCTCGAGCACGGCCCTTGCCTCCTTTTCCTCTGGCGTTTTGGGCGGGAAGTCCGGTACGCATGCTACGATCGCACCCACGCCCTCGAGCTGTTCAGCCTGCGCAACGGTCGAAACGTCGATAAGGGAGTCGCCAAAGCCTCGCGCCGTACACTCGTCAATGACGGCCTTGACCTCGTCGCGATCTCGGTTGACGAGGTAGATCTTGCTTGCTTTCATCCACTTCCTCAGCGCGTAGACCGCGCTTCGGGCCGCACCACCGCCTCCGACTACCATGGCCGGTCGGTTCTCGTAGACTGCCGCGGCGTCTTTGACGTTGTAGACGAAAGCATCTCGTACGCCAACGACATCAGTGTTTGTGCCGCAGAATATCCGCTTTCCTGTTGTTGGGTCTTCCTTGAGAAAGAGTGTGTTGACAGCGCCGACTTCCCTGCCTTCATCTGTAATTTCGTCAAGGTGCGAGAGGATCGCCATCTTATGTGGCATGGTTACTGATGCACCTCGAAGACTGTCAGCCTAGCGGCTTGAAAAGCCAAGCGGTGTTGACGCTTACCGTAGAACTTAGGATCTTGCCGGACCTTCAAGAATAAATCCATGTCCTTAGATTCGAGGTAGAATTGATTCCAGTCTAAGCCAAGATTTGCGTACACGGTATTGTGGAAGAGTGGTGACATGGAATGGGCGATCGGGTAGCCAAACAGGTAGCCATGACGCTCGACGCTCGAGGTGTCTGGCACTTCCGTCTGTTGTGTGGAGGACATTGCGATGGGTTCACTGATTACAATTGTTCGGGAGGTAGGTGTAGCTTCAGCTTTGGGTAGACGTCTTTACGATGAGAGAGTGGCAGATGGACAGCGCCAGCTTTGAATGGAAACAGGGTATGTTAAGGGTCTGCTCTACGTCCCAACGGATCTCTTTTCCAACGGATACACACGCTTTGTGGAGTGTTGTGGAGAGGTTTGGAGACAGCTTCATACAGCGGATAAAGGATTTGCCCAGCTATATACCAAGACAGTAGGCAAGCTCTCGCAAGCACTGGACGCTTCACGTTGTTTTGTAATACCCCCCCGCCAAGTGGGTAGAGACATCATCCGAGATCGGGAGGATTTATCCACACCGGTGTTCGTGACTCGCTCGTCCTGCCGATATAGAGCCGCAGCAAATAGGCTTGCCCGAATCATAATCCATCTCCGCACCATGCGAGTAGCTCCCAAGCACCTGTCTGCTGGAGCATGGCAAACCTTTATCCAAGATGACCGCCATCTTTGTTGTGGAACGTCATTGGCGATCCCCTTCCACTGCGGGGTGCGTCCCCAGGCTCCGTCGTCGCGGCGCCTCCGCAGGCTGGAGCGCGGATAAGACCTGGGGACAAGGTTGAGTCTGGGCACTGTCTGGGGTCTCGCCTGCACGCGCTTGCCCATCGTCGCCAGAAACTAGCTTCCCCACGAGGGCGAGATTCCGGGGTAATGATTAGCCCTGCTCGACTATTAGAGTCCGGGCTCGGAGATGAAGAGTCTTCAGTCACCGCTTCCTTAAAGCATCCACCTCCTGCCTTCTTCAGAGGATCGTCAGACTTCCAGGACGCTTCTGCCTCACCCTCTCATCAGTAAAGGGACAGGAAGACAGTATCATTCATCATGGGCCTTCTCCACCTTGTCGAGGATAGGCCTACGCCTAAGCAGGTGTACAACTGGCGCGTGTACGCCGCCGCGTCTGTTGCATCTTTCGCAGCTTGCATGGTAAGTTCAACGTCTCCACAATACGTTGAGGCCTACGGTTGACATTGGGATTTTAGATCGGTTATGACTCTGCCTTCATCGGAACAACGCTTGCGCTGCCTTCCTTTGTTGACGAATTCCGACTGAACTCACCTAGGCAAATCTCAGCCTCAGCTCTTGCCACAACAAGGTCCAACATTGTCTCTGTCTACCAGGCTGGTGCTTTCTTCGGTGCTTTGGGTGCCTATGTCACTTCCTACTACCTTGGCCGCAGGATTACATTACTTATCTGGACTATGGTCTTTATCCTCGGTGCAGGGATGATGTTGGGCGCGAACGGCGAGCGTGGGCTTGGTCTGATCATTGGCGGCCGTGTTTTGGCCGGTCTTGGTGTTGGTGCTGCCAGTAACATGGTTCCGATCTACATTTCCGAATTGTCGCCTCCAGCGGTTCGTGGACGTCTTGTCGGTATCTATGAGCTTGGATGGCAGATCGGTGGCCTTGTTGGTTTCTGGATCAACTACGGCCTTGTCGAGACCATGGGCCCGTCTACACGCCAATGGATGATCCCATTCGCCGTTCAGCTCATTCCCGCTGGTATGCTTCTTCTCGGCGCTATTTGGCTGAAGGAATCACCCCGATGGCAATTCGCTCGTGGCGATCGCGAGAAGGCTGTTAGAGACCTGTGCTGGATTCGTAACCTTGAGGCCACTCACCCTTACATGGTTGAAGAGATTGCTGCTATCGACGCTGAGATTGAGCACGACCGTATGATCGTTGGCCCCGGATTCTGGGCACCCTTCAAGGCTGTCAAGCAGCGCAAGGTGCAGTACCGTCTCTTCCTCGGCGGTATGCTCTTCCTCTGGCAGAACGGATCCGGTATCAATGCCATCAACTACTACTCGCCCACCGTATTCAGGTCCATCGGCATCACTGGTACTAACACCGGTTTCTTCACGACTGGACTGTTTGGCGTAGTCAAAACAGTCCTTACCGTCGTCTGGCTCATGTACCTGATCGATCATCTCGGACGCACTAAACTCCTCATGATCGGTGCTGCTGGCGGATCGGTCTGCATGTGGATCATCGGCGCATACATCAAGATCCGAGGACCTACGACTTCTGGGAGTGGCAACCTGCCCCCTGGCGGTATCGCAGCTATCTTTTTCTTTTATCTCTGGACTGCGTTCTACACTCCTTCCTGGAACGGAACCCCGTGGGTCATCAACTCCGAAATGTTCTCCCAACAGACCCGCTCCCTTGGACAAGCATCTGCAGGTAAGCAATGAAGTATTATACGTGTAACGAACTCAGCTAACAGTCAAAGCAATGAACAATTGGTTCTGGAATTTTATCATCTCGCGCTTCACACCGCAGATGTTCAACACCATGAGCTACGGTGTTTACTTTTTCTTCGCCTGCTTGATGATTCTATCGGTTCCGTTCGTTTACTTCCTTATTCCCGAGACCAAGGGTATTCCTCTTGAGCGTATGGATGAGCTGTTCGAGATTAAGCCTGCCAATAAGGCCCACGGTATCTTACTCGAGCGCCTGGGTGAGATGGAGGCAGTCCGCGAGGGCGGTTTATTCGAGGAGAAAGCTAAGGATGCCGAGCGCCGTGAGAGCGTCTAAGCAATTGACGATGTATGAATTTGTATGGTGGAGGAAATATGCATGACTCTATGATATCTATATGTTAGCACGCAGCATTGCTATAATCGATCATTTAATTAATTACCACAAACGCGTTCCGAATCTGCATGTATTCAGAAAAGCCCGGTCAATTCTCCCTCTAAATCAGTTTGAATTACACCGAGGAGTTTCAAGACAATGTTCTGGGAGCCCGTAGTTGCGACCTCGAGTCTGGGAATCACGTGCAGTTTGGTACTCTTCTCCACGAATCAACGAGCTTTGTGAAGCTGCGCCTCGAGATCGAGCCAATGACATCTAGCGGCAGATAGCGTGACTCTCGGACTTGCTAGAATATCTCCAGGTGGCGCTGGTCGTAGGTTCAAGATCCTACAGCTCACTCCAGCAATATACTGCATGATAACCGCAAGGAAAACGGAAAAAAATGTAACAAACAAACAAATTTATTGAACGAACTCTATCTCTACTTTCGAAAGCTCTTGCGGCGCTCAGCATCTATCTTCTTCCAACTAAGTCCCCCGATCCTGGCTGTCGCTGTCCCCCTCCCAAGACATCAGTTTGCGTAATCAGTCAAGTCGTTGGACTCGTAGTCGGTATCCGTGAAGGCTGGTGATCGACGTGCATTCGTATTGCGTGCTTTTCCGATGATCAGCGGTGTTGACATACCAGATCTCCGTGTATAAGCTCACAGTTGGATGACATCTGGGCTAGTGAATCAGAACGGGCTTGTCGGGGTTGGGTCGCGAACATCCTCCATTCTAAGCGTGAGATGCTTCAGATTCTTGCGCTGCTGCTAAGTTAGAAAAACGTGCAAGGCAACCACGTAGAGATACACACCATCCTTAGCTGACGAATGCAGCTCATTCATAGGAGCTTGAGAGTTGACCGAGGGGAGCGCTGGGGTATTGTCGAGCTTGAGATCATTCATTTCTGCATGTATATCTTCGACACCGGCATCGTGCTCCTCCTCATCATCTTCCACGGTGCTGACAGAGTCGTCCTCATATGCCGTATCATCCCTATACTCAGATGGCGCATCGTCTTTAAGCACAGCATCTAGTTCGTCAAGTGACTCACGTAGCTCTGCAAAGTGCTTCTCAGCTTCCTCATCAGCACCCTCTGGTTGAAGGCTTCGCGCAATGTGCCACATAGCATCCGCAGCAACATGGTATCGGCTCGCTTCCTCCCAATCACCAACGATTGTACCTAGGAGGATAAGCACCTTCATTCGGTGGTACCTTGGCATTGTTTCCTCGTTGAGTAACGCAAAAAGAGCAGATTCGCATTCCACTAGTCGGTCGGCATTGAACAGGTCGAGAGCTTCATTAAAGCCGTCTATGAACTTCTTGTCGATGATATCTCTGCTGCCCATGATGAGCACTGAGTTGCGCGTTGCGATTTGGTGGGCGGAAGAAGATGATGAAGGTTGCGAAAAAAGGAAGAACCTGCGCAAGCTGGAACCTGCGCAAGTTATAGCTGTGCCAGGCAACAACACAAGTGAAAGAAGAAACCAAACAGGCTTCACCGTGTAAAATTTGGCGGCACGCAACCTTCTCTCACTGCCCATCCTTTCACCACTCGAATGGCCTTCGAATGGCCATCCGTTACCACTAATTACAAACCTCTTCTACCCTCTATCTCATTCACCCTTCACCGTCAACCGACCAACATTATCTTTTTATCCTTGGCTGTCATACGCACTCAGTGTGATAGCAAACTCAACATTCTTCTCCAGCCCATATAATACCCTCCCATCCGTAATCCAATTGAACAAGCAGGATCCGCATGCGCTGAGCGCGCCGAACGGATTCAATTCGACCAATTGCACAGTCCTGTCGTGTTGCAGTGCCAAATCGAAGCTCAGCCCATACTTGACAAGAAGTTGGCAAACCTGTTCACTCATCGTCTCGTGCATGAACACCCTGATGTCGCTCAACACCGCGTCAGCGCCAACACAGACCACATGCGCTGCGTGCGACACACCGAGATCCAGTGGATACGCAAAAGGAGCGGGCCAATTGTACTGACTGATCGCACTGACTTTCAGCTCATCCACCACGGCGCTCGCGCCTCTTGTAGCAGGCGGCGGAACGAAGACTCTGAACTCCCTTCCAGGATCCATGTGCTCGTCCCACGGGTTCAGAACCAACTCCATCTTCAGCTCTCTGCCCTGTGTCTCGGCATCTGAGCGCTCGCTTTGCAGACAGTTCCACGCGCGCATGCTGCTGCACAGCTTGACGACGACGTCTTCGAATGTGCAACTCGGTTGCTTGCCGCCGAACGGGCTGTCCTTGGGACTCATCTGGTCGAGCCTTACAAACCACTTCTTCTTGCCGTCAAGTAGCTTTGCGAGGTCTCTTCCACGCTTCGTGCTTTGCCACATGAATATCGTTTCCTCGATGAGCTCCGGCGGGAATCGGTTCGTGGCTATCCAGGCAGTATGGCAGCGCATCAGGTCTTCGTACAGAGATCCTGGTATTCGGATTACGTGCGATTCGCGCATATTCTGGCTCCGTGAAATGAGTGGCTGCCACATCACATAGCCGTATGCTGTCCAGGGTGGCTGCTCGTGCGTGAAAGCGTCAGTTTCGGGAACGACAGGAACGATATCTTGGTGCGCGTGTTGCGCAGTGTTGAAGCGCTTGGAACGCGAGGTTGGGTGCAGGGTTTCCTGGAGATGTTGGACTTCGCGGCAGTCCGCTGCGACGAGCGCGTGGTCCACTGTGCGAATATGCATCTTGCAGTGCAAAGTTGTGGGGGGGCTCCGTCTTGCTGGAGGTGGTTTGAATGCGGAAAAAGTGGAAGTATCATAAATACAAGTTCACAGTGTAGGCTCACTGGATTCACAACTACGGTTCACTGGACCCACGGTAACGAAAGGGCGCAGCGACGACAGACACGGACTTTAAAGTAACCGATGACTTGTCTCTGTAATTACGGGCTCTGAAGTGCGAGCGGGGCGAAGATCGAAGAATTCTTTAATTATTTGATGTATTGTTTTCTTGCTGATGTGTTTCTTCGATTCGACACCAGATAAATCAGCCTTTAGATGACTCTGGTGATGGCAGTGGATGCCCACAGCGCTATTCCCAACACCCGCCTTTCTCAAAGCCAAGGGTATAGAACGGGCTGCAGAGACAGCCTATTACCGGTCGTGTAGCTTGCCACAATGCGTTCTCTCCTCAACCAGCAGCCTCCCTGTAGAAGCTGATAGAGTTATTCCCACCACCCAGCGCAAACATCTCGCTCTTCGTTGGTGCCTTGGGCAGCCACTTCGCGGTCCACAGTGGCTTGTCGCCATGCGAATGTGTAGCGACGCAGGTCCGTGTCTCGATACGCCACACTTTGGCCTTTGAGTCGTGAGACCCTGAGAGTAAGTACTCGCCCGTGCTGCTCCAGTCTAAGGTCAAAACCCATCCACCGTGCCCTGTGAAGTTGGCAACCTGCTCGCCAGATGTGACATCGTACAGCGCAATGACTCTTGCGTCGCCTCCAGCAGCGAGCAGCTTCGACGCCGGCGAAAAGGCCACGCTACGAACGGGATGCACAAGACCAGCGAGAGAGTGTACGAGACGCCCAGTGTCGTTGCTGAAGACGTATATGCTTCCATTCTCGTGCCCTGAAGCAGTGAAGCTTCCATTGTCGCTCAGGCTGACGCAGAGCCCAAAGCTGCCTTTCGTCTCGTACTCGCGTATCCGTGGGAAGTCTTTTGCCTTGTCCAGACTCCACACGTTGATCTTGCCATTGATGCTGCTGCTCGCCAGATACTGACCGTCTGCGCTCAGTGCAATGGCCCAGATGTCGCCGGGCTTGTTCTGGTCTACAATCTCGCCGTCTTCAATCCAGAGGCCGTCTTCGCCTTGGCTCCATACCTTGACCTTGCCTTCAAAGCCAGCACTTGCGGCGCGACGGGCGGTGGACTCTTTGGCAGTGACAAGGTGGTGGATGCCCAGTGGGTGGGCTTTGTCGAGGGTCTGCACGAGCGGGAACTCGGGCTGCGTTGTATCATAGACGTTTATGGACGACGAACCGGACGCGGAAAGGAGCTGTGTGGATGTGGGCGCAACTGCGAATACATCACTCGCTTTTGGGTGCGCATCGTTGACCGTATGGAGGGTGAGATATTGTTTGGACTGTGGCAGTGAGCATACATGTGGTGCAGAGAGGACTGTGGCGCCGAGCCTACCATACTGTGTGGCCTGGAGCGCTACAGCTTCCTGGGCGTAGGGAAGTTATCGAAGCATACGGGAGCTGCAGGGCGAAGAAAGTGCAGCACAGACGACAAATTGCGGCTCAGTGATGTCAGGACGCGACAGCGCGCCATTGCCTGTCCCACCAAGCTCCCCGCAGTGCAAACACGGCAAACACAGGACCCCTGGCTTCACCGCCAATCACACGCCGGCGCCCCAGCAGCATCCCACGTTCTGGCCGTTGCGTTGATGTCCGCTCGAGGCCCAGCAGTGCTTGCCAGAAGCTTCAAGGAGTCATATCGCACCGTCATAAGTCAAGAGTCATACCGCACCAGCATAAATCAGGTCTACTTCCGGACTGCCTCCACCTCTCCCCACAAGAGCTCATTCCTTCCCCGTGCATACACCACCTCCACCATGGCGCCTACAAACTCCAACCGCTCAATTGTCATCTCCGGTCCTTCGGGCGCAGGCAAGTCGACCATTCTCAAGCGCCTCTTTGAGGACTACCCCGACCGCTTCGGCTTCAGCGTGTCCCACACCACGCGCAACCCCCGTGGCGCAGAGAAGGATGGCGTCGAGTACAACTTTGTGACCAGGGAGCAATTCGACGACCTTATTGCGAAGAAGGGCTTCGTTGAGTACGCGACCTTCGGCAGCAACAGCTATGGAACAAGCATTGCCGCAATTGAGGACATTGAGAAGAAGGGGAGGACGTGCATCTTGGACATCGAGATGGAGGTATGTTTGACACCACTGGTTCCCGGTGCGTAGTGCGAATTCTGATGGCTGTTCAGGGCGTTAAGCAGGTCGCAAACCACCCCACATTCCCCCGCCCAAGGTTCTTGTTCCTCTCACCACCGAGCATGGACATCCTCGAGAAGCGCCTGAGGGGTCGCGCTACCGACAAGGAGGAGGATATCCTCAAGAGGCTCAACCAGGCTAAGGTCGAGATGGAGTTCGCGAAGAGCCCCGAATCACCGCACGACAAGATTATTGTGAACGACGACCTGGACAAGGCGTACCAGGAAGCCAAGGCCTTCATCATTGGCGACGATGCCTAGTGTACATCAAGAAGAGCGCGACATAGAGCAATGATACCAGGACAAAGGAAAGGAACGTGAATCAGAAAATAAGATGGCATTCATGGAGACTACATAACTAGCTAAGCCTCGAGGTCTGTCAGAATATAGTTGGAAATACTCAGCATCGGCGTCCTACCACTTTGGGATTCAGACTGCCTCAGTGCTTGACTCTATTTCGTGTATCTCATCATGTAGACCCGTGGCTGAATGGAATCCGGCCTGTTCGACCAGGCGTGCAAGCAAATGCACCAGCTCGTGCGGATCCGAAAAGTGTGAACGTTCCTCGCGTCAAGAATAAGCCCCATTGAGTTACTCCTGCCGCCGTCCCGTTTTACCGAGACGCGCAAGAGCAATCGCATAACCATAAACTGGACGAGAAAACCCTCCGTACCGGACGTCCCTTGAGTCTCTCCCCTCCTCTTGACCCTCGTCAGTCTGTCGGCGGCAGGCAAGGTGGTCAGCGGGCTCATGTCATCGCCCAAGTGCCAACTCCTCCACCCGTAGCGTCTGGAGAGCTCGAGAAAAAGAGTGCAGGCGGAAAAGAGGGCAAGGGGCGCCGTAGTGGTAGGAGGCCGCGCTTCTATGGCGGTTCGTTGCTGAAGGTGCGATCCAGAGGACCGGCGTCCGGGGACTTTCTCCCAAAGCGTTGCGAGATGCCCGAAGGCACTCCGTGTGTGTGCTTCGTTGCGATTCTTCGAGCGAGGAACGTTGAAGAATGCAAGTGGACCGCGTCTGAAAAATATCTAAGGCGCAGCCGGAGGTTCGGCGCGAAAGTGCCCGGGCTGGCCGCACTAGGCAGCATCAGGCAGCGCCAGGCATACAGACATGGTGCCTGTGCAGCGCGGACGGCTTTCTTCGCGTTCTGGCTCAAGAAATATATAGACTGCCGACACAGCTTTACGCAGCACACACTCTCCCGTCGCGCAAAAAACCAATTTCTTCTGAGTCGCGACCGCTCTGATATCCGCGACGCGCCAAAACTTAGTTCCCTGCCCGGTCAGAGCTCGCGCAAGCTCCACAGTCGCGAACCGCTTCCTACCCCAACACCAGTGGACATTCCATAGATTGAAGACATGGCGCTTTTCGGATCGACTGCGCCAGCTCCTGCAAGCACCACTACAGGCGACACCAGCAAGGACGTCGAGGTGCAGCAGAGCCAGCTCCCAACAGACAGCATCCAGGACCTCCAATTCTCGCCCGCAAACGACTTCCTCGCGGTAGCAAGCTGGGACAAGAAGGTTTACATCTACGAAGTCGCAGGGAATGGCGCGAATGGCAAGTGGCTGTTCGAGTGTCAGGGCCACGTCTTGGGCCTCGGCTGGTCAAAAGTGAGTAACAGCGCAAGCCGGAGCAGAGGTGCAAGAGCTGACAATTCTGTAGGACGGTTCTCGAGTAGCAGCCGGCGACTCCACTGGCCACCTCAACATCGTCGACTTCCGCAACGTCGCTGCCAGCGGCCAGGTACAGGCTCAGCAAGCCAAAGCTCACGAGGAAGCCATCAAGTGCGTGCGCTGGTTCCAGACTGGCGGCCAAGACTATGTGGCCACGGGCTCCTGGGACAAGACAGTCAAGTTTTGGGATCTGAAGGGCGCGGCAGCAGTCGCCACTCTGCAATGCCAGGACCGTGTCTACAGCATGGACATTAAGGACCAGCTGCTGGTCGTTGCGACCGCCGAGCGACACATTAACATGATCAACCTGAACGAGCCCACCAAGATCTACAAGACTATTATCAGTCCGCTCAAGTGGCAGACGCGCGTTGTCAGCTGCTTCACTGACGCTTCGGGTTTCGCGGTTGGCAGCATCGAGGGACGCTGTGCGATCCAGTATGTCGAGGACAAGGACACAACGTATGGATATTCCTCAAACACCGTCAGACCACCCCACTAACGACGTCAACAGTCTCAACTTTTCATTCAAATGCCACCGCCAACAAGACCCCTCCCAGCGCGACGTTGCAAAGGTCTACTCAGTAAACGCCATCTCATTCCACCCCCAGCACGGCACATTCAGCACCGCCGGCTCCGACGGTACCTTCCACTTCTGGGACAAGGATGCCAAGCACCGTCTCAAGGGTTACCCCGAGGTCGGCGGATCCATCACAGCAACCGCCTTCTCGCGGAACGGAGACATCTTTGCCTACGCCGTTAGCTACGACTGGAGCAAGGGCTTCAGCGGAAACACCCCACAGTACCCGATCAAAATCAAGCTGCACCCGGTCATCGGGGATGAGTGCAAGCCCAGGCCGGGGACGAAGAAGAGGTAAATCCGAGTCTTGGACTTGGGTTCCTCGTCTTCTCACTGTGCATCTCCATCCAATCTGATGCTGACGTTTGAGCTGCAAAGTGATGATCCGAAGATGGCACGACGAGGGGCCTTTTCAGTGTAGACTCTTGGCTCGTGGGGCACCGCCCGGAGCAGGGCACAAACCTCGCCGCTGACTAGAGAGCTAGGGGAGAATGATGAACTGTTTGATTGTATTGCATTAGCGTTCTACGGCAGACTGGCGTATACGGATCGCCTGCGGGCGACGGGATAGGACAGAAAAACATCAGTATTATGCAAGGCATCGAGTTGACAACTGTAATAGTGTGAAGTTTGGAAAATATGTGGCACAATCCTCCTGCCTGTGCGTAGCTGCGTCTTATGCGGCTCCTAGAAATGCTTGCTCGTAATGTAAAACCGTTCGTCCGTCTGACGCCCAAACACCAGTCCAATAGACAACTATAACGCCTCGTGACTGTGCTACAAGCACAGTCCGACATCCTGCCTCCAAACCCCCTTCCTCGAAACGCCCTTTCATAGGCCTAGGCAGGAGGAATACTCGTGTTCTCTGCCCCAGGCACCTCGACCCTCTGCCTCTTTGCGTCGCCGCTTTCAGCAGCCACGCCGTTTGGACCCGCATTACTGACATCCTGCAATGCAACCCTGTCTCTCTTCAACGCGTTAGGTGCCGCTCCATTCGCGAATGTGGGAGGCTTATACGCGCCACGATTCGCACTAGGACTCATGGCAAAGCCGGGGCCTGCGGGCATACCAATCCGCCGGTTGGTATCTTGTTGGGGGTTGACGAAGTTGCTCGGGCGATTAAAGCCAGCTGCACCGCCATTTGCTGGACGCCCTAAGCCCTGTGGCGGAGGGATGGGGGCATTGGCCTCCTCCTTTCGCTTCACGGGTACGCTACGAGTGTGGTCGAGACCGGGCGTTCGCTTTTCCTTGGGCACGGGTGATTCGGCATGAGGATTGAAAGCGAGAGAGTTGAGCGAAGTAGCCGAGTTTGCGTTTTGTATCTGTTCGGCAGCTCGAGAAGTGACAAACCCTACAGATGGCGGAACAATCGAGTTAGGAGCATTGTTCACGGGAGCTGCATTGTCTGCGACGGAGGGACCAGGTCGTGGCTGGTTAGCTTGCTGAGCTTGTGGAGGTGTTAGTCGAGCAGACTGCTGCTGCGGCTGTTGCCCAGGTTGTTGCTGAGGCATTGGCGCCTTGTGGACGTCGTTTGCTGGTGGGGCCATCCGTCGCGCCTGGTCTGGGCGAGGCTGTGGTGTTTGTGGAGCACGCTGATTTGCGCCATTGAGCTGTGTCCGACCAGGTCCCTGAGGCGCAGGCCCGTTCCCACGCCCTGTCGGTGCCGACTGTCTCTGAGGATGAGATTGAGGTTGACCGTTGTTTGGAACAGGTGTGTTACGACCAGAGTTTGTGCCATTCGTACCGTTTCCTGGCCTTGGTGCTTCAATTGCCGACGGCCCTGCTGGGCCCGATGAAGCCGAGTCGAACGTAGCTTCGCCGTGATCCTCAGAAACCTCGACACCATCAAACAGATTACCGTCAAATTCGTCATCGAAATCTGCTGACTCTGCTGTTGTCGAGTGTGTGAGATGATCTGTTCGTGTCCTCAGAATCTGGTTCGGCCTGCTAGGCGTTCTGTGTGGCTCTGGCTTGACGATGGTATGATCTTCCTGTGGTGCGGGTCCGTAGTCGGCATGTCGGTAGAGATTACCTTCTTCAAACTTCCTCGGCTTCACCTTCATGGACTGAACCTTCTTGAGGTACTCCTTGTCATACAAACAATTTCCAAGAACATTGCCAAATGTACGTAACGAACGCTTCAGGCCGTCTGTTGCTGCTTCTTTCTTTGCTTTCTCGAAGGATGCCGCTTTGCCTTTGCCATTTTCTATGGACCCGTAACCGATGTCCTGATACATGGTCAGATATGTATAGTGCAATGTTCACAATCAACTCACCTCATGGTAGGTACCGTCTTTCAGTGTGATCCTTACTACAATCGACAGGCCAAGGCTAACCTTGCCGCTTTGATGCTCGTCGACCTGCTATTGTCAGCCCCCTCACTATGACTCCAATATTGCTGTACATACGTAGTCAATCTGTACCTGGCCCAGAGAGCTCGACCAGCCGTTGAATCCAAACACCTCGTTCGCAAGAGCTATAGCCTTGTTTCCTTCTAGATATGCAACTCGACCGCCGCCCTGGCCCGGTCTTTGCGAGATGAACTCGGGTCCGAGTTGCTTATTCAATCGGTTTTGTAGTGTTGCGATCTCTTGTGCGGTGAAATGAGGTACGACGCGCTCTTCGAATGGGTTCTTGACGTCGCCGCCATTGTACTGGTCGCCTGGCCTGCACTACTGTTAGACACTGAACAACATGGCAACCAGAGTATTTGCGTCCTAAACGTCTTCATCGTCACTTACGCAGGCATGATCGTGCACTCACAAAGGGGTGAACATCGAGCGGGACGCGCTGATGTTGAAGGGTGGCTAAAGGTGACGCGCTTCAGAACGCGCTAACGCATCGCCCACTCACGTGCTCACGGATTGGCCACATCCCCGCTATATTCAGGCTTCAGCATCTAAAAAAGGACTCAAGCCATGCTGCCTGCTGAGGACTTGTTAGTGTGGTTCGGTGTTGTTTATGGCGTTCCATATGCCAGCCCTACCGTATTCTCAAACTTCTAGACTCGTGCCAATTGACCTTCAAGCTCTTCAGGTGGCAACCTAGCATGATCTCAGTGCACAGGAATTAGGCGGAAGAAGCAAACGATTTCTGATACAGGGAAGCTCCCACATGGTGTGGTGGGTCAAGAAGAACGCGACGTCCTAAGACTTAGGCACAGATATCGCACCATCGCGTCTTTGCTGATATGCGGCCAATTCACGCTTTCGTAAGAACCTAAGCACTATGATCCTCGCTGATAACGTGCTTCTTTCAAATGACTTCCATGGTTTCGACATCGTCAAGAATCGCCGTGGCGATGCTTTCATAACGGTCGCGACCCTGGTGCCTATCCCACTAGCCATCCAGGATTTAAACACATACATGCCTAAAGTGGCCGGCCGTACTTCATTGTTTACAACACAGCACGATAGTTGATGACCAGCTGCCTCCGTCTCTTAGTGCTTGGGCAGCTTTCCAAAACTTCCTACCACGTAACAGAGTTAATGGTTCACTGTATGCCTCGACGCTTTGGGAGAAGTTGTGAAGAGCAAAGAACTCGTCGTTATCCAGCGAAGCCCCATCAAGCGTCGTCACAATTCACTTTTTATCGCCAAAGTCTTTCGTTGTTGAGCAGGTCTTTGAGTCTTTTGTTATGTCGAGTTACGGATTGAGCGCTTTGAATGTATCTCAAGTATTCGCTAATGTGATGAGAAGACCTCGAATACGGCGAGACATGATTGACAGTTAAGGTATCAGAACGATCAGTTCCGCGCCATTTCTTCATTTCTCCGATCTTGCTATCCGCCTAGAACCACTGTAGCAGGGATCTGCAAGAGCTTACGTCCTCCAGGGCAACGAGATAATCCCTCTTAGACCCGGGGGACTAGGGATGGAGAGGACTGCAAGAGCACTGAGTGGTCATGCGAAAAGGTGGAGCTTGGTTAGAGAAGCATATCTGTCAAACGTGTAACATCTGATATGCCCAATCAGGAGAATGCCATGGCATGCTTGTTGAAGATGCAACACGCCCGTGCCCTCTCCGTTCGATAATCGTTTAGGTTATCGTCAAGGGTATCAGTAGATGAGATTAGCGAAGATCTTGGCCTGCGAATCTACGGGGCCCTTGAATTGGCAGGTTGGTTGTTACCCCATAAAATACCATGAGATTGAATCCTTCCTGAATCCTGCCAAACCGCGAGGTCTGGAAGACAGGTACACGATTTGATTGATAGTCCCGCTGGCGAATGATCCGATTTCCCCCCCAGATGGGAAACGCCTGCAATGCTTGTACTTGGTATCCAACCAACCAACCAGTCTAATAATACAACACGCTGTACAACGCCGAAATGTCCTTACTACTCTTTCCTACGACCTTGATCACTGCCGTTGGCTTCATCGTCGCTGTCAACTCCCAGGCTAAACGTAGAGTCGTTCTGCGGTGCCCTCGGTGACTTATCCGAATACCCGGCCGGCTTCTTGGGCACATCTTGCAAGTCGTCCAGCTCTCGCTCATCAAAGTCCGCGGCCTCCAGGTCTGCCCTTCGTTCCTTACGTCTGAAGTTATCCAGGCCCATACCAGTGAGAAGAGACTCTCGGCCCTCGTCGCTATCGGGTCCCTGGTATCCGTTACTGCGGCGTCTACTTCTCCAAAGAAAGGCGCCCCAAAGAAGGGCCACAATGATGACAACAACAAGTGCAACCTCGCCAGAGCGGTAATATGCTTTCCACTCGGCTTCCTTCAGTTGCTGTGCCTTGTCTTCTTCGGCCTTTGTAGAGTTGGGATGACCGCCCACGCTCGTCAGCGGGCCCTTCTCCCCGTCAATGACACTGTCGGCCGGTGTCCCACCAATCTCGCCGATGTCGACGCCCAAGAAACGATCAAGCATGTCGCGGGTTCGCCTGGGATAATCGAATGGCACCATGTGGCTGGAGTTGTAAAAGACAACGTAGGTGAGGTTGCGGGCTTCCTGATATGTTCCAGCTGGCTCGCCCTCAAAAGCCCAGTCTTGCTTCGCAGCGACAACGCCCTGCGAAACTTCAAAGCCTTTCCCACCGTTCCAGGACATCTTGTCGATCATGTTCTCGGTACCAACGTGGTTGCAGATCATGTCCTTGTCGCCGGAGAAAAGGGTAACAGGCACCTCAGCTAGTAAGTCTGGAAGGAATCTGATAGCAGGCTCGCTATTTTTGGCGCGGAAATGGCCGGTGACCGCTCCGCTGCACTCTTGCCAACCAGTCTTCTTGTCAGGATTGATATGGAGAGCACTAATGACATCCTGGCGGCGGAGATAAGGTGTGACCTGCTTCAGGTCCGGCGGCCAGTTCATGCCACAGGAAGAATCGTCTCGCAGACGAATGTCATACATATTGACACACTGCTGCATGCGATCGGCGGACTTGTCCTTTGTCTCCTCCAAGATAGTGGTCATGATGGCCTCGCAGACCGGGGTATCGACCTTGTCCTTCCCGCCATCGTTGAGAGCCTTCACACAAACAGCCTGTTGTTGCTCTACCCGTGCTGCAGACTCGGATCCTGCTGTGATCAGACCATTCTGGTATGCAAAGGGGAGGTAGGCAAGGTATTGGTCAACGGGCGAGATCCATCCATTGCCAATGAGCAAGCCCTTGAGCGGCCATGATCGGGTTCCGGCTTGCTTGTTGCGTTTGAGGATCGCGCGCGCGATGTGTGGAATGTGCTGGCCTGCATAGGATTCACCTGCGATGTAGAACTGTGTCCTGTCAGCCGCTGCCTATGTTGGTCCGGTTGAAATACTCACATCGTCGTTCTCATACTCCGGGAACAACGTGAACCATTTCTCCAGGAAGAGGACCATGTGCTCTGCCATCTGATCCAGCTCGGTCAGATAGCTGTCCGTGTTGACGTAGCTGAAGCCAGTGCCCACAGGCTGATCCACGAAGAGCAGATTGGCAAACTCGTCCCACGAACCATTGTTGTACCTCAGGTTTCCGTCTTCTGTCACTCTGTATGGACCGACTTCCATCATGGCGCCGTCCATCGAGGAGCAGCCGGGCCCGCCGTTGAGCCATAGGACGGTGCGCTGCTTGTTGGCGATGTGGCGATTCTGGTAGTGCCAGAAGAACAGGTTGCCATTGTGTGCAGCGTCAACTTCGATGTGCCTGTGTCGTGCGTGTTAGCTCTTGCGTACTCTTGGTCGTGTATCTGCCCTACCCTGCGTGCATCTTCAGCAGCGGCTGCGGCGCGCCCGGAAGGTCATGCACAAAGTAATCGGCCTGCGTCTTTGCCTGTGCAGCGCTGCCTGGCAGCATCGCCAGAGTTGCCAGCAACCCGCTTACGAGCGCTGTCCGCCACCGCGTCCGCGAATCTATAGATAACATGATAATGGGCGAGGGTGCCGAGGTCGGTCGTGTCGCTATTTCATGGATGGCGCGAAAATGGCTCTTGGTGCAGGTAGTTATCGAGTCGGTTAAAGGGATGTCGGGCTTGCTTTAGCCAAGTGCTAGGTGCTAGCCGCTCAGCTCGGTGCTGTTGAGGTCTGGGTTTGGAGTGTGGATGATCTGGCCGCAGCTGACGAGGCCCCGAGCTGGGCAGGGGCGCGTGCAGTACAGGCCAACGCCAGAGTTTCACAGGCGTAGATGGGAATTGACAGATGTACACTGGGCTGGCGAATGCAACAGGCCGAGTGCAAGAGGATGCAATCTACAATTTACAAAACCCTCTTATTGAAAGCTGTATGGGGTGGCTTTGTCCGCCAGTTCACCTGGACCAATACCGAAGGATGCAGGATCGGGCCAATCACGTAGAACTTCCTCGACCGGCCTCGCAACCTCCGCGTTTCACATCTGCCTTCTTTTCGGCATTTATCGCCCGCTGTGCGGCTCTGACACCGTTGGAGTGAGAGTGCCTTGTATCACTAGGCTTCCCAGGCCTCAGCCATGCGGCAGAGGCGCCATGCGAGCGAGCTTAAATCACGGGGGCTATCCGGCTTCAACGGTCGCTTGCGTTACGCTTCACAACACCACCGAATATACCCTGCGCTTGCTTTTGGCATGTCTCAGCGGCGATGGCATCCCCTCCAATGATCAAGTAACACATACGGTATCACTGACTCCATTCCGTCCTGCCTTCAATACCGTCTCCCAACATAGATCGACACTCACATCGGCACACTTGCCCTTTGGCCCCGGTTCCCACGTCGTAAAACATACAGCAACTCCCTTTGGAAACGACTTCCGTTTGCATTGCTGGAAACGGTATCTTCTAGGACAATGTTGAAAACTGCGTGCCACAGTGGCGTACATAAACTTTGGGAATATTGTTGAACTCGGTTTGCCGCCTCCAACCTCAGCCGTTATGATCGTCGTCAGGCCATCCTAGAAAAGATCCTCCAGACTCTTTTCCGAGTCCTTTTTGATCAACTCCACCATGCCCTACCAAAGTCAGCGATCAAAGCGTTCATCTGTATTGCATTCATGCTGTGGCTTACCGATGGCATAATGGGTTCGCCATCCTTGCCTACTACGTAGCGAAACGGCATCTCTGTGCTCTCGTTCGCGTTTGTCCTGATTTCGGGATGGTCGACATATGAAATCTTCTCAACCGGGACTGTACACTGTTAACGGCGGCTTCAGAGCGTACAAAGGGACGTGCCTTTGTCCTGAACGCAGATTCTTGTGACACGCACCGCAGTGTCGGTCGTCATTTGAACAGGGCCAAGTCGACGGCCTTCGTAACCTTTCTTACGCAGCTCAGAAGTTCTGTCTAGAAGGGAAATCGGTCAATTGATTGGAGCATGGCGGCAAGTCTGATGTTGCGTACCTCTGGGTGGATCATCGCCTGCATCCTTGTCAGTCATCAATCGAGCAAGGAGTTCAGTACTACCACTCACCAAGAATACCACCGAAGAGAAAGATGTCGAAGTTATCACCATCCTCTGGGCTTAAGTCTTTGCTGGCAGATGGATCGAGAAGACACACTCGGTCTTTGCGGTCTGCATAGATCTCTTCGATTCCTCTTGTCTCGACGTTCAACCCCTTGACTTGCTGAAGGTTCTCTGGCAATTTCAAGGAGGTCGGCACTGACGAAAGGAGAAACTCTGAGCCGGTATCATAGCATTCCTGAGCAATGCAGGCGTATTCTAACGATGACCACTGCTCCAACTCCGGGTCGAGATGTTCGACAACGAACGTCTTCCCCGCGCCGGCCATTTTGGATTCAACTGATGAGAACTTTTTCCTTATTAGATGTGGGTCAACTGTCCCTCGAGCAGGTCAGCTGCAATCGGATGTAGCTGTTCAGGGCTTCTAGATTTTCTTGCACTCGGACCCTAAAATGTCCGGCTATGTCCCAGAATGGTCTTGAAGTTGGTCGTTGGTGGTGCGAGCCTTGCAGTAGTGATTTGCTAAGCGGAGCATGTGGTCTGAAGACGGACGGCCGACAAGGATTTGGCGAGCGCACTAAAAGATCGGAGCTAGCACGCAGCCTATTACGTATATGGGCAGACGTAAAGACAGCGGTGGGGCATGGTCTGTCCAGAGCCTGAGCAGGTGTGCGTTCAAGTCAATTGCTGACGGCGGTGACAATGCTCTTGCGCTTCAGAAAGATTGACCTCAAGTGCCATTTGATTCGATCAAACGCAGCTTTGGGGCGGCATTGCAGCGGTCCTGACGATCCGGCACGCTAGCAAGCACGCGTGACGTTGCAGGAGTTCTATGAGTGGTAAAGCATACGGCAATCCAACGCAGTTGTCCACCCGGCGGTCGTCGAGCGTCGAGCTTGCGCTGCATCTCGCGGCAGACGGTACTGTGCACGCTCCATTGTACTCCCGGGACTCTAAAGTTGTCGAATGAGGGACCTTGGTGGTTGTGCTATCGGCCCACTTGAGACCTGCTACATATCTTGCTGCATACCCCTCTCTCTGCAGGTCTCCCAGTGCTCCTTCCTCTCCCTGCAGAACGCCAACTCCGACCACATTTGTAATTTTTCTCTCGTCGCTTTTGCTTCTTCCAATCGTGTTCGAACCACACCCACTCTGCAGCTGCAAGTTGTTCTGCAGTGCTGCACTGGTTGTCACGCAGAGAGTGGTCCTCAGCACGGGCGCTACCTCGGACGATAAAGGCTTATCGCTTTGTGAAGATTGAGGGGCAGTCACTCCCTTCATCCAGAGCTTCGACACTGCACCAGAGACAACCTCGTTGTAGCCACCGGGTATCGTTGTTGGGTCTTATTAGGCAGCAGCTGCAAGACACGCCCAAGCTCCGTTGACATCCAATCGCCCACGGTGGAAAGTCGGCAGCGAGTTCCCTGTCACGGCCTTGCCGCCCAAGCAGACGTGCTGGACCCTTGACCCTTTATTCTGGTGACAACATTGGCGAGGACAAAGAATAAATAACGGCATCCTTCCCTTACAAGCAAACAATCCACTCGCCCACACCACTTGTGTCCACAGCGACGCATCAGCAACCGCAGAGATGAACCCCCACCAGCAGAACAAGGTGGACATTAGCGTACGTCATTCGCGGCCCATGCGCAATGCGGGCATTGCTCGCACTGCTGCCCCTTTGGCAACGCCGTAGACTGTGCCAACTTCAGATCTGACAGAGCGTAGAAAATGTCGCCCGAGGAGGCTAAGCTCTTCCGCCTGTACGGAAAGCTGCCAAACAAGAAGGACTTGCTGCAGAACAAGCTCAAGGTGAGTCTCCAATGACAATTGCGGCAGCAAGACATGGCGAGCTAATATGCCCGCGCAGGAGCGCAAGTACTTCGACAGTGGCGACTACGCTCTCTCCAAGGCTGGCAAGGCCTCAGATGTCGGTGTCACGCAAGTTGGCCGCGAGCACCCCAACCCCGAGAAGATTCCGCATATGGCCCCGCCTACAACAAGCAATGGACAAACACCCACAAATGGAGATCTGAAGGCTGGCAGCCCATCGAAGGAAGGCGGCACTTTCCTCCACCGTGAGACAAGCCTGAACCGCGAAACCTCTGCTTCCGACTTCGCCGAGAATGCGGAGCCGCAAACCCAGCCGGCCGCTCAGGTCTAGAGGGACTTCGCATCGTCAGCCTAATCCTGTACTCGGTCTATTCGTCCCTGGTGCTTGTGAAGAGAGGAATTAAAATATTTACGCGTCATACTTTCTTACGGCCTGGCCTGTATTGACTACACTGGGGCATGGCGTCACCTGCGGCGTTCGGACGCGTTTCCTCTTGCCTTGTGGTAACCCTTGTATCATTTCGGACAGCACTGACGAAGGTTCGACATCACCGTGGTGCAGGCTTGCCAAGCACACGGATTCTTTCACTTCATGTGCATTACGCTTGATGGGGAACAGAACCAGAGTTGGACGGAGTGTCAATGACTTACGACGAACACTTTTGTTTTGTTTTGGATGGCACAGCTGCACATGTAGGATACCTTATGCAGGTATGGAAGTAGTCGAATCAACAATCCACATTTCTGGGACGCTCAGCCGCTATGGGACGTCAGGTCTCTGGACAGGTTGAGGCCACACTGCTTGTCGACGGTCTTGCACAGAAGTCACACCTTCTTTACCGTATACGACGATCTTCGCTGCAGCCAATATGCAACAGAGCTGGAAAGAGCACGGTGGTTTCCAGCATCGTCTTAGAAATTCTGAAAGTATCCTAGCAATACACTGCGTCTATGAGCCCCCAACGCATAAACTTGACCTTAATGTGCAAACGTGATGAGACAGCACGACCTGCCTAACATTCGAACAGCCTCGTATCAAACATTACGATCCCCAGACTTCTTTACCCGCCTCCAACTCCTCCACGATCCAGCAAACCTCCTTCGAGTGACGTACACAAACACTACCAGCATGGCCAGGAACACTACTGTCCCCACACTATACCCCTGGTTCTGCACTGCTTGTTTCTTGGCCTCTTTGTAGATCTCCTTGACCTTCTCCCGAACGCCATCACCCGTTTCCAGATTCGGCATTGCCATGATGGACACCACCAGGCTGGTCCAGCCGGTGAAATGCTGAGTCCGTTGCCCGTGTCCACCAACAGGATCATACTGCTCCCACGCGTAGCCCGTCTCCAGCCAAGAGCTGAACACGGTGTGCACGATATTGCGGCGCAACTCGATGTATATGTTCTTGCATCGCTCTTGCTGAGGGCCTGGTGTGTTGGCGAGGGACAGGAGTTGCGTCAAGATCAGGTAGTTCATGTTTATCCAAATAGGGCTGCGCCAGTAGTTGTCGCCGACGCCGTATTTCTTGCTTTCCTGCGAGAGAGACTTGATGCCGTGATCTGTCCAGATCTGATTTGGATCGTGTAGGAGGCTCAGCGTTGCATCGAGATGAGGGTGCGTGGCGTCAATAAAGCCGGTCATGAACGGGAAAAGCGAAATGTACCCTTTGTGGCAGACATAGGTATGTTTGTCGTCGCGGACGACGGTGTCGCAGTATACGCTTTGCTTCTCTTCCCAATGAAGGGTTTCAAGATTGGTTTTGACGCCGCGGATATGGTTCTGGTAGGTGAACGCATCATGGGTGGCCTCGGTGAAGAAAGCAATCTTCTCAAGAGTGCGAGACATCAGGCCTACCCAACAAAGGGCATCCACATGGAGCTCTGTGATATCTGGAGGCTCTGGTCGGGGGTAGTCATCTAGACCGCTAGCAAGATTTGTCTCTGGGGTGCGACCTCGCCATCTGTACCCTTCGTTGAGATTTGCCGATGGAACAGAGTGGATCTCTATATCGCCAGATTGAGACTTGCGCCACCATTCATAATGCTTTTTCAGAAGTGGGTACAACTCCTTCACAAACTTCTTGCCCGCTTCAGGCTTCAAGAGTGTAGACTCGTGCCCATAGTACTTCGTTTTACTTTGTAGCATGTCGACGAATTTCGATACTACAGCAAACAGCATAGGTGGGTTGGCGATGTGCGGGTACTGCGTAATGGCATCGCCAGGAGTGCTGCTCTCGGCTTCTGTGCCGACAGCTTGCTCTCTGGCTATCCAACCGTCATCATCCATGGTCTTCAACCAGCTCATAACCACTTCCATTGCCAAATCGACATCCCAGTCGAGCACAGGAAGGAGATGGAAGCCTTCGTCCCAAAGGAAGCCTCGCGGAAAGGCAGCTCGAGCAGGGGTATGCGTAAACAGCTCGTACTTCTCTCTGGTCTCGGGTATAGCGTGCTTTTTGGCATCTTCGGTCTTTTCCCAAAATTTCCCAGTAGTTTCAGCATAGATGGCTTTCTTTGACCGATCGACTTTCGCCGTGCCATCAAAGTACCCAACACCGCCTAGCAAGTCTGCAAGCATCATCTCACCAAACGTAGTGTGATGGGCTGTGTTGAAGGGAGCTTTGGGTGTGAAGACGTGAGAGTAAGCATTTCTGTATGCGATTATCGAGTCCTGGATACTGCTTCCCATTTCTGATGCGGTCATAGCACGCGTTGCCATTCGACTCGAATAGAGCACGTCAATCTCGAAACTGCCATGGATGATCATTTGCACGAAATGCATGTTGCCTGATCCAGGAGCGTTTTCGAGAACTACGTTCATCTTGTCGCTGGCTTTTGCTCCGTCTTTTGATTGAGCCTCCGATTGAGCTTTCAACGCGTCGAGGAAAGTGGCTTCTTGCACGCACAGATGTCAGCTTATCGACGGTGGGATTGAGGCATGAACTTATAGAGAGGATGACACTCACACTTTGCCTGCCATAGCTTGTCTTCGGTAACGTTCGCCGTATGCACAATCGTGCCTTCATGTCGTCCGTCCGCCCCTACTGATGCCGGGATGTGGATTCCTGCGGATCCCAGTCGCGGATGCTTGACGGCGATGTTCACTGCTTCGACAGACTTATCGTCTCCAGCACCAAGTTGCTCAAAAGCCTCGAACTGGCAGTCCGGGCAATCTTTCTTAGCCTCCATACCCACGTAGAAGACAACAGAGGTCTTCAAATCCGCGGGTGCGCCAGTGCGCGGTCTGCCTTTGACTCGCAGTGCCCAGTTGCCTGCGCTCTGGCCCTCGGATTTCTTTATGAACTCGGTCGTGATGTCAATTTGGTTCCCGACATCTCGAATAATCTGGGTCCCACCGGCGCGCGCATCGTATGTACTCCAGCCATACATAGCCATGCCATCGTTCTGCTCGACCGTGTGACGCAATACTGAGATCCTAGTCAGTACTTTTCAAGGGTTTTCCCTCAGTCTAAACACCTACACTTCTCTTGTTCATCCAGCTTTCCCCACATTAACCCCGCAACGAGGGTATCTGGGACGCGAGGCCGAATGCCTAGATAGAGGTTGGGTCGGTACGGTCCCCATAGCAAAGGTGCTTCGTTGGAGTAGAGGGAGGAATCAACGGTCGTCGAGAGCGCATGCGCAGCAGCGGCCAGCGCCACCAAACTCACTGGCAGCTGCATGGTTTTAGCTACAAGCGACGCGAATACTGTGTCAACGCGGCGGTGATCTTAAGGAAAGACTACGGTGAGTGCTCAATCATGATACTGGTCGTCTACTGTGTACGCATACGAACGTAGCACAATCCAAGAGGTCTATCGGCAGTCGCAATCTGTGCATCCCTCCCGGCATCAGGCACCATGCACCCCTGATTACTTCCGCTCTCGTCCTGCGCACCGATTGGCTGCCGCGCCTGCTTCAAGCAGTACCCTTTATCTCAGCAATGCGACACCACAAAATCCGTGGGACCGACAAGAAAGACAATGACGGCACAAGCTGAGAGTCATATCGCCCATCATGTCTCATTATCTCAAAGATGTTGACACATCCACACTACGGTGTTCATCACGTGCATCCATCCCCCCCACAAAACGACGTCAGCGGTAACTTGGCCTTGAATTGAGCGATCAATCGCCCACAGTAAACAGAGATTGTGCTCAAGTGAGAACTAAAACCTTTTTCTGGTTACTGGCTGATCCTGATCGGCGTCGAGCTATCCATTGCTTAAAGTCAACATTGGCTACGGGGATTGAACCCAGCTTACAACGCACAAAAGCCATGCAAGAACAAGTTGATCGATTAGTTGAGAAGACTTGGAGTATGAGAAAAACTTCCCTAATGTTCCAGTTGCATACTGACACGACAACGCAGGGAAGTTCCAAGATGTCAGTGGTTCGCAGCGTCTGTTGATGGCAGTGGCTGGCATACCAGGCTCCGGTAGGCATGCTGATGGGGATCACCTGTGCAGAATGCGAGACTGACAAAACTTTAGGCAAAACAACGCTCGCAGTTAAGGTTTCCAATGGTCTCAATAAGAAGCATGCGCAAAGCTCACCAGGAACGCACAATGGCAACCCTGTTGCAGCCTTCATACCGATGGACGGTTACCACTTATCACGCGCGCAGCTAGATGGCATGCCGGACCCACAGAATGCACATGCGCGAAGAGGGGCGGCATTCACATTCGATGGTGACAAATTTCTAGCACTGGTAAAGAAATTACGAGAGCCGATTCTTCCGGAGACACGAACACTGTATGCGCCCAGCTTCGACCATGCAAAAAAAGACCCTGTCGCGGACGACATACCTATCGCGCCCTCCGTGCGTATCGTGATCTTCGAAGGGAATTACTGCTCCTTGAATCACGGTCCTTGGAGAGAAGCGGCAGAGCTTATGGATGAGTTATGGTTCGTCGATGTCGACTTTCAAGTCGCTCGAAGGCGGTTGATATACAGACACGTCAAGGCAGGGATTGCGCGAAACGAGGAAGAGGCCGCCAAGAGAGCAGATGAGAATGATCTGGTAAATGGGCAAGAGATTATAGATTCGAGGCTAGATGTGCATGAGTTGATTGAGAGTAAGGAGGATCTAGAATGGGCCCCAGAGTATCAAGCTGCGGGCGGGGATAAATTCTAAGAGTTGAGTAAGCTGCTGAGTATGACTATTCAAGGCGTATGATAATCACTGCATTGCCTTGCCTGTCATACTCACCTATCTCATGAGCGATTCGTTGCGTACAGGTGACTCACTCTTACGTAGCCATCTTAGGCCACCCAAGCACATCGCCCGCTCTCAATCTTCTCTCACCAAACCTCGGCCCGCACGACTAACAGTTGCGCCTACCATACCATATTGTCTTCTTTATACTTGTCGATGTTGGTTGGCACGACATAAATACAGTTGGTGTCGAGATACCTCCGTCATGAGAACTGCAGACTCTGATGCTGCATTCTTCCACCTTCCCCGTGAACTTCGAGATCTCATTTACAGCTATGCTTTCGGATCAGCTCGTCGCTCCTTCAGCTACGGCACTTTGATCATCATAGTTGCCCGGTCCACCAGTACGCGCAGTGCAGACACAATAAGCGGCCTACCACCATGGCTTCTCACAAACCGAACCCTCTGTAGCGAGGCCATTGAATTCCTGTTACGCACAAGATGGGTCAGTCCACACTTTCAAACGCGTCCACCCGACCATCCTCAACCCACTCGTATCACGTTGCGCCCAGGTCGCGCCGTGGTCACTGCTTGTAGCCCTGTACGCCAGTCCCTCCTCTTCCATGAGCACAGTGTCCGGAACATCGTCCTAAATCTTGCGGCTGGGACCGGCTATATCCGTTCTCTATGGTTTTTCGATGATACGACACCGGTACATGTCAGTCAGCCGTGGACCGAGTTCCTGGAAGCCATACACCCCTTTGTGGCTCATTCGCATCTACACCTCGATCTGACTATCGATGCGGAGAGTCTCGCGCTCTCACTGCCGGACATCAATTGGCCCAGAGACTGGTCGCAACGAATCGAGTCAGTAAACCTTACGTTGCTGTCAACCGAGGGGAACAGTGAAGATATGAAGCGGGACGCTATGATGTATGTAAGGAGGCTTATCGGATTCCAGGATGTCCGCTGGATGTTGTCACTTTGGAGTGCAGGGAAGCCAGCATCACCGTCAGTGCAGAAGAACGAGAGAGAGCTGCTGCTCTACCAATTCAGGGTCACATCCACACACGTCCATCCAGCATGAGATAGCTAGTTGCATGCATCCTACTGTCGTCTGTTTGCTCTAGTCCCACCTCGATTAGGTTGTCAGCTGTTGCATACATGTTAATGGCTTAATACTTTGCCTTAGGATCAAATCGTATTCATAGATGTTGGTTGGCAGCTCGATAGTCAAATATGAAAATACTGCAATGATTGGCTTTGACTTGTCATGCACATAGTAGTATGATACAAGCTCTTTCGGATCCACCTAAAGGATCTCAGCACAATTTTGTCGTCCGCATTCCGACCGAAACAATTACAACCCGCAAGTCCTGTAGACCAAAGTCTGCTCATCAGACACCGCTTCACTAGTATGGGCGGTAGCCAGAGCCTCCACGGCCACGGTATCCCCCACGGTAGCCGCCGCCACGAGGAGCGTAGTCGCCGCCACCGCCACCGCCACGACCTCCACCATAGCCGCCGCCCCGACCACCGTATGGCCCGCCACGACCGCCAAATCCTCCACGGCCTCCTCTGGGGCCGCCGCGGCCGCCCCTTGTCATGCCGGGCAAGTTTGTTCTCTTGGGCACAACCTAGAAGGCGTTAGCGTACGTATGCTCAAGATTATAGAGCCGACATGACGTACCTTTAGGTTCCGGTTGCGAAATTGGCTGTTGTCAAGGACGAGAGCCTCGTTGACCAGACTAGGTTCTGTGAACTCCACATACGCATACCTGCATACGCCCATTAGCGTTCCAATCTTTCTGCCAAACTCTTGCCAGGTTGCGAAAGATGCTGTCGGGAGTGATGTATACGCGATCAGACGCGTGCCACACAAAGCGGCGCATTAGTCGGCGCAAGGTGAATATCAGGGTGTGTAAAACAAGTTGCTCTCAACCAAACGCGCAAAGAAGAACTGACCCTTTTGGATGCCCTGTGAACTTGTCGAGCAGAATAGTGACACGGTTGATGCTTCCGACGCTCTGGAAATGTGCTTGAATCTCTTCTGGGCTGGCCCCATAGTCGACATTGCCAACGAAGACACTTCGGGAGTCGACGTCTTCCTTGCTTTCGCGCATCTCATGGCGTTCGTGATCTAGCGACTGCTGCATTTCGCGCAGCTTCTGAGCTTCTTCTTCCATCTCCTGCACGCGACGCCTCATGGCTGAGATCTCTTCCTGTTGTACAAAGTCAGTCTTGCCTTTCAAGAGGATTCCGACCTCGGTGTAGGAAGCGCGCATCCGTCGCGCATCTGTCGCGCATGGTGGAGTGTTGCAAGAACTAAGGGCTCGTGTAATTGGAGGAAGGCGCGTCGTACCTCTTCGGTGGCATCATCTCCGTGGCGCTCGTCTTCTGCTGTGTCGAGGCGCTCATCTTCTTCGCGCTTGAGCTCTTCCTCGCGCCTGAGCTCTTCGTCGCGCTTGATATCCGCATCGATGTCAGACATATTGTAGAGCGTCTTCTGAGCTATTGTTGGCGTTAGTTCGATTAAGAGGAAGCTTCGATAGGTGACAAAGCATACAAGGCGATTAAATTACTCCGATTTCTAACGCAGGTCCACCGAACGGCGACAAAGCAGAACACTGGATAAGTCGATTGCTAGATTTGCGACGCCGACGCGACAGAAATAATGAATTGGTGAAAGAAGAAACGGCACCTGATGTGAATGGAGTGTAGCCTTGACGGAGTGAATGACCGTAGCTTCGAGTGGTCGGAGCTTCTGAATCGCGCTAAATCAGTTGAACCGGGGTTTGCGCGATTGCCTCACTCTACAAGTGACGCCTTGCCCGGAATGGAGGACACATCACGTCGGTATCTCAGAGAAATCACTGTAGGGGTATCATGTTGCGAGTCGCGATGCTCAGTGCGGCAAATTTGTAGTTGTAAGTACTTCGTTCCACATCGTTGCGAATATCGCAAAGAAGGTGTATAAGCCCAACGCCGTTTGTCTAGAGCTCAACTGAGCCACAATCATGTCCGTCACGCCATTAACGCCAGAAGCCATGGATATATCGCTCATGGTGAATGCGTGCCGAAGTCCCATCAGCGATGCAAAGGTCGCAAGCAGTCGCGCCACCTTATCTTCCTCCTCAATCACTTCATTGTCCTGACATCGATAACGGATGTCCCTTGTCTTCTTCTCCAAGCTGGATCCAACTTATTTGCAAGGATGCACCTAGCACAAGCAGTTGCGCAGAACTACGGCGCGGGATTCTCTTTGACGACAGTGCGCACTTTCTTCTCGTACGCGGCGCGGTCCTTCTTGAACAGGTTGAATGCGTCTGCTTGCGCCGGTGATTCTGGGTTCGGTTCGTCGAGCAGCGACTGAATGCCGAGCAAGATCTCCTTGATTGTAATCGCAGGCTTCCAGCCTTCTTCTTCGTTGAGAATAGATAGGCACACCGTACCTGAAGGGTACACGTTTGGGTGGAATAGAGGAGGCATGAACTTGCCTAAAATGTGTTAGTTGTGATGCACAAATAACGAGAGGCAGCCCAAAGCCTTTACGGCGCAGCTTGAGACAGTCGAGGACATACACTTCGGTGGCTTTGTAGGGTACTCCTCTGGAAATGTGACCTCGAGCTTGAAGAGTCCGCCTTCCCAGATAGTTTTCTCCTTGCCTGGCACACCACAGTCCCATTTCTTAAGATCCATCATGCCATTCGCGCCGCGCATGGGTTTCGCGAAAAATCCGAACGGGTGGTCGCGTCGCCATTGCTTCCTTAACATGGTATTAGCGTAAGTCGAGGAGTTGCGCACCAAGACATGCTGACCTCTCCTCCGAGAGGCGGTTCATACACAGAGACATGGTGCAGTCGTAAGGCTAGCGTCGATGTGCTTTTCGATCCGTCGCCGCCAATGTGTGGTGGGAAGTGTGACGGTTCTATAGGAAGCGAAGCGTTGCGCTGTATAAGGTGGCGAGCGTGGTGAAGGTGAGAAAGAGTGGCGCGCAACGTCTGGGCAGTAGTGAGCTTCACTCGCTCAGCACCTGCATCTGCAGCTCCAAGGTTACCAATTACCAAAGCGACGCACGTGATGTACAACAATTAAGCGTGAATCTAGCCCGGGAAGGAATCCTTGCCCCGCTACGCCGATTACGACTGCCCCACTTTAGCTGCGACCGAGGCTGAAAGTCACCACCAACGCGGCGCGTGAGCGATTTGCATTGCATATACAGTGTTTACGATTTGCATAAATTCAAACCGCAAGTTCTAACGCTCCTAGTATAGTCCACGTTTAGACACACAAGAATGGCAGACGCACCAGTAAAGCAGGAGAAGGAGCATGTGAAAGCTGCCCCTCCACCAGCCGACGTTGCATCAGACCCGGAAGAAGACGATCTCTCAGACCTGGACGACGTGCTAGACGAGTTCGCAAACACAAAGCTCGACTCCAAATCACCTGCGCCCGTGTCCAAAGCCGCACCACCGCCCTCAGCACCATCCACCTCAGGCCCAGGGAGACCGGAGGACGTTTCGCCCGCCGAGCTCCTCCTCCAGGATGAAGACGAGTTTGCAAAAAAGCTTCAAGAGGAGATGGCACAGTTGCTTGGGCAAGGCGACTTTCAAAAGCAGTTTGAGGACATCATGAAGGAAATGAACAGCGAAATGGGCGGCGACCATCTACCCGCGCCAACAGCCGCAGAAGCAGCCGCAACAGCGTCCTCGTCGCTGAAGGACAGCATACCCTCGAAGTCTTCCGAATCCACCAGTAAAGCAGACAAGAACTTTCAAGACACAATCAGGAAGACCATGGAGCGCATGCAAGAGTCTGGCGACGCCGCGTCCTCTGCTGCTGCATCGTCGGCCAACCAAGACGATATCCTCGCGCAGATGCTGAAGGAGATGGAGAGTGGTGGATTTGGGGGGGAAGGTAATGATGAGGACTTCAGTAAGATCCTGATGGGCATGATGGAGCAGTTGACCAATAAGGAGATACTGTACGAGCCCATGAAGGAGCTTGATGACAAGTTTCCTGCATGGATGGAGAAGAACAAGGACAAAGTGCCGGCAGAAGATCTCAAGAGATATGAGGAGCAGCAGGTGCTGGTTAAGGAGATCACAGGGCGGTTCGAGAGGAAGGGATACAGCGACGACAACGCAAAGGACAGGGAGTACATTGTGGAAAGGATGCAGAAGGTACTCAATTTCTTTGATGGTTTGCATTCACATTACTGACTGCCTCCAGATGCAAGCTGCCGGCTCACCACCACCCGATCTTGTCGGCGACATGAATGCTGCGCAGGAAGCGCTAGCAGGCATGGATGAAGGGTGTCCGACGCAATAGTCTATCGTATGTGACAAATGTAGCCACGGTATACGAGAGGTACTCCGCAATTGCTCAGCGTCACTTCTCATGCTTGAGTGCCAGATCACCGTCCCAGCAGTACTCGTCTGTCAGCATCGCTGTGGACATGCCATTCAGAACTATCCTGATCCTCAATCGTCTGTCATATCCATGTCATCCACGTCTTTGTAGCCCTCATGTTGGCCTTGCGACTGGTGCTGATATTCTGTGTCAATATTTGTCGCACAATCCATAAAGATCTGATCGTATTCCTCATCGTCACTTCCGTAATGCTGCTGTGGCATTGTGGTGTGGCATTCTTCTGTGTCCATGGACGCAATCAGCTGTTGCAGCTCGTACTCCTCTTGTGCAAGCAAATATTCCGCTTCGGTCATTCCTGGCTCAAGTTGAGGTGCGTTATTCGACGAATCCGGTAATGTGGCGTCGCTCAGTAAATCATCCTCAATCTCCTCTACTACAGCTGGTGCTTCTCGGGCCTTTCTCATCTCCCACCGCTTGCGCTCTGAGACGAAGTCCAATTGCTGAAGCTGCACTGTGTCAGTTCACGAAGAAAAGTGTCAAGTCATCTGTAGCATACCTGTTCCCCTCGTGACTCCCACTTCTTTTCTTCACGGTTATTTTGAACGCGCTTGAAGAACATGTCGCGCCGTCTCTTCGTAGCTGCGTCGCGTGTCTGCATGACAGGGTTGGCTTTGTAGACCCGTTGTGATTGTGTTGTTTCCTTCTCGCTATGCTGTGAAGCCATGCTAAAGTCGAAAAGGCTCGCGCCAGCATTCGCAGAGGGCTCGCGAAGAGGTGACGATCGAATCGGCGCGTGGGTGGCGTATTGCTGATTCGGCATATGTGAGTAGTATGTGCTGGTGAGTAGCATTGTGATGAATCGAGACCGTTCAATGAGGTTTCTGTGGAGAAGAAGGCGTGCGTCTTGATTTCGTGTTGAGGTGCTGGACGGTTCAGACGAAAGTAATGATGCAGTCGCGTCTCGGTATCGACAAGCGTGTCAGAGACGCGCTTTCGCTATCGATAACATCACGTGCGCCACACACCACCTGACACAGTCCAGTAAGAAAGACTTATGTTTGTTCATCGTTCTTGCTTGATGCATTTTGCCAAGTGGCCGGTCAGACGTGCTTGGGTGTAGAATGTTACTTTTCAGAGTTAGCTTCGAGCTATAACGCCCCAGCAGACGAAATCAGTTCGTTACGACTGCGATCACGGTGAATGCCATTTCCGCAAGGTGTTTAGGCGACACAAATGTACTCCACGCTTAACATTATATACTTTTTCTACGGGCTAAAAGCGGATCTACACGGCTGTTGCTGCTTTGATAGCTCTGGCCTATGGAGCGTCTGCTGTTCGAACCCGTCCCGCGGCATCGACTGCTTCGACCCGTTACGTTGTGGGTACTCGCTACTCGGCATAGCATTAGGCTTTCTGTGTAACGTTTTCGTTTGTTCTCTTGCACGAGAGTTAATCTCTTCTTCCCAGTGTGTATGCTCGCGCTCCTCGAAATAGTTAGGACCATTATCGTCAAGTTTGATCTCCTCCCATGTTGAGGTTCGCTCTACTTTTGTGCTCTTCTGCGACGCGCTCTGTTCGGCATCATCCTGTAAGCCTGTCTTCCTGCGGACGATACCTGGAATGGCGGAGAAAGGGGTTGACGCGTACGACAAGGCCACTCTAAACCTCCGACCCTTCGCTTGGATCAGCTTGGGCAAACACAAGGTGCATGCTACGACGAAAACAAGAGATACTTCGAGTGTCGTCCAGATTCCAATGAAGAGGCCATTCCAAGACACGTCAGCCTCTGAGATTGCTGCAGAGATGTTCATGGTAAACCAGATGCGCATGGCTGAGGCGACACATGCTCTGTTCTATATTAGCATTTGACTACTTCCAGGGTGGTACTTCACTCACATAAGACCGGTTGCAAATAACAGCGTGATGAACATCTTGCGTGCTAGCGGTACGTTCAATTGCCATAGCGAGAAGGTTGGAAGGAAGAGGATGACGATGTCGGATGCCATGTTAAAGGCGCCTTGGCTCAGGATGATGTCGTTCACATCGTAGCATGTGCCGGGTATAAGCTTGTCCCAGATGAAACGCCGAGGCTTGCAGTAGAACAGAGTCCAGAAGGTGAAGAACAGATACACGATGAACGTTGCTACAATGGTCGTCCAGGCCCCATACCACATGAACTTGTTGCCGCTGCGCGAGGGTGCGAAGAGGCGGAGATACTGCATGAGGATGGACATCTTGACCACAAAGCTAAGTGGGCAGTATATGACTTGAGCAGTGTTTGCCCACTGCAAAGATCGTGAGCTTATTTGGTGGATTCGACAGGAACCAAACTTACGTAGAGCTGATTGAAAAGCTGGCCTGCAGTGACCTGCCACTGATGTACACCGGCTCCCCACTTCACCATCTGGTATCCCATAGCGATCTCAACTATTATCAATGGCTTCTACGGTTAGTATATTGCAGGTATAGACCGTAGTGTTCTTACGTACGAAGGCCAAGAACAAGAAATCTGCGAGATGTTAACAGCAGTTCGCAGTTAGTTTTAATCAAACTCACAGTCTGCCGGCTCCAAACACCGCATGATGGCGAACCTAGTATAAACCCGTAGCACCAGAAACAATCCTGGGACCGCTATACATATGATTGCGACCACCAAGAACCAGACTTGATCAGGGCTATCCAGAGTCATTGTAGTGTCTGCTCCTTTAGGTATTTGATCGGGACCCAACGCAGGCAGGGACAGCAAGAACTGCCGAGCGTCCACACCGACTGGAATCTGTACTCCTTCTGGGATTAACAGTGACATATTAACGTACGGAATACTTGAAGAAACACAAACGGACGGGGTGCTGCAGAGACTAAAAACGAATCTTGCTGACAACGACAAATGGCACTACATCTATAAGGCTGGTTCCAGGATCACCAGAGTTGTAAGTGCTCAGTCAGGCTGACCTTTCCTTCGGTATGGACATACCGGTAGGTCAGTCTGAAACGCGACAGGCCTATACTAGAAGAACAGAAGGTGCAAGCGGACCTCGACCTGCCCTGTGGTTTCGCACAGCAGCGCAGTCCGTGAGGCGAGTGAGGCCGCCGTGACGGAGGTAGATGACTTAAGAGTTCGGGTTCGAGAACCGTGAGTACTGCAAGCGACTGCCGAAGTCCGATTGTGTCTTGCGTGTGAGGCGGTGCACGCAACGTCGGGATTGTACATTGGACAGGGATTGTGTCCACCACACCGGCATTAGACATAACAAGAGGGTTTCTTCTTCGGCATAGAGAGAGTTCATTCCACCTATCGCGTAATATACATTTACCCTGTGCACACGATCGGCGCATCGTGGCTTGGAAGTCCAACCTTTGTACAAAGGCCGATCAGGTCCGACTATGCCGCGACCTGTGGGCACAACACTCCTGTTAGGATCAAGTCTACTAGCCTTGATCGTTGCGTACGGGCTTGTTGCTTCTTCGCATGATCGCCTTGTCAACGATAGGTCACGAGCCGGCTTTCAAACACGAGTCCGAGTAAATTGCCTCGGCGCGCTTACGACACATAGCACACCAGGTAAAGTTATAAGAGTTGAAAGATTATGCTAGATCGCCCATCTCTTCCTCGGCTCGCTGTTAATGTTTGTCTGCAGACCTTGGCCACTCTGTGCTTCCGGGCCAAGCGGGTCAACGCCAACAGAGTACGGTTCCTTATAGCCTTCCTCCGGAGGGTTTGTCAGTTCATGTGTTGAGGTCCCGCTACTACTATTAACACTCGCATCGCTTCGACTCTTTGAGTGTTCCAACTCGTACGCGAGACCGTGATCTTCGACTCGTGTTTCGATTACTTCGATTTGATGACTGACGAAAATGGCGGAAAACGATTTCTGGATGACAGGCCAGAAGATGGGTATCGATGCGCTAATAATGGCTAAGTCGATCTCGAGGCAAGATAGGACGATGCTGACTGGCGCCCACCAGGTAAAGTCAGGGTAGGGCGACAAACCAGCATCATGATCTATGATGGTTTGCAATCGCCACACAGATATCATAACAACCCTGCTCGTAGTAAGCAACTGCTCTCTTCAATACAGATCGATGCTGTCGAGGATTAGAGTACTTACACAGCGCCCAAAGTGAATACGCCAGCCAGAGCTAACATACTCTTCCACTTCAGGCTTGGTGTGCGGAACAGTACCAAGGGTGTCGCAAAGACAGCAAGATCGAAGAACATGTTTGTGGCGGTATGTGCTTGGAACATGGCAACGAAACTTGTGCGGTCGCCGAAACCGAAGCCATAACACTTCGCTCCGGCTGTGCGATGCCAGTATGCTTGGACAGGTCTACAAGAGAACCAGCCGACGACAGTGAAGCCAAGACCCCATATGCTAATAACGACCAACAATGTTATGCAAAGCCATCTCATACGACCTGCTTTGAAGATGCGCAGGTACTGTACCAGCAGTGATAATTTGATGATTGTGGTCTCGCTAAGATAGATGTTGTTTTCGGTGTAGAAGAGCTGCCGAAGTCAATGTTGTGCGACACTAGGGGAAGTAGACACACGTACTCTGAGATAGTTCTCAATCATGGGCAGCCCAAGATATAACATGTGCCTTCCTAATCCATATTTGACGGCTGAAGCGAACCGTTAGCCAATATCGAGGAATCTGAGCTAGCACTTACAAACGCAGACAATGATTGTGGCCGCTGTATTAAAAATCTTTAGAGGGAATCAGAATCAACGTCTAGCTGATAGGGACGAGTCGTTTCCTCGTACCGCTGCAATGACGACCAGTAAATCGTCCCAGCCCGGCTCTTTTACAACTCTAAAGCGCACCCACAGTCGAAAGAAGACTGCGATCCATGTCGCGATCTGCCGCTTTAGTTAACGCAAAAACTTCAGACATCCATAGTCGATACATACTAGGAATGGAATCGTCGTTCCGAAGATGGTCTCCGGGCGGTTTGAGAGAGGCAGAGGTTCGTATGGGTCTGGGGCCTTCTCTACCATCTCCATAACCAACGCATTCCAGTTCGCTAGTGCCGACATCTCACCAGCAATATCGCTGCGCGCAGAGTAGGTAGTGACCGAATGACTGGTAGGAGAGTAACGGCTTTTTGCACCACTGTTAAGCTGAAGCTCTACGGCCCGCTTCTTAACGCTGGCCCGGGAATCCTTCCCATGTCCAACTGGTTTGCGACTCGCTATGGATCCATTCTCGCCGCATCGTATCTATTCGGCATGATCAAACGGACCTATACTGAACGCGCATATCCATGCCGTCTGTGGATAGGCGAAGCGTGCGACGGTGGGACTAAACTTGACAGCTGCTAGCGTAACTGTCAAAGGCGGTCCAAGTGGACCCAATTTCCTATCGCAATTCCGATCGCGCGGTCGTGAAGCATGCACGTTGCGGTGACAGCCACAGATCATAAAAGAATCACTCGGGCGACTTCTCCTTTCGACGACCGTGATGGATGCATGTAAGGCCACGCTCTTCCTTGGCAAGCGTGGCGCCTCGGGAATCAAACGGTAACAGCCTTGTCACTGGGGCCAGGGTCGTGAATTGCAAGTGCGGGCCTCCATGATACTCGAGCAGAACTCTGGGCATAGAAAAACCCACCGACACACGTGGAGACAGGATGGTGTAGTCATTGCACCGAGGTAGTGAAGCAGATGCTAATAACTTGCCGCAGGCCTTCGCCGATGTGCAGCCTGGATAGGTTGCGAATATCCGAAGGATGCAGTTGTGGATATGCGAACGTGCTGTGGGAGAAACCGATTAGGATCGTCTTCCAGCCAATCACAGAATCAGCTACTGGGTGTGGAGCTCGGACTCGGCAGGACAGGGGAGTTTTTGGTGTTGCCAGAGTCATTCCATGATCTAGATTGGACGACGTGAGCTTTAGAATTGAAGAAGGATGCTTCGAAAACTGAAAGAGCTGCTATGGTGTTGGATGATGTCAGCATAACTTTTGCATGCGCTACGGCCCTTTGCGAACACCCGGTCGGATTTCACATGGTCCACAATTGCGTATTTGATTTACGAAGTGCTGTTTCAGGCTGAAAAGATGCGTGAAGATTGAAGACCGTGAGATTTACCTTTACCCTGCCGTCCACCAGATAAGGTCGATAAGTTCGATGAGTTCGGTGAATCGCCCCGCAGAACGCGTCAACCATTAGGTCGGAACCAATTTTTTGCTCACAACACTCCGCCCTTCGATCATGTGCTGTTGCAACAAACAATTCAGGGCCGAATAACCATGTACTAGGTTGCCACATATGTGAACCCAGATAGTTTCGGGGCTCGCTGTGATCTAAGCTCTTGGTTTCCCGACAGGTATCGGGAAGCCCAGAGAATATTCCTCGAAACCTTGTTGTGTATTCTTCCTACCTCAGACCCAATCACATCACTGTGAGGATGAGGATCTGACTACCAGCTCCCGTATTTGCTCTTTGCACGGTCATGTTCTGACTTGGGACGCGCCTTGTCTTGAGCAGCCCATTCGAGATTCTCAGCCGTCCACTGGAGCGGCAAATACCCCGAGATGCCCCTTTCTTGATGGTAGACGATCGATTCCGAACTCGCAGACGTTTTGGAGTGGAGCCGTGGCGTTCGATCAAGAGTATCACGGTACTAAGTAGTGGAGACGGGGAGATACGCCACCGATCTGAAGGTTCGTCGGTGCTTACTTCACCGCGAACGCAGAGGTTGTGAAGGGAAGATGGCGGCAGCAGTGAAAGGCGAATCGACGAGCTCATCTGTCTGCTTCTGCTCGCGACATCCATCTTCTCGATACGCTGTAGATCCGCACCCTCTATGAGCAAGACAAAGGTACTACTGGTCGTCGCTGCATGGTTTGGCAGTCAAGACCGAAACGGCAAACCACTCGTGAACTGGGGCTGCACACAAGGATCAAGATCACATGCCTACTGCGGAGCTGTCATAAGTATGAGACCGTACTCTGGAGCGCGGGAGAAGTGGGCGCAGCCTGAGCAATTCTGGTATTGCAAATACACAATGCTGAGATGATATGTGCGTGCTTTGCGTCGAGGGTGGTTCCAATGCGGCAAGATTACAAGACAAAAGCAAAAACACTGTTCTCGAGCTCGTTGATTGAATTACACTGAATGATTTACACTATGCACATTTTGTCTGATATCTCCCATCCATGTATGCAGTCCAAATGCGAAACGCCAGTCATCGCAAACGCCATCAAAAGCTACAAAATACACAGTCCTCTCCGTTACTCGAACTGATTCTCACGATCAACCCATACATCCTCCAACTCAGCGAAGTTGTGGAAATGGATCGGTCGGTGGATGCTATCGTAGAACCTGACCGGCGTGTCAAGTTTGACGTGCACAGGTTTCTTCTCGACCGCTCCGAACGCACTGCCCATGAAGCTGTAATTCCAAATGCCGTTGTCGGGCACAAGGAAGTATCCGCGGATCTTGTCGGAGAGCAGGAGCTGGGACTTCTCACCAAATGAGGTGCTGAAGCCTGATGGGTTGTCGGACATGGTATCCTTGTTATCGGCGCCCCACTTGTAGCCCTGGGGTGTGAGGGCCCAGGCTGCGAGTGATACAGAGCCAGGCGTAAACGACACGGTCATCGAGACGGTCTTCTTGTCCCAGCTGGCATGCTGATTCATCAGGCGCGCGTGTTGAGTGACATCGCTAGCCTGCATGTACGGGGGCTCGTTGCCACTGACCGTGTGGATAACACCAAGAGGCTCCAGACCATCGAGATACTCGTGTTGAGGCAGCTGCTTGGGGAGCTGAACATCGCGAGTGTTTCCAACCTGTGGGATCATGACAATGGTGCTGATCTCCTTCACTTGGTCGTTATCCGGTGGAGACTTGCCGTACAGGTACCCAGCAACCTGCACACGAAGGTCTGCAATGGTGATGAAGCGCTTGAGGACATTCTTCGGCATGACGTAAGTGAAGTTGCCCTCCTCCTTCACATCCTCTGAGTTGATGTAGATGTTATTGGCACGGGTCCGCAGGTTCGACGTTGCGACTGCTCTGGTGCGCCACTCCGTCTTCGAGGCGAACGAAGCCTGCTCGTATTGGGAAGTGGTGGTGACAACAATCTCCTCTCCGTGAACGTTCTGAGTCTTGGTGGTGACGGCAGTGAGTTGCTGCTGCTCCTCCTGCTGCTTGTCGATCTCGGCAGCCTGCTGACGCTGCATCGAGGGTGCGGAGATTTCCATACCCAAGATGATATCACGCACTTCACTGCTGGTGAGCGAAGACGTGTTGACGTTGTTCTTCTTGCCGTAGTCGTTCAGGATGAGATCGCGAAGCTGCACTTCGACCTTGATCCAGTCCTCATCCGATAGGGTCGGCCAGATGTGGTGCTCCTGTGTGATGACAGTCTTGTCGGGACGCAACAGCAGTTTGGTCTTGTCCATGTTGACATGAAGCGCACGCAAGATCAGAATCAGACGCGAGAAAGCTGTGTAAGACGAAATCGTCTTTAGCCACTCGTCGTACAGGTTGAAGAGTACCATCTGCGGTCCAGTGGCTCGCAGAATCATGTCACCAAGTTTCTCAACCTTCATGGCGGCCTGGAATGGGAGCTGCAGCTCCGAAGCACGAATCGAAATGTTAGGGAAATCGAGCAAGTGTACCTCAAGGGGATCAAGCAGACCCTTACGGGTAACGATCAGCTGCTTCGGCTGTTCTTCGACAGGCAAGGATCGAATAAGAGCCGCGACTTCTTCAGCAGTCTTCCACTTCGCCAACTGACCGAGACGCTTCTGGCCTGCCCAAACACTTGTGTGAATGATCTTCAAGAACAGTTGACCTGTTCGGGGGTTGAAGATGAAGATAGCACCATTGATAGGCTTTGTCGTCAGGTTACCTTCGAAGGTCTTGTGGATGGTGACACGGTAGACATTGGTGTCGTCGATGAAAAGCTGAATCTGGTTGCTGAACAGCTCAGAGTAGTTCTGCGAGTTCAGGAACTCTTGGCTGCTCTCAGAAGCGTACAGCTGAAGACCTTTCCTAATACGCTCACGTAGGACGTAGAGCGCGGGGTTGGCCTTCATCACCTTGGCCATGGCCTGCTGAACCAGCTGCTTAAGACCAGGGAAGTACTGTCCGTAAGCGGAGTATAGGTTGTAAGCCAGGTCAATACCAATCATAAGACCGGTAGCTGACGGATAGATACTCATACTGTCCTGGGTGTAGTCGAGATACTTCGCGCGAACGTACCGCTCAATATCGTGAGAGTCGTAATCACCATATCGTAATTGAACATCGACCCAGAACTTGTTTGTTGTGGTGTTGCTCATGTTGTCCTTCGTATCGTACAGCATAGAAGGTGGCGAGACGCTCCACTTGTGACTGGCAAACAGTAAAATATCGGCACAAGAGCTGTTCATCTTGTACGACTTTCGGGGATGGATGGTCTCCTTCTGCACAGTCTCGATACCAAGAGCCTCCAGCTCTTGATCGAAGACCTGACACAGGTCCATGACAACAGACTCGTGAATCTTCTGCCACAAATGGGCTCGGAAGATCTGAATCAGCGAGATCTTAAGTGTGGGAATCTTGCCATGCAAGAAGATACCCGTCAGATCAAGCTGGACCTGGAAACCGACGTAGACGTTGGCTCGGTTGATGGTCGGTGACCACCAAAGTGTAAAGCGACGATTGGGAATCTGGTTGAGACCGGAACGTTGGGCATTGGTAAGTTTCTTGAACTTCATCGATTCTTCGAAACCTGTGACGCGTTAACATGATGGGTAGGTTACTCGAGTGAGGTGTTGTTTACCTGATGCCTTCTCCCAGAAAAGGCCCTCCCAGGACGGGAACGCTGTGGCTTTGAACAATGTGTGCTCGAGAATTGTCTCCACACCACCAAGTGCTTGGATGGAATCTGAACGGTACGCATTGAGATTCCAGAGTTTACCATCGTGGCGCTGGCTTGTCCACCAGAAGGGGTTGCTCTTCATGTGCTGGTAGATCTTGAACTCAGTCCTGGCGCGGAAGCCCTTGTCGAAGCTGAGCGTGCTGCGATCCTTCTGGAAAAGGGTATTGATACGAGGCAGACCTCGGTCCCAGCTGTCTTCCAGATCTTCAAGTGTCAAGCGTCGGTTTTGTTGTTGAGCCTCTTGACGTTTTTGCGAATACTCCATCCAAACACGCTGAGAGTCGCGGAACTCTGACTCCCAAGGAATGATGTATCGGAAGATGTTGGGAATGAGAGTCTCCTCATCGTGCGACATACCGGCACGGTAATGGGTGACACCAGTATCAGTCTGCTTGGACCATCGCTTGTCGCTTGTGGGGATCAAGATGTGAGACCCGGAAATCATACCAAGTCCACCGAGTTCCTTGGGTGTGTAGAAGACAGCAGGAGGGAAACGCGAAGGCATCTTTGAGTTGAGACCAATCTTGACACGAGTCTGGATCTTTGTCTCGCACTTTACAATGGTGTCCAGCAGGCTGACTGTTGATACGGCAGCCTCACGGTAGTATGTGAAGAGTGCGATCAATGTAGTGTTCCACTTGTTCGCAATCTTCGTGAAGGTGGTTGAACCAGATGACATAAGGATCTGACGAATGCGATTGTTAAACTTCGCAATGTCTTCCTCTGTCACCTGCAAGAATGCGACAGCAGTTCGCTCCTTTGTTGCGTTGTCAATCAACGACCACACACTGTCCTTCTCCGGAAACTCGCCGCTCTGGTTACGAATCTTGGGAAGTACTCGCACCTCGAAGCCGTTCATCGAGAAGAGTAGGTTGGGATTGTCGCGGCTGTAGACGCTGGCGAAGGTATCGTCCCATTCGATGGTGGTTACCGAACGTGGAAGTCTGTTCTTCATATCCCAGAAAACAGCGCGACCGAGATTGACGTCGTGGCGCATCAAACGCATCCTGGAGTCGCGGGGCCAGCATTTCTTATTCTTATAGCCGATCACGTTCTCGAAATTGGGATCGGGGTTCTCGGTCAAGAACCGCTGGATGAGGTCACGCGACTCGTCGGCGGTAAATCTGAAGAAGACCCAGATGCGGTCGATGTACCTCGTGTACAATCGAATGGGGTGACGGACCTCAGTCTCCTTATCCTTGAACTGCAAAAAGTCGTTAGGGCTCTCCGGAGCACCAGCAATCTCGTTTGCACGCTGCAGACCGAGGAGAAGGATGTCCAGGACGAGTCCGTAGAACTGGAATACGAAGCCAGAGAACTGCAGACCACGAATCATGCCGTATGCGTTGACATGGTTCATGTCCTTGTAGTTGAGTTGAACGTTGTTTTTGGCGGTGATGTAGTCAGCCAAATTATGGTCCATAATGAGACGTAGCAGCCTGTTCAACATCGTCAGGTCGATCTTTTCGTAGACCTTTGACAATTGTGTCTCGATCAGGACGTTGCACTGTCCATCTTCGTGCTCCCAAACCTGGTCGAGATTGTTGACACCCTGGGCCCACTTGTATGTCAGGAGAGGAGGCACTTCGGAATCGGAAGGCTTGATCCAAGCAGGGAACAAGTGCCGCTGGTCAGCCTGATACCACAGATACTGGTCGAGGTATGCATCTGTGATTTTCTCCATTGGCTCAATGTCATATACAGGGTTGATAGTGCTGTAGTTATCATTCATGTCAATACCAACCTCCTTGAAAGCACGTTGTGTCAACAGGAAGCGCTTGATACGGGCGAGCGTTGTTCCTGGAGAATCGTATGCTTGCTCGATGAGGGCCAGCTCCTCACGCTGGCTTTGGTTGAGACGGCCTTTGACAGAGTAAGCTTCGCGCAGGCGCTCCAGAGCTAAGATCAGAATCTTAGTGTCGTGCTTGTACGAGACACTGGGGAATGGGATGGGCTGGAACTTCCGCGCCTCCAGCCAGTGCACCATCGTGGTGTAGATAGCAACAGCCTCTTCGGAAGACACGTAAGGACCATCCTTCATGTAGTTGTGTTGACGCTCCTGCTCCGCCTTCAACCACAATCGCGTCAAACGGCCCAAATTCTTCTTCGCTACCGTCTTGTCCACGGTAGCACCTCGTCGTATGCGCTCTCGGTTGTAGTGCGCAACCGAGATCCACCAATCAGCCTTGCTCTTGACGTACCGCAGAATGATGTTCTCGATAGGCGCAGGGAGTCCTGGCACTTTCCACGGGATATTACTTTTCCAGCATCGCCAAGCCTCCGACAAATGCTGCAGGACAGTGTTGACCTTGTTCTGCTTGATGCCTTCGGGCATCATGTCCATAAGATCACTCATGACAGCAGCACGGAGCTCCAGATCGAAATGAGACTCTACACGCTGCTTTGTTACTGTCTTTGCGACACCCTTGCTATGTCTGCCCTCAAATTGACGCGAGAGCAAGTTTCCAAGCCAGCGCTCTAAGAGAGGAATGATACCACGCATGAAGAACAGCCAGACTCTCCAGGCGGGAGCCCAGAAACCGCATCCAGGACCCTTACCGACGGGGCCGGAATTGAAACGGTAGTAAATGAGATGCTTCAGATCCTTGCAGGAGCGGATTTGATGCATGAGCTTGTACTTGTATCGGTACATTCCAGTAAGTTGGCCGACGTGATTGAAGGCGTACAGGATACCATCTGCAAGCTGGAAGGCGTCGATATTGCCTAAACGGTACTGGACTTGTGCGTCAACGATTAGCTTGGTCAGACGCAGGATTTCACGCATCAGGTGGAAGGCGTTTCCAAAACGTGACTTCTTGCGCTCCTTGGTGGTGAGTGTCTTGACGGGTTTCAAGTTGAAGTTGTAGTCAAGATGCAGGTATGTCAAGTTCTTACGGTGGATGAGCAGGTTCAACATGTTGTAACCTTGTCGACACACCTGCAGACCGGCCTCGACCCAGTCAATTTTGGTCTGCTGGAAGAACTTTGTGCCCTTTAGCGTTCGCATCAAGTTCTGCTTGCTCTGCGCTTGTGGGTCTTTCTTGTGCAACTCATTCAAGACAAAAGACTTCAACAACTTCTGGTACGACACTCGGACCTTGACTGGCTGACCGCCAGGGACATGCTCGAGATACCACTGTTTCACCAGAGGTACATCTTGTGCACGCACCATGCGTCCCGATCGCTTATCGAAGGGATGTGGCGCCCACCACAAGGCAATCGCAGACGCAGTCTCGGGAGTTGACAACTCCTCATCTGCCATGAAAGGCTCCATCTCCTCTGGCATCTGGAAGTCGTCTTCATCATCCTCGATGCTGTCACCAAAAACCAGGTCCTCGTGGCTTACGGAGATGTTCTTGGGGGCAACAGCTCGCGATGAGATAGGATTAATGATAGGGTCGAAATAGAATGCAGGCAGACTAGGATCTTCCGCATGGACGTAGACCACCTGAGGATACGAGTACCAAGCCAGCTTGACACTACGAGGAAGTGAGTTGTACAGGAAGGGGTAGGAGACACGGTACTCCGTGCGAATGGGCGCACGGAAGATAATGCGGTCAATGGCATTGAACTCGCCAAAGTCTTCGTCGTTCGGGTCGATGTCCTTGTACAATGGTTCAAAGCGAGGCCCTCCAGGTATTGCAACATTCAAAGCCTTTGCTGTCAGAAAGCTGTTCATGTCGAACATGTGAAAATAGTTCTTATCCACGATATCGCTGAGCAACTGTCGACTCAGGCGATATAATGTGGCCATTTGTGGAAGGTCGAGATTCCAGGTCTCGTAACTTGGTCCGTTCACATGTGGGGTGTCGAGAAGCGCCCTATGCTCGTAGAACCACTCAATGACTGGATCATCTTCATCCTCGTCGAGCTCCAATTGAATAGGTTCCAATGGCTCAACATCCTCGATGTTCTCGGAGTACGAAAGTGGCGGCTCCTCGTCGTCGAATGGAGGAAATCGCATGCGCTTGAAGTGGCGGCGGTCGCTCTTCTCCTTCCTCATCGCGACCCACATAGCTGCCCACTGTGCGTGGAAGACTGGCTCAATGACACGCGGTACTTCATTGACGAGTGTCAAGCATCCATTGGTGTGGTACAGAACTTTCACGTCGCGTCTGCTTTCCCAAGGCATGGGCATGTTCTCCAGAAGCTTTAACACCGCGTGAGGCATGAACTTCAGCGCGCCGAGATAACTTCGCTTGTCTGTAGTAAACTTCTTCTGCGACACGTCGCCGATATCCCGGAACACTTTGCGCAGATGCTCTGGGGGCAGATCTGCTTTCTGAGTCTCAACGAATCCAGCCTTGCGCTTCTCGCCGAACCTCTGTCGCTGTTGTCGCAACCAATCCTTCTTCTTCTGCGCAAACTTTGCAACCTGCGGGTCAACCATCTGTCGCATGCCGGGAGGACCTGAAGTCCCTGGCGCACCGGGAGGCCCAGGTGGCGGAGGAGGCGGGGGCGGAGCTCCATATCCAGCACCAGGCGGGCCCGGGGGTGGCGGTGGTGGAGGAGGCGGTGGTAACGCCATGTTGGGTGGGCGTATCCTTGTCGTGATGTGTCTTGGTGTAGCTCAGAGGCCGAGTCTCTAGGCTTCGCAGACGCAGCGCGCCGCAGTCAACGTAGGGAAGTCGCGTCTTAGCGCAGTCTCCAGATCGGTCGCTGAATGCTCCGAAAAGGAAGAACAACAGATGCGCGTCGAGCTGTGATTGGCGCTCCACGCGTTGCAGCGATTGGCGATGGCGTTGAAGTTCCAGTGGCGTCGCAATGCTGCTGATATCTTTTCGACGCGCCAAGGCTGCCGCTCGCACGTGACGCGCCTTCCAAAAGTCGGCCGCACAGACGCTTCGCTAAGGGAAGCGCTAACGGCACGCAGCCCACTGGAGCAACTCTGAACAAGATTGATTTCAGACATCACGACTACTAACGCCCAGCGGTAAGCCTGCCCCAGCGAAGCCCTGCCCAACTCCAACAGACAGACGACAGCATCGATTGCCTGTCCGCTCGATTATCCATCCGGGATTGCGCTCGACCACGACTCGAATTTTCGCTCACGTTCTATAACAGACAATCACCCACTGATTCCCCGGGAAATCAACCACAATGCCTTCCACCAGACTCACTTACGTACGTCGCACCGAACCACCGATCGAAACGACCAGAGATGGAATTGCTTCGATTTGCGAGGAATAGTGGCTAACACTGGGCAGAGGCGTCGTGCCCCCTACAACACCAGGAGCCAGAAGGTCCGCGTGATCAAGACTCCCGGTGGTGAGCTCCGTTACCTTCACATCAAGAAGAAGGGCACTGCTCCCAAGTGTGGTGTAAGTGCTGTGCGACTGCATGTTGCGCGCAGGTTCTGACAGTCTCTAGGACTGCGGTCTCAAGCTCGCTGGTGTCCCCGCCCTCCGCCCCCGCGAGTACGCCACCGTCTCCCGCCCCAAGAAGACCGTCCAGCGCGCCTACGGTGGTTCGCGATGCGCCAACTGCGTCCAGGACCGCATTGTCCGTGCTTTCCTCATTGAGGAGCAGAAGGTCGTCAAGAAGGTCCTCAAGGAGTCTCAGCAGAAGAAGCGTTAAGCGGGGATGATTCGAGGGTTACTGGGGTTCAAGCATGACAAAACTGGGGCTATCGGTGTTCATGTGCATTATGGGCAGTCTCCTGGTTCGGTTGACTTTCACGATATCACGGCGATTTCTGCGTCACTCTCCGAAGTCCGCCAGGACAGTAGCTGAGTAGGATCACGAATATATCCACAAGCTGCGCAACACAACTACGAGATGCACGAAGTGTGACGAAGGAAGGCGTGGGACGGGTTGCAGACCAAGGGCTAGGAATCTCTTGCTTGACGTTGGAATCACGCACGAGGCCCGTTCAAGGCTGCCATGAGCTACTGCTGGCTTCGCTTTTGCTCGTATTTTCCCTTGCTCATGTGACTCCCTCTATCTCTGAATGTGCCATTTACCATGCCATTGCCCCTCTAACGCAGCAACCAAGGCAGCCTGGTAGTTGGGAATCGCTTCTTAGAATCTACTTGTTCAATCCCACTCGGAGATGCTGTTTTGACTCCCGATTCTGAATTATGACGTGCGATTACAAACATGTTCGCCTGGGCGGACATGACATTTGAACGTTAAACCTAGAAGTAATTCCACATTGCAGTTTTGAGCAGACGGAAGGAACTCGGTAGCTTCAATGCACGAGCTTATCTCGTGCACCGGGGAGAAGTCAATGGCTCCGAAAATCTTGCTAACTAGCCAGAAGGACCCAGCTTTATCCTGGAGTCTGCAATTCACGGCGGGCACAGGCGGAGTTTAGTAGCCAGAAGAGGCTGGTAGGGCGCAAACCAGCACGGGTTCGTGATTCCTGATTGGTGAGTCAACGGCCGTCGCACTCCACAGCTGTCGAGCCCTTCAGAGCGCACCGTTCGGCGGATGCTGCAGGTGAGCTGGAGCCTGCATGTTCTCCAAAGCAGGCCTGGTAGCGATAGCCGACGGGAAAACACATGACTGTATGATCGCTGACTTGCGTCGCCCTGGGTGAGAGAAAGTCACTCGACGCAAATCCCACTCCGACCCCGCTTAGGGTTATAACCAGAATTCTTCTGAGCGCGACCGGACAGCGATATCGGTGCTGCAGCGCGCAACAGCCTGCAGGAGCTACACCTCGCCATGATGCCCATGTCCGACCAGCTCTCTCCCACGACACCAGGGAGCGGCTTGCCTCCGCAAGGCTTTGCCAACAGCCCGCCGAGTCAGCAGCGCGGCTTCAAGCGCTCTGCATCCAGCGAGGACGATGACTTCGCGAACGGCGACGGCGACGGCTCGCGCTCGCTCTCAGCGCGCCGCAACATCGCCGTGAAGCGCGCGTGCAACGAGTGTCGCCAGCAAAAGGTGTGTGTCTATGCGCAATTGGCCCGGTCACGCCACTAACACACTGCGTGCAGCTCAAGTGCAACGTCCAGCGCGACCCGTTCGTGAGCTGCGCCCGCTGCGTGAAGCAGAACCTCCGATGCGTCATCGAGCCCAACTTCAAGCGCGTGGGCAAGCGCAATCGCAATGCCGAGATGGAGAAGGAGATGGAGGCGCTGAGGGACCGCCTGGCCCTGTACGAAGGCCGCGCTTCCATGCCTAGCCAGCCACTGCTCAACCAGGCGCCGCCCATAGACCACCAGAACAACTTTGGCGCACCGCTGCTGAAGGTCGAGGACGACGCGTTCTTACACACACAGCACCAGCAGGTGGCCGCGACTTCGTTGCTGGACCTGCGCAGTGGCCAGTCGCCCATGTTCTATTCACTGGGCGCAGGAGAGGTTCGCCTGGCGCACGCCGAGGTCAATGAGCTGTTTACCGAGTACTTCCAGTTGTACCACCCTTTCCTTCCATTCCTCGACCAGGTGCGCTCGCCCGAGGAGTACTACAACCACGATCACAAGCTCCTGTTCTGGGCCATCATAAGTGTTGCGGCACGGCGCTCAAGCGGTCGACCCACGTTGCTGAATGACCTTGCAAAGCCTTTGACAGATCTGATCTGGGACTCGATCAGGAACCAGCCGAACCACCATGTCGTCAAGGCGCTATGCTTGTTGTGCACGTGGCCTGTTCCAGCAGAACGCACAGTCACTGATCCCACTTACATGCTGTGCGGTGTCATGATGCAGATAGCCATGCAGCTAGGCTTGCACCAGCCCGCCCACCCTCAGGACTTCTCGCGCACAAAAGTCCGCTTACAGCAGGAGGACATCCACGATCGTCTGCGAACATGGGCCGTCTGCAATGTTGTGGCGCAAACGTGAGTTACATATGACGAATGTGTGGGCGTGAAGACTAACGTCGGTAGTGTCTCGACTGGCAATGGCCAGCCCTCGATCACCCTCTACGATTCAACACTCGAATTCAAGGTCGACGACGAGGACCACATGCGTACGATACCACCGACTCTATTTGTCCGTCTGCGCCAAGAGATGGCCGCTAGCCGCGTCAACAAGCTGCTATACTCAGCCAACACTCAGCGATTCGCGGCCGAGGCTGCGACAACATACATGACATTAGAAGCAGATCGACTGAAGGAGGAGAGAGGGTCATTGGATGGGGTCGACAACGGTATGTCGAACTTTGGAGTAGTGGAACTACGTTGCTAATCTTTTCAGAACTCGAAGAGCTCTATCACTGTGCGGTGTGCTTACATTTACACCTCTACTCTTTCTTCAGTCCTGAGCCTCGACTCGAACGCCGTGACGATCTTGTGGCGTTATACTACGCAGCCACAACCTACCTGGACCAAGTCTTCAAGCTGCAACAAGCTGGCAAACTCCCCTTCGTGCCATATTACATCATGCAAATGGCACTCGCTGCGGGGTTTGCCCTCCTCAAGCTTCTTAACTCAGATTTCGCAGGCAGGTTGCCGTCGAAGGGCCGTCAATACGTATTGCAGACCGTGGAAGCACTTCGCCGAGCCAAGGTTTGGCCGAACGATCTCCTGGATCGCTTCGCTGAGGTGCTGGCGCAGCTCTGGAAAGAAAGCTCCCGAGGGCGGAGCCTACACAGCATGTCGCAGTCACCATCCGTCAGCAACGCCGGCGTCGCCACCATGTTCAACAACCAGCCACAATCTCAGCAAGCAACGCAACAGCGGCGAGAAAGTACAGGCATGCTCGAAGACCCTCTAGGCCTCATAGTCCGGAGTCGCATGAGTATGAGTGTCATGTTCGACTGCGTGTGGCGTTGGCGTGAAGCTCAGGTCAACGGCGCATCAGACCAACTCGATAATACTGTTGTTACAAACCCTACGAATCCGGATTCATCGAGCAACTCAACACCCCCACCGGGTATCGTTGTTGAAAACCCTGCACATACCATGCCGAATTTCAACCCGCACTTGAATACTCTGAGCATGCCACTGGCGCTGCCGCAGGGCCTGGCAAGCGCCAACAGCTATGAGTTCTTTGACTCGGTTTCATGGATGCTAGAAGCGCAGACGGATTGGAATCAGTACAGCTCAGGAGGCTTTGGCGCGGATTTTAATGCTTAAGAAGGCAACGACGAGCAGGTTTCGATGCGCCATCCCAGTCGAGCGGACGCGCATCACAGCACGAAGATCCCCATGAGGCAGGATGTTGAACCTTTCTCAAACACCCTGATCCCGATTGGGGCCGAATTCAAGGAACATGGATGCTTAGGGGGGTTGAGGTCAACGTGAAGAGCACTTCGTTTGCTATTGGCCGTTTTTCAGGGAGCCATGATGGCCGGTCTATCGCAGAAGACCGACCAGGTTAATTCCGGAAATCGAGGCGTTGCGCGAATAATCCGATCAAGTTCCCCTGCCACCTTTCACACCCGGTATATCGACGTAGCGCAAGAACTTAGCATCCAGCCGGCGTCTCCAAGGAATTTCTCGGCAGCGTTGCCAATGGAAACTTCCATCATCTTCACTATTTTGGTTTTTTAGCGTGGCGTTCAAGGTTAGGCCTAGTTGCTTTCTTCATTTCATGTCTACTACTGTGCACATGCACAGGCATTTACCATTATCTGTTCTCTCTTTGGTCTAGACCGCCCTGGCTTTCTCTGGCCAAGTTGAAATGTTATGCTGTATTCTTCCATGCTCGATCTGCTGAGTCGTTGGTGCATAGGTGCTATGTCTTGCAGCCTTATCATGATCGAATAAAATTCTTCCCCAGACAAAGAGCAGTAGCGTAAGGTGTTGGTCCTTTTCGATATCACGCACACGCACTGCTTGGTGCATTCTGTCACAGATCAACCTTTCTCTCCGTAAAAGTCACCATGGGCCTCATCTCGTGCCAGTATTCAAGCATCGACCAGGCACTCCAAAAACACCTCGTCCCATCTTGAGCCGACTGTGGAATCTTCGCTCCTCTCTGTTCGAGCTGTGCGCCTCCTCACCATTTCTTCCGTACCGTCAACGCCCCAATTCACCGATACGACGCCTATGCTGCGTTCCTCCGGGCCAATTGAGATATCGTTGCGGTGCGTACCAGCTGGAGAGGTTGTGCCGGTATGCAACGTGGACTCTCTGTATCCCGTTGAACTGGCTTGATGAGATGTGCTAGTTTTCAGGGACAAGGCATTTCTCCGTTCGTCCTGATCTGACCCTCCGGTCTTCTGACCCTCTCCCATATCTGTCGTCTTGACGACATCTTGACGACCCAGTTGGATCCACTCCCACAGTCGCACCGCGAGTGCAGCAAGATGCAATAGTCCTAGCACCAATGCCATGAATACTGCAAAACCTCCAGCAACGTGAATGTCTACGTTCAAGCCAACACACCGCTCACCAAGCAGTATTCGGTCCTCCATGGACGGTATTTGGTCCTCACCAAGCTTCTGTTCAGCGAGATCCCGAATTTCCGATGGGTCGCAGAGAGCGATCGCGGTCGGCAGACCGACGAAGTAGGTCACAGTGTGGCTGGCAAGTACAACGACCATAAGGAAGTCGAAGATGCTGAGTAGCACATTTTGAGTCGAGGGCAAGAAACGCGGGCGCAGAAAGGGATGATACGTGTATGGCAGAGCGCATGGCACTGACACTGCTTCTGCGTTGGCTTTGTAAAATGTAGCCTGGACTGCCGAAGACAACTGCGTGTGGCAGGATTCGTGATCTCGATGTTGGCTGTCTACTGATTCGGGCATGTCATCGTTGCTACCCATGAGGCTGTCCTTTTCCTCTGTCCCCATGACTTGGTCTGTTCTTTCACATTCATGTAGTACTGAACACCACCAGTCCAGACACAGTAGCGCATGTACACAGTCAATCGGCACCTGTGTACTATCAGCCTCTTCTCAAACCTTACTCGCTCTTGCCAGTCAAGCACACTCACAAACACGCCCACGACTACCCAAACAGCAACACGCCACCCATTGGCATGCCTACCTAGGAAGCTCTTAACCCACCAGTATGGCATTTCATAGTTCTTGATTATCGTGATGGTGCTGATGTGCCACAGGAGCATGAGCAGAAGCAGGAGCGCGGCGATGAATTGAAAGGTAGAGACGTAAACGTTAGCTGTAAGTATGCGGTAACGTGATGTAGTGTGTGCGGGTAGAGATAAGCGCAGTGGTGAAGACATTGAGGGTGATTTTGTTTGTCGAATTGCATGAGAGTGCGCCTTGCAGAGAGTATTGAAGAATATGAGTGAGAGGTTATGACCGTGCAGCCGAGTAGGAACAACTCGCTCAGTGCGAATTGGCAGTTGCTGCCTCTGAACTCAAGGTAACAGCATCCTCTTGCTTGTCATTCAATAGCAGTGAGGCAAGATGCTGGTTAAAGTTGGGAAAGCATGATACAGTATCCTGGCACCACAAGATCGATTTCTGATTTCCTGGATCAAAATGCTAGTTTCAAATTTCCAAATCACCTATCAACAATGCGGACCCTATGAATGTTAGTATGAAGTGTGAATGACATGGGTGGAATCACGACGCCAACTCCAGTTTGGCTAGCGTGGCATGGAGTCGGGTACGGTGGGGACACCAGATCGCGTCATACTAGGCATGAGTATAAGTTGAGGTAGATCTTCAGGGCAACCCATCGCATCAAACAATCAAATTTGGCACAATGTCTTCACCGCTTCCGTACAACCGCCAGACCGCGCTTGCAGCTACCGTTGCAGCTGACAATGCGGCAAACATCGCTGGGAAGACCGTTCTCACCACCGGTGTAACCCAGGGCGGCCTCGGCGCAACATTTGTCGAGACAATCGCGCAATACAAGCCACGCTTGCTCATCCTGGCGGGTCGCTCCGCAGAAAAAGTACAAGCTACTGTGCAAAAGATCAAGTCGGACCCAAAGAGCTCTGATGTCGAAGTACGGATCCTGGAAATTGATCTTGCCAGCCAGAAGAGTGTGCGCCAAGCAGCAGATACAGTATTGGGTTGGAAGGATGTGGACCATATCGATGTTCTGGTCAACTCCGCTGGCATCATGGCAGGCCCCTACAAAACCACACAGGAAGGAATTGAGAACCAGTTTGGTAGCAACCACATTGGCCACTTCCTGTTCACGAATCTGATCTTGCCTAAGATCCTTGCTTCTCCCAGCCCTCGCATCGTCAGTGTCGCTAGCGATGGCCATCGTTTTGGCGGTGTGCGATTCGATGACTGGAATTTCCAGGACGGTAAGGTCTATGAGCAATGGGAAGCGTATGGGCAAAGCAAGACAGCCAATATCTTGTTTGCGCGAGCACTTGCAGAGAAGCTTGGACCCAAAGGCTTGAAGGCATACAGTCTGCATCCCGGCGTAGCCTTTGGCACTTCGCTTGCGCCTCAAGGATTGACAGATGAGGACCTTGGTGGACTGGGTAAGTGACTAATGGAAACCCCAAAGAAGAAAAAGCTAACATGAGGAACAGGTGCAAAAGATAAGGAAATCGGCTGGAATCGTGAGCTAGATATCAAGACCCTTGATGAATGTTCTGCAACGCATGTTGTTGCTGCGTTCGATACACGACTCAACGGTACGTACCATAAGCATAGAGTTGAAGATCATTTCGACACAATGCTAACCCGTTCGTAGCCTATAATGGAGTATATCTCGAGGACGGTAATCTATCCGACGACTTGCAGCCATCCGCCACCAACCCGGCCGACGTGGAGAAGCTATGGAAGCTCAGCGAGAAGCTAGTTGGTCAGGACTTTTCCTACTAGTGGGTTTTAACGTACCGACGTTCAACATAAGATATCCTAATTCAACATTCGAATCTCATGCGTCTCGCCTAAGCCACTGTAGATTCACTGGGCTCACCAATCCAGCTTCACCCCTGTCCAACCAGCCCAGAAGGTTCTCCAAACCCAGCCTTTCAAACCCAATGTGACTCTCTACACTGGCTCCTGCCGTATGACTGAGCATCATGACGTTTCGTCTTGTGGCCAGCTCTTTGTTCACATACGGCTCATCAGCGTGCACATCAAGGCCTGCCGCACTCAAAACTCCATCGTCAAGCGCTGTGACCAACACATCCTCATCTACCAACTTTCCTCTCGCAACGTTCACTAATCTCGCACCTCTCTTGAACCATCCGAACTCTTTCTCGCCTAACAGGACTTGCCCAGCGAATGGCGCAGCAATAAGCACACAGTCACTCTTCCCCAACAGCTCTTCCAGCGTGTCGCACCATCCAGCGTCAACTTCCCGCTCGCGCTCTTCCATCCGCACAACATCATGATACATCACATTCATCTCAAACGCCCTCATCTTTTGCGCAATTCTGTACCCGATCCTCCCTAGGCCCACAATCCCTAGCGTTGAGCCATTGGGATTGTGCGTCACCGCCGCAATATTGCCCATGGCATCTCTGAACTGTTCTGGGTCGCACGAATGCGCGGCCTGCACCGACCACGAGAACAATCGGTACACGGCCAGGATGAGGAACACGGCGGCGTCGGCTACGGACTCGGTGCACGCAGACGCCGAGTTACAATACACAACGCCGTGCTGAGCGAGCAGCTTCGTGTCAACCCAGTCGAAGCCCGCGCCGGCGGAGGCAAAGACTTTACAACTTTTGGGTAGGAGCGGTCTGGGTGGGTTAGATAATGGTGCGGGGTTGGGGTGAAAGGGTGTACATCAGGTCTACGTCCCAGTTTCCCATCTCGCCACCTGTGTTCCAGAATGGGCGGTACATGCCTACGAAGTTGCCCCACGTTTTTTCTTGCAGTGCGCTCTTGAAGTCATCCCGTCCCATCGAATGGGTTCTGATGATGTTGAACTTCAGCGATAGTTCGGTGTAAAGATCGTGGTTCCAGCGAATGTCATCGCCAAGATGGAGGATGGTCGGCTTTCCACTTGGAACCACAGTCGTTGGTGCAGATTTTGTGACGTCTGCTGCGTTCATTTCATGGGAAACTGATGAGTCCGGCATGATCCCAAAGTGTCGCATTTACCACTGCGGATGTTGAGGTCCGTGTCTGAGCCAGAGATGGTGAGGTGTGTGGGATATATCAGGCTAATGTCTGCTGAGGGATTAGAGTCAGCATTATCCCTCGAAGAAGGCAGATCCGGGTGCTCAAATATCACGACTAAACCAATAACCATGCGTCATCTCCACGTGTACCAAGAAGGCAAAGTCAAACCAGTCCAAGCAAAGTACAAGAGCAGGGCGGTGAGCCTGCTGCGTGCGAGTGCATTTTCTCGTCACATCGGTGCTACTTTGCGCCTCCGTCCGTTCGCCTTGTCGATTGCTCCTCTGAACCCCTGACCTCGTTTCGGTGCGCAGAGCACCGTGTTCGAATGGGCGATGAAGGGGACGATAAGGTTATCAGCACGCCAACTGATTACGACCTCCACGTGGTCCGGCTTGCCCCGTTTCATCCGCCGTGCATATAGCCGGGACGATCCTGACGGAAGATCACAGCATGGAAAAGGAGAAGGAAACGCGGTATTCGTGGAACAATCAGTATGATCTCTGGGCGCCTGGGCAATGTTGTACTGACACAGTGTCATAGCTACAAGTGCTGGGGATGGCATGATGGCTACAGCCAACGACCTAAGTTTAATCTGATGTCTATGATAATATACAAGTGAGGGTATCGACGCAATCCTGAGTCGAAATAGTGATTGTGAACGCCATCGCTGATCTGGAAGTTGCCCTATGTATGCGCCGAAAATTCAGAAGAAATGTATCAGGCCCATGTGCCCGGTACCTGTTGCGTTGGCGGTCTTCGCTGTCTGCCCCTCGAAACCATACTGGCTGACCATATCATCAAAGACTTGCCAGTCCATGTTGCCGCCGTCCATGTTTGGAGAGTCGTTGCTCGATCCCTCCAGGGATCCCGTCGATGCCATGCCTTCGAAGCTCAGGTCTTCGTAAAACTGCATATCATTTGCATAGACGCCCGTCATGAGATTTGCTCCATTAGGCATGACCGGCTGCGCACCCGTTGCAAAGCCTGGTTGCATCAGGTTTTGCGTATCTTGAGCATGTAAGGTATGATCGAAGGGTGCGTAGCCTTGCCCATCCATAACATCAAGAATTACGTTATCAAGCCCAAAGTCTGTCAGCTGATTGAATTGATGCCCTGGGCTAGCTCCTGTTTGAGTCTCAAGACTAGATGAGCTTTTGCTTTGCGATTTCTGGGTTTGAACGCGGTCTCCGGCCTCAAAGCCAGCCATTTGACTGCTTGAAATGGGATTTTCAGGACTCTCGGGCCAGCTCGACGGGGTTCCGCGCGTCGATACTTCGCCCAGCTTGGGTGCCGCAGGTCTGAGGAGTCTGTCCAGATCTGCCGAGCTCGGTTGATCGACCGGGACGGGATTGAGAGTATTTGGCGCGATCCACGGGAAGTCGCCACCCATATGTTGCCCACTCATGGCTGCTTGACTCGCCTGCTGAAGCTTGAATTCCCTCTCCCTTGCCGCTCTCGCCTTAGCTAGCAGCTTTCGGAGGGGTTTCCACAAGCATCCTTGCTGGCCTTTGCGGTAAGGTGAGGCTTCGTTGAGTGGGAACCACCAACGTCCAGCTGTGGCCTCGAGAGCGCGCCAAGCACGTTCCACCGCCTCACCCTTGGTACGTACGCACAGCTCCGACAGTAGGAAAGCAATGGCATGCCATTGCACATAAGTGCGGAAAAGCCAACCCCATTTCATAGTGCGAGCCTCAGTCTCGAGCAATATAGAGTACTCAATATTCTCCAGCGAAGTGATGAAGAGCTTGTCTCTTGTCTCCTGGGGAAGTGACGCTCCTCCATCTTTGCGCTGATGTGGATGATATACAACCAGCCACATCTTGCTCATGATGAGTCGGGATATTGTCGCACTTACCCAGCAGATTGGAACCGTCATGTCACAGTTCTTCAAGTACTTCTCTTCCATTGCTTGATGGCAATCTGTAATCCATTTTTCTTTGTCGTTTATTGATAAATTGGCAAAGAGCGATGTGCATCTGACGGGCCCTGGTGGGATGTATAGAATGCGCCGGAAGATGTTGGCAACCTCGAATCGAATAAGACAAAAAGTCATGTCTGTGAAACCAGTACGCTCCGGAGGAGGTTCGATCATGTCAGGGTGTAAATCGGCGTCGTTGACGTTTAGCGGCTGTAGTATCTTAGTACATACTCACCAGATAATACATAGAGCAATACATACCATCTTGGCGTCGAATTGCGCTTCGACTATCGTAGGATCACAACCATGATCTTCAGATGATCTTGCATCGAGCACGCAGACCTGCCACCAGAGCCTCCTACGCATCTCGATCTCGAAGGGCGGTAGTCCAAAGTGGCTGCCGTCTCTATGTATCCCAAGGGTCTGAGCAATACGAACGACGAGTCCCGTCAAAGTCCATATCTTACGAGCGTCATCATTACGCCTTAAGAGAATGAGAAAAATGACGAAAGCCTGTAGTATGACGGTCTCGTCGCAATATAGGAAATTCGCCCGAGCAAGAGCTTGCTCCAGCGCAAAGCGATATTTGAGCAAGAGCGACGATCTGTCCTCTCCCCAACGCTGCATGCACTCTTCTGCTGTTGTGCTCGTCACGGCGCCATAGTATATGGCAAATAGTAACGCTTCTGTGCCCTTGCTGGTCTTCTCAGGACGTTCTAAGGAATCCTTTAAGGTTATTTCGAAAGTAGGAAGATGCAGCACCTTAATAAGAGGCTCGACATTTTCCTTGTACGCCGCCCAGAACTGAAGTGCAACTTCAGGTAGAGGATGTAGTGCGCGCATGTCGACGTTGGTGGAGCTCAGGCCAAAGACATAACCCTGATGTTGACCCGATTGTTCAGATGACCCTGGCGAATCCATGTCGTCTTCGTCCTCGGAGTGCTCGATGAGAACTGATTTGAGGTCTTCGACTTCGTTGTTGAGACTAGCCCAGAAGCTGTTGTTGATGTAGCGACTTCTACCGTTTTCTATAACAAGCCTGCCAAAGCGGTTTTCAAGCCCTTCTGTGCTATTGTCCACGGCCACCGAAGGACTGTTGTCGGCGCTACCCCTGGCAAAGCAGTTCTCGCTCGCGCTGTCCTGTCGGCTTTCCTTGTCGCGCTCACGCTCTGCGGCCTCCTGTTCGTGCTCTTCGACCTGCGAATTGAGATTCTGCACCACACCTTCCAGGCGTCGCAGTCTTTCCAGTAGCTCTGCATCTGGTGGTTTCCTGCTTTTGCGCGGCGCTCGCCCAGGACCAGGAAAGATACATTCAATTCTTGCTCTCGCGCAATTTGAGCATGGTTGCTTCTTGTCGCATTTGACTTTACGTCTCCTACATGTGATGCAGGAGCGGGGATTTGGTGCTGAGGGACTTCCGTTCGGGTTGCCGTTCTTCTGTGCGTGGTCGCCCGCGCCGGGGTTCTGTATCTGTTCGTCAGACATGGTGCATGAGTAGGATCTCTCTCCGCAGCTCAGAATCGGATTTGCCAGAACCCTCTCGGTCCAGTGGGCGGAGCGCCTCCGCACTAAATAACTGAGACCCTTGTACGCTATCGGTGGATGCAAGCCGCCGACACTTGACGTTAACCCGCTAACGCCCGCAGTGGGGATTGGTAACCGGGTTAGCTGCAGTGAGTCAATCAAAAGGGCTGAAGATCGTGAACGCAATGGCGAAAAGGGCAGCAGCAGAAATAACGCTACGTATGCAGAGTGCTGCGACACGTCTCTAGCTGTACAGTAACCCTTTCTAATGTTGCGGAGAGCGCCTGACTTAAACGCCGACCTTAATTCCGAGTGCGTCATGAAACCCAAGGTCGATCTGGTTCAGCTGCAAACTCGCTCCTCTCTAACAGGGTAAGCCTGCTCGTAACCAAGAGGCAAAGCCTAAACCATCATTGCAAGACTCCCAACTCTTCGTTTGTCATCGGTTCAGGCCATCCATTTTGTAAATCGGCCCAACAGCACACAGACACGGAGCGGCTCTAGTCTTCGTGCTTAGTACCACTGCTTAGTAAGTTTGCGACGTGACATTGTGAGTCGTAGGTCGAGACGTCTTGGCAAATATGGGCGGTCAGTGTGAAACGGAGCCCGTGGATTGCGCATACTGACAGCTAACGCTCTGGTGCTCGCGTCCGATAGCAAGGTCCGCCATGTCCGATAATCTATGTTTTGTGGGGCAAATCACGAGCTACAGCATCTTCTCATGAAATATTTTCTGTCCTAAGGCTATGTGAGGTGCATCAGTCTTTAGTCTGGTGCCGAGTATGAGCGCGTATAGATGATAGAATTACAATTTCACGACGGGGTATCGTGACAGAACTGATGTTTCCAATCCAACCAACGCCACATCTCCAAACGCCAATGACCTTAACAGCTAATGTTACAACGCATCATCTATGATATCATGGTCTGAGCTGTACGTACCATGGTCAACGACGTTCATTCCGCCCTCCGACGTTTCTTTCGCGGGTCCGTCGAGTCTTTTCTGCGACCAAGGAATGCAGCCTATCCTCCTCCTCATCTGCCAACTCATGGTCGATTTGCTCTCTGATCTTCATGATTTGCTCCTCGGTGATTCCTTTGGTATTCACTACAACACTGGGTGCACCTTCCATGAAACGCAGATTTTCCATCGCTTTTTCAACAAGCTTCTGTAGTGCCGGGTCTGTGTTGAGATTGTCGTGACGCTTCGTATTGTGGAGGTCAGGATAGAGGATGCCACCGCCGTTTTCTTCACCTTGAAATGCCTGGAGATAGGGGATGTGTGCCGGTAGATCGTTGTGTAAGGTGGCGCCGACGCAGACAGCTGTTTCGTGACACCAGGTTCGAGCAACATTGCGAGGTGTATATCCTCCACCCCCAATAAGGACGAGAGGACGGCCGAAAGACTTCACAGTCTCAATGCAGGAGCCATGTGCTTTAATATTGAGGTTGAAGCGACCAAGACGGTCTCCACCAAGCGAATCAGCGCCAGACTGAAGCACAATGGCTTGAGGGTTGTATTTCTCAATCACCTTGCTAGTGACAGTCTTGAAGAGCCATTTATACTGATGGTCATCGATTCCATCGTCGATTGGAATGTTCAGGCTGTGTGCTTTGCCCCGATTTGCTGGATCCTTGGGTCCCATCTCGTCGATGTTGCCAGTTCCAGGGAAGAACGGCCAACCGTGCCTGTCAATGCCGTATTTGTGGAAGGATAAGGTAAACACGCGGTCGGTCGACTCGAACGCCTGTTCCACACCGTCACCATGGTGCACATCGATATCAATGTATAAGACGCGCTGATGTTGGGTCAACAAGAGCTGTATGGCGATAACTATGTCATTGACATAGCAAAAGCCGGACGCTAGATTCTTCTTTGCGTGATGCAGCCCCCCAGACCAGTTGATGGCTATGTCAGACTGTTTGTTGAGGAGATTGTAGGCCGCACTCATAGATGCACCGGTGTAAAGCGACACGTAGTTCCATAATCCGTCGAACACTGGGCAATCATTCGAATCACCACCAAATCCATAGGCGATGTATTGGGGATCATCTGGCTTAGCATTCTGCGGTGTGATTCTGGGAGAAGTTAGAACGGTGTATTGAAAATGCAACGGATCGTTGTTGGGCTCGAGACATACTCGCTCAAGTATGACAAGTATTCGCGGTCGTGGAAGATGGACAGCTCGTTGAAGTTGGCAGGGCGCGGTTCATAGAGGTCCATTGTATACTCTAGCCCATAGGATAGGACGAGTTGTTTGGTCAGAGTCAACCTCCAAGGCTTCATGGGATGTGAACTTCCGAAGTGGTGGTATTCAACGTGTGGGTTGTAGTGAAAGGATACGTTGTATCCTTGCGGCTTTTCCAGACCATACTCCTCAGCTTCCCGTGCAATTACCTCCTGCTTCTCCGAGTCTGTGAGTCTCTTGAACTCCTGGAAATCTCCGGTATAGACATCGTTGACCGGTGAAAGATACTCTTCCACGATGTTATTCGAGGGCCTACCCGACGTAGCGTACCCAGAAGCGCGCATGATGGTAAGTCTGAACCCCAAGAGATTGTGCGGGGCGATTTGCTAGAACGGAGTCTGATGATCCTGATAGAGTTCCGGGAGCCTCGACAGGATCGTGATGCGCTCTGAACAAGTCTGGTCTTCTCCACCCACCACGCTCCCCAGGTTTGGGGTCGACTGGATCTCCAAGGTTGACTACTATCTATGACCGTCACGTGCCAGCCGCGATTCCCCAATACTGCTTTGTGTTTAGTCTCGACTGGTATCTGCCCTCGCAGTGATGACGTGAATCTCAATTTGTGCTGACAACAGATTCTTCACCGACTCCTGTGTTTTCTCGTGTCCTCTTTCCAGCCGGTCAAGCGTGCAAATACGGTCGGATGCTCTGGTTGCTGGCTCGCCGGACTTTGAGCTGATTGTCGAGGTGGAGAAGCGATCGTCGTTGATTGGTAGATTGCTTTGGTCGGTGGATGCCGCCGTGCCGCCGAGCTGACTGCACGTGATAGGTCTTTTACCGCTTACCTAGCTTGTTAGGGCTGGATGCACCAAGTCAGGAACACTGACACGCCACATTCAGCAGTTGTCAAGTAACGACTGCCACTTCGTAGAAAAAAGTTGGGTTGGGAGGGTCCAAAAAATTTAATTGGTAGTTGCGTAGAATACTCATTAGCAGTACGCGTCACAGCTCGCACTTTCACCACGCGAGAGGACATCATCAACAACCGTCGCCTTCCATCGCCCTAGCAGAGCGAACACTTTTAAAACGATTGTTCTACGTGCGTACCTTGCAAAGAACTTCACTGCGCTTTGAAGTCACGACTATCGATGGCTATCGCAGAGGACGCAGCGACTGTCCTGGAGCAGTTCATTCATGACGGTAAAGCACAACAGTAGACCAAGTTTGTATCCCAGGCTGACTACGAGAAGTTGCCAATCTACCGGCAGAGATAACGCATCTCTACGAGGAGGTGCAGGCCAAAGATGCGCAAATCCACGAACTGCGTGCAGCGATTCAGCAGCGCGACAACAGTCTTCAGAAATTCATCAAATTGAACGGCAGTCTCGTTGTAAATCCTAAAGAGGAGCCGTATAATAAGGTTGTCATTCAAAACTACGAACGAGCACAGATTCTGCAAGAAGAGAAGATTGGACTCGTGGAGAAAGCAGCCGCACTTGTAAGCAACAAGAACTTTGGTTCGGACATCATGGCTGACGACAACTGGCAGCTCGATCGATATGTAAAGCGACTAGACATCAAATTGCGAGATCTTCAAAGCGATGGATCCATACCTGCAGATCCACAGATACCTTCTCTACTCAGGGACTCACCTGGAAATCTAGTACCCCCTCTATCATCGTCAAATACTGGAGCTAGCACCCCGTTACATCCAGTGTCTGGCAACCAGGGTGGAGGTGCCCCCAATCTTGCGCAGGCCGCCGCAATTGCACGCATCACGAATGCTACCAATGTTAATTCGAGAACAGCGCCGGCGCAGAACATGCAGACACAAGCCTTATTGAACCAGCAAAGATTGACCAATGCACAAAGCGCGATCCAGGCTAGTGCACGATCTGAGCGAGAGCTGTCGGCTGGGAGTGATAGCAAGCGACGCCGCCCGACTGGCAACATTGGGCCTCTTCCAGCAGCAGCGTCATCTCTAGGTCGACAAGGCTCAGTTGGACCGGGCACTCCAAAGCCATCGACGCCGGGTTCACGTGCTGGCAGCGTGGGACCAAGACACGCGCTCACGGTCAAGAAGGCCAAGCCTCAGCAGCCGTTGCGCAAAGCAGCTCTGACCGCCAAATCCGGGGTAAGCAAGAAGCGGCGCAAAGGTGGATCGAGAGCGTCGCCCTCGACAACAGCCGAGGACGAGAGTGTAGCAAGTGATGCCGGCACAGAGGACGAAGAGATGTCTGGTGTGGCAGGGGAGGGAGACGAGGAGGAGTCTGACGATACCAAGTACTGCTTCTGCCAGCGCGTTAGTTTTGGCGACATGGTGGCTTGCGACAACGACAACTGCCAGTACCAGTGGTTCCACTGGGAGTGTGTGGGGATCAAGGAGGAGCCGGTGGGCGATTGGCTGTGTCCGGAATGCAAGAAGCAGCCGGCGCAGAAGATCAAGCGCGTGCGGTGAAGCTGCGGTGAGCGGCCGCGGCGCTGGGGACGGCAAGCGTTACTGTGTTCTATACCCTGATGAAATTGAGTGTCTTCGCATGCCTGGGCCGCGAAATGATGTCGTCTCCACTATGAGCTGCAAGGATCGCCGCCTGCGCCTGTTGCGGACACGGCAGCAGTCTCGATCGCGAGCTCGTCCCTTGACAAGGGTGCGCTCCCGCAGCTCGTAAGGGACGCCGTTGCCCGTCTGGCCGCAGCCAGCAGGAGGCACTCACAGCACTCTGGCACACAGCGCAGCGATTCGAGAGGCACGCGCGCTGGGAAGACGCCAGCTGATCGGCGGCGCCGCACACGCTGCACACCGCGCGCACCAGCAGCGTCTCCAGGCGCGAGGTCCACATGGCAGGCTTTCGGGCCATGAGCGGCGCAGGGCGGGCCAGTGCCATTCGTCGAGCCTCCAGGCCAGCAGCAGTTAGCGCTCTGGCATCCAGCAACGCTCCCAGCCAAGACGCGTGAAAGGGGCATCACCGACATTTGGACGGGCGAGCAGGCGGGTCGTGCAATTCCTCAAAAGGCTGCTAGCCCCGGCACCGCGCGTTGCAGCCCTCATCGCTCCCTCTGCTGTGCTGCGGGGTGTCACGCTGGCGCTGCCCTCTCACCCGTCATTCCGCGCGCCCTGTCCGCTGCTGTCCGCTGTTGTTGTCGTTGTTTGATGTCGCTCCTGCACGCCCACCGCGCCATCTGCGAGTAGCAGCCGAGGCGCGCCCACCCTCCCCCCGGGTTTCACGCTTGCAGCAGCCGCAGCGCTGTCCGGCGACGTCAGGCGCGAACCTTGTTACGGACTCCGAGCACAGCCACTAGCAGCGACAGCGGCAGCCCGCCCCGAGACGGCACTGCGACAACCGCACCATGAACACCCGCACTGGCACGCTGTCGCCCGTCTCGACCGCCAGCCAGGAGTGGTCGCCCATCACCCGCTACACGAACCTCGCCGGCGAGAACCCATATTCGCCCACGCTGCCGCCCAGCACCTACGGCGGCAGTCAGTACGGCGGCAGCAGCACCGATGGCGGCATGCTCAATGGCATGCGCCCCCAAGGAAACGGCAACCCGTCGCCGCCCAGCTCTGTCGGCCGCTCGAGCGACGGCGCCGGCCTGTATGCCGCGAGCCTCGCCGGCAGCGACACCAGCATGAGCAGCCGCAAGCTGGCCGCCCTGGAGGAGACCATGGCCGAGCACTTCCGCGTGCTCAAGGTCTACCTCGGGCCCTACCTGAACGACGCCCAGGGCAACCCCCGCCCCAGCCGCGCCAAGGACAAGCTCACTCGCCTGTCTGGCGTGCAGTTCCAGGAGCTCAGCACCGACGTGTACGACGAGTCCCTGCGCAGAGAGCAGGACCGCAAGCGCGGCGGCCCAGCCGCGCCCGGCAACGACACGCCCAAATACCTCCTCCCCAAGAACAACTTCCACCCGAAACGCAACCAAGCACGACAGAAGCTGTCCACACTGCCCCTCGAGCGCTTCCGCCAGCTCGCAACCGACGTCTTCTACGAGCTAGAGCGGAGGTACCCCCGATTCACCGCCGGCGACATCGCGCGCTCATCGAGTCCGGCCGCAAGCATCGCAAGTCGCATTAGCAACAGAGGGCCGGCCAGCCGTTCAGGGACACCCAACGGGAGCATGGACGGTAGGATGGGCGGTCGTCCACCGCCAGGTCCCGGATACAGAGGGCCGCCTCCACAAGGAGACCCACGAGGCATGCAGGGGCCTCCAGGAGGACTCGCGCCAGGCCAGCAGGCTAACGAGTTTGGGCGACCGTTACCAAAGACTTTTCAACAGAACACCATTGTGCCAAGCAAGGGCACTCTGGTGGAAGACGACGATGACAGTGCTGCTGACGACGACGACGACGCCTTCAACCTAGAGGGTGCGGCGGCTAGACGGCAGACTAACAAGAGTGCCAAGAGCATGAGCATGGCGCAGGAGAAGATGGTTGCAGAGCTCCAAAAACAAATTGCAGAGCTGCAAAGCAAGACCAGTGACCTGGAAGGCACATTACAGGACAGAGACGACCAGTTGCGAGAGCTGAAAGACGCCGAGGGGAGCAAAGACAACGTAAGCGGGCCCCTATCACAGACATGCTCCCTACTGACACCAACAGGATGCTGCATCAGAACGTGCCGAATGGGAGGAGCTGAGATCCTCGCTGCAAGACAAAGTGCACAAGGCAGAGTCTTTAAACGCGTCTCTGCGTTCAGAGCTAGACAGAATACGCAGCGATCATGACGAAGAACAAAACAGCCTCCGTGCGCAAATTGCCGAACTCGAATCGAACCCACCACAGCAAGTGCACAACGGCGGTAGTGACGAATGGAGACAACGATGCGAAGAGCTGGAGCGTGAGCTGGGTGAGCAGCAAAAGGTCGCACAGGAAGTTCGGAGAGATGCCTCCACCTTCTTGCAGGAAATGCGCGAACTATCTGCACGCAGCGATGCTGCTGTTGAGAAAGAAGAACGACTCGCCAGCCAAGTGTCAACCCTGGAAGAGGAGCTCAAGGAATGGAAGTCTCGATACGCACGATCGAAGACGCAGCTTCGGACGCTAAAAGCCTCCTCGGTCGGCCTTTCTGGTCTGGCATCCCCAGACATCGCGAATTACAGCCGCGACCCTAGCTTCTCGATGCCAGATGGCTTGGTCCGAGATGTTCACGTTACCAACTTCCAACTCAGCATCGATGAGCTCTTGCAGAAGGCTCGTAGGGTTGATCCCGAACAGACACTTGAGAGCATGCGTAATGTAGTCAAGTGTGTGCGCGCAATCACCGGCGAGATTGACAGCACACCGCTCTCACAGATGCAATCGCCTACTAGCAGTATCAGCGGCGATATCATGTCAAGCCCCGAAAAGCAACAAGCAAAGCTGAAATCACGTGTCAGTGCTACTGCCAACAACCTGATTACGGCAGCAAAGAATCATGCTTCTTCAAACGGTCTGTCCCCTGTCAGTCTTCTCGATGCTGCTGCTAGTCATCTTTCTACCGCTGTAGTCGAACTCGTCAAGCTCGTAAAGGTGCGACCTACACCAGATGCCGATTTGGATCGCGATGAGCAAGACCGCGAGCAAGACCGCGAAGAGGTTGATGACATGCCCATGCCGCTCAAGCCAACGGTCTTTGGTGGTTTCAGCCCTTTCACGCCAAAAAGCATCGGCAATGCAAATGACAACAAAATCAGCAATGACAGCAACGGTGTTGGCTCTAACCGTGGTCACCAGCGTGGACTGAGCAGTAAAGGCAGTAATGCAACTGGCTACAGTTCATATAGCGCACCCTACAGTGGGTATGGTCGAGAAAGCTCCGGTTCGAATGGCGTCAATAATCAGACTGATCGTGGTATGACAGAGTTCAAAGTGAGTAATTGCAAGCTTTCTTCTTACCCATCTAACAAAAAACGCAGAACTACCTTGAGGATCAAACTGCCCTCCTAGTACAGAGCATACAGCCGCTCGTGAATCTCATTCGCTCCAATCCTGATTCTACACCTTCCGAGGAGCAGCAAATTTACGGCTACATACAAGATATCTCCCAAGCCGTAGACGATACCGGAGACCGCACCTATGAGGCTGTAAAGCAACTATCCAACCCTGCTCTCCAGAAGCATGCCATTCCAGTTGTTCAGATTCTTGATGACTGCAGGCGCGATATGCTGGACATTGACATCCGCAACGGCGGACGTGACAAAGTGCCTCCACTTGCTTTCAAGACTGCGAGAGCACTGAAGGTATGCCGACCCTTGCTTTGCACAAAAGCTATTCTCTGACTGTTCACAGGAACTCGTCCTTCGCGTCGATCGCATTGAGTCTGGTGAATTGACTGCTGAGCAGACACTTAAGACCGACTTCTAGTGCTCGCAAAGTATTCCCTTTGGGACTGCTTTCAGGACTTTCCTGTTTAATGATCAACTTCTCTGCTTCTACACCAGACAAGAGCCTCATGTAGGCTCCGACGGACGTTTGCAAGTCTCTGATGGAAACCTGTGTACACGTTTCCCTTTTTGTTTTTTTGCAACCTATTCATGTTGGATACCTCAAGTCGCTGCTGTGCGACTATGCGACATTACGTATGGCTTATATTTTACATGACCTATTGCTAGTGTTTGTTGTTAAAGAGTGGAACTGTTGAGCGCTGTTGAAGGCTCATACGAGCCATCGGTCAACGGTATGTTGCGAGGTGGGAGCCAGTGGATGCAATTGTGTAGACGGTACGGTGGACTGAGATGTCATGTGTACAAGTATACTATATACAGTATCAAAGCAGTTTGTCTGATTACGCGATATTTCTTCTTGCATACTGGGCTCACCGCTCGTTCAGGGTTCGAAGTTGACCGCCAACCACAACCACTTAACTTGTCACAGAAAGTACCCTGCAATCCAGCCTTTGCACCGCATGACTACACAGTATGTATCAACGCTAAATTAAAACGGATCGGCTGCTTCAAACACGGTCTGTTACGGTATGACGTCATGTTACGTACCCATGTGACAAGATCATGTGGGTCGCGTGTGGCTGAGGCCAGAATCATGCACATTGAGTCCACTGTTTACCTTACCCCACAGCTGTCTGTCCTGATCACACACAAGTAGAAGGCATTGCACGATGGCATACCCAGGACAGCAGCAGCAAGCGCAATCGCAAATGCACATGCAGATGCCTCCGTACAATGACTCCATTTTGACCATCACCGAGAAAAGTTGCGCCGATCCATACGTGCTTTGGGATAAGGGTACATATTACATGGTGAGACGAGATAATTTGCTTGAATACGTCTCGTACTAAGTTATGCAGACATGGACAACCGGGTGTTCGGTTGAGATCTGGTCGGGGGACAGTCTTTTCGACTTCGAGAACAGATGTAAGAAGGACATTATATGGTGAGTTATCTCAACTTGTTAAAGTCATAACTAAACCTCGCCAGGTGGGCGCCGAAAGACCAGCCATACTCCGGAGATGTATGGGCGCCTGAGCTTCACTCTATTCACGGCCGCTGGTACGTGTATTTTGCGGCCGATGATCCCAAGCATGGAAACAAATCTCATCGCATGTTCATCCTGGAAGGACCACCTGCAGACGAGTCACCTTTAGTTCCCGATAAGTGGAAGTTCTTCGGGCGCGTTGGCGGACTCCCGGACGACCAGTGGGCTATTGACGGTACAGTCATCACACTCGGTGGTAACATGTTTTTCGTGTACTCGGGCTGGCCCCCGGGTGTTCACGAGAATGAGTCGCGGCAAGAGATTTACATCATCCAGATGACCTCGCCAACGGAATGTACAGGTCGCCCCATTCGCATCAGCACGCCAGACCTGCCATTCGAGTTTTCTGGATCTAGTGGTATCAACGAGGGACCCCAGTTCTTGAGCTCACCCGACGGACGTTGGATCGGCCTGGTGTATTCGTGTGCCGGATCCTGGACGCACGAGTACAAGATGAATGTGCTGTACTGGACGGGAGGTCACCCGCTTGAACCGCAGTCCTGGTGCAAGTCGAACCATCCTCTACTCCAGGCAAGCCGTGATGACAGTCCGCCATATGGTCCTGGTCACGGTAACTTCGTGCTTGTCAACGGCCCTGGTGGTGCGGAGGTTTGGGGCGTGTTCCATGCAACCGACGCGAAGACTGGCTGGGAAGGCCGGAAAGCGCGTGTCATGCGTGTAGGCTGGGGCCATGGCGGACCGTACATGGGAAGTGGGGAGTGTGGAAGGTGTTGCGGTGATGTGAACCATTTCATCCAGGGCTGCCCGGGTGGTCAATGCGGCGGCAAAGGACATGCTGGAGGCTCCGGGGGTGGTGGAGGACACTTCCTCCAGGGAAACGCGACTGGAGGACATGGACATATGGGCGACAGTGCGAACATGAAGAACGAACTGAAAAACTTGGTGAAGGAAGGCAAGGGTTTGATCAGTAAGTTCCTCAAGTAATATACTATCGCCAGCCGCGGTTTAAGTACAGCGAGCTCTTATCTTGTACACAAAAGTGCGACTGTACGATGTAGCAATATGCCCGTGTGGCTTCTTGTATGCAGATTGGATCGTTTGTTACCCCATATTTGACCCCTCTATCCAGTATTTTGCTGACACAACCTTAGTTGGACAAGATGCAGAGCTGCGCATTCGCATTCGATATGAAAGCTTTTGATTCATGTAATTCGCGCGTTGCGAATAGTGCTGACAGCGTTGCGCCCCAAGGAATGCAATTCTAACCCTGTAACCGCTCCCACTGAGCTAGGCTTTTGCTCCATACCCTTGCATTGGAATCGCAATTCGCCAACTTTTGTTGAGTTACTTCCCTAATCACATCCCGTCACGTGCGGTCGCCGCTCACTGTTGAACAACGCACTCACATTGGCCAGCTACGCACCATCGCCCCGCATTTCGGCCGACTTCACGTGACCGCTTAGACCCCTGTCATTCATTCGAGCATCCTGCCAGGCACCAATGTTTGTACCTCAGGTATAAAGAGTAAATGTTTGCTCGGTCTCAGAAAACCTCATCAGCTTGAAAGCAACTCTCCTCATTCAATCTCTCTTCAAAACAATGGCTACCGTTGCTGGAATCTGCGATTCTCGATTCGCGGCTGTAACGGGCTTACTCCAGTCGAAAATTGGTACGGACGAGGAGTTAGGAGCTTCGATCGTCGTAAACATCCATGGCAAGAATGTGGTCGATATCTGGGGTGGCTATGCAGATGCAGCGAAGACAAAACCATGGGAAGAGAACACCATCACGAATGTTTGGTCGTCTTCTAAGACAGTCGTCAGTCTCGCAGCACTTCTGCTGGTAGATCGCGGCCTACTTGATCCTTTCGAGAGAGTATCGAAGTACTGGCCCGAGTTTGCCGTCAATGGCAAAGAGGATGTTGAGTTCCGACATTTTCTCTCTCATTCCTCTGGTGTTCCAGGCTGGGAGGGACCGATCACCATGCAAGAAGTCTTCGACGCCTCGACTTCGACCGCTCGTCTTGCAGCACAAGCACCATGGTGGACACCTGGTACAGTCTCTGGCTATCACAGCCTTACTATGGGCCACCTTATCGGCGAGCTCATCCTTCGCGTCACTGGCAAATCCATCGACCAATTTGTAGCCGATGAACTCACCAGCCCGCTACATGCAGACTTCCAGTTCGGTGTCAAGAAAAGTGACTACGTCCGCACTGCAGAGATCATACCCCCTCCAGCACCGCCAGCGGACTGGAAGCTGAACATGTCCACAATGGACATGACTAGTATCATGGCTAAGACTCTGTTCAACCCCATGATGGACGCCAATGTCGCCAACGAAGAGCCTTGGCGAAGTGCAGTAGTGCCCGCAGCGAACGGCAATACCAACGCGCGCGGCATCGCGCGTCTGCTTTCTTTCGTCAGCTGCAACGGCACTGTCGGCTCCACCACCCTCCTGAAGCCTTCAACCGTCGATCTAATCTTCGATGAACAAAGCCACGGTCCCGACCGCGTCATCAGCGTGAATACCCGTTTCGGCATGGGGTATGGCCTGAACGGCGTTGGTTCTGATGGCGCAGGGTACTGGATACCCGAGGGTAAGATCTGCTTCTGGGGCGGTTGGGGCGGTAGTATGGTGCTGTGCGATGTGGGACGGGGTCTCACGATAACGTATGTGATGAATAAGATGAGCCATGCGGGGCTGGGGAGCGGCAATGCAAAGGAGTATATTTGGGCTGTTTATCGAGCGCTGGGCGTGGCAATCCCGGAGGAAATGCAGAGCGTGGAAGAGGTTACGAAGGCTTAGGAACGGCAGTAGCGTGTGGAATGGTACATGTCGTTGCATAGTAATCCCTATAGGATAAAAGCGTGTATGTGGATGTTTGCGCAAGCTTCGCATGATTCCATCATCTATAGCTCAGATGCTCACTGTCACTGGCTATGTTTGCACATTCTCAAGAGGTCTCTACATATTGATCCTCAGGCGTCCACACAAGTTGCTCAACCAATATTTGTATTCGCACAAATGAGTTGATGCAAAGGCTGTATATTATGATGATCGGGGTTGCAGCAAGTTGTCGTAAATGCCCAAAACTTCAAGCTACAGACGAGAGCGCTGCCTCAGAGCTAATTTGCGATACATCTGAGCCCGCAATCGAGTACCTGCGTTGACGTCTCCGCGGAGCCGCATCCTTACGTTGATTGTGACGCGCTATCTCATACAGAAGCACTTTCTGTGTCCATCTCGCTAAGGTCTCAACTGTGTATAATCTTGCGGTATTATGTAGCGACAATGCCTCTGGCCAATCCCATTCTGTACTGTTCCCCTTCAGGCAGTCGTCGAAAACCCTGAGAACAGAATGTGTTAAACCACGTGCACTACCCCATGCGGCCATCTCCAGCTTGCATAGGACCGTGTTGCGAAAATGGAAGGTGAGCGTTTCCATATTGTTTCTTAGCACGTCGTTCCACAGTCGTGCCTGCTCTCTGTGGGTAAGTTGTAACTGTAGCAAAGAGTTGAGAAAGAAGTACGTTGCTCCGGGGTTGTGGGCCAGCTCAACAAATAGGACGCCGAGAAGAGCGTGGTGTACATCTGCGTCAAGCCGTTGCGTCGCAAGATCCACATAGAAGTCAACGTCGAGGTGAGTGAAGCGGTGTTCCATGAGCATCAAGATAATGTAATGGAATTTGTCGCCGAGTATAGGATCGTGATATATTCTTTCGAGGACTGTCTCGGGCGGGTTCTGGAAAGACGTTTGGCTTGCAAGCACAAGTCTCATAAGATAGAGACTATTGTGCGGAGAGATCGTACCTACTACACCAGTTGCTTCTTGGTCATATGCCATCGGTAGGGAGTATGTCGGAAAAATCAAAGGATACAGTACGTGTTGCCAAGGCTCAATTTGCATGCAGGTGTATCGGTATCCAGGTTTCAATCGCGCCACATGACCGACATTGGCTTCTACAAGCTCCACTATTTCAAACAGATCCGGTGTTAAAGGTCCTGCGTGGTGCCAATAGTCCAAGAGATAGTCCAGATTTATGGGGGCGTGCAACGACCACATACACCAGTGTAAGGTAGCAAAGTATCCTTTCATATGAAGATATTCTGGCCAGTTCGCTAACACGTGGTCGAGTAAGATAAAGTGTTTCTCCATCGGTCCAAAATTGGAAGGATCTGGCCGTTCTCGAAGCAGTGCAGCCAAGCGGGCAAAACTAAGAAGATCGTCAAGTACGCGTGCAGTGTTGAACCGTCTCTCTGTTTCGCTTGATCTAGGATTTTCACACGAGTTGAGTAGAGCCTTGTGAGCCTTCGAATCTTGATCATGATCGGCTGTCCAGTCCCAAACAAGGTCGAATTTCCTGCTTGATCTTCTCGCTCCCGGGGCAAACTCTTCCCACCGGACGTGCAGATCTTCCCAACTCTCACTCCGAGGGGATTGCTCGACTACGACGACAGGAGGCGCTGGAAGCGATATCATGACAATGTCGAAGTGATCGCCGCATGGTCGGATGAGACTTGGACGGCGAGCGTTTTGGAAGAAAACCAATATATCCCCATGCTGCACGCTACCAGCATCATGTGATACGCGCCATGATGCTCTCCAGCTGTACACAACTTCGGAGTTGCTACCAAAGATAGGAGAAACAACAGTCAGGTTGCCTCCCAGTCCCTTGGAGATTGTTCCCATGACGCTACCTATCTCAGATATCACGGCGTGTTCTTTGTCGTCCCAGGTGCATGCAACTGCCCCTGGTCCTAGAACATGTGCAATGATTTGTCGGAACAAAGTCATCCAGCCTTTTGTGTAGTCCGGTCGTAGATCAGGAGAGACATCATTGTCAGAGCTCAGTCCCAGAAGAGCGTAGATTTTGTCGCGTTTATCGGTCGCCTCGTGGTTCTGGAATAATCTAAGCAAGTCTCCGAGGGGGAGAACGTTGAACGACGGTATAATACTTGTCGTATGTAGATCTGCCAACTTTTGTAGTAATGGGAAGGCCCCGTTGCTTTGATCCATAAACATCAAGACAGGTGGGATTGCCTCATGCTGTTTGAATTTATCTCTTAGCAGCGAGAAGGCTAATTCCATGCCAGAGGCGAATATCGCTCCGGTAGTTTCAGCATCACCACAAGTCACTGACACAACTCTAGCGACTGCTGCTTCCTGTACAACCTGATGATTTGTCAGCACAATCACGAGGGTTCAAGTACACTTCAGCATACCCAGGCTCTTCGGAACCATGATCGACCCAACAACGCCACGATCGCGTCAGCAGCAGGGGAAAGCATGGACTCCGCTACTGCTCGCCAGTTGTACGAATATTTGAGATCCTGAGCTACAATGCGCCGCAACAAGCTCAGCACGTTTGAGCTATCGTCCGCTTCTTCACCGAGCCATACGGTAACACTGACTGCATATGCGTAGATTCTTGCCATGATCTGGACCTGCGATGCGCGTTCTTCGAGATTATCTTGATTGATGCAAACAGCATCGATCCAGACTGTTCGTGGCAGATCAGCGTCTCGCAACCGATGAAGAGCACCGTACAGATTCCGAGTGACCATGAAAGTGCAGTAATGTTCGTCCTCCGCATTCTTCACCCAGATCTGCTGGGGGTCAGATGCATCGCCCCAGACGTAAGACAATGCCTCATAGAGTCCAAAGGCTTTCTCAATTCTCAAAGTGTACTGAAAAACCTGACAAAATATCTCTGTACTACCTGTCCCAGGTAGAATCTGTAAGAGTCGGATGTTGTTTAGCCCAGATCTTAGAGGACGGTACGCGTAAGGCTGCAGCAGCCGGTCGGTATTTAGCGACGTCATGTCATCATCGTTCTTGCTTCGCGAGATCTGCCTATGGAGAAAGAGTCGTGCCCGATTACAAAGATCGAAGTGTGAATTGGCAAGAGCTGAAAGCCAGCTGATGCCAAGTTCAGGTGTCCCACTTTCAGCCGTCACATGCTTACCCGACTGCGTCTCGTGCATGATCCATGATGGTGGCGTTTTCCTAAGCGAGTTGTCTCGATAATCTCCAAATGCATGTTGACAGTAACAGTTTAGCAACCCAAAGACGCAAAGACGCAAAGACGCAATCGCCTTTCAGACAGCAAGTCGTCTTACAGTGTCGGTACTAAGTCGCTGTAGCTGCACAGCATGCTACTTTGAGCTTTATCCTTCTAACTGTGAGCACTGTCAGCAAGTTGACTGAATCTATTCTTTCAAACCACCACTTCTTATTCATTGACGCTAGGTATTTCAAGATTCTCGACTCGCACCTATTTCGCAGCCATCATCTCGAGGAATTTGTCGCCGATCGCATTCGCAGACATCGGGTTGTCGCCAGTGATGACTTCACGGTCAACAGTTATGCTACCCAGGCTCTTTGCAACACCCTCCTGCATATCCGCACCATTCTCTCTCAGTGTACTCTCCACCTTGGCGATCTCTCCTCGTAGAATCGTTTCCATAAACTTCTCTTCGACATCCGACCACGCAGTGAGCTTGTATCCCTTGTAAGCAAACTCCTTTTGCGGCCCAACTTTGGTTGACAGGAATGCCCACGGGCCGTGACAAAGTGCCGCTGTAGGCTTCTGCTGTTGGTGGAAATGGGATAGGATGCGGCCGAGTTCGGGGTTGTCGCCGAGGTCAGATAAAGGTGCGTGGCCTCCGGGAATGAAGACACCAGCATAGCTTTTCAACTCCTCGTCGCTGATGTCTGAGAACTTGCGAGGTTGTGAAAATCCATTGTCGCGCTTCATGCGCTCAACAAGCTCTTGGTCCTGCTGGCGCGCGTAGAAGTTGCCTGCATATGCGGCAAGAGATGTACTGAGTGGGTCTGGCTGAGGTTCTTTGCCTTCAGGCGAGGCAAATGTGACTTCGTGTCCAGCATCGAGAATCTTCTGCAAAGGTTTCGCGAGCTCCATGAGGAAGTAGCCCGATTCCTGGCTTACGGTTTTACCATCGCTTCCAGTATTGTACAGGGGAAAGGAGTGTGCATCAGACATGACGATGAGGACCTTCTTTACTGCCATGACGGGCACGTGTCTGTGGCAGTACGTATGTGCGGTAGGGGTAGATGTCGGAAGTGGGTTACTGAAGCTGGGAGTATCTGTGAACAGGTGTTACACCAAAACTGACAGTCTTATAATTTTATGATAAGTTGGAAGCGGCCGTGGATTGCGTATAAATGCGATTGACATTGCCGGTGGATTCTTCCTGATGATGCTGTGACGTCAACGCTTGATCATCCACAACATCTAGATCTGTCATCCACATCCCAAAAACACACACGAATACCTATCGGTTTTGCCGCTCAAACACTGGAAGACCTCGGCAGCATGTGCTAATGATCTTAGATCTCTTATAGACAGATAGGTAGTTCTGAATGCGAATGAGCTGATAGCACACGCTTCGTCTTCTGTGACAAACTCTTTCGTTCGGCTATCCCGCAATGGCAGCACCGGCAAAGTGCTCAATCTCAAGCTTCACAGAACAGAAGATACAGGCGGATACTCTGCTCTGACATCAGTTGATGACATTCTGTAGCAAGTGAGCGACTTACCGCTATGGAACAAGCATGTCACCTCGCTTGGAGCACGTAGGCCTAAGACAGGGACATTGTTTGTGCCAGCTCTAAACCTCAGGTGCGAAGTAATAGGGGGCCTATCCGAAGCAGGGCGCAGTACCAATCAGATTCGAGGATTTCATGCAGCAGCACAGCCTTCTTCTGGTGGTGGACGCCCTGCTTGTCTGTCGACAACGGTCGGGACTCTGCCTTCCAATACACCCGACGATTCCAATTCTTGGCAATACACCTTCGCAAGCAATAATCATTGATCACTCGACTTCCTTCGGAAAACAGGAAATGTTGCGCCTTCGACTCCAACACCTCAACATGATGATCAAATTCGACTCCGTGCTCTTCTGCAAATGGTGTGATTCTTCTAGCCTCCTGTCCCAGCTTCCCGCAACACGAGAGCTCTGCTGCGCTTTCTGATACCATCTTGATCTTGTACTTCCAGTCTTCGTCGAAGGCGAAGTTCTTGTCCAGACGCAGGTACGTCATCGTCGAGCGCAAGGTGCCGCTGGGCTCATCCGATTACCCTACTTCGAGTTGTGACTGTGCCTAGATGAACCTACTTTATAATCTTCCTCTAGCATAGTATGTTGGATGTCCAAGGGTCACGAAAGGTTATAAACACATCTCTACTCGTCTCACCTTTCTGTCCTACCTGGAAGCATGAAATAGCACCACATTGGGGCTCATGTCTTGTAATTACGAACGCAACTTGGTGAAATACATGCTCAGTCTCACAGGGTTTGCGTGCTGGACAGATCAGAGGCTGGAGCTGAGGTTGAAGTAGATGCATAGGACGGAGCTGATTCCGATCGTCTACCTATCAAATCAGGGTCCATGGTGGGGTGGAGGGGCAGGACAGCACTTCGGCTATGAGCATTTGGAACATAGCCGACGCATAATATGATCATAATGATGGTAAATAGAGGATTTGTGGAGAGATCATGGATTGCAAATGGAAGGATTGGTCACGAGGAGGGACCGCTCACTCACCAGCTGCCTTATGCTACAGCCTATGCTCCATCCGGAAGCTGCCTTAGACCCGTTTTGTCCAGGACGATGTCATTCTCACCTCATATGCACTTACCTACTGCACTCTCTTGGCACTTTTGTAGGATCCAAACCATCTTGATACCTAGGTAGCAGCCAATAAGCCGCAGAACCACAACTGGATTACTCCATTCAAGTGTACACGTGTAGTCCAATGAAACAGAGCTTATTGATCTTCCTTGCCTAATGCTGCAGTTTGGTAGTGGCTGGACGGACGTGTGGGTACGAAGTACAGTAGTCGGTTGTCAGCTTAGCCTAACTAACCATCTCCGCTCGATGATTTCCAATCCAGTTTGAACCTCGCACGACCTCACTTTCCTCTAAAACCCAATTCTCCAAACCCTCCCTTGCACCTCCAACACGCCCCAGTCCCACAATGGCCGACCCCTCCAAGCTCACCGGCGACCCCAACTCCCACGACATCTCCGAGTTCTCTGAATCTCTCAGCGCAACCTGCCTTTGTAAATCCATCCGCGTGACCATCACCGATAATGAGCTGTTCACGCGCCCCCGCGGCCATTTGTGTCACTGTGCCAATTGCCGCAAAGTGGCCGGCTCCTACGTCTCCTCGAACCTTGCGATCGAGAAGGAGAAAGTCAATGTCGACGATCCCAAGAGCGTGATGAAGAAGTACGTCGATATGGAGACGGGAAGCGGGAAGAAGGTTGAGCGGTACTTTTGTGGGAACTGCGGGAAGTGAGTGACTCTTTTTCTGTGTGTAACTGCGTGAGGATAGGAAGCTGACTGTGCACAGTCCGATCATGTCGCTCCCTGAACTTCTCCCTGCGTTGGCGATCGTGAAAATGGGCATGTTCCCCAGGATTCCACAGCCGGAGTGTGAGAGTTTCGCGCTGCATAGGCATCCCTGGCAGGGCAAGCATGAGGGACTGACGCAGTTTGAGATTGTGCGTGGCGGGAAGAAACTCGGAGAATGAACATCATCCGCACTCAGGAACTAGTATCTGAAATGCAGTTTGCAGAGCTGTGCGAATGTTTGAAACCGATTGGAGTTGTTCTTGAACTATGCGGGTGACGTAGAAGCCTTCCTCGACTCGAATTCGAGCATCACATCCACCCATATGGGCACATGATCGCTCGGCCCTCTCTCCTCCTCGCTATCCAAGATCCCACAGCCCTTGACCAGCCCAGCATCCCACACTTTTTGTCCAGCAATGAAGTAATCCACCCGATCACAACTCGTACCCCACTCTCGTCTTCTCGAGTAGTACGTGTATCTCCTCTCATCCCCATGCACCACGCGCCAAACATCGACCCCACCAAACCCCCCTGTCCCTTCTTTGCCTCCCAGTAGCCTCTCCTGGAAATCCGCACGGTTGACGCTGTGCTGCCGCGGAAACGTGCGTAGCCTGGGATGCCCATCTCGCTTATCCGGCGCGACATTCATATCGCCGCCGAGTAACACGTCCCACCCTTCTCCCTCGAGCCTCTGACACTCATCCGCGAGCGTCCTGTGGAAAGCGAGTTTGCGATCATGTCTTGTGCCCTGCTGCACGCCCGTGTGTGGGTCTCGGTAGGGATTGTCTGTGCCGTTGACGGCGTAGATGTTGAAAACAGCGAGCTTCTTGTCCTCGGTCTTGAGCTCGACAATGGAGATGCGGCCTTCGTTGTCCCAGTCCACGGTGCGGAAGTTGATGTGGTATTTTGCGTAGATATCACGGCGCACGATCGAACATACTCCATATAGCTTCCCACTGCCTCTCAATCCCTTTGCGTTATGTGGGTCGTTTGGTAGTGTGAAATGAGTCTCGTATTGTGGCCCCTTGTCGCCTGTTGATGAGGTATCATTGACTGCTGCGCGCACGGCATCTTGAGTCTTGGTGTCTTTGGTTGCGATTTTGACTTCCTGCAATAGGAGCATGGCTGGCCAGTGGTGGCGGCGTTGAAAGTCGCGGAGGGATGCTGGGGGTAGTCCAGCCTTCGGACTACCGGTTTTCGGGGAAGTTTTGAAGAACGAAGTTATGGGTTTTTGTAAAAACGGTGTGATGCCATTGATATTCCATGAGAATATGCGCATAGTGTTTAGATGCGGTGGCTCCGGAGCCTCAGATGACGGCGAATGTGGACCTGTAGGAACCGTTTCTTGACCAAGTTTTCTGCGCTTTGTGGGTGGTGGACTGATATTACGTTCCATCTCTGGCACTTATCGGTGTGAGATGCGTGTACGCGTGCAAGTGCACTGAGAGTGGCTCATGTGCAGGTGATGACGTCATGTCTGGAATCGAGCTCATTCTTGACAATATGGCTCCAGTGCGAATGGCTTTCTACTGTCATAAATGTAATGTAGACTCGTTATCATCGTCTCCATCGTTGATGATGAGTGTAAATAACGGGGGTAGGAGGTGGGCAGGTATAAGTTCAAGATGCTCCATTTTCATGCACGATCTTCGAAACTATTTCAGGTGGACTACAAGACCAAGTGCATGTTATCCAGATCGATGTCCAAGCCTGAGCTGAGCTGCGGGATCTGTGAGTAGTTGGATTGGTCCAGCAGCTGTCTTGTCATCTGCAATGTCTGTTTTTCATCAGCTAGGCCATATCGTCTTTATGTTTAAACTCACCGCTGCGTATGTAGGGGTCTGTTCCCTCTTCATGATCTCAAGGAAAGCCCAAGTCATTGCACCAGTTGGCTCGCCTTGGATTCGTGCATCGGCACTGGTCTGACTGTCCATACATCCACTGAACATGGTGACCATCTTCTTCTCACTCCCGTACTGGCCCTCAAATTCGCCTCCAGACAAGCCCTCCTCTTCCTGCTCACCCATGTGCTTGAGTCCCTTGAAGAAAGCGCTTGCTCCAGCTAACAGCTCTTGTGCCTCGCCAACCTTCCTGTAGCTAAAGCCACCGTTGATGAGGTTGGTGGCTTCACCAAGCAGCCGAGCTCCAGCACGCACGTTGTCCAAGAGACTGATCTGCCCATCAGAGTCGGTCCGATAGACGTATGGCAACTCGACAGCGGACCCAGAGTGGCAGCAATCCATGATGATGAAGAGCGTGCAGTCGCGTGCCATGCGCGTGACAAGGTGCTCGTGCAGTATAGTACTTGATATCTGGCCCCTCTCTTCGAAGTCCACCGGCACAACTGTGTTGTCCATGCCGCCTGGTCCACGGTTGCCATCTACATCTTCGATTTGACCGCCATGCCCAGAGTAGTGCATAAAAAGCGTGCATCCAGGCTCGGAGACAAGCCAGTCCATGGCAGCCAAGAGGTTGTGGCCCGTGGGATAGTATGGCGAATCTGGAGCAACTTCCGGACGATCCGAGAGGATAACTCGATTGCGGTGCCCGTTGTCATAGCCTCTGTAAGATAGGAACTCGGCCATATTGTCAACATCAGAGTGACATCCCTTGAGTTCTTGCTTCGTGCCAACATAGTTGATACCGATGAGTAGGGACTTCTTGCGTTGTGCCATGTTGATTGATGGGGTTAGAGTACAGCTCTTCTGAAAGTTCTATCTCGATTCGAATTACGCCGGTAAATAGGAGAAGAAGACGGAGGGAAGTTTTGAAGAGGTGTGGCTTCGCCTTGTGGCTCAGGTGGGGTAGTGAATGTGCTGTCTGATCTTACCGCCTCCAGCCTTGTGGGGCAAGTGGACCTCCCAAACGTGGACATGCATTAGCTAAGTCTAGTGACAAACGAAGACCGTGGGTCAATCATGGTCAATGGGACCAGCTTACGCAGCATAGTGGCGCAGGCGAGTATGGAGAAGCACGACTTGAGAAGAATATACTTGCAATTCATAGCACGAATCTTAAACAATAAGGTATCACAGACCTACTCCAATGCTCATAAACCATGATAGACTCCACAGCCCGTGGGTCTCGTGAAGGGACACCAAAACGCGAAACGCCGAAGCATGCTCTTGCAGAGAGCAAGGACAAGGAAGATGGTCTACGTTCCTCAGCTGTCTTTAGCGACTTCTGTCCGTACCTCTCCCTTGACGTTCTCAGAATCGCGCTCAGCCTCGCCCTTTTGCTTCTCCTCAGCGATAGTTGCCTTAGTCTCCTCATCGGCGCCTGCCATTTCGACGTCCGGCGCAGGGACGGCTGCGGCAGGCGCTGCACTAGGCGACTCCGGGGGTGTGAGGTTATTAGCAGGGGATTGTGAATGAGTAGAATCGACTGCAGCCGCAGCCGCAGTTGTGGTGGCCTCTGCATCGTCCATGTCAACGTCGCCATCATCTTCCACACTTTGCTCGGCGATGGCGGGCGTGCGAGAGCCCGCTGGAGACGTTTGCCGGGTGGAGACCGCACTATCACCATTGAGGTCGTCTAGACCCCTGAGCTTGTCCAGGCCATCAGGTTCTACGGCATTCGGATTAGGATGGTCAGTAATGTTTCGACGTTTCTTGGTGCCAGGTTGAGCGCGAACACCAAGATCATTCTTGTAGTCTTCGTCTTCACTATCTTCGTAGAGCTCTCCATTGTGTGCGATGCGGCGGTCTTGCTGACGCTGAGTAGACCGTACATCCTGGTTCATATCGATGTCCAGGTCGTCCTCGACATCGGAGTCTTCCTCGGCACGGGTCAAAGGATTGTCTGGAATGTTCGTAAATGCTTCAACGGAAGGCCTGCCAGTTCTTCGAATATTGTCGATGACAGTTGTCTTGATCTTGTGCAGATAGTCGTTCGAGTTGGCGTTCTCCATATTTGATGGTCGAACGTCGAGCTCGTAGTCAGGTGCGAAGTATTCGTAGTAGTCGTTGAAAGGCAGCTGCTTGGACATCTGCTGTCCAACCAGCTCGCCAGTCTCATATGCCCACGTTCGGGCGACGTTCCTCATAGTGTAGCCACCACCGCCGAGCACAATAACTGGGACACCAAAGCTCTTCACGTACTTGACACAGTTGGCGTGACCCGCCATACTGAGGTTGAAGCAACCTAACCTGTCTCCGGATAGACTGTCGCCACCGCACTGGAGCACAATAGCTTCAGGGCCATAGTATGTCATGATAGCCTCAATGGTGGGCTCGAAGATGTTCTTGTAGGTCTCGTCGGTGATGCCGTCGCGGAGAGGGAAGTTGACTGAATAATTCTTGCCAGCTCCAACTCCAATGTCGCGGAGCTCGCCGGTACCGGGGAAGTATTCGCCGTACTTGTGGAAAGACGCGGTCATGACGCGATCGGTGGTATAGAAGGCCTCCTCGACACCGTCGCCGTGGTGCACGTCGATGTCGATGTAGAGAACGCGCTGCTTGTAGCGAAGCAGCTCGATGATACCCAGGACAATGTCTGGACCATGTCAGCACCACTGCGCAGATGCGGGCGACTGCTCTAACTCACCGTTGACATAACAGAAACCACTAGCTTCGCTCTTCTTCGCGTGATGCAGACCTCCGGCCCAGTTGACTGCGACATCGCACTTGCCGCGGTTCAGGCGCGCAGCACCCTCCATTGTGCCGCCGGCGCTGATGCCGCAGAACTCAAACAGGCCGTCGAACACAGGACAGTCGTCGCCGACGTTGTACTTGCTCTGCTCTTTGGCGTAGCTGTCCATGTTGTCGGGCGTGACCTTGTGCAGGAAGTCGATGTACTCGTCGGTGTGGAACTGCGTCATTTCGTACTTGGAGGCGGGTTTGGCGCGCTGCAGCGGTCAGAGGCGGGTCCCGCGGCGGACAATGGAGACAATGGGCGGACAAGGGCGCGACGTACGTAGATCTCCATCTTGGAGTAGAGGCCGTAGTTCATGATCAGACTATGAGCCATGCGTATACGGTGCGGCTTCATGGGGTGACCAGCCACATAGGCATAGTTGCCGACATCTGAGTCGTAGAAGTAGGCGACCTTCTTGGGCTGGGTCGCAGTGCCGCCCACGATACTGTTGGACCCGGTGCCGGGCTCCATGTCGTCCATAGTGTAGTAGCGGCGCGTGGGACGGGAGAGAGAGAGGGGCGCGAGTGAGTGCGAGGAAGACGAAGGGATCCCCGGGGCGATCGCAGCGAGGGTGCTATTATAGGCGAAGCATGAATAATGGGAGTACGACTGAAAGCGCGCGGGCGCAACAAAGCCGCTGCATCTTGAGCTCCGCGCTAGTGCGGGCCCCACAAATCGTCGGCGCGGAGAAACCAGGGCAGCTGCGGCCGCTGCAGCTATCATCATCGTCGCCGCCTCAAGCACGCAGCACGCCCGCACTGTAACGCCCTTCACCACTCACCCTCGCCCGCTCCGCTGCTGCACCCCCGACACACCACACACCACACCACACCACACAACACCCGGCATGGACCGGCTCAGCAGGATGCTCGCCGCCGCGCAGGGCATGGGCGGCATGGGCGGCGGACCCGCGCAGGACACGCACCTGATCGACAACTCGGAGACGGTCTACATCTCGTCGCTGGCACTGCTGAAGATGCTGCGTCACGGCCGCGCCGGTGTGCCCATGGAGGTCATGGGCCTCATGCTGGGCGAGTTTGTCGACGACTACACAGTACGCGTCGTCGACGTCTTCGCCATGCCGCAGTCGGGTACCGGCGTGTCAGTCGAGGCCGTCGACCCCGTCTTCCAGACCAAGATGATGGACATGCTGCGCCAGACCGGCCGGTAAGCGCCTCCGCACGCCTGTCCGCCGCATGCTGACAAACGCAGCCAGGAAACCGTCGTCGGCTGGTACCACTCGCATCCCGGCTTCGGCTGCTGGCTGTCCTCGGTCGACATCAACACCCAGCAGTCGTTCGAGCAGCTCACCCCGCGCGCCGTCGCCGTCGTCGTCGACCCCATCCAGTCCGTCAAGGGCAAGGTCGTCATTGACGCCTTCCGCCTCATCAACCCACAGACGCTCATGATGGGCCACGAGCCGCGCCAGACCACGTCCAACGTCGGCCACCTCAACAAGCCTTCTATCCAGGCCCTTATCCACGGCCTCAACCGCCACTACTACTCGATCGGCATCGACTACCGCAAATCAGCCCTAGAGGAGAACATGCTCATGAACCTGCACAAGCACGTCTGGACAGAGGCGCTGCAGATGGACGACTTCAACGTCGAGGGCGAGCGGAATCAGGACCGTCTGCAGAAGCTGGTGACGCTTGCAGAGGGCTACGAGCAGCGCGTCAAGGAGGAGACCGAGCTCACCAAGGACCAGCTGAAGACGCGCTACGTCGGCAAGGTGGATCCCAAAAAGCGTATGTCTGGCAATCATTTAACAACGGCTTCCACGCTAACTCCACCTCTAGACATCTCAGACGTCGGCCAGCAGCTCATCGAAGACAACATCGTATCCGTATCGAGACAGATGATCGACAAGGAAGCATCAGTGCCAAAGTCCAACGGGAGGCAGAACGGGCGAGCGTGTCAGGACGAGGCTGAAGAGATGGAAGAGTAGCACTCTACCAACAATGATGTGGACATTACTCCAGAGAGCACTTTACACATCAAGCTTGCATTCGAAGGCGCATAAAACGACGCACGTCAGGCGTAAAGGCAGATCGCTGTGTCAGCATCGGTGCATGGACAGCGGACCTATCGGGACATAGAACCATCGACGGTATTTCCACGAGCATCAACGTGAATATGATAATTAACATGACTATATGATGCCAGTGTTCTGCGTGGTGCACATGAATATCCTACCATCCTTTAGAAAGCCAGCAGTCCGATTATGGGGTATCTTTGTTTCGTCAATTGTCGTTTGTATTTGTCATTGCCCCCCGCCGGCTGCTTTCACACCTGCCTTGTGGGCGACCTCGCCCGGGTATGGCTTCCTCGCATATACAACCCGCACCTCCTGCCATAACCTCCCCCGTCGATCTTTAATCACGCCCTGGAAATCCCGCACAAACGACTTGACCTCGTCATACGTCCACCCTAGCAATCTCGTATACAGCGCCATTACCCAACCTTCAATGCCATCGCACCAGTTCCTCTCGCCCCACCGCCCCAGATCCTTCAGATACGGGTCCTTGGGCCAGGGCCCGATCGGCCATATAAACGTCTGCACCTGCACATCAACGAACCCCAGGTCCGGCGACGAGAGCGTCTGGTGCATGGTATCGACGACGTCAAAGGGCATGCCCGTCTTCTGCGCGCCGACGTTCAACACGGACTGCGAAAAGGCGGTGAGGATCTGGTCGCCGTACTCGGTGCTGGTGGGCGACGCGCTGGTCTCGACGCTGAACTCGAGGTGCTCGATCCAGCCGCCGGGCTTCAGCGCGGCGTAGCACTGCTGGTACAGCGTGTGCCACGACTTGATGCAGCCGGTCAGCCCGCGGATGTGCACCAGGTCGAAGTGGTCCGGGGGGTAGGTGAAGGAGGAGTTTGCGTCGTCGATTTCGAACGTCAGGTTTGGCGGCAGGTTGGGCGGGTGGATCGGGCTGAGGTCTGTGGCGGTGATTTCGGCGTTGGGGAAGTAGTCGGCCATGTCGATTGCCCAGAGGCCTGTGCCGGTGCCGATGTCGAGGACGCGCTCGGGGTCCTTGATGGGCGCGAGGAAGAGTTGGTCGTGCAGCGTGAGGAGCCAGAGATGGTGTACAATGGTTTCGTAGTTCGAGTACGCCTCATCGTTGGGTGCGTAGTAAGTCCCCTCGCGGTAGGAGTGGTACCGCCGCCCGTTCTCGTAGCGATACGATGTGATCTTGGACGCTATAGAATTGCCCCCGGTGGACGCATAGAAGGACATGCGGTCTGCATCATTATCGTCGTCTTCGACATAGTTGTCATATTCGGAGTCCTATTGAGGGTTAGTCAAGCGTACAAGATTCAGGGGGTCTATGAGCACGTCTTGCACAGCAACCGCATCTTCGCAAGCTAGAAGACACAAGATAATAGCATGTGAAAGTAAAATGTTCCGGCGACTCTGTTGTGGTATGGAATGCATGCTAGGTAGCTCCCGCTGTCTCCTGAACCTTATTTCATCTGGTAGAGAGCTCTAAGAAGCTTCGGTGAGAGGAATGGAACAAGTTCTCGAACTTACAACGTCGATGCCAACAGGCTGTGTTTGAGTAACCATCTCGGAGTCCGACTGCTCCTCCTCGTCCTCTCTCGGGGCACCCTTTCCAAACTTCAGCAGCTTCCTGGGATGCATGTCAGTCACGTCGCGTACGCAGAACCTTGCTTCTTTCACACGAGCAGCTTCGCGATAAGGCGCAGACAAAGTACTTACTCCAACCGCGAGAAATACCCACTCTCCTTTCCTTCCACCCTTCTTACCCCCGCCTGGCCTGGCAGGCCAAGTTTTTGCAACGCCGCAACGTCCAGCTTCGCGACTTGCAACGCCGCCGTGTGGCGCTTCTACGCCTGGCAGCAGGATGGGGTCGTAAGCAAGGGGCGATCAAACGAGTATGATCGGCTGCAGCAGCGCGGGCTTTTAGTGTGCAAGAACACGCAGGTTCCGAATGCGGTTTGCCTGCCTGCTCTCCGCCGTGCGCTAGCTCCAAAGTGCGAGAGGCTATCACGGTGCTTTTCAGGTTTACAGCAACGGTTGCGCCGGGGAGGCTCCGAAGAAAAAGCAGATCGAGACGAGCGGTGGTCGCGGTCTAATTCCCTCTTGGGACGCGACGTGTGCCTGCCTCGCCTGGACTTTGGAGGTGTGTCGCTGGAGAGTGTGCAACACACAGGCAAAGCGCTAGGTTTCCCCACAGTTTGTGCGTCTTAGCAGGCTGGTGGTTCGCGTGGGGGGGAGGGCGGCGAGAGCTGATGTTCGTGAGGCAGCTGAAAGGCACGGTATGCAAGAGCAGGGCCTTCTGGGTACGTAGCCAAGGCCCAACTTCGTGACTCGCCAAATGCCTCGCCGAAGATTGCTCCAGCTCGGCGTGAGGACTCGTCTTCTCGCGCACATTTCGCGCGTCCGCGGCTGCGGCTGCGCACCCCGTTCGGCGCATTGGGCGGCATGCGCCGGGAGGCAGCAACGAGAACAAAGAAAGCGACTCTGGAGATTCCCGACGCTCTTGGGGATTGCTGCTGCAAACGACGCGATCGCTGCAAGCGATGGATTTTGTCGTCGTCTGGTGGGATCGTTGGATGTCTTTAGTATCTACCATCCCCTTGGGTTGCGGAAGTTTATTCTTGATCGCTCGCTTTGCCCAGATTGTCGGGATGCCAACGCCAGGTGTCGCCGGTGCTCCGTGAATGGCACGGCTGACGCTGCATGCATGCTCAGCGCACGGCAGCTGCGAGGTGTAAGATGACATGTCAGCCTTCACCGTATCATGGAGAGGGGCGATAATTCGTTGGTAAAGTTGGCCAGAGAGCGACCACTTGAGTCGAGTCATGCCTAATTAACATTTAATTTCACGAGGTACTCTGCGCTCACATGTTTGGCAAAGTGCTGGATGTGGAGCTACATGCCAAGGCCCATGGGTACTTGCATCCGCCGCCTTACATTGTTCACGAATCGAACGCAGACATCGAGTGCAAGCTCAAGAAGACCGTCAATTGAACGAGATCATCACTGAATGATGATAACTATTCTTAATAATATGCAGATAATCGCAAAATGCTCTATGCAAAATACCCCCACCCACTCTTCAACATCATATACAACATGCCGCGACACGGCTCTACCCAAGCATGCTGATGCGCCCATGATCCGTCGAACCGGCAGCCGTGGTCTTCTACGCACGTACACTTGCTTTTCGTCAGAAGCACCAGATTACCGCCCACCTGTTTATACAATCCCCCTTCTGCCAGAACTCCATAAAATCAAATATCGAAGGGCCCGCCGTGTTGATTGCGCCAAATTTGGCCAAGAGAGATGCTGCCTTGGTATGCACGAGGCAACGTATATGCTGTCGAATAGGTCATCGGCCACGACGACCTCATCGGCGAACTTGTATGTGAGAGCAGGCCATGGCGCTTAAGGCCATGGTGCTACTTCTTAAGCCTGGACTGCCATTGGTGAGGGCGACTCTGCGTACAGTACACATCGTCCTTCAAAGCCAACCCCGAGCTCGCAATTTCTGTGTCAATTTAATCGTTGCGTCGCGAATGTTGGTACATCTAGGGGTGCCCGTGCGGTTTTGAAGAGGCTGCATCACGATAGGAGCCGGACAGCTGGTTGATGTTCCGCTGCTTCTTGGCCTGCTCATCCTCAGAGCTCGAGTGGCTGCTGCTGCCATCGTTGTCGATCGACGCATCCTTCGACTGTCGGCGGAGACGATCGGCCTTGTCTTTGAGTACCTTGGCCTGCTCAGCCGCTCGTTGTGCCCGGATTTGTTTCTTCCACATTGCGGCGTAGTGACCATTGCGCTCGAGGAGCTCCTCATGTGTTCCTCGCTCTTGCACCTTGCCCTTGTTTAAAACAAGAATCTGGTCGGCGTGAGTGATGGTACTGAGTCGGTGGGCAATGATGAGCATGGTACGGCCATGCGCCAAGGTCGCAAAGGCCTCCTGGATGTGTTGTTCTGTCTCAGTGTCCAGAGCAGCGGTGGCTTCATCCAGCATAATAATCCTGGGGTTCTTCAAGATGGTACGGGCAATCGCAACACGCTGCTTCTCACCACCAGATAGGCGAAGTCCACGTTCTCCAACCTTGGTGTCGTACTTGTCTGGGAAGGTGAGGATCTTGTCGTGGATACTGGCGGCTCTGCAAGCGTCGTAGACCTGCTCGTCAGTCGCCTCAGGGTTAGCGTACTTGAGATTGTACATGAGTGTTTCATTGAACAAGACAGTGTCCTGAGGGACAACTCCAATGTGGCGGCGTACTGAGTCGATGGTGAGGTCTGTAACATCGTTTCCGTCGACCTGGATGCTGCCGGACACGGTGTTGTAGAAGCGGAACAAAAGACGGAAGACCGTCGACTTGCCGCCACCCGATTCTCCAACGAATGCTGTCGTAGTGCCCGGTGGGCAGTGGAAGTCGAGACCAGTCAAGGCAGCCTTACGATTGTCGTACGAAAAGTGCACGTCCTTGAACTTCAGATCGCCCTTGCAGGACAGCAACTCGGTGGTACCCTCTTTGTCAACCACTGTCGCGGTCTCCTTGAAAAGCTCGAGCATGCGCTCAGAGTTGATCATGGCAGACTGGATCATTCTGTAGAAAGTGCCGAAAAAGTTGAGCGGGCTCTGCAGCTGACCCATGAACACGATCAACGTGACGAACTTTCCGCTAGTGATAGCCCCAGTTGTAACCTGATAGGCGGCTATAAAGCATGTTATCAGGAGACCGAGCATGAAGACCATGTTCTGTGTAATGTTCATGATGTTCAAGGAAAGCAGAACTTTCCACTCAGCATCCTGGTATTTCTGGACGGCTTCTCGGTAGCGATTGAATTCGTATGCCTCGGCGTTGAAGTATTTGACTGTCTCGTAGGAAACCATGGAGTCGTTCCTGTTGCTGTTAGTGGAATGTGGAGAGGGTGGTAACGGCCGCTTACTTGACGGCATCCTCTTCGCGGTCGGCGTTGACCATCTCGCGACGGATCTCGGCACGCCACTGCGCCATTCGAATGGTCAAATAGATGTACCAGAAAGTTACAACGGCAAGGACTAGTGCATAGTACGCATCGTACTTGACCAAAAAGTAGCCAATAGCAGCGCCCAAATCCAATAACATGGGTACCACAGAAAACGTCACCTGCTCAAGGAAAGTGTTGATCGAACTTCCCTTTCCGAGAGCCGAGAGCACCTCACCTGTCTTCTTGCCGAGGTGGAAATCCAAACTAAGACTGTGCACGTGCTCAAATGCCGCAACTGAGAGTTCGCGGTAAGAGTACTGGGAGACAGGGATCCAGAGTGCGGATCGTGCGGCTCCAAGCACACCATTGGTTCCTTGCAGGAAGCGAAAGGCGATGAACATGCAAATAGCTGTCCACGGGCTGCCAGGGACCTTGTGATCCAGACGATCTACGATGTGGCCCAGCTGATCAGGGACTAGCAGATTGATCACACGCTGCGCCATGACTAGCACAAAGCAGACGACCACCATAATCTGTAGTCGGCCATCCTTGGACGGCCAGAGATATGGGAAAAAGACACCGTAGCCTTTGATGTATTCCCACCAGCTGCGGGTTGGGGCACCCGTCGGTCTGCTCCAGGCGGGCGGTGCGCCTTCGGTGTGTTGGTGCTTGCCTCCGACCGGGTGTACAGAGCCGTAGGATGTGTTTCCGTTGGCTCCATTGGCACCGTTTGCATGGCCATTCTCTGCACGGTTGGTGCCGTTGGCCAGGAGCGAGGTGCTCTCGGCCGGGGTGCCAGCCTCCGAGGTCTTCCTGGCCTGCGGCAGAACGACAAAGATGGTGTAAAAGGCAATGAGGGCGAGCAGCAGGACGATACGCAGCAGGTCAATAGCGACCTCGGCAGCCTCCCACTCGGTCATGTAGAATCGCAGTTTGGGGTTCTCGGGGTGGCCGTGGGTCGGCTGGTAGTGGGCGTGTGTGTAGAGGGCGAGCGAGAGGGCGACGAGGACGACCTCGAGCACGAGGCCGACGGCCCATGTCGAGAGGTGGGCGGCGGTTGGCGACGGCTTCGAGTCGAGGAGCGAGATGAGGAACAGGCTGTAGACGAAGAACGAGCCGACGAGGTAGATCTAGAGGCGGGCAGTCAGCAACGGGCTGGCGGCAGGCGTGCATTGAGAAGGGCTGAGCGTACGACGACGGGCTGGCCACACCACCAGTGCTCGCTCTGCTTGGCGACGGCCTGCGCGATGACCAGCAGCGAGTTGCCGAAGAAGGTCAGGGCCACGGCCAGCGACACCCACTCGAAGACACGTTTCTGGGTCGGGGTGACGTCGTCATGGGCCGTCTTCTTCACGAAGTTGCGGGTGGGGTCGGTGGCGGGCAGCGGCTTGCCTCCAGGGCCGGTGGTGGTGGGCTGGGCAATATTGGTGTTGGAGTTGACGGCGGCGATGCTGCGGATGGTGAAGGCGGCCAGGAAGAAGACGAGCATGCACAGCGGGTAGGCATACTGCAGGACGGTGAGGACGCGGTGCAGGGCCGGGGCGTGTTCCCAGCGCGGCGGCCGGTCGTCCAGCTCGCCGGGGGGCAGCGCGGCGGACATGTTGAAGCGGCCGGCGCGAGATGCGGTGGCTCGCGGTGGTGGCAGCAGGGCGATGGGGGAGAGGGCGTAGGGAAGGACGGTGCTATAGCCTGCGACTCGACACGCCGGCCATGCTTCGTTGCAGGCCGAGCACGGACGGGCAGCCAGGCGGCCCTGGGCGAGTCGGATAGTGGTGGCGCATCGTCGACTGTGGGTGGGGCTTGGCGCGCCAGCAGGGTTTGGGCCTAGGTCTAGAACCACCGCGGGCGTGCATCAGATCAGGGACGCGTTGGAGGAGCAGCCGTGGCACTGCAGCTGCACGCATCTGCTCGCATCGCTGCAGAGCCCGCAGCCCGCAGCCCGCAGCCCGCAGCCGCGCACGTGTGCCCCCCAGCGCGCTGCAGGTCGGGCATCGCTTGCGTCTCTGCGTCTCTGCCCTCACCTCGAGCCTCACCGCCCGCCTGGAGGCAGTGCCCGTCCCAGTGCCAGCCAGCTGCCCTGCCCTGCCCGTCCGCCGTCGTCACGGTTCCACACCCACCACACATGACCGACCACCGTCGGGTCCCAGCGACTGCGGCGATCCCGCCGCCGCCGCCGCCGCCGCCGCCGCTGCCCAAAATAAAAACCCGCTCGTACTTTGAGCGTTTCGTCGCCCAGCCCTTGCAGTCGGCCGCCTATGCCTCGCGGCCGCCGAGCGTGCAGGCACATCGTGCGGACGGCGCGCCTCTGAATCCGCTAGTCCCAAAGCTGCTCGGGTACGTCCACTCTAGTCTGCCTGTCTGCCTGTCTGCCCCTCTGCAGCCCGCGCGGCATCGTGTGCCTGGTCGTGCGTGTGGTGTGTGTGTTGCCAGCGTCCCTGTCGTCGGCACTAGCGCACTGGCTCCTTCCCGTGCTTCCTTCCGACCCACGCCACCAACCACCGGCCGGCCTGGCTCTGCACCGCCCCCCGTCGCCCCGTCACCTCCGTCTGATGTTGATGTTGATGTGTTGATGTTCGTCTACTAAGCCGCCATGCAGCATCCGCACCGGCCACTCGCTGGATGCCACACACAAGACCGGCCTGGACATCGCCGCCCTTGACATCAACCGCGAGCGCACCCATGCCGTGCTTGCTGGCAAGGAAATCCTCAAGACGGTGCGTGTCGACGGCACCAAGATCGTCGACGAGACCAATCTGCGCGCTGCCGTGCTCACCTATGCCGACTCTGCACGCCAGCGCGAGGGCCTGGGCATCCAGGACGTCAAGTGGTCGCATGGCCAGTTCAGCTCGCATATTGCAACTGCCGTCGCCAATGGCAAAGTCATCCTGTACGACCTGAATCGTGCCAGCGTAGAGCTTGTCAGACTGCATGAACACACACGTCAAGTCCACAAGCTCGCCTTCAACCCGCACCAGGGCCATCTGCTGCTCTCTGCGAGCCATGACGCCACTGTTCGCCTTTGGGACTTGCGTGATTTGCGTCGAGATGCTGCCTGCACGAGCCGGGACCAGTTTCCGGGGATCAGTGGCGGCATCCGTGACGTTCAGTGGTCTCCTACCGATGCCATGGAATTCGCCTTTGGCACAGACAACGGCACCATACAGCGTTGGGACTTCCGTCACAACAAGGGCCCCAAGCAAAAGATCCCTGCACACGACCAGAAGACGTGCACGTCAATCGACTGGCACCCTGATGGAAAGCACTTACTCAGCGCAGGCGTAGACCGAACCATCAAGATTTGGGACTTTTCTGTCGACGGTCGACGGCAAAAAGCCGTTTACGTCCTAACTACACCCTATCCCGTGCACAGAGCCAGATGGAGGCCACCCTACTGGTCTGATGAGTTTCATGAAAAGGGCGCGTTTCAGTGCACACAGGTGGCAACATCTTACGATCGAGATCATCCAGTCATACATGTCTGGGACTTCCGACGCCCGCATCTGCCTTACAGGGAGATCAACAAGTTCCGGAGCCAGCCATCAGATATGCTCTGGCACACACGTGACACATTGTGGACTGTTGGCAGAGAAGGTATATTCCAACAAAATGACGTCCATCATGCCCCGAAGACTACAGAACGACGGCCTTTGCAAGCATTCGCGATATCGCCAAACGGAGAAGTAAGTGGCGTTGCGCAGAAGCGATTACGACAACGGCGTTCTGCAAGCCTACCGTACGACGATGAGTATCTTGGTGCACCTACTGAGAAGCACGGCAGCCTGGAGAAAAACAGTCTACGCAACTCTGCAGACAACAGCTTCGACGAGAGCCTCCTCTCCTCTTCGTTAAAGCGCCACCATGGCCGCACGGCCAGTAATAGATCGGCAAAGTCGTTTAGTAGTACCCCTCCGTCCGACGTCACGCCTAAAGTCATGTTTTTGCCTGATTCTATGAGTAACCAAAGTGGCCAGTTCAAGCCGGACCAACTTGCATTTCGGGGAGTCCTCCCAGGTGCGATCAATGTTCAGGTCTTTGCATATCTTGCCCAGAAATACAAGGCGCAGTCACTGCCTGATCGCCCTACCTTAGAGTCGTATTTGGACCTGGAACAACCCTTCCAGCAGAACGCTGAATACGCACAAAGAGCTGCGTATCACAGGCTTGCCCAAACTTGGACTTTGATTGGTGCGGCCATGTCTAATGCGACCCAACGTCGTGCAGAGATACATAGGAGGCAGCGGCTAAAGAATAAAAAGGCCAAATTCGAGGATCCAAACAACACCTCTGGCCAGTTGCATGTACATAGCAAGCCTCAGAATCCGGCTGTCCGCGCACTTCTTGGGACTCTCGATAAGCCACGTTCTGCATCGCCTCGCATGAGAGCGACTACTCATGTGGAAAGCACCTCGAATCTGGCAACACCACTTGCACGCCCTGTCGATACGTCTGCCCCACAATCTGCCGATCTACGGAGGCCCGAACTTCCCGACCCGGACCATGACGAAAAGATTCATCTCCCTCCATCAGTCTTGGGGGTTCCGGAAGCCAGTAACGAGCGAGGTGTTGCGTTTCCCAAACATAATGGATCTAACGGAGGTCACTGGTACGATTCTCCTGAAGGCCTAGAAGAACGTCGAGCTGCAGCAGGGAGCTGGCGCGCCTCGCCTCGGACACCTTTAAACCTAAACCCAGCATCTGCTTATACTAATCATCCGCTCGTTCCGCCTCCACTGGAGCGACACAACTCGGGTGAGAGTTTCACTATGTTTTCTGCGTCGACCGACTCTCAGCACGGAAGCTCAGTATCAGGCTCGTTCGAAAGTGACAACTTCGATCTGCACGGGGTGGAGGGATTGTCGACGGGTTGGCAACATGAGCCTGACAAATCGAGTTTTGGTAGGCCTACAGGCACCCCCAGTCTTGACCAAGAGCCAATTCTGAGTCCAACTACAAAAGGGGGTCCAGGCACGATCCCGATCCTTGCCATATCTCAAAGCCAGCACGACAATTCGGCTGCTAGCAATATCGATACTGGCCATCTAATGCTGCCCAATAGCGCCGATAGGGTTACTCAAGACATGGACGCTTTGCGACGGACAAATCAACTCATGCGCCATGACAGCTCAGAGTCGTCTGCATATGCGAGCAGTCACGAAAGCACCTCGTTTTCGTCCACTTACGATGCTGACATGGAGGCTAGTGGCACCATCATTCCAGATGTGCATGAGGAACCAAAGTCTCCACAAGCTCTGAAGTCATCTGCAACATCACCTGCTATCGCAAAGACTATCTCCCATTCGACCGTGGCTGCGAAAGATAGCCAGATGCTATTGTCAGACTTTGAAGCATTGCAGGTTGATGCTGAGAGTACGTCAGCATTCACAGTCGTTGACTTACTGAACAGTATCCTCGAGTTTCACACAAACACCTTATCCGACGCGCAATTCCCATCGTTGCTTCTGCTCCTGCTGACACCGCTGTTACCCCAAACGCATGGACCGTCCGACAAATCGGACATTGATGTGAACGAGGTTTTGAGTGCCTTCTCGGACACATTTCTAGCTCTAGGCCTCACGCCTACACAGGCCAAAGCCATTTTATCGAAACAGCTAGCAGAAGTGATAGCTACGGGTATCAATCCCTACCAAGCCGAGTCAATTCTTCATACGTATCATGCACAGATGCACAGCCTGTCACTCTTCAATTCGGCAGCTTCTCTTCGGCGGCTTGCATATCCCACGTATCCCTCGGTCTATGAGCAAGCATTGAAAGACACCCAGCTTGGCCTATTGTGTCTTAGTTGTAAGTCTCCGATCAACAATCCGAAAGATAAAATGCGCTGCGAGTCGTGTAAGCGTGCACAAGCACCTTGTCCGATATGCTGGGGGAAGTACCCAGCCTTTGAACCTATCAGCTCAAAGCGAAAGTTAAAATCAAAGCATCGAGATGAGAAGGGCCATAAAAGGAAAGGATCAACGTCTATATCCGCGGGCACAGTGCCAGAGGTGACAGATGACGGCCTCTCGCCGTCAGTGCCAGAGGTATGGAACCCACCACCCGCAACACTGTGGACTTGGTGCTCTCTTTGCGGACACGGTGGGCATACCAACTGTCTGTCTGCTTGGTTTACTGAAGCCACACTCTCCGACGGTGCCTGTCCCACTGAAGGCTGTCTGTGCGACTGCGTCTCGGGCAATCGTCGTGAAACCAAGATACATGAGCTGCTCCAGAGCAAAGCAGAAAAAGAGCGTTTAAAGTTGGTGAAAACGGGTGAGGACTGGAAAGTGGGGGAGAGTAGAGCCGTGTCTGCAGTGCGTGGCGCGTTCGGTGACAGTGGTAGCCAATCTCCCTCACCCAGCAGCCAGCAGCAACGGAGCCAAACCTCAAGTGGTATTCGTAAAGTGGACAGCAGGAGAACGCGTGTTCTTGCGCCCACTCCCGGGTCCGGCCCGCAGACGAGTGCAAATTCAACCTGACACCTTCCCGACCACGGGGAAAGCAATTTGTTCGGAGTCACTTAGCAACTTGAAGCTGACATCACAATCGGATTTGACGTCGGTCCGCATGAACGCGCACTGCTGCACATAACTCGCATATTCACACCGCTCAGTACCGCCAAGCGCGAGTCCCGGAAACCTTACTTAGGTGCTCCGCTACACCACCCACTTCCCCGGACACGAGACACTTCATCGTATGGAATGCAATGTTTGGGCGGCAGACTACTCGGACAATTCTGAACGATCCGGCTGTCTCGATGACGCCGCTTATCTACAACAGCCAGTGAAACCTTGCCAACTCTTCTTTCTATTCCAAGAGTTGTATTGCGCTCCAAACTTGAGCAACTAATTGCTACAATACGCTTGCGGAGCCAAGTTTTGGGACACGATCGCATGTGGATGCGTTAGGCTAAATGTAAATTGTAGAACCCCTACAAATGACACCACCAATGTAGTGCATGTACCTCTCTGCTGATAACAGTCATTACGCGCACAGCATACTGCACAGGTGGTAGACGTAGAAACTGCACGTGCCGTTGTTGATCACGTCCACGATACCAACGCTGTGTTACTTGAGCTACAGTACCGTTATCGCATACTCAACGGCCTGGCCCTGTGACATGTTCGAAGGCGCGTGACACCTGCGCGAATGCATGCATCCTGTTCTTGTAACTCACAACTCACCTTGACACGTCAGGTCGGTTTGAACCTGCTGTGAAGCTGCCTGACGAGTGATACATCAGTCCCATTCATTGCGCAATGACAATAACATCCCAACAAACGGTTGGTCAGCCCAAGCAGCGCCAATCAAAGTTTCTACTGGGGGCGCCCTCCCTTCTCCTGTACCACATTTAGGTTGTAGCCTGTGCAAGCTACATATGCTGTAGCTTTACATACTGTCGTGGAGCAACCTTGTGTATTGGGCTTGACGCACATGACCAATTGGAGTTACACAGGAAAGTACATGGGCATCACCGTTATAAGCGCCGCATCCCTGTCCCATGCGCTGTTAGTGTTACAAATACACCTGTAGCTTATGCTTTGTTTTGTGTTGGAAGCCAGGGGTTAGGCCGAACACCAAAAGAACGTTGTTAAGATAAGACTGTGAGACAGAAACCCCACCTACTCGGGACAGCAATGCATGCTCGTATGCGTGCTCAACAGCCCGCATGAAACGCGAACATGCACCCACCAGAGACGTATATGCGCTGTGATGTAAAAACCGACAGGCATCAAATAATCTAGAACCGACATATCTGTCTCTCGCAACCCAGCCAAAATCCCAGTGCGATGGTAATCGGGGATGCGCATACACTTGCCGTGCCGACTGTATCTTGGCACCAGGAACCACGCGGGACGGCGCCGCTCCAGATCCTCTCCGAAGCCTGGTCAGCAGGTGCAAACACCCGTACCTATTGTTCGTCAGTTGTTGCACGGCAGGATCGACACATGGGAAGTGATTGGAATGGGCCCACAGGCGAGCCGAGGTGTGGAGGGGCAGGCAAATACGAGGTGAGATGGAGTTGGGCGACGGAGGTTAAAGCTGCCCCGCGGTGGGCTTTGGGTTTGCGAGTGTTGGCGGCTGTATGCACGTTTACCCGGTGACTTCATGTCGCCTTGTTTCGCATTAGGAGCCACGTCGGGTCGTCGGGCGATGGGGGGTTTGGGCTCTCCAGGACATCTTGTCTTGACTTCGGTCTCCTGCGGGAGTGGTGCTGTTGGCGGAATAGACGGCTACTGCTCATTGGCTGGGTCTGTTTCTTCTTGCATTGAGGTCAAGATGTTGCATCGAATCCGTATTGGTGACGTGCTTTTGTTGGTACATAGACCAAGCGCAGTACATTCATGGGTTGTGCCTAAAAGGGCTACAATTTGACGCAAGATCATCAGATCGACGTGACTTTGGCTCCTACGCTGGAGGAGAATCGACGGACAAAAGTTAATAACGGAACAATCGTGGATCTAAGAATCAGAAGTGTGCGAGGTTCTGGTCAGTAGTCTAAGTCACAACAGTTGGCAAGACTTCCAACTATGATCCTGTTGCATGCGTACACCTGCAATTGAGAATGGTAACTGAGCGCACTGCAGCGACGGAGGAGCGTTTTGGATTCGATCGTATTGGTTCCTAACCAGTTCCTTGCCTCGTGACACCGTGAAAGTCTTCATGAGATAGGAGATGAAGGCCTAAGTCGCCATGAAATGCATGCCCACGCCTCTGAGACGCAGCTCAGATTCCGAATATCCTGGGTCCGGTCAGCCAATGCCCTCCTATTCAACAATGCCCAGCAGCATTGCGTACAGATGTCCGCGTACCTCAACTCCATTTCCATCAACCGTTTACCTCGACGCAGACCAGACGCTCTTGAGGAAGCCGTCGCGCTGTGTGAGCCTGTTCAGGCTGTCGTCGGACTCGCCCATGGCGCGGACGAAGCCAGAGAGGGCGTAGACCTGGTTCTCGCCGGTGTAGCGACCGTTCTCATCGACCTTGGCGACGCTGATCTGGACGGAAGCGTGGTCCTTGGCCTTGATGATGCGTCCGGTAGCGGACTGCGGTGGAATTAGTATCGCGCGAGGGGTTCAGGTCGTGCGGTGCGGTCTTACGCATTTGCGGGGGACGTAAACTGGGAATTGTCAGCGACTGTTCAGATGGCTGCCACCAGACCTAGGTTCAATCGCATTGCGAAGACCCCTGTCCGAGCTCCAGCAGATCGCGGGCGTCCTTACGGTCAACGAGCTCGCCGCGTTCGTTCTCCATTTTGGCTGGTATATAGAAAGACGGGAGGGTGGTCTTTGAAGTCGCTACGGGTGGGCTGTCGTCGAGTTCGTGGTTTTCGCGGCGTGTGGGAATATCGCACACTAATCCGCTCCGCTCGCTTAGTGTGCGAGCGCCAAGAGGGCCAATCCGCTTTCGGTGCACTAGTCATGTGTTGTCTATAACCATTCCCAGCAACACCACGAACATGGAATCGGCTCTATAGTTAAATGGAATATTAACTTCCGTTTTAATTCATCTGCACGTACAGTCTCGCATTCAGACGTACTCCTATGTTGAAGACGAAGTGGGGTATAAGTCGGCTCTGAACGACTCACGAGTGAGTATAAAAAACGCTGATAGTCAACAATTAGGTTGAAGACCACAGGCGCTTTCAAGATGGGCAAAGCAGTCTAGAAGCACATAGCTTGATAGTGGGGATTACGCAGTGCCTATACCGTAGAACAAGAGACGCACTGTGTGACGAACACTACTGAATGACTAATCGGTGGCCTTGCCCGTTTCGCCCCCACCACTCTTCTCATCTCGACCTGTCGACTCGACATACTTAGGAGTGCAGCTAACAATATCAAACATATCTGTGGACTTTCCTTCATACTCCGTACTTCTGGTCTGTTTGGGGTGTGAGGGCCAGGTTTCGTCATCTACCACATGGCAACGATCATCAACAGCGACTCGGTCAGCTTCCCTCCTCTACCATCGCAGGCCATCAAATCCCACCACCTAAATGAGAAAACCGCTGGATCTAAATTCCAACAACCAGGAACCATTCATCAATATGCCACACTCAACGATCTACCAGATGAGCTGGTTCTAGAGATCCTGTCGTATCTACCTGGAATCGATATGCAAAACTTTCAGCTACATACACTGCTAAGCCTATCATTAACGACCCGCAATCTTCATCGCATTGTCAGCGATAAGCTGTATGCTACTTACGACAGCTATTTCTGCGAGCCATATCTCTTCCTCCGCACACTAGTTTCGAATTCGCACCTCGGCGGTAGCGTGCGTCATGCCAAGTTCCGTTATGGCGACGATGCTCATCTTGAACGGACGCGGTACTCACCGACTGCTCGTGACAAGAAGATCATCAAGGAGGGGATGAGAGACCTCGATTTTCCTGACTGGAAAGGATGGGCTACTCGCTGCAACGCCGAGAGCATAGAGCTCGACATCCTACACACAGCTGTGATGTTACACACTCCAAATCTTATGTCACTTGATGTTGAGGATGGGCAGATTTCGGCCTACGCGAAGGCCAAATGGCCTGAGCTCATCAAAAAAGCAACAACCGGCGAGCACTTTGGGCACGCGCATCGGTTCAGTGCGCTCAAGTTCGTGCGTATTGACGCTCAGAATATGGTTATACATCATCTTGTTCCTCTGTTGCGTTTGCAGTCTCTGCAGAGACTCGAGCTGCGAGACCTGACCGAGTTCGAGCTGGACATGCGCGCGCCAGCCGAGCTCAGGCGTCTGCTTCCGGACGGCTGCAATAACCTCGAAGCCCTCGTCCTAGAGGAGTGTTCTTTGCGCTTCAATACACTGGTAACTCTCATCAACTCGATACGAAGTCTGAAAAGTTTCCGGTTTCACGGTGACCAGGAAAGCATACTTCTAGACGGGTCTGGCAACGTGCTCCTGAATGCCTTATGTCAACAGAAGGAAAACCTAGAAAGCCTTGATATCTATCACGAACCGCAACACAAAGAAGACGAATATCCCCTCGTCCATGACGGGCTTGAACAATTTCCAAGACTTCGAGACCTGAAGTGCCCGCTACGCATGGTTGTGAATGTACGCGCAGGTGCTTCCGCGACTATCCTCGAATTCCTACCACCTGCCATCGAATCGCTCTGTCTTTCGATCCGGTGGGGTGCAGATGAAGAGCTTTTCCTCCCTGTTCTTGAGCGCATGGCGAGCGACTATGCGACCACAGTCCCTGGTTTGGCAAGTCTTCAGCTCAATGTCCAAGTGCTTGCTGAAGAATTGGATTACGATTGGGAGCGTCTTGTCAAGGCCTACTCGAATACTAGCGTCAACCTCATCATCAATCAGCCGTCTGACAGCGATGACGAGTGGGGTGATTGGCGAACTGTGTCTTCAGACTCAGATGAGTCTTCAGAGGATTCGGATGAGGTCGATCTGTACGGTGATAGCGAGAGCGAAAGCGACAGCGATGAAGAATAGGATGGATTTACACCTTTGATCTGAGAAGTCGATGCATCCCCGGCTGTGGAACCATATGAAAGTCAGTCATCACCCTGGCCATTGCCCCACTCGGTCGTGTCCCACGGCTATCTCTGTTCGTGGATTTACTATGGTAAAGTCGAGAATAGCAAGCAGACATTGTGTGATGGGCACAGCAGGTTGTAATGTCCACAGGTAGTGTCAACTCGCATCTTTCATACGAATACTGCCTTCCTCCAACATATCTCTGAACAGGAGGTCATGTTATCAAAGTGACTATGTCGTGGCATATTTTCATAAATGAATCCTGATCCAGCTAGCAAACTATGACCAGACCTTACCCTCGCTTTCAATCGTCTTTGTTGGGAAAAGCCGTCGTTGAACAAGCAGTCGGGTGTGCGGACGTCTGGGAATAGACGGATGGTCTGTATTGTAGATCGTTGCATTTAGATACAGCATTTGACATCCTTTCTTGATGTATCGTCAATTGTAGGTGTGCATGTAGTGATAGCCACATCAACAGAAACCAGAGCACAAGTAATGTCAGCATTGCATAAAAATTTGAGAAGTCTCCGTCGGCCACAGTATTTTTGTCCATGTCGAGGGCGTCACTGTCCAGTGATCTTGGTTGGACATCTCTGTTCCTCATACTTACCAGTTTGAGGTAAGCCGGCATCGAGAAGCAACTGTAGACGCGAATATCTGAAGGCAGGTGGACGCCACACACCTACACTTCAAACATGATATTGAATGTGTTACCAAAGGAGAAAGCTTAGATCCAAGCCCCCTGCATCAGACTGGAAGACTGAAGGGTATTAAGAGAATTCCGGTCAACGACGCAGTCCGGCGCTTGCCTTCGGGTACTACAGAGAACAGAGGACACAACGGATGTGTATGTAATGACCAATCCCCACTGCTTTTTTTTTCAACTCGTGGATTAGAATATTAGAAGCTTGTCAGCTCATCGGTCGAAGCGTGTTGCAAACCCTGTGGGATACTCTATAAGCAGGACTGGATGTGTAGGAGAGCATCAGTCAATTACACAGCTACAGTCAAGATACCGTCACTCCTACGACGTTGATGTGGAATCAACCTTACCCTCGAGATCGAACATTTTCGCCTTGCACCTCCCTGCAGAGAGCTGGCCACGTGCATTTCAACAGCACTCTGGCGTGTCAGCAGCACAGTACTGTGCAAACGAGGTAGCAACCACTACACTCACCAACCCACACACAGCGCCAACCGCCCAGCAGACACACATTATAGCACTGAACTCAGCACAAACCCACGCTCAATTTCACCTACCACTCACCGGCCACCGCTTGCCGCGCCATACGCCCCATCCCACACGCCTATACCCAACACTTTCCGTCAAACGAAACCATGTGTCAGCTCCGATCCCGGCTCGGCCCTTAGCCTCGAGTGACAGTCCTGCAGGGTCCTCTTCGTACAGTCTAGGCCAGGTGCGACAAGGCTCTTCGCGAGATGTGCGAGCGACACAGTGTGGGGGCATGCGCCGGGAGCATGCAGCGCGGCCTGCGGTGGGAAACGCATGGGAAGCAGGGGTGTGAGGGGGACGGGTCGGTGAATGGTTTGCAGGATGTTGCTGGGTGGTGCCGAGCGGCGCTGGCTGATTTGGGGGTTGGTGTGATAGCGTCATTTTTTTGCGGAATGGCGAATGTATATTCGGCCGTGTCCGAGAGGACCCGCAAGGGTTTTGGGACGCCTGAGGGTGAGGGAGATCAAGATGGACAGAGTGGCATGATGGGATGGAAGATGGAAGTAGAGAAGTAGATGATGTATAGAAATGGGTAGTCTTTGGATTATGTTAGACAAAACAAAAGGTATCGCATATCGCTCGTCACTCGTATATCGGCCTCCAATCCCCCCGTTATGCAAATCATCGAAACCCCAGGTGCTAACAGCTGGGGTATTGAAACAGTCTAATAACATTTTTGGCTCCGGCCTTCGTGACCTATGCCTGAGTGCCCACACCCTCAGTGTGTGCAGGGCTACTCCGTCCAGCCTTCTGCTCCTCGTGCTTGTTAAGCAGGGCCTTGATGTCGGAAGACGAGCTCTTTCCCGCGCTCTTCTCGGTGATCAGACTCTTAAGCCATGTGTTTTCGGTCTCGAGCTGTCCGATCCTAGCCTCCAGCTGCTGCACGCGGTCGCTCATGTCCTTGGCGGTCTTCTCGAGAGCTTGCTCACGCTGCTTCTTCTTGACGCGGAAGCGCGCGGATGCGGCGGTGTTGCGACGACGCTTGTCTTCTTCGGCGGCAACACGTGCATGCTCATCGAGGTAGACCGGTGTGTCGGCAGTCATGTCCTCAGCCTTGCGCTTCTTTGATGCCGAGTCATCGTAGTTGATAGGTGAGATGGCGCTTGGTTGCGGTGCGTATGTAGCCGATAGAGGGTAGTGGGGTTGTTGCGGCTGCGACAGACTGGGCATGGATGTGTCGATGATGGGTGCCGTGTTGAAGTTGGAGAAGTCGGTGAATTGGAAGTCGCCTGCAAAGAGGTCAAAGTCAGCCATGGCCGCGTGCGAAATGATTGCGATGTGGCAGTCTGGTGTAACAGCAAACGCGGAGAAGTGCAGAGTTCAAGACTTGAGTCGCGAGGTGCCCTGCTTGCGCCGGGCAATTGCGTGCTTAGAGGGGATGTTAAGCTCAGCGGCACTGCAGCCTCTCCGGCGCTGTGAATGGCTGGGACAGGTGTGGGGGTTGTGATGCACATGGCAGTGGGGCATGTACCCAGGCTGCACATGTGATTGGCCAGGGAAACAGGCAAGACTGCTAGCCATATGGATGAACGACCACGGAGAATGTAGGGTCGGTGAGAAGGAGAGAAGCGACAAACGCGTCTAGTGGAATGCAAACTTACTGTCCAAGTTGAAGTCCATGTTGGGCTTTGTGCTCGGCGCGCTGATGCTGTTCCTCGGGGAATTCTCGGCGGTCGGTTGTGTGGAGGGTTTGATGTCGTCGAAGTCAACACCGAAGTCGATGGGTGAGTTGAGATTGACGTTGGTGCCGCCGTTGATATCGAAGAAGTCTGTGTTCAAGAACGCAGAGAAGTCTTCGGCTACGGGTTGCGGATCCGCGATGCTCTCCGTGGGTGGTGACAGTTGGTTTAGATTTGCAATGTACTGGGACACATTGGGTCCGCGCGGTCCCTTGTATCCCGACATGAGCGTTCGGCGTGCTGATCGAGGACTGACGATGGGCGTGACAGTTGTTGTTGGAATGATGGAGTCCAATATCGAGGGGTTTTCGTGGAGTCGGCTGGACCCGCTAAGAGGCTACGAACAATGGGTCCGAATCGACGCGGCTGCGTCAAGCGCGTTTTGCGTCGCTATCTCCGGAACTCTTGGTCGGAAGAGACTGTTCCACACAAGGTGATGTCGCGCAACTGTGGTCGTGAGATGGTGCGTGGTGGCAGAGTGGTGACAGCTGCGAATGGTGACGTTTAGTCGAATTCAGTGCCTGGAGGGAATTTGTGAGCCACTCAGCCCCGCGCTATCGGACGTGCGCAAGCGTTAGGGTGACAGATTTGCCAATGTAATGCTGCCGATGTTGATGCGGTTGCCGAGATCGTGCGCAGCGCTCACCCCACGCTCTGAACACGGAACGCTATCCGACTGTCGCAAGTCTTCTCCAGTTGGGGTCATGCAGTTCACGATGGTGTCATGAAGGTAGCGATTACACTGCGCTTCTCGCGGCGCTCGACACTGCTACACATAACTCGGTTGTCTTACCTGCAAATGCTTAGTATTGTTCTGCTCACTAATTGTAAGCTTTGTAATCGAAAGACGCATCGGAAGTGCAGTAGCCAATCACGTCTCAGTGCCGCGCACCGCGATTACTGCCGACGATCATGACGGACAAGCTCCGGGCAGGAGCGTTTGCAGCGTGAAGTGCCGTCGGTTCCTTGGGCTGGAGGGCTTTCAGCACGTGACTCTTGCAACCGGCTATGTCGCACTTTTGGAAGGACGCGCTGAACCTTGGACATCATCAAATCAGATGAGCAGCTGTTGGCATGTTTGCTACAGTAGAGGCTGAACCTGCCCAAAGGCATAAAGGCTTGGTTGCTACGGTCACGTGCAGCTCGTCGCGCTTGACGCGTACCGGCCGATAAGGCACTCGATAAACAACACCATAGCTCCCATGTAGAGCATCAATGCGCCGCACGCCATGGCTACTGCTCCAGACTACAAAAACATCCCCCACTCACATCGCCTGCCTGTCACCCACCGCGATATCCAGCGCACCTTCACGAAGTTGTCCCGCCAATCGCTCATCTCGCTCGCGCAGCAATGGCTGAGCAAGAAGAACCGCGACTTCTGCAGGCCATTTCTCCTCGGCGACCGCAATGGGACCGAAGACGAGGAAGACGATGAACTGAGCGAGGAGCTATATGAGCCGGCACAGAGCTTTGAGGAGCTGCTTGAGACATACAAGGAGCTGGCCGCGCGCAAGGGCGGGAGGAGAGAGGTGCTTGACCGCATACTTGAGGGAGACTGGAGGAGCGGGATATCAATGTACATGCTCGCCACGGCCGAGATACAATATCTGCTCGACCATCCTAACTCGTTGCGCTGGACTGCCAGGCGATTGACAAGGATACCCAATGCACGCTCAGCCGTTACCGACATGGAGGTCACGAACGACTCAGATCATCTCCCCCGCTTCCAAGCACAGACGTTCATGTCGAATCTTGCCCGCGAGCTGATTCCGCTGATGAAAGCGCACTATCTGATCACCAGGATCAAGACATCGCCCATGACTATTCTACGTGTCTACATCCACGACTCTCCGTATAGCAACGAGAGCTCACTGGCTCTGGACACAAGCGGCTCAGATAGTGCTAAGGCTGTATTCTTCGTGTGGCCCAATGGGTCGCCGTTCGTATATTCGTCCCTGGCAACACACACCGGACAGGTAGTGGGCGATGACGGCCGACATTTGAGGGACATCGTGCAGCAGGCAATACCTAAGGCTTTTTCCCGACCTTCGGCAAGGTATCAACTCACAAGCACGAACTTCACCAGCAAATCACTCGATGCTCTTCTCACCTACCGGGGGCCGGGTAAGAGTAATGGCGCCATGGGAGGTTGGAGTATCTTTCAAGATCATAGCTTCAGCCAAAATGCATTGGACTTTATCACTACTCAGAAAAGTGACGAGCACGGCAAGGAGAGCAAGGGAAAGCATGTCGCCAACACTTCGGCCAAGATCGGGCCCGGGCGGCCAAAGAGGTCCCTAGATGCCACCGAGACGCCCGAGTCGAAGTGGAGGAAGGAAGTGGCACAGGGCAGATTTGGAACTTCTGCGCAGCCTGACGACGGTCAGGGTCTTGAGCGATTCGAGGTCCGCATTGACGATCCCTTTCCAGTCACACAAAGCCCTGGTGCAGAGACAGACGGTCACACCCCGAGATCTAGTGCGCAAACGTCGAATCGCGGACGTAGAGGTCGACCCTCAATCCTCGACAGAACAGCCGAAGAGACCGAGCAGCTCCAAAACGAAGAAGGCTGGACGCCTAACGTCCGCATCGCATTTACAGGCACACACGTCTTTGCTGGCATCAGACAGCTGGTCGAAGAGGGCATCGTCGACGGCGAGAAGATGCCCGGGTGGATGACAGGCGAGGCGGCTGTTACCATAGGCGCTGTGAAGAATGGCAGAATGAGAGCGAAAGACGGTGTCCCCGGTACTTGAACGTGTCATTGTGGGCTTAGCGGGCGTCATGATGTTGATATACCCAGGGTAGTGCGGCGTACGGCGTTCTTGTTGGTGCTACTGGCGCTGCAAGATTGGTAACGAAGCTTTGATCTCTAACAAGTCAATTGATCACGAATGATGATCGACTCCTTTCTTCGCTGATTGCTTCTTCAACTCTCAGTGGAGCTCTTTTACTCGACAGAGGTCATGTCTCACGAATACAGGGAAAGAACCCTTCACTCTTGATAATTGCAGTCCACTAGCTCGGCATACGCTACGACAGGCCCCCAGGCGAATGACCCGAAGCAAAGAACGTAAGCGATTGAGCACTTGTGCGCGTGGGCAATACAGCACTTGTACGTGTCAGCCTCCACTTTCACAGCCTTGCACCCTCTATTAATTAGGTCGTGATCGTATGGAAGTAAACTTAGACCTGGCAAAGACGGCAGCGTTCTCCACACAGACGCTAAGACCAATGATTGACATCATAATCTACTTCAACCAGATCCAGTGCCACTATGGCACCTAGTGATCGGTCCTTCAGCTTCATTCGCTTGTGTGTTCGTGGCACACACACATGGTAATTTCACAAGCGAGTAAACATAGGTGAAGACTGTTAGCTCAGCCGTATTTCAAATAAACTGGTTGTCCAACAAGTTGTATACCGGGTCCCATGCCTTGTGAATGTGTAGCGCACTTTCGCTTTCTGTTGCTCGAACGTTCTTCCCGCTGACAGCTAGACCCCTGTGTCTCATATCTACAATAAGATATCTGTTTGTTCAGACCTTCTTCCGCGTGCTTCGTCGTGTTCCTTCTGTAGGTACCTTTTGCTCTTGTGCTTTTCTCTTCGTGCCTTTCTTCTCTATATTTTCATCTTTGGACAAGAGCTTGGCAGAATCTTTGGCTCCATCTTGATGATCTCCTCCGCCTTTGATCCCTGAATCATCCTCCTTCCCCTCCTTTGCTGTCACTTTTGCACGCGGCTGCGCCCCAATTGTCTTCTTCTCCGTCGTCTTCTCCTCTCCACCAACGCCACCATCCATGTCCAACTTCTCCATCCCTAAAACATATGCCACCTTCTCTGCCTGCGTAGCCCCAACGTCCAACCTCTCCCTCAACGCCCTGATGCTCGCAAGAATTTCTTTGTACTCACTAACGTTATACTTGATCTTCCTCTCCCACCCTTCCCCTGCGCCAGAACCGCCCCAATGTGTCCAGCGAAAAAGCTCATCGGAAAAGAAGGGCACTTCATCAGGCTGATACACGCTGAGAAGCAGGGACGCGGTCGCGGGGCCAATGCCGCGGAGTTGTGTGAGGATCTTGAGGGCGGCCATGACATCCCCGCCGGACTCGAGGGAAGAAAAGGCCGATTGAGTAGTCGCTTTGATCAAGTCTGCGGGGTTGGATTTGACGAGATTCATGAGCGCTGGACGGAAGGTGCCATGTTTACTGCTGAGCGTTAGCGTACAATTTCCTAACACCCTTGATGATTTTATGTTTGAGGGCGAGAGAAGGTCGAGCGCACAGTTTCCATTCGACCAGCTTCTCCACATCAGCCTTTAACAAATGCGGATCCCCTTTCATGTTCTCCAATTTCGCTGGCACCATCTGATAGCGAAGGGCGTCCAGGTCTGCTAGTATCGACGGTGCGGCGCCTGGATAGCGTGCTAATGCTGCTCTGAACACATCTGAAGAGATCTTTTCGACGTGTAAGGGTGTCATGATAGCTTTGTTATTGATGTTGCTGTCGCTGTCGCTGTCGCTGTTGGTGTAGATGGGATTGGGTCGGATGACGCGTCGGAACGCGTGAGCGCGATATCACGTGAGGCCGAGGTCCTGTGAGCAGGATGCATTCAGTGGTTGAAAATTGAAAGACTGACTACCTCAGAGAACAGGGCCTTGCGTTAGATACGGATACTTGTCCCAATGCTCCCATTCAAAGTAGCCCAATCACAAGGGCTCCCTAACAAGAAAATGCTATGTAAACCTCCGTAGCGCCTCGCTGGGATGCAAAGAAAAGCAACGTGTACTGTCTCGACGACACTTTATCCCACCTTCGACCTGTGTGTCCGCTACATCGTTTTCCTGGGGCGACCTCTTGCTCGCTTCGGTGTCCCACCACCCCTGCTCGGCACCATGCCACCTCTTGATGGCACTAGACGCGGTCTACCGACAGGTTTCTTTGGTACTGGTGCAGTTGCAGGAATCTCGTCGTCACTGTCCGAGTCCGATGAAATTCTAGCCTGCGGTGTCTCGTTGACACTTGTGAAAGTTGACACGGGAGCAGTAAATGTGGTTGTAGTCGTGGTAGCGTTCTCGCCGTTGCGCTTTGATGCAGAAGAAACAACTTTGATCTTCTTACCGTTCATCTCTGGGCGATCGAACAGCGAGTTGGTGGCCTGGGGAGGTCCGGTTCGTATAGGTTCAGCAAAAGTGTCAAAGTCTGGTTCGTCGAGGACTGGATCTTCGGCAGCGAGGTCGTTGAAGAAGTCGTCAACAGGCTCTTCGTCATCAGAGTTGAAAAGGGCCATCTTTGCACGCAAATTTTCCTGAGCTTCGCGCTCGGCAATAGCTGCTCGCTCTTCCTCCTCTGCTGCCATTCGATGAGCATCCTCTTCACGCTGTCGAGCCTCAAGAGCGACTGCGGCAGCCTGTTGAGCAAGAATGAGCGATTCGCTAGGTGGGCCTTGCTCAATTTCCTCATGCCCCGCATCTTGCTCTTCGTTTTCTGGCTGAGCGTCATTGTTGACGGTGCTATTCCGATGAGCCTTCGGCGGTCGACCCTTAGGTCTGATCACTGACTGTGGCTTTGCTGGCATCAACCTCCTCTGCTCGGCTCTTTCACGTGCCCTTTCGCGCTCCCGCTCGCGATCGCGTCCTGGTCGTGCAATGCCGTCTCTGAAGTCGGATGGGAGTTCAGTCGGCATGTCCTCATCCTCGTCTTGATTCTTCCGTGCGAGCCAGTTCGATGCACGTGCGCGGCTGCGCCCAGGGTAGGCGCCATCACCACGATCATCATCGTAGAGCTCTTCGTCAGATTCGAGCGTTATCTCCTCATATCGCCGCGACCCGCGAGGCCGACCAGGAGTCTTGGCTGGTCCGCCAATATCGGCATTCCGCTTCTTCGTTGTATACGAATCGTCAGGCTCCGCTCGATATCGGAAAACCTTTGTCGCCTTCTCCTTTTCGTCAAGAGTTCTTGCAGACGTCGCTTTTGGAACGACGTCAGATTGTAAGATAGATCCCATGTGGTTACTTTGTTCTTCGACGTTGTATGTCTCCTGTCGTATCGATACCAGAGGTCGATCGGGCACCGGTCGGTTGCTAATATTCTCCAGAATCTGAGGATCCAGAAAGAGCTTTACAATCATCGACTTATTCCTCATCTTGGCAGCAACGAGAACGAACCTGTCCTCACGCTTGGCCTCGTCCAAAAGTCTGCGTTGCATCTCTTTCTGATATTGCTTTCCAGAAACGTTCTTTGGCTCCAGAGGTTCATCCTCGTCTTTCTTCTTTTTCTGTTTCTTGATTTTTTTCTTCTTGCGGCCACTGGTTTCTTCGTCCTCACGTCCTCGCTTCTGCCCCAAGCGCGGGATGTCGCTGTTCGGGTCATGATTGGGGTCATAGCCACCCGCATCGCCGTTTTGTATTGTGTCGATATCCACGAAACCACCATTATCGTCTACATTACCATTTGAATCTTCCACTGGTGAATACGCAATGCCGTTCCGGGGGTATGCAGGATCTTCATCCATGTACCGAGGGTCCAGCGACGGGTCAGCCATTCGGTCCTCTTCAGCTTGCTGCATACGCCGTTGCATTGCACTCTGGCCCATACCTTCTTCTTCACGCATCCAGTTGAGATTGGACACACTGAAATCGACGAGACATTCAACAGAGCGAGGGTCAGCTACTTTCTTTGTGTCGTGACCGAGAAGCGTGCCTTTAGGTTCGTAGGGACGCTGGCGAGGGTCGCGTCGACAGTGTCCCGTGTTGCAGACCTTTCTGCAATGGGGGCATTTCCAACTGTACTGCTCCATGACGCTCAAAGGCATCATGTCGTGTGCTCGGAATAGAGTGCCGTAGCAGAAACCCATGGCACAATTCGAACAAAATGCTACTTTCCAGTTGGGATGTCGATGCAGGCAGGTATGGCATGACTTGTGTGCCTTCAACCATTGCTTAGACTTTTTGTTCTTGACCTTTTTCGCAACGCCATACGCGTCGACTTCGATCTCTTCGTCTTCCGAATTGTCCTCGGCTTGGGGAGCGTTTATGTCCACGAATGGTCGAATTTTAAGTTGCTCCTGGCATACTTGCGCCAATGTTTTCTTGCCTAAATATCGACGCTCTTCCTGCAAAGGCAGAGGTGTCTTCTCAGTCATTTGACCGTCGATGTCGATGATCTGAGCACGCCATTCCTCGTATTTATGCATCAGATCTTTCCACTTCCACTGCTCGGTCCACTGGTAGCCTGATTGGCAACCACAGCTGCGGCCCATACAGTAACAGTCCATGCAAACATCGTAAGGCTCTTCAATCTCCGAGCTGAACAGATTTTTGCAAGACTTGCAGCTGAGGAACCGGTTGAAGATGTTGCATCTGCAATAAGCACAGGTAACATTGCTGTCATACGGCAGAAACTCGCATTGCTCTCTTGAGGTCTGGTCAAACATTTCCGAAAGCATGATTGACTTATACAGGTCGAAGAGTCTTTTGAAGTCTCGTTGTACTTGTCGGACTTTCAGCGAATGCTGAACTGCCTCCGCTTGGTCGCCACCGGCTTCAACTAGAGCGCGCGCAGTTTTGATGAGCTGCGAGTATTTGAGAAGCGTATAGTAAACAATAGCCTTGTTCTTATATTGCTCATCACGGCACACGATCCTGGAGTTCGGCAAGGCTTCGGACATTGCGAGTTCCAATGTTTCGACAGTCGTTCGATTCCATGCAATCTTCATGGTACGAGTGCCACGATTCCAGACTTGGTGTGGAGCAAGCGGTGGAATCAAGATGAAGTCACCAGGCCGTTGCTCGACAACGTATGTTTTGAAAGGCGCCTTCTTCCATGCAATGAGTTGGGCGAAGTGGTTTTCCACCTCAATATCGTGGCCAAGTACGGAGAGCCAATATTCGGAGACGAGATGCCGGTCCTTCATCTCAGTCATAAACCAGAGAGACGACCCCGGGTGCTCAGGTTTTCCATCCTCGCTGATCTGCTTTGACGCATCCACCATGATGTTTTGCCCGAGCGAAGCACACATCTCACGATGTGACGGTGTATACGTTCCCTCATGTCCGATGTAACACATCAGATTCTCAGCACGCATTTCTGGTGGAAGGCTGCTCATCAGGTCCCCAGAGCGCCCAATGCCACGACCTCTGCGCCCCGTGGAGTCTTCGAGCGCCCCAGCTCCATCAACCTCGCCCGTGCTGTCGTTGAGATAAAAGAGGCCAGAGGGTATGTGGTCCTTGAGTTTGTCTTGCCAGACTTGCGGGCAGTCGATGTCCTTCAGATATATGCGTTGGCGCGTCTTGTCCCTGTAGCGGTCCGGGCTATCGAAAAACTGCTCGGTGAGCTTGTTCAAATGCTTGAGGTAGTGTTTGATGGTGAGAGGAATGTTTTCTTTCGAGATGAGGTTGCGTGCGTTCTCGACTGAAGGTGAGTTAGCAATCGTTCAATTAATCGTGTGTTCATGTCTGGAGACTCGCCTTTTTCGCCGTGATTGTCTCGCAGCCATGACGGTGTGAATGTCCACGGGTCCAAAACCTCCTCGAACCCGTCAATGACCAAGGGCTTCCCGCCAATAATGACATGGAGCAGAACAAGCTTCTCAAACTGCTCCATGCCATTGCTGGCAATCATCTCATACGAGATGCGATCCACATATTGGAAATTGTCTGCAGTCTCGACGAAAGTGCGCACGTCAAAATCAGGCGGAATGGGCTCAAAAGAGGCCCGAGGGCGTGCGGCGGGCATTTTATCTGTATAAGCGCATTCTCGAAATGTCGAGTACGGGCGGTGGGAACACCAGCGCGGCGTTGTTGTTCTGAATTACAAATGCAGTCGCATGGCAGCTCAACTTGTGCCTCCCCAGGCGCACCTATGTGGTGAGAGAGAGCGCGACTGCGCTGCGGCGATGGCAAGAACGTGGCCTGGGTGGTGGTGCGGACGCGACGAGAGCTTGACCGGCAGCTCCAGCTCGGCTCGGGAAAGCGCACAGACGATCGCGCTAGTCGTCCACTTTCTTTGGCTCTCATCTTGAATCTCCACCTCACGTTCACCATCACGCCGTTCGCTCAAAACCTTTGGTGGTTCTGACGCGCCTAAACTCTCGAAAAGTTGCGAGATGTGTAATTGAAGCACCCGGACCAAACAACAGTCTGTGTCCCGCGCGTGACTTACCTTCATCGATACTCATTCTGCACGCGCTGGACCCGCTTTATTTCCTCTGATCTGAATTGGCTAGATCCTTGAGTATCTAGCGCAACGGCCATGGCATCTCACTTACCTCGAGCTGGGCGCTACGGCGCACAACTTCACCGGTATAGCGGCGTGAGATGCCCTCTTCAGACTTCGTTGCGGCGAGCTCTGTCATCAGCATCACTTGTTCCAATGAAACATCAAGTACGACCCAAACAACTCATCGTATCTAAGAACTCACCAGCATATCGACCTACGACCAAAAGTTCCACTCCTTTCGTAGCACATGCCTCGTGCATAGCGACTGTGGCACCAGAGCCACCAACCAGGGCATTACCGGCATACAAACCACCTACGACCGGCCTAATCTCCTATCTACCTGCGAAAACCATTCCATACGCTGAGCTGATGCGATTACAAGCACCCGCGGGGACATACTACCTGTTCTTTCCATGCGTCTTTAGCACATTGTTAGCCGGTGCGATGGCAGTGCCCGTTGCTGCGCCATCAGCTGTCCTCGGCACAACAGCACTCTTTTTCACGGGGGCACTCATTATGCGAGGAGCAGGATGTACTATTAATGACCTTTGGGATCGCAATCTTGACCCTCATGTCGAACGCACACGACTTCGTCCTCTTGCGAGACGAGCAGTAACTCCCCGACAAGCCATCGTCTTCCTTGGTGGCCAGCTGACTGCCGGCCTGGCAGTTCTGGTCTCTCTACCTTGGGAATGCTTCTGGTACGCCACACCATCTCTTGTCCTTGTCACTTTATATCCGCTAGCAAAGCGTGTCACCTATTATCCACAGTTTGTTCTTGGCCTCACTTTCTCTTGGGGAGCTATGATGGGCTTCCCGGCGCTTGGTATCGATCTTATCGCCAACCAGGCCGCACTGACTGCCGCTGGCTTTTTGTACGCTAGCAACGTTGCCTGGACTGTGTTGTACGATATGATCTACGCCCACATGGACATCAAAGATGATGCCAAGGCTGGCATCAAGAGTATTGCGCTCAAGCACGATAAGGATACGAAGGCAGTCCTATCAGGCCTTGCTGTTGTGCAAATCGGACTCCTTGCCGCCTCAGGTTATGCTGCAGGTCTCGGTCCCCTCTTCTACATCGGCTCTTGTGGAGGTGCTGCGCTTACACTCGGCACCATGATCCGCCGTGTCAAGCTGAAAGATGTCAAAAACTGCTGGTGGTGGTTCGTGAATGGCGCATTCTTTACTGGAGGTGTGATCAGCCTTGGCCTGGCTGGTGAGTACGTTGCGCATCTGTTTGGCTGGTATGATGAGGGTGAGAAAAAAGTCGAGACGCCGGTAATGGTTAGTAGTTAAACTACCTGCACGCAGTGACAAACATTACGAGGTGGGATGATGTTTGTGTGACACATCAACGTGTATATCAATGAGTCCTCACAGGAGCGGGGAGCCTCAGGAGCATCACACTCCAATGTACAACATCATCACACTCCAATGTACAACATGAATATCGAATGCAACAATGTAATACACTTTCAGACCTGGCCCTCGCTATCACCCACGTTTACAATAAGCATGTTTTGAATCTCCCTATTCCTACCGCTGTTCGTACACCAACCGATGGTATGTACGAGAACTGTCAGCGAAACTGGAATTTGTCACAAATACATGTGGACAACGTTATCAACAGCACCAATTATCCTCTTCTTTCCTCACTACTGACAGGTATTGACGGTTCAGTATCTCCATCAAACTGACGTAGGTCTGCTCCAGCCTCATTATCGATAGTCGTGCTGTCCAGGACGAGATACGGTACTCCAGCCTCGAGTTCAAAACCTGCCCGTTATCAGCGATTATTCACCTGTACGAAATAGGGCAGATGTACGAACTCTCAATATGACGCCTTCGAGATCGTCGACATAGCAAACAAAGAAGCGAGTCGTGATAGTGCAGCCCAGCCATGGCCACGAGAACACCGAGGAAACCGAAGCAAATTGGAACAATCATGTCCTGGAACGAGTTCTTTGACATGCCGGTCTCAAACTTGGCGTGGACGTCGACTTGGGGTAAGTGATGCTGAAGCTCAATACAGGTAATAACTCGAGAATAAGGCGAAGTAACAACTGTAGAAGGCCTAGATAGTAATGGAAATGAGTACATCAAGTATCTTTACGTAGTACTTGAGAATAACACTTTGTAATGATGTAAAGAACCAAATGATCGAGATTCTTACCACTTCGCTTGCCATGCTCAGACTGACAGGACCCACTGTGAATGGCTCGAATGCATCTGTCAGGACTACGCTGGCGCCCAGTGATCCTTCGGCGGTGCTCAGTAGCTTCCGCCGAAACGAAACTCAACAACACATGCCCGCCGCAAACGTCGGGTAAGGGGTCGAGAAGCAGATGGACTGATACTCCTTCCTTGGGTCCAGACTGTTGGAAGTGCAAGCGCCCATATCCCTGGAAGATCATCTCTTACGGTGCCACTCTTCGTGTTGCAAGGATACACGCGACGGGGGTCATAGCAAAATATCCTTGTACGGTGAAAGAGGGCTCCCTGATGCAGGTCACCCGACTTGGAATGTTCGAAATCCATCATCAATCTGGCGTAAGGTGCAGTAGTGCGATGTGGAATCCAGTATTTGATGCAGCAATGGCCTTGCTAAAACCATGTATAGACCTTAAGGCAAATGGAGCGCTTTCCATTGTGTGCACCGTGCGGCAAGGCAACATACGCCTGCTTCGCGGGCTAAGCCGCGTCGCGTGCGTCGCGTCGCGAACGCTTACATCAGGAAAGGGGCAAATCTGGCCTACCCCAGTACATCGTGATGGCACAAAGCTCTCCGGCCATTACCCAGGCACGTCCAATCACCCACTTGACACTTTTGTAGGATCTAGATCATCTTCATCAAAGCCGCTGAGCCGCAGAACAGCGCCAGGATCATTCTGTTCAGACGTATACATCCCGATGTAAAAAGTCTCTAACGAGATTATTGATCCTTTTTGTCTAGTGCTGCATGCTGTGAAGCGGCTGGTTAGATACAAGACTCAGAAGGCTTCGTCGGCACTGTGTGCCTGCTTTTGATATGACGCCAGGCGCTCGCTTTAATTTCCTAATTGATGTTATTTCGTTGGAGGATTTAGCTGGACAGTACAGTGAACATGTATTGAGATAGGTCTTGATTTGAGCGACGGACTGACGTTGAAGTCGAAGGGTGACATGGTGGATACCTCTTCGACCAATGACGTCACGCCTCTAGTCTCGACTTTGCCAATTTAGGTATTGAAGTGCAACGTCAATCCATGTCCCAATCCTCTCAGGAATCTTCAACGCTATACATTGGGTCTCGAAGGCTCCAAGAACCGCAAATGGAAATACTGCCAATCACCTACGCTCTTGTTATCCTTCATGCAGGTTATCTCATCCAACTGTCTTTCCGCCAACCCAGCAGTAAGGTCGTTTCAACACAGACCGAATCATGGCTGATGTGGTTCGCCGCGTCGCCTCTCGGCATGATATTCGCACGAACAGCAACCCTCGCCATCGCCCTTCATCAAGCCACAGTCGCCTTATCGCTTTCACATACATTACCGCACAGCGATGATCTCTTGCAAGCTGTGTGCCCAATACCTCAGTACTTGGATCTTGGGCTTTTCACCTGGAGCAATACAGCTGTCGTTTCACTTGCATTTCTGTACCTGGGGAGCTATATCCGTTTCCAGGCCTACGCACAACTCGGCACAGACTTCACGTACCGAATCACCAAACCGGACCGGCTCGTCACCTCCGGGTTCTATGCTTACGTACGTCATCCATCATATACTGGTCTACTCATGGTGCTGCTGGCGACGTACTCGCTATTCCTCCGCCAACGAGGGCTCGTCAGCTGTTGGATGCCGCTCCTAGACCAGAAGATGGTCACGGACAAGACGCATGCGTATCTTGTGCCGGTGATCGGTTTCAGTTGTGCCATATATCTGTTCATGGTGAGAAGAGTTGGAGAGGAGGAGGAGATGATGGAAAGAGCATTTGGGGAGACCTGGAGGGAGCACAAAGTGAGGACTAAGAAGTTCGTTCCATATATCTACTGAAACCAGGTTGCACAGATTGATCCATATTCATGCGGCCTGACTCTTCACACAATAACTGCCTTGTTCACAGGTGCCGATTTTATGGAATTGCGAGCAATAGACACGCGATGACTGGAAGAACGCACCGCGATCGGCCAATCATTATCCGAAAGCCGAAAGACCACATCAAACTAGTCAGGTAAACTGCCAGGGACATAAGGTTGAGGAGGAGGTATGTCAGATCAGGCGAGCTATTTGGTGTTCAGGTAGCACCAGCTCCGCTGTGGCGGCCGCTTTGACATGTTTGAAGTGGCATTGTGGCACGGCCTGGCTCACTCAGCTCTGAAGAACCAGACGAGACACCAAACACTGTACTTGACAATGATTCCTTCAGGTTGGAAATGACACTAATGGCCACTGGAATGCCCAACCTAGCCGGCACTGAGCCATTACTCATTGGGCTCCCAAACATGGTAGGTAACACCACGAGAGCCAAATCCTATGGTGTACGCCGGAGTTACTGATCGGGGACAAGTAGTCTTGGTCTTCCCATGTGCGTACGAAGCGAGTGTTTCGGGCATATCCTTACCAGCATCTTACGTGGATGTTTGCTGAAAAATGTCATGATCTTCGCGGTCAAACGGATGCATGCCTGGAACGGAATTAAGCCAGTTGATGACGTTGGCAAGGTAGGATACTGTCGTTACCTGTTGAATTACGGAAACATCAGATCGGAGTGGGATTCCTACGTTTGTGGCTTCCCTGATGGATCTCGAGCTAACTAGCGAGGTTTTGGTTGCAGTTGCGCCAACAACCTCTTCAATGAGGGCTGAGTGTTAGCTAGAGAACGAGACCTATTCATGAATTCGTACCTGTTGCCATAGTATTGTATTGGGTCGTTTGTTGCATCGTGTGTGGGGACTATGCGTTATTTTGTTGCCGACTGTGGCTGAGCCGCGACGTGCAACCAACAGCCTGGCATCGGCATTCCACGGAAACTTGAAAAACAGTAGCACAGCCTCAGATTAGGGGTTCACATTCTATCATATGCGTTCAAGGTCATTTCAAGACCGATGCCTAGAGCCAGAGCCATTGTCGTCTGTACGTGAATGTGTCTCATTCACAAGCATGTCGTTACCACAGCAAACTCACTAGTTCTAGTTGATCGTTCGTGTATCTAAGAGCCATTGCTGTGGCGATTGCCTGCAGTGTCTAGATGAGTATCAACGACTATGATCTTCGAACCTCGGCCTGGTAACCTCGCAGCAATAGAATTGGCGCCATAGAGCTTGTATGGAATCAAATTTACTGTCGCTGCCGTTCCTGTGATTGCGTGAACAGCTTTTTGTTGAAGCTAATCGGCTGCGTTCTCGCTAGAGTCGGTATTGTGGTACTGATTGGTAAAGTCACTGAAAGTCTGAACATCGTACTAGATATTCCAAGGGTCCAGCAACGTGATGATATTCGTCATCGTCGCATGCTGTGCAACTTTGGTCGGGTAATAAATGAGTGCATGGTTGTCTATCAAGTAATCAGCGATGTCCTGTACGATCGTTAGCAATAGCACTCGACGACACTTGTAACCAGAATTACCAATGTCATATTAAGCCTCTCTACCCGCTTGCGACCCTTCGACCACTCTTTTCGACTGTGAAGCCTGGGATAGGCAGGCTCAGACAGACGGGGGTATGCTGAAGACGCTACGGCACTGGCCACAAAAGCGGCAAAGTAGAGGATAGAACGCATGTTGATGTGGTTTGCGTTGTATGTAATTGGCGAGCTGTATCGACACGCTGGTTGTAAGAATGCGAGCGGCGCGATGGGAGTGGTGGAAGGCTTCAGAGTATCTGCTCGATGATGATATTTGGTGAAGACTGCTTGTGTTGTGAACTTCGTTGAGGAGTCCAATATGAAGGTTACGCTGCCCTTACTGGGTTTTGATGTTTGTGGGCTGTCATGACAAGTGGTGTCGTCTGTTCGGCAAGTGCAAGTGTTCGAGGGCTTGACGTTGATGAGCTATCAAGCCGCAAAGTGGCATTGAGACGCCTGCGTATGGTTTGAGATTACGCTGAGCGTCTACATATCTTTTTGTTGTCAATTTGAGAGCTGCTAGGCCGCGTTGTCATATCATTTGCACATGTTGTTGCCTACAGACGAAATAATGTTGTCAGCAAAGCTCACTGGACTCGCATCGGCTAGGGAGAGTGGATGTGCGATATTTTACAAAGCCCATTATGGGGTGCTGTTGTGAGATCTTATTGTAAGGCGCTTTTGTACAACGCTATCATGAATGCTATTGTAAGGGTTATTGTGAAGTCGCAAACGTTCACACGTGGCGCACATTCAAGCTGCCCCACCCCTTGCGTTCTAGCCCTTCGTTCTTCTCACACCAATCACGGCGCTGCAAACCGCGCTGCTTTTAACGCCTTCTGTCAACGCTTCCCTTCCTGATCCTTAAATTCCACCGCTGCGTCCAGCACTTCAACACAACAAACCTCACGACACACAGACGGAAAGTTCGACAAAATGGCTCGTGGCAACCAGCGTGATAAGGCTAGAGAGAAGAACTTGAAGGAGCAGGCTGGCAAGGTAAGTCTACCTCAGCCTTCTTTGCGAAACATGAGCTGACAGCAGTCGTAGAAAGGAGGAAATACCGTACGTACCGCCTGGCATGTGGTAGAATCAAGATTGCACTCAATCGGCCTCGATGCTTATAGAATACGTTTGGGCGTGGCTGATTTTTTTTACAGATGTCTGGCTCCCAGCAAGCGAAGGCTAAGGAAGACGCGGCTGCTATCATGCGCGCCAAGCAGATTGCGGGTATGTATCTTTTCTTTCTATCGTTCTACTACCGCTATCTGCGAAGGCAATTTTGCTGCGCTGACAGCGGATGTGGCATGCTCGTCCTGTGACCCGTGGGCGGCGCTGACAAGCACCGCAGCCGAAGCGAAGAAGGCCGAAGCCGCCAAAAAATAGATGCCTAAGGCGTGAGCAAGCGACAATCACCCACAACTGCAGTGCGCATGACGTTTTGGAGCGCGCAACGCAGCGGAGCGGGCGTCATTGGGAGTTACGAGCAGCTGCAATTACTGCGACATGTTTCTTGGAGGATCTTGGGTATACGACATTCATAATCTACGAATTTGTGGTGATGCACTTGCCCAATTGCGCCAACACCCTCTATCGAGAACAAGACCTGATGCAAACGCTATATGGATTTGAATTGCAGAGTCGTGCAAGCCTTGAGGTTTGTTACAAGTACAATGAAACCTGAGATATTCCACTACAAGTCAATGGGAGCCAGAAATGTCACGAAAAGTTGCTTGACTTGACATACCGGGACAGAGCAAAGGAAACTATACGTCACAATGGCCTAGAATGATGCCCACCACGCCAGACCTCACAATATTCAATCTGACATTTTCAAGTACAAATGCAGTTCAAGAACGTGGAGTCAATCTCTTGGATTCGACACTAATTCCTAACAAATATCCCACATTGTCAAATGCGGATTACGGTATAATGCTAACGCCCTCATTCATCAGAAGTTGGTATAAATACTCGACATGGCATCGCAGAAGCCAGTCTGAACGCGCCAAAGCCAAGGTAGAAGTCTTCACCCCTCGTCCCCATCACAAATTACACACCTTCCGCCAAACTTTAACAGCCCCGATGTAGAACTCGTTGTAACCCGCTGATTATCCAATCATGCCAGCGAAGCCACCGAAGTTGTTGATCGCTGCGCTCGCGGGGAAGGAGTTCATGCCACACAAGCAGCTACATGTGCAAGTCTGACCCGCACCGTCGGTTCCTTGACCCGCGACAACAGTCGCAGTCGCGAGCGCACCACTGCCAGATGCCGTAGCGACTGCACCAGCTTCGCCACCAGCTTGAACTGTAACGGTCGAAGGAGCGGCGGCAGCGGCAGGATCAACAGCTTGGATAGCCGAGTCCTTGAGTGTAGTACCGTTCGTGTTGATAGCGAGCTGTTTGAACTGCGCCATTGTCTTCTCGCCTTCAAATTTGGCGTTGATGCTAAAGACCATACCCTTGCCGCAGTGTTCGCCTTGAGCCTGTTTGCAGTACATCCCTAATAGTCGTCAGCTCCTATCTATAGACACCACTAAATCGAGACACTAGACTTACATATCGCTTCAGTAGTTTCGACGGTCATGTTCCAAGTCACACCTGCCTTCCCCTCGGGGTTTGGCATGAACCCGGAGTCTTTGCCGCCTTCCATGGCCTTGCAGGGCTCGGCGAAGGTGGATTGCGTGGCTGTGTGGTTCTTCTGGAAGAACTGGAATTCAACGACGTCGCCCACGTTGGCGATGATGGATTCTGGCTTGTAGCCGAGGACAGGTGCCATACCAGTCTCGACAGGTGTCAATCCGCCGACAACGACCTAGAATTCGTTAGAAAGCGATTGATAGAACAGGTTGAGTAGAGCTCACGGTGTGTGTGGCTGGCCCGGCTGCAGCTGCCGGCGCAAGACTCATGACCTGCATCTGGGCCGCTGCCAGTCCGGCGACGATGGGGAGTGTGTTGATGAACCTCATTATGGCTATGTCTTCGTGATGTCGTGAATTTTAGAAGGAACGTAACCGCTTGGGCTAGCTATGTATATCGTGTGGTTGATTAAAAGGATCGAAAGGCGCTACGAGAGCCGGCTCGGACAGAAGAAGTGAAGAGAGAGACTAGAATGAGAGTGGAGCACGCGCGACGAGACAGTTATGAGGCAGAATGGGGAGAGAAGAGATGTGTGCCTGGGACATCAACTGCTTAAGAACACGCATGAAATTGTACGTCTGGGGGTGGTAGAGGGGCCGTACTCATGGCGAAACATAATGCACATGTGGCTCAGCGAAATATCCTCGGAAAAGGTTGTCATCTGCAAAAATCGTTTGATTTTGGGCAAAATGCTGAGGTTGGCAGGCGTGGCGGAGTGTCCTGATGCTCGAAACGTACGAGGCGGGTTCGAGGTTGTCGCGGTAGTGTCGCAGATCTGTCTCGCTTCCAGGCCACACGGCCCAGCAATGGCAATCCAGCTCCCGGCGCAAGGCCACAACCAGTAAAGACGCCTGAATGAAGAGGCTGGAAGATCCCATGCCGCATGAAGTTTCTTGGGAGTTCATCTCGCAGCGTAGACCTCCCGAAGGCCGTGAGGCAGGAACTGTTGATGATCGTGGCCCGATCTGGCTAGGCCGACAAAATGCTCGCACTCTATTGGACCAGTATCTCTCAAGTGTTAACCTTTTCCAAGCTCTCGCAGGATCTTGGATAAGGTCAACACTTAGATCTCCAACATGGGCTGTTTACAACGTTTGTCGGATTATTCGCCTTCACTGCCTTGGTGGAGCATCTTTCGGAAGCTGCTGTCCTGCATGCAGGCCAGTATAGTACCCTGCGTAATACCACGACATCATAATGTTCTTGAGGTTCTCGTCTTGAACTGTCAAAACGTTAGCTGTCAAGTCCTACCGTTTGGTCAGGTAAGGAACTGTCAGTCTCAAAACGTACCTGTGGCCAATAGAGCCTGAGGCATTGCGGCGAAGACGTTATCGTGTGGCGCTGTGGTTCCTGCATTGCCTGACTTGGGTTGGTCTAGCTCTTCGGATGCTGTTGTTTCCTGACATCTGTCAGTTTTGAAGTTACGTGTCGCGTGTATGTAGGACTGTGTCGTACCTGCAGTTGATCTCCTGCCATGTCAGTTTGCTCGACGTCCTTCGTCTCTTGCACTGAGTCCTCGGTATCCATCTGATCCGAGTTGTCGTTCGCATCGGCCAAGACTCCAGCAGTTGCCTCTACCTCACCTATCAGATCGCCATGATCCCTGCTCTCTTCAGCGCTGTAGTAGTAGATATGGAGCCTTCGACTTACTCGCGCAGCTCTTTCAGCTCTTCCTCGTTCAAGACGTCTTCCAAGCGCTTGCCGGATTTGGCGATGCTATGGTACTTCTGAGCTCAGATCAGTCAGTGAACGACCTGGAAGGAGCAAGAAACGCACTTCATATTCGGCCACAGCGTCATTCCAGGAATCTTGCAGAAATGAATCGTCCCATGCATTCTTGTCGCTCATGTCAACTCCAGGCGCCATTCTGAGCGTTAAATGCCGCTTGGGCGAATCAGGTGAGGTCACGTCAACGAAAGTTACGGAATAAACGCACAATAGATCAAGGATCCAAACAGGGTGCGGAAGTTTACTAGATCAATCACGGGCGTTTCCGAGAAAGTGATCGTTGACAGTTGTGTTGTTGCAGGCAGTCGCCGTCCACCATTCGTCTTTAGCGGGAAAGTTGCTAGCGCCAAAAAAGTTTAGGTGGAAGCATCTCAAGCCTCGAAACTTTGAACTTTCAACTCTCACGAGACATCCGTCGCTTTTCTCACAACATATAGCAGCCATCGCACCCTCACAATGGCCGCTGCAGATATCGCGAGCAAGAAGCGCAAAGGTAGGTTTACAACAACCTGAGTACCCCAATATTCTGCGCATACTGACATTTTCAGGCGCATCCGACGCTGCGCCAAAGGCAAAGAAGCCCAGAAAGTCGGACGACATTGCCGCCCCGGCAAAGCCCGCCAAATCCCCCAAGGCCACCAAAGCCGCGCCCGCACCTGCTGCTGAGAAACCTGCCAAGAAGTCTGCGCGCAAGACAGCCGAGAATCTTGTTCCTGACAATGAAGCTCCCGCCGCGAAGCCTACAAAAGGCGCCAAGGGCAAGAAGAAGGTTGAGCCTGCTCCCGAGACCAACGGAGACGAAGACGAGAGCATTCTCGACTTTGACGTGATTGAGGCGAAGAAGGAGACGCCCAAGAAGGAGGCACCTAAGGCGAAGGCGAAGAAAGGCAAGAAGGAGCCTGTTGCAGAGCCCGAGCCTGTTGAAGAGGAGGTCGAGGCGCCCAAGGCCAAGACTACAAAATTGAAGAAAGGAAAGAAGGTACAAGATGAGCCCGTAGAGGAAGTTGTGGAGGTGGAGGCTACTATCACCGAGGATGGTGACATCGAGGATGCTGCAGAAGATGACCAGACCGCCGCCTTGCTTGCCGGCTTCAGCAGCGACGACAGCGATACTGAAAACGACGATGAGTTTGACGCAGACTCCGCCCCCGTTCCCAAGCTCACAAAGGCACAAAAGAAAGCCATTGCTAAGGCCAAAGACACACCGAAGGCTACTGAGCCAGGTGTGATTTACGTTGGGTATGCAGCTCATGATCTCTGAAGATTGCTCCCATACTGACTGTTACCAGCCGCGTCCCCCGGGGTTTCTTTGAGCCCCAGATGAAGAAGTACTTTTCTCAGTTCGGTCGCGTTCTCAACCTGCGCTTGTCACGCAACAAGAAGACCGGCGCCTCTAAGCACTATGCGTTCGTCGAGTTCGCCTCCGCAGAAGTCGCCGACATCGTCGCCCGCACAATGAACAACTACCTCATGTTTGGTCACATCCTTAAGTGCTCGCTCGTACCCAAAGAGCAGGTGCATGAGAACTTGTTCAAGGGTGCGAACATGCGGTTCAAGGTGGACCCAAGGAACAAGAAGGCAGGGCTGGCAATGGAGAGGGGTGCCGAGCGCGACGTATGGGAGAAGAGAGTCGTCAACGAGAACAAGAGGAGGAGCGGAAGAAACAAGGACTTGAAGGAGGCCTTCGGCTACGAGTTCGAGGCGCCCGAACTCAAGGCTGTCAAGGACGTCAAGGCTGGAAAGAAGCTCGAGGTCGAGGCCAGCGAGCCCCAACAGCTCCTCACCGAAGCTCCGGTGGAGACAAAGGCCAAGAAGGGCAAGAAGACCGCGAAGGCCGCTGAGCCTGAGCCTGTCGCTGAAGAGCCCAAGGTCGAGGCACCCGCAAAGAAGACAACCAAGAAGCGCAAGTCTGACGCCGCAGCTGAGGTTCTTGCTGCCCCCGTTGAGAAGCCCGTTGTTGCGTCTAAGGCGAAGAAGGCGAAGAAGGCCAAGGCTTAGAATCCTGGCTTTCCTGATACTTCCGCGCGAGTAACGAGCACAAGCATATGGGAGTGGCTTCGACGTGTCTAGCTACCTCGGTATTGGTTTTCTGGTGTGCATGTTTCTACGGATACCATAGGGAAAAGCGAATGCATCTTCATAGAGTATTGTTCATCAATTACTATCTCAATCGATTTGTTCAACAATCAATGTCCCAAATACTAAATGCTGTCAAAAGAATAAGTCACGCGCCGAAGCGGAAGGCTTATGTGTTCATGTGTGAGTAATTGATTGCTTTCTCCTGGAGCTAACACCGCTACGCTTTCTCCTCTAACGTCCAACCATGCACCAACTGATTATCCGTACAAGATCTGCAGCACACCTTCTAACCAGTGCCGCTGACAGCCAACTTCATCAAGTGATCCATGAACGTCTGCAGACTGACGTCGTCCGTGAAGATGGTCTGCGCCGACTGGCTCACACCGCCGTAGCTCTGTGTCGTATGCGTTGTCGAGGGATTAAGTTTGCTGAGCAAGAAACGCGCCTGCGAGCCTCCGGCGTCGCACACAATGAAACGGGGCAGCGGGAAGCGGTCCTGGATGAGGTCCTTGGCGTCTTCCTTCGGCGCCTCGAGCAGGGTAGCAAAGTTCTCGTAGCCTTCCTGGTCCTGGTATCCTGCCTTACGCCACTCAGCCATTGTCTCGCCGTGGAAGATGAGAATGTGGAAGAAGGTGTCGAGGAGCAGGACAGTCTCGTTCTGAATGGACGAAGAGTCGAGGAGAACAGGCTGACCGCCTTCATGATCGAAACCATAGCTGTCGAGTGTGGGCTGGATCATGATGAGCGAGTTGCTGACGTCCTCGTGGTTCAGAATGTGGCGGTAAAAAGCGGTCTCATCAGGCGAATTGTTGAAGACCTGCAAGAATTGCGAACGACGAAGGTGGAACATGAACTGTGGGTATAATGTGAAGTTCTTCTCGAGCCTGTGTACGTTAGCTTGAGATCTCCAAGCAGGGGAGACTTCACGTACCTGAAGGAGGATGGGTCGTCCTTCCTATACTCTGCAAAGCGCGAGCATAACCTGATGAGCATGCGATCGACCCATCTGAGGACATCCGGACCGTCGTCCACCTCGGCCTTGAACACCGCTATCCTTGACATCAAAACCGCTGCTGCCTCTTGGTCGAAAGACTGTGCAATCGCTGGGTCGCCAGAAGGTCCACTCAGGTTGCGCGCAACTGTTGTGACCCTAAGGTGGAATTGGCCTGATGAGTGCTGGTAGTATGTTAGGAATTGCATCATTCCCTTTTGAGGTCCAGCCTGCATCTGGTTGGGGCCGCCCTGTCCAGCAATCTCGAAGTAGATGCCATACGACGACTCGGGATCGATACCGCACATCTTCCAGGAGCACGTGTTTCCAATACCGCATTCTGTCTCGCCAACCGACACAGATTTCTTGTTGTTCGAGATGGCGTGGCCGATCAGACCTGTGACCTTCAGCTCCTTGGTAGTAAGGACTTCGAGGTTGGCGTTGAAGGCCATGAGTAGGTTGTCTTGGTCGTCCTTGTTGAAGATGCGTACGAACGACTGCTTGTACATGGACGAAGTGAAGCTATCCGTCAAGATCATGTGTCCACCGGTGGTATTGGAGAGACCGCGCATTTCGAGTAGGCCAACCTGGTCAAGACATCCAGCAAAGATGTCGACGATGTGACCGTTCTGCGCGACGCGCTTTGCGAGGGTTTCGTAGAACTACAACATATCAGCGCCAGGCACCGCTCGATTGTCAAATCACCCACCTTCAACGCCTTCTTGTAGTACTTGATGTTGTCTCGGTCGATGTCGTGATGCGATCGAATCGCCTCCTTCAGCTCAGGGCCAACGACCATACCAGGTCCCTCAGTAGCCGGGCCACCGGAGAATAGCATTATGCGCGCACCAGCTTCACGATGACGGAACTCGAGCAGACCAGCAGCGATGCTAAGCGCAACACCGGTACACCTCAGTGGTCGCTTGTCGTTGGCAACTGGCCAAGGATCCCGCTGGAGCTGCTCGAGAGCATTGGTCAGCTGGAACTCGCACTGCGACACAGGCAAGAGGAAACGGCTGTCGACATTGCCCATGGGCATCTGCGGTCGGCCGGGCTGTTGAGGCATATTTGGTCGGGCGGCAGCCTGGCCGAGGCCCAGCATCTCGTGAACCTGCTTCGTGGAGTAGTCCTTGCTACCGCGGAAGACGTACGACTTGGCGCACTCGGTGTAGCCAAGTTCGTGCACTTGGGCCTGAAGCTGTCAGTGATATCCTGGTACCTTCTCTGTAACTTTCGCCATACCATTGTGCCATATGTGACCAGACCGACCAGGGCGTACTGTGGTAACAGGCTCAAGCTCATGATGATCGAGTCCTTGAGCGCCTTCAGACTATCCTCCTCCTGGCAGGTATCGACAACGAACAAGAAGATCGGAGGCGCTGGGGCAGGGCGAGGGAGACGGTACTCGATCGTTGTGCTACCGGGGTGGAGCTCGGGGGGGATTTGTTCAGCGGAAATGTCCTTGTAGTGCGGCGGTAGGGCGTTTCGCTGCAGACAAAAGGGACATATCCACATCCTTGCGCGCATATCGACCTGGCTGGGAGAAAGTCAGCTGATACAGCCCATACATCCGGTATGCATGCCCTACCAGAAGGGGTTGAGGATAGCCTTGCAAGGCGCCTTGCAGGCGACGGGGTCATATTGAAGGAGCGGAGTGTCGGTCTTCTCCTTCAAGGGGGTGTATAGGGCTCCAATGGGTACTACTAGCCGCGAAGCTTCCTTCAACAAAGGTCAGCATGCTGCATGTTGACAGTGCGCCTGTTAAGCGGTGTACTGCGGGAGTGCCATACCATGCGCGAGCTGGGCAGCGTGTTCCAACTGAGGCGAACGCCATCTGTGTCCTCAATCTGACTCCATTGGTCCTTGAGCGCCTCAAAGTCTGCCATGTTGGGTGGAGTTTATGCGGCGGCGGCGGCGGTGTTTGGGGAATGTCTCGTGGAGGGGAACGAGGGCGCCCACAATTCGATATCGAGTGGCTGGCGGTGCGCGGGAAGGCGATGAGGCGGCTTAATGGCAGTCGAGCAATTAACAGCGTGGCCGCAGCAGAAACAGGCTGCAACAATACCGCTGGACTGCAAGGTGTACTGTCCCGGAGCTCTCGATGTCGCTGGTGGGCTCGTCACAAGCGGCCAGATGTCCACCTGCCCTGCAGTGCCTTACCCTGTTGAGCTTAGCGTCGCAGTCGACCTCACAAAACTCAGATTTTCCAGGCCTTCGTCTCCTCTTTTCTACATCGCCAGCATTACAAACACTACTTACGGCAGCCCTATCGTCTCCCATGGCGAGGGCTGTTTTCGCGCTGTGCGTAGAGGAGACAAGGCCCATGGCTGGGCGCCCGACCTGGATAAACTCATTCTGAGTATCATGAGAGGTTGGGAATCAGCAGAGGTCACATCTTTTCATTTTGTATGCATACTCAGGATCAAGTCACAAGACTCTGTTGCTTTGGTACATGCCTTTGATATCGTTCCGAGTGCTCAACTTCCTGTTGAGTTCCCTTGCTCGAGTGCTCTCACCGACCGCTCGGTACGGAAGAACTTCCATCCCATGAGCACCCGTCTGATCCCATCAAGTGCATCGTGTTGATATGTTCCTTGCGTATCGAAGTTCTCCACATATCGACCAAGCCAGCTTGTCATTTCCCTTTAGTCGTCTAGCACAATGACCTCTGGTTTGCTGCGCTTTCGTTCACTATGGGACTCGCTGTCATCACGCTCTCGCTTGACATAAAGACAGTCGCTACTTTCGGTTGCAGGTTCACGCTTGATGGCTGCACTCTTTTTGTCCTTGTCCTGAACACATTCAGCGTCATCTTTTTGTTGTCATGCGGCACCAACCTCGTAAAACTTCAGCAGACCAAGCAGGCTCTTCTTGCTTTGACCTGCAAGCCCAGCATCTCCCCCCCTGTAGACCACAATCATTACAATGATCTCTTCTTCAGAAAGGCCCTCTACACTCGGATCCTCTCTTCGCGACGTAGCTGCGTCTCCAATGTCATTTGATTGTCGAGCCGGACGAGACCCGCCAACTTCGGGTTCAGGCTTAACAACAGGCTCTAGTATGGTCTGGATAACGTTTTGTACTGGAATTGGCGCCGGCGATAGACTTCGAGGTATGATCCCGATCGCTTCAAGATCGGCTGGGCGTACTTTTAGTCGAGATTGTTTCAGTGCGTGTTCTTCGATAACTTACTACGCGTGCGACAACTAAATTCGAACACAGCGAACGGTTTCTGCCAGGCGGTTCTCAAGATCTCTGGGGCATTCTTGATTTGCCTTTCTCCAAAGCTAAATGTGTTAGCTCACCTTCACGAGGCGGGATTTGACTGGCGGCTTACTTCACTTGGACAGGTCTCGCCGCGCCTCGTTTGATTTCAAAACACCTCTGTGCCCTGGCGCTGTCTTTCAGAGGACCCTTGATCGTTACGAAGGAGAACGCGACTTTGATGAGTCCCAATGAGCACCGCCCCTGCATGTAGGCATCATCTGACGCGAGATCGGCATCTCCGGTGGCTGTTGGTAGTCAGTTTGAAAGAATGACGACGATATCTACCAATAGATCTGCACTCTACCAAAGACAAGTTTTTGATCACTCCATTCGCCTTGGACGAAAGACTTGCCAGCTTTTACTGTGCGCGAAGTTTTGTCGTGGAGATTATCGGCTCGGTTCGTCAACTGGCTTATCAACCGACCGTCGATCCAAACAGAGTGTGAAATATCTCTGTTGGATGGAAAAGCTTCTGTGATTGACCATCGTATACCGAATTTTGCTCCGGGCTGTGCTTGAAGGTATCTGGCGACTGTTTCAGGCTCGTGCACTTGATCATTATTCTCGTATTCTCTCAGGGCATTGCCGTTGACGACGATCTCAACGCTGAGCCCGGGGTGGTCTTTGTGTATAGCCATCGCGTACACTTTGTTGTGGGCGTTGTGGATGACGGGTGGTGGAAGGAAAGAGCGTGTGTAGCCACCGCTGCTACCTGTGTGTCGCAACCTTAGCGCAAATACGTCTACGCCGGCAAAACACCAAGGTGAGGCGGATCGCCCACCTTGAAGAAGTGTTGCGCTTTCCAGTACCAATGGAAGGTAGTTCGCAGTTGCCTGCCCACATGCTGTTGCTTCTGAAACCAAAAGCTCATGGACGACACATCTGTTTGTCACAACCATAGCGCCTGCCCTGGTGAGTCATTTCTCTATTCATCAGGATGACTATATGAATTCATTCTGTATATCATAAGAGGTGTAGAACAGCAGAGGTTACTCCTCTCAATGCGGCGCATAGGGCCTGTAACTAAATTGCACGAAGGCATATACACAATCCTTCGCGGCTTTATCATGTTCATTTAACGTCAATCGATGGTCTCAATAAGTTCTTTGCAGCGCTTAGAGTCGACATGCTCAACATTCTTTCTTCATTGCAACTTGCTTTGACCGCATGCGCAATCTTCCAGTGCAAACTTCTCCAGTGCTTTGTGCTTTCGTCTTGCTGTCGTCCAGGGGCCTTCAGTATGGCTAAGCCTGACACAGATGTCGATGCGCTAGCCACCTACTCTGGCTGACGAACCAAGATTGTCTACTTGTTTGCACCCTGGGACTGTTAGCAGATAATTCCATCATTTGATTCTTGATCTACCTTGTAGTGCTCAAGCAGAGTCGTCAGATCCCTTCTACTCAGACGTTCCAGCCCATCAACGCTGCCTCGATACTCCCTTACGAGGACCAGCAGCTCCGGAACACTAAGAACCTGGTAGGCATCTCTGTCTGTGGGAGTATACGCTTCTTGTACTGCTGATGCGGGCGCGATGTCAGGCGAGCGAGGGCGAGAAGGAAGGATAGCGTGCTCAGGCGTTGTAGGGACAATGCTCAGCGCCTTGAGAGTTGCTATTGTAAAGGTATCAGCCGAGCCCTTCTCCAGATTCAAATGAGCTCAACTTACCAAGCGACCTACACTTGAAGTTGAAGATTGCGATGGCATGTTCATCTTCATTACCATCGACGGATGTGTAGAATAGCGACCTGGTACCCTTATGCACCTTTGGTATGTCGACACTGCACAAAGTTAGTCTCTGGGACCCTAATGAGCCTTGACAGACATACCTTCCATGGTGAGATAGCCCAAGTTCTTTCACAGCCTTCTCTGGTACGCGACCAAACTTCGAAATGCCGTGTGGTCTGTCCTCAAGAGGATGTGCTGTGCGTTTTGATGCACGTGCACGTGCGTTTTTCATACGGTGAATGAGAACAGTAATGATACCGGCAGATCTTAGTCTCTCTGTACTTGCTTGATCAAGCTCGCTCCGAGAGTCGAGATCTATATGGGTATTAGTGCACATCTTGCCTTGTATGATACCTCACTTACCGAGGACGAATTGGGAGAATTGGAAGTCGGAAATGTGCCACCTTCCGCGGATCTTCGATCGGGCACCAGTGAATTTATGACCCTCGGGCTTTCTAAGGTTGCCTGGGCGATACAGGCTACCACCGACCTCTTGGCCATCAAGTCGGATCTCTACTGCGACGCCAAATCTGTCAGTGTACTTGTCGGTGAACTGTAGATGGACTTCAAAAGCTCCGTCGGTGGCAACTTCGATGTATTTATTAGCAATTTTGGGATCGTTATACGCATGGTTGTCCGCAAATTCTTTCAGTGTGTTGCCATTCGACACAACCTTGACCTCAAGGCCAGGGCAGCTTGGAAGGATGGCCATATGATGTGGTGTGTGTGCGGTGTTGGAAAGTGGTTGGGGTTGGAAAAGGTAAACTAAGGTGCGACGTAGGCTTTGTAGCAGTGACTCACTGGATGAGTGTGACTTCGAGGTGAAAGTGAGAGTGAAGGTGTGTGCGATTGATCCGCAAAACAGGATATATGTGCAATCAAGGATAAAATAATAAGTAGATCATGTCTACACTAGTACAAAGAAGCTCGTTTTGATCCTTCAAGACAACTTAATTAGCTAGATGTTATCCAGAGATTTAGAGTAAGGTAACCAGTGTATTCGTAGCCATGTCAAAGCATACCTATCGCGTAAGCTTGGAATACTATAGCTACCACCAAAAGTACCTTTACCTATTTGAGTAGATGAACTAAAACTAAGAAGGACAATTCACACTTGAACATTGCGGAACAGGTTTGACATACACCATTCAACCCTACGTACCCTCTAATCATAAGCTGCAGCGGAGGCTTGTGTAATATGTAGCGTAGGATACATTGCTTGCAAGTACCTTAGCTGCTCGACAGACCAAACTATGATAGTCCTTTACTGCCATTTGAAATTACTTGTCGTCCCTTTAAATCCATCTGTCAATCCAGAACGATAATCTCGTTTGGATCGTGGTGGTGACGTCTCTTGTTCCTAATGTCGACGATCTCAAAGTCATCAGTGTCTTCGCCAGATCGTTTGCGCTTTGCGTTGTCCTCTTTCTTTATCCTGAGTGCCGTCGCATCTCGTTCCTGCAAGCGTCAGAGTTTGTGTCTAAGAAGAAATCACACCTACCTACCTTGAAGCGTTTGACAAGCTGGCAGAGTTCTTCTGTACTCAAATCTTCTTCTGGACGCTCTTCGAGTGGAACCGGCGTTGGGGTCCTTGGCAGGATGTGAAGTGTTTGCAATGCAGCTGTCTACGTTAGACTAAGAGCAAGCTTTAGGACACTACAATACTAACCTCGCGACCGGTATTTGAACTGAAATGTTGCGAAAGGTGTTTCACTGGCAAGATCGCAACTGGACCAACCTATCGGGTTTGCCACTTCCGGCTCTGACAGGCTTAAACGTTTGTCAGTGTGCGCATATTCGTGAAGTGGGGGTTTGCTAATGATGGAGACTCACCTGGCCTGATGCGATTTTGCCTGACCTTTCAGGGCCTTCTCTGGAACCGAGTCGAAACTGGCTACAGTCATGGGGTTCTTAGTGGATCCGGACGTCTTGCTTCGAATGTTGCAAATGCTGTGAAAAGTGACCGTGATGAGACCGGTAGACGCGATCTCTTCCAGTAGTGTTTTGTCGATGCGATCGATACTTCCTTCAACTAGGTAGATTATGTTAGCGATTTTCGGCTGTGTCTCGTACTTGTGGAGGTTCGGCCTACCGATATTCATCTCGCTGAACTGATATTTCTGACAAACCGTCTGTCCACCAATTGCGGATATCCTGCCTTCGTTATGTTGCATCTCTCCCAGGGTGACCGATCGACACGCCATGGTATGGACCAATTTCCCGTCGAGCCAGACTTGCTGCCGAAATTGGGGCGCTGGTAGTCCGGTAGTGACGGTCCTTCCTACAACAAAGTTGGCACCTGACTGCGCTTCGATATACTTTGTGACAGTGCCGGGTGTCTCCTCTTCGTCCTCGGCATTATTGTACTCTTGTAGCGGTACTCCGTTCACCGAAATCTCGACAACAAGGCCAAGACAGCCAGGGACGATCGCCATGGCAGCTGCAATGAGTAAAGGCGGATGCAACTCAATGCTGATGTTGGTGAGAGAGTGATAGTTGTAGGTAGGTGGACACGTAAACTTGAAGCAACAAGAATAACGTAATAGGCAAGGTGAAGTGGCCCCGCTTCTGATCCGAGCACCCCATTCACAGTGAATACTGAAATAATATCATGCGAGCGCCGATTTGAGGTGTCAAGAGTTACAGTACATGTAAACTCTGACATGTTTGAATTATTCGACACCTCCACTGCCACAACAGCATAGAGCCAACGCTCAATCCAGCACGATAACCTCTCGATCGTTGCGAGATCTCTTGCAGCTGCGCGATCCCACCACTGTGAAATCATCGTGCTCGTCCTTGATATTCTCTCCGACACTGCGCTCACGCTTGATGTGACCCTGGACTCTTATCTCCTCCTTTACACCTCGAGATATGGTAGTGTCGCGATGTGAAGCTCGAGGGGTCTGCCTACTTCTCGTGACGGCTGTATGCTGATCGGCTCTTGGAGAGGGGCCCGTCAAACGCCCAGTCTGAGGTTCCTCGTCGAGAACTATGCGCAAGGCTTTCAGCGCAGCTAGATGTAGTTAGTAGTGTTTAAGAAGCAGTTCCGATAGGACTTGCCTAACGACCGATACTTGAAATGCATGATGCCGAAGGGGTTTCGGTCCACGTAGTCGCAGAAGGTTCGGGTTCTTCTGGCTGTCCGAATCTTAGGCTCACCGAGACTGTGAAATGGTCAACCCACATTCTAGTTGGAGAGAGTTGCAGGTCCTTACGTAGCTTGGTGAGACCGAGTGTCACCCTTCAGTGCTTTCTCTGGGATGGCACCCATCGTTGGAAGCTCTTTTCTGTGAACTGGAACTGCCAGGTCTTCATTGTCTGCGGTAGAGGGATTATGCGCTCTGTGTTCCTTTTCGGGTATATCTCGAGTGCTGAAGTTCGTGACCCAACGGTATGAAACCTCGATACATCCCTTCGATTCCACCTCTTTTCGTAAAGCTTTCAAGTCTACAGATCCTTCAACATCTTCAACTGTAATGCACTCAGAATCATGAAATCAGCAAGGGTTTTAGGGGAACCATACCAACATTAAGCTCTGCGAACTGATAATTTTGACTGTAGCGCTTTCCGTCTTGCATGAAATGGACACCTTTTATCGAACCGGCAGAGTCATAGGACTGGTCATTTGGCCGGAACAACAAGCGACGCCCGAGGTTACCATCGACACTGACGCTGACTTCGACTCCGTTTGCTAGCGGAAAGGGTCTGCTGAGGGTAGTCTTTATGCTGAATTCAGCCCCCGAGCGCGCCTCGATATAGCGGGTAGTCTTTGTGGTTGACGCTTCAGGTTCATCACCGCTAAATTCGGTAAGAGGCAGTCTGTCGACGATGATCTCCGTTGTGAGACCTGGGAAGGCACTAAGCACCGCCATGGGTCTGAAGCTGACCAAGCTTAAGGTGAACGAATAGACAGGTAGCTACACGGCAAAGCGCGAGTGGTCTTTGTATGTTGCGTCGCCGAAGTCTTGAAAACAGTCGAATGTTTGTGCTGAGTGCGCTGCAGCTGTCGTATGACTGATTGACCTAACGCAATGTGGCAATGTGTGTTACTAGCGCATTTGCAGAGTAAGCAATCAGGAAAGCACGCACGAGGTTGACGAAAAGATTCTAGAGGTATAACAAAGATACTGGGACATTTTGGAAACTCATGAAGCAGATATCGATGCTCAGTTGGCAAACTTGTCTTCACTACCTTGCAGTAGCAGCCGATGAGCTGACCCCTGCTCTTCGCGATCAAAATGTTGTTTTAACCTCCCTCCACGGCGATGTGTGGTAGCTACACGCCAGCGTTGATCAGTAGTAGCCATCTGTGACGAGCTCCTTATAAGTAAGTCAATGTCGACAATCCTTCCGAGGCAAGTTCGTGGAAGACCTGGTTCCGAATTCTACGTTTACGGATATCGTTCAGCTTCTGCGAGACGAGTACTTGGCCGTTGCTAGCTTTGTCAGTCGTATTATCAGTGAGCTGAGAGTCGAGAAAGCATCTACAGAGAACGTTAATGTCAGGCCGTCTCAACTACAGCATACGACTTTACTGTCCTTAAGGCTGCTGACTGCGTGGCTTTATTATGATCAGGCGGTGGCTCTTTGTCGTCTAGGACGCAGATCTGAGGATAGGGCAGCCGTGCAGGTATGGCATTGCAATGATACGAAGGCTAAGTTGCCTGAACAATGGCCATGTTGCTGTAGGAGAGGAAACATAACCCCTAGCAAATGGTTCGGACAAGGTGTCTGATTACCCTAGGCGACAGGAGGTACACAAGGGCAGCCACTGCACTACTCGACGCATTCGACTTCGGTGCTACAACGCTTCATGTAGATACTTCAGCATATGGAGGTCGTATGCGGATATAGAGCGTCGGCCTGTATACAGCCTGTAAGAGTGGCATGGATCGTCTCTCAGGGCATGCCGTTGATTGTAGCCGCATGTCTTGCACTCAACCTTGGAAGGCGGCACTTTTGCTTCAGTCTGGAGTATTGGGACGATCCAAATACAGCACCTGAGACCTGGATCTTAGCTGACTTCGTCTGGCGGCCAATTTTCCTTTGGAACTAGATATCTTGAGTCAGAAGGAAACCGTTGTACCATGCTGCTCTCAGGGAAGTTAAGATATACCAGTGCCCCATAGAGAACTTCGAAACGAGCTTATCCGCTTATCCGCTTACTGCAACCATCCATCAAGCTGCGCTCGTTGACTACACAACATTGCGGAACAGCTTGTCTCGACGGCGCTTTGTCGATCACGAGTCTCGATAGTCGCCCCGCACCCTACTTGGGCTGACCCAATCAAGACGCTGACATGACGCATCAGCAGCATGATCGGCAGTCTTCGACGACACAGTTCCGTGACCCGAATTCGTATTACCGCGTCACTCATGCGCTTGCAAAGCCGCGGAACACCCGTTGGAACAAAAAACAAAGAAGTACAGCCGATCGGGCGTTGACAAGGTCATCGAGCGCAGCCGATTGACCGATGTCTTTGCTCATGACGACTAGGACGAAGATGTAGTTTTAAGCCACGTTTCAAGCTTGGAGATAGTTTGTAGACAGATCACAGTTACGGATGCGCATAAGGAACGTGACGGCAGAGGTGTGTGCGATCTTTGTTTTGTTTCCTTGGAATCCTGCTTCGTGTTGACGTCGTTCCCACATTCCCACCTCCATACCACACCCTGGACAGGTGCCCTCGTGATGATATGCAGGAAAGCCTCGACGTATGATGAGACAGCACTTGGTTCGGTCTGACCGTCTGGTGATGTTCGCCCTTCGTGCGGAGATGCACCACTTCGGCGTGATCGAGCACACGACCGTTGGGATCTTGCTCAGCCCTACATGACGCATCAATCGCAGCTAAGCTGTTTATGCGGAATAACCACGGACAGAAAGTGCACCCGCGGCCGACCCGGCCTCGGCCGAAATTCGCTGCACTCATCCATCAACAGACTTCGTGCACTTGTAATCATTGTCTGGAGCATCCGCACTCTATAGTCATTCGCTATCTCCGGCTTGCTCACATTGCTTTGAAATTCACCATGTTCCATTTTTACAACATCTAGATCTCCAGGCCCTGCTACTCAGCCTCTAGGTACTACCCCGCTAGCGCACGCGGGCGGGAACGGCAGGGCTTCTGGGCCCAGATCTCATGCACGCACCGCATACGATATCACGATGTTGAGCCCACAATTAGAGTGCTGACAGGAACGTGTCTGTGTATGGCATCTAGATCTATAAGGTTGTAGATTTTGAATAGTGTTGAGACTATGGGAACGTGGGTTGAGGGTGTCAGCTGAGCCACGATGTGAGATTCTGGAAACCACGGAAGTTGGAGGCATCGATCTTCGGTCTTTAGACGAAGCCATCAGTTACAGAATGTGGGTATGGGATCATGTGGAGAAACATGTCGTGGGAAGGCTAGTTGGGTTTGGCAAGTTACAATGGTGAGTTTTGATGAAGGCTGAAGTATTGTACATTCAAATGTGGCTCGAATGGAGCATTACTAGGATATCATACCGAAACCAAAAATGGAAGACTCTCTGGCCTGAAAACTCCTCTATTTGCCAACCATCGCTTTTGCCCATGCCAGAGTGCTGTTCGTAACCATCATACTGTGCGCTTGCTCATGAAACCGTAAATCGCTACCCGCGTAAAAGTACTACAAACCCGCACAAGAACTGCACAGTACTGTATAACGTGGAAATTCGCATCGCTGCTTCGAATGAACGTTCCGACCAGCGAAACTTCTGATGCTATGCAAAACAGACCGAAAAAGGAAGTGTCGCAATTCCTAGCATTGCAACAGACATGCAAGGGATACCGTGCGCGGATGCAGCTGGACCAGTCCAGTGCAACTACGACTGTTGCAGCCGAGGCAGCAGATTCTTTGTGTCGCGCGCATCGTTGCGCAGAAATTGTGTTCATCGGCGTCCGACGCCGCACCTCTTGAGCCGATCACGACGTAAACGCCGCCGTCGGCACCAAGTGATCGCAAATATCGTTACAAGGAGCAAGCTCTTCAATCAGAGCCACCACGCCTTCTGTGCTTTCCTGGAAAGTCCACTTCGGGATGCACGACACGCATGTGGCGTGTCAATGCGTCGTTGCGGGAGAAAGTCTTTTCCTCGACGCACAGTGCGCAGCGGACCTTCTGTTTGCGAGCATTGTGAATGGTGTCCTCGTGACGGGTGAGATCGTACGGTCGAGAAAAAATAGTGTTGCAAGGCTTGCCGGTTGTGGGGTTGATGCGCTCACACTTGTGCGGCCCCGCTTGTGTGTTGCGGTCTAGGATAGCCGCTGATGTCATACTGGGGCCAAGATTGGCATTCCGATGGCCTTCGCGCTTGTGCTTTTGAAGTTTCTGAGGGGTCTCGAAGCGCTGAGCACAACCGTGGTATGTGCAGGAGTATGTCCCCGAGTCAGCGGCAGATGATACTGGTTTGCGCAAGAACTGTTCGACGCTGGACTGGCTGCCGTTTGGAGGATCGGCCTCGCTGGCGCTGGACTCCATTGATGTCAGGTGAGGATGAGCAGGGAATTCAGGTGTCTGATCCACGGAAGACGTCATGGGAGTGGTTCGGTATTGCGATGCGGCAACCATAGGCATGCTCGTCATGTTGTTTTGGATCGCAGGAGTGACGAAGTTGAAACTTGTGGTAGTTGGCAGTGAAGGCGCGGTTGATGTCGAGAAGTTGGGTGAGAACTGCGGTGTTGCCCAGCTGTCACGTCGGTAGGACTGTGCTGATGTTGTGTCGAAGCCGGATTGAGTGGCGTTCCTATATTGGTCGCCACCGTTGTATTGGTTGTTGTACTCATTTGCGCCACTGTCTTGAAACAGTGGCATCTTCGAGTCATCATCCTCTCGGAAGTCCAGCATGGCATCCTTTGGCGAAATGGTCTTTACCACAGAATCTTCGGACTGCATCTGCGACTTCATTGCGTACGCAGTGTCCGCACGGCGGTTCTGCTCACGTGTCGCAGCAGCAGTGCCGAGCATTGGTGAGTTGAAGCTGTGGCTGGGTTGATGATAAGGTGAGCCCTTACGGAACGGAGAATCGCCACGAGACACCGTACTGCTAGGTGAGTGCGACCGCGCATACTGCGCTGCCTGCAGCGCACGCTGGACATTCTCTGTAGTGTTGCTGCGGTAAGGAGACAAGAGTGATGACTGTGATGGCTTTGATGGTTGTACTGCAGGGGCAGATGCAGCATTCGGGTCGTAAAAGTTGTCGGCAGCAATGTCCGTATATGTCCTCTCAAATTTGGGTACAATGGGCTGCTGTCGGGTATCTGATGTAGCATCGTAAGTACAGAACTGATTGAAAAGCCATGAGTCGACCTTGTGGAGATTCTCACCATTAACGGGCTTCACATCGGACTCATCCAACGCAGTGTGTGGGGTCGCAGGAGAATCGTAACTCGACACAGACTGCCTCGCTGAATGAGCGAAGTCTGGAACATCGTCGCCTTGATCCATCAAGGCCTGCTTCATCGACATGTGTGCAGCCATAGTCTGATCCATGCTGGACTGTTGTGTGTAGTTGTTGAAGGTGGCCTGACTCATAAACGAATCTTGAGTAGGTGTGTGAGAAGGAGTTGGCAGATGATTCGAGAATGTCCTGGACGATGTGTCAGCAAAGGCCATGGGGGTGCACTGTAGACGCGCAGACTCGGAGTTGCCGACATACTGATAGCTGGCTGCAGGGACAGTCTGGTACTGCGATGCACTGGATCCTATTGACGAGGATGAAGACGCGCGCTGATGCCCTCTGTTCTGACTCTGTGCAGGTGTCTGTAGTGACTGGTTCTGTACATTCCCATAGGCGTTCCAGCCGTTAGGAAGCATGGATGACTGATAGTCGTTTGAGGGCTGCGGTGTGGGTGTCGACTGTTGGACGCGGATCGCCGGATTCGCGAAGTCGGTATAGGCGCTCGTCATGAACGAGTTGTGCGCGTTGGAATTTGTGCTGTAAGAATGCTGCTGAGACTCGAGGTAGTCGTTGAGCAGCTTCTGGTCAAACAGCTGTTGTTGTGTGGCGAATTGTTGAGGTATTTGCTGGTAGGCAAGTTGTTGTGAGGAAGGTGATGACGGGTTGGTTGGCGTGTAGGATTGTGGTACAATGTGCTGACGTCTTGTGGGTTGCGCTAACATAATGTCGAGGGAAAGTAAGGGACCAAGCCGGGTGGCAAGTCGCTTTATACTAGTGACTGGACAGGCCGATGACTCGGGTAGGGCTCGCCGAAAGTGAGTCTCTCGATGAGGTGATCTGTGGAAAGCGGTGGAATGTTGAGTTTGAATAGGACCGGCTGTGCTCGGACTAACGGCTTTAATTCTTTGGATTTCCGACTTGTAATAGATTGCAAATTGCTGAAAGATTTTGGACGGCTTGGGCGTGCTGAATTGGTGCGGATTTCACTGTGCTTTTGAACAACGTCATCGGATTGAAATGACCGGGGTCCCACTGCCGTGTATGCATGGCGTTTCTAGAAGACGCGCTAAGAGAGCGATCTGCAGTCACCCAACGCTGAACCTTGTACACCCGAAAAGTGGCAGTGCTGAAAATTTCCAAACAACCCTGTTCGGCTGCGATCCGAGATACACACGACGGTTTCCTAAGAATACCAGCCAACAACAGTTAGGCTCTGGTAGAGATTTCCAGCCCTGCAGTCGCAACGTGCACAAGCTGCATCTGGGAAGATGGAGCCCCGTTATTCTGTGCGGGATACTCGGTAAGATCCCCTTAACGGAGATGTGCGACATGCTCGGATGCAACTATACGGTCGTATTGCGCCTGAAAACACCTGCACCACGAGGCTTTCGCCTAATCTCCGGCCAGCCTGCTTTGCCGCAGTGCACATCCAGCAACGTGTTCACAGGCCACATTCCCTGTGTATGGGGCACCATACAGAATCGGGACAATCAATAGCACGGGGAGCATTTCAGTATCACAGCCACAGCTCTCGCCCATACACATGGTCCATGCCTGTGGCTTGTGTCTTTCTCCATTGTAATTATGGTCATGTGCGTATAGTGACTCCTACACTGACTGTCTTGTCGACCAAGGACGCGCAAGTCGTATACGGGCAGCCGCGGTTGTATTCATGTACGGCTCAGCTGCGCTTGTAGACGCATGAACCGGCACCACAACCATTGGTCGTGAGTGAGCCTATGTAGAGACGACCTTGGCGTATACTACCCAGTGGTCACACAGGACATACACGTTAGACAGTAGATTGAAGCACGCACTGCAAGAAGCAACACCCGAACCAACACCCGAACCAACAAGTCCTGGCACGCACTGCGTGCCTAGGTAGCCTGGCTCGTTCACTCCGAAGAATCGTGACTAGTCCTCGTGTAGTACGTGAAAAGGGTCTTGGCACTGAAGACTCTCCACAACTTGATCGTCGTTTGTTTCGCTGTAACGTGCCGCAAGCATCTCCATAACGGACCAAAGATTCGAGATGCCCGTTGGGGAAGGCCCAAGCAGCGGTCGATTGGCTGAGAGAGTCTCAGGGTCCACGTAGGGCTGACACAGCCACGCGGGCGCGCCTTCCCCGAGAGCCCTGACGAATCTAGCCAGACGCCAGCATTCACAGAGAACTGTGCGTGGAAGTCACTAGCCACATTACCAAGCCGCACCTCTGTCAAGCGGAGCTACCGAGGCTCGTTGCTCTCTGTTATCCGGGAGGATAATTCCGATGCTCTGGGAAACTCTATGCTGCTCGCACAACGCACAACCCGCGCCAAGAGCCACTTGCGGCCGATGATGTCAACATTTCCGCACCACGAACCCAGCAGCTGTTCACCAGCCAGATTTGCATCAACTCCTGCTTCACAATCTATTTTGGCGAGACAATATCTTATGCTGCACATCCCTACCCTTTTTTATCAAAGTTCAATATCCTGCTGGGCATCGAGAGCATGCATCATATTTGAGAGTGGGCTTCATGCAGTCATGATCATCGGGGGGTTACGGAATGGTGCCCGCCAGCCCACACTGTGTGGATTTATGAGCGGGCGCCATCCTGACTTTGGTGTAGCGCAGAGCCCACCAATCCGCAATTGCGGGATCGTGAGACCCTGCGTCGGCGTGATTCTGACGAAGTTTCTGCCGGTCCATGGCCGCCGGGGGTAACACGATTGCCGATCATGACGCCTGAGGCATGGAAGCATCACCATTCGAGGTCATCATCATCGCTACGTTGCTCGAACGCTGATAACGAGATCATTCAAAACAGCGTGCTCGGCGGACAAGCATCAGCTACTAATTGCAGGCTCAGATATCTCTAAGGTTTGTTGCACAGTACTTGGCCACTCTCACGATTTCTGTCAGTCGCGATTACATACATTGCGAATACAAGACCCGCAGTTATCCACCCAATATCCCATAGGGCTGAACCTGCGTAACCTCAACCAAGATTTGAGTCCGCTATTCCCGCGGAGCGCCTTTAGCACCGGCTGATTGCCTTTTTCGATCATTATGGGGTTTCTGAATTTAGTTGCCAAACAAGTTCTCTTACGCTATCATGAATCAAGAGTCATGCATTGATAAGTCTCACGACTAGGAATGACCAGCATAATCATATCTAAGCAGCAGTTGCCAGACGCATCACTGTACTCGTTTGGGAAATGTTTATGCACCGTTGCGCGACGACAGGCACCCAGCGGATCTCGGTAGATGCTTCGGCGGTAAAAGTTATACAGGCGCCGACCACGCGAGCCGGGTGAACTCCGCCGCGGCGTCATTCGTAATCCTACAAAGCCGTATAGCTTACTCATGCATTATACATTCCTGGCACAATATGATGTCGGGGACCTGCGGCATTCGCCCGAGATTTGCCCATTCGAAAGCGAAAAATTAAAGTTGTGCATTCAAGTTGGAAATATGAGCTGACAGGACGGAATTCTTCCGACAGTTTGCTCGGCGTCGGATGATGCCCAACAGCAGACGCCAGTAACGCCAGCAGTGCGGCTGCAGCTGATTATATATTATCTCGGTAATCTGCAGACATGTTTGTTGGGGAGTCTGGGGTAGCATTGTAGCCACCACGTGGGGATGAAGGCCATACGGCAAGCCGTGCCGGTGTCACTCGTGTTCAAGCGATATTTTTGGACGCAACGCTGCCAATGTAGACTATTGCATGACTGCTGATCGACACACGAGAACTATTGAAGCGGCTATATGCGGAACACATTCATACGAGCATCAGCAAGACTATCTCAACTTAGATACGTATTCGTTGTTGTATTGATAGATTTTACAGCGACCTCACCTGGTAAACCATGTGCGAATACCATTAGTTGCATGCTAAAATCATCCGTTCGTCTAAGTAGTACACTAGAGTCTTCAGAGCTCGAAGAGCTAAGGAAGTGCACTTGATATGACCGGCCGTCGTGAACACACGCTCGTATCTGTCAACAAGTGTCCTGATCGAAGTGTGTTAGACCCCATCCTGAGCAATTCCTTCCCGGCGCCCTTCTTGAATGCCTTTGATATGTGATGTCCTCTAACTTGATCAATTTCATCTCGACCGACTAAAGTAGACTGAAGCTTGCCCAGGTGGTCTGATGACTAAGTAAATTTCTACATCCAAGTCATTCAGTCGAATCACTTGCGTTGCACCGCGTACCTTGTGATCTGAGGAAGTTGAAACAGACGAATGGGTCTTTGCTATCTAAGAATGGCTTACAGTCTTCGCGTGCCTTCGTAATGTACGTGTAATATGAATGAATGAACAGTTGGTAAAGTTGGGCGTTTGTTTAGTCAAGAGAGAATGCGTGTTATGCTGCCCTGCGTGGAGGGGTTCAGTCCTGGCAAGGGCTGGTCAAGGCCTTGAGACACCGGCACCTGTGCCAGCTCGTAGACCATGATTGCGGCTATACACGCCCCGTCCTGATGCCATATTCTCGGATAACCCGAGGCCCTTCAGGGGTCTATCCATGTCATTTCTGCTGTTACATCTATTAATAATTAATTGGGTCATCGTCCCGTTGTAAAGATGAGTGCAAGTACACAGTCGCATTCTTTGCCGGCTTCATGTCAAGTAGAATGAAAACTTGATGCATCCAAGGTTTCTATCAGTCGTGTTGCTAATTGTTAGAACTTCGATGGATCCGTTACATTATATTCTCAATGTGGTGAGAGTTTTCCGCTTACATTTAGACTGCGCTAATACTTTTCACTAATCTATCGAATTATACTTACCAAAATGTGCGGACTCCTCTTTCCCATTGTCTGCGTACTTCAACAACTAAAATCAGATAAAAAGCTGCGAACACACATTTGATCGGCATCAACGCATTGCTGCCATGTGAATGTACATAAGTATTATCTTGGGGGTTTTTTTTTCGCAACAGCAGACGTTCAAACACAAGTGAATAGATGCATTGCTGTGTGTTTCCAATTGCTATGCACTAACATCAGCTGCTCTCTTGATAAGAGCTAAGTTGTCGACACACCGACTTCGGCGGCATGCTATCGAAGCGCAGATGATGCTAAAGAAGTATAAAGATGACTTCGATCACCACGAAGTGCGGAGGTAACTCCTGGCAATAAATGAGGACTTCCATGTAAAACAACCCCCCGCAGCTTGGGTGAAATATCTGCGTTGCGGTGTGTTTTTACATATTTTTGTACCGCAGTGTTCATCAACGTCAACCACAGGAAGATTAAGTGCCAGGGCTTTGTAGAGCATGCAGTGAAGCTCCGCTATCTTTATACAAGAGGAATCTTCCTTTATCTTTAAACAAGTATAAGTCAAAACGGTACAGTCAAGACGATCAATCTGTCAGTCTCTAATCTAACATCCATCCACACTGCTTGATTCTGTGTTTAGATCAACATTACCTCAATAATATCCAAGAAACGCCCTTATTATATGACAGCGAGCTCATCGAGGGGTCCTGTCAGTTTGAACCTCAGGTCAAGCCGCAAATTTCAGGTTCAGCTGCTCAGCTCTCACATCAACAGCTTGAAAGCCGTAACAATCTTGCATAAGCATCTAGAGGGCAATGGCCGCAACTGCACAAAGAAGCGTGAGGGGACGATGATTGTACTTAATGCGTTCAATCTATCTGTGTGTGAGTGACTACTATAACAGTGCTGCACTTCTCGATAGCGTCGCGACTGTTGAGATGGTTTCCGAAAACGAAACATGTGACCCGCAAGATACTGTTGGTAGAGCCATCCAAGCGTTTTGCAAGGCGAAAGCTTAGCAGAAGAACCTTGTCTTCACGGTGAAATCAGACTGACATTATCACGGTCGAAAGACATGTTGCGTGGTTCTGCGCCTCATAAGGTAACGCTGGATCGAAGTTGATAGGTATGATAGGATCATAACAGGTTTATGGGATCGGAACTATAAGCGAACTATACTTAGAGCTTACTTTCTGGCAACGGACAATAGTCTGTAAGCCTCAGCTTTCCGCCGTGCTGCAGAGGCAGGTGGGCTTGAAGTTCACGCGTACGAGCAGACGGTCGTGTTGGCGTTTATCAATCTACCAGCAAACAATCTAGCTTCTCGAAGGCTTTTCGAAGTGTAGTATCCGGATGGCTAACCGGGACCATATACTAGGTATCACTACGGTACAAGATCGTGTACAAAACACCACGGTCCAGTGTTTTTTTATACAGGAGAAAGGTCATTTTAGGTATTAAAAAAACACCGCTAAGCCGTGTAAGATACCCGAAATCGGGGTATATCACCCGAATTTGCGGTGTGTTTTACCCGATGCGGTGTGTTTTACACAGAATAAGGTTCCTTTCTGGTCAGGAAATACCGCACTTGTACCTCAGTGTATGGACACTGTGTATCGGCAAATAGAGACCGTGGATGTCACGCAGCTGGTGGCAATGATACTCAGCAGGTACTGTCGCAGTGAATTCACCACGAGGATGTGTCCGATGAGAAGAATTCAGCTTATCCCCAAGTGATATGGCGATGGCGGTGGCAGTGCTGCTGAGAGCAGTGCTACAAGCGTTCGTAATTCGAGATAGGTCTAACACGATGTCAGATGACCTTGAGAGGTTGATGAAGGTTCTTCATTGCTTTGCATGATGACCTGATCAGACTCCAATTCAATCATGATCACTGCTGGTAACAGAAGCGCCAGGGAGACGAGATTGACTGTCTACGAAGAACTGGCGTCAGACATCAAATTGGAAGACAATATATTCATTTTGCGCTTGATTGCAGCCAATTGAGCTGCACGTCAACGTTTTCGCATTGCTTACTGCCGTAGCTTCATTGTCGCTTCTCCGCACTCTCTCTACCTAGGTAGCGTATAAATGTCAAGGCGAGATGATAGACCCTTTCAGCTCTTCATTTTGATCAGTTCTATATGATAGGAGAGTGTTCTTGAATGATTCGTCTAAGGTACAGTACCTACTTCAAAGGACAGTGAGTCGTGAAGACAGGAAGACTAGGTACCGTAAGATCAGTCTCTAAGGACATAGTCTAAGCTTACACCAAAGGTACAGTCCAGCACAAGCGGCCGGATCATGAGAAACTTAGCCCAGGTGTGAATAATGTTCAAGTTCATTGTGCGAATTTACCAGAGACGGCATACTCGTGGCTCTGACTGGTGAAGACATGGTCTACGAGCAGTCAGTCGTATAGATCTTCGCGCTAGTATCCGCTTTCGCGTCTTATTTATTGCATCCTTTAATAGTTTAATTGAAAGGCATGATCAGTGATCGTACACTATGTCTCTGACGATAGCAGCCGAAGAGCCGTATGGAGCTTTTCGACGGAGGCCTTGGCTGTAGCCCATAGTGGTACTGAATCTGCCGTAAATTAAGCACGGTGCTCTTTGCCAATCTGAGAATGCGTTATTTTCTTCCTTATTCATGCAGGCGTATGTATCAGGTAAAGCCCGTAGTAAGAGGCGTTGATACGTTCATTTGTACATTTATCACCCCTCTATATTTGCGCCACCGGAGGTCAATAGATTACTCCTTGATACTTCAGCCAGCATGAGCAATAACTACAACCACTAAACGTTGATAAGATACGCCAGCTAGAGCCATGAACTACCTTAGGCGTGACATGATCATGCTGCTTACCGGAATGGGCTGAACTAACTATTCTGTGCAGCCACAAGCATAGGCCGCATGCCATTAGTAGATCGCCTTGGGCGTCACGCTTCGAACCCACGAATTCAACGGCTTTGGAAAGCCCAGAGAAGGAGGCCGAAGAATGCTTGAACGATGAGGAAGCAGCTCACTTAGATACCCTTGCACCTCTCGGTATGAGACAAACCTCACTGACTTGACTTATGCTGTCCATATTTTCGTGAAGTGGCTGTACAAGTATAAGATCTCTGTACAGACACGGTGTTTAGGCCCGCAATACGAATTACGGCATCCCGGCGCTGAACACAATCGTCGTCAGTGACCGACTCCTGGCACGCAGACTTCACAAAGGCTGTGCAGAGGCACTTTATCAACACGTACTGGTAGGATAGATAAGCACCAGATCATCATCACCATGCGCCTGCAAGAATCTGTCAGAGGACCAAGTCATCCTCGCAGGCTTGCATGTCATGTCCTACAACGAGAAGACTGTCTCAATTCCCGGCATGGAACCCGTGATTGACAATGGTTGCCATGGAAGCTCCTTGCCTACACCAGCATAGATCTATGTAGAGGAAGACTGCCGTCAGGAGCTATGGTGTTTATACGTGCGACTATCCTAGGGACCGTGATGCAAATCTCATGACGAGGCGTTCAGTGCTCTCTCGCATCAGTATGTTTCTCTAGTTCTGGATAGACTATGACTGGTGGGGATTGGGGAATTGACAAAGGAAGCATGGGTGCCAACCTCAACAGGTGTCAGCCGATATCCTGCTGGTCCAACAGACACAACGAGGACTAGTTGCATACTGGCAGGCCGTAGTACAAGCGATATGGTGTCATACCTGGACCCGTCCCCCGCTTGATGTATGCAACGGTTGCCTTAGGTCGTAGTTTCTCCGGATGCTGACATTCAACATGCAGTGGTGAAAGTACGAATCATGCCGCACACAGGGAACAGTCCGACAGACCCTTGCGAGTTTGGCTTGCGACGAGAAGCACTGTCATCGATGGAGGTCCTGCAAATGTTGTACCTTGGTGATGCTTGCGAGAGATTGTCCTCGAATCAGTAGCTGTCATACAGACGCTACCGAAGTTGATTAGGATACTGAAAGAGATGATTCTGGATGAGCCGAACGGTTCCAAATGCCACCTTGATTGATGGGATTTAGCCCAAGGCACAGGGTGACAATGTGCTTTCCCATGTGATGCGTGCAACAATAACCGTAATTTCTCCCGGCTTTCCCTGTACTCTCATAACCAGCCGTTCAGTCATCAGACCAAGTGTCACCGCCCGTCCTGGCGTCACCACTGAGGCACCAAGCCATTCCAATCTCTTTTCATCTACGTGCTGTACCTCGCTAGCGGATAAATTCTAGTGGTTCAGTTGAAATCCCAAGACTTCCAAGACGTCGACGGGAACTCTTATCTCGCAAAATAGACAGCAATATCTTTGCATCTTCAATACCATCACGGTCGGAAGGCTCGTTGACATCCTGAAGTTGCGATCGGGAAATGAAGTCGTAATCATCGTGGGGCTAAGGTCCAAATGCCGCGGCTTTCTGGCAGTATCCATGGCCGTAATGTTGCTTAATGCGGGCCGATATAGCTCAATTCGGGTTTCCTATCACTGCTTGTGAGGAGAAAAAGAGGAGCTGAGCGCAGTTGGCCGAAACTGTCGTCATCTTAGAGGCCGGGTAGCTGCTTTGAGGCCGGATACCTGCATTGAGCCCGACCAAGTTGAAGCAACCCAAGCAAGCCCTCAAGCTCTTTCAAGAGGTCGAAGATACTGCTCAAACCTGACCCGAGGCAGTGCGGACAGTGTCAAGCGAAGAGCAGTCTTGGAACTGCGCCCTCATCTGCCATATGGCGTTCGCCGAGCTTGTAGTCGGTGCGTGCCGTCTTGTTATCCAGTCTCGACGCTGGAGGATGCATTTCTGAGGGTGCCTGAAGGCTCGGGAAGACCTGAGGATGTAACTCTGCGACACATACCAAGCCCCATTCTCCACCAATCCCCGCACTTTCGCCGTCTGCCGCTAGGGCGAGCCGTCAGCAGCTCGTCGATGGGCCCAGACGGGGCAGATGGCGATGGTGAATAATGAGTAAAATACAGGTCGTTGATTGGTGCAATAACTGTAATCTTGGCGGCCGATTAGAAGCCGACGGATAAACCCAAGACCCAGCAGTCGGTGGACGTACCACTGGCTCCGCCCTGGCCCGCATGCGCCCAACTCCCCCAGAAGATGTGATTTTAGCGGCCATTCTAACGGCATATTCAGTGTCCAGCCATAGAACGGGTTTAGAGGGAGACAAAGGCGCGGGTTTTACGGACGCTTAGTGCTTCCACCTGGCCTGGATGTGGTGCTATCTCTCTATCAAACTTCAGACGCACGGCGATCAATCTTCTGTCTTATAGCGCTTCACACGGGTAGGCCTGCAGCCACCCTCTGTTTGAAGCCAGTATTCTTCCACACCCTGCCCCACCCACCGGCCGTTCGTCTACGACGCGGAGACATGGTAGAGGTCGTGATTGGGACCATTGAGTTGTATACCGCCCGTCGCATCCTCGCCGAACTTCAACTCCGCATCAACGGCTTCAACATCTACGGCTAACACCACCGACTTCGAGTAGCGCGCGACACCCAGCGCTCACGTCGCAGCCTACATGGCGACCATGGTGCAGGCTGAAAGCGTGACTAGGACGCACCTCAAGACTCCTGAGGTCACCATCGATGTTCAGGAGATACCTGGCGCAGTCAAACCGTCGCTGCTGATCCTGCACAACGAAGGAGAGGAGGACATCGTTGGCATCTTCGCAGATGTGCTGGGCCAGAAGTGGGAATCCACTGTCTCAGTAGACGCTGTGAAATCAGGGCCGCCGGAGACGGTGTATGGCTTAAAGAACGGGCTTGCAGGCGCGCAACTCGAGAGCTGGGACCGGTCGAGACTGCTTATCAACACACACCGTGTCGATGGTGGTCATGAACTGGACGAGGCCTTGACTGACCGCTGCGACTACGAGTACCTGTACACGCGCACGCCGTTCTTTCGTCGCGACGTCTCCCGCTACCTGTCTCTGATTCTGGGGCAGATTGCGCCTCACAGAGATTTGACAAAGAAGGCACGCACAACGCTGATTTCCACCACCTTCCCCGACGTACACGCCGCGCTACCGAACCTCGATATTCTGTCAGTGGGCGCAGATGCTATCGAGATACGCGTCGATTTGCTGGAAGAGCCACTGGCAGATGGAACAGTGAACAAGGCGCCCACACAGGTACCTAGCTTGAAGTATGTGGGCGAGCAGGTCATGATCCTGCGACAGCGCACAGAACTGCCCATCATCTACACAACGCGATGCACCAACGAGAATGGCCGGTTTCCCATGGACGATCCCAATCTCTTTTACCGATATTTGGCGCGCGCGATACAATGGGGTTGCGAATATATTGATGTGGAACTGTGGTTGCCTGAGGAGATTAGACGAAAGCTGGCACAGAACAAGGGCTGCAGCAAAATCATCTCTGCGTTCCACGACTTCTCGGGTACCTTTCAATGGACAGCGCCGGAGACACAAAGGCTCTTCGAAAGGGGGGCGGTGTATGGAGACATCGTCAAGATGTATGCTCTAGTCAATTCCATGCAGGAGAATTACGAGCTTGAGTACTTCAGGTCGACCATCCAGACCAAGTACCCACACCCACCCTTTTCTGGACTGAACATGGGTCCGACCGGGCAGCTGTCCCGTACCATGAACAAGATATTCACACCGATAACACATCCGTTGCTGCCAAGAATTGCAGCGCCTGGTCAGCTAAGCGCTGCCGAGATCAACGCAGCACTGCACACCATGGGCCAGGTACCAAAGCAGGACATATATGGTATTGGCAGTGTCCGATCCACATCACAAGCAATGTTCTTTGAGAAATGCTTCAATGAGCTTAGTCTTCCACACTCTTTCATGTTCGCACCCAGAACGCCAAAGGCCTCGATCGAACACATCCTGCGGCGTCCTAATTTTGGAGGAGCGTACATCAATCCTCCATTAGCGGCATCTTCGGCTGCATATCTCCCCTCCCTGTCCAATGCTGCACGAGCCATAGGGCAGGTTGACACGGTGCTGGTACGCCCAGGCACTAACAGCCCATCCTTCATCGGCGACAATGCGAGATGGAAGGGCATTCGCGCAACATTAACCCGGGATTTTGTGCCTTCGGCGTACAGCGGTGCCGCCGCACTTCTCCTCGCTAGTAACGAGGCTGATGCATCGGCATCGATCTTCGCACTGAAGAGTCTGGGCATAGGGCCTATTTACACAATAGGGTTCAGATCAAACGGCCCACTGTCAACTGATGTGCAACCGGTGCGGTCTGTCGAGGATGTGAAGCGATTAGAGCAGCCATTTGTTATCATTTCGGCTCTCCCAGCAGAGAAGTCGCTACTCGTTGTTCCTTTATTGAAGCACTACAGAGTTGATGGGCGTAATGGCAGCACGAACGGGCATGGTAGGGCAGGAGGGAAGCCTGCAGGCAAGGTGTTCGTCGACTTGGCCAGTGGGCCCCGTAAAGCTGACCCACTGGCCATCGCAACATCAGCGGGATGGACTGCATATGGAATTAGTGATGTCTCGGCGTGGACAACAGTCGAGACGCTCAGGCAACTTGTCGGGCAGAATGTGTGTTACGATTTCGTACGTCTAGCATCGGGAAGGGGTCTCTTCTAGAGTCGAGTAATCAAGACCAGTTTTATACAAATGAACTTTGTTGATGGCATGTGGCTGGTGTGCGTCGCACGGCGTAAAACCCCGTTGGCGCAGAGTCAGCAATCCTGTCTCCTGCAGCCTATTCATTCACCGCCAATCATTGCCGCAGGTTTCCGGAAATCCCAACCATCTCGGGTGGTTCGAGATGAGGCCTCGTGGGCACTGTGCAGCGGAGCACTGCATACTGCATCAACCACATGCTGGCAGATGCACAGGTTCTGGATTGGCTCGCTTGTAGCAGTCTCAGCTACCCCGGATTTCTCAGAATTCGACAGGTGTGTGTCTCATTCGTGCTCCGGCGCCAAAGGACTGCACTAGGCCGCGCGCAGAACAATGCGTGAGACGAATGCAATCTAACGCCTAAATTGCAGCGATTTGCCAGGGCTACAGCCGAGGCAGGGTATGCTGCCGCAGAGAGTCGAGTCCATCGGACGGGGGCCCACTAGGTGCCTCCGCCCCCGGCCAATGCCCCCATGATGCACTCGGTTTTGCTGTCCTCTCCGCACTTGTGTACCCTTGGCTTTGACTGCTTAGATGCGCCAAAGCTACAAGCATGCGGGCAGCGACAAGCATGCCGTACTCGGTCCAACGGTGCGTTGCCACCATCACACGGAGATGGCACCGATCGCTTATCACGCGGTTGTACCCCAACCGTTCTAGCATTTTCAGGCATTGTCGCAACTCCTGCACGTGAACAGTAGTGAACTGATTCTAGCCGGAGAGGGCGCTCGCTCCCGCATACGCTCATCAAGCCTTGCTGTCCGTGACCCCCCTGCGCGTCCCCACCGCCAGAGGCCTTAATTTGAGTTACTAGCTGGCGCTGTGCATGCTCGTTGCCGTGAGCTCTCTTCTTCCCAACGTCTTGTTCGTGCTGTGACGGTTGCCGGCCGCCATACCATGCTGCTTTGTTGTTGCTCGCCAGCGTCATAATGTCTACCGAGGTCTCGCAGTCACTGGCAGCCGCAATGTCGAGACCTCAGATCGGCATCGACCGCTTGCCTGCCCGTCGGGTCTCGAACGAGCCGCGAGAGGCTATGAATTGCAAAAGCTGTCGCAAACGAAAGGTAGTGGAGCTCTTCCACTTACAGACGACATTGCTGACAAGTTGCCTACAGATCAAGTGCAACCGTACACGGCCGACTTGCGAAGCCTGTCAAGTGTTTGCTGTTCCTTGTGTCTACGGTATGCTCCACACTTGCTGGTACCTTCCTGCAGCTACGTACTAACACCCCGTAAGACGCAGTCCCCAAGAAGAGAGGGCCAAAGACCGATGTCCTTGAAGCCCTGCTGAAGCGTGTTGATGGACTAGAAAAGCGCCTCCATTCGGAAGGAAAGAGCGATGAGCTGGTTGAAGAGCTCTCCTCCGCTATTCATGATGTCGCCGATAACTCCAAGGCCACCAAAACCTCCCCCAATATGCAACCTGCTAGCGACTTGTCCCCAAAACATGGCAATGTCAACATTGCCAACCAGTTGATGTCGCCCATCGAACCGAGGTGCGACCTGCGACTGCCCTTGCTCGAGCTCCTTCCACGTGCTGACATCTGATAGCGTACAAACACCAACGCTTGCACCAGATCTACTGCTCGACACCTATTTCGCCAGGATACACGGGAAGCCCTACTACATATTAGATGAGGCTACAACACGGCAACGATTGCAAGCTAATCAACTACCGTCGCATCTAGCCTTTGCTATCTATGCAGTTAGCGCGAGGTTTGAGACCCGTAAAGAAGGCAAAAGCTGTGCAACTGACACTCCCAGGTACGCACCTCACTTTGGCGGTTACAATGCCGCAGTCCGAACAGGATCAGAATACGCGCGACGCGCACGGTTGGAGATCGACATTGATGAGCCATCGATTGAGGCTCTACAAACCCTGATGCTGCTCGCGCAAGCAAGCTTCCAATTAGGGAAGGGAAAGAAGACATTTATGTTACTTAGTACGAGTCAACTCATTTCCAGAAGCGCGCATAAAGCTAATACTGGGTTCAGACGCTGCAACAAGCATGGCATTTGCCCTCGATCTCCACCGCGAACTGCCACAGGGCATGAAAGTTACTCCCGCCGAGCGAGAAGGTCGACGACGACTGTTCTGGTCGTGCTATCTCATGGATCGATTCGCAGCCAGTGGCTCAAAGCGCCCCTCCTTGGTAACAGATGAGTCGATTGTACTTCGCCTGCCAAGCTGGCAGCTGCACCCGAGCGCGATGCTGTTGGAAGGCGACTACTTCCCCAATGGACAGAATCTGCAATACATGGGTGGCTCTGGCAAGGCTGGGCAAGGTAGCATGGGCATGCTTATTGGGATAGCAAGAATTCTTGGCATCACAAATCGCTACCTTGCCGCTGGAGGGGTCAAGGGCGATTCACACTTCCCCTGGCATTCGCTATCCAACCTGTCCAAGATTCGCCAAGAGCTTGACATCTGGGCTTCAGACACACAGGACACTTTTACCTCGATTGAAGCACTGTTCGGCCAACCTGATAGCACCATCCTGGTTCTTTCGAAGCTAGTGTACCATCTGATACATTGCTTGATCTATCGCCCGTTTCTACCAGTTGATCTGGCTGAGCTTTCCGGGACCTCACAGCATCAACCCTGGCAAATCGAGGCAACAAACTTGTGCTTCTTGCATGCTAATGCTATTGCCGAACTCGTAGAGATTGGTAGAGCCTCCTCCATCATCGATTGGCCGGCTTTCGTAGGCTACTGCGTCTGCACAGCCGGCACCATTCACGTCCACGGCGCACACTATCCTGCCCGGGAAGGAGAGGTCTTCTCTGTCAGCGCAGAGTTCCTATCTCGCGAGATGCAACAGCTCTCTGAACTCCGATTCATCTGGGCGGGCGCGCAGCATCAGCGAGAGACATTGCAGACTATCTATGGGTGTCATACTGAGCTTGTGACATCACTGGCCAGCAACCCAATGCGCTTTTCGCCGGTATTCCAGCTCGATGATTTCTTTGATAGGTACCCAGGTCAGGTCTTTGATGGATCACACGTCACCTTTCTTGATATTCAGGTTGAGTCCATCCATGAGAGGTGAGCATCAATGCAAACTGATCCAGGCTCGGCGCTAATGTATCATAGCCTGGCGACCTACAACATCGAGCAACGCAACAATATGTATGTCAACAGCGGCATCGTTGGAAACTCTCACGGGTACCAACAGCAGCAACACACCCAGCCACAGCAACGACATTATTCCAACGGCCAGCCTAGCAAGCGGCGAAGAGCGACCAATTCAAAAATAACACCACAGATTCAATCGGCACCTCTGCCGACACCTACAAGTGCCACATATCCTCCGATAGTGAGGGCTTCGCGACCTTCCGATGCCGGGCTTTCCGACACAACCTCAAATCCAAGCCCCGGCGATACAAGGGTGAACGGACCGACGAATCCACCTTTCACACCACCACCGAACCATAACACAATGAACATGCCAAACACGACCAACGGTGGCGGGAACAGTCAGATTGGAGGCCTGGCCCTCCCGTTCAGTCCAAACTTTTCATTTTCGCCACTGCCGCAGTTTGCGAGTCTAGCACCCTCGCCAGTACCACGCGCAGTAAATCCGAACCCGAACACCGATAACTCGATGTCGCATTTCGACCCGATGCTGAGCATGCCGACACCATACGATCAGCAGCCGACACCAGGCGCCGGTAGCACGTCAGGTGCGTCGGTGCACACAGATCCCGATAGCAAGGATCCATTCCTCAGTCTACTGGAGCAGCTCGCAGAGAACGAGGTTAGCCATGGTGGGCCCAGCGAGCTGGACTTCTTCCTTAGTGGGCAGAGTGGATGACGAGATCCCACAACTGCCTGAAGTGGAAACAACTCCGGACAGTTCCGCGGTTTCTCTCACCATGTCCTTGTTGCATCAGACTGATGTCTACGTTCCATTATCTCTTCGCTTCAGTAAATATCTAATAGGCTTTGAAAGCTACAAAACGACATTTTTTTAGAACCATCACGGCTTGGATCAAAAGACCAGGTATCCTCATCAGATTTTCGGACACCAACAAGGCGCTTAGGGGTTCTGGAATCCTGAGGATGGTTCATCAACAACACATCATGGGATCACGTACAGGAAAACGGACATGGCGATCTACAGGGCCACATATCAGCCATATTGTATTTGTATAATGAGAGAATATCATTATCTCGCAGAAGCAGCATCATGCATTGCGAGGCACTCACATGTATCAATGTACACTCTTGCTAGCCCTGTAAGCTCAATCCTTCTCAGGAGCCCATCAAGAGCAGGTTCATGGGTACCCAGGAATCAAGCTCGGTGACGGCACCGACCCATTTGCGCTCACGCCACGCCATGTGTGCGATACCATTGATCATCTCCATTCGCGAGCGCGCGTTGATACCCACCTCCACATCCCGTATTTTGACACTGAAAAGCTAGGACGGGCCTGCTGCCCATGACGGCAGCACAACCGGCACGGCCGCGGATAGGGCCGAAGGGAGTTAGCGCAGGAACCTAGTGGTTGAAGAGCAGAGTTGGCACCCTTGATGGAAGAACAGCGGGCCACAGAGCACGGACGTCCCCAGATCTGCTCGACCAAGCACCCCGGTTTTCCGTTGCTCCAGGCTTCTGCTGACACGCGTAGTGTGGATAGCGGGACGAGCAATTATTCGTGAATACACATGCGAGTACAGGGGTCCTTGTATTCAAGGACGCAAGGCAGATGAATGAAATTGAGATTGCCATTGTGGGGTATGGACATGGAACGAGTTATGCAGCGTGTCGGAGCTGAAGTGTTAGCAATGAATGCTGCTTGGTGCATGCTCCGCCAGTCTGATCTCTGTGTACCAGCATCACCAGTTGCTCTCAGAGACCCGTCATACAACACTCATGAGTAGGTATGCACCATATTCAACGTTCTTGCTGCCCAGAGCGCCTCGGGCGCATTCAGCCTAGTGTGAGCCCTTAATCAATTTCCCCCAGACCACTTCGGCAGTAGATACTCCACGATTCTGCATCTCACCCGAATCGTTTTCAAACAGCCACACACACCCGCACACCCCTCGTGCCTGACCGCGTTTGCACTGCCTTGTAGCCCCTGCGGCACCCTACGTAGCCCGGTCTAGACGATACGGAAGGGATCATCAGGGTCGGTGAAGGCTAGCACAGAATCAAGACGGAGGGTAGTATCCGTGCACAGGGTGTGGGAAAGGGCAAGTGGCAGGGCTGTGTTTGATCGGCCAGATCGCGACAGGTGGGGTAGTGCTTCTGGAAACTGAGATGGAGGTGTGGATTGTACCTACGTGGCTGCCCTGGATTACGGAGAGGGCTTGCATGAACCCTATTAGATACAGTGCCCCTTCGAATCGGCTTATGAGACATTCATCGAATTATCGATTGCGATGGGGTGCATGCAATGCCAAAGCCTTTGTGATATCGCATGCATGCAACAAAACAACGGTTGCAAGCGAAGCGCGGGGAAAGCTCGTCCCTCATGCAGGGCTTGCAATCGCTTCTCGTAGCGTTCATGCCGGTAAATGAAGGCATAGTGTGGGACCTAGGAGCAACGCATACGGATGGTACGAGAGTAGTTGGAGACTTGCTTGATGATTCATACGTATCACAAACCACTGTAGAAATGCAGAAGGTGCTCCCTCATTGCTTGAGGCGAATTTGGTATTGCGTTGATCTATTACGTGTTCGTCGTGTATGGATGCCTGATCTACCTCTTGCATGCTAGATAAGCCGAGCGTTCCTGATGGGTTTAGGTCATGGTGACCAATTCCTCAGCAGAGACGGGGTGAATAGCCTGCAGAACGAGTTAGCGAGATCAAGCAACACATGTATGCCAAGTTCGCTTCCCCGCTAATACGACGTTGTTGTGCTTGAGTCACCATGCGCCTCACCCGCCATCGTGACACATGGCACACGTGGCCGGGGGAACGGAAGGAATGAAGTGGAACGGGCTGGACTGGACTTACCACACAGTTGTCGAAATCTTGCTTTGTGGCACCCATCTTAATCGCCACACCGAAGCCCTGCAGAATCTCACTACTGCCTTGACCCAGGATGTGCAGACCGACGACCTTCTCCTCTGGACCGACGCAGACGATCTTGTATGCTGTGGGCTGCTTCTCCTCGGGCTCCATCATGGCAAAGTACATAGCCGTGAACTCTGCCTTGTAAACCTTGACCTTGTCGCCGAATTTTTCACGCGCTTCTGGTTCCGTCAAACCGATGGAACCGATCTCAGGATGAGCGAAGACAACGCTAGGGACGTTCTCATAGACAAGGTGTGCGTCCTTCTTGCCGCCAAACAGGCGATCTGACAGACGGCGACCAGCCGCAATAGCAACGGGTGTCAGCTCGTAGCCACGATCACAGACATCGCCGATGGCGTAGATGTTATCGATGGAAGTGTTCTGGAAGTCATCGGTTACGATATGGTTCTTCTCGTTGAGCTTGATGCCAAAGTCCTTGATGTGTAGGTCTTCGATTTCGGGAACGCGACCGGTCGCGAAAAGGACAGCTTCGACCTCGACAGTGCTCTCCTTCTTTGACTCGTTCTCCTGGTAGGTCACGCGCTTCATGCCGTTACCAATATCCTCGACCTTGGTAATTGACGAGCCCTTGTACAGGTTGATGCCCTGGCGCTCGTACTCCTTCGTGACGGCATCCTGGATCATGGGGTCGAAAGTTCGCAGAAGCTTGTCACCACGAATGAAGAAATGTGTCTTGGTGCCCAATGCGTGTAGCATACCGGTCATCTCGACGCCAATGTATCCAGCGCCGCTAGTAGCGATGCTCTTCGGTTGCGTCTCAAGGTCGAAGAAGCCATCGCTGTCAATGGTGAGTTCCTTGCCAGGGATATCAGGCTTCTTTGGTCGGCCACCGGTAGCGATGAGAATGTGCTTCGCCTTGACACGCTGAGTGCCTCCGTTGTCGAGCGCAATCTCAACCTCGTTCTTGGCAACGAACTTCGCTCGTCCCTTGATGTGCTTGATCTCGTCCTTGTCGAGATTTCTCTCGTAGATACCGTTCAGGCGCTTGACATAGGCGTCGCGCTTGTTCTTGAAGTGTGGCCAGTCAAACTCGGGCTGCTCCTTAACCTGGAAACCGTATGCCTTTGCGTCTTTGAATGTCTCCGCAATCGCAGCAGCGTTCCATGTGACCTTCTTGGGTACACAGCCAACATTTACGCAGGTACCACCATAGCGCTTCGACTCGACGGCGATAACCTTTGCGCCGTGCTTCGCAGCTCGTCGTGCAGAGGCAATACCTCCGCTACCGATACCAATGACAAGGTAGTCTGCCTCCTCGGTGTTCTCGATGGGAGCCATTCTGACTGCGGATGTGGAGAAGTGGGATGACAGGTTCGAAAGGCGCGCAGAAGCCAGTGTTGCTTTGGCGATAGGGAAGTGGGACCGCGATAGGAAGCTCGAGGAAGGAGGGGTACTGTGGGAGAGACTCGGTGTGTGAGCTCGTAGCCTACAAACAATTGTTCTACGCATTAACGCTGCAAGTGGGTTACTACCTCAACTTATAGAATGACGCAAGGACAGCTAGAATGGATTTGCAATTGGCTGTTTGTAAGCTCCTATGGTCGGCTGGTCCGGATGCAGAAAAGCTCCACTTGCTTGGTGAGCGGCGAGATCGTGGTCTAGAAGGCTGCACGAATGTTTGTTGACATAAGGGACAGGATTCGTCACTATGCAACGCGCTGCGCGACTTGTATGGCGCGCAGAGAACGCAAAATATGAGAAGAATCGACTTTTCCAAGATGGCTATGACGGAAACATCGAGGTTCAGCGCGAATGGCGTGCATGGCGCTAAGCCGCTCTCGATGCCTCTTTCGCTGACCTCATCGATTTTAGCTGGTGCTTTGCGACAAATCGTATGATCACGCAGTGAGCCGCAGCACCTTCACGCACACGACAGCTGTACTATCCTGGGTAGTAAAGTAACGCTCACCGATGTGCGCTTTGCATTCGCACGTCTTTGGTTGAATCTACGAAATCTCTAGTTATCTCGCGCAGCTGCCTTCAACATGGGCGGAAGGCTATCAACACCAAAAGGAGCTGATGGCATGAACGAGAGCTCAAAACCACACTCGAATAATGCACCTGCCCGCCTCTCGCGGGGTGGTGGTATAATCAATGGCCGGGTGGGTTCTCCTGAACCGAGACAGCATGTGCAATGACTAAGCTCAGACAGACGATCATGGCACCGTTAGCTGCTCTCACCATGGCCGGCTTACTCTTCGTCTACGCAAGGACATCGATTCGTGCCGCTAAGCTAAACGCTCAGAAACACAGAGAAGCAGATGGAGGACAAATCAGCTGGCACAAAGAAAGCTTGAGGCGGCATGGCCAACTCGAGCGGGTGGATAATGACCGCAATACTCTGAAAGAGGCGCTTGTTGGCAGCTTCACCAGTGACAAGAAGAAGAAGGGCGTGGATACGCAGGATAAGCTGCGTACAGAGTACTCCAAGGACGAGGAGGAGCTGCGCAGGATCGTAGGCAAGAAGGACTGATTTTAGGAGTACGTCTTCGGCGACAGTGATCCACAAAATAGCTTTGCATGTTTTTGGCGTTCAGGTTGAGCATACGTGGCTACATTCAGCGCGGTGCTGAGGGTGACAGAAGTGAGCAATAGCACTATGTGCAGTGGGACTCGCTTTGTACCAGACGTGCAACTATGATCATGTGTATATGGCATGATACATAGGTACAAGTGTCTGAGCTGCGCCTGTCATACATGCATAGTTGAGTACCACGTCCGCGGCCGGTAGTTTGGACACGGCAGACGTAGCATGCTTCGGCTGCACCACGTTCTGCACCCAGGTATGTCTGATCAGCCACCTGGCAGAATGCAGCATCTGAGAAGGAGGCCCAATAATCGCGTCATGGATCTTTCTTGTTGAAGTGTATGCGCCCTAAATGGAAGTATTCCGTAGCAGTACCAGAACGGGTTGGATCGTACAAAAGTGCCAAGTGGCTGGTCAGACGTGCCTGGGTGCAGTAAGTACTAGGTACACTGTCGCTGCAAGACATCATCAAACATTTGTCGCACACGACACTGAGGTGCAGAAGGTGTAGCGAACCAAACTCCAAACAGGGCATTTGATGTGTCGTTACAATCATCCGACCGTGGTCTGATTCGTCGAAGCTCTCTGAATGTGGTGTGGCTTCGAGCTTCACATGCTCATGATTGGAAGACCCCGCATTTGACCGCTGTATGAATCGATGCTGAACCACCAAGTCCAGCATTGCCATGTGCTTCTGACAGCAATTGTATCTGAACAAGCGAAGACGTGAATCAGTGACAATTGATGAATGGCGCAGTGGTTTGCATGAGTGATTTGAAACGTCCGGTCAAGAGATATGTCGTTGGTTAGATCACCGCGCTGCGGCCAATAGCAATTTAGGTCGTTTCGAAGCTTGACCCCACCACAGCATGCATCATCGTGCTTCCCGACCCAAGACGCAGCGCAGCTATATCACAGCCATTGTCACCAGCCCTCACTCGCAGCCAGCCAGACAACCGCTCCGCCGCCGTCGCGCAACCTCTTCGCCTTTGTCAGCCTGACCTTCCAGCGGTCTTGATGGAGCTTGCCCGGCTACTGGCCCAGTCGCGATCGCCGTAGGAAGACACCGCGTCTTCCACAGCTAGCGATAGCCAGTATGCCTGAGCAGGAGGAGACGAGACAGCGGCTCAACACCATCGCCGGACCTCCAAGAGATCTCACGGACGTGTCGCGCGCCGTACTGCGCAGCGAGCAGGCCAAAAGATGGACCAAGAAATACAGGACCGAGGTCGCAGCGAGCTCTAGCAGTTTACTCTCGACAGTCGTCGCAGTATGTCGAACTATCACAGGTCACTTTCATACAAGGACTACAGCTAAAAGTTCACAGTACCCTCTCGATTCTGTGAAGACGCGCCTTCAAGCGTACGTGCACGTCATAGACTTAGACGAGTACTGCTGACCCCGAGAAGCTATAAGTTCAATTCATTCAGCGACTGCGTACGCCACACATATCAGACCGAGGGTTTACACGGGTTCTGGCGAGGTACGGCTGTTATCACTGGTGTGATCAGGGCGCATGCTAACATTTCTGCGCAGGCGTTTGGTCGCCCCTTGCCAGTATTACCCTTGTCCGCACCGTTTCTTTCTCGATCTATCAGCGTTCTAAATACACAATCGACGACTGGATATATCAAGCAACCGGGAGTTCGCCGCTTGTGACCGCAAACACAAAGGGTGCTTGGCCCACATTCTCGACGATATCGTGCTTTGGGCTTGCAGGAGCGACTGCTGGCGCTACGATAACGGCGATTGCTTGTCAGTCATACAGTCTACGATTTTGACGTCCAGGCTGACCAGGAGACAGGCCCATTCGAATTGACTAAGCTGAGCGCCCAGATATCCGTGTTGATGGCAGAGCGCAACGATGGCTGTAAACAAAACGATGCGATACGGAAGAGTTACCAAAACCTTGGAACCTTCAAGACAGCACAGAATCTAGTGAGACATCGAGGGTGGTCGGGCCTCTACTCTGGCTTTCACCTGCACCTGTGTAAGGATATGGAACATAAAACCCTCAAGCAGAGACTGATCAGCTATAGTGCGAGATTCTATTGGTACCGGTATCTATTTTGTCACGTATGAAAGCGTCAAACAGATTCTAGCCAATGCACGAGGAACTTCTCCGACACACCCTTTGGCTGTCGTCATCGCTGGAGGACTTTGCGGTCTTGTCAGCTGGGCATGTGTATGCTTTCCCCCTATATTGATCATATCAAGTGGCTAACCGTATAGATCTTCCCTATCGATACTGCGAAGAGTATCTATCAGCGCAACTGTCTTGTGGGCGGGAAGGACAAGCAGACGAGGCCAAAAATCCAATTCCTAAACCCGCGGATGTATCGAGGTGCGTCTCAACCAGACCTCACATACGAAATCGAACTAATTTTTCTAGGCTTGGGTGTTTCCATGTCTCGTTCCTGCGTGGTCAACGCCATTTTCTTCACTGCATTTGAATTCACCAAGAAGCGTATCAACCACATGGATATCGACGAAGAGCTTCTACGCCGATACGATGGGGGTGTTGACTGATTTGTATCGCACCTGGAAACTGCACTTTTTGATTGTACATGCATAGGGCTTGGAGTAGGGTTGTGCACATAGGAGCACAGGGGAGTTACTGGCGCCACAAACGGTATGTAAGGTACCATTGATGGGGTACCTGTTTACTTGCATAGCATTGAATATAAGATGCACCATTTCTACAGACGGTTTGCGCCGACATCTCCCAAGCTAACCCCTTAGGCTCTTTCTTGGTGTCGCTCCTGTTTCGGCAGCTCAGAATGATTGTCTGTTTTTGCTTGTGCGTTCAAACCCCACAACGGGATTCTGCCTTGTTCTCCCTGGTCATATTCCATAGGCGGACGAGGTCTCGAAGTCATCAACGCACGATATAGTGCAGTTATCTCCCCTTTCGTTGTCCGTGCTATGCTTGTGGTAGTCGCAGCGATCCAAGAGCCTCCGTTGGCCGTCTTGGGTTTGCATATACCTCAACGCAACACCAAGCAAAAAGCTGTGGGGGAGCTGCGATCGAAGTTGCAGTTCCCCATTCTTCTCGGTGTCTGACTGTTCGTGCCAACAGAAGCAGTGCGAGTCGATCAAAGCCTGTAGGATCGGGCTGTCGGATCGCAAGTGAGTGAACGCGTAGATGATGGTGTCATAGAAGGGGATTTGAGTATCGACGATCAGACTGTCAATAAGCGCGTTCTCAGACGCGAGAAGGTAGCCACTGGCCATGAAGCGGTCGCCGAATTCGCACGCCTTGATTCTCGCGAGTTGCATGGCTCGGCCTGAGGTGCTGCCGGGGGGAGTTTCCGCGCGAAACTGATCGTCTGTGGGGTATCGCTGGGTGTACAGCCATTGCAGAAAGATCTCGACTATGCAAATGGTAAGCGCAATTTCTCAGCTACCCACGCAGTCACTTACAGGTCTTGCAGTCGACGTCGTCTAGACAGATAGCTTCCTCGGCCACTTCTTTCCAGTTCCCGTTAAGTAACCTTCTGAAGTACTCTGAGTGCTGTAGCAGAAATCCCGGATGTACGAAGTATTCGACGTGGTCTGCGCCGATCTTGAGCTTGACAACATCGTCGCGCATCATCTCCCTATGTTGAGAATTGGCATTTAGTTTAAATGGAGAGGATGTGGATGGCTTACCCATAGTTCTGCGTCACTACTTCGATTGTCGAGCCAGACCAGCTTTGAGTTGCCATGTTAGAGTGGGAACGAATGTGTGAGATAAGTTTGTGTGCGAGGGAAGACGTGGGAGGAGCGACGACAAGAGGTCAATGCACAGTGAAGGTGAGAGTGAGTGTTTATTGTCCCGATCATATGTTTTTCAATCAGTGTCTGTTGCTAGTCCTCAGATTATCTAATATCGAGGCGATCGTTATTTGTGAGCTCGGAATATGAGTCTTGCAAGTGTACCATTGTAAGATACCTTGTATCGTTACTCGACCTTGTTAGTCAAGCCCGAATGCCTTTAAGAAACTCATCTCAGCTTAATATCACTCCGCTTCTGTATCCGTAAAGTCGTCTAGGTCATCTTCCAGGACCTCCTCTAGCGAAGAGTGATCATGATAGTCACAGCTGAGTTGAATCCACTTGTCTTGGTCTTGCGTTATCTCAGCGTATCTCAGCATCACACCTAGAAGAAACTCTCGAGGAAGTATTTCGCGGTGATCGACCTCTCCAGGGACCTTTTCGTCCATATCTGTAGTGAAGGTGGCACAATGAGTATCGATCATTGCCTTCAAGATCAGGCTTTTTGTTGACAAATGTTCGTACGCGTACGCGATCACCTCATAGTAGAGATCGTCTTCACTCGTTACTATGTAACAGATGAAGGTGCGTTCAACGATGCGACCGAACTCCGAAACCAAGAAACGATCTCCGAAGTGGCAGGCTTTAACTATAGCCATCTGCACTGCTTTGCGTTGCCAAATATCTGGAGTGAGAGTGTCTTTCAGCCATTCCGAGTACTTTTTCGGCACTTTCTGCGTATAGAGCCATTCCACGAAGATATCAACTAATGCAATGTCAGTAAGCCATCATTGTAACCGCATAAAGCCAACGCACAGGTATTGCACTCAACGTCTTCAAGCGTGATGACACCCTCCTCTGCTTCCTTCCAGCTGCCATTGAGCGCACGTTGGAAATACTCGCTGTGCTGAGTGAGCAAGCTCTTGTGGACGTAGTACGGGGTGCTTTCATGGCCAATCTTTATAAGCGCCATGCCAGCACGCGCATGGCCACTAGACTCGTGTCAGAAGCAGCAAAGGCGGCACTCGGACCCTCAACTTACACGAAGCGACGCGTGAGCCTCTTGTTGCTAGTGAGGTTCCCGCCTGACATGCTGGGTTGCAAGTGGTAGGTAGGTGCTGTGTGGAGAGTACGACGAGGTCAGGGTTTGCGAAAGCGGTAGGGGTCGGTACAGCGATGAAGTAAAGGAAGCGCAGATGTTTGTTTGGAACTTGGTCAGGTAAAATAGCAGTCGAGCTTGACTTTTCTATTTGCATGTGACTGTAAAGCTAGCAAGTAACCGTAATGATCAATCTTCCGCTGGTTGTAGATTACCGCTTCGCTCTTCCTTGCAGTTGCGTTGGTATGCACTCTGACTGCTACGCTAGATCTAGTTCTTTGGCCAACGTGATCCGTCTCAATTTGATGTACTCTCGAGCCGGTACTTGTCTGCGTAAATCCCCCACTCTTTTGTATCTTCCTCGCTGTAACGCTGCACAACACGCACTAAAAACTGGTGCGGAAGCTTCGTGACATCTTGGTAGCCATATTCCCCGCGGTGGTAAACAGAAGCGTTGCATTGAAAGTCCACCAGCAGTTCGAGGATAATGTCGTCCTGTGGCAGGTGTGCGAAAGCAGTGATGATGGCCTCGTGACATATTACTACAGGAAAGCCTCCATCGAAGAATTCGAAGATGTGCTGAAGCATGGCAGCTTTGTATCCGAGTGCTTGGAAACGATCTCCGAAAATGTAGCACTTGATCATAGCTTGTTCCAGTTCTCGATAGAGAAAGCCCTCTAAAATTGTCCCTATTTTCTGTGTGTATGACCAATCCACAAAGACGTCAACTAGCACTGTTAGTTCCCTCTTTACGTTGAGACAAAGCACGTATGATCGTACAGGTACTGTCATCAACCTCTTCAAGTCTAACGGTGCGCTCCTCCGCCTCCTTCCACGAACCGGTAAGGGCCTTCTTGAAGTACTCAGAGTGCTCCATCAAGATGGCCTTGTGCACTTTGTACTCGGTGTTCTGCGGCACAAGAATGACTGTTACGATAGAACCCTCGCGGGCTGCCATGCTGAGGCCATTGTCAGTTACGTTCGCTCATTCTGGCACATCACGAACCTCGGGCGTCGCTGTTGATCAGCCATTGCGCGCTAGAAGAGCCTGGCCGGGGCGAAACCTCGGAGTCGTTGCTGGCGGGAATAGCTATTTGCGGTACGAGGTTGAGGTAAACGGACAACGTCGCGAGAGCGGGGTCAAGTAGTCGAGAGGCAATAGCACGCAAGCGAATGGTCAGAGCTTCGAGATTGAAGGTGAATCGGCTGGTGACGGTTAGACGCTAATCTCGCTAACTGTGATGGTTCTACTTTACCTTCACCTCCCGTGGTTTAACATTTGTCGCCTGGCAAGAGACAGCTGTCTTATGCCCAATCAGTTAGTCATGATTGGACATCTTGCAGCTCATCGTGTCTAGGGGTTTTCCAATAAGACCTCTGCTATTGAATCAAATATACCTTCCCTCACTTAGTCAAATCAGCAGAAAACCAGATCGTTGACGCATTTGGAGTGTATTAGAATCCCAAGTGCAGCAGCTTAATGAATGTAACTTGATTGTCACAACAAGAGCGGTAGGATTAAAGCCGTCCAGCTGATTTCCGTCGTCTGTTCAAGTCTGCTTACTTCACCGTTGAATGAGAGAAATATGTCATTAGATACTAAGCAAGCACCTATCTAAATCGCCGCCAGTAAAACACGTGTATTCCAAGCATGCCCGGAGGCTTCCTTCGAAAGATCGAATTCCCGTTCAAGGTCAGACAATGATGATATCTTCAGCAGGGAGCCCTGCGAATAATTCTGCATCAACATGCCATGAGACCCCGATTCGTTTGTACGTATTACCCGAATCGCCGACTGGAACGAGCGCGAGACCTTGGCCCCGATATATGTCGGGGCCATCCGTCATCTCTTCAGGGTAGTCGACCAGAGGAATGCATTTCACCGCATGTACCTGCTCAGCCTCGGCCGCGATGTCGAAATCCACGTGTCCGTAGATGGCAGGGAAGTTGTCCCCTGCCAAGTTTTTCTCTGATACGAAGCACCAAATGTCGCCTTTCTTTTCGATGAAGCCGGCAAGCACAGGCGTCCTAACATGTAGACTTGCAGACTTGACGGCTCCGTAAGGGTCTGAGGTACAAAGGGCGATATGATGATGCGTAATGGTTACCGGTCCGAGTCTCGACTTATCTAAGACGGGCAAAAACCAAACTGGGCCGCTCAGGGAAGCCCAGGACCAAGACGGCGCAATGTATGCATCAAATCTGCGTGACACAGTGTTCCAGGAGTCTCCAATATACCAAAGAAGATCTCGAATTATGTTGGTATCCCACAGTCCAGCTAGATATTCAGATTCCAATCGCTCGTTAACGACACGAGCCATGCCGCCCAGAGCAGGGAAACGGTCCTGAGTGATCGAAAGCTCTCTCTTAGTATATTCTTCGACTGTACGGTGCCACAGACCGAGCAGCTCAGAATTGGCAACAGTCCCAATGTTGTCAAAAGCTCGGAACGAGGCCCAACGTTGTCTTATAATTTGCTGCCTTGCAGAGCTATGTTCAGACATTGTCAACGTGCGACATTCCCAAAGCACCTGCTCCACTGTCCAATGTAATACTCTCGGGGAGAGCTCGCGCTCTTGGAGGCACCACCCACGGTTTTGAAGTGGACTGTTTTTGAGAAGTGATTCCCAACTTGTTAGTTCTTTGAAAACGCGAATAGATGTTGGTCTCCCATCCTTGTCGTCAACGATCATTTCTGTTGAGTCGTTCTCGACCTCGAACCTCCGAAAGAGGCCTGCTGGTTCCCTGGAGTACAACGAGGCGGATATTGTGCAGTGTGCGTTGCGATAAATATTGCTCATGAGTGCTGCTTCCGTTCCCCAGTCTGATGCATCATCTTGTAGAATACAAAGTGAATCGATCCAGAGATACCTGATACCCAAGCTGCTAGTTACCTTAATGGCGTCTACGAAGCGTTGAGGCAATGCTTTGGTATCCAGTACTTCGAGTCGAGCAGCGACATTCGTTCTCGTGGTAGATGTGGCCCTGACCAGATCATCCCAACGATGGCTCAATGCAACGTATGGTTCTCGACGTCTGAGGCGCGTCCGAGACATAACCAAACGTACAATTCCGTAGCTGTGCCATGTACTCACATCCAGTAAGCGAGTCGGGACAAATGCTTCGTCAAGCCCAATGAGACATTTTGGATGGTTTGTACTGCAATCTCTCAACCATTGCGTTATCTGCTCCATAGTTCCAGGTGAGCCCGTGTCTCCTGTCAAAGGTTTTGTTCTGCCTGCTTTGTTGGACACAGTCTGCAATGACTCAAAGCTCCTCGCGACTTACCACTCGAATGACTAAGAGGGTACGCATCGGTCACAAATGACGCTGACGCAGTACCATAGCCTTTGGTCATTCTCAGAGAAGACTCACTCGCATAAACAAAGAATTCTGATTCGCCCTTCAGGAGCAAATCATGGTTTATACGACGACGGGACCAGACCTTGCATGACCGGAACTCGGAGAACTCTGGAATGCGCAGTTGCTTCCAGAGAAACATGCAGAACGGACACCCGCGTCGCACGCGGTGCAGCATTGATAATACGGACCCGTGGTGGATTACAGGCCCGGGCTCTGTGCTTTCGTTCACGAGATCTTCCTTCCTTAACTTCTGACATTGCTCGCAAAGCCCGCTCTTCGTGATTTTGGACAGGTCGAGGGGTTCGACAGATACATCCACAGACGAGTCCGGAGAACACCCTTCCTCGCTTGCGCTATAGGCCGTAGGTTCGTATTCCATGGTGGTGGTGTTGGAGTCACCTACTGTGTCAGCCTGATCTGCAAGAGACGTCTCACGCACGTGGCTGAGCCTGCAGGTACCCCGCCAGCAGTACATTACTTGGCAGCCTTGTCCAAGAAACTTCTTCGCGGAGACGGGGTAAGGAGGAGATGGACGGAATTCGTGTGTAGAGGGAAGAAGACGAGAAAGAGTCTGTCGTTGTGTAAGAGTGAAGTCGTGCTTTCCAGGGTCCATGTTACCAGTAAAGGAAGGCACGACAGCGACCACACATGCTCTTTTGTGCAAATGCGCTGCTGATATTACGAACACATCCACTCTCAGAAAAGCATGCTTTTAACGGTATATAACTTATTTCTCTTCTATGTCACACAGATCACAGCCACCCACCGTCTACACCCATCTGCTCTTCGCACAAAACTCTCAATCATCTCTACTCAACTTCACCATCCAACAGTATATATCCGCGCCTCAGAATAGAAATTAGACATTGTAACGCCGAGCCTTGCCGCTAATCGCATCGCTGGAAGAAGCGCCCTATGTACACTACTTGGGCGCACGCAAGAAAAGAAGGAGAGGGATCCCGAGGGATGCAAAGACGCATGAAGATGCTGCGGGAGAAGCTAGAGCTGAAGCTGAAGCTGAGGAACGAACAAATGAATGCTATCTACGCCATAGGCCATAGTCGTCACATGCAGAAGCGAAGAGTCGAGGAGTGAGCTTGGGTTGTCGGCGGGGGAAGCTCAGCCGGTGAGCTGGTCGGAGCGGGGGATTGTCGTCAAGGCGTGAGTGCAGGAGTGGGAGCGACTACGCGCCCCTGACGAGGCTCATCTGCGGTCGCAGCTGATCCATGATGTTGTCGCGGGTGGTGACGACCTCCTTGGGTATCCGGCTGACGCGGTTGGCGCCGTTGCGGATCGCGGCCTGGGCGTTGTTGGACATGGCCGAGCGGTTCGAGCGCACGGAGCCTGCGGCCGACCCAGGGCGGGACGGTGTGCCGTCGTTACGGAACTTGGGCGGCGGCGCGAAGTCGAGCGCTGTGAAGGTGCCGGACCGGCGGAGCAGATGCGGGCTGGGCATGACGGCAAGATCGTCATAGGAGCTGGCGAGGGGAGTGTGCGCCTGGACGGCAGGGCTGTAGGGCCTGGGCGCGCCGAGTGGGCTGTCGGGGCGCATGCCATTTTGCCTGTCACGGTACGAGATCGGGGGAGCAAAGTCGGCGGCGTCGAAGATCATGGAGTTCTCGTTCAGTTTCGCGGGTGTGGGCAGCGAGGAGAGGGCGGATGGCGGGGGCAGGGGCTTCTTGGGTGTAGGTGCAGCGAGACGTCCACTCATTGAAGACATGTTGCGGGGAGGGTAATGCGATGATGCCATGGAGCCGTTGGACATGTGCGGGCCGGTGCCGGTGACAGTGCCGCTGCGGAAGCGAGGAGGTGCTCGTGGAGGAGGTGTCATAGCTCGGCGGACAATGGGCTCAGCAAAGGGTGCGTTGGGCTGGGCAGCAACGAAGCCCCTTCCTTGCGGGTCGTAAAGAGCGCCATCGAGATATTCAGAACTGTAATCCTCGTAGTAGTCGGTGTACTGGTGTCCGCCGGCAGGCTCAGGCTTGGAGTCGTCAAAGTACTCCTTGTAGAATGATCGAATGCGGTTGGCGCGGTCCTCGGGGTTCTCCTCAGGGTCGTCGTGCGCAGGAGGCATGGGGCGTAAGCTCATAGACAGGCGGTTGTTGTTCTGGCCGAACTCAGCAATGCTTAGTCGGGCATCGTTTGCAGGACGTAGAGGTGCAGGCGCAACAGGTGTGGGAAGCTCGTGGATGGTTGGCTGGGTCTGGCGAGGCGAGGGCGGTGTGACCTGGAAAGCATCACCGTAGCTGGACGTGCTGACAATGCTGTGTGACGGAGCGTGAGAGACGACACCCTGCTGGGACTGGATACGGGGAGAGAAGCTGGCAGCTCGATCGACAGGCGACTTGTTAACCGACTTGCTCTTGACTTCGGCATCGGGGATCATGATCTTGGGGACATCGGTGGTAGGCTTGAAGGCGGCAAATTGTTCCTTGATCTCTGGGGACTTGGGCGCAGGGAACTGATCGTTCGCTCGGGGGTTCAGCGGGCTAAGGGGTTGGGCGGATGGGTCGGGAAACTGGACGGGCGACCTTGTGCTGTCGGGAGACAAGGACTCGCCGTGGAAAGGGTTGGACGTGGACATCCTCTGCGCGTTCTGCAGAAGACCGAGGCCGAGACCATCGCCGTTTCTCCCCTTCGTTCCGGCACTCGATGCTGTGTAAACGGAGCCGTTGTCTTTTCCATACCCGCGGCTTGAGCTGCGGACGCTCGCACCATCGGTCATGAAGGTCACGGGGCGGTAGGGGTCGTGGGGATCTTGGTTGGATCTTGAGAGCGAGTGGAACGACTCGCGCGAGCCGTGGAGGCCAACAGGCATAATATACGGGCTTCCGTGTTCCAGCGAGATTCCACGGCCGTGTGTGCCGTTCATCTCCTTCTCAATGTCGGTGACCGACATCTCAGGCCCCTTCTTCACGCCAACGCGACCCCCCTTGGTCTCCAAGCCAAAGTCCATCGAGCGGTACTTGTCCTTGTCCTCCTCGGCCAGCTTCTTTTGATTCCTGCGGTGCAGGAAGAACAGCACGACTGCGATGCCGACAATCGGGACACTGCACGGAGTTAGCGGAGACACAGGACCAGCTTCAGACTACCTACACAATGGCAAGGGCGATGGCGAGCATCGGGACCTGTGTCGGCTTTGTGCAGCCTGGATCGCTTTCGTTGGTACATGTTGTGGTGGCTCGGGCGACGAGGACTTTGCTGGCTTCTTCGACCATTGTGCGGCTCGCAGAGAGGTCGACGGCCCTCGCCGCGAAGTGGTGCAAATGGCGGTGCTGCATGGTTTCACAATGTTTCTCCTCCTCCGCCAATCCGGGGTTGCTAGCACTATATTCGAGGCAGACGTAAACCGGGGGCGGGTCTCAGATGGTCGTTGTGTATGCCGGACGTATGAGTGGTCCAGGCCGTGTGGGATTGAGTATTAACAGCGTGAGGTCGTGGGGCGGTCGTATATGGCCAAGCGAGTGTATGTATGTGCAGAAGTGCGGTGTATGTGTGGGAGTAGGTATGTAATCGGTGTCGGTCAAACGAACGCTGCTCTCCGGGCCCAAAAAAGAATGACTGGGGTAAGATACGGACTGCGAGCTGGTAAACTCTGTGGAGGATTACGAAAGAGCGGCGCCCACAAAGTGAGGTGAGGGAAGAGGGAAAGCCGGGCGGCAGCAGCTAGATGAGGCGCCGCACTTCGCGAGAGGAGCTTGGAGTCCGGCAGGTCTCGATGACAGGCGCCTCCTATTGGCACAAGTGGGCCGTTGCACGGGTCAAGCCAGCGGCGTAGTGAATCGCAGGGTCAGCCACGGTGTTTGATCTGCTCGGTGCATTCTTGCGCTATTTACTCGCAGTCCCCGCAGAACAAAGGGCTTGTGTTCAAGTGCATACATCTGCATCGCAGCCGCCCTCACTTCACCTCCACGCTCGTGTCTTCCCAGCAGCCCGAGAAGATCGCATCCACTGCCCACGCGCATCAGAGCCGCCCTCCTGAATGACCGAGTGGCTGCTGCGCCGTGCCCGTTGTTTAGAAACAGCGAAGATCCCGTGCGCTTTAGGCCGCTAGTGCAGGAACCCATCTTAGCGGGGAAGGCAGCGGCGACGATTGGCCAGACGCCAGATGAACGACAGGGTTCGACGTCGTGCCTGCAGGCCACACAACAGCGCCGCGAAGCGCTGCCCCCTGAGGCTCAAACTCAAGGTGTTCGGTGGCAAGTAGCGACAACTGCTCGTGTCAGCTGCTGGAGCTGCTGCTACCGTTCCCTCGACGCTGCACAAATTCTTCGAGTTGCCCGGCGACAGCTTTTAGGCCACCCCGTCGGGCCAAGTGCATTCTTCCCCTATTCCAGCAAAGTGGACTGCCGCCAGTCCAGAACTTTCGGCCTGCGTGGCTTCATTTCCCGCGCCCACAGTGCCACAGCCTCACCCACTTGTGCAGCTTCCAGCGCGGACCGGGCGTCTGCATCCAGCTGTTCCGAGGGCCGCTCGGTGGCTGCGGTTTGCGCTGCGGGACGTTGGGGCCAAGCACATCTCTCCGACCAGCTTCTTCTTAGATTAGCTTTGCCGGCCTCGGTTTAGATCGCACGGCAGCCTGCAAGTATACTTAGCTGCCTGTGCATGAGACGATGCGAGGCTCCTCCTTTCTGGTGACGATTCTGCACCGGGGAACATCACGCGATAACCGAAGGCAAGCAGAAGTGGTACTAACTCCACGACTGCGGTTGGCGGGACGCGTTGTCTCTTATCGATTCGTCGTCGGCTGCTGCTCGGGCACGGCAGGGTAGCCTTGCACATGGTCTTGCAAGCGGTCAGCTTCAACAACACCAACGAAGTGCCAATCTCGTTGAGCCGGCCGATCGACGGGGCATCCCCTTCATAAGACCGCAAATTACCGCCATCTCCCCAAGATTTTGTGAAGAGCCTGCTTCTCAACACTGGCGAGAGTATGATGACATTGGCCGTCTAGAAGACTAGAAGTGTGTTCTATTGACATGGATGCTGTTTGCTTAGGAGCGTCAAGCTTCGCGTGTTGCAGACTAACAGTGCAGCCTGTGCGATGTCTGGCTGGCACAAACATCCAACCACGTTCCTGTGTACAACGCCAATGGAACGTGCGATACGCGCACAATACGGTGCGTGAGTCGTACGGCTGCGTCCGATGCGGTGCTCCAGGGGTGGTGGTACGCATCGTTGCACCGAGACATTCGATACGGATCATGTTGGCGTCTGAAGGCTTCCTCTCGGAGACGGTCTGCTTCAGAGTAATTGAACGTCTCTTCCTCATTTGGCCATTCCAACTGCCTCGCCTTGGCGAGGTATGTTCTTCCCACAAGCGGGCATCCACAAGCCATTGGCGTTCATCAACAACGCTTTCTCTTCGAGCGTGACCTCAACATGCTGAACAACATGCACTCGAGTCTACCCTTCTCGGCGATGTGCTCTCCAGCTGCACCGATGTGACGTCCGGTGATTGGTCAAGGCCACCGCACGAGGTAGGAGTTGTTGAACCGATAGCGAACACAATGAACAAGTACAGTGGAACACCGTGTTCGTGTTAGCGTGGACGCTCACCTCACGTCGTGCCAGTGGGGTTTGTCCCTTTGAGGCCGTGTCGTGATGTGGTGTTGTGCAAATCACCAGATGCGGAACAGCAATGACGCAGCACTAGCCGCCTTCTGTAGACAAATCACAGCCGTCCAGCAAAGAGTGCAGCACGACACTTCACCTCGCGCGCCGCTCACCGCCGCTTCCCACAACGCAAAGACTACAGACCAACCTCATCCCCCGCCATCGCCCTCCACATCCCCGACACCGAGAGCGAGACCCTGCGCAAGCCCCGCGTCCCAACCAGGGTCCAACCGAAGCTACTCTCTCATCAACCTCGGACAATAATTGCCCTCACACCTTGCACCTCGTAGGCCCGAACTCCCGCCCTGCAATCTTGTAGTCCGGAACTCTCGCAGCAGCTACACCATGTCGACCGTCCCCTCGCGCACCGCAACGCCCTCGGGCGACACGGGCAGCCACACCGTACAACAGACCCGTCCCACCCCCGTCCTGCGCCTCTCCGCGCCGTCGGGAGTACTGCGCCTGCGCGCCGCACCCGAAGAGCGACGCCACATCCAATGGGCCGAGGACGTGATCGACAACGAGGGCATGGGCAAGAAGAGCAGCAAAGGTACGCAAGAGCCTCACCAGGCACTCCTGCACTCCTCATGTCTGCACAGCAGGCGCAGTTGCTGACAAATCCTAGTGTGCTGCATATACCACGCCCCCCGCGAAGCCGGCGAGTCGAGCGACGAGTCTTCTGACAGCTCGAGCTCTGACGACTCGGATAGTGAGCCGGACAATAGCACCGCGCGGCCTAGCAGAAGCTCCCGACGCGCGAGGAAGCCGGCACACGACCACGACAACGATGACTGCGAGCATGACCATGGCGCAGGCGAGGGCGGCAAGCCGAGGAGGAAGACCAAGAGGGCGCCCAGTCCGAATGCGTACGAGAAGGTCCCGAAGCCGAAGAAGTGAGGCGCGGTGGTGATACCATGATTGGCTTCACACAGCGAGGCGTTTGGAATTTTGCTTGCGGATTGCTTGTAGCTTTGCATAGCGAAGGCGAGATCAATGGTGTTGGACTTGGTGCTAGATCTTAGACTCATCAAGACACAAAGACGTTATTACCCTGTACTCTGCAGCGCAGCAACGTGCCATTATTTGCCATAGCGACACCGAACTGACACTCTTACAATAGTCAACGCCTAACAAGCAAGTCAACGCCTAACAAGCAAGTCAACGCCTAACAAGCAAGTCAGGAACCACGCCCATTCGCATATTAAAACCTCGCCTCAACCTTGTCCCCCACATCCTGCAACGCCCACTCGCTCCTCGCCTTTCGACTCCTCACGCCGTCAACCTGCGCCTTCGTCCACCCCTTCGCCTGCGTGGCCGGATTGTACCCCAGCCCCGTGACCTTCCCGACCTGCTCATCCGTCAAGTCCTGCGCCGCACTACCATCCGCACGCTTATACACCGTGCACACAACCGCACCACCCAAGCCCAAGTTATGCTGCAGCGCAACCTTTGTGTCCTTGACACTGCGGTTGTTCGCCCACCCGCGCAGATGCCACACCAGTTCCGCGCACTGCGCCAGCCCCGTCGCGCCCAGCGGGTGGCCCTTTGAAATCAGCCCGCCAGACGGGTTGATCACGACTTTGCCACCGTACGTAATGCCGCCCTGGCGGATCAGCTCGTGGGCCTTGCCCTTTGGCGCGAGGCCCAGCGCCTCGATGGTGACCATCTCGTTGGCGGAGAAGCAGTCGTGCAGCTCGCACACCTTGACCTCGTCGGGGGACGTGTTGGCCTCGGCGAGGGCGTCGCGGGCCGCGAGCTCGCTCATGCCGGCGCCGATGAGGTCGATTGCGGAGCGGTTGAAGAGCGCGGGCGTGTCGGTTGCGAGGCGCTGGCCGGCGATGAGGATGGCCTGGTCTTTGAGCTCTGGGCGCGCGTCGAGGAAGGACTGGCTGCAGAGCACGGTGGCGGCGGCGCCGTCGGAGGTCGGGCAGCATTGCAGTTTTGTGAGGGGCTCGTGGATCATGGGCGAGTTCATGACTTGGTCGAGGGTGTATTCGTCTTGGAATTGCGAGTAGGGGTTGTTCTTGGAGTGGGCGTGGTTGATGCGGGCGATCTCTGCGAAGTCCTTGAGCTCGGAGCCGTATCTGGGTGTTGTTAGTAGGGATGGTGAAGTTGTGGTGATAAAGACTTACTTCTCCATGTGCTCACGGCCTGCGTTGCCGAACAGCTGCGCAGCACCAGGTGCCTTCGTGATACCCCTTGTCTCCTTCATGATCAAGTTGGTCGTCGCAGTGGGATTGGTGCGGTCCTGGAAGAACGTCTGCAGCGAGCCGGGAAACATCTTCTCGAAGCCGACCACAAGCACACAGTCGGCCGCTCCGTGGGCAATCATGTTCCTGCCCATGTACAAGCCTGTGGAGCCTGTCGAACAGTTGTTGTTGACATTGTACACGGGGATGCCGGTCATGCCGAACTGGTAGAAGACGCGCTGGCCGCACGTTGAGTCGCCATAGCAGTAGCATGCGACACCCTGGTCGACGTCGTCGTAGTTGATGTGCGCATCAAGCATGGCCTTAACACCAGCCTCAAAGCCGAGCTCCGGGTAGTCAACCTTGCCGCGGGGCTTGATGAACTGCGCGTGTGAGTTGCCGTACTTCCTAAAGTTGAGGCATATCTACCTTTGTCATGCCCACGCCGAGCACGTAGACGGGCTGCTTCTGGCCGACCATTGTGGCGGTTGCTGTTGGGGATCAAGGAGGTGTGGTGTGTTATAAGAACAGCGAACAAGTACAGCAAGCAGACAATCACAGCGAGCAGATGTAGAGATGAGACTGCACTCGCTTGGTCAAATATGTCAAGTATCTGACAGCAGCATCAGCACTATAAACCTCCTGTAGTCGCGGAGCCGAGTCGCGCCAACCCCAGACGTTCAGGATCGCGGGGGTGGAGAACACTGAGATGCCGAGGTACGCTCGCGCCACAACCGTCTTGCCGAACCACGACACGCAATTCACAGCAAGGCTGTAGACACGGGCTGGCTGTAGCAGTGTGATTAGATTTCTCGATTCATAACTACAGCCCGGATGTACGAATTGGACTGGTGGGCATGCGCGGCGCGATTCCATCGAGTTTGTTGCCGAGTACCACACGCTGCTGACAGCCGACGTCTAGTCAGTTGCCGCAAAGCGCCGTGATTGGCGACTGCAGATGGTCTCACGTGAATACGTTTAATGTTCGGTCATTGCATAGCCTACATGCTCAGTCGGAATCACGAGCTCGTGGGAATCCTGGAGGCTGAGAAACGTTGCAGAACAGCAAGTCAAGTCTTTTAGGCAAGTAGGTTCTTATCGTTAATAGAATTGTTAAAGTTATATGATACAGATCCGCTCAAGACGCGGATTCTGGTAATACAATGTCAAGGCCGTGAATACTAAATTCAAAGGGCCACCCGTGGTATACCCATAACGCCGTGACGCAATGCAATTCATAATCAAAAATAGTGCACCTCACCGAGCCGGCGCGTCGCTGTCCGAGCTGCTGCTTGAACTCTGTATTGAGAGGGCCTGTGACTCCCTTCGCTCTGGTGTAATGTCAAGACTGCCTGGAATTGGAGCTAGGCCTTCGGGCCAGCTGCGTCTCTCCCTGTGCTCTACAGAGGGCATTTGGTCTTTCTCGTGATTGCCGAAGCTGAGTCTGTTTTTGACCTTGCTCCAAGTCCTGGGCTTCATCTGGCCCGTGGACTCTCTTCGCTTCTCTTCGGCCGCTGACTCGCGCCTTGTCTGCTCATCTCGTCGTGGGTCTGACTGCTGCCTGGTAGTGGGTAGAGAATTGAGCCAGATGGGGTAGAGTGCTCCAGCAGCAAATGCAGTGACACTAACGCACATAGCGTAGCGGGCATCGTGAATCTTGAGCGCGGCGAATGCCATGGGTGGGAAGACTGCACCGCCACCAATTGCTGATGTGATGAGCACTGAAGCGTCCTTCGTGTGCTTTCCCATTCCACGAATACCCTGAGCGAAGATCTGCGGGAACAGGGGACCCTCAAAAAAGTAGATCATCACCAGCATGACAGTGCCAGTGGAACCAGAGGTTTTAAACGCTGCCACCGAGAATGCAACGGCACCGAGGTAGAAGACCAGAAGACTGAAGCGCGGTTTGACCCACACATCGATGAAGGCTGCCAAGAAGCGAGAGGCAGCGAATGCGGTATGGCTGACCGCCTGGTGATTGACATAGTTGACGGAAGGTTTGACCAGGCTGAGGTACTCGGCGTACGAGGTTGAGGTTGACTCTTGAGCCCCGACGTAGCAGAACTGTGAAAAGACGGCAAACCCTAGACTGATCCAGATAACTCTGACAGGCCAGGGGCCGATCTTGATTGAAGCATCCCTGGGGACAGGCAGGCGCCTACTGGCGGTCTCGAGCTCCTCGTTCGTAGCCTCCGGGAGTGGCACGTAGAAGTAAAGCACAGCCAGGGCAATGCTGAAGAATGAAATGCCAAGATATGTCCACTGAACGTCGATCAAGTTGGATGCGTTGGCAGTGAACAAAACCTTCTTGGCAAGTAGGGGCGAAACGATTGTGCCAATTGCTTGCACACCTTGCGAGAGATTCAAACGCACTTCAGCGTACTCAGGGGGCCCACAAAGAGCAATAAAAGGGTTTGCGGCGAGCTCCAGAGTTGACAGACCAGCACCCACGATGAAGTTCGAGACGAGAAATGCTGGGAAGTTGGTGAGAACAGCGGAAGGCCAGAAGACCAAAGCTCCACAGGCGTAGACTACGAGCCCAACCATATAGCACACCTTGAAACCCCAGACCTGAAAGACGATCCGTCCGAAGGTCAGGGGGCCAACAAGGTAGCCAACATAGTATGCACTGTGCTGTCCAACAGTTTGCCAATCGCTCATGTTGGCAATCTCTTGGAAGCGCGAGTTGAGTACATCCAGGAAGCCGTAAGCAAAGCCCCAGATGAAGAACAGGATGGTGACCATCAAGACTGGATAGATGGATTCGCGGTTACTCCTCAAAGTGATGTTCTTCTTCTGTCCAGTGTCGACAAAGTCGAAGAATGTGATAGAATTACGTCGCGTGCTCAGCGTGGGGGCCATGGTTACTGCGGTGCTTGCGCGGTTCGTTTGTGGGAAGTCGGTTGTATCTGGCGAGGTGAGAAAGTCCATCATGCCTAGCGGTTCGTCGGCTCCTCGAAGTGCAGACAAGGCGACTGGAGGCTTGCTCATGGGTGAATCGGGTGGCGTCTCTTGGTCGGATCTGCGCCGCGAGTCTTCTAGGATGTCTGGGTGGAACTGCGCTTCGTCGCTTGCGTGTGTGCCTGAATTACCACGTGATGTCGTGTGGTCAATGATCCAGCTCGGCAAGAATCGTCGAGCCAGCGGCTTCATGGCAGGAACGCAGCCGCACATGATGCCCACGTTGATCTCAACCGTACTCCACATGAACGAGAGTGAGGCATACCACGAAAAGTCACTCGTGTTCCGCTGTGTCGTACCGCTTTCAGTGCGATCAGCTTGTGCCGCAACGAGAGTGGCTCGCTGCGCGTCCTGAAGGTAGGCAATACGGACAACATCGACGATGGCCACAAAGATGCCAAATCCAAAAGTGATGACCAGGATAATCTTTTGTTTCTTGGGTAGTCGCATGCTAGTCAGGATAGGCATGGGAAGAAACAGAATAGCAAGGTCGGTGATGATGTTGAGCGGAGCAGACGACAGGTAGATTGTGACAATGTTGGTGCAGTGCGCTGTTAGAGGCACGGGTACCATCCATGCAGCACTGACTGGTCGGCATTGGACGATGTTGAGAACAGTCAGGGCCAGGCCGCCAGCATTCACGACAACGAGCGTTGCGATAGTCGCCCATCGAAAGATCTTTTGCGTTTCCGACAGCCCGAGGTAGAAGATCAGGATCGACGTCTTGGTTGCCATGAGAGCCGGGTTATAGAGTACCGAGAACGCGTACGCCGACTGTTGCATCGGTTCGAGCCAAGCATCTTCAATGTGAGCCTGGTGTCGACCAAGTCCTTTGGTGGTGCCGAATATGATGGAAAACGTTGCGCCGAACGCTAGCAGCCATGCTGCGATCATGGTGTAGTCATCCCATCCTGGTTTCTTCACCACGAGGAATCTCGACATCAACCGGAGGATGACGAAAACAGAGCAAAGAACAAGTGTCGCAGCTGACGTAGCTCTCACTGCCGGTCCCCGCGACGGAAACTCAGCTGTAGAGACGGGTGAATCCATCTGTGCGTCGGTGGTGTTGCGACCATCCACGAATTGGAGTAGATCTACCGAGTGTTGTTTGAGGAGACTTCGTGCTATCTCGGTCGTGGTCGTCGTGGAATCGCGAACTCATGCCACAGCATGTTCAGTCACCAGTCTCGCAAGCTGTGTTAGGCAGACGCAACAAGGCGTAGAGAGCACAGGGGCGCGTGGGAGGCTGAGTACGAAGGACGCGCTGGGAGGGCGACAGTGCGAGTGCGGGAATTTCGAGGACTGTGGGGAGGAACGTTGCGGTGAAAGGGTCTGACAACCCCAGAAATACCGCACTGTTCAGCTGCAGCTGGCGAGGGAAAGGTGGAGAGAAGTGCATGCTGCGGCAGAGCAGTTTGGTAGCGATTCGGCTGGTGTTGGGCCGGCTTGCACGCCAGGTATGGCCATTGGCAGATAGTTGGTACTGAACGATGTGGAGGTGGGACGCCATTCCGTCATGCATTGGCAGGCGCCCTGCCACGCTCGCGGCTCGGCCGGTCACGGAGGCAAAATTTCAGTCAGGTAGCAAGTCGGGGACGCTCGCCGTGTCTTTATCCGAGTCATTGTGCTGGATCCGAGACCACGTTTCTGTCCATGGATGCTTTGGAGTAGGTGTCGCAGGCTCCCTTGATAACGATGTGTCGAATCCACCGCTCCCCGCGTCGTCAGGGCTCCCTTCAGCCCAGTACCAAGCAACGCCCCGAGCAAAGAGCCGCGCTGACCCCAGCTTCCCCACGATGCGCTCGGCTGTGATGCTCGCTTGGTGGCACTCGAGGCGGCTAGGCGTTGGTGCCCTCAAGTCTAAGACTGCCCAACAAATTCACCCCAGATTACGGGCGGCATTCGAGCGATAGCGGCTTGCCGCTCAACGAACCTCGCGCGGTGCGGATCCGTCGAACGCTAATGACCAACAGAATGGGAATGAAAAGTCACGTGCGGTGCTGTCCGGCAGAGCCTCACGTGCAAGGCGGGGCTGACTCCAACCATGGAACCCGTTCTTTGGGAGACGCAGGGTTCGAAACGGCTGCCCTGTACCAGGTACACGGCAGCGGTCGTTATACCTGCCATGCTGCTTGCGGACGAGAAATAGAGTAAAGTTGAACGTCACCTTGACTCCCTATCGCCCGTGGCGAGCCGGTATGTTTGGCGTCTGAGTCGCATACGTTATCGAGATTAGCGTCAAGAGATACAACCACGTTCTCCCTGCATGATGCAATACTTACAGTATGGTCACAGCGGAGGGACTGTGGTGCAATACGGCTGTACGACAGAAGGCGCAGACTCCAACCACAGACACGCTCCCTGAGGTGTTACGGACCGAGCAAGGGTATACTACGCTCAGCACAGATACCGCATTGTAAGACTCGATACGCACTACAGCTACGATGTGTTGCAAGGGATGTAGAATCCACTTGAAAGTCACTGAAGTGACCAGCATATGCAGCACACAGGATGTGCAGAGAGCTGTTACCCTCACAGGCCGGTGAGAGTGGGCACGCATACAGCGGTCAACAAGCTCAATATCGACCATACCATTCAGCACTTCCATCTCTAAAAGGCTGAAGCGGTGTGAGAGCGTGGGAAGGCGCAGTTCGTCCTCATAATCTTGACAATCCCATGGCTTGGCGGCTGCTCAGTCACCATAGCATCGGCCCATGACGGACGTCACACCATTAGCCAGTGGAAGCAAGACTGTCGACATTTGCTTCTCAAGCCAAGGCCGACGCACGACTTTCGACGGCCGATGCATGAAAATAGATATTTTAACGCACAACAGGGTGTGGCCTCACGATTGACGTACCGGGGTTACGCGTCCGCCGCAGCGATCTGCACTGACCTACAAACCACACAAGCATATGTAAAGAGCATACCAGCGAGTCCAAAACCGGCCCAGTTATCGATCATTATATTCACCGTTATACTATTCCATCATCGCTCAAAGCATCCAGCAATACATCTTCGTCAATCATCTTTCAAAGCATCCGGCAATACATCTTCGTCAAACTACCTCCGCCATGATGTCCAACGCCCTTCTCAACAAAGACATCGAGCCCCCCACAGGCCACCCAGCGCTCGCAGACGACTCCCCTATAGACACACACCCTCTCCGAACCCCTCCAGCGCGATACTATGCCAAATTCCCGCGCAACAGCACCGGCGCCACGCCGCCGAGCACGCCCCCCTCTGCTCCCGAAGATGCCGAATTCGACTTCCGCAGCACCTCCCCGGCGCACGTCAAGCCGGAGCCGACGATCCTCGATAAAATGAGAGAGGTCCTGCATCTGCGCAGACGGCACTGAGTGGTCTGTCGCCGATTCGAGAACCATCGATTCGAGTCGCCGAGTCGTCAATCATCGAGTCGTTGATCACTGGGTCAGTCACTGATCAATGAGTCGTCTATCACGGGACCAAGAACCACCGAATCGTCAATCTCTCGACGCATCACTGAATCGCCAATCACCGAGTCCTCAATCACGGATCACGGCTTCAACACTCCACAGGCACGGCACAGCACACTGGTATCGACAAGCTCCATTCACGCTCCCCAAGAATTATATATTACGTATCGAAGCCCTCCCAAAAAAAGCCCCCCGCCTACAACAAGCCCGCGGCCGCAAGCAACGCAACAGCAGCGGCACCAGCAGGCGTCACGAGCGACGCAGCACCCGTCGCAAACGCCGCCGCGGACTCGGAAGTCCCGGTCGCGGTGCTAGTGCCGGTGGCCGACGCAGAGCTCGAGGTCGGCGCAGCCGTTGTCGCCGTCTTGGCTACGCTGGCCACGGACGCCATGGACGACGAGGCCGCGGCGCGGAGGCTGTGTCTGTTAGCAGCCGCTCGATTGCACTCGACATGGTGGATGTCCTGAAGAGAGAGAGAGAGGGGGGGGGACTCACGGAGCCGCAGCCTGGCAGAACGAGTCCATCTGGCCCTTTGCGGGCGAGCGCTCGACCGAGTCCGGGCAGTTGTTGTAGCACGTGTACACGTCGGTGTACACGTCGCAAAGGCAGATCCAGTCGTTGCCGCCCGAGCGGCAGGCCTCGATGCGTGCGTCGTAGCCGCTGATGCAGGCGTCGACAATGTTCTGCGCTTGGCAGGTGGCCGCCAGCGCGGTCGAGGAGAGCGCCGCGAGGGCCGCGAGAATGGAGGTGCTGCGCATGGTGGTGGAGTGTGGCGGGGAAGGGGTGGTCGATTATCCAACAAAGGAGTAGACGAAGTCGAAGATGTAGACGAAGATGTAGACGTAGAGGTAGACGTACGTAGCAGCACAATCCCAAAGCGAGTGATGGGCGAGCGGGTCCTTACAACCAATATCAACAACCAGACTCTCGAGGAATGCAAAGCAACGAAATCTCCCAGCGCCCGAGCCCATCCACGCACCTTCATATACTCCCCCCTCTCGTGCCACCCCTACCTAGCGCCCGCGCGCCAGCTCACCCACCGCACCAGTCACCACCGTACCACCCAGCCAGCCCAGACACTATTAAACACCGCGTCCGCACAGCCAGCGCGCGCCCCAACCTACCAGCTCGACCCCGGCGCCGCACGGGCCCGGCGGCCGCACGATGCCCGTTGAGGAGCGCACTAGGGCCGCGATGGGGAAAGTGCATTGGCCAAGGCGGTTAGTGCTCCCGCGCGGTCCCCCTATTTTTGGCTAGTGGCTGGAATGCGCGATGCATGGCGAGCGGTCGGTGAGTATTGGGTGGGGAGGGGATCGCGTGAGGTATTCTACGTATGTAGATATGTAAGTAAGTATTGGGGGGCGAGAGCGGGGTTTGCCACGCTGAGGGTGCGAGGGAGGCGATAGGGGCGGGGCGAGTGCGAGGGTGGGACGGGGCTGCGGTGCACAGTACGCTGGGCCAGAGACATGCTTTCATTGCGGTGCACATGTGGAAGTTTGTTTCGCGGGCTGGGGTCGGGTAGCGAGGGGGTGTGATTGGCAGACAGGGATGGGTTTGAGAAAGAGTGGTCGGGGCAAAAGCAACGCGCTGTGATTGAGTGCGAGAGCACGACCACCTTGCACACAGAGCGTCGGCACAGAGCATAGACATCTCACGACTCGACGGTAGGCATGGGACTCAGACTCGCTCGCCTCGTCGATTCCTTCATTGCGGGGCGCCGCTCTACTAGTACTGCTAACGAAAGCGCTATCCTAATCACTATCCCAACGCCAGAACCCGGGTCCACACAGCGAGATGCTCATGCTCACGCTCACGCCAATGAGTAAGAATATGTATGGCCTCTGTGACGCTCCTCGTTTTATACACTAATGCAATGAATGACACGACAACGTCTACTCCTGGCCGAAGCCCACGGTCTCCTCCACGGCGATGGTGAGTTTGCCGTTGAGCGCATCGAACGTCTTGTACGGCGGGAGATCGAGGCGGTTGAAACTGTGATTGTCAGTGAGCGGAAGATGTCTTGGGTTGAGTGTGCGTGACATACCATGTGTGAGACTTTGGCAACTGATTGGGCTCACCGGCCTTTTCAATCGTGAAGCGCCTGGGCCCGTCGCTACCCTGCAGATCCTTGAATCCGTTGACGGGGATACGCGAGGTTCCGGTTGCGAACTGCAGCAGGCGCGACTTCTGCTCGGCGTCCCAGCTGCGAATGCACTTCCAGAAGTGTTGAATGACCTCATCGTTCTCCGTGTAGCCGCGGTAGTCGGTGTGCTTCTTCCAGTCTTCGACATCGATATCAGCAATACCACCGATGAGCAGCTCAAGCTCGCGCTCGTCGAAGACGTTGACAAGATCCGGAGGAATGAGCTCGTGGAATCCACTAAGGAAGGCGCTGAACTGCTCCTCGACTCGCTTCTGGATTCGCCACTCTGTAATCAGCCTGTTCTTGTTAGCGTTGCAGTCACTCAGCAGCAGAGTACTTACTCGACGTATTCGTGCTTGTTCTCGTTCGTGACCTCGAGATCATCGCCGCCCGGCTTCAGCTCAATGCTGACAGTCTCACCAAACCTCTCGTCATCGGTAGCAAAAGTAAGCTCCAGCGCGTCAGTGATGTCATTGTTCAACATCCACTCCAAGTTGCGGTGGAAGTCGGCATCGACACCCTCCATGTCCTGCAGTGCGACCTTCTTTCTCAAGATCATCTTGTAGAACGCACCAATGAAGAAGGCGTCCAGGAAGCGACGGTGGAAGATGGCGAGTCCGACTACACGTCCAATAAACTTGAAGTAGTTCAAGTGCTCGGGGTTGATGCCAGAGTGGGGGTTGATCTGCAGCGTGTAGTTGTCGTGTGCCGAGTACTCGAAGAGACAGTAGAAGGGGTTGAACATCTCGTGCGAGAGCAGGAAGAAGAATTCACGAGACAGACCTCCGTAATCCAGACCGTCTTCGCCGTCAAACTTGATCATCAGCCTCTTCTTCAGGTCCGCAGCAGACTGGCGCATAATCTCGTGGTACGAGTCCTCGAAAATATGCGTTCGCCTGACCTTGACGTGGCACTGGCCGCTGACGATGCGGAGAGCGGGTTGCGAGCGGAAGTAAATCAGCTTGCGGCGGAAATCACGCTTGTACTGCGGCACGTTCTGGTCCAGGGAAGACGGCAGTCGCGGATCGTCCCAGGTTGTCGTCTTGGTGTTGTGATCCACAAAGTACACACGTGCAGTGTTTGTGAGTCGCATTTCCCACCCAGAGGGCAGAGGTCCGAGCTGGGAGACGGGCTGCTGCTGGATGGTGCTACCGTTGGCCGCTTGCCCGCCGTACATGCGGATGTACTGCTGTCGGCGGGGATCCACCCAGGTGGTTGTGCGCGTGTTGTGGTCCACAAAGTAAGGTCGCCCCTCTGGCGTGTGTCGCTGCTCCCAGCCTGAAGGCAGCTCTCCTGTGCCAGCGGTAGTAGCGCCGGTCGCCATCATGCTCGCAGCATTAGCAGCACCAGCACCTGCGTTTGGCGGGGAAGGCTGTCGATCGGCGAGGGTAGGAGAATTGGCTCCTGTGCGGTCCTCGGGCAGCATGCGATTCTGGTGGCGGACACGCTCCTGCTGGGTCGATGCTGCGACTGCGGTGCGGTTCTCGCTCTCGCTGAAGCCAGCGCCGGGCCTGATCCAGGTCGTTTGCCTCGTGTTATGATCGACGTAGTACGTGCGGCCCAGGTGGTCCTCGCGACGCTCCCACCCGTTGGGCAGCCGTCCTTGCGCGTCTTCAAACGCACTGTACCCCGGGTTCTGCGTTTGTCCTGCTGCAGGCGCGCCGTTGGTGGAGACGGGCGGCGCGGTGGTGGGCGGGCCTGTCGGGCCTGCCTGGCTGAGCCGCTGCGCCGAAGCCTGGGCGGACGGTGCTGGACGCTGGCCGGGGTAGGCGTTGGGGTTGAGGCTCTGGGTCGACTGGTGCGGGGTCGAGACGCCGGCGGCGGAGCCATTCACGGAGGGGTGGGACGAGGCCGTGGGCCGCGGAGCAGCAGCGCCGGCCTGGTTGTTGATGGGGGCCTGCAGGTTGGTGGACAGGTTCAGGATCAGCTTGCCGTGCACGACCATGTTGTCATTCGACTTCTTCAGGTCGCGGGTGAGCATCTCTGCCAGCAGTCAGTACGGCGGGTGAGCAGGGCGCAGGGAAAGTACCGTCGCCCCCCGCATCCAGGTCGATGACGGAGCCTATGCGGACGTTGATGACGCCAAGGAAGCCCTGGTCCTTCTTCTTGAACTTCTTCTGGTCGAAGATCTGGACGGCGAGCACGCTCTCCTCGTTGACGCGCCTGGCTGGTCAGCAGTGTCTGCGGGCGGGTGGCGTGACGTACATGTCGAAGCTCTCGTTCCAGTAGGGGTTCAGCGTCTTCTTGATGACGCTGGTGGTGCGCGTCTGCTCGCCGTTGATCGTGGCCACGGCGAAGGGGTCCGGGAAGCCTGCAGGGCGTCAGCGGGGTCCCGTCTCGTGCGGGCGCAGGTGCGTACGGAAGACATCGCGCTTGTACAGGCCATCGGCGGCGATGACTGCGGCGTGTTAGCGGGCGCGGTGCAGCAGCAGCACGGGGAACGCACTGGTGATGCGCAGGTTGGGCTGGCCCGCGGCGTCCATGGTGGCAGGCGACGGCAGCGGCTCGTCGGGGCTGCTCGTCGAGGGGTGCGGTGCTGGGGCGGCTCTCAGAGCTCGCCGGTGTGCGGGTCTGCGATCAGCGAGCGGAGGCAGCTCGCGGGCGGGCGAGACGACGCTGGGCGCTGGACAGGCTACTTCGTACCAGGCGACGGGCGACAGGCTACCGCGAAGGCGAGGGTGCCGGCAGAGAGGCTGTGCAGCGGTTACAAGGCGGGACTAGGCGCCGCCACCGCTATGCTGGAGCTGGAACGACGTCGCTGCTTATGCAACCGTGGGCAATGCTGAGGAATCGGCGCCCTTTGCCTGCGCGACTGTGCTCGGAGACGGTCACGGCGTCCGGCGTCACGGCGGGCGTGCTGGAGGCTGCGCTCGACGCTGCTTGGCGTGCCCCGCTTGCGAGATGTCGAGAACGATGCGCGCTTGCACTGGCACTGGCCGATGGTGCCGTGGGCAGGACGAAAGCAGCGGCACGAGCAGCACACACGCTGGAATGCCCGTCTTGCACGCTCGTCTCACCGCGCCCACCGTCATATGTACTGCGCATCTGGCCCCTCCGCGCAGCCACGCACACGCGCGTCTGGCACGGCGCTGCGAACCATCGATGATGTCAAACCGCTCGACGCCCGGGACCCCGGCACCTGCATGATATGCACTCCATACAGGCCTGCGCGCCCGTCTGCCACTGGAGCTGCCCGACGCGAAACATCGCACCTCTCCTGTAATGTGCCCAACGTCGTCGCCCACGCTGCAGTCGCACGGCCTCCTGCAGCTTCCAAACACTTTGCAAACGCGTAGACGTTCATCAAACACGCAGAAAACCTGACGTCTGGGGTAGACCCGCAGAACGCGCCCTGGTCGCGACTGTGCATATGATTCAAACATGAGGCTGTCCAAGACCGCCCAGCCATCTGGCCTCCGCTGGACATGATTGTTAGATTCACGATGCTTGTGACCTCTAGCTGCAAATTGACGATGCAAGTGCCAGACGCGTATGAAGCAATGCCTTCCTGCTGTCGTGTGAGCGTGAGGTGTCAACATGCTTTGACATACGTATACTTCTGTGTGACCACGAACTCTACCAGTGTAGGCCTGCGTGAGAGAACTTCTAAGATGCATGTACAGAGAACTTCTAAAATGCGTGTACAGTCTAATCGAACGCAAGGCTGGTATTATCGACTCACGCAGACAGCCCTGCAGACTGTGCTCGCCATCGAGATCAGCACAACCGCATGCCTCATCCAACAGTCCCACACCGCCACAAACACCACGAGCACATCGACTCCCCAGGTGCCACCAAAACGCCCCCAGAACGCCCCCCGCAACACAACAGCCCCCGCCCAAAGCACCCCTCTACTCCCGGAACGAATTGGCCACGGCAACCTGCCTCAGCCCCGCCAGCGCCCGCACCTTCAGCCACGTCTCGTACCCGCTCAACTGCACCTCGACGCGGAAATGCCTGCCCCAGGCGCGCAGCCAGGCGAGGAAGTTGGTCGGCCACAGCACGCCGCCGCGCGCCTGGATCTGCTCGAGCCGCTCCTCGTACACGGTTCTGCTCGCGTAGCGCGCGAGGATGAGGAAGGTGCGCAGCGGGCCCTGGCGCGTGTGCAGGCCCTCGTCGAGACTGCGCGCTGTGGGGGGTTAGCAGTGTTCTTACTACTACTATGTGTGGAAGAAAGAGGAGGGGGGTAACGTACTCAAATCGTTGGTCTTCAGAATCAGCAGGATCACTCGCGGCACCTGGCCCAGCAGCTGGATCAGGTTCTCCAGCAGGCCGTCGCCCAGCGCGTCGCCAATCACCTTCTTCTCCTCTGTCGTGCGGCTCGACGCCACCCCGCCCGTCGCCTTCTGCGTGAGCACCGTGTAGTCACGGCCCGTGATCGCCGACGCGAACAGCGGGAAGTGCTCGTCGCGGATGCCCGCCGTCTCGTACGCGTAGCGGCGCATGGCGGGCTCATCGGCATCGAGCACAGCGAGCCAGAGCTTCGCGTACGCGCGGCGCAGGGTCATGGGGATGTCGCGGTAAAGGCCGTGGTCGTAGAGGATGACGTCGAAGTTGGCCTTGCCCCAGCGGTGGGGGTTGTGGCGGACCGCGATGTTGCCGCCGTGCGGGTCGCAGTGCAGCGGCGCGTCCTTGCCGAAGATCATCTCGTTGAAGATGCGCGCCAGGGCTGCGGACACTTCGTCGCGGTCGATGCCGTGCGCGTCGAGGTACGCCAGGTCGTCGGGGCGCGCGCCGGAGATGAAGTCCATGACCAGAATGCGGCGCTTGGCCCACATGACCTGGGGGATGGTGACGGGCGAGGACGGTACGTGTGCGAAGTAGGCGCGTGCGCGGGTTGCGTTGCGCCCTTCGAGCGCGAAGTCAAGTTCCTGCGGGAGACTTGCTTCCATCTCCTCCGACAGCCAGGTGAGGTCGTATTCGGGGAACCAGCGCTTGAGCGTGCGGAAGGTGAAGGAGGTGAGAGCGAGGTCGAGCTTAGACCATTCATCCAGCGCCGGGTGCTGTACTTTGACGGCAACTTTCTGGCCATCGACAGTGGTTGCGCGGTGGACTTGGGCCAGACTTGCTGCGCCAATCGGCCGCTCTTCGAACTCAGAGAAGAAGTGGGAAAGCGGGCGGCCGGTGTCTTTGAGCACCATTTCTTGAATCGACTCGAAGGACGAGATAGGGCATTTGTCTTGTAGCGGAATAAAGGTGTCGCACCACTCATTCGGGAGGAGGTAGTTCATGGAACTCAGGTGCTGGCCGAGCTTGATGAAGATGGAGCCGTTGCTCTCGAGCGTGCGGAGAGTGCGTTTCGCGCAGCGCAGGTGGCATGCCTTCAGTTGGTCTTGGTAGTCCTCGTCCTCGTCGCGCTTGAGCGTGTGGCGGTAGCTGCCACATTGTCAGTCGTAGTCAATCGCGCGCACACGGTGTGGTCTCGTACTCCTTGATGTTCAATGCCAGTGTCGCCGCGACCCGGTATGTCCTTTGCGCCGCTGACCAGGCATGCTTTGCATCTTCGTTGAGTGTGACGACCGCTGCGCCGACAACGACTCCTCCGCCCAGCGCCCATAATCCCCGTCTTCTCTTGCTGCTCCTGGGCCCTGTCTGCGTCACCGCCTCCGCCTTACTCGCAAAAGTGTTGCGCTGCTGCAGCAGAGTCTGGCGTTGCGACTGGACGCATGTTCGGCATGTCCACGGAGCGATCCGCGTGGCTGTCCCGCTGCGGCGAAGGAAAGGAGACAGAATTAAAGCTGACATTGCGTGGCTATGCGCTCAACATCGTCGAGAAGGGACGGTCTATATCGCTAGAACGCGACAAGAGAAAGGAAGGTTGAGCAGGCAAATAGTCATGTCGTTGTCGCCAGCCCGACATTTTCTCGAGCATAGCCGCTATCGCAGATCGGGGTCCCTGCATTAGGTAGATGCCGATGGCAGGTGGCGTACTCAACCCTGGCTCGTGCAAGTCAACGAGGCATTTTTGCTGAAGCTCGTTGTGTTGTGTCTTCAAGTATGTTCATACTCAGTATTTCTATCCGTTACCTGATGCGAGCTTGTTCCGCACCTGCGCTCTGAGGTATTCATCGCGTGATGCAAGCTCTCCTTGTCTATGACATAATTTACTCATATCCTCCGTGGCAGCGTAATGCACCGAATGCTAACCCATAACAAAACTTCAAACTCTATAATGTCACACACAGTGTACCGTTTCTTGCCCTGCGACACACTCCATCGTAGCTTGCAGCTTCTCCTCAGTCTCCACTTCCTACATGTCGACCGTTTCGTTGAAGCATAACACCCCGTTTCCTCTCAGAAATCCGTCCACGCCGTCGGGCGTCCTATGCCTTCTCGGCTGCGCAACCTGCAGGCCAACTCCATTATCCGCAACGCTGTCCGTGATATCGCTCACAAGCACCAGGCCAGCCGTCTTAATGCTCTCGATGAGCGCCGGAGCAAGATCGAGCAGCCGTGAGCTGCATATCAGACCCATGAAGTTGTTGTTGCGCGCGATTTGTACAGCTTCCTTGACGGAGATGGTAGTCCGGCCGGAGCTTTGTATTGTGTGGCGGCCGGAGGGCGATTGAGCTGAGTCGGCACCGAGTTCGTTGCAGAGGAAGACAGGATCTGATATACATGTTAGTGTAGCCTCAATGTTGGTGTCGGATGGACTCACAATTTGGTTGCTTCCAGTTAATGACGGTGCAGATGTCCTGATTGAATGAAGTGAAGACCACGCTGCGCAGAGTGCCGTCGATTTCCCCAGCACCTTGTTCTCTCAGTGCTCGAGCGTGTTGAAACACAACTGACAGTATTTTATCAGCGAAGTCGTTCATGTCGTGTGACGGGCCGAGCTTCAGTCGCTCCTCCTCTAGCCTTGACGGGAACAACACATGTAGTTCCACATGAATATGGGCCGGTAGCAAGGACAACGCCTCATCCAACGTAATAAATGACGATGCTAGCGCTTGGTAAATGTGCGAGATATCGTCCGAAGTGGCACTCTTGAGGCTCGATAGCTGTGCCGCGGTTGTTGCGTTCTGCTGCGCGCCAATGGCTGAGAGTTGTGCGTAGGTGAGAATGTTGACCGGCACTTCGAGTCCTGCATGGTTGATTTTCCATCTTGGATACAACACCGGAATGCCATCCGCCGTGAGCTGCACGAATAGACGAACGTACTCCCCAGACAAGCTCGAGCCAGTGATCAGGGTGTGCGGTTGGTTGTCGTCCTGACTTGTGGCCTTCCAGTATGTGGCGAAATGTGTGATTTCGAGTGGTATTCCGTGGAAGGGTTTGACAACTTGAAAGTCAAAGGCAATCTGGCCAATGGCTCGTAGTCGCGGATCGAAAAGTTCTAAGTGCCATCTTCCAGTACTCTTCGACCGTTCTGTGAACACCTTTTGCGATGCTACGCTGCGTGCAATAACCTTCGAGCCGATAGTCGGGTAGACGTCGAAGTCGATAGAAAACGCCTCCAGGTTCTCAATTTGGAAGGAAATGACCTTGAACTCATCCTGAACGGGTAAGAGTATGTTTCGAGGTATAAGGTCCGAGCTTTTTGAGGAGATAGTAAGCCGCGCGGCGGGATACTTCTGATCGTTGTAAAATCGAATGGCATCTTCTCCAATCTTCTCGAAACTAATGACCACAAATGTCTTCGTGTCCAGGAAGTTGTGGCCATACCTGCGAAAGGGTATGATCGGCGGTGGAAGGATGAACTCAGGAATGCCGTCCGGGTCACCCAGCTCAAGATCCATCGGCCCAGGCGCTGTGCTGGACATGGGCTGCAGAGTGTTTATCCGTGGCGATACCTGGTTTTGTGTCTTCAAGCCCACTCCACGCCCAACCGAAGCGAGCAATGTCATGCACTCAAGATGCCCTTCCCAAGTTGCGTAGTACATGGCAGACAAGCTCTTCTCGTCGACAACGTCTACGTCGACGCCGAACTCAAGTAGAGTCTTGAGACACTCCACATGCCCTTCACTTGCGGCATGGAATATCGGAGTCCATTGGTAGAGTTTATCCGGCTGGTTCAAATCGGCGCCGTATTTCTGAAGCAAAAGCAGCATCTGCGGTGTCTTCCCGGATCGAGCTACTAGGTGTTGCGGGTACAGCCCCTCCGCATCTGGCAACATCTCGGCTGACCTTTGAAGGAGCAGCTCCATAATATCCAACGAGGCGTACTGGCAGCAGAGATTCAGTGGAATGTGCTCGCCTGGACCGATGCGAGTCATATCGGCGCCTCTTGCTAGGAGGATCTGCACGCATGGTAACTGCGAGCGCACGATTGCGTGGATGAGGGGGGTGAAGCTGTCTTGGTCGCGGAAGTTGACAGTGTCCGGAGCGGCATTAATCAGGGCCTGGACAAGCTCAACGTAGCCATGCATAGAAGCATAGTGGAGAGGTATCCGTCCATACACATCTGTTGCGTGAACGTCCACGTTGTTCGACAGTCCAAGCTGAATGATCTCCAAGCGCCCACTGATAGCCGCCTTGTGGAGGCAGTTGCGCTCGTTGATCTCATCTTCTTGCTTTAGGTCGACGTGGTTGGAGCCGAGCACAATCCTCAAGGCCTCTTCTGGCGCTTCAGCAACTGTGCTCAAGAAGGCTCGTGAGATGTGCTCCTTGGCGTCGGGTAGATTTGATAATCGTGTGAGACATTCATGGATCTTCGGTGTGTTCGATAGGTTGATGGCTTGGATGAACTGGTTGTCGAGTTCGAGGTTCGCTTCGATCAATGGCTCAAAGATTCTTGGCTCTGCGGTCGGCTGCGGTGCATGCACTCCTTCACCTTCTGCCCAACCGGAGAAGTCGAGAATCGCTTGCGTTGCCTGGTCGGAAAGGGTGCTGATGACTTCTCGGTTGAAGCATGGCTGCACCTCAACAGCTCTTGACAGGTAGAGCTGCTTTTCCCGCGACTAGCACAGGATTAGTGAACCAGACTATTGTAAGGAAGACGGCAGCATACCTTTGACGTTTTATCCCACTGCAGATGTTAGCTTGATGCGGACGTGGATCGGGGGTGCAGGCTGCAAACCTTTTTCAGAATCTTTGAGAACGCAGTTTCGTTCACTTCCACGAATTGCTAGGCAAGGTTAGCTCCACCACCCAAGCATCCGGAGACCAATCACCTCGAGCTTGTTAAGGTCTGTGCTAAACTGCTTTAGGCCTTCTTCGAGCGCAATATACCGCGAAGACGTCTTTGAGACTGACTGCGGATGCTGCTGCATGACCCGCTTCTTGTCTAAGAGCGTTGTTAGGCGCAGACGGAGCTCCGCTTCCTTCTGGAGGTAGAATGTGTTGACCTTCTCCAGTTCTCGTTCCTGGTGCTATGAGCGGGAGATCTAGTCAGGCGACACTGCATATGCATACCACACGGAAGAAGAATGTAGCCTTGTTCGCTTGCAGAGATGTCTGCGGATCTAGTGAATCGTGGCCATGGCTGCTGTCGCCTAGTGCAGGAATCACTGGTGTGCTACTGAGCTTCTTGATGAGCTACAAACACATCAGCATACATACACGGCCAACACGCCAGGCTTCAGTTACCTTTTTGAGCGCCTTGTAGTCGACGAAGCTTGCGGCGTATTCTGGAATCTCCAGCTGCCGCTTCTGTATATGCTTGCCGAACTTCCTAGAAAAGCGAGCGGCGTCAGTGGTCTCATCTTTGGAAGCTAAACTGGTGCTCGATGCAGTCTTCCTCACGGTGCCGCGGGGGCGGAGTTGAAGGGGTTCCATATGAGGGGCATGACATACATGGTGGTAATCGGCTGAGATAATTGAGCAGCGGTGTTTCCGAAGCCTTAACGGCAATGCGCGTGTACCGCACAAGCGAGTAAATCCTGGTATGGGTCTGGCTGCAGATCCGCCCATACAGGGTGGATATTGGACAAACGTGTGATATGCAACGGGTGTCGGCAGACGCCCACGCGGAAGCGGATACGGACAAAAGCAACGGATTCGCGGTGAGCACGATGAGGCTCCGGGGCGCCTTCTAGACGGCGGACGTGCGTAGTTGGTAGAAGTTTCAAGAAGTGAAGTCACCCAAGCTTACAGCAGGGTGCCGCCTTAGGTTGGGCGGAGCGCTGCAGCGACTCGCGTGGCACTTGTGTTACGGCAGACGACGAATGAGGGGCCAGACTCTGCTGTGATGCCGACGGCACATTATAAGAGGGCCACGAGGTTGTGCATGCTGGCCGCTGAGATGTTGTTCAAGCAGTCGTTAGGAAGCAGCTGAAAACGGCCAATGAGAGGGCGCGCTGGCACCCCGTGCGTGCAGAGGATCGCGCAGAGCGTTCGTTTGGTAGGGGGCGCGCTCAAGGTCCACTACGCAGGGACAGGGATTCTGCGTATGGGCTTCCGCTGGCTCGAAGCGAGGTAGCGCTCGGGAGATGTAGGTGTGGTGCCTCGGTGCCTGTTGCAGAAGGTCGTTGTCCGTGGATATCTTCGTCTTCTCTCTTCGCCGCATTACATAAGTGACTGAGCAGCTCAAAGAGGCTCGACTAGCCACTTAGGGCAACTTTTCCGGCTCCCGCTGTCGAAACAAGCCTCAGCGCACCAAAGCAGAGGGCAACCGGAGCCGCGCAAGGCAGCCCGACCCACCATGGCTGTAACCTCGCTCTAGGCTGATGGGTCGTTCGTGAGGATTGCGCAGGTTAGTACGGCTCAGAGACGGAACTTTCAGGATCCCCTACCAACCATCGGTAGAAAGGCCCCGATCTAGAGCCCCCATGTCGGTGTATGTGCCGTCAAGATCCACGATGAACAGCCTCGACCAGGCTGGCAGGCGCATGCAGCACATGAATGGGTGCGTCACCACTTGCACACCATTGGTTAGGAGACATGGCGGGAGGAATCTGGCAGCAGATATCCGTTTTTTGATGCCATCGTAAACGTGTTGCTCAGCGTGGCATCTTGACATCATGTAGTGGGCCGACGCATGACTGCACATATCGTGACTGTACAACGAAAACTCGCACTTATAATAGCCAATAGTGACCCCATAGTACCTCTACAGTACCCAGATGACGCTCCTGGTGGGCCTTCACAAGCACCCGTGCTTCACATGCGTGAAGGTTCGGTCGTTGCCATGCCGGATACGGCACGTGCTGGAATATACCGTCTCTACGGGCTGGAAGTTCTTCACGGTTAGCAAAATAACGATGTGATTTCTCAAATATGTTCATTCCCTTTATTCGTAGGCCGCCAGGGCAGGATATCTAGAAGGCCCTGCGCATCCCCTCCTATCCTATGCTTTTATCATCTGCGCAAATCAGGACCAATCCTCCAACCCGCTACCCGCTGCATGCCAAACGAGAAACAGAAAGGTCTATTGGGTATTAGACCGCCAAATCCGGAGCGATCTTAATGGAACGTAAAGAACGCTACGCGATACATTGCGCCATGCGGGTACGTCCTTCGACTCCCTTGTTCGACATTCAAATGGCGTCAGCCCACCAGTCGTCAGCGTTATTCGTGTCCGTAACCTGAGTCGAAGAGGAAATGCGGTCGAAAGGCGTGCGCGTGGCTACGTTCGTGTCCAGCTCAACGTTCAGTCACAACTCGTCATCGTCCATCTCAGAAGGCTTGAGGAGACCGCCAACCTTCATGGCACGCTCGCGCTCCTCGTCCTTCGCCTGCTTGGCTGCCTGCTCGCGCTCTTCGGCGAAAAGCTCAGCATTGTCGCCCGAAAATTCTTTCAAAGAGATGAGGAAATCTCGAAGGATCACCTTGAAACGATTGAGGTCGGCATTGGTAGCGAAGAGTCCGTCAATGAACGCTGCGATCTGAGCAGTCTGGAGGTTAGGGAATGCGGTCGCCAGCAAATTACCGACAAAGTTTCGCAGAAACTCGCGGTTTGGTGTGCCGGCTGGGGCCATGTCTGGCGAGGTATAGATTGGGCCTCGCAGCTTGTCCGAGTCGACCAACCAGAACATCTTGGCGAGAAGCATAGACTGCGACTTGAAGCCGGCCTTGTGATCGTTGTCTGTGACAACGAAGAACACATCCTGGAGGATGGTCGTGAAAAAGGTCTGGAAGAAGGCGTTGCATGTCTGCTCATCCGTCTCGGACATATTGGAAACCAGCTCAAAGCACATGGAAAGTCCAGCGCTCTCGACTTCGCGGTTGTCGTGCTTGCTGGCCCACATGCAAGAGTCGATGACGAATTTGAAGGAGCGAGCGTCCAATCGAAGCAGAGCAGGGAAGCAGCGCAAGTTGATGGTCCTGAGGAGCTTGAAAAACTCGACGCGGTGTTCTGGGTACTCGGAGAAGTCCTTGTTGATCATGTCCAGTGTGCATTCGAAAACACTATCCATGATGTTGATGATCTGATCCTCCATCATGCTCTGCTCAACGTTAGTAAAGTACTCGGTTGTGGCTGGGCGAGACCAACAAAATGTTTGCTCGTTTTGGGTGTCCAACGTACATGTAGCTTGTTGATGATTGTAGTCATCACGTTCAATACCTCGGCCTCGCGAGCGTCAGGTACGTTGTTCTTGTAATCAATCAGAACAGCTTCGAGCAGCTTAGGAACAATGTTGTTATGGATCATCTCAAGGTCATCGGCCTTCTCAACGTAGGTGTTGATGAGCTTGAGGATTTCCTTCTTGATTGTGCGCAGACCGCGGACCTTGGGCATCTTTGTTGCAATGTTGCCTTCGCGCTGTACGGCCTCGTCAATGAGCTGCGAGCTAGCGCGGTACATTGTCAGCATGTCGAAGTAGATCCGTCCGATTTGAGGATAGAAGTAGGAGCCGATAGAGCCGCAGGCGGCTACGTTTGTCTTCATGATGTTGCCAACAATCTTGATAACCTCCGAGTCTTGCAGACAAGCAGGGTTCTGATTGGCTTGAGCAATGATGCTGTCCCACTATAGACGATCTTAGCATTACATATACGGTCTGTCATGGGGTCGAACTTACGGCAGAGTTGGGTAGAGCCATGAGGTCATGAATCAGACGCTCCTGCATGCCCTTTTGTCCTTGCGCACTGATCATGTAGCCACAGGCTTCATAAAAGGTGTGCACTTGCTGAGGTGAGAGATCTGCGGTGATCTTTCGCAAATTCCTCACAATTTCGTCAATAAATGGCTCGTTCTCGCCTGGTTGAAGCGCGACAAAGTGTCGCCGACACTTGTTGGCGATCTTGATGAATGTGTCGCAAGCCATATCCTGGACACCCTCGTGTGTCTCGTGCATGAACTCGAAAAGCTTGTTAACAACAGTCTTCAAGAACTTCCAGTGGGCCTTCAGGAATCGCGGATACTGGCCAACAATGTACATGATGTTACTAGCGACGACGGCCTTGTTGTCTTTGCCACGCTTCATCTCTGTAAGACCGAGAAGATCCTTGATGACGGTGACCAGAAATCTCTTCTCCGTCTCCTCGTTCATTGCGCCGGAGATGGAACCGATGGCCCAACAGAGCGTGTTGCAGTTAGCCCAAGACCATTCTGAGCCATCGACCTGGCGTGCCAGCTTTTCAGACATGATTTGCTCGGTGTCGTTAACATCCAAATGCGTCAAGAAGACCAGACACTCGCGCGTTGACTTGTAGAGCTGGATGGTATCGCTTTCCTTGACGAATTCGCGCACGATCTCTCCCTCGTCGTTCTCAACAATCAAGACTTCCTCTGGCCTGACCATCTTCTCAATCATAACGGTTCGTAGGTTCGACAAGATCTCGGTATACTTGTTCTTACGCAGAGGATAGTTTGCCATCATCGAAGGGTCGCGGTTGCCGCCGGATGCGATGCCCAGGTTCAGGAGAGGGTTCATGTCGGTGATCGGAAGCGCCTGCATCTCATCGTACAGCTCAGAAACAAGCTTGGTCCAGTATTCCAAGCAAATTTTGAAGATCTCGCGGTCGTCGATCTGGCTAATGCGGATGAGGTAGAAATGGCCATGAGTAAGGAAATCCCTGTTCATAAGGTTCTCGATGACAGCCAAGTGCGACGTAAAAAAGTTAGTCAAGAAAAGCGCCAGGTTGAGCACAAATTCTTGGTCCCTGCTATTGCTCGATGCATAGGTTTGCTTCAGATCCAGGGACAACGGGATAATCTTCGAGATCGCAGTCAAAGTTTCTGTGAACATCTGGACGAGCTTGTCGTCATATGCGGGTTCGGTGCGAAGGCCTGCAATCTCCGTCAAGCACTTCAATGTGATGTTACGGAACTCCGGGACATCGAGGAATCGACTGCGCAGAGTCTCAATAAGGCTCTGACCACTGGGCGGTGTCTCGAAGATGTATCCCAAAGGAATCCAGTTGAGGAAGCGCAGCAATGTCTCGAGAGTTGCCTTGATTAGGGAAGCCTCGGTGGCTGTGCGCAGAACCTCAGAACAAAGCTGATAGATCGAGGTGAACTCGTCGCACATGCTCTGCTTGAGCTCTCTGCGCTTCGTAGATGTCATCTGCTCCTCTGAATAGTCAAAGACCTCTTCTGAGAGCAGCCTGAGAATGACCATGTTGTTTTCGCAAATCCCTAACCCGCTGTGACATGACGAGATGATTTCGTTGATGAACGTCGGCCAGTTGTGGGGCCACTCTTGCTTCAGCACGGAGACGAGAACGAGGTTCAGCTTGTTGAGCAGGGTGCGGTCGGTGCGGCGACGCTCATCGTCGTTTGATAGTTGAATGATGAAGTTGACGATAAAGTTGCGAATGCCTGGCACGGTTAGTGTGTTCCAGTCTTTGCAGTGTGCGGTCGGCATACCTTGACATTGGTCGCGGGGAAGGACTTTCCATCTGGTCATGATCACATTGTCTAGTACTTGCAAGCCGAGGTCTGGCATTGTTAGTGAGCCTTCAGCAGTCCGCAACAACAAATACATACACTTGGTTTGCGGATACTGCGCATCCGAGAGGATCTTATCGACCAGGAGCCAGGCATCTGGGTTCTCCTTGAACTGTTGTATGGTCAGCAGGTGGCATTGCGGGCGCAGCCGGGACGGTCCAGCCTACCTGGTTCAGTGTCGCCTGTGCCTGTTTTTGCTGCAGGAAGGGTGTCGTTAGCTTCGTTCCTGTCTCACTCTCGCGTGAAGCTGCACAGAAGACATACTGGTTCGCCACGGCTCTCGTAGAACGCGCGCACTGTGGCGTCGAGCTCTTCGATAGACATAGACATGGCGGGCTGCTTCGCTGTGGGGTCAGCTCCCTAATCGACTGGCTGGTATGCGGGCGGCCCCAAGAAGCTCTGCAGCAGTCGAGGGCTGTGCGTATGTGCGTGTGGTCTTGTGGCGAGCGGACGGGACGGCGCAGGAGGCTGGCGCGCGTGAGTTGGGTGCCTGCAGAGGTGCAAGAAGACGAGGCGGGGCACGTCGAACGCGAAGCGAGGCTGCGGGCAGACACCTAGGATGAAGGAGTGATAGGCAAGGAGGGGTAGAGCGTGACGAGTCACACGCGAGGCTGTATAGCCGGTAGCTTGTCGTCTCGGAGCTTTGGGTTGTGTTGGCGTTGGTTGGCAAAGTACAAAAGCGCAGCGAGCAGACGCGCCCGGCTGCTGCGTCGATTGATGCCGAGAGAACGCTAGCGCTAATGACCAGAGGACCCACGCTCAGACAACTCACCGCACCGCAGATTTCACAGTCCCACTTCATTACTAATATTTTGCATTTTGAATGTATCTGCTATTATGATAGAGCGCTGGGTATCACTCGAAGAAGCCAAATAATGACAAGAAAAAACTCGCGTCAAGCTCCCACAAACGCCGAAACGTGACAGTATACTTCGTGGATCTATGTGTGATCGCCCTCGACAAATCGTCCGTACTTCGGCCGACCTACACGCTCAAAGCCGTCTCCATACCTACCACTGTCTGTCGAAGGCTGTGCATACCCTGACCCCGGGTCGCGAGGAACGGGAGCCGGTTGTGCGTAGAACTGCGTAGGTGTTGGCATCGTGCTGGCGGGCGGCGGTGGCAACGGCGAAGAGACATTGTCGTGATACTGCACAGAGTCATAACCGCTGAAGCCAACTGGAGAGATCGCAGATGGCTGGTATGCTAGTTCTCGAGGTGGCGGGTAGTAGAGCTGTGCCTCCTGTGGCGGAGCATGGGAAGGGTGGATGGGCGAGGTTGGCGAAGGTTGGCCCTGTGCTGAGTACCGCGTGTCCATGGTTGAGAATTGCGCGTGTTCCCAAGATGGAGATCGAGCATGCGAGGGTGGTGGATACGATGGATGCGCATAGTTGCTGTCGTGCGGAGAGCCGTAGGGGGTTGCGTGTGGCGGCGATCCGGATACCGACGACTGCTGGGCGTATGCGGAGTGCGGAGAGTTCAAGGATGCCATTCCAGAGTACGGCGAGTACTGTTCCTGCTGCTGATGCAAAGGCATGTACTTGCCCATACCAGGCGTTGGCAGTTCCTGAGGCGGGGTAGTGACACCGAGTTCTACTGGCGGGGGCAGCTCGGCTGGCTGTTCATCCTTCTCTTTCCTAGATTTCTTTTTGCGGTGCAGGCAGAACAATATGAGACATAGTATAGCGATGAGCACTGCGAGACCTCCCACGACGCCACCAGCAATAGCGCCCACTCTACTCTTGTTCGAGCCCCCTGAGGAAGTACCAGTACTCGAAGGTAGCGCACGTGTCGCTGCCCGCGTAATTGATGGGGCTTTGAGGGAGTAATACACGGCTAGGTCGGGATTATCCCATGAAGCAGGGGCTGTTTTAGTAGCTCCTCCAGTAGGTCTGCAATGTGGTTAGCAAGACTGGTATCGGGTTGAAGCAGTCCGAAACGTACCCGCCGCCAATAGCAGATATAATGGGTGTTGGAACGAAGTATGTGGATAGCTCCGGATCGTACTTGTCCCACAAACTCTTCCTCTCGCCATTATACCCTAGGTTCATACCATGCTGGCCTTGCACTCGCGGCGAGTCACACAAATCAGATGTTGGGAACCAGCCTCCAATGATGATCATCTGATCCCTAGTCACTACGTTCGCACTGCAGCCTCCGTGAGGATAAGACCCGGTACTGTTGTCGGTAGGAAATGCCTTGATCCATGTGAATGATGGAAGCGAAAGAATGTATGCATCGTCGTAAGCAAGCGGATCACCGAACCCGTATCCACCATATAGATAACTGTTCAGTAATCAGCTTTGATCGAGCATAACAACCTATATCGCTCACATGTTGTAAGAAGACTGGTCGTCAGCCCATGTGGCGCCAGCGCAGAACTGTCGGCGTGCGCCTGGGATGTTGCCGGTGGCGGTTTGAGTGTACCATTTCGATGACTGGACATCATACATGTGTATCTCCTATGTCGTGTCAGTAATAGGTATCACCCACGCAAAACTGCATCTTCGACATACACTCATATTTGCCTGCAATGTCGCATTAGTACAGATTCATACGTTACACAATGCGATCTGGTGTGACTTACCGGTAAAGAGGTGCCGTTTTGTTGTGGATCTTCGATGCCACCAAAATACACCAATAGACCGCTGTCTGATATCGGTAAATATACCATCTGTCCCTCAGCTCTGCCCACATTGTCGTCAGGCCCGCTGTTGTTAGACAGTAGCCCGGTAGTGTATTCGAAGCGTACGAGGTCAGCTGTTGCGATTGCATTGCCAGTCCAGTTCGGATCCGTTTCGTTGCTCCTATAGCCTCCGAGGTAGAATCCCAATCCCAACCCCTCAATGTGTGTGCCGGCACCATACGCCACTCTTTGTGTAGCGGAAACGCCAGCAGCCTTGTTACCAGTCTTGTTCCATTGGTCGAGGAGTACGTCGTAGGTCCACATGCTGACCTCGCCAGGTGTCCCGTTCGTGAATGCACCTCCAAACTGGTAGAAGCACTTGTTGGTCTCATCGGGCCAGAGGATTCCGCCAGAGACACTGGGTATCTCGGAAGGTTTCGAGAGATTTGCATACTGGTAAGGCTGGCCGTCAGGCGTCGAAGAGTTGAGGTCGCTGAATAGTAACGCTGTATCTGACTCGATGTTAGTGGAAGGACGACCGTGAACGTGCAGCGACCTACTTGTAAAGTTCGCGTCATCCGTGTTCCAATCTACCATGCCACCGTCAATATACAACCTCCCATCAACCTGCGCCGTTTGGTGACCCCATCGTCGGCAGCTACAGTTAGGTCAGCAACATATCTATGATGCGCAGCAACAAGGCATGACACTCGCACAAAAGTTCACAGTGTCTCTGAACTACCGAAATCCGTTTGAGCTAGGTGTACGCGAAGCTAACGAGATCAGGGAGGCTTTGGAGGAGCTGGCGCAATGCCTGATCGGTCCACACCGGGTAACGTTTAGGAACGGATACCTACAAGTCAACGATGGGGTCTTTCTGATAGGAGGACCCAATAAGACTAGATGCTACAAGCAGGCATCGTCGAAGACGTGCCATCATACGCATTCATGACGCTTTGGGATCAGTAGGCATGCGGCGCACTTTGTGAAGAGTCGAGGTGAATGGAAAGGAGACGCCCGGGTGGAATATTGGTCTGCAAGTGTCTAAACAGCCGTGCAGGGCTGAAGGATGCTCTAGCGGCCAACGCGATGCTCTTCCGCCATTCGTAGCGCTGTCGGGGCGATCATATCGATTGCTGACCGTTGCGCGACGCGCCTGACGGCTGCTGGACACAGGCGACTTGAGCCACGCCGCTGGATGTGAGACATCTGCACCAATAGCGCAGAACGAAAAGGGATACGAGTGGAAGTTCCAATCTCGGGTTCTCAGGCATCATAGCAAAGGGGATACGAGATTGCTCCACATGGTGACGATGGCTTGAACTTGGCTTGGACCTCGAGCTGGTGGGCTAGGAGGACCTGCGAGGCCACACTTGATGGCGTCGAAAGAGGCTTTTAGAGCCAGCGAATCACAGCTTGACATTCATGTTGAGTTCGGGTCCGCAGCTTATCAGCCGCTCTTTGTATGGCATGCGCGCACTGCAGCCTCCTGTTCTTCTGGGGTCTCGCGTATGTTGCAGAAGTGCGGGGATTTTCCAACCGTGCTCACAACCTGCCGAGCCCGTCAACTCAAGCGTTCGTGTCCAGCCATCTGGATTAGCACGGGATTTGCACGCTTTCCTGTGTGCCTTTTGAATTATGCTTGCGCGGAGACAGTGCACCGTTGGGGTTGATGACACTATCGAGCTGAAAGAGCAATATCAATTCTTCCGCATAACGACAAGGATGCGACGCCTTTGCTCCGAGGACGACAGGCATGCCCGCCATGCTCACGTGTGACTGAAAATAGATGCGCAAGTAGCACTGGTGAATGTCACCACGTATTGACAAGCAAGTATGTTGGCCTAAAGCGAACCCGGAGCTCCAATACCGACTCGAAAGTCGACGCGAGCGAGCTTCAGGATTAGAACGGCTGTGCAATTCCTCTGGGTTCTCCTGGAATTAAGGCATTTTCCATGTATTGGGAATAACCTTAGGGTTATAGGAGACCGTAGACAATATGTGAGGAAAGGAAGCACGCGTCGAGTTTGCGAGTTTTGTTCGTGTGCTGCTTGGCGCGCTAGACTTCAAGCGTCATCACTGGATTCGGGGCATTGTGGATGCGAGGAATAATATCACCAGTCTTTCCAACGATGATATATGCCTACGATTTGTTCTCACTCAATCTTACATTGCTGGGCAGTTCAGTCTCATCGCTTCCATGCATGACCCCAATTCCTCGGCGCTGACCCCGTGGCTTCGATGTACCATCCTCATAAACATGTCGTGCTGTCGGAATGGCCTTCTCGCGTAGCTTGACTCCATACGTAGATGGGAACGCAGTGATTGACGTGTACATGCTTGTGCGCATATCTTTTTGGGGGTGGCTGGTGGTCTTACTCGATCTTTCAATAATTCCGTACCTCTTTTGTAGTTCACTCCGCTGCAGCTGCAGCTCCAGCATTGGCCTGCTCAATCACGGCAGGTGCATGCTGAGTTGGAATTCGAACAAGGGTCTGTGGTAGAGGTGGTTCAGTCTCTTGCCTTGCCTCTGGATCATCGTCGTCTTCCTTTGGTTTGGGCATGATGGCTGCTCTGGTCAGATGGCGTGTGCTATCGATGCGTGCAAGACATAACTCACTGGAGGCCATGTTGATAGCGCGAAGAACATTATGCCAGTTCGAGAGTACTGCTGCGACGGCTAGAGATGCATTGTCAGCATATGCAGTGTTCTCGTCTTTGTGTTTTTCCGAGATTGGTGGCTCCATTTCACGCAACATACCTTCTGTACCGTTCGAAAGCGTCTGCAGCTTGTCGGCCAGCATTTGCATCTGGTCTGCTAAGCCGCCGCTCAACGCCTGCAAGTCTTTGAGGTTTGCGAGCTCAGTCTTCTTGTCAGCAATTTTCTGCTGCAAGAAAGTTGACTGCTGCGACGCGCCCATGGACTGGCCACGCAGGTGCGACGGGACTGGACGAGAAAAGTTAGACATGATGATTCGATCAGTTCACGGGTTTGCGCAGGTCCAGTTGATCTTGCTGTCGTCGAGTCGTCGGTGCGCGTTGACCCCTCACGTGTTGTCGCGGGCGTGAAAGGGACCTCAAAAGTGGGGCCGTCGACACAATCGGCTAGCTTGCCGTTGCTAGGTAAACAACGCCCGCAGCTTTTCGGCTATGACGAACACCAGACGGAAACAACGAACGACACACGTCCCAAATCGTCGCCGAACCGCTATCGCACACGTCTCGTACACTATCTTCAGTCTCTGCATACCTATACAGCGCTCATGGCGCGCTTGAACGAGCCGCCGGCGGCCGTGCCTCAGCCGTCGGCCGACAACATCGAAGTCGTGAAGCGCCGCTTTCTGCGACAGAACCGCGAGTTGGCAAAGTATGCATCAGCCTGAGTCACTCGAAAAGATGCATACTGATATCGAAGCAGGACCAACTCGCAACAGTCAATGCGGATCCGCACACTCGAAAGCGATTGCTCCCGTCTGCTCGCTGAGAATCTTGCCCTCCGCGAACGCGCGATGCACCTCCAACACACAGTCGATAAGCAAGCAAACGCCCTTTCTTTCGAGAGTATCGATGTCGTTAGGTCGCAGTTGGAAGCTAAGATGCAGGAGCTTGGTAGCTTGGTAGCTTCGTTGGGGCAGCCAAAGCAGGCGGAGAGACGACGCAAGAGCCAGCACCTTGCCAGACACCGCCCGCAGGAAAGGAACTTCAAAAGCGGGCTGTACATACAAGAGGTGGAGAACCGCCTGTTGCCTACTATCGATGAGGGTAACGATCACCCTCGGCGCACCATGAACTCAGATGAGATCCGGATGATGTTGGAGGACCCTGAGACCCAATCGCCCGATATTGGTCCACCGCCCACGTCGAGCTTTGAAGCTGAGGAACCGATTGCGTTCGATCTTAACCCTAGTTCAGATCGACACACGGACGAGGTTGCTACTCAAGACGAGCCTGTAGAAGACGAGCCTGTTCTACCAATGAACCTAGAGACACGGAAGAAGCGGAGAGAGAGTGGGCCGAAACTCAACATTCGTCGTATATCTGTGTTTGAATCGCCAGAAGAAGTCAAGGAGAAACCAGGCAAGCTGATGCGCACTGGAGCTAAGAGGAAGTTTAGTGTACAGGAAGACGAAGAGCGACCAGAGACCCATGAAGAAGAGGTCATTTCTAGCCACGAGGCGGTTCAAGAGGCAGGAAATGACGACGATTCTGATAAACCTCAGTCTCTTTCTCTGCCTCGATCAGCCCTTAGCAATAGTAAGTCCGCCATATTATGCGTGTAGCTCTAGCTAACGGTGTCAGGATCTGTCAACACCGACCCACTGGTGTCGCCAAAGAAGCAACGCTCATCTATGAAAGATCAAGAGAAGCCACAGAAGAAGAAGCTACCCAGTGTGAACCCACGAGGTCGCCCGCGCCTCCCGATCACGCGAACCATCACACCACCTGAAATTCCCATGCTCGCAGCGCCTGAGCCCGTTCTCGTGGCTGAAATCAACCTCGACTCTCTTCCACCAAAAACCCCTGCTGCGGATGCTATATTCTCGCCGCCGCCAACAGAACCTTCAACATCGCGACCTGGCAACAGAGACACCCCTCCACCAGGCGACGTGAGCTCAGGAAACCAAACAGGACAGGCTGGACGACCATCGCGAAGAGCACGCCCACAAGTCAGCTACAAAGAACCAAGCCTTGCCGCCAAGATGCGCCGTGATGGCAAGCTGGCCGACGCTGTTGTTCCTCAAACCGACAGGAGGACGAGCGTAGAAATGACGCTTGCGCCTCTTACCACAGGCAGGGTGGCCTTGAAGCGTGAAACAGGAGACGAGGAGGCCGAGGCAGGAAGTCCACTACGACAAAAACTTGACAGACGAGACAATGCTCCCCAGCTTGACTCGGCTCAGGCACATCCGTCAGCGACTTCGAAAGCGATATCCGCATTGATCGATCAAACGAGTGTGGTGAACAGACGAGCATCGTCGAATTTTACGGCAAAGACTTCGGACGAGCCATCATCAGAGCCAGTTGACGAAAAAGAGTCTGCCGTAGAGGCAGAGGCAGTCGAGAAGGACAATCTCGCAATCTTTGACTTCAACGAGTCATCTCCCGTCCACTCTAAACGTCTGAGCACCGATCTTGCCAAGGTGGTACGGAACTCTCGGCGGCACTCAGCCGTTCCAGCTTTGGCTCTTGGTGAGTCCGAGAAGGTCGGGGGCTCCCTCCCATTACTAGACAAGCGCATGGGAAGCGGGACAATCAAGAGCACCAGCACAACTAGCTTGGCAAAGAGCACTTCTGCTGCAAGATTGATTGCGAAGAAGACAGCAGCGCCAACGTCCTTAGACACAAAAACCGACGATTCGGCAGCAGGCGACGCGGGGAAGGCGACTGCGACAAGCGCACTCAGGGCTGAAAGGATGGCTAGTCGCCGGAAGAGCATGATGCTTTAGGAGAGCATCAGCCACGAAAGGAGCGAGCTTGTGCTCTCGATGGCGAATCGAGCAGACTCGTAGGAGTTCAAAAGTGCAGATGATGTTTCACACGATACCCTGACCTGGCCTGCGGCCATCTTTCTTACGCATTATACCATTCACTTTGAGATTATGCCATATTAGAGCAAATCAAGACTGCCCAGAATCTGGTGATTTGCTGTAGTAATCAGGATCGAAGCTGTTGCAGTTCGCTCAGATCTAGAACCCTCAACTCCCTCCTTGCCCATAGCACGACTGTCAACACCAGCCCAGGCAAATACCCTCCTCCAATCATCATCCCTTCTCGCCACTCCCTGCCTTGTACCAACTCCAATACCACTGAGAGTGCACAAAGCACGCCATTAGCCGGGACACAGTATTGCGCTAGCAGTTCCTGGACCTCGTCTGACAACCCTGGAACTTCCCTCCGCCCCGTCTGCCGCGCAGAAGTACTAGTGTTGAGTCCATATCCGCCCACGCTCCTCCCCTTGCCCTTGCCCCTCCCCGAAGCCGTTTGGCCGTCGACGATTATACCGGCGCTGCGCGGCGGCAGCGGCAGAAAGTAAAGCGTGTATGCACTCGCAGCGAGACTTGCCAGTGCGAGGAGACTCGGCGCGAATGTCGAGAAGCTTAACAGCCCCGGCAGAGTGAGCAGTGCGATGGACGAGGGGAAGACGAGGAGGAGGAGCGTGTATAGGCGGGTTGAGGACGTGTCGTGGGTCTGCAGCGTGGTGAGGAGGGTTTCTTGATCTGCGCTGTGTCAGAGAGGTGGTTTTTGAGGGGCGCGGCTTGTCGTACCTTGGGCGTCCATGCCCGCTTCTACGGTGTCTTCGTCTTCTGAAGAGTCTGGGTACTGGAACGTTTTGCGGATGCGTGTCGCCGCCATGATGCAAGTAGAGATGCAGGAGCTGTGTATGAGCTGGTCTTACAGCAAAAAGGTTTTGTCACTTTTGGGGTCGGACGTTGGCCAGCGTTGCGCATAGGCAGCAATATTTGTGTGCTTTAGAAAGTGTTCACATGCGATGACGATGTTTTTGGACCCTGGATTTAGCGCGTTTGTGCCTCGTCGGAAATATCCAAGTTAGCTAGAACTCCATTCTTACCGGGTGGTACAGACCTGATGCATTTCAAGGTAGTGATTGGCGACCACCCTTGTCGCTTTCTCCAGCCATAAAAACTCGTGTGGGGTAATTCCGTACTTCTTTAGCACGTCTGTTTGCATTTATCGTCACGTTGAACCCATTCCTAAAAATATCCTAGCCAAATGGCCTACCCTGCTATCTACGACACGCCGTTCGATGAGCTGCCTGACAAGAAGCGAGTTTGGGTCGGCACGCCAGGCAGTCGCGAGGAGGGACTCGCAAAACTCGCTCTCCTTACACCTTCAGTCGTTGCCAAAGCGGCCGCCGACGAGATCAAAACCGGCCAACGCGTGTCTCTCAATTGGGAGCTGCCCAAGCTCGAAATAGCAGGGTTTGGCCGTCAGCCCTTTGAGCATAAAATCCTAGAGTGCTACAATGGCCTTTTCTTTGACGACGTGTATGCCTTCAATCCGCAGCAGGGCAGCCAATGGGACGGGTTGCGCCACTTCTCGCAGACCGTACCAGGGACAGAGGGTAAGGGACCGGACCAAAGAGTCTTCTACGGCGGCACTACTGGTGCAGAGATCCAGGACCGCGGTAGCACCCGAATTGGTATCCAGCACTGGGCTAAGGAGGGCATAGTCGGACGCGGTGTGCTTATTGACTATGCGTCCTGGGCCGAGACGAACGGGGTGAAGTACTCCGCGCTGAGAAACCATGAGGTCAAGCTCACGGAGATATTGGAGATTGCCAGGGAGTGCAACATCACATTTCGAAGGGGGGATATTCTGCTGGTCAGGACTGGCCTCACCAAAGAATGGGATACCATCTTGTCGCCTGAAGATAAGAAGAGCTACGCAGAGAACCCCGCAGACATGCAGCATGCAGGTGTTGAAGCTACCGAAGACGTGCTGCGCTGGCTCTGGAACGAGGGATTTGCAGCGGTCGCAGGTGATTCGGTCTCGTGGGAAGTATATCCGCCTTCAAAGCCGGAGCCTGTACTACACGAGTATCTGTTGGCAGGCTGGGGCATGCCGATTGGAGAGATGTTTGACCTGGAGGGACTGGCAGAGATCTGTCGAAAGGAGAATCGGTGGACGTTCTTCCTGACCAGTGCGCCGTTCAACATGCCTGGTGGTGTATCGAGTCCGCCGAACTGCATGGCCTTGTTTTAAGCATGCGCGTACATTACTGTAGACACCTGGAAACATGGTTGTAAAATTGGTGCGACATGCTCGATCTCGGCTCGCGCCGACGTCTGTGGCGTGTGGCTTTCACGATGCATACCCGCACGATCCGGCGAGCCTCTTCCCTTCAGCCTTACGGTCTCGCTTGCAATTTTTGCCTTGCAGAACATCGTCGGCGTCGATCATCCGCGTCCCCATTATTTCCCCGGCTGAAGATCCTATGATGTTGTTACACGTCGTCGCCGTGTCAGAAATTGGTGCTGTTGACATGCAGGATTGCTTTTATCAACACGCGTCGCTGCACATCCATAAGCATCATGTCGAGACAAAAGACGTGCGACGTCACCACAGCCTCAACTTTACGCGTCAGTCTGGAACCTTTATCAGCGCTCAGCAAGTGTGTTTTCAGAGCACGCCGGTGCACTTGCCAGCCAATTGATGGCGCAGCCCGTGTGCCTAGAGGATCGCTACGACCACCCGGCGGCTTGCGTGTCGTCGCTGCGCAGCGCTTTCCCGGGCACCCACGTCATAGCCTGCTGGCACCAAGTGCATCTCCATAAAAATTGAGACCGCCCCAACGACCGCGCGTATGAGGTTGGGAGGCCCTGAACTTGGACCTGCGACACCAGTTCTGTCTCACAACACTCTTTCGCTCCCAAGTCCACGACATCCGACATCACTGCACATAATGGGTCTCTTCGGTCGCCGCCGGTCGGACTCCACAGCAGTTGAGCGAAGCCACCCTGAACTCACCAAGCCACAACTCAAACGTGCAACACGAACACGCAAGACCTGGGCCCTGTTGACATCCTTTTTCCTATTCGTTGCCGTCATCTTCCTCATTCTTCTGCAAATCAGCGGCACATCCAACAGATATCTGCTGCGCGACTGGTACTTCATCCGCCTCGATCTCAGCAATGTTGTTCCGTCGTCGGTGCCCAACTTCGCCCTGATCAACACCATTGCGCAAACACTGGGTCTGCACGATTTCTACCAGGTCGGCCTATGGAACTTCTGCGAAGGCTACAAGGGTGAAGGCGTCACGTACTGCTCTCCGCCTGAGACACTGTACTGGTTCAACCCCGTCGAGATTCTGCGTAACGAGCTGCTCGCGGGAGCGTCGAGTGAGTGTCCTACACGCATATTCTACTACGCATCTAACAACCGCAGTCAACTTGCCCGCTGACATCAATGACATCCTCGACCTTATCAGGCTCGTATCCAACTGGATGTTCGGCCTCTTCCTGACGGGCACTGTCCTCTCCTTCGTGCTCATCTTCGTGATGCCGCTCTCCGTCTTCACGCGCTGGCTCGCGCTCCCCGTCGCGATCCTCGCCTTCCTCAACGCGCTCTTCACCACCGTCGCGTCCGTGCTCGCGACCGTCATGTTCGTCATCTTCAAGAACACTATTAGTGGCGTGGCTGAACTGAACATCGGCGCGGACATTGGCATCACCATGTTCGCTTTCATGTGGGTTGCCAGCGCCATGACCATCTTCGCGTGGTTCGTGCAGATGGGGCTGTGCTGCTGCTGCGCCAGCCGACGCGATGTCAAAACGGGCCGCAAGCGGGGCAACGAGAAGGCGTACTCCATGGACATGGGTACGCGAGGCGTCACCGACGGCGTCGCTGACCCTGCTGTGGAGACCGAGCCCAAGGTCGCTCATCCTGCGCGCGGCGTCAAGTTCTGGAAGCGTCGCTAGGCGCCTCGCGAAGATGAGATTGAGCGGATTGTAATACGCGCTCTAAAATGGTAAACGAGTGTACTGAGTTGGATCATTGTAATTGCATCAATTTGAGCAAGCGCGGCGTTGGTCTTGGTGGAATGATCTTTAATGTGGCTTTGGGTTGTATATGAACACTTGAGCTTAGACGTAGATAAACCTTCAGTAATGCATATCATCAACGATGGCTCGATGCTCTCCACCACCGAATGTACGTACAATATTTGCGGTCGACTTCACTATCTAAGATTCCCAATGCACAGGTGCTTACTACACTCAAGCCAAGCGAAGGATTGAGTCAAGACTGCTGACCTGGCACAATGCATATGCTCATTGCCTAAAATTAATTGAGTCCGGCGACACTGATAATCGAAGCCAAGAGCTCAGCTTCTGATGATGTTTTCCATGGGCGTTGTGGTCGTTCATGCGAAGCTCAAGGCGAAGCCACCCAGCAGCTGGGACACCAATCCCTCAAGTGGCAGCGGCCACCCCAAGTTCTCCCTTCACGCATATACACAAGTCCCATTGTGTGCTGGTCATCGCTTGCGACAGTCTTAAAGGCCGAACCTGGAAACTTGGGGACAAGCAGCGACCCTATGAACTGGTTGGCAAGGACAGTGGCATCGATCGAATGTGCCAGACTCATCGAAGGTGCCGGTACTGGTAGCCGCGTCGCTGTCTCAATAAACTTACAAGAGTCACACTTCTGCGATTCGAACACCGTTCTACTTCCCGGTCGCTCCTTCACTTTCACCGTGTCTGATGTCATAGCGCCTCATAAATTAGCACAGCCAGCGCCCAACCTTTCCACCTTCACCAACCTGCTCAATTGACGTGGTCATGGCTACATCTACAACCGATGGAGAGAAGAAGCCGTTTCGTGTTGAGTATGTCACATGTTCTTCTGTACGACTGCAACGGGGCTAATTCGCTTACAGAGCAGCTGCGCGCGGAGGCATTGTCACAATCGTAGCCGGTTCCGAAGCCGTCAAGTACCTTGTTCACAAAGCCGTTCTCATGGAACACTCGGCATACTTTGAAAAAGCTCTGCAGGGCCCTTGGAAGGAGGCGGAAGAAGGTGTGGTCCGTCTAGATGATGTCGAACCTGAGATCTGTGGGTAAACGTTCCTTCCTCTCATGTTAGAAACTTACGCAAGCAGTCGGCGTCTTCGTTGACTGGATCTACTCTCAGAGAGTCTCTCAGCTGGGTCTTGAGACTGAGTATTTAGGCATATCATACAGGAAGCACTTTCAGATGACGTGGTTGAAGGCCTGCATTTTGGGCGATCGCCTCCTCGCTCCTATGTTTGTCCAGGCTTTCCGGTACGATCTTGTTCACCACCTCGTGAATCATCAATCCGTGCTCTACGACACGATCATCTACGGCTTTAGTAACCTTGCGGCTGGCGACCCGTTACTGCGGATGGTGACCGACGTCCACATTTACGATATTGTCGAGGGCAGCGCCCACGATGATCAAGAGCTGCGAATGTATTTGCCCATGAGATTCTTACTCGCGATCAAAGACAAGTTCGCAATAGTGTTGGATACGCAGGAAGACGTATGCAACTTGGACACATGTGATTATCACGGTCATACCTCTGAGGAGGAGCGAAAGAAGTGCAAAAAGCGCCTAGAAGATAGTCGACGCGAGTGTTGTTAGGAGCACTTCCCGGCAGAAACAGAGATTGCAAAGCGAGATGGGAAGGCAGGACACAGTGAGCTACAGGCATCGACTAGCCTGACATGAGCATCGTGAGCCAGTGGATACAGTTCACAAACATCCGATAGCAATACAACGATTGCAAGAATACGCATACTACTATACCCACAGGACAGTCTGCGTGATGCAGACACGTACTACAGTGACAACAGACTAGTATCTCTAACATCAATCCATCTCCACATCAAACCGGATATCTAGAACCGGCAAGAGACCTTTACCACGTCTCCATCCCACACGCGGAAAACAACTATGCGATAGAAGCGTCATGATCACCAAAACATGCAGACTAAGACTATAGAACAGTATGTATAGTGTAAATATGTATTTTAGTATCAACAGGCCAATAGCTCGGGAATGAACCAGTCCCTACTTGAAACCAGATATATATAACCAACGAAGAACCTCCGCTACCTGCTGATTCTAAAAATCGGAGTGGGACGTATATCCCGCAAGCACTGGTAGTCACAACAGCAGAGACTCAGCCTCGAGACACACACTGGGATCGTTGCTGCGCGTCCCTGAACAATCACCCGAGCAACCAGTGCTGACACTCAATATCTGACTACTTATTTGCTAAGGTTAACTATCTAGCTACTCTAGCTCACGAACTGTCTAGCTTGAGAAATCGCCTGAAAGCAAGAAGGATTAACACACCCACCTCCACACACACCCAAACACGCCGCCAAACCCGTCTATTCAACGCAATTACCTATTTACTTCAGTCAAACATCCATCCTCGCTACTTAATCACCTATCCACGCCCGTGAACCACCCATCAGCTTCAGTCAACACCCGAATCACTCCTCTCGATCACCCAGCCACCCACTCGTTCTACACAACACGCTTTCCCACCTCCCAACCCTAGTACACCATACCTATATATGCCCTAAACCCGCTAGCCTATCTGCCAGCACACACCGCGCTCTCCTCTCTCGGTGCCTGGAGTGCAGAGAGCAGGGTGTGGAGTGTAGAGTGCAGAGAGCAGAGTGCAGAGTGCAGAGTGCAGAGAGTAGAGTGTGAGAGTGCGTGCAGGTCCACATACAGCATCGGCGCGGTCTTAGTCTCAATCTTGCTCTCTACCCCAGTCTCCGTCTCAATTTCCGTCTCAGATTTAAATTCAATTTTAATCTCCGTCTCAATCTCGAACCTGGTCTAGAGAAGAGAAGCTCGAAATCTAAAGAGGAGATCTGAATCTGAATCTGAATCTTGATCTTAGTCTTAGTCTTGACGTTGATTTTAATCTGAAGAAGACAATATCAATCTCGGTTTCAGTCTCACTCTTAACCTTACTCTTATTCTCGCTCTCACTCTTAATTCCCGTCTCAAAGTCAACGTTAATGTTAATCTTCATGTTAATTTTGAGAGAAGAGAGTCTTAGTCTGAAGAAGAGAGTCTTAGTCTGGAGAAGAGGTCGAACCTTAATCTCACTCTCAATCCCACTCAGTCCCACTCCCCATCCCACTCCCACTCTCCCCTCCTCTCCTCTCACTCCCACTCTCCCCTCGATCCCCTCCCAATCTCAATCCCAATCCCAATCCCACTCTCACTCTCCTCTCCATCTCAAGAAGAGAAACTCCATTCCAATCTAAACAACAACATCTTAACCCAAAACCCACACCACCAACCCCGCAACAGCAGCGACTACCCCCCGGCACCCCCGGCACCCCCCGGTACCCCCCGGCACCCCACGCCCAGCCAAAGCATCAGCACTCCGCACGAGCACGGGAGACGATTGCATGGCAGTGTCGGGCAGTGTCAGGTTAGGTAGTGTCGTGTCGTGTCATGTCGTGTCGGGATGGGACAGGACGGGTCGGGAGTGGTGCACCAGGGGAGCAGAGGATGAATTGCACTGCATTGCATTGAATGGAGTATTTCCCAGTGAGTGTGCGAGTGCGAATTGTGTATAGCGAGTTGTATATAGCGAATTGTACATAGCGGGGAGGGTATATTGGTTACACAGGCTTGGTGCTTCTTATCTAGGTGCGCTTAGGCTCGTCTGCGTCGGTCTTGGACTTCCCATCCTCACCCTCAGACCTCCCATCCCCACCCCCAGACCCCCCTCCCCCATCCTTCACCCCCTCCTCCTCGTCCTCAGGCACAAGCCACTCCTCCACCTCCCCCGCGGCGCCATTATCCCAATGCGCAGGCTCCCTGAACCTGACCGCCTTGGCAAACAACCCCTCACCCTCACCCTCTTCACCCCCCTCCCCTTCCATATCTACATCTCGCATCTCCTTGGCCTCCTTCTCCTGCGCCTCCACCCTAACCCGCTCCAGCGCCTCCTCCAACGCCTTCCGATCCTGCACGCCAGCCAGCAACCGCAGCAAATCAGGCGCAAGCTGCTCGTCGACGGGGACGTGGGGCATGACATCCGCGACACGGCGGACCATCTGGGCGCCCGCGTAGCCGCGCACCATGACGCCGTGTGTGTACGCGTCGGGCTCGACACCAGCGTCTTGCATCAGCGCGCCCACGCGCTCGGCGGCGGCGACCTGCTGGGTTTTGAAGAACGCCTGCATGAAGATGTTCCACGTGAACACGTTGGGGGGGACGTGGTTCGCCATGTGCGCGATGAGGGCAGCGGCGTCGGCGTACTGTGCGCGGGCGCAGAAGGCGTGCAGGAAGGCGTTCCAGGCGATTGGGGTGGCGGCGAGGCGGACGAGGGTCGGGTGCGCGCGCGGCGTGGCCAGGATGTGGGTGTAGGCGTGGTAGAGGCGGGCGAGGTAGGGTAAGGGCAGGGGCGCGAGGGCGTGGATCTCGGTCTGCAGGACGAGGTAGAGGGCGGCGGGGGGCGGGGGCAGTTTGGGCGGCGACGCGGGCGTGTGCGAGGCGGTTTCGTGGTCGAGGGCGTCGCGCATGGCGCGGCTGCCGGAGCGGGTGAAGGGGGCGAGCGGGGCGGGGTCGAAGAGGGAAAGGTACGCGGCCCAGACGCGGGTGTGGTTGCGGTCGGCGACGGGCTTGTTGTGCTCGCAGGTGTAGGCGTAGTAGAGGTAGTCGGTGGCGAGCCAGGGGTCCTGCAGCTCCTTTGCCTTGGCCAGGCACAGCTCGGCAAAGGTGTTGAACATGGCCGGGTCGGCGTGGGTGGTGCAGCCGTGGAGGAGGATGGAGTAGGTGTATTTGTCGGGCGTCAGGCCGTTGGCCTCCAGCGCGTTGAACACCTTGAACGCGGTGGTGTAGTCGCCAGCCTCCATGGCGTTGCGCATGATGACGTCGTATAGCAGCAGGTCCATCTTGACGCCCAGCTTGACAAACGCGGCCACGATGCCGGGGGTCTCGCGGTAGTTGGCGACGTCACGCATGCTGCCACGCAGAATGGTGGCACAGGTCCATCGGAAGAGGTCGCTGTTGACGACGTTCTTGCGCTTGTCTTCGGTGGCGTCCCTCAGACGTTTCTTCAGACAACCCAACGCAAAGTCGTACTCGCCAGCATGGCCGAAAGTAGAGGCATAGTGCAGTACGGTGCCGAGCGAGAAGCGGGTTCTCTCATAGATGACGGCGACGTAGATCTTCTTCAAGGTGTCCACGTCGACCAACCTAACGAGGCTGTGCAGCAGATCCTGCGAGTACACGGCCGTGTCGAGGTGACGGGTGCAGTTGAGGAAGGTGGCAACGAAGCGGCGCGTGTTGGCGTCGGGCGTGGGCTCCCAGCCCTGCCCGTCTGGGTAGTGTCCTTTGAGGTGCAGGAGCGCCAGGTAGGCCAGGGCGTCGGCTATCAGGGGGAAGGTTTCGCGCGACAGGTGCTCGTCGGTGGCCAGCACGGTGATGAAGTCCTGGGCGTATGCGGGCTTGTGGTGCAGCATGTACATGAGCGCGCCCGCGCACTGGTCCTGCTGGTCTCCGAGGCACTGCCAGTTGAAGTAGATGCGCTTCCCGCCGTCTCGGTCGACGCCCTCGAGCAGCTGTTCGGCCACATCGCGGCTCTCTTTCGAGTGGCGGAGCGTGATGGGCTTCGTGAGGGCAGCGAGCTGCGGGTAGACGGAGCGTTCGAGGGCAGAGAAGGCGCCCAGCAGCGACGGCTCGTCGGCCCTGACGTGGAGTGTTCTGAGGTCCCACTGCTCGAGACTGAGAATGTAGCGGCGCAGCGAGCGGTACTGGCCGTCGTAGAGCAGCTGGTTCTGGTAGCGTCCGACGTCGCGCTGCAGGCGGGCGGTGTGCTGTTCGAGGCGGTCTTTCGCGCGGGCAATGTGGTGTGCGCGGAGGCGGGCGGCCTGCTGGGGGGTCAGGCCCTCGAGCTGCTCGTCCAGCCGCGCCTCCCACGGGAGCTTTTGCGAGTAGCGCGAGGCTCTGGCATCGTTGGTCGCGGTGGTCCTATGCGGGCTGTCTGCGGGCGCGGCCTGGCTGTCGGTGGCGTAGGCGCGGGCGTGGTGGTGTGCAAAGGACGCGATGTCGAGGTAGCGCAGGTCGGCCGGGCGAGTCCTCGTCGGGGCGAGGCAGGCGCCCGACTGTGCAGGGCCGAGGCGGGGGCGGTGCGGGAGCCCAGCGGCATGCGCACCCGCTACCGGTCCACGACGCAGCGCTCGCGCGTCTTTCTGCGGTGCGCCATGGCGTCGCGGCGGCCCAGCGGACTCGGCGAAGGCGCGCGGGGCCAGCCAGGGCAGCAGGAGCCCGTCAGCGCTGGCGATGAGGCTGGCACTGGGGAAGCGCGCGCGGGGCATGGGAGAGATGCGGGCGTCGGCGTGTTCAGCGGGCCATGGCGCGGGCTGTGGTGGTGGTGAGGCGCGGCGCCGAAAAGCTGGAGCTCCCGAGCTGCGCTGTGGTCCAGCCCGCCCGCCGCACTCACCTCCGAACTTTTGGCTCCGCGGTGGTCAAGCTTGCAGGCACGTCAATTCTACTCGTGTCCAACCTCGCACCCACACCACAACACACCGCCGCCATGTCGACGCACGAACACCTCTCCGCCGCCTCCAACGACCGCAAAGCGCGCCTCGCCCAGCTCAAATCGCTCAAGCGCAAACAGCCCTCCTCCGACGCCGACACCACCGACATCACCTCCGTCGCAGACACCACCTCCCCCTCCACCACCACACTCACCGCCCCCGCCTCCCCCCCCGTAACAAGCACCTACCTCTCCGGCCGCAACTTCGACCCCAGCACGCGCACCCTAAAACTCGGCTTCGAACACACCCCCATCGCGGACCCAACCTCAACCCTCGAATACCAGGCCGCGCAACTCGCACTCCAGACGCAACAAGCGCAGAAGCAAGAGGATGCAGACGCGCCACTCGATCTTTTCAAACTGCAGCCCAAGAAGCCGAATTGGGACCTCAAGCGCGATTTGGAAGCGCGGATTCGGGAAGGCGGGTTGGAGAGGGGGTTTGAGGGGGCGGTGGTAAGGGCGGTGAGGGAGAGGGTTGGGAGGGGGAGGGAGGCGGGGGCTGAGGGGGTTGGGATTGAGGGGGGGGAGTTGGTTGGCGGGGTGAGGGAGAGGGAGGTTGAGGAGGAGAGGGAGAGGAGGAGGGAGGAGGTTGAGGGGGAGGTTGAGGGGTGAGGGGGATGGGGGATTGCTGGGGGGGAGATTGAAGAGAGCTTGCTGGAGCGAGAATGGATGAGAATGACTGAGAGTGACTGAGAGACCACGGCGAGGGTCATTGCACTGAGGCCATTGCACTGAGACGTCATTACACCGACACAACGATACCACGCCGCTTCTTGGGTATCTGAGCTAGTAATACAAAAAAGGCTCGAATGCCACATCCATCTGCAACCTGACCCCACCTCACTGCCCGTTCATTGCCCGTGTCAGCGCGACTCGCTTGCTGAACGGACTCAGACTGCGCTCCCTCGGCGCAGGCGCTGGCGCTCGCGCAGGCGGTGGCTGTCGCGCCGGAGCACCATCCCGCCCGTTTCTGCCTGCAGGCGCATCGCCGAACCTGCTCCGCTCGCCCTTCTGCCGCGGTTCCCGTCCCCACCCGGCATCGCGCTCGCGCCGTGGACTCGGCGAGCGGCGTGCAGCGCGGCGCTGCGAGAACGGACTTGGGCTGCGCTGCGGCCTTGGCGAGCGTGCCCTCGGCCTGGGTGATCGTGGCCTCGGTGATCGTGGCCTCGGTGATCGTGGCCTCGGTGAGCGTGCCCTCGACCGCGACCGCGACCGCGACCGTGAGACGGCACGCTTGGACCGGTCGTCTGCTGTGTCCATGCGGTCTGCGCTCATGCTCCTGCTCCTGCTTCGGCTGATGCTCCGGCTGATGCTCCGGCTCATGCTCCGGCTCATGCTTCTACTCCTGCTCCTGCTCCTGCTCCTGCTTCTACTCCTGCTCATGCTCCTACTGATGCTCCTACTGATGCTCCTACTCCTACTCCTGCTCCTCTCACGTGATGTCGATATCGGCCTCACCGCGCGCCGGCCGTGTCTCCCTGCGCTCCTGCCGCGCTGCTCCGGGCTGAACGAGCTCAGGCGGCGCCGTGTGTTGCGGTTGCGGGTGCTGTGGCGCGAGACAGACGACGGCCGCGTGTTGCGTTCGCGGGCGCTGTGGCGCGAGACAGACGACGACCGCGAGTCCATGGACACGGAGCGGCGGGCGCGCTTCGCATCGACGGCCGGGCGCTTGCCCTTTGCATCACGGCGCGGCGAGCGCGACGGCGAGCGGTTGGTGGAGATGGTCGACACCGAGTCGGGCGACGAGCGGCTGCGGCTCCTGCTGCGCTTGCGGCCGGCGGCGCGCCCGCGGTCCTCGTCCTTCTTGCGCAGGATGTCGTCGGCGACGCCCTTCTTGCGCACGAGGTCGGTCAGCACGTCGGTGGTGAGCTTGGGCTTGAGCGTCGGGTTGAGCAGCTGCTGGGTGCGCGACGGGCGCGGCTTGTAGGGGCGGTCCTGGGCCTTGGCCTTGCACTCGTAGCTGTAGTGGCCGCGCTGCAGGCACTTCTGGCACTGCGTCGTGGCCGAGGCCTTGGACGGGCCGGTGCCGGGGCGGCGGAACATGGCGCGCGGGTGGCAGTGTGGTGGTTGAATGGCAGTGTATGGTGATTCTGATAGCAGTCCTGTAAAGCAATTCCTCGCTGCAAGCTGTGTCGCGTGTGTCGTGTCGCGCCAAGCGGCTGGTATGAGGTCAGTGACAGAAAATCGCCCGTCACGTGCACGGCGAAACCCGTCGGCTTTCTGACGCCCACGGCTGCACCACCACGGGCTCACGCACTCAGCACCCCGCCCACGCCCTGCCCCGCGCTGCGCTGCCTTGCCCTCGCCGCTCCGCCAATTCCTCGCCGCCGTGTGCGCCCGCCTGCCGCCGCCGGCTCCTCTCGCTACGCGCCGCGCCCGCGCCTCCAGCGACACACCGCAGCCCACGACCCGACCGCGCAGCATACAGCCTCGAATGTCGGCACACCACAATGTCCAGCTTTCTGGCCCTGCCCACCGCGACTTTCCTTGAGCATCCCATTTCCTGAAGCGCCTTGTTAAGCTCCCTTCTTTTGGCCCCGACCGCCGCCCCTCCGCTGTCGTTTTTTCTTGCGCCCGCACCAGCTCCGTCGACGCGCCGCTGCAGTCCCGCCCACACGCACGCCGCAGACTCACGCTGCACACACCGCAGACACACGCCGCTATCCCGCCGCACCCCTCGCACCCCCCGCCCACATGGCGTCTGCCGCGCCCTCGCCGCAGGAGCAGGCGCGCGCGAGGCTGTCCTTCGCAAAGGTGCGCACCGTGCTGCCGCCCGCAAATTATAAATTATGCTAACCCGCACGAGGTCGCCGCATCTGCTCTCAAACCACCCTCCCCCACCCAGCACGCCAGCGCCAAGCCGAAGCCGCCTGTTGCGACGCCCCGAATCCTGAGCCAGCCGCAGATTGCCCGCTCTGTGCCCGCCGCCGAGCAAGCACGCCCCGACACGAAAAATGAGCTGAACGGGTCCGCTGGGAGCAGCGTCGACCGCACCGGACAGTGGACCGCCGCCGCCCAGCAGTCGGCCGCCCCCTCTTCCGACGTCAAGCAGGACCTGCCCGAGCGCCCCCGCTCCATTGCCCTGGCCAAGGTGTCTGCTGCCGAGGACAGCAGCACCCAGCTGTCGTCGTCTGACGGATCCGGCAAGCCTCCCAGCATCGACGGGAAAAGCGTCGCGTCCGCCACCACCTTTGCCCTCGATGAGAAAGAGTCACTGCGCCCCGACGACAGCGCCAGCCTGCGCGCTGTCGAGGAGGAGGATGTGACGTCTCCCGCAGACTCGGTCGTCAACGACTCGCGCCAGGGCTCCGACAACGGCGCCGCTCGCGCCTTCCGCGACCAGCTGCACGAAATTGCAGTCATGAACCCCCAGTCGCAGCGCGGCGTCCCCCCAGGTCGATTTCCCAATCTCGCCACCGGCCCGCACATGTTGTACGACCCTAACCAGGCCCTCAACGGCGGCCGGCCCATGTCGCAGCCGGTCGGGAGTGTCATGCCCCCGATCGCCGGCGTGCCCTCTGCGCCCGACGAGAAGCTCATCGAGGCGCTGCAGTCTCCACGTGACCGATTGTTTGTTGTCAAGATTGAGCAGGACTTTATTGATTTCATCAAAGATTCTCGGTGTGTGTGCCAAATCTTCCACCGTGCTTGGCTGACCGCGACAGTGAGAGCGAGTATTCGCTGCCCAACTGCAACACCTTCTACAGGATGCTTGCCCACCGCCTTGCCGACTACTACATGCTTGGCCATGTTGTCGACTCGACCATGACTGGCGTCAAAATCACAAGAACTCCGCTGTGTCGAATGTGAGTATATGCACATGCCATTACCTACCCCGCTGACCTCCAGCCCACCCCCGCTGTCACAGATGGTCGACGCTACCAAAGGCGCAGACACGCCGCCTGTCGAGCTTCCTGCGCGCAAGATCATGCGCCGTGAAGACGCCAAGTCGGGCACCAACACAGCCTCCAACTCGCAGAACCCGTCCAAGACAGCTTCTGAAGCCGATGGGAGTGATGGCAGTAACGACGGCAAGGACAAAGCCGCTCTGACGCGCGAGGAGCGCGAGGCACGGTACCGGGAGGCCCGCCAGCGCATCTTCGGTGCCGAGAGCGAAGAGTCCACTGCTGAGAGCACTGAACTCACAGAAGAGAAGGCGAACGACATGTCGCGATCGAGCTCCGCGTCCGGCAAGAAGAAAGCCAAGAAGCAGCGCAACTACGACGACGACGACTTCCAAGCGCGGTCGCATTTCAATGTCTACTACCCGCAGCAGTTCGCGGCGCCTGGGTACACGCCTGAGAACGCCGTCTACTACAACGGCTACCCGGGCGGCGTGCCGCATGCACAGTACACGGGCGGAAACCCTGCGGCCTCGCCCCCCACAGCCTACGGCAGCCCATACCCAAACTCCCCCGACGCCCAGCCTCAGTACGGGTGGAGCGGCCAGCAGTTCCAGCAGAACGGGTCGTACCAGAACTTCGGACAGATGCAGCCTGGGTATGATCTCTCCGCCGACTTCCAGCGCGGCATGTCTTTCCAGAGTCCGGTGATGCCCTCGCAGGTCACGCCCAAGATGGCCAACACCCCCATGGCGCCGTACCAGGAGCCGTTCCAGCAGCCCCCGATGCCGTCCCAGGGCTGGCCGCAAATGCCCCAGCAGCCGTACCAGCAGCCCTTTGCCACGCCCAACAACCGCCCCGTCTCCGCGCCCCAGCCCCAACCCTACGCCTACGGCCAGTTCCCCCCAAATCCCTACAACGGCCAGCCCAACCGCAACCAACACCCCATCCCCGGCAGCTACCGCCCGCAGTTCAACCCGCAGAGCCAGGCCTTCATCCCCGGCAGCCGCAACATGCCCTTCCCGCTGCAGGGCCCGCCGCCCTACCCCTTCCCCATGGGCCACCAGCCCTCGCTCTCCGGCCCGCTGCCGCGCATCAGCCCCCCCGCCCCCAGCCCGCCGTCCTTCGGCCCCCCGCAGTCCCACGCCGCCCCCATGCACCGCGTCGCCTCCCAGCCCGCCGTCAATCCCAGCAGCATCGCCAAGTACGGGACGCCCGCGCACCTGCCCGCGAAGCCGCCCGCGCCGCACCACGCGCCGCCCAAGTTCGATCTCGGTTCGCTGAACGGCGCACGGGGGGCGGCGGGATAGGTCTTGTTTTGGGGGGACGGTAGGAAGCGCGTGATATGCGGGTTTTGTATGCATTGCGAGGACAGGGGCATTGTTTCTCCGGATGGAGAGGGAGTTTAAAAGTCCGCGGTTTTGTAGTGTTAATTTAGCGGAATCGTATGGCGAGGTATCCGATGTGCAGTTTTGCGATTTGCTGTGTCGTGCTTGGATTGCTGTGTGTGCTGATACTAATACTAATACACCGAAAGCACAGCACTACCATGTACTCCACGCCACCGACGGGGCATCCACGCTCCACGCACACCGCAGAACTTCCGACACGACGCCAGCAATCGGGATTCCAAAGCACGCCATGGAGTATCGAGGGCTGGCGACTCTCTCGTCTTCTCTACTCTACTCTACTCTGCGTCCAGACCACCACCTTCACACCACAACATCTCTCCCCCGCCGTGAACCATTTCGTAAACCGTGTCATGCTGTACCCGCGCCTCAACACGCCATCCAACCCCAGCCCCTGCCCCTCCCCAGAAGCCCTAAACCTCACCGCACGTGTGCGTCGTGTGCTTGGGGTGATCGCTCCCACAGCCCTCCGCCCCTAGGCCTCGGTTCCCCGCCGACTTGCTGATGTGTCTACGTGACGGCTCGGAGCTGCGGCTTTGCGGGTAGACAGGGTCAACGGGGGTTTTTGGTCCTGCGTGCTTGGAGCCGTGAGGGGTTGGTTGGGCGGGTCTGGGTGCGCTGATGCTCCGTGCAAGCTGCTGTATCTACCTACTTGTTTGTTTGTTTGTGGTTCTTGCGCCGCGCTCGGAGGGGTGGGTAGAGCTATAGACGGCGTCGCAGGAACTGCAATGACTGCGACAGGGCGTAGGTAGTACGTCGTTCTGCCGCCGTCCAGCCGTCCACTGAACCCCACGCTTCGAGATCCATGACCCGACACGCCTCTCACGTTGCAGAATAAACGGCGAACCGAGATATCAAGCCAAGTACACCACCTGACAGTAAGGTATGGAAAACACCCAAAAACCCTATAGAACACTTTTTCACCTACAATACAGGTACCGTCTACCTAAACTCCAACTCTAGGTATAATAATAGCTACAAGTTACGTATTCTGTAAAGTTGGTACGCTCAGGGTCTTAGGTATCCGCCATTTTTTCTGAAACTTGAGAGCACGCCTAGCTGCAAACCTGCTATTGTACGTACCTAAGTACACCCCGGCCATAAACCCCCTAGGTACTCGTGTGGCAATCGCCATTTCCAATCAAGATCCACGCACGCTCCCAAATGTTTCCTTGCGGCGAGCAAGACGTCATCGCCCTGGAACGCACGAAGAAGCTCCGAGCCCGCCGCAGAAAATTCTAGAGTACCGCCGACGCCGGGCGGGAGTGCTAGCTGTACCAACTGTGCAAGCACGCGCGCGCGGAATTCTGTGCTTCACGTGGGCGTCTGGGTTTTGGGGGTGGGGGCGAGGGGGGTGGAGGGGTTCGTACGAGGCACGCTTTCAAAGCAGAGTGGTACACGGTAGGTAGGGTGTGGTTGTGGGCTGCGGGGTGGCGGAGACGCAGGGTTGCGGTCTGGCTGGAGTACTGTACCCGGGAGAGTAGATGTGTAGACAGCGCACTTAGCGACGTGCAAACCATGTCGATGTCCAGGTGTGAATCTCGCTGCACCGCCCGCCGAGCACCACTTGCACCACACACCTCACCCGCCCACATCTCGCATCGCTGTCTCCGCACCCCGCCCAAACCCAGCGACAATGGAGAGTCTGTGACGTCGCCGCTAGCCCGGCAGAGCCCCCGGCAGAGCCGCATGTGGAACCTGCGTCAGGCCGCGCACCAACGGGATGCGAGCGCTTGGGTGGAGTCGAGACAAGCCTTTGGCTGCAAGCTTAGCCTGCTTGTAGGGCTGACGTCTTGACGTTGTCGCGGGATGACGTCGGGTGCGTGCGCGTGGAGGCAGGGCAGCCGAGGCGTGATGGGTGACGATTGGGGTCTGGAGTAGCGTGGTCGGGGGTGGTGCTGGCCGGGAAGGGGTATATAGGTAGTGTGCAGGCCCCGGGGGGAATGTCTTCACTCCAGTTCACGAGATCATCTTCTGTGCATCATGGCTGCTGCGACGGAACACGCTGCGCTCGACGCGCATAAAATGCGAGATGAACGGCACTCGAATGAGTCGTCGATGAGGGATGTAGAGAAGAAGCCCCAGATGCTGGCGGGCGGCGCGAAGGATATATTCAGGCCCCGGATCATTGCTATGGCATGCATTGTGTCCATGGGCGGCTTCAGTACGCACCCCCACACGCATGTCTCACTGTCGCTAACGATGGTACAGTCTTCGGATACGACACTGGCCAGATCTCCGGCTTCCTCGAGATGTCCGACTTCCTCGAGAAGTTCTCGGACCAACGCAGCGCGCCCGATGCTCAGAACCCCAACGGCGCGCCGTCGTTCAGCAACGTAAGGTCTGGGCTCATCGTCGCCCTGCTGTCCATTGGCACGCTTGTCGGCGCGCTGGTCGCTGCGCCCATCTCCGACAAGTTTGGCCGCAAGTACTCAATCGTCTTCTGGAACATCATCTTCTGCGTCGGCGTCATCGTCCAGATCACGACCTCCACTGCCTGGTACCAGGTCGCGATTGGCCGATGGGTCGCGGGTCTGGGAGTCGGCGGCCTGTCCGTTCTCACGCCCATGTACCAGTCCGAGACTGCTCCGCGCTACGTGCGTGGAGCTCTCGTGTCATGTTATCAACTATTCATCACCCTCGGCATCTTCACCGCATACTGCATCAACTTCGGCACCGAGAGCGACGAGGGCTCACGCTCCTGGAAGCTGACCATGGGCATCGGCTTCATCTGGTCGGGCTTGATGGTCCTCGGCATGGTATTCATGCAGGAGTCGCCGCGGTGGGAGTACCGCAAGGGCCGGATCGCCGAGGCGCGCAAGACCATCGCGCTCACGTACGGCGTCAACGAGGACCATGCCGAGGTGCAGCGCGAAATCCGCGAGATCGAGGCGAAGATGGAGGCCGAGCGGGCCGGCGGCGGCAGCCACCCGTGGTACGAGGTCTTCACGGGCCCGCGCATGGCGTACCGCACGCTGCTGGGTATCACGCTGCAGATGCTGCAGCAGCTGACGGGCGCAAACTACTTCTTCTACTACGGCACCACGGTGTTTGCGTCCACCGGCCTGTCCAATTCCTACGTTACGTCCATCATCCTCGGCGCTGTCAACTTCGGATGCACCTTCCCCGGCCTCTACATTGTCGAGAAGTACGGCCGCCGCCCGGCGCTTATCTACGGCGCCCTATGGATGTTCTGCATGTTCATAATCTTTGCCTCGCTGGGCCACTTCGCCCTGGGTCCTGAGGGCAATCAGTCCCAGGGGGTCGGTTACGGGATGATCGTGGTCGCCTGCCTCTTCATCGCCGCCTTCGCCTCGACCTGGGGACCGATCGTCTGGGCAGTAGTTGGTGAAATGTACCCTCAGCGCTATCGGGCAAAAGCTATGGCGCTGTCGACAGCCTCGAACTGGGTGTGGAACTTCCTGCTCTCGTTCTTCACGCCCTTCATCACATCCGCGATCGACTACCGCTACGGCTACGTGTTCGCAGGCTGCTGCTTCGCCGGCGCGCTCGTCGTGTACTTCTTCGTGTGCGAGTCGCAGGGCCGCAGTCTCGAGGAGATCGACACCATGTACCTGCTCGGCGTCAAGCCGTGGGAGAGCAAGCACTGGGTCCCGCCAGAGGGCGAGGAGCTGCCGACCGTCGATGGCATGTATCTCACGCCGGGCGCGAGGGGGATTAATAAGAAGCAGGAGGCCAGGGCGCCCGAGCAGGATATGCTGGAGAGCGTGCCCGAGAGCGAGATGCAGAGTAGTGGTGCGGCGGCGCCTGCACCTGCGCATGTGAGAGGCGATTGAGTGATGGATTCATGATTATGACTGTCTTCGGGTGTTTTTCTAACGAGAGCATGGAGGTATTCAGACATTGGAGCATAGCGCGGCGTTTGTAATTTATAGTGTGAATTCACATGCACGTTCACGATCCTCGCACACCACTGAGCTTTCTAATGCGGACGAACCAGTTTATTGTAATGAGCCGACAATTGTCTGTACTAGCCTGTGCTTACAGGAAGTTCTCCGGATGAATAGACATTATCTTGCCAAGAAACTCCCTACAAGGGCTTTTGTCGAGGACTCTACTGTGAAGGATGTTCTGCAAAGCGTTAGCGCCATTTCAAACAAACGGCAGGTCCCTCGTCACATTGCAAGTCTTTCTCTTCTGCACCGGACCTTCACTTACCCACTCCTCGTCCTGCTCATGAATTGTTCATGCTCCCACCTCCTATCCTAAACGGTGTCTTTCACCCAATACCTGCACGCGTCCGCAACCACGGCCAGCATCATCGCGATCGACGAGCAGTTCACCGACGACTTGAACGCAGCCTTCAGACTCTGTGCCGAGGACCGTCTTGAAGAGTGCCAGGAGCAAGCCCTAGGCCTTCTGGAAGAGGACGCTATGCCAGAGTATCACCGCATCAGAACGCTCATCCTGGTTGGATCGATTCTGGGTGACTGGGAAGAAGCAGACAACTGCCGCAGGGATGCTTGGGCGTTGTACAAAACAGTGCGACGTTGGCATCCCAAGGGCAAAGACCGAACTGCCGACGGGCACTTGGACGATTTACGCGCTGAGCTGGAGGACTTGGACGAAGCGCTCGAGTCGGATGCGCCAGGCTGGGACGAAGAGGTGGACGAAGACGAGGATGTTCCTGTCAGCAATGATGAGGACTTCATCGAGGACGCCAGAGCGGAGCTGGAGTCCCTAGACATGGCTGATACTGCACCATCTGCCATTGCTGCCAGCGCAGACGTGGCCGAGCCCGCTACGACGTCCACGGCAGCTGTGGAATCCGGCACGGTATATGTACCCCCAGAGCAGGCTCCCAACAACCCCTTCTAGCATTTCGGAAGCGCAAAAACAAGTATCACAAGCTTGACCTGGAGGTGGCTTTGCAAGCTGGGCCTGACAGCAAAATCGTAGACGCCCGTCTCTTGAGCCGCCGCGGACTCCGTTTGGGAGCGTTTCATTCGCCGACGTAGCGTAGTCTGGCTATGCACTACCAGGAGGTAAGTAGGCCCGAAGAGTCGTTTCACACAAGCTGAGAGTCATAGCAGACGAGAAGCAGAAATGAGTGTCCTACCTGCATGGGGGAGGTTCCTCCGACTGATGGCTCGCGGGGTTTCATTGAGAGCTTAGCCAATCCAGAACATGTACAACGCCCTCCTCGAGCTTCTGGCTTGCTGGATGTATGCCACGCCGGCCTGTGACTTATGGAACTTGGACTTTTTACAAAGCTCGTTGATTCGTGGAGAACTTGAGCAACAGACTACACGTATCTCCCAAACCTGCGGTCTTCACTACGAGACACATGAGAAGGTATTGCACACTGTCTTCCTGTCCTTGCTAGCTGTTTGGTGGGATGCCTTCCTTGAAGAAATTAATCTTCTGAGTACTGTACTTTACAGAACTGTACCTTCGCTGACCACTACCTGCCGTGATGATGCATGGACTTCATGATCGCAATACATCAGAGAGTCTTGCTTGTATCTGGACATCACATCGCCACGACTCACCCACGCCCAGCAGCGCAGCGCAGCAATACAGACGCACCAAGGCAGCCAGCAACCCCACCGCACGCACCAGCCGTGAGAGTCATGATATCGGACTGGCGGACGCGTAACGCTGGGGCATACCACCTCGCCCTCAACCCTTGAGTTCTCGCGACGCAACCGAACGCGATCGACCATAGTGCATTCGCACGCCCCATATATGAACGCTCTACTCCACTCGCCTCGCCTCCAGTCCCGACGCAGCAGAACACGCCCTCCCCTCCCTGAGCCTTACACCTCCACTCGCGCGCCACAACATCATAGCCCCACACCCACACGACCAACAATGCCTCGTTCTGCAGCCCTACCACCCAACTTGGCCACAACAAATTCTCAACGCGGTCGCCACCCAACCCAAAGACCCACGGTACAATATTTTCGGATAATTAGAACCTAGCTATTAAAAACCCGGGATACCCACCGTGACATGCGCCAAGCCGCCATTGGCCGCCGTCACTCACCAACACGAACGGCTGCATGAGACGGAGCCGAGACGGCGCTGATAAAGCGTATTTGGAGATCGGCCAGGGGAGGCGGGACGATCTCGAGGATCGGTTGTGCAGTGCTGCGTGGCGGGTTGTGTGCGTGTAGCCGACGTGGGGTGTCGATGAGAGGCTGAATGACGAGAGCAGGGTGATGTTCGCGGCGATGTTGAGAAGTGGATGAGGATACTTGTGTGGAATGCTTTTCAGTCTATCTGCTAATCTAACTGCGCTTGTAGGTGTTGTGTAAATATCCTACCAGCCGTTGCTGCGTTTCTTAATCTCGCGACGTATCGCCTACATGGATGGGAGGGAGAACATGGCTCCATGATATGGGAGCGATGGAGAATGGGTAGATGAGATGTAGTGATGGTGAGGTTGGGACGGTAAAGATAGTCGCTTGAAGCAAAACCAACGCCAAGGCGATGCATAAGAATGTCGATAATTACAAGTAGTAAGTGCGTGATACGCATCTCCAAGCAGCTCTTTCAGAAGCGAACCGAGGCTTTGCAGCCAGCGTGTCCAACGTCTCACGGGTGCAAGCTCGAGCGCAGCGAGTGTGGACAGATGGCGCAAAGCGTGACGATAAGGTTTGAAGTATATAAGCTTTGTACTCCTGCTGACGTAGGTTTGATGGTTGTAGCACAGCAGTGTCGTACACGGGACGATCCAAGAGCTGAGGTGGGGTGTGCATGTCCTCACCCGACTCGTTCCTGCAGCTGGAGGAGATGCGACGCGATGCAATGAATGGAAAGATCAGAGACTCCAAAACGCCGCCGTTTGGATATATGGTGAAAATCAAAGAGCAAACACGGGAAACTGTACAAAGCGGTGGTGATGCGAGCTTAGAAGTTCTGTGCGATGCCAGAGTTTCCTTGTTGTGGGAAGACCGAGGGGTTCTCGATCCTCGTGTTCCGCCGCGCTGAGACGTCCCGGATGACGGGCTGCTGACCAGCACCATAGGGGTCGCTCTGACCGTACGGGCCTTGTTGGTAGTAGCCCTGGTTGTCGTAGTACTCGTTCGGGTTACCCATGGCCATGCCAGGGTATTCACCCGAGGCATCGGATCGGCCAGCGGCAGAGTAGGACGATGACGCGTTAGAGACCCCACGTTGTACGCCGGCCTGGTTCTGTGTCGAGTTCGGCGCAGCGCCACCAATGGCACCGGCACCAAGCGCGCCGAGGCCATCAGAGTCCATGGTCTCGCGACGTCCGTTCATCAAGGGGTCGTTCGAGCCTTCGGAGTAGGCTCCACCAGTGGGCGAGTGCGGTGTGTTGTAGCCGCCAGGGTTGCTGTTGCTGTCGGAGAAGGTCATGCCGCTGGTGAGGGTAGTAGAGGCCTTGCGGTTTGAGCTGGTCGCGGTGTTACCCCAACCGCGGTAGCCGCTCGAGTCCTCGGCCATCTCAGATCCCATACCAACTGCAGGAAGAGTGGGGTCGTTGTTGGGGTTGAAGCCATACTCCTCGACCTCCTTCCTTCGCTCCTCCTCGTTGTTCTGACGAGCCTTGCGTTTCCTCCATAGCATGATACCAGCTACAAGCAGCAGTGCAACAACAACAACGGGAACGACGACAGCAATTGCGATCTTGCCGCCGCTGCTGAGGCCGCTCTGTGCAACGCCATCTGCCCTCTGAGGTCCGGCAGTGTCGGTGCTCGAGCTGGTAAGAGTGGTAGCGGTGGATGCTAGACCGCCGGTAGTTCCAGTAGCGGCGGGTCCCTCCTTCGTTACGATGGATGTGACGACGATGGGAGTGGGGGTCTCGCCTTCGCGGGATGCAGAAGGGGTCACGGTAACGATAGATGTCGCAATCTCAGTAGTCGAGGGTGGCGCAGACGGAGCAGTGACGGTCGAAGTCTGAGGCGGTGGCGCACTCGTGGTAGCAGGGGCAGCGCTCGACGGGGATGGGGCAGGTGCGGCCGACGATGGGGCTGGTGCTGGTGTTGGTGTCGAGGCTGGAGGAGCAGACGATGCCGGCGGCGCCGAAGAGGCAGGAGGAGCTGAGGTTGCCGGCGGTGCTGAGGTCTCTGGCGGCGCCGAGGACGCAGGCGGTGCTGAGCTCGGAGGCGCTGCGGACGACTCAGGCGGCGCTGCTGAGGAGGGTGTGTTAGGGGCCGGCGAGGACTGCGCAACAGAGGGTGTAGACGGCTCCGGCGCAGCAGACGAGGGCGCTGGAGCGGCCGACGTTGGTGCTGCGGACGGTGTTACAGGCTGGGACGATGCAACAACAGAGGGCGAGCCAGGAGACGAGGGAGAGGCAGGAGCTGCCGACGACTGGGTCGGCGCTGCCGAAGGAGAGACAAGGGAGATGAACGTACTGGCAGCAGTGTTGTTTGCCGACGACATATTGACAATTGCAGGCACGCAAGCCCGGCAAAGAACAGTAATAAGCGGCGACGGCAACAATCGCACAGAAGAGAGTGCGAGGGCGAGGAGGCTAGTGTCGCGGGTGCCGGCAAGACGGGTTTCTTGGTTTGTTCAATGGTCCCTATGCACGCTCGGCGGGTGATGCGCGGGTCCACAGTGCTGCAACAGGCGGTGGGACAGCGCGAGTGATGATGTATGGCGCAGGCAGAGCCAGTGAAAAGTGCGAAAAACGGGGTTGCGCGCGCGCGGTGAGCGGAGGCCGGGCGAAAGAGGAGGTGTTGCAAGCAAAGTGGAGCGCGGCGCGAGGAGAGAGGCGATCCGAGCTCCGCTGATCCAAAGGGCTGCCTGATTTGGGCAAGCTGAGGTTGCTGAGGCACGCACGCTACCAGTGTACCAATGAGGGCCGGGGGAGAGCCAATGATTGAGACGGGCTGCGACAAACGTGTTCACTCTGGGAGCGCGCAGAGGGCATCTTTTCAGGACTCGCGGCCAAGGCGCGCGCTGGCAGCACGGCTGTTTAGGCGGCATGGCTAGCCAGATTCCAGTGTCGAGAAGCGGGACGCTGCGCCGGATCGCAATTAGCTGCCTCTGTTTCGGGAAGGCCCAAATGCGCTTGTGCCTAGCTGCGCGCTGCTCAGGGAGACGGACACAGCGCAGATGTGGCTGTGTGCAGCGTCGCAGATGTCCCAATTGCACCGTGGAACGCGCAAGCTTGCGGATGCACACCAGATGGCTGCCGCGATGCAGCCGGCGTGATACAAGATGGATGCAGGCGTGTGCAGAGCGCACTTGCAGCATGCTCGCGCCGACTCCACTGCTCGTTCTCACAACACCCCGGTCGTCGATAGCATCGTTTGTTGCGAGCTGCTCTTTTTCGCTGCGTCCGCGCGCGGCTGATTGGCCACTCGGCCACTCTATAATTAATTCTCAAGTCAGAGTTGCCTCCGGACGTTGCAGCCATCGTGTTCTGCGCGCTACTGAGGCTCGAAGAGCAGCCATCCGTATCAACAAGTCTTCGAGCAGCCGACTTTTGGCCACTGCTGCGTCTGCAATGCGCTCATCGGGCCAACATGTTAAGCTTTCCCAGCAATCGCCAGATTCTCAGGATGCCCTGCATACCACCCCGCTTCCAGGCGACCTTGCTTTTAGCCACCCATGAACCGTGCATCAGCATCGCTTATCAGTTGATTATAATCCTGGGTCTACTGCATGACGATTTGCCGCACGAGCAGCAATTACCTGAAACAAACACGCCCTCCGCTATGTCATGCTGAGTGTGCAATGCGCAAACGACCCTGACAATCCCCTTCACGAGCTCCTCACCTGACCAACGGCTGCTAGTGCAGCAGTCAATGATTGCACATGTACTTAGATATTAGTGTACCATACTGCTAGCCTACACCGATCATCTCAAGCCTACACCAGGCCTGGAACAACGGCTTTTCGGTTCCCGACCTTGTCTCTGCCGAATTTCTCCACGTACCAACGCTTGCCCTGCAACGCGCGAGGAAGCATTGTGCTGACCTCGTTGACGAGAAACGTGCGAGCTGGCTGGCAGTTGAGCCCTCCAATCATCCACCAGCCCGCCCACTCGACCCACTCACAGAAGTAGTGTGCATACAAGACATACTTGAACAGCCCGTTCTTAGGGATCATGTACACTTTGTCCACACCCTCGAGTGGCTTGTTGTGCTCCGCTGCGTTCTTGCGTTGTTTCCGATCTGCTGCTCGCCGGATCTCGCGTAGGTCGTCGTCGTGGAACATGTTACCTAGCAGCCCCCAGCACCAGAGCACCAAGCCCAGAAACATCCACCCTGCGCGTCCCTGCCAGCGGTAATCCGCAACGGTCGTTGGCCCGTAACCAGACAGGTAGCCGCCGATTGAAATGGCGTTGGTGAGCTGGAAAGCGAGCATCATGAGGCATACGAGCGGACTCATGGGCGACATGCTTGGGTTGAGGAACAGCGGCGAGAGGACGGCGCGATAGATGTAATGTATGACCTGCCCTTGGTTAGTGGTGCTCTCTCGTGTTTGCGCCGCGGACGTACAAAGCAACCAGCCATTGTCCAGTTACCCCACGGCAGCTCCTCGATGCCCAACTCCTTCGGCAGCGTGAAGAAGATGTACAGCAGGGTTATCGGCCCTGCGGACTCCATTGTCGCCCATCCTATCTTGCCTGGTACGTTCCACCGTGATTCTATGGAGGTCTTGCCCTGAGGGTACCAGTCAATGACCCACTGGACTGCTGTGATCTGCACATATTGTCAGCGCATGTCTGTAATTGCTCTTGTGCATGAACGCGACGTACCAGCGGGAAGAACTGCCAGATGTAGCATATCCACTCCCAGTTCTCACGCGACGGAGGCAACCAGTTCTGCACGATAGCCATAACGATGTTAGCTCGCACACAACAACGATGAAAAGAGCGCGGAAGACGCGTGCTGCGATGGGCTCATGATCAATCAATTATCTGCCATCGTACCGCCGAATGGTGATGTCACGCCGACCTGAGCTATAGCGCCAAGCTTGGACGCGTTTAACGTCTCATGGATCGCGCACTCATCCGGTCTCGCTTTTACCCAACTAGCGCGTCATGTCCCATTTCACACAAACCCACCCCTGCAAGACCCGAACTTCAAGCGATGATTTTGGGAGACTGAACGACTGTGCGAAGGCGAGCACAGATGAATACTCACAATATATACTATACAAATTCCGTCTCCTTCATCAAATCAATCCAGTCGCTTTAGCTCACTTGGGAGAGCGCCAGACTGAAGTTCAGTCATTAAATCTGGAGGTACTGTGTTCGATCCACAGAAGCGACAATAGCTTCGGTGCCCAGCAAGTCTGGGATTCCTCGATTCTTTTTGCTTTTTGTCGCGCCTTAGTCTTCCCTCTAGGTTCGAAAGTTTGGTGTAAAGGGGTTAAGGTTTGGTAGCGAGTTTTGTTTTTGCGCGCAGGCTGCAATCGCTCTTACGTCGGTCACGACATGCAGTCCACAGCTTCTGCACGTGGCTCGTTTGCGTGTATGACACCCTTGGATATTTTTGTGGACACTACAGTCAGTTGCTGGGCGAGACATGAATGACATGCTTCATTGCTTCCCAAACTTCCAAACCCATGTGTACTGCACTTAGCTATTGGGCCCTATCCTTGGGAGAAGGCATCTCCTTTGCCTTTTCTCAGATCTCTTCTCTTGACCTGCAGCTGCCAAATTCGGTAAAATTGTGCAAGTTTATCCAAGAGCCTCCATTCAATCCGACATCAAATCACTCTCTTTGCCGTGTCTGCTACTTTTCTCATTCACGCAAGGCCTTCTCCCGAGCCCTCTTCTCCTTCTCACAGATCCTCCTCTCCTTCTCGCAAGCAATTCTCTCTCCTTCGGTGGGGTGATCGTGGTAGTCGCAGAGCTCGAGGTCATCGTCGATTTGCATGGTACCACTGCAGGTGATGCGAACATATCGTTCCCACACCGCCTGCAAGAACTCGACGCATGTATACCTATCGTATTGCACGTCATGCGGGTTGTCGAAGCGGCATTGGAGATCAACCAGAAGTCGACACATGGAACCCGTCTCCTTGAGGTTGTTGAAAGCGTGTGCAATGGCTTCTCCCCCCGCCAAGTCTCCACCCAGGTCACTGGTCAGATGGAAGAGTAGATCAATAATATCTCTGCAAAGGCCTGCGACATCGTACTCGACCGCAAAAACGTAAAGTTTCGTGAACGGGTAAAATTCGGCATCTCCGCTGTAGTGACTGTAGAATGTGTCTACGACAGCCTTGTCGTCATTTCCGTCCTTCCTGGGCAACTGTTGGTAATACAGCCAATGCACGAAAACCTCGAACGTATCTGGATCCACGTCTTGGACGTCCAACTCCTCGTTCTCCGGATCTTTGAACTTCTTGGACAGAGCTGTACGGAAGAGACCAGAGTGGTAGATGAGAGCGGATTCGTGCACGACAAAGCGCTGAACGCCGACGAGTAGAGTAACGACAACCGAATCAGGTGCACTACACGTTTGCGTTAGATTCTCCAGTATCTGACTGCATGTCGACTTACGAGATACGCGGACGAGGAAGTAGAGCCTCGTAAGCAGTACCAGAGCTGTTTGAGATTGAAGACATGGCTTTGGAGGTTGTGCTGTGTCAGATTGATGAGGTAGAGCTGGAGAAGAGGAGTGATGGATGGACGGAGGGATCTTCCGTGAGATTTTATGAGAGGCGACAGCACTGGAAACCGCCCTAGTGCTGTTGTAAAGGTGAGAGAAGGTGGTTAGGGTAAAGCTGCCTTTACCACTGGCTCAAACATCCGCACTGATCCCATGTTAATGTAAAAGAGAAGGTGGTCATTGAACTCGCAACTGACACATGTGAGCAAGCTGTGTTCTCAGAGTGTCAGAAGTGTATGACAGCCTTGCCAGTCACTTGAGCAACTTTTGTATCAAACGATAGATGAGAGGATGATCTACCTGATCCATACGGTTTGATGCTATCTATGTAGGCATCAGAAACAAGCATCTTGTAGTGGTTGATAACACGTCAGATACAAATCAGACTGGCACGAGATGATTGCTAACGGGAACCAGGAGAAACACTCTGCTGGGAGGTGATGGCTTTGATATATATTTGCTATAGTCGGCCACGCGGGAGAATCTGTCGTGCCCAAGTCAATCCCGATCAATGGATTACTGGATTCTTGATCTCACATACCTGCAGACGACTTTGAAAATGCACCTCGTGAGAAGCTGGCTCTCTTACTCCGAGGACTATCTGTGATCTCTGAGCGAATCACCGTGACGTCAGCCGCGACAAGGACCACCATCAAATTTGAAGTACGAGGCGTCTAGGACTGACTGCTGGTAGCACACCACCGGGAAATTGCATGCTTCCGAACGCGCGTATTGCCACCACCTAAACCAGGGATATTCCAACTGCAAAATGATACAAACAGTCTGCGTGATCGCCCAATTCTGCTGATATCCAACCCACTTCGATCCTTCCTCAACGGTACCCTTCCAAGGTCCCTACTCTCCAACCCTGCCTGCTTCGAAAGTTTCATCGCTCTCAAGCACCAGCCGCCAATCTCCAACACACATTCACTAATGCACTAGTCGCACTAAGGTGCGCCAGTGTTCTGGGCAGAGCTATGTTGCTTAGATACGACGGATAATGCACAAGCAGCTTCGCCATGACATGGAAGCCAAGCAAATTCACAATCTGCGCGTCGTTAGGCGCAAGAATCTGCGCCAGGGCCGCAGCGAGTGCAAAGGCTGTCAAATCGTAAGCCATTTTGTGTAGCGCTCTGGGCATAAGACGTACCAGGGAAGTTTTCCATCAGAGCGTAGTGCGCACTCCTCAGTCTCAACGGCAGACCGTCCAGGACATGAACATGCTTCCTGGGATGGTCGTTGTCGAACCCCTCGTCACGCCCCATAGCCTGGCCCGCTGCCGAAGCGGCACCGGATGCGCCGAAGGTCCAGAACAGATACAAAGCCGAAAGAGCGGGAATCGCACGCCCTGAGGTAATCGATGAGACGCCTACACCGGGCAGAAGCTTGATAATGGCATGAGTCAGGGATTGGCAGATCGAATTCGGCGTCGTGAGGTAAGAGGTCAGAGGGATCAGAGCGAGGTACATGGGTGCTGCTGCTAGTAAAAGTGCGCCTGAAGGGTTGATACTGTGCTCATAATTAGAAACAGGAACTCGAATCTCGTCAGTGATACTTACACGCCATTCTCAGCGGCTACGCGCTTTGCTTGTCTCTTCTTGTCATCTGCCATGATTCTTGTTTCGTCACGTGATGTTTGCTCGGAAGTCAGTAGTAGAAGTCGTTGTGGGAGATCTGAGACAAGTAGGATTGTCTAGAAGTAGTATTAGATATGTAGATAACCGAGGCCGAAGGCATAGCTCTTGATGACGTGTATGGAACGCACTGGTCCTGAAATGGATGAGATATATGGAATTATGTAGGAAAAAGGCGGGGTATTTCTAGTGCTATCTCCGGCTGCTCCCGCACTCACACGTCTACCTGGGCATGCTTGATACCGGTTCTTTAGCTACTCAAATATGTGAATAGCGCAGGGCTGAGTTAATGCCTCCTCTATCTCCTTCGTGTTTAGTTGGTGTTGACTGACGATTGCCTTGAGCAGAGCTGCGACCACAACACGAGTGCACGAAGTCCTGTTGTACCATTAGCTGTTGCTTTTGAGACATATAGGTATGAGGCCCAGAGAGGTCCGGCTCTGATCAGTTCTCGTTGATCTTGATCCCCCGTTATAAATGTGTTCGTGCTTAATCAGCCAGATTGCCGATGGGTCGACCTTGAATCATCAAGCAGCACCATGTGCAATGGTGACCAGAGCATCTGCACCTCGCGACTTCAACGAGAGGCATATAGTGTAGTCTAAAGAGGCCAGTAAGACGTTTGTGGTAAGAGCTATTTTTGGCATGTTGTGTCAAATCAGTCACCTGCATTGGTGGTCTGCTTGTGCGAAGTCTGCGGTCGCTTGAAACTAGCAAAGAGGCGGATAGCCTTGCAAGTTCTCGCCCCTTGTTTCGACAGTCAGTCTCAGTCGATTCGCAATACATACATGGAGCACGTGAGGTCAAAGGAGGAAACGGTAGTTGGAGGATGGAAATGGAGGCGTTCGTGCCGAGCAGCGAGATCGACCAATCAAGGGCCCCACGTGGCAGCTCTACCACCTGTCTCAGCAATTCGAAGCGACTATCCTCCAGACCATCCACTCACCACGGCAGCAATTGGGAATGGACCAATGCGTTCGTGTTTATCTCCGTTTTTGCTGTCGGTCAGCCCTTGATGGAAGCTCATCCCTGTGCCGCCCAGCTGGCCCACGTTCTGAACGACTGTAGCCATGCAGCTAGCCAGTGACCCAATATGGTCTCACAGCCGCATTGTGGCTGTCAGAAATGACAGTCAATGATAGCTAGTTCGCAGCTTACACCCCGCTCCATCTCTCTCCAGCCTGATATACCCATCCTCGACACCCGTGGTCCCGGACAGCGTGGTTCACGCGACACTCAACATGCAGCAAGGAACCTTGACCCAGAATTCGGAAGGTCCCTTTGCAGATGGGCTAGGCGAATTCGCTACGTTGTACGGGGAGTTACAATGGGACCACAGACGACCCTCGAAGCTCGCCACAACGACTGTTCAGGAGCTGGACGCCGCTCCACCATCACCTCCATCAAATGATCGACCCACAACAGCGTCAAGATTCGCAAACGCATCTTACGACTTAGCTGCGCATGTACCACAGTACAAGAAACATGCGGAAGGCCTGCAGCTCGCGGAGAAGGCGCCTCCTCGAGGCTCTTCGCTAGGATACTCAACAGACTTGATTCTCGACGAGCGTTTTCCAAGGCCACCTATGGGACATTCAGCATCGTCACCTAGCACATTATTGATTCCGCTTTCCCCGGAAAGTCATGCGAGTCAGAATGTCTCACAACATGCGCCCCAGACACCAACACTGTCTCCACACTCGCGTTCAAGTTTTCCGGATGTTCCGTCACCTCTGAGCTTCAACAGGGCTACTACAGTTCCTATGACGCCGCCAATGTCGAATTCAGGTAGCAGCGAAGGCGGCATCCGCGATTCGATGGCCTCGCTTAACCTAGGTGGACTACAGCCTGCACCTCTTCGATTACCAATGAGTGCGGCGAATCTTCCACCCGCGACACTCTCTCGCATGGGTACTGTAAGCAGTACAACGAGTAGCAGCGTTTCTTCAGTACGAATGCGCTCACCATCTGCGTACTCTCCAAGTAGTCCCTTCCCAAGGCCCAGATTTTCGGTAGCTGCTTCCACTACAGGCGCGTACGAGAATGAGGCACCCGACATGACGTCAGACCAAGCTAAAGCCGAGATCGCGCGCCGCATTGAGAAGAGAGATGTCACTTCAAGTAGGAAAGCTTCGGCAAGTTCGTCAATTCTCAAAGGCTTTTCCATGAAAAGATCGAACACAGCAAGTACATCCGGCGGAGGACCTTCTTCAGAGATCTTGAATCAGATTCTGGAAGAGGTTGCCCAGGAAGGCAGTTTGTCTTTAGTGAAAGCCGTAGTAACGATGGGGGCGGATCCAGCAAGCAAAACAAAAAAAGCTAAGCATGAAGCTTTAGCCAAGGCGACAGCGGCAGGGCATACGCGGGTCGTGGACTTTCTGCTTCGCAATGGTGCAAGCTATGGCGAAGTTCGTCTAAAAGTCAGATTTACCCCCACAGATTATGCACTTCTATCAGCTGCCTACAAAAGCTACGCAGAGCTTTCCAGCTGTCTCATTGCATCTCACGGAGCGAATCCTATGACTGAGCAATGGCCACGAGAGATCGAGGAAACGCAACATTACTGGGCAGAAACTCAAGTACGCCTTCCAAAATCGAGTGTTCTGGACGGGATATCGCGTTGGACCAACGTAGATGACGGCATGAGCGTGATGAAGTTTATCATGGGTAGCTCGAGATTTGATCCCACCGCTCTTGTCTGTGGCTTATTCGACAGCAAAAGTGAGCTACAGTCTGCCAGTTATCAACATCGCCCTTGGAGAACCACGTATGAGATCTCGGCGCTCGCTTGCTTTGCGGGCGCCGGCTGGGCTGATACGGTTGAAGATATGCTGGCTTTGAGAGGTGCACCGAAGGACTACGAAAAGGAGGACGATATCCAGCAGCACCAAGAGAAGAAGACCCGCTTTGTGTCACCAATCAATGCAATGACAAAGGAGACGTGGCAGAAGAGACCAGAGGATGCAATCCGCATACTACACTTGCTAATTGAGAGAGGATTTGACTTCAGTCACGCCCAGCGGACACAGAACGATGCTGGGTTGAGAACGCCACTTGGTAGAGCGATTTCCGCAGATGCGGCACAGGCGGTGGAGCTGATCCTCCAGCACAAGCCAACGCTGATCAGAGAAGAGCTATACTTCAGGCGCAACAAGAAAGAGACCAAAGCTTTACCATTTGTTATTGCTCTTGCGTTGGACAGACTGGAGGTCTCCAGAGTTCTGCTTCGATCCGGCGCCCACCCCCGAGATCCTGCTATCGAAGACATGAATATCTTGCAATTCGCAGCAAGTGAAGGCGGACAAGCTGCTACCCCCCATGCTACTTGAGATGCTTCCGATGGCTCCAGAGCTGACGTATGAAGCACTCGACATTGCAATCAAGCGCAACAACAAGAACAACGTGCGCGTACTCCTCGATTTTATCTCTACAGCTGCCACCCGTGGCGAAATCGCCGCTCTGCCACCCGCGTATGACTCGATTTTGCTCTGTACAGATACCGATAAAGATGTCGAAACCAAGTTCAGGTACGCTGAACTCATCGACATGGTTTATCAGTGGGATGCCGGTGGTGCTTTACATCGTCCAAGACTGCCATCAATCCTCAATGCGATTCGAAAAGACAACTATGCTGGAGTCGAGAAGCTCATTCAAGTAGGGATCATAGATGGCAAGTCCCTGGTCCTGAACAGCAGAGCGCGACCTGTTGGTGAGTCCGGTGAGTGGACGGTGCTCGAGTGCTGCGAGACGACGAAACGAACCTCAGATTGGCTTGCTTTGTTGAGATATCATGGTGCACCGCTGTACTAAAAGCCCACTGGTTGATCGGTTTTACTCATTTCGTGAGATGGTGTCTCGGCGTTTACATTTTAGCGTTGTATTGGCAAGATACTGTTACTGTCAAGATCACGATATGCAGTTTCTAAATCCTGCTTGCTCCCTTCTTTTGTTAGATGTCTAATACCAAGTTCCTCAGATATGTGGTTACTATCATGCTTGTGATGAGAGACCCAGCGGAGCCAGATACTGAGTCGATGGATGCCGTACACCAAACCATGGTGACTCTAAGTAAACCAATCTTGCAATGAGCGTTTGAAATAAAGTGGATGAATTCGATGAATTCTTGATCATGAAGATGACCGTCAACTTATACCTCAGCGATGGCTAGTCATGTGACTGTCCAATTGAACAGACTGGTCATCAGCACCGAGCTTTCAATTGCCCACTGGGGCGGCTCAAGACTTCCACTAACAGTCAAATGCTTGAAGGGACTACCTAATTTAAGAAGCCTGCGCCATGTTTCGGCATGGAGCTAGTACACCTTAGACCCGCCGCCCTCTGCATACACCATCATGTACTTATTCGTAATTCCTTGCTATTTATTTGCACTAGATGCATATCGTAAACGTTGTGGACGTCTTTGGAGAATCGGTGATACTGGCAGAACTATCGTCTATGCCCTTTAGGGAGATGAATCGCTCAAAAGGCAAGTGCTCACACTGGCAGCTTTTTTCTTTGATTCACTACTAACAGTTTCAAGTGCCCCAAGGGAGACTCTGTCGAAACTCTCACTGTCAGCTAAAACACAAGACATCGATAAAGTTATGTAAACACTTTACAATCACTAGGGTACAAAATCGTGTAGAAAACATCGAAGAACACCAGAGATTGGTATTAATACCACCGCGTTCCAGTATTTCTTTACGCAGAAGAAAGGCTCTAGAAAATCGTACAAAGTACATAGAACTCAGGTATAATACCCGAAATTGCGGTGTAACAAAACCGATGCAGTGTTTTTTTCACACAGCATAAAGCGCTCTTGTGGTAAAATAACTCTGCATTGGTACCGTAGTGAATCACAAAGCGCACACAGCAATCTCTGTAACTGTTGTGTTATTATTCCAAAGCCAGGACGCAACTTGATCATGGCTGACGCAAAATCGAATGTCGTCAAGTGTTTCACAGCTTTGCTTACAACCGAGTTATCTGCTGCATCTTTACGCAAACACTCTCCGGATCCACGAGCAGAGCTTCGATATTCTCCGTCAGACGGATCGCGAATGAGCACGGTTCAATAACATACACAGGATTTGCTTTTTGACTCCTGAAACATGCTATGGAACTCTATTTCCGTTCCTATGTGAATCTCGCAGGTTTTACTCATGGGAAAGGTGTCATTCCAGACCAATTGCGATGAACTGATCTATTTCACGTACACCAAGGACGTTGCAAACTTCGAATTCGACCTAAATAAGCGGAACGAACTTTCTCAAATACACAGTGGCCAGTAATTGGTCAAGCAGATCGCCACTGGCAAGAATAATGCTGCCGTTGTGCAACTCACAAAACTGATCGACAGTGTAAGCAGGCGACAATTAGTTCATCGTGACGCATTCGATCGTATAGACAGTGCATTTCTAGGCAGCAACAAGAGCTGAATATTGGACTATTATCCTTTTGGTGAAGTTTGCAAGTCCAGAAGCTGCTACTGTGCACAGTCCTGCTAGGTGACATCCTGTTACATCTCCTGTTGGAAGGTGCTGCCATGAGAACTCAACGCGGCACGGCACGGGGCATGGGAAAGTCTTCCAGCTGATCTTCACACTGGAAGCCTTGAAACGATTTGCTCGAAGGATGCTCGTACGACACGGCAAACGTCTGTCAACACTTACTTGGCAAAACGAAATCATGCGCGGTGGATTGTAGACGGAAAGGATCTGAGGGCCAGCATTCATCTTACGTAAATTCTGCAGGTCTTTTCTCGCGATCTGATCTAACATTGATTCGTACACCCGTAATAGAGTGTGCAAGTATCGTTGTAGGACCTCGCTGCGCAAGTCGGTACGAGAACGAATAGAATGCGACGATGATCTACAGTCCACCACCCTCTTATGCAGGATCTTGGCTTGGCAAGTAAGATGAATCTGTTCCAGGTGTGTCACGATTGTTTCGTTGGCTCATTTGTTCAGATCTCGTCATTCAGTGACCCACTACTTGTCAGCTCGCACCCCACGCGTGGTCGGCCTCGCCGCGTTCATTCAGGCAAAAGGTGCGGACCGGACCGCATGCAGCCACACGAAGAGCGCCACATGCAGTAGCTATCACATTCGTGCGCCTGCATTAATGGCACGAACGACCACTTCCCCAGACTGACTACAATATGTAAGCGATTCCACCTTGGCATAGAAGAGACGGAATATTTCCGCATTCCAGGTTTCGTGCCAGTACCGAAGGCAAATGCTGCAACGTCTGGTATGGTGCCCTTAGAATTACTAGATGAGACATGAGGAAGCAATGACGGGTTATAAATATGCAAACATTCCAGTACTCTTTCTATAGAATTTAAGAGACATTCCAAAGTCTCCACACAAGTCTGTGCCCAACATGACTGTAAATGGTCAGCCTCTCTCCGATGGACAGATCCCTAAGGATACTACCGTCCCTCTTGTATTGCCACCAAATACCACCGCTGCGACGTTCAGTATCTTCATTGGTCGTCTTACAGAAGTTGTAACCGCAGAGAACCTTACGATCGTCACCGATGAAGAACAGCTTCTGAAAGATGACTATATGGACCGATCCAAGTTTCATGACATGTTCCACATTGTGGAAAAGGATGCGTTCATCTCCAGTGCTGTGGTTGCCCCTCGTAGTGTCCCTGAGGTACAGGCCATCATGCGGCTGGCCAACGAGTTTGAGATCCCTGTTTGGCCATTCTCTATGGGTCGCAACATTGGCTATGGTGGTTCAGCACCTAGAGTAGCTGGAAGCATTGGCATTGACATGGGCAAAAACTTGAACAAGGTGATCGAGTTGAATGCAGATCTCGCCTATGCGCTCGTTGAGCCTGGTGTATCGTTCTTTGATCTTCACGAGTACATTGATCAGAGGGGTCTCCGAGAAAAGGTGTGGGCGGATGTGCCTGACCTTGGAGGCGGCTCTATCATTGGAAATACGCTGGAACGAGGCATCGGATACACTCCCTACGGGGACCACTGGTAAGATCAGCTACCTGAGCGTCTTGATAAACTTTCTCTAACGATAGAATAGGATGATGCACTGTGGTCTTGAAGTCGTTCTACCCGATGGATCTCTTATCAGGACCGGAATGGGAGCCCTTCCAAATCCACGAGCCGACAAGACCAAACCACCACATGAACAGGAGCCAAACGAGAGTTGGCAATTGTTCAACTATGGGTTCGGCTCATACAACGATGGTATCTTCACCCAGTCGTCATTGGGAATCGTGGTCAAGATGGGCGTTTGGCTGATGCCGAACCCTGGAGGCTACCAGGCTTATATGATCACCTTTCCAAGGGATGACGATCTGAAACAGATCGTCGAGATTTTACGTCCACTCAGGATAGCTATGGTCATACAGAATCCACCCAAGCTAGACAACATTCTTGTCAGTGCTGCACTCATGGTACGTTTATTGCGATTCCATGCCTCTCTTGGCAAGGGCTTTTCATGTCTCTCTCAAAATGTAACATGTTGACGTGGAGTAGGGTAACCGAAGGGCCTTCAGTGACTCTCCAAATCCTCTGACAGATGAGGAGCTGGACCAGATAGCGGAAAAGCTCAATCTCGGCCGGTGGAACTTCTACGGTGCGATGTACGGTCCCCCAGAGGTTCGAGATGCATTTTGGTCTGTCATCAAGTCCTCCTTCAGCAAAGTCAAGGGTGCCAAGTTCTTCTTCCCAGAAGATCATCCAGACGATGTTGCGTTGCAGACTCGAAAAAACACCTTCCAAGGGATCCCGTCCATCACTGAGCTCAACTGGGTGAGCTGGCTTCCAAATGGGAGCCATTTGTTCTTTGCGCCCATCGCTAAAGCTACGGGCGAGGATGCAGAGGCCCAGTATGCGTTGACACGTAAGTTGAGTGAGGAACATGGGTTTGACTTCATTGGGGCGTTCCTTGTCGGTGTACGCGAGATCCATCACATTGTGTGCATCGTTTTCGATCGCAAAGATCCGGAATCGAGGCAGCGTGCGCATAAATTGATCAAAGTTTTGATCAAGGAGGCGGCAGAGAGGGGGTGGGGCGAGTATCGCGCCCATCTTGCTCTGATGGATCAGATTGCCGGAACCTACAACTTTAACGACAACGCACAGATGAAACTGAACGAGAAAATCAAGAATGCTTTGGATCCCAAGGGAGTATTATCGCCAGGAAAGAACGGTGTATGGCCTGCGCGTTATGAGAAAGAGCAGTGGAGCCTAGATAACTAGGTACGAAGTAGAATCTTGCGTGTTCAGCAACTGGAAGGCGTGACCCGTAGATATGTATATAATTACGTTGATCAAACTCGACCCAAGATTTAGTCACGTCACATGAACTCTTGAACTGGGGCATAGTTACTGGATCCTTAGTAGCTGTAGCTATAGGCTTTTGATATCACTGTCACGATTTACTCCAAATCCGCCCATGCAGAGTGCTTATATGACACATCTGCGCCCACGCAGTCGAGAAGTTGCTGAAATAGATCACAATCTGAAATTCAATCATCGGTATTGATTCTGTTCCAGAAACCCTTTCATTAAATATGTTCATATTGTATCAGAGCGCATCCGATCCTACGATCAGCCACAAGCCTCCAGGTACAACATATACAACACTGCCACCAGTGTAACAAACCAGAATTTGAAGCTACGCCTCCATCTCAAGAACTCGTGGCTTTTCTGTGCCTCGCTGCGCCTTCTTCGTCATCACCCCAGCCCTCTCGAGTGTCCTTCGGAATCCGAATGAAGAAAGCAACCATCAAGAAAGCGGCAACCGCTAACCCGACTCCAAGATAGGCAGCGGAATGGTAGCCACGAAGTAAGTCTCTGCCATCATCAAAGGTATGAACCTCGACCGTGCCTGCAATTCCTAGGCCTGTACTCATTCCATAACCGAGTAGTGTTCCCACCAAAGACCCAGCAACACCTTGATGTTTCATCGGTACGGTATTGCTTGCAATAATCTGCGCGCTGGTAACAATCAAATCGATTGTGAAACCAGAAAGAAACAAAGCCGGAAAAGCCATAGCCCAATAGGTAATATCAGCGGGAATCGTGGCCAAGAGACAGTTGATGGTAATGACGGCGATACAACCACCACCAATAATGGCTTGTGCTGGAACGCGAGGAACGAGCCATGCCGCCAAGAAAGCAACCATGCTGCCGACGATAGTCAGTGGCAAGTATTGAACTCCAACTCTGATCAGGCTGTCGCCACGGATTGTGATCATGTACACATTCATGTACCAGAAGAAAATCCCCAGACTCATGAAAGAAAAAAAGATCGTAAGCATGAGAATGCCAAAGGAAGGTGCTTTCCAAATATTGAACGGTAGTATCGGCTCCTTAGCAACCTTGATTTCCCAATAGGCAAATGCTGCAAAGTGGATGATTGCGATGATTAGGAGGGCGATCTCATAGGGGCTGTCCCACCCAACCAGCGGAGCTTGACTACATGCATGGTCAACTATGATCCAATGTGAGGATGGGGGTGGGGTCTTACTTCCACACAAAGTTAAATAAGATCAAACCTCCAACTCCAAGGTAGGCTCCAACCCAGTCAATCTTTCCGTTTGGATCGACAGGCTCATCCTGTGGGCTCAGAAAGATCGCAGTTCCGTATACAGTCAAGCCTAACATGCCACTATGGAAATGAGCATTGACCATTGCATGCAAACTACCTAAGAAAGGCTTGGGGCACTTACAGCATGAAGAACATCCACTTGAAATGTGTTAGCTGAACAATGACAGCGGAGACGAGCGAGCCCCCGGCTGCGCCCACAGGGGCCATGGAGCCGAAGAGAGCTAGAGCAAGATTACGCTTTTTGCCTGGGGGGAAGGTGATGCCCAGCAAAGCGACGATGTTGGGTATCATCAAACCACCTCCTATTCCGCAGAGACCTCGCATGAAACAAACCGCGATCAGGTTGTCCGAGAAGCCGCCACCCAAGGCCCATATCGTCCACCACATGCAACCGAAAGAGAACATCTTCTTGTGACCCAGGACGGCTCCTAGGCGTCCACCTTTACGATCTGTTAGTATGATAGTTCGAATGGCTGGCGATCTGCTGAGTACTCACCAATGAGCACAAAAGCGCCTTGGGTCAGCGGGTATGAGGCCACTATCCAGACTGACTGGATGTGAGTTGCTCCTACTGCCTCACCAATTGCCAGTCCGGAATTGATGCCGGCCCCAAGGGGAATCATCTGAACAAGCTGTGTCAGGGTTATGAAGAACATGAACAGGTTCTCTCGAGTATTGGTGAGTGGTCCATGGTCGGGTGGCATATCGGCTGTCCCTGATACTGTGATTTGGTCATTCGCGCCATCGGTGGAGTTCGCAGTCGAGTTCATTTTGGACTCTGATGGCGGTACGCTTCTCTCTACATCTACTGGGTCGTTGGTCATGTCGAACGATGAGCCAAAGTAGGTACCAATGGAAATGTGATGGGGTTTAGTGCTGAGTGGGGGTTTGGATGTAGGTCACTTTGAGCAGGTACCTGTGGAGACGGAATTCAGGCCACACGGCTGACATGCAAGGGATCAGGAAACATCGAAGGCTGACAAACGAGGTGAGAGACTTGGATAGTGCGGAACGAAGCCCGCGTCTTGGCAGTGCTGCTTGATCAGCCACCCAGCGGCAACTAGTGGTCCGGTCCGCCTGCCAGTCATCCGCTAGTGCTGCCGGAAGCCACGCCCGATGCGTATGCTGCATATTTCACGTCGTACTGACTGTAACCCGTGAGAAAGCGGAATTGGACCAGCCACCTAGCCTGAAACCTTCCGGAGGTCAGCTGTAGATTAGGTATCTATATAGTTGTGAAAGAGAGTGGGCACACATACATCCCTTACTCTCCAATTTCTTTTTAAACAAATTCTCTGTTCTACTCGCATAATTGGTTGCCTAACTTTGGTTCCTAAACATGTCTGCTCAGGTAGAAAACCGCCAATATCATGCCACAGATTCGTCATATGTACTGCCAAATGAGTATGCTCATCCCGCTCGGGTCACCCGATATAACTGTTGACGAGAACAGCACCATCGAACACAATCGCCTTGATGCTCAAGCTGCAGCAATCGTGGAGATGATTGGAGGCGTGCCTTTCCAAGCCGTACTCCAGCATATGCCTACTGTTAGTAAGGCAGCAGATATCGGCTGTGGCACCGGAATTGCGACTCTCCAGCTTGCGTCTCTCTTCCCCAAAGCAAGCATACAGGGCCTGGACATCTCGCCAGTCCCTGAGACAACAAAACAAATCACCCCTACCAACGTTACTTGGTTCGTTGGCAACATTCTCGATCCTGAGTTTGTCAAGACGGCCAGTGATACCGGCGATCAAGGCTTTCGAGGGCTGGACTATGCATTTGGCCGAATGCTGTTCCTGGGTATCAACGATTGGCCGAGCTATTTCTCCACAGCTCTCCAGTTGATGAATCCTGGTGCCGTTCTTGAACACCAAGACCTCGATTGGAAGTTTTACCGCGTTGGGTCTTCGCAATGTCTGAGTGATGAATGGGAGTGGCATCAGAGAGTCATGAAAGCGAACGCCAAATCTGGGCTGTCAAATTATGCTGGCTCTGGCGCCGAACAACATATGCGCGATGCTGGGTTTGAGATTATATCCGTTCGACAGTTCGAGTTCTCATTCGTGCCATCCAGCACAACCCCCAACAGTCAGGCCATGGGTAGATATGTGCAGGCAAGGCTGATGCCCAATTACCCAGAACTCCTCCGTAAGATGCTGGGAACGCAAGGAGTTTCTGAGACTGAGCTAGCTAGGTTGACCAAGGACTGTCTGCGAGATCTTAAATCCGAACATGGCCTGCATCAGAAGTACACAGTCACTCTAAGTAGAAAGCCCCTAAACTAGGCCATAGCAAGTTCCGCGGCGAATGCAGTGTTTTTTGGTCTGGTCAGGCTCACACTATAGAAGCCATGCTTGACTGAAGAGTCTTTAATCTCGCGTACAATTCCGGTGACACAATGCATGCGACCGCGATTGTTTTTCAGCAGGGCTTCCGAAGTTGGCTCGGCCCTGGCTGTACTTGCGTGCGAGCAAGGAGGGCTTACGACATGTTTCGCGCCATTCATCCGTCTCATTGAAGCCTGGCCATCATGCCATACGACTACTACATTATGTGATGCAGCACAAATCAACAGAGTGGATACTGCATTGAAGCTTTGGCCATGTTCAGCTGTTGTCAGACTCACACAATGCACTCGTATTAATGGCTCATTTACCTAGTCTAGATAATTCAAGCGAGCTGTTTGACCCACACTACGCACCAGCCAGGCCTTATATTCCTAGACGTTTTCGTCGAACTGTTCGCCGATCTGGGTCTCACACAAGGCAAAATCTGCTCATCATCACTGCGTTTGCCTTCTCCCCACCCGTGTTCGCCGAGTACCAGACCTTCCTAATCTATCATCCTCGCTTCGTTTGGCCCGATGCAAACATTCCGTACATCGACTCGGTAAACTTCCATTTGAGGCCCACTTTCGGTGACAGTGATTACTTCGCGGCTCCACTCATGTAAGGCCTGCAGCAGGTGTAATACTTTAGCTTGCAAGTAGACAAAGCCACTGACGCATATTTCAAGACTCAACGCAGTCTCTCGCATCAGAACTTGAGGGACAGGTATGTCGCTCTGGTTGAGCGCAGCTCCTTCGTGATCCCACCTTCCAAACTGGAAACACTAATTGTGAAGTGACAGCCGGTGCCGCCTTGGTAGGAGTCAGGGATTTCTTGATGCACATATCCTTCACCATCTCTTACAGGCTTCAATAGGGTCTGTAAGGATGTGTGAACGTGGATGACCTGAGCTAAGTGTGCTAGCATGGCTACTTAAGTGCCTAGTTGACTGCTATTGGAGGGGAATGTGTCCACTTCAACAAGTGTATACTTGCTGGGTGATCTGTTGGGCGTCCGCAGGATGAATTGGTAGGGGTACGCGGGGTGAATTGACGGGCATTTACAGGGCGAATCGGTGGGTGTCTACAGATTGGACTGATGAGCGTCTGCAGGGGTTACGTGGTCTCGTTGAAGCGGCTGGAGCTGCCTATATCAATAGGCTACTTTCGAATTTCCCATCCATCAGCCAAACTAGCATCTTTACTAAGATCTCTCAACGAGGCGGGCAAAATTCAACATGTCTTCGTCTATCGTCGCTTCTTTACAATTTGTGCTATTATTCTTGGCTGTATGCACTTATGTCGTTTACCTGATACTGCAAAGGCCACAACCGAGATCACCAACCCAAGAACTTGGTGCCCGACTTGGACGAGACAGATCTGAAGATCCGAAAATTCAAAACGAGGCTTCATTTGCTTTGTCCAAACTGGTGCACTACGATGGTGCAGGAACATGGCCACCCAGAACAGACCATATCAACTGGCCTCCAGCACTAATTCCTTACCGGAACACCTACTTCGAAATGGTTCCTCTTCTTTCCTCGGCTGCAGCATCATTGGATGATGACACAAACATCAGAATTCGCAATGACTTCCGTATCAAGATGCGTACGTTGCTAAAACAGAGCATCAACATTCAAGAAGTGGAGCGAATCATGGTCGCAGCTGAGATGGCGAGTCCACAAAGTCTTTCACGGAGTGCATATAATGGATTTTACAATTGTGTCGCAGTGTGCCGTCACATGTACAGGTATGTCACTCCTACCTATTAATTTCATCCAACTGACTCGCTCTTCTCCAGATGGGCAACCATACCCGTGGTAAAAGTCGCGCAGGCTGAGACAGTCATTGAGTTTCCTCCTGAACTAGATGCACCTTGGTCGTACCTACAGCGAAGCTTCGGTGTTACCGCTATGAGTGGAAACAATACTTCTAACGTCCTTCTGAACTTTGATGAGCGAGGGGAGAGAGTGTTCAGAATCAACGTGCGGATGTCCAAGTTGATCCAATCTTCAGAGGAGGCTTTCTTTCAGATGTTCTACGACGTCGAACTTGCTGTGAGTTACACTGGACGTTATTATCGTACTTGAGCGTGGCTCGTGCTGATTCAACACAGGCTACCCCGATCTACTACGATATGATAAACGCTATCACATCTTTCGAAAGCAAAGACAACACCAGTTGTTTACGTTACCTTGAAAACATCAACTCCAACATCCGCAATGTGTTCCAGGTGTTCTATGACAACCTCAACGAATCCAAAGTGTCGCAATCTGTGTGGCTTAGCTACGTACAAGGGTTTCAAGGATGGGGTGTGGGCAAGATTGTCGATGGGAAGTTCATAAAATACGATGGCCTGTCCGGTAATCATGTTCTGATCTTCCAGGCGTTGGACGCATTCCTTGGCCTTGATCGTTATCTTACAGACGAGGATATGGTGCGTTACATCCCAGTGAACCAAAGGAACCTTTGTCTGGCACTCAAGAAGAATTGTCTACGCTCAAAGATACAAGGGAACCAAGCACTTGAAAACATCTTCGCAGAAATTGTGAAGAAGCTGAAGGTAATGCATGGTCTAGATTAGTGTGTGCAAGCACTGCTGACGAACCCAGGTCTTTCGAACTGCACATCGAACAAGAGTGATGTCTTATTTGAAACAGCCAGCTCCGGAGCGATCTCAAATGACTGCAGGGAAGTCAGTCCTTGAGGGGACCCAGGCGCAAGGTTTACAGCGATTGGATGACTTCATGGCGAAAAGGTTGAAGCAAACTGTCTAGAACAGTTCGATAGACTGGTGTTAATTGTGTAGAGAAGTGTACATGGGTAAAACTACGGAAGGACCCTGTAACGTAACCTGAATAGGCATGTTGATTAGAACATAGAGCTTTGTCTTGCATTGTTCCGGATGGCTGATTGCCTTGGATTGACAAAAATATATCTCTACATATATTCTACCTACTGTCACTGTCACTAACTGTAATACTATGGAGTTGATAAGATGAAACCTGAGATGTCTCCATATCCCATTACCTGAGAGTGGAAAACGAAATGGTTAGACTACTAAAGCTGAATGAATTCTTTTCAAGGTCAGACTGACGTCACAAAGTTTGGATAGGTCCTTAGACTGTCGTAGTGGCATATTTCGTGCTGACCGAAAAAAAAGTCGCTCCAAGAAGGCTAGAGTCAGCTTTCACCTCAACCATATCGTCAGTGATCATAGTTTCGGACTATCGTCCCGAAAGAGAAGCAGCAAAGTCATTCAAGAACAAAACGACAGTCATAACATAGTACCAAGGGAACCATATCTCAATACACACGTCCTTCTTTAACTACATCATTTCTTGCGTCGACGAGAGGCTCGATGAATCATGAAGCGCAAGCATCTGAAGCCGGCATTGTAGTACGTGAGTGCAGCCGACATTGATGTTCTCGAAGTTGAATTCTAGGGTGAGACTATCAAACTTTGGACTTGCAGCGACGAGCACCCCAACCAGGGGTAGGACATCGGGAAGCGCTGTTTACTTGGGCCATCATCATCGGGATCCTCGAAGCGCGAGAATTGTGCAGCGTGACTAGCTGCTGTGAGCACCCTGTCGCGAACTGGATGTCTTGACCAATTTCGTTAATCATTGTTACTTAATATGTGGTCCCGTTCACAAAAGTTGTATTCGTCCATTCGTTACCAAGCTAGCGATGGACATGTCAACTTTAGACGATCGACAGTATTATCGGTCGGAGTCACCTACGTTCCAAGCATCGATACGCAGCGTGTATGTGCCATTATCGTATTCCGCAACCCGCTGTAAGAGCCCAACTGCAGTGACGTAGTTCAGCCAGTAGTAGTCCTTGTCACCAGTCTCGAAAATAAGTCGCAGATGCAATTTGCCGTCAGGCTGCCTCGTTCCAGACGTCTGGATGTAAATATTGGCGTTGTCGTCTGTCTGAAGATTGTATCGTGTATCTGCACTGAATAGGCCTGTCTGGGGGTCGGACAAACCCCAGTCGGCCCCAAGATCTAATACCTTGCCATTTAGGCGCGGTCCAGTGAAATTGCCGCCGATGATAGGAATTGCTGTTCGCAGTCCCTTTGAAGTTTGTGTCGTGAAAATTCTCGGCTCGCAATCCACAAACGCGGTGTAAAGGTACTCGAGACTTGGTGTTGTAGGCATAGTTACATTTGTTGTTCTGGCCGTGCTGCCGAAGAGAAGCACGGCGGTTGCTAGAGTGGTGAGATATTGCATGATGAAGGTCAGTCCAATTGCGTGTAGGATTTCTGATGTTGCGCACATGAGCGCTTTATCGTTAGCCAGACCGTTTTGGCCTGCATTAAGTAGGTTCACGTGAGAAGACCCTCGGTATCTGAGGTTACCCCGAGGTGAAAAGAGCCGCAAGGTAATGCCGTCACTTGCAGTGCCCCACTTCCCCGCAGACCAGCCTACTTCTGGTATTAATCTTCATCAAGCTACCCACCTGCATATTCTCACTTTATGAAGGTAGGTCTGTTGGGCGTAAGTATAGTTACGCGCTGAGGTTACTTCCATATGCACCGATTTCTAGATGTTACGTCTCTGGTTGACCTGTGCTACGATTCTGATTGGGTGTTGAAGTTCCGAACAGGTTGTCGCTAAAGTTCTAGCTACTTACATAAGGAAGGTCTGCTATGTAAAGTTTCTACTATTGATATAAGCCAATCAGCTACAGGGTTTACTCAGCTACTTAGAGGCGCTTTCTGAAATTTTGAGCCTTCGTCGCGGACTCAATTGCTTCCTCCGAGAGGAACGAGAGAGTAAAGGTATTGTTGACCTGACCTCTAAATCGAGTTTGTTCAGTCTACTCTGCATATGTTGGTGTAGCCTGGGATATAAGACAAAACAATTTTTTTAACAAAGATAAATAGATTAGATATTACATAATTAACTAAGAACCCCCATGATATACTTGGGGCTTTCTGCCTCTCTAAGCTCTGTGTTCTTGCAGTATCCTGAACTTCTAACAACTAACGTTCATCTCATCGATGCGCCATGACTGAGAGCCGCGTGCAACAAAGTAGCACTCCAGCAGTCCGCTAGTAGCTTTGGCCACAAAGCTGTTTCCATACTGGGGTCCAGCAAGCCAGGAGTTAACGCGCCCGTCGCTTGTAACGGCCTGCGAAGATGTCCCTACGTTGGAAATGGAGCAGGAGATGGAGCTTGCTGGAGAGGCCGTGGCGAGATACTTGTACGAGAAGTTGTAGGTAACACCCTTGATCAAGCCACTGAGCTGTTGGGAGAGGATAGTACCGGTTCCTTTGCTACCAGCTGACACACTGTAGGAAGAGCCGCCACTGGAGCCGCCGCCAATCACTCCCCAAGCCGTTGGTGGGGTATTGGCACCGTAGACAGTCTGTGTCCAAGATGACATACCGCTTTCGAAGCCACCGTTTTGAATGACATTGACGCCTTTAGAGATGCAGGTAGGTGCTGGTGCAACTGTCGAAGTCACGATGGTAGTGCTGACAGGCAGAGTTGTGGTTGTCAGTACAGTGCCGGAACTAATGGTCGCAGTCGTGGTAGTAGAAGTGGTAGCGGTCTCTGTAACAGGCGTAGCTTGGAGACTGCAGGCTGCAGAGACAGCGCTGGCAGCAAATGTGGTAAGAGCGGCAGGTGTGGCCGGGCTGTCGGCAGGGGCAACCTCGCGCTTCTGAGGAGCCTGAGTTACTGTCGTCGTGAGTGTAGTAACAGGAGAGACGGTGTTGACAACAGTGGTAGCGGGCACAGTAGTGAACTCAGTGGCGATGACAGTCGAGACCGGGGTGGTGTATCCAAGAAGGGTGGAGCAGAATGGCTGGAGAGATGAGGCAACGATGGCAGACTTTGCGGCAGCGACGTCGCAAGGAAGCTTAGGCTTTCCAGGATCTGTGGTGTTGGAGTAGGAATAGCTGGATGCGATCGTGTAATGATCGTCTCCGCGCCACTGGCCGTCATTGACAGCGACATTCTTCTCCCATTTCTGGGTGTACATCGAGCAGTACTGGCCTTGTGGCTCGCCGTTCTTCATGAGGACGTAAGTGTTGAAGAACTTGCACAGCATGCGGCTGTCGAGGTGCTCGACGTTCCACTTGGTCTCAGCCTCGCATGCAGCAGCGCAACGGGCGGGTTCAAATGGCTGACCATCGTTGAAGAGCTTGTAGCCCATGTACTAAACAAGAGTCAGCTGATGTGTGAGGGCAAGTTAAACATCCAATGCGTACAGTGTCATCGCCGTTACAGTCTCTTGGAGCATTGATGGCGACGCTACCAAGTGACTCGCCGCTGTAGCCATCGACAGCAACCACCCGCTCGCTGACATAGCCTGTGTGTCGTTAGAACCTTGCATTTTATCCGCATTGTACATGCCGAGACATACCGTTGGATCCAGCAATGACTACGTGAAAGTCATTGCGCCACTGTCCAGTGTTGACGGCTGTCTCAGCGGTGATCGGGCTGCCCCACTTCACACACTTGATGACTGTGGTACTGGCAGGGTTGGAACAAGAACTGGCAGGAACTTGGGAGGGGTCCCTCTCGTAGACTGTAGACGGGTGAGCAATAGCTAATGCCTTACGAAATGATACTTACAGATGTTGAATGAGGAACATCCTTGCGTGGCAGTGCAAGCGTCTGCACAGGATTGAGTGTCGTACGTTTCCAGGGTGTTGTATCCAAGATACGCTACGGCGTTGTTGCTGCCCTTCAGGTTCTTGAACTTGTTGATGTAGCCAGCCGGGGTGGAGGCACCGTTGGCTGCGGTCGCAAAGTCTTCCGATGCCAGGAAAGCGTCCGGGGTATCAGGGCTTGGAACTGGCCCTGCTCCCAAAGGCTGTGCTGAACAGTCCGAATCTCTCCGCCTCAGTGTCTTATCTGCAGACGCAGGGTCCGCAAGAACTGAGGCAAATGTGTCGGCAATCACGGCGTCAGGAGCATACGGAACCACCTTGGTACCAGCACCTTCACCAAGCGGGGTCTCCGTGATCGGCGCAGCGGGGATCTCAGCAACTTGGTCGAGGGGAATTGATTGAGGCAGGGCAGCTGCGCAGCCTGTCAAGGCCAAAGCCGCGAAAGCGTGAACCGGATGCATGGTAAACGAGGAGTGGTAGAAGGTTGAGGAAAAGGTGGCAGTGAGTGATGCTGATGAGTGCTTGTGTACCTGGGCACAAACAATCTTTATAGTCGTTCATGTTGGAGGTCAGTAAGTTACTCGAGCGGAAGTGCCGATGAACTAGATCTGTGGCGCTGGCCTCGAAGTGTCTGGCGAGCTGAGTTCGACGAGCCTCGCCACCAGAGTCTTTCAGCTCGACTACCAGGAACAGGACTAGGGGAAACAAGGGACCGTTATGGCTTGTACAGATGCTCATGATCAACATAGAGGTATCTGCGAACAAAGTCAAGATACTTAGGTAGTTCAGCGATCTCATAGAGATTAGTACCTTGCCTGGTAAGTATAATTTGATCAACAAACGAGTGTTCGGTAAGTTGGACGACGATGTTGATCGCGACAATCCTCCACGTGCGTTGTCAGGGTTCTGCCGAATCCTTCCCCATTTTTGTTAGTTGTTTGGCCCAATCCAGCGCACATGTCGTTTAACCCTGCGAAGATGTACATATCGAGCTAAGCGACGATTGCATGACTAGAGTGATTTTTATTGGTGGCTTGCTGGCGCCTCGCAGCGGCTCGTGCCTGAACTAAAAGATCCGAGCCAGTAGCCTAGGCGCGGTACCGACTAAAGAAGCACAAAATCTGGGCCGCCGACGGACGGTGTGCGCCCTCCGTAAACGGATGGTCGCGTACCTATTCGCGCTACATGTGGAGACCATGGGACAGCAACAGGCCAGACACGTGGCTATGGAAAGCGATCACGATGAAATCGGGTGTCAGGCTGATTGTGCTTCGAGGCGGCAGTACGGTCTTAACGGATGCTGAATAGATGACACATCAACAGCGCATCCCTCGAAGCCGTACCCTGTGTCTTACACTCCCTCATGATAGATGGCGCTACCCAAGTGGGCTGTGAGTGCTGGTCAGCTGTCTCAGTTGGTATGGATACGAGTTGATTTGGATAGTCGCGTCGCTTGAGAAGACAGCAGGCAGCCTAGGGGGTGTTGACATCTCCACCAAGTCATGTGTAGGTAAGTAGGGGTTAAGACGCCACTAAGGACCCCTACACAAAGCACTCCGATCACCTAACCGCCTTAGTCCGGCCGCACCGAGAAAGGTCGAGCGCTTCTAGCTAGTGGGCTAAAGTGAGTTAGCGCGAGCTTGATGAGTTACGCGCCTCGGTCAAAATGAATCAACCGAGACAAAACGAAGAAGGTACGTCTTCTGCGTGGACGTATGGGAGCAGCTTGCTAAAGAGATGCCTGTAGCGTATGGGCAGGACACAGTCAATGAGCGAGTGACCCTCACTACCAAGGTAGAGTTTACATGCCAAGGTGCACTCTACTGCATGAGTGAACATCCGGAAATTGCATCGATGAATTAGTAGAAATCGTAGCATTTCATGATGGGATTTGTGATATGCACTAGTGGCTTCAGCCGCGCTCTCCGCAGCTTCTGACAGGCTGAGCGGAGCTGACGTTGTTCCGTTCCATGCCACTCCACCCCAGAGAGCCATCTCTCCTGGAGCCCTTCAATTCACCTTCAATCAATGCTCAGAGGCCCATCTAGATCATGGTTCCACTCATTAGATACTTTGTTTTTAGGTTTGACTAGGCGCCTTGCCTCGTGCTCTACGGTCGGACACCTACCCTGTCTCCTCCCAGCGCTCGGCTGCGTCTGCGATCCCCATCCTGCCTGAGGATCAATGTGCTTAAGATGGTCCGGAGGTTCTTTCGTCTAGATGTGTTGTCGAAGACGCGAGTCCGGTTCTTTCTATGCTTCCTGTATCGAAGGAGACTTACGACCTGCGGCCTCTCCGGCCACGCAGCGGATGACGCCTGACACCGTTAGGCAAAGAGGAAGTCGGTGAAGCCGCTCTTTTCAGTCCGCAGCTGCTTCAGGCGTCCTCTCTCTTTTTTTTTTGAGTTCTTAGCCTCTTGTTCACCTTCTAAGAGAGCGCTGGTGCTTCCCTGTTTGGTGCCCAGCCTTTGATCTCAGTCATCCATCTGTGTATTTATGCCCATTTCCTTTGTATACTGCACCGCCTCTTAAGTGCCAAATACTCCTTATCATGATAGGCTTGGTAATCTCTTCATCATGTGTCGGCATGGCTTTTGGGCAAGATGTGAGTACACAGCTTATTTCGTCGTCTCGAGCACGAATTCTGGAGATATTCAATAAGAATCGAAATGCCTCTTTAATGAGGACTGACCGGGTACATATCCAACTTAGGAAGGCGCGGGGTGATACCCCGTCGAGATGCGAGTGAGAGTCGTTCACTTAACAAATCAACACCGCTATGACATGCGTGTTGCAATCGTCATGGGCAGGTGTATATGTTCAACATAACCATTAGTCAAACTGAACTCCGAAACACAATGCGGGGTGGTGGCCTGCATCGTAGATGGACTGCTTACAAACTGTCAGCAGGATGAGTGCATCTTGGCACTCCTTCAACAACCTTTATTCCGAGCATTTACTCCGATTCGTTGTTACGGGCATAGATGACAGCATGATGGCTTGATATAAGAAGAAGATCCCCTAGGACAACTGCGATATCCTAGCGTAAGATGTCAACGCTGCAAAGTACCATCCAGCTGCACGAGCTTGAGCCCTCCAGCCACCCTCCAAGAATCCTCCTTCACGCACACGCATCTCATCCAACTCAGCAACATGACCAGCCAACAGGTCTCGAACCTTCCGATGAACCGCCGTCCGACGCGACAGAAGCAATCCCCAACGGCGGCTACGGCTGGAACGTAGTCGCAGCATGCTCGTTCACACTGTTCTGGATCAACGGCTACACCACCGCCTGGGGCGTCTTGCAAACCGCCATCGTCAAATCACCTACCCTACATACCGATGTTCGGACCATCACCTTCGTGGGCAGCTTGTACATGGCGTGCCTCGTAGCCGTCGGCCTCGCCTCGATCAGAGTCATACGAGCGTTTGGCGTGCGGCGCACCAGCCTCGCGGCGACGCTCGTGTTCGGCGGGTGTCTGATAGCGACCAGTTTCACGCTTGAGCACCTCGGCGGCCTGTTTTGTGTTGCCGGAGTTCTTGTTGGGGTCGGTACTTCGCTGTTGTACACGATTACGAATAGCCTCCCGCTGCAATGGTTCAGCTCCAGGCTGGGGATCGCGAACGGGCTAGTAAAAGCCGGCGGTGGTGTGGGTGCTACTGTGTTCCCGCTGGCTGCGCAGGCTCTCATCAGCAGGTTCGGGCTGGAGTGGACCTTCCGCATCTTCGGGATCCTCATCATTGTCACCGGGATACCCTGTTCGTTTGTTCTCAAAGAACGTTCGACTACGGGCACTCTTTCGAGGTTCGACTGGTCACTTCTCAAGAATTTCCCTTTTTTGGCGTTGGCTATGGCAGGCGCCATTGGTGTCTTCGCCATGTTTGTGCCACCCTTCTTCCTCCCACTTTTCGCGAGCTCTATCGGTCTATCAGCTGCAACTGGTGCCGGTCTCGTTGGCGGGTTCGGTGCTGCGACTGCTGTGGGCCGCGTGCTCGGAGGCTGGACGTGCGATCGGATCGGCTCCTTCAACACAATGTTGATAACGTGCCTGCTCAACTCCGTGAGCATGCTGGCGATATGGCCAGTGAGTACGTCACTGCCGCCCCTGTTCATCTTTGCAATCATCAATGGATGTGCAAACGGCAGCTTCTTTGTCGGGCTACCTAATGCGGTGGCAGCGCTTGCTCCACACTCGGCGGCGGCATCCATCAGCCTGATGGTTTCCTTCTGGACTCCAGGTTATTTTCTGGGGGCACCTCTTGCGGCCATCCTCATCGACGCGACCGGTGCAGCTGATGCCAAGTCCATTGAACCATACCGCGCGGCCATCTTCTACGCTGCCGGTACGGGGGTCCTAGCTACACTCATGATCCTACTAGCGCGCTTGCGCTTAGATACTAAGATTCTCAAGAAGTTGTGAACCAAAGACGTACGTTGTGTCGCGGGCATCTACGCTCTTTCGCGGAAAAAAAGCGATGATTTGCGGTAGATGTCGCCTTCTATAGTGCACTTCTCTCTTATCAACAATTACGGTCTCTTGACCCTCCTAGTCTAGTCTCCGAGACCCCTGAAACAGCACTTTGTGAAGGATAATGTAGAAAGCTTTCCTCATATCTCAGGGACCCATCTTCCAGTGGCGAAACAGACCTCGCGTCCTCATCTTCTCGTTCCATAGCCGTGTACTCCGCGCTCGCCTGATGTTTCTGTCTATCGCCCTTTGAAATTATCTCCATCTCCATCTTAAATTATTCAACAGGAGCACCTGCACTATTGGTGCTTCGAAATATGTGCAGACCCCCCCCCCCCCCTCCCTAGGGAACTGTGCACACTGAACGTCACGTGCCAGGCACCTAAGCTCTCTAAATGGTTGGAAAGCCTACACACCTAGATGTGGGGCAAGGTTTGATCTACATGCAGGTAAGAAAGAGGGCTAGACTTTCCCTTACCCCTCATCTATACCGTGGTACAACTCATCTATACCATGGTACACGAGACCTAGACTACAACAGCCGCTTAAAGAATATAACGTTACTTATCCTAACGCTAGGAGTATTGTCATAGTAACCAGACCTGTCAGGGGCTTGCCCGCCCTCTCCCTCTAACCTACCTCTTGCATATATACCTGCACGTGCGAGGGCCTAGGCCTTCCCACATGGTATTCTAAATATAGGAGGTCTGCACATATCGCCAACGATTATAGAGTGCCAGTACGTGATCTAGCTTCTGACTTATGGATGACAATACTTTTGCCAAGACCATCTTGTAGCATCTTTCTCGACTTAGGTAACAATCAACTATCATGTGCGTAACGCGTCGATACACTGTTAGCACAAGTCTTCACCAAAATGGCGTAGGATCTCATCAATTGCGACCATGTACCTACAAAATGAGCCCAACGAGCTGTCACTTGTAACACTTGAAGCCCTCAACCAGACTGGCTCCAAGAACGAACTAGGAGCACCTCTACTATGGACGTACGTCGTAATCGACAACGACAACGTGTTGAGCTTCCTATGATCGGCTGCCTCCTTTCGCGAGCAAACCGTTGAACCATGCCTTTCCTGTCATTGGTAAGCGCCGGCATTATTCGTGACCGTGCAAGTTGGTGTGCCCGAAGACTGACATTTCCGTGAACAATACGTCGCCAGTATAACTACCTCGTGACATACGACCGCTGACAATAATGATTCCTTCGTGTTCAGATCGGTGTCATCTGGACCTGGCCCACCTGGTCGCGATAGCGAGACACCTTGCCACTCGTGTGTACAACAGAATGAGCGAACTGACAACGTTCTCATTCCAGCTGGCGCCTGAACCTGCGCAACCGTTCGTATCAGAGCTGTGGCCCCGCGGTGGTCTCAATCCTTTCTTGCCGACCAGCGTGGCAGCTGAGCTTTTTGACGGACTCGGGGCCAAATGCGTCAAGTTGAGTTCGGGACTCACGACTATAACGAAGCCGCCATCGACACGACCGACAAAGACCTCAGTCGGGCTTTAGCAAGATCTCTTCCGCGCCCCACTCACCTGCGACTAGAAGCAGGCAGGGGTTGGTCGTTATTGATCACTGATCTCCTAGCCGGAGAAGTCGACAAAAAGTTACGGTGCTTGAGCATCGACATTTGCAACACCGCTGCCACGAGTGAACGACCGACAGGCGTTGATACATCATCCCCAATGTTTGTTCTGGAGATCTTTTCTTCAGTTCCGCCGGAGTACGAGAGCCGGATACCGCACTGGCTGCAAATGCAGAACGTTGTTGCTCAAGGGTTGCGGATGTCTTATGAAGAAGGCCGGTTCCCGCAAACCGAAATGCTGCACCTAATCAGCATGCAATCCGATTTAGCGGAGCATGATCGTAATGCAAACGTCTCGGACAGGCCGGATATCATCGCACGTCGCATGCACACGATCATGTTGTACCCACACACGGCCTACGTCAAAAACGGTCCGTGGAAGGCCAACGAGGTGGAAGTGTGGGTACACGTGCTGCATGCGCCGCGGTGCGCGGACTCGAACGAGATCTAACTTGTCAACGAGGTACCTATCATGGGTTACTACCACGACCGGTGTTCGTCTTTCTAAGCCTAGAGTTACCGCAGGTTCAAAGAACGATTGCTTCAGTGGCATAATACGGTAGTGCCAGGCATCCCTTTCTAGGTTTTCCGACACAAGATACAGGCGGTTTGTGGGGACGACACGGGCGACGATTTTGACCGCGAGGTCGATGACCATGCTGTGCTCGGCCATTTCGAATTGCCCTTCGTCACGGAGGGTCTCTTAGAATGGCACGATTGATCGTGTCAAGTGGGCTTCCAACATTGACGGACTACAAGCTCGGTACAGTAGCCTATGTGCGGTCGCCGACGTACCTATGTAAAGAAGCGTAGTAGTAGATACGGGACAAGCTCATTGGTCAATGACGAGACGACTTCCTCTTTCGCCCCCACTCCACCCACCTGCCCATATCCATATTGCCTCATTGTCCACACTTTCTCGTATCTCCCATATTGTAGACAACGGCAGAAACTTCGAAGGCTAGACTCTCCACCTGCCAGAAGCGGCTACAACCATCGTGTCGGCCCATTGCCGGGCTTCCGGACCGTGTGGCGCCCGGACGTTATTTGCGGGTTCCTGCAAAGTGCGCTCGAAAGCGCAAAGATCCTGTCCCGTCCTTGCACTTGCGCGTATCTGCGAGCCAGACTGACCGGAATTCATACGAAGTCCGCCTTGCACGCCTGACAACACCTGATGTTTCGAGGGCTACACGTTGAGCTTGCTGGCGGCCCAATAGCGACCACTACTACTTGTATAAAGGACGGCATCATGTGTACCCTAAAGACAGCACCCAGCTTCTTAGCAGCTCTTGTCTTTTACACAGTACAAGATGCTTCTCATCTCTGCAATCGTTGCAGGCCTTTTAGCCGGCGCTAGCTCAGCTCTAGCCGTCGAGCAGCGTGCAACTGCCCCAAAGCCAGTGTAAGTGAGGGCTCTCGCGGTGACTTGCGGAAGCTGATTCTCTTAGGTTCGCGCATTACATGATCGGCGAGATCACAAATGCGCACACCCGTCAGGATATCATCGATGCGAAGGCGCTTGGGATTGATGGGTTCGCAATGAACTTCAGTAATAAATCTCCTGATTCCCCAACAGACATCGCTAATGCCATGGATAGATCAGTTCGCCTACTGGTCAAATGACACAGTAGATCGACTCTTCAACAACGCTGACGAACTTGGGTTTGGTCTCTTCTTCTCCTTCGATCACAATCCCGGCTATTTTGTGGACCCGAAAGAGTACGCGGTCTACTGCAAGAAGTACATCACGAGGACCTCGTACTTCAAGTTCAACAACAAGCCAGTGGTCTCCACTTTTGCAGGCGAGAACGTGTACACATGGGCGGACTTCAAGAAGACTGTGGGTGACGTGCTTGTCATCCCCGGCTACAAACAAGCCAACCCAAGCACCGTCTTCAGCGATCACCAGAACATTGATGGAGTCTTTAATTGGAACTCCTGGCCCGATACTAGCGCCGGAAAAGTTGTTGTGCCTACAAATGACGACAACACCTTCCAGACCAAGGCGAAGGCTGCATCTAAGCTCTTTATGATGGGTATCTCGCCTCTCCAGTTCAAGCACCTGGATAACGGCGACAACTGGTACCGCCGTGGTGAGGACAACCTCGAGTACCGCCTTGGTCAAGTCTTAGAGATGCAGCCAGATATGCTACAGTTCCAGTCCTGGAATGATGCTGGTGAAAGCCACTACATGGGCAACATCTGGGACGAGCCTATGACTTTGGCCACCGACATTCAAGCGATGGTCAAGGACCGCGACCACAAGGGTTACTGGCAGATTATTCCAGCGTTTATCAAAGCCTGGAAAAATGGTGACAGGACTACTAAGAACATGGTACCTACCAATGGCAAGCCCGTTCAGGGTGCCTTCTGGCACCATACTCTTACTGTTGACGCCAACTGTGGCTCAGACTACAAGTCTCCAGACATCAAGAAAGCTGCTGAGGATGCCGTCAGCGGTATTCTTCTTGTGGCTAAGGGCCAGACAAACCTTATTGCTGTAGTCAACATTGGCACTCAGAAGCTTAACCAGCAGCCTCTTGTTGAGGGTTACAACAAGTTCAAATTCACTGGCTTGACTCCCGGTAAGGTGCAGCTTGAGGTCTGGGACGGCAGCACTATGGTTGGTGGCGGCTACGGAAAGATCGAGGTCACGAACTCGGCCTCGCTGTGCAACTACAACTTCCAGGTTGTTGCCGTGCCCAGCTAGATGCTCAGCGCATCACCGAGGTACAACGAGTGACGAAACGCCGCCAACGCATGCAAAGATGCGCAAGACCAGTACGGACTCGGGCTGGTTAGGCGAAGGAGAAACTTGCCCTATTTTTCAGGACCCACATCCCGCTATACCGGTGAGGTGGCCTGAACAAAGGTACTAGATAGAACGTCGCTGCAGCCTCTCGTTTCTACAACGTTACAACAACTCACAAAACGTCGAATGATAATTAATATGAACTCAAAAGGCCCTATTTCCATGTTGTGCACGAACAAATTGGCGAAGAACTGCTCAAGCTGATATTGACGGAGCAGAACAAAGCGGAGATGTTCGCCTATGGGTTATCAAAACTCGGTGAAAGCCAGCAAGTAGCGTATACAGTTCTGGGGAATCTCGCCAAATGAGATCCGAACATCAGATCGCAATTTGCCTTGCGCTCCTGGTCAAACGCACTGAACACACCTTCTCACTTGATTCACACAAACACTGACTTACCATTCTGCGAAGAAACCAATCTCTCCGTTCGACAGTACATGGCCATCTCGTACTGCTGGAGTTCTGAAGACATTTGTCCGAAGGGTACGAAAAACGCAGTGAATGACCCATAAGCAGACCTTTCGTCGAGGTAGACAAGATACTCACTATGGCCGCAACAGGCATCTTACCGGTATGGAGAACGAGCCCTACAACCACGCTCGTCCGAGACGCTGGACTGCCGTCCGCAGCAGTGGCGCTAGAGGAAGTCAAACTCCGATTGGCAGCCCACCTACGCAAGAGCTATTCCCAAAGCAATAAAAAGGCTGGTGAAGGGTATGGCAGTGAGCAAATGGAACACCATCGGCCGGTGCGGTTTCGAGCTGGGAAGACATGAGAAGACAAAGGCTTTGCTACGCCGCATATTCGGAACACGAAACAAGGCTTGAGGAAGTGAGGGGTTAGGAAGATCGCTAGAGGGGAACTACACCTTCTACTTATCTTAGCCTCGTTGCCCAGCCGTGCCAGCTCAGGCGAGCCAGCTCAGCCTCGCCCAATCTCTCCCTCGCATAAAACTCAGCAACCTATGGCTTAGTAACTCAGAACCCGCACAAGACTTCGAACTTGGAACTTAGGAATAGTATTATAGGAAGCTAGCCAAGAACCCAGAATCTGGTATAGAACAGCCCCGCTCCCATCTCACCAACAAAGTCGAGAGCAAAGAATACGTAGGAGTGACAAGAAACCACCGCCCCCCAACGCGCCGCGGTAGACGAAAGACGACGTAGGAAGGACCACCGCGGCCGTGTCCAGGTAAGGCGTAATCCAACTCGGGGTGCAGTGCCCACGATCCCAACCAACGGCCTTCCGCACGTTCACGCCCGTGTTGATGTCCGACCGCGTGCCATCTGGATCTCGACCACCTCGACCGCGGCGCTATTATCCGACTCACAGCAAGTCGAGCACGCGTGTCTGCGCCTGCGATCGCGCTGCGCCGTATCCGCTGTCTAAGCGCTTGGCGGCGCGGGACTCCTCTCCTTGCCGCGACTCAACAACCCGCGCTTCTCCCGCTGCAGGCGGGGACTCTGGCTGCCCCCCTGGCTCACCGCGTCCGCGGGCACGAACGAGCTCCTTATGACAACCATGCCCTTGCCGACGCCAACGTTCTTCTCACCGCCTCCCATGGAGTCGTCGATGGTGAACTGTGCCTCGCCAAGCTCGTCGTCGCGGCCAAAGGTCGCGTGGTTCTTGACGATGAGTTTGAAGAAGGTGTCTGCTGTGCAGGGGACCTTGAAGGTCTCATCGGGGAAATCGACGGAGCCGGTGGGGGTCTTGATGTGGTCTGTCTTGTGAACTTCGCGCTTGCCGTTGTGGACGAAGACGCGGAGGTTTGTGCCGGGCGGGAAGCCGTCGGCAGAGAGGACCTGAATGGTGGCGGTACCTTGTTCGGCGTTGCCGGGAGTGGCGGGATCGCCGCGCTTGCTGGCGAAGGACTGTGCGCCCCAGCTGCGGTGGCGATTGTGCTCTGTTGTGTTACGGTTGGGGGTTGTGGGTTCGGCGGAGATGGAGGTTGTTGTCCCACCTTCGATGGAGACGACAGGAACGTCCATGCTAGGTCGCTCTGCTGAGTCTGGGCGTTCGAAGTCCTCTTCTCCGTTGGCACCGCGGGACTTCCTACGCTTGAACCCGCGGCCGAGGAATGTCCCTGCACGCATCACATTTCCGCCAACGAAGGCAGCGCCCTTTCCGACACCTTTGACGGGAGCACCAATGACCTTTCCGGGTACTGCGAACGTACCAGAGAATGTGGACGAGCCTTGACGTGAGCGCACGACGTAGTCGGGTTTGAACAGCATCCTAAGCCTGATGGCGCCGCTCTTGCCGTCCAGTTCGAGAGTGACCTCTTGCTGCTGGAACGGCTCCAGAATTTCGAGGTTAATGGCAGACTTGCCCAGGAAATCGGCCTTGTCGCCAAAATCCCAGTCGTATACATTCACTATGAAGTCTGCGGCGGTTCGGCTACGAACAGGGACCTCAAAGTACTCGTTCCACGCCGGATGCAATGTCTTCTTCTGCGTCTTCGTCTTGTAGACTTCTTTGTCGTTGAGGTAGAACTTGCAGTAAGGATCCGAGAAGCCGTTGCGATCAGCAGCTGGTAAGTCGGCCGCGTCGAGGACATCAACACGGAGAGTCCCTTGGTTGTTGAACGATTCGCTGGGATCCAAGCGCATCTTGACAGGAAGGTACTTCAGACTGACGGTGATCTTGCTCTCCTTGCCGTGCTTGTCCTTCAGAGTGAGTTGCGTTGGCGTGTACAAACATCTTCGCAATGTGTCGATGGTGCTGCCTGTAAGTTTAGCAATGACATGGTCCTCATCTCCATCGCCATCCTTGTCGATATGTTCGATGATACGCAGGGTAATCTTCGAGAAGTCGAGTTCGCGGACCATTGTGTCACCCACTAAGATTGGTCAGTAATGGACGACGACTAGAAGATTTGACCTTACCTTCGCCAAACGTCATGTGACGGCTCTTAATCTTGGCGCTGGAGTAGCTTGGATATGCCATATCGTCCATAAGGATATCGACGTAGCCGCCCGACTCCGAAAACTCTCCCTCGATAAGCTTGAACACGAGAAGACCAGATTCTAGCAGATGTCAGTGATGATCCTCGCAGTAGGAGTGTAAGAATATGGGTGCAAGGCAGCAGGTTGGGAAAACCAACTCAACCACCTGTACTTTCCCAAATCCTTCTCGTTTCGGCGCAGCTTACCATACTGCTGCAAGTCATCGGCGTTGAGGCGCAGCTTCTCGATCTTCGGCTTTTCGGGTACTTGCTCGTCCTGCTGTTGCTCGTTCTTTTCGAGCTGCTTGGCAAGATCGTTCGCGCTGCCTGCGTTGGAGCTGCTGGGTGCCATAGATGGAATGGTGCCTGCAGTCTCAGACCTAACGAGCTGACTTGTACCAGACACAGTGCGTGCGTGAGTTGAAGGAGGTGCCTTCGATCCCGCTGTTCGGATACTGGCCGCCCGGGAGACGCCGTTGGTCGTCGCCTCTTCGTCCTCCTCCGCATCCTCTTCGGGGTCCCAGGTAGGGATGGTGGGATAGAAGGAACATGTGTAGTTCAGTGTACCCTTTGAAGCCGAGGTACCCGACATTCGAAGTTGTCCAGGTGTGATCTGTTTTTGCTCATTGACCAGGTACTCGCCATTCTCGTCCTGCTGGAGATAGTCGCCAGCAGACAGCTCGACGTGACCTAAGGAGCGGTCCTTACCCAGCTTCTCCTCGTCCATGACCTCGAGAGTCAGCTTCTCACGGGCGGTATGAATGGGCACGTAGACAATCTCGTCCCAGTCTGGGTCCAGGTTGTTCTTGAAAGTCACTGTCCGGCCCTTTTCAATGCCGGAGAGTAGAACACGAACATATGGATCCGATTTACCCATAGTCTCGAGGTTCTTCAAGTTGCGCGCGCTCTGGAAGTGGAGTCTCATCACGCCGATCGGGGTGAGGTATCCACCCGAGGATACTGAGCCCTTGAGAGCAACAGGCTTCCACTCGAGCTTCATCTTCGCACGACCAGTCTGAGCGCCGGCCAAATTGTACCACTCATGACCCTTGGCCATAAGTTCAAGCATGTCGTCGATGCCAATCTGGTAGGTTCCAAGAATGGGGTCCGCAGCCAGGCCACGATCATCCTTGATCACTAGACCAAGTTTTGCCTTCTTACGGTCGGTGATGAGCATTTCCTTGGTCGCATCGGGCCAGATAGGAATGTTGGTGCGCTTCATGATCCTTGACGTCTGAACCTCACGACCGTTGAGCAGCAAGATAGCGTACGGGCTGAGCTGACCAATCATGCTCTTGGTCCCATCAAGTTCCTTGGCCTGCTCAACGGTGAACTTGATGATACCTGTGCGAGACTCTGGTGGAGGCTCCTTGGTGCCGTCTTGGAGCGTAGTACCCTCAAGAACTGGGAAGAAGCGGACATCGGCCTGCAGGATACCACGTGCTCGGCCACCAGACATAACCTCAAGGTGCAGGTTCTCATGAGTAGTATCGGTCTCAAGCTGCTCAAGCGCGAATGTGGCCGTTCCGAGCTCCTTGTCCTTGCGAATATCGTTGTAGTCGAAGATATTGATCGTCAGCGCGTCCTTTAGCGAGGTAACAATGATGTTAACAGTTTCGTTCCAGCGTGGGTTGGCGTTCTCATGGACGGTCTTGGTGCGTCCGAGTACGGCCCTGTTGTTGATAGAGACGGTTGCGTATGGATCTGGCGTGCCAGAGAACTTGTCAGGGTTCTTGAGGCCCTGCGCACCGTGGAAAGTGACCTGGAGCACACCAATAGCTTGGTCGACCGGGTTTCCTGCAAGCATCTTGGCGATCTCGATGGGGAACACGTTCGGATCGTACATCATGGGTCCGAGATTGGCGTGAATTTGCTCCATGATGAAGGTCTCCAGACCGGGGATGAAGTTGATATCGAAACCGAATGTCTCGCCACCGAGAGGCTTGCAGACGTAGTCGATGGTCGGTCGCTCCAAGAACGACATCTCAACCTTCTCGATGTGGGGAAACGGCAACTGCAGCTTGAACTTCAAACGCATCAGTCCAGAGAAGGCCATGTCCTCGACAATAACATCCAAGCCCTTGCTGACTAGACCCTTTCCGATGCGGATCTCGAGGACAATCTTGGGGTTGATCTTGTTCTTGACCTGTCGCGCTGTGAGATCCATGGTGTCAGCCGGCGTGAAGCTGAACTTCCAGTCCATGAGAACAATGTCGTCTTCGGTCTTGGGGTATGTCTTGACGTGCTCCAGACGGGGCGGCTTGGTACCGAGAACGAAGGTCTTCATCTTCAGGCTGTCGAGGAATGCCGGAGTGGAGGTGGACAAGACCTGATCAACGGAGCCAACGATAGTGTCGCAGAGCACGGGGGCGTAGATGGGCCAGAACTTGACGAGGAAGCTGTTGATCCACTCCAGCGACTCGGTGTCGGTCTCCAGGCGGTTCTTGGCCATCTCGCGGTTGAGGTCGTCGCGGGCGTTGCGGCGCACGCGGCGGATCGAGGTGCGGTAGTAGGTGCCGCAGATGGCCATGATGATCATGATCCAGCCCAGGCCGCCGCCGAGCGTGGCGACGACCCACGAGCTCAGACAGGCGAAAATGATGACGCCCGTGTTGTGGTACCAGTCGCCGAAGAACTTGTCGTCGAGCTGGCCCTCGAGGTAGGTCTGGTGGTCGAGCAGCGTGCCCTCGTCGACGTCCTTGTCCTCGGAGCCTGGCATGCCGAAACGCGGCTCCCAGCCGACGCGCTCCCAGCGGGCATCTGTGTCGAGCCCAGGCGCATGGCCGTTGGCGGTGGGCGACGCGGGCGGGTCGACGGCGCCGGCTTTGGAGGGCGGGGGCAGGTCGTACTTGGGGGCGCCGGCCGCGGCGTCGTCGGCGTCCGAGACCAGGGCGGTCGCATTGGGGTTGCGCTCGTGGTGGAAGCCGGGCGGCAGGCGGGCGCGCGCCTGAGCACGCTTCTCCTCGGGGCTGGCGTCGGGGTCGAACTGGAAGGCGGCGCTACCGCCCAGACGCGCCTGCTCGACGACGCTCTGCTCTGCCGCCTCGGCCGTGACGCGCGAATTGGGGTCCTGGGCGGCCTCGAGCGCGCCCTGCTGCTTCAGCTCCGAGGCATGCTGCGCGGTGCCGTTCATGGTTGCTCAGTCTGCGGGGGTCGGCGCGGGTGCAGCAGGCATTCAGGACGCGGGCGGGGTGCAGCTCGCGGTCGAGGAGAGGCGCAGGCTGCAGGAGAGAGTGAAGGACAAAGAGCGCCGCGCGGTGGCTGGTCTGTTGGGCGTGAAGCTGCACCAAACCTGCTTCTTGTGTACGAAGTATTGGCCCGGGAAGACGGCCGTAGCTATCTCGATCCGGCCGACGGCGCACACGTCCCGCAGCTACTCACTAGGCGGCTGGGGCGCGGACAGGGCCCAATTGGAGATGTGGATGTAGGTAGCGAGTGCAGCACACGCAGCAGCGCGAAAGAATGGCTGGCTAATGATGCGTGGAGAGGGGGGCCGGGTGCAGGACGCAGGCAGCGGAGCAGGACAGCTTCAGGAGCTTGCCAGCTTGACGTGTTTACAGTTCAAGTACCTACCAGCGCGATGACATGCCCCTGGTCGAGCCCTGTGAAGATCGATTGCACTGCCACATCTCGGCCTTTCGAACTCTTGTCTATAATTTCCAACCGCGCTTTTCATCTCTAGCTTACCAACACCGTGTCTTCACTGCAGCCCCGCCTGCAGCACGCACGCTGTGCATCGGCGACTCCGCTTGCCTGCGCGCCTGCTGCGCGCGAGCCTGCGCCTGCAGCTGGCAGTGCGGCAGGGTCCAGCCTAGCCACCGCGACTGCACTGTTACGCGGCCTTGGTTCGGTTTGCTTCGCACACGTATCATTAAAAACGGCTGCGGAGCGCAACAGCTGTCCCGAAGCAATTGGCCGTCTGCGCAGTGCAGAGAAACCTCCCGAGATGTGTTTGCTTGCATAGGCCTCCTGGAAACACACGCATGTGAAGATCAGCAGGGCTCAAGCTGGCCTTTGCTCTGCAGTCGCAAATCCTCATCTGCAGCGTCCATGACTGCCACTTTCCGACACGGCGTCACTCTCTGGCAACGTGTGCTTGTATTATTATCAGCGATGTCATTGTGTCGTGTTCTCGTTATAGTAGATTATTCCTCGCTTGTGCCACGTGTATCACCAGCCCCAGCACCAGCCTCACCAACCCCGCACGTTCACGCGTCCAGCCTCCATGTTCCCCTCCACGTCCCCCCTCCACCTTGCCTGCCGCGCATGAACAGCTGTTTGGTGCTCAAAAATCCTTCAACAACCTGACAATGCGGTCCCCGACTCTAGACAGCATTCTTAGTAAGGGTTGGCAGCCACGACAGGATACCTCCTCCCGCTGACACCGCCCTCCACGCCCGTGACATACCTGTGACTCCCCCTGTGCCTGTCTCTGTCCCGGTCTCTGTCACGACTATGCTCTCTGCTTCTATCGTAGCCTCTTTTGTCTCGACTCCGGTCCCTATCGCGCTCGTCCCAATCGTCCTTGACACGGTCGTGAGAGCGCGTGCGGCCTACGTCTCGGTCTCGATCACGGTCGTGGCCGCCATGTCGCTCGCGCGGGTAGACTGCATCGCCAGTTGACGAGTGGCGACGATGCGATTGACTGCTCCCATAGTTGCTGCCGCCGCCTTCGTACGATGCATCTCTGTCGCGGTGATTGTAGCGATCGTAATCCCGCGCATACGGTGCGTCGGCATGCTGTGGGCTTACTGACGCTGAGTGACTCGCATATCGAGCATTTGGCGCAGGCACTGGTCTGAAGCTTGTCCGCGCTGGCATGGCAGGCCGGTCGCCGTAGTTTCGTGCTTGTACCTGCGCGACGTGCGTGGCAAAAAGCGGAGATTTGGTGGGACCATAAAGATGGACGGGTGACGATGTGCTCGATGACCTTGCGGCAGGCCTGTCGCTCGATAGGTTCTGAGAATACGGCCGGTACTGTTCAGGATAGTTCGGGAAGTAGTCCCTCGGCGGGACAGGAGATTCGTGCGAATTTCGATCGCGAAGTACCGGCGACCGCCGTCTGGGGAGCGGCGGTTCAGAGTCAGAATCAGAATCCGTGGTAGACAGTGAGCTTTCCCGTCGAGGCGGGACAGGACGTTTCTGGGAAGGGTACCGCTGTGTCGGTGGGGGGTTGGATGCAATAGGGGTTGCGTCTTCATCCGAGAGACTGTCGTCTTCATATCGATCAGGTGGAAGACTGCGTCGCCGACTCCACGGATTGAGCATGTTCCTGACTCTCGATATCGGCCCATGGTCATTGCTCGCTCGAGCTTGCTCTTTCGACACATGGCGCATGAATGTTGGCCTCGGCTTAGCCTTTCGATACATAGGATCTTCAAAGTACTTGAATGCGCCGGTCTTCTCGTCTGCAGACGAACTATCTCGTGAGGAGTCTGCTGAGATGCGGGGTTCATCATCGACGCGTGCTCCGTTTGCTTCTGCTTCTGCCTCCCTCCTAAGCCTAGCAGCGACACCCTCATACCATTCCTCCATTGCTTGATCTGGCTGGCTAGGAAAGCATGTGCTTGGTAGAATTTTGAGGAACACTTCCTTCGTCTCCGGATCGATGACGTCGAATTTTTCCACCGACTTCTGCAATATGGGCACATGCTCCTGCGGCCCAAGCAGCAGCTGTACAGTCTGCCATGTCACGAAGCCTTGTTGCTTGAGCGCGGGAATAGTTGGGGAAGAGTATCCGTCGTCGCTCGCCGATGGCTGGAGGCTGTGGAACGCGCCGAGAGAACGGTAGATGAAGGCAAGGGAAGAGGCTGGCGTCTCAGTAAAGAGGACATCGTATTTGCTGCCGACGGCGCGGTACCATGCTGCGATCTGGGATGGTGTGAGATCGGGACAGCCACTAGGTTCGAACTTCTGGCTCTGCGCACCAAGTGTCAGCGCTCCGTACATGCCCTTAGAGCCGATCCTCCACCCACGATGACTTCTGCAATGCCCTTCAGTAGGCGGTCTAGCTTCGGTGTGCCGCACTTGTCTGGCTTGAGTAGATAGCCCCAATAGTCGTAGGCTTCCCGTTGGGCGGCTTCATCGTTGGCAGCGTTCTCGGCTGGCTGCTGCTCGTGGTTGTCGTGCGTCTCTGCGGCCATGTCGCCCATACGTGAGTGTGGCCAAGCGCGAGAGTGACATGTATATGTGCTCAGCTGATTTGTTGGGTATCAATACACCGGCACAGCATGCGCCCCGCCAGGTCACCTACTCGAGACACGGAATGCAAGGACGAAACGTGTCACGCAAGGACATCAATCGTCCTGCGGCCAGATTCGAGGCGATGCGCCGTTTATGAGCTGGAGGTGCAGCCATGCGCGGGCAGCTGACTGCGCCTGCGAGGCTCCAGGGCACGCTGTCGTGCAGCCGAAGGCGGCGGCTTCCCAGCTCGAGCTTGGACTGGCCTGACATCATGGCTGAGCCCAGCACCCAGTTGGGCGCCAGGCCATAGTTAGGCAAACAGACACAGCTGACTCATGCGCAAATTGAGAGATGCAACTTTTAATTATTACAATCCGTAATACGTCCGAGGCGTGCATCTTTACGTCCTCGCCGTCTGGAAGGGCTGGCTAAGCTACAAACATGCAAACCATCCATCGTGGTCAGTCGACCCGGGAACTTATGTGATCGTGAATCTACCAAACTTCAACAACGCCGCGAATCCCATCTAGTGCTCAAGCAACCTCAGCGAACCCTGGACGACTACGTTCTCGAGGATGGAACCCGGGGGAATGTCGATTGTGGAGCCTTCTGTGGCAACAATAATGACGGTACCCTTCAGTGTAACACCGCGACCGAGGTTGACGGGGCCAGTAATGGTCAGGTGGTCGAGCTCGACGATCTTGGGGATGGAGGGGATGCGGTTCTGGAAGCTGGAAACCTTCTTGAAGTCGCTGCCGAGCTTGATGAGGGGAGCGGGGCCGAAGCGGTTGGGGTCAATCATGAGCTGACCGTGCTGCAGAGTGTACAGATCCGACTTGACAAGCATCAGGTCAGAGCAGGTCTTGACGGGCAAGAAACGCTTCCTGGGAACGTTGACACCGTGGGCGCCCTTGAAGTGCTTGATGGCAGCACCGACGGCGGTCTCGAGCTGGAGGACGGAGATGTCGGCCTCACCCTTCTTGTCGGCAGGGATGGACTTGCCGTTGGGGATAATCTCCATGGCAAGCTCGTTCTGCTCAACAACACGCTTGATGGCCTTGACGTTCATCCAGATGTTGTTGGTGTTGAAGTACTTGAACTTCTTGATCGACTTGAACTCGTTGACGTGCTCCTTGGGAACCTGTGCGATTTCGAGGAGACGGACAGAGCCCTCGTAGTCAATGATGGTACCACCCTTGACGTCGGCCTTGGTCTTGTCGGTCAACTCCATGATGTACTCAGCCTTGGAGTCAACCATGTGCTGCAGGATGCGGAGATCGACAACAGCACCCAAGTTGTCGGCGTTGGAAAGGAAGATGGTCTCAATGCCACGCTCGATGAGCTTGTCGAGCATGCCAGTGTTGTACAGAGACTCGAAAACGTCACCGTGACCGGGAGGGTACCAGTTGGCAATGTCCGACTCACGAGTCTTGGGGGCAGGCAGAAGCGAGTCCTTCAAGATACGGGGGTATTTCGACTGGTTGAAGGTGAGGATGTCGATGTTGTGGCCCTCGTACTTCTTGATGATGCTCGCGGTATCGGTGTCGGTGTTGAACGAGTTCATCAGGACGAAGGGAACGTTGACGTCGTATGTGCGGTTGAGGTACTCGATCTGGCGCACAGCCAAGTCGAGGAAAGACATGCCGTCGCGGACCTCGATGACCGACTTGGGGCCAACGCAACCCATAGATGTACCAAGACCACCGTTGAGCTTGACAACAGCCAACTTGCTCAGGTACTCGACCGCCTCCGAGTTGGCGAGGTCATTGTAATCGACGACCTGCTCCTTCTTCGGGGGAGCAATGCGGTTCCAGTCAATGGCGTTGCCCTTGGCCTTGTCGTTCAGGTATCGTCGGAAGAGGGCGAAGAAGTTGTCCATCTCAGTCTCGAAGTACTGCGTTGGTCAGCATGTGATTCAGTGACGAAAAAGCCAACCCGCCAACTGCGCCGAATGCTCGTAATATGCAGCATATGAGTTGTTTCATATTGCCACATCTTCTGAGTAGCACAGACAGTTGGTTGGGTAGGGCGGTTCGGAGGGTATGCTCACCTTCTTCTCCGCGGGGTCGGTGACGCCATCGGCAAGTTTGTTCAGGGCATTGCGCATCTGCGAAGCAGCAACGTTGGTAGATGTGTTCTCGAAAGCCTGTGACAGTCTCGTGTTAGCAAAAGCCATTGAAAATTGAAAATGCAGAGCGTGCGTAGCAAATGCAGTCTGGCCCGTGGGGGCAACTGGCCGGTGCTGCTACCATGCTCGGTGCAATGAGCTCAGTTGAGCCGGCAACGTGTTGGGGAGATTCAGAGGGTACAAGCGAGATCTCGGAGAGCAGTACACACTTGCTACAGCAGTAGCTGCTCAATCTCGCGATTGACCCTCAGTCCCTCCTGCCGGCTCGGGAGTGACACCCCCTGCTTGGAAGCCTGGACCGACCCAATTGCTCAGAAAGCGCCATTGGTGCTGCTGAGCGCTTGTAGCAGGAACTCTCGACCCAAAGTCCAAACGGACAGAAACCAGTGGAAAAGTCTTGAATGATGGCATAAACAGGAGAAACTTACAACGTGCGACTGTGTCTTGCCGTGGTGGCGAGGCGCAAAGCCACCGTCACCACCCTCAGCGGCCGAAGGCTTCAAGTGTGAAGGAAGAGCACGACCAGCCATTATGTAGGTATGTTTCGTGAAGGGAAAAGACACTCTGTAAAAGGAGAGAGTGAATTGTTGACAGAAGACGGGGCGAGGCGGTCAGGTCCCTTAAAGCACTTGAGCTTGGGCCAAGCGTACGTGGTGGGGCAGCTGCGTAGGAGGTCGGGGCACGTTCTCGACCAAGCAACGGCGATGGAGCTGAGGAGAAGCCGCAAGCGGGTTTTGTGAAAATGTAAAGGATTGGCGTGCCAGAGCCGCAGCAGCAGAACGCTTTATACGGCGTGGGCTTGCCTAGCTCAGCGCCGCGAGCGCCTTCCAGCTATCACTACCGTCTCTGGATACACACTATCCAGAGAGTTGAGGTTGAGCGCACCTGCGTCAACTTTGCCCCTCCTCCCCTGTCTTCCACGTCGCAGCGCAGCATTCGTCGTGTTTTACGATGGTGTGGCACAGAGTCTTCACGGGGACCACCATCGCGGCCCTTTTGGGCATTGGTGTCTTTGCTACAGTTGTCTGTGGCCGTGTCTGCCCTCTTGTTGAGGTTCAGTACTCAGGAAGCTATGGCCGCCCAATTTTTCGTAAAGCCGACCGACAGGGTTCAGCCTGGCTCCGGCGGCTGCACAACTGTAGCGCGCCCAACGACATTTCGACAGTTCCCCCAACAAGTGCCCCAGACTGGTCCTTTGCCATGGGTTGTGGCGATAATGGATGCGACATACTCTCCATGGGGAAAAGAGAATTCCGGTCGGTGCATCTCGAAGCATATCCTGGTGAAGATGTACATAATATCGGGAAAAAGCGGTGGATGTCGTGGCGTTGCACGTTTATGTCCGCGGGATGTGCTCGCGCGCGTGGGGCATCCGGGATCTACTGACACTGCCGGGTACCCACGACAAACAGTACCTATCTAAACTTTTCCAAGTTTTGGGGGCTGCGGTGTTTATCGGTTCATGTAGGTACCCGCAGCGGGAGATGAACCTTCTGTACTTTTTCTTGTTCGGTTGCCGCTAAAAGGCTCTCTACAGATAAGGTAGTGCTGAATGTGTGCGCACAGGTAGCCACAATTCACAAAAGTACTGTTTCGATATCGCCTAGTCCGGCATCTTACACTGTAAAGTGCTCGCCTACACACGACTAGCGGCACGAGCCACAGTCAATCTCAGGGGCACACTTCAGCTCACCCTGGGAAAGTACATGCAGCTGGACTTCTTCTTGACGGTCGATTGACTGTTTGTCGATCATGTTGCTACACCGATCGCAACGAGCGTGTGATCTCAACAGCTGGGGCGTCCGCAAAAGGCACTGCCATCGGCTTCTCCATCCTCAGGCGGATGTATGCACTCTGATCCTCCTCCTTGACAAAGAACTTCGTCTTGAGTTCCTGTACCACAAACGCCAAGAGGCTCTCGAGCGTCTCGTACGCCGTTGCCGAGACGATCTGGCAGATGTCAGCGGAGAGCGACTGGCAAGTCGAGCCGAACGTACCTGGACAAGTGCAGTTTCTAGGGCTGCGTAGTCATCCACACGAGATGCAGAGACACAATCAACCCACAGATTGACAACTACGGGCTGTTGTTGCAAGCGCTCGTTAGAGTTCACACCGATCAGGCACGGTATGCGGACGTTCCTCAGATACAGCACATTTGAGTAGACTCCCGAATGGGTAACGATGGACGCCTGGTGGCCAGCTCCCTCACCGAACATGCTGCCTTTCAGGTAGCAGACATCGGTCTCTATCGCAAAGATCGGGGCTGAGCCAGCAGCTGTGCGCACAATGCCAGCGATCGCTATCGAGAGATCTGCTGTGCTCATCCATTCTAGGTTGTCGTCCTGGATGCGCCCTTGGATTGCTTTGCTAAGGGTTCCATAGTGGACAGTGCTCTCGTCGACGGTGTCTGTCGATGATGCCGAGCTGAAGTGGTTACCGAGCGTGACTGTGACGCTGATGAGGGCTCGTTGCTTCTTCTTGCGTCCCCAGACGTCTGTGCCGGCATTGACAGTGACTGCGAGGTTCTGCACAATGATCTTGTCCGTGCAGTCACTTTGTGCTACTTGCGAGCTCCATGCAGCTTGGCGAGCGAGGTTCTTGTCAATGCTCATGTTGTGATGATTGAAGATGTCAATCTGATCGTTTTTTATCAGGTTGGGCCAGTAGAAGTTTTGAGTCAGCGAAGCTGGCTGGAGGCAGTGCTTGCAGGAAGCAATTCAAGCTGTCAAAACGCGAAATGATGGTGAGATAAACTAGGCCACAGATAAAGGTCAACTTACCTGACCTTCGCGGTTCGCTGCAGTTTGACAATTAGGGATAGGTGGGATGCCGCCGCCCTTCAGCCCTACGGCGCCCCGCCGGAGCTCCGCGTCGAACATTCTAGCTGCAAGGCCGACTGTATTTCTGCACCAGAGCTCAGCTGTCTGCACTGCACCGCAATTCGCAGCCGTTATTTCGACACCCACTCCACGCACTACATTCACATCATACGTCATGGCTGACGCGCTCAAGGCAGAGGGTAACAAGCTCTTTGCGGAGAAGAAGTTCGAGGAGTCCATGTGAGCGCCCCACTGAAACGGATAGCTGCAGCAACATGTGCTAATACAACATAGCGAGAAGTTTTCCCAGGCTATCGAGCTCGACCCCTCCAACCATGTGCTCTACTCAAACCGCTCTGGCGCATATGCCTCTCTAAGAAATTATGAAAAGGCTCTGGAAGACGCGACCAAAACCACAGAGATCAAGCCTGACTGGGCAAAGGGCTGGGGCCGCAAGGGCACAGCGCTGCACGGTACCGGTGATCTGGTAGGAGCATCTGATGCCTTCGACGAGGCTCTCAAGCTCGATGCGAACAACGCTCAGGCCAAGTCTGGTCTCGCGGCTGTGCGCCGTGCTATCGAGCAAGAGGCACAGGCGGACGGTCTGGGTGGTGATCCCTCAGCTGGGCTCGGGGGCATGTTCAGCGACCCCAACATGATTCAGAAGCTGGCTGGCAACCCCAAGACAGCCTCTCTTCTCGCAGACCCTGCCTTCATGGAAAAGCTGCAGCAGCTGAAGAGCAACCCGAACAGGGTGGGCGAATTCATGCAGGATCCCCGCTTCCTCCAGGTCATGAGCGTCCTGCTGGGCATCGACATGCAATTCGGCGCACCTGGAGAGCAGAGTGGCGCTGGCGCCGGTGCTACCGAGGCGCAGGAAGACGTTGAGATGCCCGATGCCCGTCCCGCACCCACACAGCCCAAGAAGGCACCGGAGCCAGAGCCAGAGCCCGAGGTTGAGGAGACGGAAGAGGAGAAGGCAGCCAAGCAGGCCAAGATCACGGCCGACGAGCTGAAGAAGAAGGGCACAGAGTTCTACAAGAAGCGCCAATTTGACGAGGCGATCGAGAACTACACGAAGGCGTGGGAGACACACAAGGATATTGCCTACATGACAAACTTGGGTGCTGCCAAGTTCGAGAAAGGTGATTACCCTGGCTGCATTGAGGCATGCCAGCAGGCCATTGAGTACGGTCGCGAGATCTACGCCGATTTCAAGATCATTGCCAAGTAGGTTTCCACCTCGTTTCTTCCACGACTATTTGCTAACTTACTGCAGGGCGTACGCTCGCATTGGTACCGCATATGAGAAGCAGGGCGACCTTGCCAACGCCATTACTTTCTACCAGAAGGCTCAGACCGAGCACCGCACGCCTGAGGTCCTCGCTAAGCTCCGAGCGGCGGAAAAGACAAAGATACAACAAGAGAAGGAGTCATACATCAACCCGGAAGAGGCAGAGAAGGCCCGCGAGCTGGGAAATGCCAAGTTCAAGGAGGCCGACTGGCCCGCCGCTGTTGAGGCATACACAGAGATGATCAAGCGTGCACCAGAGGACCCTCGAGGCTACTCCAACCGAGCTGCCTGCTACATCAAGCTCCTTGCTTTCCCATCAGCCATCGAAGATTGCGACCGAGCCACCAAACTCGACCCCAAGTTCATCCGCGCGTACCTGCGCAAAGCTCAAGCCTACTTTGTCATGAAGGAGTACACCAAGTGCGTGGATACATGCGGCGAAGCTATGATGCACGACGACGGAAAGAACGCCCGCGAGATTCAGCAGCAAGAGACTAAGGCTCTGGAAGCCCAATACGCGTCGCGTGAGGGCGAGACCGAGCAGCAGACAATGGAGCGCATTCAGCGAGACCCAGAGGTATGTTCACCGACATCATGCGCATAGACAATGCACTAACATTCCCACCAGATCAGCAGCATCCTTCAGGACCCTATCATGCAGAGCATTCTGCAGCAGGCTAAGGACGACCCTGCCGCGCTGCAAGAACACCTCAAGAACCCCGGCATTCGTACGAAGATCCAGAAATTGGTCCATGCTGGCGTCATCCGTATGGGAGGACGATGAGGGAGGAGCAAAAGCGACGCGATTTGACGACCCGACTACGACTATTTTATGGCAGACGGAGGTTTTGAAATATCTGTGTCTATAGTGCATCAGCATAGCGCGTACAAAGTACAAAGAATGCATATAATTTTTGTCTTCAGTATGGACCTGCCCTTGGAAATTTCGAGCACTTTATCACGCACTCACTGACGCGCAGCATCAATCGACTGACCCTGCTTCTGCGTCACAGTCGTCGAGACCATTATACCGTCGTGAGTCGACTTTAGCTGTTCCTGACTGCTGTGCACGCCAGCCCAGTGCAAGTCTGTAGTCTCCAAGCCCAGCCGCTGATTGCGCTCTCGCGTGCTTATACCCCCGATCGTCCTCAACTGCACCTTGCTGCCCTTGCCACTCCCGCTCCCGGTATGCTTCCGGTAGCCATGCGAATCGTAGGAGGCTTTCGTGCGAAACGCGTTGACGAGGACTGCAAAAGCAGGGCAGCAGCCAATGATCACCGCTATCATAATTTCAGCATCAACCCACAATCGCGGCTTGTGGTGGACTTACCGATCGAGCACTCGACCATGCCCCAGATTGCGAGCCACGTGGGATCCAAAGGCTGTCCAGCGGCTTCGGGCTTCGCTGCGTTGATGGCGACCTGTGCGACTCGAAGGCAGGCGAATACTATGCAGATGAACCCCGTCCCGAACAAGGTCATGATCGCGTTCTTTTTGCTACGCGGCATCTGGAGATTCCAAATGAGCCTGATTGGTAAAGCCATGACTGGGACACAGTGAGTTAGTCGTCACTCCAGCGTAGGATTCGCGGTAGCAGGACGTACTCATGAGGTTTGTAGTCGTGTCTACCGTGAATGAATAGTAGAGACTGACTAGTTGCGCATGCTTCGGGGATTCGCCGACCTGGTGAAAGGGGATATCAGTATTGCTGTTCAGGTTTTCCAGTCACGGATGGGAACATGGGAACTCACGCAACCCCCTTTCCAGAATCCTGGTATTGTACCGCATGATTGAAAGTAAAAGAAGTAATTTCCAGCGTGCGTCTACACAGGCGTGAGCAACTAACTTGGGACTTCGCCTGAAAACTTACCACGAGGCAGATTCCGACCAGGACCCACCATATGATCGTATACCTCCCGGATAAACCCACTAAGAGTTTCCGGTACAGAAACAGTAGCGAGAACTTGATGCTCCACAGCGTCATCCAGAACATACAAGGAGCCGCGAATATCATCTTGGTCATTTTGACAACGTCCGTCTGCATCTCAGGGTACGGCGGTGTCTTCCCGTTTCCGACATCGTAGACTCGTTGCATATACGGAGACACTGCGATGTAGAGCGCGCACATGGTCGCGTAACAGGCGAACGCAAGGTAAACCAGACAGTCCGAAGTTGTCAGGCGTTTAGGCTTGAGGAAACCAACGCCCGCCCGGGCAAGCACAACGCAGCTGGTCAGTGCAAGCATAGAGTACGCGACCTTGAGGACGGTCCCTTGGGCGAACCCGTTGGTTTTGGAAGACATCAGAATTTGCTTGGTGAATTGACATGAGAGGTACTGGACGGGAGTCCAGCAAAGTGGAGTGACTATATGGTTGTGGCACAGTAATTACTACCTACACCTGTCTCCCGCGTTACCAACCAAGCTTGGACCCTGAACAACCTGCTTCAGTACCTTCCTCCTGGCTTTCATGCAGGTCAACATTAGTACTGTTGGAAGGGTACGAAAGCTTGAATCCTCCCAAAAACACGGCTCGATCCCTCCGGCTGAATGACTATATCCGAATGACTGGAAAAAATACGAGAGGCACTCAGCCACCATGTTCGCGTACCCATTAACAACATCTGAACGCCCCAATCCGCAAGTGATTCTGGTCGTATAGATGAAAGTAGCTTGTACGTAGTCGTCGCGTCATCTACAGCATGATGATAACTCCTGAGCGGGAGTAGCAACAGATGCCACACTTCCAAAACGAGGCCACCCCGTTCACGGCTTGGGGCCGAGTACGGCCTGACAGCTCGGTGCCGGATCTCGGTGCGATTGGCTGCTCCCCGCTAGGCGAGCCGCCTCCGCGGCACTAAGAGCGGCTCGAGTCGGATGTCGTATCGCGTCCCGTCCATCCGCAATGACCCTTTACCTTCTGGAATTGTAGAAGCTCGCGAGTAATGAGGGCAGCGTGCCTGATATAGTGCCCATTGAGCAACACGAGCTTTAAATGTTGTTTGGCTCCGCGTGATTGTCATTCGTCCCGCTCCTGACGTCCCGCTCCAGCAGGCATGAGAAGCGCGTAGCCTAGGCGCGAAGGATCTTGCTCTAGGATTCGCCAAACAATTTCCATTCGGGGTATCTGCATCTAGGACGCGACGAGCAGTATTTCCGAGGTAGTATCTGGACGTTCCTGAACCCCACTCGTGGCATGTTGGGCTCTCCTTCAGAATCGCCACCCAGGATCTCAAAGATGGAAACGCATTTGTGCGGTTGTTGTAAGGCCGTTTTATCGTATCAGATCTGTGGCAAACAAGGAGTGAAAGAGACCGCCATGGACCGGTCTGTCGGTGCTTCGGAGTAATCTGATCTTGGCTTGGTATGCAGGTCCAACGGTGGTTTTCGTTGTAAGCACGTTCCTGCATTGGAGCGGCACAGCACACCAAATCCTTCGCGAGGTCAACGGCAATGGCCCCTCGATACCCAATTCAATGAAGCTAGTAGCTGCTGCTCCAGGCCGTCGTTCTGAATAAGAAGCTGTAATCTCCCGTCCACTCGGCCCTTCATCCGTTCTCCAAGCTGCAAGCAGTACACTCGCGGCACACGTACTCTTGTCACAAGATGAAACTCCAGGCGACAATATCGTTGTTGGCTTGCGCCACCAGCACCCTGGCCCAGGATTTCCTCGAAGCTTCGGACTTCAATGTCACCGAGGCTTTGATTGCGAATGGTGTCGATGTTGAAGCTCTGCCTGAGTTGGCCAATTTGACAGAGAAGCGTTCGCTGTTCAGCCCATGCGCAGTAGCGGTAGGAAACCCCTTTCGCCGGTATTCTAATCTGAACTGACCTGGCATACAGTGCAACTCACTACGACTCGTTTTTGGAGACAAAGTTCTATCGAGTGGATCGGCCGCCTATGATGCCTTCACAAACGGCTACTGGTCAACGCAAACTGCATCAGTGGATCCCTTCTGCGTGTTCAAGCCGACAAAAGCCCTCGATGTCTCCACTGTCGTTCTACTGTCTCGCCTGACGCAATGCCCTTTCGCAGTCAAGGGTGGTGGACACACCGGCTTCCCTGGAGCATCCAGTATTCAGGATGGAATCACGGTCTCCTTAGAAAGCATGAACGAGATTACACTGTCTAGAGACAAGAAGACTGCTGTCATCGGGCCTGGAAACCGCTGGGGAGCTATCTACGCTAAGCTCTCGAAAGAGTCGCTGACTGTCATTGGTGGCCGCGCTTCTGACGTGGGCCTTGGACTCGTCCTTGGAGGTGGCGTTTCGCATCTGTCGAACATATATGGCCTTGCATGCGACAACGTTGCCTCGTTCGAGATTGTCACAGCCTCAGGCGTGATTCTGACCGTCACCCAAACTCAGTTTCCTGATTTGTACTGGGCTCTGCGCGGTGGAGGCAACAACTTTGGCGTGGTCACCAAGTTCACCCTGGAGACCAAGCCCCAGGGCTTGATCTGGGGTGGCACTCGTATCCACCTCCAGCCTGACTACCCGAAGTTGATCGACGCCTTTGCAACAATGGCCGAGAGCGCGGCTGTGGATCCCAAGGCTGTGCAGATTCTGTCTTTTGCAGTCACTGCCGGCTCCCCCGCGGCTCAGATCCAGCTCGAGTACCTTGAGCCGGTCAACGAAGCGAACCCCCCCGAGATTCTCAAGGGATACCTGTCCATTCCGCCCATTGTTGCCAGCACCATCAACCGGACGCTGGAATCCGACGCTGACATGCTCAACGACCAGATGCCCGCCGGCCACCGCTACTCTTTCTGGGCCGGCACATTCAAGCTTGACCGCGACTTCATGGCCTGGATGCAAGCCCTGCACCAGAAGAACGTCGGCTCACTCCCCGACCAAGGCTCCCTGACATTCCAGGCCTTCACCGTCCCCACGCTTTCTCAAGCAGCCAAGAAGGGCGGAAACGCGCTTGGCCTGAACCCTGCGGATGGGCCATTATTCCACTGCCTTCTGTACATGGTCTGGGACGACGCGAGCAAGGACACCACGCTCAACAAGGCCGCGTCCGAGTTCATGGCTGCTGCGAAGGCTGAGGCGAAGACAAGGGGCCTGTACAACAGGTACATCTACATGAACTACGCAGGGCCGTACCAGAACGTCGTGCCGAGCTACGGCGAGGCGAACCTGGCGAAGCTCAAGTCGATTGCGAAGAAGTACGACCCGCATGCTGTTTTCCAGAAGCTGCAGCCTGGTGGCTACAAGCTCGAGGGTGCGCCGTACGGGGAGACGGTGTAAGGAAGCAGGGAATGGTACAATTATCACAATGAATTCTGTCCATGGATCATGAAGCTGTCTCTTTGCCCACACACAATATAGAAGAAGTGACTTAGCTGCCATATTATCGTCGCTTATGTGCATATCGAATATAGAAGGGAGAGACGCAGATGCGACAAATCTAAATCTAATAATAACAGGCTCGCAAAGGTGCACCGCTACTGTGTTGCAATCCTGCTACTGATAAGACAGACACCCGTCCGGACCATTTTGCGCCCAGGATGACAGCTCCCTCGACGTGGAGAGTGGGTACCCATCAGCCGTACTCAAAGCCATGAAATTCAAGTTGAACACAATCCATACAGGCAGTTTGATGGTCATATTATCATTCATTTCGGGATAAACATCCAGTCTCAAGACTGTTAAATGCCCAAGCCACGAGGTCAAACAACCCCCAAGATGCCGCTAAACGACTCGCTCAAAACGCCACAAAACGCCATGCTATGCAACCCAACACCTTTTCTCCTTCACTCTCTCACGCCAGACCAAAGAACCCCCTCAGGCGCCTCCCCAACTCCGCGCCCATCGCGCGCCTCGTGTCGTCGGTGCGGAAACTCGCCTCCTTGTTCTCCGCAGCCCGGCGAATCAGGAAGTTGAGGCACTCCGTCATCGTGCCCCACGCCAGCAGCTTCACCACCTGTGCATTCTCATCTGCCTGCACGGTGGGGTCCTGCACGAGGCTCTGGCTGATCTCGTCGGCCATGCCCTGCAGCTGCGCGTACGCGAGGCGCGGCAGCGTGTGTGCGGGCGCGGCGAGCAGCTGGGCTGCGCGGATGGCCTTTGCGGATTGCAGGGACGCGAGGTTGTGTGTTGCGAGGACGATGTTGACGGCTGGGAAGGCGGCGGAGGGGTTGGTCGGGGCGATGGAGGGCGACCATTGGCGGCGCAGGACGGTGGCGGCGCAGGCGTCGTAGCATGCGTCTGTGCCTTCCTTGGTGTCGAAGCAGACGCCGGCGGGCTCGGAGGTGAGGTATGCGCCGCGGACGAGTTTGACGCCGGCGATGTAGTTGTGGGTGGCGGCGCGCTCGAGGTGGGCGGCGATGCGGGCGGGGACTGCGCGCAGGTAGCACTGGTAGGTTGTGTAGATGAGGGCGCGGCCGTATTCGTGGGTGTTGTATTTTTCTTGCAGGGCGATTGTCCACTGCTCGAGGCCGATGTTGGTGAGTTCCTCTTCAGCGCCAGGGAGGAGGCATACGCCCTTTGCGGCGGCGGCGTCACAGGCTTCGGTGATGGCGGCCCACATCTCAGGAGTAGCGGGTTGCTGGGTCTGCAGGAGGTGGAGAGCGTGGCGACCGAGACCGGACCATCTGTGGGGAGTCAGTATTGTGTTGTGCTAGAAAGGGGAGATGGCTTACTTAAGACCGATGAAGTCGCCCTCACTGGCCATTTCGACGCTCTTCATCATGCCCTTGCGCCAGACTTCGATCTCGGCGGCTGTCTCGGCGGCGGTGGGCTCACTTCCTCCAAGAACTTCCAGCGCGTACTCAATAATGACGCCGTCGTAGCCGAGCACTGACCTTGCCGCGGCGAGATTGGGCTTGACCTCGTGAGCCTTGTCACCAGCGCAGAACTGGGCGTAGAATGTGCTCTTCAGTACTGCTCTGATGAGGGGGTTACGCTCAACGTCCATAAGGTAGTTCTTCGAGTCGAGCATCTTGCGCAGCACGGTGAATGTGAGGCCGAGGAGAGCCGGTGACGAGGACATGGCAGTGATCAAATATGAACGGGCGACTGAAGAAGTCGGCAGGCGGGCGAGAACCGACTTCGGTGTCGATCCTTGACGGTATGTCTTTGTGGACAGCAGCTGGGCCGGAGTTGATGTGGATGACGTGCTTTGGATAGCAGTGTTGTGGCGGGAGCTTTGGTGAACATATCGGGCCAGAGTTCTGGGTGTGGGTGCGAGCGCGAGGCGCTGAAGGCGCTGGGCCTGCTGGAAGCGGGAGCCCATTCTGGATGTTGTATGATTAATTTCGATGGAAGGTTGATATATTGGTGTTATGTGTGGTGGTGGAGTTGGCGGCGACTTTATGAATCGACGTCTTCAAATATTCAATCGAGAGCGGTTCGATGGTCCTGTGACCGTCAAACGTCCTTGACGGCATATATACTTCCATGGCGCACTCAGGGTCATCCATGGAACGCCCACGATGTTGCGCGGTGCGCTCGGCCAGCGTCGGATGGTACCAAGCTGCCCCATACTGCTCCAGACGGAGTACCACGCACAGGCCGTATCGGCCTGCGAACGGAGCTTTTGTGATTGGCCAATGGCTGTGCTGTTCCTGGACAAGCGAAGCGCGGCATCGTCGGAAGGCGCTGCGGTCTCGATGATTGCATCTTCTCGAAGCTTGCGGTCCGTCATCGTGGTCGCGTGCAGCATTCGGGAGCGGAAACGTCACCCGCCCTCGTCATCGGCTGCCCAGCACAGCTCAAAGCCCCGAGACAAAACTCTGTGCTTTGCGGCCTTGCACGCTTGACGTTTCAGCGCGACCATCGTGACCATATTGTCAACTTCCCCACACTCGGCATTCCTGTCCAAAACGCACTGCACCTCAAACCACTAAGTGTCCAGTGCACACTCCCCCTGGTGGCCCGTCCGCGCGCACTCTGAGCCGCAAGTACCCAGTTCTAATGCTCTTAAACTAACGACACCCCAAATTGTTTATCTTGCGTGACAGCAGCATTTCTCCACTCCGTCTCGGCTGAGGCTGGTGCTGTGCCATATCTGCCGGTATCGGTTGTGGTGAGGCTCCGCTGCGAGGAGTTTTTCAAGCCCAGAGCGAGGCAGACCGAACGCCGTGCGGCTCTCGTCGGTGTGGGGCTGGTCTTGTTGCAAGTGGCGGGAGGCTGCATTTGTACTTCATTGCGATAACGCTGCCGATTGCCATGTCTATAATTCCATCGGTGCGCTCGGCATTCTTTACTGTGACCAGGCCGAATGTAAAGTAGCGTCTTCTCCCAGTATCCTATATTGGTTGTAAAGCAATTCCTTCCAAAAACTCCCTGACAATCATGTCATCAAGATTCTTCGATGCGACTCGGATGCTGCTCGGATGCACATTCCGATGTGGTAGAGCCACTCGGGAGCGACTTCCGATTTCTCGGAGTGGCCTTCCCGCAGCGGCCAATTCGTAGGCTCTTAAGTGGAACCCAGCTGTCACGAGGCCAAAACGTTTGTCATTGAATTTGGATCTGGAGCATCACATGGTCTTTTGCATATCTGCGCTAGGGCAGGCCTGAATTGAGACGAAAGCCTGAGTACCTACGACCGAGTTCTCTCCTGCTTACCTGTGCAGTATGTCGTCTCGTTATTAGCTGCTTGATCTTTAAGCATTCACACGGGACAATCTTGACTGAAAGAATGGCTTTTTGTAGGCACTCTATCTATGCAGTATGTAACCAGCGCATAGATTATAGGCATCCACAAAACAGTAGAGTACACGATACTGGCGCGACATGCGCCACTCTAAAGAGATGGAATTCAAAAGATAGTGGATCACGGGTTCTGGGCAGTATGTATACGACAGAGTGCGAGGAACTCCACCTCTCCCGCTCGCTATGAACTCAACTTCAGAAACTGCGTCTGCTGCGCCAGCGCATCCTCCTTGAGCATCTCCGCCGCGCCCTCGCCAATCCCATACGCCACCATCTGCGTATGCCCGTTATTGACGCGTGGAATCGACGACACATCCGCAACACGCAGTCCACGAACGCCGCGGACACGCAGGCGCGAGTCCAGCACCGCCGTGGGCGACGACGCGGGGCCCATTGCGCAGGTGCTGCTGGGGTGGTAGCCTGTGGTGCATTAGTCGGGGGCCTGTGGAAAAATGCGAGAGCAGAAGCAGGCAGGGGGGAGACGTACATGTCGTCGCGTGCTGCTTCACATGCGGCACCCAGTCCTCGCGCGTCGCGTTCTCGTGGTGCGTCAGTCCCGCGGGCCAACTCCCCTTGACCACGCCCTTGGTGCCCGCGCCGCGCATCACCGTCTCGTTGGCGAAGCGGCACGCCTCGGTCATGACGAGCATGTCCAGCGGGTCGGCGAGGTAGTTGTGGTCAACTAGGGGGTTTGCGGCGGGGTCTGCAGACGCAAGCTTTACGGAGCCGCGGCTGCGCTGGTTGAAGAGCAGGTTGCACATGGCGAAGGTGTGCTTGCCGTCGATGGGGAAGTCCTCGTATTGCTTGGGCCCGCCGTAGAGCTCGGTGTTCCAGAACTCCATGTTCGGCTGGCTCGGGAGCAGACCCATGGGGTCGCGGCCGTCGGAGCGGGCAGCGTCGCGCCAGAGTGGGGAGTCCTGGAGGCGCTCGTCTAGACGTGCGTAGCCGAATATGCCTGGCGGTGTTAGCTCACGTCGAGAAGGGGGTGGAATACGTACCAAAAGGGAACGTGCTGAGAAGACCGGTCTTCTTTTCTTTGTAGAGTTGGTAGGTTGACGCGATGGCGTTGTCGTGGTAGGCGAGGTAGTCGTTGGTGATGTTAGGTTCCGAGACCTCGTAAAAGATGAAGACGAGCTGTTTGCTGTTAAGACACATCCAAACACGTCAGTATCAAGGTAATACGCACGCAATGATCTTGCAGGTTCTGACCTACGCCGGGCAGGTCGACTCTGCACTCGATACCGTGTTTAGCGAGCTCGCCCTTGGGCCCCAGTCCCGAGCGCATCAGAATGGCTGGACTGCAGTATGAGCCGGCTGAGACGATGACTTCCTTCCTGGCCTGATACTCGATCTTCTTCCCGGCCTTTGAGATCGTAGCCACCCCTTTGGCAACGGGCTCACCGTCTTCGTCAGAGAAGATGATCTTGTCAACGACTACTTCAGTCTTGATGGTGATATTGGCTCTCTTGTAGCTTTTAGTGACGAAGTCTGCCGCCGTACTGCGGATACCTTGGTGTACGGTGCGAGGCACGTCACCACATCCATGGGGTGTCTCGCCGGTTGAGAACATGTCAGGGTGGTAGGGAAGACCCATGTCAATCATGCTCTCTTTGACACGCTCCGAGATTGGCGCGAGATCGTGTGGCTCGATATGTAGAGGGCCAGAGGTTCCGTGGACTGACATATCTGCCTTGTGCCAGTCTTTCTCGTGCATTGTCTCAGCCTGGAAGGTCAGTACTGCACTTGACATGCACGCTAATTCTCACCTTCGCCATGTATCCGTACATCTTCTCGCCTGTCCACTCTTCCATGCCCCAATCGTCATAGTCCTGCTTCATTCCGCGAATACACAATGTCCCATTGACACCACTAGAGCCACCTAGGAAGCGGCCACGGCTGACATTGACCTGCCGATCATTGACACTGCCCATCTTCTCAGTGACGATATTCCAGTCCGTCTCGCTGTCGAAGTTCTTGCTCCACCTGACGCCGTAAGCATACACTCTCACAAAAAGCCCGCTCCACGTACCCGCCCGCCATGTGCACGTTCTCGAGATCCGCATTATCAGGCCCGGCCTCGAGGACCAGGATCTTCGCATCGATGTCCTCCGCCAGCCGCCCGGCAATCACGCAGCCCGACGTGCCTCCACTGTGTACATTAGCATCGTGCCCTCATCTCAAAGCTACACCAATATGCAACATACCCGCAAATGATATAATCATACACCTCGCCCGGATCCACCGAGTCAACACGTTCAAGCGACATACTAGCAAATTACTGAATACCCAGATGTAAATACCGAACACGGCAATCACAACAAGCAACGACCACAGCACCCCACGCCCTCTTTATGCGCCCACCGCTTATGCCCGGAACGCGCCCGCACTGTTTCCGCGCGCCTTCCTAGTGCCCGGCTGGAGTTAGGCGACCCCTCTCCGCCAGCGATCGCGCGAGGCGTGGTGGTCTCCGTCGAGCAGGTGTGTGGCGTCAGGGCGCCTTGCGGACACGCTGTCAGGTGCTAGTACCCAGGTTGCGGTACTGATGTGCATACTACCTGGCATACTACCCAGGTACACTGGTATCTGGGCGTGTTGGGGCAGCATTGGGAGACTTTGAGCACTGCAGCGCTGGTGCGCTCTTGGGGTCCATCACGACTTGTACACTACACGTCCACGGCTTCTGGTAGGCGGGAATGTGCATCGAGATTCAATGTTTGAGTGATTGAGTCCCTGTGCGGATCCTGGGCGCTAGTGGTGGTCGTGGTGGAGTGGGGCAACGCGGGGTCCCCAGGGCGGGTCCGGAGGTTGTGCCGGACGCCGACAGCTCCGCGACTTGGGGGCTTACAGTAGGTCTGGGGATACTCATTGAGAAAAGGGGGTTACAGTGTTGTGTAAGACCGATAGGGCGTGCTTGGTGTTGTTGCATTGGAGTAGAGTGGAGTAGGATGTTGCATTGCACGGTGATGCTTGTTGTGTCTGTCACATAAAAGCACTTTCTCGTACCATGAAGCGCTGGTATAGCAGACAACGCCATTCCGGTATCTTGAACAACAGGTTGTAGAAATATACATCGCAAGATAGTACCAGCCAGCCAGAAAACCAATGCCTCGAGTTTCACAGCTCCACAGCACCCTCTTCCACCTCCAACCCGCCATTCTTTCATCCCCCTAAACCCCACTAATATACTCCAGCAACCCCTCCAGCGTCTTGTCCTCCACCCGACACCCCTCGCCCTCCCGCACCGCGCGCCTGTATCCCCGGCTCAGCCACAGCCGTATCAGCGCCGGATCCAGATTCCGCACATTGCGCTGCGCAATCAGCACAAACGCCTGCGCGCACAGCGTCGTGCTCTCCGAGGGACTAGGCGGCGGGCGCGTGGCGCAGGTGGTGCATTCCGCGGAGGGAGCGGCGGAGGAGGGCGACGGCGCCGCGTCGTGTGAGATATCCGGGATGCCATCGGCGGCAGCGGAGAGCGCCATCGCAGTGGACGTGGACATGGACGTGGACGCCGTGTCGGCGCAGCACGGCGGCGGGCCCTCGACCAGCGGCACGTCCGCAGCTACAACACCCACATCTGCCGCCAGCACTTCGCTTGCTTCTAGCACCTCGCCCCCTACAAACCCCATCCCCACCCCCTCCCCCCCAAAATGCCGACTCAAATCCCAACAAGCAAAAGCCTCCGCGACATCCCTCTCAGCCCTTAGCGCCTCAACCAGCACCCGCCCCTCCTCGATCCTGGCCCTTGCATCCACGAGCGCCGCCTCAACAGCCACGAGCCGGTCCTCCAGAGCCTGGGTGTGGACACGCGCAGCCACTGTCTCAGCACGCGCAACCTCAGTCTCGGCACGCGCGGTCTCTGTCTCAGCGCGGGCGGCCGCGAGCGCTGCTTCGAGCGACGAGAGCGTGGCTTTCTGGCGCGCGCGGTGGCGGCGCTGGTTCTCGCGGACGCGGGTTAGGGTGTGTTCTGCGGAGACGCGTTTCCTGCGGGTCGAGGGCTGGGATGTGGATGGCGAGGAAGAGGGTGGGGAGGAGGGCGAGGTGGTTGTAGACGCTGTGGAGGACGGCATGGCTGGTTGTTGTCGAGTCTTGTGGCAAGTCTTGTGGCAAGTCGTGTTGGTGTCGTATCAGTGTCAAGTTGGATTCTCGGGCCTGTAGTGCATGGACCGGGACGAAGGTGTGTTCATTTCCCAGCTTGCGGGGGCAGACGGCGAGAGCTTGTTTTATGGATGCAGCTGCGAGGGTTGCGGGCTTGGCGGTGACATATCGAGGGTTTGGGTTGGGCTGGGGGTGCAGGTGGGGCGGTTTGCGTTTCAGGGACGGGAGTGTGCTGGTATTTCCAGGGAATGAGTGTTGGGAGGGTAGGAGGAGGACTGGATGTGAATATTCTTTGACGTGGTATAGTATTGAGTAGGTGGTGTAGCGGTGGACTGCTCGTGGTTCTTTGGTGGTCGTCTGGCCGCACGACTGACCCCACAGTCCCCGCTCTACCGGCCTGCCCCTCCATTCATCAACGGAACAAGTCTGTGGTGCTAGCAGTCTCATGCCAAGAGCATGTCCGTTCTCATCTGGAGCAACCACATACGCTTTCTCACCCGCCCGCTGGCACAAAATCAACTATATATATGTGTAAAAGCGCAGACTTCAAGAAAACAAAGCCTCCTTGGCCAAGTGGTAAGGCGTCGCACTTGTAATGCGAAGATCGCTCGTTCGATTCGGGTAGGTGGCATACTTTTTGCCGTCCACACACATCTTTCTACTGCTCTTCCCGTGGACTTCTTTTTGCTCCTATCGCGGAGACCACGACATTGATTTTTCGAGCTTGCAAAGAGTTGTCATATAGATTGGAAGAAGCATTCGTGTGTATGTTCTCTGCGTATTCGTGTGTCTATCATGTCCCCATGCGTTCCAATCTAAACTCCAGTCGCTGTGTATCGTATAGTACAAGTGCAATAACAACAGTCTACGCGCGCTGCGTCTCTGCCATACGCTTCGCCCCCGGCTTGACCTGCAAATGCACCACCCTGCTCTTCTCCCTCACAGCCGCATCCTCCCCGACCACCTTGCCCTCCTCCTTGCCACTCTTGATCGCAGTCTTCCCGCCGCGCAACACCTCCCACCCCCTCGCCACCCACCCCAGCAACACCCCCACCACGACCACGAGATCCACCGCATGCACACCCCACCACCAGTGCTGCACGCCCGCGCCGCAGCTCGCAAACTCGAGCACCCACTCGCCCGCCTCGCCCTTGTCGGGCGCCCACCATGCGGACAGGAAGCCCGCGTGGCCGCCGAATTCGCCCATCATGCTGCGCAGTGTGATTTCGCGGAGCTGCGGGGTGGGGCAGGCGGTTTCTGCGGGCGAGGGGGGAGAGGCGAAGAGGCGGGCGCGCCAGCCGTCTTCTCTTTCTTCTTGTGTAGTGTCGGTTGAGGCGGTGCCGTTGGCGACGGACGCCGGCAGCGCATCTGTACCTGTGCCGTCCAGCGGCACATTATCGTGCAAGGGCTCACACACCGCCCCCGGCTGCGCCGTCCAGTGCAGCACATCACACCCCTCGTGGTCATGCCCGTTGAGAACCACGCCGGCGCGCCCCAGCCCGCGCCCCTCCGCGTCCACGCTCGCGCTCAGCCCGAACACGCTCTCCAGCACGATGCGGCTGCCGTGCTCAGACAGCATGTTCTGCTCGCGCACGCCGCCGCCGAGCCCAGACTCGAAGAAATCAAAGAACGGCGCGTCGGCGCACAGGCCCGCGCGCTTGTGCAGCGGGATGTGGGTTAGCAGGATGGAGGCGTGGGAGCGCGAGGTCGTGGGCTGCGAGGAGGCGATCAGGTGGTTGAGGAAGGCGTACGTGTCGTCCTGGAGCGCGGGGGTGAGGGCGGGCGTGTCGAGGTTCATGGTGTTGAGGACGATGAGGCGGAGGGCCGGCGGGGGCGCGGTCGAGTTGTCCGTGGTGTTCAGCGTGAGCCACAGGTCCCAGTTCACGGCGCCGAACGCGCGCTCGAAGCGCGACACCCGCGCCGCGTCGATGTCGCCCGCGTACCCGATGTCGTGGTTTCCCGCGATATTGATCACGCGCTGAGCCCACGCCGGGTCTGCGCCCAGCACCTCCGTCGACCCGCCCCACGTCGGCTTGTGCTCGTACCCCGGGTCGTCGTAGTGGTCGCTCGCGGGCTGCACGCCCATGACCGCGTCCGGCACGCGCTGCAGCCCGCGCATCACCGTCCCCCAGTAGCGGCCCGCGCGCCGCTCAAACTCGCCGTCCGACACCCACTGGCTGCCCAGCAGGTCCCCCAGCACCGCGACGTGCGTGGGCTCCGTCCACCAGCGCAGACTGCGCACGATGTGCGCGAGGTACCAGTCGTTGCCCCACAGATCGACGGCCTTGCGACACCCCTCGAGCCAGGCGGCGGCGTCGCCCAGCGCGCCATGCGCAGCCGCAAGCAGGATGTCGCGGACGTCGGGCGGGTCGTAGCGGGCATTGCGCAGGTCCTGAGCGACGTGCTGCAGCGAGGGGAACACGGGCGCGGAGGGGTCGGGCAGCGACGAGTCGCCCTCGAGCTGCGGGTCGCCGAGGGCGAGCAGGCGGAAGGGGGCGCGGGCGGCGAGCAGCGGGAGCGAGGTGGCCGAGGGCGCGGGGAACGCGCAGCCGTGGAACAGCGGGTACAGGTACAGCCACGCGGTGCCGGCGAGGGCTACGGGCAGCAGCAGCCAGCTGAGGCCGAACAGGAGGCGCGAGAGCTGCATTGAGGCATTGTCGGGGGTTGGGCGCGGGCGCTGTGCGGCAAAGTGGCTCGGGGGTGCTGCGGAGGTCGCGGGCCGCGCCAATGGTATCACACCAATACAGTTTACACAGTTCATATACACAATTTACATGCACAGTTCATGTACACAGTTGACAGTCCATATATGCACTCAAATATACTCTCAAATTAAGCTATCAATGCACAAGGCCGTGTATTTTCAGCAGCAGCTGTCATAGCATCATATCGTCTCCTGCACGCAGCGACCTCGCTGCCGCTATCCGAGCAGGTCTCCCAGAGCACCGCCCGGGGGCTTCGCACCCGTCTGCGGCGACTGCGCGGCGGGCGTGCTGGAGCTGGACGCCGGCGCGCCCCAGAGACCCTGGCTCGTCTTCTGCTTGGCCAGATCGCCCATGGTGACCTTCTGCGACGGCGTTGTCGTCTTCTTCGTGACGCCGCCGAGCAGCGACGCAAACGCATCGCCGCCGGCCTTCTTGGGCGCGCCAATGCCTCCCGGCGACTTCACGGAGCCGGGCGTAGACACGTTCGCCGCGGGCTGCGGGACAGACGTGAAGTAGTTGGGCCCGGCGGCCTGGTAGCCCGTCGGCTTCGGGGGCTGTGAGAAGCTCGCGCCCATCGACGGCTGCGCGGGAGGCGACATCATGCGGTTTGCCGACGGCGCGGGCGACACTGTGGCGAAGAGGTCGTTCAGGTTGTTGTTCTGCACTGCAGACTGGGGCTGCGGTGCGGCAAACTGCGTAGAGGCGCTGATGGTGGATGTCGACGCGGGAGGGGCGATGCCGAACCCGGCTGGCTTCGCAGCAGGCACAGGCGCCGCTGACTGGAAGTCGTCGAAATCGTCGTCGAAGTCGTCGTTGTTTGCCGGGGCTGCGGGCGCCTTGCCTGACGAGCTCGCGACAGGCGCAGGCTCGTCGTCCCAGGCAAGCAGATCGGCGACGGGCTCGGGCGCCTTGGGCTTCGGCGGCTCGGCCTTCTTGGATTCTCGTCTTGTCGATGTCGATGTAGGCTCCTTCCGTCGGGGCGGGCTCGCAACACTATCCGCCTCGTCGTACTCGTCGTATTCGGCGAAGCGGTCGCGCCGTTGCTGTGACTCGGTGAAGCTGGGGTCCTGCCCCCCAAAGCCGCCGCCATCTCCATACACACCGCCAGTGTGACCGCCATACTCGGCCGACTCGCTCCCAAAGCCGCCGTATCTGCCACCGCCGCCGCTGCTGCCGGAGAAGCCGCCGCCGCCCATGCCGCCCTCGACGCCGCCAAACTTGTTGCGGTTTGCGCGCGCCTTCTTGCGCTCGGATCGTATGCGGTCGACGTCGCCCAGCAGCTCCGCCAGCTCCTTGGCCCTGTTGCGGACATTGATGCCCTGGTCCTTTCCGTTCATGTCGATGAAGTGGAACTGCCGGAGCATCTTGAGGAGCGAGACGTGGGAGCGGGCGTCGTCGATGACCCGCTCGGAGCCGTTCTTGACGAGGAACTCCAGCAATTGGAGGGCCTAACCACCATACTGTCAGCTTGGCCAGCGACAACACTCCCGCACGAACCTTGTAGATCTGCCTCCACTCCTCCGACGCCTTCTCCGTGAAGCGCTTGTAGATCATGGGCATGATCTCGTTCAACAGTTGACTGCTGCTGTCAGCGCCGACATGCATGGGTGGTGCGAGGCATACTAGTTGAATGTCGCGTTGGCAATCTCCTGCATGATGGTGGAGGAAGCGCCTGTCATGGTGAGCTGCGTCCGTGGTGACTTCGTATCACATACCCCATGGCTCGTTGTTGGTGGCTTCGCGGACCTTGGCCTCCATCTCGGTGAAGTTCATAACCGCTGCGGCCACGTTAGCAGTGGCCTGGCTGTCGTGTCTGGCTGTTCGCACCATTTTGTGCTTTGCGGAATCCGGCCTTCAGGTCGTAGAGCGTGAGATTGCTCACTTGGTCCTTGAGGCTGTTGAAATCCATGGCGGGCGTGGTTGCGTGGGCGCTCGAGGTGGTGTCGAAGGGGAGGTCGGGTGGCAGTTGGGCGCGACTCGGCTGCGTGCGTCGGGCGTCTGTTTCGACGGGCGAGGCTGCGGCAACTGCTGAGAAACACGGAGACGTGCAGCGAGTGCAGACAGATGTCAATGGCGGACGAGACTCTCAAGGGCGCTCGCTGGTCAGGGAGGCTCGGAGGTGTGCGGTGCGATCGGCGTGTCACGTGACACTGACGCCCACGATGAGCACACGCCGAGGACGAGGCGCGCTAGGGCAAAAGCTGGAGAGCTTTGCTTTAGAGCTCTGTGCATCGGCGCATTCTGATCCCTGGACTCACCCTCGCCACCATCGCCCGCTGTACAATAGCCATCTCTCTTTGGTCCGTTGTATCATAGCTATCGCTCCTGCGTCAATTGCCTTGTAGCCGTCGGCCCTGCATCCTGTAAGTGTAGCCGCCCGTCGTTGCGCCCAGCTTGCCCCCGGCAAGGGCTGCACTGCGCAGCCAGCCTCAAAAAGCTGGTGGCCTCTGGTGGCCTCAATTCGGCGCTGCCGGCCCCGCCCAGCCAGCCGCGGCGTCCAGCGTCGCCAGTGCCAGCGGGCGCAGCAGCGCGCAGAGCTTCACCGCGCCTAAGGATGCATGCTAACTGCTTACAGCGCACCGCACCCCGCGCCCCACCATGTCGACTTCTTCCACGGTCCTCTCGGCCTTCCGCCGCTCCACCGTTAACTCCCTTCGCCTGCAAGCCCCCATCACCAAGCGCTTCTTCTCGCCCTCTGCCGCCAACATGACAATCAAGACCTACTTCGACGTCAACTGGACCGGCCCCGAGGTCACTGTCGACCAGAGCGGCAACGTCACCAAGACCGGCGATGTCAAGGGTGAGCTGCCCCGCCATGCTGCGCCGAGCTCCTGCGGGGAGCTCCTGGGGCCGCGCATTGGAAGCAGCCATTGCTGACACAGCTGCAGAGCAATCCGGCCGCATCACCTTCGAGCTGTTCGACGATGTCGTCCCCAAGACGGCCGAGAACTTCCGCGCCCTCTGCACCGGCGAGAAGGGCTTCGGCTACCAGAACTCCAAGTTCCACCGCGTGATCCCGCAGTTCATGCTGCAGGGCGGCGACTTCACCCGCGGCAACGTATGCAGCGCCCTGCACGCGACGACACACGCTGACAACCACAGGGCACTGGCGGAAAGTCCATCTACGGCGAGAAGTTCAGCGACGAGAACTTCAAGCTGACCCACAACAAGCCCTTCCTCCTGTCCATGGCCAACGCCGGGCCCAACACGTAAGCTTCCATCTCTCCATCCGTTCTTCACCCCCACCCCTTGGTCACCCTTCAACCCAAGCCTCTACCAACCTTGAACACAACCCAACCTTACCCCAATGTTCGCCACCTCACACCTCACCCTCTCAATACCCCGCACAACACCGCTGACCGCCCCAGCAACGGCTCCCAGTTCTTCATCACCACCGTCGTCACATCGTGGCTCGACGGCAAGCACGTCGTCTTCGGCGGTGTTCCCGACGGCGACGTCGAGTCGTACAGGGTCGTCAAGGCGATCGAGGCCTGCGGCAGCGGCAGCGGAGCCATCAAGTACAAGGAGGGCCCGCCCACCATTGTCGGTGCTGGCGAGTTGTAGACGAGTAATGTATAGATGACGGCAATGAAAGGCGTTTTGTTCCAGCGCATGCATCCAGCCATGTCTATTCGGCGATTCTTTCCAACAATGTCTACGAAGCCGTCTCAATGCCGCGACTCAATTGCATCTGCCACAGCCATGCTCCCTTGACGTTTGGCGGTGCGGGAGCTGCCCCAAAATTTATCGCGCCATGGAGGGGCAGCCCAACAACCCCCACCACCCCGCAGTTAGCTGCCGACGTCACCACCGACAACGCCCGAATGACACACGCCCAAACTTCAACAGGCAAGGCTTCCATGCGCCGCGTCTCCACAAAATGTGCCAGCCTCAGAGGCTGTACCTACCTCGTAGGGCGCGATTGACACATTAATTGCGGCATCGCGACATTGACTCACATCAATTGACTCACTGACTCTTGCATTGCTGCTGCACTTCAGCAATTAGTTGTCTTCTGGTTTGGAGAAATCACAGCAGTTCCAGTTTGACCCTCTTCATCCATCACAAGATCGCTACTTCATCCGTGACGGAGTATTCCTGACTCACCTGATTGCTCACAATGGCCCTCCACCCAGCAACCTACGGCATCCACGCCGACGACCGCACGAACATCCTCACCGACGTCGCCCCACCCATCCACACGAGCACTACCTTCCGCTACCCGCGCGACCCGGCAAAGCTCCACCCCGTCCCGGAAGTGGATGGCGAGGTCATCGATCTCAGCACGCCCTTGATCTACTCGCGCCTCGCATCCGCAAACATCAACCGGCTGGAGACCATCCTCACACCGCTGATCTACCCGCGCGCAAAAGAGGAGGAATTCGAATCGCTGGCCAACCATGTCGTGAGCTACAGCAGCGGCCTGAGCGCGTTCCATGGACTACTCGTGCACGTCGTGCCCAAGGTCATCGCCATCAGCGGCGGCTACCACGGCTGCCACGGCGTGCTGGACCTGCACCAGCGCATGCACGGCGTGAAGACGGTCGACCTGCACGCAGACGAGCAAGCCTGGGACGCCAGCGGCATCGGCAAAGGCGACCTGGTGCACCTCGAAACCCCCCTCAACCCCAGCGGCGAGGCCTTCAGCATCCAGAAGTACGCCGAACGTGCCCACGCCCGCGGCGCCCTGCTCAGCGTCGATGCCACCTTCGCGCCCCCCGGCCTGCAGGACCCGTTCCAGTGGGGCGCCGACTTCGTCATGCACTCCGGCACCAAGTACATCGGCGGCCACAGCGACATGTTGTGCGGCATCCTGGCCACCGCCAACTCCCCCGACGGCCTCAACCGCGCACAGGGTCTCCGCGCCGACCGCATCTTCATCGGCGCCGTGCTAGGCAGCCTCGAGGGCTGGCTGGGCGTGCGCAGCCTGCGGACACTGGAGCTGCGCGTGCAGCGCCAGAGCTCGAACGCGGACCGACTGGTTGCGTGGCTCGACGACGCGCTGCACGGGCGCAACGAGGATGCCGCGCTCATCCAGAAGGTGGTGAAGAGCGTCTCGCACGCGTCGCTGCAGAAGGACGACTTTACGTGGCTCAAGCAGCAGATGCCCAACGGCTTCGGGCCCGTGTTTAGTTTCTGCACGCACGAGCCGGCGCAGGCGCGCGCGCTGCCGAGCCACCTGAGGTTGTTCCACCACGCGACGAGTCTGGGTGGTGTGGAGAGTCTGATTGAGTGGCGCCGGATGTCGGATACGCGCGTGGACGAGCGGTTGCTGCGCGTCAGCATCGGGGTGGAGCACTGGGAGGACTTGAAGGAGGATCTGTTGAAGGCGTTCAAGGCGCTGGCGGAGGGGGACGGGGGCGTGGCTGCGGTGAAGGGGACTGCACAGGTTGGGCAGGAGGGCGCGAAGGTCGAAGGCGCGGCAGCGGGGAGTGTATGATTTGCCGTAGTTGGCATAGAGAATCACACACGCACGTCGATGATCGAGATGTTGAACTGAAGCGCCGTTTGCTGCGGCACTCGATCGAGCAGCCTGCATTCTCCCCGCTCTTCACCTCACTTCACTTCCTCACAGACACAAAACTCTTACCTCCACCAACTCAATCGCACATCTCCCAGCCAGCTCACCAACCACCTGTTCAACTTTCTCTACTCCTTCATCGTCGCCAACTCGCCGTATATCCGCTCACATCCTCCACCGCGAAAGTTTGTATCCCCCACCCCTACCCGCTCACTCTCACTGACAACACCCCAGCACAATGGCTTCCTTCATCGACATGTCCTGGAAAGTCGACGAAGACCGCCGTCAACGCGCCCTCGCGGCCTCAAAAACCACAGCAGCCAGACAAACCACCACCGTCTCCGCTGCTCCCTCGTCCCCAGCACTCGACCCGCACAACACCGAGTCCCGGTCCGCACCCGCACCCGCATCCGCCTCGCATACGCACCCAGCGCCGTCGACCGCAACCGCAGCTCAACCTCCCCCCAACCGCGAGCCAGTCCAGAAAGGACTCACCCTCCGCCGCCGCATCCACGAACTCCTGCACCCCTCGGCGCGGCGCAAGCGCGTGCTGGACGAGCACGCGGCGGCGCTGGGGTGGGGGATGTGTTTTGCGCGGCCGGTGGGGGCGCCTGTCGTCTGCGGCGGTGGTGCGGATTGGAACGGAGATAGGGTTGGGGATGGGTGTGGAAATGGGGATGTGTGGTGGGCGGACGGTGACGGTGACGGTGAGGGGGTGCGGGATGAGCGGGAGATGGAGGAGCGTGGGGTCGCGGAGAGGGGGCAAGAGCGGGGGAGGTGAAGACGCAGATTGGCCATGGAGATGAGCGGAACAGCGGATGTGAGAGTCGAAAAGAGGACGGGGGCGGGGGGGGGGGCTTTCATCGGTGGATGGCGGGTGTGGTGCCGATGGAGGTGTTTAAGAAAATGGGCGCGAGGAAGGGCGGGATGGGGTTGGGCCTTGCGATGGTGACGTTGGGGTTTTTAATATAGCGTGAGGATGGAACGGCGCACTGGAATTTACTCTTGGGTTTCGTGACACTTCGGCGTAGCATGGTTCTGGAGTTAGGCAGTGCGGTATGAAGAGACTGTCTTTTGGGGAAACGATATTTCTCCAATCGAGCACTATGATAATACTATAATACCATGGCGATTGCTCTTCGTGTTGTCGATGACGGACCCAAAAGAATGCGATACCAGATTAGGTGAACGCAATTTGTGAATTTCTGTGTAAGTGTTTTGAGCTGACGGAAGAAGAATTAGCTACTGCACAAAGAAACCGATCTCTGTACCAAGTGGCTTTAGAAATGGTCGCATATACCTCTCATTGCTAACCCTAGAACGTGTTCCGAAGGTTTCACGTCTTCGGGCAAACATACTGATAGCATCTCTTCGGAAGTGACACTCTTATGCTAGGTAATTTGGGAGAGACTTCCACAAAGCATCTTGCGTGAGATTCAAGCCGTGGCCTCTCTTGAGGTTCCTGAAGGGACGAATTGACTTGTCTTGTGAGCTCGAGGCTCGAAGTGCACCGGATAAGTATATTCAGTAGACTTCCAACAGAGTAAACGTCCACTTGAGCAAAAAGGTATAGCTGGCCAGTAAATGAGTCAGTTTCAACACTAGCAGAATTGAGGCGAGTGATGTATGCTGAAAGGTGACATTCTCTTACGATGTGCTTGCGTCTCATTGCCATTAGTCTATCTAAATTGACACTTCTTCAACAGAACTCTCCACAAGTACAGGTGGAGCAAGAATTGAGTAAGCATCAGATTGCGAACAGCATATCTATTTGTCGTTCTTCGGTCTACCGCAATCAGATGCAGAACTCTATCAAACCACTGAAACACTTCTAAATGCACATCTCACTTCAGCTCCGTCGCGGTCCCTTTGATAGCCTCTTTCTCTTCCTGCGTGAGCGTAATGCCAAAGAAATCCTTCAGCACCCGCACCCGGTCTGCCTCAGTCTTGCACTCCTCCACGATCCTCGTCTTACCGCCGAGATTCTCCTTCACCACCGCATTAACCAGCATGCGCTTCCCGTAGATCTCCTGATCACCCGAACCATCCTCCTTCTCCCTCCTCAAGAACCTCACCAGCAGCTGCGTCACAGTCTGATGGCTATCGGGACTCGTCCCCGTGAAATGATTGATAACATGAAAATCAGCCTCCATCGCCTCCGTCTCCGAGAACGCATAGAACGCATTCCACGGCTTCTCCGGCCCATTGCGGTACTCGTAGATCCACAGCTTGCTCGCCTCGGTGCGGTGCAGCTGCGTCGGGATCCAGTCGTGCAGCAGCCGGACCTCCTGGGCGCCCAGGTTGACCTGCGGCTGGTTGTGCACGAGCGGCATCGGCCTCGTGGGCCCGTCGCCGCCGAACCCGACGTCCATGGTCCACACCTGCCCGTCGGACAGCGTGAGGATGTTCACCAGGTGGATCCAGCCCGGGAACGCGCCGGTGGGGACCGAGTCGATGCGCGGCCGTGTGCGCGCGGGGCCCAGGTACACGGGGTACTTGAGGAAGCGCAGGACGTGGTTCAGCAGGACGTGGTTGCCCATGCAGTAGCTGCCGCGGCCGCGGGCTTGGGTGACGACCTTGTCGAAGTTGCCGAGGGGGGTGATGTCGACGCGGTGTGTGGGGTCGTAGTGCAGCCATAGATTGTCGTAGGGGACGGCTGCGATCATGTGCACATGCAGTTGGGTCAGGAAGTGGATGTCCTTTGCCGGGTCTTCCAGTGGGCGGTGCTGGCGCAGGCTGGCTGGGAAGCCAATGTAGTCATAAAAGGCATCGATGTGAGTTTGGCTGAAGGCAGATGGGGCAGCCATGATGAGGAGGTGGGGTTTTCAATTGATGTGGAGGCAGAGTACTGTTCAATTGATCTGGAGGGAAGGTACTATTCAATTGATGGTAAGAGAGCGAATTAGTAGGTCATATATCAACATCTGAATGACGAATCGAAGGGTGAGTCAAGTGCAACATTTTCAAGCACGTTATCGGCCGCGGTGTTGGATTGGTGTGTTGCATCGAGTAGACGCCGTAACCAGAGGGTCGCCGTATGACCCGGCTCACACAGCCATCATCGTGTGAACAGTCTCAATACCAGAATAACAATCATGTTGAGCTCTATTCGCAACCTTAGAAGTGTGGTGTTGACGTTCTGAGCGCCTTCCCAAAGTGGGGCTGGAAGGCGCTAGAGTCCGCTTTCGGCAACGCGTCATTCGCAAGCGAAGTGCACCTTGAATTTTGGCTGCCCTCTTGGACGAACTTTGACAACAGCGACGCTGCACTGAATTCCCGCCCTCCAACTAACCACCACACACAGTCAAAATGGCATCCAAGCGCGGGTATGTCACTAAGCGCATCACCTACGCACGAACATAGCTAACAGGCGCAGTCGTGGTTCCTCCGGAAACAAGCTGAGGATGACCCTCGGTCTTCCTGTGTACGTCCAGCCCGCGCGATGGCTCTCGAGCTCCTCCGAAGAACGAAGCCGATCGTAGTGCAATGTGTGGAACGCAGGCTAATGGGAAACAGCGGCGCGGTCATGAACTGCTGCGACAACTCCGGTGCCCGCAACCTGTACATCATCTCCGTCAAGGGTATTGGTGCGCGTCTCAACCGCCTGCCCGCAGGTGGCTGCGGTGACATGGTCATGGCCACCGTCAAGAAGGGAAAGCCTGAGCTCAGGAAGAAGGTCATGCCCGCGGTCATTGTCCGCCAGAGCAAGCCCTGGAGGCGAGGTGACGGTGTCTTCCTCTACTTCGAGGACAACGCCGGTGTCATCGTCAACCCCAAGGGCGAGATGAAGGGCTCTGCCATCACTGGCCCCGTCGCCAAGGAGGCTGCTGAGCTGTGGCCCGTACGTTGCGCTCTCCGTGGACGAAGAATTCGGCTAACCTGTTCTAGCGTATCGCGTCGAACTCCGGTGTCGTCATGTAAAGAGTCTTTTTTCTGCTTCTCCAACATTTACGGGTCTACGGGAACGGCGAAAATGCATTTACGGGTGGAAGGATTGGAGGTAGACATCCATGCAACAGCCAGCAATGGACGTCCTGCTCAATACCAGTCAAATGAAGAACACGATGAACACCACACCGCGCCCGTGAAACGACTGTGAAGGACTGCAGATGGAATTATTGCCGAGACATGCTTATTTGATTTATAGGCACTACTATATCGACATCTAGCACGAAGTACGATCGCACGCCAACAGCGCCACATCGTCCTCCTCCACAACATCCTGCGCCCACCTAGCGACCACCATCGACTCCTCGTCGCGCTTGCGACCGCCCGAAAACTGCAGGTTCTCGTTTCCGACAACACCAGTGGTAACCTGCCCGTTGCTCGGCGCGCCAATGCCAGTCACAATGCCATTGCCACCCTGCACGACATTCGAGTAGCTTGTCAGCATGGTCTGCACCCCGGACACGAAGTCCTGCCCGTCGAACGCGCAATGTCCACCCTGTGGCGTGTTGTCCACGGTCTGCAGCTGATTGACCTGAGCCGCGCTCAAGCCCTGACTAGCCGCAATCTGCTCGTACGCGGTGACAGACTGCGGGATGCTGCCTTGTAGCAGTTGTAGCTCCGACTGCGTGGACTGGAAGTGAATCCTCGTGCTCGCCACGGCTGCGGGGTCTACTACCGCCACTTGAGGTGGCATGCCGCCGCAGTTCAGCTCTACTGCGCTGGGCGCGTAGTTCTGAATCTGCGCGGGCACGAAGAAGCCGGACATGAGCAGACTGCCGCCGCTGACGCCGCTGAACACCATAGCGGACATGTTGACGGCCACGCGCTGCGGCATCTCATTCTGGATGAAGTCGTTGACCGCCTGCGCGTGGGCCACGCCGTCGGTGCGCTGCAGGCCGCTGCCGCCGCCCCAGAAGAGGTTTGGGTCTGGGGCCAACAGCGCGACACCCATGGTGTTGGCCTGTACGTTCTGGTTGGGCATGTCGAAGAACGACTGGCCGCCGTCACCATGCAGCAGAACGTTCGCCCCCATAGTTCCGTTCCCACTTGTCGCCGCTGCGCCTGGCACCCCCGACGCAGGCAAGAACTGGTCCGCTGGCGCCGCAATCTTGAATCGGATAGGTAGGCCGCTACTGTTGTTAGCCTCGCTCCCCCGTAGTCTCTCAATGCACTTACTTCACCATCACCATATCGTCCAAGATCATGCTCCCGTCCTGAGCCTGCGTGATGCCCATCGGCACCTTCGCCGCCTGCTGCTGCGCCGTCTGCTTCTGCTGCTGACCGCCCCTATTGCGCTGAGGCGAGGGCGCCGCCGCCGCGAGCCCCAGCAACGAGAGGTAAACGAGCTTATACATAACCAAATATGTACTATCGACTCCGGTATTACAGTACTGAAAAATTAACTTCAACTCGGCCGGCCGGTAAGAGAATCGAAAGCGGAGAAAACGTAGACGCGAAAAGTCCTGCACAGCAGTTCTTACCCACCCCCCAAGCAGCAGAACCACACCTTACATACCTCTCCCCGCCCTCTGTGCGCCCGCTGCCCGGTGGGGTGAGCGCGCGTTAATCAAACGCGCGCATGTAGCCAAGTCACCGCCCTGCGCATCGCAGAGGCTTGACTAGCACGTGTAGAGCTTGACGGCTGCGGCGCGAGCTGCCTTGTTGGCTGTGCGCGTTTGGGGTCGTGGGTCCTGAGGCTTGTGTGGTTTGGGGGTGTTTGGGGTGTGTTTCGAGCCGAGGCTTGGCGGATTTCGGGGGGGGGGGGGGGGGTAGGATAGCTTGGGGTTTGATTGAGGGGTTATTCTTGGGGTCGGAGGTGCGATTGAGCAGGAGATGGGTGCGGATGCGTGTTGGTTGGAGTGTGGGTAGTCGTCGTGATAGCTGGAACCCTATGGAGATTTGTTGATGAGCGAGGTCACGAGTAAGCCGAATCATTCGGATTCGCAATCGCTCTCGTTTCAACAAAGACAGTTAATTACAAGCTGTTGCTACGAAATGTAGGTTAGGCGCTGCGAAGGAGAGGGTGAAAGCCCTTGCCCGTAGCTTGCACTGTCATCAACAAACAGACACTAGTAGTGTTGACGGTGAAGCTATATGCGAGATGGTATGAGGCTCAACACAAACTGTGTGTATCAGCTGGAGGAATTAAACAATTGCACGTGGCGCAGAGTGGGAGGTTCCCGAGGTCGGGCCGCGTAGCATCAACGTCAATTTAAGCCCCAGTAGGACAGAGCTATGTAAAGCACCTACCCAGGTAGTTACGTGTATCGCACGTGCGCTATGACTCTCGTTTGCTGCCCCATCTACAAATTCTAGCAGCGCCACTCTCCTTTCACGATACGGTACACGACAAAGTTCAGCCGCAACGGTCTCTGTTCACGACTTGATCATAGCTCTGCCACATGGTCTGCGGGCCCCGCCTTGGCGGCAGCGGCCCCGTAGAGCTTGTCGTTGCAAAACGCGCGGCACGGCGTACGCACTCGAGATTATCCGTATACCATTGAGACTAACTGCTATCGTACGTGAAATCTGATAAGCACACACTCCACTTGCTGTGATCCAGAGCGTGAGTGGGGACCACATGGTAGTCTTATAGGGTTTGTACTCCGACAGACTCATCACTGAACGCGTACGACGAAGTTTCTTTGAACACCCCTGCGGAAACTGCAGGCTCACGCAGTATCCCCATTGCTCCGTTTCCACTCCGAGTCATCGAGTCTTGGCCACCTGCTCTAAAGGGGCGGCATTGACGGCGCCACAGCCCTCAGAACAACGGGCTTTTGGCCGAGGCTGGTTTCGTTCCAGTACAGTCGGTGGACACGCTCGCTAACCTGCAGGGCATAGAAGCTCGACTCGAGCGTTCCAGTCTCTCCGATCAAGACAGCAGTCGATCCGTAGAAGGAGAAACCAGTCTTGATAGCACCATCAGTAGCGTTATTGTTCGAGAGGAATCCAACGCGTTTGTCGGAGGTGGTGTTGTCTGGCAGATAAAAGACCGTGTCGGCCCAATTGGCCGTATTGGCATCAGGCAAGAGCGTAGTGTTGGGGTTTCCAATCCACAAGCTAGTCATATTGCCGGTGCCAAGAGAGACTGCAGGAGCTCAGGGTCTGCTATGATCAGATTGAAACAAGGAGAAAACTCACAGTCGACAGTCGCCGCATTGCTGATGTTGGACTGCGCGGCCTCGCCGATATACGCATAACCTGATTTTGTCAGTGGTGCCTCCTGGGAAGAAGGCTTCACCTACCGTCTGCATAGAACAGAGGGAAACCACCAAACCCCTCTCCATACCCATACAATCCGAAGTGAGAGGGAACCTCACGCTTCTTTGCTCCAAGCGCAAGGAAGGGCAGTGTGCAAAGGACCAAAATGCGAGGAACAACCATTCTGTCGTTCTTTACTGTAATGAACGGATAAGATGCGAGCAGCACTTGAGGATTGGTTAAATGAAGGTAGTGAGTTGCTTGATGCGGCAAGATCTGAATGAAAGTGGTGGCTCGGAACAGCGATGATTGTGCTTTTATCTTCGTAAATCAGATCCTTCGGCTGACAATGCTCATGTCCTACGCAATCAGTCCTCGTCACCTCTCCCGACTTCCCGACTCGTTTGCGGCCTAGCTGTCGCTGTTCATGGGGTTGTTCTAACTCAAAATTGGATTGTGTTACGCAGCGCCAAGCATCGTGCCTGTGCCTGATAACCCCAGCTGCTTTTTACCACCTGTTAGGTTACATCGCAGTGCTCAATGTAAAGGATTTGGTCGGCGTACCTGCACCAGCCACAACAGTCGTCGTCTACCATACATGGGCACCCTTGCTTTCACGGCATCCTCCGGTGATATTGTGGACTGAGTCAGGGGCCTTTGGCGCTTCGTCCCCCAAGAAAGGCTTACAATGCTTACTTCTATTGCGTGTCCAATGCATGAGGGAGTATGGCTTAGATTGAGAGTACTTTGCCGCGTCATGTCGTCTCAATACGTACCAGGCTAAGTGGCAGCATTGCTGAAAAGAGAACAAAGTCTATTTCCGGATTCGACCGAAACAAGTGGGTTCGATAGAGGAAGAGATGTACGTGCAACGATAGTGAGCGATACAGAAGCAGTGGTAGTGATAGAGAAATGCATAAAGGGTTGCGGTTCTGTTGTAGTTCCTTCACATCATCACACTCATTCCGATCATCAACTCAGTTGACTACATTCTTTCAAGAGTCGTTCACTATGTCGTTTCGTCATCTCTTTACTGCTGCAGCTCTGCTCAGCGCAGCGCAGGCTCACCCTTCCACCTCGCACCACTCACACCCTCATCTTCTGTCAAGCAGAGATGTTTGCTCTGGAAACACTGCGTCCACTCGTTCAGAGTGGTGCGATTACTCAGTTGATACTGATTACCTCACTGGTAAGTCGAACCAGCATACAGTAGCAACCATATCATCGCTAATATTCTTCGACAGAGGTTCCCGACACTGGAGTCACCAAGGAGTACTGGTTGACTCTTGATGAGGTAACTGTAGCTCCCGACGGTGTCTCGCGCTCGGCAATGACTGTCAATGGGTAAGTTTACGCACCACGATACAATATGTATGTAAAGCTGACGAACTCTCAGGACCATCCCTGGCCCAACTCTGTTTGCAGATTGGGGTGACACAGTCACAGTCCACGTCAAAAACAACCTGGTTAATTCTCAGAATGGCACCAGTCTTCATTGGCATGGCATTCGTCAAAATTACACCAATGATCAAGACGGCGTTGTGTCAATCACGCAATGTGCCACTGCCCCTGACGATACCACCACATACACATGGCGTGCAACTCAGTACGGCAGCACCTGGTATCATTCTCACTTTGCACTCCAGGCCTGGCAAGGCATCTTTGGTGGTCTTGTCATCAACGGTCCTGCTACAGCCAACTACGACGAAGATCTGGGTATGCTCTTCTTGTTTGACTGGGATCACCAGGTATGCTTCTCTACGTGCGTGTTTTGACATTATCCTGTAAGCTAACTGTATCAGACCGTCGACGAGCTTTATCCCGAAGCAGAAAGCTCTGGACCTCCGGAGCTCGATAACGCCCTGATTAATGGCACGAACATATTCGAAGACGGTGGTTACCGTTTCAACACCTCTTTTGTCTCCGGCACCTCGTACCGCATACGACTTGTCAACACTGCTATTGATACGCACTTCAAGTTCATGATCGACAACCACACCATGACAGTCATCGCTGCCGATCTTGTTCCAATCACACCTTATGAAACCACTGTTCTCAGCATCGGCATGGCTCAACGTTACGATATCATTGTCACTGCAGACCAAGCCAGTGTTGCAGACAACTTCTGGCTGCGCGCCATTCCTCAATCCGCGTGCTCAGAGAACAGCAATTCGGATAACGTTCGCGGAATCATCTATTACGGCGACTCCCCTTCAACACCAACCACTGAAGCTTACTCCTACGACGACAACTGCGACGATGAGACAGACAACCTCGTGCCCCATGTCAGCAAGACCGTTGGGACCGAATCGAGTACCAACTTGGAGGTTGCAACAGTCGGTTTCAACTCCGAGAGCCTATTCCGCTGGTACCTGAACAGCACTACGATGATTGTGGAGTGGGGATACCCAACGCTCGAGCAGATCGTGACCGGCAACACATCCTACGCGACATCGAACGCCGTTCTGGAGTTGCCTGACGCTAATGTATGGACATATCTGGTCATCCAGACGACGCTTCCCGTGACTCACCCAATACATCTGCACGGCCACGACTTCTTCGTCCTCGCGCAGGGCACGGGAACTTATGATTCATCCGTATCGCTTAAGCTGGATAACCCGATTCGCAGAGACACGGCCATGTTGCCTGCCAGTGGTTACTTGGTCCTCGGCTTCGAGACTGATAACCCCGGCGCGTGGCTCATGCATTGCCACATCGGCTGGCACACGACTGAAGGCTTTGCGCTGCAGTTCATTGAGCGGATTGATGAGATTGCGGGAATCACGAACCAGACGCGGTTGGAAGAGACCTGCGACAACTGGAACAGCCACGCGACGACCGCGCAGATTGAACAGACTGACTCTGGTGTGTAAGTTGGATATCAGGACTGTGTTGTGGGTCAGCGGAGTTTCCAGCATGTTCTTGGAGCGATGTTGCGAGCTTGTGTTTTGGCGTTGTATCTCATTCAATCTACACTCTTTCCTTCGGCCTAGCAAACAATGACAATCTTCTCTTGCACTTGCTCTCACAATTGTCGAATTCTTTCATTGCGCAGTTTGTTGATCTCGTATGCGCAAGACAGCTGCATTGAGCTTGTCAAACTATAGCGATGCTTTGCAGCGGCTTTCAACTGACCTGAGAGTTTTGTCAGTCTTGCGCTACTTAGGGTTCTTCACTCTAGAAGACCCTGATACCGCCACGCTTCCTGAAATGTATATCGCCTTCTCTTCTCCTCTACTCTACACCTCAACTTCACAAGGAGGCCCAAACTGGAGACTGACTGTGTTACGAACCTTATCGTTGTACACCATGTCCAACCAGCAACAACATAATGTTCGTCCGCCGCACGCTCAGCAAGGCCAGCGCAACGACCGTCCAGTTCAGAACCCAGCTTTGAGTGCGCAGCGCCTTCCTCCAGCTCACCAACCGATACCAAGCGTCACCTGGAATCCTCACCAGCAGGTTGCGAACGACCTGCAGAACTGGGCAGGCCAAACTCTGGTACCCTTCCTTCGGTCAAGGTTTACAGCTATCGACCAGAACACAGGCCGTGTGTACACCAGCCATAACTACGACCCAGACATTAACAGGGCAATCCGGTGGTCGGAGCACATCGTGAGTAATCACCGGTCCTCACCTTAGATCTGACTGACTTTCGATCGAGGATGCGTTCGACAAGCACCCAAATCTGATGGACGAACTGGTGTTGTATCTCGCAAGACCCGAGCAGGCTGATAAAACCATGTCGAGCATCGCTCAAGACCGCCGGCTGATTACAATCTTGCTCTACCGCCACTATCAGCGGCATGGTGGACTGGTTCTCCCGCCGACTGCTGATGCGCGACAAGCGATAGATTACCACGCGAGTGCAATCGAGATAGCTTGCCAGCAAGGCGTACAGAAGCGGCATCTTCCACGAGTGGTATTTCCTAATTGGTGAGCCCAACGCCCAAGCTCCTTGGTTGCTGTTGCTGACATCGGAGGCAGGACGTTTGGTACGGAGAGCGTTTCAACTCTTGGTAACTTCGCAGATCTCACTGCTCGAGCTCGAGGAACACCGCAAGGTAGAAGCGACTCCAACGTTGATACCTCCGGCAATGTCAAAGGCTATCGTGACGTTAGGTCAGGTGGCGCAGGCTTTGTTGGCGAGAAGAAACCGAGTCGCTTCTTTGGCAACCTGGCGTAGTCCTGACGGTAGTGATTGCTCACCTACGTGAGTGATCAGTCTCACTGGCATGGTGGTGACGTCGAGCTGAAGCGTTGCGTCGGAAGGTCATTTCTCTAGACCGGAGCCTGAACGCCGCCATGCCTGTTGGCACTTCAGCAGAGTTATCTTATGACTGCTCAGCACAGTTATAGAAACCAAGTCTTTCTGTCAACGTGCCTTCGACCTGCTTATCTATTCCGTGATGCGCAGCTACTTTGCGCCCCAAGGTGTGATGAGCGCCTGTATCGTAAAGCTCTATGTCCTACTCACACGAGTGAAGATTGCGAGTCGTTTCGTGATCGCCAACAGCAGGGACCAATCGCCGGAACGTGTCCCATTACCCGCACCTGGGCGAGCCGAGAGGGTGGTCCAATGTGGTCGATCATGCTATACTCTACGATGCCTGTTCGCCTGGAGGTATCCAAGGACTTGCTTATCAGTAATGTACGGTCGCTAATGGGTGGACGAGGAGTCTCTTGACATCTGCACCGTTGAGTGCCATTGCCACCTTTGTCAGACTGTGTGTAGATAACGGGACAGGAGAGGTTTGCATCGGCTTTTCTGCGACGGATGCAGACGATCTAGTTAATCGCAGCAGACCCAAAATTCACAGCGCGCCTAATGGTGGTGCGATACAACACATTCGAGATAAGACGGTCTGGTCCTAGGTAGCAAATACGAAGTCCAAGACTTGGCTGAAGGCGTTTACCACCATTGAGCAGCGATTCTGTGGTGGCGGGCATGACTTTCGGGCTATGCGACTCTTTCGGCGTACCAAGAGGTCCTAGAAGCAGCTCACGAGGATCCTCTGCGTGAGTGTCCGGTCGGCACATTCGGCACTGATCAGCCGTATCAGCAGCGGCAGTAGCAGGAACGCCCTGGCACAAGGCTTCAATGCATCGCCAAGGTCGCCATTTGCATTCGTGTAATCATGTTTACGCCGCCGAGTAGCTGTAGATACAGGCGGGTGATGTGAGAGAGCCATGGCGCGTCTAGGCCGCTGTGCATCAAGAGGAAGGATTCCACCCTGGGAAACCTGCTCATGCCTGGCGGATCGATGCAGTGTACAGAGAAGCTCATGGCTAATCCTTCTCTTGGTGGCTTATTTTTATTGGCAATTGATTGGTCTGCATAGTGGGTCTTGCATACGACAGATGTGTTTATGAATCGTTCGAAGCATCCCCCGTCGGGACTCAGGTGAGATGACTGTGGACCAAACAGCTCGAAGGAACGATAGAACATATGATCACAACAGTGACCCCCCGGAGTGTGTAATACTATCGTTGCGCATCAAGGAGGTAGATGTCGGAGGACGTGCAAAGCACGGTCTGATGGACGAGACTGTCGTGCACTCGATCTTCCCCGCAAAAGGACGCGATGCGGCCAGTGCACGCCGTACATAGCGCGAAAACCCTGCCCACAACTCTACATTGCATTAACAGCGACCGCTTCCAGCTATCATTCCACACATTGGACCAAAGAAGCTTGCGACAATGGTACAGTAGCTTTAGTTATCTACAATTGCATGGTTCTATCTCGAAGAGCTCCCGGCAGTCTCAGCTGCGTGAACATGAAAGCCAAAGAAAGGACACGGAATCGCCAGAACACCATCATTTTACCTTCATCAACGCCGTCTGATGTGCCGTAACCATTATTATACAGCACCCACTCTCGTGATGGAACCCTGTTATCCTGCAACCTCGGTACCAAGCCCTTGGCTACCATCGCCCGCGGCTTGATTAGGAAGTTCGTTGTTACGACACCTTGGCAGGCCTGGGCACTCTCTCGCCGCTGGAGGGAAGCTTCCACCAGCTTATCTTTTCCATCTTAGCATGGGCTTGGAGACTCTTTTTCGAACGTTCTAACGACAGATCGTGGCAACATCGCTGCATGGATTGGCGTTTGGCTTTCATTCTCTCCTCCCTTTCTCGTCGTAAGCCCGGGGGCCTCAACAAGCTAGGCTTGACCCACGGTCTTGGGTGTCTTGAGAACCGCGCTTAGCAACGGTGTCGAACCAAAGCAACCCGTTTGCGATGCTTTGATTGCATGAGGCGCAATTTCAATGTCTGGTGTACCTCGTTAGAGTAAGTGGCCGGTGATAACAGGCCAGTGCAGCAAATGGTTCGCATCTGAGAGGTGGGGACCTTCCTGTGTCGCGTGTAGCATCCTGGTGTAACTCCGGACTGCTGTACTGGCCTGGACCGGCGCATAACGTCTATATGAACACAGGCGTCGCCAACCTCGACCGCCAGGAACAAGTCGTGGAGCTTTTCTCGTCTTCACCTCCTCGTGCACAAGGTTCAGCCGAGCTCAAGTAGCACGCCATTGCGCGCCTTCTTGTACTTCCCCACCCACCACTGGTCGACATCCACGATGGCCGCCATTAACACCAACACCAAGGCTAGCCTTGAGATCACCAAGGGCGCAACTGTTTTCGAGCCAATCCCGCTCGATGTCAGCGAGTCCAACTCGGTTCACGATGAGGATGAGAGGCTGCTTGGTCCTTTCCCCACAGAAGAGGAGTGGGCCACGCTTCCTCGTGTAGCTGGTCGCATCCCATGGACGGCATGGACTGTTGCCGCTGTCGAGTTTGTCGAGCGCTTCTCGTACTACGGAACGTCCGCTGTCTTTGTCAACTTCATCCAGAAGAAGCTTCCCCCGGGTAGCAAGACTGGTGCTGGTTTCCTCAAGAAGCCCGGTTCTGGCGCGCTCAACATGGGACAGCGGGCTTCAACTGGTATGACAACTTGTAAGTATTCCCGGAGATTGTTAGTGAATGACTGCTAAGCCATTAAAAGTCAACCAGTTCTGGTCTTACTTCACGCCACTGTTCGGTGCCTGGATTGCCGACGAGTACTGGGGTCGTTACAAGACCATTCAGGTGAGTTTGTTGCCTCGTTGACGGTCGGTGTGTAAACTATGTGCTAACCTACATATAGTGGGCCAACATCATTTCGATCATTGGTCACATCATCTTGATCTTCTCCGCTATTCCAGCTGTCATCGTCAAGCCCAATGCCGCCATGGGTATCTTTGCCGTTGGTCTCGTCGTCATGGGAATTGGTACCGGTGGTTTCAAGTCCAACATCTCGCCCCTCATCGCCGAACAGTACAAGAACCAAAAGGCATACGTGCGCACCAGAAAGGATGGTAAGAAGGAGATTGTGGATCCCGCTACAACGACCGCGCGAATCTACATCTACTTCTACTTGCTCATCAACGCTGGATCCCTTACTGGATCACTCGCCATGGTCTACTCGGAGCACTTTGTTGGTTTCTGGCTGAGTTTCACCCTGCCGACTATCTGCTACCTTCTGTGCCCCTTTATCCTCTTGTATTTCAAGAAGACATACAAGCTCACGCCACCTACCGGCTCTGTCATGGGCAAGGCGTGGAAGCTTATCCGCTACGCGAGCAAGAGGAGCGACCGCAAGAACGTTCTCAAGGATCCTCTTTTCTGGGACCGCATCAAGCCGAGCGCGCTTGCAGCTCGTGGTGAGGTCCTTCCGGCCTTCATGACCTTCGATGATGCGTGGGTTGACGAGGTCCGTCGCGGTGTTCTTGCCTGCAAGGTTTTCCTTTGGTACCCCCTCTACTGGTATGTCCATTTCGACCCTCACATTCACAAAGACAGTTCGACTAACAACAGTGTAGGCTTGCTTACAACCAAATGATGAACAACCTCGTTTCTCAAGCCGGAACGATGAACTTGGGCAGCACACCGAACGACATCGTTGCCAAGCTGAACCCGATCTTCATTGTCATCGTCATCCCGATCATGGACTTCATTGTTTACCCGGCTCTTCGCAAGGCTGGTGTTGTTCTCTCGCCCATCAAGAAAATCACCGCTGGATTTGCACTCAGCTCTATGGCCATGGTTTCAGCTTGTGTGACCCAATACTACATCTACAAGATGAGCCCCTGCGGCAACCAGATCAACAAGCTCACCAAGGCTGGTAGGGACTGCAGTGCCGACATCTCGGTCTGGGTCCAAGTCTTCCCTTACGGTCTGGTGGGCATGTCTGAGGTGCTTGCCTCAATCACCAAGCTGGAGTACGCGTATACTAAGGCCCCCGCCAACATGAAGTCTACCATCCAGGCTATCGCTCTCTCTACATCCGCGGTCTCTGCTGCTCTTGGTCAAGCTCTCGTCGCTTTGTCTGACGATCCCCTTCTTGTCTGGAACTACGGGTCCGTGGCTATCGTTGCTGCTATCGGTGGTATTGGTTTCTACTTCACCTTCCGCAACGCTGATAAGGAGGAAGACGCACTCAACAACCTTAAGGAGAGTGAATACCTTGGTGGTCGCGGGCAGGGCGATGCTGAGAGCATCTCTGTCCACAGCGTCAGGGATGAGAAGAACGAGAAGCTCTAAGCTTGTCTTCCACGAGTGGACAGTGGCTGTTAATGACCGACGCAAGATTATACCCAGTGCGTAGATGAATGATACCTGATTGAACAAAAGTGCCCCAATGACTTGATAAGTACACATTGTTTGACTCGTATTGCACTCAGAGAGAGGGGTGTGGGATCCGCAAACAAGGAAACATTGTGCTCTGCAAGCACCTTCGCTTCAATGTCATCATATCTGGACGGGTAAAAGATGACGAGTCGAAATTTCCCAGGGTCTCCTAAAGCCTACAGGATTGATTCGATAAAAAAGTCTCCGGGATCGCACGGGGATTTTCGCAGAGCTGACACCCTAGGTCAGCTTATTGAGACAATCTATTGGTGCCCTCCAAGCATGCCATGGTCTTTTCGCTGCACTGGCTATGGCACCTGCCGCAACGATAATGTTCTCGGGTTATTGCTGCAGCTATTCTCTAGGCTTGTCAGCATAGCTACTATCGATATGCGCCCAGAACCTCAGCCTCATGCGCACAGGATACTGCTAAATACCAGCAGTGCCCTCTAGCTATGTACCAACACACTCCGTACCATCACAATGATTGCGAGTCAGATTCTACCTTCTTTCCTGCTGGCTGTGAGCTCTGTTGCCCGCGCTCAAGCTCATGACACTGTTTCGCTTCGTAGCAACGACACCGTTCCCATTTGGAACTCAAGTTACGACTACATCGTTGTAGGTGGAGGTGCATCGGGTCTAATCGTATCCGAGAGACTTGCGGAGACAGGCAAGTCGGTCCTTGTACTGGAACGAGGTGGACCTTCTCTGTTCTCATCAGGTGGCGAGCTCTTTACATCTTGGAACCGAACTCTCACTCTCTACGATGTGCCTGGAATATTCTATACTATGGCAACTAGAACAGAGACCCTAAAGCTCTGTACCGATGTTCCTCAAGGTGCTATAGCAGGCTGCATACTTGGTGGGGGGACTGCAGTTAACAGTATGCAATTTGTCCGGCCACCCAGCTTCGATTTTGACAAGTGGCCCGTCGGCTGGCAATGGTCCGATGTAGAGCAGTCGGCCGCACGCCAGTACGAACGAAACCCTGGATCTACCACTCCGTCTGCCGATGGGAAGCACTACGACAATGGTGTTTGGGATGTCACTTCCAGTTTCTTCGCTAATGGTGGTTACACTCAGGTGGATACCAATGAAGATCCAGACAAGAAGTACAAGGCTTACTCATATCCGGCTCTCAATACCGAGGGAGGGTTTCGCGCAGGACCTGTTCGTACGTACTTGCCGCTCGCGGAGAGGTTTCCGAATTTCAAGCTTCAGTTGCACACGAAAGTCGTACGTACAGTGCGGACTAAATCGAAAATAACCGGCGTCGAAGTGGAAGATACCACCGGCAAGCGCTCGATAGTCAACATCAATCCAGGTGGAAAGGTGATTCTTGCCGCTGGAGCTTTGTCGAGTCCTCGTATCCTCTTTAACTCAGGTATTGGGCCAGTAGATCAAATCAACATAGTGAAGAACGGCTCCGCTAAGGTGACCCTTCGGAAAGAGAGGACTGGATTGAATCGCCGGTCGGCTTCGTTCAAGACCACACGATAGTTATTGTCACTTTCAATGCTCCAGGGGGCACGAACGTACTAAACCAGACAGAATTCACCAATCCCAGTCAGGAATTGCTTGACCTCTATGCCAGCGGTTCGGGTCCTCTTGCTCAGTCTTGGAATCGCTTAATGTCCTACTCTACAGTCACAAACGAGGACGGCCACAAAACACTTTGGCAGGGTCATGCAATGGGAGTGTTGAATAACACAGTCCAATTTATGGTGGCCATTACCCACAACTCCACTTCAACCGGAACTCTGGGAATCACGTCTGAAGGGAACACAGAGTGGATTCAGAGTCCGTACCTGAAGTCAGCATCCGACAAAGAAGCCATGACAAGAGCACTTGATGAGCTGCTAGCTATTAGTCGCCTGCCTAATAGTACCCTGGCGTATGGGGGCCCTTTAAATTCCACTGGCGCGTCGGTTCTTGAAGTTGCGATGAGTGGCACAGATCCAAATACTACAATGATCCCTGGACAACATATGATCGGCACAACAATCATGGGTACCGATGATGGGACCAAGAATGGAAGCAGTGTGGTGGATACGAACTGCAAGGTATATGGCACAGGTACGGTCGACGTCCAAGACCTTACACATTTCGTTAACGTTCTAGCAGACAATCTGTTTATCGTCGATGCTGGCATGCATGTTGATCTGCCGACAGGTAATACGCAAGCTATTGTCATGGTAGCAGCTGAACACGCTGCCCAGAAGATTATTGCACTTGATGGTGCAACAAATGGCACAGTGAAACGCGTACCATTGAAGTACTAGTATACCAGCACGGCCGGAAGAGGTCTGACCGTGTGGGTGGTCTAGACGGACGATCCAATGAAAATTCAAACCACCGTTGAAAATTAATACACTGTGCGTTTCTTAGCATGCATGAGCTATGAGATCTGCTGCTAGGATGAACGTCCTTTAGAGATGAGCGACAGGTTTACTCATGGGTCATGTTAAGCAGCCGATCGAGACGGAAGCGGGAGGCGTCGGATAGTCTAGTAAAAGCTTGATAGCAACAAGCAATGTGGTATAGACCCCGTAATTGTCGAGTAAGAAGCGTATTTCTTGTGGAGCTGTTGCTTGAGCTGGGGTCGTGCTGTCTAGCGTTTGGCGGTCGCGTTCACCTCACGTCGCGCATCGCTCAGCTCCTGCCCACGATATCCACAACTGAAGTCCTTAGGTCTCTGCTCATCTGGAAACTACTTGGATTCCTGCTTACACATGCGTACCAACGCTCAAGTTGCCAGCAAAGATGTGCGGCAGCTCTTCCTAAGCGATGAAAGGCTCGGAAACTCAATGGTGGGGGCAGGCACCGACGTCATCATACCGCCGGAACAACACGAGCGACACACCATGGCAGGCTTCATAGTTCAACCATGCGGAAAAATGCGGCCACTAGGAAAAGAGATTCTCCTTGTTATCTCCAATGCGCTGGCATGACTGGCAGAGCGACTTCCTCCTCCTGCCTCCTCCCTCCGCTCACCACTCGTGAAGCGCTGCATTCTGGTTACCTAGGTATTCATTGAGTAGCTGCAAACATGGCTTCGAATTCAAGCCAACAAACCAAGAATGAGAAGTTTGGTCACCTGCCTCTCTCTACTTCCGGACCTCAGAAGACCACTCTGACAGTGAGTATTGAGGATTGATGACCGTAGACGGCGGAGCAGCCGCTGATACGTACAACAAGGGAAATGCTCTTCTTAGAACTCCATACTTCAACAAGGGCACCGCCTTTACATCCGAGGAGCGCGCAACGTTTCAGCTGCATGGACTTATACCCGACAATGTCCAGACTCTCGACGGGCAAGTACGGCGCGCATACGAGCAATACAAGTCACGGCCCAGTGATATCGCAAAGAACACCTTCATGACGAGTCTGAAGGAGCAGAATGAAGTTCTGTACTACAGGTTGATCCTCGATCACCTCAAAGAGATGTTCTCGATCATCTATACACCAACCGAGGGTGAAGCCATTGCCAACTATTCGAGGCTCTTTAGGAGAGCGGAGGGCTGCTTCCTCAACATTGGCGACGTGGATCGAGTTGAAAATGACATTAGGCAATGGGGTAATCCCGAGGACATTGATCTCATTGTGGTCAGTGATGGCCAGCAGATCTTGGGTATTGGGGACCAGGGTGTTGGCGCTATCCTTATCAGTGTCGCTAAACTGGTCATCTACACATTGTGCGCCGGTATACATCCGTCGCGCACACTACCTGTAGTACTAGACTGCGGTACAGATGTAAGTATGACAATTCCTTGGAGTAAGCCCTCGCTGACACGAGACCAGAACAAGGAGCTGCTTGATGATGATCTCTACCTTGGTCTGCGAAAGCCTCGTGCCACTGGTGAAGAGTACGACAATTTTGTTGACACTTTCGTCAAAGCCGCAAGGAAGCATTATCCGAAAGCGTACATCCATTTCGAGGACTTTGGCCTGAATAACGCAAGAAGAATCCTTGACAAATATACACCTGAAATCGCTTGTTTCAACGACGATGTACAAGGGACAGGCTGTGTCACGCTGGCGGCGATCATGGCGGCGTTCAAAGTCAGCGGCACCAAGTGGGACGATGCACGCTTCGTTATGTTTGGCTCTGGTACTGCAGGTACAGGCATTGCGGATCAGATCAAGGACGCTATATCGCAGCGCACAGGTAAATCGACAGCGGAGGCGGCGAAACAGATCTGGTGAGTTGCTGCAAAAACCCGTGATGATTGAATGATGCTCACTGTTTTAAAGGTGCGTAGACAAGCCAGGTCTTCTACTAGAAGGGAAGAAGGACCAGCTTACACCAGCACAAGCCGGATATGCTCGCAAAGACAGCGAGTGGGAAGGAAAAGATCACGGCGACCTGCTCTCTGTAGTAAAAGAAGTCCAGCCGCACGTGCTGATCGGCACATCGACTAAGCCTGGTGCTTTCACCGAAGAGGTTGTGAAAGAAATGGCGAAGCACGTTGAGCGTCCAGTCATCTTCCCGCTATCAAATCCCACAAGATTACACGAAGCCAAACCTCAAGATCTGTACGACTGGACCGATGGTCAGGTACTAGTCGCTACTGGCTCGCCTTTCGATCCTGTCCAGCACAACGGTAAAGAGTACGAGATCTGTAAGTGAAGTCTTGTCTCCATTAAGAGTTCAACGCTAAGATATCGCAGCCGAGTGTAACAATTCCGTAACCTTCCCCGGCATTGGTCTTGGTGCGGTTCTCAGTCGCACCCGCCTCATGACACCAGCGCTCCTCGTTGCGGCCGTCGAAGCACTAGCAGCCGCGGCCCCGGTTGTCACCGGCTCCGGCTCGGGCCTTCTTCCCGATGTGGTCGATGTTCGTGAAATCAGTGTCAAAATTGCAAGAAGCGTCATCAAGAAAGCTGTCGAGGACAACTTGGCTCAAGAAGAGCACATCCCCAACGACGACGATGAGTTGGAAGAATGGATCCGTGAACAAATGTGGAATGCAGAGTACAGACCATTGGAGTTGGTTAATGATAGTAGGGCAGGTGCTCACGCCAAGGGTGAGATGGGTACGGGCAGTCAGCAGCGGAAAGCAAAACCTTGAGCTTATCTGTGTTGTACAGATACGAGATTAAGATTACTGTAATGCAAATCTAATAGTTTGTTGAAATCCGTCTGCCAGCAATCCATACCACATCCATCTTGCGCGTTCCTCAGATTTACGTAGCATCGTTACAATTTTGCATGTAAAGATGCGATCGTCCTGTTCTCGTATTCTGGAACTTCCAAGACCAGCCAAGAGGTCTGGCTTTCCATCGTAGGACATGAGGCCAGGGCGCCTGAGCCCCGATCGCCGCAGAGGTTCCAACTCTGGTGGTACGGCCGATAAGGCGTACCACCACGTTGCATACAGGCGCAGTTTATGTTCCAACGCCGCCGTGCGACAGATCTTGGAAGATTGTGGGCGCACTGTGTGAGTGGGAGTGATACAATCTAGAAATACCGCCCAAAGGGCAAAAAATCCATCTTCATTCATCGTGGCCTGAAAACATGTCGTACGCCGTGTACCAGCCCTTCATCTCCCATCTTCTGCTCCGCAGCCAGTGTTTTGTTTTGTCGTTGTTGTAGAGATATGGTTGTGTCCACCACTTTTCGTGTGCGCTGACGAGGCCTTGCTCGATATCGACGTCGTTCGGGCACCGAATATTCCATTTGTAGCTGACCTCGGTCCATGGCATGGGACCCTTCCAGCTATGTATCTTGTTCAGAAGATTTTGTTCGGGGTATTTCGGATCGAACGAGTCGGGAATCTCGAGGTACGATTTGTAGTGGTTGAAGGCGTCGATGGAGGGTGCGAGTAGGAAGAAACCAGCATTCATGTAGCCGGGTTTCTTGAGGCCGGTGCCATCTGTAGGAGGGAATTGGTGCGTCGAGTCCCAAACTTCGGACAGACTGGCCAGGAGGTATTTCTCGGGTAGAGGAGCCTCTCCGTCCATCGGCTTGTAGCTGCTCATCTGCTTTGTCTGTTGAATCTGCGCACCGGGATCTTTGAAGACGCCATCAAGTGGCCTCACAAGGACGGTGTCGCCGTCAAGGACGAGAATGCGGTTGTATTGTGTCATTTCCCAGACGCGCAATTTGGTCATTACATCGGCCCAACGTTCCTCAGCGGCATGCACCCATTTCGACTCGGATCGCAGAAACTCCACAGGATAGACGGTGGCGCCGTCTCTGATCAGACGCTTGCGGCGTGATTCAGAAACGGTGGGTGTCACCATAACGACTACATCGATGTTCTCGGCGCGTGTTGGCAGGTGGTGCACCAGTTGCCATACGAGGATTCGAACAGCTTGGAAGTAGTGGTCGTTTTCGAGATCCTCGTCTTGGTCAAGCGTGCCGGAGAGAAATGTGACATAAGCCAATTTCTCGCTTCCATCTGGATGCATGCCAGTGCCGTTCACATCGCCGTGCTCTGGGCTGACAGCATGTGCGATGCCGTCTGGTGTGTGCTCGAGTCCGCTGTTGTCGTCGCCTGAATTGCCGTGGTTTATTATGCCGGATGGCTGTTTGCTGATCTGCTGCTTTTCGGGGGCAATGTAGGCTGACGTCCGCGAAAAGTGCAAGGTAGACACTAACAACAAAAAAATCGCAATGAACGCGGCCGTGATGGCAATGACACGGTACTTGGAGTTAAGGGCCGCCATGGTCACGGTGCTCTAGGGAGGGCAATGGGGAAAGGGAGCAGACCCAAACGCATGATACGTAGCTGGGCTTGCGTCGTTATAAGCGAAAGCAGCCTTGTAAGCCTCGGCAGGGTCCTAATGTCTTATGAGGGATCGCGCACCGTTTCTGAGACTAAGATAGATTCACCTGCCTCAGAAAGGCATGGGGAGATCCGAGTACGAGAGACACAGGTGATGGCTGCATCGGCGAGGGGCAGTGCTCAACGAAGAACAACATTGCTGGCACGCCTAAACGTCGCACGGAGCCGTGCCATTGGTCTGAGCCCCTATCATGGACGAGTCAAATCAAAGGCTGCCGCAGGTCTGGTTCATTTCGGAAGATTCGACAGGGCTGTTGGCATCTTGGCTCACATAAGCGAAGGCAGCTTGTCTCCGCTTTGTGCATGCACCCTCCTTGGTCAGCGACAGTGATTGGTGCGTCTGCTGCACGATGAAGATTTTGACGTTCTGGGTCAGCAGCTGCCTACTTAGTCAACGAACATGGTTTCTCGGCATCCCCCTGAGTCTTACAATTTTCCTGACACCCCGGAGTACCGGATGCACACCGGTGGGTGGTGGAACCACACGCTGAATGCTTTCCTGCGACAGGTCTTGAACTCAGTGTGATAGAGCAAATATTAAGGTTCGCAGCATGCGAACCTTGGAAGAAGCCCGGATGTGGACGGCCGGTGGCGATCTGGCACTAGTGCCCTAACGTCAGGAAAGATAACGCCAGAGGCGAATAACATCAAATTTGTATGCACATGTACAGCAAAGCCACGCGGAATCGAAATGTATTCACTATTCTGCGAAAAGAGAGGAACAAAGCAGATCGCAAATGATACGGGCTTCGAAGAGAATCTGTCGTTCCATGGCTTTTCTTCATCCACCTCAGAGAGACAAGCTGCTAGTATCGTGGTTCATAATCCTGTGACTGGGAGTCGTTACGGTGATACTCTTGCTGAAACTGCTCACGTGGAGGATAGCCCTGCGAAGAGTAGCCCGGCTGCGAGTAGCCTTGCTCAGGGGGTGCGTACTGATGATGCTGGTAACCCTGCGGTGGATATTGTTGCGATTGGTAGTCCTGATACTGTCGGTTTGGCTCACCCTGGTATTGCTGATTATTCTGGTATTGGGGCGGGTCGTGTTGTGCCTGCTGGCCGTGACTCTCCTGATTGTAGGCATCGCGGGGAGGATACTGATGGTTGCCCTGTGGAGCCTGATATCCTCCACCAACGCTTGTGTTTGGGGTTGGTGCCCCTACACTGACATTTTCATTGCCGATATCGTCAGGTACGTTGATCTTGACGTCTGGTAGGTATCTTTGAACCTTCTGCTCGACCATAGCTTGCACAAACACCCAGCTTTCCCGCTCAAATTTGCGATGACCGCCATTGACGACACCCAGAATGCTTTCTCGGAGGGTCTCCTGTACCTTTTGTACGAGTGCGCGAACCTTACTCAGAAGCTTGGTCTTGATGTCGTCACCAAAACCACGGTCTGCCTGACCAGACGCGTCGCGGTCCAACTGAGAGTCAAACGGATTGCCACCAAGAATCTTCTCCAGCGGGCGCTGGAACTGATCTGGCAGTAATTCGAAAAGCTGTTTCTCGATCTCGCCGAGGACTTTGCGGAATTCGAGACGAACCTCTCTGTGCACCCTGGCAAGACCCGTGGAGAGTTTGTCGCTGATAACTCGAGAAAAGCCACCGCCACCACCTTGCTCCTGACCATCTCGACTCGACTCGTCGAAGCCTCTGGCTGAGCCTTCGTCGCCAGACTTCTTGCTTCCGAACAAACCACCCAATCCTTTAACCAGATCGCCAACTTGATCGACAATTTCGGCTTTGGCACCATCACCAAGATCACGAGAACTGGTGTTCCCACGCAGCCAGCGTTTGATGTGATCTAGGGCAATGCGAGTGAATTGCTCGGCGATGGGTGCATGCTGCATGCGCAACTTGTCACCAACTGCCTGCTTAATCTCAGGGCTGATGAGTCGTGCTTTCTCCTCAGGATGTTGGCTGGCGTCTTTGATGGTGCTGCTGAGCACACCAAGCAAACCTCCGATCTCGAATTTTTGACCTCCCGAACTCTGGTTGTTGTCGAAGTTATCCTGGACGGCATTGAGAGCTGAAGAGAGGAAGCCGCGAGCTTTCTGCGAAAAGTCGCCATCCTCATCTCCCATTCCACGAGACTGGGTCTGGTTTCCGTCGCTACGGCCTTCAGTCAGGTCAAAGATGTCACGCAAGTCGCCGCCTGCTTCGTCAGAAATTTGGCTGAAGCTTCGTGTCAATTTGGCGATCTCGTCGGCAAAAGGAAGAGACTGGCCGCCGTAAGCATCTGGGGCAGCATCGTTCAGGTTCCAAGGGCCACGGCTGCCGTCTGAAGAGACAGGCTTGTTCTTGTCGAAAAGCGAGCGGAAGGCATCGATGACTTGAGTTTCGAGGCTGTCAATGGTCTTCTGTTGAAAGAGCTCAAGCTCAGACGCAATGCGGGGCTGGATTTGAGGTGCAAGTGAGTCGACGTAGTCATCGACCTTCTTGAACAACACATCAGAGATACCACCGGATGTCATAATCGCAAAGATATAGAAATTTAGGACCCAAAGCTAGTAAGTTCCGCGTCTAGTAAGGTGTGGACTGACCTCGAAGATGAGGCGGTGCAAGCAGAAGAGGGGCAGCCACAGCTTAGCGAGAGTGACGTCATCGCGTGTTCCTCGCTGATTGAGATCGGAACACGGATTCGATTCTGTAATAACGACTAAAGAGACCATTCTAGGCGACTGAAACCGGACGACAACGAGATACAGCAGTCTAAAGCTTACCATGAGCAGCTGTCATGACTTGTCGGAGTGCGGACAACTCCTCGTATGGGTCAACCTTACCTAGGTACAGTGGCCAGGTGAATGTCTTGAAGCAATTTCGACACAGAATACACAAAAAGGACGGACAAACGCGGACCAGCTACTGCTCGAATTCGTGAAGTTTTCGCTGACACACACATACTAAGGCGAAATAACATACAAAAGCCCGAACACATGCAAGAATTGGTGGAGTAGACAAGTCAACCTCTGAGACTGTCAAGTTATTTCTCAGGTCCGACATGTTCTTGTGCTCATCGATCATGTGCTCATCGAAGCTCTCAACCATCGACGGCTGTGATAATTTGTGAGATATCACATGCACATAGACCCGACAGACATCGCCATGGGGTTAGTATCACAACACGGCTTACTCCGAATGTAGAGACACGGAGTTCTACACCCTCTGTCAGCCGAAACGATCGACACGGGATGGCGGCTCTCGGGGCGAAGGAAGCTAGCTTCAGCCTTGCAGTTCCCCCACAATTTCGAAGTAGGCTTTACACGGACTCATCTCCGTACCATACAAATCATAGCCTCCCACCTCACTTTGAAGGCACAACTAATATGCAAGTCATGGAGTGACCCCGCTCGTAGGCTTTAAATGCAGTGCGCGGTCCTCGACGTACTCACCCTACACACAACCCAATTCAGCGGCCTCCGTTATGACCGCCACAACCATGAAAGCCGTACGAGTCATGGCGTACCATGCGCCCATGGAGATACACGATGTTCCAGTACCAACAGTAGAGTCCCCACTCGACGTCATTGTCCGGGTTGGTGCTGCTGGTATGTACGGTAGAGAGAACGTCCGCGACCAACATGAGTACTGAGTCCGCCTGTAGGTGTATGCCGTACTGACATCCATATTTGTGACGGCGAATGGAAAGAGAAATCAAACGTCGAACTACCGTATACTATTGGCCATGAGAACGCGGGGTGGGTGCACGAAGTTGGTGCCTCGGTTGGCAACGTCCAAGTTGGTGACAAGGTGATCCTGCATCCACTCGTCACGTGTGGGCTATGTACGGCTTGTCGATCCGGAGACGACGTTCACTGTGGTAGGGCACGTAAAGCCAACTTATAGTGTTGGTGTTAACAATCTCCAGAGGACAGTAAATTTCCAGGCATCAATGTTGATGGTGGCTACGCTGAATACATCCGTACAACAGCAAGGAGCGTAATCAAGCTGGACGAGAAACTCGAGCCCTCAGATGTCGCTGCTCTTGCAGATGCGGGATTGACCGCCTATCACGTCGTTGCGAAAGCAGCGAGGATATTGCGGCCAGGCGATTACTGCGTCATAGTTGGCGCCGGAGGTGTAAGTTCTCTGCTGTAAGCACATGATAGCTATTGACATGATATGCTAGCTTGGACACATTGGCATTCAATGCATGAAGGCGATGAATGCGGCCACCTTGATTGTTATTGACAGTAACCAAGCCGCTCTCGATCTTGCATCATCCATTGGAGCCGACCACACAGTACAAGTCAACGAAGACGAGTCCTTCATCGAGGCAGTCATGAAACTCACGCAAGGCAAGGGTGCTGCAGCCGTTATTGACTTTGTTGCCGAAGGCGGTTCTACGAAGTCTGGTGTCAAGATGCTGCGAAGAGCAGGAAACTACTATATCGTAGGATATGGCGAGAACCTAAATATCCCTACGATTGATATTGTCTCAACAGAGATAAATTTTGTGGGGAATCTAGTGGGCAGCTACAACGATCTTGCTGAGTTGATGGTACTGGCAGCGCAAGGAAAGGTTAAGCTGCACACATCGAAGTACAAGCTCGCAGACTATGATTCTGCCATACAGGATCTGAGGGACGGAAATGTAAGAGGAAGGGCGATCCTGATACCACAGAGTGTATAAATCCAACGAGACTGCCATTCGATTCAGCAACAAACGCTGGCACTGCTCATACCTTCTCTTCCGTGGTGTATTGGACCGCCGTGTCTCTGACCTTGACTCTGTGCACTAAGTGTGCATTACCCGTGTCATCAACACTCGTGGCGTCGCCGAGGACATTACCAGCATCGTCGTGAGTCCTGTCCCACTCAGCAACCTCGGTATTCGGCACTCGTTTCAATTGATGCACGACACTGCCGTCCTCGTTGACCACGGTCAAGGCCCTGATACTATAGTTGCGAAGGCGAGGGAGTGCATGAACCCATGCAAAATAGTAGAGACCCATTCCAGCCAGAAGCCCGAGTCCTGTAACAATGTATGTGCCGTACCAGAACGAGTAGTCGCCACCGTCCTCCGGTGGAACCCAGGGCATGATCAGGATGAACAGGCATATAAGTGCCGAAAAGATCAGTGCTGAGTGCCATGTCTGAAACTGGGCGGGTGGTAGGCCTTCCTTCTTCCGGCGGTAACGGATGGCATAGATACCAACGACCATCAAGAAGATGAAAATCGAGTCCGGATAAGATCGCAGATCCACCAGGAAGTTGAAAGCATCGCCAAAAGGTAGCGCGAGGATGATGATGCAGGTCATGACCCACTTGAGCAAGACAGGCGCAAAAGGCGTGCCAAAGGGTTTAGTCGACGCCCAGAGGTGCGGCCAGGGGATTACACCTTGTCGGGCGCATTCGCGAATCTGGCGCGTAGCCCCAATGATAACTGCCATGATGTTGCCAGCTGCGCTGACAGCAATCAACGCAGGCAGACCCCTCGCAGCCTTTGTACCAAAGACGGCCTCGAAGAAAAGAGCAGCAGCAAGCTCACCCGACTCTCGGATCTCGGCCGCTGGAACCGCAGCAAAATACGCCACATTGGCAAGAACGTATAGTATGAACACGATAATGAGTGATAGTGGGGCAATCTTCTTGAGAAGTGGGAAAGGATTCTAGAGGGACATTAGTCAAGATTATGTTGAACGTCGACATCACGTACCTTGATCTCGTTCGTAACATTGAAAGCGTTAGCATATCCTTGATACGCGAAGTTGACGCTGACTAAAGCGTTGACTAGATCGTTACCATTGGTGGTAATGCCATCGAAAGAGTTGCGGAAATTCGCCCGAGGGTCCTGAACAGATGTCCCGCCGCCAAGTACGACAAATCCGGTGATGACGATGAATAGAAGGATTATCAATTTGACAAATGATATCAGATTCATAAGACGCATTGACCACTTCGTGGAAATCAGACACTATCCCGGCGTCAGCTTTGCTCTTCCGATAGCTGCGCTAAACTCACTAGGAATGCAAGGAAGGAGTAAGAAGCCAACGCAAGGCCCTTGTTCTCCCATTCAGAAGCCGTGTGTCCAGCCGCACGGTAGATGTAACGAGCAAGCACAACTGCATTGCTACTCGAGAATGAGAATACGACTGTGAAAAAGGCGTATGTTACAGGAAGTAGGAAAGCCGGATGCGGAAAGGCCTGCTCAAGGTAGGTAACTTGTCCGCCTGATCGATTGGGGAACATAGCTGCATACTCCAGGTAGACTGCAAGGGCAGCTAGACGCTATTAGGTTTTGATGCTAACAATGTTGAGATAGCATACATACTGGCAGCAATGACGAAACCAAATATCCAGTACAGGATTGAAAGACCCACAGAGTCGAGCGCTCGTAGGATCGACCCGGCTACGGGTACCGTCAGTCTCTTACAGGTATCTTCGCTTCACAATTATTGAGATTCACGTACGTGTACTGAAGACTCCGGTGCCCACCATTTGGCTGACGTTCAGGAAGAGGATCCCGGCCCATCCAACATGGTAGCCCAATGGGCTGACTGTCTCCACGGGTGCACCATTGGCATCCTGGTGTACAAGTACTCCATCAACGAAGACTTCCTCGCCAATCTGGGCGTTGTTTGCCTTTACATCTACGGCGTCGACATTATCGCTTGAGTCTCCCCAAAAGAGATGCTTCAGATGCGATGCAGAAAGAGCCGCCATGCCGATACACTGACGTAGAAGCTGGATGAAAGACCCCGGAGATCGATGATTGACCCATGGTGAGCCCAGAGCTATTATATGGCAGTTCACGTCAGTTCGAGTGTTCGTTGCCAAGGTTCGAATGGGAGGGACAAGGATATGCAATTTCGCCCAGTCTCGCGTCATCGCCGAACGGGCAAACAGCTGTGTAGAATACCTGCGATAATTATCGCGGCGCGGACTTGGCAGATAAGGCTCAACGCCGATGTGGAAGGTGTTGAAGGTTTCTCATATTGGATGGAACGATGTGCAGTCGTGATGTTGCAATCCTCGAGCTGGTACTGGTGTCAACAGTTACTGGCCCTGGCACGGCATCTTGTTCAAGCTTCGTATCATGAGATGCCAAATGTTTCGAGATCTAGGTCTACAAAGTGAAGTTTAAAGGGGGCTGGGCGTCTAGAAAGAATTCAATGATGCATTGGAGTTGATGTTACTTTGCACTTACCGATTCTGCCCTCTTTTCGAAGGGTTTGACATCGTCCTTTGGAGCTCTGACTTGGTCAACACGACCGTCACTGTGTTTCTAAAACCTTCGTATGTTCTATTAAGAGCTGCAAATGCAATGGGCTTGTTGTGGTGGCGCACGTGAATGTGTGCGGAGCACATCAAGTTGCGAGCCTAAGGGACTAAATATACTGTTCACTTATTTGTAGACCATCGAGAGTCTGGGGCGATAGAGACATCATGAGTGTCCTACGTTTGGGCTTGATTGTGGAGAAGGAGAGAGACGCGTCCCTGACTAAGCGGGTGGACACTAGCAGCTAGGTTCGGCGCAAAACAACCTCGGAAGTCCTGCATCGCAATTGAGGAGTCGCACAACATTCAACTACGCTAACATGGCTACCGCATTACTGCCTATTACTGTGCGTCTGTTACCTACAGCTCCAGGTTCAACACGCGTTGACAGCTCCCATATTTTCACGAATCAAATATACGTCACGATATGAGTCGGCTCCCGCATCCTCACTCTGCTCACGGCAGAATCGAGCATTTTCAGGACTTCACCTCGTTAGACTGGTGTCAAGACCTGTTGTCCGACCCATCCATGACGCGTATTCAGAAGCGCCACGTTCCCGATCAGCGCGAGGATATATCCAATACATTTTTCACGAAGACGCTGTTTACCGATGAAGCCCTGAGAGCATATATCTCTATGTACAGGCCCGGCAGGATCGGCCGAGATCACGACGAGAAGACCGTGTCTACCGGGAGCGCATCTATGGGAAGCGGAGGTGCAGGACACATTCGAGCTGAGGGAGCAGAGCCCTCTTTGTTGTCCAAGGAAGAATATATTTGGAGCGCAACGGATCCTGATACACCAGAGATGTACCTCCTGATAAGCATTGGACATGACATGGATGGCGGTGTACAGCGCCTTCATGGAGGAGTTACAGCGACACTTCTTGATCAAGTTATGGGCACGCTCATATCGTATGTGTACGACAGCACCTGCCCGACGGCCGATCTGAATATCAAGTACAAAGCAGCGGTAAATACGCCGTGTGTTTTGCTTTGCAGAGCGAAAGTGGTCCGCAAGATGGGTAGATGGATCGAATCCGTGGGCTGGATTGAGGATGGGCAAGGCAAAGTCTTTGCAGAGGGCAAAGGCGCCTTTGTCATGAACAAGAACACGTTGGCAGCAGCAGCCAAAATATGATCCGACACCCAAGATTAATATATAAGTGCTCCAGGGCCTGTCAAGACCGCGTTTCCCAGTGACAATTGCCCGCCAGGACCGTTCAAACATTGAAGGAAAGATCTGGGCTAGTAAATACCTATGTTACCAAAGACTACCAGGAAAAGGTCGAGCCGCAATTTGCATAGTGGACTGGTGTAGATCTCTCGCGCGCCGAACGACTTGGTATTCAACTGGGTCCATGCATCTCGCCTTTGGAGATTGGTTGATCCTTCACGCTTGGCCATTGCGTTACCATTGTGAACGACTTTGCCGCACGGCTCGGTGTTATGTGACCGATGGCCTGCGGATGTCACGGCCCACCACAATAGGACTGCCCCACCGAGCGACACAACCTTGTACATCACGTGTCATGGGTTCACTTTAGGAGTCACAAACACAGAATCGGATCAGTGTCAGAACGTGCTTATAATTTAATGTATATGAGAAGCTTTGGCTCAAACGAAGGTCGACAAGCCTATGCTCTGCTCTTAATTATAGCAGCAGCCTTCTCTCCAATACCGTAAGCGGTAGCTTGTAAATGGCACGAAGGGATGATAGGAATGATAGAGGCGTCAACAATGGAAAGATGCGTTGTGCCATAGACCAGGAGCTTGTCGCTGACACAGCCACCATCGTTCTCAGGCATCATGGGACAGGATCCAGAAGGATGCGCAAGGGTAGGTGACAAAAATCCTGAGGCAAGGAGAGCAGAGAAAATGTCATCATCAGAGGTGTACTGAGCACCAGGAACCGTCTCGCTGATCTTGTACTCCTTGAGTTCGGGCCGAGCCCAGACAGTGCGGAAGAAGCGAAGGCCAATCGCCATGACGCTCCTGTCGATAGGGTTGACAAAGGCGTTGTGGATGATGTCGGGAGATCCGGTCGGGTTCTCAGCATTGATGTGAACGAAACCACGGGACAGGGGCTTCTCGACACCAACGAGGCCGTAAGAGCCATCAGCAGGGACAGGGAACTCGGCAACAGCGGCGTCTTTGCGCTGGAAGAGACCAGCGATGACCTTCTTCTGTGCAGCGAACCCCTTCAGCAGCTTCTCGTTGCCCTTGTAGAAGCCCGGGAGGTATGAATCATCTTGCTGGCTGTTCAGGCTATCAACAACTGCACTGACGTCCGAAGTCATATCAGGCAGGGAGATGAATGCAAGAGCATTTCCACGGGCGACCGTATAAGGACCAGTCTTGTCGGCTTCATATTGAGCCCAGGCAGAAGCGTTGAATGTGGCGTTAGTCATCAGCGAGTTGGGGCTAGGGGAGTGAACAGATGTAGTGTTGAAGACCACGGTGGCGTAAGGGTGGTCCTGGAAGTTGGAACCGACCGCATCGAGCTCGACCTTCACCGTCACGCCTGCAGCCTCCAAGACTGGCCTGGGACCCACTCCACTGAGCTGAAGCAGCTTCGGGGTCTGGATAGCACCAGCGGCGAGGACGACCTCTTTCTTGGCATTTACCACTGAGGTCTTGCCAGTGGCATCAATAATCTCGACACCGGTGGCGGTTAGGCTGTTGTCAAAAATGACCTTTTGGGCGGTGGCCCTGGTCAGGATGTTCAAATTCGTTCGCTGAGAGATAGGGTCGATGTACGCGTAGCGTGCGTGTGCCCGGCGACCAGTTTTCTTGTCCATGGTATTGGCATACCAAGAAGGGCCGTATGCCTCACCGTTGTTACCATCCTCTGGAACATGAATACCGGTAGCTTTCCATGCTGCCCAGTAGTCCTTGATATCCGGATACTGGGTGTCGGTGATACTGACAGCTAGAGGACCATTGCCATATGTGTCGGGATCCCAGGTGATGTTGAAAGCCTCGGCGATAGCGGCAGAAGGAGGCTGGAAGGTAGTACCCTTCTTGAAGAAAGGTTCCATTCCTGCCCAGCCCCATCCGTCGTTGCCTAGAGCCTCCCAAGCATCGTAGTCAGCAGCAGAGCCACGATCGTAGACCATCCCATTCACGACTGAACCACCACCGAGGACTTTGGCAACTAGGACGTTATATGTCGAGTTACCTAGACCAGGCTCAGGAAGGGATGTGAGGCCATCCCACATCAGGCCATTGGCACTGGTAAGATCATTGGCCTTAAAAGGAATCATATTTCCGGGACTGTCGACTGATTCACCACTTTCAATGACCAAAACAGACACTGCGCATTTGTGTAAGCAATTGGACAATGGGTCTTTGCTACCAGTGAGTACTTACCACCACTGTCTTCTGTCAGACGGTTTGCCACAACCAAACCAGTAACACCTCCACCAACGATAACATAATCATATTCTTGCGCGGTCGCTGCAGCAAGAGCAGGAGTAAGGATAACACCGAAGAGCTGAACGGCCACGGCCAAACGAGAGAATACTGGCATCTTGAGCCCCGGTTGTAATTGAATCTGAGCGAATGTGATTGGGGATGCTCGAGGATGAAGTCGAAAGCGTGCTGACACTAGATTCTTTATATGGCCGAGAACAGCGTTGGCATTGGTCGAACAGTCTCACACCACGTGGAAATGCCGGTAGTTCGTCATGTCCCGAAGCACCATCTGATCGGGAAAGCCAGTCCCACAGCAAGGTGGAGGGCGAGCAAATCGATTGCCGGAAACATACAATGGCGCCTGTGCAATCCTTCTCTTGGCCAGAAATCCATGGTTCCCGGGCTAAATACGTCTTCCTCAAAATTGCACAATAACGAGTCAATGCAAGCTAGGGTCTGCTACTCATTCGAACGTCGCTGTCAAAGCGGCGCGGCGCGTTACCCGACACCAGAGCTAACGGCATGCCATACCAGAGAAACTGTCGACGGGTAATCTAGCTCCACTTGATAACCGTCTTGAGGGGCACATGGGCGCAAGAAGTGTGTTCCCATCACTCGAAGCCCCTAGGAACCTAGCAGCAGTGCGCACAGATATTTTGGACACGACCAGAAACCCTGCTCGTGTTGCGCATTTCTCTCATGGGTGCATCGGAAACAGTGTAGGGGTTTGCATACCTGCATACGTACAGCATTCTGAAGATCACTCGAAAGATCATGGTAACGAAATTATGTGTCGTGAACGTGCCACAGCCGAAGATACGCGCGACTCAAGCCGGGCTCCACAGCGGCTCAATGGTGCGCTTGCGGTCTCACCAACTCGGGTTGATGTCTGTTTCAAGCGACATTTCGGGGAGCGCGGTAGCTTGCGCCTGGAAGTGAGAAGGCTCTCGCAGGGATGCAAGCAAATAATGTGGACGAATCTTCCATCGTCTGTCAATGTTGGCAGATGTTCCTATCTCCCAGCTGCCACGCCGCGGTACGCCACATCCATAACGCCACCGGAGAGTTTCCAAACAATCGGACCGTTTGCACCATGTATCCCACGTGCTATCAGATGCAGATGGGATCTGACCAACCAAATCTGACGCAGTTCGTGCTAAGTTTACCGGGATCGATCACGTACCTGCGGCCCAACATGCGCCACCACCGGCATCCTGGGTCAGTTCCCCGATACCTGGCAACATCAAAGCCGTACCGAGACTCTTGACCCGGAGCTCTGTTACCCATCATAGCCTTAGGGTGTCTGCAACGGTACTGGCAACTACCGGAACTTGTCAGTGGTTTTTTGAGACGAGCTTGTCTTGAACAAGCTTCTGGATTTGCCTCATTGATCCCTCCGTTGCATAATCATGTCCAGCTGGACCAAAATTTCTGCCGTGGTAGGTATGTGTGATCTTGTAAGATGGCGTTAGTACCTCCGTCCCTGTTTGAGATGCAGCAGCGCGCGGGTTGCCTTTACGTCTGAGTATAATCTCCGGCTCCTGAGGAACTAGAATACCTACCTAGGTACATGGTATATGTGTACCTAGGTGGAAACCCCGTGCAAGTGATACGGCTCCTGTTCGACTCGCTAGCTCTAGTTCGCGACTCAAGATCAGGAGTGATTCCTCCTTCCACACCTAGTATGGAATTCTATCAGCATGTGGCCAAAGATCATCCCGCACAACGCAAAATTCGTCGAAGTCGACATCGGTTACTCCAGTGGACTTAGGGCTGTACCCATTTCTGTGGTAGGCAACAGATGTCAGGTGTAACAGGTAATTTCTAGCACTTCAGAGCCGAAATGTATGATCGCTTGGCCTAGTTTCAGGGCACCCACCCCCACTCTCCACTCCAATCGGCGCAACAAGACCCTTGTGGGTCCTCATTCAAAGTCGTACCACAATCAGTCTGGTTCATGGATTGACATCCCTGTGCAGGAAACCTTCCTGAACAGTGGTCTGGAAGCCCGTGTCTCCTGTTTGGGTCAAAGATGATGTCCGTGAGCTATGCTCAGATCGTCATTGCTGCATTTTCATGTTTGATGTGGCTGTTTTTTAGGGTACTGTACGAGGGTAGACTAACTACTTATCTATGTCGCATATGTACCTTCGCCCGCTGAAGTTTCCTTCTCCTTCGCTTTTGATGCAGCCCCATCAGTCACAATGGATACCACAGGCTCAGCACAGCGAGACTGGCCCAATCAACGGAACAAGATTCTCATACCGGCTTGGATCCTTTCGATGCTCAGTACAGGTTTCCTTGTATGGAGAGTTGTATATGGGCGTATGCATGGCCGTAAGTTCATGATATGCGATCACCTGTTGATCTTCGCTACGGTAGGTGTTGTACCCACTTCCGATCTGCAGAAGATCTAACACTGCCGCTCTATAGCTTCTTAACATCGCAGCGACTATTCTCAACCATATCGTCGTCGATGCTGGCTTAGGAAGACACATTCTGGACCCATCTGTTGATATTCTGCGTTACTCTTACTTCCTCTGGATCGTCCAAATCGTCAACATTGTTGGTGTCGCAGTGCTCAAGTGGTCCATCTGCGCATGGCTACTGGTGCTCAAATTCTCCAGGATATATCAGGCCATCGTCTGGTTCTCTATCGCGCTCGTCACCGCTTTCAACTTTCTTGCGCCGGTGCTGACGCTATTTGGATGTACACCATTGGAAGCCAATTGGAACTATGGGTATCCAGATAGGAAGTGCTGGGCCAGAGGAACACTGTGGCTTTCATACACTCAGGGCATCTGCAATATTCTAACCGATGTAATCTACATGGCCGCGCCACTCATCTACTTGTCACAAGTCCAGCTGTCACGTAAGACACAATGGGGCATCCGCAGTGTCTTCTTGCTAAGTATCCCGTAAGTCACTTGCTTCAAACTATGATTATGAGGAACTCGACTGACACAGTGATTTAACAGTGCCACGATCTGCTCCATCTTTAAGACAGTTGAGTTGAAGACGCTCACAAAGGTTCGTAAGATGGAAACCCCTCCCTTTTTCAAAATACTAACACTGCTCAGACTATGGATCCAACTTGGAGTGGCGTCAATCTTGCAATCTGGAGTCAGAGCGAGCTCTCTCTTGGTATTCTCATCGCATCCCTTCCACCATTACGCAAAGCTTTCGACAGCCTCTTCCAGAAGTTCCTTCCCTCCACCCTCAACCCTTCGAAGACACCAAACTCCCACTATGGATACGGCCGCTCGACAAACGGCAACCACATCAGACTCGACACATACGAGCAAAACAAGCGCTCTGCACACAAGAGTGGTCACCCTGGAGAGTCAGCGCTGGATAGCGACTCCGAAAGTGAACGCGCCATCTTGGAAGACGGGGAGGGCAAAAGCTCGGGCATAACGAAGACCACGAGAGTTTGCGTTCGCGAAGAAGACGGGGGGCCAAGCCAGCAAATATCCCAGGAGTCGCTACAGAAGCAGAATCACGATTATGATATCGAGAGCGGGATTGCGCATGCTAGGTCACGGTAGCTGTTTCCTTTGTTCATAACGACCGTCTACGTTACTATGTACAGTGTGGTGTATTTCAACGCACCAACTTTCTTCGCGCACTCTGCACTTGACAACTTTCTTTTCCCGTGCACAATTGTGTACGTCTCGTTCGACTCATAGCGTCCTTAATCATTGTGCAAACCCGTGTGAAGCATCTCTTAATCGCATCTTGGAAGCAAACAAGGAGGCAACACGCCTACAGAATATGGTGGAATTACCAACGCGACATAGGTTTGTCGCAGCCTTTACAGATCGAGATCCTACAGCCATACGCTTAGTTGTCGACCAAAACGCCCGTTAGGCGATCATTCCGGCCCTTTTGAACATGGAGAATGCGTCCCACCATCCTTGCTCTGGCTCGCCCTCTGACGTAAATCCTGCATCTCTCACTCTGTCCAGGCTCAAGTATCGGTCGAACGTTAGCCAGTAGCCAACACTGTCGAGTTGGCCTGCGTTCCAGATATCGACACCCTTTACACCCGCTTCTTCTAACTTATCCTGGTGCTGTTTGATGAAATCACTTGGCTTCAAATCATCTGCGCTTGCCGACTCGGCCGGTGGGATGCCCTTCAAGCCGAACCAGGACGCAATCTGGGGCCAGCGTTGTCTGAAGGTGCTGGGTACAGGGCTATCGGCGATGTTGAAGATGCGTTCTCGGAAGTTCTCAGGGTGAAGTGATGCATAAATAGCGAGCTTTGCTAGAGAAGACGAGCTGACCTCGGTAAACTTGGCATCGTAGCCAGCCTTGAGTCCAGGAAAGGGCACCGCTGCATCATCTCCATAGGCAAGTTTGTAGGCGTAGAGATATACTGCCCAGTGGCCTGCGAGCGAGAACCCAGAACCATTGGGCGTGAAGCCGACTATAGCGTCGGGGACCAGCTCGCACCAAGTCCATTGGGAGTCTTCGGCCTCCTCGGTGAGCATAGCGCGGTAATGTGGATATGCGACTGTTTTGTTGTAATCATCTGGCAGCTGTTCTGCTAAGTCTTCCGTGAGTGGCGCCGTAAAGATGCCGTCAGGACGGTAAATGCCATAGCCCTGAGGTAATCAGCTCGCCGTGTGATTCTATTGAGCCGCTCGTATCTTACTCTTGTCCCACCTGGATACACGATGAATCGAAAGTTCCTTGATAGGTTCTTGACTGCACGTACAACACGGCGCATCATGCTGACATTGATTTCGACTTCTTTTTCAGCATCTTGATTGCTCTTGAATGCTGTGTGCTCGCATTAGCCGATCAATTTTACATCGGCAAGTGAAGCTTACCGAAGTAATACACGTGGCTGATAGACGCCGCGTCTGGAACGCGACTTTGAAGGAAGCCCTCAAATTCGGCATCGCTACATGCCAGATTCGCTCCGGATACAAGCTGTAGCTTAGGACGGCCTGTTGAAGGGTTCGGCCAGAGAGAGTCTTTCAGATCTAGTGGCCTGTTCACCAAGGCGGAGATTCTACTAAATGGCTGTTGTGGAGAATCTTGCAGGAGTTGGTTCACAACTGACCAACCGATCAATCCTGAAGCGCCGATCACGAGGGCGTGGTGGTTAAATTCTGTCATTTTGGCTTGCCTGTGGGATCGAGGGAGTTGCGTTGAGGCCTGTGACCCAGCTTCCGTGGCATCTTATTTCTGCAGCTTAGGATGCAAGATCCTGACCTGAAAGCTTGATGATTGTAGATGAGTCGAAATAGTCTCTCCACTTAGGCTAGGCGGAGGGTGCGACCGTAGAGCTGTGACGTCACTGATCCGAATTCGCATGGTTCTCAAGAAATATACATATGGAATCAGTGTTGAGGGCCTAAAAGGGCTGATAATAATGTACAGCTTACAGATCATGGCTGTTTAGACAGTCGTGAAATCCAAGAACATCAAACTTTCGAAGTTTCTAGAGTGTTGCACGAAGTGAGACCCCGAATCAGCCCGGGATGGAACACAGCAAACGCCTACGCATTCGCAAAGTCAAGAGACATTGCGTCCTAGATGAATATGGCTTTGAACAGCTGAAACAAATGCGAAAGATGTTCGCCTAGTTTACGCGAAGCATGTGAGTGTAGATGTGCTTATTGAACACTACTATCGCCTTTACTATTGGTATACATGTTTTAGATGTTGGTCTTATTCTAAGATTGTAATTCGCAGCAGCAATGTAGCGCTGCGCATGGCATCCGTACTAAGACGTACCTGGTATCATAGTAGTGATTGTATGCCATAAATCCAATCATCGGCCGTAACAACATATATATACAACAAAAGCACAACACACGCTATGCGATGCGATGTGCCTTCAAAGGAAGACTTTGATTATTCAATCAGGGTCAAACCCTCATACACCGTCTAACAACAAATCCGGTCGACTTTCTGTTCTTACTGCTCAGAGCGCCTGCTGCCCTACGCGCCACCTGCCATCGGCAACAGTTTCGAACTTGACTCGACGGCCCCGTTGCCTGACCATCTGCTCACCTCCGGCATCGAGCCATCTTCCTAGGTTTTTACATTGACTTACATCAAGGACTTCGAGATCTCTGCAGCCTTCCACTACGGCCTCAACGCCCGTACCAGTGACACGAACACATCCACGAACAGAGAGGTGTCGAAGCTCAAGTAAATGAAGAGATATGCAGCGGAGTGATGTATCGGAGACAGCAGAGCCGCAGAAGGCAAGATTAAGGTGCGTGAGGTTAGGGAGGCCAAGGGCGAGGACCTCTGTTGCGGTATCTGAAAGAGCACAACAGAATGACTGAGACATGGGTAAGTATATAACCAAATCCTAGCGTTACGTTATGGATGACTTACCAGGTCCAACTCCCTCAGCCCCTTGGCGGCATTGGTTAAATAAACAATCGCGTTGTCAGACAAGTAGGTACAGTCGGCTAGGCAGAGCTTCTGCAATCGCGGGAAAGGGTAGACGCTCCAATGCTGAAACCCAACATCCGTAATTGTAGTACACCGTGTGAGGTCGATCGATTCGATGCGATTTGATGCGTGAACGGCGATATGTGCCATCGAGCGGTCTGTGATGTGTTTGCAGTAGCTCAGTGTAAGGCGTCGCAGTTTTGGACAACCGACCACGGTTCCAGGAGGCAAGGGTGCAGGTGCTGTTTGGCCATTGGCACCAGCTTTGCCTTTTTGACGACTACTGGTCTGGGCTTGTTGCTGTGCTTGTGCCATCGCCATCTGGGGGGGATGATCTGGCACAACCCAGCCAATGACACGCGCAAGAAGATTGTCGCCCACCTTCCGACAGTTGCTGAGGTCGATTTCTTCGAGCCCTTTAGCTTTCTGCACCATTTCAAGTACTGCAGGCCCGGTGATATCCCATACGCTTTTCATACGCCACACCTTGACACCGGGCGCGCAAACTCTTGCCAATTCGCCAAAGCCTTCATCTGTTACGTGGAAGCAATTGCTGATGTTTATGTTTCTGGGTCGAGTGCCAACGAAGGGGCAAACTATATCTACTAGCGTTCTGTCTGTGACTTTGCGGTTGTGCTTTGCGAGATCGAGATCGTGAAGGATGTCCGGCGAAGTAGAAATGAGCTTATGCCAATGCGACGAGATTTGCCGCAGTTGCATAAGCTCACACAAGTCAAAGTTCTGGAAGATTTGAACAAGAACGGAATCGGGAAGATGGCCTCTGCTGAATCGGCTTGGTTTTCGTATCATGCGTGGGCGCTTAAAGTCGAAGGCAGGCTCTGGTGGTGTTGATGTGTGCTTAGGTACAGGATAAGGCACAAAAGGCGCACCCAGTTGAGGCGTGCCAAGAGGTGAGCCAATGGGTGATGGATCTTTGGAGAAGCTGGACTTAGTAGGACTGGAGGGTGAGTCGGGTGGAGGAGGGGCAAGTGAACCCCGTCTTGATCTAGACCGGACATTGTCTAGATCGGTGTTGAGGAACGGATCTGGATCGTATGGCTCCATCGTTTTTTCATCTCTCCGCGGCGGAGTGACTGGCAGATCAGCATCGGGAAGGTCGCTGAAGGTCACTGTTGGCACACTCTCTTTGTTTCTCGGTGTTCGTGGACGCTTCGTGTCTGCAATAGCCAGCTCATCGATTTTGGGGGTGCTCTCCGAATCCGACATGTGCACGTCGTTGTCTTTCGCAGCCTCGAGTCGTTCCTTGGCGACCGACTCTATTTGTCGGCGAACATCTGGCGTGCACTTCTCCCACAACTGGCTGAGAGTATCGCCGCTGATCATCAGGCACTCAACGGATGACACTGACCGCACAGTAGCCGTACGGCGCGGTGCTAAAGAAAGACTGACGACCTCGCCGAAGTATTGTCCTTGCCTCAGCCGAGCCTTAACTTCGTACAAGTTGTGCTCGCCAGCGGCAATAGACTTGCGCCTACCCTGATCGAACGCTACGTGGCCATTGTGCTGAGCTGGCTTGATATTGACCACCTCCACCTCGCCCTTGACGATGAAGTAGACGTCGCGACCCGATGTCCCCTGCTTGATGATGTCGTAGAACGGGGGGAATGATGACGACTGGGCACGCATGCCCAGAAAATGGAGGATGTCGTCTGGGAGCTCAGAAAATAGTGGCAGCTCTTTCAGCAATGATCGCACGTGGACGTCGATACTGCCAAACGCACTGTTCGCTGCGGCTTCATGCAGGCCGGGACTTGGTGACTTTCTCTTCTTGTAAGCGTTGACGACTTCTCCGTCACGCAACGTGCCGCTCTCTGCCATGATGACGTCGCCGTCTTCTCGGTCACGCTTCCCTGTGATTTGACGCACAGGAGCGCCAGGCCGTTTGTTGCTGCTTCCAAGTTCCTTCTTCTTGCGCTCAAGGATGGCAAGACGCTCCTTGGCCTCGTCCATAATAGCTCGTTCGACCTCTGGAAACTTGTGCAGCTCCTTCATGAGGTCTTCCTTATTCAGCCGTACTACCAGCGAGCGCATGTTTGCAATGATGGTGGCGGTGCGAGGGATGTCCATGAGGATGCCGATCTCGCCGAAGAAGGCTCCAGGCTTCAGTTCGGCGTACGTGCTCTCCTGGTCTCGCGAAGTGACCCGCATTGCGCCGCGGACCAGCCAGTACATGGCTTTGCCCGTCTCGCCCTCCGTGAGGACGGTGTCGTGTGTCTGGTACAGAGCTGGCTTGAGATGCATACCAATGGCGGCAAGGAAGGTGTCAGGGGCGGCCTGGAAAAGGGGAAAAGACCGCAGGCGATCGAGGAGGTCGAGAGGCAGGCCATGTATAGTGCTCGCGGTGAGCGGTGAAGGTCGTATCGGTCTGGCGGGATTGGAGTCGCTGTCGAAGGCGCGTACCATGGCGAAGGAGTCAGGCACAGCGATCCCGCCGTGCCCACGCACCGGGCCGCCAGGCCTGTAGCGGCGCATTATGGTGGTGGAAGTGTTGCTGCTGGCTGGGAGCGACGCGTGCGCGGCGAGCGAACGGCGGTGTGTTTGCTGAGCGGGGCTCACCCTCACGTATGTGGAGGCAGGAGCTCGGTATAAGCTGGGCAGGTGCGATGCAGTGGTGCAGCAGGCTCAGCTCATCGTGTGCGCGTGCAGTTCGTGGAGATAAACAGCAGCGCTCGACAGCGAGTCTTGGGTGAGCTACGGCGCGTCTGCCCGGTGTGGGAGCTTGCGGCGTAGGAAGGTGGGGCGGAACACAGCGAACTATAGAACAAGCAATGTGGTGCGAAGAAAGGCGATTCTGCTGACTGAAACAGAGTCCGTCACGTACTCTGCAGCGCCTCGCAGCGGATAATAATATTAAGCTGTCGGACAGCGTGAAGCGTGACGCTGCTCGAAGGTGGTGACGGTACTCTAATTCAGTGGATCTTCCATAGAAGGAAGGAACAACTTGAAACGCTGCGGGAGCGAAGCGACGTCTATCGCTATCAGAGCCCTGTCCGGCCCCCACGTCTGTTCCTTGCGTGAGACATGTCCGGATTCGCAGCCTTCACGACGCGACGGTCCAGTTGCGCACGTCAGAACGAGGGTGTTGCGCAGCCCTGTCAGACATCGAAGTAGCTTCGACTGCAGCTATCAACTTCCACTTGAGCGCGCGGGCCGCTAGCGTTCATCCCTTGTTGCAGATACAGGCCCCGGTCACGTCATTCGCCTAAACCCCGACAGCACTTCACTGGTCTCCCTTATAATGATCTCATAAATCATCACGCTGAATTCGCGTTGGTTTCGTAATTCGTGAGTGCCTCCATGGGGCTGCAAAGCTCCGTGATGACAGCGGTACCCCTGTCAACTCTGAGAGAAAGCACCTAAAATGCTTCCGAACAGCGCCGCATCATGTCCCAGAGTCACTCCTCATCGCCAGTCCCTTTCGTAATGTCTTCGGCGGTCATCATAACGGTCATCGTAACGGTCATCTCTCTGGTCTCTGTGATCTCTGTCGTCCCTCCTGCGATCTCTATCTTCGCCGTATTTGTCCTCCCACCTCTCGTCACAGTCTTCTCTACGTGCCCTTCGCTTGTCCCACTGCTCCGAGACTTCTCTGGCACCGAGACCGCCAATCACAGCTCCCGCTATGGTCGCAGCTGTGTCGTACTTCTTGCCTTTCTGGGCTTGATTGCCAAGTATGCCTCCAATCAGACCTCCAGCAACAGTCGCTGCGATCCGATGTTGTCTGTCTTTCGACCTCGACCGTGACCTCGATTTCGACCGCGCGCGGCGATCATTGCCACGCTCTCTTCCAGAGCGCTGCGGCGACCATGACGAGCGGCGTCTCTGAGGTTGCGGGCGGCGGTTGTTGTACTGAGGTTGCTGGTATTGCTAATTCTAGATCAGTCATGTGCAGCCGATGGTTTGAGTACATTGCCTACCTGGACTTCGTACCCTCGCGCATTGCCGTACGGGTCGCTACCACGCGTTGCAACCGCGCCTGCATCAGGACCTCGGTAATAAATTGTCTCGTCAGATACGAAACGGGAGTCTCTTCGATCCTGATATTCACGATCCTGGTAGTCGCGCTCCTGACGGCGGTCAGGGTTGTACATGTCTGCCTCAGTTCTGCTATCCTCGTGGGCCCTTGGATCGTCGCGATGGGCACGAGACGAATGGCTCTGATCTGGTCTTTGGTGCTCTTGGCGCTGCTGTTCGCGCTGTTGTTGGCGATGATGCAGCCAGTGCCAACTGGGCGGATGTTTCCCGACTGTGTCGAAAACTTTGTCGTGGTACTTGTCAACGACTTTATCAACACCTTCGAAGCCGAGTTCCTGAGAGGTGCAAACAACAGATCAGCAAAACACTGGAATGCGTCACCCCGGATTCGCGTACCACAACCTCTTCATATTCGCCCATATTATGCGCCAACGAGGGGTTAAGCACTTTCAGACTCCGAATGATCCGCGTGGTGATGCCTCCGTTACGGCTATGCGGATGCGCTTTCGGGTGCTACTGCAGACCATGGGACTTAATGCTGGCGCCTTGAACCCTGTTCGCTCATGACGTAGGTCAGCTTAGCGGGAACCAGCGACTTGGCTGCGGTCACTGCGCGAAGATCATTAACAACCGGGAATGCCGGTTTAAAATCAAGCCTGGCGCAGAACTAGCATCCGTTCGCTCGTTTGCATCATTTCGAGGCTCAAAACTCCTTGTTGTGGCCTGACAAGATTTATGAGGTTGAAGCCCTACACCGAGCACAAGCCAACTGCACTACTTTCTCCGTCACCAGTACTAGCAGTTATCCAGATCTCTTCTCAATGCTGATACGGTATTGTAGCGTGAGTGTTCCGAGCCCCAAGCAAGAGCTCGATACGTGTGCATGTTCTGCTTGCTATATAAGGCATTCTTATTGCACTATAAGCATGAAGTATACACGATGGCTGTGATGAGTCGTGCATGCGCGTCAAATGCAGAAAAGTTGTCTCATGTATGTGTAGGCATGAGATGGTCTTCGAAAAAATTTCGGATGTTGCTTCACTGTTATCGTCCTTCACCGTGAGACTCTAGGAAACGAACAGTTTCACTTCCAGGGCCCTGCATAGTACCCTTATAGCGTCAACAAACACCACCAGCAGGGCCCGACTCGCTAACATTCACAACACTGATAGCATCACAGCCATGGCTGTGCACAAGCACTCAATAACGGATGATTGGACCACGCAAACACTTGTGCCGTTTCTTTACTATGCATTTGCGTCTACGCTCCCATATCCTGCCGATATTTCAGACCACATTCGACGGGCCATTGACTTCTGCCTGCAGAAACCAGATCACCCCAGCGATGGCGATGATCTGATCTTCGAGCGTGTGTTCATGGCTATCATGCATAGACACAAGAACTTGGCGCCTGACCTTGAGATGGTTGTTGACAATCTGGAGCCTCTGGCGAAGTATCTTATTCGACGAGCACAACTGAAAGGTCCGTATGAACTGTTGGATCGGTCAGATATTGGAAGTGACGCTTGGATAGAGTATGAGCAGCAAAGGCGAGGCAAACTTGTTATCGAGCCTAAAGCAATCCAGAGCGGTACGTTGCACGCTCTGAAACAAATGAGACTCGGCACTGAACTTTTGCCAGAGCAACTTCCACCTATGCGGTCGTCCACTGCACCCTCGAAAGCACCCCCAGCTGAAGACAACCTTGACCCGAGGCTTGTACATGCGCAGCCAGGTCACTTTACAGCAACGTATTTCCCAACGCAGCTAACTACAGACGAGGATAGACACTATCGCCGTCAGAACCGTGACTACGAGTATAACCGGGCGCACAAACAGCAAAAGCAAATTCACGGGCCCATAGTGTCAACTCAAAGTCGCGATACATCTCACGGTCGATCCAATATCGATCGTATAAGTACGTTCGCTCAATCTAGGCCGCATGCTTTGCATGAGGAGCAACATCAGCGACCTCCACAGGTCCCCGCGTACGTCCACCACCGGCCCCAAGACCAAGCAGTACCACCGCGACAGATAACGCCAACCACACAGTGGCCTTTACAGGAGCGGTCCCGACAGCCACGACCAGAACCTTCGAGTTATTATCCAGATGATACTGTCATGAAACTTGGCACAACTACGCAATACACGCAACGGCAAACCCAGCCAGCCCAGCATCCATCGACCCAGCACCAGTCGATCCTATCCAAAGCAGTGATTTACTCGGAGGTGCAGCCGCAGCCATCACAGCTGGTCAAGCCATCTGGTCAGCATCCAAGTTTCTGTCAACCACTACCTCGGCTCCCGCCTACTTCAAAGAACTTCCCCCCTTCACGCTTCGCCCCTGTTCCAATACCTCTTGCGTCCCAGCCCCGAGCCACCGTACCAAGCAGTGACTTCACCCATTTGCGAGGCAATGACTGGTCCAACGCAGCTCAGCAGCGCGCCCGGGAGGTAGCAGCAAAGATCACGAAGTGGGAGCAAGAAGTGACAACACAAGAAATGATGCGCCACCAGCAGGCTATTGCACCGATGCCCTCGAACCTTAACTCTACCAGTAACATGTACAGTCCCAACGGGTCCTCATATACCCTCCCTCCGCGCTCAACAGCCGCGATGACTCAATCCACCGCATCTGCCTACGCTCATGCTCAGCCTGTGTCTTCTGCTACATATGCGCCACCAACCCCGGCAGCTAGGACTTGGGGTAAGGCACTTCCTGACCACTTCGCAAGACCGATTCTACCGAAACCCGAAGAGGTGCGCAGCCGTTATCATACTCCACAGCAGAAGCCCTATACGGTGCCACCGCTGTTGCCAACACTCAGAGCGCAGCAGATGCAAGCCCCGTTCCAATCACAGGGCCAGATGTCCGCCTCATTCCATGCGCAGAATGTAAAGATGCATACTCCGCTACCGGCAGTTGAAGGAGTGCAGGCCGACGCCTTTTCGCAGCTGCAATGTGCGGCTGCTTCAAGCGACGCAGTGTTGGCGCAACCGGAGCTGGGAGCTGGGCTGGGTGAGTTTGATATGCGGGCGCTGGGTGCTTTGGAGGATTGGCTGCGCAAAAATGGTGGTGGAAGCGCAAAGGCGGATGGCGTCTGAGGGGCGAAGCTTGAAGATTGGCTTTGACTGGGTCTCCTTGTGCTATTGGGAATACAATGGTAACATTTGAGACAAGATCTTGCTGCAAGATGAGCGATCTCATAAGATGCTCCAGATGTGTGAATTTAGGAGTAGCTGTCTTGCCACTTCGCTCTTCTGGCTCTGTCTATCGCTTCGTGCCTTTGCTTGTGCCTTGTATAACGACGCCAGGATACGCTTTACCACGTCCTGTGTTGAGCAGGCGGCCATCTAAAGGTCTGTGAGGTCGCCTCGTCAGCAGACGCTGCACGACTTGTGCGTACCTCTGCTGTCGTCGCAGAGCAGTCGGCGGCCTGTAGAGTGCTTCTTTCCACTGTCTAGTAATTTTCATCCGAACCTCTTCCCATATCCCTTCACAACGCCGTCCAGTAATCCTCTCATCCTCTTGCACCCCTCAATCCCCACCGCCAACATGCCCTCCAGCCTCTCCATCCTCACGCGTGTCTCCATTACACACACTGCAACCTTATCACTCTCCCCCAAACACGCTACCGTCAAAAACGGCAATTCCTGCTCCTCCAACGTATTCAAATCCAGTAACGGATCATCCGCACTCGCATTATCCGCCGCACTCGCCGACGCACTCGACGCTGCCGAGCATGCGACCAAGTAATCCGTCATCGGAACACCGGCATCGATCAACGCCAGCGTCGCCGCATTGATGCACGCCGCAAGCAAACTCCCATCCTGGCTGACCACATGCAGACTAATCCCAATCGTCGAATGCGGGAACAAATGGCCCAGCACCACCTCGCCAAACGCCTCACGCAGGCAATGCTCCATCTCGCTGGTGCGCTTGTCGCCGCGCGCATTGCGCCGCCGGTCCACGCCGCTGAATGCTGCGCTCGTGAGCTCGACTTCGATTTTCGCGCTGCCGTTGGCGCCGCCGCGCATGCCGCTGCTGCGTCCTTCGTAGGGGCCGGTCACGCTGCAGAGAATCTTGGTGTTGCCCATCTCGAGGTAGGAGGAGCCGTCGGCGGCGGCTTGCGTGCTAATTTGCGCATGGATGCTGCGGAGCTCGTTCCAGCGCCGGCCGTCCAGGCGGAGCAGGGCGAGCGAGTACGTTGATGTGTCGAGCGGCATTGTGACGAGAATTAGATATTTCAATTTTTGAGTTGAATCCCCGATCTGTAAAACTCGGGAGAGCTGTGTGGGCGAGCTCAGGGAACGGGCGGTGTTCAATTGGTGTTTGGGATTGGCAGTGAATTGATGATGACGCTAGGTTCGATATTTTGGAGCGCGGTCAAAGCTCGAGCAGGGATCCTGGCTGCTGTGAAGAGCCCCGCTCTGCGTGCATGTGACAGCGCGATTTCGCGTCTTCGGTGCAACGCGTCACCTCGACTTTGCTGCACCATCATCAACCTACCTTCACTGCATTGAGCATGACTAATCAACCAAGTCAAGATCCGGGGTGAATACAAGCAGATTGTGTGGCGTCCCTCAGACCAATTCGTCGTCACCATGTCGTTCTCGCACTCAAAGGCAAGCAAAGATTACCACAGAGCTTTACAGTCTTTTGCGGAAAGTGGTGCTGTCAGCGACGAAGAAAGTGATGATGGGCTAGACATTGTCGAGTCGTCTCGCAAACAGCTAGATCTCTCACAATACATTGGAGGTGACAACGTCGCTTTCACCTGTCGACGATCTCATCTTTACTGACACTGCACAGCTCTTACGCAGACGCAAACCCAATCGCAAGACGGCGAGACCATGAAAGCATGCAAGGCTGCTGACGAGGAATCTGACGGCGATGAAGCTTTTGAGACCGCCCTAAAGTTACCAGAGTCACAGGCCACCGAATCTGAAACCGACGATGACGACCCTGGAGTAGAGTCTGAGTGGTCCGAAGAGGATACACGAGCTGCCTACGAGAAGTGGAAGAACCGCAAAACTCTCAAGCGAAAGCGCGCAGTAGCAGAGACTGTGCGAATACGCCAACAGAAGAAGTCAAAAGCAGCCGCTACAACAAGCATCGTTGGCCGCAAGCCTCCACCAAAGGCAAAGCAACAAGACGCTCGCGACGTTGCTTTCAGTACTGACTCAGTGGCCGGTGACGCTGAGGATGCAACATATCTAGATGACCCGATACCCGAGTACATCACCTCGCGCCAGAAGCATCTCAAGAAGTTACATGAGGCAGGGCTGCGATACCCACCCAGCTTCGAGAACATCGAATTTTCAGACTCGGAGACGGAAGAGAAACCGCAGCTTGACAAAGCTGTCAAACCGCAGCGAGGGAAGAAGAAGCTTAGGCTGCGTGAGTCTGGAGGCATTATCCCAGCACCTATAGCGCAGTGGCTACGTGACTATCAGGTGGAGGGTGTCGAGTTTCTGCACGAGCGCTTTGTCAGGCAGACCGGGGCTATCTTGGGTGATGACATGGGTTTGGGTAAAACCATCCAGGTCATCGCGTTCCTCACAGCAGCATTCGGCAAGACAGCGACAAAGACAGACGCGAAGTGTATGCGCAAGATTCGCCGGGATGGCGAAGACCGGTGGTACCCACGTGTGCTCGTTGTCTGCCCGGGAACGCTGATGCAGAACTGGGAAGACGAGCTGTCCAAATGGGGTTGGTGGGAAGTGTACAGATACCACGGCAACGTCGCAGATCGCAAAGGCGTGCTCAGCGCCGCGAAGAGAGGTATGTTGGAGATCATGATCACAACATACAACACCTATCGCATCAACGAGAGTGATGTCAATACGATTGATTGGGACTGTGTTATTGCTGACGAGTGCCACTCGATCAAGAGCAAATCTTCCGAGATCACCATCGCAATGAACAGGATCAACGCGCTGTGCCGTATCGGCCTTACTGGCACTGCTATCCAAAACAAGTACGAAGAGCTGTGGAATCTCCTCAATTGGGCACGACCAGGCGCGTACGGCTCTGCCCAGGAGTGGAAGCAGACAATAAGCGTTCCTTTGAAGATGGGTCAGGCTCACGACGCAACCAACGCTCAGCTAGCGGACTCGCGCAGCAGAGCTCAAGATCTAGTCCACAACATCCTACCTAATGTGTTTCTTCGCAGGATGAAGACACTCATTGCTGACCAACTGCCGAAGAAGAGCGACCGCGTGGTTTTCTGTCAACTTACTGAAACTCAAGCGGACGCATACCGGACGTATCTTGAAAGCGATAGGTGTGAGTACATTCGTACCGCAAAAGAGCCTTGCGACTGCCAATCTGGTAAACCCAGAGGCTGGTGCTGTTACACAGATATACCCGGAATCGAAGAGAAATGGGCAAAGTTTATGTTTCCATGCATGGTCACGCTTCAGAAGCTCGCGAACCACATCGCCCTGATTGTCCCTTCGTCAACAGACACCAAAGAGAAGCAAGCAAAGGATCTACAGAACTTGGAGACAGCGTGCCCTGATACATACCGGGAGCTCTGGCGCAATAGAGATGCCATCCTCAATCAGTCTCAGCGCGAATTCTGCGGGAAATGGAAGGTTCTGCGTCGTCTACTGGACTTCTGGCACTCGAACGGCGATAAAGTCCTCATTTTCTCACACTCCGTTCGTCTCTTGAGACTCCTTCGCGGCCTCTTCGACGTGGATGGCACGAAGTACAACTTCTCGTACCTCGACGGTAGCATGAAGTACGAAGATCGCTCGAAAGCTGTGGCCGACTTTAACGCCGACCCGGAGCAATTTGTGTTTCTGATTAGCACGAAGGCGGGTGGCGTGGGACTCAATATCACGTCTGCTAATAAAGTCGTCGTTGTGGACCCGAATTGGAACCCAGCGTACGACCTGCAAGCACAGGACCGTGCATACCGCATTGGACAAACGCGAGACGTCGAAGTCTTTCGCCTAGTATCGAGTGGCACGATTGAGGAGATTGTGTACGCGCGCCAGATCTACAAGCAACAACAGGCCAACATCGGGTACAACGCCTCTGAAGAGCGGCGCTACTTCAAAGGCGTGATGGACCAAGCGAGCAAAAAGGGCGAGCTCTTTGGGCTGGAGAATTTATTCACGTTTCAAGAAAACAGCGTGCTGCTTAGGGATATCATGCACAAAACCAACGTTGCTGAATCGCGGGCGGGTGTGCAAGCCGTAGACTTCCAGTTCGACGAGACGCAATACTCGTCCGACGACGACGAAGACATCCTATCCAACAGAAACCTCGGAATCGACGATTCCAACCTTGCGAACATCAAGAAGCTTGCTGAGTCACTCTCCAACCCCGGCAGCGATGTGAAGCGGCGCGGCCGCAAGAAATACCAGAAGAAACTCGGCGCGGACCCGATCAGTGCAATCTTAGCAAAAGCGGGCGTACAGTATACGCACGAAAACTCCGAAGTCATTGGCCGCAGCGAAGTCGAAGCGCGCCTGGGCAAGCAGGCAATGGAGCTGCGCAACGACATCGATCTCTCCGCGGCGCAAGTCTTCCAAGCAACCCAGAGTCAGCGCGGCTCGAATACCCACGCCCACCCTCTTGCGTTTGAGGAAGACGCTGAAGTCGACGAAGACGACGAGATCATACTACCAGGCGGCGCTCAGAAACGCGAGTTCAAAATCAACTACCGATACCGCCCCGATGAGCAGGTGCGCCAAAGACAGTTCTGCGCCATGGCGGAAAGCATGGGATTCGAGGATCCTGCTGAATTTGCGCTGCTTGTAGAGAGTAGTACTCAGGCCGAGAGGCGGAAGATGCTGGAGAGGTTCTATCGGGGCCGCAGGAAGGGGCTTGCGAAGGAGTTGGGTAGTTGAGAAGGCATGAGTGATGGTCGTTCGACAACAGATCGAAAAAATGGAGACGATGATACCCCGGAGTTGATGCCGTAAATAGGCAGAATTCGCGAGCATTTTCTACGAATCTTACGAGAGCAGCGTATGTGGACTGTAGTAGTTCCCTCGGCGAGTGATGATGAACCAATGAGAAGATACCTTTGTATTCCAATCGATAATCCTCCACATGTTATCGTGCACTCCACAGTCATCCCGCCCTCCACTCCCTTATGTAATGCACATAAACGTGACGGTGCTGAACGCTCGAACTCCGGTACCCAGCACTGGGCGGCTCCACATAGCTCTGATCATGTCGGCGAATCCCACCGCCACGAGCGGGAAGCGCTCCCCCGACCTCTGCCAGTCCAAATCGGGCTCCAGCACTAACTTATTTGTCGACAGCGGGCCGAAACGAGACAGCGTCATCGAGGATGGGTGAGTGCGCTTGTGCTCAACGGGAGAGGGATCTGCGTTGTTCTTGAGGTCTGTGTGCGAAGTGTCTGCGCTAAAGGCGCGGCGGACACTACCGGTCTTTCGATGTCCTGTGGTAGGTAGAGAGAAAGGCGGCCCGTGCGTTATGGAGACTTGAGTAGGTGGATTCCAGGGAATGGATATATCTTGGGGGCCCGTAGATGTGGTATGGGGCAGGGGTTGTATTTTTTGCCTTAAGTTCTACTGTAGTTTCGTGCTTCCTCAATTCAGTATGCGTAAGCCAGTATTCTTAGCTGCTGTCCGTCTCCTTTCTCGGTCCCTTGCTGCTCCGGCACCAGCACCAGTTGCAGAATCATTCGCAGATGTCACATTCGCATCCACGATTGATGAAGCAGCTATTGGGGCTATAGAAGAGCGACAGCTTCCTAACCTTGTTGATGGCGTGCTTGGGCTCGTTGGTGGACTTCTGAAGGATGTGGATAGTGCTGTTGCAGCCGGCAATCCGACAGCTGTCAGTGCTGCATTGGTAGAGATTCAGCCCACCTCAAAACCTACCGCAATCTCTCAAGTGCTGTCAAAGCAGGCATCTATCTGGGCATCACCCACTCGGACAGACTTCTACGGTGGTATCGCCACGCAAGTCGCCAATGGTCTGGGACCGGTTTTGGACGGGACTCTCACCACTGCGCTCCAAGGCGGCCTTCCTGTAGGCGATAATAGCATCAACAACAACAACAGAGTTGTTGCTGGGTTATATCCCAAGAAGCAGGGAACGACCGATGCTCCCTACTCCGTCTCGGAAGCTAGCCTGCGCGCCGCAATCTTCATCCCACCGGGCTTCACCTATGGCAACAAGACGCCTGTCCTCTTCGTCCCCGGTACAGGCGCATACGGCGGCGTCAACTTCGCGAACAACCTCCGCAAGCTGCTCACCGGCAAATCCTACGCAGACCCCGTCTGGCTTAATGTCCCCGGCGCTATGCTTGACGACACCCAAACCAACGCCGAATACGTCGCGTACGCAATAAATTATATCGGCGCCCTATCCGGCAGCGTCGAGGACCCCAAGAAAATCGCCGTCATCTCCTGGTCCCAGGGCGGCCTCGACACCCAATGGGTTCTGAAGTACTGGCCCAGCACCCGCAAAATCGTCCAGGACTTCCTCCCCATCTCGCCCGACTTCCACGGCACCGTGCTTGCCAACGCGCTCTGTCTGGCACCCACCTCGCAGCTCGGCGCCGTCCCCTGCCCACCCAGCGTCATCCAGCAACAGTACACCTCAAGCTATATAACACAGTTACGCCGCAACAACGGCGATCGCGCGCTCGTGCCCACCACAACGTTCTACTCCGCGCTCTTCGACGAGGTTGTTGAGCCGCAGCAAGGCACCGCCGCGTCGGCGTTCCTGCCCGCTGGCGACAGCGCGCCAGCCTCCAATAACGAGGTGCAGAGCGTGTGTGCGCTGCAGCCCGGCAGCGGGTTCTACGGGCATGCGGGCGTGCTGTTTCATCCGCTCACGTGGGCGCTGGTAATCGATGCGCTGACGCACCCAGGGAGTACGGGGCAGGTGGGGCGAATTGATAGACAGAAGGTTTGTGGGGATTTGGTGGCGCCGGGGTTGGACCTGGATGATGTGCTTGCGACGAGTGGGTTGATTGCGATCGCGGGCGTGTCGTTGCTGACGTCTCCGAAGAAGAGGGTCACGGAGCCGCCGTTGAGGGAATATGCTACGTTCTAGATGGGTGATGCTGTGAGCGTTTTGTTAGTTGTATAGATCGTGCTGCTTGTTCCAGATGTTTTCCACTATGGTTTTTGTGAGGTTTAGTGTGAGGGTGTGATGTGAGCCTTAAGGATGAGGCTGGTGTGACGGTGTACAGAGCTCTGGCCAACAGTTTATTGGGTATCCAACTGTCAGCCCTGCCATTGTTACGCCTCACCTCGTGCAAATCAAGCAACGCATCAATCCTCGATCGTACATCGTACAAGGTTTCCAGGAGTATGTGCCGCAGAGGCTCAGGCGCGCAACAGCACAAGCGAGGCCACTGGTGGCGCGCCGACGATCGGGGTTCTGTTCGCGTTGGTGGCGTCCGTTGAGCGAAACAACATCCCCCCATTTTCTCCCCTTCACACACTCACACCGTAACCACCACACCTGGTACCTATCAATTGCCCGCAGCAGCGTCAATTGCACATTCCAATTGTGAACGTTTACCAAACTGACGACTCACCACCACGTACGGCCTTCGCAGCCACCATGGAGCCACCCCGCAGCCCCGCGCCTGATCAAGGTATTTACACGCAACGCATGAGAACCGGTGTTCACGCTTCTCTGCTCCTCTTTCTCATTCCCAGAGACAGGGAAGCAGGGAAGCGCGATCTGAGAAATACGGTCTGAACTTGATCAGGTTAACGCCTGCGAAAGGACTCCATGCCTGCACGCTCCAGCGTCAGACTGCTACTGACACGCGCAGGGCCCCCGTGATGACGGACTCCGACACTTCCAATGTTAATGCTACTCAGAGGAGCGATAAGCACGCGGTGCTTGCGCCAGAGGCTGGTGGCGGACTGCCCACGTCGGAGCGCGCTTCTGATCAAGGCGGGCTGCGGCGCGCGTGGGTCGCGTTTGAGACGCAGCTTGTAGCGTACAATCTCGAGGCGCGCGGCATCCAGCGCGTGGAGCCAGACGAGAGGCAAGAGCTGCGTGCGTTAGGGTACTCGCAGGTGGCGATCATGTGGTTTTCGGTGAATCTGGCAGCCAACAATATTACGTTGGGGATGCTCGGACCCGCGGTTTTTGCGCTGGGGTTCGTGGACAGCTGTTTGTTGAGCGTGTTCGGAGCGCTTGTAGGGTCTGTGGTCGTTGCGTATATTGCGACGTTTGGACCGCGCAGTGGGACGAGGACGATGGTGTTCTCGCGGTATAGTATGGGGTGGTGGCCTTCCAAGATTGTGGTGTTGCTGAACATTGTCGTGTTGCTAGGGTACGGCATGATTGATTGCGTAGTGGCAGGCCAGATTCTCTCTGCCGTTTCTGGCAACACCATGTCTGTCGTAGTCGGCATCATTATCGTGGCGGTCATTGCGTGGGCCATTACCACTTTCGGGTACCAGATCTTCCACTACTACGAGCGCTGGGCATGGCTGCCTCAGCTCGTTGTTCTTTGTATCCTTGCCGGCGTCGCAGGCCCAAATTTCAACGTCTCTGCAGCGTCCCACGGCGACGAGAACCCGGATACTATCATCGGCAATAGGATCAGCTTTTTTGGCCTCACCCTCGCCGCAGCTATCACGTATGGCGGTGGAGCAGCAGACTACTTTGTCTACTATCCCGAACACGCCTCTTCTTTCAAGATCTTCGGCATGACCCTGTTTGGCCTCATCTGTAGCTTTACCTTCGCCTTCGTGCTCGGAATCGGTCTAGCTTGTGGCATGCTGGCCAACCCCGACTGGGAAGCCGCGTACGGCACCTCTCAAGGCGCACTTATCGTTGAAGCCTACCGCCCCCTTGGTGTATTCGGCTCTTTCTGCGGTGTTGTAGTCGCGCTCGGTCTCGTCGCCAACCTCATCGTACCAACCTACTCTTCTGGCATTGACGCGCAGATCCTGGGTCGCTGGGCCGGTGCGGTTCCACGCGTGATCTGGAACACAGTCGGCGTTATCATCTATACCGTCTGCGCTCTGGCAGGCCGCGCCCACCTTGCAGAAATCTTCACCAACTTCCTTGCCCTGATGGGGTACTGGGTATCAATCTGGATCGCCATCGTGCTGGAGGAGCACCTCATCTTCCGCCGCAAGACGGGTTGGAACTGGGACGTGTGGAACCAGCAGAAAAAGCTGCCTTTGGGGATCGCAGCGTTTGTGGCGTTCGTCGTGGGCTGGGTCGGCGCCATCCTTTGCATGGCGCAGGTCTGGTACTATGGACCCATCGCGTTGCTGGTGGGCACTTACGGTGCTGACATGGGTAACTACGTTGGATTCGCCTGGGCTGCGCTCGTCTACCCGCCGTTGCGGATGTTGGAGATCAAGAAGTTTGGTAGATGAATGACGCGAAAGGAGATTGGGGTTGGACAGTGCCTTGTGCTGCTTCTCCGCGCTACTGCGGTCGGCCTACCGCACTGCTGCTGTGTTTGCCTCCTTGGGAGGCTGCATACTGTCGATTGTTCGTATGTTTTGCATGTCAAGACGTATATTTTTCGAGTTTGTTCTCTATCACTGTATTTGCTCTAATCCCATCACCACTCTACTTACTGAGACGTCTTGGCGTATGCGCCTTCACCGCGACTTCCGTTCTCGCTTCCCCCCACCAGGCCCTTACTTCTCCGGTCTCGGCTCCCTTTCTCTCGCACTCACACCGCAACAAATTTGGCCCCACACCTTATATCGCGTTCCGGTCCAGCATCGACATGCCGTCCTGTAGGTACTCAAGACCTTGCAGGGTCGATGGTCAGCTAACTTGCACACAGACGCCGACGAGGCGCTCATCAGTCTCGCAGACGACGACCTCATAAGTCTCGCCTCTGACTCGGCAGCAAGTCTCGCATCCCCCACTACTGCATCCGCCACGAGCAAGATGGAAGTCAACCGCCTCAAGCCTTTGCAGCGTGACAGCTTTTCTGACCTCACCTGCCTAATGAAGGCCAAGAAGCCCTACACACCGGTTCTTCCTTCCTCGCCAAGCCCCTCGATGTCACGCCCAGTCATTGGTAAGCTTGCAATTCAATTCATGATTATCACGTACTAATATCCTTCAGACATGCAGTTCGCCAGCCGCGTGAGCAGCGGCAGCAGCATTCAGTCCCCAAATACGCGGGCGCACTACGCGGATCGCTCAGTCGCAGCTTTCTTGCAGAGCCAGTATCCTCCGACCACTGCTTCAGAAGCTTCGGTCCCCCAGGAGTACAGCCAGCAGCGTATGGAGCAGTTCGAGTCGATCATGCAGAGAGTTGCAGACCTGTGCAAAGACGAAGACGACGACGACAACGACGACGACGACGACGCTACTGTTTGCAACACTGTCAACCCGTTCCAGCCTGATCCAAAGCTCTCAGTTAGACCCATCGCCCCTCCCACGCCAGCCTTGTCAACCAGTCCTGCGTTGCCAGAAGAGCCTATGGTGCGTGTCACCAAGCACGTCTGGGACGCTATGGGCAGAGATCTGAAGGCCTGCGAGGAGAAAAATGAAGCGCTGGAGCTTAAGATCGCGCGTCTGGAGAAACGCAAAGTCACGTCTCCAGGAGAAGACTACCAGAATGACTTGGAGACACGAATTGGCAAACTGCAGTACCAGAACGAAACCAACAAGACCCAGATGGCTACAATGGCTCGCACCATGGCAGAGAAAGACATGCAGATTAAGCAGATGCAGCTCGAGATGTTCAGCACCAACAGGCGTTTAGAAGATGCGACAACAGCGGCTAAGAATCACGTTGAGGTCGCTGCAAAGCTCGAATATCTCCAGATGACGACGAAGAACGGTAGGGCCAATGACTGTCCTCAAGACAGCTTTCGCCAACTGTCTGACAAATCTCATCAATCGTCCCACAACCTTCGTCATCTGACCGACCTGGCCGATGTCAAGAATCGTGAGATCAAGGCGCTTTCTCAGAAGGCTGAAGCGGCACTCAAACAAGTGGCCAGTGCCCACAAAGATGCAGACAAGTATAAGACACTGGCACAGGAGCACCAGAAAGAGCTCACTCAGTGTGAGAAGTTGCTGCAATCCACCAAAGAGAAGTATGCGGCCGAGCACATAAAGGTAGGCGAGCTTGAGGACCGCGTTGAAGACATTCAGCGTGAGCTATCTCAAGGTGGCGATCTCCGTGGTCAACTCAAGGAGAAGACCAGTGCTTGCGACCGCCTTCGCAACGAGCTCAATGCCCAGACGAAAGCTTTTGAAGACCTCATTGGTGAGCTCTCCCACGTCAGTGACCTTAAGAGCCAGCTACACGCGAAGACAATGACTACCGATGAGCTCCGCATCAAGTTCAAGGAACAGAAGAGGGCAGCTAAAGAAGCGGAAACACGTCTCCTACGTGCCTCGGACGATGGCAAAGCTTTGCGTGGTGGCGTTCATCTCGTCAAGCCCGCGTCAGACACCAAACTGTCTCCGCTCGTCCTCAGCTGTCTTGAGTGTTACAACAAGAACATCACTTGTGACAACAAAGCCCGCTGCCGCCACTGTTACGAGAACAACGAGACCTGCTCTCGATGGCGCTGCAGCCTCAAGCACATTCTTGGCCAGTGCACAAACCTTCCCTGCACCTTCCCCCACGAAGCTGATGGCTGGCTGGTGGCAACCGAACCAAGGCCTCAGTGGTAGAGCGGGACGTCGGTCATTTTGACGTTAGTCATTTGGAAACAACGATTTGGGGCGTTCAGGTAGAGTGTATTGCTTCGCAGTCTCTGCACACGGTTTGCTTAGCAAACCAACGACGCTAGCCGTATAGCAAATCTCACCATCTTTCTGTATCCTCACGCTCCCTCATTCTCTTCATGCGCCACCTCTTCTACGAGGCATGCCTAAGATTATGCTACTAGATTTCTGCTTCTACTTCTTAGGTTGACCCGTACACTTATAGCATCGCACTTCCCTACCGTACTGATTAGGGCCGCAGATTGTGTTGCGCGAATGGCAGCAGGCTCACAGAAAGCCTTAGCAGTATCACTCCGTCCGAAAAGCTGTACGTGGTAGCTGAATTATGAATTGAAAACGCTGAACGCTTAAAGCGCAAGACTGGACGAAAGACACCCATAGAGCCTAACGCAATCGCCTGAATGCCTGCACCCAAGACTATGTATCATCATCCCTCGTCAACCATCAATGCCGTCCCACAAGGCCGTCGCCTATTTAATCATAACATCAAAGCAAGTGCTCCACCTAGGCTTGCCTCCATACTCCCAGACCCACACCATCATATGGCGACCCTTCTCCATATCCTGGGGCATATCAAGTGTCATCCAGTTGCCCTTGTCCAGCATACCCTGAGTCGGACTCTTCACGCTCTTATCCTCGGGCCAGATGAAAGCCTCCTCCGCAAATCCCGCCTCCTTCAACTTATTCTTCTCTGCAAACTCCTCAATGTCCTTGATCTCCGCCTCCTTCTTCCCCTTCCAATACACCACCACCTTCCCAGGGTCCCCTCCATCCACATTCGACCCACGCGAGTGCCCATTCCCGCCAAACATGAGCTTAATACTGCCCCCCGGCTTCGCCGTTGCCATGCCCGCCTTCTCGTCCTCAAAGTACGTCGGGCTGCGCTGACTGGGGTGGCACGCGTTCGTGTCGCCCTCCCACGTGCGCGCCGCAATATCCCACAGGTAGTTGCTCGACTCGTCGATCCAGTTGCCCGGGTTGTGTTTTGCGCGCGGCCAGCCGTGGCAGAAGACGGCGAGCCCGGGCGCGAAGGTGTCGACGTACAGGTCGCCGGGTGCGCGGTACTCGGACGCGTTGCCCTTCATCCAGTCGAGGATTTTCGCGTTGTCTTGGTCGGTGCAGCCGAGCCAGGAGTGGGCGGCTGCTGTGGCTGTGAGGCCAAGGAGGAAGGGGAGTGGACGGATCATGGTTTGTTGTTTGTGTGTTTGGTGTTTGGAGGGTCGATGTAAGTCTGTTCTGCCGATCTTTTTGTCTCCATGGTGCGCTCTTTATGCGGGTTTGTTGTCACATCGATTGTGGGAATTGAAGTGGGTAATCGGACTTCGTGGTTCGGGGTTGGGGGCACAGCGCTGTACCGAGCGCACATTGAAAAACTTCAAACGACGCCACACCTTCAAGATGCACTGTCTGCTGCCAAACCAACGGATCTGAAGTAATCAAATTACCACAATTGTGATTGGGGACTGAGAACTGTGCTGTTGAAGTCCGGAGAGGCTGTGCTGTGGTTCGTGCATGGTTTGGCCCTGGTGACACTGACCAGAGGCGGTAGATCTCGACCATCTTGCTTCAATGAACTAGTGTGTGAAGCTACCTACTTCATAGCAAATCTGAAGATCAATGCATCAACTGCATCTGGTGTTGTCTCTGCATCAAGTCTGCTCCATTCTGTGAGCCTTAAATTTCTGTGAGAACCAGCATGGAGGGACTCAACGTAGCAATGGCGCAGTGGTGGCCGTAGTCGTATCACAAGACTGACCATATTCTTTTAATTTTATGTCTCCTGTCGCAATGCGTGAGGTTTCGCTTCAGATGTTTGTTTGAAGGTTGATCAAGTCGGGGTAAGCTGACGCGAAGTCCGTTGCCAGGTTTGGCCACCGGCCACATGAAAGCCGAGCATTGTACGACTGCCCATGAAGAACAGGGTAGAGAAAGCGACGAACCAACAGCTGCAATTGAGTCACATTGATTAATTCTTTGAGAGTCTGAGCTGAGACTGTGCGTCTAGATTATCTAAATTTTGATCGTCAGCCAAAAGTGTGAATCATAATGTTCATGCTATGCGAGGAATTGGAGTGGAATGAAAAGCTTTGTTTTGCTAAAGATATGTCTCGTGTCTTCGTAATGTATCTTGTAAAGGTAGGTTGTTTCATTTTGAGGCTCTCTTGTAATTCCCCCGTAGGGTTGGACATCTCACAGACTTTCTCTTGTCCCGACTTCCCATTGCAGAAACTTGACATTTGCCTGGTAAAGTTCGTTATCATAGTATCTTCCTCCAATCGCATAGTCGAGCAATAGTCTCGCGAAGCCGTCATCTTGCCGTCTCAAAAGGCGGCAGAATTCTTCGTCGTCCCTTCCAAGAACGTACTGCACGAAACATGCGTTCATGAGAAAGCTGGTAGCATATGCGATATCCTCAACATCTTTGACAGAGGGGCTGATGATGAATCCTAGTATCGGTGAAAGATATTTCGATTTCGAAGGGTCTAGAACTGTGATGAGGTAGACAAAGGTGAGTGGGTTATCGACTTTTGCAGACCGAAGCGATGCTCTGATTTGGTGTTCTCGGTCCTGGCTCAAGCGAATGTCGCTCAGGACAATGATAGTCCTGCGTCCCACTCGTTCGCGATCGATTCGGTAGATCGCGGTCTCTGCTTGCGGTCCGTTCCGCTCATGCGGAGTGTCCTCCACAGTATTGATGTCAATTTTAATGGCAGGGTTCGCGTTGGTCGAAACCAAGTGTCGGTTGAGACAAGCGACGAAATGATTGCGCAAGCTGTGGGTCGCCGTAGGGACGTAGTCGGATATAACGGCAACTGCGATATCGTCTGCTGCGCTCTGATTGCTTCCTGGTGTTGTCGTTGGATGTTGCGCAGCTTTAGACCCAGAGCCATTGGCGATGAAGGCCTTAGCGCAGTCCGTGCCGAAACGGTGCGCTAGCTTGTCATCCCCGAAGACGTAGCGTTGGTAGTCCTTGATGTTGAGGGGGAAAGTCACTTCGTCGTCCCCTGTGATTTGGTGGAGGGCGAAGACATTGTCAACCATCGAGCTGTAATAGCTCTGCTCAGGCGTGGAACTGAAAACATCGAAGGAGCCATCGGTGGGAATTTGAGGGCCATCCGAGGTGTGCTTGGCAGCGTCTATCGTGTAGCGGAAGCAGCTGCAATCGCTTTACACAGCCCCGTCACGTGAGCGCTATGCCTTGAAATTGTATGCAGATCCAGGGGAGAAAATGCCGCAAGACACGCAAATTCTGGGCCCTTCCACGGATCGTGCCTCGAAAAGCTGTAGCGGTAGGGCTACAAACGCCACGGCCCTGCCGATCGCATCAGGTATCAAGATTCAGGTGCGCTCACGACCTCCCAGTATCTAATGCATTGTAGCGGCGTGCGTCGAGTACCCGTCCATTCGATCAGGGATTATGAGAGCGAGAGTCAATGATGTGGTCACTTCAAAGGCGCCCGAGTCAAAGAGCGGTGACGTTGCCGCACACTGACAAGATGGTGTACCGGTAACTGCCAGAAAACTCCGAATTGCCCGCCGCCAGCGGGATTCTTGCGCAATATCGCGCTTTTTGATGAACTGCCATTAGCCATGTCTTTCAAAGATGAGCTCTTGGCGTTCGGGGAAGCTTTGAAGTCCTAAAAGGTAGAATGTCCATGCAAACCCAGATTTTGTATTGTGTAACTATCCGTATCGTATATGCCGTGGACCGTGAGAAACAAGCGAGCGATCTGGCGCCAAGCTTAGCAGCGGAAAGCTTGCCACCCTTGTGCCGTGCTGATCTCATCGCTGCAATCGGCCCTTGAACCACTCTTCAATTGCAACTTGTGCATCGTCTTTCTTTGCCCCAGCGACCGCAGTGTCGAACACTGGCGCCACGTGTTGGTGCTCGGCTGACTCGACAAATATGACCCGACTGATATCGCCACCCCCATGTGCCCAGCCTGCCTTGAAGGTCGTCTCCAGCTCACGTATCGAATCAACGAAAACCTCGTAGCCGCCGCTCCACACAAAAACATCACTGACGACCTGGTCCATGCTGTTCCACCATGACGCAGGGTTGAGGCAAGCCTCGGTATAGGCGTCTCCTCTGGAGGCTAGTCCTGGATCAGCTTCAGGATTGGAGGTGTCCGCTTTATCCAGAAATATAGCACTCCATTTGCGCAGTGCGGCGGGATTGAGAATGTCTCGAGGCCCGTGTGTCTTGTAACTGGGATAGTCTGTGCTGAAGCTGACCCACGGACTGAGGAGAAGAGCCCCGCCCAGAGGACTCTTGAGCTCCAATGCAAAGACATCTGGATGAGGATGTAGTATATGCGAAAGCAGAGAGAGTGCCAGGTTGCCGCCTGCGGAGTCACCAGCAAGGAATATACTCGATGGAGAGCGGCCGCTTTCGTGAACGAGGTGTGCGAGAACTATAGCTGCTTCTCTCAGTTGCGTGGGGTACGTAGCTTCAGGAGCCAACGTGTAAGCAAGCACCAAGACTGAGACATTGTTTCTAGCGCTGTTCAAATATGAAACCAATCCGTCGAGATGTTGGAAATTGCCCTGATTCGCCGGCAAAACATATGCACCACCATGGCAGTAAAGAATGACAGTGTCTGCGTCGGGCTCTCCTATCCAATGCGCAACAGCTCTTCCATTCTCGGTGTCGAGGTGAAGTGTTTTAGGCGCTAGGCCTTGAGGCTTGCAGTATCGTTTGACATATTCGTCGCTGGTTGTGCCGATCAGGAATCGGGCATCCGCAATGGAAATACAACCCATCACACAGCGTACTGCAGCGCCGCGAACATCCTGGCCTAGTGTCGATGCTCGAACTTTCCGAAACGGGTATGTTGTGAGTCGGTAGATAGCCGTGGAAACTGTCGGCCTATTAGCTCCCAATCCACTCGAGGACAGCAGACACCACTGACCCACATTAGCAAGTAACCACCCAATGCGGAGGTAGCTTGCAGAGCCATACACAGCCTTCAAAGACATTTTGGCAGTGGTCAGAGTTAAAAAGAAGGCACAATTCACGGAAGCCGCACTATAAGGTACTTTCTTGAACCACCTGATTTCTAAGTTCGCGGGAAAGCGAGAGACCGAGCAGCGGAGTCGGCCTTGTCAATTACTGCCAAGATCTCCGAACGCCCCACTACCTAGCCTTCAGCTTTTGTGAGCGCGCTGGCTAATTGGCGTAGATGTGCCAATGATGGCGCAGCTTGAGGATCAGTTGCCGCAAAGCGAGCAATAGTGGTTGGCCCATTAACAGGTAGTGCCCATCCGTGCTGAAAAGTGCGTGTCTTCTGAGCTTACCATACATTGGTGAACACCAGACAGATCACTCATCTAACAGCTTTTTTACACACTAATTGCACCGCCGTGGCAGATTGACTGAGTTGTGCGCCGACTCCTATGTTCACAGATACTAGGTATGGAAGCTAGTGCCAGGATGTTCCCACCGCGTAACCCACGAACCATGCTCAGTCGAGACGACATTAATATAGACACTGTGTTTGTATAGCTTCAGATAAACCTGTGTCTCCACAGACCAAATATGCAGATCGTTGGATGTCCGTTCATGAGTTCGATATGATTCGCTCACAGCCAAAGTCGGTCCACATTTCTACAAACCAGGCCAGCATTCTGCAGGCAGATCAGGCTACATGGAACAAACATACGTAACTGCTTCTTGCCAAATTCTAAAAAAACCTTGGTGAATACACTACTTCTCTGTAAGTCTACCGCAAGACAGCATATCCGGCGTGCTAAGCTTCTATGGATTCTGATAACAGGACGTCCAAGGCGGAAGGACGATGAAGACGCTGCAAGCGAAAGATCTGGAAGTGGAGGAGAGAGGAAGCAAAACTAATTCCTGCGAATCCTTCAGAGAGAGGGTGAATGTTGTGAAGAAGATACTTCATGTGCCAATGAATTATGTCCTTTCAGCCTGGCGTAGGTGCAATGGTGGCGCTGCGCTAAGAGGACGTCCTTCAGCCTTTCAGGGAAGAAGTTTTCAGTCATAATCGGTAACGTGAAGGCTTGAGCAAGAGCCCAAAAACTATTTACTGTCACTGCACAATAAGCTGGTGGCACGCGGAGCTTCACAGCACCCTCCTGTCTAAAATACACGAGCAAGCTGATGAGTATTGAGTAACTCTTTGCAGGCACTACAGTTTGCTACAAATACGCCTTCGAAATCTCCAGTTCCCGTCGGTACACCCATTACAATTTAACACTTTGACTGCAGCGGAGCTTCATCTTCTTCGCATTTTCCTAACAATCTGGAGTCTGTTACCGTCCAGCATCATCTGTACATGATGGAGGGCGGGCGCTGCATTCGGATCAGACTGCAGTTGTATCCGAGAAAAGCACACTCGACATGTGAACGTCACTGTACATTTGAGCAATACAACATGCGAGGGGATACTACGGAAGTGTGATCATTTTCCCGCCTCTTGAAGGCTGGACGAGGTGCTTGAGGGTGTGGTCTTCAGCCTTGCGGCTCCGGATTGAAGGTCCAATTGGTCAGTTAAACGATTGTGGCTATCAGACTCGAAAGGGTGTGGTAAGCTTCAGCCTGATCATCTTGATCTATTCTCAGCCTTCTCAGTAGATCAGGGTGATGGGTACTCTGCTTACCAATGCAGAACTTTTAATATGTCCTTTGACGAAACCTCGAGAGGCTTGAAAGCCTCTCCAGAAGCCCTTTGTGTACTTTACCCCCTCTTCTTCTGCCACTATGTGGGAACCCTTTGGGAAAGCCCCGGAAAACAATACAGCCTATTGGCAAGAAGGCCCCAAAGTCAGGGGAACTTGGAGTATCCTGTCATCCTGTCTCATCACTTTGACACTCTGTGTCTACACTTCACTCCATTTGAACATTCCAGAGCATGGCAGGACGTACTGGCACCAATTCTGGGAGAAAGCATGGTGGGTGGTTCTGGGAATAGCAACGCCTGAATTTGTGAGTGATGTTTTACCGAGTTTGAGAATCGCAATTGACCACTAAGATTGCGTATACCGCTATGCGAGAGTCGCTCTTCGCTGGCTATCTCGACCACGACATGCAAAAAGCCTTGAAAAACCAGACGACACCTTCAAGTTCTTCGCAAGGCTTCCAAATGGAGTCCAGGGGTGAAGCCACAGACTCCCGTCGAACTAGTGGACAATCTGGTCATGTAAGGGTTACAAGCAACCTCACACGGCCGACACCTAATCCACTCATTAACGCTGACACACAATTGAGCGGCCATCGACACTGGATATCGCGGCGAAGACACCCATGGACAAGGGTCCACAGCTACTTCGCCCTTATGGGTGGCTTTGCGCTCGACACCAGTGAAATGTCGATCAACATATTCGACGAAAACCAGACGCGGGGCACACTGTGTGTTTCGGTGCTTTTGATGATCGCTCAGACGATGCCAAAGTTTATTCCCGACATATCACAACGGGAGATTCGAGATAAGAGTAAGGCGAATGCGCTTGCAAAGTTTCTAGTCTGCGTACAAGCAAGCTGGTTCTGTGCTCAGATGGCTGGGCGTTTGGCGACTGACGACAATCCTATCAGCCTACTCGAGCTGAACACTTTTCTCCACGCGATCTGTTGCTTGGCAACGTATGGAGCATGGTGGCATAAGCCGCTCGACATTCACGAACCGGAACTGATCGATGCCTCCAAGCAGAAAAACCATCGATTTTATGCGCGATTGTGCCTCGGAAGAAAGCTGCACTGCAGTAGGCTCAATGGCAGCTTCACTGCCATCATGGAACGTGGCCCCCCTCCTGATGGTCCCCCTCCTGGTGGTCCCACAAACCCACAAGCTCCCAAGGAAGACTATACTTTTGCGTTCAGGTCAAAAAGATGTCACCCAAGACGTGAAACGAGCTATACAAGAGCTTGATGAGGATAGGCAACATATAACACTTCGACTGTATGACCAGCAAGCCTGCTTCGGCTACTATCTCAAGATTTCACAGAAACCCGCGGTCAATACTGTTTATGCGGAGTTGAAATGGGCTGACCTCGAATGTCTCAGACTTGCAGACGAACTGATCTGTGCCGGTGAACCGGCCGTCCAAGAACATCCTCAGGACGCATGGAAAGCAGAGTGGGACTCCAAAGAGCAGTTGGAAGCCTTCGTTGAACACGCCTCCATGGTCAAAACCCCCGGCGGGCTCACACGTTTGACGCCACCTATGTCCGTCACGAACTCCAAGTTCTTAGGAGGGTTGTTCTCTGGTTTCAAAACCCTGGATCTCGTACTCTGGTTTTGCCTGTTTGCTGCTAGCGCGATCTATGGGGGTGTACACCTTTTCGCATGGAACGGTCCGTTCCATACTTCTAGAGAGCAGTGGATGTGGAGAATCTCCTCTATTATCGTGACATGCCCTATCCTATTCTTTCCTTGTCTCCTTATCGTCGTACACGTGATAGCCATCACTACTGGTGATGAAGGCTCTCGAGGCGAGACAATGGGACAAGTAGCCATATTTGTTACGTTGCTTACTTTTGTGCTGGCACACAGTGCTGCAAGAGTCATTCTCCTGGTCGAGTGCTTTATCAACCTGAGTCACCTTCCTCCAGAAGTATACAAGGAGCCAGCGTGGAGTCGATACATCCCCCATTTCAGTGCTGGTTGAATTCCCATGGAAGTTGCAAACAGAGAGGTACCCTGACCTAGTGTAGACCGAGGACTTACGAATCATTATAAGGACTGTTCAGTTTCTTTCTGTATTTGGACAAAAAGACTCCACGTGCCCCAGCAATACTGCATGTGCAAAAGATGCTCGGCGTTTTACCGCCGAACGGCTTATCATCACCATGCTCCCCTCCGGCGATCCATCACCGGCGCTACGACGCCATCCAACACACATAAGAAGCAAGCGCCCACAAGCCTCCTCCCAACGCATCTAGAGTCTACACTTCGTAGACCTAACAAAGAAGAGCAACTGTCACACCAATCCCCACGAGCACAGCACGATCCCCAACATGGACCGTCCCCCGTCCCCCATATTAACCCTCCTCGCAACCCACCTCCGCGTATCCGCGACCCTTCAAATCAACGAACGCGTCCAGGCCCGTCTCCAACAAGGACACAAGGTGGTCCATCTCGGCTTCGGCGAAGCCACCTTCCCAATCCACCCGCGCATCGCCGCCGCCCACCGCGATGCATCACTGAACACCAGCTACGCGCCTGTCGCTGGACTGCCGGGGCTGCGCGAGGCATGTTACTCTGTTCTACCAGAACTGAGTCAGGATTGCTGACGCTTGGACAGGCTATTGCCCGATTCCAGACGCGACGCCTAGGTGCCGAAGTGGCGCCCGAGCAGGTCGTTGTCGCGCCGGGGTCGAAGCCGCTGTTGTTCGCGCTGTTTGATATACTGGCGGGCGATGTGTTGTTGCCGCGACCGTCGTGGGTGAGTTATGAGCCGCAGGTGCTGCATGCGGGCAAAAGGGTATTTTGGGTAGAGACGAGTGAGCACGATCGGCATGCTATCTCGGGTGCGTTTGTATTTGTGTGTAGCTGATAGTGACATTGGGCTGACTTGTGCCTAGAGAGTGCGCTACGCGAGACATACGAAGGTGCGGTTAAAGAGGGCGCGCGACCGCGTGTGTTGCTGGTCAATAGTCCGTCGAATCCGACGGGTGGCGTGTATAGCCAGGAGAACATAGATGGGATTGTGAAGTTTTGCGAAGAGTTTGGAGTTACGCTGATCAGTGATGAGATCTACGCTGATATCTTCTATGGGAAAGAGCGGCCCTCGAGCCCAGGCGCTGGCGGGAAGCTCAACAGCGGGAATATCATTCTTACAGGCGGACTGTCAAAAGTGAGTGAAGATCGGGTGTTGGTTTAACCAGGCTAATATTGGTAGACATACTCTGCAGGCGGCTGGCGAGTTGGGTATGCTGTGTTTCCAAACAACGACTTTGGCAAGACCGTACAGGCGGCGATTCTGGCTTATGCATCCGAGTGCTGGTCCGCAGCTTCTGCACCAGCGCAGGAAGCAGCGACAGTTGCGTTCGACACATCGCCGGAAATGGATGTGTATCGAACTCAGGTCGCTGCACTCCACAAACGTTGTACACTCGAACTGTATCAAGCTCTGAAAGATTGTGGCCTTGATGTCCCTGAGCCTCAGGGTGCGTTCTACATCTACCCGTCTTTCCAGCCTTTTGCAGAGCAGTTGCAACGGATTGGCATCAAGACGAGTGCAGAGCTTAGCACCTGGCTCATCACTGAGTGTGGCATCGCAACTTTGCCTGGCTCGGCGTTTGGCGAAGATGACCAAGGAGTTCCGGGAGGGAGATATCGCCTTCGTATGGCAACGAGCTATTTGTATTTCCAAACCACTACCAAACGCTACGAGCTGGGCCCTGAGCTTTTGGCTTCAGCTGTAATTGACAAGGAACCACCAAGGCTACCTTTATTGCAGGAGGCAATAAAGGCCTTGGAAAGTGCAGTTGCGAAGTTAAGGGTATCGTAGGCTGGAGTATGGACATTCCAATAAATCAGTTTCCATCAATATTTTCCACGCAGGTTGGCTCACCTGTTGATAACTTGGATAAGTCTTAGTATTAAACTGTCTCCTTCCTGGATTCTGATATTAGATGCCAACTTGCTCTTGTATAAGCCTGGTATTTGATCATTGATGCCTAAGCAACAAATCCCAGAAGTTTTGGTCAGGATCAAAGCCCATCACATCTCTCATCAGTTCAAAATGGCTCTCCGAATTTACTGTACCGTCTGTCGGTTCAGAGCCATCCTGCACCGGCCAACCGTCCAGGGTTAGCCCCGCAGATGACTGCCATGGCTCAGAGATTTCTTGCGGCGCCGTTATCACATCTGCCAGAAATCTCAGCGTATCGTTGACTGCGCGCTCAAATTGCGCCGTCAGCGTTGAGAGTAAAGGTTCGTTCCAGCGTTCATTCATAATCGCGAGGCAAACGCAGCACTGTCGTGTCCATGCGGGCAGTTCTAACAGAACAAGCGACACGTCGGTCAGGCGATTGAGCTGTCCAGCGCTCATACGAGCAGTGACTAACATAGTCAAGCCGGCGAAAAGAACGCCCTGCACAAGCATCCACGACAGAGGGACACAACTGTGCTGGAGGACACGGAGGATGGCATCGACGTAGGCGCCGGCGGAGTGAAGACACTTGTCTACGGATACTCGCATGGGATTGGGGCACAGCGGACTTGTGCGGTGTAGAACAAATGTCGTGCTGTGATAGAGACGCATCCAGAAGCTGGTGAGATCAGTAAGTCACGTGTCCTGCGAATGTTGTGGGGCATACTGGTAAGGATAAGCAAGCAGGGCGTCTCCGCTCAGACCCAAAACGTCCTCCTTCCACGCGTCAAGTTCTTGCTGTAACTGTGAGATCTGCGCCTGGGCTTCTGCTGTGCCACTGATACTGCTGTTGGCACCATAGACCTTAGCAACGATTCGGCTTTGTATACGTCTGTGTTTGAAATGAAGAATGCTCGTGGCGGAGGCATCAGTAAGTGTGGGCAATCCAACGGTGATGTGCTCTTCCCCGATTGAGGGTGGACGGCCCAGATTATACGCGAGGCTGATCTCAACACTGTACACTGTCCAGAAGAGCCGCTTCCGTTCTTCTTGAGCAACTTGGGGCATTCTGGGATCCCGTGAAGAAGTGTGTATCCCGAGTTCAACGGCCAGCTAAGACCTGTTAGTGTTATCCAGAATATCATAGTCAAACTTACTCGCATTGCACTCCCAACTAGTTGCCATTGATTCGTTGCAACTGACCCATGCATACTGTAAATCGAAAACAAGAGAAGTATCTTGATGAACGGGATGCTGGGCACGCGGCACTTGGTCCCAGCGTTCAGGTAACTCAAAGCCTTGCGACACAACGCTGCTGAGTCTACGTCTGCGACCTGCAGGTTTTCGCTGCGCAGTAGTCTTACCGTACTATCTTGATTAACAGCCCCCAGCGCCAGAACCAGATAGAAAATCGGAAGTTCCATATCCTGTTCAGGTGTTCGTTGAGACGTGCAAATATCCGAGTCTAGCATCGCAGAGCATCTTAGTACCAGATCATGTAGAGTCGCTCCGTCTAGCACGGAATACAATGGCTCTATCCAAATGCGATAGGATCGCACTAAAAACTGGATGGTGGCCAAAGAAAGCAGTGGTGGTTCAGCATCGCCCCGAGGAGCGTCGAAGGTAGCTGCAGGTCTAGAACTGGCGCTGTCAAGTTCGTTTCCCAGACTTGATAGCTGTGCAAATGCGTTCGCGTACAGCGCGAAGAAGATACCGCTCGAAGGGCCGAGATATCTCATATCGCCCGTTGCATTGAGAGCCACAAGGCTAGCTTCCGGTGCTCCTTCGGTCGCTACAGAGGCTTCTGTGGTATCTTGTGTACCGGCGTTAAGAGGGAGTGGGAGCAGACCATCTGATTCTGCTGTTTGGTCACCGGCGTGTTGCACTGAGCGCGGACGCAGTGACGTTCCAGTTGGGATATCTGCACATGATATGTCAAAGTGTTGCTGGAGCTGCTCCTCGAGCCAGCAAGTCCGTTGCTTGTAATACTTTAGAGCCCTGATCTCGTCAGTGTGAACAAATCCGTTCTCGTGCATGTAGCACGTAAGGCTTACTCTGCACTGTCCTTATTCCTCTGTCGCCGATAGGGGATACAGTCGACACGATTACGCAAGCAGTTCTGACACTCTGGGTACCCGGGACACTTCAAGCCTGTCAGCATCCGGCCATGCATCAAGGCTGGGTCGGACATCCTACCCGGATCTTCTTGTGGTGGCAGCGTTCACAAGTCCGCACTGTGAGGCTAGCCATCGCGTATTTATTCAAGTTCCACAATCCAATCGGCTTAGGAGAGATGGCATTGATGCGTTGCGTGGCGAGATACCAGCTATCTGGAAGGAAGGGACGTGATGTATAGGACGGCGACTGAAGCGCCGAGCCAATCAGGAGAAGTGCGCACATGGAGGTTCGGCGTTTAGTCGCCGAACACCATCCCAGCAACTGCGTGTATGAGGTCGGCAGGCGCGACGTCTCCGAGCTACATACTCAGCGCCTCAGAATTGCTTACTCTGTCTGTATCTCCGGCCATGAACCCACAAAAATATTACAAGCACTTCATCCCCCTTGAGTCCAACCCAGTCGTCTTCACCGAGCTGATTCACAGGCTCGGCACCACGCCATCGCTATGCTTCCAAGACGTCTTGTCTCTGGATGATATAGACCTACTTGGCTTCATCTCACGGCCGGTGCATGCCATGGTCCTCGTGTTTCCTACAACCAAGGCGTACGAGCGGCGTGTCGAGGTGGAAGACGGGGAAGTTAGGGACGTTTTGGACGGAGATAATGTGGAAGATGTGGTGTTCTTTAGACAGACAATCAATAATGCCTGCGGGCTGTATGCGGTTTTACATGCTGTCTGTAACGGAGCTGCAAGGACTAGCATTGGTGGGTCTCATACATAGTATGGAGTCAGTGCTGACCAGAATAACAGAGCCTGAGTCACTCATAGATCGGCTTTTGGAGAAGTGCCTCCCTTTGCCACCCAGAGAGCGAGCGCTAGCGTTGGGAGATGACGAGGAACTGGAGCGAGTCTATGCTGAGGTGGCGTTGGAAGGGGACACTGAGGCTCCATCGAATGCAGAGGACGAGGTCGACTTCCACTACATTGCGTTCGTCAGGTCGCATATCAACGGCCATCTGTATCAGCTGGACGGCGACCGAAAGAGGCCTCTCAAGCTGGCATTGCTCGAGGACAGGGAGGATCTTCTATCAGAGAAGTGCTTGACTGTGATTCGCAGTATGATGAGTGCAGATGGAGACAGTCTAAACTTCAGCTTGATGGCTCTGGTTGGCCAGACTTGACCAGCAGAAGTAAAACAAGCAAACAGAGGTGTAGGTAGCCAAGGAGTCACACTCATCATGGAAGTCTCCTGAAGAGTGAGGAAGTGTGAACTATGAAGGACCTTGATTTGTTCTTGCAACGACCACTGGAACAGCAAGCTGGACCAGCAGAAGCACGAACCGGAGTACAGCCGCATGCACCGCTCCGACGCAAGACGCGACGTTGTGGGATGCTCCCGAGGGACTCGTTGAATGTCCGAAGACCAAGTGGCTGGCGCGCGGGTTGCGTCCTACAGATTCACTCGCGCCTCTGTATGAAGAGGGCGAAAGGGTGTTGGAGTGAAGTTTGAGCGCGGCCGAAGATTTCATATGCAAACGCCAAGGCCCGGTCACGCTAGCACCCGACCCCAGCTCTGACATAGATTCGCGAGCTCCAGCTACACCGTCCGACTCGAGCGACTGACGCCTGTCGCCTCCCACCATTTACGACACCGCGCATTTCTCTACGCTGACCCTCACGAACACCTCCAAGACACGTAACCGCGAAGATGACGAAAAAGCGCAAGAGATACCCCGACCTAAACCAGAAGCTCGAGCGCCCATGGTGCTTCTACTGCGAACGCGACTTCGACGACCTAAAGATTCTAATTTCACATCAGAAGGCGAAACATTTCAAATGCGACCGCTGCGGACGGCGACTGAACACGGCCGGAGGTACAAGCCTCACATATTGCTCTGCATAGCACATCTGACATGCGCAGGTCTGTCGGTGCATATGAACCAAGTCCACAAGGAGAATCTTACACATGTCGAGAATGCCATCGGCGGGCGACAAGGCCTGGACATTGAAATCTTCGGCATGGAGGGCGTCCCCGCCGAGATACTCGATCAGCACAACCAGCAAGTGACGCAGAAGCACTTCGCCGAGGAGGCAGAGCGCGCGCGCGTAACCGGTAACCCGGTGCGCGGCGAGTACGCCAACGGGCAAGCGCCTCCGAACACACGCAAGAAGATCTCCGAGTCCCTCGACGAAATCGAGGCGCGCGCCGCCAAGTACCGCCACGACAGACAAAACGGCATCCTGCCTGCGCCCGTCGAGGTTGTTGCGCCGCCGAATCCTGTACGCACCGCTGCTGCTACATCTAGAATTACCTCGCTGACCGCGCAGACTCCTCCAGCCGCCTCGTACGGCGCTCCGCCTGCCCCCTTCGCCGCGCCCGTCTACCAACCCCCACAAGGGTTTCCCACAAACGGCGCCATCCCGCCCCGCCCCGGTAGCCTCCCTGGCCAACCCGCGGCGCTGCCTCCGCGCCCCGGCGCCGGCGCGCCCGCGACTCTCGACGACGGCGGGGCAGGCGAGCCGGTCGGCGAGCGCAAGGAGGACAAGAAGAGCAAGAAGAGCGCAAATATCAAGCTTGTGTTCTTCGATGATTTTGTGTCGCCCGAGGAGAAGATGGCGCGGTTACCGCGGTTCGCTGTGGCGGGCGGCGCATAGGAGACAGACGCAGGGACGTGGATGTAAGGCGAGCATATGCATGATTAACATGTAGACTTGCTAGAAAGCAACAAGGCGAGTAAAGCGAGTAAAGCTGTCGAAAGTAACGCAGATTCATGCTCATTACCACGTACTCATCATCGCACTCAAACGCTGTATAATCGTATCAAACCTGCCCTCTTACGCTACACTATGCACTTGGTATCATATCATAACTCACATCCCCTCGTACTCCTCCAGCTCTTCGCCCTCTATCTCCTCGTCTTCGTCGTACTCCTCGCTCTGCTGGTCTTCGTCCTCGTCACTATCCCCGTACTCATCATCGTCGTCCCTCGCCCACTCATCGCGCTCGCTAGACGCTAGTCTTGCACCTGCATCGACAGTGTCAGGCATGGGATCGACATGGAGGAGACTCGTATCCAGATCCTCAGCCTCAGCGTCACCATCATTATCATCAGACCCCTCCACCCGCGCAAACACCACACTCTTCCCACCCGCCCCGGCACCTGCTGCACGCTCACTCGCACTCGCACTCGCCGCCCGCCGCGGCGCCTCAAGCACATCCCCGTCCCACGGCGCGCACTCTTTCACCACCACCCCGCACCGCAGACACACCCAGCCCTCGCCCTCCTCGGCCGCGACCCGCTGCGCCACGCATGCAAAACAGTACACACACTTGCACGGCAGCGCGGCATACGGATTCGTAATGTCAGTCGCGGCAGAGCCCACCACGCCGCCGCCGCTGGGCGCAGCAAGCAAGTCGGACTCACTCGTGATGGTCGGGTTCTGGTCGCGGTAGCAGATGGCGCAGGTGCGCTCCGGCAGGAACGCAAGCTCGCCGTGCTTCTCGTCGGCAGCGGCGTCCTCATCAGACGGCGGCGCGCGGCCGATGAGCGATAAGAAGGTGCCGCGCAGGCGGCGCAGTGTGCGCGACAGAATGCGGCGCCAACGCGCGATGCCGACGAGCGGCAGCAGGAAGAGCAGGAACTCGGTGAAGGCGTGCCACACGAGCTGGCGGTTGAGGTACTCGAAGGAGACGTCGCGCGAGGTGGCGTGAGCGGAGGGCGCGAGACGTAGGCGAAGGAGTCGGTCTGTGAGGGTTCTGTAGCGGCCGTTGAGGAGGAAGACGAGGAAGGAGGCAAGGGAGGCGATGTCGTGCGCGGTGCTGAGCGAGGTGGTGAGGTGGGTGAGGCGAGCGAGATTAGGGGGCTCGGGGTGTGAGGGATCGTCGCTGGCGGCGAGGTAGGCTTCCCACTTGCTCCAGGCGTAGCGGCCGCCGACGGTGATCAGGCCGTAGGCGGCTTTCTGCCAGGGCTTGGGGGGTGGGCGGTTGGGTGCGGTGGAGCGCGCGTCGGTGTAGCGCAGACCCTGTAGATGGGCGCCGTAGCTGGCATTGTTGTTCCAGATGCTGAGTTTGAAAAGGACAGCGCGCAGGGCGAGCAGGATCTCGGCGCCGTATGTGTCGGTGATGTGGGTGCCGAAGTACTTCAGGGCCTCGCCAACCTGGGCGCGCAGCAGTTCCAGCAGCTCATCGTCAAGCAGCTCGGCGTCGACCTGACCCACGCGGAACTCGGGACGTGTCCCCTCGCGGCCCCGGATGGCGGTCCATGTGTTGAGGCCGGCGGTGCTCAGGCGGTCGAGGGGGAATGGTAGGCGCGTGAGCGCGCGTGAGGACCGAGCCTCATGTTGTGTGCGGGCGGCGGCGGCGCGTTGGGCGCGGCGGGCGGCAATGCGTTCCTGGGCCGCGGCGAAGTCGGCGGCGGGCATTGGGGGCAGCGGTTACTGTGGCATCGCTGGAGACAGCAGAGCGCTGGTGATATACTGCGTGCAGGCGATGGGGTGATGCGATGTACGGCGGGCCGAGGTCGAGTCTACCGCAGCGCGCGGCAGGTTTAGCCGAGCGAGCCAGGGTCCGTCGACGTGGGGCGTCGCGCATGTGGCAGCTGCCAAACATGGAAAGTTGGAGCTTTCAGCGCCACTACACGGCGATACACGACGACGCGGCCTGGGTGAGCGGGCTCCTCTGATCGCAGTCTTCTCTTGACAGTCTCTCCTGCCCCAGTTTCTGGCCTGCCAAGTCTGGACTCCACCATTGATCATTCGAGACGCTGCCCCACCACTCACCACCACTGGCACCACCATGAATCTCGAGTTCGGCATAGAGGTGCCTGGCGAGGCCAATCCTCTCACCGAGGGGATTCTTTTCCATGTTCTACGCTCAGCATCCTCCTCAGACCCACAGCAGGTCCAGACCGGCACCAAGCAGCTACAACAGTGGGAAAAAGCGCGTGGTTACTACCCACTGCTCCAGACGGTCTTCGTAGACAGGTCGCTGCCACTTGAGGTCCGCTATCTTGCTATCATCCAGCTCAAGAATGGCATCGACAAGTACTGGCGCAAGACGGCGCCCAATGCCGTGATCAAAGAGGACAAGGCCACCATACGGGCGCGTTTGCTCGAAAGCGCCGTCAATGAGGCCGACTCGCGCCTGGCGCTGCAGAACGCGTTGGTAATTGCGAAAATCGTTAGATACGAGTTTCCAAACGACTGGTATGGGTAGCAAAACTGTATATCACCTACGCTAACACCGTCAGGCCAGAGCTGTTCCAGCACCTGCTCCAGATCCTTCGCGCCTCGACCGACCCGAATGCCTACCGCTTGCAGCTACCTCGCGCACTCCTTGTCCTTCTATACATCGTGAAAGAGCTTTCGACCGGTCGTCTGACGCGCACGCGCCAGAGTCTGCAGTCAGTGGCGCCAGAGATTTTCGCTGTTCTCGGCACAATTTACGTGAACAAGGTACAGGCATGGCAGTCGTTCTTCCGCGATGGTGGAGACGACGAAGGCGGTGCTATTGAGAGCATTGAACACAGTCTGATTGCCATCAAGACCATTCGCAGACTGCTTATCGCAGGCTTCGAGTTCCCAGGTAGGGAGAAGGCTGTCCAGGAGTTCTGGACGCTCACTCGTACTCACTTTGGAGAATTCTTTCAGTATGTCTCGGCTGAGAACTCGCCGCTCGGAGAAAGCGTGCAGAAGCTGATCGAAAAGCACTTGATGCAGCTCTCCAAACTCCATCTGAACATGGCCCTTACCCACCCTGCCAGCTTCGTGATGCTACCAAACTCTCTAGCCCTCGTGCGCGACTACTGGGGGCTACTTGCAAGACTAGGTGAGACATGGGGCTCCAAGTCGTTAGACGGTGCGAAGATCGGCACAGACGGCGACGCCGAAGATGAAGCGCCCATCAATGAGCGACTCGGTTTGAAGGGTTTGCTATTGATACGCGCATGCGTGAAAATGGTCTTCTATCCTACGCAGACCTTCAAGTATAAGCAGCAGCAAGAGAAAGACGAGCGAACCCACGCAGTGCAGGCCGTCAAGCAGGAGCTCCTCACGGATGACCTTGTGCGCGAGATGATCTCGACACTCGTCACACGCTTCTTCGTGTTTCGCCCAAGCGACCTGCGCATGTGGGAAGAAGAGCCAGACGAGTGGGAGAAGATGGAAGAGGGTGCGGAAGACTGGGAGTTCGCCATTCGTCCCTGCGCCGAGAAGCTATTCCTAGACCTCGCAAAGAATTTCAAAGATTTGATCGTCCAGCCGCTGCTCCAAGTCTTTCACACCGTTGCCAGTGAGTCCAACAATGATTAACATGCCCTCATACTGACGATAACAGCACCGGACAACGAAGACATCCTTTTCAAAGACTCCGTTTACACAGCTGTTGGTCTCGCTGCCGATATCCTACACGATCAGCTGGACTTTGATGCTTTCCTCGAGAATACTCTCGTAGCGGAAGCAGGCAAGCAGAAGCCCGGCTTCAATATCATCCGTCGCCGAATTGCCATCGTCATATCGCAATGGATTGCCATCAAACTCTCTAAAGAGAAGAAGCCGATTGTGTATCAAATCTTCCAGCACCTACTGGACACAAGCGACCCGCTCAACGACCAAGTTGTGCGCGTCACTGCTGGCCGGCGGTTCAAGGACATTGCCGATGAGTGGGAGTTCCATGCTGACAACTTCTTACCATATGCACCGACTACCTTGGAGAGATTGATGGCACTGGTACAGGAGGTTGACCTGCCCGACACGAAGATGGCGCTGCTCAGCACCATCAGTATTGTAGTCGAGAGGCTGGAGCATCATGTATGTCTGGCTCCCATGCGTGAGATTAGGACTGACATTACAGATCACACCCTATGCGAATAGCATTGTCTCTCTCCTCCCGCCTCTGTGGGAGCAGTCTGGCGAAGAACACCTCATGAAGCAGGCCATTCTTACTCTCCTAGCTCGCCTGACCAATGCGATGAAGGCCGACTCGCGCACCTTCCATGTCTCTTTCCTGCCTATCATTCAGAGCGCCATCGAGCCCGGGTCCGAGACTCAGGTATATCTCCTCGAAGACGCACTCGATCTTTGGGCATCGATTGTGGCGCAAACACCATCTGCACCAGAACCAACACCCCCAGAACTTCTCAATTTGCTTCAATATCTGCTACCTCTCTACTCAATGGACAACGAAACCCTACGCAAAGCCATTGAGATCACTGAAGCCTACCTGCTCCTCGCCCCCGCCGCCGTGCTGGCCGATAATTTCCGCCCCGCGCTGCTCCAAGCCCTGGCAGACCTACTCGGCAACCTCAAGCCCGAAGCAAACGGCGTCCTAACGCACCTCGTTCAATGCGTGATCCGCGGTGCCGAAGGCGTCGGCGGCGAGGCCGCCGTCCGCGTCCTAGCCCAAGACCTCATCTCATCCGGCTTTTTCGCCAAAGTGCTTGATGGTCTGCACGGTGCCTGGTCCCACCACCAATCACACGGCCCGTACCGCGAACTACCCTCGCGCGCTGTCGATGGCGTCGTCGAAACCGACTACTTCACAGTGCTTGCGCGCATCGGCCTCGCAGCGCCCTCAATCCTGCTCGACGCCCTGTCCAGCGCCGCCCCCGACGGCCTCGAGAAGCAACTTGACTGGCTGCTCGAGGAGTGGTTCAGCCACATCGAGAACATCGGCGACGCGCCTAGCAAGAAACTTATGACTCTCGTGCTGACCCGGTTACTCGAGACGGCGCAGCCGTGGGCCCTTGGTCGTCTGCAGAGTTTCATGGCGCTGTGGACTGATGTGCTGGCGGAGCTGCTCGATGGCATGGATGATCGTAGCGTGGAGTACGTACCTTCTCACAACCCCCTCATGAGCCCTCCTGATTTTTGAATCCACAACTAACAGTCACAGCTCGCTCTACTGGCCCCCCGAGCCCTACAACCCCACCGAGCCCGAAGCCCCCGAGGACATTCGCAAGCGCGAGCTTCTCTACTCGGATCCTGTGCATCAACTCAATCTCGTCGCATTCGTGCGTGAGCACATCCAACAGGCGGTGCAGGCCAGCGGCGGCGAGCAAAGGTTTCAGGAGGAGTGGTTGGCGCGGGTGGATAAGGATGTGTTGAAGGGGTTTGGAGAGCTGGGGATTATGTGAGGGGGGTGTAAAAGGTGAGCGAGTGAGCGATGGGTCACCCGTCTTCTGAGGTGAGGGTGGAGATGAAGAATTTAGATAGCGAATTACCGGATTTACAGAGGGTCTGGTTCCTTCCCCTCATCGGCGCAGAGCGAAGACATCATTCGTTCAATCATCAAGATCCACTTCAGACCTTGCAACCGGCACCTGGAACCTCTTCCTTCCTGATACGTACCAATCCACAAGTGCACCGAGAATCACCGCTCCCGTGACAGGGCCGGCGTAGTTCATGTTGACCGCATCCACAGGCACAAACGCCGGGAACGGCAGCCACACAAGCATGAACCCGAGATAACACAGAGCCGCCACATTGACAGCCGGTCCGGCGCGACTCAGCCTGAAAGGACCCCATGGGATGGAGCTTGCATGCGTCCTCGACAACCGCCGCATCAGGAAAAACAAAATCGGGAAGAAGTAAGATATGTACAGCCCCAGCACCGGCAGCGAGACAAACGCGTTGAACGCAGTGCTGCTCCCGATATTGATCAGCGACAGCAAGCACAGACATGCCGCGAGTAACAGCAGCCCATTCGCCGGCAGCCGGAGCTTGGGATGTATTCGCGCGAACGTATTCGAGAACGGCAGTCCGTTGTCCCTTGAGAAAGCCCATAGCAGTCGCGACACAGACGCGAAGCAGTTGAAAAAGCTGATAAACCCTAAGACCGCAATCATGGTGACGAAGAAGTTGGTCGCGGTCCTGGAGCCCGTGGCTTGATGGTAAACTTGCAGGATGGGAAGGGGGCTGGCGAGGACGAGCGCCGTGTCGCCGATTGCGAAGAGTACGGTCAGCATGAAGACGAACTGCATGAGAGCATTGAGGATCACGGAGGTTATCATCGAGCGTGGTACTTCGAGGCGCGCTTTTTTGACTTCGTCCGACATGTGGATTACGCTGTCGAAACCTAGAGGCGAGATGGGTCAGCATTGCGGTCTACAATGATGGCGATCAGGGGCTTACCAGTCAGTGGATAAGTCACGGAGAGTAGCCCTATACTCCAGGCTACAGTCAGGTTCGTCCATCCGCTGACGTCGTTGGTCAAGGTTTGGAACACGTACTCGACTGTACTCCGCTCTGCAAGAACCAGAAGCGTGACGATGCTGGCGATGAACATGACGACGTTCAGGATGGCTCCCAAGTTTTCAAGCGGCACGACTGTCCGTTTGAACCAGAAGTTGCTGAGGAACGGAAAGATCGTGGTGCCCCACATGAGCAACGTGAAGTACCATCTTTGCGGCTTATAGTCCGGGTAATTGAAAACCGCAAGTCCTGAGATGATGTTCGCGACGAGTGCAGCCACAGACGTGCACGAGCAGATCCACGCAAACACCGTGATCCATCCTGCACAGGCAGTCAGCCAACTCGCCACAGTCTAGACAGTGCGAGTGAACAGCTCAGAACGCACCTTGCATCAGGCCGAAGAACGTCTTCCATCTCGGCGCAAACGCTGCAGACCAACGATACTGAGCCCCGACTGTGGGATCACTGACTAGCTGTCAGACAACCAGCAACATTCGCAGATTGTCGTATCTCATACATAGATGCCATCTCCGCCAGCGAGACCGCAACGAGCGTGGTCCCAGCGCCGGAGAAAATGCTTCCATACACCATAGAAGCAGGCCCGCCATTCACAAGGGAGAGCTGCATGGTGGTAATTGAGCCAACCCACGATGCCAGCAAGACGAAGGAGAAACTGGTTGCGGTGACTCGGTTGATGTATTTCTGTTTCCATGGTCAAATCGATGTTGGTTGCGATTGGCCGGATGTGTGTTCACCTCGAGCGACTGATGGTGCTCCGCGCCATCTTCCAATACCTCTTGTTCGACAGTCCCTTTGACATTTTTCTCCGCGGCGATCAACTCGTCGTCTCTTTGTGTGGCCATTTCTTGAGGCGAGGGGTACGGCGAACTGTCGTTGAACGAATGCGGGGGGCAGGGAGTACATGCGTGACGTCTTATAGTCACAGCAACGCCAATCCGCACCATTTATAGGTCGCACATTGGCGTGAGACGGTACCAAATCTCGCAGCTCTTGCATCCAGTAAAGAGGAGCGAGCCTGGATAACAGTCCGGGTGCAAGATGTGATCATGGCGAAGTAACCCTTGTCTTAATGTGTTCGGATGTGCAATTCCCCTATTCGCGAAGTAGTTGGTAGGTGTTCTGAAACGAGACAGGATTCGTCTGCTGAGTTGAATAGGAAGGACGTAGAGGGCTTGAACGGCACTTTTCTGAGGCTTTCGAGCCGGTGTCCTGTGACAAGTCACACTGTTCGGCAGTGAACTTAACCAGGCCACCTGAACTGTTGATAAATGTTGAGATGCAAACAGCGTGCAGGGTGATACTTTGGATGACTGGCAGCTGCGGCTCCTGCTTGCGTTGTACGAATCACTTTTGCGAGGGCAGATGCATCTGTGTTACGTGCGTCACCGCCGAACACGAACGTCTACAATGAGAGGAGGGCAAGGTGAGACTCTGCATATGATATTGTCCCCTGGCTGACACCAATATGCAGTGTGACTGTAAGCTGTGCTTGTAATGATATAAAGCGACATGCGGGACGAGAATGGATGGTGTGAAGCGATGCAGATTAGTATTTAGTTGGAGGAGGAGCGGCCGGGTAAACGCCACTGCATTTTCAGCTGAACAGTTCCGATTGGGACATCAGCGACGATGAATACTTAGACGAGATCGAGGCTAGAGGTGATAGGGCACTTCGATGATGGGGCAAAATATATTTATGTAATCTCGCAGGGCTCCCTCACACTGCGTCACAGCCTTCTCAATAGATCATCGCACACCAGGAGGCTTCCCGTAGGTCTCCTTCTGGCTCGTGGCAGGTTTCCACTCGAAGTGATGCTTCCCCTCCATGGGCTTCTTCACATTGGCGTCCTGATCACCCTTCTTATCAAACATATGGCTGCCAAAGTAGTCCAGTTCCGCCTCGTAGAAGCTGGTCGGCAGGTCTGTGCCGGTGGAGACCTTGAAGTACTCCAGACTTGCACTCAGCGCAGGCACAACCTGATCCGTTTCCACTGCCTTCGCAATAACTCGTCGAAGGGCGGGAAAAGAGGTCTTGATATCATTGGCAACGACTGAGGAGAAGTTAAGGTTCAGGTCATCGGATGACGGATTGTTTTTGAGTACGGGAGCAAGGATGTTGTCGGAGATGTAGTCGGCTTGAATGATGCAGCCGGCTCGCCAGATTTGCCAAACTTGCGAGTAGTCGATCGACCACTGGTGTTTCTCATCGGCGCGGGCAATGATGTTCATACCCTGAATGTAGCTGGCGAGACAAGCTGCGTACGTGGCTTTGCGAAGATCTTCGAGAAAAGTCTTCTTTTCTGCAATGTCGTTCAGCGCCATAGGCGGGAAGCCTCCATCGAATGTCTTGTTTGCGCGTTCGCGATCACCGCGGTAGGCCGATGCGAGGCGCAGTGCGTGAGCCATATTTAGCGTGAAAGCAGGTACGTGGAGTTCAATTGCTTCGGTGTTGGACCAGATCCCTGTGCCCTCCTCCCCTGTGATATCTTGCACGACCTTATCAAGAACTTCGGAGATGATCAGTGGGTGCTCTTGGTGTTCTGAATTTGGGTCTTTTCCAGGTTCACGCTTGTGAGAGAGATCTGCGCCTATTGAGACGAGAAATGTGCCTTGCTGTATGTTGTGTAAGCATGCATAGTGTGGTAGAACTGGAGGACTTACCAGTTCGCCTGACGCGTTCCATTCCTTCAACACGTCTCCGATTTCCTCATAGCCAAGACCCATCTTTCGCATGATGCCCCAGGCCTCGCAGATGGCGCTCATCATACCATGCTCGATGCCGTTGTGCACCATCTTGACGTAATGGCCAGCGCCACCCTTACCAATTATACCCACACACGGCTTGCCCTCTTTGTCTTTTGCGGCGACCTTCTGGAGAAGTGGTAGGATCTCCTTGAGCGCAGATACGTCACCACCAGGGCACATGGATGGACCAGCTCGGGCTGCTTGATACCCGCCACTTACACCGCAACCGACGTAGCGTACTCCTGTATCCTTGCACTTGTTTTGTCGTCGTTCGGTGTTTGCGAAGTGCTCGTTACCACAGTCGAGGATAATATCTCCCTTGGAGAGTTTGGGCATCAAGCCTTCGAGGACTTTGTCACCAACACCACCATGGGGTAGGGAGAAGACTAGTAGGCGTGGCTGCGAAAGCGATTTGCAGAGTTGATCGTAGTCTTCGTCGGGTGTCAGCGACGAGATATTCGTCTCTGCTGTTGAACTATGCGTACCTGTGTGCTTCTTGAGCTTCCCATCATACCCGGCCTTCTCAGCCTTCTTTATCAACGTATCCATGGCCTCTTCAGATGGATCTGAGAGATTGACATGAACACCGTCTTCTGCGAATAGAAGAGCCATGCCTCCACCCATGCTACCACAACCAACCATGGCAATCTGCTGCTGTTAGCCACTCTTATCTACCATTGCACAGGCAAACCGACCGAAACGAATTTCGACATAGCGTTAGTGTGCAATTTCAGCCTCGAGCTGTCGTGAGCGGTAGGCTATCAGAGATGCAGACAGGAGGACCAAAATGAAAAGGTATACGAGGTTTGAGAACGCGGGAAGAGTAGGATCTTGATAATGAACCAGACTGTCGAGGAATCTAAGCATGGCCGCAGTGACTTGACGCAAAGTATATAATGACACAAAACACAAATCGCCAGACGACAGAGTGACGTCGAGTGTGGGGTAGTAGTGTGGTTCTATTGCAGAGCTTTGACAAGCGTGCGGACCTCAGCGATTGATCAGGGAGAAGAGCGATGGCTTGGGACCTGGAGGCCACAGATGCGGAGAGGACAGTAAGGACACCATCTTTTTGGCGCTCCCACGTTGTCTGATGCCAGGTGGAATGGACTCCGTTGGCGTTGTTGAGGGCTTGGAGAGGCGTTCGGCGGAAAAGGCCCCGGAATGTCAGTTACTTGGCGCGAGCTACTTGGCGCAAGCTACGCGGAAAGCTTGACCATCATCTCGCCCACAACGACCCACCTGCGGCCAACTCAAAGCTCACCACCACCTCCTACCACGAACACCTGACCGAAACTCAATTCCCATCATGGCTGACACAGAGATGGAAGTCGATCAGGTCGAGCAGCCCGAGGCCAGCTCCACCGAACCCAAGGTCAGCGACGCGCGCACCATTGCGGGCGCAACAGCCGTGCGCTCAATCGAGGGGTGGATTATCATTGTCACAAACGTGCACGAGGAGGCTACAGAGGAGGATGTGCAGGATATGTTTGGCGAATTCGGTACCATCAAGAACCTGCACATGAACCTAGACCGCCGGACAGGTTACGTGAAGGTAAGCGCGCCCACATGCGCCCAGGCCTCAATACTTACACAAGCCAGGGATATATCCTCATCGAATATTCTACTCTCGACGAAGCGAACGCCGCCATCAAGGGCGCCAATGGTGAAGAGCTTCTTGAACAGAAGGTCACTGTCGACTTTGCCTTCGTTCGACCCCCACCAGCGAGCAAGGGACGCCCTCGCGACCACGATAAGCGGTCGAGCGGACGTGGTGCAGGACGAGCGAGAAGCAGGAGTCCTGGTCGTGACGGCTCGGATATGGAGGATTAGACAACACAAGGCGCTACGGTTGGAAAACCCCCACATCAAAATACAGACAGGAAAGCCGCATCATGGGGAGCAACGAGCCCAGGACTCGCATGAAATCTTCGATGCTGAAGGAGCGAATGAGCAAGCGTTGGAGTTGAATTGAGCTTCCCCGGCCTGTCTTTGACCACGACAGGACGGGTCTTTCTTTCTTAACTTGTAAGCATGCCGTAAGTCCGATGCTGAACACCGCTAACAGACGCAGGCACCATGATGTCCATTTGCCATGCACATTGAGATTTCGCTTTGACGTGACAGTGCGCAGCCGACCGCCTTCAGGCTATGGGGCTTCCTCGGTCTCACACAATTGCGAGAGGCTCACAAAGTGATAGAAGGATCAGTGACAACGGAGATGAACATGATGTGTGCGTTCGAGTCTGTGTGAACTGAGGTCTAACATAAGCTCCGACGGTACAGATTAAGGATCCATCGATACGAAAGTGGCGCAAATGCTGACATTCTGATATCAAGGCAAGTGTCAGGATCGCAGCCTGCATCATCATAAAAATGCAGTAATCGTGCTCCGAGCACGCCGTTGCGTTCCTTGCGCCAAGCCAGTAACCGACTGCCGATTGGCTAGCAGATATCGATAACCCAACCACCTTTCCAAGTTGTTGTCCTATCGAACTCGGCTTCACCTTCTTGACAGTGACACACGTGCTGTACCGATTATCGTGGAAGCTCCAATTTCAGTTGTGTATTTGAACAGTACGATAATTGTCTCTGCCCAGCAAGCCCGAGATCGTGTGCCGTTGAACGCGCTCGTCCCCATTGTATAAGGCCGCCGATCTCCACGGCTCCTTCTCGTTCTAGCTTGGTCATCGTTCGTTGCACCATCCACCTGCCTGAAGGACGATGGCTTGTCTTGTACAATGATTGCACCCCTGCAATCGAATCCGTCGCCGTCATCAGGCCGCGCTGCACGTTGTATATAATCGCTTGCTTTCCGTAACTTTGGTGCATCTTCGCACAGCATTCTTACGCCATGCGTTTTTCGTCTGTAATCGCGGGACTCTTGTTTGGCCTGGAGGCCACAGCCATTCGGGTTGGGCCGATTCAAGTGGGTCAATTAGCTGCAGAGGTACGTACATGGCGGTCGTTTGTGGCGTAAATGGCGCACAGCCTGAGAAGCTTGACAGAGCTTGTCGCTCATTCTGCATCGTCGAACGAGGCAGAAAGCCCTCAGATCTCGCGGCACATGTCTAGTCTCGCAAGCTTACCTTCTCTCTAGGCTCAGCATGCAAAGTCGCAACGCAGCCTGTTCAAGCGTGATGATGAGCTTGATCTGACCCTGCTGTACCCTGAACGCAACCTCTCGGTGCCCGTTGATTTCTTCCACAATGATACCCGTTACGAGCCTCACTCAAACGGTTCTTTCAACCTGAGATATTGGTTCGATGATACTTACTATGAGCCTGGCGGTCCCGTGTTCGTTCTTCTCGGGGGTGAGACTGATGGTGCTGGCCGTCTCCCGTTTTTGCAGAAGGGGATTGTCCATCAAGTCATCAAAGCTACTAAGGGCCTTGGAGTCATTCTGGAGCACCGTTACTATGGTAAAAGCTTTCCTGTCGACGACCTGACGACCGAGAATCTCCGCTTCCTGTCGACAGAGCAGGCACTTGCCGAAATCGACTACTTTGCGAAAAACGTCAAGTTTGCCGGCCATGAAGACAAGGATCTTACTGCGCCAGCCACTCCCTGGGTTGTATACGGTGGCTCATACGCCGGTGCTCAAGCTGCATTCTTGCGCATCACATACCCTGGGACGTTCTGGGGTGCCATCTCTTCTTCTGGGGTCACAGTTGCTATCTACGACTTCTGGCAGTATTTCGAGCCGATCAGACTATTCGGGCCTCCCGACTGCATCAAAAACACGCAGACTTTGATTGATGTCGTCGACAAGCACCTGCTGGGCAACAATACCGCCAACATTCAGTCGCTGAAGAACGTTTTTGGTCTAGGCGACATCACAGACAACAGGGACTTTGCCAATCAGTTGACCGGTGTTTATGGGTGGCAGAGCACCAACTGGGACCCTGAGATCAACGGGGCATCTTTCTACAATTACTGTCGCAATGTCACGCAGTCTGTTGATCGCGTTGAGCCAGCCACGGAGGGCCTGCGTCCTGCCGTCGCTGATTTAGTATCGGCGGCTGGCTACGGCAACGACACGCTCGTGCAAAACATCACCTTAAATGCTATCAGCTGGACCAACTTCACTTCTCTTCCTGGCTGGCGCCGATCCAACTACACCCAAGACCGCTATTTTACGATCCTCAACGAGACTGCTCAACAGCAATTCACTGCTCTCGAGGACTATGGATACACCAGCTGGAGTTATCAAGTCTGCACCGAATGGGGCTACATACAGACAGGCAACACGCCCGCGGACATTCAGCCCTTGATCTCTCGCACTCTTGACCTCGAGTACCTGACCTTTTTCTGCCGCGCGCAGTTCAACATCACCACGCCCCCTGATATCGAAAAGGTCAACAAGTACGGCGGTTTCAATGCTAGCTACTCGCGCCTCGCGCACATTGGCGGCAACGCGGACCCCTGGCGCCCCGCTACGCCGCTGTGGTACCCTGAAGCCAAGGAGGACTCGATCGATGAGCCGTGGCACCTGATCAGCCACGGTGTGCATCACTGGGAGGAGAATGGCATCTTTGATAATGAGACGACCCCAACTCTGCCCCCGTACCAGGTTATCTGGTCACAGCAGCATTTGAAGAACTTTGTTATCGAATGGTTGGATGAATGGAAGGGCGGATACCAGACTGAGCTTTGAGTTGCATCACGGACCTTTGTATTTCAGAGAAGCGCGCTTGATGAAGAGTCAATAATGTTACTTGCTCCACGCGTAACATTGGTTCCCGCAGACTTGTAGTAGATACCTGCTCGAAGAATCTTTCAGCGAACTCCACTGACTTGCTCGCTGCACCAGCTTCTAGGTTTATGCTCTCATCTTTGCGTGTGATGACGTGACGAAGACGGCCATTTCAGCGCAGTGCATCAGAGCGTCGATTTGCTCGCTGGCAGGTAGGTGCACAAAATATGGATCCAATTAGAAAGCTAATTCATCTCAAGGTCTTTCAGCAGTCAAGGGTTACGATCGCACTATTTTGAGTATCACATCAGAGAAAGTTCCCGTTCGAGTATTGACGTTATCTGCTGTTTTATAATCGAAAGTATGGCGAAATATCATGAACTTGCTAGGACCCCGTTGACGTGACATACCATACTGTGTAGAGGCAATAAGAAGGAAATGTTCGGTGGCATCCGAGCGGTGTACTTGGGCTCGACAAGACACATCGTAGAATCCAATCAGATTACTTCGATCCTAACCCCACTGCACATCACCTCGTATTGAGCTCTCCTGACTTCAGTGATGGAGCCGTGCGGCACAACGTCGACCCCAGCTAACCCATTCCGAGCCATCCGAATTTGGCCACTAGCGCCCCTCAATGACGTACCGTACCATCGCCGCTTCCCACGTCCAGCATCACCAGCCTCGTATTCGTACACATGTACAAACAGTGTCGCTCAAATTAGCAACATGACTTTGAGATCAGCCATTTCTGGTACCTATTATGGTTGCTAATGTAGTACCGCTTGTGGCTGACGCGGGATCTGCAGCCGGCGGAACAGAACAAACCTCCGATGCGACCCTCACGACAGGGTCGCTTTTGATTGCCAGTGGGGACGGTGATGGTGTGTGCGAGTGGGTTTGCGGTATATAAACTCGCCCAAAGCCCCTAGGAATTGACACCACATCAAGCCACTCACCGCAAGTCAACGACTGAGCATCTCTCCAAACCAAACTGCATATTACATCGACCTTTGTACTTCAACTTGTTCATCACCACATACCGCCACCATGCGTTTCACCTCTCTCGCAACATCTCTCGCCACCCTTTCTGCTGCCTCAGCCCGCATCATCGGCATCGCAGCCCCCGCCACACTTGCTCCCAACAGCACATTCACACTCACTCTCCTGACGGAAAACTACATTCAAACCGTTGCCGACATCTCCGTAGCCTGGGGCTACACCCTAGCTCCCGGCTACGCCGCGACCCTGGGCTCCTTCGTCCAGAGCTCGTACCTCGGTCCCAGTGAGAGCAACACTCTCGAGAACGTCACAGTTGAGGCGACGGTGCCGGCGGCGCTGGCAGGCGACGCGTACAATGGCACACTAATTCTGAGTGCGGGCGTGACGAGTTTGTACGGCGCCAGCAGCTCGCCAGTGGTTACGGGTTTCAACATTAGCGTCACGGTTGGAGCTGAGACCAGCGAGGAGCTTGTAAGGAGTGTCGGCCAGAGCTGGATTGTGAACGGCCTTGGTCCGGTTTAAGGGTCCCTCTCGACATCTGATAAGTGGGGACTTTGTGTTCATGAATTGAGATAGTAGATTATGTATATATGTTCGCTTCATCCTCATTATCAAGTCAACCAATGTGATTCACGTGCTATGGGCCCAAACTTTGCAATCTCAGATGGCCTCCTAAGACCACCACCTTGTCCTATCTTCTCGGAGCAGACGAAACCCTGTCATCCCGATTTCCGTGCTTGAATGCCCAGACCGAGTCATCCATACCCTCATGTGCAGCTGTGATGTACTTACGGAAGGCCGACGACATCGACACCACCTGCCTCAGGTGATCTTCTGTGACTTCAGGTATTGCCGGCTCACCATTTTTGGCCTTAGCTTTTGAGTCATACACCGCGAGTGCGACTGCGGTTTGGAAAGCTATATTCCACGTTAGTCAATCTTATAATCGTAACAACTGCGTATGATTGGACTTACCGTTTCGGATCTCCCTCCCGTTCCACTGCAAGGCCTTGACTTCTTCATCTTTGGTGACGTAGCGCTTAGCATCGTAATCGTACTCGATCTTGGGTCCGCCGTTCTATGGTCGTCTTTCAGTTTCTGGAATAAGTTGCCCCAGATCTGGGTTCGCGCGTCGTCGCTGAGCTTGTCATATCCCAGGGATAAGTGGATGCGCGACATGAATGCTTCGTCAAACTGGGCAACTCTGTTTGTGGTGAGGAAGAGAATCCCTTGAAAGTAGTCGAGAGCTCGCAGGAAAACTGGACAGCATCAGTTGCAGGCTCTGACAAGTCCTGTCGTCTGACCTACCGGACACGATGCTGTTGCGCTCCAAGTCGCTAGTAGATCGCTTTTCCAAGTACACGTCTGCCTCATCGAGCAGCACTATCGCGTCCCAGTCATTCGCTCTGCGAAAGTATTGAAGGAGACTTTTCTCGAGTGCATCTGGCTCGTGTCCAAGATCGGCCGCCGTGATGTTGAGTAGCGGCCTTTTAATGAAATCTGCCACAGATTCTACAAAACAGTTACTTCAAGCGCCAATGAATCTATAAAAAACCTACCGGCTGTGAGCGTCTTCCCTGTACCTGGAGGCCCATGCAGAAGGATGATTTGGCCCTCGCCCTTGCCATAAATGAAATCTGCGCTGAACAATTCGGAATTGTCTGTGTACGTTTTTGCAATCGCCTTGATCAATTCCTTGTTTCCGTGTGGCATGACGAGTCTATCAATTGCGGTCTCGGCCATGCTGGGTTCCTGTAATCTTGCTACATCCAGAAGATCTGTTTCTAGTGAGACTCTGCAAACGATTAATTTGCTCCTGTAACTTACCGTAATTGCGATCGTTGAGAACAAATGCAAACATGTGCGACGGAAGGATAGAGTATTGATGGTCAGTGAGCTTGTTCAGCTTCGTAGGGTTAATTTCGCGGTAGTCACTGAATTTCAGTTGGAGATACGTTTCTTGTGAAGCGGCGTGCACTTGACAGTCCTTGCACTCACAACGCGCTACACGCATAGATTCACCAACGATATTTATGACCTGTCCTGGAGGAGGCGGGGGCGGAGGCGGAGGAGGAACACTGAATGGGGACCGCATAGTATTAACTGCATCTGGGACTCTGTTTTCCGGCATATGGTGGCTCAGATCGGGGCCCCAAATACCTCCATTAGTCCATGGCCTCGATTCGTGTTCAACTACGACGCGAGAACGTTTGTACTATAGAATGTAAGCTTCTTTCAAGCACCTCTTTGGTGGATGCTTACCGATCGGGTCCCAGCCTTCAAACCTTCACCGTCGTATTGCAGAAAGGAAGGGTGTTTTGAATATGCGAAGTACTTTTGGCCCCGATCGATCAAAGACTGAAGGGTGGCACCTTTGTCAACCTGATCTTGATACCGGACAGGGAAAATGGGGAGCTCCGTGATTTGCCTTTCGTCATCGAAAACCTGGATATCAACATGTCTGGCGTATTTTCTAATCGCTTTGTCATCTAAGACAAGATGCCAGACCTGCGCGGTATATTTTATAGTGGCCTTCTTGCCTGATTCGTCTTGGTGGGTTCCGCCCGCCAATCTATCGAGAACATAGCGATTGAGCGAGCCATCGGTTTCGCGCACATACACATCCGTGCCTGGCTTCATCAAAAGCCAAAGCGTGCCGAATGTGGTAGACGGAATACTTTTGCTCCAACGAGCTTTGGCATCATTGTACTGGATGGTCGGTTGTGACTCAAGATACGATCTAAGAAGCTCGATATGCTCGTCTGCATGATGATTGAACATGTCAGAGTGGCGCTTTCGAAGCTCTGATTTTCCAGTCTTGTAGTCGAGCAAATCATTGAGATGCAGGTACAGGTCCATGAAAGGGTATGCGAAGACTCCATCATCCAGACCATCGTCGTCACCTGCGGGTGGTTGGGCCGAGCATTCAATCACGGCTTTGAGTACGTTCAGCAAGTACGGGGAGTGTATCTTGAGGACTGGCTCACTGACTACATCAGCCTGACGTAGTTTGGGTTGTTTCCCATGTGTGCCTGATGCAAAGCCGTTCTTTTGTACTGAATGAGGGGGAGACTCCACGTTCTTGCTTTCTTCAAGGACTGGGACGTTCTCGCGTTCATCGGAAACCTCAAGCTCAATTGGTTCAGTGTACACGCTCTGACTTATGAATTCGGAGCGACCACCGAACTCTTGTCGTCGATAGTAGCTGACCTTGTATTGAACTCGATTTTCGTAGGTCGTCTCAGTCACGTCAGCCTTCTCGGAGATCTGAGGTACAGGGACCAATGCAACGTCTGATGGCACTTGCAGTGATACTACAAGGCGTGCATGGGGCGAAACTATGCTTTCCCAGAGCCCGGTGTAGATTTCATCGCCAAACATATTCTTGATGGTGAAGTGTCCATCGTCAATTGCTTTCAAGGCGCTTTCGTCTTGCCGAAACCACTCTCGAAAGAATGCTTCCATGCGCTAGATTGATCAGCAAATCTGAGAAGTGGCATGGAGAAGGAACATTCGTACCAGCCACGTGCGACCAGCGTCCCAAGGGATTATCAGAGGTTGCGTATGGTTGAGCTCGAGGGTAATAGCGCCAGAATTGCCTGGTCTCTGTTCAGAAGACGGTTGAGTGGTCGCCTCAACTTCCGGAATGGCCATCGCGCATTTGACAGCAGCATTAAGCCTGTGCATTCGCTCTTTGTGCTGCCCCCACCTCCTAGAAGACGCTGTGTGATCCATATCGGAACTTGCGTCTGTCTTTGTAAGCTCTTCATGAAGTCAAATCAAGCTGAACGGATCCTCACTGTTCGTGATTATCTTCGTGCCGCTGCCCAGCGTACTATCTAGGCCTGTGGGACAAGTTTCGTCGTTTTCTTCTTCGTCAGTTGCCTGCAGTGATCCTGAACCTGCATCATCTTTCTCTGAAAGACAGGTTTGTTCATCAGTTGGTGCAATAGTGTGGGTAGCCATTCTCCTGCATCGCCGCAGTGAACGACGCTGTGCTTATACAGTGAATCTAAAGTATCGTCAACGGTGACTCTGTTTGGAGCGATAACCGGATTCTTGGAGGATTAAGGGTATAGATGACCTATAGTGGTTTATATGTGATGTCACAGTGTAAGCCCAACCCAGGTCCAAGTCAGAGTTTTTGGAAGGTGCAAGTTCCCGGCCCCCAAAAATCGTCAATTGTACAATATATCGCTTAATGCGACATTGCCGCCAGGATGCATGCACTGCTCCAATTCGGCCATAGAAGCGAGCTGATTGTCAAAGTGATTGGTCTGGATATATTGCCCTGGTATCAGCCTTGATGATTATTGCTTACGGCGCCAGGCTCACCGTTGCAACCTAGACCGACCTTGTGAAAGTATTAGGCAGCCAGAATCGGGTTGAGCGAAGGTTGTCGGTCTTAAGCTCTTTTGAGATTAAATGTTAGGACATCTACCTAGCCTAGATTCTGAGGGGTTCAGGAGACAACAGACCTCATGCAGACCGACATACTGAGAGATGTGGGCTTAGCACTTGTTCGTAGATTTACCGATGAGCTGAAAGGAGACACGACGCTCGAGCGTGCCACCATGAGTGCACAGCAACACCAGGATGTCGCAGAGAGTGATCTACGGAGGAAGCGCATGCAAGCGTTGTATCAGGATCCCAACAGAGATCCTAGGTAAGCGGGTCAGTCAATAGCCTTCACAGTGCTGTTCACTTACATGACAAGCAGCGACTTCAGATCTCATGAGGTGGAGACCGCCAGGTTGGCGTTGCAGGCAGTGTGCGTACAACTTGAAAAAGAAGAGAAAAGGCCTTCGACATTGCAGAAGATGGGCTTTAAACGTGCCAAACCGAAAGCCGCTGCAAACGAAGCACTATTGACTGCTAGCGCATACGACTTCAACAGCTTACAGACAGTAGTCGAAGACTCCGAGTCGCATTGGAAAGCCGGTCAAAAGCATGTAGGTATTGACTTGATTGTCATAACCTGATGCTAATCGTAGCTGCAGATCGGCCACCGTTTTCGGAATCTTTGCAATAAGCTCGACGAGCACAAGGCCGCGTTCGCCATATTTCCCTCTCAGAATCTGTACACTTCCGCGTTGTGTGGAAGCCTCGCCATGATCGTTGGCGCTGCTGCCAACTACAGCGATATTGCCGAACGACTCTCTGAGATGGTAGCCGATATTACGGATAAAGCGACGCGTGCAGCCCACGCTGTACTGATCTTTCCGACTCATGACTTTCGGGACTTATTCTCTAGACTCTACGCTCAGGTCTTTCTCTTTTATCGCGACGCAATTCAGTGGTATGCCAAATCCAAATTCGAGAGAGCACTCGAAAGCTTCAACGAGAGCCTAGTGAAGCCGTACGAAACAGCTGCAGCGAGAATTGAAAGCCTCTTAATCGAAATATATCGTCAGGGGGACTTAGCATTCTGGGCGAAGGATTTCCTATTCAAGGAAGACATAGAAAACCAGATCCGGCGCCAGAGAGAGCAAGTCCAAGACAGGGACAGCTTACTGTCTGCTGGGCGGCAAGGGAAGCGACTGCTTTTACTCAATTTCGAGCATGCAAGCTTCGACACACCCTCTCAAAGTGCGGATGAAGAACAGCTTTTGTTGACAACAGACAAACAGGCACGCGTTCCCATCGTTCTAGAGAACTTAAGTCGTGAGAGTATGAGGGCATTAAGCGCACAACTTACACCGTTTATATTCGGTACCGAAGGGCCTTCGCTGTTCAACGATGGTCAGGTCTGGCTGCCAGAAGTCGATATTGCCTCCAAACTCAGCAAGTGGATGAGCCCTGACACGCAATCATCTGTACTCTGGATATCCAGTCCTGCAACATCGCGCGATTATCCTAGCTCACGAGCTGCAGCAATGATAATGGCTGCAACAGCGTGGAAGTCGAACATGTCGATCGTCTCACATTTCTGCTCAAGACCAGGTTATGGTTGTGTTCCCGACGGGCAGATGATTGAACAAGTCGGCATGTTGGGACTTGTGTATAGCCTTGTCGTCCAGCTCCTCCAATTTCACGTCGAAAGAGATGCCTTTTCTTTCTCGAGAGACAAGTTCGAGAAGCTAGATGGATCGGACGAATCATGGCCAGGCGCTCTACTCCTACTGCAAGACCTGCTCCGAGCGACTCCGCAGCTGCAAGGGTGTATTGTCGATGGACTGAACGACCTATCCTTTTCTAGCGGTGCTGAGTGGTGCGGCGCTTTCCTGAATATGCTTTTGGAGCATCAAAGAACGTATTCGCCTGGTTTCAAACTGTTGCTCGCAACGACAGGGCAATCAAGAGTTCTGCCGGATTATGTGCAGGTCAAGGATCGGGTATTTGCCCAGAGAGGCGCGAAAGAGGTGATCCGTGGCGGAAGGTGGCTCAACGAAATCACCAGGTGATATACGTCCCGGTAGTACTTGCCAAAGATGTTTGACTATCATCGCAAGTACGGAACGACGTAATCAGCAATGATTGGTGATGCAAGTGACTGAGCGCGACCAACGTGTTGGAAGGGCTGTGTCAATAAGACGCGTCAACGGAGCTCAATGCGCGTTGACGCTAGCGCTGGTCGTAACCTCCGCCTGATGGAACACCTTGCAGGCGATTCAATAAGCAAGTGCCAGCGCAAAGTGCATAATGCAATAATAATGTTCACGTTCTATGATGAAGCCTCAGAACGCCTGCAATGCTACGCTACCAAAACCCTCTTCCGTATTCAGTGACCACAGTCGCACGCCCTTCCGTGCAGCAAGTGCCTCTTCTTAAAGTCACCGGTATAGTCTGCCAGATGTGTCTGACCATCCAGTCTTTCACCCTCTTGAGGAATCTTTCCCATCCAGCTAACCTCCGTACCGTTGACGTCCATCACTTTGAGGTCCTTGCCCTTTTCTCGCAGCTCCTTTGTTACAGCCTCAACATCGACCTCAAGGTAGTTCCTCAAGAATTCTCCGACCTCGGTGTTCTCATGGTTACCCACTAGCGCTGCGGCCTTCTTCGGGTCGGATGAATAGATGTTGACATCGGCGGCGGAGTGGCCGTGTGTGCTCCAGCCTGTCTGCGAGCGGCGCGAGATCATGTCGGCGTAGCCGTACAGAGCAGTCAACGGGGCGTCGGTAATTGCTTCGACTTCCTCTTCTGTGTAGTCGTGGATGCCAAGCCCCTCGGTGATGCTGTTGATGACGAAGATCTTCTTCTTTTCGTGCGATGGAGAGGAGAGAAGGTAGGCGGCGTATTCGATAGCAAGACGTTCGGCGGAGTGGGATGCATTGGCGAGGGGAGCGGGGTACCATACATAGTCGGGGTAGGCAGTATGAAGTTCTGGGCATTGTCAGTGTGCATCGTGAGCTTGGTGATGGGCTGGCGTACGGCGAGCAGTCGCTAGACCGCCAGTTTCATGATCGGATGTGGAGACCATAACGGTCTCCGTTTTCTCCTGTTTGATGAAATCCAACACACTGCTGAAGGCCTTATCGTACGCAAGGACTTCGTGGACCTGAGCAGCAGGGTCATTGTGATGACCGGCGTGATCAATCCTTGAGCCCTCGATCATCAGAAAGAATCCCTTATCACTATCGCGGGTGGCTTCGCTCAAAGCCTTCATAGCAGCCTCAGCCATCTCGTGCAGCGAAGGGTACTTGTCGTTCTCATTGCGGCGGTCGATCTCGTAGGGGATGTCTCCATCGGCGAAGAGGCCCAGCATGGGGAAGTCAAGCTTGGCACCACCCTTCAGATCGTCAAAGCCGGCACGATCAGAAATATAGTTGAAGCCGTTTTTGCGCGCAAGGTCGACCACGTCGCGGTCGTCGGTCCTGCAGGAGTGCTCCACTGTAGTGTTGGGGACAAAGTGGCAGCGTCCACCGCCGAACATCAAGTCTACAACACGACCGAGAGGGTAGTCGCCGACCATCTGCTCAGCAATGCGGTCTTCCTCCTGGCGCATGTTGACGTGTGCAGCGAAGCACGCGGGTGTGGCATCGGTGATGCGAGTGGTAACAACCAAGCCTGTCATGTATCCAGCCTTCTTCGCTGCCTCAAGCACTGTTCCACAGGGCTCGTGATCAGGTGTCACTGAAATAGCGCCGTTGTAACTCTTCTGCGCACAGGAGAAGGCGGTTGCGCCCGCAGCAGAGTCGGTGATGAGACTAGATGAGGATCGTGTGCGCGACTGACCGATCATGTGCTGATCAATAGTGAGCTGCTCGCTGAAGGGTGCGCCGTTCTGGAACTGCATGAAGCTGCGCGTCAAGCTCAGACTGGTGGGTCCCATGCCATCAGACACCATGAAGATGAGGTTTCGTTTGCCATTGCTGTTGCTGGGCGCCGTGTCTGGCGATCCCCCGGTCTTCTGGTATACCACGGCAAGAACGACGACTCCTGCTGTTGCTATGATCGCCCATACTAGCAGTCCGATCTCACGCCATTTCTTCCACGCAGAGTCGTTGCGCGCGGTGCGCTGACCGGTCAGGAGAGCGTCTTCCTCGGCGATATCCCTGTCCGGGAACTCCGAGGACGTTCGGTTCGAAAGAAGAGGGCGACTCATTGTCGATGTGTGTTGTAAGGAAAGAGCGGCAGGACAGCAGGCTGTCTAGAGGAGCATCGTATCTAATCAAGGGTTGTCGAGATGATGTTCGGGGCGCGGCCCTGCATCTGCAGCGGATGATCGGCATGCCGCCAAACGCTTTGGGACTAGCCTATCTGCCTGCTGTCATCTGTCTTTGGGGCGTGATCGTAATCCTATCCTTCTGACAGGCATCACGAGTATTGAGTAGGGTCTCAACTGTCATATCATGGCATTACCCCATGAGGCTTGGGATTTCGTAGATTGCCTCCCAATTGCGGGGAAGTCACGAAGGTCGGCCACTTGAACGTGAGCACAGGCGTTCACCATCGATCACGGCCTCAAGCAATACCTAACGGGATTATACTATCTCGCCGCCACTGCATGTGTTATGCCAGTGTGATGATGTCCAGGTTTTCTTCTCCTCCCTGTACAAGGCCTCCATCCATCCATTCGTCAGCATAGCATTCACCAATGAAGTTGTACTGTTCCTGACCAACTTCAAGACATATGAACAGATAGGGAGCATGGCCGCCCCGAAGCGCCACGACCTAAACACCAGCCTTTACTTGAGTGGTTATTCGCGCATCGCTGAGGGCTGCTACCTCAAAAATGTAGCACGCCTTCGTCTGAGTCGTATGGGCAGTGAAAAATAATTGCAACGGCTCTTTGCCAGTTCCAAATCCAGGGAGCACATCTGATATGAATCAAGTCTTTGTATTCTTCGAAATCGTCTAACGAATGGTCTATGACGAAGCTACGGCATGTCGCAGTCGCCCCCATTGGACGAGCTGTTACCCTGATGCAGGAGTTCCCTGACACCAACTCACTCGACAGATTCAGTCTTGCTGTAAGCAAGCGAGTCTCGCAGATTGATTCGGTAGATACGGGGAATTTGCGCGTTCTCTTGCGTCCATACTCTACAGATTCTTGCTCAGCTATGTGCAAAAGTAGAATAATCACTACCAAAGCTGCCGAGACAGTTGTTTGCTGCTGCGTGGGCGTTGTTGAAGCTTCGGAGGTGGACAGCTCCCCGCAGCTTTCATGTGGGTCTTCCACGTGACGTGGACTCCACTCTACCCGGACTTTTTTGTGAGCAGCAGGTCATTCACCTTTGCGACACTCTGCGCCACGGCTGCACACCACGCTCATGATCGATCGGTAACACGTAGCAATACTCGAAAACATGGCTGCACCCATGGCGCCCTCGATGCTGCCAAAAGTAGAGGAGCCTTCCGCTGTCGACCTCGTAGACACCGAAGCTGCCTCCCCCGCCGATGCGCTCTACGACAAATGCGCCCAAAGATCACAGGGCACCGTCTTCTTCCAGCGCGATTTGTCCAATATGCAGATCGCTGAGACCATGGCCGAGCTTACCATGCTCTTGCAGGAGCTATGTGATCGCCATCTTATGAAGCTCATGACGTTCGAAGGCGAGCCGTGCTGGAAGCTGCGGTCGCGCCCGGAAGCCGACAAGTACGTGATGATTGTGCATACTACTACGGACGTCATCTAACATGTCTTAGACTTCGACGACTCACGCCTGACGAACGCCTCCTATACCACCACATCGACCAAGTCCAGGCGGAGGGCATCTGGTCGAAAGCACTGCGCGCACGAACGAACGTCACCCAACAAGTCCTCACAAAATGTCTCAAGAGCTTAGAGTCGAAAGACTTGGTACAATCGGTTATGAGCGTGAAGTTCCCAAACCGCAAGATGTACTTGCTGAAGCATCTGCGCCCTTCTGAAGACATCGCCGGAGGCCCATGGCAATCAGAAGGAGACTTCGACACAGCACTCATCGAAGCTATATCCGGCATTGTCGCGCAGTACATCGAGAATGAGACTTGTATTAAGGTTCCTGGCAACTGGAACGAATATGACAGGACGGACAGGAGCACAGAGATTGCGCAGAAGAAGGCGCAGGTGCAGGGCATACGGGATATCGAAGATGCGCCAGCTGTGAAACCATATTACGCACCGAGAGACCCGAACGCATCCAAGATTGTACACAGAAACAGTCCGCAGTACCCAACTTCTGCCTCGGTTGCCGAATGGCTCAACTCAAAGGAGATTTTAAGGGGCAAGTCAGTAAGAGAAGATGACATGGAGCAACTGCTAGAGATGATGGTGCTGGATGGACGGCTTGAGAAGATCTCAGGAACCAATTACCGCACTGTTCTGACAGTGAACGATACCAAAGTCTACAACGGTTTCGTCGACGCACCGTGCGGTAACTGCCCAGTCTTTGATCTCTGCGGCGACGAAGGCGAAATCTCAGCCAGGACCTGCGTGTACTTCGGGCAGTGGCTAGAGACGCAGTCGGAAGAGGTGTAAATTTCATCTATCAGGCATAGCGACGGCGTTTTGGGCATTGATGCATTTACGGCTACTATTGAGAGGAAATACCCAAGCAAATCTCATAATCCACGACCTGCCGACCTACAAGTCTTAACAAACTCGGCGTCGCACGTCTGAAAACAAGTTACTCCCCCTTCAGCCCCACCCCAACAATCGCCTCAAACTCCATAAACATATGCTTATCCGCCCCACCAGCTTCCTCGGTCACAATCTCTTTCATCGTCTCCCCAACCCCTTTGACCCACTCCTCCCTCTTCTCCTCCGGCCACTGCTTACTCAACATCACAATCACAAATCCCATCGTCGTCGAAAACGTCTCCGGCGTCCCACAATCCACATTAACCTTCTCTTGCCGCACATCGACCTTCTGCAGCCCGACTGCCTGCAACTGCTCCCTCACATACTCAATCTGGTGCCATGGTCGCCCGTTCGTCATACCCGCGCGCAACTCGTCCTGCGTCGGCAACTCCGGCCCGTCCTGCATCTTCGCGTACACCTTGCCCAAGAGCTCATACCAGGGGAGGTGTACCCAGGAGCTGACCGCGATCGTGCCGCCCGGCACCGTCTTCTGCGCGAGCTGCGGCAGCACGTCCGGCGGGAGCATGAAGATAGCGAATCCAACGAAGACGTGGGCAAAGTCTGCGCGCAGATCCGCGGCTGGGAGCTTCGTGGCGTCGATGTTCTGCGTCGTGAGGCTGCTCCAGCCCTCCTGCTCGCCCCTGGTTTTGAGGTACTCCAGCATCGGCTGGCTGATGTCGCCGGCTAGAATGTGCAGGTCGGGCCATTGAGCTTGCGGGATGGCGTCGTAGAGCTCGGCAACGATGGCACCGGTGCCGCAGCCTAGGTCGAGGATGTGCACGGGGGTGGATTTGAGCGTTGTGAGCTCTTCGGTAACGGCTACCATGGTCTTGGCAAAAGGGCGTGTTGCGTTCTCGGCGGCCTTGTAGCGTTCTGCTACATCTGGGGTTTGCTGCCAGATGGACTTTATTGAGGCATCGACAGCTGCAGATGAGGATTGGGTCGCCATATTGTAAGACGAGACGGACAACGCAGCTATGGTGTAGCTACTCGTATCTTGCTTTGAAGAGACGTTTAAGGCGGTTCAGATGAGTTTAGATCTTGCAACGAGCACACAGACTGCTTTAAGGACTCTCTGTGGTGGTTGCCTGATTTTCTGGAGACATTTCATAGCGCTTACCTTGCATCGGCTGTCCCGCCACAACTTCGTACCATTTACCTAAACAGCAATTCACGCAACGCTGATTTGAGTTGATTTGCGCTGGCACATGACTACAATGCCGCACGCTCGGAGACATGCGGGTGGGTGCTGATGGAGACTTTCCTTTGTCAGCTCGGAGACTTTTGTACACAAACTCCAAACTCAACCGACACCAGCATTATAGACTGTACAATCTCTCCGTACGAAAAAGGCTAACGCAATGATCAAAGATCATACCAGTCACCCAAAACAACCACCCATATCAAAAGCACCAAGATGCCCCCTGTAAACCCAGCCAGGACAACATCCAATGTGAGCTCTTCCCTCTTATCATTTGGTCCCCGCCCTAGATATTTTGGCGACTGGCTCGTTGCTTCGGAGCGAAAGAACGATACCTGCCTGTGTATTGTTAGACTTGCGAAGTTTTAGCGTCTAGTCGAGATGCTGGATCATTATAAGTGTTGCAATTCGTATTGGTCGTATTCAAGTCAGCCCTCAAATGCACATCCAAACTCACGAAACGAAGCCACCATCGCTTTCGACCAACTTAGAAAACTCCAGCATCGCCCTCACTACAGCAACGCCGCTGCCTTGCGTTTCGACGGTTCGGCCACGTCCGCGATCATTCAGGTCGCGGGAGCTGCTTGGATCTATGTCCTCATCGTGATCGCCAGTCATATCGTGGCCTGCCAATCGCTCTCCGTCGTCCCCGTCATGGATCGGTGTATCGACCACCCCCTCGAACTGCGCCATGTACCTTTCCGCCTTATTCCTATAATCCGTCGCATTCACATCTAGCTTTACCTTCATTTCTTCGTTACCATTTGCATCCACACCCCACCAGCTGCCGAAGCGACCTTGCTCGTTTCTTGTCCGCAACGCGGCTACCGCGTTGTGTGTGACCCACCTTGAATATTCCCTACAGCTTTTAGAGTGCAGAGCGCGCGTTTCAGGGCTTGCCGCAAATGTCCTGCCCGGGCGAACAGGTACAGACGGTAATGGAGTACAAAAGGCCGTAAGGTGGTGAAAGAAAATGCCTTTAAAGGTTTGGCCATTCTGATTGCACGTACCAGACGGATCACATGCTTCGGCCAGGATACCGTTCGCTCCCAGGCCGGACCAGTTCAAGAGAACATCGTTCTGGGATTCCGGTATCTGATCAGGTTTCTCTGGCTGAGTAGCAGCAAAAGGAGGTCTCCCTGTCCAGCCGGTCGCGCGGATGACGTTACGCACGAGCTCATGACCGTCTTCGAGATAGGCCTGCTTACCAGTTGCTTCCCAAAGACCCCTGAGACCTGAGAGCACCACACCTTGATTGTATGTGTACACCATCTCATTCCGTTCATCGCATTCGGTTTTGCTGTGATTTGTGCGATAGCCAGTGATGTGGAAGCCGTCCACATAAAGGCCCTTCTCGTTCATCATGCCACTGTTCCTTAGCCAGTCATAGCCATTGATCGCGTTAGCGAGATAGATAGGATCGTATGAGCTATCGCCCTTGACACTTTCGTCGCACTGATCGCCATGCTCTTGGGCGTGGAGAAGCTTGTCATTGGGCTTCCTGTGGTTCTTGTCTTTGATCTTGTCGTACTGTGAAAGGAACGGCGAGCAGTTCGTGTCCCCCGGGAAGTGTAGATACATGCCAATGCTGGCCGATATAAATAGTTGGTTCGTGATAGCGTTCTTGTACGGCAGTAGACGGGGATTCCACGTCATACCTCCACCACAAAGGCGCCAGTCCCAACCTTTCTCGGCGAGCTCGTAGAAGACTCGTGCTCGATGGGCAAATGCAGGGATGAACTGACGAGCATGCCATTCAGGGATCCTCGAGTCGTCTTCCGAAGCATAGTGTCCTGCTGAATGGCTCTTGATGAATTGTACACTCTCCAGCCAGCCCAGCACAACCCAGAGTATGTCATCGTAGGCTTGCATCCTTATCGCAAAGTGGTCTTCACCAAAATAGTACGTCAAAATCTGGCCAAAGTATTTGTTGATCTCATTCTCAACCATCTGCGCTTCGACATCGAGGTTCTTGGATTTGTCGAAGGTGCCGGGCATCGTGTATGTGAGCGAGCGCGAGAGCGAGGCTAGTGTTGCTGACACATGAGTTGCCATGACTGCAGCAGTCCAGTCGATTGCAGTGGTGTACTTTCCCAGCCATATCGAGAAGTAAGAGCTCTGCATCGTCTCCAGACCATTGTGCAGGTCTTGAAGGTTGCTAATGAACGGGGAAATCGAGGGCCCATTGATGGTTGGGCCTGTGATTGCGATGTCAGGGGTGCGAAGTTGTGTCTGAGGTATGTCATGGTAGCTGGTCTCGTAGACTGGTGCAGGCGCATCTGTTCAAGATCAGCTTCGTTAGGTCCTACACTTCAATTGGGCCGTTACCTGACTGAGGCTGATCGTGGCCCTGCACCGCGATTGCTGTGACGGTAAAGACGCCCAGGCACAGACCGGCAGACAGCTGTCTTAGGGACATCGTTCAAGACGTCACGACTTCGACCTATGCGATGCGCCGCGCGCACTACATGTAACGACCGTGATCTGATAGCAGCTGTAGCAACAGTACCGAGCCTGTGTTACCTAGGTAGCGATGGAAAGCCGCTCCAAGAGCGGCGGGTATCAATGTACTGGGATCAGGGCATGTGATGATTAGAGAAGAGCAAGAAGTGTTTCATGGGATTGCGGGACTCAAGCACGGCTTGGGTCAGATCAGCCACAAATGCGACAGGCGCTTCCAAGACCAAGCCAAGGGCACCTTCCCAATCGAGATGCACGGCTGCTGCAGGTGGCTGCATTACTTTGGGAGAGCATTCGACATGCTGTGCTTGCAAAAGGAAAAGTGCCTTCGGTTATAACAAACTGATGCTCGTTGATACAAGATGAGATGGGTCGCGCACAGGCCGTCGCGTCGCGTCGTCTGAAGCGACTTCGGACTTCCGAGGGTGCCCCACACCTCGCGTGGGCAGCGCACGTGCCTTCCGTGCACGTGTCTCTCCACCAGCAAAAAACACACAATCGACGATTTCTCAACAGCCTCGACAGCTATCGATGATCTGGAAAGTGCAAAAGATATGGTGAACAGAGTGGGATTCGAACCCACGCAGATTACTCTACTAGCACCTGAAGCTAGCGCCTTAACCGCTCGGCCATCTGTCCGAATTGATCAATTGCTTGATTGATGAAGGTTTGGTGATTTGAATACAATATATTCCACCAGAAAAAGCTTGCGGGACGACGTCTTAGTCAAGGGGAACATCGGTGGACCTGATCAAAGTCGAAGCTCTGGAGGGAACTAATTCCTGTTTAGCTCAAGTTGAGTAGGCTGCATCTGTCTACCCCCTGTAACTCGAAAATCCTTTTAGTCAAATGATGATGGAGCCAGGAATTTTAAATCGACTTGGACGTGGCTACTGTATTGTGAAAATAAAATGCAGCCAGATAGCAATTCATCGACACGCAAAGTTTGCGCTGCTGTAAGGAACCCTGTGGGCGATAGAATAGAGACTGTTATTTAATAACGGGCCTCACAGACTTAAGGACTGTGCAAAAGCAACCAGAGTGCCATAATTGCAAACACGAATCGGGCATGCGTTCTTCTTTGGCGCATCGACAGTACATTCAGGGGTTAGGCCATGTTACTTACCGTTTGAGCGATGAAGAAGTCTTGCATATCCTTGAACGTAAGCTTTTAGATTTCGAGGGCGTCCTCTGAGAGGACAAGGGGAGGCGATGAAGGAGAGCTTGCGTTGGACTTGCACATGCCGGCAGCCCCGTTCTCCAGGCCTGTTCCTCGTAGGAGGCACGCCTTGATCGATGTACCGGATCGCAGATTTCTCATATTAACCCTATAGTACAATGTCTGATTTTGAATTCGTACTGGGCTCGGTGTTGAGTACATTTACACAAAATACCGAAAATTGCCGATGGGAGATCAGAGAGTCGCACTTGCGGGGAGCCAACCTGCCTCGGCCCGTCACCTGCACGACCGATTCGAAGCAGTACTTCGGCAACTTCACAAAACGAATAGCCTTGAGATATAACAAACAATTCGTTCAGCCTTGCTGGTGCATTTCTCTATTCCCACACTTTTGTATGTACATATAATATGGCGCACAGCACCACGAGAATCGTAGACGACAAGCCAGCTAGCCAGCTAGCTGAAGCATACGGCAGCAGCTTGCCATGGGCTGAGCCGAGCTGGTATGTCTATCTATGCAATCGAACAGGGTCACCACATTAAAGCTCACAGGTACACCGGCCGTCCATCGCCATACTACGAAGACAGCCACCGAAAACTACGCGACTACGTCCGAGCCTGGTGCGACGAAGTACGTTCCCTCCCAACACACCAATACATCGTCTAATAACCCCAGAACATTTCCCCCTTTAGCGAAGAATGGGTGCAGTCCGGCGCCGTCGACCCTGCAATCTACGCCAAATGCGCATCCGCCGGCCTCCTCGTCCCCATCGCCTTTGGCAAATCCATTCCAGCACAGTACTCAAATTATCCTATCGCGGCCGGCATCAAGCCAGAGGACTGGGACGGCTTTCACGACTTCATCCTATGGGACGAACTGATCCGCGCCGGGCCCATCGCTAGCATCTTCATCGGCCTCGTAGTCGGCGCGCCGCCATTGCAAAAGTTCGCCTCAGGGGCGCTGCAGCAGAAGATATTCCCCGAAATCCTGTCTGGCGAGAAGAGAATCTGCCTCGCGGTTACCGAGCCCGATGCCGGCTCCGACGTGCGCAACATCAAGACCACGGCGGAGAAGACCGCAGACGGGAAACACTACGTGGTGAACGGGAGCAAGAAGTGGATCACTAACGGCATGTTCAGCGACTACTTCATGACGCTTGTGCGCACGGGCGGCGCAGGCGCAGGCGGCCTATCCATGCTGCTGATCCCGCGCAGCGAGGGCCTGCGCACGCGGAAACTCGAGGTTGTGGCGGGCCCGCTGAGCGCAACCACGTACGTGACGTTCGAGGACGTCAAGGTGCCGGCGGAGTACCTGATTGGTGCCGAGGGCGAGGGGTTCAAGCAGACGATGGTCAACTTCAACCACGAGCGGCTGTGGATTGCGTTTCAGGCGATCCGCGGGTGCAGGGTAGCGCTGGAGGATGCGTTTAGCTGGGCGATTAAGCGCGAGGCGTTTGATAAGACGCTGATTGAGCAGCCGGTTGTGAGGAATAAGTTTGGGAATTGCGGGAGGATGGTGGAGAGTTTGCAGGCGTGGACCGAGCAGATTGTCTATGAGCTGGAGAATCTGAGTGATGCGGATGGCGCGCGTTTGCTGGGTGGGACGACGGCGCTGTTGAAGGTGGAGAGTGGAATGGTCTGCAAGTACGTCGCAGAGGAGTGTTTGTAAGTTTGAGGATTTCAACTGCCTTTTTTGGATAGTGCTAACGTCGTTGCAGAAAGATTATGGGCGGACTGGGCTTAACCAAGACAGGTCAGGGAGCGAGGATTGAGGCCTTCTACCGTGCGGTCCCTAGCTACACAGTACCTGGTGGCTCTGAAGACGTACTGATCGATCTTGGGGTAAGAGAAGCGTTGAAGTTGCATAAACAAGCGCAAAAGCTGAAGGCAAAAATTTGATTTGACGGTCACATCATTCTCTAAACTACGGGTATATGTGCGAAAGTTGCCGTGGGTTTAATCATGTTACATACTAGTACAATTATCGTATCCGTCCCATGACGTTCTTGCTGAAGAAGCTTGATCTTACGTCGGTTCTCCGAAGCACTTGCATGACGCTCTCGAGCTCTGCTTCGTTGGGATTCCAAATGGCCCGGATCGCCTCCCACGCACTCAAGGTGCGTTCTTGGTCTGTGCATCGTTTGAATGCCTTCAAAGCTGCAATGACGGCCAAGCTCGAAAGCCATGTGCGGTCCGCTGAGTTTGCCAAAGCCTGTAGGAATTGGGCCCACACTTTCTCGAGTTTGTCGGGTGTCCAGGAAGAATACCGCACGCCGCCAAAGGAGCCGAAACCGTGGAACATGACGATGAAAGTAGTGCCCTCGACAGATACAGAGTTATACCGCATTTCCTGCAGCAGTTCATTAACGCGATCAATGTCTCCAGACACAGTGGAATGATGTCGTATGAGTAGTGAATAGGTGCGCGGGTTGGGAGAGATTGGCGCATATTCCTGCAGCTCGTTCAATTCCTCCATCTTATCTTCACGTTTGAGTCGTCGGGCTTGATGAGTAAAGTGTAAACCTACTGCTCGACGATCCCGCCAATTGTTCATGAAGAACCTATGACCTGGCGCAGACGGGTTCTTGGCGGCATGAAGTCTCTTCATCCGCTCGAAGACGTGCTCTGCAGCTGTAGGTTCGCCAGCACGAAAGAGAGCAGCAATGACGGCGTTCATAACCACGGTGTCGACGACATCGTTGGCCTCCACAAGATCTTGGTAGGCCTGCCTGACGCCATTGCCATTCCGCAGCACACCGTAATAGTACAGCAATGAGACTCTGAAATGGCGGTGTAGCTTGAGCTTGCGCACTTGCAACTCCTTCAGGAACGTCTCAGCCAGGGTGTACTTCCCTGCCTTGACAGCCACGTCGAAGAGAACATTCAGCGTCACAAAGCCGCCCTTGACGCCAGCGCGGTGCTCCATGTCGCGCCACGTGTGCAGTGCCGATGCGACATCCTCTTCAGACACAGTGCCCATGCTGCGACCGGCGAAATAGACGGCTGTAGTCCATTCAGCCTGGTTGATATGTATGTGTGCACTCTTCATATCGTCTAGTATGGAGGTAAAACGCTGCATAGCTGCGAGGGACGGGCGTTCGACAATGGACAGGTGGTGTAGCAGGGTTCGTATGGTATCTATGTCGAGGTACACGACGCCTGGTGCGGGGAGCTTCTTGTACATGTTGAAGACTTCTTCGTGGGGCGACTCGTCATTCTCGAGCATTTTCTTCAGTTTTCGTATGTTGTAGGAGTCAGTGACCTCGCGGACAGGCCACGGCTCGTGGTTGTCGCCTACATTCCATACCAGCGGCCCACCATCGTCCACCAGATCGTCATCCTCCGGCCGCGTGTCGACTTTAATCCCGTAGTAATCCACCATGGCTTTGAGCTCTTTCTTTGCAAATTCGCTTGCCCGGTCAAGAGGACCCTCATGTTGCGCTCGCGTCTTCAAGCCTCGACGAACAGGGTGGCGGTCATGGTCTATACCGTGGTTCTGGCACGTCTCTTGTTGCCGTGATAATCGCGGGATGGCGTTGCGCAGCGTGTGCATCTGCCTTGCGTGCTTCTGACAGGAGCCGGCGCGCACGAGGGCCCGGATGAAGGCAGCCTCCATAAGATGGTCCTTGGTGGTGCCTGAGGGCGTGGCATGGCTCATTGCGGCATGGTTGAAGCTGCGCCGAGAGCCCTTGGTTTGCTGTAAGACGGGACATAGAAAGGTGAGGAACGGCGCTGGATGCTGCGAGACGGCGGAGGTCCGATCGAGGGTGCGGAGGAGGGACATGAGATTTCGAGCATCGTGTTCGGTAGCAGCGGCGTCGGGCAGGTTGTTCGGAACCAATTGGTCAGAGCAGCCCCATTAGAGACTCTGTGGCAATGAGCAGGGAGCGTGACGGCGGGGACAATGCCGCGAGGAGGTGTAGCGTGGAGTGCAGCGCGTCGTTGGAAAGATTTCGTGGGTCTTGGCAAACTCCCGGCCGGAGCTTTTCGAGGCGTCGACGAACATGCCCTGCATCGCATCACCACCGCCATTGCGCCTTCGTCCGGCCAGTCGCTCTTGCCTCACGCCCTTCCACCCCTGTCTGCATGCAGTAGGAACGACCGGTGCATCAGATCCTCCTCCGCGCCACGCATCAGGCACTCCCCCACGCACCTCCGCCCGCCATGGGCCGCTACAACCTCGCTCCCATGCGCGTGCGCTCTACGGCAAAGGCCCTCTACGATGCGAAGCGCATTCCCAGCCTGCCCAATTGGTATGACATCGTTGGCGACATCCCTACCAGCGAGACACTGGCCCGTCCGGTCCTGCGCGCGCCGATAGTGAAGGGCGCAAAGAAGGCCAGCAAGCTGTTCAAGCCGCTGCCCATCGTATACCCGGAAGACAAGCTGCGCTCCGAGTTCTTCGGCGACCACCCGTGGGAGCTGGCACGGCCAAGACTGGTGGTCGAGGACTCGGGCAATGATTCCAAGGGCTACGACTGGTCGCGCATACAGCAGAAGGGGAAACAGCTAGATGGCGAGAGGTATGGCTATCTGTACAGCTGGAAATCCACAAGCTCTAACATCCAGCAGCGTCGTACAGCGCCAAATGTGGCTCATGCAGAACCAGCGCATGTCCCAGGCCTCCGCATACGACAAGGCCCGCCGTGAGTTCTACCAATACCGCCACTTGGCAGAAGTCCGGACACGCATCGCAAAGGAAGAAGCCATGCACGTCGGTGCCTACTTCGGCAAGGGCCCGCTCGAAGTCGGCATGGAGCTCGAAGACAAGGCATGGGAGAACTGGAAGGCGTGGGCCAACGAGCAGATCGAGGCGGAGCAGAGTATGCGTGCCCAGATGTTCTCTGGGCCACAGAACGAAGACTCAGGCGTCAGCGACCTGAGCGAAGCCGAGTTCGACGACGCCGTTGCAGAGCTGGCCACCGTAACACCAGACACAGCATCGCCAGCGGCGCCGATTGGGGAGGCCTCTGCGCGCGCATTATAGACGCGTTGAATACATGTACTGATATTGTATGTTCGTGTAGATATATCCATCAATGCTGGCTACGAGCTGGTGAACACCCATCCATTGTCCCCTCACATGGACAACACAGCAATGAAGCGATCAAGGCACCGTCTAAAGATACAAAAGTATGAAATGATTTACCCTAATCCAACTTCAGATCGATACGAGAAGCTGGGTGCCAGCAGGCGACCTATTACGCACGCAGGCTTCCAGAGATGATGGAGGTAATTGAAGACGTTGGATCAACAAGTGCAGCTTTGAACCAGCCTTGCCCACTATTCCGAGCTACCTATGACCATCGTCTACACGATCACGTCAACCGCGCGCCACAACACATTAATATCTCAGGTACATTGCACTAACGCCGCTCACACACGTATCACATGCTCGCCACAATGCAGGTACAATCTGTACTCAACCTGACCTCAGGGTGCACGCCCTCCAAGACCACGCTAGAACACGCATCGAATGCGTGGTATATTGCATGCACGCAAGTATTTAGCACAGCGATTGTGGCTGTCGAGGGGATTGCCGCATGCAGCCACCTCGCAAGCTGCAGGATGTATTAGTACTACCATAGTCCGGGCTCGGCGGGCATGAAGGCGCATTGCGATATGACGGCCAAGTATCGCGAGATCACCACCGCGACATGCTAGCGAAAATAATAGCTGGATGCGCCCGCTGCGATGTGCAGTTTAGCGCATGCGAAGCGGAGTTGAGGCTCTTCGTCCCCGGGGTACAAGGCGGCTAAATGGCGTGTTCAAATTGGGTCATGTGTATATTCCCAGTCCACAACGCTTGGCTAATCTAAGTGAGAACCCTGTATGCAAGCCTCGCAAGGTGCTCGGGAAGTATGGTCCCGCAAATCCTTTCAGGACCTTTCAGGAGCCGAATGTCCTCGCGAGATTGGCGTTACTCGAAAAGCCGCGACAACGTGGTCGTTGAGATGCGCCAGGGCATTGGTGCTAGGGTGCAAGAGGGTACTTTCGGTTGCGAATACGGGATATGTGCCGCGGTGCGGGAGGGACATATCGTGCGCCGCGGAGCCGGCTGGGGGACGGGTGAAGGATCAGGAGAGTATTGCTTCCCATTGGTTATATCTGCTGAACATAGCAAGCCATCCTGGTCAGCTGCTGAGCCTCATCTCGGCACGTCAGTCTTGGGGTAGTGCTCACACTTTGTAACGGGCCGCCAGCACCGCGATGTATGCTCGAAGCGGTAAGCCCTGAGTGGCGATCAGACATATGAACACCAAGGGCAATGTAGGCATAGACGGAATCGTTATATAAAAGAGGTCGAGTACTTCTTTGTTGTACTCACCAGCCTACAACTTCAGGTCGCGAGCTCCAAATCACTTCAGACTCTACAGTCAAGCAAGATGGTCCACCTCACGTCTCTTCTCCTAGCCACGGCTGCCGTCGTGGGCAGCGTTTCTGCTGCGCCAGCGCCTGACGCCAACCCCTGGGAGGGCAAGGATCGCCACGTTGTCTCCAGCTATGGCAAGAAGCTTGACGAGACCATCGCAGCGTTCACTGCCCAGAACGATACTCTCAACGCGGCCCGCACCCGTACCGTCGCCGAGAAAATCTCGACCTTCACATGGATCACATCTCGCGCTCATCTTAGCAACATCACATCCACCATCGCCGAGGCCCGTCAGCAGAAGAAGAAGGGCAAGGATATGGTTGTCGGGCTTGTCCTTTACAACCTCCCGGACCGTGACTGCTCGGCTGGCGAGTCTGCCGGCGAGCTGAGTCTCGACAAGGACGGATTCCGGATCTACAAGTCCCAATTCGTCGACCAGTATGCCAAGCTGGTCAAGGAGGCCAAAGACCTGACCTTCGCCATCGTCCTCGAGCCTGATAGTCTCGGCAACGCGGTCACCAACCAGGGTATCGCCGGTTGCGCAAAGGCTACGCCCTTCTACGAGGAGGGCATCGCGTACGCGATCTCTAAGCTGCAAGCACCCAACCTACACCTGTACATCGACGCCGCGCACGGCGGCTGGCTGGGCTGGGCCGACAACCTGCAGCCGACGGCCGACGTGTTCGCGCGCGTCCTTGCCCTCGCAAAGAAGCGCGACTCCAAGGCCAAGATCCGCGGCTTCGCAACCAACGTCAGTAACTACAACGGCTTCAACGCCAAGGTGCGCGAGAACTATACCGAGTGGTCGCCCTCGTGGGACGAGTCGCACTACGCGACTGCGCTCGCGCCGTTCCTCGAGACCGCCGGCCTGCCCTCCAAGTTCATCATCGACCAGGGCCGAGTTGCGCTGCCTGGCGCCCGTGAGGAGTGGGGCGAGTGGTGCAATGTCGAGCCTGCAGGGTTTGGCATTACGCCGACGACGAAGACGGATAACCCGCACGTGGACAGTATCGTGTGGATCAAGCCCGGTGGTGAGAGTGATGGCAGGTGTGGGCTTGCGGGTGCGCCGGCGGCGGGAGCCTGGTTTGACTCGTATGTGCAGATGCTGGTCAAGAATGCTGACCCGCCGTTGGAGCCGACTTATAAGAAGGCCTAGATTGGAGCTGCAGTTGTAGAAGGGGGTTAGATGTGATCTCTCTGCTAGAATTATAGAAGTACGTGCATGTTTTATAATCTATCTGCTATGTCTACCTAGTGACACAACCACAAGCCTCCGAGTCCTGACAGTCCAGTCACGCAGACCATCTCAACACTCACGCCTACTTTCCGAACCGGAACCAAGCCGAGTTGGCATGAGCTTATTCAGGAGGCCTGTGAAACACCAGGTGGCGGCGTCGAAGTGACGATGTGGGACTGTGGAGGTCCTCAACTCAACAAGACACTGGTGTGAGTAGAGAGAGATGAATATGGCATCCGTCATATGTCTATCATCTTGAGACAACTGATTCACGTCTTGATATAAGTAGCTTCAGATCAGCTAACGCTGCTTGCTCGAACTTACAGCCGCCCCGAGCATGGTATGAATTTTCTTACAACGAGAGACATCAAAGCTGAAAGGCACTCTATTCATGATGTCGACTTTCAGTTGACCGAGCTGGATTATCTTGTCCCTCTCGGACTTGCTGCAGACCTTCTCGGTGATGTAATTTGGTCCATGATCTTGCGCGACAATGCATCGTCGGATGCACTCTTGGGCGGCAGCAGCTCCACTCTTTGTACACTTATCACATGCTTGTCCTGGTCCTCTGCTCCTGCAGGCACCCTTACCTGTCTTACAAGGTGGACACCTGTCCCGCGCCCCAATTTTCGCGTGGAGAGTGAAGAGATCGATGGGGACCTGATTGAGGTCTGTGTTGTTGTCATCGACAGCCTGAACGCGCCATGCACGAACGATTGTACCGTCCTCCTGCTTGTGGTCGTATAGGGCTACTTTGTTGACGAAAAGTCTCCAGTGACGGAGCTTCAAAAGTTCCAAGACCAATGAACTGACATAAAGTCAGGGCGCGTACTCCGGCGCAGTAGTATCTTAGTGTAATATATTGTTACAGTTGGAATATATAAAACGATTCAGGATCGGACTTGAGGCCTCGCCGATTTCTACAGCGACGTCCTCCAGACCGAGACAGGTAAGGCCATCGATGTCAGCAGGCTGGGAGAGTTTCGCGGAGGTTTCTTCTCGGATCTAAGTAGCGGCAGTGGCCACGCGACGCTTCTTCAGAGCTTTGGGCTCCCCTAGAGTAGAGCACTTCTGGGTCCCTGGCTTTTCCATGCCTTTGCCCTTGCCCTGCTTGCTTGCGGAAGCCGGGTCATCGTCGAGCTCTCCAGCTTCGTCCTCAGCGGAGTCTTCTCCTGGTGAACTGTCCTTATCGGGTAAGAACTCGTCATCTTCGTCGTCTACGGCCTTCTTCTTCGCGGAAGCCTTTGCTTTGCCTGCACACGTAGTGGCAGAGGTAGCGCTTCTAGTAATGGCTCAAGTAGCACGCGGAAGCATGTTCAGGTTGAAGTGGTTCGCGAAGGACGTGTCGCACGTAGAGCTGTGCGGATTGCTAGGAATTGAACGGACCGGCTGCGAAGTGTGGATGAGTTGGGCAGAAACGGATGCACTTTGAAGTTGTGTGAACAGTGAAATATTCATATGATTTAGCTGAGCGGCCGGGGAAGGGAATATTTAGAAATGCCGCGTGAACGCGGAGCAGTGACTAAGAAGTGAAAGTAGAGCGGAGAAAGTTTGCGCTGACTCTTTGCTGCGCCCAATAGCGTTCTTGTTGAATGACAATCCGGACGGCTTGCGCTGAAAAGGAACCGGCCTGCTAAAAGAGGGCTATCTTGAGCTCCGACTGAACGATATATATACAGACATTGGACAGACAGCAAAGATTCTCTTTCACTTCGCACGTTGAAAGCGAAAGCATGAGTAACACCTCATGCAGCACATGTAGCACGAACACACTGCGTTTGTCGACCATTCTTTATTGATTGTTCTGTGATTGTGGGGTAATTACGTCGTTTGTCTGGAAACACGCGCGGTCACCCGTTAAGGCCGCTTTGCGTATCTGAGTATGGATGTGGAGTAGCGGTGAGTGCCTGATCAGGCCTATGACTTCTAATAGCTTCCAACCATCTAAGCAAACAGAGATGTTCTGCGCGAGACGTAATTCGTTGCATGAGGAAACCGTTGTGTGAGCAACCGGATTTGGCATTACTCCAGACAGCATAACCTAGCGCGGTTGCGTACCTGCCACCTTCCATCAAATCACCCATAGCACCCAAGTAGCTTCTCTCCCAGGCTTCTTTATTGTAAGGAAAAACCGATACAATTGATCAACCGTCCACACCATGCGCAGCACCATCGACGACCAGTTCTGCGACGCGCTGGATGCAGCCTACAAGCTCTACAACGAGGATCGCCTCCTGGAGTGCCAGAGGGCAGCCATAGACATTCTCGAGGACGCCGCCATACCAAGGTATCATCGAATGAAGGTCCTCATTCTGCTCGCATCTATACTAGGTGACTGGGAGGAGGCCAATCAGTGTCGTGAGGACGCTTGGGCGCTGTACAATCTAGTGCGACGCTGGCGGCCTGCAGGCAACGACTTGGAAGTCGACAAGGCCCTTGACGAGATATTGGTTCAGCTGGAGGACCTTGACAATGCGCTTGAAGAGGATGCGCCGGAGGAATGGAGTCTTGCGGAAGTACAGGAGTCTGTGGAGGACGTAATTCACAACGCCGAGGACGACATCGAAACTACCAGGGAGCAGCTCGAGGTTCTCAACATGGCCGAGGACGAAACCGCCGATGCTGAGACCGAAGTCAAGCCCACGAAGCCGGCTGCTCTCACCTTCCCGGCAACGACGGAGACCAGCAAGGTATCAGTACGTGACAAGTAGCTTCGAGTCAATACTCACTGACATGTTATCAGCGTAACAAGAATTCTTGAAGTTCGATCTTGCAGCTTCGCAGGCTGAGACCAAGGACACGGAAGCTGCTGATCTCCCTCCCGAACCGCGGACTCCCTTCGGCAGTATCTCCTTCGCCGACGCCGCTAGGTCTGGCTATGCACCGCTAGAAGGTACGTATCTTTCGATCAGTGTGACACTCATATGCTGATAAGTACGATTTAGGCAAGGTGGTAAAGAAGTAACTTTGTAGCCACATACGTCCAGGTCGCTTCCGGATAGACTCGTTGGATCTGAAGTGGCTATGGCCAACCACCTGCACATATATTGTTGCGGGCCTGTTCACCTTTTCGTAGCCGCCTCGGGAGCACCTTGGACGCTCATGGATGCAGAAAGACTAGTTGCTCGCTCGCTAGTATCTGTACCTTTAGGTTACAGGGTTGGAAGGCTGGACTAAAGCATGGAGATGTAGGCAACATCTGTAGAAGATTACAGGCTGATCATGGATAAGACTGGTCACTCTCTATCTTCTCCTATATGTGGTGGTAATAGCATGATACTTATTACCGATGAGTAAATCGGACGACTACCTGAAGATCGTCATGCATCACATGCACATACCTACCTCGAACGGATTCGAGAAGCGCCATAGGCCATGAATGTAAACGTAACCAGTCCGGGAGACCCTGTCGGACACTATTGCTCGAATCTTGACCGGCCCTACGTCTGTACAGGCTGACCCAGTTCGGAACGGACCCGAGGGTAAGGTATGACATGGGTGTACTGTACTCGTAGGCCGGGATATGCAGTGTGGATCTTCGCATTATGATGCGTGGACCTGCGCCTGAGGAATCAGTGAAAATCCACATGTTGAATGTGCAGCCATGTCAAGATGTGAGCGGCCCAGCCAGAGCGCCACAAGGCAATGATGACTGGCTGATCGTCGACGGCTTCTCGAAAAGCAAATCCTCGGCCTTCGCTGGCGATGTCTTGAATTTTAGGACGATGTAAGTGGTGAGAGGTTCGGGGTCTGGGCCGGCGTCAACGGAATTTACAAGCCACATGCTACTACCCATGGAGGGAAAGCGGGCCTTTGTATGAAGCTAGCATACCGTGTCTAGGCGCACCACTGCACCGGAGCCTGTGCAGGAGAAGATTTTGGTAGCTGGAACGTGCTGTTGATGAGAACGATGCTTGTATGGTGGCAACCAGTCGGTTGTGCGTCGGGTGTCTTCTGGGGATAAGGATACCCCCGAGTGTCAAGCAATTGGTGGGGACCGAGGCCGAATGAGACGAGCCACATGTAATATGTAAGAAGGACGGGTGTGGAGTCTACTATCACTGTTGCGTTTCCAGCACCGGTACTAGCCTCTCCCAGGCGGCGCGATTCGCGGTCAGTCTTCAACCACTGTTAAATGTCAATCCGAGATCGTTTTCATCCATACATGGAGTGATCCGGGAATGCGGTAGGGTCCACCATGCGCGTAAACGTGGGAATCAGATCAGTAATGGTCAGAGAGACCTTCATCGGGGACCAATTCGGATAGTGTAGCAGGCTACCCATGATGTACACGCCACGCGGCCACGGTAATACCGCGTTCTGGCAAGCATTCGCAAGCATTGACGGAGGATCAAAAAGCTTCGTGTCGTATCAACGCGGGCTGAGAGATGTTCGCCAAGCCCCACGTTTCTCCACACAGGGTGCTCATTGGTCAGTCTGAGCTGATGCCGCACACGGACACTGTTGCTTCACGCTTGACCAACATCGTTCTTCGGGACGCGCGAGGTCGACAGCTGCCGCGCCTAGTAAGCATTGTGGCGCCTCTGGGCTTGCAACAGAAGGTGATCGTTTGCAAAGCAAGCCGTCTCGGCTGTTGTGATTTTGACTGCGTGCTCGTGTGACGAGCTCTGATTGGCTGCAACCAAATGCTCCTTTCACTACCTAGGTAGCCAAGCCTTCGTAGTGAAGCTTGAGCTGCCTGTATATAGCTTGTGCTTATGCCCAGCTTCTGCATCCAACTCAGGTTCACAGCCGCTTTTGCATTCAAGCCTCGTTTAATTTCTTGGTGCGGTCTCGGCGAAGCTTCATCACAATGGCTATCAAGACAGCCGGTGGGAACAGTGCGTTCCATAACACTGTCAATGACTTTGCTCACATTGAAGACGTGAGAAGACTCTGAGTCGCCTTTGAAAGGGTTTCACTAACATTCGTCAGCCAAATGAGCGTCGTCGTCTCGCGCTCGCGGATATCGACAACGCGCGCTTCGGCTGGTACCATGTTCGCGCCATTCTCGTCGCCGGAACTGGTTTCTTCACAGACAGCTACGACATCTTCTGTGTATCTTTGTTAGCCATCATGCTGGGTATTGTCTACAAGCAGGACAACAAGGGCGTTCTCCTCACTACCCAGGACACCGCGATCAAGCTCTCCACTTCGGCCGGTACCGTTATTGGCCAGGTCGGCTTCGGCGCCCTTGCTGATATCGTTGGACGCAAGAAGATGTACGGTCTTGAGCTGATTCTCATCATCGTTGCAACTCTGGCCCAAGCTCTAGTTGGTGGTGGTCCTGGAGTGTCGGTTGTTGGTCTCATCATCTTCTGGCGTGTCCTCATGGGTATCGGTAGGTTTCCACATCAGCATCCAACAACGACAGCTCTAACAATCGCTAGGTATCGGTGGTGACTATCCCCTTTCGTCGATCATTACGTCAGAATTCGCCACCACGAAGCACCGAGGAAAGATGATGGCTGCTGTCTTTAGCATGCAAGGTTTCGGCCAGCTTGGTGGTGCAGTCGTCATGGTTTGCTTGACCGCTGGTTTCAAGTCCAAGCTTGATAAGGCCTCCTCGTACGCCACTTGCACTGGCGAGTGCCGTATCGCTGTTGACCAGATGTGGCGCGCGTTGATCGGTATTGGCATCGTTCCAGCCGTCTGTGCCCTCTACTTCCGTCTTACCATCCCTGAGACTCCCCGTTACACTTTTGATGTCGCCCGTGACATTGAGAAAGCCAACGCTGATGTTAAGCACTACATCTCTGGCAAGAGGGGTGAGGGCGAGGTTGATGAGATCATGGCGGCCACCACCCGTCAGGCATCCGTTGCTCAGCTTGAAGTTCCCAAGGCCTCATTCAGAGATTTCTGCCGCTTCTTTGGCAAGATCAGGAACGGCAAAATTCTCGTCGGAACTGCCATGTCATGGCTGTTGCTTGATGTAGCCTTCTATGGTCTCGGCCTGAATGCCTCTACTGTCCTCCAGGCGATTGGATACGGCGGTGGTGCTACTGTTTACCATAAGCTCTACAATCTGGCTGCTGGCAACTGCATTCTCATCTGTGCTGGCGCCATTCCTGGATACTGGCTGGCCGTTGCAACCATCGATACCGTCGGCCGTAAGATCCTCCAGCTTGTTGGATTCATTATGCTCACCATTTTGTTCCTGATCTGGGGTTTCGCCTACCACCACCTAAGTGGCCATGCCATGTTGGCCATCTACGTTCTCATCCAGCTCTTTTTCAACTGGGGCCCCAACACCACCACCTTCATCGTTCCTGGGGAGATCTTCCCCACTCGATACCGTTCAACCTGTCACGGCATCTCCGCCGCATCTGGGAAAATTGGCTCCATCATCGCCCAGGGTGCCATTTCACCTCTCCGCACCCGTGGCGCTACCGCAAAGCAAGCCAACCCATGGCTCAACCACGTCATGCAGATCTTCTCTGCTTTCATGTTCGCCGGTATCTTCACGACCTTACTGATACCTGAGACTAACCAGAAAACCCTCGAGGACCTTTCAGAGGACTGGGATGTATGTATACCCGAACTTCCTCACGCGAGGCTTCAAGCTGACATAGCACAGATGGGTGATGAGAGTATTACCGGCGCTCCTACACACAATAAGAGTGCTGAACGTGGTAGTGATGAGGAGCCCAAGATTTAATGGCGGTCTGAAAAGCTTTTGCACCAACTTCGTTAGATATCCTTTCTTTTAGCAGAACCATGTATACCATCATGCATCCGAACCTACTGCTTTGACAGCCAAAAGAGAGGCAAAACACACATGCAGAAGTATTAATTTGGCGCTTCATATAGGCCTTTTTCCCCCAACGACTGTGGTGGTTCAGTGTCCAGGTTGCTAGCGCCACGCTAGTCCTCATTTCACGACCCCTCTTCAGCACATCAGGGACTGACCTGAGATACTCAGCTTTGTATATTGCGCAGCTACTCTATATACTCCACCCGAGCACGTCCAACCAGCTATTGATATTTTAGTTGTACTCAGACCATCTCCATCGCAGCCAATGTGTTCCAGAACCACTACTACATGACTATGTTCAAGCTCATACACTGCAATAGAAAGGATACTTTGTGAGACTATTAATCGGTCCTACCCGATGCTGCATCTCACCAAGTGGCTGTTCGGATATGCTTCGGTGCAGCATGATGTCCAGTATCTGTGTCAAGCGCTTGGTACCTGCCAGATACATATGATTAGACTCCGCTGACGGTACCTCGGCAGCATTATCTCGCACAATGCTATGAAGTCGGCTTACCGGTTTCAGTATGCGGGGTGTACGAAGTATGCACCAATGCACTGTAAGATATCACAACACCAATTAAATCCTGTTGCGTGAGGCGGATGCGGTTCATGGATGAGCTTGCTGACAAAAGGTCAAAGTTGGAGCTCACGCGATGTCGCCATACATGCAAAGGCTCGCAACAGGCAGGAGCTTACAAATGTAGCTGTTTACCAAGCAAGACCCCACTCACTCAGGCTACAAAGGCGTCCCTTCACTTGCGGATTATTGCTCGGATATCTGGAATTTGATACCAATCATGGCCGCTAAAATACAACCCCTACGTACTGCGCTCATCGGACTGTCGTCTACGGCGGCTACTTCTTGGGCTGCCGTAGCCCATCTCCCAGGCCTCCTCTCAGAGACAGGCAGATCCAAGTTTGTCATTAAAGCGCTTTTAAACAGCAGTGTTGATGCGGCGAAGTCTGCCATAAGCACGTACAAACTTCCAGGCGACACCAAAGCATACGGCTCGCCAGAAGAACTTGCCGCGGACCCGGACATCGACCTGGTCATCTGCAATACAAGGGTTGACAAGCACTACGAGACAATCATCCCCAGTATTCGCGCAGGCAAGGATGTGTTTGTAGAGTGGCCGATTGCGGGTAAGAAAGAGCATATTGAAGAGATAGTTCAGACGGCGAAGCAGAGCGGATCTCGTGTCGCGGTAGGTCTACAAAGACGGGGGAACCCAATCGTTTTGAAAGTAAAGGAGCTGGTGAGCGGCCGTGACGCGAAGCTGGGGACGCTGCTGAGTGCAGATGTACGACTTCATGGCGCCTCGAATGACCGCGAGATCCTGCCAGCTGGGCTCCGGTACTTCACCCAGAAAGAGATCGGCGGCAATGTCATAACCATCGGCATTGGACATGGTACGTATTTCTTTCCCTCTCATTCCACACCGGCTCATAACACAAACAGCGCTCGACACCCTCCTCGCCGCCATCGGCGACCTCGAGCCCTCCACAGTGCAATCCAAGTCGCAAATCCAGCGCCCAGAAGTGCGTATTCGTGACCCCTCCAGCGGCGCAATCATCGACACAGTCACCTCTGACGTTCCTGATCTGCTCTCGTTCAACGCCCAGCTCAAGCCATCCCCTCACACAGCTCCCAACGCCACCCTCTCCTTCTTTTACCGCCGCGGCCAGTCGTTCCCGGGCACTCCGGCACTGACCTGGACGCTTAACTTCCAGCATGGAGAGATCAAGGTCGAGTCGCCTACATCTGGATTTCTCGAGCCGGGGCCTAAAGATGAGCCTATCACGATCCACGTGCACCGGTATGATGATGATAGCGTCGAGGTGGTCGAGTGGAACTGGAGCCCCGAGCAAGCAGTGCTGCCCCTTTCTGCGCGATCTGTGTCAGCGACTCTGTTTGCTTTTGCGGATGGAAGGCCTGCAGGAGAGGGATGGGTTAGTGTTGACGATGCGGCGAGGCGGGCAGTGGTGATTGAGAAATTTCTCAGTGTTTGAATTAGGTAGTGCGCACTTTATGAGTATCATAGGAATCGAAATTTATGACATGGCAGGGCACCAAATGCATATCTAGTGCTGTACATGCAGTGCAAGGCGACCTAAAATGGGCCTACGAGTTGCTTTCAAATGCCATGAACAACATGATGCTCTAAATAAACCATGATGATGTGATAAGTCGAACGCTGTTTCGATACCACACTCAGGCCTATAAACGCCATACCCAATGATCAAAAGAAAGTGGAATTGCGTTTCGACACCACTCACGGGTGCTCGTCTTTCGCTGCGCCTGTCGCCTCCTCGACTCGCTCCTGGATCAAATCGACTTGCTTGACCGGATGTAGTAGTACAGCGGGCAGGCACATCCGACCCTCGCCTGCTAGCTCCTCCTCCTCGCCGCCATCATTATCGACTTTATATCCCATCCACCTTTTCCACAGATTTGGTGCGAAGCCGGCGTGGTAGTACCAAGTTGTGCCGAGGAAATTGTGCTGTCGCTCGTCTGAGAAGACAGACAGCCTGGCGCCGCCAGAAGCGCCGTTTCGTCCATTGTTAAAAATGGCAGCGAGATATTGTGTCGGCCACTTGCGGTCGACGTAGACCGGGTGCGGTGCGTAGACAGCCTTCAGACCGTGATGCAGAGCGCAGGAGCCGGGCCACATCTCGCTGAACATGGTGTGGCGGAAGCGAGACTGTTCGCGGTGCATGGTTTCAAGGAGGCGTCGCGATAGGCGACCGGACGTGTTGATAGCGGTTCGACGTGGCGGGAGTCCATTCTTCTTATCGTAGCCGGTAACGTCTTCGTTTAGGATCCAATTCGTTCGATCTGGATCGAACAGTGGGTTGAATACAATGAGATCAGCTGGTTCTCCTACCCCCCACTCGTGTTTGTCCTCCATCAGAGTATGCGGCGGAATAACGTCCTCGTCGATCTCGATGTCGGGGTAGTCTTGGGGCTTCTCTGCACCCCAGATGTGCTTTTCTGGCTTTTGCAACTCAGGCTGAGCAACGTGTGGGTTCGGTGGCAGGTGCGATGACCATATGTTGGCTTTGCTGTTTGTGCCATGTTCTGTCTGTACACGCACCATGTGGGTGAAGTCCTCCCAAGAACCATGTACAGAAGGGACGTAGAAACGAGCGTTTCGTTCCCACAAGCCTTTGCGGGGCTGTGCCTCAGTCCACTTTGAGACTTGTTCGAACAGATGGTAGTAGTGGCCCGTGTAACGAACATCCATTTCCCAATGCCAAAAGTACTCAAACTCAGGGTGCTGGTGCGCAAAATATGTCACAGGCATGAAAGTCGAACGGTACGCGCCATGAACAGGCAGGCCACGGTACATGGACTCCTCTACACCGCCATAGATGAGACCCATCTGTCGTTCGGACCACAGAGTACCCATGCCGGCAAACTCCGCTGGCAGTGACTTGCTCAGTACTTCTTGGTAAATGTTCTCATCCGCCCATATCTGCTTGTTGTCATCCTTGACGTGGATAAGGAAATGGACTTGGTATTCACCACCGGACGCGAGCGTAAGTTCAGATATCATAGATCGCAGATACATCAGATCTTCATCATCGTACTCGTAGTCCCACCATGTGCGAATGAGTACAGCAGTTCGTGAAAGCAGCTTGTTGTGGGAAGCCTTTGGTTGTTGGCGAATCGTATCGGATAAGGGGTCGGTTTCGGTGTTGTTATCAATCTTCGACTCGGCATCGAGCTGTCGCTTCTGAATTGCCATGGCCTGGAATGCATCTTCGCGAATCTTCGGCGGCTGCTTGAAGCGCCCTTTGTTCTTTTCAATGCACCGGCTCACGGCCCCGCCCCACTTGACGTTTCGGTAGTCAACTTCAGGGGTGGCCTCCCAAACCTTCTCAATTCCCTCGCGGTCGCCCTCCATGCCAGCGCCAGTACCTCCCCTCTTTTTGCTGTAGCCTAGACCATATGGCCCCAAGCGCCCGAACCGCTCGAAACAGACGTCGTTTCTCAGGCCCAGCAAGTCATAGCTCCCCATGACGTTGTCAGGCATACCCTTGGTCACGCCGTTATATGCTCGCAGTCCTGGAATTGCAACAGTATCCTTCTCGTCTAGATAGCATGTCTCGACGGGACCATACTTCTCCACGTAGCCAGGAGTGTTGTAATCGGGGTACGGATTGAAGAGTACGGAGTCCGGAATCTTTGCGCCGTCTGCTCTCTTCTCCTTAAGTGTCCCTTTGGCCTCTGCTGGAGGAAGCTCAGGGTCAATATCCTCCTTGGTAGGATATTCTGGTACATTCTCCTTGCGGCTGACCAGCGTCCGTATGCCGCCATGATAACGCTTCAAGAACGGAAAGCTCTCCCATACTGGTGGCGGAGGAGGCGACTTGTACAGTTTGAGTTCAGTATTCCGTATCGAGTCCCAGCTGCTGTGCAGGAGAAACCACATGAACAAGACCAGTGTACTTGCTATAGCCAAGCCAAAGTACCGTGTGAAGGCGCGGGGATTGCGGTAGCTGTATGCGCTGACCGATGGTTTGGAGGGCGTTTTTCGATGCGTTCGCGACGTGTTGCGGTTTGATGTCAGAGGTCTGGTCTCGTGTGGGTTATTCGGGTTTACGTCGTAGGCGCCGGAAGAGGCTCGTGACGAGTACGGACTCGATGCGTCGGAGGATGTGTAGCTGTCGTCATCGTCGCTATCGTAACGCTTTTCATTGCCTTCGCCGTCTTCGAGGTCGCGGTCCACTTGGTTATGGCTCTGTGGTTTCCGTTTCGCGACCGAGAGCTGAGGCCTGAAGCCCAGCATTGTCTGTGTGGCTACACGTGATTCTAGCTTTATTGCATTCGAGAGCACTGGATTGTCTCTGGCGTGGTAGCGTGGGCGCGATCAAGGGCGGCCAGGAATGCGGAGTGTGGATAATGACGTCTGCGACAACAGAGAAAGTGCTAGACAGGTGTCTTGCTACCAGGAAAAAGTTGTTCGTAACAATGCGTGAAGAGAGCGTCGTAGCGCGGTGAGATTGTACAGGATCATCGCCTAGAAGTGGTTGAGTTGAGCCTCAGCCAAGGACCAAACAACTGGCGTTGCTGGGGTTGCGGCGCCGGCAACACGGCAGCTACGGCTCGTGTCAAGCCACCCCTCTCCTCTCCTCCACTCCCCACAAACCATTGCGACCACATTCAGGTATCCTTGGCTGAAACATACCATACACAGACTGAGCAGTCGCCCACTTAGACAGCATGGCACAATGAGCGCGTCCATCCCTAATATACTGCACCTAACCACATCCGACCAGCCACCGAGCAAGACGCAGCATCATGCACAAAGGACCAATAGTCTTACTAGGGCTCGCTTTCATCAGAGTGCATGACGTGTTGGGTCCGACAATGGTGTTGAAAGGCTGCTCAAACGCACCTGGTTGCATCACGTCGCTAATCCCTCAAACCAGCCCGACTCTGTTCGTCCAAATCCTTCACTTCGTCCCACAGAGCGCTAGTGTCCATATCCATCTGCTCATAGATTTGTTTCTGTTCATTGTGAAAGCCTGGTCGCTCATGAGAGGAGCTGGTGAAGTATAGTTGGTAGAGGCTAAGCGACCACTGACTGATCCAGCTGCAGTCCGGCTTGTACACTAAGGTGAGCACTGGTTGCGATTTCCCACGGGCAGGGCACATATTAACGTCTGTTACTTTATCGGCTTGACACTACTTGTGGAAGTCTTCAATAAGCTGAGAGCCGAGAAGATGAAGAAGACGAAGATCCGCCCTGTCTACGAGAAATACTGCAGAGCATGCAACCAAGTTCAATCCCGAGGCAAAAGTCTCACGTTTGCCAGAAGGCCAAGTCATCTCTTCATCGGAAATTATGAGGATGCTTAGCCTAGGGTGACTGCCTTAACAACCTGCGCCCATTCACCTTTACTCCCCTGGTACCTTCCTGGCGCAGGCCCATCCCACAGGCTCGCCAACACAACACGATCCGTCTGCTCTCCTTCCCACGGCTGACGCCCATGCTGCGCAACAACATTGTCAAAGACCAGTACATCGCCTCTCTGCCACTTGTGAAGCACACGGATCTCTTCCGTAATATCCGCCAACTTCTTTAGGTACTCATCTGGTATGGGCGTTCCATCACCGTACAGTTGCTGCGTGACGTTTCTGCGGCTTGAATTGGGCGCGTCGGGGGCAAGAAAGTTCTTGTAATACGCCGCCAAGCCCGTGAAGAGCGATGGCTGTTTGGTAATAGGATGCGTACGGATAGCGGGTAGGTGATGTGTCAGAACGAGCGTCTGGTCGCCATCAGCCCACTCCCAAGATGTGTGGCCTTCGCGGTTGTAACGTCGGATCTGCGCCTCGACTTTGGCCTTGCGAGTCGGCGCGTCATCGCTGTCAATGATCTCTCTGCCGAACGCTTGCTTGAGCGTTGAGCCGCCAGCGTATTGCTGCTCGACTTTGTAGGTTACGCGGCTGAGGATGCCTTTCGTTGCTAGAGCGTCGATGAAGTCTGGGATCTCTTGTTTGGCGCGTTGGAACAGCTCCAGGGAGGACGATATCGGGGTCTCACCCCCGACGGTCGGTGCGCGGTGGCTGTAGAAGACAATGTACTCGGGAGCGTGTGGCACCTGCGGTGACTCGTTGTGATTGTAGATGAGAACTTCTTTGGGAGCTTCGTTGGCAGGCGCAACGTTCGGCGCAAGAAGTGGTCGGTCAACCACAATTCCAATTATCTCATGCGGCTTCCATCGAAACGCGTGAGCAAATTTACTGAAATCATTGGCGTTATGGATTGGAAGATCACGGAATAAGAGGGCACCGTGATGAGCAAGCTTCTGAGTCAGCGTGCCTTTACCCTGTAGCGATTCGACTGTGGAGATCACATCGTCCAGAGTAGGTGCTTCAGCGCCGTGATACGAAGCACGAAGAGCTAGAGGAGAAACAGTGTCTGCTGCGTGCGGACTTCCAAGTGTCCGCTGATTCGAGGATGGCAAGGTGAATGCCTCGAAAACGATGTCAGGAAGGGCAGCGGATTGAGAGCTGACTTCTCTGAAAGTCTGTTCATATGTTGAAATTGCCATGTTTGGTGCTAATTCACTTAATACGTAACAGCACACGCTGTTGAGTATAAATATCCCAGCTTATCCGTATTGCGGTCCGTCATACTTCTGCGTGATCGGCACCCAACTTGCCCCGCATATGGCATCAATATGCTGCGATACCCCGCGGATATGGCGTGATTTAATAGCAAACGTGTGAATACAGTGCATATACACTACCTTATAGTTTGTATGTCAAACTTTTCTTGTACGTATCATCTGCCGTGCGCGGTCTTAATTCGGAGCTTCAAAGTGACCATCAACTAAGAAGACTATCATCTTGACATCATTCTAGCGTAGAGCAGTAAGATGACCACTGTTAGGCAAAATCAAAAGGACGACGTCGATATCGTCGACGTCGAGAGTGGCCACCATCCAGCAAATACATCGTCAGCGCTCTCAGGAAGCCGTGTTAAGATACCATTCCGCCGGTCCACTCTATTTCAGATCCTCGTTGTGGGGATCTGCGCCTTTTGCGCACCAGGCATATGGAGCGCAATGAATGGCCTGGGGGTAGGCGGCTCGCAATCGCCAGATCTAGTCAACGCTGCCAACGCGCTCCTCTACGCGTTCATGACAGTGACCTGCTTCCTAGGGCCGTGGGTTACGAATGCGATCGGATTCAAATACACTCTTGCAATCGGGTCTTTGGGTTACCCTTTGTACGCTGCTGGCCTATATGTCAACAACAGGTTTGGTGACGAGTGGTTTGTGTATGTCGGCGCGGTAGCATGTGGCATCAGCGCAGGTTTTTTCTGGAGCGTCGAGGGAGCAATTGCAACCGGATATCCTGAGAGCCACAAGCGCGGCAGATATATCGCAACATGGTTCACTTTCCGCAACTTTGGCAACATTATCGGTGGCGCCGTTTCGCTCGGAATCAACCACAAGGTCAATCATCGAGGTAAGGTGGGATATCAGACCTATTGGGGATTTATTGCCATACAATGTCTGGGATTCTTCTTTGGACTCCTGCTTTCGAACCCGGAGAAAGTCGTCCGTGACGATGGAACAACAATCAAAGCACCGAGGGGCATTGGCTGGAGGGTTGAAGGGAAAGAGATGTGGACACTACTGAGAAGCCGCCCTATTTTGTTGTTGATACCATTGTTCTGGTATTTCGGTTGGATTCAAGCGTATCCTGGGACTTATCTCGCAACGTATTTTACCGTGCGCTCGCGAGCTTTGGGAAGCTTCATGTCGGCAGTCGTAGGCACGCTTGCTACGTGGCTTGGAGGCTCCCTTGTTGATCTTCCCTGGCACAAAAGCAGGCAGGTCAGAGCCGTGGTCACGTACGCCTTGATTGCATCTCTCAACTCTGCGACCTGGATATGGGCGGTCTATATCCAAAATGAGTATCGGCAGACACGGCCAGTACTCGATTGGGGCGATCAGAAGTCTTTTGGTCGAGGTTTTGGCGTATACATGTTTGAGCGCATCAGCCTGGGCATGGTGGAGAATTACATTTACTGGTGTATTGGCAACCTGTCAGACTCTCCTGGGGATCAAATTCGGTACAGCTCTCTATTGCGAGGAATCGAGACAGCTGGCGTGGCAGTCGGTTTTGGGGTACAGGCTGTCCCAACAACTCTTATTGCGACAGCGAGCATCAATTGCGGCCTGTGGTTCTTCGCACTACCCTTCAGTTATTTTGCGACCAGGCAAGTGGTGGCGAAATTCGACAAACTTGAACAGGCAAGAGCTTGAGTCTTTTGGGCAGTGCAGCTTACCGTCTGCACATGCAGCCGCGAATAGTGCAGGTCAGAGGTGGGTGTGACGCACCGGTGTGTGCGGGGAGTGGAGCGAGCGCTGACGTCTGCACTCGGATGACAACTGTGGGGAACTAGGATGATGAAGAATGAATCATATTGTGTAGTTCTATCGAGCTATTCCCGAGCACGAGCCACTAAGGCACGTAACAACAACCAAGCACACTACATAGAGACGTTCCACCGCAACAGACAGTACCTCGACATCTTGCGAGCCCCGCAACATCGACACAGATACGATACAACACCGCAGCAACATTGCAAGACTCAAGGAGGAAGCTGTTCAAAATGGAAGATTCGAAGCCCTTCATCTTCTACGACATCGCTTCGTCACATGAGCCACGCTCTTTCGCGCCGAACCCCTCCAAAAGTCGCTTCGCACTGTCCTTCAAGCGGGTGCCATTCAAGACAGCTTTTTTTGACCTTCCAGATATTCCCAATGTCCGCCAGGGTCTTGAGTGCCCAGCCACGCGTAAATTTCATGACGGTATGGAGACGTCCTGACCAAGGCGCGCTATACTGACTTTTGTTATCGCAGGCTCCGACTACTTCACCCTGCCTATGCTGCAAGACCCCTCAGGCAAGATGATCGGTGACAGTTTCGATATTGCCAATTATCTTGAGGACACGTTCCCCACTTCAGGCGGCCAGCTCTTCCCATCAAATTCAACTCGCACTGGGCTTGACTATGAGAGCCCTCAGAAGGATCAGACAATACTCATACCTTTGACTACCAACGAAGGCGCAAAGAACGAGGACTATGCTCGCTTCAATTGGCATGTTGATGCGACATTCACCGCACATGTGGGACTTGTCGCGTACTATATGCCTTTCAAGCCTGAAGTGGAAGAGGTCACGAGGGCAATCTTCCTCAAGCGCGCAAATCTGGATTCCTGGGAACAGTTCTCCATCCAGGGCGAAGCGAGAGAACAAATCCAAGCGTCATTCAAGGAGTCGCTTACCTCCTTGGCTCAGCTGTACACAGTGCACGAAGACGGTCCATACCTCGAGGGCAAGGAGGCCAACTATGCTGATATAATCGTGGGAGGTTGGCTAAACATGCTCTTTGAATGCATGCCAGCAGACGAATGGAAAGATTTCAAAACGTGGCATGGGGGGGTGTTTGCTCGACTGCTTGATGCATTGCACGAGAGCCACTATGTGTGCAAGTAAATTATTGCACAAAGATACTGGAGTCGTGCAACCAACTCCTCCTAGGTAGAGCCCCAGAAAGTTCGATGACTGAGTTGCGAATTCTTCTTTCCATTCAGTTTACAACAAGGCGAGTTAGCAATGATGGGCCATGGTTTGACGGACAGACATCTATCTGGTAGCTCGCTTGGTACCGTTTCAAGTGGAGTTTTTGTACTCGGGGCGCACAGAAGCAATGAAGTATGAGCTCTATACACAGTATCTTAACCCATTCTGTCGTCCCACACACACTCGACATCTCCCCTATCATCCCCACGCCACACATTCCCTGGCAGATTCCTCGCAGCAACCGCGGCTCTGATCTGTGTCCCAAGCTCCGGTGGGCCGGAACCGACAACCTGTGTTCTGCCAATTTCAACTGTTTCATCCATAAACGCGTCGACCAACCCGTTCGCCTGCGGCCGTGCATTATTCAAATAGGTAATGCTGAAATTAGGAAGCTCCTGGATTAGATCCTCAATCTCTGAGTCGAAGTCACTAGAGACTGATGACACGGGCGACAGCTTTTCGTCGAAACCGAAGTCTTTGTCCTTCTCGTCTGGTCTCTGCGGCCGGACGGGACGCTGCTGTTTCGCAGCATCTGGTCTGGTCACAAAGATGCGGATCCGGAAGCGCTTTTTCGTCTCAACGGAGACAATGGGTGCTTTCTCGAGCTTGTCTTCATCAAGGCTATGATGTATCTGTGTAGCGGCTTGATTGAGCTGCGACTTCAGGTACGCAAGCTCGGGGCCAATCCAAGCCAGGTTCTCGGTATGGCGAATCGTCCAGACAAGTTCGATGTTGCGCACTGGCGAAACTTCAGCCAGCGCAGCCTTGATGAGTGGAAGCGTGTAAGTGATTCCAGTGCCACCAGAGATGGCAAGAATGTTTGAAACTTCGTTGTTGATTATTGAGCCGCCGTATGGACCTTGCAGGATGACGGGGGTCGTATCATCGCCGTGAGGGTAGCGGTTCGCGGCTGCTTCCGCAAGCTCCGCCAGTCTCTTGGTCTCACCGTTGCAGGCGCGAATAATATAGGTGTGAGTCTGCACTGGAGAATTGGGGTTCGGGTTTGATGCTGGTGTGAAAGGGTGCGATTGCCAGATACCGAGCGCGGGAAAGGTGAGATAGAAATGCTGGCCGAGTTCCCATGATTGTTCGCTGGAAAACGTCATACGAATAATTGTCCCTGTTGGGTCTTTGAGAATCTCCATCTTGGCAGGTATAGAGCGGAAACCAAATCCACTGCTCCCATCTTTGTAGCCAAAGTGTATGAGAAAGGTGCGGGCGGTGCGAGCAACGAGGTCGAAACCCATAAGTGCGAACGAGGCTATCATCCAACAAGAGAGTTGCTTCCAATGACCCCAGCAAGCTATTTCATCGTTAGCTGATGTACGGGTTGTACGAGTCTGGTTTAGGTTACTTACCACCAATATACAGGATTGCCACCAGGAAGTGAGATTTGCGGAAGAACTCGTAGCCTGTCCATCTTATCACAGGCCTTAGACTGAAGACGAATAGGAAAGTGATCAAAGCTTGTGCTACAATGCCCCATATCATGTACTCCTGTTTGATCCAATTGACATAGATTTTGGGCTGTGGTTGGTAAAGATAGCCCTCAACAACGGTCCAAACAATGCAGTGAACGAATGATTGCACAAGGATGATTCTCCCCGTCCAGCGGTGCAGAAAGTTGAAGCTTTGGTATGGGATGCCGGTGAGAAGAGAGAGAACTGACTCGCGCGCACATAACGCAATGGTCAATGGTGTCAGAGCAAATGCAAATGCACCAAGGCGATCTGCAAACCCACCAATACCGCTGCGGATGTTGTGAAGGTCGGTACCCTTGATGGGTGTTTTCCAGCTCTTGTATGTTATGCCTACCAGACTAGTACCTGTGAGTGGCCGACTCGAGAGTAGCTGCAGTGAAGTAGACTTACGAAAAAATGATGAGGTAAGCGCAGATAACGGCAAGCATCAGAACTTGTAGTCTCGTTGTGTATTTGAAGATTTTCGAGCATTCAGATGTGAGATGCCTTCTTATGGTTACAGATGCTACTCGCACAAGGCGGTAGCAGAGGCCTTGTCTTGAACCGTCTCCGTTCTTCTTGCGCGGTCGAAGCAGACGCGAGAGAACTGTTGCGAGCAGTATTAGGCCGAAGATCGCCCACATAATGAATGTATAGATCATAGATTTCTCGTGGTCTCCATACACCGAATCGAGGTACTCGCATGACCCAGCATCGTTGGTGCACGGAAGATATCGAGTCGCGTAGCCCCAGTAGTGAATCGCGGTACCCTTTCCGTCTTGGATGTGAGCTCGTGCGACCAGCGCATCGTTACTCGAGTTGAAGGTCATCGTAATGAGGGGACACAGCACAGCTGCAAAGTAAACACAAAAAAAATGAACAGAAGAAGAGATGAGACTGTCAAAATCCGGAAGACATCGCAGCTGCTTCGTTGGCCTTATGGGAGAAACAGAGTGTCGCCGAATTTCCGCTGGTTCCACATGGCAAACAACCCAAGTCTCTTCGAGCGCTGAGGACTCGTCAACTCCTCTGTTTCGATCCTTCTTGACCAGCATCCAGTCGTATTGGGTCCTGCCCAAATGTCTGAGACATTACGGTCTCCACTGTGACGGGACCGGGACCGTGGGAAAGCAAGGATCGTCGGCAGAGCCACCCGGGACGAGCATTTCGAATACGAGCTACAACGACAGTAGAATCTCATGGATACTCCTTCTGGGTTATCGTGATAGAAGAACTGGCGAGAGGATGAGATGTGACGATCAGTCTGATATGCTTCCCTTCAGTATGTACTACAGTTTTGTGCACGACGGATGCGAAGCTCGCAACATGTGTCGCCTTACAACTCTCGGGTGGAGATAAAAAAGTCATCTTTGCCGAGACTCTGTTCTTCGACTGACGACATGCCTTTAACGATTCGCCTCGAAACGATGTATTGCAGGGACAAGGACAAGAACCCTTCTTCTTGTCCGGACTTGGCTTAGGTAACAACCGGCATGAATGCGCCACTCGTCATTGCGTAAATCACGGTGGATTTAGGAGTGCAGCGGTGCCGAAGTGGAGATGGGTGGAGATGCCGACGGAAGTGAAACAGCTGAAATGTCTGTGCGCAAGATCTGTTTTTCTGTGTCAGAGGCCCACAACTCACGGGAACAGGGCAGACATACACCAATCTCGCCTTCACAGTAAGCATGATTTCGGCACATTGATTGAAAATCTACCTGAGCAGAGGGCGGGGCCTACACGTTACTGAAGAAGAGGATGATTTATCTCTACGTCTATCCAGGCGTCCTGTACACACAGTCTAGCCAGCGTACAGGCAAAGCGCACTAGCAATGCCCAGCCATATGAACGGCCGGACTTTACGTGCACAGCTATCAATCTGATGTTGCTCTAATCCACTTGGACGAGGTGACTTCCGTGAAGAGGGGGCATGTTAAACTACACAGATTCCTTCATCTCAATACGGTCAGTGCTGGTGTCGTTCTTATCTTTTTCGTCAAGGATTCCAGCTTCGCCTCTTGCAATGCGTGCATCCGCTTCGATGAACTCGGCCGGTCGGTGCAACTGTACTGCTAGTCGATTCTTGTGGATGAAGAATCCAGGTTTGGTCTCAAAAAAGCGGTCAATGTCCTCTAGAGACCTGTTTGCTGTTTCCGGGTAAAGGAAATATGTGATCGGAATAAAGGAAAAGCAGATGACTGCCCATATGACCCAGAACTTGTAGCCAAGGCTCTCGATGCCAGGCAGCGTAGCTTGAACAACAGCATAATTGCAGATCCCTTTTAAGGTCAGTTGCTGAGGCGTCTCTGCATGATCAGTACTTACAGTTTGTACTCATTGCCAATGATGCGCCCTTTGTTCGCATCTCAAGTGCATTTATTCTGGAGCATTGTCAGCTTGCACTGAAGTATCCTTGGAAAAAACTCACTCAGTAGGGTATAGCCATGGCACTCCAAGGGCACCCATACCAAAACTAGCAAAGAAGAGAAAGAAGAAGGCAACCGCTACTACACCGAGCTTATAGGAGTCTCCGCCCGCTTCGGTTTGACCTTGAGCTGTTGCAATGGCGATCCAGCATATGGAGCAAGCTGCAGCAGAACACATGAAGACCTATAGAGCATAAGCTCAATCCACTAGCCTCAGGAAGCACTCACTTTTCGCCGTCCGTAACGTTCAATCACGAAGTAAGCTAGTACAGCAAAGATTAAATAATCCACTGATCCCGCGGCAGCCAATATCCTTGACAAGAGCTCCGATATGCCCAAAGAGTTGATAAAGATGTAGCTCATGTAGTAACTTGTGACCTGTTTATATCAGAATACAGGTTTGCAAAATCACCGCTCAATCGACCTACATTGATTCCAGAGATTTGATTCATAGCCTGCATCCACGCGCCGAGCAGCATGCGTCGCAAAACTCCACTTGGGCCCTTACCACTCAACAACTGCCACCAGGTATATGTGTTCATGTGCTCTCTGTCCAAGATATCCTTAATGATGTTATACTGGATAATCACCTCTGGGGACTCGGGGGTTGCGCCATGGCCCTCCAATGCAGCAATCACCTCGAGGGCCTCTTCGTGCTTTCCCTTGCGTATAAGAAGTCGAGGCGAGTCCGGCAAGAATGGGCACATAGCAAAAATGCAGAGCGTAAAAAACAGTTGAAAGGCGAGTGGAAATCGCCACGCTATGTCCCGTGGAGCAAACGAGAAACCGAGGGTAAGCCAATTCGAGATGCTGAAGCCAGTGATACAGTTCGCTAGAGCGTGGTTAGTGTTATGGTCCAGGTAATGCAGGTGTCACTCTCACCCATTTGTATTATGACCAGCTTTCCTCTACTGCTCATTTTACTTGTCTCTGCCTGCCAGACTCCCGCTGTCGCGGTGTTCATGCCAGTTCCAAGTCCGGCCACAATTCGGCCTACCATCATGCTTGCTACTGTCCAGCTGCACGCCTGTATAATTGCACCGACTCCAATGACAGCAGAACCAAACAAGATCTGACGGGGACGGCCGAGTACGTCACCAGTCCATACTGTGCTCATAGCACCAATGAAGCAGCCAATATTGTAGATTGAGGTCATGACTCCTGCGACGCCGTCAGCTCATGTATGTCTATCACAATTCTGGGCTGATGAACCTTGCATATTTGCAGACGGATAGCCGAACGTATGGAGGAAGTTCTCGTCAATGATTACATTTCCGAACACGCCCTGTCACGTCAGTCTAAGTCGTTACAACCGGATGATTCTGGTACCTGATCATATCCATAGAAGCTGTGACCTATCAGTTTGACAGTTAGACGCTGTGTGAACTGTATGCATACATCAAAACAGTCGAGGCTGCGACCGAAATCCATACTGTGAGCCTCTCACCAGACCCTCCGAGGTACTTTCGAGGCATGCTTAGCAAAGAGATAGGGATACCGGTCCCTGGATGTAATCTGCGCTCGCTCTTACAATCGTAGCATGAACTTATGAAGCCCCGCAAACGTCAATGGTAATTATAATCGGAAGTTTATGTCGCGGTTGACACGCAAGAGACGCTTGGAGTGACTTATAGTCAGGGCACCGAGACCAACGCCTTCTATACGGTAGATGCATGACCGAGGGCACGCAGGGTGATGTCTTCCGTCGTCACAAGCTTCCCCAGACGTTGAGGCAGATCCCCCAGACCGCAGAGGTTGTCATTGCAACTCCACCCACCCGAGTCCTCGTCATTCGTCCATTTGAGAGCCAAGGTACTGCGGCCCACATAAAATGCGCAGAAAAGACAGTGTGGTTAAACACGTCGTATGGGACATAGGCTGTTGATATCCAGGACCAGTCGACGATGACCGGCTTGCTGGTTTGGGGAAAACGGCACCCGGTGAGGTGATGAGCCGCGGAAAGTGCAGCGAGCGGGGTCAAGCCCAGCAATCCTTGATGAGCTCGAAGCTGTCCTTAGTCCCCTTTTAAGGACATTGACATTCAGCACATGACATTGTTGTTTTTGGGGTGATGATCTTAAATCCGAGTTAAACACACTTCAACATGACGTCATCGATTTCGCTTGTCTACCTGCTACTGGTCCTCAACACCACATGTTTGGTACTCAGTCCAGACACACGATGTTCCTCGTTCCGTGCGGTTCAGAGGAGGTGTCAAATGAATTGCTTCCATAGGGATACGGGATCCTGCTTCCTACAAGGACGAAAAGAAGCTCACTTTCTCTATTGCTTCACACCACAATCATCTCACCACACGGCATAGCCGAGAAAATGCCGACCTAGAACCTTGTCGATGAATGCGACCATGAAATAGAGATTCCGACTAACAATGCGATAGTGCCGAGCAGTCGAGAAGTTGCCAGTGGATCGATCACTCTGGGAAACGTCACGACCTGGCTTTGCCTTTTACACCCACATTGAAAACCACTTACCGAAAGTCCATGACGATCTTGTCGCGGGAAGCACCTGCCACCACGCGTACCTAGGTAGCACTCAATCAACAGACCCTTCACAGTACTTTGCTTGGCCGGACACGCCTCGATGCAAGCAATACGTCCTTGACAAACTCTGCAAGCCACCCTGCAAACCATCAATCTACACGTCGTTTCTTGCTTGATACTCGTACGCGCCGGCCCCCACCCGAACCCGTGGCCCGCGTCTACTTCCCAGGCGCGCGAGACCCACAACCCCAGGTACACATATGTATACAATCTCCGGGATTGCGTAAGAGGCAGAAGCCGCGTCTTTCACGTGCTGTTTGCTTTGCTTGCCGCCCTACAGATTGCTTGCAGCTCCAGCGTTTCAGTAGGGTCACACAGCATCATGTAATCTGCCGAGCGGTGAGCGGGGTGGGGAGAACTCATCTACTCCCGCAGCTGACCACGGTCCAGGTCAGCGGAGCCGAACGGTCGCACGACATTCACTTGGTTTAATTGTTCCGAAAAAGCCTAGGCGCTGCGGCTTGTAGAGGGCTGGACTGATGTAGTGACTGTGTCAGGTGCTAGGGCGATGTTGTGGGACAGCGGGTGAGGAGCGGCAGCGGAGGGGGGATGACGATCGAGTGAGCTGGATATCAGGTGAAATGCGAAACAGACCCATGGTCAAGATGTGAACGGGATGGATGGGTGGAGAAAATGTGCAAGAGGTGGATATCAAGAACGACTGGACAGGTGTCAGAAGTGCCATCCCCGTATGCGGCTAGAAAATGTATACACTTATACGAGAGTGTTCTGCAGCAGCCATTCTGTGGCTTCGGTGAGCAACGTAGAGGGCTGATAGGAGGGCAGCACGAGCTGGAAGACGACATACCTGCAGCACCTGAGACAACATTACCGAGCACTTCTGGCATGACAGATGGTTTACGAACCTCATTACTCCGCACTATCCGTGATAGGCGACCAGAATAGCATGTCGTGCGTCTCGGCGCGTTGATATGCAAGATGTTTCCGAGATCGATGCACTGTCAGATGCGTTGACTGGATTTACTCCTTCCTCACTTTAGCACGATGTACGCAAGGGCTGCAACGAGAATCGAGTGGAGCTGAGTATAATCACTCCGTGGATGAGAGCGCCTTACAGCTTCCGCACCGAGTATAGCATTACGGCATTGCACATGAAGCCACATGTCTGTCAACATTACACCTTCAAGTCACGCTCCAGGCAGCCCCAGCAAAGCTAATCTGCAGACAGACCATAATGAGGATCTTACCGCTTTCGATCGTTGCACTGCGCTTCGCTTCAGTGCACAGTAAGGCGACACCTGCGTAACGCTTGTCTGCCATCAACCCAATGCAGTACAGCAGCGTAGCACGAATGGCTGGCCGCCGGCCAAGCGAGACCTTCGTACCGTCTTACCAACCCCCGCTTTTTCTAGCCCAGCCTTGTATACTCTGTAACATGACCTGGACTTACCAGGTAAGATTCTGGTAAGTCGGGGTGTATGCGTGGGGACAGAAAGTGGAGATATCGAGAGACATGGTATTCAAAAATTGTCTAGAGCGTATCAGGCCCACCGTGGTGGTGTGAGTGCACTTCCGTATCGCCACAAGACAATCTTGCGAGTATAGTGTTGGGGCGTCGAGGGTCGCATGCGTGATGACGGCGCACAGGCGGTGAGTACAGGCTGTACTGGTGTACGTTGAGGGTAGCAGGTGCATCATGTGATGCAGGCATCGTTCATTGCGATTGTTCCTTCTTGCGCTCGACGTCAAAGCAGGGCCAAGGTATTTCGAGGTCAAAATATTGGAGCTGAGGCAGAACGAAGGAGAGTATGTGGCAAACTTTTCAATTGGCGGATTCAACTAACTGACTCGTCGTCTCTAAATTATATCAACCAGGATGTTACATCTTGGATACTTCAGCTACACAAAGCCAGTTGTCCCACCTGCCACTCATTAGGTCCCATGGCCAGACTCCGCCCCATGTCCACCCATTAGAGTTATACATTGAAAAAATTCGCGAGGAGCATGACGCTCCGTTGGGTATCGGCCTAACCGCCGCATGACCCACGACTGCGCTTGCCACTATGAGTCCTGATTCAGGACCATGAGGTATAGCCGTCGACAAGAGAGCTGTCTCTTGGACTCGATAAAAACAGTGAAAGAGCAGAAGAAATGACTGAAGAGCCTCGTTGCGTACAACCAGACGTGATACGCTTTTATGACAGGACTTGAAGCCCCCAACCCCGCTTGTAACTCCAAAAAGGCCCCAATGAAGGGGTACACAGATACCAACCGTTGTACTGTGGACGATTTTACCTCTCTAAATTCGTAAAGTGACAAAGGAAATTCGTGATAGTAATCGGTCGTGGCGCGAGTAGCTCGGCCAGAATTTGGTCATACAGGCCGTACATCGTTAAACCCCTGGCAGCAGTTGATGCTGCAAACGCCTCGCAATGGGTTATAATCGCACAGAAATATGGACAGGGCAAAATGTTCGCGACCGCTGAGGTCTAGTGGCCTCGAACGCCGGCCGAGGAGCGGCCGAGCAAAGAACCAGGGAGCAGGTCGTTCAGGAATTTGAAAAACGCGCGCTTGCGCGAAGGGGTCTTGAGCATCAAGGGCGACGCGATCTGGACCATCGGGCCGACAACGTCCTCGTCGCCAAGCTTGGGGAATTTCCCCTCGCTTTTGGGGTCGTTGAGCGTAGGCATTTTGCAAAGAGGAGCTGGCTCTGCAGGCGACAGAGGCTCGACTGGCGAGAGCTGACCATGAGCGGCGGCATAAGTAGTAGCGACTTCGTGGTTCCTCTTCCACTCAGCGTCAATCTCCGCCCACTTCTGCTCAGTGAGTGTGTAGTGCTTCGACGTAACACCGTAGTGCTCTGCAGTTCGCACTTGGTGCTTTGCGTAGTTGCAGCGGGCCGATTCCCAGTCAGTGAAAAGCTGGCGCAATGACGTTGCGTCACAGCGCTCGGGGACGTAGGGTTCCGGCTGAATGGTAAAGTTCGCGTGGCCGAGAAGATTGGTCCACTTGTCATCAGGGTCCGCCAACATCATGGGTGGAATATCAGCTGAAGAGACCGAGTAGCCAGGGCGGGATATTCTGATGGAAGTCATTGACGGTTTGGCTGACAAGGTGGGGGTAGCATAGGCGCGGGCTGGTGGAGTAGCTAGGGGCGTCGGGGCAGAGGAGTATGCGGTATTGGCAATGGTGGGCGACTGAAGAGGCGATGAAGTTGGCATAACGTCCCGGCACATGAGCAGGGGAGGGAGAAGAGGCGTGGTAGCATAGCGTTCGGCATCGATTTGCTCGGGGTCGATGTCGATGTCGATAGCATTGGCTTTGACGACATCAATCTCCATGGGCGCACTGTTTTCGCTGAGGTGCTCCATGCTATGGGCAGGAGTAGAGACCTGGGAGTATTGCTGAGAAATATCGAAGGACTGAACATGGCGAATGGAGCTAGTAATTGACGATGATCGAGTGGAAGGCACACGGGAGGGTGTCTCACTCCGTGAGACCCTGGTGAAGCTTGACGAGGCCCTCTTGCGCTCCTTGACCTTGCGCGAGAACGAGGGGAAACGGCGTTCGATCTTGTTGGTAATGCTGTTGGCTGAAGACTCGAGGGACCGTCGACGCTTCGCCATACGGATCTCCGCATCCACGGACCTGAAGTACTCGTCCTGGAACTCATAGGCTCTGGCAATCTCACAACTGGACTCATGACCGTTCTCGGTGTCACCTACAGCTGTATGAGTTCGTGCAGCTTTATCAAGGTGTTCATGCGACCTACAGGAGCAGTGGTGTGTATCTTTGGGGCCATAGTGGTACTCTTGCTCAATGGGCTCTTCGGTCAGCTTAGGAAGCTTGCCTGAGGCATTAGGAGCTTCATTGATCTCATGGGTTGGCGGGCTTGACGAGAGCGAAGAAGCTGAGCTGGGAAAGCGAAAGTGGCCTCGCGCATACAGACTTGGCGTGGGTGGTGTGGAGCATTCAGAGGCCGAATAGAAACCAGAATCTGCGCAAGAGTAGACCGAGGACGTTGGCTCGGCTGACATGTCAAGTGAGCTTTTAGATGGTTTGCGGGCAGCAATGAGCTTGGGAAGAATCAGTGGTTTGAGGTCGTGCATGTTGTTGTTTGGTTGCCGAAGCGTGACGTGAGTGTTGCGACAGGTGCTGGGATCCCATCACCAGCTTAAGAGTAAAGCTCGCGCCGTATGGCTGGTGGCCGGCTGCTGACTCTCCAGAGAAATGGCGGTCGCGGATTGTTTGGAAGGAAGCCTTGGAGGGTGCCACGAAGCAGGACCACGTATGTATCCTTTGGCCTGTTTATCCTGCAGAAGGACCTAGTAAAGTCAGCGCCCGTCGGCTCGCGCACCCAAAGGGGAAGGCACGTGAGAGCGCAGGACAGCTGGGATAGGCCACTTACGATTGGCGTTTTGCAAGTTTGTGATCCAATAGTCCAGCGCACAGTTGATTCGAGGGAGGGACAGCGCAGCGATAATGCGAGTGCAAGTTGGCAAAGAGCGACGACTGACGTGGGCAAGCTGGACAGCGATCAAAGTCGGGGGATGGGGCACGATTTGTGCGTGGGCACTGGGCAGCGGCGCACGGCGGTAGCTCCTTCCCACGGGCACTGCACGCCAAGCCCTCACCAGGAAGCACCATCTTCGACCGCAGCTATTCCCGTCTTTGTCTAGCGACTGGCGGCACATTCACTCTGCGTCCCCGGTTTCGTGCGGGCCGTCATGAGTCGTCTCGCCGGTACACAGCGCTGGTGATGCCCTGCCACCTCCCCTGGCAAGTTGCTTCAAGGGCTCCCTCGCAAAGCTTACATCGCGGTGCCGCTGCTTTGTGCTTGCAGCATATGCGCCGCTGCTTTGGGCGTCAAGAGGATCGCCGTGCGCTGGTTGCTGTAGTAGCAGGCACTTGACTTCCTATGCTCCACACATGTTCAGGTCTGGACATTCTGAGTTTTCAACCTTCCGACTCTAAATGCGAAGCCTGCCGTTGGTGGAGGCGTTGAAAATACCCCGGCCCCGTGCGAACTCTATCCGGTGTGTTGACCAAGCCCCACGAAAAAGCTTTTGCGAGTGGGTACTTGCACGAACAACGGTTCCCACATGCATTTTTTATTGTCGCGAACTTTGTTGGCCGTGTGCAGGTGTTGAGCCTGCGAGTTCTCACTGCTTTGCCGGCCTGATGTGCTTGTGTTACCAGCACTGTGGTGTCTGACAGCTTGCCCATGTGCGTGCAACCGTGGCTCAACTGACAGACTACGGGGGCAGTGCAAGGATGAAGAGTGGTTGAACAGGTGCCGGCGGTTGTGTTCCTCTTCCTGACTGGGGCGCCTTCTGCTCGCCCTTGTCCGTGTTGCGGCAATGACATCGACAGACAGTGTTTGGCTGTGAATGGCTGTGGGCATTCCCTTCCCGTCGTTTTCCCGCCTGGTTGAGACACACTGCTGGCGTGCCGCCGAGGCGCATAGACTCAGAGAAACAAACAAAACAGGCCGCTGTCAGAACTACAAAATGTTCAGACGCCGAGTGCCACCATTCGCCCGCCTTTCCACAATTGAGCCCTTTTCACAAACTCTCTGGCACCTGAGTTGTGACACTGGCAGGTTCACAACGAGGCGCTATGACATCGTGCGGGTGTGCCTGGGGGAGGCTGGGAGAGCCTTTCCAAATGCCAGCAGTGTCCAGACAAATCGGAAGGATTTGTTGGAAAGCTAGTGGAAGGACGGTACCTGATTGGAAACGTTCCTTGCTGCGCTTACTGGCTATGGCTTGGTGTGGCTCGGTAACCACCTCTGATTCCTCGCTGCAAGCCTCACTCACCTCAGCGGCCAACACATCGCTTGGGAAAACGTTCTGACCTTTCCTTTTTCCACTTTACAAGCGGGTTCCTGCGACAGTGCTCACACCTTTTTGTAGAGGTTGCAGGGAGTTTCAATTTAAAACTAGCATACATCTGCTGATTCGTGTGAAGTCGAACAAGCGTTCAGTGACTGGGACCGTAGTTTCCCAAAATCTCTGATGCTGGATGGCACCATTCCAGATCGAGGAACTAGTGCTCGATATCAAACTCGGTAACAGGTGCTTGGGAACAGTGGGCTGAACGCCCGCACCATGCCTGCATCTCAGATCATGACGACAAGCCACCTGGCCGTGTCGGGCCGGTCACAAGTCGGCCATCGTCCGGCCTTTTTACAGCGCTCCAACGGACTTCGTTCCCTGGCTACCCTGATCGAGCGACCGCGGCACGGCAACTGCCTGCCCTGTTATGCAAAGGCGGGCGGGAGAACACCGTTTGCCCATCCGCAACGCTCAACTTGCATACGTTCAGCCGGTGAGCATGTGCTCGACCACACCCCTTTTTCGACCTCAACCTGGCAAAGCATCTGACACCTAGGTACTTCGTGACATCACGACCATGTGATTTTCAACCGACCACCGGTGAACGATATGTGATGGGTAGCTGTTTGTGTTCACGATGACAGTGCCGGACGAGATCTCCCGAGGATGGAACAGACGGCTTCTTGCATCTTGCGGTCTCGAACATGCAATGTGGACTTAGCTCTCGCCGATCCTACAAAACGCAGGTGGAGAATGAATCGCTTTGCTATCGATAACGGAAGTATCACCGGGCGTCCCTTGGCAACTGTATTCACTGCAATGACATGTCGCATAGACATCTGTGGATATTCTCGTCGGACTGCCAGCTTACGCAGTAACCTTGTGTTCGATCGTATTGACATCTATAACTAGCTACTTCAGCTCGGGCTGATCTGTATGGCTCAACTGCATTGCATGCATTGCAGACCAGTAAACGTGGATCTGCCATGTGTGAATGTCCAAATAACCGGCCTGTTCGGTGCCTCGGGATTACTGAAGCGTGAGCTCGCTTCGACCATGCCCTACATTCTCGTTTGCAGCTTCGTATTGCCCTGCAGCAAATGAAGACCAATTGGCGATTTCGAACTGATGCAATAACACCAGGCGCAGCGAGTCGTCGTCAGCGCTTGCACCAGGAATTATTCTGACATCAGGATTATCCTAGCATTGAGTTTCTACGTGGAACCTTCTTTCCCCACTTATATCCAGTACTTGCTCCATAAAATCTTCTGGGCATCGGAACCAGTGAACTTTGCTCGGTTAGCACTTGTATGCACCACACCATCACGATGGGTTTCTGTACTCACCTCGAAATCTATCTTAATAATCTCCCCGAAGCCCTCCTCCAACATTGGCGCACGGTATCTTGACGCGAAGCTCGTGAACGCAAGTTTCGGCAGCATGATCCTGTTCTCGGGATTGGTCTAAAGGCAGTTAGCCATCAATAGTTCGCAATTGAGCACCGATGGAAGTCCAGGGATTACTCTCCGCAACGCCGTTGACGCTAGCTGGCGTTTTGTCGCGTGCTAGAGTAACTTCATGAGGCAGGCACATTGAGCCGGTACCTGGGCTAGAGGCTGGTGTTGGGAAACCTACTTCTGAACCGAGATTCAATGCCCGATAAGTGTCGTTGTGTTCGCACAGCTTAGCCGATGCTGTAAAGAGTACGCAGCGAATTGGCATTGAGTATTTCTTCGCAAGATTTACCCATACGGCACGTACATCTTGATCGGCATTGGTATTGTCTAGAAGCTCTTAATATTAATGTTGACATGCAGAGTCGCGTTGACAAGGCGGGGTGCCGAAGCAACGTACCAACCACCACATGTTTTCCTTCGTCGATGAGCGCCGTGGCGGCTTTCACGCATTTCTCGCGCTGTTTCAAGATGTTACTCAATGTGCCGTGAGGTGGTACAGCACGTGCCGTCATGCGCGCAACCGATACCCGAGTACTTACAGTCTTAAGAATGTCTTGGTTTACTCGGATGTATCCCAGTGGCTGCAGATGCTTCCAATAGAATGATGACTTGCCAGCGCCAGGGCTGCCGACAAGAAGAATAATATCCGGGACGTCAGTCTTCGTAATGATAGGATCTGCGCTGAAGTCAGTGTCTAGACCTGTTTGTTCATAGCAACTCATTCTATGTGGCTGCTGATCAATCAACATACTTGCAGATGTTGAGCTCTCAGCCGGCGGATTCACGAATGTGGCTGGCTCGAAGCCCCTCACAAATGGCTGCGAGGGTTCGTGCAGGAAATACTCCTCTGGTGTCTGGAACGGCAATCCGATGTTGGATGCAAAATCCCTGGTGTATTTTAGCATCATACTTCCTTGCCTTCTTGCACACTCTGAAGGTTGCAGCATACCTGTCAACACATGAGTGGTCCTTCACAGATGTGCCGCTCACAGCCTCGCGCCCACCAGCGTCGCCAACAAAGAAGGATTCCTCGAGATCAACAGACTCCACATCCTCAAGATCATAGTCTTCCAACAGTTCTCGCCACATCCCAACACGCGGTTTGCGGTATTCATCGCGACCCGTGGCGGCATACAAAGAGACTGGTAGGTCTAGCTGGCTGAAGACCGCTGAGACCTTGCTCTTGAAATCTGCCAATCGTTTCTGGTCTGACTTGACTGTCTTCGGATCTGGCTTGAGGCTGATACCACCTTGGTTGCTTATTATCGCAAGAAGGTATCTATTGGATATGTCGAATCAGTACAAGCGTTATGGCGTGCAGACACTTCATGTCGTGTCTTACCCTTCCTCGTGGAGTTGCCTGAGCTTTCCTGGAACGCTGCTGTGCCACCATTTCCAATCGCTGGCATCGCGGCCAAATCTCTTTCCAGATGCAGTTGTTACTAAAGTTGAGTCCTATGATATGACCATTAGTACACTTGCATACTCACCGAGGTTCTCGTATGGCGTACGAAGTCAAAAGCGGCTATTCTGCGTCTTGGCGACCTGGATGCTTGAACTGCAGTCACAGTGTTTTGTCGCCCGATAAGGAGACTGTTCTTCACGATTCTCCAGGTCATTTTTTCCGGCTCTTTTTTGGACGCAGGAGTGAAGAAACTGGCAACTGCTTTATCTGCGTTGCGTGTCAACATCACCGGCAAGTGTTGTAGCATTGCAGCTTACTGGTCGTATGTGATTGTTGCCGCCTTTTTGCGGGAGGCGAGACGTCTTTATCGTTGGCTTTTGATCTTTTCCTACTATCGGACATGTCTAAACTTCAGTCGCTTTTCAGCTCAAGGGTTTGTTGCGGAAGTAGATCTCGCTGTTGTGGGTGCGTAGTTTGCTGTCCTAGACAAGGCTGCTTTCTAGCAGGTACGCCTTTGACACGAGACGCGCTTTCGCGCTAGCACGTGCTCTTTTCGCAACGCCGCAGGTACGTACCCAGGTATCAGAAGACTGGGACATTGCGATTATGTCTCTGGCATGTTCTCTTCAACTCAGCATTGCAGCTGTAACATCAACTTCGTCACTGCGTTCACCTTCTTAGGCACTGCACATTCCAACTCCAGACCTGATAGGCGATCGAGATCAAGTATGTAAAGAGGGGTTCTAGACGACGGCGATGTTGCATAACTTGTAAATTAAGCTTCAAGGTTCGTCCCTGAGAACTTTGTTGTCACAAAAATTTACAACCTCTCATTCTAACTTTCCAGGGGTGTGATCAGCCTTGCATAGTCGAATCACTGCGTGTTGGACTTGCTTCCTATGTGAATTGAGGTGAATATGCAGTGGAAAGGAACATCCGGAGAATCTAGGCGTGTTCCATTCCTCCAATTCTGTTTTACTTTTGCCTAAACATGGTATCTTTGGACACGGTTTTTTGGCACAGCTTCTCAGCCTATGCATCCGGCTGATGATGCTTGGAATTACCTTCCCGGTCCTAAGCAAGCCCCTGCGCTTGAGCCTTCGCTTGTTGTACCTGAGCCGTCGTAACAACCCCTGGTGGAGGCTTGTACTTGACCCTTGTGTCCATGGTAAGACGATCGGGGAGTGATAGTTCAACGCAGCCCTTCATTGATGTTTGGAAAGCCTTCAGCTCACCGACACCAGACTCCAGCACAGATGCGTCCTTGAAATCTTGTACGCGCACTTTTGCCTCAAGTATGTACGTGCCGCTCTGATCCAGTAACTGCAAGGCTTCAAACGCTGGGGGCTTGACTTTTGGCTCCGTCTGCAAGTTCCGGACGCCGGGCTCGTGAAGCACTCGATGAAGGAAGATAACGACGTTGCGGTGGACGAAGCGGTGTCCCTCAATGTAGTACTCGGTTACAAAACTACATCCTGGTCAGACGTGACAGCAAGGCGCAAGGGAAGTATTACCAATTAGGCCCTGATGTAGCCATGAAGGTGTGAGGGTCGCCTCCAATGAGATCAGTGCTGTTGGTGAAGCGTATCGATACCCCTCTATCGCCAGTGTCTGGTATGTCCTCGAACAGAGTCGACCATTTTGGTTCTTCGCCGCCCTCAAAGTCCACGTCGGCAGACAAAGTGTCACTTGCTTCACTGTCACCTTTGCCAAAATCCTCGTCTGAGAGCTTCTGCACTAATTGGGTATAGTAGAGCTGTGTTGGCGTAGTTGCTTGTTGCTTCTGCTTGACAGCAACTGCCTGTGTGCCACCACGCCGCAAGTGAGAACCAGGCTCTTCGGGCTCACGCTCAGGCCTGTAGAGGATGCGCCGCTGGAGTATGCGGCGGGGCTGCATGGCAGCAACCCCCGCCAGAATCTTCAAAACTTGATCATGGCGTGCGGCTGACACCTGGCCGTAGAGGAGCAACTCGTGCATCGAGTGTGTTTGGGAGGAGCAGGCGAAAAAGAGCCGCACTCAGGCCCAACACAATCGATATGCAATTCACGTTGTAAATCGTGGGGTTGATAAGGAATGGCGACACGCGATTGGTGGGGAGGGTGCGCTTGCAGAGATCCTGTGAAAATGGACGGCGGCAGCGTGGAGCTATGGCCTAAATCGCCCCAAATGGCAAGACTGCAGCACAGGAATGTGGAGCTCTCCGCAACGCGGATGTCCGTTTTGCGCTGTGCCGTGCAAAATCGCTTAGAAATGTGCGCGAGGCCGGCAGCAAATATCAGCCGATTGTGAGACGATCTTCTCCGGGCGCAAGCATCTGTGGAGAGGGCCGGAAAGTGGGAGAAATGGCGTCTTCGGCGTTTAGCGCATCGCGACTCGTCCCGCAACGGTGGATAATATTTATGCTCCATCGTCACGTCCGGCTCCCCTCCACCACCTCCACTGCCTACGCTCTCTTCGCTCCATCTCTCGTCTTGCTGCCATTGATCTACGTGTCTTCTGCCATTCCCATTACCTTATAATTATCACGACCTCAGCCTCCACGTACCCGCAACCGCCGACCTCGGCTCCCACCAACCTCACCACATCCATCCCACAATGAACGCAACCAAGGTCCTCCAGGCTGGCCGCCAGCCCTTGATCCGCTTCTTGGGCAAGCGCACCACCCCCAGTCGTATGTCGTCATGGAGCCCCGTGTGTGACCCGATAGCTGATTAGAATTACGCAGACATCGACCACACCCCTCAGGCCCACCCAGCCTCCCCAACACACTCGCTTCCCGAGTCCTTCGCCAGCTACCGCCAGAAGGCACAGCAGCATGGCCCCCTGAATCAGTCCAGGGACTACTCCAGCGGCGTCGGCAGCACCCCGGGTTCTTCGCTGGGCCCCGTTGAGGCGGGCAAGGGCTTCTACTTCGATCGTTCCGAGCTTCCCGCGCGCTTCCAGCGCATGACTTGGTCTCAGGCTGAGATCGATGCCATCGAGTCTGGCGGTGCTAGCATGTTCGCATAGATGAAAAGCACGATGAGCAATGAACTCGGCACGCCAGGATGTGTCGATACTATACATACGTCACAGGCGTCAGGATAGCTGGCGGACCACGAGAGAGAATGAGTGCTCCAGCACGGCGGAGCTTAGGCGAACGACTTGAACACAAAAGCGAGATTTACTGCAATTGCTTGCGTACTATACCCTTCAAGACCGACATCTGGGATGAGGAACTGCTAGGAAAGGCTAGGATTTGGGAGGACTATCTGCATGGCGAGCTGAACCATCACACTCGACACCATACATATGACGTTCACGTCGATACAATGACGAACATTATCAATTTACGGAATTCATCAATGTGTTTCCATGAACTGTACCAATATGCCCGTGTTATCATGTCAGCACACAGCATGCCGAGGCACAACCCAACCAGCCGCCAACGTCATGTATACACGACCACCAGTGTAGCATGATGATCAATCACGCCAGACGACGCGACACGTCCAACATCGGACTCCGACCACGGCAGCGGCGGTCGGCGCGGTCTCCGTACCCACTCGCCCGACAAGCGCATACCAACCCCACGTGCTCGGCCGGCACCTGTGGCACCACGCTTGCAATTCTCATCAGTCAACACCATTTCACATGTGTCCGCAGCTAAAAAGCCGCACCCACGCCACATCTGGTGCATTTCGCCATCCACACTTGGGCATCTGGCACGCGAGAAATTTGCAATCGTGGGCTTGGCAACGGACATCCGTATTAGGCAGGTGAGGTGAGCGATCGAACGCCGTTGTTGAACCCAACGTGATGTTCGAGAACAACTGGTGGGGCACCCCGATTTGAGTCAGTGAAGGTTGGGTTCAGTTCGGTTGCTGACTGTGCAGTACACTTGTGAAGTCCGGTCAATGGAGCTCCGCCAGACAGTATTGCGTGATACGTCGAGCATGGCAGGAGCTAGCTCCGACGGTATACGTCAGTCACGAAAGGATGCAAGGACCGGTGCTCCTCCGGATGACCGATGCTCCTCCGGATGTCCTTTGCGTTCTTACTGCGGACTTGTCCCTTCATTGTCGCTTTCCAAATTCATACAAGCTGACATGTAGGACACCATTCCAAATACGTGATCTCTCATTTGCCCTTGGTGCTGCGATTGATCCAAGAACTTTGTACTCTCTAGTATGACGCTTACACTGGAACTAGTTGAATCAACCACATCGCCGTTGTCTTCGGTATTCTCTCCATCCCAGTCTAAATCCGACGGCATTCAGTGTCTTGCATATGTACCTAGGTATGCACAAGGCGGTCGTTCCTTTTCGGATAAACATTTGAGGTTTACTTTACCACAACCAGGCAGATCTGAGTTGCCTTTGGCACTTTTGAGGATTGAATTTCTCTAGCACAGCCAATGGCCTTCTAAATGACAGCTGAATGCCTCCAGTCAAGCGTAACTGCATCAGAAGAAAAGCCTCCTGTTCATGTTACTGATCCTTTACTTCTTGCCTTGCGGCTGTGTTAGTGGCATCTCAGTCGTTCTTAAGTGCATTTGTTCAAATTGCTGTCGACATGTTGCGCCCGCCCTTGTTACCACCGTGATCCTGGCGAGCCTTGAGACGTGCGTCAGTCGATTGACAGTACAAAAAAGAGGGGGCAAACCATTCTTGTCGATACTGCAACTCGAATCGCCGTAAGTTTACCTGCACACATGCTTGCTGGCTTACCGCCTGATATCAGAGTTGTCGTACTCCCATCGAGCTCGAGACATAGCCTTGGATCGACACTGGCCAAAGGGTTTGCTAGTAGCGGCAACAAGAGATATGGGGAACTTCATGATCAGGAGAGGACACCGCCGCTGCTCCGTCCCAAATCCTGCTGGGCAGCTCTATACTTGCACCTATTAGGTGCCAGCATTTGTGTCCACCCGATTCAGTGGTAACATCCTTGAGAATCTTGCATCAGCTCGAGCGACTCGGTGTTATAGCTTGTTACGGTAACTATATGTCCATCAGGTGAATTGCTGATATCAATATTTCGTTGCATAGACTCAAACATGGCAGGCCTCGGCAATAAACCTTACACTCTATTTCAGCTTACTCACTCGACAACGGATGTCCAACGCATCATAATCATCGCACATCATGGTAGACCTACAGATCACAAATGAACATGATGAAGAAGTTACAAGGAAACTCATGAATACATTGAGTAAGACTGTGATGCTTTCTAAAGACATCATCTCTTTGTTTATCGCAGCGTCTTTCAGATCTTTCTTGAGAAGCCTTGCACAGTTAAAGATCATGAGCCTCGGACTACGAAAGAATACAACACAAGACAGGAAAATCTAGTGTCGTGAAGACTGTTCAGCCTGTCGCGTTAAGGGGAATGTGGACTTGGTTGTAGCTGCATGCTCAATCATTGGGGAAGAACAGTCTCGATGCTTCTGTCAGCGTCGCATAGCAGCGCTTGTTTGACTAAGTTGCTTCATTGCGATTGAACCACATGTCAAACACCAAGGTCAATAACACACAACGATCTACAACCTGCGGGAGAAGGAGGCTTCTTACTAACCGGAAGAGTGCTCAGGTATGTTCACAGCTTTGCCGTCTCTTCTATAGAAACGTTATGATTCTGTCTCGCAAGACTCGAACAGCTACTAAGTCATAGTAGCATGATGCCATAGTCCGAGGGAAGTATTACGCTTTGTCACGTTGAGTGACTGCCAATGCCGCGAAGGACTGTGGAAGGCACGACTTGCATTCCTCTTAGCAGCTAGGCAGTGCACCAAGCCCCTCGAGTATTAAAGTGTGGTAGACTTCATGCAGGATACGTATCTCCGCGAAGTACATTCTCTTACCCAGGCTGCCTCGACATCAGCGCTTTCGTGTTCGAACCAGTGGTCACAGCGGAAACAGCTTCTCGAAATAACTATCCTGACACCGAGGATATGCCTGGAACACGAAGTCGACAAGCATCCTAGCATCCAATGATCGCCTTCTCGCATACGAACGATCCATCACACTCGACCAAATCACACGTGACATTCCAGCACACACTCGCCCTGCATGACGCTCCGCCTCGCTGCGCCTCCCACGCAGCCATCCAGGCCGTTCCGCCGCCCAAACCAAACTATGACAGGACCCTGCCTTCGAAACATCGCGGACAGACAGACAAAGAACCGCCATCCAGATCTCATCGCCGGACCCCTGCCAAGCACGTTCAGCACCTGAAACCGTCTACTCGGGGCTCTTTGTCGGCGCGTCTAGTCGTGTCTCGAATTGCGAGGCCAGTGACAAAGCAAAAACAAAGCACCGGAGATGTGTGGGATTCGCGACGACATGCGTGGGAGTCGCCACGAGGCAGTGCAGAGCTGAGAAAGGGCATCCTGTGGATGTGATCCAGTGGGTTGGAGTCAGCTCGATGTATTGGCGTAACGCTGTGGAGTGCATGACGTGATGCCCTGGGTTCAGCTTTTCAGATGAAGGACCGTGAGTCGGTGCCCCGTCAACGAGCGCTCGGACATTGGGGACAGTGTGACTTGACGTGATGATGCGGCTGAGCTTATTTCGGAATGTGGAACGTGCGTGCACTGCCACAGGCTCGGAGGTGAGGTGGGCGATCGCAATTCTCTGTGGGCGAAATTAGCTGTCACTGTGCTTCTTTCGGCGAAATGTGACTCGCGGCTTCACGATACTTGTTACGAGGTTACGAGGTTACGAGATAAACGAGGGAATTTGTGAATGTTGTTCATTTTCTGTATATCAAACGATTGCGAATTGAGCCTCAGAAACTCAATGTCCAAAGTGAATGGGTATCCAAACCATGCACCAACCCTAGATAAGAATGTGTACACGAAGAAGATATAAATGATGTCAAGGAGAGACAAGAAGTGTGAAAGAAACAGTCAACTTCAAACGACCAGCAAACCCTCATATACACCATGAGATCTGTGCGGGAGAAGCGACGTTCTGAGCGAACCGAACCAAGCCCTAATTGGGCAATTTTCTGGACTCCGGATGATTGATCCGCTTAATGCAAAACATGGGAAGGCATATCGTAAAGTGTCGTGCAAAGCGCTGACCAGCCTGCGCTAGCGAATCTTGGGTATATTGATCATAGGTGTAGCCTTGCTACACTTCAGCTAGCTGTGTCAAAGACTGGTGAAGGAGAGGTAGTAGTGGTCGCTTAGTTGATCATGGACCAGCTACCCTTGACGCGAGTCCACTCCTTCATGCCAATGGCATCCCAAGTAGCGTCAGAGAGATCGATGTCATGACCGGCGCAACCAGGGCACATGTCCATGATGGTAGCATCAACAGACTTGCCGTTGTACTCGATCCTGATCTTCTGTCCGCACCACTTGTTGGTGGCCTTACCAGTCATGACATCGTAGGTGGAGGCACCCCAGGCAGGCTGGGCAAGAGCGACAGTCAGCTCGGTAGGCAACATGGGCTCACCGCAGGCGCCAAGAGCACCGTCGACGGGGTTGATGGTCATGTCGACACTGCTGAAGCTCTCACCAGTGCTGGAGGAGCCGTAGGACTCGGTAGACTGCTCCTGGGCGGGAGCGGCAGCAGGAGCAGCGGAGGTGGCAGCAGGGGCAGCAGAGGTGGCAGGAGCGGGAGCGGGAGTGTAGGCTGCCTCAGTGGTGGTTGGCGCAGCTGGGGCAGGCGCGGACGAAGTCTCAACAACGGGCGCGGGAGCAGGCGCAGCAGAAGAGACAACGACCTCAGTAGAGGAGGGCGCGGCAGGTGTCTCGACGGGAGTCTCGACAGGAGGAGTGTAGACGCTTGAGGGCTCCGGGACGGGAGAGGGAGTGTAGGCAGGCGTAGAGACGGCGGCAGGTGTGGAGACTACAGCAGGGGTGGTCTTGACCTCGGAGGGCTGCTCGTAGAAGTAGCCTCCAGCGGTGGTGGTGGCCTCGGCGACAGGGACGTCGTCTTCCCAGACGGTGGTGTAGACAATGACGGACTCAATGACAAGCTCGGTCTTGTAGACGAGGTCGCGCTTGAAGGGAAATGCAGCAGCCATGGAGGCGCAGAGGGCGGAAACAAGAACCTGGGAGGACTTCATGTTGTCGGTGGTAGATTTGCTGGTTAAGCTGTGTGTGCTAGATAGCGAATTGAGGGAAGGAGGGCTGTTGGTGAACCGGCTAGCAGTTCAGGTGTAGGGACTGGTGTTTGTGTCGTAATGACCGCTAGAGATGCGATATCTCTGTGAAGGAATGTGTGGGGAAATGAAAGTGAAAGTGAACAAGTGCTAGACCTCAAGCCTGTAGAGAGTGAACAGGGCAGAGGGAGCGACGGGTTATAAAGAAATAGTGAGAGTGTAGGGTGGAGAAAGAGCAGAGTTGCGCAGCGGCCAAAGCAACTGGGCTGGCCTGGCGTGCCTAGCACCTCGGACCCCTGGCAACGCACCGCGCGCTCGCATCCTCCGCTCGCTTTCACGCCCGCTTGGACCCATGTCGCCTAGCCGGCCACTGGGCGCCCCATCAACGTGGCCGCGCTGCACGTCCACGCCCCCGGCCCGGCTGCCTTTGAGGGAACGGCGCTGCTTTGGTCAGACTCAACAACACTGGCGCCGTTACCCACCGTCGTGCTCGAGACTGCGCGTCCGCGCTGCTTTACCGTGTCAAAGAACCCTGGGGGAAATCCTCGGACCGTGCCCAGTAGGCCTTTGTTTTTGCTACGTGCGACGGCGAGGTGACTTCTCACTTCTCACTGCGCTGTCCAGGGCGTTCAAGCCCGCCACTCAATGTGGTCAAGCTCTCAGGCACGCACAAGCTGACCTGTCTCACGTTTCCGCAAGGGGCAGCCTGCCGGCCGAGGAACCGACGAATCGCGGCGCCGTGCTGCACTGATCGTCAGGAACGCTCGATTTTTGCGCCAGCCCCTGCCAGGGCATGGCTGCGCGCTCAGCGAAACGCACGGCGAAACAAGCCAAAAATCAGCCAGTCTGCGCCGCAACGCCCAGGCACAGGCACAGCACAGGCAGGCACCGAGGCCGCCACGCAATGTCACCACACGTCAAGAAACACGTGGATATGGCAGAGTCGTCCTCAACAGCAGGTGGGTGCTGCCGAGGGCCCAAAGCAGCGCATCGTGAAAACCGGTCCGCCACTCAGACCGCATGGAGCTGCAAGCTTTCAGAGTCTGCTTCAACAGGCGCCCAATTGGTCCTGTCGCCGCTCCACCGCTGCTCAAAACCTGCTGTGCGCCGATTTGCAACGTAGCGCCTGTAGGGCCTGTAGGGCAGCGACGTGAGCGTCAATGTGACAACACTTTGGTCGCTGTCTCACTGCGACTCGTTCGCTTGTCGAGTCAACCCACTGTTCCGCATCTCCACAGGTTTCTGGACTCTCTGAACGCATCACCACATCCGGTCACCATGCGCAGGAAATTACTTGTGGGTCTGCTGCACGTTGGGCGTTTTCCTACTGGCAGCGGCTGGCTTCCGCGCGGCAGCGATGCTCAGAGTTTGCTGCTTATTATCCACTTATCGATACCGGCAGTCCGATAGCTATCCATCTCCACACTCGTGACGTTGAGCCTATCGTGGCTGCAGATGAGCGCATTGCTGTTGTTCTGGGCAGAGTCAGAAATTTCTTGGTTGCGTTAATGTCACTCGCTTCGAGGCCGCGCACTCTCTCGCTGCGGAGCTAGAATTTTGTGCGGCCGACTCGAGCACGTCAACATGACTGCACGGCAGTGTGAACCTTCAGGTGGGGTAAAAGCAAACATGAAGAGCGCCTGGCCATGTGCTCACCCCGGCGAAAGAGGGCAATGTCGTAGAACACAGTTCTAGACGTTTAGTCGCTGGACTGGTCCTGTCCCATGGTTCGGTACAAGGCAGCGGCACGCCGCTCTGCCAGTCATCTTGCATTCCACTCTCAACCTCCCCGACACCTGCCGCTACTGCCATGGAGGATGTCGGCATTTGCATATACGAGCAAGACGGCTGTCAGACTGCATCGGCTTGTGGGGTGGCCGACATCTTTGACCGCAGACACGCTCACCCTCTGGACAACGTCACTTCACCGAAGTCACTCGTGAAAACACGGATACCGTTACACAGTCGGCCTGTTGCACATTAGAACTACACATGCGGCCACGTGAGGTTCGATGCAGATTGGATCTGCCGCCAGCATGTGGCTCCTTCGTCGATCACACCGAGATCTGCGAGCGAGCGAGCAAGTACCCGTCCCGTGTACACGACACCGTAAAATGCCTCGGATATCTTGCGTGCAGGCGGGATTTCTAGGAAGGTTGTACGAGCTGGGATACTATGGGACCTAAATGTTCGGTGTGGTAGAGCAACATTAGCAGCATCGACGCGACTCGGCATCCAGAAACACCTCCATTCACCTGTCGGGATTAGGCACAAGATCCAAAGTGCACGCCAGCACGCGGGACCGTGGAGGTAACCCGAATCCTTCGGGATTCTCACCAATGAAAGTCGTATCATGTCTCTCGTATTGCTGATCCTCAAAGCCAGGGAAATGCTCTCGCATCAAGTACGATTCTCTTAGTGCTGCCGGCGGCTGTACATTCGGTCGAACAGCTGCAGCAGTTTGCCCCGCCGTCGACGTGTTCTGTGCATCAGTCTCTTAACATTGCATGCAAAGGCACTTAGCACTACCAAAGTGTCCAGAGCCATTCGCCATCTCTGCGATGTCCGCATTTGCGAGACGTCTGGTCGATTTCATCACCCATGTTTGACAAATCTTCCACGGCAGTCAGTGAACTTCTGTATGCTGATGAACAACTCCAGAACTGCCGTACAACTTTTCCGAGAACAACATTCACTGTTTGCTAATCATCCTGGGCGCTTTTCAATAAGTTCATTTCCACGGGTGACTGCAACACACCTCCTTTGGCAATATCAAACCCATTCCCAAGCCTACAGCAGGAGAAGGATTTCCAACAAAGGTAAACCTGGGCTTTATAGATTATGGCGACATCATCAACCTTAACAGGACTGCATTCCTGCCGCTGACACCTGGATGAAATCATCGGGCACTGGAGAAATGCAGCTATGAGAGCACGCTCGACCAGGTTCAACCCTAGTGACATTCTCTACAACGTAAATGATGGCTATACACTATTAATGCACCCTTCTGGGCTTCTACTTGGTGAGTAACCCTAGCAACGACCCAGGTTGTGATATTGGAGGTACAATGTCCGTCGGAGTGAAGTCCGCACACCTATGCACGACTTACCAGTCCTTTTCCATCGCCCAGGTGCCTCAAGGTGGGAATTGCAACAATGGGATTTGCAACAAATGCATGATTGGGCTTAATGAGAGCGTGGGGTTACAAAAGGGCCGAGTTTGTTCACAGATTACGCTCCATAGGTAGCCTCGTGGAGGTGGGTATTGTGCTGCATCCCTTGCTGGTGCGAATCAGTCTGAGATGATTCTGAAAAGTTGAAGTCTGGCACACAATGGTCCGACACGTCATGAACAACCAAGGCTCGTAAGGGGTGTAAAGGTTACCAACCACCTGCAGCCCATCCCAATACTCACATTCCAGGGATCGAACACATGAGAAGCATCAACAGACGTTAGTCAAGACCCGGAGCTTGTACTGTATGGTCTCGGCTGTCAATACAAAAGGACGTCCACAATACTCGATCAGCCTCTTCAGTCTGAAGTGTCTATTTTCTTATTACCAACCCTCGTTTTGTCGTCACTATGGCCTGCAAAGTGATTGTATACGCTCTTCTAGCCGGCCTTGCTTTTGGTCGACCCCAGACATATCCAGAAACGGCACAAGGAAACCCAAGTGGATATCCATATACAAACCCCTCCTCTTACGATCCGTTGCCATCCAATCCTTACAATATCGATGGCGGGTTCATCGACTGGAGGACATACAAGGCCAATGGTGTGAACCTCGGAAGCTGGCTCGAGAAGGAGCGCACTCACGATCCCATCTGGTGGTCCGAGGTTGGCGGCGACAGTGTCATAGATGAGTGGGTGCGTACTTGCATCTCCTCACATACGATTTATCAAGACTAATCATTCAAAGTCCCTCTGTCAGCTCCTTGGCCAAAGGTGCGGTCCCATTTTCGAGTCACGTTACGCCAGTTTCCTGAACTACACCACCATAGACGACCTTGCCAGCGTCGGCGTCAACACGCTGCGCATCCCAACCACGTACGCAGCGTGGGTCGAGGTGCCCGGCTCGGAGCTTCACTCGGGCTACCAAGTCCAGTTCATGGACCGCATTGTCTCGTACGCCGTCAAGCGCTACAACATGCACATCATCATCGGCCTGCACTCTCTCCCCGGCGGCGTGAACTCGCTCGACATCGGCGAGGCCTTTGGGCACGACGGATGGTTCTTCAACGAGACGAACCTGATCTACTCCTGGCAGGCCGTCGACCGCATCCTGGACTACATCCAAGCGTCGCCCCTCGGGCTGGACAAGTTCTCCATCTCCCCGCTGAACGAGGCCTCGGACACGAACCTCGTCGGCTTCGGCACCGCGGCCGGCCTCACCGACAAAGGCGCAGCCTGGATCGCCCGGTACCTCGCCGGCGTGCTGGACCGCATCAAGGCCGTCAACAGGGGCATTCCGCTGATCGTCCAGGACTGCTTCAAGGGCACCGAATTCTGGGCGCCGTACTTCGCCGCTACTGATAACGTCGTGATTAGTCCGCACGTCTACTACTTCGCTGCTGCCGGGGTGTATGCCAACTACCTCACGCCTGCTGTCTGCGGCCAGGCGCAGTTTATCGCGACGCAGACCAAGTTCCCCAATTTCGTCGGCGAGTGGTCGCTGCAGACGCGGTTTAATAACAAGTTCGATGGACGTGAAGAGGTGTTCAACACCCAGAGGTACGCGTGGGGCGAGTATCTGAGCGGCGGGAGTAAGTACTGTTTTTCACTCGTGTGAGATGGCGATGCTGACGACTGTAGCTTTCTGGACCGCGGTGTCGTATGCGACGACTGCTGTTGATGGAGAGGGAACTCAGAGGGAGTACTGGAGCTATGTGGACTTGATCAGGCAGGGCGTTATCAAAAGCGAGGATTCTGATGTGGCTTACTGCTAGTCGGAGCATCCGTGGAAGGCTGGTAATCAGTCATGGACAGTGATAGTGTAAGACAGAATACTATGTAGGCGAAGGTATATACATTTACGTACTTTTGAATATGAACCTCCAGAGTAAAAAGTACTTCGCTACCCTGATAGAAAAGTCCTTGCAGATATAGATGAGCCTCATTTGGGAAGAAATTCAGCAAGTAAATCAGAGACATCTCGGTGACCCCAAAGCTGTGCATAATGTTTTGCGGTCTTTCCCGCACAATCCTTTGCCTCGATATCAAACTCATTTTCGTGTTGGAGGAGCAGTTTACAGATGCTCACCGAGCCCTGAGCTGCTGCGTAATGGAGGGGTAGACTACCGTAGACTGTAATCACACCCGGACTTGCACCCTCTTGTAGCAAGAGACGGACTCCTCTCTCCCAGTCTTTCTGGCACGCTACGTGCAGTAGCGACCTACCCAGTATGTCTTGCGTGTTTTGGCCTTCGTCTGCTCTGGTTCTAAGTACTTCGAGTAAAATCCAGTCGTCGTCTATGTCCGAAGGATGCGTCTGATCCAGCAGGCGATGTAGTTGGGTGCGACCCAGGCAGTCATCGAAGTCACTTCCCGCCAGGTTCCAGTACGTCATCTCGTCAAACTGATGGAGTGGTGTTATCACTTTATATCGAAGAGATGGTTTCTCTCGATACTCTGAAAGGTCTGGGAACTTTGCAAGGACGTCGAGTGTTTCGTCGACGAACGTCTCTGTGAGTTCTTCGTACCTCTGTTCTTCGGACTCGACACGGACGGAGTGATGTTCGTGCATGAGAAAGCTTCTATGGGACTGCAATCGCTTGCGACAAGCCTGGAGTTTCTTATGAGTCTGCCCTTGCTCTGTGAGTTCCTTGGGAGCGCGTGCGCCCTCACAAAGCGAACAGCAGACTTGATCTTGTACCTCAAGCTCAAAAGGTTCCTCGCGAGAGAGTAACGCTGATATAGCGGCTGACATGTGAGCTTGTGGAAGACGCAAAGCGCTCTTCATCAATGTTGTGCGTACCAAATCCACGTCTACTCTATACTGCTCGACACCGCTACCGCAAGCTCCAAAATCTCTTCGGTTGAAGAAGTGATCACCAATTTCGTTTTGTAGATACTGGAGCTTGTGCATACCGATTCTCAGATCTTGGTAGTGGCTCAATAGTGAGGTCCTTGTAAAGGAAGGTTAGCACACAGGTGTTTTGATGCGCCTACCAAAAAGAATGCCAGGCTCATGCCGTCCCCACTGGTGATACAGAAGTGAAGACAAAGAGTGCCGATCAAGTAGCTAGCTCACGTCCAGCACATCAGACGAAGGAAATCTCGAAAAGCCCAACATGGGAACTAATAATAAAGTCCGGACATACCAGTCAGTTAATGTCACCTGCCCAGCAGCCAATACTTGGTTTGGACCGTTCTTATATGCAGGAATCAGGTCCGCTTTGGCAGCTGTATACTTGCTTCTTCGCGTAGCTTTTGTGCCTCGCGAGCACGGCAGCCCTTTCTTGATGCATCTCTCGCATTTGAATGGCCAGACTCGGTTTCTCGGCAAACACTGTTAGCGTTAGTAAGTGGCAGACTTAGTTGGTTGTTATGTCTCTTCACGAAGCCAACATAGTGTCACAAGCCGTCCGCACACCAGTGTGATGATGCAGAGTTGGACCTGAATAGTAGATCACGGGTGTTGGCTCTGAGTATCTGCCAAATCTTGCAACCAACATGACATGTCGATTTTGCAGCTTCTGTGCAAATAACGAGTGCTTGAAGGAGCTTGGGAGTACTTACTTTTACTTTGTCAGACCTGCATTTGGAACACTTGGTGAGACTGAGTGATCCGCGGGACCTCTTTCTTTCTTGACTTGTGTTCCAGTTTTCGTCAACCTGTGTGGCATCGATACCGAGCTCGATATCCAAATGAGGATAACTTTCATATTCTTGCCGATGGAATTGCAATCCGGTATAAGCTGGCTGATGATAGAAGCTAGAAAATAGCCGGTCTCCAAGCTGCGCTTCGATTTGTGCTGCTTCGTTTTGCTGCTGTAGCCTCTGGAAGCCGGCGTCGATTGTAAGGTTGTAAGCGTGAACAGCAGAGTTGTCGAACTCCATAGCCAGGACGTGTCAGGAAAGTGGCACTCAACCAAACCTAGCAAGCGAGTCTCTATTGTACTTCGAGCTCCGATGGGTTAGCAAGTGGTGCAGGGCATTCAAACGAGGCTGAGCAACGTGCGATGACGAAGTGCGACGAAGTGCGAAAAGATGCGAGATGCGGCTGCAGCCACACCCGAATGACTGGCTGACAAGTTGCAGCACATGGGCGCCTGAACACGCAGCTGCACCATACAATTGCTCCCTTCTGACTCAAATCCACAGCAATGTAGTATCTGCCGATGCAGATGTTGATCTTATGCAGCCGAGAGCCACCTGCAGTCCATGATCGCCATCGAAAGTTCTCAGCTTCGCGCTCGTCATTGGCTGGTTCTCCCGCAGGATCCTCGAGTCGTCATGAGAGACGATGGTCGCCGCAGTCCAACCGTAAAGCAACGGATATGCAGGTCAGGGCCCTTGCTAGTTTAAGTGCGCACTTCATCGCACCTCGTTCTGCGATGAAAGGCTGAAATGAGGAGCCACGATTACCTCCGCCTCAGGGAGGTATATCTGTACGGCTTGTTCGACTCTTTGCAAAAGTCAACCAGCGGACATTTATCAACCGTTCGATGCACGACCATATATCAAACCCAGGGCCAATGATGATTGCTCCAGCACCAGCACCAAATGTCATTCGACTCGACCTTTCTGACCCCTCTCACGATACAATCGTTTTCGGCACACTGGGGCTTCTTGTCGCTATCGTTGGTGTTGCGGTGGCTGTTCTTCAACTGCAACGTACGAAGAGACGACATACACTTCTGATGGGGCAGGTGTACGAGCTAGCCTAACAAGTAAGCATTTGAGCGAGTCCAGAAGTCGTGTCTGACTGGTGTGCGTAGACCATTGACCGAAGAGGTGTTGATATGAAGGAAGTTATTATGAATGGTGTGCGGCTGGAGCAGTGGGGCGGATGTATCGTGCTAAAATACAAGTAAGAAGGCACTGTCGTTTTAAAGCTGGGTCCTGCCTTCTGAGGGGAGCCGGCTGTTCCTGAATCTGCTTTCGTGGGCAAGCAGCGACCAGTTACACACTAAGGAAGGGTAGATGAAATATGATGGAGAAGTGTGAATCATCGGGCAAAATCTTATGCTGTTAGCATCTTGTATTGTTTCTTCTCGGTGCGCAAGGCACTTCTATAGGGTAATGTCCTCCGACCGGTAGTGGTCTGCCACAATACGGTACAGATACGATGGCGCATGACCGCCGCTGCTTTCGTTAGTACGCAGTCATCAAATGATAATTAAGAGACTTACAGGTTAGTGATGTAGAGATCCACAAGATCCGCAGGAACGTAGTCGTACAGCGGATTCTCAACATCAACCTTGTCGACAAAGTCACCGTCCTCGTACGGCACGACGGCCCCAGCATCGCCGTGCTCGATGAGTTCGTCAATGTCAAATGGGTATACTGGACTCAGCTTGTATACACCGCTGAGAACTACGACAGGTGTCTGGTGTTCCTTTGCTGCCTTTGCGATCATGTGCGCTCCAGCGGCAGCAACAAGGCTGCCGTTTGCCAGGACTGTGTGCGTCGCTAAGATGACCTTGTTAACACGCGACATGATGGCGAATACGTGCGAATCAGGAATGACGTAGACTTGGATGCCAGCCTCGGTGAGTGGCTTCCACTTGTCATCCTCATCGCCTTCGACCGAATGCGACTCGCGCTTCTTGCCTGTCAGGAGAACCCCGTGTGTCGCTGTGTTGTCGTGGGGGTATGTCTCGCAATGCACGACTGTGAACTTTCGTTTCCTCGCAGCGTACATCAGGAACTTCTGGACTGTTGTCGAGGCGGTGTGGGTGAGGATGATCTCGTTCGCGTGGATGTGCTCAAGCGCAACTTCGGCGATCTGCTTGTCTGATGTCTCCAGCTCGTCTTGCAGCTCTCTTATACCCTCCATAACTTCCCCCTTCAAGTCGAGGCCAGCCTGTCCTCTGCTCAACTCTCCCAAGCGCTCCAGAGTCTGTTGTGTGAAGGTAGTCTTGCCGTTTGGTGACTGGGCTCCTGATGGAGTACTTGTAGCCGAAGGCGTGTCGATAGGTTGTGAAAAAAGACCAAACAGAGAGTTTACAAGAGGTCCAGTGGATGTGGGCGCATACGAGGTGTGCGAGGTGAGCAGTGGTGGCCGCCGTGAGAGCTCGCCAGAATCAGACATGTTCCCATCGTACACGCCTACGTGCATAGGCTCGGCTACGGCATGCTTTAGAGGGCTGAAGGTGGACATGCTCGAGGCAAGGGTCGGTCGTTGCATGGAATCATGCTGCGGTACCGGCGTAGGTGCCTCGCTCCCTGTGGGTGTCTGTCCATCTGCATTCTCGTCGACCACCTCACGCACCAAGCCCAGCACACGCCTGACAATATTGCCAACCACGACCTCACGCGGCTGCGCTGAAGTCAGGCGCCTGCCGACCTGGCGAATGCGCTCCACGAGCTTTGCGGCATCTCGGCCCTTGAACTCGCCCACCACGCGCAGGAGAAGCGCTGTTGTCGCAATCGCGCACGGCCTTGAGTTTCGGATTTGTCGTCGCTTGAGCAGCCTGGCGGTATTAGTGAGGCTGCGCGCATTCTTCGCCGGTGACTTTACGAGATGAGGTGCTCCACCGAGGGATCTACTGGAGTGGTCTTCAGCGACTTCAGGAATGTGGACAGGCCTGGAGCCTGGACGACGGTCGACTGAGCCATGGTTTACGACTACGGGTGGTCGTAAAGCGTGCGCGATTTTAGGACTACAATCGACGCAACTATATGGCGCGTGGGGTGGAGGGGCAGCCTTTCCTCTTTCGTGGTGGTTTTTGGAGGTGAATTCCTGGGCAAATTTGAGCTGTCTCGGACGGTATACAGAAAAGCTCCAGTCCTGCGTATTCGTCGGGGCAGAATACGTGCGCGATGTCGTCGCGGTGGATTTGGAGCGTAGGAGTGTATGACTGTCACCCGTGCGGAGCATGCCAAACTTTCCAATGGAGCCGAAGACGCGCTAAAGCTGCTGGGAACGTCACCTCTTGCTACGCCCGAACCACTGATCAGCTCCGCTGTCCCTCCAAACGCCTCCGCTGTCCCTGACCCCAGGGACTTCCTCTCCTTGACGTGATATCACTGCACCAGCCGTAGACCCTTCATCTGTGCCCTCTTGTGTGCGTTGGAGCTGCGTGCCTGCCAACCACAACATAAGCACCAGCCTCCTAGCAACAAACCTCCCGGCTACCCCACACCCGACCTCATACACAAACACCGTGTCATACACTTACGACCGTGCATGGCCCAGGCCAGAGTATGAACTCTCTGAGTGCCCTTGCAAACCTTGGCACACCCCCAGCAAGCCCGGCTCGATCGCGACGCGGCTCTGAGGGCAACGTCCACCAAGCACAACCTCGGTCCGGCCTGTCGCAATCCCCCGATAATGCGAGCGCAAATATAGCATCACTCGACGAGAAGCTGGAGGGTGCCATGGCTTCGGAAAGAGCAGGTAGATCTGGTATCTCTCCCGCCAATGCGCCTCCGTCCGGACACGACGAAAAGACGCCGCTGCTTGCCCAGTCAAATGGTGCCTTTGAACAGACGAAGCCTCGCAAGCGCTGGCTGTACCCGAAGCGCGTGCTGGATGGTGTCGTTGGAGGCGTTGCCGTGCTGCTAAGCCCTATTGTGTACACGGGCCAGTACCTGGTCGCATGCTTTTACTACGAAGAGGACGGGCGCTTCTCCTTGGCCGCACCTCTGTACCACATGACCCGTGTCGTCCGAGGCCCGCGACGAAAGAAAACAGCCTCCAGAACAATGCGCGCACCCGGTTCTTCCGAAGCCAACGAAAAGGGACGGCGAGGAAGCAGACGGCTGAGCGTGACGCAGTCGCAGACACGGAAGTTGGCACGGAGGTCCCCCTCAATAGTTTCGACGTCCACAGCCATCACTTCAGACTCCGAGATTGAAAGCGAACGACCACGCACGCGCGACGAAGACATGGACTTTCCGTCACGCCACACGCGCTCCAAGTCAAACGCATCATCAACAACGGAGGAGATTGCTCCAGCGAAACGATCCATTCGAATCAAGCTGCACAACGAGGATGCGTTGAGGCAACGAAAGAAGGCGCAGTCGAATAGCCAAGTGTCGGCAGAAGCTGCAAATGCCCTCAAGTCCCCTACTGGACCCCTGATTGCAGCCGCAAAGCACAAGTTCCCACGCGCACCACACCCCCCGCGTCCGCTCGTACCAAGACGGCAGCCGTCGTACTCTGCAAAGGGGGCCTCTGCCGTGGGGCCGCATCAGAAGACACTCATCCTGGATCTCGACGAGACGCTGATACACAGCATGGCAAAGGGCGGCCGCTTTCAGACTGGCCACATGGTGGAGGTGAAACTGCAGGCTTCGGTTGGCGCAGGGGGCCAGATCATCGGCCCTCAGGTGCCCATCCTGTATTACGTGCACAAGCGCCCGTTCTGCGATGAGTTTCTGAAGAAGGTACGTCGAGGTTCGATGCGATGGGCAGCCACTAACACACCCAGATCTCGAAGTGGTACAACCTGATCATCTTCACAGCCTCTGTTCAGGAATACGCCGACCCCGTCATCGACTGGCTGGAGGTCGAGCGCAAGTACTTCGCCGGCCGGTACTACCGCCAGCACTGCACCTTCCGCAACGGCGCGTACATCAAGGATCTCGCGCAGGTGGAGCCCGACCTCAGCAAAGTCATGATTCTAGACAACAGTCCCATGAGCTACATCTTCCACGAAGGTAGGTTTCTAATTCTACGTTGCTTGCAGCGCTAACCAACCACAGACAACGCCATTCCCATCGAAGGCTGGATTAGCGACCCTACAGACTACGAGCTGCTGCACCTCATTCCCCTGCTGGAAGGTCTGCAGTACGTAACTGATGTGCGCGCGCTGCTTGCCCTGCGACAGGGGATGCCGTCGTCGGCGTGATAGCGTTATGTACTACGCATTTATTATTGTATAATAGACGCTGGCTTGCCAGCAGTTGACCTGAGGAGATACCCAACATGTTCTGCAATGTTTACAGATGGTGTCCTCAGCTCTGGCACGTTGGTGATATTGATTACTAGGGTGACATTGATTTCGAGGATGATATTGATTACTGTACCATTATTGCACGGTCATCTGAGACTCGGCGTGGAGCGCACACTCGCCGTCCCGTCCTCGCTGCGGCCCCAGATCTCATTGCTCTCGTTCTCCACATCCCGCATCGCCCTGGCCACCTCCTCCAGCCGCACAACCACGTCCTGCACGCCCCTGTTGACCGTCTCAAAGTACCGGTCGTTCTCCTCGCGCCGCTTGCGGCTCAGCTCGATGTCCCGCTCCGTCTCCTCCTCCAGCTTAATCCGATCGACCAGCTTGTCGCCGCGGCCCGGACTCGACCCGCCGCGCGGGCGCCTCGGCATGGCCGGCGGCGCCAGCGACGCTGCATCGGACAGCCTTCGCGCGCCGTCGACCGCGGCGCCGCCGTCCTCGGACCGCGCCCACGCCTGCGCCAGCTCGATCTGCGCGCGCCGCAGCTCGTCCAGCGCGCGCGACCGCTCGGTGCCGAACACCGTCATCCCCGGGCCCTTGATCGCGCTCAGCTCGACCTCCTCCAGCGTGTTCTGCATCTCGGCCCAGACGGCGTCGGCGCGCGACGAGGCGGCCGCGTCGGCCGCGAGGCTGTGCTGGCGCTGGCGCCGCCCGAAGGGCGCCGTGCCGGTCGAGTTGGACGCGATCAGGCTCAGGTGGTCGCCGTCGTAGGAGTCGGTTGTGGGGGGCAGCGGACGCTTGGTGTCGGGGGAGAGGAGCGAGCGTTGGCGCACCAGGGGCGCTTTGGCCGGGCTGCGCGGCTCGGTGGGCGAGAGGAGGGAGGTGTTGGAGGCATTGCGCGAGGGGGGCCCGACGAAGAGTGCAGGTGCTGGGAGGCGGTTGACCTGCACCTTGGTGGCCTTGGTGCTGCTGGTCGCCATGTTGTGTTGTGACGACGTGCGATGTCACGTTGTTGCGATGTTACGACGTTGGTATATCGATGTCGTGAGTTTATTGCAAGATTCTACTGCGCGAGCTGCAGCAGCAACCACACGCTTCCCGCTCACATCGAGACAACTAAAGTCATCACGACGTTGGTGTTCGGTCGTGATGTTGGAGGGCGGCCGTGCACGGCCGCTAGTCCGCGTTCCGGCTAGTACTTAGCGACGCACACTCGGTTCGTTCTTTTCAACACTTCGTCCGCCGCCTACTAACTTCACGTCCCCAGCAATCCCACGTCAACACCGCAAACATGGGTAAAGGTACGCAGCACGCCCTCCCGCCGGGCTCGCCATAGCCCCTCGCCGCCCCGCCGCCGCACGCACGCATGCTCACACTGAACTGCAGGAAAGCCAAGAGGTCTCAACGCCGCGCGCAAGCTGCGCAACCACCGCCGCGAGGAGCGCTGGGCCGATCTGTCCTTCAAGAAGCGCCTGTTGGGCACCGCGTTCAAGTCGTCGCCGTTCGGTGGCTCCTCCCACGCCAAGGGCATCGTCCTCGAGAAGGTCGGTGTCGAGGCCAAGCAGCCCAACTCGGCCATCCGAAAGTGCGTCCGTGTGCAGCTGATCAAGAACGGCAAGAAGGTCACGGCTTTCGGTACGTACCCTGGACTCCGGACACGAGGGATCGATTGGAGATTGATTGATTGATGATTGATCAATCGACATGTCTGGTGGCAATCTGAGCATGGCTAACGCCCCGCAGTCCCCAACGACGGTTGCCTGAACTTTGTCGACGAGAACGACGAAGTCCTGCTCGCCGGATTCGGTCGCAAGGGCAAGGCCAAGGGTGATATCCCCGGTGTGCGCTTCAAGGTGGTCAAGGTGTCCGGCGTCGGCCTGTCGGCGCTGTGGAAGGAGAAGAAGGAGAAGCCCAGGTCGTAAGCGCCTCGACTACCGCAGTTGAGAGCAAGACGACGCGAACGCGCACACGTCAAGTGCCGCCATGGCCGCCACGATCGATTTTCATGAGGGACCCCCCGCGCGTCTGGGGGGGAGGTTATCGGCGTCTTTGCACTGGGGATATTCAAGGTGCTGCGGCATGTGAAAAGTCACGATAGGCTGGTCGGTTGGTAGAATCTGACTGATTAAGCGCCCATTGCAGCGAGCGAGCGAGCGAGTGAGTGAGCATGCGTGTATGCAGTGATGTGATGTTGTTGACGAGGGGTTATCCACAAGCCGTGTCATGATTCTCCCAGCAACGATGGCACCCACTCCAGTTACCGGACAGACCATCGATTCTTGCCTGAGTAGCTGCAATCACGCCCATCATCTCCGCAGCCTTTCTCCACAAGTTCAGCCCCTCAGCCGTACACAGTACCACCAGCACCCTCACATGACGTCAACGACATCTCCCACTAGCTATTCCATCCCCATTGCACCTCCAAAGACACTGCACGCCAAACACCGTCAATCTACCGTGTCAGAAAGCAATGAGGTGGACACTTAGTACCGAGCATATGCACGTCAACGCTGGATAGGCGGATGCACACACGGTTTATCAGGCATGAAGTGAAGATCATGGTGCTCATGGCCGTATTCTGCATGTATTCTGTTCTGTACTCTATTTTATTCTGTTCTGCACTCTGTTCTATTCTGTTCTGCACTCTGTTCTATTCTGCTCTGCACTCGGGTATCAAGTGCATATCGCTCTACCCAAACCAGACGCTCGGGGCTGTGTAATCAGATCTATGCGTGTGCCAATGGCTCGCTGTTCAAGGTCAAGGTCAAGGTCAATGTCAATGTCAAGGTCAAGGTCAATGTCAATGTCAAGGTCAAGGTCAAGTTTAATATCAAGTTTAGTGTCGAGTTTAAGAAGCAAGCGCTCGCAATGCTGGTGTTCAAGTGATGCACCGTGTCCTGTTTCCCGTGACGCCTTTCGCCTTTCGCCGTTTTTCCCTTCATGCTGTGGTCTGCTCTGCTCTGCTCTACTCTGCAGCACCATGCCAATGCTCAATGTTCAACGCCAACCGTAATCTCAAAGCCAAAGCCAATCTAACCCTCCCTCCCCTCATGATAATCACGACATCCACGACATCACCCCGAAAACAGCCCATTAAACGTATCCTCGAGCCCCGTATCGCGCATAGTCCCGTAGTAGTCGTATTTCAGCTTCGGACTCGCGAACAACTCAGCGTCGCGGCGGACGGTGCGCGGGACGCCCAGGCCCTGGAGCCCTTTGCCGTCGGCTTCCAGCCCGCCGTCGGCGTCGGCGTACACGTAGCCGTCTGCGGTGCTCGCCCGCTCGTCGTCGTCATCGCCTTCGTCTTCGCCGAGCACAGAGCCGTGCTGGGATTGTGAAGCGGCCGCCCGCGCCTGACTCCGCGTGGTGCGCTCGGAGCGGAAGAAGGGCGTGACGGCGTGGCGCGGGGTGGGCTGCCAGGGCGCGCGCTTCCAGGGGTCGGCGCGAGCGTGGGCGGGCGGCTTGGGGGCGGGCGGGATCTTGTGGCGGAAGGGGTTGGGGTCTTTTTTGGCGAAGAGCGAGACCGGGTCGCGGCGGGCGAGGGCGGGGGAGGCGGGCGCGGGGCTGCGGGAGAACTGCGGGGGCAGGATGGCGGGCGCGGCGGCGGCGAAGCGGCGCGTGGTGGGGGTCCAGTCCATGGAGTCGTCTTGGTGGACGGAGGCGCGGGCGGGGGTGGTGAATTCGGTGTAGTGGCTAGTAGTGGAAGATTCGGTGAGGGTGGGCGAGGGTGGGAGGGCGGAGGCGGCGTCGGCCTGGAAGCTGGAGGTGAAGCCCTGGGCCATGGTGTCGAAGGTGGAGATGTGCGGGTGGGCGGGCTTGTAGCTGGACCGGGGGCGCTGGGGGGTGTTGGGGGCGCTGGGGATGTATGTGTCCTCGGGAAGGGCGACGGGGGTGTAGACGATGCGGACCGTCTTCCAGGTTAGGGTGAGGGAGAGGACGATGGCAGCGAGGAGGGCGAGATTGGTGTAGTAGAAGACGGCCAGGTTCGCGGGGCGCAGAGGTGTGAGGGTCCAGTAGACGAAGCAGGCGGTGCGCAGGGTGAGGACGAGCAGGCGGATGGCCCACAGCGACTTCAGGCCCCGCATGCGGCCGGTGATGCTGTTCGTCTTGCTCGCCAGGCGCGGGTTCCACCAGACGGTGGCGGCGTCGGCGAGCAGCGAGGCCTGCAGCAGCTGCCAGGCGGCGGGCGACGTGACGCAGGAGGGGTGGACGCGCGCAGAGACGGCGTCGACCAGACACGGCCGCCAGCTGCTATCCACGAGAGCGTCCGCGACATGCCCGTCTACGGCCAGGGCACGCAGGTGCCACAGCAGGCCCACGCCAGCGCTCGCGAGGTAGAGGCAGCGGGCCAGGGCAATCAGGCGCAGGGTCCATGCCTGGCGAGTCGTGTGCACCGTCCGGCTGTGCTCGCGGCTGCGGTCGATGATGCGGCGCAGGTTGTCTGCCTTGGCGGCATAGCCGGCGGCGCGGATCTGGTCCTGCACGCGCGGCAGACAGTCGGCGCAGACCTGCGGGTAGCGGTCCTCCAGCTCGGAGCGGTAGGCGTCCAGCGACTGGGCAAAGGCGGCGTACTCGGGGTCGTCCTCGTCGGGCAGGTACTCGGCCAGCGTCTTGGTCAGCAGCAGCTGGTTGCGCTGGCACGCGCGGCAGAAGAGCGCGTCGGGCTCGGGCGGCTGCACGGGCGACGACGAGCGCGGCATGGCGGTTGCGTAGTGGAGGGCGGGCGTGGCCGTGTCTTCAGCCGGCGGGTCGGCAATGAGTCCGCGCTGTGAGGCAGTCAGCGCTTTCACTGCTTGGGTATGCGCTCCACGCTGGGCATGTATGGGCGCTGGGGGTGTATGGGCGCACCTCGTCGAAGTAGCTGACGGCGTCGCATTGCGGGCAGCGGTACGAGCGCGGCGTCTGGGCCACGGCGTCGCGCGACGGCTGGTTGCACGAGTGGCAGCGGATGCGGCGCCGGAGCAGCGGCATGGTGCAGAGCGCAGGCGGCGCGGGCGGGCGCAGGAGAGAGGGCAGCGAGGTGCGTCATGGTGGTGCGCTTGGTGTGTACAATTCTGCCACCGCCCGCGGGAGAGCCCTGGCTTCGAATTTTGGCCGCGACTGCAGCCGCCTCCGCTGCCCACGCCCATCGCCAGCCCACCGCCCACCGCCAGCATCGCCGCCCGCCCTCGCCCGCGGTCAATGGCTCGGTAGTCTCTCGCGCCGCCCGCAGTCCCCGTCGAGGCTCGCAGCCACCGCCTCTCATATCACCACCACCATGCCCCAGCTCGTCGCCCGCCCCGGCCGCAACGCCGTGCGCCAGGCCAAAAAGGCCAAGGAGATCCGCCATGTCAAGGGCGCCATCGTCTGGCACGCGAAGCAGCGCCGCGCGCGCCAGGAGAAGATGAGCAACCAGTACGAAGAGAAGCAGCTCGCCCTGCAGCGCACCCGCTGGGAGAACGACAACATCATCCGCGTCCGCCGCACCGCCCTGCGCAACGCCGCCGAGGACTGGAAGCTGGGCCCGCTGCGCCCCAACCGCGCCGTGCACCTCGCCGACGGCAAGTACGGCGCCCTGCCCGCCACCCGCATGCAGAAGCCCAGCATCGACGCCGACGTCTGGCACCGCCTCAACGCCCGCCGCGAGAAGAAGGGCCACGCCCCCAAGTACCCGCTGGTCGTCGACAGCCAGCCCTACTTCCCCATGGTCAAGGGCGACCGCGTCGTCGTCGTCCGCGGTCGCGACCGGGGCAAGATCGGCACCGTCCAGAGCGTCATGCCGCGCACCCACGAGTGCCTGGTCTCGGGCGTCAACAGGGCCTACGTCGACTCGGTCGTCTTCGGCTCCAACACCCAGGACATGGGCGCGCGTCAGGTCATCGAGACCCCCACCCCCATGGACGACCTGCGCCTGGTCATCCCCTACGCCTCCGCCGACTTCACCCTGCGCGGCCAGAGCATCTACGAGGACGTCGTCGTCGACAACGTCGTCCTGGAGCGCCACACCACCGGCATCGACCCCTTCACCGGCACCGACTACGGCCGCGCCGAGATCCCCAAGGAGCACCAGTACGACCCCGAGACCGGCCTGCCCATCTTCCACCGCTACATCGCCGGCACGCGCTACCGCATCGCCTGGCCCTGGGAGACGGAGAAAGCCGCCGACGCCGCCCCCGAGCCCGCCAAAGAGGCCGCCCAGGGCTGGCTGTCCAAGACCCTGGGCACCCTGCGGCACCCCATCACCACCCTGCAGAGCTGGCGCGCCCCCGCCGCCGAAGCCCCCGCCCCCGCGCCCTCCACCCTCCCGCTGTCCGCCCAGGTCGCGGAGCTGGAGTTCAGCGAGCTGGAAGAGCAGCGTCGCGCCACCGTCCGCAGCGAGGACCCCGAGCGCAAGGACGCCTACGATGCCGTCGACACCACGCGCAACCTCGTCGAGGGCTCCGACTCGATGAGCTACACCCTCGTCGCCCCGCCCTTCCCGGAGAGCCTGACCGAGGAGCTGCGCGGCGACATCTTCCAGCTGACCCAGCGCACCCGCAACGACACCGACGCCCCGCACAAGCCCGTCCGCGCCAAGTTCCTGAGCCCCAAGGCCCAGGCCGCGCAGGAGTACGCCCAGAAGAAGGCCAGGGCCGCCGAGCGCATGAAGACGCCCATGCAGCTGCGGTGGGAGCAGGAGCAGGCCCGGAAGAAGGCCGCGCTGAAGGACGGGCCTGCCGTGGACACCGACACGCTGCTGGCTGCGCTGGGCCAGCACATGCAGGCGAACGGGGTGAGGCTGGGGCGTAAGAAGCGTGCGGTCGAGCTCGATTAGAGTGAGGATGTGAAGGTTGCGAATATGGTGTTGCGAAGATAGCGTTGCATCTGTAGCATACTGTACATCTAGGACGAATTTCTGTATATTAGTGCACGATTGTATGACATCTCAACACGTGACACCGCGCCCTAGCGCTCCACCCCCTGCACCCCAGTTCAAGCTCCACCACCACATTCTCGAACCATGTCTCGCCCAACCTCCCACGCAGCGAACCGCCCATAACCCGCCAAAACACCCACACCGCCACAATGCCACCCCCGCTCCCAACCCTGCTCACCCTCCCCCTCCTCCTCGCCCTCGCAGCCACCCTCCTCCTGGCCGCGACCCTGCGCCTCCTCGCCATCCTGCCCGGCGCACACCCACAGCGCCCGCGCCGTCTACATCCGCGCTCCCGCCGCAGCCCGGCGCGTCTCCTCGTCGTGCTCGGCTCGGGCGGCCACACGCACGAGATGCTGGCGCTGCTGCGCGGGCTGGACACGCGGAAGTATGGGCACAGGACGTATGTGGTGAGCAGCGGAGACGGGTTTAGCGCGGGGCGGGCGCGGGCGTTTGAGCGGGGTTTGGAGGAGGCGGCGGTGCGGAGACGGGGGGACGCGGATGCGACGGGGGTGGAGACGGAGCACGCAAAGGGCACGCAGAAACACGCAGACGCAGACACAGACGCGAACGCAGACGCGAACTCCGACACCCGCTGGCAGCACGCCGCGCACCTCGGCCCCGCGCACTACACCATCCACCCCATCCCCCGCGCCCGCGCAATCCACCAACCCCTCCTCACCACGCCCCTCACCGCACTCCGCACCCTCCTCGCCGCCCTCCCACTCCTCTGCCCCCGCTCCGCACCCCCGCCCGACCTCATCCTAACCAACGGCCCCGCAACCTCGGCAATCATCATCCTCGCCGCGCTGATCCTGCGCTTCTTCAACGTCCGCGGCGTCGAGAGCGGGGGGCTGTGTCGCACGCTGTATGTCGAGAGCTTTGCGCGCGTGAACAGGGTTAGTCTGAGTGGAAGGCTGGTGGTGAGGGGGGTCGATCGGTTTGTTGTGCAGTGGGAGGGGCTGGAGGGGTATGGCGGGCGGGCCGAGTATGGGGGGGTGCTTGTTGGGTGAGCCGCGGGGCGGGTGCGGAGTGGGACATGCGTGGAGTACAGCATACACCCACGTGCACCACGCTCGACTCTACTCGCGCACACCTGCACCGCACACCCCATGCCCGACGATCCAACGCGACACGCACCGCATCTGGGACCCCCCGGGCCACCCCGCACACGCAGACCATGCGCAAGATCCAAGCCGCCGCAAGTGCAATCCCGGATACCCTCACCACGGACCTGGCGCGCTCGAGGCTTGCGCGGTCTGCCGTGTTCGTGGCGGGGCCCCTGTAGGCAGCGTACTGCAGGGCTGGCGGGTGCGGCAAATATACTCATTCGCTTGGATCTGGGTGGATGGTGGATGGGAGGCGTGGTTCTATCCTAGCAAATACCCACCGCACGCGCGGCAAGCTCAGGCAGCGTGCTATTCACGGTGTACATGGCCTGGCTTGATAGCGTGCACAGCGAAAGCGGGCGCGGTAGAAGGACGTCTACGCTCAGATCCAGGCAGGGCACAGTGCAGAGATGGAGAAGAAGTGGTGTTTTGAAACAGCAGCAAAGGCCCAGCCACGCCCATCAAGCTCAAACGCCGTCTTTCATCCACAACGTACATGCCCTAGTTTCAACAGAATGCTGCAGTGCCGGCGCGCGCGGCTTATGGGCTCCCACGCTCTGATCTCGGCAGGGGCGTAGTGACTAAGGCACGCGCCAGGAGCAGTGTATTATCATACCAGCGAAGACGTAGTGCGTGTCTGTCACGCTTCGGCGACTCCCCATTGCAGTATACAACGCAGTTTAACGGGTACTGCGGTGCTGGCAGCAGGTTCTAGCCTTCACGTAAATCTTCTGCGTAAAACTGCTATGTAAAACCTTCTGCGTAAAACTAGGTAGAAGGGGAGTGTCTACACGGCATAAGCAGCACACAATACACTATTACACGAACCCCCGTGTCCAGCGTGTTTAGGACATGTATATCCCAGGCTCTCGTGGCGACCGGGCGCAGACGGGATAGCTCGCTGAGAGCTTAAGTAGCGGGTCTACACTTCGTCTAGAACGGGTGCGATGACGGTGGCTAGGAGGCGTGGGGGAGGGGGCGTGGGGGGGAGTGTACTACACTAAACGTCCACCCGCTACCAGGCACGTCCAGACGGTTTCCTGGCTACGGTGTGCACTGGCCAGCGCAACAGTGCCGGCGGGGCGGTGGATAGACGCCGCACTTAGCCCCAAGCAGGGGGAGCTACGCTGCAGTATCCAGAAGCCTTACCGCGCGTCCAGCGCGTCCTACGTCTCGGCCGAGCGTGTTGATTATAAGACAGAGTGCTGCAGTGCCGACAGGCAGGCGGGGCGGATGTACTCGCAAACAAGAACACTGCTTGAGAAGTAAACTTGGGAAGTAAACCGCAGCGCAGTACACTACACCACCCAACCCTCAAACCCTCCGCCCGTCCAGCGCCCTGCAACCTGAAATATCCCAGCCCATTCCACTGCAGACCCGCTGGACAGGCGCATAACAGCACCGCTGAACACGCCGCTCGCGTGTAGACATGAGGATAGTGCCGGAAGGCGCGGGGCGTGGTGCGGTGCAATGCAGCACTGGAGGTTCTACCGTATTCTCGTGTCTCGGGGGTTCCTGTACTGTCGCGGCATCTACATCTATTGTGTAAACACGGCGTAAACAGTGGGGTGGCGATGGCTTGGTGGATGTGCTTCACGCTCGGATCTGGGGGGGGGGGGGGGGGGGGTTTGGAATATGATACTAGAGGTTCTACTATGTGTTTTTCTACATCTTAGTAGATTCTGTACTGTCTTGATATCTGTTGTGTAGACCTAGCTTGAACAGTAGCATATTAATAGCTTGCTTAGAGTGCACTTCACGCTCGGATCTGCGCGGGAGGACGGTGTCTGGGAGGCGAGAGCAGTGGTGTAGTACAATACAACACCAGACCGGAGATCTACTGTGTGCTGCGACATCATAGTTTCTTCCGGCGTAGACCCGGCTCCGACATGGCTTGTGAACAGCTTGCTGGACTGCACTCTGCTCACATCCAGATGGGTAGATGTACTACAGTCTTAGACGCGGCAGCAGCGGGCGCACACTCTCCATCTCCCACCCCATTGCAAGCCACCAAGCTCAGCTGCCGACTATGCTTCTGTGCAGACAAAACCCTGGAACAGAGCGCCGCAGCACCGGCAGACACGGCGGAGCAACGCGCGAGCACTGCGCTCACGATATCCCCACTGCCGTGCCGTGCACTACCGCGAGGCTGCTGGGTGTCCGGCGTGCGTGTCGATAACCCACTGCGCTCTGTGTACATGCACGGGCAGCCAAGACAGAGTAGCACGTTGCTGGCTTGCTCGGAGTGCATTCACACCCCTATCCCAGTGGGAACCGTGCCTTACGCCTTCGCACAAGATGTCCTACACCCCAGAAAGCAGAAGATTGACTGTCTGTTCGGCGTCTTTCGAGGCGTCAGGGCGTGGAGAAGACGGTATTCGACTTGCTATGCATACTACGGTGCTGTTTGGCAGCGGGCATGATACAGCCTCGACGGGCGTGAGATGGGTGGTGCTGGAAACCAACGTCTTACGTTTCACTCTTGGGTTTTGGAGAACGGTGGATGGGCGAGCTTTGAGATGGCTGGCTTTGGTGCGGAAGTTGTAGCTTTCAGAATACTTGGAGCCGAGAATTAGTTGAGGACTACTCAAATTGTAGGCAAAAAAGTGTTCTATGGAGCTTATGTGCACTCTCTCCATGTTGCTGTCGCGTAGTAGAATATACAGAGGCCTCCCTACCTATTATGCAGACGCGGCTCGGACAGAGTAGCATGTGATGGCTTGCTTAGAAGCACTTCCACGCTTCGATGTGAGTAGCAGAAAGTAAGATGTGACACATTACTACATTACTGCATTAGCAAGTTCTCCCCGCCCCTGAGACCGTAAATGCAGACATAGGCAGTAACCTGCCAGTGTAAGGACGTTACACACCAGCAGGCCCGCCACGCCCAGCATGCTCTACAGCCACCTTCCCTTCCTACTATCCCACATCCCTCCCGTCCACCCCTACAACTGGTACCGATAGTCCGGGTTCAGATCACCCAACTCCGTCTTCTCGAACTCGGTCAGTCCAACATCTCGCACGCTCCTCTCGCGCTGCCGGTTCTGCCACGAGCACGCCACGAAATACGCGGCGCAGCTCAGCGCACTGAGGCACACGAACGCGATGCAGATCGAGTACCCAGGGGTATACTTCGGGGCGTCTTTCTTGAGGAAGGCGAAGACGGCGATGATCCCCCCGATATTGCCGAAGCCTACTTGCCAGGCAGACCCAACTGAGCGGCGATGGTGACCACCGAGGTTCATGTTGAACTGGTGAGGTTAGTTAGGGTCATGTGGGCTCAGTGAGGGATACGTGGTTCAAAAGGGAAAGGTGAGGTTTGAAAGGGATATGTGAGGTTTGAAAGGGATATGTGAGGTTTGAAAGGGATATGTGAGGTTTAAAGAGATGTTGACTCACCCAGCACACAATCACGGGCATTGCTGTGTATGCGCCCATAGCCACCAAAAAGAGCGCGCCGTACTGAAGACTCCTGTTGTTGTGCACCGAGATCAGAATCGCAAAGCCGGTGATGCACACGCAGATTGGGAAGATGGTGAACAGGAAGCGGTGCCGCAGCTTGTCCGAGAGATACGCGACCAACATCGAGAAGCCGAAAGCTGCTGCCCACGGCGGCACGGAGTGGAGCTGTGTCTGGATGGGACTGTAGCCAAAACCCTGGATGATGGATGGGCTGAAGTACGCGTAGCCGTACGCAGGCACAATCAACCCAAAGTACATGAAGCCACCAATGAGGACTTTGGGGTCTTTGAATACGCGGCCCACGTCACTGACTGTCATCTTGCGATCGCGCGCAGACTTGCCCTGGTCGATTTGTAGACGGGCCTTGACGAACGCGCGCTCGTCCTCTGTGAGCCACTTCGTTTCTTCGGGGAAGTTGGGTAGCATGAAGAAGAGGAAGAAGGACACGACGACGGTTAGCAGGCCCTCAAGGATGAAGATCCATCTACACAGAGTTAGCTATAGTCCACTCTTAAGACTGTTTACTTGCCTCCATCCTCTGTAGCCCCGCACACCGTCCATCTTGCCGATGGCGCTAGCGAGCAAACCTCCAAAGGCGCCCGCCAAAGTGGTCGACGAGAAGAAAAATGAGTACCGCTTCTGCGCTTCATGACGTTTAAACCACATGCCGATTAAGTAGAAGCTGCCTATTCCCTTGCTTTTAGTGTGAGTATGTCTTGTGGAACATGGTGAACGTACCCGGGAACATGCCCGCCTCGAATACGCCAAGGAAAAAGCGGGTCGCAAGCAAACCAGAGTAGTTCTGCACAAAGCCTTGGACCATGGTGACGAGGCCGAATCCGAACATGCAGATGGAAAGCCAGACTCTGGGCTTCAACTTCTTCAGGAGGATGTTGCTGGGGATTTCGAAGAGGATGTACGGGACGAAGAAGATGACCAGAGCTACATTGTAGCGGTTGCCGGTGAGCTTCAACTCGGTTGAGAGGCCGAAGACGTTTGCATTGGCGATATTGACACTGTCGTCGTCAGTTTGCGGATCTACACATGGTCTGAGACATACCGGTCCAAGAAAGCTAGCAGGTACATGATACACAGAAATGGAATCACGTGTAGGTCAATTCTCCTGAGTAGCTTGGCCTCAGTCGTGTGCGGTGGGCACTGGACGAGTTCGGGTGCTTCTTCATGATAGTTGCCGTCGTACTGAGGCACTGTCTTTGGATCCGACGTCTGGACGTCCTCTGCAGGCCATCAGCTGGTGTACTCTGGCAGGCACGCTAGATGCCGTGGCGCTAGCATGGGATGCCTGCAGTCTACAACACAGACAAGCATCGATTGCGCATGTAAAGCGTGTGCATTGGTGGAAGCGTGAAGCTTGACTCACTTTCTTTCTTGGAAAACATCCTGGCACGATGTCGTTGATGAGACTGCGTGCGCTGTGCCGATCCCTTGCTGTTCTGGCTCTTAACCACGCGCTTGGTTACACTACGTCGCTGCGAGGACTGCCGTGCCACGTCCGCAACCACGCTTGGATATGAGATGATGGGGAAGGGAGGCACGCTGCAGGCTATAAATTAAACAACTACCAGTCATCCTCTCGCTTGCCAGGGCCGAGGTCGCTGATGCCATCAAGGTCACCTCGCTAACCCCGCGTGTGGGGCTTCCAAAGATGGCCGAAAGAGGAAGCTGCTTCTGTTCCCCAGTTCCCCAACTGTGGCTGGCGCAGAGCCACGGATAAGCGCGCAGCACCGCTGACGTCCTGGCGGCGACATCACAGTCGAGCCGTGTCGATGGCCGAAGCGTCGAGCGGAGACGTTCCCAGCCGCTGGCCACTGGCGGCGGTGGTATGACGATGAAAGACGGCTTGGCGGCCTGTGGATGGATCGACGGCTGTGGCGCGTTCGGAGAAGGTTAGGCGAGAGAGTCGGAACGGCATCGGCGCAGGTTCTGAGTCGATGGGTGCGCATATATTTTGCAGAAGATTATGCAGGCATCTACGGCGAAGGCCCGGCCTTACGCCCCCAGACGCCCCTTCCATGGTGAGGCGCGCGCGTCACGTCAAGTGAAGGAGGACCGGTAGGGTCACGCTGGACGACCTGGGTCGGGCTGCTCGGCGGAGTCTGGCCATGGTTCCGAAGCTGGCACTTTCAGAAGCCTGGGCGACGCTGCAGTCCCCCAACGTCGACTTTTCGGCCGACCTGGCGTCCCTTTCCCTACACTCACTTTTCAGCCGCAACTCCGGGATCTCGCGCACCTTCATGCCACACAGCACAGCCTCTGGACTCCACAGTGCGCCGGCAACGCTCCCTTTCGATTTCAGTGGCGGGCAGGCTGATCAGCCATGGTGAATGTCAAGAATGTCGCCTTCAAAGTCAACAAGCAGACGCCGGTCTCCCAGACACCCCCCCAGGCATATGGAACCGTCATCAACTGCCGGAAACCAGGCGGCAAGCGGGCGTTCAAGGAGATGAAGGAGGTGCGGTCGCATTCCGTGCCGTTGACCAACGTCTCCGGGTCCAAGAAGCGCAAGCGCGACGACCGCAAGAGCGAGGGACTCCAGAGCCAGATCGAATTTATTACATCGTCACCAGCGAACGCACAGGCTGCGCTTGCAGCGTTGCGACGGAATGACCAGCCGCTCATCACCCAGAAAATGAAACAGGTCAAACCGACACGGTTCAGGAAGGGCAAAGTCTTGGAGAAGGGGTTCGACCTGGATACGTGGTTCACCATTCTCACATTCTCGGACCCTGCACAACTGCTGGAGATGCGCCAGAGGATCCCGTCGTGTTATCGCTTTCTAAGGAACAATCCCATGCTTTGGGTCCACAGCCGCAACAACCACTATGGTGACGACATGCCGGAGCCCCCATCCGATCTGGACGAATTTCAGTATGCGCATCTCCGACACGGTCACGGCTGCATGAGCTGCGGCGCGCCCAGTACACGCAAGACGTACTGGGCCTTCCTCCGCCGCTGGTGCAAGACCTGCCTGCAATCAAAGACGGTCAAAGAGCACGATGCGTTGATCATCATGCGTAATGCCGGTGTCGACGACGTCAGCTTTCTTCGCAAATGTCTTCCATCCGGCGTGTTCGATTCCTGGGGTAATTTTGTTGGTGTTGGACCGGCCAGTACGCATTCGCTCAAGACGATCTACCTCCTGTCAGAAGTGCAGAAGCTAGAGGCCGAGGTTCGCGACGCTGCCGCGCTTCATCCTGAAACATGGTCCGCCGAAGTGCGGTCCCGCATGGCGCAAAAGTTCGTTCATGTCGACGAGCGCCGCGCTTTCGCACGCAAGATGGAGCTCTGGGAGGAGGCGACGCGCAGCAACAAGGCGAATGATTACTCGGCGAAGAAGGCCGCGCGCAAAGCGTACTTCGAGCACAAGGCGTCGCAGCTGGACTTGCCAATTAGCTTGAAGGAAATGGAGGGCTGCCCTTCCTACCGCCGCGCCATCGCGATCCCCAAGGATCCCAACAACACTTCCTGGCAACAACTCAAACCCAAGCTCGAGAAGGAAGCTGCCGAGCTCAGACTTGGGCGCTGCACGCCAGAGTCACGTCTAGGCACGACGTCTGCATCAGCTTCCGGCACCTCGACCCCGATCGGTATGCACACCCCGCAGCCGTACGTGCATCCGCTGTCAGGAATGCCGATTATTCACCTGCCGCTGCCTCCGCCTCACCATCAGCACTATACCCATCCGCATCCGCATCCTCATCTCTCTCATCAGCACATGCATCCGCACCCGCATCCGCCACCGTATTGATTCTTCGTATTGATTTTTCGTATTTATTCTTCGCAATTTTTTCGCTTGTTTCTGTTGATCGTTTTCGTCGCATAATCAGGTACGGAGTTTGTGATTCATAGCTTCGGCGCTCTTAGACTTGAATACAGCATGCATGGCGCTCGGGGAGTAGGTATTGGCTCAAAATCTGGAGTAATGTAGCTTGGTAATTGGGTGGAAGGACTTCTATATCACGGGTGCTAGGCCGTATCAATACAGAGTATTTACCTCGACGCCGAACAGACACTGTGACGCTTTATTGCTGTGCGCAACTGCCCGGCAGCCCTGCGGCACGATCGGCATCGCAGTCTGCTGCATGGCGACCTGGCGCGAATGCTGGAGAACCATGTCCGTCCCGCTACTTGCCGCACCGGGGCGGCGACGGCATGTGGGCACGGCGAAAGCCTCGGCGCACGCAGATTACAAAACCCGCCAGCCGATTTGCTGCCCGAGGTGGAGCCGGTGGATACCGCGATGCTCCAGGTTCACGACCACCATCGTGGCGACCGAAGAAGGTCCTGAACGACGAGCAGGCAGGCACACCACCATGAGCGCCAGCGACCAGCGATCTGCGTTCTGCCCTCGTGCAGGATGCACGTCGGATTGGCGCTCCGCAGAGCCTCGTTACCCCTCTTCTGGGCGCGGCCTGCAGGCGCTCGGCCAATGGGACGGCCAGGAGTGCGGATGAGCTGGGTGCGGTTTGGGGAGCTACAAAACCGCGAGCATGCGTCGCGAGCCTAGGCGGAACAACCTTCCTGCGCGTCTGCGCGATGTGGAATCAGCGTCCCTGATCGGTCGATTGTGGCAGTATTCTCCCCGACTTCTGCCACGACCTCGGATACCGTAATCACTGCAGTCCAGACGATGCGCAATCGCCGCGCTGCTGATTGGCTGCTCGGCGTGCTGCTCCACTTCTTTATCGCGTTTTCTAGAAGATGTTGCCATCTCTGCTGCGTCGGGTAACTTGTCCCTTATAAGCTTCTGTGCCCTGTTTGCTTCATCATCACTTTCTTTGATACCCCAGGCTTTCACTTTTCCTGCCATTGAGCGCTGAGCCTACCTACTATCCACTTCACAGCAAGCACAGGTATCGGTGACTGAACCACCACCACCAACACAATGGCGTCTGCCTCGCGAACCTTCTCCCGCGCTCTGCGCACCGCCGCTCCCTCCCTCCGCTCCACGACCACACGCTCGGCCCGCTTCGTTGCGCCCGCTCAGAATGCCTTCCGCAGCAAGCAGTGGCAACGCAGTTATGCCACTGGCAGCGAACAGCCCAATGACAAGTACGAGGGCAATCCGACCGGCATGTTCGTCGGCGCCGGTGCTCTGCTGCTCGGTGTCGCTGGTTACGCCGCCTACACATACAAGCCTGAGTTGCTCGGCCTCGAGGGCAAGCCCAAGGCTCCCTTCGTTCCCCGTTTCGAGAACTACCAGGAGGTCTACAACCACATCGCGAAGCTGCTCGAAGAGCACGACGAGTATGATGACGGCAGCTACGGCCCCGTCCTGCTGCGTCTGGCGTGGCACGCCTCTGGAACGTAAGTATTCCTGCAGACTCGCTGAGACCACACGTTCTGATGCAACACAGCTACGACAAGCTCACTGGCACCGGTGGCTCCAACGGCGCCACGATGCGCTTTGCTCCCGAGGGTGACCATGGCGCCAACGCCGGCCTGAAGGCGGCCCGTGACTTCCTCGCGCCCGTCAAGGAGGCCTTTCCCTGGATTACGTACTCGGACCTCTGGATCCTCGCCGGCGTTACCGCGATCCAAGAGATGCAGGGCCCCAAGATCCCCTACCGCGCCGGCCGCACCGACCGCGACGTGGCCTTCTGCACGCCGGACGGCCGCCTGCCCGACGCCTCCAAGGGCAGCAGCCACATCCGCGCCATCTTCGGCCGCATGGGCTTCGACGACCGCGCCATGGTTGCGCTGTCCGGCGCGCACGCTCTGGGCCGCTGCCACACCGACCGCTCCGGCTTCTCCGGGCCCTGGACCTTCAGCCCCACCACGCTGACCAACGACTACTTCAAGCTGCTGATCGAGGAGAAGTGGGCGTACAAGAAGTGGAACGGCCCCAAGCAGTTCGAGGACGTCAAGACCAAGACCCTGATGATGCTGCCCACCGACATGGAGATTGTCAAGGACAAGAACTTCAGGAAGTACGCTGAGCTGTACGCCAAGGACAACGATGCCTTCTTCAAGGACTTCTCCAGCGCTGTCGTCACGCTGTTCGAGCTTGGTGTGCCGTTCGAGCAGCCCGAGGACCAGAGGTGGGTCTTCAAGAGCTCGTTCGACTAAGCGTGTGCGAGTGTGAGGAGAGAAGATGGACCGTAGAGGATTTCATTTCACGTCAAGATATCCAGTTAGATAAACTAGACCGTTGTTTCAGGAGCTGAGGAGGATAGTCGTGTCATGAGCTGTAAAGATACAATCAAAGACGAGCGAGTTCTACTGTATATGACTGCACATGACTGCATATGAACACCAGCTCGCACTGTGTACGTTGATTGTGATTTGTTTCTTCGAACAACATATGATATGTAGCGTATGACGTACCGTAAATGGTCTTTGCACATCTCGCTAAACATGTGAACACCAGCCGTTGTTGCCCTTAAAATGCCATGTCTCGCCAGCGAGCAGTGGTACGAGAGTCTAGCCACTTAGTCTTCCCTGAAAGTATTTGCAAGCTGTTGCTGTTTCTTCGTCCACCACGCTTTGTGCTCCTTCTCCAGTCTGTGCAAGTCCGCAGTATGCTGCTTTCCCAGTCCCGAGATGTCCTTCTCGAACCGCTGAATCCCTCCTGCCGGCAGGTCAGGAGCAGCAGGGACCTGCTTCTGATGTTCTGGCGCACGGAACAGAAACGCCGGAAACGACGCCAGCAGGCCTGAACTATCAAACGACACGCGCTTTCTCTTTGCTCCTCCCTTCGCCGAATCATCATGCTCGGGAACAAAGAGTGAAGATTCAGCCTTCGAAGCTGGTGAGGTGGCGCTCGCATCTACATTAGCAGTGGACAGCAGAGTGGCAATGTCAATCTCTCCCAGACAGGCACTGCCGAGCTGGAAGATCTCAGCAATAACGCCCTCCCATTGCCGCTGCAACTCCTCGATCTGCGCCGTCTCGGCTAGCATATTTTCCTCGAAGGTCTGGAAGCGATCGTGCAGAGTCGTTTGAACATATTCAATCTCGCCTGAGGCGGTCGTTCTCGGTACATTGTAACGGTAGCCGGATATAGGACGGTAGAGGTTCTGCACAGTACGCTGGTATTTGGCGGGGATGCTGAGCCTTAGGGGCGAAGCCCGAGGATCGTCTTCAGCAGCATCTGAGGAGGCATCTTGGAGGTTGCTTTCGTAGAGTTTGTGCAGCAGTGCGTCGAGATCCTGATTGATTCTGGCCACGGCGGTCGAGTAGAGATGGCGGCGGTACTCTTGACTCTGTTCTGGAGCGCACTATCAGTCAGGCTGTCTCAAGCAGCCGGAGTATCACTCTACCTTTGAAGGCTAGAGCGAGCGGGTGCGCTTCTTCTTCGTGCCTCTTCACTCTCGCTTTCTTCGCAGTCGATCTCTCTGCACTGCGAAGTTTGGACTGCAGGTGCGGTGTGTCGAGTTTCCGTGCTTTGAAAACTCTAGCTGTCGAGACGGTCACTGCCTTCTCCGGCAGTTTACTAAGGCTGGGCGTTTGGAGGGCATTGCGTACCTGGATGGCGGAGTTTACGCTTCTACCATCCATTGTCGGCGTGGTAAGGTCCGAACAAGGTGGTGATGGTGAGTAGTGATGAGGTGTAGGAAGCCGGGCGTGGTCAGGAAGGCACGATCGAATGCTGAGATCGAGTGTGGACAACGTAAACATGACACCCGTGGCTTTGAACGTGAGCAGACAATAGGTACACTTACAATTCACGTTGTGCATACATCCACTGCTGTGAGAAGGTATCTGTACGTTTCAAAATACATCGCTCAACTGCTGCAGGTCCAGGCCATGCTTCCAAGCTGTATAATACAATCATCATGTCCTTCACATTCGACTTCTTTTCGTCTCCCATACTCGTTGTTTATGGGCCCTTACTTCTGCTCGCTCTCAGCAGGCACAACAACGCCCTTCTCCTCAAGCATCTTCGCCAGCGAACCATCCTGATGCATGGTCATAAGAATATCGCAACCGCCGATGAACTCTTTCTCGACGTAGAGCTGAGGTATCGTGGGCCACTCGGAGTACTCCTTGATTCCTGTCGCATTTGTCAGCCCATCTTCTTCACGCCACCTCCTCGAGGTTCAAGCTCTGCCGCACAAGCTGTGCATATGACGTACCAGCCCTCAATTCCTGGTCCTCGAGCACGTTGAATGCTGTGAACTTGTCTGGGTCCACACCCTGCATACCCAGAATCTGTATGCTCGCCCTCGAGAACCCGCACTGTGGTGTCTCTGGGGTGCCCTTCATGAACAGTACTACGGGCGAGGATGCGACTGCGCGGTCAATTGCGCTACGGACTTCGTCGGAAAGGCATCGGATTTGGAAGGGTGTGAGGAAGCGTGCGCTTGGGGCGGTGCGAACGGATGTTGCGCGGGTGGCGGCGCGGAAGGCCTGGTGTTGTCAGATACCGATTGCGTGACGCAGGAAGCTATAGGTTAGTACATACCTGAGGAATAGCACGTCTTGAAAACATAGTTGAATGTGTGTGGTGTGGCGATGGACGATGTCACCGAGGCTCTTCGTGCTTGGTCGCAAATTCATGGATGAGGTAATCGGGGCTAAGATGAGATATCACGAATCTCCGATTGGCTGCCGACATCATCTGAAAGTGTAATTGATGTAGAGAATAGTTATTGCTTTAGAAGAACTTCTCTGTGATATTAAATTGACATGGTAACACGGTAGGAGCGTGGTCAAGAAGGTATGTTGGTATTGGTTGTTATTCGTCTATTCCCGTGACGCGAAACCAGAACGCCCAGCGCCATGCTATGTATGTACAAGAAAACAGCACTTCAGGCTTTTGTTCCACCCATTTTTGAGACATCCGCGCCTTTTCGGTCTAAATGTCGCAGAATGTAACGTTGCCTGTGTGTCGAGCCTTCTACTGCTCGTTGACAACGTGACCCCACTCGTGGCCCTCCATGCCATCACTTCCCCACATGATGCCCTTCAGCCATGTCCTCACAACATCGGCGTACGCACCAACCTGGCCCTTGACCATGGGAACTTCGATATCATCGCCACGGAAGTGGATCTGGCTGATGGGAGTAACGAACCAGGCTGTGCCAGCAGCGAAAGCCTCAACGAGACGACCCTCCTTGGCAGCCTCTAGGAGCTCGAAGATGTTGAACTTGCGCTCGACAACCTCAACGGCCTCGAGATCCTCGTGTCCAGCTGTCAATTTTGTGCGTGCAAGCTCGAGGATAGATCGGCGTGTCACACCATCCAGAACGATGCGCTCGTTCAGATCTGCAGTAACAAGCTGCAGCTTGCCCTCTCTTGTGCGCCAGACGACAAAGAAGTTGCTAGCACCAGCCTCAGTGACAGTGCAGTCCTCGCCGAAAAGCCACAGGATCTGATGGAATCCCCGAGCTCTTGCCTCGCCCTGTGCAACGAGAGAAGGTCCGTAGTTCGCACCGACCTTCGCATATCCAAAACCGCCAGGCCACGCACGGCACATATCATCCTGAGATGCAAGGAGCTTGATTCCACCAGACATGTCGCCCATGGGAGCGAAGCAGCAGAGTATGACGAAGAGAAGGGCCTCCTTGGGTCGCTCGACACCAAGAGCTGGGTCCGAGGCGATCATAGTAGGGCGAATGTACAGGAAGCTGCCGGGGCGGTCTTTAGGCAGCCACTTGGCGCCATCCGTCTCGCACAGCTTGACGATGAGCTTGAGCAGCTCCTTAGGCGGGAAGGCAGGAAGAGCGATGCGGTTTGTCGACATGAGCATGCGGTTGCAGTTCAGATCCGGGCGGAAGAGACGAAGCTTGCCATCATGGCCGCGGTAGAGCTTCATTCCCTCGAAGCACTCAGTTGCGTAGTGCAGGCATGATGCTGTAGGTGCCAGGGAGATTGGGCCGTACGGCTGGAGAGTTGGCGCAGCCCAGCCTTCCTCAACTGTCCATTTGGCCTGGATCATATGGTCGGTGCAAACTTTCTGGGAAGCCATCTCGGCCGAGCCCAGGGCGGGAACAGGTCGTGGAGCATCAGTGTACGTGCATGACACTTTGGAGGCATCCAGTTCCGCGAGGGGCGATTCGTCTACCTGCGCCTTGATATCCCGCTCTGGTGGCGGTGTGGCGGTGATGGTGTTTGTGAGGGATGCCGACTTCAATTGCGAAGGAGCTGACTTCTCAAGCGCGTGCTGAATGCCAGAGCTTGTGAGGTCGGTGACAGTGTCGCCATCATTGGGGGGTGTTAGGGCGATGGGAGACATGGTTGTTGGAAGTATTTGTCCTGGGGTGTTTGGAGCTGGGAGTCTGGTCTGTAGTTGAATGCAAGAGTCGGGGAAGAGCTCTTATAAGATCAGAAAGTTTTTCAAGAGTCACACCTTCCTGTCACGAGGAGACTCCTAGACCGAAGGCGGAAGAGGGAAACGGACTACCGCGGGACCTAGAGGGCTAGTCTTCCTTGCATCAATGGCTGCGTTTGATAAAGAAAGACGTTAACGGATCTGTGTGGACCCTTGCGGCTTTAAGAATTTTGTGCGGCGGTTCAAGATGGCTCAGTACAACCAATTGGCAGTCCCATACTACCATACCTCCTCATGCTGCTTGTTGGCATGGGAATTTTTTCAATGACCATGACGAAATTTCAATTGAAGGCCAAGCACATCGGGGGACATTCCTGCAGGTTGTTTTTGGTAGGGCGCGTTGCGACGCTTAGGCCTGCAGTATCCAGCACCATGCGCCCTGGATATCCGCGTCCCGCCATGCCGGTATTCCTCCGATTGCTCAACGCACGAACGACTCACATTCAGCCTCAAGAGTCACGCTCCGATTCGGACATGATGAACACGTCAGTACGCTCGTCGTTGCACAGGAAAGCAGCGATGTCGGCGCTGGCTTCGACAGAACCCCAGATGAAGAGTGGCTTGAATGTACAACAGGTAGTGATGCTCGGCTTAAGGTGCGGTTCAACAGAGCCGTCTGGTGGAGGCAACGGCACAACGATGCAGAAGGATCAAATGACCAGGGCTACAAGCAAACTTGAGCGGCAGGTGGGGATCCATGTTTTTCAAGATTGCAAAAGAAAGTCAGATCTTGACATAAGCCTAAGTACCGAGATTCCCACAGCGTCGTGCTGGAGATACCGCTAGTAGCCTACCCATCTATATCCGCCTCCATTGCTCCAAAACAAGGATGTGCTCTACGACGCTGCCTCAGCCATCTGACCAGGCTGCCGAAGTCCGTCAATGCCCTTCAAAATACCATCTGCAACTTCGCCCACTCTACCTTCCAATGCATTGAAGTCTAGCTTGCTGATCGCGATATTAATCTGCTCCATGACGGCTTCCTCCTGGATTGTCTCTGACATAACTTGTCCTTCTGTACTCCAATACTCTTCCCTGACGCCCCGGAGTGCTGGATCGCGGTTTACTGAGTTTGTGATAAGACCAAGAGCCCGCATCCTGTTGAGAGTTTCTTCAGACACTCGTGTCGCCATTTCCAGTCGTTCTGCAATCGAGACAGGCTTCGCAAGCCATCTATTCGTACTTGTGGCCCAAAGCACGAAGGCTATGCCGATATCCTGTACTGCAAACACGATGTACCGCAGGAACCTTGCGCGCCAATAGATCGAATCGATGTCCTGCAGAAATTTTGCTCGCCTGTTGACCGTGATATCATAAGTCGCCATGAACCATACCTCTACGATGAGAGTCGCAAGACCCAAAATGGTCGCGTGTGTGCGAAACCTCGAACCTTCGGTCCCGACCAGCGAAGATGTAGCCATGCCGAGTACGGCAAGCTGGAAGATGTGCGGCAGAACCAGCTTCGGCAGGCTGTACAGGAAGTAGTTGTTGGTATCGTTGTCGTTGGCCGTGGCGCACCACACGCAGTTCAGCAACGTGTCAGGGCCGTATGCTAGGTAGTAGAGCTTATTGCGCGCGTTGACCTCGAACTTTGATCGCAAAGCATGGTCGATATCTGTCAGCGGTCGTAGGTGACGCAGCCGAGCGAACAACACGCTGGTCTCGGTGCGAATGTGGCTCTGCGTCGTCGGAAATATGTTCTCGGGCGCGAAGCGCGATAATGACAGGGTGAGGCAGGCGACGGCGGCGATGAAGAGTAGATTGAGCGCATTCTGCACCCGCGGGGGTGTCGGCCGTATAGGGACGCTTCGAGAGGTTGCGCGAGCGACGTTGAACCAGTCCACGATGCGTGGGAGGACAAAGGGCCCGAACAGAATCAGCAGTGAGTGCACATTCTGCGGAAGGAATGTGAGGCGTGGGATTACGACATAGGATATGACCAGCAAGATGATTGAGCGCACGTTGAACATCTTGACCGTGTGGGTGTCATGAGCGTTGTCGGTTATTGCGTGTGGTTGTCTTTGGAAGAAGCAATGTGGTCGACGTGTATGGCGAGGGGCCGAGGCAACGTCGCGTCACCGACGTGTCCACTGAAGGGCGACCCTGTTGCTCCAAACCAGGCAATCCCAAGCCGCAACCAAATGTTCCTGCCGAACGGCCATTGTTGCGTGCCTCTGATCAAGAACAAAGGCCTTCTCCTACAAGATATACATCAGGAATGTTACGTCCCACACAACAATCACGCCCAGAGGATGAATTCGGAAGCTGAATGGGTTTACATTCTTAAACCTCCACTTGCTCGCATCTCGCGCAAGACGACCAATCTATCTATCTGCGAATGTTTGCCCTTTGTCAGAGCCGCAGTGTTTTCAAACATTATACCAAAACGCCGCTCAGTGTACGCTGAGCCTACTGCTATCGACGAACGCCGATGTTGAGATCGTTCATCTCCCCAGATCCCTCCTTTTAACTTCCTTTAACGACCCAGAATGCAGGTTGAACTTTTGGGTATCATAAAAACGTCATTACACACATTACAAAGTGGCATGTTGATATGCCACTCGAAACGACTGCGTTGATGAAACACAGCCTTTGTTGCCAAATGGCATGAAATTTAAGAAGAGTACTTCTCGCGGTTGTACTTGGCAGCGTTGACCATGTTGATCAAGGCAGCCTTGGTCTCCTTCCACTGACGGGTCTTGAGACCGCAGTCAGGGTTGATCCAGAGCTGCTCAGGCTTCAAGTACTTGAGCATGTCAGCGACACGGTCCTTGATCTCCTGCTCAGAGGGAACACGGGGAGAGTGGATGTCGTAGACACCGGGACCAATGTGGCGGGGGTACTCCTTGTCCTCGAAGACCTTGAGGAGCTTGGCATCGCTCTTGCTGTTCTCGATAGACAGAACGTCGGCGTCGAGGGCAGCAATGGCGTGGAAGAAGTCCTGGAACTCAGAGTAGCAGAAGTGGGAGTGGATCTGAGTAGAGTCCTTGACGCCAGCGCAAGAAAGCTTGAAGGAGTCGACGGCCCAAGACAGGTACTTCTCACGCTCGGTGCCCTTGCGGAGAGGAAGACCCTCACGAAGAGCAGGCTCATCGACCTGAATGACGTAGATGCCAGCAGCCTCAAGGTCAATGACCTCGTCGCGGAGAGCGAGAGCAAGCTGCTGAGCCTGAACAGACTGGTGAACATCGTCACGAGGGAAGGACCATCGCAGACAAGTGATGGGACCTGTGAGCATACCCTTCATGGGCTTCTTGGAGACTGAGGCAGCGTACTTGGACTCCTTGACAGTCATAGGGGCGGGACGAGAGATGTCACCGACGATGATCGGGGGACGGACGCAGCGAGATCCATAGGACTGGACCCAACCCTTTGTGGTGAAGGCATAACCGTCGAGGCGCTCGCCGAAGTACTGAACCATGTCGTTGCGCTCGGGCTCACCGTGGACGTAGACGTCGAGGTCAAGCTCGTCCTGAATCTTGATGGTCTCCTCGATCTCCTTCTCGATGAACCTCTCGTACTCCGCAGCGGTGATCTCACCCTTGGTGAACTTGTTACGCTGGATGCGGATCTCCTTGGTCTGAGGGAAAGAGCCAATGGTGGTTGTGGGGAAGAGAGGGAGGGAGAGGTGTTCCTTCTGCTGTGCGTAACGCGAAGGGAACTCAGACTTGCGCTCGTGCTGCTCGGGTGTGACGCTGGCCTGGCGGTCCTTGACGGCCTGGACGTTGGTGCGCTTAGATGTGGCGCGAGCTTGCATGGACTTGGCGTTGGCCTCAAGAGCCTCACGAACGGAAGCAGGGCCGTCGGTGACAGCCTTGGCGATAACAACAACCTCGGCAACCTTCTGGACGGCGAAAGAGAACCAGTCGCGGACCTCCTCGTCAAGCTTCTTCTCGCTGTCGAGGGAGTGGGGAGTGTGAAGGAGAGAGCTGGAGGTAGCAACAATGACGCGGTCCTTGCCAAGCTTCTGGACAGCCGACTCGACAATCTCGATGGCGTTCTTGAAGTTGGTCTTCCAGATGTTACGGCCATCAACAACACCGACTGAAAGGGACTGGTTGGAGCCAAGCTTGCTGGCAACAGTGTCGAGCTGCTCGGGGTTCCTGACAAGATCGATGTGGACGGCAGCAACGTTCTGGATGCTGGGGAAGACGTCAAGGTTGTGGACGATGTCACCGAAGTAGGTGGCAAGGACGAGCTTGGGCAGGCCACTGCCGGTAAGCTTCTCATAGGCGGGCTTGAAAGCATCCTTGATCTTCTGCTCAAGGTCGAAGACGAGGACAGGCTCATCAATCTGGACGTACTCGGCACCAGCCTCCTTCAGCTGCTGGAGGAGCTCAACGTATACGGGCAGGAGCTTCTCGAGCAGAGAGATGGGGTCGACAGACTGGTTGCGGTCGGCCTTACCAAGAGCAAGGAAGGAGACAGGACCGACGAGGACAGGGCGGGTGATGATACCAGCCTCCTTGGCCTCCTTGAACTCGCGGACGGGCTTGGGGTCGGCGGCAAGCTTGAAGGTTTGGCCATCCTGGAAGGTGGGCTTAACGTAGTGGTAGTTGGAGTCAAACCACTTGACCATTTCCTGTGTTGTGTTAGTTCCAAAGTTTCGGGTGTTGAAGGTTTCGCTCGACTTACCAGACTGGGAACGTCTACACCGTCCTTCTGGTGACCACGGCCCATGGCGAAGTACTCGTCGAGAGTGGAAAGTTTAGCGCTAGAGTAACGCTCGGGAACAGCCTGAAATTGTCAGCGGGGTCATCGATACATTTATGGATGATGGCTTACGTTGAACAGCTGAATGTGGTCGAGGAGGTGGTCGTAGAAAGCGAAGTCGTTGCTGGGGATGACCTCGACACCGGCATCCTTCTGGATCTTCCAGTGCTCCAACCTCAGGCGGCTGGCCTCCTTGACGAGGTCCTCCTGTGAGAGCTTGCCAGCCCAGTAGGCCTCGTTGGCCTTCTTGAGCTCACGGTCCGCACCCATGCGGGGGAAACCGAGAACTGATGACTGAACCATCGTGATATGTGGCTCTTAAGCAATTGAGCGAAAGAGTAAAGCGAACAGAAGGTTGAGACTCTCAAACTACAAGAGAAGAATGAGAGGGTATGAGAGGGTGGGAGACAATGAGAGAGGGCGGGATGGTGTGCTTTTGAATTCTTTTCTGGCTCCTGCATGGCGGGGTCGATCTAGGCTGCTTTGCTCTCACCGCCCGCATGGCGCTAAGAGATAGAAGACGTGGTGATCCTTCTGGGCATCCATTGACTGCATTGTTTTCGCTGTACGTGGCACCATTTCGTGCCCACTTGCTGTGGAGTGCTGTGGCTCTACATTTTGTCGTGATGTTGTCTGTTGGACGTTGCTGAGAGGTATTTCCAGCAGTAGGCTTACGCCTCCTTTCTGCCATTCCCCACACTGGCCGAAGACCGGAGCGATTGGTCGCGCATTGATCCTTTTGTGCTGAAAGAACGCATTCGAAGGTTCTTGCACGCGTTCGGCCAGCCATGCAAACCCAATTACTCAGTTGACGACAGCTTATTACATTCTACCCTGGAGACAGCACGTTGCGGACGTGCAAGTGAATATTCTCGTCTTTGAGGTCACTGAGCCGCAAGTGGACCCTGTTGATCATGACGAACCACGTTTGAGACACTAGAAGAGTATCGTGAGGCAGAACACCAATTTTCTTAGCACGGGAGTTGAGCCCTCTCGTGTATTACTGCATCAGGATGGTACGATAGAATTTTACACTTATGTCGAGAGGCTCGGCGGCGACAGCGACGATGCACCGGCGAAATTCCGTTCGGACAGCTTTGGGTTGCTCCACAGTAGCTCCCCGCATTGTATATAAGAGCTCGAAGTCGACCCCTCCTTCGACGTATTGTAGAAACGTCGCCCATTCCACGAAACCTCCAGTCTCAAATTCAAAATGTCTAGGCCTCAGCACACTCGAACTGCCTCCACAAACCTGGGCAGCGGCTCCAGCCAGCGCGTTCTGGAGGGAAAGATCGCGGTTGTGACCGGAGCATCGCGAGGTGAGACGAGCACTGTTTTGCCCATGTTTTGAGGCTTTGGCTGACTGCTCCAGGTATCGGTGTCGAGATTGCACGTAACTTGGCCAGCAAAGGCGCCAATCTCGTGATCAACTACACCTCAGACTCGTCTGCACAGACTGCCGAAGACCTCGCAAGCGAGCTACAAGCCGAGTATGGCATCAAGGCCATCACCGTACAAGCCAACATGGGCTCAGAGACCGGGCCTCAGCACATTGTCGAAGTAGCAGTCAACAACTTCAAGCATCCAAAGACTGGCAAGTTCCAGCTTGACATCATCATCAACAACGCTGGTGTTGCCGGGAACAACTTTGTGGAGAACGTGGACGCGGCGGATTTCGCAAGGCAATTCAACGTCAACGTCAGGGGCCCTTTGCTACTTCTGCAAGCCGCCATACCTTACCTGCCAAACGATCGCTCTGGCCGCATTGTCAATCTGTCGTCAGTCAGCGCTTCATTGGGATACAAGGGCCAGTCGATCTACGGAGGGACCAAGGCTGCGCTTGAGGCCATGACGCGGACTTGGGCCCGCGAGCTGGCTGAGCGCGCAACTGTGAACGCCATCAACCCTGGCCCGGTCGCCACAGATATGTACTGGGGCAACGACGAGAAGTTCATTGCTCAGAACAAGCCCTTTATTGAGACCACCCCGCTCGCAGCACCAAGGAAAGGAATCGACGAAGAGAGGATCTACGAAGCCTCGCAAGGTGCGGGAGGACGACCTGCATACAGCGAAGAGGTCGCGGGTGTAGTGGGTATGCTGTGCTCGCCAGAGGCTGGGTGGACAACAGGCAGTGTCATCTGTGCGAACGGAGGCATGAAGTTCAGCGTTTGAACGTGGTACATAGATGGCTTCCGACACGAACTAGAATTCACAGACCACTGTCATCATCGAGTAGAGCGCAGATCGTTCCGAAGGGGTTGGTAAAAGCAATACCCAAATAGTACGTCTATGCAGCGCACCAGCGTACATGAGACAACCCGAAACAAAGACATGGAATCGAATCAGAATAAAGATGTTCACCACATCTCACACAGCCAAGACATCATATGAACGTCGCGTGGATGATCGTTCTCGTGGGGCTGCGTGCATTTGATGTTGTCATACCACCGAGCCCGCCGACAGGGGTGCGGTTATTCGTATTGCTCCCAGCCCCCTCCCTTCTTATCTTGAATCTGGTGCACAAAGGCGTGGCGCATATCGCATGGGCTTGACAAAAACATCAGAGATAGCTCTTAGATACCGTGGGCGCTTCCGGGCTGTTTATTTGGCCTTTGACCATGTCCACATGTTGCTGATTGCGCAAGCCACAGATCGGTTGCTGGGGGGATATCCTGTTTATCCAAGGCACTGCTTGCGCCGAGATGGCCTAGCCCTCGACCTGCATTCCAGCACTTTCCTGCTCCGGCATTCTGACATGCCTTGATTGGACGGCCTAGTGGCCGTTGAAAGGGGATCAGGCGCCACGGTAGTGCGTTGCGCAAGCAGGTTGGGAGGCCGTCGGCCTGTTTACCAACGGCTCATCCGTTACCAGCCATCTTTGACGGACCCGTGCATGAACTGCAGATCTGAGCAGACCCCTCATCTTCCACTTACCACAACGGCTCCAGCACTATCGTCAAACGTTCTGTGCTACGCTATCTCGCCCTACCCCACAGCATCGTCCATGGGGCGCCGTAAACAGCAATCGAGGTGAACGTCCTCAGCAACACACTCGAGTCAGCACCACGCCATGCACTCGTCCATGGCGACGTCTCTGATGCAACTTCAATGGCCCGTTCTTTTGCACGTTTCACTCGTGCTATCTGTTGTTGCCGCTCAGATGCCATACAATCCGACTCGATTGCTCCATAACAACGACCATGTCTACGTGTTCCAGCCATCGACCCAGTCGTCCACGCAATTCCAGCTAGGCTCCATCGACGTCTCGTCCAACATCAATGCCGCCAAACTGCCATACACGACACTGTACCCGACTCTGCCATTCCTGGACGACAAGAACCCACGAGCGTTTACACCAGTCCTCGACGACGATGGAAATCTTACCGTATACACGGGCAACTGCTCTCAGGGTGCGGCCGGAGGTGAAGTCTGGAGCTTTACTCCAGCTTCAGAAAGCAGCCAGAGTAGTTGGCTGCAGCAGGACGTGTCCGTCGCGAATGACAAGCACGTGTCAGTATTAGGCGCAAACTACCTCAGCAACGGCATCTCGTTCTCTAGCATCGTTGGAGGAGATGCTGCTAATACCGGGGCCTACTTGTTCGGTGGTATGTGCCCGCAGGCAGGGCATAGCGCCACCAATGACTGGCAGTCGGCCGCAAATTATTCGAACCTTATGCTCACATTGACACCGTCTAACAACAAAGACAGCGCTCTTACGTACCAGATGGATGTCTCATCAAGCCGAGGACCACCGATACCAGAAGCTGGCTTTACAATGACTGGACTGCCGCCAACGTACTCGAATCGTAGCGATGGATCGCAAACACAGCAGCAAAATTTTGTTTTGATAGGCGGGCATACCAGCGCTGCCTTCATCAATATGTCACAAGTTGCCTTGTTCTCTCTGCCAGAGCAAGGATGGACCTTCATAGGCGTCCAGCAGCCAGAGACACCGCACGCTGATCTTACTCTACGCGATATTACCACCGTCGACCCACGGTCAGGTCACACTGCTGTGTTGTCATCAGATGGGCAACAAATCGTGGTCTATGGCGGCTGGGTTGGAGACATCAATTCACCAGCGGAACCTCAACTGGCTATCCTCAACATTGCGAATGGTTATGGCGGCGACGGCACGTGGGAATGGGTAATCCCAGACAGTTCCTCGGGCAGCGGTCCACCAAGCGGCTCCAGTCTTTACGGTCATGGCGCAGTCATGCTTCAAGGCGGCGTTATGATGGTCACTGGCGGCTTTTCAATCACCACAACCGGCTCGCGACGACGAAGAGCCACTTCTGCTCTGAACACTCAGACGTACTTCCTCAACATCACATCGAATACCTGGATAGATGATTACGTTTCGCCCTCCGGACTCTCAGACTCAAAACCGGTACAGACAGGGCCTTTGTCGAGTCCTGGCCAGAAGGCAGGGCTTGGTGTTGGGATAGGAATCGGAATGGCTGCTGTATGTGGTCTGTTCGCTTTCTACATGTGGTATACGAGGCGGCTTCACAAGCAACGAGAGCTGCGGGAGAAGCAGCTGCAGGATCTCTCCTTCGCAGCTCATAGGTACAACATCGATGACTATTCTCCCGGATTTGACGGTCGAGGAGGTCACGCGGATGCATTGGAGTATCAGAACGGATCTTACTATTTCCCGCCAGGTGAACAGGGTGGCCAAGGCTGGAAGAGCTCACACGGACAAGATGTTGAAAGAACAGGCCTCCTTCTCGAGATTCCCAGCCCCACTCGTGGGCTACGACGCAGTCTCAGCGGGAGACCTGCTTATGCCTTGGGTGCTACTCGCGGTCCAGGCCAGATCCATCCAATCGACGAGCTGGAAGAAGACGAAGAAGAAGCTGAGAGGGCTACTGACAAGACACCTTTGACCGAAAGACATGAAATGAGTGAGCGAAGGGTCGATCAAAGTTCGTCAGTCTTCGACACCGCACCGCAACTTGATCCGTTCAATGATGCTCAGCATCAGGGCAGAGCCATCAAGACTTCGCCACGCTCGGTATCTTCTTCTCCTATTCTGGAGGACGTCCACGATCACGACCAACTAATGACTGAGTGGCCTGGGCCGAGCCCAATTGCGAATCGCCGTTCGAATACAGTTTCGAGCGGCCGTCTCTCTCCAGACAAAGCGTCATCGGATGAACGTACGAATTCCAATCTCAGTGAGAGGAGTACACTATCAAACCTATCATGGACATCTTCGCACGGCAGTCTCGCGAGAAGCACGTCCTTGCGTGCCATGACCATCACGACTGCGCATCAAGCCAATCCATTCAAAACTCCAGATGCTAGTCCAACGCACGATAGGCCACGCAGATATAGCGAAAGCAGTAGAAAGGCCCAGGCACACCTACGGACACAGTCTTTCAGCAGTGTGCGTAGCAATGGAAATCCCGGTGTTGATACATCCAAGACTGTACACGCTTCTTTCGCACACCTCCAAGCCGAAGGTGAGGCACTACTTGGTGGTAATCCGGAGCAGGTTCGTCCTGGCACTTCATCGACCTCAAATGGGTCGAATTCATTGGGGGCCACAGAAGCAAATAACAGTCGCGCTACAACAGCCACACCGGCGACTTCTCATGCGTTGGAAATGTCACGCCCTGGGAGTCGAGACGCGAGGAAGAGTTGGTTAGGCAGTGTACGAAGAGTGCTTCGCAGGTCGACCTCAGGCGCTGACCGAACTCGATCTCTCACCAACACCGTCTCATATCATGAGCCGTATACAGATCACCCTATCTCGCCAGTTGAGGCTTCGGCGACTGACAATCGAAAGTCTTTCCCGTCTAGTCAAACGCCTCGAAGGGCAGCATCGGATGCGACATTCTGGAAGAGCAGAAGAGGCCAACATGATTGGGAAGAAGAGCTGGAAAGCAGATGGGCGCGAAACAGTGGTGATGATTGGGGCGCGCCAGAGGATATTGCTCGCGCCGAGAAGGATCGCCTGCGACAGGAGTGGCGGGATAGAGGCAACTTGCTGGTCAACCTAACCTCTGATGACGAGCTACCTACGCCGCGCACACCAATAGCACCGAACGAGCTTGGCATCCCAAGCGTCAGTCAACGTCCTTGCACTCCCGCCGATGAAGGGGATTGGGACGTCGAGGCTGCCGTTGAACGCCGTGTTGTTCAAGTCATGTTCACTGTGCCCAAATCGAAGCTTCGAGTCGTAAATGCCGACCCTGATGGGTCAAGCATCCTTTCACTGCCTCGTGAGAATTCGAGAGAGGGCGACGATTTCTTGAAAGGAGAGGCAAGCGGCTCACCCAGTCGAGTGAAGGATCTTGCCGGCAGATTTGAGCAGATGTCAGGATCGAAGGTCTCGTCTTCTCGCATAACCCCCAGAGCCAGTCCAGTTCCAAGTCCCTCTCCCAGTATCAGAAGTATGAAAATTCGGGCGAAGAGAAGTTCAGCATCTTTGAGCACCCAAGTTATAGGACAGAGCGGTCTGACGAAGCCTCTGGCCGAGTTGAAGGCGAAGGACAATATCGTTGAGGAATAATACCCTATAGGCACGGAGTATTCAGGCGTTAGATGATTTGATGGTATATATGCCATAGACTGGAAGTTGGCGCTCTTTGTCGGTTCTTCACGGTGTAAATGAATTAGCGTTTGGTGTCAGTGCGGCGTTAAGCTGTTGGCCATGGTTTTGTCCAGGCCAAAGATTTTTGACGTTGCACAAGCAACGTTATCACGGTATATAGCAGTATATGCACAACCTTTTCACCCATAATGATTGCTAAAACCGTGCTGTATGAACAGCTTATTGTGGCCTGATTCGTTGATCTGCCTTTGTCAATTAGCACATTCCATCTGCTTGCGCTGCTCTTCCCTGCTTGATTCTGTAACACCACTATCTCCGCTCCTACATAACGTTACAAGCTACGGCAGCAACAAGTTGCCCGACCGCTAAGCCAGTTCCAACAACACCCAGAGTCGTTGTGCCGCGGCCCTTTGACCTGTAAATCCTCCTGTCCAGTTTGGAACCTTGCCTGAACATCACCGCTTCGTGTTCGCGCTTCAATTTCTCGAACTCAAATTCGAGGTCCGTGTTTGACACGTCGCGTCTCTCGCCAATCGACGGTGTTTCGGATGCCATGACTGACTGATCTATCAGTCGCGTATAATCTCGATACCTCTGTGTAAGTTGCTGGAAGTCTTCGTTCTCTTTTTGTATCCGCTTCTCCCACGCTATCTGTACCTCCGCACGCGTCGCCCGCAGTGAGTTGATTGCTGCCGCCATCTCCCTTGCAGAACTATGCATTGAGGCTCTCATTGCATCGGAAGGAGAGAGCAAGCTCTCGTAGACAATCTTCCCTGCTGTCGTCTGGTGGAGCAGACGGTCGTGCTGCCGCAACTCTTTTTGAAAAGCCAAGTCCAGCCGCATATCCTTCAGAACAATGTGCCTCACGATATTGCAGGGATCCACCTCAGCTGCGGAGATCGGTACTAATCTGCCACCAAACGCCAGTATGTCATCCTGGATCTTGGTTTTCAATTGAATCTGGCGATCTTGTGCCTTTTCGATCTCCCCAGTGGCCACTCGATTCCACATCGTTGTCGCTACAACCGTCCCGCAGAAGGCGCCCTTCCCGCATATTGCTTTGAAAATCTCGAGTGCACGTCTGGTTGAGCTGTGAAACCGTATGTCGGTTATACGATGCAAGAAGACGATCCCACTCAGCTTAAATTTCCTTTCGTCCGCTGCCGCCAGCCAGTAAGCCAGCTCCTGAAAGGTCTCGCCATCCGATCGTAGTGTGTCGTTGAAACCAGGTGTATCTATCAGGTGTACTGTACGTCCAAGCATTTCCATGGTATGCACCGACACCTGTGTAGTACCTGACAACCAAAGCCTATTAATTACGATCTTCCACAATTCTGGGATCACTTACAAGACGTCAGCTCATGACCTATACACGGCCGTCGATCTTTTGTACAGTTCTCGATGAAAGAGGACTTCCCCGCGCCTGTCGCCCCCAAGATAGCGATGATGATATCCTCTGGTCTTTGACGCTGTTAGTCACAGCTGTATGCATGGCTCAAGGACTTACTGGATCACCTCTAAGGTGTCGACCTTCACTCCATCACCCTGAACTCCACTCGAGATGTCCAACATAAGAAGCGAGCAGTAGGAGAATCACTTGCTAGAAAGATCATGAGGATGCCTATCTGATAGACTCTACAGATAGTCCGGCGCCCAGGAAATGTTTTTGGGCGACATTACTGCAATCTGCAGGCAATGAAGTCGTGGTGTTCCTACTGGGGTCTGCATGAAGGCTTAGACGTGCCTAGGTATGCAGTCGACCTTGTCAGCTCCGCTCGCCTCACATGCGCATCCAATCAAGAGCGCACACGTCCATGTCAACCCTCTCCGGTCAACACTACCTGCATTCCCACATACATGCGTGGGTCGACGTACGTGCGTCCGTTCATGGTCTCGAAACCATGCTGGCTCGTCGATGCCAAGCTGCGGTCTTTCATTAGGGATCTATGATCTCGTCGCGGTTATTCTCGTCCCTAAAATTGAGGTGACATCGTTTCCAAGTCGCCCTCATACTTTCAAGCCGGCTCATGCAGCATGGTGTCGCACCGTGAGCATGTTTCTGTGAAGGACAGTGGCGATGCAGTTGACCTATCGGAGGTTCAACCACTGAGCGCTCCAGGATCACCATTGGGATCAAATCATGCAAGGAGCATACCACAGCCAGAATCTTCACAGTACGTAGAGATTGATGCTATGGCGATTTTGCATTGACTTCAAGCGAAGGGGAATTGGCATACTCGTAATGGGACTTACAGGAGCTGGGAAGAGTACATTTATCTCCCAGATCACACAACAAAACATCGAAATTGGACATTCTCTAGAATCTTGTAAGTAGGATTGGAAGCTCAAGTATCATGCTCATGCTCTAGCAGGCACATCCACAGTCTATGGCTATCGCTACTTCCACACCAACGGGCAAGAGATCTGGCTTATCGACACGCCAGGTTTCGACGATACAAACAAAGCAAATGTCCAAATACTGGGTGACATTGCGACATTTTTGTCTATCTTCTGCAGTGAACACAGGCTGATCATTGGGGGCATGTTTTATATCCACAGGATAACCGACGTACGTATGTCCAACTCATCTATCAAGAGCCTTAGGATATTCGAAGCTTTGTGCGGAAGTGCTTGTTTCAAAGATGTCACGATCATCACGACGATGTGGGACTTGTTGCAAACGCCGGACGCTTTGCAAGCAGCTGAAAGACGGGAAGCTGCTCTGAAGAGTCGAGATAACTTTTTGGGACGTCTGATCACAGGCGGCGCACAATATGCCCGACACAAGGATGCGCGCTCAAGCAGCATTGAAGTCATCGAAAGTGTTGTCAACCAGCAACGAAAAGTCGTACTCGCGTTGCAAGAGGAATTGCAGCGGGATTCGGCAACAACTCTGGTGGATACAACAGTAGGCAAGTATCTTGAAGGCGACCTTAGAGATATGCGCAAGAAATATGAAACAAAAATCGCTCAACTGGAGGCCTACAACGACACTTTGGTGGACAACGATGACGACATGCGCGCAGCAGTTACAAGCGAAAAGGAGCTCATGTTGAACACAGAATCGAACATCCATTTCCTCCATCAGACGTTCGAGAACCTCAGGAATGAGCGTGGCATCAAGATGGTAGAAGAAGGAAGAATCTCCGCGAACGGAAAATCAAAAGCGGCACCAGTAGAGGATCCATCCAACCTCAATAGCGACGGCTGGACAAAAACCGCCGAGCCGCATCTCCCCTTGCAATTAGAAGGAATGGAGACCGAGGAGGCCAATCATAGATATCAGTATGCTCAGAATCACGCAGAAGATTCAGTCCGAGAGACGGACCTGAAAGACAGGCCAAAGAAGGATTCTGCATGGTCGGACTTCCTTCGCGCTATGCTTGGCCTATCTGAGTTTGGGAAAGGCATGTTTCATGAGACACGCCGATCAGGTATTCATGCCATAGAGGCTGGTGAATACCGAGCATCGATGGTCAGTCGTCCCAAGAAAACGGTACAACATCGGGAGAGAAGAGTGCAGTCTAGGACAGCAGAAGCACAACACCCAACACAAACGATTCTGCACGACAACTGTAACTCATCGGATCCAAAGCGTGCTGAGCAGGCGGACTTTCTCGAAGCGGAGCATCACCAGAAAATCGACCATGAGAGTCTGCCAAAACCACCCTATCAAGAGATCGTTCCCTTTTCTCCTGAGCCTCTCGTATCACCCGGTATGCTCCCGTATAATGTCGTCTGGAGCAATATTCCTCGAAGTTATTAGACATTCCAGGTGCCAGCAGCTCTCGACTGTTCCAACACACAACTTGAAGGCATGATGAATGAACGAAACATTTCTACGAATAATAGTCAAGAATGAGTCCGTAAATTGCTGGCTAAACCCAAACGACGGAGCCAAAGTAGTTTTCACATCGTCGTTAGTTTTCGATGTGATACCCATCCTACCCGCACTCTGTCGTGAACGAAAAGCTGAGTCTAAAGTTACGGCGAACGCCATGCATAAGCCGTCTCACCAATATAGACGGCGGAGGCAATCTGAACTGGGAGTCGTTTATGTAGGATGTGTTGTACCAATAGCAATTGCTTGTAACTTGCATGTTCATGCACGTCAAAGTGGGGCTCTTGCCAGCATGTGCGATCCTACGTAGCCTTGTTAGCCCATGCCAGCACGAGCGCCGGGGAACTCAGGTCTATCGCTGCCCGACTGATCTTGGGGACTTTTACTTTTGCTCATTACACTTCAACCCCACAAAGTGTTTAGATGAGTATTGTAGTCGTATTTTGAAAACTGCTACAGTCAGCGAAATTATCCATTGCCATGGCAGACTCGACCTTCTCTACACGATCACGGACTGATAGCATTCTATCCACCTCCGAGCCGCCATACCTGACGTAAGTCACTTAACTGTGTCCTATCTGTGACACGTATAATCTCTGACTCACTGTACTAGACCTGACGACATCATAATAGCTGTGATGGGCATAACAGGCTGTGGAAAGACCAGCTTCATAAATCTCTTCTCAGATCACCAGCTGCGTGTCGGACATGAGCTTGACTCGTGTAAGGTGTATGCAGACCATTGAAAATCCCCTACTGATCTGTTCTTTGCAGGTACTCAAGACGTTGAGGTTGTACCTTGTAGCTTTGGAGACGGCCTCAAGATATACCTAGTTGATACTCCTGGCTTTGACGACACCGAGCGCACAGATACAGAAATTCTGTTGCAAATCTCAGGATGGCTATCATCAGCCTACACAGTTAAGCTGAAACTTTCTGGTATAATCTACCTGCACCGCATACCCGACGTCCGCGTTGGAGGGTCCGGTGTCAAGAACTTGAGAATGTTCCGCGGGCTCTGTGGTGAAGATAATCTGGGAAGCGTGGTACTTGCCACAACAATGTGGGATTCCATTGCTCACGATCTGTCGATAGGCGAAGTGCGCGAATCGAAACTGAAGGAAGATCCAAACCTATGGGGCAAAATGATCGACCAGGGCAGTATGGTTCTTCGCCATGACCGAGGAGAAACATCAGGAATGGAGATACTCAGATATCTGATTGGTCGAAGAGAGAAGATAACTCTGGCGATACAAAAAGAGCTCAACGATGAGAAGAAGCCGCTCAACGACACCGGCGCTGGTGCCGCCCTGGTCTCGGAGATGGAGCGACTACGAGAGATGTACGAGAAGAAAATCATCGACTTGGAGACGAGACTATGCAAGGAATGGGACGAAAGCCGCGAAATGCTCAAGGCTGATTTTGAGCAAAAGCTCATTAGGCAACGAGACGATGCTGCAAGGCTGCAAGCCCGGGCAGATGATATTGTCGCCAACGAGCGCAAACGAATCGAGGAGCTGATACAGAATCAAGAAAAGATTAGGAAAGAGCAAGAAAGAAAGGTGAAGGAGAAAGAAGAGGACTACTCGCAGAAGTTGGCGCAGCAGTTAGAGGAAGAGCGGAGGAAGATGAAAGAAAAGTACATCAAAGCAATGCACGACAGGTCATGTGCAGTCATGTGAGCAGCAGATGAAAGCAGTACGATGGATCGGGAGAAGAGTGATACTAGAATTATGGGTCGTAATACACTGGAAGTATAGACCATGATGGTTTCGACAGGTACGGTAGTGTAGATGAAGACGTTTACAGTATACACAGATTTAATAATGTAGTGAACAACAACTTACAACGCCTGAACACTCAATGCCATCCAGACATACCGCTGGCTCATCTGTCTTAGGTCTTCGGTTTTCTTGTGCTCGAATATAATCTATTGTCTATCGAAATCATTGTACTATATGAGTATGTGTGAGAAGCTCAAGAAGGTTGTAAATCATGGCTTCACGGCAAGGATTACTCTACATAAAATGGCCATAAGTTTACTCCACTTTGAGCTGTAACCAGCCACAAGCTAGAGTCCAAGATACAGAGAGTACTGACCACATTTGCTCTGCCTTGCTTGCAACTAGAACGCATGTATCGTTCGTCCTGCAAAGCCTCACGACCAGAAGGCCATTGCGATCCGTCGATGGAACCGCCCTTCTTGCATGCAACCTCGCTCAACAACATCTCTCTTTTGCCACAATTACATAGAACCATCAGTCAGAACCAATGCATTCGAGCCACTAACGATGCCAACCTTCCCAGCCCAGAGAAAAACACCCGCCCACCCTGCCGCTTACCTATCTCGGGTCCATAAACCAGAGTTGGTGAAAGAGAAAGGAACAGCCAAGCCTGGCTGGGCGCGTAGTGTAGTGTCTGTTTGCGGACCCAAAAAGGTCGAGGTTCTTGTGCCCCTCTATTTCGTGTCATTGGTGACATATACGCGAACCACGCTCCAGAGTCGTTCATCTGGTAGCGTACCGCTTTTACTAAAGCGGGCAGCTTTGTGACTGGTCCCTGCTCCATGCGTTGTTATCCTGCGTCAAGGAACAACCATTCATATGCTTCAACTTTATCGTGCAATAGATACTCTGAATTATGGTACCGACCACATGATGGGTTGCACTTCTTGCATTCTACTATACCGCTTTCAGGCAACGGCTTTAGTTGCAAGTCAGTCTTTCGTTTGCAGGACTCTATTTTCTTGTTGAGAAGTCCGATGCATGACACTTTGACTGTTCTCAAACAGCTGACCAACTGTGTACATCCTACGCAGAGAGGGCTATTGACGCACAGCACAGTGATGGTAGCAATGTCAAGAATGGTCTGCAGATGCGCAACCCTCAGCTCAATGGTGGCTTGCTTGGAACATGCTCTCCAAAAACTCTCACTTCCAAGGTTGGACCCCAATCCTGCAGCTAATGATGCACGCACCTGCCAATATGGAACATGCTCTACTGCATTCGGAACATATGGACTCTTTTGTGAGACCGTGCATCCCGAAACGAGTAATGGAAGCGTCAGAGCGCTTGCTCAGAGCTTCAGTGCAAAGCTCACGTGTCACTGGGGCGCAGGTCAGACAATGCTCGTGCTCTAGGCAATACGAGTCCCCATCATGTCATCATCGCTGCCAACGGTGGTCACATTTTTTTCGCGCAAAAGAAGACTAGCCATATGGCAGAAGCAGCACAACGCTGTGTCACATCCACAAGCGCTTTATAAAGAGGCCGGTCCTTTCGGCCCTATGTTCGCCTTACCCTCCTCATCGGTGTGCAAGCCTCGCATGCGTCTTCCCTGGCGAACCACGAACGTGCCCTCAACGGGAGCGCATATGTTGACGCAGAACGCCAGCTCCATGCGCGGAGATAGACGCGCGCTCTGCTGTCAGTTGCATCGAAAAGGATTCGAGGCTTGACCGCGACTACGAGTCACGCACGGGAAGGCCTTATGTCGGTGTTATTTGACATTGCCGCTGTGGAGTTTGCGCCACGTGCGCATGCGCAACATGGTTCCTGCCATTTCCAAAGTCACACTTGGAGCGATGGATGTGGAGCTCTTCTTGTCTATAGGCAAATCCACGAACATTGGCCGAGTGTTGAAGCACCGAGAACGTCCCTTGAAGCGAAAAACATTGACCATCTTGGCTACGCAATTGCCAACAACAATTTCTTGCAAAGCCGGAACAGGATCGAAGACCGCTACTTATAACTGCAACGTTGTCATTGGCTGGAATGTTTCCCGGCACAGAGTCTTTGATACTCCGCCCTGCTTGGAAGCCGATCCTCATGAGTTGCACTTGCTGCATGCAGGATGACGGACAATTGTCTTGCGCAAGACGTTGCAGAGCGGGAGATGCGCCGGTCATGCAGGTCCAAGGCCCTCGGCGCTTCGATATGTTGGAGTCGGTGTTGGTGTCAGCCTCGATTCGTCCCAAACAAACGCCGTAGAATGCAGTTCACCATTGCCCTAGAAGCTTATACTTTCCAAACGAGAGTCATGGTAAAATCCTTCAGAAGCACCGTTGTTTCGAACCATGCACTTCATACTGACGTCACGCTGTCCTAATGATCCGTCAACTACGGTCGAATGATTGGACTAGTCATTGTGATCTGGAAAACAGAACAGCGAGAAGTATAAGGAGATGTAAAGCTCCCCACGCGTCTAGTCCGGAAGGTGATTCTGAGAGAGAGGTGCGGAGAAGTGCAAAAAGTGAGAGCAATGGACGTGTCAAATCCATCAGCACCGTACATATGTCGTACGCCTGGGCGCTTATTTCACGCAAACGTGGCTGAAGTTCCAAACATTCGGCGCTTAGATAGCCGTTCTGGGGCAAGACTGTGACTTTGCTGGGCACTTCCTTACTACACCAGCTATGTGGCTCGGAACATGGTCAAATTTTGACAGTTTTGGCACTTTGATGTAAATTGCAACACAACCGTCTGGAACCATCGGGATACTAAAGCCGAGATCACCGCAAACACCGAGTTCATTGGTGTAAAAAATAGCGTCATGACTGTGCCACAGCCAAGTCATCTTGATACATACACCTTTGACTTCATGACAATCAAGGTAGACTACGAGGCTGCCAAGTTGTAGAGACAGGGGTGCTTTGTTGGCGCCGATGAAATTCGATGTGTTCTTTGACTGTTCGTAGTTATGTTTGATGGATAGATGCTTGGCTTTTGGTACGATCTGAGATCCCAAAGACAATCTAACAAGCCCCTTGCATATCACAGTTGTAATACATTTGAATCTCATGTAGAGCGAGGGTGTCCATAAGGGGCAATCGTATTCGAGTGTCGTGGACTGTGCCTCAGTCCATCGAAAACCTGCCTCATTACTCCGGCAAGGAGGATGGCCGTTATCTATCCGCTGTTACCGCGTAAGTATGTCGACACCACACCTGTGAGAGATGAAGATCAGAATAAAGCCTAAGGAAGATCCCTGGATTGCAGTATAAGCGCTTCCAAGTTCTAAGGTGGGGTAGGCAGGCGGCACAGATTGCTGTACGAAAGCTGTGTGAGGCGACTTATTGCATTTACCCTTCCAGTGCGGAGCTCAACGCCAAGAAGTAAACAGTGTTGGATGTCCTGCATAAATTTGTTGTCGCGTTTCGAGATCGTACCGTTGACCAAAGGCTGGACGCCTGAATGTATCCCAAGCTCGATTTGGATACGACAAGCGGAAGTAAGCGTTGATAATAATAAGCGCGTGGGTCCGCGTTTATGAGCCAACGGCAGCCACTCAATTTCACTAGCCGCATCGGAAGCGGTAGGATCTCAGGCGAACGTAAGCGCACGAATCCTGTAAGCGAGCGACGCTCAGTGCGGCATGGTTGATTCATGCTTTTCAGCAAGGGATGAAGTTGCACTCAATGAGTACCGGCACAGCGGGGGCGCATTGCCAACGCGTACCAGTGGGTTGTTTGATCGCTAACGGGAGCGGAACGGGGCGCACGTTCAGGAAACACACTGCTGGATTATACTGAGACGACATGTGTCAGTGTTCGAGGGTAGTGGGATGACTTGAAAGAAGCCTCGCAACGCACTGTTGCCGAGATGCAGCCGCGGGTATCATGGCATCAGTCTGCTTGTCAGCCGATGCATAGCGACGAAAGCGGCCACAAATTCCATTGGTATTTTACGCAAGAATGCACAGAAGCGTGACCGATCAGGGTCCACCTGATCATGAGCAAAGGCGGATCAAGAGACCACGGGTAGAATGCTGCAGTGGTCACTTTAGCCGACAAAAATGGCGGCTCGCCGAGCAGGTGTTGGGTGGGTACTGGTGCTGGAGCAGGCTCTTGGGCAGACTGAGAGGAAGCAAGGGAGCGGCTTGACAGCGGGCCGAGCAGCCAGCAGTGAAATGCCCGCTGCAGAGCACTGTACATGCTGTAGCCGATGGGAGCGCTCGTGGACCGGCCGGCATGATGCAGGGCGAAATGTTGCACTGTAGGCGGGTAGAGTCGCAGCGCGGCGTCTGGGCGTATTGATGAAGATCAAGTCAGTCAAAGGGCCGACGGGGCAGGTGCGCCAGGCCGCAGGCCGAGGGAGTGAGCTTGGGTGCGGCGCGGCACTGATTAATGAAACGTGGGCGAGGCCCCGGGTGCCTTCTTGTTTGGTCATGGTGGAACCCGGACAGGCATGCGACAGGCGGTTAGCATGAGGCAGTGCCGAGTCTCCTGGCCGACGCGCGCGAGAAGGCGGGCGATACGCAGGAACAGCGATGACGTCCAATGCGGGCAGGCGGCGGCGGCGGTGGGCGTGGGTACGCAGGTGGTGAGCCTTGAGGTGCGCGGCGAGGCGCAACGGCGGCGCTGCTGAGCACGGCGCCGCAAGAGGCAGCGTGTGTGATCCCTGAAGGGCGCTCTCGCCGTGTAGCAACTTGCCCCGGCAGGAGCAGCGGGGCGCGCCTACCTACGATGCGCGGCTGGCGCAAAAATAGGAAAGCGCCCACCGGACAGCCTCGACGCTGCGTGTTGCTGCAGCGCACATGACGGCGGCCCTCCAATGTTCGTAGCCTGCATGGGCCGCCCAATCACGGCCCGCGTGCGCCTCACCGCGTGCGCAGTCGTAAAAGCGCTCCGCGACGGCTGCGAGACTAACGCTGTCTGGCCGATCAACTTCATTGCCGTAACGCCGGGAGACGCTTGGTGGGCCGGCTGTCCCGTGCCATCCATGCGCGCTGCGAGAGCCATCACCCCTCCAGTACACCCAGCGATGAGCTTTAGGGCTGTAAACGCGGTTTTTCCGCGAAAAAACGTGGGTTGGAGCTCCAATGCAGGGTCGGTTATGTGGTACTCGAAGGAACCGCGCTTTTAGCTCGTCTATGCTGCGTTTCGCGGTCGTTCGCTGGAGATCAGGTGTGGGACAGACGCGCAGGGGGCTAGACACTACGCCCAATCACAGCGCTTGACCGGGGTAGAGCATCTGTGCTCCAGCAAGCCAGAGGAACAGCCGCCTTCGTGATCTCTGCCCCATCCGCTGGCAGCTGCGCCTACGTCGGGACGCCCCTCTCTCCAGGGCAGAACTCCTCCGACTCTGTTGTCTTATACACTGCTCTCGCTGCTGCGGGTGGCTCTGCTCCCGATTGGCATCACCAAACCCACACCCCGCATTGACTCCAGCACCCATGGCACCCGCAATGCACACTGAGTAGACCCTCGCTGCCTAGCAAGACGATTTTGCGATTTTGCGCGCTGCCGTCCTCATCGCGCCAGAAGCCACCAGCACCACGCCTGAGCGTGGTCAGACATCTGCTTCACCATTCCGCCCGGCAACCATCTCGACCCCAGCGGTAAGCGCGAAAGCCGCCTGTTGTGTCGTGGAACCGCATACCATCAGCTCACCGTGTCACCGCCTGTCCCGTCCTTTCGGTCGCAGTCGCTTTTGAAGGTCTGAATGACTCGGCCGTGAAGAACAAAGTTCACCACCCCCATATCAGAACCACAGCCGGCAACACACGCCAATTTCTTCTGACAAAAGTCACCCTTCGGGCAACAGATAGCTTGCTACCGACCTGCCTGGCCACATCAACTTAGACTACTGCTGCATACCTACCAAACCCAGGTACTATGTCTGCTGTGCTGCACATGCCCGCAATCAACACTGCTCCATTCATGCTGAAAGAGAAGCTTGGGGATCCATTTACACCTGCCTTTACCGCAGTCAATGGACGACCATCGCCGCCCTCGCCACACGCGTCGACCGGACCACACGGCGTGACGGCCTGGGCCGCTGTACCACGGGACCCTATCTCTCCTCCAGCCAGCCATTCTATCACGCCTGCCATGGCAAACAGAGATAGATCCCCGGATAGTCCTTACAAAAGGAAACGCTCGCTTTCACCAGAAGCCCGGCCACGTGGGTCTTCGAGGGAAACGCCTCCACCTTGCGGACCTTCACCACCAGTATCCTATCCCGAGCAAAGGTCAGCCCTGGAGCCGCACCAGCGCACACTGCCTCCTTTAGATCGACTGCAATCTGATCGTCGTTGGGCTGCCGAGCCTGCCGAGTATCAGGAACACCATCATCACGAGCCTCGGCCCCTGGACCCACCGCACCATATGCCACCATCCCACATGAGTGATCCTAACGAGTACGATGAAGGTGCCACAGATCCTAACAGACTTAACCAAGATTCTGATCAGAAGAGAAGTGGACGAAAAAGACAGTTTGCCAACAGGACTAAGACAGGGTGTGGCACTTGCCGAAAACGCAAGAAGAAGTGTGACGAAGCCAAACCAAAATGCAACAACTGCGTACGCGGCAACTTTGAATGTGCAGGATATGCAACCAAAATCCCATGGTCAAAGGATGGAGCTTCAAAAGCTCCACCGGCACTACAGGCGAAAGAGCGTGTGTCTTCGGCTGAGATACCTGCCCACTACGCAAGGTGTGGTGTCTGTAATCAGGTGCATATTCCTCATTGCGAATCGGTACAGAAGCCGTACCCAGATTCTAATGGCAGCGATGGTGCTCGGATCAGACCCGCGAGTGTAGACGACAAGGAGCGCAAACCACCGTGAGTTCATGTCCATGTCTTCCAGTCCATGGCATTCCACTGACCCCTAGATTAGCAGCATGCCGAACAGTGGGACCAAGACCTGGACCGAAGCACCGCGATATAAGCCAGAGCACCCACCGCCCCCTCCACCCCCGCAACGGCACAACCCTCGCGTGTATCACCATACCCCTCAGTCTATGAGCCAAGCCACCCCTAGTCATCCTGCAATAGCGGCACAACCTGTGCAGTACGTGCAGCCTCCCCCATCTGTCCCCGTCCAAGTGCAAGAGAGACCTCCAGTTCATGATCATCTTGCAACTCGCCCTCCACCACCTCCTCCAATTGTAATGGCCCCAATGGCCCCAATGGCAGCTGCTCCCCCGGCTCCCTCACCGTCACGCTATTCACATCCACCGCCACCTCCCAGAAGCGAGAAAGATAAAATGCTGTCCGGAGAGCCTTTTCTGCCATACACTGATCAGCTAGCCGATGAGCGCGCGCTGTGTGCGGGGGCAGTGTTCCGCTTCAACAGCCTCAGCAATGCGGCCGTGCAGATCGCCTCAAGTGAGCGCGAGCGGCAGTTCGAGTACATCATCGCCGCTAGATGGATTTACCATCGCCCAGGCGAACGTCGAGTTACCGGCCACCTTGGCGGTGGCATTCAAGTTGCAATACCCTTCCATTGTGACTACGGTTACAACATCTCTATTGGAGATAACGTTGTTATTGGACCGGGCACCCAACTCCTTGACTCTGGAAGGATTGCTATTGGCAGAAACACAAAAATTGGTGCTCGTGTAACCATCCAGACCGTCAAGTCACCCGCCGACACCAAGGGGCTGAAGGGCACTAACGGCACTGAGATTGCCGGAGAGGTCTACATTGGTGAGAATGTATATATTGCGGATAATTGCCATATCGAAGCTGGTGTCCGCATTGGTAATAACGCAATCATCCGTGCCGGATCTGTAGTTGTTCGAGTAAGTCGAGCCATTCTGTTGGTGGAAACGTTCATTGAATGAAGACTAATTTGTTACCAGGACATCCCCGCAGACTGTATCGCCGTTGGCAATCCGGCTGAAGTACGACAAGTCAACTGGAAGGACTGAGTGTCGTGTGAACACGAAACACAACTAGCTTTTGCGCAAGTCAACTTTGACAGTGCAGGTGCCTGGCACGCCACCACAATCTTAAGATGAGTGATCGGTGTTATCACTCATAATATTTGAGCGCTACTACGTAGCGCTGGTGTTCTATGGCGTCAAAATATTTCATTTGGAGGATACCCTGATATTTGTATTTGTTTTTCGTTTAACCTTGATCTGGCGGTATTCAAGAGGTGGAAACTTGGATACGAGAGAAGGTATAATGCCTTCTGTTGAGCAGGCAAGAGCGCGACGACGCGCTTTATCGGCTGGAGGTTCGAGGGTGGCTGAATGTGTGGTTGTAGGTGCTAGATTCAGTAGCTATCATCTGGGCGGAACTCTGTAAGATTTGAATCTTTACCTCACAAGCGCGAGTACATCCCAATCGACTAGAAGTGACACTCTCAAATTCGTATGCTCATCAATCACCTGGAAGAATTGATCTGCGGTAACCAAAGCGAGCGCGTCGTCACGTGCACCAGTCCTTAGCGCCAAAAAGTATCCAACCCGCGACACCGGCAGCATCGCCCATCGCCATTCCCCCACGACACGCAATGCCACCCCAGGTACCCCTCAACTGGGGCTCACTGCCCCTACTGCCATCCGCAATACGCTCTCTCGTTCCTCTCGTCCAGCACAATGGCGCCACCCCGGCGCTCTCCTACACAAGCACTCGCGGCATCAAGTCCACATTTGGCCCTAAAAAAGACCGCTTCGCCCATCGCCACGGAAAGCCTGCCCTCAACTCCACATCAACAGCGGCATTAGAACGGAAAGCTCACTCCACACCTCTGCGCACTGGTCTTCTGGCCCTCAAGCGCGGAATGACCGCCCTCTACGACCAGGAGACGGGGAGGCGCACGCCTTGCACCGTCCTGCAGGTCGATCGCAACGAGGTCGTCGCACTCAAGACGAGAGAGAAGAACGGATACTGGGCTGTGCAGATTGGCGCGGGGCAGAAGGAGCCAAGGAATGTCACACGGCCGCTGTTGGGACATTTCGCGCAAGCAGGTGTGAGCCCAAAGAGACATCTAGCGGAATTCAAGGTCAAAGATGGGAGTGGGCTGGGACTGAGCGTAGGTGAGAGTGTCGGCGCGAATTGGTTTGCGCCTGGGCACTGGGTGGACGTAAGGGCTATCTCGAGAGGTATGGGATTCGCTGGTGTAAGTTTCATCGCGCAGCTCTTACAATGAGGCTGTGAGAGTTTCTGTTGCAGAGAAGATGCTGATGACCAAATTCAGGGCATGAAACGTCACGGCTTCAGTGGTCAACCCGCATCGCACGGTAACTCGCTCACCCACCGCGCCATGGGATCTGCCGGAGGATCGCAAGGATCTGGTTCGCGTGTTTTGCCAGGAAAGCGCATGGCTGGAAACATGGGCAACGAGAGTGTCACAGTCAAGAACCTGAAGGTGCTGCAGGTCGACGAGAAGAACGGGTTGATTGTAGTCACTGGCTGCGTACCGGGCCCCAAAAACCAGATTGTGAAGGTGCAGGATGCACTTGGGAAACCCTGGCCGAAGGGTCCTATGAACAATGCCGAGCTTGCGCCGATCGTAGAGGCTGCAGAGCCGGTCGAGCAAGCCACTGCCACGGCATAGACGTACGCCTGGAGAGGAACCATCAGTAAGAAGAGACTTGTGCCGTACAAATGCCAACAGTAGGTGTTTAGGTTGTGAAGACGGCAGCAAAGCATGCATTGGTTGGAGCAGATGTGGTGTAGATTCGTGTATAACATGTAAGAGCTACTAAGCGGAATCGAGGACAAAGTTCTGCCGCCACCATATATATGAAAGCGCCATGCGTTCATTGATGACATGCGATATCAGCACCACTCAATTTGTACCACGTCTTAGGCTGCCTGCTTCCATCGACTACGGCCTTCGGTATCTATGCGATCATCATACTCATTCTCGATGCAATCTTCTCTGGAACCGTAACTCCCTCCATCTGATAAAGACTCTACGTCACTGCCCTTCACATCATCGCTTCCTTCTCCAGCATCACTCACCGATTCAACATCACTTCCCATCGCATCACTTCCCTCCCCATTGTCTTCCGATACTGACCGATTTGAAACGCAACCACTCCTCCCTGTAATATAGTCGTCAAGCGAGATGTATCCTCCCTCGCTGTCGCTATCGCTGTCACTCTCATTCCTCCTTTCCCTTTTCCTCTTCTGAATATCGGACGCGGCACTCGACGGCCGGGCAGACTGGCGGTCAGATTGTGCGTTTGAGCTGCGTCTGCTGCGTATACTCGCGATGTCCGAGCCTAGTGATCTTTTACCTAAGCTGGCGATATCACTTCGCTTCTCGATGTCTGGGTTGGAGCTTGTTGGGCTTGAGTAACGTCGGTGTGTAGTTTGATAGTCCTTCAGACTCTCCACGTCGGATCCGTATTGCGTTTCCTTTCTCGCGCCAGTACTAGGTCCGTCCATCGAGTCCTCTACTCCAGAGCCGTCGTGACCCTGAGAGTGCCTGGTACTTGGGTTGGAACGCATGTTATGCCGGTCGTGGTGGCTGTGGGGTTGGATGTAGTCATCAGTGCGGTGTGTTGGTTGGGTAATATACTCCGTATCTGAAGGGTAGTCGCCATCTGGGGAGCGGTGGCGGGTATTTATGTACGCGTTAGATGAGCAGGATTGGCGATCTATGTATCCTGCGGCCCACCTCCTGCGCCGTGGTGGTGGACTGTATGCAACTCTCTCTGACTCGTTGTATCTGGAGTGTTCATGTCTGTGTGCATTCGAGAGCGTAGTGCGCTTTGGTTTATATTTTGGTTCCCGGGACCGATCACGGGGGTCGTGTGTATAGCGAGACTCTTTGCGGTATGTCATGGCACTGGCGATATTCAGCCTTGCAACCTTTGAGCCTCCAGTAAGGTGGCTACACGTAGCTACTTTTGCGAGATTCAAAGATTCGATCGGGTTGATTACCTGTATGGTAGTTTCTCCACGTTGTGCGACAGTTGTAGAAGGAAAGCAGCCCTCACGCGGGTGCCTACGTGGCAATACACACTAGCCAAATTGGGTCCTATACAGAAGGTATATAGCTGCACTCAAAGATCAGCCTATGAAGCGGAAGACAGCATTGATTTTTGGACTGATGGTTTTCAAATCCAAGATATTTATGTAACATAAAGGGCCAAGATGACCTGAGAAGGCCCTGCCCCTTGAACCTGCGTTACGTTCATTGCTTCGTACTCTACTTCAATGTGTGAGGACATGAACAGTCCTTTCAACTATGACCCTATGTTTCCTATATCGTTAGCTAGCAAGGCCTGGCAGCCACCAATCTCGTCCAGTCTCTGAAATCACGGGTGTAAGACCTACTGCTTTGCTGATTTAACGGATGGTTGTTGGGTGCAACAACAACCATCTGTTAAGTCGTCTGGCCATTATTCGATATTTTGCGACATGTCCTCATTACTACCATAACTTATTAGTGCTTGGTCGACAGGGCCATACTTCTCGTCAGGATGTGGACTGCGAGGTGAAACGTGGACATGTCTAACATTAATGCGTCGACAAGCTTGCCAGGAACGGTCCTTCCACCAATTCTAAGATCATGGGGTTCCATGTAATGCTGAAGTCACAGCGAGCAGTGAGGCTCCATTCGTGCAAGGGCTGGCAGTCTAACTCTACGTACGCCGTTAAACCGTATCTAAGTACTGAAGAAACCGACTATTGAAAAGCCACCTTGGGTAATGCTTCTGAACACTATGCTGAATTGGTACCTTCTGGTACGGAGGCAGCCGAGCGAGAAAAGCTGATATGGCCAAGATGGCGCGACCTGGGTCTGAAGCGTATTGTCGGCCAGACGTATCGGCGCGAGATAAAATGAAAGCGAAGGACAACATTTGTCTCACGGGAGTTAGATGACGACCGTCGTGTGTGGGAGGCGAAAATGGCATACTGCTCTCGAATCCAAGTGCAGCATCTGCCGTCGAGCCTCATGAACCATTGCAGTCGGTGTGTGTTTGCTACTGCACGGGCTTAATCGATTCTGTGGTACCTATGCCATTGATGTTTGATGTGGGTCCCAAACGGCCGAGATTGGAGACCAATCCAACATACACGTGTTGTCTCCTTCTTCAACGGTCTGTGGCGGATGCGCATGCTCCCCTATAGCTAACGGTTGTCGCCTTCCCCTCACATTCGGTAATTGGGATGAAAGGATTCAGAGCTCCTTGGAATGTTGCCCACCACAATTCCGCGCTAGGCAGCTCTAGCCTTGAGAACTCTGGCCCGCCCCAAATATCACCTCATCATTGTCAACCTCAATGATCACACCGATGCTGTGCGGCGCCTTTTTCTAGGTATATGCTAACATGCAACCGTGAGCCGCATCTACTAGCGCCCGCACGCCTACGCAGCGCCTCGCGGTCGCATTCGCGGTCTCTCTTGCGTAGCTCACTGAACGGGGCTTTTCCAACGGCACATTCTCGGCCTATGTTTATTACCAGAGATTGGAAAACTTCTAGATCAAAGTCGCATCTGTTTGCAGTAATGATCTGAAGGCGTCATCTAGAGAACCGCTTCGAATCTCACCACCTCGGCAATGCGTTGTCGTACACACCGCACAACCGTCTTCCTGTCGTGACTCGACGCATGTGAGGCGCAACTAGGTCTACTACACGCCCATCCCTACAATCTTAATGATCATAAGCTCATGAAACGTCTTGTAGACTAGGCTGTTTAAGGCATAGTCGGCCGTGTTAAAGACGGCCGGAGGGTATCGCGGCAGCCTTGCGCAACGTGCGTATCAACCCCCCCCCTGCCTCGTGAAACATACTAAGATTGTTTTCTCCGATACTATCCCAGCACGCTCAGCCCTCCGGTGCTATGCCACTTGCAAAGCAACTATTCCCTGAGTAAATCAACATCCGGTACGGCAATTGCCCCTGGGCGCTGGCCAACAAGCGTCGCAATCTGCGAAACAACCTGGACCCAACGGAAGAACGCCTCCGCTGGGGTCATTACTTGTGGATGCAGGTCTGATTGCCATGCAGTTACCGGCTTCGCAGTGATGAGTGACCCAAGCACCGGCCCGCAAAACAAATGTCCGCCAAGTAGGCTGGCTAGTGGGTACAACCTCAAGCTGAGAATCGTGAGTTATAAAGGTGGGATGCTTTGCCGTTCTTCTAATATCCAAGCCTCGACTTGACATTCATTCACCCTTCCAACTTCAGTCTCTCTTTTCAAAGCAAACTGTGTTTGCATCCATTCATTTCTGCATCTATCTACTAGACAATGAAGTTCTCCATCTTTACCGCCGTTGCGGCGCTTGCTGGCTCAGCGTTCGGTGCTGATGCTGTTAAGGGCGCTGCTGAGGGTTTCGCCAAGGGCGTTACTGGTGGTGGCTCTGCTGCCCCCGTCTACCCTTCCACCACTGCCCAGCTCATCAGCTACCTCGCTGATGCTTCCCCCCGTGTCATTGTCTTGACCAAGACCTTCGACTTCACTGGAACTGAGGGCACCTCTACCTCTGCTGGCTGCGCTCCCTGGGGAACTGCCAGCAACTGCCAGAAGGCCATCAACAAGGACAACTGGTGCGGCAACTACCAGCCCAACGCCCCTAAGGTCTCTGGCCTCAAGTACGACAATGCCGGTGTTCTCGGTATGACCGTTAAGAGCAACAAGTCTTTGATCGGTCAGGGCTCCAAGGGTGTCATCAAGGGCAAGGGTATCCGCATGGTCTCCGGCGTCAAGAACATCATCGTCCAGAACGTCCGCTTCACTGATATCAACCCTCAGTACGTCTGGGGTGGTGATGCCATCACCATCGACGGTGCCGACCTTATCTGGATCGACCACGTCACCACCGACCTGATCTCCCGCCAGCACATTGTCCTCGGTAACGGTGCCTCCGGCCGTGTCACCATCTCCAACAACGAGATCAACGGTGCCTCCTCGTGGTCTGCTACCTGCGACGGTCGCCACTACTGGGGCCTGTACTTCACCGGTTCCTCCGACACCGTCACCTTCAAGAACAACTACGTCCACCACACCTCCGGCCGCTCCCCCAAGGTTGCTGGCAACACCCTCCTCCACGCCGTCAACAACTACTTCTACGCCATTGCTCACGCTTTCGAGGCTGACTCCGGCGCCCAGATCGTTGCTGAGGGCAACGTCTTCCAGAACGTTGACCAGCCTGCTCAGGCCGGTCTTCCTGGTAAGGTCTTTGCTTCCGGCTCCAACAACGCTGCTTGCAAGGCTTACCTTGGCCACAACTGCGAGATGAACGCCTACGGTACCTCCGGCACCCTTGCCGGCACTGACACCAGCATGCTCGCCAACTTCAAGGGCAAGAACATTGCTTCTGCCTCCACCGCCGCCGTTGCCAAGAACGTTGTCAACACCGCTGGTTTCGGACGCATCTAAGCTACTCGCCCGTTTTGAGCGATAGCTGGGAGGGCTGCAAGTCCTGGTCGCTAGACGACGCTGTAGATAACTTCATTCTCTGTACATACATTAGACTTCTATATACCACCTTACTTGTTCTTCAACATCACTCCTAGACTTCTTTCTCTCCACGTGAGCTACGAAACCATGCGAATTTGAACCGAGCGACAACCTTGCAGACAGCAACAGCCGCGTCATGCTCAAACTTCTCACATCCCCCATGAGATCCTGCAGTCTCGCAACACGCAATCTAAACAGCACAACAACGCCTCACGCAAAGCCGCCTACCCGCGTTTAACATACGCCCCCCTTGGCATTTGAAAGACGACCATCCATATGATCTCTCCATATTACCACCACGCAGGCATCGCACCGGCAATTACCAGCCGCCTTGGTGCGCACGCTCCCTGCCACCCATGCCGCGAATCCTTCGATCCGTAATGTGGCCGGGGGCGGTGCGAGACCCGGATACGGACTGAAACACAGAAGGACGTTCGACTCCTGCAGGACTCTGAACTGTCGAGGTCAAGGAGGTCCCGGGGAGGCGCAGCCCTGATTTCGTCGAGAATGTCGCTTTTTCGCGGCCGGTTGGATAGGTGTGGTCACCACGCGTCTCGTAAAGGCCCTGCCCGGTGCCCCGGGTAGCGAATTTTGGGGGTCCGGGCATTGGTCATTTCAACTAAAATGATGAACAGACCGTCCGGCGGAGCAATCTCGTAGGTAAGGCGGAGTGGAGCTGCAGCTGTAGGCTTAGCATGGGTTATTGATTAGTTGACTGTTATCTGCTCTTTTTGTTAGTGCATGTGTTGCCTAGTCCCAGCGGTCTGTAATGTTACGGAACATTTATTGCAGTGTAGATGCTAGGTTGAGACCCTACGAGTGGAGTTATGGTATGAGACGGGTGGATGGCGGATTCGTGGGCAACTGCGCCCTAGTCAAACAGTCGTTATAGATTAGATATCTACGCCATGCAATTCTAAGTGCATGCTCAACGCCGTGCAATGCTCATTACCCAATGCCATGTTTTCGAATGTTCAGTTTCAGCTCTTCTCTCCCCGTCCTATATTGCCAAAACACCGATGACGGCAACGACAAACGCAAAGTATGTCGCGGATGGCGTCAGAAGTGCGGTCGCGAGAGACGTGGCCCTACCACAACATTGACGGTCGTAAGTAACGTTGTTTGCGAGAGCAGCGACCTCGAAGACGGAGCCATTGACTGGTCCTTGATTGTAGAAGTCGACGAGGAGGAAGTTCGGTGCGCGGCCCCAATCAGCTATGACACGTTAATATCTGTAGATCCACACTACGGACGGGTGGTACTTACATGTACATTGGTTGGCCATCAGTCCAAGACTGCCTTGACCCTCAAGCCCGTTCGTCGTGTTTGTCGCAGCAACATTGGGCACCAATAAGCTCAAACCGGCAATTGCAATCTCCACGTTCAGGTTGTGGTTGGCCATGTACAGCATGTCCCTTGCCTTTTCATCACTAACACCCTCGGGTCGTCCAATCGTGCAAGGGAAATTGAAGTCTGTCGGAGAGTATGGTGTCTCCCACATGTTGTAGAACTCCCACAATAGATAAGGAACGGCGTCCGTGTCAAAGTTGTAGTCGATGAAGGTCACAACGCGCTTCTGCTGCAGCAGCATTTCTCCGAGAGTGGGCCAGTCTGCGAGTTCCATGGCAGTTTTCGGCGGCTGATAAATATACTGATACAGTCCAGAAGACCTGATGGGTTCGTCGAAGTTGGAAGATGTAACCAGAGGATTGCCGTTCCCGTCCTTTTGCTCGTAGTCGTAGTTGCCGAAGATAATTGTAACAACATCAAACGGATGTGCTTCGACCCACGCCACTACCTCCTTCAGGTAATCCTCGACCGTGCCGGCGTTGAGAAGATCGCAAGAGGTGTGGCAGTAGTAGAGTGTGCCGTTGACCATGTGCGCCTGACCCTGAAGCATACGGATGCCATCGTTCAACTGCTGAGTAACGCCATAGTCCTGGTTACGGGCTATGTTGCGCTCCTTAGTGAATGGTGAGTTGTGAGCAGCGACCTCTGTGATATTGGAGTATTTGCGATTGCAAAACTCGACATAGTTGTTGCATGGTTGTGTGTTCTGAGGCAGGGCTGCTGAGCCTGTGGCCGATCCTGTTGGTGTCCTGGTCCTGTTGCCTCCGCCGATGTTAATGATAGACTCGCCCGAGGATGCTGAAACGGTAGCATTGGCGGACGCTGTGCTTCCGGATGGCGCACTGGTCAAGGTCGCGAACGTGCTGCCCTCGAAGTCTGAAGGTACCGTGACCGATCCACCGAACTCGCCACCAGACAGCTGCCTTTGAGTGCCAGTCAGGGTGATGACGGACGGCGATGCTGAGGATGAACTACTTTGGCCAGCAGCGAAGCCTGCAAGCCAGAGGAAGGATAGTGTTGTGCCTCTCATGATCGACGCAAGGTCGAGTGTAAATATAGTGTTGTATTATGTAGCCCAACCCCGAAAGATGCAGTGGTATAAATGATGCAGGAACTCCAAGTCGTGAAAATTCGTTAGTGTCAAACAAAGCCTCCGGAAGCGAAGGAAATCGTAGGAAGACCCTAACAGAAAAGGCAGGCACAGGCAGCGGTAAGATACAGCACACGATTGTTGAGACCGAAGTCAGAGCGCTGCGGCAGTGCTTTTGAAGACCTGAGCTGGCCTGCGTCAACCTCCTTGATGTGACGTCTTAGCGCTGTTTTCGCGCCAGCTAAGCCCTGTAGCCGCATCACTCCAGCCATTGATTTGCAGAGCCGCACAAGCACTGCCGACCTTCCCTTTAGCGCGACACGTAATTGAGTCTGGATCGCCGTATGTTTTGGGGATGCTGGGGAGTGGGGATTGTGTTTAGACATGTTCCCTGCTCTTATTGATGAACCTAACACTCAATGTGCCAAGGTTGGCCAGGAACTATTTCATTCAATCGTTATGTATGTACAGAAAGGCATCGCTCATCCAACCCCTCAATGGGGTTTCCAGTACAATAAGAAGTGGAAAATTCTCCTCATGCCGGAAACCTCAGCTAGTCACGATGAGCTAGAGAACATCTGCTCAAACGTACTCTTGCCCTCCAGAGTCTTGATTTCACGCTTCAAAACGTCAACGCGGTAATTCTTGAAGGCCTTCTCGATGCGCTCCTTTGCAGCCGGGTCGCGTGTGATAGTCCTCGTCGCCGATGCGGTACCAGTGATCAGACCGAGTTCGCCGCCGAGGAAGAGGCCGGCGATCGAGAAGAAGAAATATGTCGCAGCATCGCCCCATCTCGAGGGTGCTAGTTGTGCAGAGATGTCAGGGATGGGTTCTGCGTGAAGATTAGTTTGCGGTTTCGTGAGCGACTTTGGTAGACTTACCAGTCCGGCCATCCGCAAAACGGAGCTCGACAGGCTTCTCCATCGCTCTGAAGGCCTTGAAGTAGGCCAGGCGCATCCTGCGCAACCGAATGGCAGCGAAGACACCAAGACCAAGACCGGCCATAGATGCAACAGTCGCGTGGGTTCCAACCTTCTTAGCTGCGCTCTTCAGAAGCTCCTGATCTTGTTGGCTCAAGCTGTTCAAAGTCAGAAGTGGCTGCGGCGAGCTGTCTAACAGCACATACTCATGATTGATGTGTTCCTCGGCCAGTTGGGCAAGGTCCTTGCTGCGCCCAGTACGGAATGCGGCCAATGATTCAGACATGTTCTCGAGGTGTTTTGACGAAAAGAAACTGGGTACGTAGAAGGTAGTAGCTTGTGTTGTAGGGTCGAAGCTTGACCGGCGTGGTTGCAGCTTCGACTTTTGCGCGTCGCCATGACATCACAGCGGCATTCGACGGGCTTTAGCTTGGTTGGGATACGACACGCGAGCTGAACCATCGATTTCCACGATCGCACGTTCACGTGTTACTTCCATTTAGTCGAGAAATCATGGACTTTCAATAGATTTATTGCAAGCTCTCTTAAGCCTGAGAAGAATTGTCATGGACCATCTAGTCACTTTGTCTTCGCACAACATGCCCTTCTCCTCGTGTCGGTGTTGGGAGTGAGCATAATTCTATTCACATTTGCTCTGTAACAGAAACAGCGTGTAGCGTAGAGCACTATGTGCCAGATTCGATAGGATAAAGTATATACAGAAGCTGAAAATCGCTCAATCCGAATGAGCCATCACCCTTCACGTTCTTAGAGAACCCTCTAAGCAGTCGCACCGGTGATTTTCACACTGTACTGCAACCCCTGGTTCAACTCGGCACTGATCTTGAACGGGTCGTACGTGACAAGCTCAGGCGTCTTAGCAATGACCAAGCTCACCTCGTCACCATCAGCGATCTGAACGCTGCCCTTTCCAGACACAACGTCGGTGTACGTAACGCCCGATGCATTGGACACCACCAAAGTAGCCGCATATCCCTGATCTTCTGCCGTGATTGCCACGTCAACAGAAGCTTCGGTGGCCGTCAGAGGGATGATGTTAGCGCCCATGTAACGCGGCGCGCGGGCGGATTTCACGGTGTAGTCTCCACTCGCACCGTCAAGGTTATCGTACTTCAGACTGGGACGCTGCGCAGTAAACGCTTCGTGTGCCTTGGGGTGTCCGATATCAACGAACGCCATATGCGCCCAGTAGCGGCCAACGACCTGCTGCACGGTGACATTCCCGGATGCTCCACCGAGTACGCGCTCGAGCGAATGCAGGGGTGTCTCGTTTGACTCGAGCTTATACTCGCGGATCATGCGGAGGAGGGTGTCGTTTCCAAGATTAGGGTAGTTGTCCGGGTTGTTCGTCAGGTATGCGATGAATGGCCAGCTCTGATAGTAATTGCCGGAGTCTGGGGTCCCATCGACGAGGACCTGGTGGCTGTCGCCTATGATCTTCTGTAGCTCGATGATCGAGTCGCCTTCCTCGCCTGACAAACCGTGAGCAGCACGTGCTGCGCTACAGGCTGGCGTGGAGGTGTATGTGTCGGCGATAAAGTTTGCGATCGGCTCCCACCATGCCCCGGTGTTTCCCTGGTTGATCCAGTTCTTCTCGCTCAAGTGCATGCTGTGACCGAATTCATGCACTACCACATCTGGCACATCGAGAAATTGGTCCACAACTTCTAGATAGGCGAGACCCGCCTGCATATCTGTGCCCTGCACACCGGCGGCACCGGGCAACTCAGACTCCTGCTTGCCGTACACGTTGAGCTTGTACCAGGGCCCAACTTCGTTGCCGATGCCGCCAGTGTTGAATGACAGACCAGGAGTGCGCCATCCCAAAGTTTCGACGAAGCAGGAGTGTGCTGCTTCGAGGTGCTGGAGGGTTTTGTTGGCTTTGGTTGACGTGGACGCGCCGACGACGCGGAAATGGGCTGACTCGACAAAGTTAGACCCACCACCGCCAATGCTGGGGTTGGCGGTGTATTCGGCGGGTGCTGCGGCGTCGGCACGGACGATGGGAGTAGCGGAAGAAGATGATATGACAGGAGCTGTAGAGGTAGCCGATGGATTCAACGACGGGACGGCAGATCGCTTTGGGCATGCATGAGGAGCGGCTGAAGCCAAGAATGCGCACTGCGCGAGTAGAAGAGAAAGGACCTGTCCTTTAGCCATTTTGGAAGTAATGAATGTAAAGATGAACGAATGAATGGTAGTGAGTGGAAAGATTCCTAGGGCGATGCAGCCGCCTTAAATTGTGGAGTGTCGTGACGCTGCTTAACTACCTCTAAGCTCCTCCGCGATCGTCATACGATGCACCCGGTAGCTCATTACAATGCAGTGTCCTTGGTTGCGGCGAACAGTCGAGTGTTAATGATCAGAGCTTGGCAGTGCTATTTCCTTCCGGCTAACAGGCCGTTGAAACACTCTTGGCGCGTGTGAGGTAAACGAAACAAGTTGTAATGAGACAGGGGCTGAGGCGGATGATGTGGTCCATGCACAAAAGGTGCGGGGATATTGAGAAGACTCCAGTGGTACTCATGTCAGGGGAGTTCGGCGTGGTGGTGTTTCTGAGATTCACAAGAGGTGGTTGTGAATGGGACGAATTTGTGGGTCGCTAGTTCTAATGATACATACCATGAGGGCGATGCATGCTCCTCGTATATACGCCATATAAACGCCGTACTATATATGCTGAGCTTGTAGATCGAAGGATCTATATTGTATTATTCATAGCTTTGCTTTTGGTTCAGAAGCTGAAGCGCTAGCTTCCTTGTTCAACGTGACAGTGCCATTAGCTGCACTTTCCCCGAAGAATATGACCTCGACCGTCAGATCGTCCCTAGGGTGTGTTAGAATATCCTCTCGCTCGTATTAATATCATGTGGTACATACCTGTAGCGTCGCGAGAAAGGACTGGGTAAGGTGAGCAGAGCACTCAACTGGTCCTGGTCCTTACCACCAAGGGCGTTGCGCACAAGATGGGTTGCAGCGTTCTTGTCTTCGACGACAAAGCGCTCGTTCAAGTTGGTCTTGGTGCCCCATTGTTGCTGGCGAATAGGCGCACGTTGTCCCGCACCGGCACCGTTGTCTTTCTGGTCGATGGGCAATAGCTTCTCAGAAGACCACCAACTCTTTAACCATGATTGTGTCTGCGCATTTCCGCCGTTAATGCTGCCTTGGGTATCGAGCCACTGGCCGACGAGACCTACGACCTCCTCATTGGTGAGCATTTCCCACAATCCATCAGTGGCCATGACAACAAAGTCGCCTTTCTCAGGCTCAACCTTGGTGGTGGTAATGATGGGCTCAGCAGTGACGTAAGGAGGAGTCTTTAAGAGAGACGATGGTGAACGTGCAAAGTAGGACTTCTTCAGCTCAGCGTTAGTCTCGAGAGACCATTTGTACGACGCATCACCAAAGGCACGGGAGGGCTCCAGACCACCAAGAATGCGACCGTTCCTGACGACGTTGGGCTCGCCGGGGTGCTCCTTGCGTAGGCGCTCCATCTCACTGGTGGTGCCGCCAGTCTGGTCTTCGGACAGGGGAGTCGCGGTCCATTTGCCATTGGCACCCCTGCGCCCAAGCACAGCGCGAGAGTCGCCCGTGCACGCCACACGGAGAAGCTTGGACCGGCTGTCGTAGAAAGAGAGTAGAGCGCAGGAACCAGAGAGAGCAGGGGCGAGCAATTCGGCGGCAGCGATCTTTGACTTGGCCTGCTTGACCTTCTTCACGGACTCGTGCACAATTTCGTTGTCGAGAAGCACAAAGCCGCTCTTGATAGCCTTGTCGATCGACTCAGGGGTTGGAATGCGCTGAGCAGGGTCGGCGAGTGCGCTCTTGTAGGTGGTGTTGAGCTCGCGTGCAACGTAGGAGATGAGTGTCTGGCGGAGTTTCGCCGATGTGACCCAGCCGCTGTGACCGTTAGCAGTTGCGCAACCAGGAGATGTTCGGGTATTCTGGGATCATTTACCTATGCCCGTCGAACACGCCCCAGAACATCCAGTCGCTCGCAGCAGCACCGTTGTCGGTCGCGGCCAGATTGGAGGGTACCTCAATGATCTGCTCAGCGTGGTCATCCTCAATTGGGGAATTCGAGGGAACTATTGACGGGTTAGTGTATGTTGGGGCGGTAAACGTTTGGAACTAGACGTCGTCCAGGAAAAGAAATTTGCTGCTCCAACTGTCCCAAGAAAACAGTAGTGAGAGCAACGGTTTAGCGAGCTCGGGGCTCGACTCGACACTGTCGCTGAGACAGGAACACAAGGCTTCCACTCGATCAATCTTATGTGTCTGTCCAAGGTGCACTTTTGCGCAAAATCGTGACCGTAGAGCTTGCATTGATAGGTATCCTTCGCAAATTAGGCTTTGAGCTGGTGTTCCTGAGACGTCTTGAGAATGTTCAGGTTTTTGTTGTTGACGAACGCCTTCCCGCAGGTGTCGTAGTCGACGCGTTTGAGCTCCACAGCTTCGGTCTACAACACGATCCTTTCGCGCTCGACGAAGCCCAACGCTGCCGTACTTGTAGAAGTTACGCTGCTTAACGATGAATGCCTCGTAATGATCCCTTCCAAAAGGTAGTGACTTGAAATCTGCCAAAGACGGCGGAAGCGCAGCTTGGAGCATGTGGAGGAGGCTGGGAGAGAACTCGAGCGCACACTCTCGTGCAATCACAGCTAGGATGTCGATCGTTGAGAGGATGATGGTGCAGACAGGGTGCTTGACAGTCACGAGTGTGCCGGTGAGGCAGAACCAGACAAGCTGGACAACATAGTCCAGCACATCGACAGTGGCGATTTGAACTCCTTCTATTGCCTCTGGTGTGTGGGTAGAGGCGTGCTGTGCCTGCCGGTGAGGGTATGGTGTGTCTATGTGAGAGAAGTCCGAGCTTGCAAGTGAGGCTCGAAGCACCATGTTTGAGGAAGGCACGAATGTCGCTCACCTCAAACATCGAAAAAATATGGGACGTCTTAACAAGAAAAGAGCGACTTACTCTGAACGACGTCGTAGCGCACGACGCCCTCTCCACGGCCCACCAGCCACGACTCCTCATTCTTGCGCAGCTTCGCCGTGGCCTGTTCAGGGTCCAGCATCTCTACCACGCGTCGCCCGTACTCGTCTGTCTCTTTCGATATGGGGCCCGTCCCCGTGATGGTGCCCGTGTAAAGCTCGCCCTGCCCGACAACGAGCGCCTTCCTGGTCGGCTCGACACCGGCCTGCGTGCTGAGACTGGCGGCCTGGCTGAGCGGAGATGCACTGGTAGTTGTCGACTGATTGCCGTTGTAAGCGTAGAAGGCACCGGAGGCGACGGCGGCAGCTACCAGAGCGCCCGTGATGGCGCGGTACTGCATCGACGAGGTGAGGATGGTCGGCGGTGGGGATGAGCGCCAGCGGCCACTTTGGTGCAGGCCGCGGTGTGCTAGCCCGCTACTCGGCGCCGTGAACGAGAAGGCGACACGGCGAGACGCCAACTTGCGTAGACACGGCCGACGGACAGAGCGCACTGCTTGGAAGGCTGCCCGACGCATGGCAGTGACGGTAGGGTGGAGTGGGCACAGTAGCTGCGAACCGTGGTTGCGGGTGAGAGCCGCTGGTGATCGTGACTCTAGCAGCCAATCAGCTGAGCCCAAACCAAAAAGCGGCTCTCATATCCACCACCACGTCGACGTCATCTTCTGCTACCACAAATAACTCCACAACTCAACTTTGGCAATTGCGCCCATACCACCAAAGTAATATCACCATGTCATCACGTGCACTCAGACGAGCGCAGAAGGAGCATGAAGAGAAGGAACTGCAGGAAAAGCTCGCCAGCCTGGAACAGGGCAGTGAAGAGTCAGAAGAGGAAGTTGCGCCTCAGCCGCGAACAAAACCAAGTCTGTTCGCCATGTTAGGAGATGCAGGCGACGACAACGAAGACGACGAGGAAGTCGACGAGGAGCAAGATGCACCTGCGCCTGAAACCATTATTGAGAGCACACCTGCTGCTAATCTCTCCAGGAAGAGCAAAAAGAAGAAAAAGAAGGGCAAGAACAAGACCAAGACGGATGCTCCACAGAAAGAAGCTACAGACACTGGACTTGATGAAATAGACCAAGCCCTCCTTGCGCTCAAGGTCACATCTGGTGGGAAAAAGGGCAGTGACGAGCCCCTGCAACCCGCCGTCAGCGAAGAAACACAGCAGCTCTTCTCTGCCCTTAGTATAGACACCACTCACCTCCACGCTACCAACGAGATGAAGAAGCTTTTCGGAAGGACTGCACTGCAGCATGCCGGCGACGACGAGCCCCGCCAGCGAGGGCCCCAAGGCATTGCTGCCCGTGTAGCTGGGCGCAACCAGCCTGGCTCGCGCCTCACTGGCCTTAGTCTACGGCGCAACATCTTCATCCAAGGCAAGGAAGAATGGCCGCGCGCAACGTCTGGCGGGCTGGGCATGGAAATCGTGGCGAAGTACGACGACGGGACAGTTGAGTACCGCTTCGTGCACAACACTTCCTACCAAGAAACGCAGCGCCAGTTCCACAAATGCGTTGCAAGCTACGATCCTGAGCGCATGATACAGCTTCTTCAAATACACCCATATCACATCTCCACGCTGCTTCAAGTCTCCGAAATCGCAAAGCAACAGCGCGACAACGCGTCTGCCTCCGACCTGCTCGAACGCGGCCTCTTCGCCTTCGGGCGCAGTGTGCACTCTACGTTCTCTTCATCCCTCTCCGCTGGTAAAGCACGCCTATCGTTTTCCCGCCCGGAAAACAGAGAATTCTTCCTCGCCATCTGGCGCTACATCGCCACACTATGCGTCCGTGCAACCTTCCGCACCGCATTCGAGTGGGCCCGTTTGATGCTTTCGCTCTCACCTGAAGAAGACCCATACTGCATGCGCCTCCTGGTGGACCAATTGGCACTTCGCGGCCGCTCCCCCGAATCCCTGGTCGCAATCGCAGAATCGGATGTGCTCGAGCGCTCGTGGAAAGTCCCGCCGAACATCGCCTTCTCTGTGTCCCTCGCACACCTGCGCCTCAAAGAACCTGTCAAGGCGCGCAGCACCCTCAAGAACGCCGTCCGCGAATATCCCTGGCTCGCCGCACGCCTGTGCAAAGAGCTCGATATTACGCCCATCCCGAAGCCCATATGGGGCAAGGAGCCCACGGACGACCTCCAGGAGCTGCTGTGCAGAATGTACGTCCCGCGTGCAAAGGACCTATGGAACACAACCGAGGGCACTTCGCTGCTCGTCGAGATCAGCTACAGTTTCGAAGAGCCCCTGGGCGACGGCGCGAACCCGTACTGGCTTGCGCCCATAGACGAGCTCGATCTCGCGCGTCACGTTATCCTGACAGATGACCAGAGCCTTATCTCCCTGCTCGATGTCGCCGTCAAGGAGAAGTACACGTCTGTCTCCGATCCGCTGCCGCCGGCGAACAACACGCCCTCGTACGACATCGCGGCTGCAGGGGGGGCGCGCGGCCAGGGTGCGCCAGGGGACCGTAATGCGCTGCTTGCGGATTTGGAGAGGCTGCAGCGCTACTTCCAGAACATTGACATCGAAGGACTTGTGAATGGGGGGCTGGCGGAGGGGAACCTTGTCAGGGCGCTGGCAGAGAATGGGAGCAATCTGGAAGAGTTTCGGCAGATTACTGAGAGGTTTCAGGTTGTGAGAGCGGCGCTCCTGGATGCTGGTGAGAACGAGGACGAGGAAGACGGGTCGGATGAATAGTTGAACATTGGACCCGTACAGGAGGGTAGCTCGTAGCTGTTCTGTAACGGCCGAAATCTCAATGGATACCCGTGAGCTAACAGCCGGAGGAACTACCACCCTGTATAAATGGTGCACAGACAATCAAACTACAGGTCAATTAAAGGCAATAAGTCTACGATTACCAATTACATATGCTCAGCTAAGGGTATCCAAGAAATTGCTTGTTCGCTCAAAACCATAATCAGGCTTGGTTCACTCGCGTATACTGGGGCTGACACTGAGACTCCTCTGCCTGCCGACCTCAACCAACACGTTCGCCGTCCCTGCCCTATCCTCAAACAGCTTCCTTAGGTCCTCTACAGACGCTTTCTTCAAGTTCAGCTTTCGCGGTCCCAAGCGCTCGGGTTCAGGTCTGTTGGTCTGTTCCAGGCTGGGCATGCGTTTCAGTAGCCCCGGGCTCACCGTTCTGGGCTTTGACGCATGGACGGGAAGGCTGGTAGACTTTGAAGAAGGGCGACCGGTCACAGGGTGGACATTTGTGTTTGTTGTTGGCGTGGGATAGACTGGTCGTGCGAGGCCTGTGATCTGTGGTGCTCGGTTGGCAAAGGGAACACTGGGCCTGCGAGTATCGGTCGCTGACGCAGGTTTGTGATCTAGTTGTGTGGGTGAGAGCGAGGTACTGGGTGAAGTGGTCTCGCTTCGTGTGTGCCAGGTAGGACTCATCCACTTTCTCTTATCGCTCGATGTGTCGATTCCAGGTAAATCGGTAAGACCAGGCAACGCCTGACCCTGCGGAAAGAAGCGATCGAGACCATACTCAGAGATTCTACGCGCATCGTTCTGCTTGTCCGTGGATTTCTCCACGTTGTCAACCTGCGCTGCTGTCAGGGCTTTCCTCTTAGGGAGAATGATTTGAGGAGCAGGAGCAGAAGCAGGAGCAGCCGGTGTAGCCGGCTTCGCGTCCTTTTCAAAAGACGAAGGAGCAGGGATAGGAGGTTTAGCTGCCGTACCAGACTTCTTCTCATCAGGAAAAGTGGCTCGTTGCCCTTGATCAAACTCGTTTCGTCGCGGCGAGAAGCCATCCGTGGTCGCTGCGTACGTTATGGGCGATTCAGCAACGTCTTCAGGTGCATCTGAGATCACCGTCGAGTATCGGGGAGGTACTGCTAAAGGAGGTGCTGGTTTTCTCTGCACAGAATCGCCAGAAGACTTCGCAGATGGGATGCGCGATCGCGGGGGTAAAGGAGGGGGTCTCGTCGCCGACGATGTGGCCTCTGTATAGTCCGTGTATACTTCAGGCGCCTTTTCATTATCTTGCAAGGTAATTCCACTCATCTGCTCGTCAATGGAGTCCCTGTCGTCCCCTTTGCTGACCTCGACGGGATCGTCCCACTCGCTCATATTACTGGGCAACTCCAGCTGTGCTTTGAAGGTAGCCGCTTCTTGGCCACACGCTTCTCGAAGGCCATGACCCCACATGTCGACGGCATGCGTAAAAATACGTCGGATGATAGAAGACATCTTAGCATCCTCAATCTGGTCTGGCCCACAGAGTAGCGCTGGCGCAAAGCAAACAGCAAGATTTTCAGCCGTCATCTTGTTCTGCTCTTGACGCGATGCCACCTCGTGGAGGAGCGGCAAGAGGTGTCTCACTACAATTTCCCTTGAGATGGCAGGCAAAAAGGACCACTCAGAGGCGGGCGAGAACAGATCGCGAAGCTGATCGAGGTCCGGGATCTGCTGCGAGTTCCCGAACAACCGCTTCAGGTCTCGGTAGGATTCTGAGGGGAAAACAGGCTGTCTCAAACTAGCGTACCACGCCTTGATCATCGCAGCTGCCATGAACACGGAGTAGGCATCTCTGGCGTCAATCTCTGCCAAGATCTCATCCTGATGCTCTGCTTCAGGGTATGTTGGGACTGGCAGCGATACACCGTTGTCCTTCCACATGATGAACTTCTGACCGCGATCGTATGCCTCCTTTAGTACCTCTCTCAGCTTGGAGTGAGCTGGAATTCGGAACAGGCCCTCAGAAGTGATGTTCTCCTCCATGAGTATGAAGCTGGTCGTCTCGCGTAGCACCCGTGGGAAGCGCGTAGTGCCTTTATTGGTGAAAGGGAATGGGTCGCGTGCAGCAAACGCACGACGCCCGCTGGCGTACGGGGCGAAGATGTCATCAGATATGCGGCGATCGGTGAGGTATGTCGAGGGCGGTATGAGGAGGTTCTCGATAGGAATATAGAGCGCAAGCTGGGTCAGGCTGGAGGCTACAGTTGTCAGTTTGCGTCGCCAAGGCGTGAAGTTCAAGACATACCGTGGTAGATCTTCCTCCTGAACTTGGGGCTGACAATCGTTGAGAAGATCTCGGTCAAGATGCGTACCCATGCTTTCTCATGTACGATATAGAGTCGCTGCAACCTCTTTCGCATGGCCCGAGACAGCACATGGTACGCCTGGAGGAACCAGCCCCAACCCGGCCTGTGCTTCTTCGACGTAACCGAGCCATCGCCGTCGCCTGCAAAGAAGATCACCTCGTATTCGAATCCCTTCAGCAGATCATCCTCCTCGGGCAGACGTGCAAGCACGTAGGGAAGAAGCTGATCAAAGTCGGTGTCGTGGGTGTCGGGGAGAGCAGCAGCATTGAGTATGAACACGGGCCTTCCTTCCTTGGAGGGAATGGGGCTGCGGTAAAGGATGGAAGCAGCGGCCTTGGCCAAGTCGACTGAATAATCTGAGCTCTGGCGTGGTGGAGGGACAGCGGAAAGCGACGAACTACGAAGACGGCTTGCGAGGTGCGCACGCATGCCGCTCATGGCGACGGATCAGGGGACAAAGTCGCCAGCCTGGATAAATCGAAGGGCTCACGCGATGTGAGTGTGAACGTGGAGATGCAGAGCACTGACACGTGAAGTGCGGCTGAGGAAGGAGCGGGAGCAATAGAGGGGCTGTAAACAATGACGTTTGGTCTGGGGAACAGGAAACAGGAGAAGGTACAAGCCACACTTTGTTTTGGGGCCTGTGCGCTCGCTGCCCGGACATGGCTGCGCTTGATTCGACTTACAATGCTTATTTCTCGTAAGTTTGAGCCGACTAAGATGTTTCTGCAACTAATTTGAGATCTAAATTTACTTGACGGGTCGACCGGCTACTACAGTCTTGTGTGTCATTTTGGCAAGGCAAGGCTACCATGTGTGTCGGGAATAAGACCATGCCATAGGCATTTGGGCCTCAGCGAAACAAAGAGACATCGCAAGTCAACGTGATAAGATTTGGCAAAGAATACATGTTCTAACTGGTTTGCGTAAACTGTAGCGTCCATATGCTTTAGTATCTTCTAGAACAAACACACATCTAAAGCCAGCCTAGACAATGCATGATAACAAACTACCAGAAATGCTATTAACAAATACTTTACTTGGTGTGAAATTGCCACAAGAGGTGGCCTGGTCCGATGTACCGCCATCGCCTAAGCGCTGCCATTGAGAGGGTATCAGTGAAATACGAAAAATGTGCACATCCAGCAGCCATCGGTTCGTATCTCCGTCAACTCATCGCGTTCGAGTTGCCCGCGCTATTATGCCACCACGAAGTATCAAAGTGCTCCTGTGCCTGTCCATCTTGCGCACCATGGCCACCGCGTTGGTATGATACTGGATATGATCCACCGGCCTGACCGTGTTCGTAGCCAGGCGCACTACTTACGTAGCCATTGACTCCAGTCTGTTGCCATTCTTCGTTGATCTTGAATCCGTCTCGCCCCAGTCGATCCCCCATGTTTCCTGTATGAAGGACGCTATCCAAACCCATTGGACTAATCTGCTGATAGTTGACACGAGGCAGGATAGGCGCTGGCATGCCAGCGATAGGAGTCCAAAACATCGCGTCGGCAGCCTCTGAGGTTGCCGTGCTTGTCGTTGGGATAGCCATAGACATGGACTGTGAATATGATGTATACGAGCCCATAGGCATGCCTGCGCTAAAAGCTGGCTGCGGGGATGTCGTCGATACTGTTGGCGATCCATGGTGTTGACTAGGAACAACAGAACCTGATCGTGCTTTATTATGCGGATTTGGCTGCATATTCATGTTGGCGAACATCGAGAGACTGCCTCTCCTATCAGGCTCAGGAATTTGGGAGTATCCACCTGGACCCTTTCGATTCACAAGGGTAACTGTGTTTGGAGCCACTAGAAGGGGGTCAGCGGGAGGGCTGGCAGCCCCCCGAGGGTTGTTAGGGTCACTTCGAGGCACGAGCTTCGAGTTTTCCAACTCTTCCGGCCAAGGTAAGTTCCAAGTCCTGGCAAGACTGTGTATGATGCGAAAGCTTCTCGCCCCGAAATAGTGGCATTCGTGCAGCGCTTCCAAGCCTTGCAAGCCTTCCACCAGATTTTGGCGTGAAGTCGGGTTGTCTTTCGAGTAAAGAAGGTGGACGATTGTGACGGAGAGAAGTATATGTGGAATCGCAAGATGAGCGGTGCGGAAGTCGTACAATGAGCGGTAGAGCCTGGTGAGCCCCGAGACTTTGTTCGCTGCTTCGATACATTTATCGCGGGGGTGCACGTCCGAGTGTATGAAGTCAACCTTAAGCACTGGGCGGAAGAGGTGAACGATCACTGTCCAATACAACATACTAGCCAAGGTTAGTGGTTGTCTAGAAGATTTAGAGTATTGCGCATACTGCAACGTGATTGTGTGAGGTTCCGGCTGCCGCCCTTCTAATCTCATGATGGATGGTAGCTTCCGGTACCATGCTTGATACTTGTTGTAACAATCCAGCAACTTTGTGCTCGTGAGTCTCTCCTTTGGCGCAAAAAACATGTGGTTGTTGTCGTTGATCATTTCTGAGAGAGCGGAGAACTCCTGCAAGAACATGCGGGTGGTGATGACCTTGGAGGCGCCATGGCTTGCTTCAAGAGGTCCACTCGACTCCTCGAGAATCGGTTTATCGAGTGTGATGGCTGCTCGGGGCAATTGAGCAATTCGACCGGCGCAAATAGACCATACCCTGTAAGATGTTAGGTTTCGTGTTGGTTGATAGACGTGAAATGCACACTTACGTGTCGACTGTGAAACAGCCCCAAAATGTGACTTTCCTGACCTCGATCTCACTCGGGGTCAAGCCTAAGGCAGGGCTGGCACTGTTATTCAAGTGAAGACCCAGCTCAACACACATACGGATGCATCTTCCTATGTACCCAAATCCCGCGCTGTCTCGTCCAGTACTTGGCTCGCGCATTGCCATGAGACACAGAGCTTGTGTAGTTGTAAGGTTGGATGTATCATCTTCTTGAAGCAATCTCTTGGCTTCTGCGAAAAAATGGTCTCCTGCAGTACGGAAGTTGGCAGGATTCGTTCGCGCGGCGGGTTCGTCCGTTAAATGGCTGGCGTAGGCGCAGATAGCGTTGACTAGTAAAGATGAGCAGTACTTGTTCCGCCCCTCTTGGAAGTCCTTGTAGAAGCTCTCGCGGCTGAAGAGGATGTAGAATGGATGACTCCACGTGAAGTAGAGGGTGAGCAATCGGTTGACAAAAGCTAGGTCATCTGTGACTCTCGTCCAGGTGGTCCCTCGTCTCTGCGCATCAGCCGTGTGCATTCGAGCAAGGCCACCGCCATAGTCCTCATCTTCAGTAACCAGTCCCAAGCTGGCAGAGTGACCGAAATGTCTGCTTTGCCCGGTCAAAGTGATTGCTGGTTTGCCCAGAAGCACGCTCAGGTCTGACTCCAGACTTTGCACGTCGAATGGAGAGGATGGCTGAGGTAGCGCAAGGGTGGTGCTGTGCCATGAGTGAAGAAGCGCCACTGTGTCGGCCTTGGGGTCCCTTCGAATCTGCTGGATGAAGTCAAGCACATTTTCCTCCGGGAGAGATCTGATGGAGTTGATGAGAGAGTCGATTGTCAGTGCATCACCTGTGTGTGACACGACCGCGGCAGAGGCTTCGCGCTTGGTGCCAGCTGACGCGGCGGATGAGGACTTGGAACGCCGGCTTTCGCTCTCCGCATCGTAGTGGCATGGGGTCTTATAGACCGCTGTGCATGTTGCGCAGAATGGCGTCGCGCCGTCACACTGGGAGATGTAAGCAGCTACGCGAGCCGTTGTGTGAACACAGAATCGAATCAGACCACTCCTCTAGAGTGGCCCGGGGGATCGAGCTCAGAAGCAGTCCGCGGGGGCGAACCTCCCGATCAGCCATTTAGTCTGGACGTGTACAAGCAACAACGTAAGATGTCCACTGACCTTGGACTTGCGCTTGCGACATGGCACACATGCGGACTGTACACATCGTCTTTTGGAGCCCTTGGACTCTCCCTGCTGGGCATCCCCGTCACCGGGCTGGGTGGCTGCAGCGCCGCGGGCCATAGCTACAGCGAGCAACAAGAGGTAAGAAAGAGACTCACGCGCGCTCCGAGGAGGACTAATTCAAGTTCTCGACATGCTGGAGCTTGCGCTGGTGATTCGCATCGAAGAGTTAGCCACAGTTTGTTTGTCACGGCAGGTGTAATCGGACTCGGTAGATGTGACGTGCGACTAACTGGCTTTGAGCCAACGCGCCTGCCTTAGTCGTCCGTTCCGCAGGCCCTGCTAAAGCAACGATCAGGCCCGGCACCGGTGGCGGAATCATCCTCCATGCTACAAACAGGGGCCATGGTAGGCTCGAAGGGTCTGCGCGTGAACTGTCTCAGGCTCGATTCCGTGTGGCTCTCGGTGAAGTTTGCCGCGCGTGGATCGTAACCCGGTACAGCATTTGTTATGGGAATTCGTATCGAAAACTCGACATTCCCATGTTTTAGCCGACTTGCGCCGCCCTCCTTTAGGCTCCAGACACTCTCAAGCTCCGGGTGCAGTAGAGGCTCTGTCGGGAAGACCGATGCAAGACCTAGTCTTCGGCCGTCCGCTGCCAGCCAGAACTTGTTGTCGGCGCCCCAGAGCGTTCCATCTGTCTATGAATGGGCGCGGCAGTCCGAAAGGTGATTAGCATGATGTGGCGAATATTTTCCACCTTCTCGACCGATCATCTGTGCTGCCTTCTCCACAAGGCAGCGATGTGCTGGATCTCGATGCATCGATGATGCCAAAAGGAACATGAGCTCATGGTGTGGAGTTCGCACTGAACAGCGTGCAACGGACTCTGCGCCTCAGCCAGAAGCGTGCGTGGAGGCCCTCGAGACGGTAGGGATCAGCTGCAGGGCTCCTGTTGAGTTGCCGGGGTAGACGGGCCGAATGACACGGATCTTATCCGGCGCTGTGGCTTCGAGCACAAGAGGCGTGAGAGTGTCGTTTCTGGTGTCAGTCGTTCCTGGTCGTCCCCTCATCCGCTTGCAGCGAATCACGGGCCGGCAGGATTACCTGCATATTCACTCAAAATCTCCGATTCATCTTTATGGGTTCTGGAAGGATGCGGTGCAGGAGCAATGGCTACGTCATCTTGCATCTACATTTTGCTGTGGAATCGTGGAGTCTATGCAAGGAGCAATTGGACTTCTTATGTAGACACATCGCTCTATCAGAAGGGCCGAAACTTAATGATCCACTGTGTTCTAGGCTTGAACACGATCGCAATAGCCGTGACACCGAATCCTTCGGTCAAGCAATATCCGAACATCAAGTCGCGTCGCGCGTGAAAGATGGGTGGTTTTATATGCGCAGATGACGCGCGAACAAGGAATATCTGCATGCATAGAACTCCACCAAATCAGGGTCTACATATGCACATAACATATACCAAAGGCATAGCAGAGAGTCTTGCGCATCTACCTCTGAACGGGCACGACACCCGCATGGGCTGGCAACAAGCTCCTAGCACCCGCTCTCGCCTGCTGCGCCAGAACCGCATCCATGATCACCAATGCCGCCATAGTTTCGACGATGGGTACCGCACGAGGCACCACACACGGGTCGTGCCGACCCTTAGCTTCGAGGACACCGTCCGCCTCCTCGTAAGTCGCTGTTGCCTGGGCTTGGCCGATTGTGGCAGGGGGCTTGAAGGCCACGTTGAAGTAGATGGGTGCACCGTTAGAGATACCACCCTGAATACCGCCTGAGTTGTTGGTCTTGGTGGTGAGCCTTGGTCGTGGGTAATTCGACGTGCCGTTAGCACCTGCAGGGACAGCAGGTGCCTTGATAAAGGCGTCGTTGTGAATAGAGCCGGGTACCTGGGCACCGCCGAAACCAGATCCAATCTCGAAGCCTTTGGTAGCCGGGATAGAAAGCATAGCATGCGCGAGCTTTGCCTCAAGCTTGTCGAAGCACGGCTCTCCCAACCCGGTCGGACAGTTTCGGATGACACATGTCACTGTGCCGCCAATGCTATCCTCCCTGTCCCTGTACTCAGCAATGAGCTTCTCCATGCGCTCGTTGCTCTCCTCGTGTGGGCATCGCACGGGCAAGAAAGAGTCAACGGTCTTGCGGTCGATCGTATCGATTACCTTTAGATACTCAGGGTTGGTTGAGGCGGTAGGATGCGTTGGTGTGGGAGGGAACAGGAACTCGTTGCCAACGGAGGCTGTGAATGCGACAATCTCGATACCGTATGCCTCGCGCAAGTACTTCTCAGCAATTGCACCGGCAGCGACTCGTCCTATACGATGTTAGACGCTGACAAGCAGCTAGCTGTAACATGCGACTCACCAATGGTCTCACGCGCGCTACTCCTTCCGCCACCAGAGCTGGCCTTGACACCGTACTTCTCGAGGTAGGTCCAATCTGCGTGACTCGGTCTGGGGTACATATCCATGGTCTTGTTGCCATAATCCTTTGGACGCTGGTTCTCGTTCATGACCCTAATGCCGATAGGCGTGCCCAATGTTATGCCAAACTCGGTGCCGGACTGGATCTCGACTTTATCTTTCTCGTTTCGCGGTGTTGTGATCGCAGACTGACCGGGTCGTCGTCGGGTCATCTGGGGCTGGATATCGGCCTCGGTAAGGGTCATGCCAGGAGGGCAGCCATCAATGATGGCACCGACGCTGAGGCAGTGGGACTCGCCATAGCTGGCTGAAAGTCAGCGCCAGCTCACTCGAAACCTCAATTTTCTGACATACGTAGTAACTTTGAAGTGCTGGCCGAATGTCGACATGACTGCGGTGGTGTGGAGAGGTTGCTCCCTTTGCGAAGCTGTTTTAGGTGATAGAAGCGTCCAATTATCTTCTTGGGGTATGACAGGCTCTCAGTCCTATGTGAGTCTTGTACTTCAAGTAGTAAGCAAAAGTCTGGATCGACGTTGCTGATCTAATGGGTGTTGGAGTCACTGTGAAATTTTGGTGGGGCGACGTCAGTCCGTTGACCCCGATGCCGGAGTGAGCCCGAATGCGTAAGGCTGAATGAATGAATGCGCCGTGAACAGCTTCAATAGGAAGAGCACATTTACACGTAAGAAGACAGATGCGTAGCTCGATATTGTTGCTCCGTGTCTGCTTTGGTATGGTAAAGCACAGTATGCAATTAACAAGAAAGGATAAAAGTGGGTATAGGGCTGAAGCTATGCTGATCGAGCAGAAGTCCTGCATCTCCACTGACAAGGAGTTGGGGAGAACGCAAGCTCGATTATGCTTCTGCTCGACTTCGCAGAGAAGATCGAGTCAATTTTCGCAGATGGGGTTTAAGGACGCGCCTGCATCAGTGCACCCTCGACCCGGTGACCAAGACGCCACAATTGAGCAATCCGAGGTAGAAGTCCTGGCTCTTAAAATGGCAAGAGAAAGACGGTGAGATGGGTATGCTTAGCAGCACGGCAGCTGGTCACGCGCTTGTCAACTACTCACCCAAGGTATGAAGGTTGGCGACCTTATGCACGACGACCAGCGGTCCTGGCGTTCCAGGGTCAATGCCATCCATGGGTTGACAGTGACCTGACAAGTGGAGGGAGCTCTGACAAATGAGAAGATGCACAGCAGCAAAGGTGCGACGTCTGCAACGAGATCAAACAACGACACCAAATACGGCCTGTAGCGCCTGGGGAATGCTGAGGGGGGCACGTTTCCCGCGCTGTGGGCGGCGACACACCCGACCTTATCCGTCTAGCGCCTTGCGGACCCTGAGCTCACGTCTGCGGTGTTTTCGTCGCAAACTTTCCTTCTCGACCGCCCTCACCACATCGACCCATCTTACACGCATCCATACACGCCTTCACCATCATCCATCATGACTGAATTCGTCAAGGTCGAGAAGCTTGTCCCCAAGTTCCCGCCGCCGGCGTTCGGCGACATCGCCAAGGCATCGAACGACGTATGTTTGGACGGCCCATCTGGAGCTTTCAGGTGTCGCGACCACTAACTTGCGCCCGCGCAGCTTATCAACAAGGACTTCTACCACACTGCCGCAGGTCGGAACAGCCAATTGAGCATCCGCGACGCGCGCTGACCTTTCATTAGCTGCCCTTGAGGTCAAGCTCAAGGCCCCCAACGGTGTCAACTTCACCGCCAAGGGTGTCTCCCCTCACTCCGGCCCTGTCGCCTCCTCCGTACGTCCAGGCGCATCCAGCGGACGGGCCACACAGGACTGACATACTACGCAGCTTGAGGGCAAGAAGGCTCTTTCCAACGGTACAGCATCCACTTCCTTCACCCCTCGTTCGCTATCACTATTCATACAAGCACATAAAAAGTCACCACAGGCCTACATCTTTCACGTAGCCCAACCCCCGGGCGGCAAACACACCGTCACCGGCTATCAAATCAACTTGCTGACGACAAACTTCCCAGGCATCAGCATCACCCAGTCCTGGAACACCGCCAATGTCCTTGCTACTAAGGTCGAGCTCAACGACACCTTTGCTAGCGGCCTGAAGACCGAGGTTCTCTCCAACTTCAGCCCTGCTGCCGGCAACAAGGGCCAGAAGGTCAACTTCCACTTCAAGCAGCCCAACTTCCACGGCCGTGTCTTCGCTGACTACTCTGCCGCTGGTGCCATCGGTGCTGTTGCCGATGCCGTCGTTTCTCACGAGGGCTTTGTTGTTGGTGGTGAGGTCGGCTACGACGTCCAGAAGGCTACTATCACCAAGTACAGCGCCGCTGTCGGTTACACCACTCCCCTCTACAACGCCGCCATCACTGCGACCAACTCCCTGAGCGTCTTCTCCGCCGCATACTACCAGAAGGTCAACCCTGCTGTGGAGGCCGGTGCCAAGGCTACTTGGGACTCTAAGTCGGGTTCCAACGTCGGTCTTGAGCTTGCTGCCAAGTACAAGCTCGACCCTGCTTCCTTCGCCAAGGTGCGTATTCACGCGAAATCCGTGAATTCCCAGTACTAATCGATCGCAGGCCAAGATCAACAACCTCGGCATTGCTTCCCTCGCCTACAACACCAAGGTCAACAGCGGTCTGACCTTCGGCATTGGTGGCTCTTTCGATACCCAGAAGCTCAACGAGGCCGGCCACAAGCTCGGCACCAGCTTCACCTTCGAGGGTTAAGTGGTTGATGTGTGTATAGTGGGGTGGGAATACCGTGATCGTTCTAGATTCCTATTTGGTTCTGCAGCGAAGCGCCTCAGTCTGTGATGCAGTGAGCGACTGTAGTATGGCTTTTGGGCATGTACAACATTATCTCAATGCAAAATTTTGAAAATGGCCTAAGAGTCTCTATTAATCTTGTGCAATGTCTATGTTGCGGCTTTCAGCTGCTTCTCGTCTTCCCTGACTTCAAAAATTTTCAAGAAGGCCCCAACAGAGCCTAGGATGCCGAAGACAACCAGGAACCTGGCCAAGTGGCTCCCTCCTCTCGCGTACTCTTCGTCTCTACGATGGAGTTTTGACCGCCGCCGCCCCTTTTGTATGTGCTCTTGAATTTGCTCGTGGACTTGCTTGTGTCGCACGTTGTCGAAATGCGGTACTTGTTGGCCCTGGCGCCGTTGTCCTGGTCCGTATCCTCCCTGCTCTCCCTGGCCGTCTGGCTCTGTCTCCTGGCCATCAGGGTTTGGGTTGTGATGCGCGTACTCCGCCCTCTTTGCCCCATGTCGGCCGTACCCACCACTGTTGTAGAAGCTGGGCGGCGGGCCGCGAAACGTGCCCCTCTTCTTGTTCAAGCCAGTCGCAGGCCTGGATCCCGCATAGCTCGCTGAGCTGTAGCTCCCAGGAGGATGACCGCCGCCTCCGCCTCTGCCCCATCCGGAGCGCCGCTCAGTCTGATGCAAATGTGCGTCATACTGCGCGCGCTTCTCCGGCACAGAGAGTGTGTGATAGGCTTCACTTATGGCGACGAAGCGCGTGGACGCGGCAGGATCATCCTTGTTGTGGTCTGGATGGTTCTTTTTAGACAGTGCATAGAACTGTTTCTTGATCTCCTTTGCGTCCGCTGAAGGCGCGACTTGGAGCGTTTCGTAGTGACTCGGGGCGCTATCGGAGGCACGGGGCGCGGTCGCATGGAGAAAGCGAGGCGCTGTCGCGTGCAGCAAACGCCCGTGAGGCAGACACGACTGGCAATTCCATTGGGGGCGCGCGGTGGGCCGGACGAAGAGGACAGGGCGAGGTGGCATTGCCCATTCCTAGTGGCAGGAGAGTGCCTGAGAGAGCAAGACGGAGCCAGAGATAAATCGGCGGTGTCTGATGTCATGACCCTGTGCCCTCGCGCAGGGCAAGTCGAGCCGAGACCGAACGCCGTCCTGCCCGCGCGGAATTCGGTCGTTCGAGGTCAGATCAAATAAAATCCACCCAGCGCGCAACTACGACTGCCACACAGCACACCATGGCAGCCCAGGTAGAGAACGGCGTCGCCGACCTGAAGTGTATGTACACCCGCTCCCAGAACCCGACAGTGCTGACTGCCAGCAGTGGATGACGCCCAGGGCAAGCCCACAACCGGCGAGAAGCCCACAGAGGGCGCCGACCACGAGGACTCGGACGACGACAACGAGGCCGAGGACGGCGCCGAGGGTGCCGGTGAGGGTGCAGCCAAAAAGAAGAAGAAGAGAAAGCCTAGAAAGAAGAAGAAGGCCGGTGCTGCTGCTGGTGCCAAAACCCAGACCTCCCCGCCCCGCGTGCCCATCGCGGACCTGTACCCCAGCAATGTCTACCCCGAGGGCGAGATCTGCGAATACCTCGACGAGAATAGCTACCGCACGACCAGCGAGGAGAAGCGCCACCTCGACCGCCTGAACAACGACTTCCTCAACGACTACCGCAAGGGCGCAGAGATCCACCGACAGGTCAGGCAATGGGCGCAGAAGTCGATTAAGCCGGGTATGTCGCTCACCGAGATTGCTGAGGGCATTGAAGACTCCGTGCGCCATCTCACAGGCCACATGGGACTCGAGATGGGCGACGCTCAGATTGCTGGAATGGGCTTCCCCACTGGTCTCAGCATCAACCACTGTGCTGCCCACTACACACCCAACGCAGGCAACAAGATGGTCGTCAACTACGAAGACGTTATGAAAGTCGACTTCGGTGTGCACATTAACGGCCGCATCGTCGACAGCGCCTTTACCATGACCTTCGATCCCGTGTACGACAACCTCGTCGAGGCGTGCAAGGCTGCCACGAACGCTGGTGTCAAGGAAGCCGGTATTGATGTGCGCATGAGCGACATTGGTGCCGCAATCCAGGAAGTCATGGAGAGCTATGAGGTTGAGATCAAGGGCCAGATGCTGCCGGTCAAGTGCATCCGCAACCTCAATGGACATAGCATCGGCCACTACACTATCCACGGCGGCAAGACAGTGCCCATTGTCAAGGGAGGTGACCAGACGAAGATGGAGGAAGGGGAGACGTTCGCTATCGAGACATTCGGTTCCACTGGAAAGGGCTACGTACGTGATGACATGGAGACGAGTCACTACGCACTACGTCCAGATGCGCCAAAGGTCGCGCTGAGGGTATCAAGTGCGAAGACACTGCTTAACTCCATCACGAAAAACTTCGGCACGCTGCCGTGGTGCAGGCGTTACTTGGACCGCTTAGGTCACGACAAGTACCTGCTGGGGTTGAACAACTTGGTGTCTGCAGGCATAGTTGAGGCATACCCACCGCTGTGCGACATCAAGGGCAGCTACACAGCACAGAGCGAACACGTAAGTTGTACTACTGTTAGGGAAGAGTAACACTGACCATTGATAGACACTTATCCTCCGACCAAACGTCAAGGAGGTCATCAGTCGTGGTGACGACTACTAAGCTCTAGGATCGACGCGATATTTCCAACATACCAAAAGATTGCTCGACTGATTCGCTTTACGGAGTGACAGGTAGCACAATGACATCACGAAAATCATAGAACACAAAAACACAATCCATATCCATGAACGGGACTTCTTGGTACCCGCGCAACCCAACTAAATCAATTCTCCAAACTGTTCCCTGGCTTCTGACTGCAATGACTAATCAAGGTGCAGCTCGCCGTTTGGCTCCGCAAATGGGGAGTATTTCTGCGTCTCGGTCCACAAAGTCTCTTCGTCCATTTGACTTGCATCCAGACCAGCAATGATGTCCCTGCTGAGGGTTAGCCTGCGCGGACAATTTCAAAGCGAATACTCACTTGTCTTCAGCCAGTACCTCAAACCCTGGAACACAGTCAATCAGTGCATAGATTACGTAGCTTCCGACAAACGACCATGTGAACCCAACTGTCGCCTCCACGATTTGGATTCCAAGCTGCCTCACGTTGCCATCGAAGAATACACCTCCCACGATCTCGGTGACTCCGTCGTAGCCTGCCACGTCCTTTCTGACCAGGCAGCCTGTTCCGATAGTCGCAAGAAAGCCGCCCAGACAGTGTGTCGCAAATGTGTCACCATGATCCACCCATCTCCATCGTCGCGCAAAATCGGTAAACTTGATTCTCAGTGTCTGACGACAGAAAAGTGCTCCGACGCATCCAAAGAGCATTGCTGAAGGCATGTCGATAAAGCCCGCAGATGGTGTGATCATGATGAGTCCAGAAATGGCGCCCATGAAGCATGAGTCGAGGCTCCATCGACCTACTTCGACGTACGTATACAGCATCCAAGTGAGTGCGCCACTAGCAGCGCACAAATTCGTAACACATAGTGCCATGACGGATTTGAAGTTGAATGCCAACGTTGTCCCTGCGTCGAAAGCGAGCCATGAGCCCCAGATGCTGATCATAGCAAGCAGCTGACAGAGAGAGTTGACAGGGCGGTGAATGACCAGATGCGAAGGTGTACGGACGGCGGATTTGCGGGAGCGGAAGAGCGGATACGAGAGGTACACGCTCATTGCTGTACATGTTGCGCCACTGTTGATATGAACAGGAGTGCCACCTGCGAAGTCCACAACGCCGAGGTTTTGCAGAAAGCCACCGCCCCAGACCATGTGTGCAAGCGGGTTATATATGAATGTCGACCAAAGCTGAGTTCTGAGTCAGTGCTGCCTTGTCCAGATTCTTCTTGCGACTCACGAAGATGAAAGGAATCAATGGTAGTATTCTCCCCCGTTCACAGGCCCCACCAACAGCAATTGCGCAGACTGTGGCTTGAAAGACGAGCTGGAAGAAACTGAACAAGATTGCTGGAATGGTGCCGACAGGCTCGGAAAGTACATTGCGGTGGAATGCATAGGTGAAGTCACCAAACACCGGCCCTCCCTCGCTGTAGGTCAGTGTGTACCCGATTAGGAACCACTGGATGGTGCAGACGATGACTGCGAGGATAGAGGGAATGACTGCAGCAAGCGAATTCGACCGTGTGGTATAACCAGAATAGGCTATGCCGACCGCAGGGATGATTCCCCAGCCTATATAACGTCAGGTGTTGCGATCTAAGAGCCTGGCTGGGTGCATGACTGCATAATAGGAGTGACTCGATATGCTTGAGACTTACAAAAGACGCAGCATACCAGCACAAACAGCGTATCAGTACGATCGCACGCCTCCCAGGCCTTCAACACCTCCGTAGGAAGACCCATAATAGGCTCCGTCGAATCAAATAATATATAATGGTTTCTCGATCCTATTTGAATAAACAGCGAAAGTCTCCTACGCAAATGTCGTCGAGGAAAGACTGGACAGGCTGGGCTTATGCATGTTTACAGGTACCCTCGGCTGAACGCGTGCAGGGTAGCTCATATCCCCTTTAGGGCGTGCCCAGAGATGCGGCGTCTGATACGTAGCAGAGCGCTACTGCAATTGGCGGAGAGCTGCAGAGCGATGAGGCGCGCTGATAAGGAAGTGTCTCCCGCCGTTGTGATACGGTACATTTACAGCGACCGCCTGTACCCGATACCGATAGCTTCTATCTTCCAGCCTGGTGACTTATGCATTGTAGACCCTTTAGACAATAACAGACAGCATGACAGTAGGCGTGCCTATACATATATGCAAAGTAGAAGGATGAAGGTAGCCCCACTCGCTCGCGCTAACCAATCGGTCTAGACCACGACAAAATGCACCTTTACATCTTCCAAAAACACAACAGCCCACCAACATGACTGCCTCGGACGATGAAGAAAACGACATTTTCGGCGTGCACCAGTTGGACTACGTGCCACCTGCGCCCATAAAATCAGCCGGTGTGGCAATAGTGGACTTCGATGGCGTCCTCTCGCCCCCACTCAGAGTCCACGAGGACCTCAAGAACGGGTGCGGCGGGCAGCTATGGCCGGCGGGCATGGTACTCGGAAAGTACATGCTGCGGCAGCACCGGGACGATCTCGCGGGGAAAACAATGCAAGTCCGACACAACGCCTCTCGGGCGAATTCTGTATTGACCCGATCAGCGTCGAACTGGGTGCTGGAGGTGGCCTGGTGGGGCTCGCCGTTGCAGTCGGATGCAATGCCACCGAGACCCTGCATATCACGGACCAAGACGAGATGTTCGAGCTCATGAAGAAGAACATCGGACTCAATCAGCTTGAGAGCCGAGTGCAGGCTTCAATATACGATTGGGGTCAACCGACACCGTCTAATTTGCCTCAGTACCCGGACGTGATTCTCGCGGCTGACTGTGTGTATTTCGAGCCGGCGTTTCCGTTGTTACAGGCTACGCTGAAGGATATCATTGGGCCGAACACAGTGTGCTACTTCTGCTTTAAGAGGAGGAGGAGAGCGGATCTGACGTTCATGAAGACCGCGGGCAAGATGTTCGATGTGCAGGAGGTGGACGATGATCCCGATAAGCCGGTCTGGTCCAAGGAAAGACTGTTCTTGTAAGTCTATCTGTGTTAAAATTTGGGCGTTGAAGTGTACTGATCGTCTGCAGGTATCGGATAACCCAGAAGAAAGAGAAAGCTTAGAAGTATAGACACTCAATCCATGATATATAGACATGAGGCACTCTTTCATCTCGAATTGTGTAACTCGAGCTGCAATATGTATCCGTTTTCGATGCCTCATATAGCTTTCACGACCCTTGTGAGGGATACTGACTGGCTTGCCTATTTCCAACTCCAAATATCACGCTTTTATTCGTCTATTAGTATTGCTGAACAGCTACATGATGAGAAGATTTGTAGAATAGCGGTGGCGGTCATCTTCGGAGGAAATCATAATTGACCAGTCAATTCAAAATATATCCCTTGAGATAGAAAATACGAGAGCCAGAACTCCACATATTGGGATATGTTCGAATGACCAACAATACGCTAGTCCCATTCGAGTCTTCCGAGCCGTTTGGTTGTACGAGGTATCTAATCAGATTTTTCGATCGCCTTGCCCAACACCACCTACTCTCTCAGGGTCTCTTGGCCTCCTAAGATGGCGACCAAGACAACGACCAAGCCGACGACCAAGTACACAATTCCCCTCGTCTACTTAACGTCCTTCCTTTTCCTGTTTGGCGAAACGCTGCAGCCCGCGCCCCGCATCGCAATCTATGAATCCATCGTGTGCCAGCAGCACTATGCGTCTCCTGGCCCGCACGACTGCAAAATCGCGCCCGTGCAAGAAGAACTCGCTTTCCTTGGGGGCATCGAGCGCCTCTCTATCATCATTCCGAGCATCCTCGCGATCCCATTTGCGGCACTTGCGGACCGCTATGGACATTCTTTAATCCTGGCTATTGCCGTGTTCGGTGTGTTCCTCGAAGACGGGTGGCCGTTTCTGGTCTGCTGGTTCCCGGAGGTGTTTCCTATTCGCTTGATATGGCTGCACTTTGTGTTCAGCTGCATTGGCGGGGGGTTCACGGTTGTGGTGACTTTGTTGCATGTCATCATCGCAGATGTTGTGAGTGCGGAAGTCAGAACGACGATGTTCTTCCGCGCAAGGGCAGCAGGAGTCGGCGCTAGCATCTTGGGCTATGCTGCCAGTGGGTTTCTGATGAGGACAAGCGAGTTTTTGCCGTGGGCTGTTGGGCTTGTGAGCTTGATACTCGGGACTGTTACTGCTACGTTGATTCCGAGGACGACTGTTCAAAAGGACAACGAGTCTCACGGCGATGGAGCTGTAGAGAGCTGGAGTATGCGGTCTTCACTCGAAGCACTGAGAAACATAGCCTCGATACTCCTCGGTGACAAGCAAATTCTTGCCATGTTGCTACTTGTGTTCGTCTGCCAACTGGGCTTTGACTCTGTGCCGCTGATGTTGGCGATCTACGTGTCGAAGCGTTTTGGTTGGAGCTTCTCAAACGTAAGTGATTGTTCATCATTAGGATTCGACAGGCTGACCCTATTTGTACAGGCTAGCTTTCTCAGCTCACTTGAGATGGGAGTTGAATTTCTTGCACTCGCCTTTGTCCTGCCAGTCCTCACGTCGAGCCTGCCTGCCGCTTTTCAGAAGGCAAGTGCCTTTGCTAAAGATAAGTTGTTGGCTCTCTGGAGCCTTGCTGCCCTCGCTATTGGTACGATCTGCTTGGGCGTCGCGCCTGTAGTGGGAATTGCAATTGCTGGCATTGTCGTTCTAGCTTTGGGCTCGGGACAAGATTCGCTGACGCGATCCATGGCGACTGAGATGGTTCATACTGGTAGAATCAGCACGATGTACTCTGCAATCACCATGCTCCGCGCCATTGGAGGCTCCGTCAGTGGGCCTATGTACGCATGGCTGTACAGCACTGGGTTGAAGCAAAGGGGAGATGTCTGGCTGGGTCTTCCCTATTTGGTTGCTGGTGCACTTTTCGTCACAGCGGTAGCTGTGCTGATATTTATCCGCAACGCGAAGGATGACGCAACGGACGAAGAAGCTCGCGAACCTTTGTTGGGGTAAGCATAATGCATGTTGAGTAGCTACACATTAGTTGACTCGGCATGCATGTTCCTGCATTGTTCGAATGGCAACTGTATGCATGGCCTCCTTGACCTGCTCTTACAGCTACAATACAAACTGCTTGGATGGAACAGAGGCGTTCACTTTCGCAACCTTCGCTGTGTTTACGCCCGGTATCGACCAAACATGCCGAATCCCTTCGGCCAACGATCGGGCATCCACACACCGAGTCTCCGCCCCACATGCCCGAACGTCCACACCAACCTACCGAAACGGGAAACTACCACAACAGCCGTTGGAAGCGTTCGGCATTGCGGGGTGAACTGCCCGATCCCTTCGGTATCTTTGTGTCGCCGTGTGAGCGATTGTTGAGTGGTGTGGCCGACTTTGTGTGACTCGGTGGGTTGTCGGCACCGGGCGATGTGAGTCGCCGGACTCGAAGGTCTCAGGCTTGCCGATACTTCGGCTGCGCCAATGAGCTTGAATAATGTGTGCGTGATCAACGAAAATGGCCTTCAGAGGGTCGGCGATGCGTCTTATCTGTAGCGCGTGCGAGAGTTGCCAAAGTTGGCAGTCGGAAGTTCGGCTTCTGCGTCCCTTACCTACACCCCAGAGAGCGCTAGATGGACCCTGCATGTCTAGCTGATGCAGGGTTCTGCTGTGCCTGATGGGGGGGAACAGACATGCGCGACCTAGTTTTGGGGACTACTCGACGTTGCTATAGGCCGAGCGGATGTGAGTGATGTGGCGGAGGTCCGAGGTGGTTCAGCTGAGCAGGTCGTATTTTTGTCAACGTTGGGGAAGCAGACCAAGATCTGGTTGAAGATCCGGGGAGTGCTTCACGTTCACCGCAAAGTCCACAGTGCATGCAGGGAACAAAGTGCTTATTCGACTGACTCGCGCTTTATCAGGACTTGAAGCAGCTAATCTGGGGAAGATAACGGAGCCTCCTCGGAGTCAATCCCCAGATGGCCAGGCTACCTGGCTATGCGAGTTAAAGGATTTATAGGCATAGGTATAAAGATATGTCGACCGGGCGATTATGTGCGAGATTTCTTCCGGCTTCCTTTCTCTGAAATTCCGATAGGACCAGTCGCATGGGTGACAACACCGATCCGACACTGACAATTGTGAGTTCCTCAGCTTGCAAACATCCGCTTCATGCAAAAGGTCTTCAGGCCTTCCTCTGTATAATTGGGAATCCGGACTTTTGTTCTGCAGGCGGCAAAAAGTCCATGCGCATATGCAGCGACAACACCTCCTGCATGCAAGAAAACAAGCGGTCAGCTAATCAATACATAGCTGCAATCTTCTTTATTCCAGCTCGTCCGAGCACACATTCCCTCCTCATCTCGTACCCACGTCACGATGTGCTCATATACATATTCCTGGTACTATTGCAATCACGACTACTATATCTGGGCCAACTCAATCGAGATCTGCGCCTCACGCCTCCTGTCCGGTTACTCCTACGACGCCTGGAGTATCGATATGTGCAAGAACCCTACAGTCAAATGCGGTGGCTTCTCCAATTATTACTGTAACGAGTGCTCCGAGGATGTCAATCTTGAGCTTCAGCTTGATGAGTGGTAAAGAGACGTTTCGGAGCAAGAACAGACTCTCGAGCGGCTGAGCGGCACCAAGTTGGTAAGCGATCACATAATCCCGATTTGCTTTGAACTGAAGACGGTGTGAGGTCACGTCCAAGCTGAATATGGCTGACTTGTGCGCAACAGTAAGCGGCTTTATTGTCCGAATACGCAACATTTGTGCTGTGGTGCCGAGTCAGCCTCACTTTTGTGACACCGGCCACACGGTAGCTCACCGCCTTGTCCCGTGGACGGGAACTAGCCCTGCAGAGTGAGAATTCGGGGGCTGGTTGTGTCATCGATCCTGTCATCCAAATGGCTGGCTGACTGACTGGCATATAAGCTTGTGTAAAATTGGCGTTCTGTAGGATGAGGGATTTGGGGGTTTTGTTGGCGTTTGAGCGTACTGGCTACTCTCGCTCATTTTGATTTGGCTGGCTAAGATGGTCTCAAAGCGCCTCATACATAGCCATGGTGAAGATACACAGCGGCGACAAAGGCCTGTATTGAAATTGTTGTTTGTCACCAGAATTTTCCAATCGGTCAATATACACCTTGTAACATTGCACCGAGAGAATTACTCTGTGAGAGACTCTGCCGCTCTCTCTGGGCTAACACTGATACCCTCATCCAATGTACGCCTGACTTGCTCAGCTCGTCTGCGCGCCTCGAGGTAGTACATAAACTCTTCGTAAGTTTTTGGCATCACTCTGATGTTCCTTGGCACTATCAAAAGTATCAGCACATAAGGAGAGCTGAGAGGTTATGTGGAACTGACCATTGAACGTATAATTGAATTGTCCTGTTGGCTTGGAGTGGCCATGTTCTACATCCCTGACCTTGGTATCGACTCGAACTTGCACCCTAGTGTATTCGTTGTTGTCTTTGAACTGCTCGCCGGGAGCTGCGATAAGCGGAGGATCTGTGTAAACTACATGGGCCGTCATGTATAGTATGCTGCCAACGGGTACCGGGTTGAGAAATGTTGAGGGATCGAGGGAAACGAAAGTGGGTCGGGCATGGGCGAATGCTGCAGCTGTAGTGAAAGCGAGCTCGAAAGTTCTAGGTGAATATTAGCGCACGCCCTTCCATATATATATTGTAGTTGACATACTGCTTTAAGAGGAACCCTCCAAAAATCATGAAATGGTGTCGGTTGCGATACTGAGGTTGCATAATCGTGGCAGTCCGGAGGCATGTCGTATCCATAAAATGAAGGTTGTCTGGTTTACGCAACTCGTCATGAGGGTCTGGAGAGGTTAAACATCAGTACAGGACTGGGCGGTCGAAATATGACTGACCATGGTATCGAAGCTGCTTTTGCCAAAACGCGTGAATGAGGTCGCTTTCGAGATCGTTTGGTGTGTGCTTAATCAGAGACGTGTTGCGTCTTTCCTTGCGGATTTCTGAGTTGCGCTCGCCCAAAGCATATAGTCTCTTCTCTTCTTCGGTCTCTACAATCAACGCATTAACATTGACAGGTCTGGACTGTCTGTTAGCTTGTTCTCTGCGCTGGGGGCTAGAGTCACACTTTTTGGTACCGGGGTCCAAAGATACCATTGTAAAGGTACAATTGATGAGGATGTCTGTATCTTTAATCTTCTCGCCTTCCTTGGGGGCCTTTGCGACCTGCATTGTGATTTCCAAACTGCTTCGACCAGTAGCATATGTAACCCTACCAGACAGCTGAAGGTCGCAAATCTCGTCCAGTGGATGGTGAATGGTAATTCGGTCGCAGGAGGCGGTGACCGTCGTCACATCTTCGCCGGTGTGCTTGTATCTAGAACATTTTCAGAGTCTGAGTTCAATTGTACACAGCTCTAACGGCTTACGCAATAACGCCAGAAAGTGCATCAAGATCCATGAAAATGGTTCCTAGACGAATATGTCCAGATGAGTTCAGGTACGTATCAAGTAACCAGGGATCTCGGGCTAAGGGCAGTATGACGGAGTGATAGCTGTCACTCATGCGCTTGGGTGGTAAGTCGCGATCTTTGGGCACCTGTGGCTTTCCGGATGGTTTACCGGGCTGCTGCCCTTCTTGCTGCTGGTTCCGAAGTGCCTCAACCCAAGGCGTACGAACCCGCATAGACGTGAGCTCCCGGAAGACCCCATCCGTGCGCCTGGTGGAGCTGCAAGCAAAGCTCCGTCGCGTGACTAAAGATGAAAGCGCATGTGGCCGGGCGCAATGGCTCCGTGAACTCTGCGTGGTGCGCTGTAGTGCGATCCTTCCGGTTGAGAGCCGCATCGCGTGTCGTTGGCGGTTGTTAAGCTCGAGCTCCGGAGGAAATGACGCCTGAGCTCACCCCTGCCCGACTAGCGTGGGGTAGCCTCGTACAACGAACAGCTTTCTTTACTTACCTCCGTCGCCTCAATCGCCCAAAATTTGTGCTTTACCGATGCTAGCGTCGTACCTACATAGCTTTAAAGGATGCACAGGTCGATCGAACTTGGTAGAGCAGTCTTCTCGATAGCAGCCACCGATCTTGAGCTTTGGCTCAGAACTTTGATCACAATCTCACCACAACAGCAATGCACTGACCTTGGGCAGCATGATGAGGCTTCTCTGCTTGATATCTTGACATCTGGCAAAGTGTGGGTATGCCGTGGAAATAGTCTGTACATCGATATGGAAGTTACTTTCAAAGGCCAACCTGTTGCTGAAGACCAGCTTCGACAACTTTCCGAGGCCATTCTCGTTGCACCAGTAAGTGCTTTCAAAGCGTCTGCAAGGGCTGTTTCTGATGAGACGTGTGAAGGTATGGGATCAGCTGGGTTTGCAACCATCGTTACCACATGATACCGCTTCGCCGGGAAAGCTGCGAATCACAGTCAACTACGCGTCTGGGTGCGCAGGACCTGCAACGAAACCATGTCATCGAGTTCTTGCAAGCACTTCCGCAGCCGACGTGCGACCGTCTGGGGGAGTACCTTCCTTATCTCTCGACTCGATAATTCTATATGCGGATATCTTCCAGCTCACTCAGCAGAGGAGAGCCGCAATTGCGAAGAGACCGAGACTCTCAGCAGACAGCAAAAGTGCAACACAGCCAACATCTGGACGAGCTGCCGATGACTTCGAGCAAGAAGTATCAGATGAGTTACTGTTGGAAGCAAATACCGTGGCTGTGCCGCTTGCATCGCCATCAACCCTCAAAAGAGTGCGAGCATCAGCTCCATTCCTAGAGACACCCGTCCCCTCAATGTACGAATCACCAATTAGGGCACTCAAAAACGGTTGGCTGAACACAACAGTGTCTGCCGTTCAGATCGCAGCGCCAGACTCAAAGTCAGATCTTCATATCGGAGACCTGGGACTACTGATTGACGGAGCACTACGATTGTCGGTTCTAAGTCGTATCAATAGTAAGATGTTACCCGGCATTAAACTCAAAGCAAACACGTTCGAATTGGGTCTTGCTGATATCGCACCTACGTTATGGAGACCGGGGTACCAATCAGTGAGATGAAATCCCGTTCACGCGTTTTGCAAACTTACTGTTTTAGAGTCACTGTCCCAGAGAGCGATATTCTTGCCTGTTATTGGAAAAACCCTTGCTCATACCACCGCGTCCATGAAGATCACTTCAGAATTCTCCACTGAGGAACTGTCGGAAGTAGCAAACCCCTTGCGGTTACTACACAACGCGGACCGGGCACCGGATTGCGGACCAATCAACACACTGGGTGCGAAAGATCTGGCTTCACAGATTGCTTCGCGGCTGTGGCTGCACTTGCAGAGGAACACGCCTTGCAAGCCAGCGACTACACTGCAGTCCTTTGTACGCAGAGGCTTGCTATTTGCACCCAATTCTGATCTCGACGACATGCTGGAGCTTTCATGGCGAGAGGATCATGTCGATGACAGATCTGGGCTTGTAACCCCTTCCGCCGTCAGTCATGCCGTCGAGGACCCCTCTGCAGTCCCAGTGCTTTACTATGCGACATCGCCTCAGAGCCAAAATCTCAGGACAGTCACATCCGATAAATCCTTGGCAATGGTTGATGACGAATTGCTCCTCGGAGACGAGTGTTTCGAGCCCCTGAACCCCGCCACCGATCTCAGTAACGAAACCTCGTAGCCCCAGTCTATTTGGCTTCAAGGTTTACATTCCATCATACATACGCAAAGAGATTTGTTCGCCCAGAACGCGCCATGACTACTATCAACTCTGGATTCACACTCGGCCGAGGTAGCCCGGCATTTGGCGCGACCTAATTGACTTCTCGATGATCCAACACGAGTCAGGTGGCTTGCATTGTTGCAACAAGACAGCTGTCGACGTGCTGGTGACTATCGAAAGGATACTACCCTTACCTGTGCTTCGTGGAGAGAAAATTCACAAGGGCATCGAGACGTTCCATATACAAGGCGCGTTGCAGCATCTTTCCGACACGTGAATGCGACCCTCGCTTCACGAGAACCAGAGCGATTCAGAGAGTTCAACTACATGAGTCGCTTTCAAGACTCACCTGCTTTTGCCGATGTGAGAAGCAAACTTCTTCCAAAAATTTCAGATAGATCTCAAGACTGACTCGAATGACAGGCCAAGTCTAACCCACAAACGGCTCGACCATCCGCGTACTGCAGGTCACCATTCACTTCTCTTGCAGCCAAAAGCGTCGATCCACTAACGTGCATCCGATATTCACATAGGTACGATGACTTGAGTATTCATGCCCTATACGATCATGCACTATCCATAGGCACGAGCCTGAGATCCTCGGATGTTCAAGTGGGTGGCACGAAGATGCTTGGGAGTTCTTATGGAAAATCCAACCGCCATCAACCATCAATGTCTGCCTTGTTTTATTTAGCTATGGCTCGACCGGTAGTCCCCATTCCTTGTACTCCTTGCGCGATGGCAAGGTTGTTATCGAGACTGTTATCGAGATGATGGAGAATGGAAAGTTAGGTACACTACTGAAAGCCACTGAGCCGTCCAAAGCTTCCTGTCACATAACGTGGCCTGTACCCAATGAGCTGGTCCAACGGGGACTACCGTGGAGCTCTCGTTGGATCAGACTAATGAGATCGTTCTAGAGCCTAAACACCGACAGAACTTTCTACGGTTTCACGCAGGAACGAGCAAACACGATCTTAGCGCATGCAAGAGTGTGATCAACTTGGTACAGGCGATCGTGTTCGTTCCACACAGCTGGAAACGAGGGGAGCAAGCGACGTGAGAATGCACAGCAGTACCTAGAGCCTGGCCGACCGATCCCCGGTACCCCAACCGATAATCCCGGGAGGATCACTAAGCTCATCCACTTGATCTAGTGCGGCTTTCCAGCAGACTAGAATGTTGAGTAACCCATCACAAGTACCTACTAAGCCAGGTCTCGTCCATCACAAACGACCAATGAATGCTTCATGACTCCCAGAGACTATCGAGTGGTGGTAATTTGTGATGGCGAGCACGTGCCGAGCAGCTCGAAGATACTGTTAGTGGTCGGCCAAAGCCGTCGAATCTATTGCATTTGAACCCCTGTTGGAGTTACCACGGCTAAATGCATGTAAGATGAACTACTCATTGCGAAAAGCCACACTGCAGCGATTTCGGATGCAGCGAACAAGATTGCGCAAGAGCGATGACATGTTCTTCATCACTGAGCCATTCGGAGCGGTCGGCAGCTAATGTGGCTGGACAACAGGCAAAAGCAAGCGAGAGGCGCGATCGATTGCTGATCGTTGGTGAACCTGCCAACACAGCAACCATAGCCGCTGCATTATTACCCGTGTTGTGACCAATGTTCTCAAGCATGACACTGGAGCTTCAAAATAGATCCACGTGCCGTGACCTTTGCAACCTTCTACAAGATCCGAAACATGTATTCATCGAGCGCATTGCATTATCCGAGGATGATGATGCGCCTCGGCAAGACGCCATTCTCGCCGACCACACTTGGCTTGCAGTACCAAGGTACCTTCTACCACCGAACCACAAGTTTGAGCTTCGAGCCGTCCGGGGCGACCTGCCAACACATTTGACATATCCGAGTGGATTCGCCCCAAACGAGAACAAGCTTCACGATGTTGCAGTTTGAGAGCTCAAGTTGTTCTTCAACAAAAATGCGCAGTGTGTACAGGCACGACTGTACGGGGCCCATCGCAGTCGTTTCCTACCATGTATGCAAAGCAATTTGTGGACCTTAGAGGCTGCATAGGACTTGTCCGAGTACTCGAACTTTATCTTCTTTTGAATCACGCTTGTTCACACTGACCTCTCGGAGCCCCACCCATGTCAGCGGTAGTCCAATTGGTGTGGCGCCCGGGGTTGGGACTTCAATAGGTCGTGGCGATGGCTTAGGTTCTCTAGACCAACCAGCGGAGCTGAGCATGCCTCTCACTGAACGGCTGTTACAGTGGTCGCTCCGACCTAAGATGTGTAGTCTGGTCCAGTGACGGACGCTTGCTTGAAGGTCTTGTGGACCGGCCTGTCAGTACATAACGAAACACCCTGCATCCGCACGGGAGGCTTTCTGCGCCACGATCTCCTGTATCTTGCAGGGCTTATTGCTGAGGGATTGCTGCTTACTTCCTTCACTGTCGCCCGATTCTCCTGCAGACTATCGATCGTACCACCAGGACTTCTAGAACCCGGCGGTCACACCAGGGCGCTCACCAGGCACAAATGAGCTGATTGAGCATCTCTCTATCGAGCCCTCCAGACGTTGCAACTCAACTGAGTATACCCGTCAGAAAGGTCAACACCATGGGACCGAGTTCCGAGCTGGAGGCCAAATATCCCATTGGGAGCAGGCCGAAAATCTCTTTCATACCATACCTTATCTTCTGTTCCTATCTGGTCAGCTTGATCGGATCCGCTACGACCGTGGAGCTATTACATCGAAGAGTGTCCGGCTCGGGATGGAGAGCATGGTTCGTGAGGAATCTCGTAACTGAAAACCACCAACTAATCAAGGCAGGGTGCAAATCGCTGGCTGTTCGGTTTCGTTCGGCCTGGTAGCGATTTGGTGCATGCATTTTGTCGGCAATCGAGCTATCGTTCTCGGCGACGGTGAAGCCGAGATTCAACTATATTACAGTCCTGCGTTCACTACGCTCTCCGCTATCATTCCGGTAGTGGCCATCTTTCTAGGACTCATGGTCGCTGATCGCTTCTACAAGCGAAGCAAGCATGCCGCTGTTCGCATTGCCTCGCTTGTCGTCTGCGGCATCTGTGCTGGTGCAGCTATTACTGAGATGCACTATCTTGGAAATAACGGCACCACAAACTATCGCCTGCATCTCAACTGGTCGCACGTATTCGGTGCCGCAGGCATCGCGGTAGGCGCTAGTCTACTATCTTTCGGTCTCTTCTTCCACTGGAGCGGATTATGGTTGAACAATATTGCCAGACGTGCTGTGGTAGCTTGTTTCCTAGCTTTGGCTGTTTCGGGCATGCACTGGACTGGTGCTGCCGGCACTTGGTACGAAGTGCGAGGTTATCATAATGGGTCTGGTCAAGAACGAAACATTACGCTAATCATCGCTCTTTGCCTGGTAGGTGTCATCGTTCGCGTCTGCGCCACTTTCGCTAACATGATCTCAGTGTTTGAGCGCTTGTTTTGTATGCTTCTTGCTCGGTTTCCTGAAGCAGCGCCATCGTCGACTGCTTAAAGATCGCGCTCAGCAGGTCGTACTCGCATGCGCTACTTTTGACGAGAATGGCAAACTCCTTGTTAGTCAAGGTGGTCTTCTGCCTTGCCAAACGATTACCCGACAGTTCCATCAGCGGGTAAGCTTGTGATAGTGACATGGCAGGAATCAACGAAGCTAACTTTTATAGACGTTCGACGACGAGTTCAATAATGCGCACCCTGTGTTTCAATGGATATTCAGAGTGTCTCGCCATTGGGGAGGAATCGCCGACCTAGTACCATCGATGCGAGAACACCTACACAGCACGGGCTACTTGCAAACGACATCGCCCTCTACAGCGGCGGAAAGCCGCAGTTCTTTCAGCTCGGAGGATGACTCGACCTACTCTGCAACATTCCGTGAGCTTTTCTGCGTCACCGCTTACGAAATTGCAAAAACGCTCGATACCAGTCTCCAGAATCTTGGGTGTCTTTACGGGGAGGTTGTAACGACGGGTACCTCTATGTCGATGGCAAGAGCCGTATTCAAAGATGCACACGATCGCAAGGAGATCCTCGCTGCTGAAGTTGCGAACAAAGACATTGAAACCGGCATGGCTAACCCAATCCTGTTTGGCCGTGGGCAAATGTTAGTCTTGACGAAGATGGCTAATGCCACCGAGGTGAAGCGTTTGCAAAATTTGGGTTACCATTTTGCGAACATTGACCAGGTTGGCGACAATCTCGCGAGAAGTTTACAAGTAACGCGGGAGGACCTACATGAAATGGTGGAGAGCTGGCATACTTACTCGAAAATGGGGCCATCCGTTCCGTCAAGCGGGACTTATCTCGCATCTTTCCTTTTGCAACCTGCACCAGGCATGCGCGGTCTCGACATTATCGTACCCCGGGCCAACCCGGAGAGACTGCCCATGGTCAAATTGGCAGATGGTGAACTCAGTTTGCGTGAGCTGAAGCTTTTGGTTGGCTTCAATAGCCTGTCGTTGGACGACTGTCTCGCGCGTACAGGCCAACGCACTGGCTTAGAAACCGAAGAGGAGGACGCTTTCTTGGAAAGGTTCCGCAATACGATGCTCGACCTATTACATGATGCACCAGAGTCCGCATTACATCGCGCCATTTTCTCTGCAAAGCAGCTGGACATTGTGCACGGCGTTGCTGGTCCACAAGAACGCAGCCCCGCCACCGTATTCGCCTTCTGTGGCATCAAGGAGATCTACATCCAGTCTCTGCAGAGCACAGCTTTGAAGTGTGTTCCCATGTCTTTCTTCCAGACCTGCCTCAGATCTTACCCTGGTAGTCCGGATCATCAAATTCTAGCGATCAGGAATCACAAAGAGTTTTCCACCCTCACACGGACTCCATCTATCACCAAGGAGCCGGAGAAGCGCAATAAGAGGTGGAATTTCAGGCTGCGACCACACCGATCGATGTCATCCGACATGACTTTACAACCCGATTCATGCTCGGAGAAGGGTTTGGTGAATCCATCCGCCGAAGCAAGCAATATTCACCCTTGGGGTGGCATCATGGTGACTTCCACTCAGCAGATTGTCCACAACAACTCCCAGAAATCAGGATCCACGATGGAGCTGCGGGACATGGGTGTCAAGTCTGAAGCCGGTGTCGCTGACACGGAGCAGCTGACTTTGGGAGACAGATTGATGTCTATAACAACGGCGTTCCGCGACCCGCACGCGACACGAGCGCTTCCTAAAGACTTGTACTACGGAAGGAAATAGAATTCGCACGAAGACCGTTTCTTAACACTGGCATTGTTGGCGTTTATTTAATTCTGGGATACCCACTATTATCCGGCGCATATGGGACTTTGGTAACAAAGATGGGAGTGTTGAAAACCATGGACAGCATCGGACTACTGTATATAAATAGCTACTTGATGGATGAGGTGTACATGATATAATTAAGAGTTGTCTTGAGCATGTACTTTCTGATGTTCAAATGATGGCCGATAACGCAAGCACCAGTTGCCGCGGGGCGATTACCGATAGCGAATGACGCACCGACGAACTTTCTGAAGATCTGCCCCGCGACACATTCAAGCTTCACCATATTCGACAATTGACATCAGATTTCTCTCTCGATCTTGGTCAACACTCGTTGGGGTCTCAGACTCCTATTCCAAATATACGTCCGAAACCCCCGAGACTCATCATGTCTACACCAACGCCTACGCTCACACATCTCTCAACGCTCTCGCCGCCATCGAATTCGCGAACATGGCAAACCGCGCCCCACCCAAGTCTACCGATCGTTGCGACAGCCTGCTCGGATCGCTCCGTCCGCGTTTACAGCCTGACGTCCTTCACACTCCTCCATTCAATCACTGGGGGCCACAAGCGCTCCGTGCGTTCATGTAGTTGGAAACCGCACACCCAAGGGCAGTCAGTACTTGCTACCGGTTCCTTCGACAGCAGTGCAGGCATTTGGCGCAAAGAAGACGGTGACAGGTTGGAGCACGAGGTAGGCCGTGAGGTCGGTGACGAGGAAGACGAAGACTCGGAAGAATACCAATTTTCTTGCATACTCGACGGGCACGAGTCGGAGATCAAGTCACTCACTTGGTCACCTAGTGGACAATACCTGGCTACATGCTCACGCGACAAGAGTGTCTGGATCTGGGAGGAATTGGAGGACGATAATTTTGAGACGGTCGCGGTGCTGCAGGAACATGATGGCGATGTCAAGTGCGTCGCGTGGCATCCTGAGGAGGATCTACTCGTGTCAAGCAGCTATGATGACACAGTACGGTTCTACAGAGAGGATCAGGATGACTGGGTACAGGTAGCTGTTGTGGAGGGACACGGGATGACGGTTTGGTGGGCCGAGTTCGAGGGTTCGGGAATGTCGAAGCTCGACTTCAGGAGGCAAAGAGATGGGCTTGAGGAGAAGCAAATCAACCATCTTGAGGCGTTGGAGCAGAGTGGACCGCGGCTTGCGACATGTGCGGACGATTGTACAGTGCGCCTTTGGAGGAGAAAACCGAGAGAGGGCGCAAGCGCCCAAAATTCCGGCATGCCATCCATCATTCGTACCGCCGCTATTGACGAGGATTGGTATCAAGAAACTATCCTCCCGAAAGCCCACGACCGCGCTATCTACTCTGTCAGCTGGAGCCGCACCACCGGACTCCTTGTCAGCGCGGGCAGCGATGGTAAAATCGTGGTATACAAAGAAAGATGGAGAAGCCAGGAAACCAATGGCACTACAGACGCTGCAGCAATGGAGGGCATCGAGGCCGCTAACGGTGCTGTCGTTGAAGCGACTGAGGCATCGTTGACTGAATGGGACATTGTTGCAGAAATCTTCTCTGCGCACGACGTGTTTGAGATCAACCACGTCACATGGGCGAAAAGGGCAGACAAGGGCAAGCGCTGGGATGGCGAAGAAGTCATTGTTAGTACGGGTGATGAGGGTGAGGTTAGGGTATGGACTCTGGACGAAGCTGTTTTGAAGACCTAAGAAAAGGACGAAATCTGGGCCACGACAGAGCCGAACGTCTCCAATCGCGTTGTGTACATGCGACTCAAAGCTCATCAGCCAAGTACGATACTTGGGCAATGACAGGCTGCACACAACATTCGTGGACAACGCCTGGAGTTCTCAATCAACGCGACCAAGTAAGCACATATTGCACTGTGTTCATGTCGGTGGAGGGAATCATACGGGAGATCTAGAGCTTGGCCGCATAGATGGCGCAACAGCATAACTTTGTACACGTTACTACGGTAAATGCCTCAGTTCAGGGGCTCTGCCGTGTTGTCTTCTTTGGCCACGCTGCTGCTTGTGAGACACGATGACGACCCTCACGATCAGACGAAATTAATCAAGCTTGAGCCACCGTCCTGACGACAGCCTGCGTCCAGCTGCGTCAAGATCGCTTGCACGTGGGGTTCGCCACCGTTGCGCGTCTGTGGCTCTGCTTGCTGGGGGTGGTGCTTGGGCCGGATAGCGGCTTCGACGTCATACCATCTTTGGAGGATCTGCACTCGATCAGGGAACAACTTCAAAATTATGGGCTGATGCAATCTCGCGTGCACCGTGTCAACATCTCACAGCATACTCATAATTCCTGACATTGTAGCTCAGAGCATATCCTACTCCTACAGTACCTGATTGCGGCACCCGAGTCGTGTTCATTGCGCCTTCGATTGCTCCACTTCCTACCGGTAGCACCCGTATCTGCGCCCAAGCTCCTCGACCCCAGAATCGGCGCGCTTGACCGTCCATCTCTCGACCACCACCTTTTCAATGCGTATGTGCCATTGCTATTTACACCGCCGCAGCGACCAGTAATTTTGTAACGCGCATCTCCATTGCCACGCATGCCACCCAAGCGCAAGAGGTCCAACACTGTTGGCTCGGTCAAGAAAGACGGAATGGACGTCGTGCAGCCATCATCGCGCGACGCGTCCGACGAAGGCGCTGAGGACTCCGTGCTGCAGGAAGTCACATCGAAGAAAGAGCGCCAGGCCGAGTCAACGAAACGCGGACGCGCCGGAAACCCTAGCGACGAGAGCGATGCTGAGGATGATGACGAGCGCGTCAGCAAAAAGACCAGACGCTCTTCTGCCGACAGGCTCAAGAATGGCGAGAACGGAGAAGCAAGCACAATGCGCATGGAGGCGCCACCAGGCGCTGGTCTGACCGACCCCGCTGGCGGCTTTAAGACGAACCCTCCTGCGATGGACCGCCCAATTCGGGTATATGCAGATGGTGTTTTCGATCTGTTCCACATTGGCCATATGCGTGCGCTGCAGCAGGCCAAGACTGCATTCGCTCACCTCGCTCCCAACAATCCGCAAGTCGAGCTCGTAGTCGGCGTGACAGGGGACACTGAGACGCACAAGCGCAAGGGTCTTACAGTTCTGTCGGCGAGAGAGCGCGCGGAAAGTGTTCGACACTGCAAGTGGGTCGACGAGGTCATTCCAGACTGCCCTTGGATCGTCACGACCGACTTCCTCGAGAAACACAAGATCGACTACGTTGCGCACGACGATCTTCCTTATGGCGCAGATGAGGGGGATGACATTTATGGACCTATCAAGGAGAGGGGCATGTTTCTTGTCACTCAGCGAACGGAAGGTCTGAGCACAACAGGCATTATTACCAAGTAAGAATCCCAAGCCTGGAGCGATGCGAGCTGCGACTAACGCACTTAGGATTGTTCGCGATTACGACCAATACGTTGACCGCCAGCTGAAGCGTGGCACATCGCGCAAGGAGCTCAACGTCTCCTGGCTCAAGAAGAACGAGTTGGACCTCAAGCGCAACATGGTCGAGTTCCGCGACAGCATTAAAGCCAACTGGGCGACCACAGGTCAAGAACTTACAAAAGATTTCCGTCAATTTTGGCAGACGAGCCGCCCGGCCAGTCCAGCGAGAACGCCTACACGCGAACATGCAAATGCGATGGAACAGATTGCAGTTGACGCTCGATCACCGTCTGCGTTGTCGAGACTCAGCCATTTGGATATCCCACGTGGTAACGCGGAGAGGGGAAGCACCGAGTTTGCAGCTGGTTACAACTTGGGCCTGATAGGCGGTGTAAGGGCATGGGTGCGTATTCCTTCATTGCGATCGCGAACTAGGTACTGATCATGCGCAGATGGCTAGGAGCCGTCGTAACCTGAATGACAGCAGACCTCAGAGTCCCTCAAACAGCAGCGAAGACGAACGCGAAGACCGCAGTCCGCAAGCTGAGCCTCGCCGAGGGCGAAGCGGAAGGAAGGGTGATGACCTAGATATTGAGGCTTAGATGGCTTCTTTTGTCTCTGGCGTCATACCACCGACTCCGGATAAAGGGCAGCCGCCATTCGAGCAAACCAAGACACAGACTCTTTGCGCCAGCCCGCGATAGCTTATGCGCCGTCAACTCGTTTGAGCAGCTACGACATCCAGTACGACTTCAAGACACGTGGCAATGTGATTATTTCCAAATTGGGACAACAGCTTGCGATTCACCATTCATACCCTCTTTTCCAGTCGGTCTTGCACTTAGCCTCACGAAACTTGTCTATTAATACATTTCTGCCGAGACACAGATATGATTTTGCCAGTCAATGGAACGATGCATACAATGGCACAGCGCAGCAAACTGTACCTCCCTCTCCCTCATGGTAACAATTAATACATGATTCTATTGGTTGCCTTCAAACAGTCTTTTCTTCATTTGCGCAACATCTGTCTGCATCCGCCTATAGTTTGTTGATTGCAGCTTGTCAAGCGTGATAATGTCTGCTTGTGATGGCCAGCGAGCATTATTTCAGACCACGCGATATACAACTGATCAACAGCAGGAGGCTTTTCGCCTGGCAAGTGTTTAAAGCAGATCTTGATATCGTTCCACTGGCAAAAATAGCGACCAACAAGCCAGATCATCACCACGATTCACCACGATTATGTGCACCCTAACGTTCGCCCGAGGTTCATGTGCCTGCATACCAATGCCGGATGAGCGAATGTATGACCTCTGTCTCATTGCACGATCTCGCAGCCCCGTCCGAGCTTGTCCGACAGCCAAATGTACCATCGGCATAGCGAGATATGCTCGAGCCTGCGATTGGTGCTGGAAGTCGGCACTCGCACACAAGAAGAAGGTGGACAAGGACTATGTTCGGGATAGAAACATGAGACGGGGAGAGCAGCACGTCCGCAAGCTGGAATTGGAAAAAACGAAGGAGCAATGGAGGGGCGAGATCGATCAATCCGAAAATGCTGTGAGCGGAGTACGCTGAATGAAGGTGAAGCAGCCAATGAAGACAAACATCCATGGGCGCCGCACTGTGGATCGAGAGGCACGTCGCGACTGCTGTCTGGAGAGCCGCGGCTGCGTGAATGGACAGCGACAAGCCCCCGATGCTAAGGATGCAGGCGGGGTTGGAGATGAGTGGAGCGGAGAGTGATGCGTTGTACTGAGACAGAGCGTGCTTCGATAGCGAGCGATAGTGTTCATAGCATCATCAGAGAAATGCCAGGTTGCGCAATGATCAGTGACAGTCCGTTGCTAGGCTGTCTGCCATCAGGCTGTTACGAATAGTGAGGTAAGCTTTAGGTCCGTTCTCAATACCTACCTAGTCAGATGTTCGAGACATACCATTATTTTCTTCGCAGATAGAGACGAAGCAGCCAGTAATAACGACCAACGTTTACCTAGTCAGGCACACCGCAAGCGCTAGGATGTCTTCCTCCTCGCCTTCCATCCACACAGCCGCGGCTGCTTCGGTTCAGCACAAGTCCTCAGCCCTACATATATACCTTTGCATGGGCCTTTCTGAGTGCACTTGCACCTTCGTCCGTGCCTCGAACCACTCTCACTCAGGAAAGGGTGGGCCCGGTCACCGACCAGACCAGTCCGTACAAAACCCACGCGCCTCGTCCTCGGTACCAGCATGTTCCCGTCTGCAGTCTCTCTTATTCACACAGCACTTGTCTCACCGCACATGAGAGGTTGCTCCATCTTTGCCATCTGCAGTCTCTTACACTATCTCCACAACGATCCCACGACAACCAAGTCAGTGGCAATGCCAATCCCACGGCCATTCGTCGGTACATCATAGAATCAGTGGCAATGTTGACGTTTCACATCCTGTTCACGCAAGAACACGCTCACCGTAACCTCACAAGATTCGGTTGGAGACGATGCCATGTTGAACGCAGAATGCTGGACGCGAGTTTGACGCGTGCCATGCCCCGTTAACAATCGCCAGACGACACGATAAGCGAGGCCTCCGTCCGGTCAGTTGCTGCACGCATCGTCAGAATTTGCTTTTCCCGTCAGATGCGGTCGCAATGGTTGGCGAGAAAATGCTCCGAAGTGCTCGCCCTGGTTTAATGAAAAGTGAGGCTGCTCGTGACGGTTGCGGCGGCGCCAGCCAATCTCGGCTGTGCCCTCCATTTCAGCTAAACTGCATGCGTTGCTTGGAATGACATGCCTGCATATCGCCCTCTGGTCAGCAGCTGCGACCATGACTTTTGACAGCAGCCGAGCAGGCGCTACTGCGGCTCCGCGACGGTGGCATCGACTCTAATCATGGATCAGCTCCGGGAAATCAGCGGTGTGTTGCCGGGAAGGCCTGTTTTGCAGCTTCACACTTGCGGTGCTCCGAGTAACGGGTCGCGAACGCCCCAGCGCCGCCATCTGTCGTGCTGCGGCGATCGGCAGCGCGTATTAAGTATTGACGTTAGTATTGGCTGCACATCTTAAGATACGGTCAGAGCATAAGCACTGGACGGCTCGTTGTTCTGCTTGTTACCTCCTTTCTTCCAAGTAATGCAAGGGCTGACCCTCTGACTTCAGCCTCTTTCACAACCAGCTAAACAGCGCTCACCCCAAGAACGAGTCAGACGCTGTTTGAATTCCGCAACACACCTTGCAGCAGTCTCACACCTTGCCGCTGCATATCCGCTACCTTCAGTAGTATCCGCCTGTCTGTCTCTCTGCTTCTGTCTTCTTTGGCTCTGTTTCGTTTTCGCTTTGCTTTTCCTGCAAAGCTGCACTGTTACGAAGCCGTCTCTTCAAGCTTCCGCAAACGTCGTTGTGTTCAATCAGCACAACTGACCTCTTTGTCCTCCCTTCTACTATGTCAGCATCACACAAACCTTGAGACTTGCGTCCGAAAGATTCTTTAGATCTACCATCGACGTGGGCACAAGTCAAAAGGTACACCTTACTCAAGCGTACAGACGCACCTTGCAAGCCTGACTCAGATCTGTCTCGCTGGTTCATGCGGGAGCTTGCGGCTTCTGTCAAACATACTGCGAACACGTTTTCAGCTTGCGTCTCGCAAACGCCTTGTCTTGTATGGTTTGGTCGCTGACTTGTCGCAGCTTGCGCTTGTAGCAACACATGCGCTTTGTCGTCGTTCGCCTCTCCAAAACTTATCATCACCGCTTCCATCTCTCTTGCCAATATTGCGCATATTTCAGGGGCCTTGACACATGAAAGAACGTCGTTCATTACACAATAACCGCGACTGCTTCTGTAATCAAGAAGTCATGGGTACCCAGACACCGAAAGCTGCCGGCAGCAATGCTTCTGCTCTCCGGGCCACCGAACATACTTACGCCGTACGACCAGCCGTAGAAAGGAAGAGAACTGCGTCGGTATCATCGTGGCATGGGTCACTCCCCAGTCGCGAAGTTCAACCACATGCTGGGCACGACAAGAGACCAAGGGAGCCGTATGCTGTACAGTCAGCGCGAACGCCATCGAACTCACCGCCCCAAACTCTAAACATACCAGAACAGCTTGCTGAGCTACTCATCACCATGATTCCCGGTCCTGAAGGAGAGGAGCTGGCTGAGGCATTCCGTGAAGGATCAGATCTACCACCGATCACACGACAGTCATTGAGCGAGCTCGACATCCAGAACATCGTCACGAACATCAGATTACGACACGACGTTAACTTTGACCGTGATCTCAGCTTCCGGCCAAACCTGGATGGGGCAAAAGGGCAAGAGAAGGTCAACTTGGCACAGCGATACTGGAGCGCGTTGGTAGCGGAGTTGGAGCTCTACAGTCGCTTATTCCGGGGGACACCGCCGTTACTAGAGATGGACACGACCGACTGGCCAGCCATTGTTCGTCACGCTGAAAGACGTATACCAAAGATATTCCAGACCATCCGCGACGTGCTGAAGAGCCTTGTACCCGATCGCGATCACTCAAGAGTAGAGGAGCACCTGGATGTGGCGATGTTGATGCAGCAGATCGAAAGAGGGATCTGTGATCTTGTGGGTTTGTCTGAGTGGATGTCATGTCTTTTGAAGGAACATTGCGCGCCAATGAGGGATCAATGGGTGGACAAAATGGTCGCATACACTCGAACCGGAGTAGCGCAGAACAAGCCGGAGACTATCGTGAAAGGATTATGTGAGCTTCTAGGGATATTGGAGTCGATGAAGCTAGTAAGCAGTATCAGGTCTTGAATCGTTTAGCTCTAACACCAACCAGGACGTCGCAAATCATCAGATCCGGAACCTCAAGACCCTTCTCATTGAAGACACAGTCAACTTCGAGACGCACTACCACCTTGAAAAATTGGTCAACGGCAGAGCACGTGTCAACGTCCAGACTGTACAGAAGTGGTATCAATCCGCTACTCTGGAGTTCGCATCACTCTGTGCGAGTCAATGCGATTCGTCGTCTCTTGGCCTTGAGGTGTTCGTTCGTGGCGTGACAGCTACATTGTTTGGTCAAGACGGGCGGTCTGACTTCCCCGAAGCCATGTACCTTGACACCGACCGACTACAGCTCATAAAAGCAGAGATCGAAGACAAAATTTTCTTCGAGGTCTGCCTGAATATGTTCGCAGGCCTTCTGCAGCAATTTAACTACCAGGGACCAAGCCTGTCGACAACACGCCAACAGCTGATATCATCACTCGTAGCAGTTATGGGCGAGTCGAGCGTTGGTTATGGACCACATCAGTGGATGGCCAACTCTGAAGCACTTTCATTGGAGATACTGAGACAAGCGTCCAATCTTGCTGGCCGACCTACAGCCTACGACCACGACAATCTGTCAAGTGCAAACCACCATCTTCGTCACCTGTTCTTCAGCACATTCACAACCCAGGCTCGCAACCTCGAAGCTTCCGTGCTACCCATGATTTTGGCTACAATCGACAAGCATAAGGACTCATCCCCCATGGAGCTCTTCAACACTCTCGTTCCTGCTGCAGCATCTACGACAATTCCACCCGTGCACACTGCACCATCCACTACCGATACGTTTATTTCCCATCGACTGCTCTATCCAGATACAGGCAAACTTTCAGACATCGCGAAGCGCATCTCCCATATTATCATCTTGCATTGGCGCGTCTGGGGCAATATCACCTACGTACAGGAAGACGCAATCACAACACACCCTGCATCCACGATGGTGACCCAGCCCGCGGATTTGACAGTCCCTTCTTGCATAAGGACCGGCGATGCGCTAAATACTTACGAAGAAACCCACGTCGCCCATGAGGAACCTTCGCAGTGATATCGCATTCATTTCCTTTTCTTTCCGCATTATAGCATCGGCGCACTGGCGTTTTGGTGCATCTTCTCTACGATACCACTTCATGTACCAAAAGTATTGCTGGGGTGGGTATGCCAAAGGATACAGGCAAGCATGAAGTTGAAGCGCTGACATCGTTCCTTGAAATTCATTTACTGCTGTCAAGGTCTTCTTTTTAGCGATACACCAAGCATGGATTGGTGTTTAGGAGTTCATGTAGCTAGCTTTCTCAGGTTCTATAGCTGTAGAAGACAGCCTCGTAGGTAATAAGTTGATGACAGCAACTTTAATCACCGCGCATGCATTGTTCCATCCTACACACAAATTTACATGTAATCTGTAGAGAGCTTTGCACGGACGACAGGCAAAACATTTATTGGACATATGTGCAAACGTGATGAATAGCCTCCTCGGAACTCGGAATGGTACTTCGGAGCTCTGGGTGCGCTAGATGTGTCCGGCCTCCGACGATTCGGTAATCCTTGCCCTCTCGTTGGTAGGACATTATTCGGCAGTCTGAGGCAAGGTGCGATGCATCAAGTAAAACTCCGGGCCTTTCTTTCAGGGCGAGCAATATAAGCAATCAATTCTGCTCACATCTCGGCCTCACGCACAGTACAGGTTCTTTTTAGCTGACAAACGTTCACATCACCACGGGTTGTACAAGACTTGGACTCCTCGGTTGTCGATCCCTGTCCGCCACCTGAGCACCCTCCACCAACTTTTGCACCGGGAACGCTTTATAACCGACCCGACTTTGTATATATTGTACTCCACACGAAACGCATTCCTGCTCTCCGCTCGCTTCACCTGTCGCACGACCTCACACAACCACACCCGTCCCCTACGCATCGTACATCGTCGCCATGTCGTTCTCGTCGCTCGTCTCAGACATTGCATACCGCAATCCTAGCAGGCCCGAACTGCGCTCAGCAGCCTCCGAAGCTGGACGCTCATATGCCAGCACAGCTGCTACCAGCGTCAGCATATCTGGTGATATCAAGAGTCAACTACACGGAGGGTACTCGCATCCTCTAGCACGAGCATGGCAGGCAGAGCGACAGCTTACAAAGGTGCGCTTCAAAGCGCTGCGATTGCGTCGCGCGCTCACTGACATTATCTAGTCGATGCTCATTTACCCACTCTTCATTTCAGACCAGCCTGATGAAGAGACGCTTATTCCTTCCCTGCCAAACCAGCACCGCCGAGGCCTGAACAAGCTTGTACCCTACCTGAAACCGCTCGTCGAGAAGGGCCTGAAGTCGGTCATTCTCTTTGGTGTCCCGATCGCACCGAACGCCAAGGACGCCCTCGGCAGCAACGCAGATGATCCCAAGGGCCCCGTCATTAGGGCTATCCGCCTCCTCCGTCGCACATTCCCTGACCTCTTCATCACCGCAGACGTCTGCCTCTGCGAATACACATCACATGGACACTGTGGCATCTTGAGAGACGATGGTAGCCTGAACAACCAGCTTTCGGTGGAGCGCATTAGCGATGTTGCCATCTCGTACGCGTTAGCTGGTGCACATTGTGTTGCGCCTTCAGACATGAATGATGGACGCATTCGCGCAATCAAGCTGAAGCTGATCGAAGCTGGCATTGCTCACCAGGTTGTGCTGATGTCATACTCTGCCAAGTTCTCTGGGTGCTTATACGGACCCTTCCGCGACGCTGCAGGCTCAGTCCCTTCATTCGGCGACCGACGATGCTACCAGCTGCCACCGGGTGGTCGTGGTCTTGCACGACGAGCGATTACACGAGACATCAACGAGGGTGCAGACATCATTATGGTGAAGCCTGCGAGCCAGTATCTGGATATCATCAGCGACGCGAAAGAGATTGGCAAGGACATGCCAGTCGCAGCGTACCAAGTGTCTGGCGAGTACGCAATGATTCACGCAGCAGCCGCAGCGGGCGTCTTCGACCTGCGTGCCATGGCTGAGGAAGCCACGCAGGGTATTCTGCGAGCAGGTGCTACGATCATTGTCAGCTACTTCACACCAGAGTTCCTAGACTGGCTTGGCAACTAGTGCAGTCTTCGCATTGTTTTTGTCGCGTATCTATGTGTTCAACGATACCTTGTTTTCGGCATTTCCAAAAGGATATATTGGGACCCGGCGTTAAATATCCACGACTGTTAATTCACGATCTACACTTCTGCACCCGAGATGGCCTGATAGTTTTAGCTGCGTACTGTGTCATCTCACGCTTATCAGGCAAGGTTGATCTGTGATGTATTGCGAGCTGTGATGTATTGTACAAGACTCCTTGTTGCACAGACGTCGCTCCTTGTCTTTGCCCGACACGTCTAGCACTGGAAATGGATCGGACTAGTAATCATATCTACTTGATGGAAACATATAGGCTATAAGCTCGTTTCTAGCAAGCACTTCCACAGTAGTGATCTTACCGTTCATGAGCCAACAAACCTAACAGCTAGAGGCGAAGACAATGACCTGCCTGTTAACACCATGGCCGACTACCATGCCTCCGCACCACTCAGTTTCAATGGCACCATCACCATCCTTTGTCCGCTCTCATCCACCTCAGGCAATCTCCCACCCCTAACATTGATCTGCAAGCTCTGATGTAACAACCTTGGCGCTCCCAGTGCAGCATCTCTTTGGCGCCTCATTGTGACAAATTCCTCTCTCGATCTGCCAGTCATAACATGTTTGTTCCTCTCCTTATGTTGATCCACGGTCATGAACGGCATGGGCATCTTCCTATCCTCGGGCGGATAATCATGGCCCGTCCAGATCCTTGTCTCGCCGGGGAAAGCCAGCAGCTTCTGACTCGACTCCCAGAGCTGGTGTGCACTGCCACCGGGAAAGTCGGTGCGAGCGGTTCCTATATCGCTGTGGAACAGCGAGTCGCCGCAGAAGACGTTGCGGCCGATGCAGTAGCCCATGTGGTCTGGTGTATGGCCAGGAAGATGGATGGCTTTGATCTGCAGGTTGCCTGCATTGAAGATCTCGTCATCAGAGAAAAGACGGTCGAAGACGAGTTCATACTGTGTTGCTGGGACACCGTAGCGTTTGCCAAAGAGCTTTTGGACTTGCACAATGCGCTGCCCGATTCCAATCTCTGGTCGTGTGCCAGTCTTGCCCAGCTGTGCTTGGAGATACGATGCAGCGCTCAAGTGGTCGGCGTGAGCGTGGGTTTCAAGGATATATCGTACGTCATATCCCTTTGCCGTGATCAGGGAAAGTAAGGCATCGGCTGAAGCTGTTTTGATGCTGGAGCTGCCAGATTCGAAGTCCAGGACGGGGTCAATAACAACGGCCGCTTTGGTTGAAGGGTCGCCGACAATATATTGGAAGGTACCTGTTGCTGGCTCAAAAACGGGATGTACTGTTGGTTCAGACATTGCGCGGGATTGTGTATGCTGCTGCAGATGCTGATGGGTGCTGTAGTGCCTGAGTAGTGTACTATTCGGCACGTGAAGAGAGGTCTGAGCCCGCGGTTGTAGATGGGCCAACTTCGACTTTATTCTGCGGTAACTTGGACTAATTCGCTGTGGAAGGTCACTGTTGAGGTTTATGATTGCAGAAAACGAGGCGGGCTCAAGTATCGGGTTTGAATATCGAATCTGTATAATATTCAAAGGAACTGAACGTATCTTAACCATTTCATGAACCGAGCATGTGCGATCAGTTATATATGAGAGAGTACTTATACTGTCATAAATTTTCGACCCCGACGTTCGTTGCTACTGCATTGCATCTTGTTCGGCGACCATCGTGTAGTTGTAGGCCGAGTATGGTGGCAACCCTGACGCATGACGAATACGAGACAAGCATCACGTTGAATGATTCGCCTGAACTACTTATGTTTTACTCAATGACTATGTGCGACGCTCCGCGTCGGCGACGTTGCTTGCAATCGGCTCGGCGACGTTGTTGTGGAGCCGGGAGCTCGCGGAGGAGCGCAGCAACACCAGTCTCATCACCGAGGAGCCGACGGTCCTTGACCGATGTTCCGTAAAGGCAGGGGGCTCAACTCGCACGACTGATGATCGTATGTTTGCGGAGTAACACAGCAATGAATTTGAAAGCCAGTCGCGGCGACGCTAGTCTGCTTACCGGTAGCGCGTATGATGTGATTGCGGGTCTCAAAATCTACAGCTTCTGAGGCGTGAGTTCTTAGCAACCGCGTTCAAGGACCTGATTGCAGCTGTGAGCGTTGTCGAAGACCAGTGACAGAGCTTACAAAAAAGGCCGGGATTTACAAGTTGCAAACTCGTCTTAAAAGGAGAGCACTACCTGCTCACAACATGTTCAGCAGCCGCGTCACGTGCCAGATGGCGCAAAAGGCATCTGCCCGTACTTTCGCTACCGTTAGCACCGCATCAAGGAACCACAGGATTGTCGTAGTAGGCGCTGGTGCAGCGGGCTCTTCGATCTCGCACCAGCTTCTACGCACCGGAAAATTCCAGGCAGAGGATATCGCTGTGGTAGACCCAGCCGAATACCACCACTACCAGCCAGGATGGACACTTGTTGGTGGCGGCCTCAAGAACAAGGAAGACTTAAGGCGACCTCTGGCGCCAATCCTCGATTCTAAGTTGAAGCTCTACGCCAACAGCGTCGGTAGCTTCACACCGGAGGACAACAGCATCACCCTCGGTAACGGTGACAGGCTCAATTACGAGCACCTCATTGTCGTGCCCGGCATCAAGGTCGATAGTTCTAGCATCTCCGGTCTTCCAGAAGCTCTTGCCGACTCCTCGTCGAACGTTTCTACCATCTACACCTACGAAACATGCGACAAGGCAGCCCGCGACATTCAGGCTTTCAAGAAGGGCACAGCGATTTTCACACAGCCCGCAGGCGTCATCAAGTGCGCCGGTGCACCACAGAAAGTAATGTGGCTTGCGTGGGACCGCTGGTCCAATGCTGGGCTGTACAAGAAGAACGACTCAAGCTCGTCCATCGACATCTCTTTCGCAACCGGCCTCCCAACCATGTTCGGTGTACCCAAGTACGCTGCTGCTCTCGAGAAGTTGCGGGTTGACCGTGGTATCGAAGGACTATTCGCACACGATCTAGTCTCCATCGATGGACAGACTGCAATCTTCAAGACCAGCACCGGCGACAAGATTGAAAAGAAGTTCGATCTGCTGCACGCAGTCCCTAAGATGGGCCCCCATGCATTTGTCAAGGAGAGCGCTCTGGCCGATGCTGCAGGCTACGTCGACGTCGACAACGCCACGCTCCGTCACAAAAAGTACGCCAATGTCTGGTCCGCGGGTGATGCTTCGTCGCTCCCAACCTCCAAGACCGCGGCTGCGGTCACCGCACAGGCACCAATTTTAGTTTCCAACATTCTGAAATCGATTGAGAACAAGCAGCATGAGCTCAACGCTGACTACGACGGCTACACATCCTGCCCGCTCACAACAGGTGAGAAGGAAGTCCTGCTCGCGGAGTTCAAGTATGGTGGTGTGCCTAAGGAAACCTTTGGACGCATTCTTGGCCTTGATCAGGGCGTGCCGAGGAAGGCATTCTACTATCTCAAGAAGGATTTCTTCCCCTGGGTCTACCAGAACTACATGGTGAAGGGACAGTGGGGTGGCCCGAATGGGTTTATGAAATAAAGTAGTCTGTAAGTTACGTGTTTGCAGGTTGGAAATTCCTGGCAACGGATAGAGTTGCTCAAAAGCAAAAGATACCATGTACGTCATAGAATGTTAACAGTTGAACTTGAGGAACACTTTTCAGCAAACGCGCACAAAGTCCAATTCAATCAAAGTCGTTTACCCAAAACGAGTTAGAACGCGTCATACGACAATAGGAGGGTTTCGTTTGGCGATTGCGCAATACTTGTCAAGCTCACCTTCACTTCAACACTTGGACGTAAACAAACAGCGACGCGGCAGCACGGTGCTCAAAAGCTAGGCAGCAGCAACCTCATCTTGGCCAGTCATACTAATTTTGCAATTTCCGTAGCACCAACGATAGTTCTCCCATCATCGACCTTTCGTATTGTCTCGCGCGTCCCCGACTCCAGGACAGGTTGACACGGCACCCTCCTCCACCAGGCAACTTTTCGCACCTTAATCGCCACCGCACACTAAACACTTCGCTCGAACACAACCAGAGCGAAGGAGCCATGGCGCCCAACGACTCTCGTTACATGCTTCCCCTGCACAGCAGGATCTTTTCACGCAGTGCCTCAAGACTCAACCTTCGTTCCGAACGACAAAATGAGAGATCCGACTTATCTTCATCACGTCGCCCAGGGACAAGCCATACGGCCATCTCAGCATACTCTACGCCAGACCTGACCATCACTGCGCTACCACCGTTTGAGCAGCCGCCAGTGCCGCAGATCCCTGAGCAGTTCCGCAATTTGGCGCCAATCCAGACCCAAGAGCCCAACCAGAGTGGACTGACCATATCTGCTCTCCTTTTGCCAATCAAGAGCGCAAAGAATAGGAAGGGAGGTTGGCGCAGACTGAAGGTACAAGTGAAGAAGGTTTTCACGTTTAGACGCCAGAAGAAGAGGGACTCAAGAGTGAGTGAGATCAGCCAGGGACCGATGGAAATTGGATCGCCGTACAACTTCAGGCATGTCCAGACGTGGGGATGCAAGCCGATGCTTACACCAGGAGTAGCTACTACGGCAGAGACAGCCACTGTGACTGCTGACAAAGGCCGCGGCAACTTGGATGTAGGAATGGGCCATGGTCTCGATGACGGCTTGGGCAGCACACCAGGTACTAGACAGGGTAGCGGAGCAAGGGCAAATGCCGGAGCGACTGGTGCAGCAACATCATCCAGGGGACTCGGAAAGCAAGATGGCGAAGGAACGGCGATTGCAGACGATGATGACGACAGCGACTGGGAAGACTACGAACATACGAGGGTATTTGGTGAGTACCATAACTAGGAGGCTAACGGAGGAGCTGATATTGGAAGAGAGACAAGAAGGTCGGAGATCAAGACAATTGGAGAAGAGGGACAGCATGGAACCCTTGGTCGTTCGAGGGAGAATCAAGGTATCTCTATCAACAGAGACCTTCCCGTTCAGATTGCGAGGTGGGTTTTGGAAGGATGAAAAGGTAACAAATTGTTTACGGTGGAAGTGATAGTTCTGGTCTTGACATTCAGCTCATGACGGGTTCTCACGAGAGAACTTCCCGCCAATGCGGCTTTGGTAGCGTAGTATCGTGTAAAGTATTATCCCCTTCGTCTTTCAAGTCCATTCCGTACATGCATAAATCTGAGGCTCATACGATTAACAGAGAGCGATGGACGTTGTATAGTGAGTCCTTACGCAGCGCGCCTCGCTGAGCCGCGGTATAAACACGACGTGCTTCGACAAGCGATGGCTGTGCTGATTCATCCATTCCAGTAGCTGCATATACCATGAAAACGCAATGATCGACTCGTTGCGCCTAACTGTGCTTCTCGCTTCCACAAACCTACAGAGGTATATCGCACGGGGTATCTCAAATTCAAACGCCAGTGCTATGCAAAACATTCTTGTCCAACCTTCATAGCTTCCACAAACTCGGTTGGATCGGTTCCAACCGGAAGCTAGCTGTTGTAGTAGCCATCTTGGACTGCAACCAGCACCTCGTGGCCGCCAACTTTGTCTCCATCCGACTGCCCTCTGTGGTTGTCTTGGTCGTGGCGTTGTCGTAAATCGTCCCCAAATCCTTGACCGTTTGTTTGAGGTTCAGGTACATCAATGTTTGCGCAATAAGTGTTACTTCCGTGATGCTTGACTTGTGTAACGGCCATGTATGCGGGATCGGCGCGATTGTATTCGTTGGGAAGACTAGGGCGGTACGAGGCAGGTCTGCAAATCATTTCTCAGTCAGTAGACGCTGTGCTCCGTATGGCGCACGTATGGAGTGTACAACATACTGGCGTATCTCGTCTGGCTGTAGTGGTGGATGCCACTCAATAAACAAGACCGAGCCGTCCTTACTGAAGCCTTTTGTGCGAAAATACTTATTGTGCTGAGCACTCCAGACCCAAGGACAGGTAGTCGCATCGGGTACAGGTCCTGAGGACGGCATCGCGCAATAGCCTATATATCTAGGTATCTAGGTAATCCAGTGAGTGCACGAAGAAGAAGGTGGTCGTCGAGAAGCAGGCTGAAGAACGCGCCGGCTTGAACACGACAGTGTCGGGTGGGCAGTAAGGTCTGCATGTCCACGCCCCAATTGCTTCTGCGGTGAGATGGGGGGCCTCGTGTATGCGGGCGCACTGCAAAGCACGCAAGGCTGACCAACCAAAACCCTGATTTCTCCAGTTTCGGCTTGTATCGACTCAATAGATCATGTGCGCACTTCGCCCACCAATAACTGACGTAGACGTCACCCACTCTTGTAGGCACTCGACCGTATTATACCAGCAGAGCCTCCTGACCAGATGCTGTTGACGTTGATTGTGACAACTCCACATGCTGTTGTTGGATGGTTTGATTCATGATTGCAAAGTTTGTATTGACCAGCAATACGCTGAGATAAGTACCTCGTTAGAATGACCCACTAGTCAGCACTGCTAGAGCCAGATCTACTAAAACAAATATTTGAAAGCTTGACCAAAAGCCATTGGGCGAAGCCGATGATAGCACGTACGATGAAGCTGATAATAGCACGTACGATGAGAGCGACCAGCCAAACAAACTTGTGAATAACGAGCGGCTCCCACCGAACCCGTTCTTGGTCACCTGAAGCGGATGCAACATCAACCGAAACTTGGACCACACTCTCTTCAGCGTTTTCGTCGGTGGCAGGAGGCATATGACGAGGAAAGCTGTGAAGTTGAGGCTAGCATAACCTTGAGGATTGTACTTCAGCTGGCCGCACAGGTTGCCCATACCTTTGGTTATCTCAACATAGCCTTCTTCCTCATGTATTGAGTCTTCTCCTCGGGCGATGCTCCATGCATTGATTTGAGTGCGTGCATGTGCTGTTGCAACCATGTTCTGCACTTCGTCGACCCACGGTCGGTCACCCAAGGAGCCGGAGAAGTAGCTAGAAACTACTTTCTGGGCTTTTAGAGCTCTTCCCTGACGCTTCCTGATAGAGTCGTAGATATCTGTTCGATCAAGCGATGCAAAGAGGAGCGTGAATTCTGGTGTCCACGTCCATCCGGTGATTTCGTCAGGCGTGCGATAGGGAAAGCATGTCTTTTCGTCATGTGTGCAGACTTCAATCTGGTTTACACATGCAAAAGGACGTGCTCGAGGGTCTGAATTCTTGAACCACGGTGTTGGGTCTCCGGGAACAATGTATGATTCATCCGCGGGGAAAATCGGATCATCACTTCTTTTCTCGTACAAGATTCGTAACGAAGACACGAAGATTATCGTGACAGTACTGTAGTCGGATGGGGCAAGGTCGTCCAGTGGCTCCCACAATACTGGGTCTGAGGCTGAATTGTAGGCACTGAAACGCGTGAGCTTTAGTAACGAAGAAGTCACAGAGAAGTCAGACTTACAAAACATCGTATACGGGCGCCAATCGCTGCCAAGGATCTCCTGTTGTGCTGTAGGTGTAGTTGACAGGAGGATCTGCACCAGGCTTCTCCCCATAGTAATATTTGTAGGTTGTAGTACCATTCTCGGTCGAGTTCTGTATAAAAGGGTAGTCCATCTTCAATGGGGAGCACGTGGTACTCCTTCGGAAACTGTGTGTTGTAGGACTGTTTATACCAAGTTCGCTTGCGTCTGTGAGCGTAGTTGTGAAAGTCACGGTACGGTTGTTGCGGCAAATGTCGTTTTTGAACGGACAGGGCTTTGAAAAGTCAGGCAGACCATCCAGCTCCTTTTCTTGTTTACCAAAAACGAGTTTGCGGCTGTAAAAGAAATTGCATCGTCGAGAGTCAAATCTGGGGTAACGATGGTAGCAAGCTTCTGCATACTCCGCTGCTCTTTCTTCCTTCGCAAGATCGATCAATCCTGCCCTGGTAGCAAAGTCAGACCGACTTGCTCCATTGAACACCCACAGTCCACACTTCGGCGAATCCAATATCACTGGCCCAATCGCTCTGACATTTGCAGCGAAGTAACCTGCAATGATCATCCCAAGACCAAATGCGGCAACGAATGCAGAGAATATTTTGAGCTTAGCCTTGTCTTCCCCGTCTAGATTGTTGTTTGCAAATGCCATCCAGAACAGGTCTCGAATGCCACCAGTCTCTTTGTAGATTTTGGCAAGAGATTGGGCCGCTTCAGTTGCAGACAATGGTAACGGTCGAGATATCATCAATGGTACTGCCTCTGGCGCTGTAATATCGTCTTGCGAGCTCGTACTCCGCTCGAGAGGTTGTAAGTGAAGCCATAATGCTATATTGCCGAGGATCTTCTTGACGTACTTGACCGACCAGGAAAGCCAAACAGCTACCGCAGCCATGATTACGTAACTCCATTGGTTCTCCACAGACAGAAAGTTCTCTATGAAGGCCGAGTTAGTATGTCATCAGTCTCCAACTCTACATGCGGGGCCTACATGCCTTGTGCTGCGTAGTCGTACCAGTGTCCTGTAATGGCGCTATTGCTATTACTGTCCATGTTCGAGGTATTTCTTACGTCCAAAATCCAGACGCTTCTGATATTGTGAGTGCATGCCCTGTGAGTGCGAAATGTTGGAATTACTTCGCCTCAATGTAGCAAGGCTGACAGGCTGAAGCTTTCCAATCCGTGCATGCCACGCGTTCTGTATCACAACTCAAAGTGTTTACTTCTGATTAGTTCAATTATAAATGAAGCCTCCTTAGAGACGTGTCATATGGGTTAGGTGTGGAAGGTGTGGTAAACGTGGAGAATGATGGAGTGGTGTAGTAGACTGGCCGACTGCGAGTCGAGAGATGCGCACTGGGTTTCACCGATCGTCGCAGTCAGCCTCATCTTCCAAGCCATCCATGCGCTCTGTTGAGCACGACCGGAGGCACATACATGAACGGATCGAGCGTCGCTCACCGGTTGCCTTTGCTTGAGTTAGCGCTAAGGACTACGCAGTCTGTTTTGTATTTGTAGGACAGAACGTGTGAAAGCTGCAATTGGGCAGGCCTGGCCTGACCCCACATTCCACATTCCACCCCGAACTAGCCATTTGGGGCAAAGATCTTTGCTGTATTGCCTGAGAGCAGGGCAACTTCCCTCAGAGCTCACTTCCAGAGATACTGCTTCCGACTGTCGAGGTAAAAAGCGGGGCGGCGATTTGAATGAAACTTGGGCGTCGTGTCGCTGCTGTATTGCTGATCGATTCCGCATCCCGCCTGCTCCTAATTGCAGTCGCAGCTCGCTTCAACAAGGATCCATGAGCATGCGAAAAAAGAAATAGAGGCATCAAACTATGGGATTCTGGATTTTAAGCAGCTTGCGAAGTACCATGGCTTCGTATTCATCTCAATGGTGACGAGAGTGGCTATGCAGTGAGCGCTGCTATAAAGCGTACACGAGCTTATACCCACTGATTTTCCCATCTCTGTACTCCTGGAAACCTTCGGGGACCTTCTCCAGTCCATTCAGCAACTTATGTTCGTTTGGCTTGATTGTCCCATCATCAAGCCACAGTGGCAAGTTCTCGAACAACTCGACCGACAGCTTGTGGTCGGCTGGATTCGCTGGCCATTTGAAATCTTTGTACTGATGATCCTTCAGGAATGCCGTCCAAACCAGTACATCGGTAACCTTGGTTTGGCTTGATACGTCCTCGGTATTCGCCTTGCCTGGTCGTACTGTGCACAGCGTACCACCCTCCTCGCCTAGAGCATACGATGCTGTAGCAGAGCTTGACTTGTCGCCGATGGTGTCGAAGATGTATTGGATGTTGGGTGCAACACTTTTGATCTGATTTGCAACATCATCTGACTTGTAGTCGAAGACGTGGTCCGCACCAAGGGACTTGACTCTATCATGATGCTTGGGCGAACAAACAGTCACGATGTTGAAGTTGTGTTGACGTGCGATCTGAATGGCATAGAGTCCCACACTTGAGCTTCCGCCCCAAATCAGGACGGAAGTTTGTTTGCCACTCTTTCGGTCAATACCCAAACAATCCTTGGACAGAAGAGCGAGCCACGCCGTGCAACATGCTAGCGGGACCGTGGCGGCGGCTTCAGGAGATATTGATCCAGGCACCTCGAAGCTGATGAGCTCGTTGGCGATTGTGTATTCGCTGTAAGCCCCGTGTCCTTTGACTTCGCCACCCCAAATAAGAGCAGCGACGGTGTCACCTTTCTTGTACCGGGATACGTTCTTCCCAATCTCCTCAACTTTGCCAACGAAGTCGCAACCTAGTACTGTTCCATCTCCGAAAGCATTTCCATCGAATGATTGAACTAGACACTGTTAGGTCTCTGTCGACCTGGCTCTACCCTAGTTGCCATACCGTCTGTAGGATTCTGAGCGACGTGAGAAGATTTGATTAGTACTTCTTGATCGCCAATTTCTGGGACCTTCAGTTCCTTGAGAGCAAATTGGGGCTTGTCGCCTCCATATTGGACTTGAGAGCGCCCGCTTAAAGACATGGCGAGGATCTCCGGCCTTGTGCGTGTACCGTGCGGTGCAAAACGATCGTGAAAAAAGATTGAACAAGGAAGGTTTTCGTTCGATGTCGAGATTGTAGATTGTAGATATGATTCGATGCTGAGCAGTTCACTGCTTTCTACGTCACTAGTGGGCAGCACATAACCGGGCTGATAGCCGAAGCAATGCTGTTGGTTGTACGGTAGCTTACAAATCATCTGTCGCAGTACTCAGTTTGGTATCCCGAACATCAAGTTGAGCGTTTTTGTATGCCAAGAGTACTCCACCGACAGAATAGCTGCCAGAAGGAGTGTCACAAGAACAAAGGGTGCACAGCCGGTGTCAGTAAGGCTAAAGAATGACGTCACTCTGTTTTAGGTTTTCTGGTGTCGTGCGATGCTCGAGTTTTCGACACATTTGAAGCACCCGAGCATTCAATCAAAGGCATCCGCAGGTCCACTTAGACTTAACCTTTTGAGTGTAGCTTTACGTGGAAGCCACTCTGCTTGACGAACCAGGCATTGTGAAATGTCCAGTCTTTGTCGGGACAAGCCAACTGAATCTGCTCTCCAGTCAGTGACAATTCTCGCAATGGATGTTAGGACTCACGTCGAAGCTGCGCAGCACCGCCGGTAACAACTTATACATCTCCAAGTAGCTGACATTTTTTCCAATGCAAGTTCGAGAGCCAGCACCAAAGGCAAACATACTGCTTTTCATCTCGGCTTTCTTCGCATCACTTGCCTCAATCCATCTTTCTGGTCTCCAACAGTCCGCGTCTTGACCCCAGAGGTTTTGATCCAGGTGTAAAGTCCATGCGCTGCATCCAATATTAGTCCCTCCAGGAATGAAAGTGTCGTCAAGCTGAATACCCCCAGTCGGTGTAATCCTTTCTAGCGGTAACCCTGCCGCGGGATGTATTCTTAACGACTCATTGATGACAGCACTTAGATAGGGCAGCTCTCTCACATCGTTCCAGGCGACCAGTGGATTCCCTCGCTCAAAAATACCCGAAGATTCTAGTTCATCGAACTCAGCGTGAAGCTTAGCGAGTTTTGCGGGGTTACGAATAAGGTTGTAGAATATCGCTCGAAACCTCAACAGCAATCAGCAAGATGTGTCTCTTGAAGGGTGTGGTTCGACCTACGAGATGGCAGTGGTGTCAGAGCCAGCAAACATGTTTGCAACAGTGAGTGCAAGCACACGCTCTTGACTCATGAACTCTGGGTCTTTTTTATGCGCCTCTTGGAATCTAGAAAGGAAGTCACGTCGTGATTGTTTTCCAGCCAGCGTTCCATTCTCAGACTCAACAGTCCTGCTCTCTTGGATCCGTTTGCTTGCAAAGACGGCAACTGGCGTACTCGGTATAAGACCACGCGCACTCAGCCAGCGTCGGACAGGGTTCTTCAAGAACAGCTTATCAAGAATAGGCATCTGACCGATCTGATGCAGTTGTGAGTGAAGTTCAGCCTCTCTTTCTGAAAAGTCTTACCACAGCAGCGTAACTCAAAAGCCACTCCAGACTCGAAATGATATTCTCAACATCTTGCCCACGGTCTACAAAGCCCATCCGTTTCGAGTATGTCAACTCACATATCACGTCAAACGCATAGTACTGAAGCCATGCGCCTAGATCAACGATTCCGTGATCGCCGGGCTTGTCAGCATAACGCTGCTTGAGCTGTTTCAGAAACTCGATCGTCGTGGAATCTACCAGAGGTTCAAATTGAACCAGAGAGGTCATAGCATAAGCGCTGCTGACAGACCGTCGCAGCTTCGCATGAAAGACCTCGTCTGTTGACGTGAATAGCGTCTTGAGGGGAACGCCCCTTGCCAACGTCTGTTGCACAGTATAGAAGTCGGACTGTACTTGGAATCAGCCGGTATCTGCACTAGTTCTTGTTACCGACCTTCACAAAGCCAGCATTGAGCGCATATATCTTCTTTGCTGCCTTGTTACTTGAGCAAAGCACCGTTCGTGGGCCTATCCGCACGAAATCGCCATACGTCTTGTGCAGCTCGATGTGCCAGCGTTCTGGGCGATACCCCCGGGCCACAGCAAGGCGATAGAAGTCGGTGAAGCTGGCAAGGAACGGCCCAGGTACGTGATTCAATCCAGTGCCATACTTGTTGTGCAGGAGCCAAGCAAGAAGCGCTACCGCACCGAATGTGACAACGGAGGAAAAGGACAGCTTTGCGAGGAGGTCGTCAATCATCGCAGATTCCGAGGAAAGTGGTTGTGCGATGTTCGTTTTGCATTTTCATTGACGATGTTTCGTCGCACCATATCCTGGTGTTGCGGTTCCAATCCGCTGAGGGGTTCATCGCAAATCCCGCACATTCCGCTTACGACGCCGGCAATGCGATGCCGGCGGCAATGCCTGCTTGTCATCACAGCGGGGGAACTTCCTATACCACGTGCAATGGGAGTATTGATCAGGTCTTGTTGCTTATATTACTTTGCAGCCTCTCTCACCTTCCCTAGCTTTGTCCCTTATCATCCACCCCCTGTCTTCATTCGTATCTGCACCATCCAGATGTCTTCGGGGCTTATTTGAACCCATGCACTGTGCCCACTGCCCAACACAATCCCTCAAAGCATGGCATGCTGATTGGGCTTGGCGTAATTACCCTCTTGGACAACCCTGCCACAGCTTTCCTCCAGGTCACTCGTTGCAACATTGATCCACCTGCTTAGCTCTGCATGCATGTCAGCTCCTGCAGTCTTTTCTTTAGTTCCTGCATGGCACGTGAATACATACAGTACGTAGCACTCTACAATACATACATACATCATGTGATGACCTGCAGTATGTCATGGGTTCCTCTAGCTGAGATATCGATGGGTACCAATGCATCAGGGCACTAGGCGGTCACAGCTGAAAGTAGTTGAGGCTTGGTGTTATTTCTGGAGAAGGGTCAACATGGCGCAAGTTTTGGTAGACCAGGGAAATTGTCGCAATCTAGTGTGACTCCCCACCATCGATCTCCTCCCGAGACATCGATGTGTAGAGGCTACACCACTTAGAAGTACAGGTATTCGGCGTTGAGCTTCATTACCATCGAAGGTTCGACGACACCTGTGAATCTGGTCTTGTCCACAAGGTTTATTTGACTCTCTGAACGATCGGTCCTTCGCAACGGCCAAGATGATAGGATTTTCTAATGCGCTGACTCGTCCCTCACCGACTGTCAGTGGTTCTAGATTTCGTGTTCGTCAAAGCACTCTGTTTGGAGACCGGAAGTTGCAATGATATTCCGAAGTCTCGTTGGTGGTCCGTAGCGCTTCCGAAGGACTTCCGGTCACGCAGTAGCTACCTAGGCAGTTGACAATTGGCGAGGATCGAGCGAGATCTGCACTCAGCCGCATTGTGGGGATCGTGAACGTCAGGCTGTCGTACATCAACAGCGCACATACAAGATCCCGTTTCAGCCTTCGAAATGTCCCATGGTTCGCAAGGCTGAAAGTCGTCACATGTAACAGTAAACTGACGATCGCTACCAGAGAAGCAGTAGCCGTTTAAAGTGACTATCGAATGCTGCCGGTGTGGGGAATTCCCCGAATAAGGGTTTGCCACTACGCAATCACGCCGTGCGATAGAAGAGGGCTTGGCGACGCAGAGATGACCCCGGGGACCTCAGCTTGCAAAAGTGCAGGAACAGAAGCGTTTGGCCAATTTATCGATGCGATCGCAGCGCATGCAAATTATTTATAAACACGGCAGAGCACGAGGCATGCTGTGCCGCATAGCTACGTGGAGGCTGCATAATCTCGCTTTTGACGCACAACTACAGCGTCGCTTCCGCCTTTGGCTTGCTTTCCCGCTCTCCTCTTGCATAAAACGAGTATCGTCTACTAGCGACCCGTAATTTCCACAGGGGCCTTCCTGATCAAGATTCTAGTCCCGTGCCGAGGATCTGTAGTGCAGCCAGCATTGGCGTTCTATTTCGCACTGGGCACAAATCGTTATCGTCGGATGATCTACCGAACCGCCGCTAGTACCTTGCACCTCTCCAGCTTACCAAATGCGGAATCGCGCGACGCACGCGTTGAGCCTTACATGACTCTATTTAGTGGCCAGTCTCGCTTAATTAACATACCCTGAATCTTCAGGTCGTATCCATAGCGTAGTTGGGACATGAATAATCTTGCTAGACTGTGTCGAGATTGACAGGGTGCCGCGAGTGTCGTGATGGTGGGGGTGAAGGCGTCGCTGTGCCGGGTCCATGGTCCAGAAGGGTCTCCATGCGAGCTTATCATTATTCCGAAGCTGTAGCCTTGTGCATGAGCTCGATAGACCGAGATACTGATTGGACACTTTGAGCTCAGCCGCGTTTGTTGTCAGAGCTGACAGCCTCAAGATCACATGGTGAGCCACTCTACACCCTTTTGACAGCATCAGTGGCGTGAAGGTTAAGCCAGCCTTCGACAAGCCAATCGAGCACTGATCTTTTGGGCTTTTGGAGTCAGGAGCTGAGCAGAGGATGGACCCACGTCTTATTCATTCAAAGAGTCGCAGTCAGCATCTCCAGTTGTTCAGGACGCTTCGCTTTGTTCTCCTGTCAACTGGTCTTTGACCGTTTTGCCCACCATGGGGTACTTTCAGTCTTTGGCAACTGCCACTCTGGGCTTGTCAATGCTTTACACAGGTTCCAATGCTAATCTAGTTGCACGCCAAGGTCTCGGTCCTCCCGCTTCGTTACCAAGTGGGTGGTCGTACAAAGGATGTTACACGTACGATCTACTTTACCCGCCGCCCCTTGTCAGATGCAAGCAGCGGCCTGGCCAGGAGATCCTCACTGACGATCATGCAGAGACGCTGTCGGTCAAAGATCGCTGCAAGGTGCTTCTTTTGCAAGCGGTGATAATCAGAATGCTGAAGAATGTATCGACTTCTGTTCTTCTGCTGGGTATAGCTTAGCCGCTACCGAATACAGGTATTCAATACCACAAGGAATACAACGGACCCTCCACTGACTACGTCTCACAGTTCTGAATGTTATTGTGGAAACAGCATTGCTACCCCCGGTGGACCAGCTCCTAATGGAGAAGGCTGTAATATGGCATGCTCAGGTGCGCCGGGCGAAGCATGTGGTGGACCAGACCGGATATCTGTGTACGAACGTTCTGCAACAGCACCTGCTCAATCTAGCGCCCCCGTAATCGAAGACGGTACAGACCATGTTTGGACTGCTCGTGGTTGCTACTCGGATTTGACTTATGCGCGTATTTTGTCGCAAGCTGTTGGTGTGCAAGGTGGCGGTCAAAACAACAGCGCACAAAGCTGTACAGCTGAATGTCGAAAGCAAGACTTCAAATTTTCGGGCACTGAGTATGGTGCAGAATGCAAGTTTTACGCCTCTGCTATTATAGAAGCAACTGACCAGGCTAACAGGCTACTGTGGCAACACGCTCAACAATGGTCACGAACCCAAGGACGATGGCTGTAACATGAGATGTACCGGCAACAACAAGCAGTTCTGCGGTGGTCCAGACCGCATCAACATCTATGAGTATATTGAGAAGCCTAAGTCGTCATCAAGCTCGAGCGTTTCATCGACAGCTGCTTCAACACCTTCGCCGACACCAACCTCGGAGTCACTGACTCCCACGTTATCATCTTCTATTACTCAATCCACATCTTCGGAGCTGCATGCTTCGACCAGCAGTTCGTCAGAGGTCAATGACTCCAGCAGCAGCAGCAGTAGCTCTGCATCAGAGAGCCAGTCCACTACCGTTAGCTCTTCCGCTTCAGCCTCCAGCGAACACTCAACTTCGGCTGAATCTGCCTCGGAGGAACCTTCGTCTACATCGACATCACATGTGACTTCCACAGTCTCCTCCGATCAGCAAACCTCAAGCGCTTCTTCAGATTCGTCCAGCAGCACTGCAAATCTCAACTCCACAACGTCTGAGATCAGCTCAACCTCGACTTTGTTGACGAATGCAACATCCTCGGAGGCGCACATCACTTCAACCGCTTCCTTGTCAGCGAATCTGTCGTCGACTGTGACTGCATTGGATCTTTCGAGTACCTCGACATCGCTGAATGCTAGTATCACCACGTCTGCGTCCGAAACATTGACTATGTCGGTTTCACTGAACGCTACCATAACGGAAACTGCATCGGAAACATCTACACCAATCCTTTCTTCTAACGCCACTACCTCGATGCCATCAAATGCTACCGCAACGGAAACTGCATCAGAAACATCTACACCAATTCTTTCTCTTAACGCCACAACATCAATGCCATCGAATGCCACCATAACGGAAACTCCAACCGAGACATCGACACCAGTTCTTTCCTTGAACGCCACAACAATCGCTACTTTGGCAGGCAATACCACTACGACAATGTCGCCAAATGCTACCGTTATTGAAAGCCTGTTGGACGCTACCACCTCTGCCTCTGTCGAACAGAATACTACAATCTCGAGTGCCACTCCCACTCCAACTCCCGAGCCAAAGACTGGATGGCAGTATGAAGGCTGTACCGTTGACGGAACTGGTGGTCGTTCGCTCCCCAATGGTGGTGCTGTACAGGGCCCGATGACAAACGAAAAGTGTCAGACCGCCTGCCGTGCAGCAGGCTTTATTCTTGCTGGTACGGAGTATGCAGGGGAATGCTACTGCGGTAACAGACTCGTAGCTGGCGGTGCTCCAGCACCCGATGGTGAGGCGCAGTGTAACATGGCTTGCAATGGTAATCAGACTGAGATGTGCGGTGGTCCCAACCGTCTCTCGCTCTACCGGTTTTACCTTGGCAATGAGCCTCCGCCATCGTCAACTACAGTGTCATCATCCAGCGCTGTGCCTGTTCCCACGGGTCTTCCGGAGGGATTTGAGTACAAGGGCTGCTATGTCGATGGTCCCGGCTTCCGCATAATGCAGAACCAACAACAGCCCGAAGACCAGCAGATGACAATCGCCTCTTGCTCAAGCACCTGTGCTAGCCAGGGTTACGATGTCGCAGGTATGGAATATCACACACAGGTAAGCTTACGTTTGTCCACGATTTGTCCAAAATCTGATTGAAAATAGTGCTTCTGCGATTCCGCACTACGGATGTCCGCAGTTCTTGCCAATGACGATGCTGAATGCAACACTCCCTGTGGTGGTAACTCTGCACAGATGTGCGGTGGAGGCAACCGCTTGACCGTGTACTCAAGTCAAGAGACACTCAAGATCACTAAGGTCGCAGCACCCACTGAGAAGGTTGGAAACTGGACTTACCAAGGCTGCGCGACGAGCTTCGGTCTAGATTGGCAGAAGCCATTGCCCTGGAAGATGACCAACTTGACAGGAAACAGCCCAGAGTGGTGTCTCAACAGGTGTGCCAAGTACGGCTACATGGCAGCCGGAATGGAGTATGGCGTCGAGTGCTGTAAGACCCAAGACTTGGATTTCTGTTAAAATCGTGTCGCTAACCAGGAGTAGATTGCGGCGATATAGACCACATGGTCGAAAAGGGATCGCAACCGGCTCCGGAAACAGAGTGTAACATCCCTTGCCCTGGCGACCCTGAAGCTATCTGTGGCCAAGGCAACCGACTTACCTGGTACAAATACACTGAAGGAGACCCGCTATACGTCTTCAACTACCCTACAGGTGCTGCCGCCGGAAGATACGACTTCCTCGTTGGAAGCCCTGTGATTCCGCTCATCTCACAGCCTCTCATCAACGGTAAGGTCTCTTTCCTTGAGAAGCATGGGACTGGCCCCAACGGTACTGGTGCGTACGAACTGGACCCTTCTATTGGTGATGGAACCGACATATATCATGCCTTCCGCGAAATGAATGGCCTCAAGACCGATGTCTTCTGCGCTGCTAGTTTAACGATGCCTGATCGAGCAGGGCGAGTCATCAACATCGGTGGCTGGTCTGGCGATTCGTTGTTCGGTGTTCGCTTGTATTGGCCCGACGGACAACTCGGTGTCAATGGAACCAACGACTGGCAAGAGAACTTCCAAGAAATCAGTCTACAAACTACAAGGTGGTACCCAACTAGTTTGATCATGCCAAACGGATCGATCCTCGTTGTCGGCGGCGAGAACGGCTCCAATGGTCCTCCAGTTCCAAACATGGAGATTCTTCCTCGTGTTGGACCGCTCAAGCATGCCCAATACTTGCTCGATACCGACCCGAACAACCTTTATCCATTCTTGGCTGTACTGCCCTCCAGTGGTATCCTGATCCAGTATTACAACGAAGCCCGTATTCTGGACCCGCAAACACTTGACACGATCAAGATCTTACCAAAGGCTCCTGCCACAGTCAACGACGACAGAGGTGGCCGTACCTATCCTTTGGAGGGTACTATGGTTCTTCTTCCACAGGTGGCCCCCTATTCGGAGCCTCTTGAGATCCTTGTTTGCGGAGGTGCTGGAATGGCACCAGCCTGGGGCATCGACAACTGCATTACAACTCAGCCTGACCTGCCTAACCCTGAGTGGACGCTCGAGCGTATGCCATCTCGACGTGTTTTGACCTGTATGGTGACACTACCTGATGGTACTTTCATGATCCTCAATGGCGCGGAAGAAGGTGTAGCGGGCTTTGGCCTTGCTTCCATGTCAAATCTCAACGCGGTCCTTTACGACCCGAGCAAGCCAAAGCATCACCGCATGAGCGTTATGGCCAATACCACAATTGCGCGTATGTACCACTCTGAGGCTGTGCTCATGGACGATGGTCGCATCCTCGTTTCTGGATCTGACCCGGAAGATGAGACGCATCCTCAAGAGTATCGTCTTGAGGTCTTCATGCCTCCGTACCTGCTTTCAGGCAAGCCTCGTCCCGCGTTCACTATTGAAAACAAGGATTGGATGAATGGTGTAGCATACCCGTTCACGGTCACTGGTGGTTCAAATATCAAGGTCTCGCTCCTCGGCTCCGAGGCCAGCACCCATGGTAATTCGATGGGCGCACGTGTCCTTTTCCCTACCTTTTCGTGTGGCGGATCCGCTTGCACTGTTACCGCACCTCCCGGTCCTTATGTCGCACCACCAGGCTGGTACCGCATGTTCGTTCTAAGCGACGGCGTGCCGTCGCATGCAACATGGGTTCGCATTGGCGGCGACCCGGGTCGTCTAGGAGATTGGCCGAACGCCGAGGATTTCAAGCCGCTACCAGGTGTTGGACCTGTGAAGGACCTGAACACGTCGCCATCCACAACGGCGAAGACAGGAGCTCAGAAGTTCCGCGCCTGATCTTCGGTGCACTTTTCGTTTCTATGTTTATACCACTCTTTTAATTACACGATAGAATGACCACTTTTAAGGTGTTCAGGGTCTAGGTAGGCTTTGTCATGACCACTCAGTCGTGATTGGATCACGCTCCTTGATAATAATGTCATCTGAATCTTACTCAATATTCTTGTTTCTCTCGCCTTTACTCATCATCACTTCTAATATGGGACTCTGTTGCTTTTCGCATTCGGTGTGTAGTCGGAGTGCGACGGCACGAGCGTGCCTGGACCACCAGTCTTGCAATTTGATCCAAGCCCACTACCTGCAGGTTGTGCAGCAACAAGCGAAGGCCTCTTGGCTCATGGTCAAGTATGAGTAAATTTCGGCAATTGAGGACGATGACAGGACCCGGCTCAGATTCTGGAAGATCTGTGGCAAAATGTTATTGGTGGGATTCCATTGACCACCAGTAACCGCACTACAACCCATACTAATATATTTATGTCCACCGCGTCATGATATTCGGCTACATTTGCACACAACATACGTAGTAAACGCAACGCCTACATGATGTGGCTTGGACGTGGCCAAGGACCGGAGAAACTACGAAATTGCAAATGGCCGACCCATCCTGCCTGGGAAAACAAGAGTCTTGGGACAAGACCTTAAAATTGTAGTACCGAAGAATTCGGGGTTATAGACTTATACTTGCTCCCTTTTCCAATTACAGCAACCCCTTGCTATATTGCACCCACAGAATCGGTCATCTGTCAAGGTTTCAATTATAGTACACAGGTGTTATAACCGCGTTGCTTCGGTACTCGAAAAGTTTCAAGCCATCCGCGATGTTGTTCCGCCTCCCTGTTGTTGCCATCCTGGCCTCTTTAACCGACGCACTCAGCAAGAATGAGCGTATTACCCCTCCTAGGGGCGCACTGGTAGTGGATGCCTCTGGGAAGCTTCAAGATAGTTACCGAACCGTTGGCGCTGCAGTCGCTGCCTTGGCCAACACAACATCAGCGCAGGCAATATATATTGCTCCTGGGATATACACTGAGCAGGTGTACATTCCTTCTCTTAATGGGCCTCTCACTGTGCAAGGCTACACCGAAGATGCCCGCTCGTACAAAGACAATCAAGTCACCATTACGGGCAACTTATCTCGTCAAGTACCAGGTCTGGCGAATAACGATGCGACGGCAACTGTCCGGCTCTGGACTTCGAATGTCAAGCTGTACAACCTGAACATTGCCAACACCTTCGGTGCAGCCAAAACCGGTGGTCAAGCACTTGCGCTTAGTGCACAGAATACCAATCAAGGCTTCTACGGCTGCAACTTCACTGGCTACCAGGACACCGTCTACGCCAATGAAGGGCGTCAGATTTACGCAAAGACATTCATAAACGGTATGTCTGCGGCAGCGATGACTGGGGAGCAAGGTACTAACCATTATCAGGTGCAGTAGATTTCATCTTTGGTCTGCGCGCATCCGCCTGGTTCGACAAAGTCGACATCGAATCAATCGGCCCCGGATATATCACGGCGAATGGTCGTGAAGCGGCGAATAACACCAGCATCTACGTCTTCAACAAAGCAGATGTTCGGGGTACGAACCTCACATACCTCGGCCGTCCATGGCGCCAATATAGTCGGACTATTTTCCAAAGGAGCTTTTTGGGTGATGTCGTAAGACCGGAAGGGTGGACAAGATGGGATGATGTACAGCCGGTAACCAACGTGGTGTACCAAGAGTACAAGAACTATGGCCCTGGTGCAGCAGGACCAAGAGCGAACTTCAGCTCGCAGCTTAGCAAGCCGATCAACATGGAAGATGTGTTTGGACGCAACTTTGAGAAAGAAGTCTGGGTGGACTCGGAATACTTTTAGTTCCGAACATTAGTAATCGTAATGGCGTTGAACACGTGCCGGGTCCCGAGGATGACGGGTCGCGCCTACCTAGGTAGGCCTCGGAATCTATGTACCTGAGTGGCAGCTTTGAGACATAGACGAGGCAAGGTAGCTGTAATTTTCATAACAATGTCGAACTTTGTTCCGGGCCCTCCAGTGGTTGTAGAGTCAACAGATGCATGTCCCCTATCGAGAAGTTGTTGCGAAGCAGTGGTGGGGGGGGGACAGTATGGATTTGTAGGGCTCTTCGATTTGGTCCTAAGGCCTCTGGTGCGAGATTGGAGGCCTTCGAGCTCGGCTGCGTCAGTCGATGGCGCAACTTTCGTCGTTGCGGTGGGTGCAGGTACGTTGTCAAGGCTTCCAATGTTGAGAGTTTCGGCGGAGCGGTCGCCAGTTGGCGGTTGCGCACGCCGCAACACAAGCTTCGCTTTCGGGGTTCGCTCGCTCCTTCCATCAACTGCCACCAGACCGTCAGCAGTCCAACGCGCTCGTAATGTTCTAGTACATGTTTATCGTCTCGAGTTTGGTCTAGTAGTTCGATGAATATTTGAGGATGAAAAACCATGAGCGCGCCATGATTCTGCTTTTCCCTGATATCTTTCAGCTGACCGAGTCCGCAGCATTTTCAGCAATCCGCCTGCGTGTGAAAGAAATCCCCGTTGGAAGCTCTTATTGCAGCACGTGTGTCGCTAGGAGTTCTACACCTGTAATCAGAGTACAGAACGCATCGCTGCCTATACCCTCCGAGGACGATTTGCTTGAAACAGGCACAGCTTTTTTTCGGCTGTCTCCCGCCTGTACCGCTTGTGTCAAAGCTGTCGATCGTGAAACGGTGGTCAACGCTCGTCTACGTTTGCCTAGCTCAGGCATCCCCCGCTAAAGAAGCCGCACCCTACCTTGCAAATCATGATCTGGCTCTAAGTTGAAAGCCTTGAGCAGCGTACAGACATTTCTCGAGACGCTGCATAATCACAGAGTCAGATTGGATGCCGCGGATGGATTTACCTGGACCCAGACTGGCATGGTCGAGTCCTACAACCACGTCTAGCTAATGGAGATGCACAGGAAGGTCGAGTGTATCCATAGGGTGACGATCTTGCCAGTGGCGTGAGAATCGATCTTGTGCGCCGCCCTTGCTTTGACAACACGACTTCGCACTTACCATCAGTTACGCACGCACTGTGTAGACAACAATTTTCAAGACGCAAAATCGCTCTTGTGGACCTCATGGCACAGGCCGGGCGGTGCTTTGCGTTCATGAGCGCCAGGAAGCAGGATGCGTATACTTCAAACGGTATGGGCTGTTGTTCGCTTGAGCAGAGTCCGCGATGACAGCATAGTACATTCCGAGTCAAACTTGGGACAGGACGAAGAACCTTCCGGCAGACTGTCCGGCAGCGAAGGGGCATGTGCGTGTACAACAAAGCTGTCATCTGGGTACATCTGGAAGTTGGAGCTAAGCCTCCTCGCATGGCGCTCTCGTCAGTCTGCTAGGATTCATGGCACTGCATATGGAGGAGGGATAACCTGGTCGCGGGTTGTGGGCCTTGCGGGGCCTCCCGCGTAAGTCTCTTTTCTTGGGAAAGTTGGTACGCTTCGAGGACGCGGTCTCACGCAGCTCTGCACTGTTCTGCCCTAATATCGCGCGCCCTTTAATTGCTGCGCTCATCGCTCGACAGCAATCGCAGCATGACTCCATGGTGGGAGGCCTAACGTGGCGCTTTATGAGGCTGAAAACATGGAGACTGGGTACTTGTGGCAACTAATGTTTCGAAGCATGTCTAAACAACGGCCACGAACGGCATTCTGAAAGCAACATCGAACATCCTCGAGCGTCAATGCATGACACGCGTACGCGTTTCTGGTCCTCGATCATGGCAATTTGAGGCTGTGAGCATGCAAGCATTCCGCTTATACCACCAGGCATTATGCGGTCACCGTTGACAGCTAAGTCCAAGTTGCAGCACGAGGCATACGCAAGAGAAGCACATCCACGACCGAGATCACGATGCTACGCATTGAAGATCCTGGCACTGAAGGCTAGGCTCTGCATGAGTTGAAAGGATGACGTTCTGTAAAATCGTTCTTCATCGGTCCGCATTCCAATTGCTGCGTTCTGCACCGAAATTGCGAAGCCCTGCAGAGGGAACGTCTTCTCTATTGGTACAAGCTAGGTCAGCAGATAGGCCCGCGCAGACCCGGCGAACATCACCCACACCGTCGAGCAGAAGCACGATCTGCTCAGGCTCGTACGGCGATCCCTGACTAAGTTGTACAGGCGCTCCTAGGTCCATGTTACTTGGGCTCCTTACATCTGAGCGAACACATATAATGCTCCCTCTTACCCGAGCTATCGTTTCAGTGCAATACAGATCCTCATTCATAGCAGTACCTTCAGCTCAGCATTTGTCTCTACTATCAGCATATCATTATGACCGTCCGAAGCAAGCACAGTCTAATGTCTTTCATGACAGGAAAAGAGACAGCGGCTGAGAAACACAACAGTAGAGACCCAACTCTACCTATTCATGAGCCTTCGACCGCAGCTCCGTCAGAGTTGGCACCTAAAGCGCACTCTACTGTTCGCCGAGAAATTGCGGCCTTTCTGGGGGAACTGATCGGAACGTTCATGTTCTTGTTCCTTGCTTTCACGGGAACACAAATTGCACTCAATGCTGCTGGAACCCAGCAGCTCACCAGCTCCGAGAACCCAGCACCTGATGTCTCGAAACTCATTTACATCGCATTCGCTTTCGGTATATCTCTCGCCATCAACGTTGCAATCTTCGCAGACATCAGTGGAGGAAAGTTTAATCCTGCGGTACGTTCAGTCGAGCACCCTGTGCTTCCCAAGCCCCACTCCATGTCACAGCGTCTTCAGCTGTTCACACCAACAGTAATAACGAGTTGCATGACTAGAGCTAATTCGGTAATTCAGGTAACCACAGCCCTCTTCCTCACTGGAAAGATCACCTGGCACCGTGCAATCCAAACGATCATCTCTCAGATGATTGCTGGCATGGCAGCTGCTGGCTTCGTGAGTGGTCTGTTGCCAGGCCCACTCATCATTGCTACCTCACTCGACCCATCCATGTCGGTGACCCGTGGGCTGTTTCTGGAGTGTTTTGTCACTGCTCAACTCGTGCTCACCATCCTCATGCTTAAGGGTGGATCCGCGAAACCCATGTACATCGGTTTCTCGCTATTCATCGCCGAGATGTGCAGTGTTTACTTCACAGGTGGCAGTCTTAACCCTGCACGCAGCTTTGGTCCCGCTGTTGTTGTTGGCTTTGACAGCTACCACTGGATCTACTGGATCGGACCCCTCTTGGGCGCAGTCCTTGCCAGCGGTGCATATGCGCTCATCAAGTGGGTTCGACAAGAGTCTATGCAAGAGTAACGAGATGTGGAGAGAAGACGCACACCCATTCACGCAAATGCACCATCTTGGATTCTGCCACCGCGGAACGACAACGGTAATCCGCGGAAGGAAGAGGATCTGTTATTTTCCTATGATTTCATTGTCAGCATCACAGTTTCCTTACTCCGGACCTATCACAATCATTGGCTTTCAACTGCGATGTACTTTGCTATAATGCGTTAAAACAGGCGAGACAGGGGTTCTGTTACCAAACTGTGGGGACCAGTAGGAATAAGGCATTTCGATGGAGGAATGCAAGATCGAGGTGTGACCCCGGTTGTTGGGCTGCAACCGAGTAAGGAACCAATAAGACAGCAGGTGGATGGCGGGCATGATCTCTACCATTCCCCTACACTCTTTAATGAAGTAATGAACATTTCAAGGCATATTCGCACACCATTGTATACGATACCTCTAACGGGAACGTTCCAAGGTTGCACCGGCATGCACAAAATCGTCGCCCACTGACCCACCCGACATGTGTCAGTGGCTGTTGAGTGCCCACTCCAAGAAAGCAGACAATGGCTAAAAGCCTATCTCGGGTGACGCACATTCACGTTGATGTCTCTCGATATGCACAGGCCCTGAAAGCCATGCGCTCGGTATGCACCTTTGAGACATCCGGATGATTCTTCGGGCCAAGAGATGCGTGTACCACCACATGAAATCCGAACTGAGCGAGGTGCATGTTGCGCGGACATCGAACAATCGTATGATATCTTTTGAGTTCAATTAGTAGCGTCGTCTATGTGCTACAAGCAGTAATGCACAAGCACGTCGTGCAAGCTGAGATACGTGGGGAAACTTCGCTGGTGGTGGTGCGATACATCAAGATCCACACCTCATAACCGATCAACGAAGGTGCCGAGAAACGCTCCGCATCGATCACTCCAGCATGATCCCTGGATAGATACTGCGGGGCATTGTAACGCTTCTAGTAGCATCAAGTGCTCGAACCATGTCGCGGTTAGCTGGGTAGCAATTTATGAGCAAGATTCGTGGGAGGCCGACTGACAGACTAGGTCATGCGCAGTACCGGGTGATCGTGATCTCCATAGTACGTAGTTCTATTCGATGGTCTATAATGAGTGTCACAACGACGGGAACAGCAGATTAGGTAGGTTTACCGCTCCTCTGTGTTACGGACAATAGGTACCCTGTGGACCACCACTACCGCCACTTCCAACGATCTTTGCACCATCCCTCACACTCTGTGAATATTCCTAGTGTTTGTCATAGCAATGAGGTATTCAAGCCGTGAGTACCTAAGTCACAGATTTTTACTGTGGACGCTTCATCCCAGCTGCGGGGAGATTGTTTTGCTTTGTTCCAGCGTATAAGAAGTAGACCAGTTACCAGGATATCTTGTATTGATCTTTGGATGACATAATTTCCTTTACGGGTCTTCTCGATTTCCTACATCTTCGTTGTCGACCTCGGAATATCTACAGACAGGTATGCAAGATCTCGAGGATGTGGCGACATTGCTCGGGATTTCTCTCTTGGTCTGTTGCTTGATCTATTTTCTGCTTGAATTACAAGCATATCTGGGTATGACAGTCAACCGGTCTTGAGGAGTCTACCTGGGTACTTAGGTACCTACATGTGACGTCACTGGACGCACTTCAGTCGAACTTGACACAACACTCCAACTCATCTGTAATCTAATACACAACTATTACATTTTTTGGAGCTCTACTGTAAGAGATATCTACATAGACAAGTGGCTTTCTGCCTCGTAGCGCTCGCATGGGTTAAGGCAACCTTAAAGGGTCTCCAGATCAAAAGCTTTACAGCAGGCGTGACTGCCTTCACTATACCTGAGTAGTCACTCTTACTATGAAGCCAGTGCCGCTGCAATCGATCTTGATTGATAAACAAAGATGACTATAGAGCGTCCTAGTGCTGATTTAAATTGGTCCCAGGGGTACGAAACAGACTTTGGCTCGCCCATTCTTTGCGATCTCTTACCTCGACCTACCTTGACCTGCCTTCACCTACGAATCGGGTACACATGAAATATTCAGAGACTAGTAAGACCTTGGCGAAAACTTTGCGTACCTGGAGTGCCTTCGCGCGTACATCGAATAGACCGAAACTCGTTCAACAACAATATGCTCGATCACTACCGAACTCTCGAGGTGGACCCTTCAGCGGACCTTGCAGCAATCAAGAAAGCATACCATAATATCTCCCTATTATGTCACCCCGATAAGACATATCACCTATCAGCAACAGAGCGTACCAAGCGCGAGCACTTGTTCAAGCTTGCTAGTGTTGCCTTTGAGGTCCTCTCCGATCCAAAAGAGCGCAGGACATATGATGAAGCTCGAGTCGAGACACAGGTGAGAAATACCAACACAAGTCTACCTAAGGGCCACAGACTGACCATGCGCAGTCGTCGCAAGGCTACCAACCTCATACGCCGCCGCAGTACAGCAATCAATCTTCATCTCCACCTCGCTCGTCCTCCACTAGGTCTAGAGATGCCCAGGGCTCCGAGGGCATTCGACGCGCGCCACTGAGCACTCATCGGTTCTCTATAAGCACCCTCGGGACGGCGCCAGACTTCAACTGGTATCACTGCGCACTCAGTGAACGGTGTGATCTTACATCACTTACCTATAGCAACTGGCTTGGTTGGAAATTTTCGATCCAAATCGCAAACCACTTCGAGGTGGTGTCCGAGCCAATCATTCCAGAGAAACCTGTGATGAACTCCATCACTATTCGTTTAGCTATCCTACGAAGGCCAAAGTCAAATGCACGTGCATCCACTGACATCGTTGTGGAGATGAGAGGCACACCTGGTTCCAAACACACAATCCTATCTTCCGCGCTTATTGAGACGACCGAGGATCTGGAACTAGTCGTGGATATTGCCATTGCACCCGAAGATGTACAGAAACATGTTTTAGGGCCGTCCTCATGGAAGTGGGCTTATGATATCGACCATAACGTTACCACGCTTGAACCAAAGTCCAAGATCAAAGTCACCAGTCTAATATTTCACCCATCCAGGCCATCTATGGCCATTTCACCATCTGGAGGAATGCCAGGGATTCCTTACCCTTGTGGATCGCCTATGTACAGCTTAGTTGATCTGTTTCCGGGCCTGATCATCGAATTGTTGGCCGCAGATACCTACTGCAAAGAGGAGACGCAGTCTGGGATAACATTCTGGCGACTGACCGCATTTGGTCACACATAGCCTTCAATCATAAGGGCTTGCTTTAGGGAATCACTCGTGCCTCTCATTTAGAACCTTCAGTTAGATCGAGATGATTCGAACTAGCACAAAGAGTTTCGACATCTTCAGATGTATCATCCGCAATAGTTGCAGTGAGTGTGATGGTGCCAGTGCCCAAAATAGATAGCTAAGAGCAAATAGCAAATCAGTGCTGGCGCTGGTACAACGCTATTGAAGGCAAGTGTCCAACTTTTTCTTTTCAATTTGCAGGAGATGTTCGAGGAAGCATCCAAAATTGCAGTCGAACATGGCAGTGGTACGATAGAAACTTTGGGGTTGCCAATTCCAGGTACTGTCTCAGGTCGGTGTTTGAGGCTCGATGCGAGATGATTCTGCTAACGAAACTGCCCGATGCGATAGACCTGAGGCGCTATCAAGCTGTTGAGGCGGTACTATACGACTTGCATAGCCTACCCAGCAATTATCGCAGCAGCAGTTATACGTGCATAAGAGATAAAGCACATTCTTATAAATGTGGTTCAATCATGTTTGGAGCATCGAAGAAACAGCTGGATGATTGGTCGCTCTCGTCTCCGCGCCCGGAAATCCCATTCCACAATACGACTCTTCATGATATCTACGCCAAAGTCCGGAGAGTGAGCTCTCCTGTCTGGCTTGATTCAGAGCGCAGCGGTCAGCTGTTTCCACCTCCATGAAATCGTCATGGATGCAACCTTGAAAATGATGTATACAAGTTCATGAATACAGCAACCGCGGGCGCGCTGAGCTTGAGCTTGGGTCATTTACGGGGAGCAAGTGAAAGCAAGAGACCCCGACAAAAGACCCGGAGATCTTCAAGGGTGATAATAACAGAATGAGGTGTACTGCGCGTGAGAATCGCCGACAGATCACCAAAGTAAGGCTGAGTTGCCATCGGCGACCCGGCAGTACACTTCGATGGTCGCAGATGGGATACTGCGATGATGATAGGCGCAAGACTTGACGAATGTACACAGTGGCTGCCACGAGACAGGTCGTGTGAAGTACAAGAAATAGAGGATTGAATGTGCTTGCAAGCGTAGTTGGTCCACAGTCCACTGGAGCCTGTTTTGATGCTAGGCCGAATAAACCCTAGCGTCAACGGCCTGACGTAGAAGCTTCGAGCTGGTTCACAGACCATCTCGCAACATCACCAAGCAGCGCGAACTGTCTCCAGCTTTCCAGCATCATCTGTCTTCTTACGGAAGCCATCTTTCAAATCAAAGATTCGCAATCAGACTGCTGCCTGCGATACCGCCACTATGGGTATAAAATCCTTGCACGCGGCTCTCCTAGGGCCCATCATCAGTTCCAAACATTTGATCGACCAGATCTCCAGCATATTTGAGCCACTGTGAACCCTCACCATACTCCTTCCATACTACGAAATCCAGTCAGCATTCCTCAAACCGCCAACAATGGCCTACGTTATCCACCCTAGCTTTGCGCAAGCATATCAGGCGTCGCAGTGCAACCCATTTGGCTACTGCAGGCCTTCGTCACGACCCACCTACGGCTACCGCACCGTCCAACGGTCTCAGCCCCAACCCCAGTCTTCACCATTCGCCAGCTTCTTCAGCCAGCTAGATGAAATAGTCAGCGAGATCGACCGCGAGTCACAGCGCCGCGCACAGGTCGAGGCTGAACGCGAGGCTCAACGCGCAGCGCAGATCAAGGCTGAGCGCGAAGCATATCGGGCACACGTCGAGGCTCAGCGAGAGGCTTATCGTCAACGCCAGGCTGAGATTGAGGCACACATTGCCGCTCAGCGTGAAGTCCACCGCCAGCGACAGCTCCGCAAACGTGCATTCAGGGCACAGTTCGCCGTTACTCAGAACGAACAGGGATGGCAAGTGAATGCTGAAGTTCCCGGCTTCGAGCAACACAACATCAGCATCGAAGTCATAGACGAGAACACTCTCAAAATTGCTGGCAACACCGAGTTGGGCACTAAATCTCAGATCGAAGCTCAGTCCGAAGCGGAAGCTACACCCGGAGCAGAGCAATCCACTGAGGAGGTATCCGAGCATGATGTCAAGCAAACCACTGAAGAAACAGTGAAAGAGACGACGGAGGGTATCACGCTCGAGCCCACCGCTGGCCCTGAATCCACTGCTGAGGCCTTTGACGATACCGCCGAGACCGAGTCTATCCGTCCTGGATCGCCCGACAGCGACACATCTTCGCACAAATCATACCAAGCCACAGTCGAAGACGAATTTGAAGATCTTGGCCCTGAAGCCTCCATACTGTTCTCAACAGCGTCCGCTCCCGCTACACCTTCCGAGCCTAAGGGAAAGGAGAAGGAGGTTGAACCCGTTGAGACCGCCGAAGATCCCGAGGTCTCCATACCCGCCGAAACCGCAGTCGTGCCGCAGCCTCAGCCTGAGGTCCCGGCGCAGCAACAGGATGCCAACGAGCGCTTTCGTGGGTCGTTCGAGCGCACTTACAGGTTTCCCGAACGCATCGATGCTAGCAAGGTCAGCGCCAGCTTCAAAGAGGGTGTTCTCAGCATCAATGTACCAAGAGCCCAGGCTCAGCCGATCACGAGGGTCACAATCTCTTGAGAATACTACATGCGGAGGACTAATAGAGTAATGGAAGTATTGGCATGGGATGGAGTTTCGTCTTAGATAAGAAACGGTGCTTTGACATCGGTAATGAACATTCTTAATTTCAGTCTTCACTTCTTCACTTGCACCCATCCATGTGCCAATGAGATAGAGTCAAGTTCAGGGCAAGCGTTGATGTTAGTCTTGAACCATTACTCATCCTGCAACCCAGCCAATAGTTTCAGACCATATCATCACCATGCAAACCCGAGTACACACCATCCTCTTACTAGTTGCTCAAGGTCAACAAAACTTAAATGAGTAACATTTGGTTAATTTTAAAGACTCTGAGACAATACAAGTCTAGGCAAAATCTAGTGATCGCGAACAGCGCCAAGCATTACAGTTCGATTTTCGATTCTCAGTCACAAGTCTTGTCTAGATCTTGCCGATACCAGCGCCCTTCTTAACGACCTTGGTGACCTCCTTCAAGGGGGTGAGCTTGTACTTGTAGGGAGCCTTTGTGAAGTTTCCGACCTGTGTGATGTTCACACCTGCCTTGCCAAAGTCGTTCTCTGCAAAGGTGTTAACGAGTGCTCTCAATTGTGTTAAGGAAGTAAGACTTACTTGCACCGAGGTTGGCAAATCCGTCAATCTCGAAGTCACCGTCAGGGCCGCTATTGGGGCTATCCTCAGGGATAACGAGACCGTAGGTGCTCAAAGCCTCCCTAGTCTTGCCAGTGAACACATTACCCTCAACAAGAACCTGGTTGTCGCTTCGGCTATGGATAGCCTGGTACAAGAAATCCTGGTACAAGTTGTTGTAGATGTGCTGGTGACCGAAGCGGCCAGCAGGACCGCGGGTGCCGGCATTTCGCCAGTAGTTGTGATGGTAAGTGACATGCAGATAACCAAAATCGATGGCCCTGAAAGCATCACTGTTACCAATCAGGGAGCTCTTCCAGTGGTCGTGGAAGTAATTCCAGGAGACAGTGATCCAGTCTGAGGCTCGGATGATGTCCAATTGCCCATCGTAGTAGTCGGGGCCAATTTCAACAGAAATCTCGGAGCTGAATTCTAGTGATCGTTAGCAAGCAACGTCAGGATTAGAATGGATCATGCTTACCATTGTGATCGATCCAAACGCGAGTACTGTTTTGAATGGTGATACCATCGTTGCCCACGATTTTGCGAATAGCAAAGTTGCGAAGGATAACATTAGTTGCATTCCCGATCGTAATACCAGCGCCGGTAATCTCTGCACCCTTGCCAGCACCGATGATCGACTTGTATTGGTTAGAAAATGCAAGTAGATCTGCTTCTCTGTTCACATACCTTGTTACTGCCGGGTCGCAGGCGGGCAGTCAAATTGAATTTGCCCTTGGCAATGATGATCTTTGGCTCTGTGCCGGCAACGGCTGCGATGAGTTCCGGAACTGTGGTGACCGTCACGGTCGGACTGTTCTTGCCAGCCCCGCCAGTAGTCGGTCCAATTGGGTTATCCTTGGCGAATCCAACCAGGTTGTAGTCGGCTCCTGACGGAGAAGCCGTTGCTACGAAAGCAAGGGAAAGAATGGAGATAAGTGAGAGCTTCATTTTGACCAGGGTGATAGCAGATATGGAAAAGGACCGACCGATCTCTGGCTACTGGGATATCGCACTACTGAGCATGGTACTTATAGTCCAGGGTTTAGTTCAGAGTGACAACATCTTCAATCCGGGTCGTTGGAACGCCCTGGTGGCTCAGTAGCAATTCTTCCGCGCCGTGGCGCACACTTGACTGGAGAAAGGAAGCTGCATGTCCGCACGTGCAGTGCATGTCGCCTCTGCACAGCTACAACTCCTCATCGACAAGCTGACAAGCCGGATGGTGGCATCAAGCAACGAGATGAAGATGCACGATGGCTGACCATGATCGTATTGAGTGGTGGAACAATCAAACCCCAGATTATCCAGAATCGAAGAGGGAAGATCGACCGTCTTGGAAATTCTTGGCGGCCGGGGAAGAAATGCGGGATGAACGACCTCAGGAGCCCTAAACGAACCTCTCTGCTTCCAAGGTTGCCGCCTGCGCCGTCACCTCATCTCTGTTCATTATTCGATAAGATGAGCAAATTTCTGCCACCACGTCTGTCGCTACCTCTCATTTGTACCTCCCGTTTGTCGTGCAGCTTCCCGTTACGTTGATGATGCATTTTGATCGCTTGCAGCTGCAGAGAAGCAGCTTAGCTCCACGGCGATTACCCAGCGCGCCACAGGGGAAAGGTGGCCGTGGTTGTGAATTCCTGCCTTTCTTAGTAAGATCGAAGACTTTTTGAATTTTAAGATAAACCAGGTATTATCCGGAGTCCAGTCGCTTCACCGATTGCTATCCTGACCACTCTCAGGTGCGCGAACTATGAAGTAGACCCAGCTCAGATCTTCGAGACGTGCATGCAGCGCTTTCACGCAATCTCGAACATTGCTTTGCTGCCAGCTTCGGATGTACACCGAAAACTCAAGTAGATGGAGCAGCTATGCTATAGCGTTACTCTGTGACCATTGACAGCTAATGAGTTGATGATATACATGAAGTATTTGTAGAGGTTTATTGGTATGGCGTCCTGATCCCACCATTCAACTCTGCATCTACTGGACTCTGTATACGTCGATTCTGATTGCTAAGGAAACTTCATCGTTTCTGCAAAGACCACAAAGATACATTGCACCTCCTTGTCTTTGCCATGTAAGATCGGGTAGTTCGGGACCTGATCCTCCTGCTACTACTACTCCAGGGCTGGAGTATCCGCATAACACTGGCTCATCATCTCAGGCATATAGCGCTCGCCGCTGACATCCGCTTCTTCGCAAGCCTTTCTGATTTGCTGATCTTCTTCCTTGCTCAGTTTGACATTCAGTGCGCCCAGGTTATCCTTGAGTCTGTTGATATTGGTGGTACCAGGAATCGGAAAGATGTCATCGCCTTGCGCCAGCAACCAAGCCAAAGTCAATTGGCTGGCCTCGATGCCCTTGCTCTTCGCCACTTCGGTGATTTGGTCGACCAATTTCAAGTTCTTGGGGAAATTCTCAGCGCTGAAGCGTGGCATAAAGCGGCGGAAGTCGTCTTGTGCGAAATCAGCGGGAGATTTCAGAGCACCACCGAGGATACCACGGCAAAGGGGCGAGTAGGCAACAACCGCGACGCCGAGCTCTCGGCATGTTGCGAGGAGGTCAATCTGCTTGCTTTCGATCTCAAGAGCGAAAGGCGAGTACTCGACTTGCACAGCACTAATAGGGTGAACAGCATGTGCGCGACGCAGCGTGGCGGACGATATCTCTGAGAGACCAAGGTACTTAATCTTTCCTTCCTCTTTCAGTTCAACCATGGCTTCAACAGTCTTCTCGATTGGTGTTTTACCATCGACACGGTGGCAGTAGTACAGGTCTATCTGAGATATGCCGAGACGTTCGAGACTAGCAATGCAGCACTTCTTCGCGTATTCGGGAGAACTGTCGACTTGGTATGTCTTTTGATCAACGGCGAACTTTGTAGCGAGGAAGATGTCGCCACGCTTGTCCTTGTTGGCAGCGAACCACTTTCCCAGGAGGACCTCGTTATCGCCATACCTACACTGGATTAGACTTGGTCTCTAGCGAACTGCTATTGTAGCACTTGCAGATCGGAAGAGTCCCAGAAGCGCTCGCCGAGCGCGTGCGCTTGTGTGAGGACCTCGAGGCGTTCTTCGTCGGGCTTTGAAGCCCCATAAAACGACGATAAACCCATGAGTCCTAGGCCCAATCGATTGACTTGGGGACCATTGCGACCCAGTTGTGCTGTCGGAAGAGACATCGTAAAAGTGTAGTTGGTGCAAAGTGCTGCAGGAAGAGAGTGAGCGTAACCTGGACTTCACATCAAACGACCTCGATATAAAGGTAGAAGACAAACGGAGATAAGCCCGTCGGAAACTGTCAAGATGACTATGCAATTATGACGGTTCGTTCGCGAAGTCGTTGCATCCGGGTGCGGGCACATCCGTAGTTCCGCACGTTGGATGAGCGGAGATAGGCGATAAGTCCATTACCAACGCTCATACTCTCAAGCTGATATTCCTCACGAGCTTACAGCAAAAAATAAGCCAGATACCGGAAGGTGTTGTCCTTGGAACTGTACAGCAGTGAGAGACAATGTGGGCGAGTGAAACTCGGCTTTTGGGGGGCTTGTGTCTGTGATAACCGAGACGCTTCTCTGGCTTACTTTATCAGCGCACTAAAGCCGCGCCCATAAGCAACGTCATCGCTCAGATATGTGTAACCCTCGATTACTCGCCCACCAACAACAGCATGTCGATCAAAATCAGTGACTTGAAGCTTTCCAAGCTTAAGCCCCTCGCGCATCAGCATTTTGAGCCCCCTACGCAATTTCGCAGTCGCTTCGAGTTCGATCACCATGATGACAAGATCCATGTCCTACTATGTGCAACAGGCTCTGTCGCAACCATTAAGATACCCAACATGATCAGAGCGCTTGAAAAACACCCCAATGTTGCCATTCGACTCATATTCACGACCTCGGCAAAGAATTTTCTACAAGGGCAGAGCGAGGAACAGCCTACTCTGATGTCGCTAGAAGCTCTTCCGAATGTAGAAGGCATCTACTTTGACGAAGATGAGTGGAAAGAGCCCTGGAAGCGGGGCAATAAGATTTTGCATATCGAATTGCGACGGTGGGCAGACATCATGGTCATCGCCCCACTGAGTGCAAACGAGATGGCGAAGATCACACAGGGCTTGTCCGATAACCTCTTGTTGTCCGTAGTACGGGCCTGGGATACAACGGGTCTGATAGATCCGGTCAGAGAGATACCAGGTGTAACATGGCCCGAGGAGGAGGGATGGAAGGATGGGCCAAAGAGAAGGAGGATATTGGTTGCGCCATCAATGAACACAGCCATGTGGTTACAGCCGATCACGACAAAGCAAGTGCAGGTGCTTGAAGATGAGTGGGGTGTCAAGAACGGTGGTTGGTACGAGGTATTGCAGCCGATGGCGAAAGAGCTAGCATGCGGGGATGTTGGCGGCGGTGCAATGAGAGATTGGAGAGAGATTATAGGCGTCGTTGAAGCAAGAGTAGGTTTGGTTGCGAACGAGGGCTAATTTCTCCTCGTTCCCAGTGCCCGGGCAGTCACTACCTCACTAAGTAAAGAGTGACAGACAAGAAACTAACCATTTTGCCTGGCCTTCATCCAGTCAATCATGACTTCGCCACAAGTTTTCTGTGAGATTCTTACAAAGGGTTTGCCAAAGTCCATAGTGTCGAGTTTGCTTCGCCATTGCGTTGATGGAGCAAAAAGGATGTTATCTCCCCCGGAAAGGCTCGAACTTTCAACCTCCTGATGTGCAATCAAGCGAGTTGCGGATAACAGTCAGACGCGCTAGCCAATTGCGCCACGGAGGATCAACTTGTAAAGTCAAGTTGGTGGTTGCGCCACGACTTTTGATGGGAATTTTGTAAAAAGTTCATGTTATACTTTGAGACAATTGAGATCGAGAATTAGAGTTGATCCACATTGAAAAACAAGTCGCAAAGCCAGTGTTATTTGTCAACAGTTGTTCACTTTTTGATAGGGCCTGCGAGTTTTGCCGAGGTTTGATGCACGTTTGTGCAAATCATTGCCCTGCTTAGCAATCACTTCATAGGACATGGGCCAGTATCTCCAAGGTAGAGTCGCCCATTTTCTCATTATTGACGAGATCTCGGTGAGCTTCAATGATTTTATGTCTGATAGTCATGGTTTCTCGTGGGTTGTGAAGTTCGGAAAACGACGTTTGACCTTAACAATAAAGTTTTGTCCGAATATCAGTATATGTATCAATATTTCTTTAGATAGTAAGCTGTTGCATATTATGTACATCGAGATATGAGACAGAGCGAGCACTGCAGGCAAAGTGAGAGTCATTACTGTTTACGTACCTCTATTGATGTTATCGCATTTGCTGGGAAAGTAGAAGTCATGATGACTTGAGTCAGATGACGAGCAGATTCTATAGAATGGATCATACCAAGAGCGATATCCAAGAATGATTGATGACGAATAATCAGGTCGATCTAATCTATGTGCATGACTCCAGCCTAACCATTACAAATGCGTGAGTTCGTCTACAAGGCACTAACTTAATGCATCACCCACGTACAGAGGTCAATGGAATGCCTTGTCCCTCGCCATTCCGATCTGTATCTGGATCTGTTGCCATCAGCCCTAGTGCTTCATCTTGGTCTCCGCGTCCTCTGTTGTCTCTATCCTTCTTTGGAGCCTCCTTATGCATAGCAACATAAATTGCTGATCCCAGAATCAACGATGAGCCGACGATGGACAGCGCTCCTGGTGTGGTACCCCATATGAGTTTATCGAAGCTGAGTGCAAACAACATTTGACTGTAAACCATGTTTGTTGCCCTCGATGTCTTCTCATATTGCAGCCCAGCCGCGAGAAGGAATTGCTGATGTGTATTAGAACTGTCGATAACGTTAGAAACGCAAATGAACTTACCATTACGAAACCGCAGATGCCGAGGAATGTCAGATAGCACCAGTCTTTGAGTGATCGGGGGAATAAAACCCCCACTCCAGGCAAAGCAACCATCATGACAATACTCACAATCGTGCACCATGTAGCGAAATAGTTCACGGATATGAGTGGATGCGCGCGCTTGCCAATCCACCGGATCGTAGTATAGGCGCCTGCAGCACCCAAGACTCCTACCAAAGCAACACCAACGGCTGACGCGCGTTGCGCAGGTGTAACAGCGTCGAACTCGGCCGCCAAACGATGCGGATCTGCTGTGCTATTGATCGAAGCAGTAACGTCTGGATCGCCAATCAAGGATGGGACAGCCTCATCGGAGTGTGACAGAAACGCGAAGAGCGAGACCGGTCTCGCTATTAGGACGACACCGAACAGCGAAACATAAGCTGCGATCTGCTCCATGCGAGTGAACGGCTCATCAATCAGATACGAGCAAGCCCAGCATGCGAGACTGGGTGCCAGAAACGTTATGACAGTAGCGTCGGCAAGTGGCAGGTAGAGCAGTGAATCTGCTAGGAGTTAGTTATCAAATTTTGGAATCAGTGAAATCGATGCCTTGTTGATATGCATGATCTACACCTGCATCATCCCATCAAATCCGTAGGAGGTAACTTACAGTACATGCCAAAGACGCCAAAGAAACCAAACAGTCCTCGAGCGACGAGTAGAGGTCGAACCTCCCTCATGCCGAAAGGAAAATATTCCGTCTTTTTGTACCACATATATGTCGACGCACACAGAACAGTAATTCCCATACGAGCGAAGAGTATGTGGAATGGATGGTACCCTTTGCCTGAGTATGGTTTAGTTCTTACACCCAAACGAGGTGTTCCTATCTCCTTACCATTATTGCCCTCCATTTCAAGTAATCTTGTGGTGATATTCATCATCGTGCCGAAGAATTGTGATATCAAGACCAAGAAGAGGCCCTTGTTCTTGTACCATATTGCCCACATTCTTCCTTTTGCGGTTCGTGGAGGTGGTGCTGGAGATGTCGAAGCATATCTAGGACCATTTTGATCAGGAAAGTAATCAGGATTACGACCATATCGTATATTGTTGCTGTCGTCTATTGAGAGAAGTGATGGGTCTGGGGAAGGTACCCGGATAGCCCCACGTGCGACATTCAAAGATCCTTCAAGCTTATTACCGCCGGGTTTATCAGCGTGAGCAGCACCAGACTCAGAGGGCTGGTCGCTCGCAGCATACTTGTAGTCGTCTTCGCTGTCTTTTGGGCTTGGCAGTGCACTCATTGCGCTTCGTACAACGGTCCTATGGGGGTCTGCAGGAAGTGGCGATATTGTGAAGCCATGATGAAAAGCGCAAGATGGCTGCTGAGCCAAGCACGCGATACGGCAACGAGGAAGGCTAACTGGCGTTCAACGAGTGAGAGGACGCACAGTCACCCCGCGTTATCCTCGGTTCACTCCGAGTACTCCGAATGACGCTCACAGATTGGATGTGAGCAGCAACAACCACATGGCCACGAAGACGTCGGAAGACAGTTATTGCTGTTGAGATAGAAGTGAGATCTGGTACTAAGGGAAACAAAGTGATGACGTTGAACGACAACGTTGGTCAACCTCGCATTCTCTACCCGTTTATAATGTGCATACAGCTTATGGTCTTTCGGCTCGTCGGGTTCAATACGACCTGCAGTATATGGATTTTCGGCGCGTCGGGTTCAACATTACCATCGGTACAATAAGACAGCTCTTTCGGTTCCATCGCCGTTCTAATCCCTGGTCCTTGGTCTCGGGAGGCGCACCCGACGCACACTGTACAGGAGACGCGCTCTTGCAACAAACAGAAACCCTCCGATACATGTAGTACTCCTGCACCGTAAAGGCGTACTGGCGTCACGAGTTTATTGTAGAATCGTCATGGAACACAGCACCAATGGCCTACGTGTCGGAACATCTCGTCTCCTCCAACTTTCATGGCATTTATCCTTTTCCTCGCTCGGACTCTCTACACCTGTCATCAAACCGCCGAATACCTCAGTCGTGCACGAAGACCCACCTCGCATCGCTTCTTAGCGATGCGCTCGGCTGACCTTCTTAACCCGTTAGAAGAATAATTTCCATACCGATGAAGGGTTGTTGACCGCACTGAATGTCATCGAGCAATCGCTTAGACGTGTTCGGCCCCGTCCCCATGCATTCGAGCGTGCTTGCTTTTGGCAGCTGGTGCATGTACATAGGTATCGCAGAGATGCGGAGGGCCAGCCATGGCAATGGCACTAGCGATTTCGATACAGGCTTCAGTGAAGCAAGGGAGAGCATGCATTTAGGATTCTGGCACATGCATCAGGCCAAGGGCTCCATCAGCTCCAGCTGCGGTCTCAACTGCTTAGGGATTCATCTCGCTGCTGACGCTCCATTGGTCGGAATTCCTGCCACTGATGCCGACGTCAATTCATATTCATGCTTGTGCCGCTGCATCCCGCTGCGGCGCATTGCGCTCAATCCCTGGGAAAATGACCCACACCTGGTGCATCAAGCTCGCTCGAGTGGATTCGAGACACGGCAGAAAACCTTCGAATGTGATTACGTGCAGCAGGTGCAGGGCGGGCTGAATGAGTGGTAGCGCGTCCGTGACTCGAGGGTGGTGGGCAATTGTGGGATTCCTCGTAGAATCCTTTGTTTCCAGGATTTGCAACGGCTCAGTGGGTACCATATCAGCTCCACCTCGAGCGAGTTGTAAGTCTTCGCTCGGAGGAATACTGCCGAGAGCCATGTCTTGGATCCTGATTCTAGATTGTGCTCATCGGGACAGTGTGGGGTACCCATGGTTAGCGACCTCGGTTGTAGGAAAAATAAACAATTGTGCGATCCGAATGAGTGGTACATCGCGAAGAGACTCTGATTGAGGGTAGTGGTGAATTGGAAGTTGCGCAATGTCGCGTATCAGCCTTACGTCTGGGGTTGCCTGCAAGTCATGGGCATCCCTTGCCTGACTTAGCCTGCACGCGCTGATCATCGACGGGCGGATGAGCGGATTGTGGGCACATGCGGCTTGCCTGTGTGTTTTCATGCACGAAAAAAATACTTGGGGAGGAGCACTTGTGGCGCACGCAAGTGCGACACCTGGTCCATCCCAGGATCCTTCGGAATCTCCCGCAAAGGTGCAGCGGACTGTCAAATGACAGACTGGGATTCGGGATCATATCTCATTTGAGATTGACTCTGTATCTACGAGCAATGTTGCGACATGTGTTGTGCGAGTGCGAATGCGAAAATGTGCGCGGGATGCCATGATGCACTGATGTTTATTGATCCAAGGTAGTAATCCGGACATGTGCTCCGCTCCAGCTTCCCAGGTTGCGGGAAGCCGCTATGCCCTGCTCGTTTGCTGATCCCGCAATTGTCCAACTTGGGGCTTGACGCGACACGAGGGTCCATACCTATCCTCCTTTGCCTGGGCATCCTTGTGTGCTGCATGCAATACTTAGAGCACAAGCATGGTCACCTGGTCGGATGCATATTTCCTGCATCATGGGTCGCACCGCCGTTGTTGAACCTTCGACATCCTTTTGGTGCCCAACGGCTGAGGGGTTCAACGACGTGGTGAAAGACGGCAGGGCACACATCAGCCCACCAGCTCTCGCCGATCAATTGGCACTTTTCGGGGCGCCCGGTGCCAGACTTTTAGCAACGACGGGAGCTTCACTATACCAATGCCCATTTGGCAGTGCATTTCGTTGATCTTCTACAAAGTGTTGGAGTAGATGTATTCTCATGGGGGCTGAAATGATTGGAAGCACCACAATGGTTGAATAGGCCCTACAGCGCCTCAGCTAGGTAGTACAGATCGCTTCACTTTTTGAGCCGTTAGCCTCATAAAACGCCCTTTAACCGACGGACGAATCTATGTGGATAGCGAGAACAATGCACTGATCTGGGCTGCAATAAGTCCATATGCGGCCAGTGTACTCTGGACTCGCAAGAGGACGTTAAATAACAGCCTTGCGCTACTTTCCGTCGTAATTAGTTTATTGACTAGTCAAATGTCTCGTGTGAACATCGTATCAGCTCATATTAGGAGCATTATAGGGCGGCTCAGCATGTGAGACAATCCACAGCTCGTAGCACACCCACATCGTCACGTCGCGCCTACAAACAGGTCAACCCTGCGCGCACGTACCCACCCCGACTAGGAAGAGGAAGGCATCCGTAGAAAGTGAGGGCTGGCGCAGAACGCATCCTTCACCCTCAATACCAGGGTGAACTAGAATCAACCTTGGTAGCCGGAGCTAGTTGTGACCAGCAGGTGACAACTCAGGAACGTCTTGATGAGTTCCAGGATAGATGCCTGAGTAGTTGGATTGCAGGGGTCGGTGGGCGGCAGCAGCGTCTTGTGAAACCGAAATGTCCGGCATTTCCGGCTCCTCAGAACGTGGATACCCGGTGCGTGCAGGTATGGAGACCGTTCAAAGGCACGAGGCCTAGGCTCCCACTTCACTAGTAGTGTTAGCTCATGTGGGGAGCATCCACATGAATACATCCACATGAATACATCCACATGAATACATCCACATTCGTAACATGAGGCTCTTCAACATGAAGGGTCCGTCATATGTGACACGTATGTGGCATGAAGATCACCAGATAAAGTTCCTCCTGAAGTGATGTACAAGTCATCTGTACCCAAAGAAGAATACGTCTGGACGATCCCTGGACACAGACTACTATAGGTAATAGCTGAGTTTCTGGAGGTACATCGGGCTGGGAGGAACGTCATGCCGTGATTCGCCGAGTGGCTTCTTGTCTGGCTTATTTACTTGTTTGCGGAGATGCGGAAGGAATACCTATGATCGTTTGATGTCCACCATAAGGTTGACTCTCAAATCTCACAGCATAAGATTACGTCAGGAGCGGCTGCACATACATCTGAGCTGCTGCTAGTAAGCCTGTTCCACTAGCTCCACTCACAGGGCCTGAGTCGAATATGACTGTAGCCTCCCGTGGGTGCGATAGGGTATGAGTTTACTCATGGTGGATGATTGGGGACAGAGGAATAGAAATGATTGCGGACACAGCTACAGGTTCGAAACACGGTCTCCCATGCAAGGACAAACTCCCTCCTGTAGGCTCACGTTCCGTGCTGACCGAATGTTCCACAACATAAGTAGGAATGTCCTTCCAATACGGTGCCCACTTACCGCAGTACGCGCAGGGAATCACCTTCCTCATCCGTTGGCACGTACATTTAGTGCCCGCCTTCGCCCCGTAGCGCTCTGATATTTTGCGCCGCGAAGTCGCCCATGCTGTTGTCTTGCATTGATTCCTTTGCAGGATTATAGTCAACGATCCCGATCCTTTCGCCCTCCAGAATCTCTCTATCGACGAAGATCGAGCCATTCACAGCGACCAAAGCCCGCTGATATAAGACTTGATCATGCTGTACTGGTGCAATGTCGTCGTCCCAAATGCCGCTGAGCGAATAGTGCTGCTCCGTGCTGCCAGAACCGTATGATCTTCTTTCCGAGGGGATGCTCGCGTAGAACGCTGTGCCGTTTTGCCAGTTCGTCGTCTTACTTCCACAGAAGAGCGAATCAGGCGCTATTGCCTTCCACTGATTGTATAGCGCAAGCTCACCAATCTGCTCAACGTTCTTACCTCGTCTCATTGTAGCGTCGATTGTAAGTTTCCCGTGGGAGACATCGTATGATGAGGCAACCCATAAGGGATATGCAAAATCTTTCCGATATGCTGAGCCTGCCGAAGTGTGGAGTCCAGACGTGTTCTGGCGAAGGTTCTGGTCATTGCCCTTGTTTGTAAGCGTTCCGTAATGAGAGTACGCGAGGTGCTGGATCCAGGTGGCTTCTGCGGGACCTTTTGAGGTATGCAGAGTGGACGTTATGTGTATCAAGCGAGTTACTTGAACAGAGTACTCGAGTAAGGCAGTGGTATCGTTGGCAGTCCTCGTAGTCTTCGAGAATATGTCGATGGATGGGTCAGGGCTGTGTAATATAGGGCGTGAGCCTGTAATCACGCTGATATTAGTGTCCAGCCAGATGAACAGCTTTCCAGTCACAATCCAATTCGATTCGATCGAGGACGCAAGTTTGCTATGGCCATTGCCGTCATCTTCAATACCAACTACTCGGATTTCGAATGTGTGTTCTTTATCGTCAGTGAGCGCCGGCAAAAAACGGTGTTATGTCGATCTCGTCCTCCAGTAGGTCAAACGCATCGATGCCCACTACAGGCCGCCAGAACCCAGGGACAACGCCACCTGTGAAGATCACCGGGAAAGGCCATGCAACACCAGCCAATTGACCATCGATGAGCAACTGCAGCTCTCGGAAAGGCGAGTGGCCGTTGAGCTGATTTTCAGCGCCAAACGCAGCCGTGTCGGACGTCAGCACATTGCTCCACCAGAACTCCTCCTCGGCCTGACCGCAGGCTGAAATTGTAAACACAGCTTTCCTGGCATTCTGCGGGATCGTCAAAGCATTGACAGCTCTTGACTCAGGTACGATAAATTGGCTCGGCGAATTCACGGGAGATCTGCGCGCAGATACCGGGACAATAACATCCGCGGGTTCCAGCACACTATCCGTCATGAAATAGGTCGCCGTTAAGGTGGTGTGCCAAGATCCTGTGTACGTGTTATCTACAAGATTTCCGAGATCGAAGATGATCTTTCGAGGCTGCTTGAACACGGCAAGGTAGCTACTCATGTCTTTGGCAAAGCTCCACAAGATACCATTTTGTGTCGGTTCGGCCGTAGATGTACGGAAGATCTCGATATCGTCAAGGAACATGAGAGCAAGTCGATCGAACTGGCGTCCCGCAGACGTAACAGTGAAGTTGAAGACCACACGGTTGTACTCGCAGTTCGGTGGCGAATACCTGCCTATTCGATTGATGAGCCTTCTGGATCAAGAGCAAACGTGTGCATGGGCATCAGGAAATTCGCATGCGCTTCCAAGACAAATTGCTGGACAAGTTCATCACGTACCTATGAAAGGTTGGCCATACGAGAAGGCAAAGGTATGTACCATGAGGGTCTGCTGGCATGCCGCAGAAGGGATTGCGATAGGAGGCGCAACCTGCAGGCACTCGAGCGGGGACGACTCAACGTTGGTAGAGATGTTTGAGGCAGGACTTTGGAAGAGTAATTGCGGTGGCGCAACGAGGACAGCAGATGTAAAATGAGGAACCGCGATTAGCATTAAACACATGAACAGGAGCTGGCGCAGTCCGCCGTCGCATGTCGAACGTTGTGGCGACTCTCGCCTTTCTAATCTCGCTGCCAACTCTTCATTTCGCAGCCCAAGGAATCGAGTGCAGCGTCGCTGCCCTGAATCGCACATGACGCGGCAGTAGGGCCCTGAATCACACCTGCGTCTTAGTTCGCCGCCAAGAAAGACCGGTAACGCCGTCGTTAGAGGTATCGCGCGAGAATCGAATGCTTTACAATCCGCTAAAACGCCTATAGAAGAACCTTGTAATGAGACGAGTCAATCTAGAACCATTTATTAGTATTTGTGTATACCGGTTGGGGGGCACTGTCGCTGGGTACCTCGTAAAGGGATGAAAGCAACAAACAGGGATGCACGCGGTCAAGCAGTACCTTTGTGATTGTCCCAAAACCGTTTTGTAGCGTCTTTCACAACTACGTTTTCGCCAAAACGTGGCCGGTAGTAGTTGAGTAGGGCAAATTCGTCGGCCGGGAGGACGTATGATGCGGGTTGAGCGTTGAGTTTGGCCCAGACTTCTGCCAACCGCCTCTCGAGGAACTGTGCAAGACGCTGGTCGACACCACCGTCACTGTTCTGCGCGATGTGGACGGCTTGGCCGAGGGAGAGTTGACCGTAGCCAGCTACATTTTCGAGGTTACCACCCATGTCGAGAGACGTGTAGTGAGATATTCAGGATGGTATTGTAAAAAAGAGTCGCTTGAACGTTGGTAGACAACAAAGGAAGGTGGTGAGCTCTGTTGATGACAAGAGTGGAAAGACCGGTGATTGGTGAAGTAGTGGAATGGGAAGAGGTGAGGGGATAGTGCAGCAGACGAGTATATATACCAAGAGCATAATAGTGTTCATTTCAAGAAGGAAAACGAACCTATGTGGAGAAGCAGGCGGACCCCAAGCACGAGCTCATGCAGCCGCGTATGGCGAGAGCTTGGTCGAGACCTCAAACAGTTGGTTCCGGGAGTGTGCCGTTTGGGCGCTGTCAAGCTGTGAAGCGAAGGAGTGGGCGCAACACCAAGATGCAGACCATTCACCCAATGGTAGCGTAAGACAAGGACCCTGGTCTGTCGGGAACCAAGTGACGGCCGAACTTCAGCCTTCAGAGAAGAAGTGAGGCAGGGTATCTCGGAGGTCAGCCGAGCAACTGGGTGGTATGCAAGACAACGGTCGTAGCGTGAGACCCGTCCTGTCCGCTACTCACGGATCGTTTGAGTTCTGACAAACCACAAACGATGCGGGCCCGCAATTGCTCAGGGATATGATGCTGCCTGAATAGGATTCAACGAGCCTAAAAAGATGAACAAGTACTTGTCACTCGCACAGGTCGATGCGCGGAAGGTCTAAGTTTGGGACTGGTGCAGTAGCAGGGTTGTTGGTGCCGCCGAAAACTTTGTTTCCAGCCCGTAAACCTTCGCAGGCCCCGCAGCCAGGCTCCGAGCCGCTTCAAAGGGAGTTCTTGATTCAGTTAGCCGATGAGAGATCACAACGAACCGCGATGACGGCAAGGCTAGGGTGGAGGCAAATAAGGGGCTGTAGTCGAGAGGCGCGGCGTGATGATGTGTCGTGGTAGCGGGGAGCTGACGACCGGCAGTGTGCTGGGGTAATCGGCAATGCAGCACGTTGTTACAGGGGGAAAAGCACAGTTCCACATTGTGCGAGCCAATCAGTAAAACGTCTGCATGCAGCGTAGGCTGCATAGCATGTACGGATATGGATATGGACCCATGTCAGTTCGAAAGAGGCTAACGTCAGACGTTGAGAGATGCTAGCAGCCGGCTGCGTCCGCAGGCACTCGAACGCCTCTTCAAATAAATCTCACGCCACGACACCGACTTTCTCGATGGGCATTGCTCGGCGCGCGCCAGTGTAACACGCGTCCGGTGATTGTCATAGTGGGCGAAGGGACTGACTCTGCGACATGACAGCGCCACTTCGAGTATTACAAGTAATACCGTGTAACAGAGTTGTACCAGCGAACAGGTTCGCATAGAGTTCATCGCCCATAATAACGCTATGTACACAGCTGCCCCGCAATATAGAATTCGAGGGTACGAAGTGGTATTACAATAAGAGCATCGGTAAGAGGGCGCTTAATGACCGGCTGTCAATGCAGAACCCGGGAACGGGACCTGAGGCAGTGTTAGGCGATGTCGAACATCGTGCAGTGGGGACGCCATTGCAGATGTTCCAATAGAGGTATGTCACGATATGGAAAGGTGTTAGCGCGGTAGCTTGTGACGGTGGACGCTGAAGGTTGTGTTCCACCGCAGTGAATGACGGAGCCGAGGGCAAGGTGTGATCAATCCGCGATCCTTGTTACGCCTCCACAATTTGACAGCCAGAGACGATCTATGCCGTTGGCCAGGTCGTGACAGCAACGTGCACCAGGCACATCCCGAGCGTCCTCTGGGAGCCGTCGGACGCTATCCAATCGCAGAGAACACTCGATACGGGATAGGTAATTGACTCAAGCCGTGGAGAGGGCGATCGAGATGACCCACCTACTCTCGTATAGTTGACCACCGCAACAACGGTCCCTGGAGAATGGCAGGAGTCTTTGTGAGTCTCTGCAGAATGACGGCAAGCCATGGAGGAGCGATCAAGATGACCCACTTCTGCTCGCCTCGTGAGGGAGCGACCACGGTCCCTGGACAAACGGCATGAGTACAATAGGTTTTCCGACTCGGTAATTTTGATGCCTGGTTCCTGGATTTCGTAGCCAGTGAGGCCGCTGCGGCGGAGAACCTGGACTTGCTGGTCATCGTCGTGCAGTGTACGAACGACATGGCCAAGCTCATGCGGGCCGAAGACAGGCCGCTTGACGGCCATCTGCAAGCACGGAGATGATCGTATGAATGAAGGATGCAAGATCGACTGGCCGGTGCTGGTATGGCCAGTCGCGACTCATTACATGCTGGTCTCAAGCGCGTTTGACTCGTTGTGTCCACATCCCAACAGGCAAGGCAAGGGTGGGGCGAGAAGAAGGCGCAAAAGAAGATTCCGCATGTCGCAGGATTGCATACGTTTCTACTTCCTGTTCCTGAATCGAGCTCAATCTGGCGGGCGGTGAGTTCGAGGCAGGCGCAAGGTCGGAGCTTTTTGGCCGACGGCAGCCGCGATGGACCCTGGCAGTCCGTGACGAAACATCGACTTTGCGAACACGGAACACCTGCGACAACGATCTGATACAGCCAACCTCACCACGTGAGCGCATCTCCGGCCCGCCTCCAACCTGATCCACCAGTCTCAATGAAGGCGCGCGTCGCACGCATTGGGACAGAGCAGCTTCTGCCATGGGGCTCTCTGGCAATGAAGCGCGGTCCGCGTCCGCCGGCGCCTTTCCTGAAGAGCTTCTTCTCGTCGACACAGCACCCAGCCAGAACTCGGTTGCAGCCCAAAACACTCCAGCAAACTGCACTGCTGCACCTCCGTTTCCAACGATCCGCCCTCGCCCGCCGCTTCCGCTCCGTCCGCTTCAACAGCAGCAAGACGAATGGATCGCATCATAACCCAACGCCACACCTAGGCAGCCCTGAGCCAGCCCAGTCACTATCTCAGAAACTCAAAGCGCTTTCGAAAGAGTATGGATGGGCAGCTCTGGGTGTCTATCTAGGCCTGTCTGCTCTCGACTTCCCCCTCTGTTTCATCGCTGTGCGGCTGCTCGGGACAGACAGGATAGGGCACTACGAAGAAGTAGTCAAAGATGGCTTCTGGAACCTGGTGCGACTAGTCTTTCCAGACGCAGGAACTACGTCGGCCGAAAGGCACGTACTAGAGGAAGCTGCCGAGGCCACGCACAGGGAGGGGAGTCTGGATGCTGGTGAAGTAGCTGCTGTGAAGGCACACAGTGGTGGTGATGCATGTAAGCTCAGAACTAGCTTTCCCTACTGAACGTTGGCTAACAGCGTCAAGCAATCTGGACACAGCTGGGCCTGGCCTACCTAGTGCACAAGTCCTTGATCTTTTTCAGAGTCCCGCTTACTGCTGCCGTCCTGCCCAAGGTTGTGAAGACCCTGAGGAAGTGGGGCTACAACATCGGAAAGGCGAAACCAAAGGCGGGTTGAGTCTACTTCAACCTTTGGTTGGTGGACAACCTTCCGCCCACACGTCCAACCCATCGCTGAGCTCAAGGTCCGCAAGCCTTCGGCTCTCCATGCATTATGACACTGTAATTCTCCCATCATGTAAGATAAGCCTGCAAGAAACAAACATCTGCCTCCCCGGAATCCCGTTGCAACTCTGCACAAAATCGCCGCAGAGCTTACGCGTACAACATGGCCATACTCCTTCTCACAGGTGCTATGCACATAAACTTTATCTGGTATACAGAAGACGCAGTGCAGTAGTTGGCTTATCGACTTGGATGTCTTCGCCTCAAAGTCAATTATCCGGGTGTTAAAAGCAGGTGACGGATGACTTGAACCTTTACCCAGAAGCAACACATCCCTTTCACTGTATGCGAACAGGCAAAACTCAGCATTCGCCACTCATCATTATCAAGCTCACCGTTTTCCCACACCGTGCACTCTCGCAAGACATCCAATCACTGCTACTCGCGTACTTGATACGCGGCGCAAAACCTAAATGATCTAGTTCCCAATTAAACGCCCATTCCCAAGATAGCGGCGCATCACTTGACGCACATCATCCGCACATGGAAACCTAATCTTCACTTCGGTCAAGGCCAACGCACGCCGGACTCAGACCTTGGAACCGCTTCATTCGTGTATACCCAGCGGCTGCATGAACCTGGACAGAACACAACTCATCCTTCTACATGAGTCGTAACGCTAGAACAATCTGTATCGCTTGTCGACTCGGGATCTCACACGACCAAACACGACCGAACTGCGAGCGTCGGTTTTGCCCGATGCAACCAACGCACAGACACCGACTCGGAACTCTACCGAGTATAGTGTGATGGTCAGTCGAGCATGTGTCTGCGCCACGCGAGCCGATTACTCGCACAACGTCATTGCTCAAAATTCGAAGCTCGACCTTCCTTTCCGGGAGCTCTTAGTTGTATGCAGAGAGGGGCATCGTGCATGCAGCATGTTGCGTACGATCCAAAACGGCGGAACTGTCTCCGATAGCGGCGGAAAGTATCGCTGGTTGGCGAGCAAAATGTAAACTTCCAGGCGCTTGGAAACGATGGAATTGCAGCATCGGTATGTATCCTGTGGGTGCAGGGGGGTGTCACGTCGGACCATGCCTAAGGCAGGGTCTGCGTTAAAGTTGACCAATTCTTGCACTTGGGCTGCTAGCCGGCCGCAGGTCGACTTGTCCGATGCAATAGCTACGGGAGCATGTATCATACCGCCACCCATGTCGGTATGTTACATAAATCCAGTGTGGGACGCTTGTAGCAAGTCAGAATCGGTGGAAGAATGACACGCTGCTGTACATTGGCCAAACCTAGATTAAACATTTCGAGCTCGTGGTCTAGCGTGCGTCTCGGCAGATGTGCATGCGGCGTCCCCCTTTCTCTGGGGAGGAGGGAGGCCTTCCGAGATTTCAGCCTTGTATTCCCCCGGCCTATTGCTATGCTGAGGCGTGACACGCCTCGTCAGGCGATGATGCGGCAAGTCTTCACGGTGTTGTTTGCGCCGAAAGCATCGAGTGAGCCATACTACTTCTAGGGCGTTGTCCGCACTCAGAAACAATACGCGAACCTTCCAAGTGACATCGTGTTGGCGAGTGAAATTTCTTGGACCGGACTTGCTCCCGTCGGGTTTGGATCCAATCACAAGTGGACGGACCACGAGTCCCCTGATTTAAGTGATGTACATTCGTATCAGATGCCTCGGGGAATTCCATCGTATTGCGGACCGCGGCGGGAGGATGGCCGTTAGCCACAGCTGGTTGTAACGAAACAGCTTGATGACTTTGCTATCGTGTGAGAAGGTTTAGCTCCTCGCATTTAGTTTGTACGGACCACGCGGTTGCGTGGACTTGCGTGGACTCGCGACATCAAGTCATAGAAGAAAGTTCGTGAATGAATCTGGCGTATGCGAACCTGCAATAAGAATCGGCAATGCTACCCAGCTTCGTGTTCGGCAACAGGGCCAAAGGGTTGTACGGTGGGGAAAGAGCCTATACTTGCGAAGGGAGACGACTACGCACCCCCTCACCCCACAATTGTGGCGAGTTAAGTTTACGGTATCAGGATGACATAGCATACACTTTGAACCAAGATGGTGTTACAGTACAGTACTAAAAGGGACGGGCTAACACCGAGTGATACACGGCAGTTGCAGAAACATTCAGCTGACGCCAATCTCGATTGAACCTTGGTTTTGGAATCCAATAAAGTTTGGGTATCCGCGTGCGGATCCCTTGGTGTCATCTAATTTGGATGTTGGGCACATATGAGGCATCCATCCTACGGCTATCTCTAACGGGCAGCCGTCTGCATCATCTCTGGCTGCCTCACAATTGCAGCTGCCTTCTTCGCGTCTGTAATCTCAAGCATACTCATGCCCATGCCGCCCAGGTACTTTTCAAAGCTGCTGAGCACGTTCTGTAGGCCTGTCTGCAGACACTTTCTAACCAAATCAACCTCTGGGACCTTCTTCTGCTCCGCCTCAAACTTTGACAACGTGTCTGTGTCGCTCCAATGGACCTGAAGAGTGGCCATATATGCGTCGATTTTGTTGATGGCCTGGGTGAACGTACGGATGATGGCTGGTACGCTCTCATGAAAACGTCCGATTGAGTCTTCGGCAATGGAGAACGTAGCGAGATTTGCAAGCGCAGTAATAGCGTTGCAGATGAGCGATATGCGAGAATATGGTGCACCAAGAACGACAAGTTTTGCCCTACGCGGCAACGAATGGCTGAAGAAATAGCCGAAAGGGGATGAGAGGATTTTCGTGGAAGCAGTAGATGCGACGGCCTCAGCTTGCTGTGCACCCTCCTGAGCCTTCTTCATACCTTTGTTGATAGCCTCACGGCCATATGCCTGTTGGGAATTGCCCGGTGAGCTATGGGACTTTGCGATGCCAGAAGTCGTGGCCTCAAACTGTTCCCACTTTGTGCTCGGCTTCGGCGGCAGGGCCACAACCTGCTTGTCGTCCTTGAGGGGCTGTGAGATCTGCGGAACTAGATTGACCGATGGTCTTGGTTCTGGGGCAGCAGAAGCAGCTGCGGTTTGATAAGCAGGGTCGAGTCCAACATTCAGGCGGTCAATGAGCAACTTGATTTCGGCGAGACAAAAGTCGGCGACCTGCTGAAAGGTTGGGGCTCGTTTTCGTTCCATCTCAGCGTAGATAGTTTTGCGGCGGTCAGAGAAGGCATCTGTGATCAAAGCCAATTCCCAGAATGCCATAGCCTGGACTCACATTAGTACATCGATCTACCGTAGGATGAAGACACACACCTTGGTAGCCTCTTTGTTCGATTTCAAACCGTTCAACAGCGTTCCATTAGGATCTTTGGAATCGCCAGTGATCGGCTTGTTGTATTTCAAGGGCTCCTGAGCAATGTACAAGTCGAATGCTTTGTTGACAAACTCCCACAATAGAACCAGTAATGTTCCCTCCATGGCGAATTTGGATACCAACGGGGCAAAAGGTGCCAGTCCAGTAGGCTTGGAGGTTTTCGACAAGCTGATGAAGTTTCGACTAAAGCTGTAATAGTACTCCCACAACAAGTGGCGGGGCCCAATGAAGTAGAAAATAGTTCCGGAAATGGTGACAAGTAATGCCAGACTCGCAGCAGTGACGAACATGGGTTGTAGCTGCTTCACGAGCACTACTCTTGGTTTGGGACCTCTCTTTACTGGAGCATCAGTTTCCACAGCTCCGCCAAGCTGCTTGGGCTGCATTGCCGGCACATCAATTCGATCGTAATCACTCCACAAATGCACGCCGGTCTGTGCAGCCGCCAGCATCATGAACAGGAAGCGCAAGTATAGTGGCCGTTCGTTCAGCTTCAGCCTCTCATGAGCGCGTCCAAGCTCTGTGATATTCAGCCTGTCCTTCTCGGTACGTGACCACGTGTAGATCTCGCTATACAGCCAAGCTGAAAACGTGTAGAAGGCGAGAGTGAGGATCGTGTTCTTCCTAAGGAAGTACTTCTGAAAGGTCTCGGCGCGCGTTAAAGTGTGGCGCGGACCGACATGCCATTGCGCAATTCGAAGCAGGTAGATGGTAAGGGCGGGTATGAAGAGGAGGAGCGTGCGAATGCCAGTGGGACCAAAAGGAAGCCATAACCACAGTACTGCATGTCTCGTTAGTGGAAGCTCTTTAGTATTTGGAAGGCTGCTTACGGCTTTTCCACTCGCCCATCCAGCACGCAATGACGTAGCACAGCAATATTGTGTATCGACTTGCTCTTATGAATCGCGTATGGAGCGATGGTGTCAGGTAGTCGCGGTATGGGCGCGTCCCGGTGCCCAGAGGTGCGAGGGCCGCCATCTTTGTGTAGAACTCTGTCTGCGCGATGTCGGAAATGTGAAGCTAGAAAGAGCTTATTTCATGGCAGAACTGACGAACAAGAAAGACGTCGCGCTGAAGGAAGGACTGGAAGTGGGGCTGATGCAGCAGTGAAAGCAGCTCAACTTTCTCAAACAAACAATGAGCGACGCCTGAGACGATCCACACCAGCCTTGGCGCAATGACGAACGCCGCACCGCCGAGGATCCATCAACACTCTTACCTATCTCCAGGCTCCCACATCCGTCTGATACCGGTCGCATACATCGAGTCAACTATTGTATCACTTCCAAATACCGATTAAAGCCTTGTCGCAATCGCCCCGCATCATGTCTTTCCAGCGCAGCGCAGCTCTCGAGAGCCAGCCTACCAACTGGAGGCGTGAGGACGATCCTTCGTACGCCGATGACCCAGAGTTCCGCGACTTTGCCAGCAAGATCTCAGACGACCTGTTCGCACTCACTCGAAATGTCGCACGCCTATCAACTGAGCTCTCGAAGCTTGGGACCAAGCACGAGACAGCACGAGTACGGGAGAGGGTCAAGAGCACGACAGAGGAGACAGCAGAGAAGTTCAAGGAAATCGGAGAAGGCGTGAAAAAGATCAGTCAATGGCCTGATGTTGGGGTATGCTCAAGCTGGATCTGAGAACGGAAAGACCGAGCGCTAACCACAGGCAGCCATCGCAGAGGTTCACGCAGTCAAAGCTTAGCCGCGAGTTCAAGGCGTCTCTTACTGAATTCCAACAACTGCAGAAGCAAGCTCTTGAGAAAGAGCGAGCATCAGCAACCGCAGCACGTGCAGCTCTTGACGACCAAGCATCGCCTAGCGCAGAACGCACCGAGTTCGGCCAGCAGCAGGAGCAGGAGCAGCTCCGTCTGGCAAATCAAGACGAGGTGGATTTCCAAGAGTCGCTTATCATCGAGCGTGAGTCTGAGATTCGCAACATCGAGCAGTCGGTTGGTGAGCTCAACGAGCTCTTTCGCGATGTTGCGCACATGGTGCACGAACAGGGAGCGCAGCTTGATATCATTGAGGAGAACGTTGAAGTCACACACGATGCTTCGAGAGGCGCACATGTGAACTTGAAGCAGGCGAGCAACTACCAGAAGAGCGCGAGGAGTAAGGCGTGCATTCTCCTACTAATCCTGGCCGTCGTTCTGGTTATCATAATCCTGGCCGTGGTACTGGACTAAGCCTTGTCTGCGTCCTTTACGATCTGATCTTTGCTAGCGATTTCAACCATACGAGGAGCTCTTATACCATGGCGTGGGGCGTGTTTTCGAATTTCATTCAGCTACAGTCTTTTGCATGTTTCGCAGCGTTGAGGTAGTGTACAAATAATGCAAACGCTGCAGTTTTCATTCGTTGTCGACGTTATCTGCTGCGTTCCAATTTGCATTCACCTTCCTTTTTCATGTTACACTTTAAGGTTGCAGTGACCGATATCGCTCCTACCTGCTTTGCTTGCACGCCGTAGGCAGTCCGCTGACCTTCGCCTACCTCTTCACATCTGACACTTACCTCGCAACAAACACACAAAACGCTTCAGACCCCGCCATGAGCGAGGCAATGGACCGGACGCGCAAGGCCATTCGTGACCAGCTGCTGAGAGACTACCCTTTCAGCAGGCCCGCAACTGCCCAGTCAATCAGGTTGCCAGCGACTAATCAAGAGGAGCCACCGCTTCACAGGTCTGCAGAAGAGCAAAACAAACCTTCCTGTTGTACTGATCCAATATGCAGCACTCTTGCTCGCCTGACTGTACCAGACAAGGTCACGATTGAGGTTGGACCAGAGCGAGTGCAATACCACCTCTCAGAGGCCTTCCTGAGTCACCACTCCGAGTACTTTAAGCGTGCTTTTGCTGGAATATGGCGCGAGGCTGCAGAGCGTACGGTTGTGCTCGGAAGCGATGTCGAGGCTAGCATCTTCAACCTCTTCGTGGAATGGTTGTACACGCAAACACTACCTGCCATGTCACCAGACTGGCGTCGCATTGCCGATCCTGTGCACCCTTACAGCATCTCCGCCAAGATGCTTCGCCTAAAGCTCTACGTGTTCGCCGACCGCTTCGTCGTACCTCGACTGCGAGAGCAGCTTAACCGCGCCATTGTGAACGACTACGACTCTGACTGCCCCGCGCTCGAAGAGTACGAGACGATCACCTACGCTTTCTACAACCTGCCTTCGACTGATCCGATCCTGGACCTCATCGTAGACCGCTACTTCATGGTCTGGAGGCTCGATCTTGATGAAGGTGAGGAGGACGAGGCGTACGAACTCCTGCCCCACGAGTTTCTGCTGCGGTTCTACAAGAGAGTCGGCAAATGGCGCAAGGACGACCTTCAGAATCGTCACCAGCTTTTCAACATGGACTTCTGTAGCTACCACGAGCACAAGTGCGAGGAAGACAAGTTGCAGTGCCCGTACAAGACTGAAAGGATGAAGGCTGGCCAGGTATGGCTCATCAGGGAGTCGCGTGGCGAGCAAGACGGTTACGAGGCTACTGCTCCGTGAAGCAAGTGCATGGTGTGGGAAGGACGTGCGGCGAGCAAGTCGATTACAGGATCACTGCTCGTGAAGCGGATGCATGGCGTGAGAACCGGTTCGGACGGATAATCGACGCAGATTTCGCTTGTACACTGCATGGAATGAAGGGGGGTACGGTGGACATTGCTTCTGTTCGAGGGTATCTAATGCTTGGCTTGCACGCTGCCTAATACAATACTGAGATTGGCTCGCCCTTCTCGTTAATTAAAGCCTCCTCGGTCTTTACTGGGCCTTCACCAACACCTGTCAAGATGACTCTGCTAACACCCTCCTTCAGCAGACCGACAGCGACCTCAGCCTCGGTGTTGGCCTTCTCAGCCGCCTCGTAGTTGCCCTCAACGGCCGCGCCGCGCTCGCCACTCCAGCCGTCCTTGTCAGCCAGAAGCGTCTTGAATACACCAGCAACGTGCTTCTCGTTCTCCTCGAGATAGTAGATAACAGCATTTGGGCCAGCATCGAAGGTGTAGGCTGCAATGATCTTGCCAGCGGTAGCGTTGATCTGCTCGACCATCTTGATTGCTGCCCTCGAGACGTCGTTCAGGTAGAAGATGGGCGGGTATGTGTCCAGGCAGGTGGCATGGAACGAGTTGCTGTCCATCATGGTGACCTTGGCAAAGGTCTCAAAGTCCTTGTTCTTGACTGCTTCCTGCATCTCCTTCATGCGCCTGGGCACAGTCTCGCTCGCTCTCGATGCGAACAAAGAGGATGTGGCAACAGTAGTCTGCATGCCAGATGTACTCGAGACGTCCTTCTTCGCAGCGCTGACGACCAGAATGACGGCGCGCATGTCCGGCCAGTGGCTCGCGGGAGCAACCTCAAAGGCCTTGCTGTCGGTTCCATCGGCCGCAGAGCCCTGCTCCCAGCCCACGTATCCACCAAACAGACTCCTGCATGCTGAGCCGGAACCTTGACGGGCAATGCGCGAGAGCTCCGTGGGGTCTGCGGGCAGTTCGTAGAGGTTTGCAATCGCGCGTACGAGAGCAGCGAAGCCAGCGGCACTGCTAGCCAGCCCAGCAGCAGTAGGGAAGTTGTTCTCGGACACAATCTTCAGCGGCAATTCGGCGAGCTTGGGAGCGTTCGAGTCCTTGGCTTCGACGTCCTTCCTCAGCGCCCGCAGCTCGCGAAAGCAAGCTTGCGTGCGGGCGCCAGACACGTCCTGAGGCTTGCCATTGAGCAGCAGGGAGTCCTCAGCCGGGTATGAAGAGGAGCAGGAGGCGGTTGTGTGGGTGCGGAGATCGTTCTGCGAGAGGGTAACGCTGAGAGAAGAGTTGGTGGGGAGGTTGAGCTTAGCATCGCGCTTGCCCCAGTACTTGATGACGGCAATGTTGACGGGCGCGGTGGTGCTGGCACGGTAGATCTCAGACATTTTGGCGTTCAGGGTCGATTAGTTGAATGCGGAGGAGGGGTGGAAAGAAAGGGGAGTGATGGTGGGGGTTGTTTATGCAGGGTCCAAAACTTCAAGTCTTCAACCACGAAATGCACCGATATAGCCCGAGACAGCAGCGACCGATGTGGGAATCGCAGAGAGAAGAAGACCTCTGTTCTCCTTTTCTTGTATCGATAAATCCACCGGCCCTCGATTCGTGAAGCTAAACTCCCCAAAGCGGTGAACTAGCCCCAACCCATTGTAGTCCAGACCCGCCAATCAGAGGAGAAGGTAATCGTCGCAGGCCGAACGACGTCCAAGCGCCACTTTTCTGGCCATCTCGCCATCTGCCGATTGTCTTGTAGCATCACCTCGACGGTTCTATAACCACACCAATGTCTTCACAGCATGATGAGGCGGCTGCCGCCGGATGCCCCGTAGACCACAAAGCGCGCGAGGCATGGCTCGAGCAAGCGCGCGCAGCCGGCAACACTCAAACAAACCCTCACACCTCCGCGCCGCCGCCCGCAACGTCAGCGCAATCGCAAGCAGCAGCGCCCGAGAAATCCTCTCCTGTCCAACAATCATGCGACTCCTCTACCCTCGATCAATCCACCTCCTCCCCCGCGCCAACAACCAGCGGCCTCCTCTCGAACCTGCGCCTCGGCACCGACCGCGAAATTAGCACGATCCCGCGTTCCATGCCCAACGCACCGACCGAACGACCCGCAAACAACGAGAAGGATACTGGTGCAGACAAGGCATCCGGGAACTGGATTTACCCCAGCGAACGCATGTTCTTCGATGCCATGAAACGCAAACAGTTCGATCCACAAGCCTCAGACATGAAAGCCATAATCCCCATCCACAACGCCGTCAACGAGCGAGCATGGCACGAGATCAAAGCGTGGGAGCAAGGGCGGGGCAGCGAAAGCTGCGGCGGGCCGAAGCTCGAGTCGTTCTCCGGGCTGAGCACGAGCCTGACACCGCGCGCGCGCTGGAACGCACTCCTGGGGTACCAGCCGCCGTTTGATCGGCACGACTGGGTGGTGGACCGCTGCGGCACCAAGGTCGAGTACGTGATTGATTTCTACGCGGGCAAGACGCAGCCTGGCGCGCAGCCGGGACAGGGCCTCAACTTCTACCTCGATGTAAGACCAAAGCTGAATAGCTGGGAGGCTGTCAAGACAAGAGTGAGCAGGTTCTGGGGTTTCTAGATGTGGTGGTACGGATGTTGTATGATATGTACGATTGACGGAGGAATTGCATACCCGGAGGACCATGGCAACGGCGTTTCTTGAATTCGGATAGGGTTCGTAGAGGCATATTGATGAAGCCTGTATTATTTTACACTCCTGTTACGCTCCCTTTGGCGCGGTTTATTGTATCATACATCGACTGAGTTTCCAGTATTGCATACAGCAGCCCTCATGTCGTCTTCTCGTCCTTCTCGCGCTTGCCAAATGTGTATGCCAATCCACAGCCAACCACATTGACTGCACAGAGAGCCAGAGATGCGCCCCTTACGGCACCTCGGACTGTGAACTTGTTCCTCAGTTTCTGACGTCGATTAGCATACGGCGCATATTTCAATCATAGCGCAAGCTCACCTGGCTTCTCCTCAGTGCCAACAGACCATACAGACCGCTCCATGCAGCTGTGATACCAGCCGCATCAGTCTTGTAGTTGCTCAAGTTCAGGTAGGACGAGAACAACAGCATTGGCGCGAACATCATGGGAAGCGGCTGGAACGGGCGCGCATGTTGGGCCGAAATTAAAGTAGCAAGGAGAGTGGGAGGAACTGAGTTTTCTGGACAGGGTTAGCGATAGCACATCTTGAGACAAAAGGTTGTTATGAAGACGCAAGCACGTGAGAGATGTGGCTGCGAGAAAGGCAGGCTTGGATACGTACCACCCCAGTTGCGCAGCGATTGCAGCGTTGACTTCTTTGCTTCCTCAGACATTATGAAGTATGATGGAAATTGAGGTTTGAAGAAAAGTAGGGGGTGGATGCTCTAGAAACGCAGCTCTACGCGCTCGAAGATCTGATGTGCAAGTCGGAGTTCAATGACGTGAAGTCTGCGCTAGCCGTACCCTGGCACCCTGGCTTTGAAAGTGTGGCCTCGACTCGAACCAGCAGCCAACGCTGCCGAGCCGCATTTGGCATCTATCTCACAACACCAGATCGCCTTCCGCACGAACACCCACTCCCACCGCGCATCGCCGTCAGCGCCCCATACAAGTCGCCACACGCAAGCTCGCTTGGTGCACCACCCTTGGATCTCGCGGCCACCTCCGCGGCCTGATCATCACCAAACCCCTCCATCACCGCCATGTCTGACCGCGCGCACCACGACGGCTCTGCCGGCCGCGCCTACACGGTCGAGCAAAAAGCTGCCGTACTGCGGATAAAAAGATGCGGGCCGACTGCCTACTATGAAATTCTCGGCCTGGAAGAAGTAAAAAAGACATGTACAGATAGCGAGATCAAGAAGGCATACAGAAAACTCTCGCTCCTCACACATCCGGACAAGAACGGATACGCGGGCGCAGACGAAGCATTCAAACTCGTCAGCAAGGCCTTCCAGGTCCTCAGCGACCCGGATAAGAAGAGCAAGTTCGACCAGTTCGGAGGCGATCCTGATGCGCGCTTCAACCCTGCATCGGCAAGTGCAGGAGGAGCGTCGCCGTTCAGCGGCTTTGCAGGACAGCGGGGCGGCGGGTTTCAGGAGGAGATGACGCCAGAAGAGCTGTTTAGGCAGTTCTTTGGCGGTGGATTCGGTGCGCCGTTCGGTAGGTCGAAGTGCCATACCCACATTGGACGTGGGCGAGGGAACTCTGGGCTAATGTAGATAGGCGGTTTCGACACAGGGCCAGGCTTCGTGTTCAACCTCGGCGGCGGACCAGGAGTGAGGGTACATCAGTTCGGCGGTGGACGACCGCGGAGAAGACCAGGGACTGCGCAGCCCGCAGGGCAGGAACAAACACCAGGTGTTGGTAATGCGCTGGGGAATTTGCTGCCACTGCTATTCCTGTTCGTTTTGCCGCTTCTTTCGTCACTTTTCTCCGGTGGATCATCGAGTTCTGGTCCGTCATTTGCATTTCAGCGACAGCGCGAGTTCACATGTCTGCACAAGTCGCAGGGCACATTTGGCGTCGACTACTATGTTGCGCCCTCTGTCTGCAGCGAGTACGGCAGCAATCCCAGGGACAAGAGGTGGAAAGCACTCGACAATCATGTCGAGACATCGTATGTGCATGCAGTTGACGTCAAGTGCAACCAAGAGCAGCATTTACAACAAAGGAAGATGCAAGACGCGCAAGGGTGGTTTTTTATCGACGAAGAAGCCATGGCACAAGCGAAGAAAATGCCTACGCCCAATTGCGACCTGCTAGCCAGGCATGGGCTACGTCAACGATACTAGGCAGCAGTTGTTGTCAGAGATTGTTTCCGATTCTGCAGTAATTATTGGCCTGACTGAGGCTGGACAGGAATATCGCACAGCACAGGCGTAGGGTTCGTTCATATCCATCAACGAGACTGCACACAAGCAGCTTTACACATCCAAAGCGTTTAACGGTATGTGTGATGTCTGATCATGGGCCTATGCTATGACCATCTTGTGGTTTAATGTACCATTTCGAAACGTCTTACAGCTCACAGCGGGCTAAACGGCCACTCAATGCACTTCGTAAGCTTGACGATGCTCTACTAAGCGGCGCCTGCTTAGCTAGCAAATCACGGCCCCTAATGTCCCGTCCTGGCTCTTATCCAGGAACCTCAACGAACCAAGATAACGCATAACCGCTGTTCCACACGCCGTTATTGGCGTGCCTGGCATCTGATGGCGGTTTCAGCGACCCCTTCCGGCAGGCTGGTAGCTGGTCAGGGGTGGGAATCGCCCCGCATTTACACCAACCATAGTACCCTAACCCTGCCGTTCGTCTCAACGCGGACATTTAGACGTCACCAGCGCCGAGGGGCGCATGGAAGAGCTGAAAGGCAAAGATGGCCTCTCACTTTGTTGTTTATCATGCTTATCCCTTCCTCGAGTCGGCCCTGAGATTGCACGACTGTTTCATTAAAGACTCGGCCACGCTCCCGCTCTCCCGCCCTGGCCAGCCTAGTTCAGCGACGATCTCTGGAATTTGAGGAGGCTTGCTCCGGAGCGCCTTGCGTGGCTTCTATCCTCACTTCTTGATTGAAGTCGAGTCGTTCATTTTGTACCGTCAACGCCATAATGTATACTCAGCTATCAACATGGCTCGCTGTATCAGCAGCCTTGTGGCCAACAGTCACAGCCTTCTACCCGTACCAATACGACAGCGGTAGCACAACGGCGTCTTCAAGGCGGCGAAGTGCAAAGCTTCCAAGACCAAACTCGGGATCGATAACACTTCCCCTGCGACGCGTCCCAGCCCCCATTCGATCCCGTCAACAGAACACTTACAGCATTGTCAATTCCAAAGACCCGAGTCAGGAGAACAGTATTGCAATTGATCAGGATGGGAGTGATCTGAGCTATATGGTCGCCTTGACGATCGGCGACAGCAAGGAGGAGTACCACCTTCTGCTTGACTCGGCGGCAAGCAACACATGGGTCATGGGGCAGGACTGCAAGACCGATGCTTGTGGTACGCACACAACATTCGGCACAGGAGACTCGAGCTCTCTCAAGGTAAGACGAGCCACTAGCAATTGAAGTACGATGTTGTTGACAGTGGCTTCAGACTCAAAATACACCATTCAGTGTAACGTACGGAACCGGTTCCGTCAGCGGCACGCTCGCAACCGACACCCTCCACATTGGCTCTCTCTCCCCCTCCGTATCGTTCGGCCTCGCAACCAACGTATCCGATGAATTCAAATCCTATCCCATGGACGGCATTCTGGGCATCGGCCGCGGCGACGTGGTCAAAGGCACAGCACAAGTCATGGACGTGTTGAAGGCCGACCAGCAGATCGGCGCAAAAATGTACGGCATACACCTGAGCCGCGCCCGCGACGGCCTCAACGACGGCGAGCTCAACCTCGGCGACGTCAACACGGCCCGCTTCGCCGGCGACCTCAATTGGCTCGACTGCATCCCCAACGATACGGGCTTCTGGGAAATCCCCGTCGACGACGCTACCGTCAACGGTGCGCCCGTCGGTCTCTCCGCGAAACAAGGCATCATGGACACGGGCACCTCGTACATCCTGATGCCCCCCGCTGACGCGCTCGCCATCCACTCGCTGATCCCCGGGTTCGCGCAGGCAGGCGAGATCTTCAGCGTGCCGTGCGACACCAAGGCGCCGCTGCAGTTCGTGTTCGGCAAGACGGGGTACAACATCTCGACGGCGGACTGGCTGGGGGGTAGTCTGGAGTCGGGGCTGTGCCGCAGCAACATCGTGGGCCGCCAGACGTTCAACGAGAGCCAGTGGCTGATTGGCGACGTGTTCCTCAAGAACGTGTATGCCGTGTTTGACTTTGATGGGAGTAGAGTCGGGCTGGGGATGCCGCCGTCGGAGAGCTCGACTCCCGGCTCGAGCGCAGGCGGCAGCGCTTCCTCGACTGCGGCGGCGACGGCGACGGCGACGGCGACGGCATCTACGGCCCCGGGCGCGACGCAGACGTCCGCCATGGAGGGCAGCGTGGTGCCGAGCACGAGCGCTGCGGCAGACAGCCAAGGTCAAAACAGCCAGCAGGGCAGCGCAGATGCGCTTCCTCAGGCCCCTCTGGCGCTAGCACTGTGTGCTCTCGCTATTTCATTGTGTATATAGACCGCGGAAGGGAGCGGATAGGGCATTTACAAGCATGGGACGGCGTTCGCATCAGGGACAGGCAAGGCATAGCACGGCGTTGGTATTGCATACATTAAAAACACCAGGTATCAAGAACAATGCATAAATGCGACTCACGGCAGCCCGCCTTTCCCCCGAAACCCCATGCTCGTGGCCCTGAGTCGTGCGAATTGGCAACCTCCGAACTTGCAACTTCTCACGACGGGAGTGATGTGGTTGAAATACACACACGCCGCCGCGCTCCCAGTCTGGCCGGCACGTGGGGCGGCGCACCGACGGCGCGGATTCCACGATGCACGTTGGATACGAAGGCGGATGTGGATCAGCAGCCAGCTTCACAGGTGGGGACGCGGGCACGTGCAACGGCGGACGGCGGGGGATCCCTGGAGCAGGATCTGCTGTTGCTGGGTTACGACGAGGAGCGGAGATTGGGAAAGAGCGAGGAGCCGACCAGGCGTGTGTTGCTGCGGGTTTGGCGGTGCAGGCGGTCAGCATACGGGACGGTGCATGTGCAGGGACGGTGGTGCAAGCAAAAACTCCATTGACCGAACCCAGAGCAGAGCGACAGCGAGCGAGTGTTGTCCAGATGCGGTGACAGCGAGGATTGGAAACAAGCACATATTAGAAAGATCCTACCATTGCTGCTCAATCTCGACCCGCACGCTCCGAGAAAATAACCCCATCATAGACTGCCCCAAGATGATGTACTACTTCCAAACAAGAAAGATCCAGCGCAGTAACGCCTCGAACAGGTGCCGTGGAAGAAATGGCTCTAACTAGCCAGGACAGGACGATTGATCATCTTCCGTCACACCCATGATTCACATGCGGTTCGCCCTCAATTAACACATGAAGCCCGCCACAGTGTTGTTCGTGTCCAGAACCAACATCGTGTGCCTGTGGCGGCTTGTCCGTTGACACGTCCTCGACTCATCTACAAGACTGTGCACTTGGACTTCTTCTTCTCTTTCCGGGTGAGCAGGGCCGCCCGTGTGGCGTGCTCAAACACCTCTCGGACGCCCTCGTTGGTCTTTGCCGAGCACTCGAGGTACTTCTGGGCACCAATCTTCTTGCGGACATCCTCGGCCTGCACGTGGTTAGTGGATGACAGGGCGGGCGCAAGGGTGAACTGACCTGCTCGGGGGTTACAGGCTTCTGGGAAGTCTTGTGCAGCTCCTCGATGGTCTTCTGGTCGAAGCGCAGATCCTTCTTGCAGCCGACGAGGATGATGGGCAGGCCCTGGCAGAAGTGCAGAACCTCGGAGATCCACTAGGCGGCGTTAGCAGGCTCGTGGGAGCTCGGGCCGGGTGAGACGCACCTTCTCCTGTACGTTGTCGAGCGAGTCGGGCGAGTCGACGGCAAAGCAGATCAGGATAACGTGGGAGTCGGGGTAGGAGAGCGGGCGGAGACGGTCGTAATCCTCCTGACCGGCGGTATCCCAGAGGGCGAGCTCGACGTGCTTGCCATCGACCTCGACGTCGGCGACGTAGTTCTCGAAGACAGTGGGGACGTAGACCTGCGAGGCATCGTGTCAGTGCATGTGCTGCTGCGGGCGGCCGCGTGTGTGCAGCGGAGGCGCAGGCGCCAGGCTGACGCCGCTCAGGGACACGGCGACGGGGCGCGCAGGGGACTGACCTCAGGGAAGGTGCCCTTGGAGAACACACTGCGGGCGTTCTGTCAGCGGTTGCGAGGGCGGACAAAGGGGGTGGGCGCCGCGATAGGCGGCTGGGCGTCGACTTACATGAGCAGACACGTCTTTCCGCAGGCGCCGTCGCCGACGATGACGAGCTTGCGACGGATCTCGGCCATTATGTTGTATGTCGGGGGTGTGGGGTATCGGGTGGTGTTGCGGTGGTGCTGGGCGAACGGGAGTTAGCAGGTGAGATGGAGAAAGAGTGGTTGATGTAGAGTTGTGAGGATGAAGGGCACGCTACGCTGCTAGCTGCTAGGCTGGGCAACCGTGCAGCGCGGCTGAGCACCAAACGTCGCCCGGGGCTGTGGCTGAGGCGTGCGTACCGTGCGATCAAAGAGCAGTGCGTCACAGGCAGTTCAGGGGCTGTTGGGTCTGGGAGAGCAGCGGGTGCAGCTGTGTTGATGTGGTATGAGGAGGCAAGAGGCTCCACGGCAACGAGTCGGCTAGCGCTGGGAGACGACGCAGATGCTGATAGACGGGCTGCACCATGATAGATAAAGCCACGCGCATGCTCCCAGACCGGCGCTCCGCTCGTGACCGGCTGCACGCTTGTTCCTCCAGGCACGACGCTGTCCTGCGACAGTCGTCTGAATCACGCACACCGCACGCCCACGCAGCGCTGCAGCAGCAGCGCAGCGGTTCTGCGAGAGCGCCCGCGGCAATCGCCGAACGCTGGAGGCTGGACGCTGCTCAACAACCAGCCGCCTGGCGCGTTCGTCATCGCAGCAACACTGGCGATTGCTGGCGATTGTTTCAGGCCGGGTTTGATGTGGCGGTCGCTCGCCTGTCATTTCCCCACGTCTGTCGTCTCGTCCCGTAGGACAGCAGCGAGCGTCTGAGTCTCTCCGGTGCTACGCTACCTGCTGTCACCGCCTATCCAGAGCTGGTCTTAGCCGGTCTCGTCACCGCGGTCTTGGATGCCCGTCCGTTCGCCTTGCGGCGCTGGAACTGCGGGGCCGCCGGTGGAATGCGTCACAAACAAGCAATCGATTCGCTCGACGGGCCTTGCTGTGTTTGGGCTGTGCCTATGCTCTCCGCAACCTCGTCCATCCAGGGTCTGCCGCGAACCAGCTGCAGGAAGCTTTGGCGCTCTCGGCGTTGATCTTACGCGTCTTGCAAACAAGCAAGCATGCAAGTCTTCTTGTCGTTGTCCTGTGCACCCGTAGACGCTTGGTTGCATCCACGTGATACGCTCATGTCCGAAGCACTCCAGGGCTGCATCGAGGTGACTGTCTGTGCGGGTACGCGGACTAATCAATAGTCACCCGTCTTCCTGAAGGAGATGCACATGGTAAATGTTCCCAAAGCGGGTCTTGCATATCGAGACACATCAGCCAGCAATGCACCGGCCCTCGCGTTTTGAGAGCACAAGACGCGTGTCTGATGCAGCTGCAGTAAAGCGTCTCATCGCAGGTCCATGCAGCACAGAACAATTACTTAGCAAGGTCAAAGTGGCGTGGGCTAGAAGGTAGTGAGTGGATTAGACCTCGAATACTCTCTCCTATTATTGATTGTGGACGTATTCGGCCATGTCTAATGTCTTTCTTGCACAAGAGCTTGGGTGCTTCCATAAGCTTCTATCTCGACGCGTGAATGCGCGTGGTGAAAGCTAGCTCACGTAGGTGGTGGGGCAGGCAACACCGCTGCCATACACAGTAGTTCGCGCTACTTCATTGTCCAGCGTCACTGTCTGCGGCGCACCCATTCTTACTGTCTGACCTAATTCGAGAGCCTTTTCCTTCCTCCTGCATACAACATGGCCGACCAGGAAATGACAGACCCGCCTCCCCCGGCTCCGGAGCAAGACACAGCCATGTCTGACGCCGACAAGGTACAGCTTCCTGGCAGCCCTCGACGCAAGAGACAAGCTGATGACAACCTTGCCCAGATTCGTGCAAAGCGTCTCGCGAAGCTTGGAGGCTCCACTCCGCGACCATCCTCCACAACGCCCGGTTCGCCCTCAGCATCTGGTGCCTCGTCGCCCAAGCCGCCAGCTCCCCAAGCACCATCGCCACAGCCTCGTACGCAGTCGCCACTGACAGGGACTCTGCAATCGCAGACAGATGGCAGCACAGCGCCAAAGCCCGCCTCACGCATCAACATCAAGTCAGCTGCGACCGCAAGCAGCGCCGTCGCCCCGCCACCTGCACCGAGCCCGCAGGACACCAGTATTGAAGGGTGGGAGCACCAGATAATCAGCGGTATCTTCAGAATTACACTCGATGAAAGGCGCACGCAGGATGTTCACGGTCACAAGATCTACCACGCTTCGAGCTTGAAGCAAGATCTGCAGGACGAGGGCCGGCCGCTTCGGTTTACGACTGATGTGCTGGATTCTGTTGTCCTGGAGGCTGCGTCCAGCCACACACAAGGAAACGCTTTGGAATACCTGCTTGGGTGCTGGAAGCGTGTTGCGAGACAGTCCAAGAGCATCACCAACAAGAGCGATCCGAAGTACGAGATTGTGAGGGAGCTCCGAAGGATATGCTTCAACTACGCCATCTTTGCTGCGACCATGCCCGACATGTTCGGCGAGGAACCGCCTCTGGAAAACGCCCTGACCGACCGCTTGCTTCTTGGACCTGAAGACGACAGGGGGATTTGCTTCGACTTCCTCCAGGAAGCTTGCAACCGTGCTGAGGATGACGATACCGCGAAGGAGGCGTTGGTGGGTGCAGTGGAGGACTTGAGCCGGCGGTTAGCAAGATCGTCCATGAACAGCGACTACAAGCCACACATGCTCGCGCTCCGCAGCCTCATCCGCTTCCCTCCGCTTGTCACCGCTTTGGTGCAGTCGGAGACGTTCCTGCCTGTCGATATCGAAGCGCAGAACATTGAGACTCAGACCTTGCTGGGGCCTTTCTTCCGCCTGTCACCCATGCAGGGTGATGTCGCGGTCAACTACTTCTCCGGGGCAGCAGGGGGCGGTGACAAGGCCCTGATCGCTAATGCGCAACGAGCCCTCCGCATGACTCTGCAAACCCACCAGGACGAACTGTTTGACATTTCAAACACATTCATCAAGAACAAGGATTCACGAGAGTCTATGCTGAACTGGTTTGCCCTTACTGTGAACAAGAACCACAAGCGCCGAGCTTTGCAGGTCGATGCGAAGACAGTGTCCTCTGACGGCTTCATGGTCAACGTCACGGTTGTGCTGGACCGGCTGTGCGAGCCTTTCATGGACGCCTCCTTCTCCAAGATCGACCGAATCGACATTGACTACCTACGACGATCGCCACGCGTTGACATTACGGATGAAACCAAGATCAACGCTGACGAGAAGACATCGGAGGAGTTCTATGGCCATAAGGCAGATGGCACGAGCAACTTCATCTCCGAGGTGTTCTTCTTGACTGTGGCAGCGCACCACTACGGCACCGAGGCTGCCAACTCAAAGCTCACGTCTTTACAGAAGGATGTAAAGTGGCTTAAAAAGGAACTCGAGAAGTTTGAGACCGAGCGCCATAAGTATGCCTCGAACCCTGGGCAACTGAGAATTTTCGACGCACATGTCAAGAGGATCAAGGACCAGATTGAGCGCGGCACCTGCACCAGCTATGCTATCGCAGGCATACTCAGTGACGAAACCATGCAGGCTCGGTCGATGCAGCTGATGCGCTATGTCATTGTCTGGCTGCTGCGGCTCGTTTCTGGGACTGACTTCCCCAAGACAGACCTGCAGCTGCCTCTGCCGAGCGAACAGTCTCTGGCGTTCCGCTGTCTCCCCGAGTACTTCGTCGAAGACATCGTGGGCAACTTCAAGTTCATTACACGCATGATGCCTCACATCATCACGGGGACTCAGTGCGAGGAGCTCGTCAAGATCTGCATTGTCTTCCTGCGGAACTCGGAGTATATCAAGAACCCGTACCTGAAGTCAGGTCTGGTGACCATTCTGTACCATGGAGTCTGGGAGATTCCACACCGGCCAAAGGGCGTCCTCGGCGACACTCTTTTTGGAAATAAGTTCGCCATGAAGCATTTGCTGCACGCGCTGATGCAGTTTTACAACGAATGCGAAAGCACTGGTGCGCACACGCAGTTCTACGACAAGTTCAACATCCGATACGAGATCTTCCAGGTGATCAAGTGCATCTGGCCCAACCCAGTGTACCGGGACAACCTTGCCACAGAAGCACGGTACGTACAGCCTGGATTGTGTGTAGCAAACTAACGTGGACAGGGTCAACCTGGACTTCTTCGTGCAGTTCGTCAACCTGCTGCTGAACGACGTCACGTTCGTCCTTGATGAGTCGTTCACTGCCTTCACCCAGATCCATGAAACCGCAAAGGAACTGAAGGCTGATCCGAATATGGATCAAGCGGTCCGTACAGAGAAGGAGGAGAAGCTCACTGCTGCCCAGAGCAAGGCCAAGAGCTACATGCAGCTGACCAACGAGACGGTGGCCATGCTCAAGCTCTTCACAGAAGCGCTCGCCGACTCCTTCACCAAGAAGGAGGTCGTTGTCCGACTCGCACACATGCTCGACTACAATCTCGAGGCGCTTGTCGGACCGAAGAAGTCGAGCCTCAAGGTCGACAACCCTGAGGAATACGGCTGGAATCCGCGCCAGATGCTGGCGGAGCTGACCGACGTGTACCTCAACCTGCAGGGCAAGCAGTCGTTTGTCGACGCGGTCGCGACGGACGGCCGCTCGTACCGCCCCGAATACTGGATCGAAGCGCACAAGATCATGGCCAAGTTCTACCTCAAGAACGATGTGCAGCTGCAGCAGTGGGAGGCCATGGCGCGCAGCATCAGCACGTCGAAGGAGGCCGCCGACCTCGAAGAAGCAGATCTCGGCGAGTACCCCGACGAGTACACGGACCCGCTCATGGCGACGCTCATGGAAGACCCCGTCATCCTGCCCATCAGCAAGCAGATCATCGACCGCAGCACCATCAAGAGCCACCTCCTGAGCGACCCGCACGACCCGTTCAACCGCACGCCGCTGAAGATCGAGGACGTGATTGCCAACGACGCGCTGCGCGACGAGATTCTGGCGTGGAAGGCGGATGTGCTCGCGAAGAAGCGCGCGGAGCGGGTCGCGGCGGCCGAGGGCGAGCGCATAGATACTGCGTAGGTGGGGTTATGACTGCATGGGTGGTGTTTGGCGTTGGGAGGCATTCGTTTACGAGATGATGCATTTGCATTGCATTGCAGTATTGCGTATTGCAGTATTGCGGTATTGCACCAGACAGAGATGATAGTCGGAATTGAATGATATTGTTATTGGTGATGGGTGTTGGAATCGTCCGATAGCCAACATGTGTTTCTTCTTTCGACTGTCCCGCTGGGTATCACTCTATGGGTGTATGTCTATGGGTATGTCTACACCCTCCCCGCGGCCCTCAAAATCTTCGCCACCATCTTATTCCCCTTCCCCTTCTGCCCCCCTGGATACGTACTCGACCTTACCACCCCAACCCCCCCACACGCGGCCCGGAACCTCAGCTCGCGACTCGCCTCATCCCACCACAACCCCCTCTCTACATGCCCATCTACAGCGTCCTCCACACCACCCACCTCGTGCACGACCAACCGCTCCCCATTCGGCAGCACACACCACACGTCGCCCAGGGCCCTCAGCCGCGCCCTCACGCCCGCGACCCCCACCATCTCAAAATCGACGCACGCATCCCCTTTGCCCACCTTGGGCGCCTCCGCCACAGGCCCCGCATACCACCCCCCGGGGACCACAGGCTCGACATAGCCCCGGCGCCGGAGCACATCGACCAGCAACCGTCCCCCCTCGACCGCCAGCCGCTGCCGCAGCGCCTCCGCCGTCTCGCCCTCCCCAATGCGCAAGCCCGGGGCCTCGCTCTGCGCAACCACGGTCCCGGCGTCAAACCGCGCCGGATCCAGCGTCTGCACGCTGACACCCGTGTACTCCCGGCCGCGCAGCAGGGCATGTGGGATCGGCGCTGCGCCGCGCAGATCGGGCAGCAGCGAGGGGTGCACGTTGAGGCCTGCGTAAGGGGTGAGGGCGAGGATGCGCGGCGGGATCAGCAGGCCGAAGGAGACGGCGATGATGAGGTTGAAGGATAGGCTGGGCGGCGGGGTCCAGTGTGTGAAGGTTGCGAGGGGGTGGGTGGGGAGGTGGTGGGCGCGGGCGTAGGGCGCGATGGGGACTGGGGGGTGTTAGCTTGCAGTCGAGCGACAGACATGCGAGTGATAGAGTGTGTGTGCATACCTTCGCGCAGCGTCTTGAGCCCCCGGCCCGCGGGCTTCGGCGGGCGGTGGACGACGTGGATGGCGTCGATGAGGCCCGGGGTCTGCGCGCGGGCGGCCTGCAGCGCGCGCAGGCTCTCGATGCTGAAGGCGTCGGCGCCGCAGAAGAGGATGCGCAGCGGCTCCGGGCGCGTGGTGTAGGCGCGGTGCTGCAGGGCGGTGGCGACGAGGGCGCGCGCCGGGGCGGGCAGCGTCCAGAGCATTGTCTACTGCGTCGGATTCGCGTCAGGGCATCGTCTACTATGTTGGAATTCGCGTCAGAGCATTGTTTACTACGTCGGGATTCGCGTCAGAGCATCACCTACTACTCGAAATTCGCGTACAGCATCACCTACTACGTCGAACTTGGCAGCGAATGGGAAGCGGCTGCGCATCGCGATCAGGATCAGAGCTTGGCGGTCGCAAGCGAGCAACCCCTGCTGTGCCGTTCCACCGCCGATGCCTCAGATCGCGATGCGGTGCGTCGCGCTGGGCCAGACAGGCGGCCAGAAGGGCCAGGCGCACCGGGCGCGAGTGCCGGGTTCTCAGCTGGATGCGACAGGCGAGGGCTGCTCTGGGCTGTCTTGTGTGAGAGACGCACTCACTGTCAGCACCCCCGACGAGCTCCGCAGCGGCAGATCGGCACGCCCGCAGCCGAGTGCACGAACAGCACGCATCACACCGCACCCCTCGACATGGCCGCCCCGCGCGTGGTGCCGGCGCAGCTGAGCTTCCTCGCCATCTACAGCCCCGCGCTGGGCGACTCGGACGCGACCTTCCACGAGCAGATTGTCTTCTACTACGCAAAGGCGGCCGCGGCGCGCGCCGGCCTCAGCAGCGCCCATGCGGAGACGGCCCGCCAGCTGCGCGACGAGGAGAACGAGAAGCTGCGGCAGGTCGGGCTGGCGCAGGGCATGGTCGGCTTTGCCCGCGCCTTTGCCCGCGGCGAGACGGTCGACGCCATCGACACGGACAAGGCGCGCATTGTGCTGCACGAGCTGGAGCCCGGCTGGTGGATCCTGGCTGTAGGTTGCGCTGCCCTCCCCACGACCGCCGCTGACCCCGCAGTCCGTCGACCTCACGCAGCTGCCCGCCGCCGCCGACCCGGCCGCCGTCGAGTACTCGAGCCGCGAGGTCAGCCCCGCCGCGCTGCTCGTGCAGCAGCTGGTGCGCGCCCACGGCCTCTTCACCCTGCACCACGGCTGGCCGCTGCAGCAGCTGTTCGAGAAGCACCCGCGCGACAAGTTCTGCAGCATCCTGCGCACCTACTGGGGCCGCTTCTGCGCCCACTGGGACGTGCTGCTGCACGCCAGCCCCGCCGTCGACATGTTCAACGGCCTGAAGCTGGCTGCCGGTGGCGAGCTGGGCATGGGCGTCGGTGAGGAGGAGTGGGGCAGCAGCGAGCGCGACGTGCTCGAGGACTTTGCCCGCCGCACCGAGGGCCTGGTCGATGTGCTGGTGTCGCGCTTCGGCACCGCGTCGCCGCTGCAGGACAGCAAGGGTGCAGCACTGTCCGACGACGCTCCCGCCCAGCCGTGGATCGGCAGCGGCGGCACTGTGGAGGCCACCGACGGCGTCGTCTTCTCGGGCGTCGGCGGGCTCAGTCGCGCCTCGCGCCGTGACGTGTCGCACTGGACCGAGTCCATCTTCCACTACGGCGACCACGCGTACGGCATCCGCGACAATCCCACCTCGGGCCGCACGAAGCGCAGACGGCGCAACCCTGACGCGCGCGAGCCCGATCCAGCGCCGAAGTCTCCTGCAGAGGAGTCCCTGTCCTCGCCTTCTGTGGATAAGTCGCTGTCGTCCGCAGACAGGTCGAAGTCGTCCGCAGACAGGTCGAAGTCGTCCGCAGACAGGTCGAAGTCGCCCGCAGACAAGCCGCAGTCCCCCTCAGACACATTGCCCCCCGCAGACACATCCCCCACTGACAAGTCCCCGCCCATCCCCCCGCCCATCGTCAGGGCCGTCGAGAGCTCGCTGGACAAGGCGTCGCAGGCCGTTGACAACGCCAACGGCACCGAGCCCGCCGCGAAGCATGACGGACACATGCTGGCGTCGCTGGGCGACACCGAGACCTGGATGAAGTACATGACCCTGGGATACGGCACCGCATGGGGTGGCAAGAAGACCCCCGAACCCTCCCCCCAACCCGCCCCCCAACCCACCCCCGCAGACGCCACAAAACAGTCCGACGCCACAAAAGAGCCCCCAGCCATGCGCTACGTCGAGCCGGCGCCTGACGTCGACCTCGTCGAGGCGAAGCGCAGGGCCCAGGTCCAGGCCGAGAACGACGGCTACTTCCTGATCGGCCTGAAGGGCGACATGATCGCCGCCGACATGGACGACGAGAACGACGAGGGCAACTGGAACGCCCGCATCCCGCTGCGGACCATCTACGTCGAGAAGGTCGTCAAGGGCTCGTCCGTCTCCGAGTCGGACGGCACCCAGAGCGACGAGGCGCGGTCCGGCACCGACTCGAAGCCCAAGGCCAAGCTTAGCAAGCAACGCCTGCAGCCTGTCATCTACGTCGTATGTATCCTCGCACAGCTCCGACCACCACTAACGTCCGCAGCACCGCCCCTTCATCTACACCTTCCTCTTCACCCACCGCACGCCCTCGCTGACCATCGCCTCCTTCTACCGCTCCATCCACGCCTTCTTCGCCCCGCTCCACCGCAGCCTCGACCGCAACACGTCCCCGACCCGCGTCGCCCAGCGCCTCCTCGCCGCCCAGCACCCCCAGACAACCACCTCCTCCTCTGCCGCCCACGGCCCAAACACCGCCCCCATCTACGACCTCGTCTGGGACCCGCGCACCCTCACCCTGCACTCCAGCCTCCCCAACATCCCCGCCCCCGGCTCCCTCCTCGCCGAGGGCCTCTCTCCGGACGCTGCCTGGTCGCGCCCCGACGCGCTCAACGTGCACGCCCACATCCTGGCCTCGCTCGCCGACACGCGCCGCAACGCCGCCGCCGACATCGAGCGCTCGTCTAAAACCGCGAGGGGCTGGTGGGTCGTCTGGATGCGCGTCCCGCCCAGCACCCCCGCGCCCGGCGACCCCGACGAACGCGCCTCGCGCCCCTCGTCCGCCTCGACCGTCCGCGAGTCCCACGACAACTCGGCCGCCTCGGCCAACAGCACCGCCTTCAACACGGCCGATGTGCGCGAGGCCTTTCTCGTGCGCCGCGCTCGCGATGCCCAGCCCGCAGCCGCCCGCGAGGGCAAGCGCGGCGCCAGCGGCGTGTGGGGCAGCATGGGCCTGGGCGGGCTCGGGGTCGGCCTGGGCATTGGCGGCGAGTCGCAGAGTCAGCGGATGGGCGGGCGGGCTGCGGGGTGGGGGCCTAAAGGGTTGGGGGAGGGGATTGGCGTGGATGCGCGGAGGTATGTCGATGAGGTTTTGAGTCTGAATCGGTGAGTCTGAATTGGACATGAGATGGAGGGGAGAGGAAGAAGAAGTGAGATGAGGGAAGAGGAAGGGAGATTGAGGGGAAGAAGAAGTGATGAGAGGGTGTGTTGCGTATTGATACGGCGAATAGTGCGGTCCAGTCCAGCGCTTCTTTGACGCGTAGTTTAGCGCTTTTGAGGTGAGTAGAGACGGCACTTGTTCATTGGTAGAAGTGCATAGATACATGGCATTGGCGTGTCTTTAAGGAGTGTAGATATGCCTGGATAGTCTATAACAACCATCCGTTCGATGCAGTCCAATTCAGTCCAAATCGGTCCGTCCGATGCAGTGCAGTCCAGTACAATTCAGTCCAGTCCAACACAGCTCTACAGAGGAGTGCATGGAGCACCACCACATCTGATGTAAACACGCATGTGGAAGTAGCGATCTCAGCACGGCATGGACAAGCGCAGAGAAGCCATGTATATACTCGATACCCGCGCGTGTAATCTGTTAGATCTAGTAACGCCGTCGCTATGCTGCACGCCCTTCTCCCCTCATTTCCTCTGTCCTGCTCGCTGACTCCCTCCTGCGTATCCACCTACCAGTCATCCCCCCACCCTTCCACTTCGTCCTCCTTGTCCTTCCCCTGGGCCTTGACCGGCTCCTTCTTGACCACCTCCTTCTTGGCCGGCACAACCACCTTCCGCGCCGCCGCCGGGACACTCTTCTTCGCAGCAGCCGTCTTCACCCCCGCCGACCCCCCCGCCTTCGCAAGCCCCTTCGGCAGCGCCTTCGCCCCGCTCTTCTTCCCCGCGTTCTGCGCCGCCAGCCACCCCGCAAAGTCCGGCTCGCCCGCGTCGTCGAACGCGGTGGTGGATGCGGGTTTCGCCGCGGGCGCGCCCCACGGGTCGTCGTCGAACGCGTCTGCCGCATCGTGGAACGCGTCGGTGGTGTTGTTATTGCTATTACTGTTACTCTCGTCGCCGAACCCCCAGTCGCCGTCGAACTCGGCGTCGTCAAAGGCCGCGGGCGACGCCACGGTCGGGACGGCTGCGGAGCTGCGTGTCGACGCTAGCGCGGCGGGTTTCGAGGCCAGCGGGACGGGGGGCTTGGACGGCGGGACGGACGAGGCGCGCTGTTCGGTTGCGGCCGCGGGTGCGATGGTGCCGCTGGTCTGCGCGAGTTTGTGCGTGAAGCTCGAGATGGCCCAACCCGCCCAGCCGGCCTCGGCGGCGGGCGTGCCGATGCGCGGGGTGGTTCCTGCGGCGCCGGTGGAGCTCGAGGGCCCGGGGGCGGGGAGCACGGTGTCGGGCATCGTGGCGGCGTGCTTGCGGATGCGGGCCATGTAGATGTCGACGCTTTTCTGGGCCTGGTCGCGGATGAGCTTCTCCTTGTCGACGAGCGACGGGCACATGATGGGGAGGAGCTTGGTGGCGCAGTCGTCCTCGCTGAAGAGGTCGGCGGTGGCGGCGAGGGCGAGCAGGGCCGCGTTGCGCGCGTGGACGAAGGGGTCGCGCAGTGCGCGGGCGAACGCTGCGGCGAGGACCTTTGCTCTGCTCTGTGGGGTGTCAGTACTTGAATACATGTATACCACGGCCGACCTACGTTGACGCCGAGGTTGCGCGCGATCTTGCCCAGACAGATGGTGGTGTTGGTGCGGATCCCCGGCTGCTCGTCGTTGGCGGTCTTTGCTAGATGTCTGAGGAGTTCGCCATTGATGACCCTGTCGGAGAGCTTGGGGACGACTGTCAAGACTGCGCGCACTGTCTGCTCGCGGACGACTGGCGCTACGTCTGTGAAGCCGGTGACCTGGAAAGTTAGCTCTCTTCGACCCAGTTCAACCTCAACATACCATCTGAGGGAAGATCTTGTCGTTGACAAGCTTCTGCGGGAGGTGGTCGATCATCAGCGACAGGTTGTCCAGCAAGCAGACGCGAATCGCCCGGTCGGGGTTCGCGAACAACCGCACAACGACCGGCGTGATTTGCGCCTCGTATTCCTCGTCCGTCAGCTTCTGCCCAATCTGCATGACAGTGCCGAAGACCTTCGCGCCGCCGCCACCGAACTCGACCGACTTGAGCAGCTCGGGGAGCACCTTCATCTTGAAGAAGTCGGCGGGGAAGTCGTCGGCGACCTTGTCGAGTTGCCTGCAACAGTCAGCTGGGATCAGTCTCTCCATGTACAATCCCTACCCAAGCAACTCATTCCGCTCGTCCTCGGCCTTCAGCCCCAGGTTGTCGATGTCCTCGGTGACCTGGATCAGCGGCGTCTGGAAGAACCCTCCTATGCGCTTCCCCTGGTCCAGGAACTGCCCCACGCTCATCCGCGACTTTGGGTTCGGGTTCAGCAGACGCTTGTACGACTGGTGCATGCTCGGCGGAATGCTCTTCAGCTGCTGTAGCTGGTCGCTGCTGCTGTAGCTGCCATTGAAGCACTCGAAGATCAGGATGCCAAAGTCGTACGCGTCGACCGCGGGCGTGGGGTTCTGCTTGATGACCTCCCACCCCGCCTTGACGATCTCGGGCGCCATGTACCGCCCCGCGTCCGGTATCAGGCCGCCGTACGTCGGCAGCATGGAGTCGTCCTCCTTGACGGCGCTCAGCGCGTCGAAGCCGCCGAGCTTCCACTCCCCGCTCTCGCCGAAGAAGACCGAGGCCGGCCGTATGCAGCCGTGTATCGAGGCCGCGTCGGCGTTTATGAATTTGAGCGTCTTCGCGACGTTGTGCAGTCCCCATTTTGTCGTTTCTTCCGTGAGGCTCTTGCGCTTGACGTGCCAGCTCAGCGGCGTCAGTCGCTCGGTCGCGACGTAGATGTGCGTCTCGGACTGCTGCTGCTTAGCTTCGCTTCCATCTGGTATGACCTTGCACCCACCTCCTGTGTGTCGAGGACCTTCACCACGCCTGGGTGCCGCAGGGTGCGCAGTTTCCGGAGCGCATTGCGCGCGAGCGGCAGTCGGGACTTGTTCGCGGTGATGTCAAAGGAGAAAATGCTGCATTTCGACCCGTCTTCCTGTCACGCCGGTCAGCTCACTGTCCACGGCGTGCAGCGATCTGGCCATACTCGCTTTGTGCCATTGTGTAGTGTCCAGATGGAGTCGTCAATGTCCACGCGGTCGCCAAAGGTATATCCCCACGTCGGGTAGCCCTTGGATATCGCCGAGGCGACTGCAGACTTGAGGAAGTCCATGATTACGAATTACGCACGCTGGGAGCGTGGCGTCGGACTGATACCTGGAGTCGCCGTGTGGACAGATGCCCCACATACGGGACCCCTGTACAGCGTCACCACACACATGCACGTCTTCATCACCAACACAGCTCTCGCCGCGCGACAAGACAGCTTGTAGCAGCACAGGTATGTCCATCCCTCCCACCACCTACACACGCACAAGATGAGCATTTGGTAAAAGGTTAGATCGCTCGGCGATGGTTTCCCTTTGAACGTTCACCCGGGAAAGTGCTGCATGCGATGCATGTAGCTGAAGAGGAAACCTCCAGCGAAGTGCTACCATAACGAATCACTGATGCATGGCGTTGAAGTCGCTGTCTTTGACTGTTGTTGTTTGCGGACTGCTAACAGTGTCTAGGGTTGGTTCGACTGGAGCAGTGAGCTGGAAGACTGTACTTGCCAATGATAACATCGTCATTAGTGCAGGCCGGTACGCTGGACGCTGAACCTTTGATAAGCATGAGAAGCACCTGTACAACGGTCCTGGGCGTTCATGTAGTGAGGTATAGTCGTCTATACAGCATAGCTAGCCTATTACAATACAAGTACAAGAGTTCCCAATCCGCGCCACCGCAGCTCCGACGTCTCAAGCGCGCAACCCCCACCTTCTCCCGGTACAATAACGACCAGAACCCCCGTTGTAAAATACCGAGGTACAGCTAAGCAACGTGTAAGCACTCGCCTTGCATGCTGCGGGGTCCGGCGCCCCACATTAGCTCGAGCTCAGTGCCATATCAAGTCCATCGACCACCGCGCAACGCTTTGTTAAGTCACGGCTTCTAGTTGTGAATACGACTCCTCGAATCGACAATTGCAACGGGATATTCTAGTGCACAATGCCGTACTCGCTGAAAGGGCGGAATGTCCTGATCACAGGCGGCTCAGCGTGGGTTCCCCTCCACCTACATCGCGGTGCCCTACAGCACAACAGAGCACGGGATAGAACCCAATCCACTCAAACCCCCCAACCCAGCCGGACAATACAACCAGCCAAGCAGGAAGATACTAACACCCCGCACAGCGGCCTCGGCGAACTGCTCTCCACGACCTTTGCGAAACAGGGCTGCAACATCGCGATCAACTACTTCAACCGCGTCGAGCCTGCGCAGGACGTGCAGAAGCGGTGTCAGGCGGAGGGCGTCAAGGCCGTGGTTATCAAGGCTGTGCGTTTATCTGGTTGCTCACTTGTCTCGGCTCACTTGTCACGGCTCGCTCATCACGGCTCACTCATCGCTACGTTCTCACGACCAAAACGGTGTCACGGGAATCAAAGGATCGTGCAGGACGTTCCCAAACTAACTTGCCTCACAGGACATGACGAACACGGACGAAGCGCGGCGCGCCGTCCAGGAAGCGACGGAGCAACTCGGCGGTCTGGACATTGTGCTTGCCAACGCCGTGAGTCTTCATGAGAAGTTGGGACATGTGTGCGTGCTGATGAAGACAGGGCTGGACTAAGTTCTGCGAGTGGGGGGACCACGAGGGGATGAGCGAGGCGGAGTGGGATAAGGTTCGTTTGTGCTACGGCTACGACTACGCTACCGAGTCTCTACGTGCTGGGCGTGCGCGCTGACTACGTGCTGATTGCGTACTGACTGCGTCCAGTGCTGGGCGGCCAATGTCAAGGTGCCGCGTGCGCTGCTCCTCGCTGCTAAGCCGACGTTCGACGCAAACCCCGAGGGCGGCGTGATGATCACCACGGGCTCGATAGCGGTGCGTTTCTCCCTCCTCTGCTCTAACCATATTCTTGCTGACGTGCGTGCTCAGGGCATTGGGCAGGGCGGGTCGTCGATGCCGTATTCCGTGACCAAGGCTGCACAACTACATCTAGTCAAGTGCCTGGCCGTCACGGAGGGGCCCAAGATTCGTGTTAATACTGTGCTGCCGGGTCTGCTGCTGACGGAGTGGGGCAAGAAGTACAGCCCGGAGCGGATCAAGGCGCTGCAGAACGCGGCGGCGTTGAAGAAGGATACGGATCTGCAGGACTGTGTGGATGCGTTTGTCATGCTGGCGAAGAATAGCAGCATGACGGGGATGCGGATCCAGGTCGACGCCGGGCTGAATGTGCAGGGCGCGTGAGGCGAGGGTCAAATCCAATCAATGCTGGCTGTGGTGTTCAGTCTTCGCTCGTCTCTGTGTCGTCGAGCGCGCGCACAACCTCCTCCATGTCCTTGGGACTCGTGATGGCCCAGACTCCGCCGCCCTTGACGGCGCCCTTCATGCCGACTTCCTTGCCCACCAGGTTCCTGCCCACTTTGCCCGGCCCGATGCCGACGTAGCGGCGCACCTTCTCTTCTTCGTGCAGGTACTTGACGCTCTTCCACCACTGCACCGTCTCGATGCAGCTGCGTGCGAGCAGGTCCTTCAACTGATCTTTGCTTTCGTACGGCTTGCCCGTGACATTTGACACGCACGGCATGAGGCCCGGCCATGTGACAATGTCGCTGCCGTCTGGCTTCTGCTTGTACAGCATGCGCTTCACCGTCTCGTACGTGGGCTTCATCAGCGGGCCGTGGAAGGGCGTGTCGGACTTGAGGCGCACGTGGCGCGGATCGTGGCCGCCGAACTGGCGCAGGTTGGTCAGCAGCGTGTTGATGCGCGCGATGCTCCCGCTGAGCACGATCTGGTTCTTGGAGTTGATGTTGGCGATGAGGACCTGCTGCACGGCGGGCAGGTCGTCGTTGGAGTCTGAGCGCGAGCCGCCCAGGCGCAGGAACTCGTGGATCGCCGCGACGAGGGCCGTCATGTGTTCCTCGGACTCGCAGACCAGGGCGACCATGCCGAACTCGCCGCCTTCCTTCTCGACGGCCTCCTTGCTGCAGTTGCTGGCGACTTCTGCGCGGCGCCGCACCATCTTCAGTGCGTCCTGGAAGGTGAGATAGCCGCCGGCCACCAGGGCGGCGAACTCGCCCAGCGAGTGGCCGAGGGTGATGTCGACGCGCTCAGTCGTGTTGAAGCCAAACTCCTGCTCCAGGATGCGCAGGATGAGGATGCTCGTGGCCATGATGGCGGGCTGCGCGTTCTCGGTGCTCGTGAGCTCGGCATTGGTGCCAGACTCGATGATACGGGTGAGCGGCGTGTGCGGCAGGTTGAGCGTGGCGTCAATCTCGTCGAGGATGGGCTTCGCGGTGCGCGGGAAGGCCTCGAGCCATGGCGTAATCATGCCGACGCGCTGCACGCCCTGGCCTGCAACAGTCAGCACGGGTCAGGAAGCCTGTCGCGACGTCTGGCGTACCGGGGAAGAATATGGCAGTCTTCGGTCGCTTCGCTGCGGACTGCCTGCTGCTGCTCATCCACCTCCGCGCGGCCGGCCGGCTGCCACCACGGCGTCCACATGGCGCTGCAGTACGCGGAACAATTCGAGAAACGGACATGCAGGCGCTCGACATGGCGGTGGAGGCTGTGTCGTTATTGTCTGATGGACATATTAGAAGCTTGCTAGGGGCTGGCGGAGCTGTGGAGGTTCACTGTGGGGGTGGAGGCTGAAAGCTTGGGGTTCAAGCCGGTCCCGCGGCCGAGGTCTGTTTGCGGAGCAGTGCCCCCCGAGGGGACCCACTTGTGCACATTTCGCTATACATAGGTGCCGTAACTTTTCGAACTGCCTGTGCAGAGCCTGCGTCTTGCTGTTCTAGCCTCTGCATAAGAATACTTCTTGAACCTAGCTCAATCTGCTGCAAGTGGGTGCGCTACCTCTACCCCTCGAAGACCCAGACCATGTCCTACATGTTGTCAAAGTCCAACCCCCAGTCGTCGTCGCCGCCGCCTCCCATGTTCATGTCCATTTCCATGTCCATGTCCATCTCCATTCCCATGTTGTTCATGTCACCAAGATCAAGCTCCGGAAGGCTACCCAGGTTGGCTGTCATGTCACCTGTCATGTTGTCGCCAGGGTCCATGCCCATGTTCGCCAGATCCAAGCCTGCTGGGCCTGTGAGCTCTTCCATGCTGCGCTCCAACGCCTTCTTATCCATGCTCGGTATCTCGAGGTCGTTTGCAAGGCTGGCATTTGCCGCATCCTCCATGGCTTTGTTGATATCGTCACTGATCGACTGAGCTTGCATGTCGTTGATACTGACACTCGGGAGGCTTATGACTGGTGCCTGAAGTCCCACTTGGCCGATCGATGACAGTTGTGCCTCCACACGTCTGTGCAAACGCACGACTGCTTCTGCACTCGACGGATCTGTCGTGACCAAAGGGGCGGCGTTGTCGAACACGTGCTTGAGCATCTCCCGCAGGTTCATCCTTGTGCGCGGTGGCGCCGGTGTAGGGATTGAGCTCCCTATCCACTCTATCGGTATGGGGCTGTCTTCAACGGTCGGCGCGCAGATGATCGACACACCAATATCCAATGCAGCCGCTCCATTACCGGCTTCCGTCTGTGCTTTGATCTCGTCTACGATTGCCCGCACGGTCTGGTACGTTCCCAACGTATTCAATGTGGCGTAGACTTGGCGGTGCGTGTAGCTGGGAGGGTTCGGGTTGATTGCAGCGGTAGACGCCCATTGCGCCAGCTGCTGTATGGTATGTCGCAGAGCTGTATTTAGTGTGCTGTTTGGTGCATTCGTCCATTGCTCTAGTTCTCGGGTCGATGCGTGGATTGAGCGGTCGTAATGTGCGTTGTTTTTGATACCTTGCAGTAAGGGCTCGATGTTGGTTCGCGCTGGTTCGCGCCGCTGCAACGTGCGGAGGCACTTCTCCAAGCGACTAGAGACCAGCGCAAGGATTGTAGAATGCATTGCTTGCGCGTCTCCAGAAGAAGGTACTGTGAGGATGGCATCGTGGAAGATTCTCAACATCGCATCGAGATCGTTGTGTGTCTGTTTGAGAGCATGACTTGCCATCCAAGTCAGGCCTCCGATCAGCGACGGCAAAAGAAACGTCTCCCCAAGATCTAAATCCCTTCTTAGCTCGTAGTCCGTACACTCAAAGATAGACAGAAAACTCACACTCCAAGCCGCTTTTGACAGTCTCATTCGACAATACACCTGCCGAGCATGCCATGATCGTTTGGCTGAAGAATGTTGGTACGATTAGATAAAAGTCTTGGGGGCGACATGAGGCAAACACATCGTTACTGAGGCCTTCATTTCCTGAATCGTACAGGCCTTTCAACCAACTAGCGAGATGTTTGCCTTCGTTTTCTGTCAAGTCATCTGGCGCAATACTGTGGTTAGCAGACTCAATTAGTCGAGCGATGAAAGACTCTTGCCCAATGCCAATGTCTGTGCGTGAGAGATCGTAGCGATACACAAATGCCATGATCAACACAAGTATCGCTCCAAACTCGTCATACACAGGCTGATATTCACCTGCCGGCGTCAATAGAGAATCAATCATAGAAGGTCATGTCACTGACCTTGGTCGCTGTCGTAGTGCCAGTCATCGAGAAATTTGCAAAGTGGTTGCAAGATGCTGACAGGCGAAGTGAATTGCAACATGACATCTAGACACTGCGGCTTCTTCGACAATAGATTGCAGATCTGCTTCAGGTGCATCGTAACCTGTGTCTCACAGAGATGTGCAATGAACTATAACGCAGGTCAGTCTGACCACTTGGCGGTTGAGGGGATTGCTCACCTCGGTGACAGCGCTAACGATAGCACCGGCGTTACCATCGAGATTCTCCATCTCATCGATGTACGCGTTGACTTTGTCAAAGTTGTTCTTGCACTGGTCCAGCAGCGTTTTCTTCTCATATCTCGTTGTAGGCGGTCCTTGCAAGGGGGTCTCGCCGAGGAGTCGTTCAACGGCGCTCGTAGTTATATGACCATGGAGTGCACATGCGTTTAGAAAATTCTGCCTCACATCGGAAAGTGAGTTGTTACCACCCATGATGTCGTCAAAGCCCTGCGAAAATGCAGGGAAGGCGTTGGGGTCGACGTGACTGAGTGCTTGGGTTATCGAGATCTCAGGAGTCATGGGGAAAATCGAACCCGAGAGTTGCAAGAGTAATATTGGAACTTTGTTGATCAAGAATGACTTGAGGCAGAACATAGTCGACACGGGTTCGCTACGGTACATTGCGTTGGCAAGGACATCGAAAGAAGCGGTGATTAGATCTGTGGCCATATTCTGGGGGTCGATCTGTTTGGAGTTAGTGTCAAGATAAGATCCTGGAGGGTCCAAACTACCTTGTATCTCGAATGTAAGTAGTTGATAATTGTGAAATCATCGGTAAGCGGTCGAGCAACGAGCTGTGAAGTTGTTAGCCAGGAGTCATCATCAACTTGATTAGACTTACCAATGAATTAAGAGTTACGAATAGTCCTGCTCTTGTAGATACAGTTGGAAGGTCCATGACAGCTTCAAGCTGCAAGGCAGCAACCTCCAAATTTGCATTTTCGTTCGGTACGCCTCCAATTGTCGTGGTCTTTTCGTAGAGCTCATGTTGTTTCTGGGACATCTCTAACCTGTTGGCGATCTCCAATGAGGATTGCGAACCCAAGGAATTGTGTGATAAAAATGGGATAAAAGACGCCAGCGAGTGAGCCAAGCGTTTGCGTAGATCTGATATACGTGAGCGATGTCCAACATAACACATACACAATGAGGGAGCTGTAGCATCGACATGATGATACTGACCTTGGGCTGTGGGATGATTGAGTATCAGGAGGATCTTCGAATTTTCGATTAGGCCGACGACAAGCACACCCAAAGCTTCGCGAACGTTGATAGACTGTTGTTGTGGTTGCTGTGCAATACCAGCCATGGCCTGCATCATTGTGTCACTCGTGTGTGAAGTGACTACGGCTTGCATCCATCTTGTAATAACAATCAGTGTCTGTAACCCTTCCGTGTTGTTGAAAGGGCGCTCCTCGGCGGCGAAAGTTTTGTGAAGTCGATGGCACACGACTTCCTCCAATTCGGGTGGGTTGCTCCATCTCGTCTCTCTGTCCGACCCATCTTCGCCGGTCTTTGGTTGTCGGTCCTTGGAATAGTAGAAGGTGGCAGAAAGAACATCTGACGCGTCAACCTTCTTCAGCGCTAGCAGGCGCTCAAGATAGATGATTACGCGTGGGTCAACAGTACTTGCACCAGACGATCGTGGTTTGAGTAGAAGAGCAGCAAGCTTGCGACCGGGCAATGGCGATCTTCGGTGTAGTTGTGCAGTTGCAGCGTCGAATAACTGGGCCTGCACGCGCTGGTTCAAGCATCGATCAAGGAACACCGTCCATTCTTTGACCATGGGGTCCATGATCCATCCACTAGATACTGCACGGCCCACGGGGCGAGCAACTAGTATTAGCTAAATATGTTTTGCCAACAATAGAGAGGTTTAGATGGGTGCGAAGGATCGCTGCCCGGGTTTGTTTGGTGATGGGTGCTGCAATGAACGATGAAACCAAGAACCCCAAAGCTCTCAAGTTTAGCCGAGAATCCGTGTACCATAGTGGGGCCCCTTCCTTTCGCATTTCCAAACAACGCACAGAAGTAGTGGAACAAACGCGTAAAATTTCAGTACTGGATGAGGGGTCTGATTGAATATATGCAGGGCTGGTGGTACAGCATGGTCGAGGCAATGTGAGGTACGTGAATATATTGCTTATTTAGACCTGCGCAGGTTTTCCGCCCAAGGCATGGCGACGTGCGTATGGTCGTTACCTAGCCGCATCATTACACGAAATTATCCGAGAGAAACACCATGTTAAACAGCAACATACAGGATGTCGCTATGCAGCTGAACCAAGCAGTGTGTGCCACTAAACCCCGGCCCCTTGCGTTTCCTTGCGCCAGTGGCAGGCGCCTCTTTCCGCCCCATCAACCCTGACAGTTCCCATACACTATGCAACGCGGACCACTATACATGACTCTCTCAAGATTCACGGCGCCGAGCATCTGGAAATCGATCGTCCGCATCTGGTGCCCGCGGCCCCACCATCCAATCTTCCATCGCCAGCCACTGACTCCAGGTCTTCTCGGCACCCTCGATCTCCGCCAGCTGGACATCCTGGAGAGGCTTCATGAACGGGACCGATTCATGTGGAGACATGTCATACTGGCATTTGACTTTCGCCCACCCTACGCTCTTGGCCGCAAACAAGTAGTTCCGCCTCTCGCACTCGTGGACTGGGCCCACTCCTTTCTTCCAGTCATCACCGAAAAAGCCATGCATGACGGCCGCCTGATCCATCCCTGTGATGACCAGGCGCCTAATGAAGGGGATCAGCGACACCCATGCTGGCGTGGGCTGGCCTTTCGAATTGAGAACTGGGCCTTGACGAGGCCATTGCTGTGTGTATGCTGCAGGACCAGATGAATGTGGTAGCGGGCCTGATGAGCTCATGATGGGGTATGGTGTCCATTGGAATGGAAGACATATGTTGATGAGAGCAGCCACGACCTGCACTGTGTTGTCGTGCTGGGCATGGTCTAGAAAGTACCGCTGGCAGCTCTGGTATGCGGGATGCCAGTCGAAAATGTCGAACTGTGGTGCGGCAGTCGGGTTCTGGCCCGAGGGTGAACCTGTCGAAGATGTGTTGCTGGTGCCGCCGGTGAAATTTGATGCGCGGGAGATGGTCGGGTAGCCAGCAGGGAAATTGGTGGTGAATCCAGGGAGGTTCGCCATAGTGAACGCAGCAATGTGACTACTGCAGGAACGAGCGTTTGTTAGCAAAGCCTGGTTGGTGGGCGGGGCAGGAACACCAGATTTATGTGAACGGTGCCCGCGACGTACCAGGCTTACTGCAACGGTCGCAAAAACCGAGAATAGATCGTCAAGGTGGTTTGCTGGTAATCGGGCAGTAGTTGGCGCACAAGGTCTCAAGATCCACATGCAATAGAAGACAAACAATCAATGACGACAGCGACGTAGTTTGGCGGTTGGGCGCGGGGATGCTATTCGGCGCTGGGGAGATGAGGGCAGCTCGTGAGCGCTATAGGGGATTTATAGCTTCGTGCTTGTCCTAAGGGTGCAATGGTGAGGCTAATGGACATGCAGGGAGGGACTCGGTGGCCGCCGCCGTCAAGCCTCTCGTAGATCCTACTGAAGCCTCCAGTTGACGCATTTTGGAATCATCCTGGAGGAGATCCAGTCGAGCCACCATTCGGCTCGATTGCGCTTACTTGGCCAGGCCGAGCCAATAGGTCGTCGCGCTCCTCGGCGGGCGGAGATACCGCGCAGCGCTCAAGGTGTGGCTTTGCAGATGCGTTCGTACGCGACTCGGGTTGGCACCGCACCGCAGAACTGCTCTAGCGCCGGTGCGCCAAAACACTGTACCCTCGGCCGATGCAACTCGACAGTCGTATTCCATACCACGCTGCACTACCCGTGGTGCAGATCGGGGTGCATCTCAGCTGCTTGCTGCCCTCCCTTCTGCTTTGCCGCGTCTTGTATCTGTGATGCTGAGGGTTTGCAGCCACGTTGTCCCAGACAGGCCGGAGGCGCCGAGCCAGACGCATTCAGGTCCAGATTTACGGCGTCGAGGCCAGTCCCACGAACACCAGTCTGCACCCACTTTGGAGCCAGAACTGACAGGCGCCTCAAACGCCTCGACGTCTACAAGGGTAAATCAGATCGGTTTCCGCGGTGGCACGAACCCATTGGAGCGGTTGCGGCAGCGACTGTGGTCCCAATGTAGAGGATCCAGGTACGAAGCAGGATGCCAGTGCTGCACAGCCGTCTCTTCCAGGTTACCGTATCTTGTACGACGCAATGCACATTGTGTGCTCGGCGATCAAACAGAACCACGAGGCTGCACATGTTGCGCACGACTCAGGCGTTCGATCTCGACAATGCTCGCTCCAGCGCAAACAACCTCTCCAGCGAATCGGTGCCACTGCTGCCAGAAGAAGCAATGCCTCGTCCAGTGCACAGTGCTCAGTGCTGCACACCTCCCGCCACTAGTCGCCGGACGCTATAGCTCGCCCAGCCTCCTGTCGTTTGTTGCTTTTATGCGTGAATGCGTCGTCGTTCTGTCCAGCTGGGCAAGCTACGTCGCTTTCTCAAAGTAACACTGTCATAAGACGTGCATGTGTAAAGCCGTGTGCATGCTTCGGAGTGGGCGCCCCTCCACACAAGGGAAGCGCAAGGTACAAGCGAGCGAGCGAGCGAGATGATGTAACGATGGAAATCGCCGACGTTGGCGCCGAGCATGTCCATGCAGCACGTCACTTGTCAACATCGTGGCGGTGCCTTCGCTGCATCGCACATCGTCATCTGCACTGCACGACAGAATACCAAATTTACTCCAGCATGGCACAAACCACGTTTTCATTGGCTTCGCGCACAAAGGTAATAGGGGATGCGAACCGCTACCCGCAGTCGTTGACTATGCACAGCTCGCCAATGGGCTCTCAATGCCTACAATCCATCTTGGTGTGTACCTTACTTCGGGTAGGGAAACCTACCAAGCAGTTCGATGGGCACTAGAGGTATACTTCTTTCTGTAACTAGCTTGGGTACCGCGTGCTAACAACGCTGATACCGACAGTCTGGATATCGTGGGTAAGTCATCGTATTACCCCTGCACTTGTATAGCCATTGACGCCTTTGCAACAGTGTGGACAGCGCGCAAATGTATCACAATGAGAAAGAGAGCGGCAAGGCCGTTCTAGACTTTCTGTCCAGTGAGGATAACATCGACTCCCTCAAGCGAGAAGAGATCCACTTCACCTCCAAGTTGGCCTCCAACTCATCATATGACACAGCTCGCAAGGCTATCAAGAAATCGGTCAAGGAATGCGGGCTTGGCTATATCGATTTGTTCCTCTTGCACTCACCTTATGGTGGCAAGAAAGCACGACTTGAGAGCTGGAGAGCTGTGGAGGACGCTATTGACGACGGCGAGGTGAAGATTGGGGGCGTATCTAATTATGGCGTGAAGCATGTAAGCATCCGTTCTATTCCCGCCATTCGACAATGGCAGCATCAATACCTTGCGGCCGGATAGCAACAATCCGTGGGTTGCTGTGTAACCACACATCTATTCCACGCCCATGCTATCAGTTTTGAGTGGTCTTGTGGGACATCTCGCAGGCGCTCGGAGCAAGCACTCATTGGCTCGAGGTCATCATATCGACATGTCGGACTAACGACGCTGCAGCTGCAAGAGCTTCTCGATTCGAACCCCAGAATTGCACCAGCGGTCAATCAGATCGAGGTGCATCCATTCAATACCCGGACGGACATCACATCCTTCTGCCAGCAGAACAACATCGTCGTCGAGGCTTACGCACCCCTTGTACGTGCCTTGAAGATGAAGCACCCTAAGGTTGTGACCCTTTCGAAGAAGTACTCGTGCACTCCTGGTATGCAAGCCTATCCGATAGGGTGGTTTCCCTGCTGACATGACAACAGTAAGCGCTTTGCCCTCTGCCACTCTACGTATTTGTTCTGGTTAAAGCCCTCCTCATTGTTGTCTTGCTTGCACATGCTAATGTTTCATCGTCCAGGGTCAACTGCTAGTCCGCTGGAGTCTGCAACATGGCTATGTGCCGTTGCCCAAGAGTGTGAAGAAGGAGCGCATCGTGGAGAATTCAGAGATCGGAGGATTCGAGATCGAGGAGGGTGACATGAAGATGCTGGATGGCCTGGATGAGTACCTGGTGACCGGTAAGTCCCTTTTGACAGCTGTCAGAGCTACACATCCCATGGGCAAGCGTGCGAGTTCGGCGACACCATCTTCTCAACGCTCTTCACCTAAGCTAACAATGGTTCGCGCTTCTAGATTGGGACCCCACAGACTGCCCGTAAAGTGGAGGGCGGAGAATTTCGGGCGTGGGGGTTGTTGCAAGGCTGCAATGTCTTCTGGGCAGGCTGTAGGGTGACATGTCATGGCAGCGTCAGCAGAGAATTTGCTGCAGATGCACACAGCATGGCTGTGCAGTGTCTGCGGTGATGCCGGCGCATAAGATTGTTATTGTCGCGTGCACCGAGCCACTCAAAGCGTGTTTTTCCGCGGTCCGACATTACACGTGAATGCCCCACCAGGACCCTGATGTATCCAGCCCCACGAACCACACGTAAGACGCCCGACACCGCGCCGTATGCGCCCGAAACCGGCCAGACGCTCTGGTGCGCTTTACCCATGGATGACGTCCAAGAATTACATCGTGCTGCCAATGTACATTCGCCGGAGCCCTAGCGGTATCTCGACGCGACCGCCCCCGCGATGCTCTTGATTGGCTGCAACTTCCTTATCTCTGGCAGAGTACACCATGGAAACGAGTAGCAGCATAGCACATGGCGGCGCGAACAGCGATTCACCACTGGGAATGCTGCTCCGCGTGCGATATGCCGGCCACTGACGTTTTCGAATCGAGTCTTTGTTTTTTTGGGTCGGGGCAAGCTCACCCCGCCGATTTCCAACTGCTCCGCGCAGAGCCAATGCAAAGCGTATATATACAGCTATCTCCTCTCACCTTGACTCTCATCTCCTTGACAACCAACTTGCTCTGACTGTCTTCACGAGCTCAATTCCTTCTCAAGCCAAATTATATCACCTCAATTCACAATGTCTGAGCCCGAGTTTGAGCAGGCCCGCAAGGGTATGTACCACCAACACCTGCCATTTAGCAAGAGCGTCTCAACAAGGAGCTCTCAATTGCCTACAGCAAGACTAACTTTTACATTCAGAGCTCGTCTCCACCCTTGAGTCCTCTTCTCTCTTCCAGAAGAACCCCGAGTACAAGAAAGCGCTCGAGGTTGCCTCCGTTCCTGAGCGCATCATCCAATTCCGCGTCGTCTGGGAGAACGACAAGGGCGAGTGCCAGGTCAACAAGGGTTACCGCGTGCAATTCAACTCTGCTCTCGGTCCTTACAAGGGCGGTCTCCGCTTCCACCCCACTGTCAACCTCTCCATCCTGAAGTTCCTTGGTTTCGAGCAGGTCTTCAAGAATGCGCTTACTGGCCTCAACATGGGCGGTGGCAAGGGCGGTGCCGACTTCGACCCTAAGGGCAAGTCTGACAACGAGATCCGCAAGTTCTGCGTTTCCTTCATGAGGGAGCTCAACAAGCACATTGGTAAGTGTTACGCCCATTGCACGCGTCGCGCTCCTTGTGGAGCATGGCAGCCTCCACTCAACGGCCCTGCATAAGTAGTAGGCTGGCTAGCCTAATCTTTGTCCTGGTCATTGGGAGTTTCTGCCGAGATACGCATCCGCGTTGGGGGTTTCTAGTGAACGTTGACTTACGTAAATCACAGGTGCCGACACAGACGTTCCTGCGGGCGATATCGGCGTCGGCGGACGCGAGATTGGATACCTCTTCGGCACATACAGGGCTGAGCGCAACCGTTGGGAGGGTGTTCTCACTGGCAAGGGTGGCTCGTGGGGAGGATCCCTGATCCGCCCCGAGGCCACCGGCTACGGTCTCGTCTACTACGTCGAGCACATGATCACATACGCCAGTGGCGGCAAGGAGTCGTTCAAGGGCAAGCGCGTCGCTCTTTCCGGATCCGGCAACGTTGCTCAGTACGCTGCTCTCAAGATCATCGAGCTTGGCGGCACCGTCATCTCGCTGTCCGACTCTAAGGGTGCTCTCATCGCCGAAGGCGACAAGGGATTCTCCCCCGATGACATTGAGAACATTGCCACCCTCAAGCTCCAGCGCAAGGCTCTCTCTGCTCTCGAGAACCACAGCTTCAAGTACATCGAGGGTGCCCGCCCCTGGAAGGAGGTTGGCAAGGTCGACATTGCTCTTCCTTCAGCGACCCAGAACGAGGTCTCCGAGGATGAGGCTCAAGCTCTTGTCGAAGCTGGCTGCAAGTTCATCGCTGAGGGCTCCAACATGGGTTGCACCCAGGAGGCCATCGATGTCTTTGAGGCCCACCGCAAGGGAAAGAAGGGCGATGCCATCTGGTATGCTCCTGGCAAGGCCGCCAACGCTGGTGGTGTCGCCGTTTCTGGACTTGAGATGGCCCAGAACTCTCAGCGTCTGACCTGGACTTCTGAGGAGGTTGACAACAAGCTCAAGAAGATCATGAAGGACTGCTTCGAGAACTGCCTCGAGACCGCCAAGGAGTACATCACCCCAGCTGAGGGCGAGTTCCCATCCCTTGTCGGTGGTGCCAACGTTGCTGGCTTCCGCAAGGTCGCAGCTGCCATGCACGACCAGGGTGACTGGTGGTGAACAGTTCGCTGTTAAGCGCGGTTCTTGTACATGATACCTACGATTTCTAACTTTGGGCATGGCGTTTGGCATATGGGACGTATCACACAGATACCAGATACCTTTGATGAATAGATTGATACCACACCATTAAAACCTTCGATCCAGTCTGTGATGCACAAAATTGCTGGCCCTGAGAAACTACCCCACCACAAACTTTCCCACTACGTCACACTACATCGATAGCTCATGCCCCGCGATTCCAATACATACCGTGTAAAAAGCAATCCACGTCGCCAAAAGGCAACAAAAGCAAGCGTCGTCAAGTGCATCGCATGTAAACACACACTGCGCCAAATCTCGAAAAGCAACACCACGCATGCGGTATCACTTCCGCTTCCAGCTCCTCATCCATTCCACAGATCCCCGCGCGGTGACACATCGCGGGACTTTCTGGGCCGCAAGCGAGCCACGGCACAGCAGCCACACACACGTATAGTAATCGAGTAATGCCCCACCCGGCGCACAGCGCGCTAGACTCACGCGGTTGCCATCGAGTAACAGAAATTCGGATGCGCGCCGCAGCATGGAGCACGGCGAGACGCGTTGGCTGGGCCGGGTGTTGACGGGATCCAGGCCCCGGAGATTCTTCGGAGAGGCGATCGGGCGATCACGGCCGAGGAGTGCTGTTTATCTGATCTGTGGGGGACGAAGGCTCCGCTCGTGGGATGGATGATTGTTCCTTTGACAGTGGGATTGTCTTACGGCGGGAACAAAATACACGTGCGATATCGGAACAATGTCGTACTGGCGCTGTCTTTACCTTTGATATTTGTCGCTGATAATACCTATTCATCAATGTTTAGGTTGTTCAAACATTGCAATACAGGTCCAACAACATTGTCGACTTCCATGTCACTCTGGCTTGCACACTCTCCGCCAGCATGAGATTTTATGTGGAATTCCCAGCACAGTCGCACACACAGCACTGGCGACGTCCATGAAACCTATTTGTGCTGCAAGAGTATTAGGCGAAGGACTCAGAAAGGTGAGACAGAAAGGCTAGTCTTTTCAAATGCGGCGATCTACGAAATGAAGTATGTCTTTGACAATGTCCCTGAACGTGCGATCTGCTGTAGTTGAAGACATACGCTGATCTAGACAACGCTCTCTTCCATGTCTGCTCTCACCACATCCCGGCATGCGGCATCTATTCGCATGCTGCGAAGAAGCTGGTCGGCAACTGTATACGCGGTACTGAAAGTCAATAGGTGGGCGATCATTTGGGAATTTGATATAGGTAGATCAAACTAAAAGGTAGCTGCTCAGCCCTGAACGCCTGGCGCAAGAATGTGCAAGCGATACCAGGATTGTGCAGTAGACATATTCGCGACCGATGAAGCATGGCTGCCTCTGGCCATGCGAAGTCTATTGAGCCCTGCGCGCGTGCAAAACGGCTTGAATTACCGGCATAAGTTGAGTCGCGCGACTAGAAGCGCGGTTGGACGGTGTGTACGGCCGTCGAAAATCAAAACTGGTCAAGCGCACTGTAGAAACCTGCCTCCTCCAAGCTTTCCTGCCGCCGACGCCATCGAGCATCAAATCATCCCGGTCGTCCCGCCTTGCTTAGACCCCACTGGTTTGTGATCGTCACTGAGAACCACTTGTCATTGGGTGCCACACTTAGCATGCGCCACACACTCCAGTATGATATCATGGGTCATTGACAGCGGGGGCCTTACTCCTACCCATTCTCAGCTCTTACGGGCTTGCAAACACCTCTCTCTCAACCAAAGGCTGATTCGAGTTTCTTGTTCACAAAACTCACAATTCGAAGTTCGTTCTGGAGCTGCCCATACCCACCGTCAGGGCCCCACTCGACTGCTACCATCCGGCAGACTGCCATGCAAGAATCGCGACCACCTGCGAAATTACAGAAACGTAAAAGCAGAGAACGACAAGAGTTCGAGAAGGCGGAACTTGAACGTACGCAGATGTCGGGAGGCTTGGGCAATCATACTGCAGTCTCAACACAGCCCCAAACAACCTTAGACACAATGTCCGGCGCAGAGAAGGAGAAGAAGTCACGATGGAGGCTGTCGGGCTTTCATTCGAAGAACAAGGATAAAGAAGATCCTAAAGAGAAGGACACAGTGCGCAAAGAATCATCCGCCAACACATTCGACTCGGCATATGCGAGCAGTGAGCCCAGCAGTAGTGGGCACCCTAGCTTCATCGGAAGACCAATCTCCGGAGAACAGTATATGCCCCCTCCAGGGCCCCCTTCAGGGCCTCCCCAGGGGAACTTACAACAGCAGGGACACTCTCAACAACAGGGCCATCTACAACAGCAGGGACAGTCTTATCATCAAGGGCCAGCAACCGAAGTGACACCACCAACACCACCCGCTGACCCAAGTCGAGTTCTGCCCACGCAGACGGCATACGAAAACTACCCTCCACCTCCGCGATCTCCCGCACGATCTCCTGCACGATCTCCTGCGCATGCTCAACAAAGTGGCTTTTTACCGCCCCAACAACCTCAGAGCCAAGCTAGGAGCATTGAGAATGTCTCAAGGGAGACTCACATGGACAACAGAACTGGAAATATCGTCACGACAACGACAACAACAACCACCACCACCACTACAATTACTGGCCCGGGCGGCTCTACAACAACACAGCAACCCACGGGCAGTGATATTGCGCCTAGTATCACGAGCATGTCCGGACCCAGTCCGCCTCCTCCAGCCCCTGTGTCGCCAGTGGCCGACGTAGCAGTGCCTCATCATCAAGATATTGAGCCGCTTCCAACTCAACCGTCAGTCCACGCTCCTGTAACTCCCTCGCCACCAATCCCTAATAAGAGCAATATCCGACACAGAGTCGAGCTATCTTCTGTCTCTCCTGCAATTGAGCATCAAAATCCCATGAATAGACAAGCCACAATCGACCCAGTGAGTCCTATCACGCCGGCGAGCCCAGGGCGCGCAAATTTCTCTTACCCCTCGCGAGCGCCCCCACCAGGTGTTCCACGTCAGGTACCGGCAGGGCAGCATGAGGAGTACGCGCAACAATCTCAGGAAGATCCCAGTCGGCCAGTACCGTATCGAGCGGGTCACGCACCATCTACACAGCAACCCGCAGACCATGTTCCGCAGAAGCAGTCCACCATGGCAAACCTCCGTGCCGCGGCGGCCGGTATTCATGTAAATCTCTCGTAGCGCGGTATCAATCTTCGAGTGCTAACAGTTATAGGGTGCGTCAGAAGCCCTCCGTGGCACCTTCAACGATTCGATCGACCGCCGCTACCACTCTCCTGACAACGCCGTACACACAAAGAACCAAGCCACCATAAATGCCGGTCGTCAAGAGATCCAGTCGCAACACTTTGTGCCACGCGACCACCATCCTAAGCCTCCGGCCGCTGATGCGCCGCCTGTGCCTCCAATTAAGACAGCATACGGAGGGCCGCCAGTGTCCGGTTCCCAGGCTGAGGGTGGCAGTCGCGGCGGAAAGCTCAGTAGTTTCCTAAAGAAGAAGATGGATCTTGATGGCAGTGAGTCCGCGAAGCGATCGCAAGCAGGGAGCAACATTCAATAATTGCATAGCATGGCGTAGTGGTATGGAATAGAGTCAGCACATGTGAATATACTCCACCCTGGATGTTTCTTTGCAGTCTGTCGCTTTGAGCTATGGAGGGTGTGTGAGGCCACCGACTACACTTGATTGTGCGAAGATGTATTTTCAATCTTGACGTTCTTTGACTTAGGTCATAAGGAACTATGACTTCGTTCGTAATTGCTCGGATGAAGTGCAGGGTGGCCCAAAGATATCAGCGACGACCCTCTTGCATGTTGCGACCAGATAAACGGAGCTGTTGCGACTGCTCAAAATGACCACCAACCCATCGTTTAAACGGCTCTAGGAGTGGCTACCACTTTTGTTCATTGATACAGTTGTATCCCCACATGTGTGAGGTTTGAAGCAGTATCGTATGACTCGAAAGTTGGGCGCATAATAGGGCTATATCTGCCTTAGGAAGAGGCCTAGACTACGATAGGTGCAGTAGAGGGGGCTCGGACTGATTGCCACGTCTGATTGAAACAGGCTGTCTACAGGTCCGTCAACGAAGGATAGGTTTGTCTACTAACCTACACTGAGGAATACAATTCGACGGGTGTGATCGAGGACGGATGGTCACTGGGCGATAGCATGGTATACACACGGTGGGACTCTTATCCGAGGCGTAATAGTTGGGTGAAAATTATGCGTCCGCGCTCGGAGCGTACCGAGGCCTGGCCAAATATCTCCACTCTGGGACCAAATTTCCTCCCAGGACAACTGAACATATTACGAAAAGGCAGTACGCACGTGGAATACTAGCAATACTACAATATATATAACAAACCAACCAAGATCTCCATCAAAACCAATCAGGGCTTGTGGTTTAGTGGTATAATACTCCCTTAGCATCTCGCAGCTTCTTCGAGGCCTGACGGAATACGAATGGGAGTGGTCCAGGGTTCGATTCCCTGCAAGTCCACGTGATTTCTTTTTGCGCCGGTAGCTTTTCGTATATGTGGTGTTGAGCTGTGTGGTTGTGCGTCTTCATCGGTGGTGTCAAAAACCCGCTTATTCCTCTGCCACCTCCCCCAACCCAACCAACACAGCCTGAGAAAAAAACACAATGCTGGAGTATATCGCACACGGAACTACATGGTGCACTTGCGCTCTTTGTGGTCCTAGAACTTTTTTGTGGATCAGGGAAGCCTGTGGCGGATGGTTACCATATAATTAGTGGCTTCTTGATCATCAGAACGCAGCAGTGATCTCTTGTTGGGGTAATGGCATAACTTGCGCTCTTGGGTATCAGTAACTTTCCTTCAAGTTTCCGTTCCTACGAGCCTTGCAGAATGAGATTTTGAGTGTGTTGGTGGCCAAGCACGGCTGTTCGCGAGACTCAACATCCCAAGTTTGCCCCTTCTTGCTCTTCACAAGCTGTATTTACTTTCCAATCATGCAGGCTGCGTACGTTAGTTCTACTGCCAGGCTTACTGCGTCATAACAGCGCTGACGAGCGGCTGAGAAACATGTGGAGATAGTCTAGCAACAGCTGTTAATTGGTATCGCTTGCTAAGATCTCTTGCAAAAGGATTGAGCGAGCAAATTATAGATGGCTCCCTTTTCCGGGCTGAATCCTTAGAGTTTTCTGTGAGAAAGCTTGTTGCTGCAGTATATAGCGACCTGTTGCCACTTCATTAGGCACCTGCGGGGTCATCCACAAGCGAAACGCTAAAGACGCAGACATGCAGTAAGCATGTCGACTCTGTGAACGGCCACTTCCTCCTACAACAGTATATATCGCCTTGATTGTTGCGTCCCGTCATCTTTGTCTTTCTTCCACCTTTCTGCATTTTCCATGTCTCTTCTCGAGCTGCCCCATGAACTCCTTCAGCACGTTGCACGCTTCCTACCATGCTCTAGCCTTCTCCAATTAATTCGCGTTAATCGACAAATCCACGATGCTTGTAACGACCCGATTTTATTAAAAGACGTTGCCCAAAATGCTTTCTTTAGGACCCCAGGTGCGGTCGACGACTTGATCAGTCTCTACAAACAGCCAGGCCGTGAGGCACTGAAGCCAGATGCGCTCGACTGGCCAGAAGGAGAGTGTATCATGGATGACTACTCTCTTGGAGACAAGATTCGAATGGCACATGCCATCGAACGTCTAATTCAGCTATCCAAACTTACACCCACCACGTGGTTGACCTCTACAACCTCGAATATGGCTGACTGGGTCCCACATTTGCTGGCTCTACATCATCCCGCTTCCTGGTGTTTGGAGCCGGATATGTTCTTGCTTCCTCATGGCCAACTAAGCCAATCGAACACAACTTCAACGTCATCTCTGCTAGTGAATCGTTGGCTTTCACGAACCAATGATCAAGCACGTGACAGAGTCGCTTTTGCGAAGCTTCAGATGGTTCATTTCACCAACATTAGCTTCATTCTGAATTACACCACACTCCAGCGGCTTGGCTCCACCAAGAAGAAAGAGGACATCCTTGTGAAGTTTGTGCGCCATTTCGTTGCCGATTCGTCAAACGACGATGACAGTCGATTGTCAACAGTCGTTGGTACGCATGATATGGCAGTTGTTGTCATAAAGCGGCTGAGCGAACGGATTCCAGGCTACGGGACCTTCAACAGGAGTTTCGATCTCACACAAGCTTCTGCTGCGCTGAGTCTATTGCTGGTAGCTGTTGCTTTTGAGTACGGTAATCAACTCATTCCAACTCCAGCCCACATCCCATTCACGAGGTTTATGGACATACCGAGTGTATACCATAGATCAGCGGAGCTCTTTAGTACTTGTCACTACAGGTGCATGACAACGCCTGAATTCTTGTCTGGTCAGTGGCACGGTTTTTACACTGATCATCGATTGTTTGTAAACCGCGCAATCTACGTCGATCGGCCAATGCAGGACATTCGTATGGTGACAGAGGAACCGACTGAGGAAGCACGAACACGCCTAAGGATCAATACTGTCATCGCGCGGGAGACAAGAGGCTACGATTCTCACGGAGACTTTCGGCTATCAGGTCGGGTGCGTGAAGATGGCCTAGTCAGTGTTGCTAAGCAGTATCTTGGACATGGGTTCTCCTGGACTTGGACAGGAAGAATCACACCGTTCGGAATTGTCGGAGTTTGGGGAAACAATTCATTCGGAGGGTACTTTTGGATCTTCAAGGCCGAGTGGATGGCCAGCCATGTCATAAGTAGGGAGTAGTACGCACGAAGGTATCTCCAGTAAAGCGCGAGAAGGATGACCGAGAAGCACACAATTCCAGTCACAAGATGAAAACGCAACTGGTTTCATGCGCGATATATGACAAAGCCTGAGGTGGCGTGACATTAAGGTTCGGTCTGTCTCAAAAATATCCTGAGCGACTACCGGTACTGCACTGATGGTGAATTGGATGTTGAGCATGACAAATGGATCCTTAGTCGATCATAGGCATCGAAAACCCAGACTGCCCATATCTTGGCCTAGGCCCATCACCTACACAATTGTTGAGCCTGTCAGAAGTTTGAACAGGTGGTGCGGTTTCCTCGGAAGGCAACACTTCGTGTTATGCGGACGTGAAGGTGATCACGATATCTGAGCGAGTAAGACGCTCTTCAGCAAAGCCGATAGAATGCGCATTTCTTTCCAGAATATCTATGGTGACACTGCCAAGCTGGCGATTGGCATGTTTGTGGTGTGGTCGCATTGACGCACTTGTCACCTTGGATCGCGCTTTCCACGCTAGTGAATTGCAAATGCCTCTTCTGGCATGGTTCCCGCTAGATTTTTCGTACCTTTGAGCACGACATCGGGGCCACAGAAAAATGCAAGCTTCCAAGAGGTCTGCGCACAGAAAATGTTTCGTAACATCTTCCTCTGTTGTAGCTGTGGCTGACGGCACGCCATCTGCACAGACCGACGAGCTGACCCTCACACCTTTGCCAATACTATTCACGTTGTCTAGGTGCTCTTGGACCGCCTGTGCAAAGGATTCTGACAGTCAACGGTTCTTATAAGGTCCTTTGGGCGCGCAGCAAGATGGAGTCGTCCCCACTCATCCCCTCGTCTTCGTCTGCGATGTCCAAGTTCTTCTCCAAGTACGGGGCCACCTCAGAGGCAAAGGCAGCGCCTGCTGAAGGCCAGCCTAAGTCTGACCCTGATGCCCCTCCTTCAGATATCGACAATGGATCGCTGTATCAGGTTCGCCAGGCAAAGCGCCAGATTGGCGTCACATCAGCGGTGTTTCTGTAAGACTGACCTAGATCAAATATAATGTTCGTTCGCTAATCGTGCCAGTATCTTTAACCGTAAGCTTAAGAGGCAATAGCAGGAGAACCATTCTAATCTAGGACAGGCATGATCGGTACTGGTATCTTCGCGACCCCAAGTGCCATTTTCTCTCTTTCCGGTAGCGTCGGTTTGTCTCTGTTCATCTGGGTCGCTGGCATGCTCATCGCTGCTGCTGGTATGGCCGTGTATCTCGAATTCGGTACGGCCATCCCAAGGAACGGCGGAGAGAAGAACTACCTTGAGTTTGTTTACAGCAAACCCAAGTTCCTTGCCACTGGACTCTACACTGGCTACGTAATCCTCCTCGGATGGGCTGGATCGAACTCCGTTGTTTTTGGAGAGTACATCTTACACGCTGCCAACGTCGAAGTTAACCGCTGGAACCAACGTGGCATTGGTCTCGCTTGCATTACCACTGCTTTCCTAATCCATGGTCTGGCCTTGAAGTGGGGCCTGAGGCTTCAGAACTTGCTCGGTGTCATCAAGCTGCTCATCATTCTGTTGATCGTTGTCTCTGGATGGGCGGCCTTAGGAGGCGCTATCAAAATCGACAAACCGCACAACTTCGACAACGCCTTTTCTGGCACTACTGGCAGCGCTTACGGCGTTGTGACTGCACTGTACAACGTCATCTGGAGCTACATCGGCTATAGTAACGCCAACTATGCCCTGAGCGAAACCAAGAACCCGGTCCGGACTCTTAAGATTGCTGCGCCTCTTGCTCTCGGATCTGTCGCTATCTTGTACATGTTCGTCAACATTGCATACTTCGCCGCCGTTCCCGCGGAGGAGATTATCTCTTCGAAGCGCTTGGTGGCTGCATCCCTCTTCCGCAATGTGTTCGGCCCAAAGGCGGAGCGCGCGCTTTCTGTCTTCGTCGCTCTGTCTGCATTCGGAAATGTTCTCAGTGTTATCTTCTCCCAAGGTCGTCTTGTGCAAGAGTTGGGTCGTGAGGGTATTCTGCCCTGGTCCAGGCTGTGGGCAAGCAACCGTCCCTTCAACGCACCCCTCGCTGGTCTCTTCGAACACTGGCTTGTCTCGGTTGTCATTATGCTGGCTCCACCTCCTGGTGATGCTTACAACTTCATTCTCAAGTAAGTCTTACTCTCACCGTATCTCAGTCTGCAGCTACTAACTCACTCAGCGTTATCTCTTACCCGCTTGCCATCGTCAATGTATTTGTCGCAGCAGGTCTCGCCTGGATCTACCTTCACAAGGAGCAGTACAACTGGAACCCGCCGATGAGAGCTACGCTGCCGGTCACCATCTTCTTCTTCCTCAGCAATGTCTACCTTGTAATTGCGCCGTTCATCCCCCCTAGCGATGGTAACAGCGTCTACGAGACTTTGCCGTACTACCTTCACTGCGTTGTTGGCTTTGGTATCATCGCCGCAGGTGGCGTCTATTGGGTAATCTGGGCGATCGTTTTGCCCAAGCTCGGAAATTACACTCTCCATCGTGAGGTTGTTGTTGACGACATTGACGGCTGGGAGAGACATGTTTTCAGAAAGGTACCAAACTAAGCATTTGTGCAGTACATGTAATCCGGAGATACCCTAGATGTTTAGTATATGATAATGACTTTCGTTTAACTTTGCCAATATGGAAGATGTGTAAGGCGTGACTTTGGTTGTAAAGGACTAGTGGCAGAACTCGTGTGGTATTTCATTCGATCGATTGGATATACATAGCTCGTAATAACGTAACGACAGGCATCTAGCAGACTTCTGCCATGTAGGTGATTCCTCATGCAGTTTAAAGAAGTCCTGCAAAGCCCATGGCTCCAGCCACGACAGCGGCGCCTGCACCCATGGCTTTTCCAGCCCCACCACTGAACTGAGTTGGCGTAGCAGTGGCGGAAGATGTACCTGGGCGGATCGTAGGTGTGGTTGTGGGTATAACAGCAGGCGTGCGAGTTGAGGATGAAGCCGCACTGGAAACGTCAAGCAATGACGTAGGGACCGGGGTCTCAGCAGGAAGGGTGGTGTCAGAGGCGGCAGCGGCAGAGGTGGGGACAGCGGTCTGTCGCACTAGAGAAACAGAGAGGGAGTATTGGACTGCGCAAGCGGCAGTATCTACTCGTTGTTAACACTGTATCAATATTAGGGCTCGGGAGAATGCCACATACCGATGCCATCAGGACAGCAGTAAGTGTCCCCAGCGCTGTCCGAAGTACAGTAGTACTCAGCATCGCAAGAGTTGCCAGAGCCATCGGGGCAACATTTCTGCAAGTGTCAGTCATCCTGTTCAGGTCTTCAATGCAGGATCAACATACGGAGCCGTCATCAGACTGGTGGCAGTAGAGCATAGAGGTGTCGGTTGAAGAACACTGTACGCTGTTGGCTCCACACGCCTCTGCACAGGTGTCTCCTCTGCCACAGTAGGTGGTGTCTGGGGTATAGCCCTGGCGTTTTAAGATTGTATCTCCACGCTTTAGCATCGCACCAAAGCTGTTGGCATTTGAGAATGCAGCCATGTCTGCCATGGCGGAGACAGCCATAAGGCCAAGGGTAACAAAGGGAGTACGCATGGCGAAGAAAGTAGTCAAAAGGGAGTATGTACAAAGTGTTGTTGCTTCACTCGATCTTCTGAATGGGAGAGACTGACTTTCTTGAAAATTGGGTGTCTGACTTCCAAAGGTGCAAGGCACAATTATATAAGAGGCTGCCTGTTATCTATCTGCAGCTATTCAGCTCTGACGAGGATCATTTCCAGAGACAGATTCTTCCCTGACCGGTGTCTTCTCAAGAGGCGTTTTCAGCCCCAGAGCAACGTGCCTAAAGGCAGTCTGTCGTCGCTCGTTGGTCCTCATGCGATGGGTAAGCGAGTCTACACTCCACAGCCGCCTTCGTACTTCGCGTTGCTAACCTTCAGACGAGTAGGCGCTTTTGGCGTGTAGTACCCGATGGCTTCTGACCAATTACCACACAGTTGCTAAAATACTGCCCGAAATATCGATGTGCGTACCTGCATTGGTAACAGCCACGTTTGATGAGTCCTGGGAGCTGAGGGTATCAGTGACAACCTAGAACGCCAGTAGTGCAGCCAGTCGGGAGCTTGCCGGAAGCTTGTCCTGCACGCAAGGCTCTTGACCGGTGACTCCAGCCTGAACACAGCCCCCAGTTTGTCTAGCGAGGTAGGTTACACTTGAATTACAACATTGACCTTTGCACGATTCGCAACGTCGGGCCTTTTGTATAGTCTACCTTTCGAAGATCGTGAGCGGTGTCGGTGAGCAGTGATGACCCAGGGGGTGAATTGGTGGTCGGGGAAAGCCCCCAAATTGAGTAATGCCGCTCGTTTCAGCCGCTAATTTTAAAGTCTTGGCAACGCGGGTCGGGAAAGCGCGACTTGGATCGGTGCACAACACCATTTGTCCACACTGAAGCCGTTGCGACCATCTCAGGAAGTCTCTGATGTATTGTCGTCTCTGCCTTGCAGCCTAGAGGGTAGCCCAGCCTGGTCGATGCCTCTGCCCAAGTCCCTCCGCCGCCCCATTCGTCGCACGTCCTCAGCGTCTTCTGCTGGAACGTCAAAGCGGAAGAAATGCCGCACGTGCAACCATCTCGACCCTCGGGGACATGCAAACACTACTGAAGACGCCGAAGCTCAAGGGGAGGCCAGAGCCAGCTTGAGCTTGGTCCTCGATGCACTGAATTTATCGAACGTCAAGCTCACATCAGGTAGTGGATGTCGATTTTGTCTTGTACTTGTCCAAGCGCTCGACGCATTTTTCGAGGGATGGCGAGGAGCGCGATGCAGAGTCAACGTAGACATTGAAGAAAAGAGAACAATCAAAATGAGCCTTGACGGGCCGCAGTGGGCCAATCAAGCGATTGAGATCTATGCTGGATCAGGTAGGCATCTGACCGCTGTCATTGTTACTTCACACGTTCGATCGAACAACATAGCATCTAAGACCGATCTCGTTCAGTGAGAGATCTGACACTACATAGCTGCACGCTCTCCGTGGCCTACTCTTGGGACAACACATCATATCCCAATCAATGCCGGCTCTGACGAATCCTTCAACTTCATTCGTCGTTGCATCCAGGGGTGCCTTGCGAACCCAAAGCATACACCATGCAAGATGACCTGCGAGCCGTCCACATCTGCTCCAAAACGTCTTATAGACGTGGGGCGGTCAACGATGCCCATTCGTATAGTAGAGACGCAAGAGAAAGTTTTGCAATACGTTGCTCTGTCACACTGCTGGGGCTCAGCAACCCCGCTGATGGCCACAAAGTCCTCCTGGGCCAAGCTCACTGTCAACATACCGTTTGGTGACTTGCCACCCTTATTCCAGGATGCAGTCATCATTACACGACAGCTCGGGTTGCGATACCTGTGGATTGATTCCCTATGTATCATCCAAGACTCTCTCAGAGACTGGGAAACGGAGGCTGCGAAGATGGCCAGCATCTACCAAAATAGCTATGTTACAATATCAGCCACCAACGCCAGTAATAACAGCATGAAGTGTCTATCGGACAGACCAAGACCAGTCCGAATTCTGTATGAAAACACAACGAAGAAGGAGTTTGTTCTGCGAGCGAGGATCTATTCGCATCACCATCCGGATGCTAATGGCAATCCTGCAAAGCCAACAGGTCCTTTGACGTCACGTGCCTGGGCTCTCCAGGAGCACGCACTGAGCACAAGAGTGTTACATTATACTGCTACCGAATTGATGTTCGAGTGCAGGACCTCTTACCGCTGCGAGTGCATGCCGGAGCGCAAGACACGGGCAACGACACCTGCACTCATTCCTAGAGCCGTCACAAGCAAGAATCCAAATGCTATATGGACCGCGTGGCACCGTATAGTGGAACAATACTCGAATCGAAAGCTCACCATGCCAGGTGATAAGCTTCCAGCTATATCTGGAATCGCAAGCAAGATCAGAAAGGCCACACATTCCGAGTACATTGCGGGTCTTTGGAAGAACAACCTAGCATTCGACCTGCTGTGGCAGAGAACAGATCCTGCGCCACTGGACAAAGATTCCCACGCACTTGAAACATGGCGCGCGCCGTCCTTCTCTTGGAGCTCGCTCAACGCGCCTGTCACATACCACACGCCAGATACCGACGAAGAGGAGACATGCTTATCTAATATAACTCTTGTCGCATACACTGCGATCCCAACTGGTCTCAATCTCTTGGGTACAGTATCCGACGCGTCTCTTACGCTCCGTGGGCCCACAGCAATGGTACCACTCTCGGGTAAATATGTCCGTGGGGCCTGGGAATACAGCCTCCTAATCAAGGGTACAAGTGTGATCCAGATTGCGCACGACTGTTGCCTCGTCAAGGCCCGGATCACGTCCGATGCCGACGAAGAGCAGTGGACAGTTCGGCGGGCACAGCCAAAGCAATCTCTGTCCGCCTTCGACTGCCCTGTACTTTGCTTGAGCGTAGCACATTATGGGAGCCTCATCTCAGGCATTGTGTTAGGACTCTCGGATCGGAGACACGGATCCTGGGAGCGGCTTGGTACGTTCGCAGCAGGAGCAGAGAGTTTGCGGCACACATCGGAACAGGAACTAATAATCGTATGATTCCACCAATTGTCCGCACGGTGTCACCAGGATACAGGACCGAACGTGAGGAGAATTAAACCCATGAGATGAATGCTACAAGTTTATCAGCTGTTTACCATGTAGCAATTAAGACAAACAGACTGCATGCGTATGAGAAAGAAAGGAGTGACACCATTAAATGAGTGCCTAGAAGCGCCCAAGCTCGGGTGATTTCCCACTAGCGCCATATGTTCGAAACAAACCAGCAGCATGAAGACACCCCTAATTCTCGCTTGGCTGCCCCAGGCCAACTTCCCGACTCGTCCACCATTCAGAGTTGCTGTTTGCCCTCGTATTGTAGATCCCAAATTCCCCGCTTCGAAATGCTCTGACTTGTTTCCGTATTGGCGGCCGTCACTCCCGCTCCTCAGTCATGGGCGTTAGTCCTGGCGCAAATGCGATGTTTCATGGCAGCAACGGTATAAACACGAGCGAATCCACGCTCACGACAATCTTTACCGCTTCACGATTCTGGAATATCGGTTCTTGTCACTCTTTTTCTGACTTTTGATCGCTGGTCGTTCGTTACTGTCATTCGTTTACTGCAATCATGCACTCCACATTCATTCTGTCCGTCCTTGCGACCGCCGTCTCGGCTCAACTTTCCACTATCGAGAAGCACGTTGGAAGCCTCGCCCTCTCCTCTTCCTTCTCACCCGTCAAGGAGTCTTACTGGACCGGCTTGCCCCACCATCGCCGTACTCCTTTCGCCGTCTCTCCTGATGGCAAGTCGGCGTACCTAGCCTACCTGGACGCCAGCGAGACTGGTGTTCACATCCAGCAGGTAGACCCCACAACCTTTGCTGCCGTTGGTACCGCTGTCACTGTTGCTGGTGGTAAGGAGGCCGGTGGTCTCGTTGCCCACAACGATGGATTCGCTCTTCTGACCAACGAGGCCCTGCCATCTGGTACCGCAAACGCACCCAAGGAGAACACTCCCGTCGCCGTGCTCTACCGTTACACCTCCGGCAAGCAGACCTTCAAGACCTTCATTGGTGGACCATCCAACCCCGGCGGCATGGGTATGATGGCTTCCCCCGACATCAACGGTGACCTTGCATACTCAGAGACCGCCAAGATGTACGGTGCGTACGTCGTAGTCACCGCTTACTCTGGTGATGCTGCAGGCCACTTCGGTGATGCTATTCAGTACGTTAACGACAAGGGAACACTCGAGCAGGTCCCAGGCGCTAGCTCCTCGTGGGGCTGCTCCCACAACACCGGTATTGCCTTCGAGGCTGCCGACTCCGCACCTTTCGCCTCCATCTGCTCGGAGGACCAGGGTGCTATCTGGCTCAACACTGGTACTTCCGGCATGGACAAGAGCGGAGTCAAGATCTCCAACGAGAACGTGACTAACGGTGCCGGTAACGAGGCCATGGGCGGAATGTCAGGCTCATACAGTGGCCTTGCTCGCTTCCAGGACAGCGATGGCTACATCTTCTCATGGGTCTCTCGTGGTGCCAAGGATCTGTCCATCAACGACTGGATGGGTGCCGGCTACACTCACTCTGTCAACCGTACCGTCAACCGCAACGTCGCCATCGCCACCATGAGCGACAAGAAGACTCTTGTCGGCGAGCAGGCCACCTCTGAGCTTGTTGCCGATGGTGACTCCCAAGTCGAATGGATCACCCAGGGCTCCGCTGACTGCTCCAACGCTCACGTTGCCACCTTCGACAAGACCAGCGCTCTCGTCACCTGGGAGGAGATCGCCGAGCCTACGTGCGAGTTCATCGCCATGGGCTGCAAGGGTGCATACACCGGCTCCTACTTCCAGCTTGTCACCAACGGCAAGAAGGTTGGTACTCCCGTCAAGGCTACTGATGTCTACGTTGCCGGTGACATGGTTACCATGGCTGATGGCCGCATCTGCTGGCCTTACGTTGATATGAAGTGGACTCTCGATGCCCCCGTTCGCAGCCCAGCTAGCGTCAAGGCTATCTCCTTCGCCTGCATGAGCAATGGTGGCAGCGCTGCCGCTCCCGCTGCTTCGGCTGCTGGTTCCGCGGCCGCTTCTGCCCCTGCTGCTGCCGCTCCTGTTGCTTCCGCCCCTGCTGCTTCCGCCCCTGCTGCTTCCGCCCCTGCTACTTCAGCTCCCGCTGCTTCAACTCCCGCTGTTTCGACTCGTCCTGCTTCAACCCGTGCTTCCTCGACCCGTCGTGCTTCCTCGACCCGCCGTGCTTCCTCGACCCGTACTCGTCGCCCCACCAGGTCTACCGCCGCCGCCGTTGAATCCGTTGCCGAGAACGCCGAGAGCTCCGGGTACCCTACTGAGATCCCATCTTCCGCCCCGGTAGTACCAGCTGACTCTGCTCTGCCCACCTTCGAGGTTGTTACATCCGGTGCCACCATCACCCCTCCCTCCACCTCAGCAACCGCCCTTCCCGACTCCGCCTATGGCATGTACACTGCCTCCATCCCTACCGAGATCAGCTCCCAGGTTCCCGCCGCCAGCACTGGTGTAGACCAGCCCGCTCCTTCGTCCACCTTCACACTCCCAGCGTCTGAGTCATTCGACCCCACCACCGCACCTGCCTTCACATCAAGCACTGATATCCCCAACCCCACCATCGGCCCCGAGTCTTCCAGCACTCCTTGCACCGCCGAGGTTCCCCCCACCGAGACTCCTGAGGCTTCCGAGGTCCCCGAGGTCCCTGAGGTTCCTGCTGTCCCCACACCCTACCCCGAGAGCGAAGCCCCCGCTGCCACTCCCCTTCCCACTGAGGCTCCCTCTACTGAGACCCCCGACGAGGAGGACTGCGACGAGGAGCCCGAGGCCACAGCAACAGGCGCGGCCGTACCCCCCGCTCCTGTCTCGCCCACTGGTACTGGCTCTCCCTCGCGTGGCTCTGGCCGCCCCTACCCTACCGGCCAGTGGCAGCACGGTGGCCGCCCCGGCTCCGGCCGTCCCCGCCCCTCCGGTTGGGGAGTGTGGCCCAGCCGCGGTCACGGAAGGCCCACTGGCCGCCCCGGCGCGTTCGAGAAGTACGACTTCGAGATGGGCAAGCCTACGAGCACTCCCTGCAGCACCCTTGAGACCCGTGTCAAGCCCACTGCCACCGGCGCTGCCTACTAAGCGTTGGCTAGCAGGAATGGGAGACATGCCACCCGCAAAGACGTGCGGGCCGGGCCCGTGAAACGTATCGCAATTGCAAATGTGCGTTTCTGTTCAGAGTTAGCTTCTTGTAGATATCTTCCAAAATCCAACAAGTGACTGCATGCCGCCTGTCAGCAGTTAACAAGTATGTGTACATCCTCCTTTTACAAATAATGTTCGTGATGTCTGAGATAGCCTTAACGGTTGGCATGTAGCGCTTTTGCAGGACAATCAAGGGAACATAACTTGTAGGACCCGTCTTTGGCATCACCGACGGTCAGCATATGCTGACATCCCTCAATCCTTGCTTGTGTCGCTTAGGAGTATGATCGTGTCGTAAGGCGTGAAGGACTGCGCGGTGGCTCTTTAACTTCATGCTACATGAAATCTTTACTGCTCAACTGAGAGTGCTGTGCGCCTGATATAATAATTATATGTGAGTTATCTGGCGCTTGGTGAGTATTTGTACGCGTCCGTGGTCACGCAGCCCTTGGTAGAGCATGAGGCGAGGAGATATGTCGACGGCCCTAGACATATAAGCTTTCCTTGTTGTCGTCATAATTCATCAAGATCTTGGTCCGCCTGACAAATGCTGTCGATGATGGTGACAATAAATTGTGTATGTCGGACAAAATCATTCCCGACCCAGACGCGAAGTATATGTACTCGCTAGAAGCATATTGCTTTTGATGTGTATTCCCAAAGACCTTGAACGCCTTGCTTACCCAAACATTACATCCACGAGCTCACTCTAAACCCAAGGCTGCTGTCTGTTTGTGCTCTTTGGACTGCTCACGGAGTGCGCATGTCCAGTCCTCGCCAACAGCTCCGCGTCCGAAGCCATATGATCCCGTGATGTTCTTTGGGGCTCCTGCGAAGACCGGTACTCGTGTGAGTATTGGGTCTGTGTATTAGTTTGCCCGGGCAGGTGCTCGAAATCATGTTGGTGATCATCTCCGTGGTGGTGCTGAGAGCGATGGTACTCATCACCTGAGCTTCGCCTGCCATCTCGCGAGTCCGACGATTGGTGGTACGATGAGGATAATGCCCTGTCGATGGCGCCAAACGCGCTCTCTTTGTCCTTGTCTGAATGCGATGAACTGCTGGCAACACGAACTGCTTCTTGTGCAGCGATAGCGGCAACGTTTGGTCGTTCGACTTCTCCAGCTGTCTCTGGGTTGGTAGGTGGTTTGAACAAAGCGTCCTAATTATGTGTCAGTGGGGTTCTAGAGCAGGCATAATGTATAACCTACCTCGTGGTCATCGAAGTCTTGGCCAGGGTTGACAGTTTGGTACTCGACCATCTTGATGATCTTATAGACACCAAATGCCAACAGCGTACCCATAAGTGGGCCGAACCAATAGATGTAGTGATATCCTGGGAAGTTACGTGTGACTACGCAAGGTCCGAAGCTCCTGGTGGGGTTCAAACTGCCGCCAGTGTAGAAGACACCCACCAGCTCGGCAACGAACAGCGCAAGTCCAATACCGATGGGGGCAAGAAAGGTAGCTTTATGCTTCTCAGCCGCAAGCATGAAAATTGTGATGATGAGCAGAGAGGTAAGAAACATCTCCATGAAGACACCCTGTGCGATAGACACACCAGAACCCAGGGTAGTCGAGACGTTCAAGTCACCGGGGAACATAGCAGAGACAACAGCTGCAGCGCAAATGCCTGCCAGCATCTGCGAGACGAAGCAGAGAATGGCTCGGACGGTGGTAAGAGCACCGATGAGGTAGAGACCCAGCGTGACCTAAAGTTGCGATCAGCATTCCATGCGTGAGTTAGATCAAGCAAAGGCGACTAACAGCTGGGTTGAACAGTCCACCACTGACTCGAAAAAACACCCAAACATTGACCATCAAGCTGAAGCCGAAGATCAGACTGATGTACAGAAGCACACTCGTGTTTGGTGTCTGGGTGATGCTGTTGCCGTTTTGCTGATCTGTTGTTGGCGTATCACTGTAGAGGGCGGCAGTGTTGGCAACCTGAGTTCCGCCAAATGCAAAGAAGAGGAATAAGAAGGTACCACAAAACTCGGCTGTCATAGCGACAAGCTCATTTCGCCATTTGCTGGTGAAGCGTCCCTGTCGCCTTTTCCTGGTGGACTCTTTCTGATTGATGTGTCCGTTGGCCCGCTGACGTTTCTCATGGTGATGTTGTGCACTCGGTTCTTCTCCGTCTTTCTTGTGAAGCGGCAAGATGTTCTTGAGAGCCATGTTGGCTAGTCTCGTACAGGATCGGAGATTCAAGTTGGAAACGCAAGAGTGCGGTTTCTCTGGTCTCGAACAGACGTGAAGAGAAAGTGGATGTTATTCAGTAACCTCGTCGGTAGGCTAGGGGGTAATACGGTGATCTTCAAGTGCTGAAGCGATGAGTGACGTCTGTCTCAGACAAAGACGCCCCGACGCCAGTGGCGCTCATCGCACCCATCGACGGGCACTAGCGACTGGCGTCACCGCGAACATTCTCCATGCGCGCCATCTCCTCCCCAGCTTCCGGATCCAGGAATGTTCAAGCTTTCATGATGCAAGTCTTCCGCTTAACCCGAGAGCTGTTTTTTGAATGTTGTTGCACTATGTACCAAAACAGCTTCGGACCAGTAGCACCGCGAAGCACGCAGGAGCGGTCGGCGACGTGATATGCATGTGCTCGTTAAACACTGACATGCATGACGGCGACTGGATGCTGCTCTGAAAGTAGGGTGTGCTGTGCCGTCGAAGGATGATCGGTGCAGGGAAAGGGCAAGTGGGGCCATCTCTAGCGCGCACCATCAGCCTCAGCAGGGTGAGGTCATCATTTCGAATTGACGTCTTCCGCGGCCAGCGAGGACGTGTACGCGTTTTCGAGTTCACAGCTCATATCTTGATGGACTGAAATTAAAAGACATGCAGTTGCTCGATTGCGGCCCTGGGGTACTATCGGTTCTCTATCTGTGCACCTTCAATCTGAGGTCCACTGTCATCACGCTTCCAACGCGCTGGATATGTTATGCCCGTTTTGAGAATGTCAGTTTGCTCAAAACCGTTAGTCCCTCTGCTAAAAGCCGCTCAAGCATCGGATAGACCGTAATCCATCGTTGAATGCGGATCGCGCCCTCAACCATCGCCAGTTTCATGTCCGGCTGGCTTGCGTGCGAGACTAGCGTAGCGTGGCGCTAGATATTTGGAGATCAATCCATTGATGCAAAATCGAGAGTCATGTGAAAGTATATCACGTGTGATATCAACCTCAGCCTTTACCACAGAGGCATAGCTTCATCTCTCCACCCCTTAACAGTCCACTTCGCACGTCTCCCAATCTTGCTTCTGTCTTGTATACCAGGAACCAGGCCAGGCAATGAGCGACCAATATGGCGAAAGCGAAGATGAAAAGAATGAGCCCCATGGTGACTAGTAACGCGTGCCAGGGAATGCTGAATGTGAATGCTTTTCTGGGAGCTCCGAGAGTCTCGGTGTGGGCTTTCTTCTTGATGCTCTCAGTATCTTCTGACGGGACAGACTTTGGCAAGTCTCGGTCAACGGCCTTGTGAGTCTCGTTGCTAGCAGCGAGTGGACTGCTTGGTGAGTGCGATCGGGAGGCATCGGAGTGAGCATGTCTACAATGCCTTTGGTGACACCCGGGGGGACGTACAATCCTGGCGGCTGGTGCTACAGTTCTGGTGGTCGATTCGTGTGGTGAATGGCACATCGAATGCAACGGTGATCCATCGAGTGGCGACGGCAGCGACTCTGCGTCTGTAATTTGCGGTGGTATATCCCGAGCTGCTGGATATCTTGGCTGACGGGCTTGAAGTGGTATTTGGCTTTGCCTGCCATGTGCTTGTGGTAGGCTCAATGTTGGCAGCTGCCGATGCAATGGCTCTCGTGGTATCCGTAGCGGCTCTGAGGGTCCTTCTGAACATCGTTCATACTCACCTGCGTGGCATATCTCGGGAGAAGGATCTGGTGGGAAGAGTCTTGTTGCAAGACCTCGTGCTTCTAAGTCTCGACCTCTCATGCGATGTGGCGAGGTGCTCGTACCAGATCGTCGCCCTCCTCGATTGTTCATAACAGCTTCGGATGCTGGAAGAAATCTCTTGAACGGTGGTTCCCAGGGCTTTTTGCCCTCCCTCGCTTTTCTCAACCTGTTTCCCTCTTGAGGCGAGGCCCCGCCGTCTGCACACGCGTCTCCTTGGAAGATGACAACGCCCGGGTATCTTTGTCGCCCAGTGGCCTTCCGTGCAAGCTGTTCAGAACAGGCTTGCTCCTGCTCTGGCCTTGCGCTTTTGATGACAATATTGGCCTCGGGATAGGGTCTTGCGCTCCGTCGTAGTGCCTTTCTTGGTGGTGATAGTGATCGTCGTCGTAGTACCGCGGGTCGTGTTTCTGCCTCATTCTCAGCTCGAAGGTCCTTGACAATGTTGAAGCGGGGCAACTGTACGAAAACGATAGGTAGACACACAGCTAGTAAACAGGAGATGAGGAGGACGTGCCCTGCCATTAGTTGGGGGCTGTGGTGGTGACAGCTCGAATGCTATGGATACTGCGTTGACGCGATTGGTATCCAGGTAGGTACAACTAGGTGTTGATAGGTGAAATAGTAGATAGAATACTGGAGGTAGATCGTGCGGTGCGGTTGGCGATCTCTGCTCGATAGGAAAAGCCGTGGGAGCCGTACCTTCTTAAACGAGCGCTCTTAGCTAGCTCTACGGCGCCCGCAAGGCGGTTGAAACAGCTCATGTTCTTGCAGACATGAGCTGTGCCAGTATAATCGGGTATCATTGCTTGTCGTATGTTTCGCAGGCTATGCATGCGCAGCTGACTATGATTTACAACACAGAGTTCCGCCGTGCTTCACTCCTCCATCTCTTCGTCCTCGTCTTCAACTTCCGCCGTATCGCCCTCGTCGTAGCCACCTTCACCACCCTCATCCTCTGACTCTGATCCTTCGCCCTCGCTCTCCCCCTCACTACCCGGATCGAAATCATCATCTTCTTCCTCGTCATCTTCTTGGTCCTGAAGCTCGCGCTCTGCTTTCTGTAGTTCTGACTCTTCCTCCTCGACTTGTGCATCTGCCACAACCGCTCCGTTTTGTTTGCCTTTATCAGCAGGCGGGTTGACGTTGAGCTTCTTTGCACGTCTCGCCGCCGCCATGCTGGCATCTTGCAGCCCATGTTTCTGCACGTACTCATTTATGCCTGCGAAGTTCTCCTGATCGAGCATGCTGAACTCAATCTCTTGTGTTTGTGTGGTGATAACGAGGTTGAACGTATTGCGGAGGACGGCAGTGTAGGATATGCTGTTTATCGCGGCGAAATCGAAAAAGGCGAGAGGCTTCTTGAAGCCGTACATGATGCCAACAGACGTGAAGAACAGGTAGCCTAGCTCAAGTATTAGTAGCGATCTTGGTAGTGTGAGGAGGCCCGATGTACCTTCTTTGCTTCCCCTATGTGCCTTCACGTGGTAAGCCTTCTCGCCCTTCCGATGGCTCTCGGGAATGGCACTGGCAAATTCGTCTGCGTCAGGGAACACAACCTGCTTCCCAGTGCCTGCCTGAATCAGGCAGTGATGTATTGCCTCTGCCATAGGTCCTGGCCCTGGATCTTCGCCTTCAACAATGTTCTTCCCTGTTGCCTCCTCGAATGTCCATATGATAGGCTCTGGCGCTGATCCTTTCAGCTCTTCGGGTACAGGGTTGACGCCGTCGCCATGCACTGGCACGATGATGAAGTTGTGCTGTTTCTTGGCCTTTTCTGGCACAGGTAGACAAAACACCTGGTCTACATCCTTCCAGGCCAACGCAAACTCGGTGGTGCCTGTAGCACCAATGGCCCTTATCCCGCCGTCCTTCTTGTCGATCAGTTCGAGTGTGAACTTCTTGCGCTGTGGCATCGAGAAGCTGACACCAGCATATGACTTGAATGCCTTCCTTGAAGCGCTTGCTAGATCACTTGCTGCCGTACTAGCTGGGGCTGCTGCTTTTCCGACATTGGGCGCACCGTTACTGTCGTCCAACCTGCGCTTCTTCGTTGTAGGCTCGGCGGTCGGCGATAAAGCCTGATTTAAGATGAACGTCGATATATCGCGAAAAAGCGTGCGCTGCGAGGGATTCTGATCTATGGCGGCGTGTACACGCTTTCGCAATTCGTGATTGCCTGCGAATGCGGTGTCGATCTCTTGTGGATACTGGATGGGTACAATTGGCGCCTGAACGGGCTTTGGGACCGGCGCCTGCACCGGTGGCGGCTGTACTGGGGCCTGGTTGTTGAGAGCTGTGAACGCCATTGTCGTTTGTTTGGTTGTTGGTGTTGCAGACGCGCCGCGGTTGAGCGCGACGCCACCTAAAATTGACTTTGCTGACATCACACAGTGACAACGATCGACCGTTGCTCTATCGCCAACGCAGCTTCAGTATATCACATCTGAACAGTCTTTATCATTGCACAAAGTAAATAGCATCATAACGTCTTTTAAATTTTCAATCATCATTATCTATTCACAAGCACCTTTTCCAGATGACTCTAGGCCCTGTAACGGCTAGGAACAGCAGCCTTCAGCAGCTTGCCAAAGTCAGGCGTTCCGAGACCTGATACCGGGTCCCATCCAGCGGTGGCGTTCCAGCTGGCATACGGGATGACGGGGCTGCCGTTGGGCGCACCGTGGAACCTGGCGTGACCATCACAACCCGTGCTTCCACCAAGGACAACGTCGTTGAGAGCATTGGGGTTAGAGTACAGCAGAGGGTTCAAAAAGCCCAAGGAAGGCTTCTTAGCCCTGAGGCGAGCATCGTTGAGAAGCGCGACAATACCACCGAAGGCAGGCGCAGAGCAAGACGTGCCCTGGTACCCCTTCAATACGCCCTTGTCGTAGACACGGTAGCCGACACCTTGAGCCGAGATATCAGGGAAGCCACGACCGTGACGGTTGAAGTAAGGCTTGTTCTTCTCGCCGAGAACGTGGAAGTAAGCCTTGATGGCATCGTCCTGGTATGAAGGACGCTTCCAGTAGTTGGAGAAACCACCAGATGAGAAGAAAGTAGCAGTCTCGTTGAGGTATCGAGTGGATCCCACCGAAGTCACCCAAGGGCAACTTGCAGGGTATTGAGGCTGGAACATAGTCGTGTTCTTTCCGTCGTTGCTCAGGCAGGCAGAACCAACACCCGAGTCACCCGAAGAGAAGATAACACTGACACCACGGGAGCTAAGCTGGGCGAAGAGGTTGCACACGGACAGAGCGTACGACTTGGGGACACTCTGCTCGTTCTCGCCGTATGAGGTAGAGATAACCTGGGGAAGATCGCTCTGCGGCATCTTCAAGACGTTCTGGAGGAATTCGAGGTAGGGCTCGTTGGCGCTGTCAGCCTCATCAGGCTGGTCAAGGTCAGAAACCCAGGGACCACGACCACCCGTGCTGAACTCAGTGACAGGGAGAGGCTGAGCAAGACCGAGCATGTACTGTGCGTCCAGGTTGGCCTCACCGCTGTCCTCCGAGGAGTTCTGGTCATTTAGACCGCCACGGTACTGAATAACGGAGAAGTTCTGGCCAACCGCTTCTGGGAGAATGTTCTTCTCAAAAAGAGCCATGTCGCTGTAGCGAGCGTACTGCTCAAGGTATGAAGCGAAGGCAGCCTTACTACCACTCTTAGGGTCGGCTTTGTAGTCGATCTTGTAGAGCTGCTTCAAGCATTCAGGGGTGATTGCAGTATCGCAGTTAACGGCAAGGCCCGCGCCAGCAGCGAGGTCGATACGCTGGAGACCGAAGATCTCCTTCTCGGTCTCATGTTCCGCGCGGATGGCAGCAAAGCGTGTGGTAGGCTGCACAAGGTTGATGTGGGCAGCGATGTCTTCAGGCACAGAGTACTCGAGGGCGCGTAGAACCTTACGCGGCTTCGCTTCCTCAGAAACGTACCAAGCGAATTTAGTGTCGAGCATTTTATTGGCGACGCCAACGGTGGTCTTGATCGTCAACCAGTCTGCGTCCTGCTCGACGTCTTCTACGCCAGCAGTCTTGAGCCAAGCAGCCACGGACGAAGACGCCTCTTCAGTTGGAAGAAGCATCCTCTTCATCTCGTCGTGCGACTCGAAGTGCTGTCCGTACTTCTTGCTGCTGGGTGTAGACACATCCATGACGTGCTGCTCGAATGCTTCAGCATCCCCTTGCTGCAGAGCGATCTGCAGCCTGAGAACCTGCGACTCGGCAGCAGGACCTGCGGATTTCCATCCTGAGAACCTTGTCAGTACACGTGATTGGACGTGAAGGGTGGAAACTACATACCCTCAGGAACAGCGAAGAGCTTCTCGAAGGGGTCTGCAAGACCCCTTGCAGCCAACAAGGAGCCGATGAGGAAGCTGAGGACTGGTGCCATTTCTACTACTGGTGTGATTGACTTGGACAGGAGCAGTGGCTTTCAAAAACAGCACCGTCTACCCTTAAGTACTCATGGCGGTAGCAACCCGTGCCTGCATCTCGTCTCTCAACTGCCTTCTCAGGTTAGCTTTGCAGCCTGTCATGCACGGTGCCAATACCTGCGCGGAATCCAAGCAAAGACAAGCCTCTCATCATGGGTCTTGACGAAGCTTGGATAATTCCACCCTCCTGCCAATCTGAGTACTAGCGTCAGATAAAGATCCAGGCGTACCTGCCGCTCGCTGCCTCCCAGGTGTTAGTCCACATGCGGAGTGGAGATAAGTTGACTGTAGAGGCATATGATTCGCGGTACAGGTGCGGCTCTGCCGGAGTGTCGATGCTAGGTGCTGCCGAGGCAATTTGCACACTCGAGCACCTTCCAGGAAGGGAACGCGATCGTGCTTCGTACAGCCAATAATGTGTGACTCTCGGAATTACCACCATACGGGTATGCATGAAAGGTCTGCGTAAATCAAGTTAAATGACGGCTACAGAACTGCGCAGCCAGAGGCTAAATGGATACTTTAGATCATACCAGCCTCACCGAATGATGTCTCTTGTTCTTGGTGCAGTGAGTACCTAAACACTCTTGTCTCAAAGCAGCCTAGTTTTGTCAGTTGTAGCCGCGCTATATGTCTGTGGGATTCATTTAGTCATTTAGCGTTGTCGCCCCACGTTCTGCTGTAAACAACGAGCTTTGGAAACACTGAGATATGCAGGATATGCACTGAGCTCTGAATTTGCTTGGTAAGTGTTTCCCGTCTTCAGTAGGATATAACAGAGAGTCACCAGGTCAGAGCTTAGAGAGAACGAACAGTACGGTCCTCATGGCTTTCCAAGACAAGAGTTCGCACACTGCTGGAGCTGCTGGAGCTGATCTGAGTTTTGGATCATAGCCCATACTCTGGCGAGATCAGAATGATCGCAGAAGGGATACATATTCGTACTCTCGCTATCTAGTTGGGTACCGTTGGACCTCACGCACGCTAGCACAAGGAGCTCATCAGACGCATCGGGAGCGCACAACTGTCCCCACGAATACCACATGCCGATTCTCACCAAATTTACCATGAAGGATACCACAGATAGATATGCAGTTCATCGATGACCGACCATCAGCAGCGACTCGGATTCGGGTGCACGAACACGTGCGAGTCATGGTTTGTATGTACCAGATTTGCACCGGCCTTGAATCGTCGCCTGTACGAGGTACAGAAGACCCAACATCCCGATCGTGGCAAGGATACAGTCAACGATCCCACCGGATTTAGTAAATAAGGCGATCGCGCTCTTATTCTCATCATGGTGATCGACGGATCGCCCATGTTGGTTTGAGGTGTTGGCAGCATGGTGCAACTGAAGCTGTCTGCGTCACACCATGTCCAGACAGCAAGGTCTAAGCATGTCACCACACATGTCAACACCAGACCCAGAAACAACCGTTGATTGCTATAGATTACTATGCCGAGCGGAATTGCGTTCGCCGTCTCTGCTGTTGTGCTGCTCTGGGGCTGATATAGGTCGTACTGTCGTCACGGAGACTACTGAACATGCCACTATCGAGAACTCTGTGACAACGCCGAAGCAGGGCCTGTTAGTTCCGCTTGCATATTCTTTGCCCTAGACTAAGGTTCCGCTCACGGGCCCTGCCACATTCGACCATCAATTAAGCTCAGTTTTGCAACGACGGCTACGCCCCAAGCCGCGACTCATGAAGAAACATCGGTTTTATAGTTCAAAGGTGCACCTTGCTTTTCAGTGTGCTGAAACATTACATCACTGCTGCGTGTATGTGCGACTTCTGGTAGAAAACTCTCGACGAGTACTCTATGTAATGCCACCGAGCTGCACTCCGGTTGCATTCCATAGGTAGGCTCGGATGACGCACTAGGTGCATATCTATACATGACAACTCCGACCATGGCAACGGAAATTCAAACCCCGCATATGTTTTTAGAAGAGAAAATTGTCATTGAACCTGACCTTGGAGACCAACGACGCTCGAACTACAAGGCGCTGCCTGCACCACCAAAGACGCCAAGGCGGGTCATGATGAAGTACAGGTTCTCGGGAGTATTCCCGCTCGTTCTGTCGCTTGTAGCCTTTGTGCTTACGTTGGTGGTGGTGTTGGCTGGGCGGGACGTGGGCGTTTTGGAGGGGCAGTACCTCGTCGTTGTACGTTTGTCACAGACTACCAAGGAGCGGAAGCTGACAAACGGCAGATCAATGCCTCTCATGTTGGTCAGAATATAATCACTTTCGAAAGGGCGACTACGACACAGGCAGCTCCAGCAGCTACGTCGTCCACTACGCCAAGCCCGCTAGATGCACTCAACCCGTTCTCCACGAACAGTCCACTCAACCCAGCGAATCCAGCCAACCCTCTCAATGGGCTGGGCGATATGCTAGGTGACCTCTCTGGTAACCTCACCGATGCCGTGAATGACGGCCTCGGTGATGTGGTCAATGGCGTAGTGGAGGGAGTTGTCAGCCAGATGGGCGTCAAGGACTTCTACTATGTCTACCTTCAGCAAATCTGCTCTGGCGAGCTCGCTGTTCCAGACGAAAGCAATGCAGACGGAGCCAAAGTGGGTGAATGCAGCAGCTGGGAAGACGCCAAACAGAGTGAGAAAATGTGCATCCAGATGATGTCGAGCCGGACTGACCGTTCTAGGCATGTCCAATCTAGGCAGGAGCGTTAGCTCGTCGCTCGTCGTTGGGCAGACGCAAGTATCGGTGCCGCTGATTGCCAAAATGCTCTCTTCCTTCGATGACACCCTCGACAAATTAGATGCAGCTCGCAAAGCTGCGTTCGCGTTCCTCGTCATCAGCATGGTTGGATCGATGCTGTCGGTTTTAACCGCCCTTCCAGCCATGTATTTCCCGCAGTCGCGGCTACTTATCTACTTCAGCATGTTCTGGTCCGGACTAGCTGTCACATTTGCATTCTCGGCGGCCCTGTTGTTGTCCGTGGTGAGTGCGCTGGTCGACCTAGTCAATGACTTCAGCGGTGCGATAGGAATGCCAATGAGAAAAGGAAGCATGGTGCTGCTGCTACTGTGGTTGAGTGCCGTATTTCTGGGCTTGGTGACGCTCTATTGGAGCAGCGTGTGGTTTGTGGAGACGAGAAAGTCGAGCTTCGTCAAGCGCCAGCGTGACGAAGATGAGATGGGACACTGGAGAGGCATTGGCAGGGAGGTGTGGCGCGATGTCAAAGGGCGGCGGAAGAGGCTTATCATACGATCTGATATATGAGGCGAGCCATGCAATTGATGACTATTGCGTTCAACGGTCGTCAAGTGTGGCCAGCTTCAACGCGCACGTGACGAGTAGTTTGACGGTCTGCCACGGCCCCTGAGCGGTGGCGGGTGGCGTTACCCTGAACCCACCAACACGGCACTTTCCCCACAGGGCTAGGACGCCGCTGCGCCCTCGCCGACAATTTGGTACCTATTCAACATGGCCTCGTTTGCTCGCTGACTGCCGACACACTCGTTCCATTGCTAGTCGCCAGCTCTGTTTTTGCAATTGCATCATGCGTGCCTCGACCGCTACGGCCACGGTGCCGCCCCGCCAGCCCGCCAGCCGCAGCTTCACTGTCACGGCGGAGAAGCAGCAGGCGCAAGCCGCCCACGACCACGAGGACTTCTTCTGGACGTACACTGAGGAGCCGCACCGCACCCGCCGTATGGCCATCATCAAGGCGCACCCCGAGGTACTGCAGCTCACGTCCACGTGCATTGATGCCATTGCTCACTCCGCCAGGTCACTAAGCTCTGCGGCCCCGAGCCCCTCACCAAATGGGTTGTCCTGCTCGTTGTCTCGATCCAGGTCGCCTGCGCCTACTCCCTCCGCAACACGCCCTTCCTGTCGTGGCCTTTCTTCCTGACGGCCTACGTCGTCGGCGCCACCGCCAACCAGAACTTGTTTCTCGCCATCCACGAGATCTCGCACAACCTGGCCTTCCGCTCGCCGCTGGCCAACCGCGTTATCGCCGTCTTCGCCAACCTGCCTATCGGCATCCCTTACAGCGCCTCGTTTCGCCCGTATCATCTGACCCACCACAAGTCGCTCGGCGTGAATGGGCTCGACACCGACCTGCCCACCGCCTTTGAAGCGTGGTTTCTCGACTCGGTCGCTGGCAAGGCCTTCTTCTGCACATGTCAGATCCTTTTCTATGCTCTGCGGCCCATGTTCATCTACAACCTGCCGCTCACCAAGATCCACTTGTTCAATATCGTTGTCCAGCTCGCTTTTGACTATGCGCTGGTGCAGTTCGCAGGCGCAAAGTCACTGGCCTACCTGATCCTGAGCAGCTTCCTCGCTGGTTCGCTCCACCCCTGCGCCGGCCATTTCATCGCCGAGCACTATGTCTTCGAGAAGCCTGAAAAGGACGCCTCGAACCCCGCCAATAAGATCCCAATTCCGGAGACGTACTCGTACTACGGCATTCTCAACCACCTCACCTACAACGTCGGCTTGCACAACGAGCACCACGACTTCCCCGCAATCCCGTGGACCCGCCTCCCCAAGCTCAACCGCATCGCGCACGAGTTCTACGACGAGCTTCCAGTACACAAGAGCTGGGTATACGTCATGTGGCAGTTTGTAATGGACAAGGACATCAGTCTGTGGTGTCGCGTGAAGCGCGAGGAGGGTGGACGCAAGGTTGGTGCCGGCAGTGGCTGGAGCGAGGAAGAGCTCGGCAACAACGAGAAGAAGGGACGCATTCCGGGCGTCTTCTGATGACTTGAGTATAGACAATTGCATAGAGCGGCGTTCTAGCGGTATATGATATGGGTTTCACGATCGATTCGACTCATTCCCCGCTGCGTGACAGCACAACTTGTGACGCCCAACCTCATTTCCTGCACTACCTACACGCCCGAGATGCGGACATACCTTCATGCGCTGCATGGGTAATCATGCTCTCACCGCACCTTTCCGCACCGCCTGCCTGCGCCCGACAAGGCATAATACGTACCACAACAATAATGTGGAACACAATACGATATACGCTGAATAGTGCTCAATAGGTACTCGACGCCGAAGCGTCTGGGTGCAGCTCCGACTGAACTTATGCACAATGTCATCGGCAGTCCATTTTGGATTATTGAGAAGACGTTTGGTAGCAGGTAGTACCGAGGACTCCGGATCTGCATGGATCTACACAGGCCATCCAGCCGTCTTTGATTATCGAAAAGGAATTCCGTGTCTTGGTAGGAGACATTGAAAACTCAATGGCGCCACAACAAATCAGATTTCGTCCGTGGCACTGGCGCGGAAACGGGGCTTACGACCTCATGCCAATTAACTTTGGTGTCGGGCCTTCGCGCAGAGAGTGCTTGAGCGGTATTGCAATTCGCTTGAATGTGATCTGCAGCACTGGATTGCGGCCTCAGTGTGAGAGAGTACTTAGTGCTGACCTGGATAGGTCCGTGGCGTTGTTTTCGTGGCAACGAGCTGCACAGCTGATCACGGTTGGGTGGGGTCCGAAATGACGCTTTTCCCCGCTTCACCAGAGGCTTGGATTTTGTTCCGATATGTCCGTGGTGATATATATATCGTTTGATGAGAGAAGGACTGTGCTGAGTTGTGAAGCTTTATTGTAAGTGTTCTGTTGAGTGACGAGGTTCTATCTTGAATTTGGGTACAGTTCAAGAGCAATAGCCTTCGTGGAGAAGAGTGACCCAAGCAAACTATTTAGATACTCTTCACTGCCGCCACATCTCGTTCGTACAGAGCTGTATAGCCATGCGTCCCTTCACATCAACTGCCGCTGTGGCGGCGATCACCTTTTCCTTCGTTTTCGCCTCCCCTTCCCCTGATTCTTCTAGCAAACGCTACAACCTAAACCCTAACCGCTACAAACCCGAATGCATCATCAACACCGACGTTGTGGTTATTGGTGGAGGCGGCGTCGGAACCTACGCTGCGATTCAACTCAAAGACCAGGGCAAGAAGATCGTGCTCATCGAGAGTAAAGCTCGACTGGGCGGGCATACTGAGACCTACATCGATCCGGAATCCGGCAGTCCGATTGACATGGGAGTGAAGCTCTATCACGACGAACCCATCGTATACGATTGGTTTGAGCGCTTCAATCTCTCCACCACCAGATTTGACTTCGCCGCTCCTGCTCCTGGCGCTGCGTCTCAGAACGTCGACTTTCGGACGGGTCAGATTTTGGAGGGCTTGCCGAATGCTAACCAGACAGCTTTGGCGGGAGCTCTGCAGCGATATGCTGCTGTGATCCAGCAGTATTCTCAGTTGAACGGCGGTTTTTACCTTCCCGACCCGGTCCCTGAGGATTTATACATGCCCTTCGGCCAGTTCGTGCAGAAGTATGATATCGCCGATGCTGTTCAAACCATCTTTGGACTCACTTCCGCCTTCGGGGACATACTCGAGCTCCCCACGCTGCAGATAATCCGCACTATGTCGCTCAGTCTTCTTGCGACCACCAACAACTTCCAAACCAGCTCAGTGATGAACAACAGTCTTCTCTTCGAGAGAGCCACCAACGAACTTCTCGCAGCTCAATCACTCCTTCTTTCCTCAAACGTGCTCGCCACAGAACGCATCAGCGCGTCCGGCTCCGTCAAGGTCCTCGTCTCCACTCCCAAAGGCCGCACTCTCATCCTCGCCAGAAAACTGCTCATAACCATTCCCCCCACCCCAGCCGCTCTCAAAAACCTCGACACCGATCGCAACGAACTGAGCCTCTTCAGCCAACTCACAGCCGTCGGCTACTACACCTCCATCATCCGCAACGCGGCTCCCGCCAACACCACGCTCCAAAACCTCGCCCTCGACCAACCCTACGCCCTTCCCCCAATGCCCGCAATCTACAACGTAAATGCCATCCCCGCCAACCCCTCCCTCAGCCTCGTCTTCTACGGCACACCCGTCGGCTCCTCGCCCTCGGACGCCGAAGCCCAGGCCGCCATCCTCGCCGCCCTCAAGCGCTACCAAGCCGCCAACGGTCTGCCGCCCTCGGAACCCGAGTTCGTAGCTTTCAGCAACCACAGCCCGTACAACATGATGGTCGGCGCGCAGGCAACGCGTGATGGGTTCTATGCAAAGTTGTATGCGCTGCAGGGCGGGCGCAATACGTTCTGGAGCGGCGCGGCGTGGAGGGCGCATGACAGCTCGGCGAGCTGGGCGTTTACGCGGGACAGTGTTTTGCCAGGGTTGATTGCGAGTTTGTAAGGGGTTCCAATGGTTGTTGGATGATGGGCTTTTCATTCGTCGATCAGAGTTTTGATCATTTTTTGAGTTTAATCGTTGCCGTGGTCAGAGTAGGGGTTTGAGTTGGCTACAACTACGGCAAGGCTTGTGGAATCTATGCAATGGGCTCGGATAATGGTAAGCCTATTTTCTCCATGGAGACTGCGAGTGAAACTATACAACTGCCGATCACTTCCTCGAGTTCATGAACGCATGTGCACGTTACTAGAATCAGCGGAAGGTTCCTGGAGCGAGTTTTCTTTGTTTTGTAGGAACCACTCCCAAAGACGAGATATCTCCACTAATCTCTTAGGTGTTTTGTGCAACTTCCGCAAAATCCATGTGCTTCATGGAATTTGCGCAAGTGCTTGTGACGAAGATGCTATAATCCTTACAACATCACCTCAGTCAAGCAGTTAGTATACACTAGCGTCTACGATACGAACGCTGTGGTCTGTTCGTGCGCGGTTCAGGTTTCTGGCGAGGTATTTTTTGGTTTAATGTCCATTTGTTTGTTTAGCGTGACATAACACCTCCTCACGATTTCCGAACCTGCACCGTGCTGATCGCCGGAAATCGATGCCGCGATTGGTGCGCGTCTTCGTCAATCCTATGCACATCAGCATCGATACCACGTCTGTCGCGAGAGATATCCCATAGTACTTACGGCGTCAAATGTCCGGCGGCATGGACACGCATGGCATCAGGGTCGACAGTACACAACCATACCCTCCCGGAATTGCTACCTATAGCAGCTACATTTCCGCGGACGGAAGAACTGTAGCTTCGGAACTCTGGTGGTATCCATAAGATGTTCTTGTTCCCATACCTGATCCACAAGCCATCTGAAGTGAGATTGATCCCTGAATATAGTGGTTCGCTGGATTCCGAAATACCCTCTGCGTCCGAAGAACCAAGATGCTGGATTTCGATGGCGCCTATATCAGTGCGAAGATGAAGGCCATCGGGGTCGAATTCGAGACTGTAGATAGTCTTGCCGGTGTTGATAATTTGCAGACAGGCACCGCTGACTACATCCCATAGCCGGATAGTCTTATCCCGTGACGATGATGCCAACTTGGTTGGATCTTTGGGCGAGAAATCCACAGACGCAGGAATTCTGTCGTGGCCTTTTAGGGTATTTACGCACAGGCCAGTACTCAGATCCCATATCTTTACTGTGTGGTCGTACGATGCTGACGCTGCATAGATCGAGTCATGTGAAAAAGAAACCGACTCCACGTGTGCCGTATGCCCATGAAATTGCTGCAAGAGAACGCCACCGTGGACATTCCAAAGCTCGAAGTGGCTGTCTGTCAATGAGCATATTGCCAACTGCGCTGAATCGTGCGAAAGGGTCATTGAGATCACATGTCCGATCTCTGTTTCAAACAACGGCAGGTGAGTGCCACTGCAAATATCCCTGGCAACAATCTCGCCACCAGTGGATGCTGTTAGTAGTTGCGTTGAGTCCTGCGACCAGGTAAAAGATCGTATCTCGTCTGCCTGAAGTATTTCCGAACACGATCTGCCACTTACATCCCAGACCTTGATACTTTCACTGACTGGAATTGATGCCAGCCGAGCTAGATCTTGCGAGAATCCTAAGCTGGTGACGGTACTGCTGTGACCGTTGAGCGTCTGCGAGCCTGTGCTGGCGCCAGTATCCCATATCTTGACTTCCCCGTCTCTGGACCCTGATGCAAGGTGTAGCATCAGAGGGGAGAAGGTGATTGATGATATAGAGTTGCCATGACCCTCAAGCGTTTGCAAGCATATTCCAGTGCTGCTGTCCCAGATCGTGATAGTCATATCGTAGGACGCAGACGCCAGCTGGGCTGAGTTATGCGAGAAGGCTAGGTTTCGAACTTCCCAGCCATGACCCTTGAGCGTCTGCAAACACACCCCACTACTCAAATCCAAGATTCTGACAGTTCCATCGTCCGATCCAGTTGCTAATTGCAACGAATCACTCGAGAAAGCTACAGACACATACTGCCCGCTGAATGTCTGCAAACATTCACCGCTGATTGTATCCCACAATTTAATAGGTCCATCTAATGATATGGTCGCCAGCTTGGTCGAGTCGTGTGAGAAAACAGTAGGATTCTCATGTTTGGTGGGGCCCCAAAGCGTTTGCAGAACCTGACCGCTGTTCAGATCCCATAATTCGATAGAGTCGTCGTAGGACACTGCTAGAGCTGTCAAGTCTTTCGAGAAAGCCGCGTTCGAGAGGCTTTCAACACTGACACTCTGTTTGAGCGTCTGCAAGCACTCGCCGCTGAGTGTGTCCCACAGCCTGACCGTGCCGTTACTTGAAGCTGATATCAGCTTAGTCGAGTCACATGAGAAAGCTACTGATGTGAAATGGTGTGTGAGGTCCGTGATGGTTTGCAAACGTTCGCCACTAATTGCATCCCACAGCTTGATATCATCCCTTGTCATTGACACCAGCTTAGTTGAGTCGTGCGAGTAAGCTAGAACTTCGACGAAATCTGTGTGGAATTTGCCGACTGGATTGATATGGTCCTCGAGTGTCTGTAGACATGCACTCCAATCCTCGCTCATGGTAGGACTGATAGTGATACCCTCCAGCTCTTCGTGCTTAAAGAAAGTTCTGATCGCACTTCCTGTTGGGCTGAATACTAGCGCAGATGCATATGTCTGCAATGGATAGCTCTCTATCACCTGTCTGTGGTACATTATGAATCGGTGCGCGTCTCGGATGATTCCAGTCAGATCCTCGATATCCCATTTCTACTACTAAGTCAGCCTCGTATCTTAGGTAGTATATTCCATGCATGTGTTTTACCTGAACTAGAGAGACCAGCTTCGCCATCAAAACTACGCCTTTTGCCACGCTCCTGCACAGACTAAGTCCTTCTAACCAGTAGAGATATATTGTTCTGAAGAACTCGTCGATTGTGCTGATCAATTGTATATCACAAGGACTATCTGTCTGTGGCGCATGTATCGATTGGCAGAGATGATCGATCCAGTAGATGCACGAGTAACGCGATGCTACCAGTGGGTCTGGATTAGGCGATTGAATGTCATTTATAGGAAACCCTGGCTCTTTCAGGTAGTAAATGTCCTTGCGCAACGTCCTGGACAGGACTGCGAGCGATCTTGTGAAGATTTCCAGATGAGCGGCTTCTATTCCGCTTGGAAAGACCTCATCAAACGCCTCTGTAAAGAGGAAATCTTGTGCGGACTGGTGTACAAAGCGGACTGTGTCTTCTCGTAGAGTAAGAAACGACCCACAGAGTCTGATGATCTCGCGCACCTCCTCTTCGTCAGCGATGTCTTCGAGCGGTTCAGCAAGCGATCTGAGCTCTTCCAGCGTAATGGGTCTATATAAGAGCGCAGTCAAGGCCAGGATATGTATACAGAGTCCAGCATCATCCGACATCTGTATTTGCTGCATCATCCGCTCGTATAGCGCATTTAGCCCCGGCGGAAAGGAGGAAAGCTTCTTCAAGGCGTTTCGTTTCGCTGTTTGCTCCAGTTCTTGACACACAAGTGCTACCCACAGGAAGGTGTCGTTCGCATTCGATGTCAATGTCTCAAACACCGCGTCCTGGGTTTTCTGATCGTACTTCTTCTGCTGTGCCAGCTGAGAAACCTTGTGTTGGATGAACACGCGAACAGCTGCAGACACGGACTCCGCGTTAAGTTCGAGACTCAATCTCACATTGCACTGTACTGACTCTAGCTGGTCTTCTATATGGGGTAAGTTCCGGCTCGAGACGATCCACTTGACGCGGGAGGACGTGGATGAATGCCGTGCGACAAACTGGAGCAGCTTTGGTAAGTTGACGACACACTCGTCCAGCGCGTCGATGATTATGTAGGTTTCGCCCAAGCTTGAATCCTGCAGTAAATCTGCAAAGATCTCTGTTAACGCAACCCATGCGTTGGCATCCTCAAACACAGACTTGCCTGCCTGGTCGTATGCTTTGCGAACATGCGCAATAATGGTTGGCTGCTGTCTGGCAAGCAAGTACAGTACTCCACGCAGCACATCTGTAGCGCTATTGATGCGCGAGTCTGTAGCCTGACAGAAGAAGTATGATACTGATGCAGTTTTGGCGAATGTCTTCTGTAGCTCGTCGATGATGCCACAAAGAAGCATCGTCTTTCCCTTGCCAGGATCACCTTTGATCCATAGCAGTTGGCTCTGTGGGTCATTATGCCATTGCTGAAACATGGCGTTGTCCAGCACCCAGCAGTATGAGTCCGTCAGCAAGCCGCCCTTTGCGTCCTCGATTCGTTTCTTGTCGTCACCGGGATCGGTAGAGCGTAAATCACGCAGGCATGCTTCCAATTTCTCAACCTCGTTGTGAAGCCGTCTGAACGCTTCATTGGCACCTTCACCATAGACTGGCATTAGTTCAACTCCAAGGACACCTGACAAAGAGTACGCTTTATCTTCTTCGAGCTTAGTTTGACGGTTTTGTATCCATCCAAGACGCTCGTTGACCGTGAATTGAGATAACAGGCACCCCTCCAGCGCTGCATGTGGGATAACCGTGGCCCTGTGAATCTGCCATTTCAGTGATGCTCGATCACCCAGCGTATGCCCTTCACGCGAAAAAAACTCAACAATTTTGGGTGCTAGAAGCTCCTGCAGCGTCCAGCCGCGGGTAAACCACTTGCTTGCTCGGAGTTCCAGAGCCCTCAGTAGCGGGTTCGCTTCTTGCTCGGCTCCGGGAGGTGGAGCGGAAACGTCTGACAAGTAGACATAGCATCGGTTCGAGTTACGGTACCAGCGAAACATAGATCGGATGGCCAGCGATAGCTCAGCCTTGTTCGCCTTGTCGATGCAGCAGGTGTCGATCCAAAAATGTTTTAACCCGTCCCGCTTTGCCTGCTCCCGACAGAATTCAATCTTCTTAAAGCCAGGCTTGTCTTTGCCTATGTTCTCCTCCAGGTCTTCGAAAGTGACCTCGTCCGTCTCCTCTCCCCAAGTATGAGACAGGATCGCATAAGGAGGTAATATGGCTTCATCGACAATATCGGGAGTGACCATAAGCCTTCCATCATCACTATAAGTTAAGAGTCGCATCGATAGGGGCGAATACGTAGTGTGTAAATGCGGCCGTGAGGAGGCTCCAGAGACTCGGTAGATGGCCTATGAGGGAGAAGGTGTTTAGGTGTTCGGCAGTGTTCAGAGCTGACATTAACACCACTGAAAAGTAAACGAAGTTGATAGGTTTAAAAACCTGACATATCAGCTTAAAAACACAGTAAAGTCGCATTAAGACGTTGACGTTATTCGCCAGGTTACAGGGATGGTGGGGCAGATGGCTGACAGCGGGGCGAGTCGCGAGGCTGTGCTTTCCCTCCCCGCATCGTAAAATCGTTGCACATCCTCTGGCATTTCTCTTGCTGCAACTTCTCCACTATTCTAAAAGGGCGCATCAGCCCAGTGAGCTAACAGGAGTCGCACTACATACCCTATCGATTGTTCGCTTTCATGGGGCCGTACAAAGTACTTCAATAGAACCTTTGACACGCCAACCCTCATATCGCAACTCGCCAGCTACGAAGCCCTAAATCACTCAATCACCGCACCATGCTAAAGCAAACACCCAACAATCTGGTAGTAGGCTTGCCAGTATGCTACATACAACAAGTGACCCGATTCGAGTGCATCCAAGAGCACACTCTCAAATCCGAGCACGATTTCGGCAATGGTAGGTTTTTGCAGTGCCGAGAAGATTTGCGATATTTCGTTACAATCGCTGAGTACTAACTGGCGTTGTGATGGGGATTCTGAGGAAGTTACAACACGCTACAACACGCTACAACACGCTACAACACCGCATTTAGCCTTTGGGGAAAGAAGTTGTAGCATCAAAGATGCTCTGGTTTAAGCTGAGGGGTCAAACCGACCGCGCTGTACTGCTCTACCAATCTGCCGGTCTCACGTTCCAGTCGCTCTCACCCTTCTCACTCTGGTTTGTCCACACAGATTCAAGTGTCGTCACCGAGCTCTTGTTCCTTAAGCATCCAGTTCTCGTGGTGCATCGTTTCCCCACAATTCTGCAGGATATCTGTACGTAATATGTCCATGATCTATTTCAACGGTCTCGTTGCCATCGCATTCATGCACGCCAATCTGTGACTGCTTTTGCTCACGCATACCCGCAACGCTAGTCGCAGAGGGCATATACGCTCCAGTCTGATCATGCTCTGCAGACTTGGACTTCCGCCGCCTGAATAGAAGAAATGCAGTCAATATAGCCACCAACACCACTACAGCTGCGCCAACGCCAACACCAGCCTTTGCGCCTGTGCTTAGCCCTCTTGATGTGGGTGTTTCTGCGTGCGAAGAGGTGGCAGATGGAGAAGTGGATGTCGAAGTAAGTGTCGAAGTGGATGTCGAAGACGCTGGCGTTTCCGAGGGAACGGACGACGACGGGCCAACAGTTGCTGCAAGCTGAAATATATTGCTAGCAGTCTGACAACAAGTTTCGTCTCCGCAGCACCACGCGTTTCCTCCGCAGTTTCTTACTGGTGCATTATCGAAAGCGTACTGCACTCCAACGTCAGTACTGTCCTCGAGGGTGGATGTGTACGTTGAAGGATACCTCTGTCCCGTTACACACGTTCCCCAAGCAATAAGGACTCTGCCATGTAGGATCTGTACAGCCCTGTCTCCACCACAGCTGCTGACCTTCGTTGTTCAGGGCTGGATCATATCCCACAAAGTTCTGACAAAGACCATTCGGCAAGCATCTATCGTTTGCGACTCCGATATCTCCTGCGCCCTCGTGATTTGTGCCGCAGCATGCAGATCCTTGGGTAGAGTTGTTGCATGGTTGGTAAGCTTCGCCCATAGTACTCCGGGATGTTGTACCATTGCGGAAGTAGCAGTACCCGCCATTGCGTGACTGTGCCATGGCATGGACTTTGATGGGCAACGGAAAGGAGGAAGAGATAGAAGCGGATGAGACAATGGGCGGACCCCTTCTTCAAATAACACCACTTACACACAGCCGCGCCCAGTGCACAGACATGTTAGCGCCCTCAGCAGGATCATGCAGTATGCAGGGGTTCAACCAAAGAAGAGTGGCTGATACATCATACATGATGGCGCAGTGTGCAATCTGTTTGGAAGATCTCCAGAATATTGCGCTGTTTGTATTGGCCAGACTCTCTTACAACCTGAATAATGTATGTACATACTCTGTATTAGCATACAGCTAATGCAACACATTCCCATTCAGCTGCAAGAGCTAACAGAGAGGGATTAATAGCCGTAAGCTAGCAGGGAGCGGGCGCTTATTGTGTGGAGTTTGACGAATGATGACTCTCTCACTTGTCAATGCTTGGCCAATGGGAGATAGCTCCAAGATGTTATGCGGCTACCCATGCTGTATATAAGCGCTCAAAGCATATCATAAAAACCCTGTTGCACGCCACGAAATTATCGTCAAATTCCAACAGCAAAGACTGTGCGACGTACAGTACCAACCTAATCTGAGCCGCGTGGTTTTGAGCAACCAATCAGTAACACGAAAAGTGGCAAGGCTAAATGCTCAGCCTCGTGTTAAACTCGCACACGAAAAGACACCAAAGGTTGATAACCTACAAGAATTCTACAAAGCATAAGGTCTAATACGTTACCTCAATCTCTCCATGTCTGTCAAAGCGAACTCAGGAGCATATTTGGGGGAGCGTCGCACTCGCGAGATGGGTGACTTCGCCCCCACTTGGGGGTGCTTCTTGAAAAAGCCGCATGAACACCTGAACAGCAATTCCTCGCGGAAGATAGGTACGTATTTCTAAGTCTGTGGGTGAGCCGATGCTGTGGATGCATTGTGTTACCATAAGCAGACTTGGCCCCCACAACATGACTGGATACATAGTGTCGAGGAGAGCCTGGCGGGGCGGGGTTTTGATTCACATTCTCAATCCACCATGTCTGAAATCTTCGCAAGTAACTCCAATCAGGACATCCCAGTATATCTTGGAGTCTGGACGAACTGGTCGCAGGGATACATCACTGGGCTTACACTGACAACCACACTGCAACAAGGAGGATTACTCATCGCCTTCCTCGCACTCTTCGTGACCTTCACTGGTAGCTGCTTCTGGACAATCACCTCCTTTATCATACACCAGAGCACGAGTCAGCAGGGAGTGCAAGATACGCTGTACCATCAACGCCAAGCAATACTTCGCAACTCTGACACCAGCGCAGTCGCGCTGTGGAGACTGTCGAAATTGTCTTGGGGCTGGCGCAAGAAAGCACCAATGACCTCTATCAAGCCTGCTTTGCTTCCGCTGACTATGAGTCTTGTCACCTTTTGCGCCTTTGCAGTTGCTGGCGTTTTCTCCTCTCGAGTCGCTACCTCAAGAGGGGGCGAAGTTCTCGTTGTAGGCGACAGATGTGCGACTCTAAACCACAATTTGTTCACGGTCGAGAATAATGCCCTTACCCAAACATATCTTAGCAGCAGGGCCAAGTCAAGCGCGACTTACTCGGCCACTTGTTACGCAGACCACGGGTCTACGGATAGCTGCCGCACCTTTGTTCGAAACAATCTTCCTTACACCTTGACTCGCAATGTGGATTGCCCTTTTCTGGGGAAGGACCGGATATGTCGTTCACTCAATAATACCATTCAGTTGGACTCTGGTTACTTAAACAGCCACTTTGATCTTGGAATTAACACGCCGCCATCGGCAAGGTTTCTTTACCGGACAGTCAACGAATGTACGCCAGTGCTTGGAGAAGATTTTGTTAGGTGGAGGTCCAACTCTTCAGCAACAATTATTTCGCTGCTATACGGGGGAGACCCGAGGGGCTGCAATGAGTACAAGAATGGTTGCACGTATCAGTTTATCGACAGGAGGGGAAAGGAAACGCATTATCAAAACCAGTACAGCCTATCGTATGTCTTTACCCGACTGCAAAAGCTGAATTAAGCTAACAGGGTATGGTAGCATGTTCACTCGCTATGCCGTAGAAGATAACAACATAACCATGTATCTCAACTCCTTCAAACCAATCCCAGAGCTAAGCATTTCCGACGTCGACATGACAGTAGTCATTCTCAGGGCGAACGACATGCCTTATTCCACTCCTGTGTACGATCCCTGGTTTGCGGCCACGCAAGGACCTTTCGAACGCTATGGCCTGTTCAGCAAAAGCAAGGTCTACACAAGCAACCAACCCGCATCTGCTCTGGCTTGCGTCCAGAAATATCAATTCTGCAACCCGTCTCGAAAGTCGAACGATAGCTGTACGCCACTTGTGGGTATATTTGAGGCTGTCCGCATCGCGACATCCACACTTTTCACTCAACCACAAGACAGGACTGCATTCTCATGGTATGCTTCCAGTACCACAGAGATGGCAGGTGGGATGTCTGAGCTCACAGTAGCATTGGGTCACCAAGCTCTGTTAGCGACTGAGATTTCCTCACCTATGGGGCTGTACGGCTTACCGAACAATCAGTGGGAGCTTGAAGTAGAGCATTGGTTCAAATTCACACTCGCCGACCTGCAACGTGCGATTCTCGACCAAGCAACCGGGCCTGTGTTCCCATATGCGACGCAGTTCCACTCGCCTCCCAATGCCACCGATAAACCCTCTCTGTGTGGCACTCAGAAAATCCGCACCGACTCGTACACCTCCTTCAGCGTGCTTGGACTGATCATAATCTTCTCTATGGGCGGCCTGCTAATCGTCATCTCAATCCTTTTGCCGAGTTTTGTAAGAGCGATTCAGAAGAACAGAAACCCCTTTTCGAGTCTGGAATGGACTTCAAACGACACACTACAGCTCCAGCGGCTGGCACACGAGGCTGTTGGGGCAGGTGATTGGGAAGACACATGCGGCGACTATCCGAAAACAGCAAATGCCGAGCTCCTAGCTGTTCTTGATATTACGGATCACAAGCACACTTTCCTGCGTGTGGAGAAGCTGGTACCGGCCGCTGTGCAGGATCATTCCGCCGAGGATGTGGAGGCAGGATTGCTGGCGAGCTCCTGCCACAACCATGAGGCCGGTTAATTGTACTTATATCACTGTGGGCATCGAACTTCCTTACAGCAGCTCAATTCTATGGTGCTTACTGTACTGCAGATTTCTTCAATTCCACATCGCTGCCTGGTATACCATGAGGGCCGAGACGAAACACACCCTCCTAGCTAGTCTGTCCCGCCTATTCTAATTACGCAATATACTTTGAATGTGCTACTAAATCGTCTCTATCTTCGCTAGTATCGTGGAGTATTGGCGGTGTGCGCCACGCCGAGCGGCCCGCTACATCAATCGTTGACGGACCGCCGTTATAGGCACCTAATTTGAAACGCCACGTGGCCCATAGGGGCTAGACCCTCCTATATGGAGGTTGACAGGTGCAAGGAGATGTGGACAGAAAGCTGCTTCAACAAACACCTAGGGAGGTACCTGAGATTGTTGAAGTTGGTAGGCTGACGCTGGTGCTGCTCCATGTCTTCCGTGAAGGTGCACCAGACTCTAGGTCAGGCTGAGTCTCGTTAGTCCAACCCGTTTTCTCTATAGTATACATGAGTTTACGTCTTCTGCGTATACTGCACGGCCTTACACAGGCAACTTGACTGCTTTGGGTGGCAGAATATTCACTACAAAACTGCTGCTGTGTTTAGTAGTATCGTAAGTACTATGAGAACAAGAGACCGCGACTTTTAAAAAAGCCGATGACTGACTATCATTCAAGTACTCAGTAATCTTGTTGTGCGACTCATGTTCCTTAGTGTTGCATGACGGCCATACTCCATCGGCTTTCCAAAACCGATGTCAGTGGTAGGCACAGCAACGCTGAATACCGTACCCCGTGCAATTGAAACCGCCGGTGTAGAGGTTCCCCGCAAATGCCCATTATATATGTGACACCTTCACTTACGTCTGTGAAGCCTGATGGGAGAGTGCCTAGGCCTTGCCGTACCTTTAACTAATGTGGGACTGCAGATGTCGTCAGATATTGCTCACAACTGCGCTATCGGTACTCGAGTAACAGCTGACAGCATATATGTGGACCTAATATGTCATAGATAGCCGTGAAGCACCTCTAAATTGAGCGAAGTGTTCCATAGCGCCCACGAGAGAGTTGTTGTGTGGCCGGTCGATTTTAACGTTGCCCTGCAAGACGTTGAACAAGAAAAAATTACTCATCGCGGTGTGTCTGTCCTGTGTCAAGGATGCCTGTGCACTCCTTTAACTACCAAGTGTTTAATATGCTATACATTTCCCCTCCGGGCTTATCGAGTTTGCCACTGAGCGCACCCTCTTGGACGCGTAACTCCGAACCTCTGGAGTATGCATGAACTTTGATCGGGCAAGTGCTTACATGTGTCTTGACAGCCAGCCTCATTTGTCAATGTCAGCTGCATGTTCTCGATAAATGGTGGGGAGTCTATATAAAGAACACAAGTTCAGTGTGCACAAGAGAGTGCTACGTCCGACTCATACACGGTGCCGACCCGTACGAGCTCGCCAAGAAGAGCATCAGGACGGCTTCGGGAGTATTTTGATTCTACAGACTGATCACGGATATCTCCGCATGTAATTGTGAGCTAAGGTTCGTTTACACCCACCCTTACTTACGTGTCTACTTGGCTTCGTCTTGACATGATCTGCCAATCTACGTCTCCTTGGCTTCATTATCTGGTACTCTGCATCTTTTACCGATCTAGTGCCATTGGCTGCATGATCTCACCTACTCGATTCCGTGCCTTGAAACCAAGTTGTGCAAGTCCTAAGGCAGTCCGCTAAGTTGACAGGCTGTCTCCACCAGCCCCTGGTTTGCCTAGGCTAGATGTACATGCTCAACTCAAGCTGTAATTGATTCGCATGGTGCATGACCTCTGAGTATTCCAATTGGCATGGTCCCGACTGCTTTATCCGCGCAGACTCACGAGAGCATTTTGCCACGCAAACCGGCGGGACTGCTTCGTCCGTGTAGTCCCACTGCTTCGCTCATGTCTTCCATGTAGATAGGCTGCTTCGTCCGCAAAGATCCGCAGTGGCAGGTATAAATACCCCAGGCTTGTCTCTATTGCGGATATATCACCCACCTCACTTCCACCTTCTCACTCTACTCCTTTCTCACCCCCAAGAATCTCCACGTGCTGCCAACATGCGGTTCTCTCTGTTTTCAATCACCCTCCTTTCCATGGGCACCGGCGCCCTTGGCCAGAACCTGTGGTGCAACTCCGGAACCTCAGGCACTGGCGCTTGCGTACGCAGCATTGAAACCGTCCATCAGCTGTGAGATGCTAATATCAACTCTATCTAGGAAGCAGCTGGCAGGAACACCTACTGCGTACAGAGTCCCGAGGCCTGTTTTCTTGCTCATGCTAACAACCTGCAGTGTGGACAGACTCAAACCAGTCAGCACAATATCTTCCGTGCCGGCTGCACGGCTACGAGTGGATCCTGCTCTAGCGGCGTACGTTGCTTGTCACCCGCCCTCCAGCCTTGCCGTTGCTAATTCCATCGTCGGTAGTCTGTCTTTTGCTGCTAGTAGTCTTTGGCCACTGGTCCGCTATCCGACTGCAACGCGGTCTATACGACAGAAGGGGCATTCACTCGCTTAGACAGACCGCATCAATGAACCGACTGCTTCCCCAAGCTGCTCCCAAGTTGTTGACACGATGATCAGCCCGTGCTTGCTCATACCAAATGTACCTACAGGGATAGCCTTGTAGTTGTTGATCTCAGTCCCGGTCACTGGCCGCCACTTGTCATTGTCCGAATTTGCACGCGGAGCGCGGCGGGAAGAAGCAGCTCGCACGCCTCACGCTGCACGGCTATTTTGTTGCGTCACCTTCTCCATCGTCACTTCTCCAACGTCGCGTCTTCCGTCACTTCTTCCGTCACTTCGCCCCATCACTTCGCCCCATCACTTCGCCCCATCACTTCGCCCCATCACTTCGCCCCATCACTTCTTCACCGTCACTTCGTCCCATAACTTCTCCCCCGCCTCCCTCACCTCACACCCCAGAATCCCAACCCAGAGCACACATCACAGCAGCATCCCTGATCCTCTCCTCCTGCATCCCTCCTAGCACGGACGCCAGCCTGAACAGTAAAGACTCTGCTGCGTCATGGTGCGCGGCGGTCGTTGGCACTGGAGGAGCGGGCCGGAGATACTGGTATGAGTGTGAAGGGGCATGCGGGTGCTGTGGTGTGTGTGTGTGTGGGGGGGGGGGGGGGGGGGGGGATTCAGTGGTGATGGGAAGAAGTAGAGACAGAGAGGAGAGAAAGAGGTGTGAGCCACTTATGAAGTGCGAGAGAAAAGGTACCATGGAAGCGCATGTCGTGGTCTGGTCCACCGCTCCCACTGATGGCATTAGAAATTACTTCACCAACACTGCCGCGCTTCACTGCACACACCACCCGCTCACCACAGCCGCCCAAACAGCGCCGCATTCCGAGCAGCCCCGGACCGCGCCGTCGCCGACGGACCCGCACTCCCGCCCGTCGCCTCCGAACCCGTTGCGCCCGTCGCGCCCGCCGTCCCCAGCGACACAGCCGCGGACCCCGACACCGCCGACGCCCCGTCTTTCTGATACCCAACCGCCTCCCACACGCTCGTGTAGTTCATGCCGCCGCACATAACCTCCTTGTCGCCCGCACACGGCACATCACACCTTGCCGCATCCGCAGTGGTCCCGTTGTTGCGCTCGCCGCACCAGCACTCGTCCCCGCCCTTGACGCCGGCGATCGGAAACGCGAGCGCCCAGCACTTGCGCTTGCACTTGTCCAGCGTCTCGGCGGGCTCGCGCGGCACGTTGCGGTACTCGAGGATCCAGCGCCACTGGTCGGCGGGCTTGTCGAAGTTGTCGTCCCACGTGTCGAGGAAACAGCCCATGTCGGTCCAGGACTTGGGGTCCGGGACGGGGGCGCGCGTGGGCCAGGGGTGCAGGGACACGTCGGTGCGGGAGACGGGGATGCGGTAGCCGGCGGAGTCGGTGGTCATGCTCCACAGGGGCAGGGTGTAGGCGTAGTAGGAGTCCTCGGAGACGGTGGTGGTGGTGTACATGAGGGTGTCGGCGAGGGAGCCGTTGGTGAGGATGCAGTAGCTGGTTAGGTTTTGCAGGGGCCCGCACGGGTTGCCGACGGACGGGTTCCAGGCGAGGAAGCGCTGTGGTTCGAGGCCCCATTCGCGCATGATCGAGTCGCAGGTCTGCGTGACCGGGTCGGTGATGTCGACGAATTCGATGCAGTCGGCGGCCGTGCGATAGTCGCTTTGGAAGTGGTTCTGCGCGAGGGCGTGGTGCGCGAGAGCCGCGAGGGGGGCGAGGTGGGAGCGCTTCATGGTTTGACTTTACTGGTGCAGGATCTCGACGGCGAGGTTCAACACCACTAATATCTCGTAGCAGACCGCGCAACAAAGCAGACAAACAAACCGCGGACAAGCGCTCATTATATCACGCGCCGCGGTATCTCTCTTCGCAGCCCTTTACGCCTCTCATTTCGCATAAACGGAGGGCGCAGCGTGTAAGGCCACATTAGGAAGGTGGTGATGGGGCGCCGCACGCCGACTACACAGCGGCTAGCTGGATGGAGGATAGGCGCGCACGTGAGGTGCTGCAGCCTTGTCTGAGTATAGTTGCGCCGTTATCGTGGGGCTGAGCGGGTGCCAGGCATCGTTCTGCACGTGGTGTGCTACCTTGACGGGCTTGGGTTACACCGGCTGCTGCGTATGTAGGTAGAAATTTTCCAGGAGGGACAGGCGAAGAGAGTTGCTGGTTGCTGGTTGCCGGTTGCTGAGCGGGCAGCTGTGAGGAACAAGTACCATTCGGTGTGAACTACGGAATCCCAAATGAAGTATATAGAAATAAAAAGGCGTAGCCACGATTGACAACCGTTACAACACCAAACGCCCAGACCCCGCCGCATTCAGTGAACAAACATATATACACAACCTCCTCGTCTCAAACCCTACAACCGCACGTTCGCCCCGATCTTTCCACCCTTGTACCAGATGGTCTCGCGCCACTGCCCGATCCGAACACCCACAATCGCAAACGCGTTCAGCTTGAGCTGGCCCCCGAGCGCCTTGCGAATCGCCTCGTACCCCAAGCTGCCGAAGCTCCAGTCAACGGGCAGGCGGGGGCTCTCGGACAGGCCCGGGGGCACGGCGAAGGGCAGGTCGTAGAGGATCTTGCCGGCGTCGTGGCCCTCGTAGTAGGCGGTGGCGTTGAGCGAGGTGAGGTACATGGTGGTTGTTTTGAAGGGGGAGAAGAGGGTGAAGAGGGCGGTGGAGGAGATGATGTGCATGGTGGCGCTGCGGATGAAGTGGGTATTTTTGCCGTCGCTTGGGGGGTTCTCGTCGCCGTCGTCGGGATCGTCGGCTTTCATGTGGGGCGCGGGGACGGTGACGGGGAACTGGGAGAGCAGGTGGCCAAGAGCAGGCTGCGAGGGGATGGTGCCGTTGTGGGCCTGCATGGTGAGAGATGTGTTGAAGCCTGCGATGTTAGCCGAGAAGAAGACAATCGCCACAAGACGTACCCGAGATGAACTGCGACAGCCACTCTGCGCCAATCTCCTTGCCTTTCTCGCCGCCGTAGTTGGAGGGGTCCCACAGCACGGTGACTACGACGCCGGAGTTGTTGCCGGGACGGACAGTGCTGTTCTCGACGGTTGCTGATCCAATATGCGTCCCGTTGACAAGAACATTGATGTTAAAGTATGGGATGGTCGCGGTGTAGTTTGTAGGGTTTGTAAAGTTGGACTTCATCTGGAGGGTGAGAGAGGTCGGCGATGTATCCACGATCGCCATGTCGCCAACCTTCAAGTTCAAGCGCTCGATGGGTGACTCGCCAGTACCGTTGTGGCCGTTGCCGCCGCGGATCGCTGGGCCACGGACGTTAGCAGTTGCCGACGACGAAACGCAAGGATCACGAACTAGGTCACTAACGTTTGACAGGCACGGTACCCTGGGCGGGGATGCCGCGGATTGCAAGCTTGCCCATGGGTGTGTCAACGCCGACGCCTACGGTTGCCTTCATGTCCATGTTGATGGACTTGCCGCCGAAGATGAGCGCCTGCACGACTTCGCTGAACAGGTCGTCGTCTTGAATCTCGATGGGCGCCTTCTCGATGTCGGACTGGACCAGCAGAGAGGGACCTTCCTGGCCGTGGCCGTCGATTCTGGTCGAGTTGGCGTGCTGCCACTTGTCGAGCTTCATCTTGCCGAGCAGCTTCTTCTTGTAGAAGATGTCGGCGTCGGCTTTAATCTGGTTGACATCCAGGGGAAAGTTCATCTCGTTGGGGAGGCCTATGTCGACCTTGACGGTGGCCGAGATGGAGGGGTTGGACTCGGGCGTGCCCGGTTCGGCCCACGGGCTCGGCAGCGAGAAGTGCATGTCCGCCATAGAAAAGTTCTTGATCATGTTGCCCATCTCCTTGCCAGCAAAGGGGACGGGGACGGTGATGTCCTTGAGCAGCTCGCGAGCCCAGTCAGGGGTTGCGGGGTCCGGGAATCTGCAGCAGTTGATGTAGATGGTGGCGTCTTCGCCCTTCATGTAGTCGCCGATGAAGGCGTCCAGGGGCGACTTGGCCGAGTTGGGGCAGACTTTGAGCAGCGGGTCTGCGATCTTCTCGACATTGCCGGTCACGTTGACCTCGATGTCGGTCTCGGGTCGGATGTGCAGCTCGGGGGTCTCGGCGGTGCCGACCTTGAGGTGCTTGTCTGCGGGCGAGCAGCCGTCGATCAGCACGTCGACAGCCACGGGAGGGATGTCGAGCGAGACGGGGGGGAAAGTGTTCTTCACAAAGATGGAGGCGTCGGCGCCGAGTCCATGACGTCCGGGGCCTGCCTCGCGGAGGTTGAGCTTGGTGATGTTGTACTTGGGCAGGGCCGGGACGTCGCCGCTGTGGAAGACCATGGACTTGTCGACAATCTGGTTGCCGAGGCGGATCAGGCCAGAGCGGACGGGGACGGTGGCCTTGGCGCGCAGGCGGATCTGGTGGAGGCGGCCTTCGATGTAGTCGTGGGCGAGGCTGCGGATGCCCTCGGGCGCGCCTGGCTCGACGACGGCGACCAGCGAGACGTGGGTGGTGCGGCCGTTGCGGATGGCGACCTTGACGCCGGGGACGTGGGCGGTGCCGACCAGCACGTCGCCGTACTCGGGCAGGTAGACGTCGGCGTGCATGGGGCCCGTCTCGGCCTCGCGGGCGAACCAGGTGCCCAGACGGCCGATGTTGCGCACACTCTGCTTGGGCACCCGGGCGGCGTCCATGCGGAAGTCGCCCTCGATCTGCAGGCGGGCGCCGTGGTCGGTCAGGCCGTCGAGGGCCAGCTTGGTGGGGTGGAAGTCGGCGGCCTGCATGGCGTACTCCTCGACGGCGGCGCTGGCCAGGAAGCCGAACATGATGGCGACGGCGGCCAGGCACAGCAGCACCAGGGCGAGGATGCTGGGCCAGCGGCGCTGCCAGGCGGGCTTGCCGGGGGCCGACGAGGCGCTCAGCGAGCGCAGCAGGCGGGTCTGGGCGGGGGTGTGGGCGGGGGCATCGTCGCGCGGGTCGCGGTCGGCGGCGGCGAGCAGCGGCGTCTCTTCTGTGGTGCGGCTCGAGGCCTGCGACTGGCGCGAGGGCGACGAGCGGGTCGACTTGAGCGAGGCCGGGCGCGGGCTGGTGCGGGTCGAGCCCCACGGGCCGTCGGGCGTGTCCATGGTGAGCGGCGCGGTCAGGGCTGGGGCATTTGCGGGCGAGATGGAGGCAGAGGAGGAGGTCGAGGTGGAGGCGGAGGAGGGCGGAGGAGCAGCGGCGAGTGTTGAGCGCTGACAGTCTTGACGTCGTCTGCGGTTGCGCTCAGCCACGCCAATCACGCTTATCGCCGTGACACAGCGCGCTAGACCCCGGATTTCAAAAAGACGGCGGCGGGTCCGTGACTGTGCGCGCGGTGACTGTGGTGACTGCGGTGACTCGACGTCGACAGCGCCTATATTGCTCGCCCAGCTCCAATTCCACGCTGCACGCTCCCGTTCTCGTCCAGCTGCGCCTGCACCCCCAATTGGCCATGCTCGCCCTCCGCCCCGCCGCCCGCCGCGCGCAGCAGCTCGCGCAGCTCTCGCAGCTCTCGCACCCCTCCCGCACCGCTGCCCGCGCCTACAGCCTGTCCTCGTACATCCCCTCCTCCGGCACGCAGACGTCGCCGTTCGCGCCGCGCCACCTGCTGTCCATTGCCGACCTGACGCCCGCCGAGCTCACGACGCTCGTGCGCAATGCCGCCGCCCACAAGCAGCGCATCAAGGCCACGGGCGAGGTGCCGCTCAGCCTGCGCCAGACCCTCGCCGGCCGCACCGTCGCCATGACCTTCAGCAAGCGCAGCACCCGCACCCGCGTGTCCACCGAGGGCGCCATCGCCGCCCTCGGCGCCGCCCCGATGTTCCTGGGCAAGGACGACATCCAGCTGGGCGTACGCCGTCCCCGTCCCTCTGTCCGCCCCCCGCGCCCCGCTGACGCCCGCAGGTCAACGAGTCGCTCTACGACACCTCGCTCGTGCTCTCGTCCATGACGGCCGCCATCGTCGCCCGCGTCGGCCCGCACAGCGACGTCGCCACCCTCGCCCAGCACTCGTCCGTGCCCGTCATCAACGCCCTCTCCGACCTCTACCACCCCATGCAGATCATCGCCGACCTGCTGACCATGACCGAGTCGCACCCCTCGTCGTCGACCACCTCGCTCGACCTCGCCGGCCTCAAGCTCGCCTGGATCGGCGACGCAAACAACGTCCTCTTCGACCTGGCCATCGCCTGCGCCAAGCTCGGCATCACCTGCAGCGTCGCGACACCCGCCGGCTACGAGATCCCCCAGGCCATGCGCGACGTCATTGCCCACGCCGCCCAGACCACGCCGCACGCCGGCGCCCTGCTCGAGACCACCGTCCCCGAGGAGGCCGCCCGCGACGCCGACTTCCTCGTCACCGACACCTGGGTCAGCATGGGCCAGGAGGAGGAGACGGCCAAGCGGCTCGCCGCGTTCAAGGGCTTCCAGATCACCGACGAGCTGGCTGCGCGCGCGGGCGCAAAGCCCAAGTGGGAGTTTATGCACTGCCTGCCGCGCCACCCGGAGGAGGTCAGCGACGAGGTCTTCTACGGGCCGCGCTCGGTGGTGTTCCGCGAGGCTGAGAACAGGCTGTGGGCCGCGCTGGCGGTGCTGGAGGCCTTTGTCGTGAACAAGGGGCAGATTGCGTGACTGGATGCGTGGTTTGAGTGAGCAAGGCATGAGTAGTGTACTAGTAGTTGCGTCTATGCATTTTGCCGCCATCCTATTTCTCTACCCCTAACGTCTCTATTGCCCTTGCCCTTTACTTTGCCCTCCTTGACCTCCTGCTTGCCCTCTACTATTTAGTCTGCCACCCCCTCTACACTCTTCCCCTGAGTCTCTGCTTACAGTGCTGGCGGCATTTAGTAAACAAGGGGCAGGTTATGTGACTGAACGCGTGGTTTGAGTGAGCAAGGTGTGAGGAGTAGTGTACCAGTAGTTGCGTCTATGCATTTCACCGCCCGACGTCTCCGTCACCCTTGCCCTTTGCCATGCCCTTCGCTGTGCCCTCGCCCTCCTCGCCCTCCTTGACCTCCCTGCCCTCCCGCTCCGCCACCCCCTCCACCCCCTTCCCCCACGTCCCCGCCCGCTTCCCCCACACCCCAACGCCCCACGCATGCACCTCGCTGAACTTCGGCGGCTTCTCCGCCGTCGACCGAAACGGACTCGCGCCGTCGCGGAACATCTTCTCCATCTCCGCATCGCTAAACACCGCGTTATCCCTCGGCACGCCTGGAGTCTGCGCGTACGGCTGCGCAGGACGCACCGCTTTCTCGCGGTCCACGGGGAGCGATTCGTCGACGAGCCGCACGTCGGACGGCAGGATGGCGGTGTTGGGCGGGACTTTGGCGGCGGCGGATGTGGACGTGGATGCTGCAGCGCGCTCCCAGTGGCGGTTTGCGCTGCTGAGCGGGCGCCACCAGCTGGGGCGCACTGCGCCTCCGACACCCTCGACACCATCCACACCCTCGACACCTCCAGCACCTCCGACACCGTCCGCCCGCGCCCACCACCGCGCCGAACACATCTCCCAGATCCGGCTCTGCGCCCGCTTGACCGCAAACACCTCGTCCTCGCCCGTCAGCCCCCGCACGTTGTTAAAGTCCATCGCCTTCCCGCCCGCCGCAAGCGCCTGCCGCGCCTTGGCCTCCTCGTCCGCGTAGTCCGAGACGCTCAGCCCGGCCTGGCGGCGCGCGCGGTTCGGCGGGTCGTCTTCGAGCGCGTCGGGCGGGAGTGCGTACGAGGACACGTTGGGCCGGAACGGCGACGTGAGGTCCTGGTGGATCTCCGAGAAGGTCTCGGGGTAGACGGCGTCGGCGGCGAGGTCGGACGTGGAGCCGTCTTGCGTGGGCGCGGGGAAAAAGGTCGCGTCTGGCGCGGCGGCGGCGGTGAGGAGTAGTCGGCACCGCGCTTCGTACAGAGCGTCGAGCAGCGTGATCATGCGGCGGGCTTCGTGTTTGCGCAGGAAGGTCAGCACGGGGACGTCGGTCAGAATGAAGGTGTGGTAGTGCGAGGCGAGAGAGAGGTAGTCGGCGGGGCCGAGCACGGCGCCGCAAAGCTCGTCAAAGGTGAAGAAGGCGACGCCGTTGTGTTGTGCGGGGATGTCGACGCGGCGGCCGTAGACAGTGAGGGTGGCGGGCTCCCAGGGGATGGGGTAGCTGTGGTTGGTTGCGCGCTCGATGAGGGAGTTGAACGTCTCTGCAAACTCGGTCATCTCTTCGACGTTGGTGGGCTGTATGAGGTAGTTCTTCGGGAGGGCGACTTCAGTGGCTGTCTCCGTCTCCGTCTCTGTCTCGTTAACGGCTCCAGCTGGCAGGCCTGCAGACGCGATCGAGACAGCTTCTGATGCCGACTTCGATGTCCGGTTGCCCCCGTCTTCCTCAATCTCAAGCTTGCGATAGTCCTTCTTGCCCTCCATTTCCCACACCTCGCATCTCGACTTCAGCAGCTCGAGAAACTGGAAGAACTCGCCCTTCTGCCCAGCGCCATCATTCTTCGCACGGAATCCAGCCATACGATTCGCCCAGCCGAGCTTGCTAAACGCACCGCCTGGGGCGGGCCTGGCAAACTCCACACCCGCCGCCTTGGCCAGCTCGTCTGGCATGCGGTTGCTGGTCGCTATCAACACGCCGCCCAGTTGGAAGAAGCTCGTCATCAGATTCGACAGAATCTTACTCGCTACGCGATCCGGGAATTGGAACTCGTCAAGAAACAGAATGGGACTTGTCTCGATAAGATCACGTGCTACAAGCAGCAGGGAGTATTCGTCCTGGCCATCAGCAGTCCGCGTAAGCGCACGAGACTGACGAAGCTGCTCCAGACGGGAGATGGTGTGCAGCATGAACGTATCAAAATGCCATCGCTTCTTCTTGCGGTTTGGCAAACTCTCTTGGAACATATCAACGAGCATGGACTTTCCCGTCCCTACTTCGCCATGAAGCATGAGCCCCTTAGGACTTTGCAGAGCCATGGCTTGATCATGATCAGTCAGTACACGGGTCAGCGCTTTCGAGTCGCGCTGCGCTTTCTGGTTCACGAGGGCTTTCCATATCCAGCTCCGGTCGAAGCTGCCCAGCTCGGCAGAAGCAGTAGACGGCGGTGGTGGCACATCCTGGTTCGCATTGACAGCCCGAGTTAGCTGGCTGAGACGTTTGGAGTATTCCACTTGCGGCTCATAGTCTTTGAGCTGGTCGTAGAGTTTTTGAAGATGTACTGTTTTCTCGGTCAATTGATGTACTTCTTGGCGTTCGCCGAATGGTAGACGTCATACAGGCTAGTCGATGCTGTCCGGGATCGGGACGAATTTGCTGCGTTGCTATGAGACTTCTGTAAAGGACCAGAGGGTTCGTAATCGCAACACTCGTTCCATTGGGAGGCATTTGGAAGACATGAGAGGAAAGATGTTGATGCTGAGTGCAAGGCCAGGCGAAGTCATTACAGATTGATCTAGTCCTGATTCGGACTTGGTGCGTTCGATCTGATAATCGACGAGCTAGGCCATACTATGCAGAGTGAGGGCCCATCTGGAGTGTAAGATTCGATTGCTGCAATCTCTATAGATTTGACTTTCCGTACGCCAGACGCCGCTTCATGCTTTGGTATCCTGGTATCGTGATGAATAACAGAGCTCAGATATTAGTAACGCCGGGCACCCAAGCTCCAGCAATGCGCTTTACTTCCTGAATGAAACCGCGGCTCGTGATCTGTGTCGAACCAATCTTCTGCTCGGCGTCCGCTGTCACCGGCGAATGCTCATCTGGGTTGTAGAATGGATTTCGCAGCAACTTGATGTATGCTGTCTGTAATGCCCTGAACGCCTACCGGATGTCAGGATTAGGACTCAGAAAACACGACATACGTACAGGCTTCAGGTCTGCATCTCGCAGTCCTACTGCCGTTGCTGCTTTGCTGTCTAGTGCGGTAGCCGGTCGCCCCTCCATGTCGACCACGATGACGATCTTAACACCGGTGTTGGTCAGCCAGCCGTACATGGCCAGTCTTTCGTCAACTGCTTGGAGGAGACCGAAGTCCTGGTCCGCCGTCTTGTACGGGAGACGAGCTTCGAAGATGTCCAGACATGATGAAAGAAGGAACTGGAATTCAAGAGGCGCTCGTTCTTCCGCCGGGAAGAGCGAAATGTGCAATGGGTTGTTCTGAAAGCTAATCAGCTACGTGCTCGAGCAGCGTACAACGGCATCCCAGAGCCTCCAGCGTGCGACATCGTGCCCCTGGTAGGTAACTCCTAGGTAACTCACGTGCTTGCCGATGTAGCCTATGCAGCAGATGGAGGGCACTCGACTCGTCATGTTTGCAAGTGCGCCACAAATTCTTTGATTGCAGTTGCTGATATCACGGGTTCGATGATGCAGTCTTGCTGAGATCGAAGAGGCAATCGTGAGCGAGGTGCTTGTCCGACCTATCAGATGGCGTCTGCATCGTAAATGTAATCGTTGCTTGGCAAGAAACGTTAGCGCACGGCCTATTGTCATTGACTTCATACTGCCCCCCAAACGCCACCCTACGCCGCCTCTCCACTCTTCCCCCGGATACGCTCCTTGATACCCGTCGCCAACATGCTGTCGACAACACGGTACGGGGCCTCAATGGCTCTGCGAGGTGAGTCGCCAATGCCACGAAAGCCGCCGTCGCCTTGGAGCTAATTTGTGGCCAGCCAAACCCGCAACCGCTCTGCTGCCATTCCGCGCGGGAAGCGCAGCCTTCCTTTCGTCCAGCTCCTCCAACAATGCGACGACGGCCCCGGCTACCATCCCTGGCAACTCCGGAACACCGCCCCCGATGAAGGCAGCGCGCCGCGAGGTGCCATTGCCCAGCCAGGAGGGAAAGAAGGGTGCTATGCAGTATGCACTGTACGTGTGTCCGAGAGACAGAAGCGTTGAAATTCTGGTGGTAGAGGAGACTAATTGGCCGCGATAGGACCACCCTCGACCAAGTCGCCAACTGGGCGCGTCAGAGCTCCCTCTGGCCCATGACCTTCGGTCTCGCCTGCTGCGCCGTCGAAATGATGCACTTGTCCACCCCACGATACGATCAGGATCGTCTCGGTATCATTTTCCGTGCCTCGCCGCGTCAGTCCGACGTCATGATCGTTGCCGGAACCCTCACAAACAAGATGGCTCCGGCTCTGCGCCAGGTGTACGACCAGATGCCCGACCCCCGCTGGGTCATCTCCATGGGCAGCTGCGCAAACGGAGGAGGATACTACCACTACAGCTACTCGGTCACAAGAGGCTGTGACAGGATCGTGCCGGTCGATATCTACGTCCCCGGATGCCCGCCTACCGCCGAGGCGCTCATGTACGGAATTTTCCAGCTGCAGAAGAAGATGAGGCATACCAAGATCACACGGATGTGGTACAGGAAGTAGATTTGTCGCGATCGGGCAGGAAACAGGAAGCGAGAAGCCATTTGCATGCGGGCCAGAGCCATCATTTTCTTTTGTCTGTACAAATCAAATTCAGTACAACACGTTCTACACTCTCTGCTTCCTAGGTGGATGCAACCATGTCTAATCCTTGGCCACTTTACATGCACGCTCAAGCAAGCTTCTATTGCGACTCCCCAAGCCCAAACATCTTGATTGAGTTGTTCCATGCTGCGTCACACACCTCTTCCACCGTGATACCCTTGATCTGTGCAATGGCGTATGCGACGTGCGGAATGGTGGCAGGCTCGTTCCGCCCCTTGACCATCGAGCCCTTGACAAACTTCTCCTTCTTAACAGCCTTTGGTAGAGGAGGGGCGTCTTTGAGATACTTTGCGGATGCATGACTAGGCCGCATTTCGCACTGATCGAGTTAGTAAGAAGCAATCAGACACATGAGCGATGCGCTTACCCAAGGCCCGTCGGTCTCTATCTGCAACCGCTCGAGCGGTACCTGCCTCACAACATCGACGTTCTCATCCGCTACTCACATCAGCCAATTCATTCACACCGGAAACACATCAAACTCACTCTTCAAACTACACCCGTTGACTCCAATGTCAAACCCCAGCGCCACCAGTCTCTGCATCTCCTCCACCGTCCCCGTGAAACTGTGCACCAGCCCTCGCTTCGGCAACTGCTCCAGCCGCGCCCCCAACAGCCTCTCGAAATCCTCGCTGGCGGCGCGCGAATGCAGAAACAGGGGGAGTTGCACCTCGACCGCGATCTCGAGCTGCGCCTCGAAGTACTTGAGCTGCTGCTCCTTGGGCGTGAGGAACAGGCGGTCGTAGTCGAGTCCGAACTCGCCAAACGCAACAGCGTGGCCGGCGTCTCTGGCCTCCGTCGCGAGCTCTTTCAGCGCTTCGAGGAGCTTCGACGGCCCGCCTGGGAACTCGTCGAATTGCTTTGCCGAGCACGGGTGCACGCCTATTGTGGCGTAGCATAGTCCGGGGTGGGCTTTTGCGATTTCAATGGCGTGCTTGGATTCGGCGAGGTCGGAGCCGGTGACCATGAATTTCTTGCAGCCAGCATCTGTGGCGCGCTGGATGATGTCTTCAAAGTCGTCGTCGTGGCGCTGCTTGCCGTGGTAGATACCGCGGAAGATTGGGTCAGTGAAGTTGATGCCGATCTGGAGCTGGTGAGTTGATGAAGTGTGGTTGGGATGTTAGCAGACTGACATCAATGTATCTGAGTTTGCTAGTATCTGTAGACATGGTGGATTTCTTGGGATCCGTCGATGTACCGATTGAAACAGGGTCTTATATATGTTCAGTCTTGAAAGGGCAGAAGGGCGGTTGATAATTACTCGAAAGGCTGCTGTAAGAATTTCCTAACAACACCAATGGTCTATGCGCAGATGATCTGACAGGGTGAATGGTCGATACTGTTGCAATATCACGGTATCTCTGCACTCGCAAAGCCCTTGAGAACATAGGAGATGGTTGAAGAAATGTAGTCACTGCGTCATGTTCAAAGTGGCAGGCGCGTCGCCGCTAAGCTCGATACGTCTTAGTTTGGAGACATTCAATCATCTCATTCGGTCTACAACATCAGCACACAGTTCTCCTCTTGATTCAGAATTGCGCGGCTAGCTGTTCGCAGACTTCGTGACTGTTTTCAATCTATACTGCATGCACACGCTACACTTGACTCGAATTAAGGCCTTATCTGATTGTGCCAACCGCGGCCGTACAGCTGTGTGCCGGCCTTGATCATGTCGAAAGCACCGTTCGAGAATACCTGGTACCACAGGAAGGTGGCAGAGAACGCGACCAAACCGTGCAATATCTGTTACAAGCCTACATCGAGTGTCTTGATAACACCAAGCAACAAGGTACGATAAGATGCGAAGTTGACCTTGTCCTACGTTCACACCGAGCCAGGACTTCTTCTACGTATGCATTGGTCATTTATCCGACCGTGGATTTTGCCAGCCGGACGCAGATGAAGCTGCGGAGTTGGCTGAGCGCAAGAAGAAGGAGGAGATGGATCGTGAGGTCGAGAAGGTGAAGAAGGAGTACGAGGAAAAGCAGAAACTCAAGAAAGAGAAGCGGAAAGCGAAAGACAAGGAGAAAGACAAGGAAACTAAAGCTACCGAGGAAGAAGAGGACAAGAAAGATGAAAAAGCCAAGGACGACAAGGTATGTGTTTATGTGAACACAACGTTGTGTAAGCTAACGATTGCGTAGATCAAAGAGCTCTCCAAATCCGGCGAGGCATCTTCAAGTGAAGCTACAGCTAGAATATACCATCTCAACAAGTAAGCCTCTACATCTGACCGGCCGGACTATGTACTCACCACCATACACCAGGTCCTTCTACCAAATGCGCCTTGACAAGCTTCGGAACGCTGAAATCGCAAAACGTAATCGCGAGCGCCTACAAAACCCCGCAAACTTCCCCTCAGTGCCCAAGAACCTACCGTAGCTTAGTTCACCTCGAGATTTTAGTTCCACATCATCCCATCCCTTTCTCAACCCTCCCTACATCCTTTCAGCTTGCATCTGGGACTGTGGTGTAGATTTGGCGCACCAGAAACGATACGCGTGGTGTACAATACTGCTTACTGCAGTCAGCTTTAGCTTCTCACCCCACATTGGCAACGCAGTCAGCAAATAGCGGCCGTGCGACTGGCCATGACAAAGTGGAAGGTGTTCAGGCGTGTATCAGGTGGTACAGACGCAGATCATGCGAGCGATCTCGAGTCGACCATGCAGTCAGCATTGCGGGAACCCGGTGTTTCAACTGTCGAAAGTGTACCTCCGCTTAGGGCAGAACGCGCGATGAACGCGCAGCGCGCAGCGCGCGGGCATGCACTCACTCCTGCCACAGAGTCACAGACATACGCGTAATGTGTTGGCGGGATTTGCGCCGCAGCGCCAGCCAATCGCATCCGCAGCGCAAATTGTCCCGGTTGGCGTCGTCCCGCCTGCAGTGCGTTCCCGTGTCTCGTCTCGAAGGATTGCCTGCCGCACCTTAGGCCTCCCCTACTTGACTCATTGCGCCGTGGTATCTACATGGCCATGCCCTCTACATGACCACGACTCGCATACCAGCCCGACCCGTCGGTATAGGCGTGCTACGCTGCTAACCCGCGTGTGCAAGATCGCACGCTGTTACACGACTGTCGTGAAGTCATACAAGTCCATGCTGATGCTCGTGTGTCAGCCCCCACCTGCCGGATTCCGATCTCACTGCAAGTCATCTTACTCCCTCTGAGAGGGGTTCGTACAACATTTCGCCGAGTTTGGATGACAGTTGCCGCAGGAGGAATTCAATCATGGAGGGTTTTCTTGGCTGCATATGGGTATGCTGGCATATCAGCTGCACGGCTGTTGCCGGCTACGCAATGCAATGCACAAGATCAGCCTGTGCATTTGCAGCTGGGCATTTGCTTGTTCGGGGACGCAGAACTGTGTGCAAGGTGCAGATGTGATCCGAGTGACGTCGAGTAATCTCACGTCGTGTGCTGTGCATGCTGTAGAGACGTCCGATATCGCCGCCTGACTGCATTCAACGTCTGTATGATTGATGACGCTCAGCATCACTTCGTGCTGGTAACAAGGCATGAAACGTAAACGCTAATTGAGCACAGTGACAAACGGCGCGGCCGATGCATGATCAGCACCAGATTTCATGCTTTGTATTCTGATTTGATATAACACTTGTGCACGGTATGTAGTACCACAACGTGCGCAACACCGTTTTGTACATCGCGAGAGTTCTTCCGTCCATTTGCTACATGCTATATATAGGCAGAGTAACGACACAGTGTTACACAAGCAAGCTCTCACCGGTGCTGCTGTAACCTTGTAAATCTTGCTTTGCGCGACCTTTGAATGGGATTGCTGATGCTGAGACCAGCGAACGGAGGCATATGGCTGCCCAGCGCAGCGTTCGGATCAGCCCCCTCACCGCGACCTATACCGATGATCTGTTCAGGAAAGTAGAGCCTGCCGTGCAGACGTGATCAGAAGGTTTGCACGTGCGGCTTTCAAGTGCAACAAGCACTGTGATGTGTCGTGCAGTGTGCATCACTTAAACTTTGAGCTAATCAGGTAGTTTGCATGCTTGATGATATCTGTATTGATGTCTTATGCTAATCGGAGAATATGTTGAAGATCTGCGGCGCTGTATACACACATGTAATGATCCCTCATGCTGATACCAATCAAAATTGTTGACCAAGAGAACGCCGTTGGAATGCCTCAAGCCAAAGCTTGACTTTTGCGCGACCCGATGCCATCATGAACGTCGTAAGAAATGTTGACAAATGCAGCCAACCACCAGAACGCCCCAGAGAATACGCGTCTAGATGCTTGCCGAGATGCGAGAGTGTATAGTATTCGACCTTTGGCGATGATTTGACTTTAGCGCCGACCAGAAAAAGACAATTGCTGCGACTGTGATAAGGCATTGATGCTGAACACGCGTTGCTTAACCAGAAATGATGTGATCCTTCGCTCACGAGTTTCACACAACGCATCACGACTCGTTGTGTGCTTCGTTTATGACCCCAGGTTTTGCCGAGAGAGGAGAGACAGAGGGACCGGAGATAGAACCCACAGAACCAACTCGCTCTTGTGGCAATGGCTCGTCCCTCATGCACGCATTTTCCAGCATGTTGGTCCACTTTCCACTTGTACCGGCATGGCTGTGCTTCAGATGTTGTCGGAAATGATCTGCACGGAAGAACTTCTTGGCTTGGTTGCATTCGCCAAATTTGTGGGCGTGGTTCAGATGCTCTGCTCGAGCGTCCCAATTCGGAGGGTTGGGAAACTCTTCGCCACAGTATCCACACAGATCAGCCGCAGCTGGACGAGTGGGATTAGAGTGGAACGCGGACTGAACGCCAGAAAGCGCAGCACACGACCATGAGTGTCGCCGCAAATGCAGAGAATTTTGATGGCGCTCGGCCTCATTCTTGTTCTTGAACCGATTCGGGCAATACTGACAAATGTACTGCTTTTCTAGCTCGTGTGATCTGTGCTCACACGTCAGCGCATTGCGGAAGGCGGGTAGATTAGCGGTGGGGAGACAAGGATATCACTTACCGCAATTCATCTTCGCTGTCAAACTTCTTAGGCTTCTTGGGACAGCATTCGCAAATGTAAGCGCCTGGAATACGGTTCACCATCGAATTTTGTCGCGAGTGAATGCTACTTTCTGACGAGAGTTTTCGGATCTGAGAAGGATGTTCGGACTCCGAGTAGCCTCGTTGGTGCTGCGGTCTTGATAGAGAGCCGCGGGGGCTAGGATTTAGCGACCTGCTAGCTGCATACGGAGAGGCAGGACCAAGCTCCGCCTGACCCAAGGGCGACAGCGCACTGGGTGACAAGCGTTGATCTCCGCCATAACTTGTCATGCTGCTTGCCGCCGTGGAAAACCCCAGAGAAGAGCCGACTGAGCCAGTGCGCGGACCTGAAGACGACACCGAGGAGAGCGACCCATGTTGCATTTGGAAACGCGATGCGGGGTTGTTCCGATTGACAAGCATCTGCGCCGAACGCCGATGATACAAGTCAGGCAAGCCGCTCGCAGTAGGGCGATCGTCACGCACAGCCTCTGGAGGGGGTGATGAGGCGCGCCGTTTCAGGCCACCCTTCTGGTGTAGATGATACTCATCACACCCTGCAGGACTGCGATCGTCGATGTTTAGATTGCGCATGCCATTCTCCTCCATTCCACCAAACTCGTGATCGGAGAATATGCTGTGGTCGTAGCTACCACGGTGGAGTGGTGCGCTCTCGTCTAACGGGCCTGGCGTGGAGATGCTACCGAAGCGCGCCCTGTTTGCATCCGGCCCGTCGAACACGGGACTACGAAAGCCAGTGTACCCAGGAGATATCGTGCCAGACTGCGGCCACTTGATAGCGGGTGAGTCGGGGTGTAGCCGATCAGGGACGGAGAGGGGCTTCAGCTGCTGCCCATTCGACTTGTGGGCGTGAGTGTCGGCGGGTGAATCTTGAGCGCTGCTCGATAGCGGTGGCGCGGTGGTTCTCGTTGGGGTGTTAGGGCCGCCGATCTTGGAGAGGAGCTGTTTGTCGTAGGCCTGCGACGAGTGATCTAGTGCCTTCTGGCCAAGCTGCCGTTCACTTGTGAATCTGTGTTTCATGATTGTGGTTAGTCGACATACAACGTGGCGTATACATTGTATACATGGGCATGGGGTGGACTCGGTGTGGAGGCAGTGAGGTGAAGTGGTCCATGTCACGCAGTGCGTGCCAACGAGGCGACGGCGCTCATTTGATTGGCAAGCAGGAGACAACGGGGAAAGCACAGGGAACGCCTGGGACAGGAGATTTCTTACCTGTGGTTGCCGAGTGATGGCCGAGTCTTGCCGCTGCGATCTTCGTCACTGTTGTGATCCCTGCTGCCCTCAGAGCTCATGTCGTCGAGAGAGCGAGAGATGGAGGGTTCGCGACCATTGAAAAGAGAGTCGGCCGACTGGTCCCGCGGATGATGCACCTGGCGGCTGCCAGATCCACCGTATAAGCTCGAGCCAGGTCTAACTGTCGCGAGCCGGTTTCCGCCAAAGCCGTTTTCTTTGGGATTGTTTGTGTTACCCCCATTGCCAGCCGGGATCAGACTGGCCGGCCTTGAGGTCTTCAATGTGACGTGGAGGAGGCAAGGGCGGGGGCACGTCTTCGCGTGCGTTTGGAATGGCCATGGCGACGGCAGGGCTTGAATAGGAGGGTCGCTGGTAGCGTGCTGATTCATATACCCGGATACTTGGGGTCGACGACATGGTCGTGTGCACTACTGCTAGCGGACGATGATGTCGCGACGGGCCGCCACTGAAGGGCAGCTGAAGCGTGCCCTCGCAGCAGACGCGCCGCAACTGTGGCGAGCGCTGCGTGCAGGGCGTGAGACGATGCTCTCGCTACTGGATAGTCGACGCGGAAGGCGCACGGACGATTGCAGAGTCTAAGCTGGGCAGTTAGCCGGGATGGCCGAAACAGGCAGGGTCGTCGCCGGCAACGCGTGCAGCAGCAGCTGAAAAGTCTGTTGCATGGTGCGTAATGGAATAAAGTGCGGCTCACCGAGAACGTACGTGTCGGGCGCTGCACAGGGCCCAGCGTGACCGGACGGCGAGGCTGGCAGGGCAGAAGCGTTCGGGCTAGCGCCTGTTTCCTTGCACTGTAGGGCTGAACCCGAACCCTCTCCAGACGAACGGTGAGGCTGCGACCTGGACTTAGCTGAGCGTCTGGCCGGCGCCGCCACACAGTGCTTTTCCTGCTCAGGTAGGTCGAGGCAGGGGGCTGGTCATATGATCAATACTGTTTGCGGGCCTCAGGTCGTGATCATGGTACTACCGCAGCCCTTACGCACAATGCTCCAGCTCAGCGTTGCGCAGACACAGCAGAGGGCGAGTGGCGAGACGGAAGGGGGAGAAGAGGTCCCTGCGCAGACACCGGCGATGCAGGCGCGAAAATAGACGCTGGGAGAAGACCGGGCCTGTTTCGTGGAATGGCAGCAACAGCAACCACAGCGAACAGAAGAGCAGAACACCGGGGACTGCCTCAGCATTAACCACAGTCTCTTGTTGGTGCTCAGGGGCGCTGATTGGACACACTTAGCACGGACAGGCGTTGTGGAGCTCGACAGGGATGGCCTTCAATCTGCAGCCCTTACTCGACACCACGCTCTGGGGCTTTTCGAGAAGTCTGCCGAAGGCCTCAGCGCTGGCAAGTGCGAGGCCGCTCCACAACACTGCTGTCTCGTGCGGCCTCAGCACTGGCTCCGGGGTCACTCTGGCCGTTGACGCTGCCGTGCTGTTTTATGCGCCCTGGCCTGTTGGCGGCAGCGACAGCGACAGATCAGACACAACCATGGCGAGACCAGGTGTTTCCAGGGGCCTGGGTGAGAGGAGAGCTCACTCAGACGAAGACTTAGCGCAGCAGTCCATGTCGAATGGCTGGCGAGCTCGCTGTCCGCTCTCCCGCCCGTTGCTGAATTCCTGTATGCAAAACAGCGATCGACATCGGCCTGCTCAACGGTGACTTCTGCGCGGGAGCTTGCTGGGTGGCCACATGCCAGGGATCTGACGAGTCATCCTGCATGTTGCGCTGCACCACTCTACACACGATGCATGCGTCAGACAGAACTGCGTAAGGTGGGATTTGAACACGGGTAGGTGTACGCGGGAATGGTCCGAGACGCCAGGCCCCTCTCAGCCTTACCAGTTAAGTTGAGAACTCCCTGCCCGCGTCTTAGCTGGCACCTCGCCGTCCCCACGCCTCGCTTGCAGCTTGACCAATTGATTCCACACTCCGATCATTTGAGATATCGTACATTGTCCGGTCGGGTTTATCTGAATTGGTATCTGACACGCCAATCGTAATGCAGAGATGCGATCTCGTTGTCGGGGAAATACCACCACTGCTCCGAAGGACCAGGCCATGTGCCGCAGTGCCTGTGTGCATCTCCGACCACTGGATACGACACAACATGAGTTAGAGCCGTATATGCAACCGCTAGCCTGACCACACGTTGAAAAGGTGCATTCGCCGTGGAACAGCCCTACGGGTCCTCGTGGTATTGCGGCCTCGGATCGACGTGGATTGACTTCCCGTTCTGGCACGCTGCATAGCAATGCGTCTGGTCGACTGTCGTCAAGACTCTGGAGTCGTGAACGTGCTGCGCTTTCAGCCGCCAGTCAAAGTCCCACAAGCCCCATGCTGAAGCTGACTGCTGACCCAGAGGGCAGCAATTCGATAGCCGGGACAGGTGGGCAGTCTCGTTTGCGTTTGGCGTTTGATGCGGGTTGAGCGTGCACGGTACCTGCCGTCGAGCCGCGGAAACATTCGCAGGGGAATCGCGGCGAGTGTCTAGCCTTACAGCTCCGATTTCAATTCCAGTTCAACGTGATGCGTGCTCTCGATCGATCGCCTGCGCTATTTACTATCTTCATTATCTAACAACGAGGATGTTCACAGTATACCGTCGAGCCGTCACTTTGAAACTCCCCTTCGCCCGTAGCCACTACTGCAAGATACCGTATCGCAGATCATTGTGTCTTGCTACCTGCGTAAGGCTGCGTGGCGCAGCCAAAAGACAGTTGCGCTGAGTCTCAGCATGTAACGCTGTGTCGGTCTCCGTCAGCCCTATTGGAGATTGCCCCCTAGTGTTGGGTCGCGCTGCGCTGTAAGTGGGCACATGGCCGCTGACTAACTGCTTTACAAGTCACCGTTTTAGGGTCGCCACAGAGCCTCGGTCAAAATTCGAAGCCTCAACCCGACCAAGCACCACCACGTCGTGCGTAGTCGTCGGTTTCAAACCTACGACATCATCTCCGACCCCGACCGCTCTCGGATAGCTGTGCATTGGTCTCCTAAGCGCCATGGCCCTCATAGACAGAGTTCCCGGGGACTTGGATCTCTACATTGGTGGGTACGTAACGGCCCCCGTGTTGAGATGCTTGATCCGTGTATTCGCGACTATCGTTTTGGAGCTGATTAGCGCAATGTAGCATGTTCACTCTTCGACGACGCGAGGCATTGCAGGAGGCAAAAATTACACACGTCCTGTCTGTGCTGCGTACGCCACTGGATCAGGATCTCTTTGCGCCTTTCAAGCATCATGTCGTGGAAGTTGACGACGTCGAAGATGAAAACTTGTTAGAACACTTTCCTGCCACCAATCAATTCATCCAGGACGGACTCGATGGTGGTGGCGGGGTTTTGGTGCAGTAAGTCAAACCCCAGCTCAGCTGAGAACATGCATGAACAACCTTCGATCTTCACTGCCGACTGCCTTGCTTGGCAATTTTGCCATCCTCACGACGCAGGGGCTTCAACACTTCGTTTGCTGCATCACATGCAATTGTCCCTGCTTTCCGCGCATCCTTCACAGAGAATTTCTATTTTCTTCAACCTGTTCTGTTTTTAAAAAATCATGCACACCGCTCGTTTGCCACCTTCGTTCCCAGCCACTCGTTTCGATATGCCAACCACATTCCTTCATCTAGTTGCGCAATGGGGAAATCGCGATCCGCCACGGTTGTCATCGCCTTTTTGATGCAGAAACACAACATCAGTCCATCAGAAGCTTTGTCCAATGTTCGGCAAGCCCGATCAATCGTCGAGCCAAACGAAGGCTTTTGGAAACAGCTCGAGTTGTATGGCCAGATGCAAACGCCGGACAACGTGGAAGAAACCCCGGCCTATCAACGTTGGGTCTATCAACGGGAGCTCGAGCTGAGTCGTGCATGTGCCCAAGCCCCTGAGGCTAACAAGATCCGATTCGAAGACGAGCACGTCAAAGAGCAGACGTCAGGCTTTGAGATGAGGTGTCGTAAATGCAGGTGAGTGGCGCCTCACAGCTCTTCTCATACTACTCTGCATCACCTGGATGCTTCATGCTGACACATTGGCAGGCGACCACTTGCAACGTCCCAGTATCTCACCGCGCACAGCCAAGACGTATCGAAGTCGAAGTGTGCACACTATTTCGTAGACCCTCTCTCCTGGATGCGCCCCGAGCTTGAGCAAGGCAAGCTGGAAGGTCGGGTAGAATGTCCGAATTGTCACGCTAATGTTGGTAAGTATGCCTGGCAAGGTATGCAGTGCAGTTGTGGTGATTGGATGGTTCCGGGGATCAGTCTTGCTAAAGGACGGATCGACGAAGCACGAAGAGGTGGAGTCAGTGGCATCCGTCGACCACCAGGCGCGCCTGGTGCGAACCACGACCTGGGACGAGAGAACCTATGATCGCCCGAAGCCAGACAATCTCTGACTCGAGTTGCCCGCTATACTCCTCAAGGTCATTGGAGGTATGGTGGCGGTTGCCCTGGAGCTTTTAACAGGCTACTTGGCAAATGCCTTCGTATATCAGACTCCACATGAGAGCTGTCTCACATGTTATGGCCCCCAAGATCATCAGAAGACTGTGGAGATCGATGCTTGGACTGTCCCGCATCTCTCGGACTGCCCGATAGGGCTGCCACCAGGCAGACTTCATCCATGCGCGGAAGCATTTCTGTTTCCGTGTCTAATTACCATACACTATAGCGTGTGTTCTTCCCCATATACACCACCCTTTGGTGCAGGTAGAAACAAGCTTTGTAATACAACAGCCAAGCCGCGCTTCTTCATTATATCTGACCCACTCGCTTAACCTTCTCAGCAACCACCATTGACAGCAGTACTTCCTCCTTCGCTCATCACTGCGACAATTCACCTCCCCTGTGGTTAGACCCACTTTAGAGCTGATATGGTCCGAACACATTGAACCACCACACATCTCAAATCTCTGCCTCGCCACCCGGCACCACAGCCGTCCCGCCACGCGTAACGTTGACATCTGCTTACTCAGTGGCCCAACACCACCAATACGACCGCATCCCGGCATTTTCCGTTTCACAATATCTCTTCATCGACGATGATAGAGCGCGTAGTGCTTGGACTTGGCCTGGCCGATCGAGATGAGCATTGAGATGAGCACGAGTCACTGAAGATGCTATTCCGGCAGTCGAGCTACGAATACTAGGAGACGCCATCCTTGCGGGGTCTAGGGCCGCGTGGCAAGTTAGCAACACCTGTTCCTGGCTGCTGGATGCCTTCTTTTAGCCTTGTCGCGCGCGCCGGGCACATTAGTCCTTGTACGTAGAGCAGAGCGCATGGTAGTGCGCGGAATACAGCGTCATAGGGCGGTCTTGGCTTTCGGTGTCCAAGCAGCTACGGATCTCGACATCCGCGTCCACAGCTTTTTCGGCAGGAACTAACTCTTCGTTTGCGACTTGAGCGGTACGGCAGGGCCGGGGAGTTGGCAAGCTGCGCTCCGTGAGATGGAACCCGGCAAAGTATTCCTAAAGTGTAGAAGATTTGTGCCGCTGCTGTAGCGGACGTGCACAGGTTGATAGGATCTAGGTTGATCTGTATGTGTCACAGCACAAAACTCGTCAAGCTGATAAGAGTCTGTAATCATGGGCAGTGAAGCAAGGTATCCTGCAGAATAAGCGTGACGTGTACAAGTTGAGGCTCGCGAGTCGAGCTCTGGTGTGTTGGAGAGTTTGTAAGGCATACGCTGAGGTATCGCTTAGTCTCTGGTAAGTGTTGGACTCTGGCAAACGACGCTCCTCGCGGTGTTCGAGATTCAAGATTCGTAGTTACATTTAGTGAGTTATCGGTTGTGTAGACTGGGGTTTGAAGTCTATGTTTTGATATCAGTTTATACGCGTGATTGAATCTTTCCGCCACTCGACTTTCCGGCACTTTCCCACCTCAACTTCAATTTTCTGTCAATTCGTTGCAACAAGCATGTATGCATACCAAAGTACCCAACACTTAGCTGTGGTGAGGCGTTTTCGCTGATCGTATCCGTGTTAGACAAACTCGAAAAACACATCCTTCTTCTTCTCTTTCCGAACCAACGCTTCCACCACAGCACTGTGCATCCAATCCTCCACATAGCATTCACCTTTGAGAGTCCACCGACCATTACCAGCATCGCTGATCACAAATGGACACTGTCCACCCCACAATGCCACAACCGCATCACCCTCTTCCAAGCCTTGCGGCCCAAGTCCAAACATGCCCGTCTCTGTGACAAAAGGTTGACGATACGTGATGAAGCCCCATACTGTCTCCTTCCACTTGAGACCCTCGTTGCGATTGAAATCCAGACCCTCAGTGGGTGTTCCGACTAGACCGGCGCCAATGTCCCCCATAGTATCCGTCAAGAATGCCACAATCTCTTCCTCCTGGTATGGGGGCAGGCGCTGCCCGGTTCTATCCCTGCCGCCCGTCAATATCTTAGCAAGTCCATGTACAGTGATTCCGGCATTGATGTACCACCGAATCAGCAGCTCGATATGCCGTTGCATGTTGTGGGCTCGTACAAAGGGTATGCTTGCTCCCATTGCGCGGACCGTGTCCAGCACAGTGCCTTCGAGCTGAAGAAGCTCTGGTCTAGCACCGGTTCTGAAATGAACCGATCGAGAGAGACCTGTTGAGTACTGGTGCCCAGCATTCGTATTTGAGATTGGAGAAGCCGTGGTCTTCGAGTTGAAATTCGGTACCCATGACGGCAAATCGTCAATATGCTCCTGGTCTGTCGGAGAGTTTGGTGAGTCACAAAGGACTAGGGCTAGGATGTCGAGATTCTGCTCTCTGGATATGTATTTGCGGGTCACATCCGTATAAACCCGGCTCGCGCTCAACGCGTAGTTTGGGATGATAGGGTCCTTGCTCCGGTCATCGTACATTGTTGGCAATCCGAGCAGCCCGTAGATTTTATCCCTCGGGTCCGTGACCTCGAAGCTTCGCGCTACATCGAGCAAATGGAGAAATGGAAGTGTTTCGGACTCTTGGTTGTGCCTCGCGTTGCGGAAAACGGTACTCAAGTGCCACATAAGGAAGGCGTTATGAAAGTTCCTCGACTGGAGGAAGCTTTGTATCAACTCGTTTTTCCGAATGCTTTCGATAGCAGAGCCCACATGAGCCCATGGTATTGAATAATCACCCCACATAAAGATAGCGTCCTGAGCCAGGACGATCTCTTGTAGTACCCACAGTCGTGTGAACCAGGTCTGGCAGAAGAACATCATAACTTTTGCCCAAGCATTGCAGTCTTGTAAATCGACTTCCCTTTCCAGAATAATAGGTACGCGGTCTTGTGACCTTGTTTCAAGGTGAGCACCTTCGCCTTCCAAGTTGGCAAGCCAGCACAGCAAACCGAATGCGCCCTCTGCATCACCAGCATCGTCGGCACCAAGCCACACGACAACACGTGCTGCGCTGGCATAGATAGAGTTCATCTTGCGAACTTGGGTACCTTTCTCCTTGCTGTCGTGCTGATTGATACACAGCGCATCAACCCACATTACGCGATCTCGATCGACTCGCCGCATACCCTTGAGTGCATCATAGAGGTTTCTAGTGACGGTGATCGATGTTTGTGTGGTGCGGCAAATGATATACGACACTGGAACGCTTGAGCCCCATACGTAGGAGAGTGCTTCATACTCTGGAGAAGTATCATCTAGTCGGGCAAACTCGAGAGTGACTTCGATCGGATCGCTTGTAGTACCCTTGTGGATGCGCAATAGACGTATAGAATTGTCGTAGGGCATAATTTGGTAAAAATTTGATGTTACCAACGGCTGCACGGACAGGACAACGGCCTCTATATTTTCTGCGAATTCACCTGGAGTACTCTTCACGCTTTCCTTGACTGAGGACTTTGCAATTGAATCCTGCGAGGTGTTATGACGGCGCACAGTGGACAGGTGTGCTTCGATGCCGTCTTGGTGTGATGATTCATACTGGTGACAAAAAAGTTCGTGACGTGGACGCCTGTGGAAGGGTGGCCGTATCGGCGGTGGTGGAGTGCACGCAATCATTGACCTGAACCAGGCTGTTACGATACTCTTCGTTGAACGCGGGGTGTAGTGATGGCTCTTTTCCTCTGGAACGGGAGGCAGATATTCACAACCTTCCCTGTCAGCCTTGCCCATGTCCATGTTGAAAATTGCCGTGGCTTTGTGGAATTTCAAAAGGCAGCTTAGTAAATGAAGCTGTTGAGAATCGATGAAATGATGGAAAGAGTCGACACGAGGGAAGGGCTATGGACGGTGATAATAGCATATGAACTCATCTGCAGTGTCTCGTTACTTACCACAAGGCAATCATCTGTGACCGGCCTGATGCAGACACCCGTCCGATGCAACTCAGCCCCGATACCTCAGCCATACGCTGTCATTCCTTAATCCCTGGATGTTATTCGTTGTTCATCAGGGATGCATAGCCAGAGGATCATGTTGTACGCGCTCAAAAGGGCGCAGGGGCTGGGTGCGAGTGAGGCTGCAGGCCCGTAACACAGGGATTGTGTGGAACTGAGAAGAGATGATCCAAACCGACAAAATGAAGGGGTGGTTGCAGCAATGACCTATTCAGGTTAACACGCCACCTGGGCACCATTGGAGCGCTTTCGTGATATGTGGACGAATCTCTGTTGTGGCCCAGAGATTAGACTGAGGAATCAACTGTTTCCTTGTGTAGACAGCTCTTGATGAACTTTAATCGACGATTTCTCCATTCTTGACACTTGGTGAGATTGGCAGAGCATGTCGTGTTAATGGGTAGGACAATGTTGGTCTACGATCTGCGATGATATCGTAAACACGTCGGCAATGCTGCCTTGTCAGAACTGAACGAGCTTGGTTCGTGGTGCATCGTGCATGGTCGGATAATGCGCCCGCTCTGGATCGTGTGTTGCAGGTCACATGTAAAGCTGGAGGCACGAAGTGATGTGCTAGCGGCCGGCGCATGTGACTACGCGGTTGGTAAGGCTGACGGGTGGAGGTGAGAAGACGACGATCACGTTCGATTGTGTTCTTCCAGGCGGCGGCGCGTGCTAGCGTAAGGGCACTGCCGTCATGTTGGAGGAAGGCACGCCATCCCAACCACCTTCCTTACTTTATTGCGACGGCTGCTGTGTTCAGTCGCGCGCTTCTTCCCTTGCCTGATCCCTGCGCAGCGCTCGTTCACGTTGGGGCATCGGACGCCGTCTTACCCCACCGCTTATCAATCTTCCCTCGTGCGTGCAGCCATCAACAAACACGGGCGGCTGACCACAGCACCGGGTCCCTTCGCTTCTGGTGTGGTCGCCATATTCTTGCTGCATGCGCTGCTGTTCCCGCTGCACCCTCCCCCGGCCGCTTGCGGCTCGTCACACAGACATCGTCATCGTCGCGGACGTGCTTTGTTTCACATCTCGGTCGACTCCAGCTTCGCCGGTTTCTCAGGGCCAACCCGACACATTCGCGCGACTCCTGAATCAGGGGAAGCTTTGCCCTTCACTATGTCTTTCAGCGACTCGGAGATCGAGCTGGTGAGCTCGCAGCTGGAGCTGGGCAACGACGACATTCCCGAAGAAAGAGACATGTTTCTCTCAGACGACGCTGGCGACGGCCAGGCGTTTGCTCCTCCCCCACGGGTCGCCGCACGCTTCTACCGCCACGCCAGCAACCGCCGCAAGTCGTCCGCAGCATCGTCCCGTCGCAACTCGCTGTCCTCAACCCACTCCCACACCTCGTCCCGCTCCACAATCCGCAACAGCTGCCAGAGCCACCACATTGCTCAGCACCTCCGTCGTGTCTCCATCCTAGAAACCCGCAAGGCACGACTGGCCGACAGAGCTGCCCATGCCGAGCAGGTCCGTTTGCGCGCCGCCGCCGCCAAGGCCACACCACGTGTCTCCAACAGCGAGGAGAAGGCGCTGGCCGCCAAGGAGGCTCGCGAGCGACATCTTGCGCAGGTCGCGGCGTCATGTGCCGAGGAAGTGCGCAGGGCCAAGAAGATCGCAGAGGATATGAAGGAGCGAAAGGCCGCCGAAGAACGCAGATACCGCCTTGAGATGGAGGAGAAACACGCAGAGGCAGAGAGGAGGAGACTGGAATACAAGCGTAGCCCTCGCAGACCGCGAACTGCAAGCTCGCCTCCCGCCGATGCGAAGAAAGAAGCCCAGCTATCACCTGTACCAACTTCTGAGGACGCTGCTAAGCGCATCCAGGCAGCATGGAGGGCGAGAACCAGGAAAAACATCGTGGACGAGTGGCTGGAGACTGGATTATCAATTGAGAGGATTAGCAGTACGACTTTTGAGGATATGACTACTATGCTGGCCGACGAGAAGCTCTTGAAGATGACGGAGAAAGTTATGGAGCTGTTCGTTCTTCTACCGGACCCTGACCCAGCTGCCCGTGGCACAGCCGTTCGAACGTTCCTATCCTCATACCTCATCTTGGGTCACCCAGCCAATGTGTTGAGCCGAGATGGAGATCAAGAGCAAGATCTTATAACCAAGGCCAAGGACTTGGTTCTCTCGTTTGAGTCGGCTCTCGGAAAGCTTACAACCTTCAACTACTACACTCCTTCCCCTACCAGGACCGAGACGGTGCTGTTGGCTCACAGTGCATTCGTGGCGGCCTTCAACGACTGGAAAGCTCGCGACTCCTCTGCTCTGATCGAGACCATGGTCGCTTCCTTTGTCAGTCTTGATGAGATATGGCAGAGCGTCAAGGACGCCACCGTTGAGGAGGTTGCGAATGAGTACAGGATAGGCATTCGAGACAATCAAGCTATCTTGCTCAGCAGGATAAAGAAGCTCGCCGGCCCAGACAAGGCGTTGACCTTGATACGAAAGGCCATACGGGAAGCTCGAAGGTCGCGGCCGAAGAAGCGCCCTGCAGGAGAGACAGTTCGACCTCGAGTTGCTATCGATGTGTCTTCTGGGTCGCCAATCGAAGGCGAGAACGCCGCCATGCAAGCCGAGGCTGCTTCTGAGCTTGCAGCTTCCGGCCAGGCAGCACATCTTGAGTCTGCTGCACAAGGACATCAAGCCCAGTCGTTGTCGAAGGTCTTCACGGTTGTCCCAGACAACCGTGTGCTTGTCCACGAATTGTCCATCGACAAAGAGTACCGCATCGATGCGTCGCCAACAGCCGATTTGAGAGATGCCCTCAACCGCGAGCTATGTGACGCTATGCGCAAGGGTTTCGAAGATGGCGACAGTGCACAGTGGACAGCTGCTATGGCAGAAAACATTCGTGCTAAGCTGTTGCGCTTGTTAAAAGCCGGCAATTCGATGCACACACTGATTTCCGAGACTTTGGACCCAGATCACATCAAGAAGCAGTGCAATCAAGGGCTTTTCTCATACGAGAAGTTCTTCAGCTTTATTGCAAATATCTTGCCCAAACTTTGTGCACCTTTCCGAGATGCTCAGGTCAAAGAGTTGGCAGACGAGCTACAGGAGGAGGGCGAGCTTCCTGAGATGGTGGAGAAGCTATTCAAACTTCTGCACGTCATCGATCTCCTTTCGCTGGACTATTCGAACTTCCTTCTTATGAACGCCGCGCCTACCCTGATCAAGGAGGCGACTGGTTACGAGCAACGCATGTTTGCGCAGGACTTGGAAGAGGGCAATATTACCCTGGATCGCACACGGCGCTGGTGGCGTAGTGCAGCTATCAACATGCACACTGAGGCCGATCGCCGCGATCCATGGACGCAGCCTAACCCTATGAACCGTCAAACGGCCCATAAGATTTACGCTCGCGGACTTGTCGACCTTGCAATCTCTGTTCCGCCACTACGCGATTCTGAGCTCCCAGAAACACTCGCGCTGGACCGAGCTCGCATCTCCCGCATTCGCGCAGATGCCCTGCGTATCACTACTATCGGCGGCATTTTGCTGACGGCGAAGAACCTCCTGAAGCGTGATGTACGCTCGCAGTGGAAGCCCCAGGCGAACCGCATGTGGGATGTTCTCAAAGATGGCTACATGAAGGATCCCACCACAGCTTCCAAGATCTCGTCGCTACTCGAGTCTTCGCATAATATGCCTCCGTCGACGCGCGCTCAGCTGTCCGCGACAGTTACACGTCTCTTGACTCAAGCCGAGTCATGCAAGCTCTCCGATCCTGTCACCAAAGTCCTCTTCCAGCGCCTCAAGACGCATATATTCAACCGCGTGTCGGCTAGCAGCTCGGGAGAGCGCGTCAAGGCTGCTAGTACCGCTACCGAGGGGCTGGCGACGACTGGACTTGCAGAGTTCGTGCCGCAGGTTGCAGACATTTGCGAGCAGCTGAGCAAGGTTGGCGATGTCGACCGCAAGGCGCACGGCAAGTGGTATGAGGAGATTGCCGAGCAGATGGAGAACGAGCCGCTCGAGGGCGAGGAACTGGCGAGAAGCGAACGCGATGGATCCACTGCTTCTGGATCATCTTCTTGAGCGATTACTTCGTCTACTCTTGTTTAGCAGAGCCGGGGCTTGGATGTACGGCGCTTTCTTTCTTTCTCTTCATGGTCTATCCACAGTCCGCTTTCTTTCCTGATTTGTGTCACAATCAGCAGTTTTTCTTCGGCGCGTTCTGCATGGTGTTGGGGTTGCTTCTTTGTGTGGAAGCGCTATATATGGGTTTCGAGCACTTATTGTTGTTCATTGCTAATCAGTTGATCAATTTGGACGGCGAATACATCACATGGTGACAAGGACGCCATTTCTCCTTAACACATGCCTGCGAGTGACCAAGAAAGCCAATTATTATCTGGTTGTAGAGAGGCAGAAAACCTATGCCAATCGAGTTGCTCGTCCATACAGTGCCGTTGCTTATCCCCGCGTTCTACTGTTTATGGCAGCGGCCTTGTGTCTCTGTCCGTGGAGGTACCTCAGACGCTCAAGTCAATCTCGCAAAGCTCGAGCGTTCTCTAGCCGCAGATCAGTACGTAGTGACTCTCCGTTCGACAGATATCCACGAACTCACCTCATCAAGCCAGTCGGGCGCGTCGAGGTACCACCTGTTAAACTTGAACTGCTGTCGTCAGCGTTACGTTCGCATATGCTTGTACAGATATGGGCTGCGTACGCTCAATCTATAGCTTCCCGACGGGAATCGTTTGCTACACAGCTCCAGCAGTTTGTCATCGTCTATGTATCGGTCTTCGATTATCTGGGGTGATGGACTCCGTAGCGGTGGAGTGATCTGTGATGAAGGGCTTTGGGGCGCCGCGGGTTGCGGGGGTAATAGGGTTGGGGCAACCGTCATTACCGCAGCAGTGTCGGTGACGTTGCCCACGGTGTTTTGAGATGTTTTCTTCTTCCCAAAGTGCATGTTGGGCGAGATACTGTAGACACCGTGACCGTTTCTGGGAGGTTGGGGATTGAGTGGCAGTGGAGGTCACGGGAGGGTTGGATCCAGCAAGCAGTATCGTATCAGCCTACCAGAGAGCCTATCCAGACCTTGCTTGCTGATCATGCTGCCACGTTGAACAAGCCGGGGCTCTTGTTGTAGGCGGAGTCCTTTGGGCAGTCTGCCTTGTAAGAACGCACCTGCGAGTTGCCCGTTAGCGGAACGCCGAGCACCACATACCGCAGACCGCATACGGGATGCAGGATGAGTCACTGCAGCAACGTGATTGACGAGAATCTTTCTACGGGCATAGTTTCGATCGAAGCAACAGCGTAGCTCGAACATAAATCGTTCGTCGATTATGTCAGATAGGTGAGGGTTTTTCAAGATCGTATTCCATGCTTAGCCCATTGAGCAGATCGACAAGAGGTATTCTCGAAGGATTCGGGGTGTAAGATGCCTCGTTCGATGCCTGATGTGTTGGCTATGCATGAGCACATCGTTAGCTTGCGAAGTCTGTGGGGCGCAGGGTGCGACTCCAGGCCCTGTTGGATCGATTCAACATGTAGCTAATAACCCCAGTCGTCAAATGCTAGTGCTCTGGTTTCAAAGCAAGGACTGATTGACATTGTAGTGGTCGAGTGTAAATGTGGTGACGAAAAGAACAAGGCACACATGTGACCAACCGCGCTAGTATCAACATAGTTAGCCACCACTGACTGCATGCATGTCGGCGTGATTGATGCCTCTCAGCCTGCTCGCACGACACACAGCAGCCTTGTGTAGCGAAAATACTGACCTTTGCTTCCAAGATGCATCCCACATGACGGCTTATGTTGACAGCATCCCTGGAAGCCTCGCCTCCATGCGCTTCACTTACAGATCGGGGATGATCATCATCCCCTTTTCTGATCTCAGCCCTTCAAACGTTTTGCATCAGCACCATGGAGACATCCGAGTATTTTGAACGCACTTTGTTCCACGATGGGGGCCCTGAAGCAAACAGACATTACGAGGACTGTGCAGGTTCGGTGTTTGATGAACGCTGTGCAGACACACCGGTCGAAGCTCGAATACCATCACGCAGCAAGTTCGTTGAGACAGCAACAAAACAAGGTCTCCCGTCCGGTACACAGTTCTTTTCTCAGTCGGACCACTGCTCAGATTATCGACTGGGGCAGGCCCTGTCCGTAAAAGGTGGTTGCGACCCAGTCATACCAAAGGATGCAAACGTCTGTCCGGACTCTGCAGAAGATGGAAGGCTTGACGACGATGACAATTCTTTTGTCTCAAGCCGAGCATCTAGTACCGGTCTCACCCCCAGCGCTGACCAGAATCGAGATTCCTCCAGGCCTCCCATCTATCCTGGCCGTGCAGGGCTCGCCGTACTGCAGCTGGCACCGTGTGACATCGTAACATTCGTCCGTGAGACGAAAAACGACTTTCGCGTCTTTTACCTCCGGCAGCGACACTCTTACAGTCGTCTCCAGATTACAAAAGATACATTCGAACGGCTTTTGTACTCTTGCCACGTCTTTCCGCGCTTCACTGAGTACGTCACTGGCCTTTGTGCTAAGACTAGCGATGCTGAGGTAGGACCTCCTCCTCTGAAATTCAGACCCCTTCGATCGACATCCGGCAATTTGTATCGGGGCTTTGGTGAGGCACAAAACTACACCTTGGTCGGGTATCGTACTGATGATGAATAGAGTGCTGTTACATCTTACGATACGTCGAAAAGACCCAACGTGGAGGAGGTCGAAAACCGTGGTCGTTGCGGCAGTTTGCAGTTTATAATCGTTACAAGCCTGCTCAGAACAGTCCGTGCTCTACGTGGATCCTGGCCGGGGTATCGCATTGTACGGAGACACTCCTCGATGGATACACGCAAAATGTCCGCAACCTGGCTGAAGCCAACCCTCTCGAATTGCACATGATTCTACTAGACAGGTGCATCACCAACTGGAGGCCATATCTAGCTCACTTGACTTCTCTCGTGAAAGAACAGGTACCTCATTGAACACCGGATCTATCGCATATACTAACAAGACCCAGTCTGGCAAATGTTCGGGTTTCACTCTGAGTGGCGATCAGAGCAAGAACCTCGTCACAATCACAGTCGATGATCATCAGCAACTGAAAGAGATAGAAGACGATGTGGCTGATATGGTATTGTGTCTAGATTCTTCACTGGACACCCTGACTTCCTTCATGCGCATGTATGAGGACTTCCGACGGCATATTCACGATGCACAACCTAAGGTAGATGCTCATGTTGGAGGACTGTCCAAGGCCGATGCCGTAGTGATAGCATTCGAGGAGAAAGCGCAAGAAGTCTCATACACCCGCAAAAAGGCAGAGAGTTTACTGTCTAAGATTCGAAACACTAGAAAGCTTGTATGTTCAGCACCATGGGTGAGGCTGGATACTGACGTGCATTAGGTATCATCACTCCTCGAACGACAAAGCGCGTACAACATCAATAAACAGATAGGCGCTCTCCAGAGCCTCGAGAGACAAGGTCAACAAGAGAACAAAAGTATGAGACAACTCACTGAGAAAAGCAGTCGGGACTCATCCAGTATGCGCATCCTCACGATCATAACAATGGTCTATTTGCCTTGCACCATCGTGTCCAACTTCTTCTCAACACAGTTCGTGAACCAGATTGAGTTGGACACAGGAGATCTAACGCTGCAGTACGCTCAGAACACCTGGCTTTTCTTTGCCATATCAGTGCCGTTGACTGTGTGTACCTTCTTTGTTTGGTTCCTTTGGGTCAGTCTTAGCACATTTCGCAATAGCAGGAGCGATTGTGGTGGCGAAAAGCGCAGCGACAGTGTCTAGTCTGTTAGCAGCAAGATAAGGGTATGCAGTAGGCCTCCGCCATGATGTGTATCTCTACGCCTATGGCTTGCATGGGCGTCGAACCTGTGGGGCGCAGTCACTCTAGGGGGTTGACCAATTGACAAATTTAACCACGCTCTCAGACCTGTCAGCCTGCATATCACAGCCGTTGGGCTCCTGGCTGCAAAGTGCACACAAGGCTGAGTGGGTCTCACCGATATGTGCTACCATCAAGAAGTTCAGTGCTGCGGATTGATCCAAGTAACAACATCGCTGCACTAATTTGGGCGTAGCACGCTAGATTCACGGTGCCGCGACTCTACTCGAAAGCCGGATCGCATCCTGCAGCTGTTCTGCAGAAGCGAACTGCACCCCGGGACAGCCAGCTTCACAACAAGCATATGCGCTACACCAGATTCGGCTCTGCACGTGCATCGCCATCGACTCAGCCCTGCTCCCGACCCGCGTTTAGTGTCTTGACCGGTCGTCTTGGGCAATCAATATGTCGAGGTGAAGCAGCCAATACAACATTGTCCGCGCGCATGAATGTCAACCCCAAATGTTTTTACGACGAACGATGGCCAGTTCCCCCCATCCATTGGAGAAAATGGCTGAATCTGTCGAATGATATCCCCGGTTCTGCCCGCCACGAACGGTTCCTTCAGCTTACGCAGTTGTTTGCCTTGTTGCCTATTGCCGCATCGCTGCGCACACTTAAGTTGGCTATTCCTTACACTGTTCCAAAGGAAACAACCTCTGCAACATCCAGATTCTACCCTACACAACAAAGTCTATACTTCTGGCCTTCAGACGTCTATTTATCATGCGAGTTCAGTTCGAAGATACCGAGGATGTCTTCAAATACATCCAGGAAAACGTTGTGCAGACAGTATTCCGAGGCGAACCGCAGCGATTTCTACGCAAAGCGGCACTTGACGAGGTTACCTCGAAAGAGACAATACTCCTCGTGACTTCTGATGACGAGGACGTTTTCTTAGATGAGGACGGACTTGAACGGTTTGCGGATCAGGTAGTCAAATTCGGCAGACAAATGTTCGCAACCTGCGTCCAAGGCTCACTGCCAATGACATGTCTTCAACTTTTGTTAGAGAACGGTCTTACGGATACGGATATGCCATTAACTGAAGACAATTTTCCAGGAAGCAAGAAAACTAAGCGAAGATTTGTGGGCAGCTTTATACCCAACCAAGCACTATTTAGTACAGCGTACTTTCATCTAGACAGCTTCCAAGATCTGACCGGTCTCACTAAGCCGATTGATCACGATGAGAGTACGTTGATCGGCAAAGGTGCCTTTGGTGCGGTGTATACTGTTCAAATCCATGAGGAACACAGAGCATTCGCGAGCGTGGGTCATCTGGCTCCTAATACATCGTACTTTACTGACATTGATCTCAGGGCAACACCAAAGACGAATTCGCGATGAAAGTCACGCAACAAAAAGGAACACGTGAACTACCTTACCATCAGGCTATGGCGAGTCTGTCTCACCCACATCTTGTGAAGTGCCATGCTAGCTTCACGTTTGCATCATATTATCACATGATCTTCGAAAAGGCCGACGGCAATCTCGAGGAACTTATGCAAACGCACAGAGACGCTCCTATACTACGCTCTCTGACTCCGGACTATCTCGCACAACAGCTCGCCGGAACCATCAATGCTGTGTCTGTCATTCACACTCAACTACCTCCAGACGATGGCGCGAGCCAGCTGGGTGTTCCCAAGCTTGACATTCAGAAGTCAGGTTATCTGCACGATATCAAACCAGACAACATTCTCGTTTTCAGATATCGCCAGGCTGTTTGGTTCAGACTTGCGGATTTTTCATGTGCTAAGGTTGTCGACTATGTTGCCAGCGTCAGTGGCTTGCATAGACAAAGCTGGAAGAGTACCGGAAAATCTGGCACGCCAATTTATAGGCCTCCTGAATCGACAACAGAGGGAAAGACTTCTCGTCCGTATGATATATGGTCCCTTGGTTGCGTTCTGATAGAAGCCTTGGTTTGGTACACTGAGGGCTATGCAGCCCTGGACACCTTTCGCACATCTCGAACACGTATGGTCAAGCCTCGTGGCATTGAAGACCAGGGCTTTTACTACATCGATGAGAATGGTAAAGGGCACCTTCGGGAGCAGGTCGTGGACCGATTGAAGACGATCCCGTTACGTTGTGAAGGGCATTTGCGAACCATCGCCAACGTTATCCCTCAGATGTTGGAGATCAACCCACGGGATCGGCCAACAGCCGAGCAGCTGGTTAACCGCCTCAAAGTGATTGATCAGCCTTCTTCGCCGCCTAATCTACTCACTTCTGCAAGTACCGTCGACTTATCGCACACGAGAACGAATCAGTCTGCCAGCCCGACATACATCTCCGACTCCGATTCGGATTTCGGCCCAGTGATCAAGATCCAAGTACAGCACCCAACCAATGAGTAGGGCTGTCACAAGAGCTGCTACCGCAATGCGTCCATTCCTTCTTTGGTCTTATCATTCCTGCGCTTCATACGTAGAAGTTTTCTTTGGATTTCGCAGCATGGAATGTGTTTGCTGCACCTAATGTAATTCGAGACACATAATCCTGACAAGACCATCTCTGTATCATTATATCTCGCAACCAAACCATACGTAGCGACGCGGTCTACTCAAAAACTCGGTATGCCAATCACCTATGAACAATTACAAACACTGCAAGTGCTTTAGATTGCCATAACTTAACGTGCGCGCTAGTAAGCAAACCGCTAATGTGTTCATCTCAATCGATATATACTGCTTGACCAATGTTTATGATGGGATATATTCGACAGCTACAAGTACTAGTAGGCTGCTGATTGCAACAAGGCCAAAGTCAGGTGCAAATCGATCGTGCAAAGTCTATGTCACCAAGATACTGGGTGAAGATTATAAACTGCGCCTGCGTAACATCAGAGCGAATCTATCTTATATACAGATCAAGGAGAATCCTACGAAATAACACAAGTCACGCCATCCTTCATACGTTGTATTTATACCCAAACGCGCAAGAAGTTAGAGTGAAGGCAGATGCCCGCCGCTGCGACGTCACCGCGCACTCATCTCTTGTAACCACGGCCACCGACACCTTTCCAGGATCTTCAACCTGAGCTTTATTTTATCTGTCTATATAAACAAGTCAATCACTACCTTTTTCAACAACAACTCCACCCTCGCTTTGGGGTGGGCCTTGGTACGGTGGTCCATGAGGACACCACGTGGGCTGTATTAGGCCAAGGGGTTGTAGGTTCGATTCGAGCCTGCGATCGGACAGCGAAGGCGGGGGTGGGGTTGTTGTTTTTTTTGCTTTTGTTTGTTGACAAGCATTTTTTGCTGTGCGTGGGTGGCTTTCACCTTGATAGCCGACTTTCACCTGTGTGGCGGTGGCCAGGTGGCTCCTGCTTTTAACGCGTGGCTGCGCAATTCTGTGAGTGGAAGAAATAAGAGTAGCTTTGCAACTTTTTCATCTCATTGATTTGTATATTACAGCGCGAAATTTGACCCGATGACTGTCCACCTTGCACATTGCCTCAGTCAATCTCATGCCTTCAAACGTTGCGCAGCCTGATCGGTGATACCTTATCTGCTTGAGCACTGCTCTCTCTCACGAGCGTCCTCATGATCGTGATAATCGCACAGCTCGAGCTCTGCATTATTTTCTAGCTCGTGACGTGCGTAAAGGCTCAGCCTCCGCAGGACCGCAACAATGAACGGTGAAGGGAGGTCATCTGCATCACCGTCTTTCCAGGTATTTTCGCTTACGTATTGGCCGTAGAGATCGACAAGGAGCCTCAGAAGTGCAGACTCGGAAGGCAGGTTCTCGTACGCATAGCTGACTTGGTCGCTGTTGGGAAGACCTGTGGTATCAAGGTCCATGAACCAGAGCAGGTCCTCCAGAGCGAGGAGTCTGAGTGCTTCGATTCCATACAGTTCGCCCAGAACATAGAGCTTAATCAAGTTGCCAGTCTTGACGATATCCGCATCCTTTACGTCCCACTTGTTGAGTAGCCTCGTGGGCGCGTTGCTGACGGTCGGGAAGGCCTCGTGGTGCATCCAATGCACGAAGAACTCGAAGATGAGCGGCTCAACATTTGGTGCAGTAATGATCCACTCCTGAGACTCTTTGGAACTGCCTGCCAACGCGACCTTGAATGACTCGGAGTGCCGCGCGAGAAGGTCTTTTTTGACGACAAATCGTTTCTTTCTTGGACCAACAAGAACAGTGGCAGAGTGAGGATCGTATGCTCTGGTCATAATCAGCTGTGTTCTTTGAAGTGCTTATCAGCAAGGTCAGTACTTACGCTAAGTGTGGTTGAGGATGCATTGCTCCTGCATCCGCCATCGTTACTGCGTGGGACGGTTGGTTGGAAGGCTTGAAGAAGGAGATATTGTTAGAGGACAATCGCATACTAAATAGTGTTGGCGGGAGGGGCGTATTTAAGCTTTTTGAGAGCAAATGCAAATTGAATTTGCTCTTTCCAAGTCGAAGTGAATTGGTAAGTGAAGCTGTGAAATGAAACAGCGGCTAGCGTAACTGCTACTTCACTCTACGCGGAGGCCAGTGCCATTGCTAGGCAGCAGCAGCAGAAATTCGAGCTCGGAGTGCTCAAGCTACTAAAATGAAACCCTCCTTCAACCTCGAGCCTGCTGTATATACTTACTGAATATATGTTTGACGGAACCTAAGAATCCTTGCCGAAATCCGCGGAACACCCCACATCCCGCGGGATGATCCGCTTAGAGCAGGTCCAGTGAACCCTCCTGCGTGTATTTACTAGTGAAGGTACCTATCCAAGGTTCTAGTATACTTCACTGATGACAATGGCAAGGGGCAGATCTTACATTCTGGCAAGCACTGACATCAAAATCAGAGCTTTTGGAAGCGCGATAAGTCGCATTCGTAATGTAGAGCGCAAACAAGACCGTAGCATTTGATACCAGGAGGAAGCGCTGCGTCGACTTCATCTTGACCTGCACAACCCCGTCGCTATCAGATAGCTATCTTTCATACACGATGCTCGCTCTAGAACGTGGATGGGCTATGTTCTCCATTTCAAAACATGATCCCGAGAGCGTGCGCGACACCACAAAGATGAGTCTAGCGAGTAGCAATGAGGACATGCCAAGCGACGATTGGTGTTAAAGCGTTCATTAGAAGATCGTCTTTCATGGACGTTGAAACACGGGCGAGCCATGATTTAGAACGGTACGAGTGAATATGCAGATTTGAATTCGATACATTAGACTACGCGAGCAGGATATTGTCGCTCGGTCACACTATCTTACAATTGCTCCACAACTGCGGAGCCGCACCAACAGAACGCTCAAAGGGTATCATCAACATCGTATAAAGCGCATCTAGTAGACGCGACGGGCGTTGCGGCCATCAGTGCCGTGCATACGGCGAGTGCCAGCAGCCTTGACTCCAGGTCGGCCGGTCAGGGTGCCCTTGAGCTTGGTGAGTGCACCGGAGACTTTGTCGCCCATAGTGGCATGGCGCTTGTGGTGATGGACTGGGCCTGCAGTGGTGTGGCCTGCAGTGCGGCCGCCAGACGTCCTTGTGGTCTTGGTGGTAGTGGTAGTGGTAGTTGTTGTGCCGGTGACAGGGTTGCGCTTGGTAGCTGTTCGGCGGTTGGTGCCACCCAAGAGCTTGCTCTTGAGGCTCGGGTGTGCAGTAGAGCGGGTGGCCCGTGTGCGGGGAGCCGCGGTGGTGCGGTGGTTGCGGGTAGAAGTAAGAGGCATGTTGATATTTGGTATGCTTTGATGCTTTGATGCTAGCGAGGTGATTGTTGGATTGATTGTTGATTGTAAGATGGAAGCTGTGGATTGATGATGGTTGTGAGAATGAGATGGAAGTATCAACGACATACCTTTATATCGAACACATCGCTACTCTGAAGCTGATTACCTCACATACCCCAACTGCGAAAACAAGTTCCATCTTACAGGGTCCCAGGACCAGGTAAGATCATCCGAACGCGTAGCAGGACGTCATGCACGGTTACTCACATGGTGTTACGACTCATGGTGAATCTTGCCTATTGGTGCGTAATTTGCTGATGAGACTAATGAATTTCCAGAAACGTGTGATCAGGATCTCGACTTCAGCCCTGATGAGATCAGGGTGCTGGGGTGTTGTGATGAACAACGTTGCGGCGCTGGACCCTGATTTGAGAGCCCTGCATCTACGTCATTGCAAGGCTGAAACACGCACCGCTCATTGGACGTGGCTCACCAACGTTGCTTGGCGGGACATGACGTATGTCTGAGAATTCGTGAGGATCACGTCAAATGGCAACCGCGGGGTGTCTCTGAGCAGGAGAATCGCGTGGCAGTGCTGCGTAGTCATTTGCCTAAACCGCAGCCATCTTCTCATGGGATAGGTATGCAGTGTTCTGTTCCTCGACACAAGTCGTATCCTGCCTGCACTGAAGAGGTATTCCGACTCGCAATACGCTGTCCAAGGCATGTACAACTTACATGAGGTATGAGGCTGCGCTGCGCTCATCCAGACGACTGAATTTGGTTGCCTGCCCATACTTCATCATGAAGACGGACGACTTTGTTGAACTGCTCCTGTCTTTCGATGACAGTGCGATGCGCTTGCAATTGTGCTCCACCTTAGCAAGCAGTGTGCAGTAGATGATTAACTTATGATGTCAAGAAAAATAAACACTTTCGATAAAACTCACAGCTTCGCTCGCAAACTCTGCCATCTACATTCAAATCACCACATTGCATAATTGCTCAATCTGAAGAGTCAACTGAATCAACGTTTTCCACAGAACCCAACACGAGCATGTCTTCCAGCAAGGGCCAGTTCGAGCAGGGTATGTGGCGGCCGTAAGGATGACAGATGCACCGCTAATTCGCAAATAGGCTACCAGCCTGAAGTCCAGCAGCAGGACAGCATCCCCGGAAAGGAATCAGAACTTGATCCTCAGCCTGAGTACGACCACCTGCCCACTTTCGATGGCGGTAAGGAGCTCTACAAGGCCGCGGGGAAACTCAAGGGCAAGAAGGCTATCATTACGGGTGGTGACTCTGGTATCGGTCGCGCATCTGCGATCCTTTACGCCATGGAGGGGGCCGACAGCCTTATCGTGTACCTACCTGAGGAGGAGGATGATGCCCAAGAGACAAAGAAGATGGTCGAGAAGAAGGGAGCCAAGTGCTACACTTTCGCAACCGATCTAAAGGACCGCGCAAACTGCAAGAAGGTCATCGACGAGGCTCTCAAGCAGATGGGTGGTATTGACATCCTTTTCAACAATGCCGCATACCAGAACATGGTTGAAGACATCAAGGATCTTGACGAGGACCAGTGGGTGCACACGTTTGACACCAACATCCACCCTTACTTCTATCTCTCGAAGTACGTTCTGCCCCACATGAAGCCAGGCTCGGCCATCATCAACAACGCCTCGATCAACGCGTACATCGGCCGCCCCGATCTGCTCGACTACACATCAACCAAGGGTGCTATTGTTTCCTTTACACGCGCGCTACACAACCAATATGTTTCCAAGGGTATCCGAGTCAACGCTATTGCACCCGGCCCTGTATGGACACCTCTCATTCCTGCAACCATGAACAAGGAGGCCATCAAGCAGTTCACCGCACCCATCGGTCGTCCGTCGCAGCCTAGCGAAATTGCGACTGTCGCAGTCTTCCTTGCTGCTCCCGATAGCAGCTCGATTTGCGGTCAGGTAAGCTACCCCTTCAACAGCAACAGTCACTTCCCACCTAATATTTTTCGCAGACAATCCACCCGAACGGTGGGACAGTAGTTAGCGGCTAGGCGATGTTGTGATGATGTGATGATGTGGTGCGCAGGGTGCACATGTGCTTCCCTAAACGCCTATATAGATATGACCTTCATACGACCTTCCACCAATAGTAATGATCTTTTTGGCAATAAAGAACAAGCTGTCAATCTTCAGCCACGGGATTCGACATTGAAACAAAGTAACTGAGGTGATCTCTTGCGTTGTAGAGAAAAAAGGCCGATGAAGGATGTGGGCGAAGCAATTTACCACGCAACAACAGAGAAAAGGAAAATGCAGAAATCTCTCTAGAATGCATTTTCCTACAACCAAGGAGACTTTTAAGTATATTTGAACTTTGATCATTATTATAGCTACAAGTTTTACATTAAAGTTGAAGTCGCGAGGCGGCGAGAGTGACTGAGGTGATGAACGAACGACAAAGCTAGACCGAAACAAGCAAACTTCCGGCCGCCGACGCCGAACACGACCTGATCTTGAGAAGCGGTCGTTCGACGGCTAAGCAGCAGCCAGCCCACTTCACCCCACATACACAATGCCACCTCCACGGCTGCCGATCAACCTACTACGCACGCGGCCGCTGCAGTTGCAATGGAAACACTCCCGCAGGGCGGCTCTAGCCGTGCGATTCGCCTCGTTTGAGACGACCCAGCCCTCGCAACCCGAGCAGCCAACAGTCCCTTGGAAGACACCGCACAGCATCGAGGCATGGCCGCCCGCATACTTGATCCCGCCCCCGAAGGATGGCGAGGTCCTGCTAGAGCGCAAGCCGAACCGCGCGCTGCCCCCGTACGGCCCCATTACCACCACCATTTTGAAGCCGTTGAACTGACAAGCCGCGCCAGCATACCGCCCCTCATCTCCCCCCAGGTCATCAAGACCTTCCCGATCTTCGTAATCGCCATGACCGTCTCGGTGCTGGTCTTCTTCAACTACCAGAAGCAGGAGTCCTCCGTCGTGACCTCGACGCTGTACGCGCTGCGCACGAACCCGCTCGTGCGCGAGGAGCTCGGCGACGAGATCTACTTTGCCTCCAAGTACCCGTGGATCAGCGGCGAGATTAACCAGGTCCACGGCAGAATCGACATCAGCTTCAATGTCAAGGGGACGAGGAGGCAGGGCAATGTGAGGCTCAGGTGTAAGAGGCGGGGCAGGGGAGGCTTGTACAGCACGCTGGAGTGGAGTCTGACTATGGAGGATGGGAGGAAACTAGAGCTGTACGACCCCAAGGGCGACGCGATCGATCCTTTCCAGATGCCCGTCGACGAGGACTGAGCTCTGATTGGGACCGTTGCGGTGGATGGGCTGGTTTCAAAGCCGCCGAAAAGTGGGGTTGTAAAAGGTCCTTGGGCGTCTCGCCGTACGACCGTTGTAAATATAGCTGTACAGCACTGCATCTTGTACAACACAGCATTATTGTATGGAGTTTCCGGATGCGACCACGATGCGAATTTGATGTACTGTTATACGGCATCACTGGGAAGGCTTGATGTTGGAGACATTGAAGTTTTCATTATGCACGAGTAACTCCACCGATGCCCTTGCCGTACTATGTATGTCATGTTTGAGCCCAAGTAAAAAGAAGTTAAAAGAGAAAAGTGGTATCATAAGTAATCATTGCGCTTGCCTGCTCCTCGTTCACTGTCCGCTATCGCTATTCAGATCTTGTCAAAGTCTACCTCGGGCCTCCTGATGCTAGGGTGGTGCGCAAGGTTAGGCTTGACCAAGTGCGCGAACTGCGGGTTGATGTTCATCGGTCCGGAGATCTCATTTGGAATTTGGGGCACCTCAGGCTCCTCCTCTCTCGCCATGCGTTGCCAGAACTTCTTCTTTGCGGGCTCACCACCGTACGTAGTGCGCGAGTAAATTGAAGATGAAGGACGGCCAAGGAAACCTGGCTTAGGTGGCGAGGTGCTGTGGTACGAGGGCAAGAAGGAGCCTCTGACACTCTTGAAGGCGGACATGGGGCTAAACGCAAAGGCTGAGAGGCGGTTGCTTGAGTGCTGGGGCTCCAGTTGAGGCGAACCGCAGTCAACACGGGGTGTGGGGGCGCCCATTGCCGGTGGCGAGCCCATGCGCATAGGTGGTGTCCCGTTGCGCACAGATGGTGTGCCGTTTCGCATGGGTAGTGACTGACCGACGTGCGAACGAGAAGACACACTGCCGGTGTGATGCGAGCTGATGGTGAAGGCCTTGTGTTTGGGGTCAAAGTCATAATGCATGGACTCAGCGTCGACTTCAGAGAGAGTCATAGCACCACGCGAACGTACGCGGCGGGCTGTGATGCCGCGCGAACGGTCACAGAAGACGAAACTCTGCAGTGTGTCAGTGATCCAATCAAGACAAGGGGGATGATCTCGACTTACAGCAATCACGTTGAAGAAACCGATGACGATGGCGAGAATGCCCGACGCCACCAAGAGCCTCCAGAATGGGAGAGTCAAGGACTTCTGGCTTGTAGCCTCCTTGTTCATGTTACCCAACATGTTGAGTCCAAGAACCATCATGGTACAGCCCAAAGTCACGAAACCATGACTGGGGCTGAGGAGAGGCCAGTTGCGAGCAAAGAAGTTGCGGAAGAGTGAGCATTCGGAGACGATGAGGAACAGGCCGGCGATAGCTGTTATGACATGGCTTGTCGCGTCAAAGAAGAAAAACTGCTGTGAATTAGATTCTGTGCCTCGGAGCTCGAAAAGGTAACAAACCTTTGAGACGATGAAAGTCTTGACGAGCATGACAACGCTGCTAGCGACCACTGAAGCAAGCGCAATGATGTTAAGACCTCTCTGGATGTTGAGAATGATGTAGCCTGGGCCGGCCAGGTGTTCTGCTGAAAGGAGTGCCATTTCGATTTCGTAGAGAGTAACTTCGTTTTGTATGGGGTTTTCGTGATAAAGATCGTTGAATCAGCTGCCCAGCAGTTGTCGTGGAGTTGATAGTATAAGTTAAGGAACAAGTAGAAAATAAGTTAACGGGACAAGCCCAACGCCGCAAGGCAACGAGTCTTCTCACTCGACAATAGTATCAATAACGAACAATAGGAACTGGAGAAGAAAAACCTGGGAACTCCTCGAGGTGAATGGAACCTGAGGACGAAACTCGCGCTAGAGAAGGCCTGCTGGGTAACATGGTCGCCCAACGTCGCGAACTTCATATTAGCACGGATCAAGGCGCATCGCGCTGGCATCAGTTCGACGTGGCGATTGAGTGGCCCAAATCGCATGCCACGCCCTTGTATGGCCTTCTAGCCCATAGTGAAACAGACCCACGCTAGGTGCTGGCAGCCACGCAGGCCCAATCACCGTCTCTTGGCTTGGGGACATGAAAAACACGGCTGGCGGTAAAGGTCAGTCACTAGTTGGCCTGCGGTGCCTGGACAGTTGAGCCTCGTTTACTGGACGTGGGACAGTCGCGTAGTGATTGGCTGTCGAGGTTTCGAACGTGAAACAAGCCCCAGATCCGCGCGCGGCACGGTCGGCGGCATCGATGAACATCGCTTTGCCGGCTGTCAAGCGCGTATCTTGGCCATAGTCTACTGTAGAGGAACAAAAGCCGCTATACCCATCGGAATACGAGCAAACCTGCGATGCCAGGAGCTACATGATGGAAGCGCGTTATCGGAGGTTTGTTATGGTTCGCAGTCTCGCGCAGAACCAGGAAGTGGCGACGCGGAACATTCGCGAGGACCGCCTTGGCAACTTAACGTTTCGGGGAGTGGCCTGTGTGTAGATCGCTGTTCAACACCTGCACCTTTCTGAGTCAAGATTGATTGTTCGGATTCTTCTTGTTGAGAGTTTTGCATTGCACGCCTAAGCAGCCAATTGAGCTTCCACCCCCAAAGCACGATCTGAAGTCAATGCATTCGACACATGATGGCTTGACAACACACTGCTAAGCTGTCATGCGTCCATACATACAGCATTGCCCTGGATCCCGACCCTATGGAACGCAACTCCCCCTCAAGGCTCAGCATGACCACGGCTGGCCTTCCGGTCCGAGTTTCGCACCCAGGAAAGCTAGTTTGAGTAGCTTCTGTTCCTTGATCTCTTCTTGATGAACCTCCATCTCCACCACATCCCCTGTATTGCTGCCGTCAGAAATTGAATCTGGAATGAGGACCCGTGGACTTACAGTTGACGCTGATGAAGCCACCTCGGAGATAGTCAGCTCTCTTCTGGGCAAGATACAGCGAAAGTCCCCCGGCCAAAATGCCCTTGTCCTTCGCGAACGGTGTCAGCGCGTCCACCACTGCCCCACGGTTCGTCTCGGTTACAGCCACGATTCCGGGATGCACGGTGAAGACGCGGAGATTGGGCTTCTCAGCATCAAGGTACTCTGCCAGCTTCATGAGTGCGAGCTTGCTGCCAGAGTAGGCGCTCATTCCCGGGAAGGTGAAAGATGCGCCGAGCGTTCCCAAGAAGATGACTGTGCCAGTCTGAGTGGTCTTCAGATATTGGTGTACCACTATGTAGCTGGCTTTAACGTTCAGCTCGTAATCCTTGAACCATGTCTGCGGGTCAAGATCTCCTGCGACGCCAGAAGTGGTGGTTCCCGCAGCATGTATGACTACATCGATGCTCTGAAAAGTATTGATAGTCTCGACAAACAGCCGTTCCACGTCAGCATCAGAGGTTAGATCTGCGGTCAAAGCCAAGACTCGAGTCGAGGGACTGATGTTTCTGACAGCCAAAGTGGGTTCTTCGAGTAGATCCTTGTTGCGTCCTACGAGAACAATACCTTTGGCGCCGGCGAGAGCCCAAGCGCGTGCGACCTCCTGTTGCATAGTCAGTACAACACAAGAGTTGGTTTTGGCGGGGCTTACTCCTCCAATTCCACCAGTGGCGCCGGTGATCAGGACCGTCTTGTCTGTAGCACTGAGTTCCGGGTTTCTGGGTTCAATGGCGGGATACAGTTCACGTCTCATCGTCTTTGTGAGCTGGAACGGCGTGGTGAAAGCGTGTGGATCCATATCTGCAAGAACGAACTTGAAACTGATGAAGACAATGAAGATGATGAGACAGCTGTCAAATAATGCGTTGCTTGTCATTCTGAATGCGCATTCCTCTTTGTTACTTAAGTTGTTCCCATCTCTAAGGCACCCATCTCACCATCGCAACGCTTGCAAATCGTTCACGACAGCTTGCATTGTCTCATCCTTTCGCTGTTTGTCGCAGTTACAATTGCAAAGAAGATGAGGCAATCATTTCGGTATCGGCATTACAGCTTCGCGATGGTGTTGGTTGCCTGAGTGTCTAAGGCGAGTAACTTCCATAACAGGACATGGCGCAGGGTGTGGATTACAAATGTCGTTTTCTGCACTCCAAATCTTGCTAAACAACGCAACTAAAGGATTTTTACCGATAACCAAAAATACTAGCCTCGATTTGAAATCGACTGACGACGTACATACTCACTCGACTTTCAAGGCTGTTGTCGGGGTTGCAGTCCACATGATCATCACTCAAACATGAGGTGCTCCGGACATAGGCTCTGGTAGCTACGTAAAATCTAGATTTTATTAAAGATTTAAGGCTGGGTATCTAAAAAGAGATAATGCGCGCTGAAACGTACGATTGTCAACGCAAAGCAGAAACCCCTCTTACTGTTATGCTGACGCTGGTTTGATACTTCGTTGACCAGTCTGTTATCTCTTGTTTCGGGGTTGTGCGTTGGTTATTGACTTATTTCCAACGCCCCTTACCCTCCTGAAGGCGTTCTCTAGCCTTTTGTCTGTCTGTTCCCACACCTCTTACTTCTTCTTCCGACCTCTGGTGCTAACCCTCTCTCTTTGAATTGTTTTCGGCCTTCCATCTCAGATGTTGGTCACCTTAAATTTGACCTCATCGTCTTGTGCTCGATTCGAGCCTGATCCTTAGTGTTGTGCAGCTATAGTGCAGCTGTTGTTGATCTTCAACTCAATCGATCTTCCAGTGGCTAGTGAGCCTGCCGTCATCATCCGCCTTCGAGATCTGGAGCTCGATCGCGTAGAGACTCATGGTGATGGCAAGATTGATCCACCTCCACATGTTGCCACCTGCGTCTCCACCCTGGTTAGTCCACCATTCGCCAGTAACCGCGCTGCCATCTGTGCCGTTCCCACTTGCGAAGTGCTGCATCAGGAGACTGGTGTAGACTGCGATGATGATACTGGGGCTGAACCACGTCAAGAAGCCAAGAATTTTCGATGTCTCATCCTCGTCATCCAGGCTGGGCTCTTGCGAGAGCGCTCTTGCTCCGCTTTCTCTGATAGCCGGAATGATGCGCGCTGCTGCGTACATGACGAAAACACGGTATGCAAGCGAGATGATGACCGAAGGCGTAATGGTCATGACAGCACCAACCATCAAATTGAAACCCGTGTGAATAATGGAGGGCAACGAACCCAAGGCATGCAGCAGGGTCGTGTACGATGCCATAATGATGGGTGGCAGGGGCGGCAGAGCTGGCTCTGGTGCGGCGGTCTCGGCTGCTGTCGAGCCGGGCGTAGGTTGGTAATCGGTGAAGATTTGGTATATGCAGAGCGTCACGTAAGCAAACTGTTGAAACGTAAGTGACTAGCTAAAGGCTTCATACTGTCGATACGTACCAACAATGCGGACTCGACCGGGTTTCCCCGGGCGCTTGCGATACCCCATCCGCCCAAGAAGATGGCCGTGGTGATGGCAACACCGATTAGAATGGCGTCGACGTTGTTGATCTCTGGAAAGGTAGTGATGCGCCAGAGGAAGTAGACCGAGGTGGAGATGACCGAGGCAGATGCCACAAGGAGACCGATCTGTGCTTGGTGAGCAGGGGAAAGGTTGAGGGGGGATATGTAGCTTACCATCCAACTGTCGCCGCGCTCCCTATTCACGACCCATCGCGTGATCTGGCCTGCGGCCTGGATGACCAAAAGACTGCAAAAGCCCTCGGCAATCTGGAAAGCAGGCGTGCTGTATCTCAGTGTCTTGTCCCATGCGCCAATGGAGAAATTTTGCAGCAGCCCCTCGGAGCCAAAGATCCAGTCCTGAATCGACTCAAAGTCTGACCTCTTGCCGCCGAATGTTCGTTGGACCCAGCCGGCGTCGTTGGATGCGTCGATGGAGAACTTGTTCAAGCTCCAGATGAGCAATGTCGGGATAGCCAGCCATTGCGCCAAAGCCACGACGTTGCAGAGAAACCAGCGGAAGCGTGAGGTCTCGGGGGTGGCCAGACGGAGGCACGAGTAGAGGAAGTAGTAGACGCTAAGCGACAACGAGAAAGCCAGCCCGCATGTGCGGCCACCGATGTCGAAGGCCAGAGGGATGGTGAAGATGATGGCGCCGAGGAAAAAGGTCGACGAAAGGACGCGTGTGAACCACATCGGCAGGCGGCGTGGTTGGCAGGCTCGTGCAGCGACGAGCTTGACCGGCGAGCGCTGCTACGGGCGCGTTGTTGGCTGTGACGTGGGACTGCGTGCGTGCAGCAGCGGTTGCGCTTGGCGGGGACGACGTATTTTCACGTGCAAGCGCGTGCTCCGCTGCAGGGTCGGTCGCAGACACGGGGGGCAGGAGCGTTCGCGGGCGCTGTGAGGGGAGCGCGCTGGGAGGGGCCGCGGGCTGCGAGCAGAGTGCAGGCCGCTGCGAGGTGTGGTGGTGGAGGCAGGTACCGACGGCGAGGCGGTGGTGCGTGTGCGTGTGGTGCGTGCTGTCGCGTGCGGGCTGCACGACAATTGTGCGGCAACCGACTGCGAGGACACGGCACGGGCTGGGCAGGCAGGCAGGGGGCAGGGCGACGGGCGCTGAGAACAAGGCAGTGGACGCGCTCTTCGCCAGCACCGGGATCGCAGCCGCAGGGGTTCTCGCGAGGGCGGGCGATGACGAGCCTGGCGAGGTGCGGTGCGGTGAAGATCTCTGAGCACCAGCGTAGCGCCCGCATTGCAGACGAGCCTCGCCGGCGAGCCGTGTACCCACCGCAGACAAACCTTCTCGAATCACGTTTCAGCTAGTTTGCATGACCGCACTGCTCAGACCCTTCTTCGCACGCACGCTCAGAGCTACACCGAACGCCTGCAACCCTTTGCTCGTCCGCTCCTTCCCCGCACGCCACAGATCCATGTCCGCAGAGCACCCCGCCAAGAAAGTCAAAATGTCTGCCATCAAGATTGGAACTCACAAGTAGGCGCATCTGGACGGCCAATGGCACCCAAATGGCACGCTGACCTGCCGCAGTGGCCACTTCCACGCCGACGAGTCGCTGGCTGTCGCCATGCTGAAGAACCTCGCGGCCTACGCCGATGCTGAGCTCGTTCGCACGCGCGACCCAGCCCAGCTCGCAGAGTGCCACACAGTCGTCGACGTGGGCGGCGAGTACGACGACACCACCAAGCGCTACGACCACCACCAGCGCGGCTTCGACACGGTCTTCCCCGGCCACAGCACCAAGCTCTCCTCCGCCGGGCTGGTCTACCTCCACTTCGGCAAGGACATCATCTCCGCCCTCACCGGCCTGTCTGAGGGCGCCGACCGCGACCTTCTCTTCGAGAAGATCTACACCGACTTCATCGAGGCATTCGATGCCAATGACAACGGCGTCAACGTCTTCTCGCCCAAGGAGGTTGAGAAGTCCGGGCTCCAGAAGCAGTTCGAGGACCGCGGCTTCAGCATTGCCAGCGTTGTCAGCCGCTACAACTACGGGCCCTCCGCCGGTGAGGCCAGCACACCGGAAGAGAAGCAGGCGCGAGAGGACCAGCGCTTCCTGAAGGCGTCGCAGTTCGTTGGCGAGCAGTTTGCCATCGAAGTCACCGACCGCGCCCAGTCATGGCTCCCGGCGCGCCACAACGTCAAGGCCGCGTACGACGGCCGTCTGCAGTACGACCCCCAGGGTCGCATCTTGGTCCTGCACGAGGGTATGCCATGGGCTGACCACCTCTACACCCTCGAGAAGGAGTCGCCACTCCCTCAAGGTGTCGCACCTCAGGTCTTGTACGTTCTCTTCCCCGAAGACAAGCCGGAGGGCAAGTGGCGCATCCGCGCTGTGAGCAAGGAGAACGGCGGCTTCCAGAACCGCAAGGATCTCCCTGATGCCTGGAAGGGTGTCCGTGATGCAGAGCTCGACAAGGTTTCTGGCATCGAAGGATGCGTTTTCGTCCACGCTGCCGGTTTCATTGGAGGTAACAAGTCCTTCGATGGCACCCTTGCCATGGCCAAGAAGGCTCTTGAGCTGTAGATGGGTTGCAGTCCGGAGGCATGATGGATATTGGATGAGACGAGAGTAAAAATGGAGAGCATCATGAGTTGCTACACAGGCATGGTCTGGCGTTTCAGGTGCTTCATACAAACTTTATGATACCAACCACATACCTGTGGTTTATATAGACGTTGAAGTCATGACAAGGTCTGCAATGCGCCGCAAAGGGTGGTTTGCGACCTACTAAAACACTTCTTGTTCGATTGTGATCAGGCCTTATCATATGCACGGCTGCACTTGAAGTTCAATCGATCTTGGCAATGGTGAGCAGCAAGACTGCCAGCTTGTGTAGAGATGCGCAGTGGAGCTTGAGCCAACCAAACTGTTTCCCCGGAGCCAACATCTTGTTCCCCACGCCCGGGCCAGATGAATGCAAGATCACCGACAGCCAACCAACCGAATTGCGTCGGCCATCGATGAAGAGCGGCACCGGGTGGACTCGGACGGCTCATAGTCACGTGCGTAGTCGCCCATTCGCTGCACCGGCAGCCTCAAACCCTGATTATCCGAGTCGTTGGGCGGACGGTCCTGTGGCGCAAATGCACTTACATTTGAGGCGATGATCTGTGGAGACTGGTACACAAGCAGACGGGGTTTCTCAACAGCTAAAATTCATTTAGAAGTCGACACCTCTCTTCTACGCTCGCCCGCAGGCATTTCCACCACACATCCGATCATTTTCCATCGGTGTTGTACGCCACGACAAATCCGATACACAAACAGGGTCTCGGCTTATCATCGACCCGCAGTTCCCCGACGCCGTTTTTCGCTCAGACGCTTCACGGCCCGCGCTCAAGAATTTCATCCAGGCTCCCCTATCACAAGCCAACGATTTGCCGCTCTCAGACCTTTACTGCACACGCGCCATCAAGACTCATCGCGTCAGACTCATTAATTTGAACCTCTGATCCGCACCGACGCATCCGAAAATAACAACTCGCACGACACCGACGCACCGCACACCTCACACGCGACACAATGAAGTACTTTCAGCAGTCCGTCGATTTCGACTACTCTTGGGAGGAAGTCTCGACAAGCAACTGGCAAAAGTACGGGCCATGGAATGAGAAGACCCCGCACGTTATTGCTGTCGATACACTGTCTCGCTCCGTCGATGCCAGCACAGGAATTGTAAGTGGCCTCCCTTCTCATCACATGCCAAGCGCTCTCCCACCCAACGCTTGACGCGTCGCCCGTGTCGAAGACCACATGCTAACACGACCCCACAGCTGCGCACAGAACGACTCATTACATGTCAACAATCTGCACCGAAATGGGTGACGGCCATCCTCGGCGGAGTCGACACCTCGATGGTCTACGAGACCTCATACGTTGATCCCGTCGCCAAGAAGCTCACAATGTGCTCGATGAACGTCACTTGGGCCGACCTCCTCCAAGTCCGCGAAACATGCGTTTACACGCCGCATGCGGCGTCCTCGTCCAAGACCACCTTTTCCCAGCGTGCCGAAATCACAGCGTTCTGCGGCGGGTGGCAGAAGATCAAGAACAGCATCGAGCAGTTCACTGTCGAGCGCTTCCAGCAGAACGCCCTGGCCGGCAAGGAAGGCTTCGAGATGGTGCTGGAGCGCGCGCGCCAGGTGTTCCAAGAGCAGCGCGAAATCCTCGCTCTGCAGCAAAACAGCCGCATCCTCCGCGAGGCCAAGTTTTGAGGCATCTGTGCGCTGCGTGCCCCGCTCGCACACCACCCCCTCGAGTCAGCGGCTCTCCACAGCCTGCCTGCCTTCGCATGCCCCGACATGTTGCCTTGCGCCGACATGTCACCTAGTGCGTGCTTCTTTCGCGCTTTAGCGAGTGCTTGCGTTCCTTCCTCACGACTAAAAGTCCATTGCACCGGCGTTACAAAATCATTGGACTGGCGTTTATACCCTCTCGGCAGTTTTGCAGAGCATTTGCACATGATAGACTCGGTAGATCTGATACACACACGCTTAGTGACTAGAGTGTAAATATACTTGGTACTCTTCAGCCGCGTCTTGCACTTTTGAACGATCTCCATCTATACGTCCATGGCAAGTGGACACTGAACGTGAACTGCGTATCCCTGCAGCGTGGGGTGTAGTGAGAACGCACATCGTGCCTAGTCCCCCCGTTCTCGCTACTGCCGTCCACTACATCGCACGTGACCCACTTCCACCAAGATACCCGATTAGGCAAGTTTGCATTGGGTGTTGATCACGGAGGGTTAGGGTTAGGGTTAGTGATGGATGCAAAACAACGACAGTGCAGTGTCTCTCAGTCATAGATGGGAAACATTAGTAATTACTATTTTACTAAGTAATTACTTAGTAAAATAATAATTACTATTTGCCATGATTCAACGCTTTTCGATGGGTTTCCAAACAGGAATGTACGTCAATTCTCCCTCATCGCTCCTTCCAAATCAGCAACAAGTACGCATCTTGCCCCCGCGGTCCCCACTTCTCATCCTCGTAGATATCGGCATCGTACCATATCCACGCGCATCATGACATCGCGGACAGAAGACATATCCCAATGCCAAACTCGCAGTTCGTCCCGGTCCTCGATCGTTAGCTACTGGCTAAAGTGCCGTCAGACTATTATTGCGGTACATGGCTAACACATATTTTACTAACTGAACTTCTCGTCACCTAGTCGCTAGCTGTCGTCTGTCCGCCATCTCCCCAAGACCCGAGCGTCTCTGTCTGTGTCTGCTCTGCACGGAACGATGCCTCTTCCTATTGAAGATATACTGCATAGTGGCAGACGCATCGCCCGTACGTCTGAAGAACCGCCCCTTTGGTGGCCGTGGTGTGCAGTCAGCTCAGTGCGTTATTACGCGGTGGACTCGGGCGGTGACTTTTGTCGTGTGTGCTGCGTAGAAGTTACGGCAAAGTAGATGGGCGAGCAGTGTAGACTCGTGTTGCGTGTGGAGTGGCTGCAACGATGGGTCGGAGTGGTGATACAGACTCTTCGGCTGCAACGTTTTTGCTCGTGTGTAAGACCACGCCTGGCGCGTTGCTGGGACGATTGTGTGAAGGGCTGTTCATGAGTGCCTATTAGGAAAAGACGGGACTGTGCAATTTGATAACATCGAGAATAGAGCTAAGACAATCTTGTGAGTCGTTGTGTAGTTTCTTCTTCAGCTCATCGCTACAATGCACACTGGAAATAGAGACGGCTTCTCAGTGATTTCGAGTACACTCATGGAAAACCTGTTTGTTTCCTTAGTACGTTGAAAAGTATACTACAAGTTACATCTATCTTGCACCTTCACACTGGAGTCGCAGCACATCACAATCCAAGCAACCGCGTATCAACAGTCAAAGCCACGGTCCCATCAGATTTCGTCAATCGCCTATTTGCATGCAAAAACGAACATGGTCAAGACCTACGCTTCTCTGCAGAGTTGTACAGACGGCAGTGCGTCGATATCACACCCACTCTTTACCACTTATGTACGATACTGCTGATGTCACAACGCCACCAGGGCACTGCCATGTTCTCTTCTGTAGTGAGACTTGGAAGCATGTTGAGCCTCACGTCGGCGGGCCACACCATGTCCGACCCGCTCACCCGTAGCCCATTGCATGATCCCGTAGCTAACTCATTGCGTTATCCAAGAGCTCGTCCAACACGAGCTGCGGAACCGAGGTTGCCACCCCTGCGCATCCTGTCACACACCATGCTCGACGTCAGCCTAAGCACGCCACGCGCCGTTGCTTGTGCGGCGTACTCATCGAGACTCGTTTTGAGTAAGTTGATTGCCGGTGAGGCAGACGTCCGACGTACCAAGTCTCACTGTGTTGAGTATTCATATCTCAGTGGCGGACATCGATCAGGCAAGGCTAGATCTAGGGACACCCACTTCGACACCCACTCAGTCAACATGGTCATGGAAATAAGACAGAGGACAAGACTCGCTACGGATACGTTATGTGAGCACTGCTTGAACGCATTGGCTGTTGAGTGGGCAGGTGACGCCGTGTTGTGGCGCTTCGGTCACCACACTCTGACCCTGGCCATGCTGTCTACATCGCACCAACGATGCTTCAGAGCCGTGTCGTCGCTGTTTAGAGCGAGACAGCCATGTATCCAGTCGTTTACAGTTCCCGCGTTAAGTGAAGGAAAGACAAGAGACTCAACACAGCATCTGGAAATGGCTTCGTGGGGTTTCCGAGGTGGTTTGTAGGTGCTGATCCCGGCGAAGGCTCTTGGGGCGTAAAGAGTATGCGTCATCGTGATTCGAAATACTACTATAGCTTCGGCGATATAATAATTGACTAGAGGACAATAAGTATTGAAACGCTTAAAGTTTGCCCCGAGGCATTGAGGTGAGATCTACGAGTGACCCATGGCCACGTATGTAGAGTATGAATATTGAGCCAGCACATCGGGCCTGTCATGATGGTGATCGGCATTCGCCAATGGCAGGTACCTGCATAAACTTTTTCTACGCGGGGTACTTCCATCACTCTGCTTAAAGCTCAGGGAAGATGCCGCAAAGCAGCAGAAACGAGCCTTGGTTGCGTCGGTCTAGACCTTTGCGGTTGGCCGTTGACAACCAAGGTGTTAGCTGGCGATCCGGAAATCTCGTTCGTGTGGTTTCGCGATGATAACGACATCGCCATGTGCAGTGGAGATAGCGACCCCTGGGGAAATTTGATCTCGTCTTGGCGTGTCAAGGTGATGAAGTCATGGCAAGCTTCTGACAGCTAGCACGACAGCATGAACGTTGAAGACGGTTGCAAGGTGGACCTGTTGTTATCGTTTCGTTTCGAACAAACAGACGTTTCGTGGGCGGGACGAGCCGTGAAGCTGTGAGGTGACAGCCCGGAACGTTTCTGTAAGAGCTGTAATGAGCAGGAATGTCTTGGCATGGATCTGCGATGCGCTGCCCCAGCAGCGCATCATGCACGTCGAAGAGCTTCTAGAAAGACAATGCATGAATCAGAATTCGGCACATGGTTTCAGACCTCTGTCAAGCGAGCGTGCGGCTGGGCAGATGTTTCGCGGGTCAGCACCGCACGTGATGGTTGGTCGTCTGGGGAGTATGTGATTCAGATTGTATGGAGATATCACGAAATAGAGCGAGTCGAGCACGTATATACCATGGCAGTGGATTCTACATGCACATCAGTCATGTGGAAAGGGCGTGCAAGTACACTTGCACAAAGCTGGTGACGCTGTCTTGTCAGTGCGAAATCAAGCACAGTCACCCAGTCTGGATTGCTCATGGACTGCCGAGGGAATAATCTCGTAATGAAGAATACGAGCGGATGAACTGAGAGATACCTAGCTTGGACAGCGGGGCCAGGGGAAGCTTCGAGGCTGTGGCTCCATGTCAGTGGGTGCTTCCTTCTTCCTGAGGCTCGGGTGCGTCTGTCACCTCGAGTCTTCGACGGTGAGCTAGCGCAGACCAACATGGTACTGTCGACGAACCAAAACTTCTCAATGACTAGACATGACGTCTTCTTCAGAGCAGCTGTCAGCAATGTCTGGGTCGCTGGTGAGGCACGGGGAGGTATCATGAGGCGATGGAAGGGCGGTGGCTGTGTATTCATGCGCGCTGTGACGTCTGTCAGTTGTCGGAGGGCTTCGGCGCGGGGACGCTCCGGGTGCGGCGTGCGAGAGCTGAGCTGAAGAGACAAGGTTGTGGCTTCGTTTGTGGCGGCCGTTTGAAGCACGACCAGCGCTGGCGTCCACGGAGGATCCACGCCCTCAACGGCATACAACGGCCCTGCCACGACGATATCTCCGATGTGCTGCTTGAGGCTCAGACGCCATCGATAGCAGCACGACGGCCATGGCAATCGCGATGCAGCGCGCACTGGCACGCACTGAAAGCGGTGCGCTTGTGCAAATTGTGCCGATGTGCTGGTGGAGAGGCGCTGTCGCACCTGGCCGCTTTGGGTCGGCTCGATCGGTCCTAGCGCGCAGCACTGCTCGCTCGTCGAGACAGTCTACGAACAGTCGACACGATATACGAGTGCAGACTCACAGAGACGCTCGCACGCGGCGGCGCTCCACGTTCATCGGCGGGCCGCTCACGACAACACGAACACGAGCAACTGCCGGCCGTTTGCTCGCCAGTGTCGTGTTGGAGCGGCGGCGACCAGCCTCACGGTGCAGCGCTGGCAGCGCTGGCAGCACTGGCTCCTGCGAGCCGCCATCGAGGCCGCAAAGCACGGCAATGTGCTCGCCATGCTGCCATGGAGTGCCTGGCCCTAGGTGCCCGCTTGCTTCCGCATGCGCGCGAAAAGGGAGGATCATCGCAGGGGCGGTGCTCTTGTCGGCCAAGCGCCGCGACACGCAATTTGGACGCAGTCGAGCACCGAGGCTGCCAGCGATGCGTGGGCGACGGCGGTAGAGTCGCTGCAGCCGCTGCACGACGGCGGCGTGAGCCAGTCGCCGCCTGTAACGCCCAGCGGGCGGCCACGAGAGGGCCGTTGGCTCTCTCTCGCCGCCTCACCGCCCGCCAGCAGCGCGCGCGTCCGATACGACGTTCGCTGCAGCGCGCCCCTGACTGGTCTGCGACACCAGCACCACCCTGGTCGCGGTGCCTGGCTAGCAGCACCCACAGGTCCACCCGCACCGCAACCCCTGCCGCTCACGGCCCCTGTCTGTCCCTGGCCGAAATTAACATGCGCCAGGGGCAGGCCGTCGTGCGTGCAGCATGCAGCTTGGCCTCCACCGACTGCAGACCATTATATACCGCCTCGCCGCTGCAATGTCCAACTCATCACGACAAGGCTCACTTTCCTTTCACCACATTCGCTTTCGCCAGTCTTCGGACGTCACACTCTTTGAACCGCTCAGTCACTCTTTCCTGAGCCTTCACACCCCCCCACGGGCTATCTTCGATCACCCCACCTACAACTCTCTCAAAAGCAAGGAACCGTTTGATCAGACAAGATGATGAAGCTCACCGTTGCTTTCTTGGCCGCCCTGGCGGCTGCCGACGCCGCCGAGGCCCGCTCCACCCGTCAGCAGCGCCGTCAGTACGGCTCTGGCTACGACACCGGCTACGGCTCCGGATACGGCACACCTGAGGTCCCCTCGGCGCCTGCTGTCTCCTCCGTCCCGGCCGTCTCCTCCGTCCCCGTGCCCTCAGTCCCCGCTGTCCCGGCCACCAGCAGCACTCCTCTCGCCGAGACCACCCCCTACCCCTCTTCCACCCCCGTGCCTGAGGTCCCCGCTTCCTCTGCGCCTGAGGTTCCCGCCTCTTCCGTTCCTGAGGTCCCTGCCTCCTCTGCTCCTGAGGTTCCCGCCTCATCTGCCCCCGCTGCCTCCTCCAGCATCGACTACGGCAACGGGTACCCCGTTCCCTCTGCCCCCGCCGGTGGCGTTTCCAGCACAGTTGAGGTCCCCGCCAGCAGCACCCCCGCTGTTGAGACCGCCAGCACCCCTCTCGCTGAGACCGCCAGCTCTTCCGTCCCGGTTGTTGGAACCACCAGCTACCCCGTCGGTGGTGGTGTCTCCTCCACCCCGGTCGCTGAGACCGCCAGCACCCCCGCTGCCGAGACCGCCAGCTCCTCCGTCCCCGTCGCTGCCTCCTCCAGCCCCGTCGACTACGGTAACGGTTACCCCGTTCCCTCCGCCCCCGCCGGTGGTGTCTCCAGCACCCCCGCCGGTGAGACCGCCAGCTCTTCCGTCCCCGTTGTTGGAACCACCAGCTACCCCGTCGGTGGTGGTGTCTCCTCCACCCCGGTCGCTGAGACCGCCAGCACCCCCGCTGCCGAGACCGCCAGCTCCTCCGTCCCCGTCGCTGCCTCCTCCAGCCCCGTCGACTACGGTAACGGCTACCCCGTGCCCTCTGCCCCCGCCAGCTCCTCTACCCCCGCTGGCGCTGAGAGCACACCTGCCACTGGTGTCTACCCCTCCAGCTCCTACGTCCCTACCGGCGCTGCTTCCTCCAGCTACCCCGGCACTGGTGCTTCTTCCTCCACTCCCCTCGCTTCGGAGGCGTCCCAGACCTACCCCGGTTACCCCACCGGCACTGGTCCCCAGGTCACCGGTGTCACTGCCACCGGCACTGGATACCAGTCCCAGACCACCCCCATGAGCGACTACGTCACCTCGGTCATCTACAGCACCCAGATCTTCACCGTCACTGCGTGCCCCTCGACCGTCACTGACTGCCCGGCTTCCGCGACCTCGCTCATCACCAGCGTCGTCCCCGTCGGCACCACCGTCTGCCCCGAGTCTGACCTGACCAAGGCCACCCCCGCTCCTTCGGTCCCTGTGTCCAAGGACAACGTTGTCACCAGCTCCTACCCCGTCTCTGAGGTTCCCGAGGTCACCACCGAGACTCTCGTCTACACCATCGGTGTTGGCTCCACCGCCCACCCGGTCACCACTGAGATCGCCACCACCTCCACCAGGACCGTCTACTCGACCATTGTCGTCACCCAGTCCAAGCCCGCCGACTCTTACCCTACCGGCCCTGCTGGTGGTGACAGCTCCTACCCCACTGGCCCTGCCGGTGGTGTCTCCAGCTCCATCCCCGGAGGCTGCAACCCTGCCCACCCCGGCTCCTGCCCCACCCCCGTCGGTGAGGAGAGCGTTCCCTCTTCCTCCACCCCCGCTGGTGAGGAGGGCTACCCCACCGGCCCTGCCGGCGGCGAGCAGACTGGCACCACCACTCTGAAGTCCACCCAGACCCAGACCCGCTACGTCACTGTCAAGCCTACTCCCTCCGGAACCTCCCCCGAGGTCCCCGTCGGCGAGCAGAACTACCCCACCGGCCCTGCCGGCGGTGAGAACGCTTACCCCACTGGCCCTACCCCTGCCGGTCCCAGCAGCGCCCCCAACGTCCCCGTTGGTGAGGAGAACGTCCCTACCACCCCCGCTGGTGAGGGCGAGGACTGCGCCGTCCCCGTCACTGTCACTGTCACTGCCAAAGAGACCGTCACTGTCACCGCTGGCCAGACCGCCACCCCCGAGTCCGAGCAGCCCACTGGCCCCGCTGGTGGTGAGGGTGCTTACCCCACTGGCCCTGCTGGTGGTGTCTCCAGCTCCATCCCCGGAGGCTGCAACCCCGCCCACCCCGGCTCCTGCCCTACTCCCGCTGGTGAGCAGCCCTCGTACCCCACTGGCCCTGCTGGCGGCGTCTCGGCTCCTTACCCCTCCTCCAACGGCACTGCTCCCTACCCTGCCGGCCCTACTGGTTTCTCTACTCTGACCAAGCCTTCCGTCCCCACCGGCACCGTCCCCAGCGCGACCTCCAGCCTTCCCGGCTTCTCTTTCGTCTCTGAGGTCCCCTACCCCTCGGCTCCTGCCTCGTCTGCTCCCGCTGTCTCTACTCCTTCCGTTGAGACTCCCGTCCCCTCCACCCCTGCCGGTGAGGAGGCTACATCCAGCAGCGTCGAGTACCCCGCCTACCCCACCGGCCCTGCCGGCGGTGAGGCTTCCTCCACCCCCGTTGCCGTCGAGACTCCCTCCGCCCCTGTCTCCACCCCCGCTGGTGAGGAGGCTACCTCCACCCCCGCTGCTTACCCCACCGCTGGCTCCGGCTACGGTTCCGGTTACGGCACCTACTAAACGCTTCCCAGCGTTTAGTTTGAGTTGATGCGATGCTCGTTTTGTACAAACTCTCCTGGGTCCCTGACCCTTTTCGTACATGTCTTGTCTGCGTTCCGCCGTCTTGATGTCTCCTCGGGCAGGGGCTCAACGTGTTTGGGAGGATGTTTTATCGTTTGTAGGTAGCCTCACAGGAGCTTCAGACAGTCGACAATACGAAACTGTCTTGCTTTACATCTTGTTCCTTGTGCGTGGTGGGCTGACTTGCAGTGGAATGCGACTATAGATTCACGATTTCTCTGATCTACATCTCAAGTCCATTTCTTGTTTCCTTTGTCATTACCCACAGCCAAGATAGGCATGTAGTCTTCACTGTAGCATATTTGAATTTACCTTTTACACTTCACAAATGCGCCTAACACCGTGAACCGTGACCCAAATCCACAACATGCCGTCTGCCAATTTCCCAACCGAGTCCATACCGCGTCCCCTCCCCATCCTCCCGCCATCCCGGTCCATAACATGGAGCAATCCCTCCATCTGGACTAGCCCGCCAGCCCACGTTTCAGCAAGCCGGGCTGCCGAACGAGCCTGCTGTCGCACGTTGACAGCAGGTACCCGCCAACCCAGCTGCTCCGCCACAGCCCCTAATAACACTACTGTTATTGCACGCGGGGATCCTGAATCGAAGCAATCCACACATGCGCCCAGACCAGTCGCCGCGACCCCGGTGCGTATCGCCCAGAAATAACGAGCCCAGAAATAACAATGACGTGACGTGACGTGACGTGACGCCCGGCGCTCGGAACGGACATGTTCGCGAGCGCGCGGGTGCGCGGTCGTGGGCCGTGAGTGCAGACTCGGCCGATGCTGTGCGCGTTGCTGTGCCGAGCTGGCTCGCACCTGCGTTGCGCGGGGGAAGTCGCAGCACAGCACGAAGTGCGTTGTCTGGCGCCGGCCTGCGGTGTCACAGTGCGAGCGTGCACTGCACTGCACAATAATGCCGGCGTGCTGCAGGTACGCTGCTGTGCGTGTGCGCGGCGCCGATGCTGCAGGGCCGGTGGGAACGTGGGACGGCGGCGTGCGGCTGAGATATTGGTGCAACGAAGGGTTGTTGCAGGCGCTGGGGGGATATGCGGTGGAACGGTGTGTTGGCGAGGCGTGGTGTGACTTGAGGCTTTTCGTGGCGCTGGGGAGTTGCCATGCGTGTGAGAACAGAGATACGGAAGGATTCGAGAAATGATATGTACGTTTTTCACGCTGTTTCGATGGTGCTTATTCCAGACTCCACAGCGTAGATTAGTATGTTCGCTGCTTGTATCTTCGTGGTGATCTCAAGTCCAGTGTGAGACAACTATCAAATATTACCCTCCGTTGTCTCAGCTCAACCATAGATTCCTACAAGCTCGTTCACCGCGTTAGATCGGAGACTAGCTGTCATGTATCCTATAGTGCTGCGTGGTGCGTAATGTGACGGTTTGAGACAGAGTACGATTGAGTGGTCCATGGAATAACTCAGAACGAACACTGATAGCGAAAGGCCGAGATCGAAGTTACTGGCCAATATCTTACATGGTCATACTTCACTTCATACGACACAGATGACTCTCAGAAGATAGGACGCGTGTCTTGCGGATTTTTGCCGTCATTTTATCGCGTTTGCTCTACCTTCGAACGTTGAAGGAAACTCCCGGCTCAGCGGCGTCTTTTGAACACGATCAACGACTTCTGTACAATAATGTTTCCGGAAGCGCATGTTTATGTATAGGGACTGGGATGAATTGACACAGTAACTGGTCCTACGAATCCTTAGGTGTACTTGTCATGCACGATTGTCGTCTCATCTGCATACAAGCACGTGTAACTGTTTCTTTTCGTGTGGTTGCGTTGGCATCTTGCTTTAAAAGAGGAGCACTATCCCTACAAAACATGGTTTTATGCAGTGAAATGTATTGGAGTTAGTTCACATCGCATTAATTTGTTGTCTCGAGGTGTGAAAGTATAAACATACTGCACCCGAGTACGTCTGACCGACCACTCGGCCAAACACGTTCCACGTTAGAGAGACCGCGAATTCAGCAGTACTGCCTTTTATTGGTGACACTCTAGTGTAGCTGATAGCAGGCCATGTACGCTGCGCAGAGTGCCACCGTCACCCCAGCCAGTGCCAACCCCTTGGCTGACGAAACTCTCATCTCGACTAAATTCAAAGTCACCAAGTGATATGGGGCTTGCTTATGTATCTGGCTGATGTAGAATGATGTTCACGAACTATTTATGGTTGGAAATAGATCGCTGGTATGCGTGCGAGGTGGAACATCATGTACAACCACAGAAACATGTATGTGTAAATATATCACTTGGAGCTATTCCGTGTAACCGGGTGACTTTAATCAACGTCTCCACCTCTTCCAAGCGTCCACAATGCCCGTCTTGGTCCCGTCTCCTCTACTAAAATCACTCCCAAATCTACCCATATCAGCAATAGGCACCATGCTCGGTCTACCATGTGCACACATAAACGGAAAGACACAGTCTGCCAGCTTGCCCACAAGGACCTTGCATTCCTCTAGGCTCAGTTCATCATTGAACATGATCGCGGATCGGCAGGCACGGGAATTGATCATATCCACAAGGCCTGCCGGACAAGTGGCAATCTTCTTCACCCAGGTACTATGTCGGTCGCTGGATGAAAGTGAACAAGGGGGTGATTCGACGTACGCCCACACCGCAGAACGCAGAAAAGATACCAGGAGTTCAGGGTCAGTCTTGCAGCGTTCCGAGATGCTCGGTGGAAGAGCTGTGACAGAAAGTTTGCATGTCTCCTTGCCATCTCTGCTTCCGAGAGGCGCAGGGCTGCTGATATCGTACAAAATGCCCCAATCAGCGAAGTTTGCTCGAAATGCATCGAAGTGTTTATGCTCGGGCGAGGAAATTGCGAAATGCAATGACTTCTCGAGAACTACATACGCAACCAAAGGACTGAATTCGGGCTGTGTACCATTGCAGTCAATTTGCACCGGGCTGCACAGATCGCTCAGTAGTAATTCGACCTGAACGCGTTCGTCTGCCGCGTGTTGGTCGATTAGAACCAACGTGTCGGCAGGCGATTGTTCCTCGGATCCGGTAGATAGGCCTGCCATCTTTACTAGAACAAACTTTTTGTCGACCTGGGATATAACCTCGGCACCGCGCAGGGCATCTTTTGACAGCCTGGACAGGGTCGAACTTGCATCATTAAACGCCTCCTGCATGTCGAAATGAGAACAGCGCGTGTTCCTGTGCCGTGCACCCTCTTGTTCCTGGCCGTCTTGGAGCGACATTCGTTGTATAGCTTGCTCACTTGGTTTGAAGATCGGATTGTCCCAGGTCCGCAGTAGGTCATTCAGCCACACGCTTTTCGCAGGCTCAGCGGTGGCAAACTTGGGAGCTAGCCGTACCAACTTGCTCGTTTTCAGTCGACTAGTGGAAGGCGATAACGCTGAATGGCCTGTTTGAGATCGTGGAGGTGGCATGACGCACCCCGTTCGAGCGTTGAGATGGTAGGCCTTATTCGTGGATGGATCGGTCCAAGGCACAGTCTCATCTGCGATATCGCTCAACGCATTCGTGGTAGTAGATACAGCATCGGATGCTGCATCTTCGTGTTCCTTTCTACAATGGGACGGTTGACTGTCGCCATTATGTGAGGTTCGATTGGCGAAGGCCTGTGGAGACTTGGAAGTGCGGGTGTTATGTGTTGTATTCCTTGTCTCGAAGAAGCTGGACTTTCCACTCTTGATGCGCGACCAATCTGCAAAGGCTTGAGTGCGCGGCCTGTCAAGTGACTTCTCCAGGGACGCCTTCGCGAGTTTTTGTTTCTTCGTAGCGTTTGTCGCTGTAGACGCCAAAGACCTTGTCGGGCTGCTCAATTGGGCTTGACGCTTTCTCGATGATGTGAGACTCTGCTCGACTAGACACTGTGAGGATGTTGCTGCTGTCTGGTGCAACTTCCTCGGACAGAAGTGATGGACTGATAGCCACTGCGTGACCATGGCGCTGAGAACATCCACCACTGCGTGTAAGTTAGACTCATCTTCAATGAAGCGGTCGTCCGACACCAAGGCGGATCTGTCCTTAAGAACAATGCGTAGGTGAAACATGGGGTATCTATCAACACCCTTTCGAGCCTTGAGTTGCCGATTCGTGTACCCATCGTTCTTGTAACGCCTGTCTGTCAGCCGGCGGAGCTTCTCTTGCTCATCCACGTCGACGTCGTCCTCGATGGAGCCAAAGCTGGACAGCGCAAACATACGGTTGACTTGATCGTATAGCTCGTTGCCACCGGTCTCACCGAACAAGGGTCGCAGGCCAAATGAGATGAATTGTGCGTGCTTGTTCGGTGCTGGCTCGAGCGAAATGGCGCCTTTCACAGATATGGCAGGTGTTGAAGCAGAAGTTGGCACCCAAGATGCCCAGTCACTGATACCGATGTAGTTTGCCTGTGTCATGATCTGAAGAAGGGACGAGAGATGCGCAGACCGTGGTCTCTCGGTTGCGGCACTTCGACTGTCTGCTACAACAGGTGTGTTTGACGTGTTCGACTGCACGATTGTATTGCCGTCGGCATCGCGAACTTTGAGTGAGGCTGATCCTTGCCAACTTAGGAGGAGGCCAACGGTGTCTCTTCTCAGGCTGTTGCGGAGTCGGAGTTGCTCTGTCTTCTGATCGCCGACGACTGCTCGCTGTTTCACCCGCACTGGCATGTTCCCGAACAAATTGCGAACGGTGACCCGGGTCCCATGCTTGCCGTGGACATGGTCTTGGGAAAGGGCCGGTATTTGCCTCTGTACAGTTTGGGCGTGGTGGAAGGTGATTGAATTCTGCGAGCGGTACGCGTGGTGGTGGGAGGTGATGTTCAAGAGAGACACAGCGGAGAGAGAGGCGAGGAAGGTGCCGTACTGGCCTAGCTGCGATCCGTCGGCCTGAAACTTGGAGGTGCCTTGAGGGTCAGCACAATGCTACGCCATGGAGAGCATGCTCTGCACATACAGTAGAGCTTTCCCAAACCGCCATCTTCAGAGAATTCAGTCGGCGGTATGCCCAGGCCGTCGTCCTCCACGACACATGCCCCCCGCGCGAAGTCGACGGTGACATTGATCCTGGAGGCCTTGGCGTCGAGCGAGTTCTTCAGCAGCTCGAGCACGACTCCACCGAGTGACACAACGGCCGTGGCGGACTTGATCTGGGCGACGACGTCATCGGGCAAAGGCCGAATGGACATGGTGCTCATCAACCGCCGCCGTCGAGCACAAAGGTCGCGCTGCGGGCCATGTCGAAGCTCCAGTGACCAGGGTTCCAAACGGGTGGGGACGTGTGAGGGATGTCGCCAGCTGCGACCCACTGGCGCGTCGATGGCTGCTGCATGACGATGCTTGGCGCGGCGGCCCGCCCGCAGGCCTTCCAGGGTCTGGGGAAATGCGCGAGCAGCCAATTGCTCCTTCTGCAAGCTGCAGCCAACGATCCCCCCAAACACATTCCTCTGTTTCAGCTCTTGTATATCACGGCTGCACTTTCCACGTCTGCCGGCCAGAGGCTCTTCTCCAGTGCACGCTCTCAGTGCGCGTCCAGCACGCCGTGGCCACTGCTGACCCTGAATCTGGTGCCTGCTGAGCGGCCAGCGCATCGACACACATCACCTCCTTTGCTCGCGTCCGCGCTGCACCACGTGGAGAACTGCGGCCCAGCAAACAGAGCAGGCCACGCGCACACCCGGACCCGTCCACATCCAGCGGCTGTCCCTGCTGCTGTTCCTGGCGCTAGACGAGCATGGCCACAGCCGAAGCCGCGTCGAGACCCCATGGTACGTCTTTGTGTGCTGCACAGCCATTGCCGCGCCAAACCAGCCCGCGGTGCATTTCTGCGCTCGCCGTTTCCCTCGCACCCTCACCGTCCGAGCCATACTAATGCGCGGCTTCACAGACCGCCAGACCCCCCGCAAGCGGCCCTTTGCGGGCTGGATGAGACGGCTTGCCAACCTCAAGCCCTCGTCCTCGGACAGCACCACGGGCGCTGCAAAGAAGCACGGCGCTGCCAAGAAGGCCTCTGCGAAGAACAACCCGTACCCAGAGTCCGGCCGCATCAATCCGGATGCGCCCGGTCTCTCCTTTTCGACGCCCGACACGCCGCACTCTCACGAGAGCTTCACCTCCGAAGAAGCCGCCGCGCAGCAGCAGCGCCAGCATGCAAAGAGCACCCGATCGAATGCGCCGACCGTGGCCACCATGCCAGAGACGGTCCGCTCGCAGCGCTCCCAGGCAGAGACAGGGAACACCAACCAGAACGGCGGCAGCACCTTCTCGTCGCCCAATGGGTCGGAGCACTCTCTCACCACCACCTTGACCACGATCCAGTCCACTGCACCCTCGCATATCCTGGGCGCAGGCCAGACAACCCAGCCGGCTGTCACGTCGACGGGCCCGCCCGTACACTTCTCCCACCAGTTCCCCACCTCGCCTCCACCCCTGGCCATCCCCCCGCATCTGGCCCCCCAGCAGGGCCCCCACTCGTACCATGTTGCTACAGCCAACAACGTGCTCTCCGATGACGCCTCCATATTGACACTCGCATCGTCTTCGAAACGCCGCCGCCGCAACTCCCTCGACACGAACGCCTCGATGCGTGCAATGGCTCCCTCGTCGCATTATGGAGGCAGTCGCGAGTCGCTACCGCTCAGCGTTTTGTCCGGCAACATGGACACCATATACTCCCCTTCAGCCAGACCCGGCAATGTGAATAATCTCTCCAACGCCAACGCGGAGCGAGCGAGTGTCTACTCTGTGTCCGGTGCAACAGGTCCCGCCCTTACCAGTGAACGCAACAGCTACTACGCGAGTAAACAAGCAGATGGGCTCAGTGTACGAAGTGGATTGCTAGGTCATGGCCGCACTGATAGTATCAGCAGCATGAGAGCCATGCACACCGCTAGCCCACTAGCAAGCCCCCGCGATCCTATTCTGGTCACGAAAGTCAGCCGACGAAGCTCTGAATGGATTCCAGATGCCAGAGAAGGGAGCGACGAAGATGAGGAGGAACTACCAGCAGCGTCCGCTCTGAAAGAGGTAGATGAAGAGAAGGAGGCTGGCAAATCTCGATAAACACGTGTCGAGATAGGCTCACGCGCATGCGAGATGTCCAGATTTGAGTGTATGAATAGTCTTGAACCATAGAGATGGAACAATCAGGGTTGCTAAATTGTATGTGAGGGCGTTGCGGTGGGCTGGGAGGTTCTTCTCGATTATATACCCATGGCTTTTGAGACAGCCCACCAATATCACTGAGTAACACACAGTCGCTTTCGACGTTGCGTTCAGCGAAGTGCTGTAACATGTACGCGACTCGCGACTGTATGATTCAAGCTGACAACGGGAAGGTGCGATGACCCAAAATTAGCCCTCGATGACGTGCTCTCAACGGCATTTCACAGCGAACCAGCACCACCCAAATCCTACAATCATCTCGTACTGGACTTGCCAAGATCAGAAACTGCAGCATATTCGGGCCATGCGTCCATCATGGCCCATAAAATCTTGATAGGTGTGGGCGGTTCAGGCCGAAGGATTGTCTAGGTAGTATGTGCCACCGGTGGGTCTGCACACTCTCCGATAACTACATATATGGTGAGGAAGTGACTGATTGCGACTTGATAAATTCTTCACTTGGAAATCTGTGACCTGTCGGCTGATCTACAGCATGGCTGCCCCTTCACCGTCACAACCTGCTGTCAGTGATGCAGTCACGAGAGAACAGAAGCAGGCACAAACGACGGCAATCCACCCTGCTAAAGAGCCCAAGATAGCTCATGGCGCTGATGCTGCGCTACATCTGCTCAAAGAGACTGGAGGTCTTCGCCGACCTGTTGATCCTGAAGCCAGCAAACGTCTGCTGCGGAAGATCGACCTGCACATCATGCCGCTGATCTGCATCGTTTATTTCTTGCAATACATTGATAAGACTGCTATATCCTACGCCTCCGTTACTGGCATCATCGAGAGCACCGGCTTACATGGCAACCAATTTAACTGGGTGGCATCAATTTTCTTTTTTGGGTATGTGTTCGACACGGGTGTCGGTGCATAGACTGACGATCCAACAGACAGCTCGCATTCGAGTTCCCTACCATCCGTCTTATACAGCTCTTCCCGCTTGCGAAATACGTCGCCGTCAATGTAACCATCTGGGGCGCCGTACTAGCTTCCCTGGCAGCCTGCAAATCCTATGCCTCGCTTTTGGCTTGCCGCTTTCTTCTCGGCGCTGCAGAAGCTGCAGTAGTACCTGCCTGGGTCATATTCACGTCACAATGGTACACTCGTAATGAACAAGCCTTCCGTGTAGGCATCTGGTTCTCCGTCTGTGGTGCTGCCCAGATGTTCGGGGGCTACTTCGCCTATGGGGTAGCCAACCATGTCGGCGGTGACGCAAGCGCTGCACTTCGAGGATGGCAGATCATTTTCCTCTTCCTGGGTCTTCTTACAGCAGTTGTGGGTGTCAGCTTCTGGTTCATCATGCCTGACTCGCCCGAGTTCGCTGGCTTTCTCACCCCAGAGGAGAAGAGTCTACATATCGAACGTATCCGTGGCAACATCCAAGGCATTGGTAGTCGAACTTTCAAATGGGATCAATTCTGGGAGGCCGTCCAGGATCCAATGACCTGGCTCTACGCATTCTGGATTTTCGCTGCGAACATTCCCAATTCGATCGCGACGTCTTTCGGTAACATCCTGGTCAAGGGCATGGGCTACACCTCAAAAGAATCACTGCTGCTTGTCACACCTCTCGGTGCATACGAGATCGTGGTACTGGTCGGTCTGACGTTCGTCGCCATGAAGACTGAACAACGCCTCTACGCCTGTATCGCGGGCCATATACCAGCCATCATCGGCGCTATTCTCATGGCAACAACGAATAAAGTGCCTGCATTAATTGGATACTACTTCTCGGGCGGCATCCCGATCGGCTGGACGACGATTCTTGGTCTACAAGCGTCCAACGTCGCGGGCAGTACCAAAAAGATCACCGTCAGTATCATCGGCACAATTGCATACACCATCGGCAACATCATCTCTCCGCAGACATTCCAGAGTAAGGACGCACCGAGGTATCTGCCTGCGAAGATCAGCATCGTCATTCTGTACGTTTTGATCACCATAGATTTGGTCTTGATGAGGTGGCTCTTTGTCCGCCGTAATCGGCAGAGAGAGGAAGAGAAGAGTGCGAAGGGTGAGGAATGGAAAGTCGAAGAGAACCATGAGTTCCTAGATCAGACGGATTTCGAGAACAGGGAGTTTAGATACGTCTTGTAGACAGCCATGGGAAGGAACACTGCTTTGGGTGTGCACGTTTAACCATCAATCAACAAGTGCACTTACAAATGGTGTGGCTCAATCAAGGGGCTCGTTGTGACTCATATGATTCAACGTACAAAACCCCCTGTTTGTGTCTGGCATCCTGAACCTTTCTTTCGTACGAGCGGCATTGTACTCGGAAAGTGGGTAAAGCTCAACTACCGATCAGATGTGGTCGCGGACATGCCGGCTCGGTCGCCCGAAACACCGAGCCCCGGGCGGTAGCCAGAAGAGCAAGTGGCCATTAGATCTGATAACCCTGTTAAATGCTCTTCCGACAACGGCGCCGAATCTGATAAAACGGAGCACGCCCGGCATATGTTCAATTAAACTTTGTGAATAGAAAAGCCAGCTTTGCCCTCTTCCTCTTTCCTGCGTTGTTTTATTCGGATAATCCATATGCTCAGAACCATCATGACAAGATCGACACCAAAGAACGTGGTCGTTGTAGGAGGCTCGTACGTCGGTGTCGGCCTCGCGGAAATGCTTGCAAAAGACTCCTCAGATAAATTCCGCGTACTGCTCATCGAGAAGAACAGCCACTTCCAGCATCTCTTCGCGTTCCCGCGGTTCGCAGTCACCACCAGCATCGACACCCACAAGGCCTTCATCCCGTATCAAAAGAGCAGACTAGGCCAGGCCGGCGCCATCATCCAGGCCAAAGCACTGAGCCTGAGCGCAGACTCCATCACACTAGACCGTGAAGTCGAGCTCGATGGACAGACAACAAACATAATCCCCTTTGCCGCCTTGGCAATCACCACCGGCACCAAGCTCAGTGCGCCCAGCACCCTCCCCGGCAGCGAGAAGCTCGACGGCACATCCTACCTTCGCAAACACGCCGCGCGCGTTGAGGCCAGCAACCAAATCGCCATCATCGGCGGCGGTGCCGTTGGCGTCCAAACAGCAACCGATATCAAACAGCTCTTCCCCGCCAAATCCGTCACCCTGATCCACTCGCGCCCCCAGCTTATGCCCGTCTACCACCCTGGCCTGCACAGCATCATCATGGAGCGCCTGGCCGAGCTCGGCGTAAAAACCGTCTTGGGTCGGGGCCGCGTCACGCTCCCCGCAGAGGGCTACCCGTCCTCTGGGACCTTCACCGTCGACATCGCAGACGGCACGCGTGTGCCCGCTGACATGGCCATCATCTCGACGGGCCAGACGCCGCAGTCGGAGCTGCTCGCGGCGCTGGCGCCGGACTGCATTGACGACGCACGGTTCATCCGCGTGCGGCCGACGCTGCAGGTTGCGAATGCGCGGCTGCCGAATGTGTTTGCGTTGGGCGACGTGGCGGCGACGAAGGCGCACAAGGCGGCCCGCCCGGCTCAGGCGCAGATTGCGGTTGTCGCGGCGAATGTAAGGCGGCTGCTAGATGGTGGGGCCGAGCCGCTGGAGGAGTATGTGGTGCGTGACCCGCCGGCGATTCATCTCACGCTGGGGATTGAGAGGAGTGTGATCTTCCGGAATCCGACGAAGGATGGGAGGGAGGGGAGCGAGGCGCCGGTTGTGATGCATAAGGATGATGGACGGCTGGATATGGGGATTGAGGGCATGTGGGCGAGGAGGGGAGCGGATATTACGCAGTCTCTGCTATAAGCTTTGTTGTGGGGGTTTGCCGGTTGTGGCATGAAGAGACGTAGCTTGGATAACTGCACCTTCAAGAGCTGCAGCTCGAGAACAAGAGAAGACATGCGGACAGTTTTGACGTTGGATACCCGTGGAGAGTTAGAATTGGGGAGCAGACGAGACGATACTTGACCTTCAAAGACGAGAGAATTTGCAAAAGAGGCATATAATGCTGCTCAAATGTCCTGTGCATCGATAGGATGAGAGATATGCCATGTGATTTCCAAAGTCGAACAGCGTCGTCCTACGATTCCCAATGTACACCAGAAAACATGGCCATGAAAGGAAACATACCGAACTGTTGAGTGCCACACGTGTTGTCGACGAGAACGTCGAAAGTTATGTTGGCTGATAGTCACTACATTGCGGTAATGTAGTGAATTTCTAAGTGCTTTCGAACGAAGCATGTAGGGGTTGCGAGAGAACCTCATTAACCACACCGAATCCCAGCATACATGCTGATGTAGTGGTCAATGATAAGAGAATCGAGGGGGATCACGTGTAATCTACAATGAGATAGCACGTTCCGCCTCGGGGCCAGTAATGATGGCATTGGCTCATGGGCAGGAAGCCTGGAGCTGCAACTGTCTTTGAAACATCAATGCAGAGCAGAAGTGTGCATATGTACGAGCGCAATGAGACCCGAGTAGCCACAATACAGGCAGCCAGGTCAATTAAACGCTCACGGGTCGTTCTTGGAATATCTAAGAGGGCTTGTAGCGAAGGTGGACTTTTCGCGCAAGCGTGACAAATTCGTTCCTGGATTTCATACGTCTCGCTCGTGGCATCATCGTGCGCCAGTAGCTTCTCAGCACACACGTGGTATGTCCCGGTCATTATGGACGACGCACGCGCGGTTGGAGAGCACCGGTGCAACTGCAGAGGTGAGCGCTGGAGTGATGAAGTCTGCTGCAGAAATATTTCGCGGGTGTCCACCGCGCTAGTCCCGCTGTGATCCCTGCGCCCCTAACCCCTTTGATGCACGTCGCCCTCGAGCAAACGTGCAAGATATCTAACAACATCATCACCATCAACCAAAACCATGTCCTCATACTCATAACATGATCCCCCAACACTCCCCTCGACAAAACGGCACCCCATGTACCGTCCGTCGTGCCGGCTCTTCCGCCTCCCCTCCAAACTCCACCGGCGCGCCCGCCGCTCCCGGCTCTTCGCCATGTTCATCCTGCTCCTGACCCTCTTCACCGTCGCCTTCCCATTCTACTGCATCTACAAGCCCCCCAACACTCTGATCCGGTACTTTGCGCGGCGCTGGCCCGACGTGCTATGGCACGTGCCCACATCCACCAAGGTGATAGCGCTGACCATTGACGACGCGCCGTCGGAGCACACGCACGGCATCCTGGCCGCACTGCGCGAGCACCATGCGCAGGCTACCTTCTTCGTGATCGGGGGGCAGGTCGCGGGCCGCGAAGCGGCGCTGCAGGATGCGGTGCGCGCGGGGATGGAGTTGGGCAACCACGCGATGCACGATGAGCCGGCGCGGGGACTGGCGGCGGAGCAGCTGCGGTCCGAGATGCTGCAGGTCGAGGGCGCGATCAATGCGACGTACGCTGCTGTGGGGGTTGAGCGGCCGCCGAAGTATTTTCGCCCCGGGTCGGGGTTTTTCAGCTCGGGTATGAGGTCGAGGGTTAGGGAGATGGGATATCAGATGGTGCTGGGTAGTATCTATCCGCATGATCCGCAGATCCCGTATCCCAGTGTGAATGCCAGGCACATTCTGAGTATGGCGCGGCCGGGTGGGATCATCATCTGCCACGACAGGAGGGGCTGGACGGTACCGATGTTGCGCAAGGTGCTGCCTGAGTTGAAAAGAAGAGGATATACGATTACGACCGTGACGGGCATGCTCGAGGCTACTGGAAGAATGAAGGATGGAGTCATGAGTAGCTGAACGAGGATCCTTGTATGATTACATGAACACCCAAGACTATCAAAGAATTCGGTCCATATCCAACAGACATCGGCAATTACGAGAATCAGTATGCCACTGGCGCAACTTACGGCCTAAGCACCAGAAATGCAGCTCAAGAAAGCAAAAGAAAATTGTTGACGTCGTACTAAATTTACGATCAGGCCTTAATCAAGACACTCTCCGCATCGTCTTTAGAAAATTAGCATCACAGAAGCAACACACAGGTACAACTTTGACACAACTAAAACCGACCAAGTCCAGAAGCGGCCAAATCTTGGCAGCCCCGTCTCTAGCGCGTGGGTGATCGGCGCTAATGTCGATCGTGCTGTGACGTGCTTTGCAAGGCGTACCAAGGTTCAGCTTTCGGCGACACATGTTAGCACTTCTAACATGCATGACGTATCAAGTCGCTGGCCTTTTGGGGTCGGATACTGACGGTGAGGGCAAGCAAGGCTGTTGCGGATCCGCATGTGGTCTGTGAATGAGAGCCGCGAAGAATTCGTAGTGTGGTGCTGGTGGGGTGGGCGCGAGTATGAGGTAAACAAACGTTTTGACAAGGCGATGTGCGGTTATCACTTTGATGATCGAGCTCATGTGCACCCAAACGAGCTATGCAAATCATGGTTACGGTCACGCAGTGGTAGCAAGTGTTTTTGGAGAATTAAATTCTTTGGTAATGTTACATATCATAATCGAAGCAGGCCTGCTGTGGGCTCATATCATGTCGCTTCATTCTCCAGGACGCCGGATACTGGCGAACTCATTCTAGCCGCCAAGGTAGAAAAAAATTACTCAACTCCTAACGAGTGCTTTACTCGAAGGGGTTGGTGCGGGTGCCCCAGTAGGTGAGGAACAGGGACAGACCGACAGTCTCGAGGACGCGGGCAACAGCGCCAATGGCGATGGTGTCAAGAGGACGCTTCTCGGTGAGGACCTGGGAGACGATCTGGCACTGTTAGCATGCAGTCGGAGAGTAGGCGGCGAGGTGACGTACGGAAGGAGCAGCGGAAGCAAAGAAGATCAAAGAGCCGAGGTAAGCAGCGCCCTTGTAGGTGAGGGTACCGGTAGCGTTGATGAGAGCACCAACACCGTACGACTGGACGGCAGAGCCGACAATGGAGCTACCCCAGGTGGCAGCGGCGGTAGCAGCCTCCTTGGAGTGGAAGTACTCCTCCTTGGAGTTGGCCTGCTGTGCGCGGCGGTAGGCGTCACCGAAAACAGGGCCAAGAACGGCAAGGGAGACAGCGTGGTTGAAAGCCGTGCCGAGAGCGATGGCAGAGGGCTTGACGGGAGGGAGGTCTGGTGGATGCCATGTTAGCCATTGAAACATTGGGTAGGTCTTGGACCAAAACACGTAGGGACTGCGTGATTAAACTCAATCCGCTCCAGCTGCTGTGGATGGTAAACAGAGGATTCACTTACAGCTGAGGGAGGCCATTGTGGATGATGTGAAGGTGTTGGTGATGGAAGATTGGGTGGAAAGTAGTGGTGATGGGTATATGAGTGTTGATGATGGCAGAGGAACCAGCAGCCCAGGTTGCTTTTGTACTCGCGGCACGCAACGATGGCTTGCACTGGCAACCCGTGACACAATGTGACGTCACGCCAAGCTAGCACGAATGGGCTATGAAATCCAGCTTCAGCTGTCTCTTTGAGGCAAGGAGCCCCACTGCCTTGTAGTGATCTGGACTGTGCGTTCGCAATTTGTTTACATGATGAAATTGCATGGTGGTCGAGATGATTCCGCCGTCTCACGACTGGCGAAGTTGGAATTTGGATGTTCAGGTACGTCACCGATGAGGAAGGAGCGATGAAGCTATGGCCAGCAACCCGCTCCTCGAGCTCTTCAGGTTAGCGCTCACCCCTCACGTGAACTACTGGAGTACGGCTGGATGATGAGAACGACCGGCAAAATGTGAACGTTGCCTTTGTTGCACCCGCGTGCGCGTCAAACGTCAAGGTGAAGACGCAAGGCACACGACTCCAGTTTTCGGCGATCCCCCCACAAAGGACACGCGCTACCCACACACAGCTTGCGCAACAACAAGGAACCCCGAACCACCGAGATGCTTATCCCGAGGAAAGTCTTCGGGGTACTGACGTTCGCTTTCTGCGTTGCGGGTCTATTCGTCTTCTCCAATTCGATCGTGCAATGGTCCATGCATGTGTTTGGCAGCCATGCTCCGCTGATACCATACACTACGCACGTTGTTCTGTTCCAATTCAAGGAAACGGCCACTAGCTTCGCAATCAAGGAGGTAAGAAGCGCTCCAGAACGCAATGCGCACAGACCTAACACACACAGATCACGTCAAAGTTCTTCGGCTTGAAGAAGTCGTGTGTTCACCCAGACACACGTAGACCATATATTCTCTCGATTACTGGTGGAAAAGATACGTCCATTGAGAGCCTGCAGGTACCCGAGACCCTGGTTTGGTGGTCATACAAGCTTCTGACATATCTGCAGAATGGCATGAGCCACGCATTCATCCTCAGATTCAGCTCGAATGAAGAGCGAGACTATTATGTGAAAGAAGACCCCGCGCATCAAGCGTTCAAAGATGCTGCTGCGGCAATGGTAGAAAAAACGATAGTCGTTGACTTTCAAGAGGGTGTTTTTACTAACGCACTATGAGCCCTCTGGATGCACAGATGTAGATAGTACCGTAGTCATAGGCTGGTTTTTGCACGACTTGTAACATGCTCCACAGCCGCCGTACATAACACATACATATAGCCAGATCATAACACGCAAACAAGGCGCCATCATAGATTCATAAACTCATTCACAGATACAGCGCACCTACAAAGCCTTCCTCAGCGCGCTCTTGAACGGGATGATCTGCACCTTGCTCAAATCCCACACCCCACCCTCGACGTAAACATCGGCCTCAATTCTCTTGATAACATCCTCCTTCGTCTTCGCACCAATCAGCATAGCACTGCCATTCATCTTCGGCGGCCCAGCATCGCCCTCCTTTATCGGCTCATCAAGCATAGCACCTAACCTTTGTCAGTCTACTCACAACCAGCAGGACCCGCATGGCGCGGAAAAGCGACCCAACATACCCCCCCAGAGCCAAAAACTCTCGTCGTCCTTCTTCAGTCCACCCAAGTGATCGGGCCGCACGGCAATGCGCTTGTGCAGCGCGCCCGCGTGGTCCGGGATGATGACCAGCCACTCCTGCAGCGGTGCGGTGGAACTTGCCATTGTGCGGACGATACTAGGTCTTTGGACTGCGAATTGGGCTGCGCAGGTTGTACGGAGGAGAGGGCGGAGGCGGGAGGCGAGCATGTATCGGATTGTGGGGAGCTGTGTGGGCCGAGGTAGTCAGCTTGTGGTCTGCTGGAGCTGGATATGACTGAGGCTGTTATCGTGGTATTTATGTACTCGCAAGCTTCGATAGTGGCTGGAGCTCCAGAAGTGGGTCGGGGATTGGGGGTTATATACACTTGTATTCGGCAGGGCGCGTGGGAGTGCAACTGTAGGGCGTTGCGGCGCTGTTTCGGAATAAGAGCCGCGGGGTGAGCGTCGGCGGATCTCGACGCACGAATCGGAGACGCTGGAAGATGGAGCATCATGGATAGCATCGGCAATACAAGCAAGAAATGAACATGGGGAGAGCGATGTCGAAAAACGCATCATGCATTGACTAAAGCTGCAGAAAACAACTATATCGCTATTCAAAACTCGTGAATCATTCCTCCTCTTGCCTGACCCATTACCCGTACCATCAACGCCAGAGAAACAAGGGCAGTCGCCCGCCCATCCACCCAGATCTAACACCATGTAAACCCCCTTAAAAGCAAACCTTCGTCTAACCAGAGCACATCAGACAGGACTCGGGGTTGTCTATCGAGCAGGCAAGAGCAGCCTCGGCGTAAATGTCACCATCGCGCTCTTTGGAATCATCGTCAGCATCCTCGGCCTGCTTGTCCTTGGACGTCGAATCTTCCTCGACAGGCTTGCTCGTAGAGTCAACGGCAACGAGCTTGGGGCTGTCGCCCTCTTCAACATCGGCTTTGAAGGGCTTGCTGGCCAGAACGTTCTCTGCAGGCGGGAGCTTGCTCTCAGCAACGGGCGGTGGAGTGGCTGAGGGTGTCGGTACACCGTTTATGGCGTCCGAGATACCGTTGGGAGTCTTGGTGGCGTACATGGGCCTTGGGGCTGGGGCTGGAGCTGGGGTAAGCGAAGGCGAGCCAACGCCGGCTTGCTGGAAGCCAGGCTGACGCCTCTTAGATGGGAGGGCGCGGGCGATGTTGGTGTCGGCAACCTTGAGAGCCTCCTGGTCGACAGTGAACTGGATGGGGGCAGAAGCCGCCATGGTTCGGAGATAGTACATGCCGGTCTTCAGACCAAGCTTCCATCCAGCAAAGTGCATGGAGGTGATCTTGCCCATGGTGGGTTCTTTCATGTGGATGTTCAGTGATTGAGACTGGTCAATGAAGGCACCACGGTCGGCAGCCATCTGGATGATTGTACGCTGTGAGATTTCCCAAACAGTCTTGTACAAGACCTTGATCTCGTCAGGGATGTTGGGGATGCGCTGAATAGAACCACCCTCAGCAATGATGCGGTTCTTCATGTTCTCAGTCCAGAGACCCATGTCGACGAGATCCTTGAGCAACCAGGGATTGACGACCTGGAATTCTCCAGCAAGCACACGACGAGAGTAGATGTTCGATGTGTAGGGCTCGAAGCACTCGTTGTTGCCGAGAATCTGGGAGGTAGAGGCAGTAGGCATAGGTGCGACGAGCAGAGAATTGCGGACACCGTACTGTGCAATCTTCTCCTTCAGCGCAGCCCAGTCCCAGAGGTCGGTGGGTGTAACATCCCACATGTCATACTGAAGCTGGCCCTGAGAAACAGGCGAGCCCTCGTATGTGGCGTAAGGGCCAAGCTCTTTAGCAGTGTCGCAAGATGATGTCAAGGCAGCGTGGTAGATAGTCTCGAAGATCTGGATGTTGAGCTTCTTAGCCTCGGGAGATTCGAAAGGCAGGCGAAGAGCAAGGAAAGCGTCCGCAAGACCTTGAACACCAAGGCCGATAGGCCTGTGACGGAAGTTGCTACGGCGTGCCTCCTCGACGGGGTAGTGGTTGACCTCAATGATCTTGTTGAGGTTGCGTGTGCAGACCTGGACGACCTCGTGAAGCTTCTTGAAGTCGAACTCACCACGCTTGTAGTCAACGAAGGAGGGAAGGGCCACAGAGGCCAAGTTGCAGACAGCGACCTCATCGGGTGCAGTGTACTCGATGATCTCAGTGCACAGGTTGGAGCTGCGGATGGTACCAAGGTTCTTCTGGTTGCTCTTCCTGTTGGCAGCATCCTTGTAGAGCATGAAGGGGTTACCAGTCTCAGTCTGAGCCTCGAGGATGGCGTACCAGAGTTTCTGAGCACGGACAGTCTCGCGACCACGTCCCTCCTTCTCGTACTGCTCATAGAGAGCAACGAACTCGTCACCGTAGACGTCGGCGAGGCCAGGGCACTCGTTGGGGCACATCAGTGTCCACTCGCCGTTCTCCTGGACACGCTGCATGAAGAGATCGGGAATCCACAGAGCGTAAAAGAGATCGCGAGCACGAACCTCCTCCTTGCCGTGGTTCTTCCTGAGATCGAGGAAGCCGAAGACATCAGCATGCCATGGCTCGAGGTAAATGGCAAAAGCACCAGGACGCTTGTTGCCACCCTGATCGACGTAGCGGGCAGTGTTGTTGTAGACACGGAGCATGGGGATGAGACCGTTCGATGTTCCGTTGGTTCCTCCGATATAGGAGCCAGTGGCACGAATGCGGTGGACGTTGAGGCCAATACCGCCAGCAGTCTTGGAGATCAATGCGCAGGTCTTCAATGTGTCGTAGATACCATCAATGCTGTCCTCCTTCATGTCGATGAGGAAGCACGAAGACATCTGAGGGGAGGGTGTGCCAGCGTTGAAGAGCGTCGGCGACGCGTGTGTGAAGTACTTTTGCGACATGTACTCGTATGTCTCGATGGCCTTCTCGATATTCTCCATGTGGATGCCAACAGCGACACGCATAAGCATGTGTTGTGGGCGCTCGGCGACCTTGCCATTGATGCGGAGAAGGTATGAGCGTTCCAATGTCTTGAAGCCGAAGAACTGATAGTTGAAGTCACGGTCGTAGACAATGGCACTGTTAAGCTCATCGGCGTGGTCCTGAATGATCTTGTAGACTCGGTCTGAGATCATAGGCTGGTGCTTGTTGTTCTTCGGGTTGATGTATGTGTGGAGGTCGTGAATGACGGCAGAGAACTGCTTCTTCGTCTGCTTGTGAAGGTTGGAGACCGCAATACGCGCAGCCAGGATGGCGTAGTCGGGATGTGTAGTGGTCATGTATGCGGCTGTCTCGGCGGCCTAGTATCTGTCAGTGCTTGTGAGGACTGGACGCGTTCATGGTGACGTACCAAGTCATCGAGCTGGATTGTGGTAACACCCTGGTACACGCCAGAGATGACCTTCATTGTGATGGCGGCGGGGTCGACATGGTCAGGGTCGAGCCCGTAACACAACCTCGACACGCGGGCTGTGATCTTGTCGAATTGCACGCGTTCTTTGCGTCCATCTGTCACACGTCTGTCAGCACGGTAACGACACTGCAGTAGCATGCATGGACATCTGAAAGCATCCCAAACGGCAGAATTGATTTGTACGTACCTCGCTTGAAGACAAACATGGTGAAGACGCGAAAAGGTATGGGGTATAAGGGTCTAGAAGGGGGAGAAGTGGTGTGAGGGAGGGAGCAGTGTGGTGGGGCTTGAGGAGGTTTTAAGTGTTTGGCACGGCAACGCGTGCAGAGCACGTTCACGCGTCGCGCCTGCGATTTGTAACCAGGCTAGCGCGTAAAGTGCTTGCAGCCGCGGTGATGGCGGCGATCGATTGCACGCGGACGGCCGGGGTTTTGCCGACACCCGAACTTTTCGAAGCGCGCATCAACCACGGCGACACTTTGGGGTGGTGCATCTTGAGCCGCATCGGACGTCCTCCCCTTTTTCTTCGTACCCACGGAGCCAATTCCTTCTTAACATGGCGGGCGGACACATGAAGTACCGCGCCCTCAGCCGGTCGTCGGCACACCGACAGGCGCTCTTGCGCAACCTCGTCACATCGCTGTTCAAGCACGAATCGATAGCAACAACATGGCACAAGGCGAAGGAGGCGCAGCGGTTAGCAGAGAAGCTGATAACGTTGGGCAAGAAGAACACAGAGGCGTCGCGACGGAGAGCCCACCAGATCTTCTATGTACGAAGGTCCAGCGCCGCAATGCCAACCCCATACTGATCGTCGCAGGAACCAAACGACATGGTGCCCAAGCTCTTCGGCCCCATAAGAGAGCGCTATCTCACCCGGCCCGGAGGTTACACACGCGTCCTGCGCATTGAACCCATGAAGGAAGACCAGGCCGAATCCGCCATCCTCGAGCTCGTTGATGGACCCAAGGACATGCGCTTCGCCATGACTGCGAAGACACTGGCGCGCCTGTCGCCCAACAAGCAGCTCAATGACACGACAGCGAAGAACGTGAAGCGTGTCACACAGTTCCGCGAGGACGGCATGAGCCAGCTGCAGGAGATGGTCGAACAGATGCGCATTGAGAAGGACGAGGGTATCGACGACCGAGTCCTGCCCGCGCCCAGGAAGGTGTACCCGGATATCAGCATGAATAGGGATATGCGCTATCCAGAGGAGGTCCCCGACTGGAAGTTCCCCAACCCTTTGCCAAAAAAGCAAGTCAAGAAGGAGGTGCAGGTTGTGGAGCCCGAGGAAGACTTCGTCATTGCGGAAAAGAGCCTTGGGAAAGAGGTGAGCGCGTAAACTCATATGCCATATCTGTACTATACCAATGTTCACATATCACGCGCGGCACTACCATGCGTGCGCGCTTCCTCACTTTCACGGGCGGTGAATCTTTCAAAGCGGGCTTTCACTTATGAAGCTGAGGTGCACTAGAGGCTCTATAAGCCATCAACTGCCCCACTTGCCAGCTCTGATCTCATTTCCACACGAACAGCCTCTCAGCTACAGACCTTTCGTGCACATTGCCATGGCGTCTAGCAATCTCGTTATACGCGTGCCGCCGCGCATATCGTGAGTAAATATGGGTAGCTCTAGTTAAAAACCTAGAGGCGCCATCTCCATGATAATCGCCAACCACTCGCTGAAATGCATCAAGGGCATGATCCGTATCCGTATACATGTCTGGTACAGCACTTAGCTAAATTGCAATGATTGAGCTAGCAGCCCTCTCCCCCTTTTGCTTTTTGTGATCTTCCCTATCACCTCCATATTGTTCGGAAGGTTTCACAGTCAGAACCTTCATGACAATATTGATGTACGGTGGGCGCATGCCCAGAAGCTGGATCCCGCGTCGAGCTCCATAATCCGATCTACCCTGTGTCTTTGGGTAGTGCTTTTCGAGCGTCCTTGCGTCGACGTATACGCAGAAGCTTTGTTTTGGAGACCGCATGTTGCTGTTGGTGGCTTGTCGCTCTCGAGGTCAGTGAACAGTTTGTGTGATGCTTCTACGGTGGCTGTGAGATAATGTAGCCACCGTCATTCTTACCATCTCGGCTTCCCACTTTCGGTGCTGCACCTAGCCTAGGCACATCGGACTGGCCATTTGGATAAGCTGTAAAGCTACTACTGAATCATCCCCCTAAAGCGCATACACTCAAACAAGAAAGCACCTTAGCACCTAGGGTTATTGATACTCGGTGCAATTGCATAACGCTGCATCTCGCCAAGTGGCTGGTCGAACGTGTCTGCAGACAGTACGGTCGATCTTGGCTAAGAGGTGCGCTGTCAGAGTAGCTCTGCGCCTGGAAACAATCTTCAGAAGAGACTTACCAAGAGAAAGAAAGTTCGAAGCTGGTTTCAGATTGTACGGCCTTGACTGTTGACCTTAGCAGGTGTCGTTACAATTAAGGATATAATAGCGTAAATGACAAGAAAAGGGCACCCAGTAGTGTTATAGTCACAGAAAATGATGCCACTGGTGATCGTCTTGATTGGGGTGGAACAGAGATTATCGTGCACCCAATCCCATGTCCTTCACCCCTCCCAGGATGCACTAACCGCAAAAAGAATGCTTGCATCGGCCGGGAATCAACAACTGGCTGCTAGGTTCGAACTTATATGCAACCCCCAATATCATACCTCTTTGCAGAGGCTTTAGGGGGGAATGCAATCGCCTCGATCTAAAGCTACCAAGGAATGATTCTCAGATTGTACTGATGGCCGAGAATTGAACGCTACGACGTTTGTGCTCTCTCTGGCGTTGTCCAAAACGCTTCTGGTGTCCAAAACTGTGCTGTCCACCTTCGGATTTGGAGCAAAGATCTTGAGCCCCCCCCCCTTCCACAGACTTTCAATGGAGCTCGACAGACGCCTGAAAATGTTGTGACACCAAACTCTGTGGCGTATAAGCATAGCTTAGGGTAGTAGATAACCGAGCAGTGTCTAGTCTCACGTTTCGAGAACAGCCAGTCAACTACATCTTCGCTCATGACTAACAGGGAAACTGACTTAAATTCAGGTCTTCCCAGTCCCAAATTTGTTCTATCCCACCAATATCCAGATCCGTTGCAGTTCCAAGAGGATGTTGCACAAGGAACTGATCAAGATCAAATGTGAGGTCGGTGTGGAGTGATGTTGTAGATGTCGGCTCCAAGGGTATAGATGTTCGTGATGGGTCTAGTGGGGCAACTGACACCTGGAAAGGTGGATCGATCACGCTGGTGGCGGAATCTCGTGAGGACGAATGATGTACAAGTGGCGGAGGCTCGAGAGAGTGAAGAGAACTCAAAGACTGTTTTCGCGGCCGCTTGACACTCCCAGTACCACGTGACAATTCAGGATGACTTTGGACCAGCTTGTAAAGGAAGGCGAAGGATGATGCACCGAGCTTCGTGATTAGACTGAGTTGGTGCAGCATACCGAGAGAACTCTCGATGGCGCTTAGCACTTGATCTCGTTGAGGTAAACGCCTTTCGCGATCGTGGATGATGGCAGAGCATAGGACTGTTGAGGTGTCGAAGATAGAGAACACGACCATATGGAACTTGGCATTGATAGGAAACTCGTGATCGAAAAGGCGTCGGGCAACGGCGAGAAGTTCAAGAGCCAGTCTTATGCCCATGGCTCGTAACTCATCGTCTTGATCGGTCTTCTTATCATTTCGATCTCGTGTAAGGAATGGCTTCAAAAAATCGAGCTTGGTTACATATAGCACAGTATGGAGCTGATGACGTTGAAGGACGAAGTATGGATGCTCGACATCGAATGAGGTATCTGGACCACGGATCCGGAAAACGGCGGGGAGCTCGTTGATAAATTCATCCAGCTCGTGTTCTATGTTGATGATCTCATTAGCGGACAGGGCGTCTACAGACCGCGCATCGCCCATGAGAGTGTTTACTCGTCGGCCGAGATTTGCTTGAAGGGCCATGTGTGCGAATGGCGACAGTAAGTCTCGGTTGGAGGTTGACTGGTCTAACCTCAAGTTCGGTAACTTGAAGTTAAGATTCTTCTGGTCAATGAGATTTGGTCGTCCTAGCCAAGCCCCCATTTGCCTACGAGGAAGTTATGGGCAAGCTCATCGTACGTATTGGCGTCTTCTTACCAATCCCAGATATACAACAGAGCCCATATCCTCCTCCGGATCTCGATTTCGAATTCGCTCAGCCCCTCAATGTGAGCATCTCTGTCGATGCCCAGCTCTTGTGCCTCGCGTATCGTACAACCCAGCGCATGCCATGACTCAACGATTTTAGACTCTGACTTGAGCCATGCTCCTTTCAGGAATTGCTCTTGAACACGTTCGATGCATGTGCTGGAAGCCGTAAAACTCTGACTGAGCTGCTCCGCAGCGTTTGAGAAGCGCTCGGTGAGCTGTTGCAGGTTACAAGCTAGCTCAAACTCGATCATCTTCCGTAAAGATGGTGTGAGATATTGGACAGAGTACGCGCAAACTCTAAGAAGTAGACAAGTGAACTCTGGAGACAGTTGTCTACCTCCAGCTCGATCAGCCCACCACTTTACGTAACAATCTGTAAAAACTGGAGCATAGATCGCGCAATATCGGTAGTTGACCACGTTCAGGAAGTGGTTGATGAATGCGTCTGCCACGACTTAGCAAGTTCCACTCACTGTAGGTCGGGATGAATTCGCACCAGTGATCGATCTTGGCGGCACAGCGTGCAGTATATGCTCGACGATTCCTGCTGCTGAGCCTTCTGAAGGCGCTTCTTTCCTTGGAGAAGTCTGGCGTCAATCAGCACCAAGGCAGGAATACAGGTCGCAACAACACTCACGGTATCGACGGTACCGACTTTCCAATGCACATGACCTGGCATATAGCCCCAAACCTTTAGACTGTCCTCAGCCCGCTGATCAACCTCGCTGTTATGCGGGAGAGTAGCAACATCATCAGCTGATGGAGAATCAGGACGACTTCTTTTCTGCAATCTACCCTCATCAAGACTCTCCCTGGAGACACGTAATTAACACAAACTCCGTTTGCATGGAAGACATAGATGCAACGCACCGTACAGAGTCTGTTGAAGACTCATGCTGCGACTTTTTGATAGCGAACTGGCACAGATGAGCGACCTTCCTTGCTTGACAATGGTTACATGGCCATTCGCGCGAGCACTAGTCACGTCAGTAGCCGTGCTTCGCATGTAGAGCACCGTCTTAGTGCTCGCCTTTTGCTTTCGCCGTTGGCACTCTGTGCACGAGGTTGTCGCTCTACCGTCTTTTTGAGCCTGCATAGTTAAAGCTGGGGGAAATGGGTTTGTAAGCTGATGACCAAAAGCAGTAGTACATTGGCATATGAAGTGAACACCTGGTGCCTTCTAGCGTGTATGCTGGAGGATTAGGGGCTGTAGAAGGCAGAGATCTGCTCCACGTCCCGCGCCTGTAGCCCCGCCTAACTCCGGGGATACACGTGATGTGGCCAAAATTCGAACGAGCATTTCTTAGGAGAAAGGGCTATCGTTCAGTGCTGCATATGTTGCAGGCACATGTATTCGATTTTATAGTACGCCACTCAGTGCATGTCGGAAACACCCTGCAGGAGTAGGAAGCCCTGCAGTTGATTGTATAAGCACCGAGGCCCACCAGGCTGTGCAACAATTCGTGCCCGCTCATCAGATGAGGTAAGCAGATCTAGATACAAGGTAAACACAGCAATAACTACATTAAAACGTTATTATGTTTCAAAGAGCTGTGTGTAAAAAAGGTAGATATTTGTTATCTCTATCTCTTATTAAATCTTAGGGTAATAATATTAAAATCGTGTTAATGTTATTGCTGTTAACTCATGTTTTATCCTCAGTTTAAGGACTGCTTACCTCATCTAATAGAGCGGGCACGAATTGTTGCACACCCTAGTGGGCTCAACCAAGCCGTGGGGCCATCAGCATACACTTGTGAGCGAGTAGTAAATTAATAAACAGATAAAAAACCATGGGTAGCATTGTATTAGCTAAACACCTTCGCGCTATCAAGGCAAACTCAAAAATGGCAGGGCGAACATACCATAAAGTGCGGGCGAGTGTGGTTGACGCAATCCTGAGTTACCTTCCTTTCTGCGCAGCGATGTAACAGGAAGTATGTATCGTGCATCTCGCAACAAAGCCAACGGAGGTTCTGTCTGCGGCCTCATGGGTTCTACTTACGCGAAGCTGCAATCCTAACGTAACTAGTCAGTACCTCTGACAGCCTCGGGAATCTCGTGCTCGACGCGTCGTCGGCCGGCAATCTCGCCCGACTCCCCGACGACGAATACGGTGCGTCTGTGTGGCTGCAGAGCCTCAATCCTTGCTACTGATGGGACTGCTCCGCATCATCATCACGTACGAACTTTCCGCATTTCGCCATGAGTACAGACTCACAACCTCGTGTTGTGCCACCAAGCCGACGAAGAGACAAGCCCATCGTTAGTTGCATCCTCTGTCGCCGTCGCAAACTGAAATGCGACCGTCAGCAACCGTGCAAGACATGTGTCGACAGAGGTTTAGCTTTGTCATGCACGTACGTGCAGAATGCGCCAGCTGCTCAAGAACCAAAGGTCCCCCACAGTGTGCATGATCGTATTGATCAGTTGGAAAAGCTAGTAACTTCCCTGATGAGCGGCAAGGATATTGGCCACAACGCTCCAGCCACACCAGCGGTGTCACACTTTCAACACCTGAGTGAGGACCATGATGCAGAGGTACCGAATACGCCAGATCGTGTGCGTTTTACTGGCGATACGACAAGCTACACAAATAGCGCGCACTGGACCAGCATACTAGACGGGGTCAGTTTCAACTAGACTACATTTTGCATCATGCTGACGCCACTGCAGATATCTGAGCTCCGAGAACATCTTGACGAAATACCTACTACAGCACATTCGCGAGATGAATACTCCAGCGATGTGCCAGGCCCAGATCTCTTGTTTGGCCGTCAAAGACACGCGTCTAAACAGGAATTGCTCGCAGCTTTGCCTCCCCGTACCGAGGCGGACCAGTTAATTTCGACGTACTTTGCTTCAATGGATACATCCCCAAGTAAGATAAAAGAGACATTTCATTGGGTAGTTGATCGGTGGCTAACAATTGTAGATTTGGTGCATAAGCCCACGTTTCTCAAAGAGGTGAGACTAGACCACCGTTAGGCCTCTTCTAGTGCATACTGACAACAGGTCACAGTACGCTCGGTTTTGGACACAACCTTTTGAGACGAGCGAGATGTGGCTAGGGTATCTTTTCGCCATTCTTGCTCTTGGGGCGCAATTCCAGGCCGGCCTTGGAGACCCTGAGGTAGGTCTCCAAGGAGTCGCGACTCCATCGCTGTTCACTGCACGAATCGACTTCTATCGCGAGAAGCTCGTACAGTGTTTGGTCCTAGCAAATTATGCGAAATGCCCTCCTTACACAGTTGAAGTTCTAATCATGTATTTTGGCACGGAGTACCTGCGATCGGCAGACTCGCAGTTCAGCATGTCACTCCTCACTGGGCTCATTGTCCGAGTTGCTTTCCGTATGGGATACCATAGGGAACCTTCACGCTTCTCAGACATATCGCCTTTCAGAGCAGAAATGCGGCGAAGGACATGGCTCATGGTCATGTCACTTGATCTCGCTACATCGTCCCAAGTCGGTCTGCCTCGACTGATACAGCCATTCATGTGTGACACGCAGGAGCCGCGTAATCTTCTCGAGGAAGATATTCACGAAAACATCACCGAGCTTCCTCCGTCGCGCCCGGAAATTGAGTTGACCCCTTCTCTTTATACAGTAGTTCTAACGCGCGTACGGCTGGCACATGCAAAACTCATGGATTTGATGAACGCCACAGCACAGCCTCCGTACCGCGAAGTCATGCAGCTGGACGCGATGTTCCGGGATGTGTACGTCAGGCTGCCAGAGTGTGCAAAACCAATTCCGGGGGAAGAGTTTGATAGTTCCATTTCACCAGCTTCAATGCGGCGTTTTTACCTTGGACTGTCCTTTCTAAAATGCGAGCTTCAGCTACATCGTCCATACTTGTTACTCGGCCGCTCCGACCCACATTACGAATACTCGAGACGAGTCTGTCTGAACGCAGCAACTGAGATGTTAGGGTTCCAGCGGAAAGTCGATGGTGAGATTCGGCCCGGAGGGAAGCTATGGTCTCCAGGAATGCAAAGCTTTACTGTCAGCTGGTACATGTCCTCGATTGTTGCACACGATTTCCTCCTCGCTACCACCGTCCTGGTCCTTGATCTGGACGCCGACCTTAGTACGCCAATACAGCCCACGCCTGGGACGCCAACGAGTGGACTTCAACTTGACCATGGACCGCCAACGCGATTGGAAATTGTAGAAGCGCTACAGAATGCATATTCTATTTGGTCAAAGGCAAGCCGAAGGTCGCATGAAGCTCGCAAGGTTGCTGCAGCCGTCAAATTGGTTCTCAAGAGGGCACACTCAAGCACACATATGGCACAGAGCCAAACAAGGAGTGAGTGCAGTTGCTTGGTATGTACTGAATTCTTTTGATAACAGAGGTGTAGTAAACTTTGCTACAGAGCAAGTGGACACAGCATCGCCAGCGTCGTCTTTCGATTTTAACGACTTTCCCAACGAAGCTGTAGACTTGAACTTTCCTGCCATGGGAAGCGGTGGCTACGCTAACACCTTTCTCATGCCTGACGTACCTATGGATCTCGATGCATTCACTGAAACTTTTGGTTGGGTCAGTAACTAACAGGCTTTACGCTCGGATGATAGTGTTCGCTAACAACACCGCTAGAGTGGTTTACCATCGAACCTCCAAGCGCCGACAGACCAGTTACCGTACTAATTACAAAACAAAGCATCAATACAAAGATGAGTTACTGCACAGCTTAGTTATGAGGCTGAGAGATCTTTCGCCAAACATCCTAGCCTAAGAGGTCGTTGTTGAGCCAACACAATCAGAAAAATTAGGCAGCGGACACAAGAAATAGTCTCAAGCTTCAAAATGCCGCGTAGAGTCGCTGGTATAGTCCTAAGCCTATTGGAGCAATCGACTACACTTGACTGATACTTGGTGGAGGTCAAACGTTATAAAGGCCGAATTTGAAATAAAGTAGACGATACACTAGACCAGTGCAGTTGAAACGAGCTGCTCTAAATCTATACGAAGAACACTAGTACTCTCGACTGTCAAATTTGTTATAGTACTGGCTGTAGGTATGGAAGGCATCCGGCCAGTCGGTCACCCTTTGAGGTTACCAAGGTTAGCACTTGAGATATCTGGCGGTAAGCATGCCAATACTTGAGAGTTTTGGGTAGCAAACTTATGTGGATGTGGGGGGGGGGGGGGGGGGGGGGGGGGGGGGCAGTGGACCTTGTCAATTCAGTTGTAATTGCGACACATGTGATGGATTAAATTTGATGGGCATTGCCTAGGCTTTCCGTAGATCTACAGGCTATATTTCGCTGCAACAGCGACAGCTCAACACTCTAGCACACGATCCGACTCCAATGTTCTTGACCCTTTCATAACGTCTGCTTGCCCCTGGTTTCAATAGGCAGCAACAGCATGCTGAAAAACGCTGCAAGAAAAAGCCCTCCGGACGCGTATATGGGTGCCTGCGGGTTGCTCGCACCAGCTTGGATCGCGACAATGGGCGCGCAGAGACCAGCGAGACGGTTGAGGAAACTACACATCCCGGTACCAGTACCGCGAATGGGCGCAGCGAATGTCTCTGGCGTAATGGCATATAGAACGCCATACATGATATTCTGAAAGAACGCCTCAAGGCAGGTGAATGTCAATTGGTAGTCCGAGTCGGAAGAGATGGTGAACAAGAACACGAAGACACCGGTGACGACAGTTCCAAAAGCCATGGTCCCCTTGCGACCAATATACTTAATATCCACGGTGTAGTAGGCTACCACTGAGCCGGGAACGCCAACAATGGCAGTAATGGCGTAGTTGCGGTACACAGTAGCAACGCTGTTGGTAACCTCGCCACCGGAGTTGGCTAAATATTGGGGGAGGAAGGCATTGAAAAGCGGGTAGCCCATTCCCACCGTCGTCCACTGAAACCAGAGAAGACAGGTAGAGATGGCCAGCGTACGGTTCTCGAAGAGGGCACCGAAACGTTTGAGGGAGAACCTGCCGAGCGAGTGCTTGATGATCTGGATAGTGCTGAGGCCAACATCTTCCTCGGTGACCTCCTGGTCTCCACCGACGTAATTCAAGATATCTTCGGTGAGCCAAGTTGTGGTCTTGTTGTAGTGTGCAATACCGTATACGGTCGCGACTGCCTCGGCCTGGCGACCACGGGAAAGCAGAAACTTGGGCGACTCATACAGGTGGAAAAAGAAGAAACGACAGACGAACATCAGTGAGGTGATGGCACCGAGAGTAAGGATCAGATACCTCCAGCCCATGTTGTCCTCTTTGGCACATTGTCCGAGCGGTACATCTGAAGAGCAACTGTAGTTGGGGATAAAAGCCCAGGCGAGAAGGGAGGCGATGAGGTTGCCGACTGGCCAGAATACTGACAGTAAAGTCAAAAGGCTACCAGAGGTCTGGGGCAAGAATTCCAAGAACAGGGCACCATCGACGGGCAGATTACCGCCTACGCCAAGACCAATGCATGCGTACAGAGCGCAGGTGCCAATCCAATTCGGTCCACCACCGGAGGCAAGACCGAAAACGCCGGCAAGGAAAAGAGTGAAGTTAAAGGCCAAGCGACGGCCAACAATATCTGAGGCAATGCCCCAGAAAGAGGCGCCGATACAGAGGCCAAGGAAGAGAGCCAAGGTTGTATAGCGAACTTCTGTCTCGCTGACACCAAATTCGGCAGACAGTTGAGGAAGGGTGAGGGCAACACCCTGCAGCCATAGGTTGTCGGCCATCCAGCCGCATCCACAAAGAGCGAAAAGCTCCCACTGGTATCTCCCCATCCCCATGTCCTGTAAGGCTTTGTTTATAACTTTGGCTTTGCCTAAGACATGTCAGTGAATCAACGGCGGACAAGGATTTGGTTGACATACGGTCGTACGGCGTATCTTGGTCAGCCGCCGCAACATCATGTAAGATCTCTTGCTTAAGCGCCTCTTTTGACATTCCATGGTTAACGATGCCGCTTCCTGCATCACTCGGTGGTCGCGTGGGTTGATCATCATCCGACTTGGCCGTGCCATTTTCATTGGGCACAGCTGAGGAAACCGAAGCGCGATGGGTGCTGTCATCAAGAGGCACTAGCACACCAGGAAATTCTGATACGTCGTGCCTCTTGAAAGGGTTGATGAACATGGTGCGAGGCATGTTGTCGCTTGGGTTGTGTCGCACTAGATACACGTGAAGAGTCACTTGATGCTGGGATCAGGAAGGCGCTGTAGGGGACTGTCGCAAAGGCTTCTCGAGTGAAGAACTTGTTGCTAGGGTGCAGAGATGGGTTAAACGACGGTCGCGTCTTCACTTCGCTATCACAAAGTAGGAGTGTGCTTGGAGGCTTGTCGAGCTTGGAGAAGCTTGTATTCGAGACTGTATTCGCGATGTCGTCGAGGGGCCGACAGAAGTCGTAAAAGAAATGTTACGGGGTTCTCCACAAGCGCGGCCATAGTAGAGTTCAAATACCGTGGGTCTCACAGCATGAATTGTTGAACGCATGGGTAAGGGTGGATCTCAATCATGTCATCCGAACCATTGCACCAAGGATCGTGAGACTGCTAAGGCGAATGACGTAGTAAATAAGCATTGCTTGGCCGGCTGCCGCTGCCGGATTAGTGAGGCACTGATGCCACATACCGTAAGGATCGTTCAAGGGCAGCTACCGGTATGGTTCGCTTGAGGCTCAACGCTAAAGCGTCCCAGTCGTTGGCGCGAGTTAGGTCCCTCAGAGAATTTTGGCATCCACAATAATCCGCCCTCGTGAGAACTTCACACGTATTTACCGTCGGAAACCGCTTGCTGCAACTACGCTGCCGCGGTTGTCGCGTGCACCGAATGCTGCATATCGAGATGTATCGTGGCTGATCCGAAGTTGTTCCGGAAGCTACACCCCACAAAACGTAAACTTTACGTTATAGATAGGTCACTGTCTACAGTGCGAGACCCCGAGATCACCTCGAGATCCGGCACGGCTAATAGTACCGATGTATTGTCTTATCAAGTTTTGTCGATTTACGTTCAAGAAATTTCACGTTCACGCTTTCCACAAATCAATATTGGTAAACCTTTCAATCAGTGACAGTCTTGTAGGCTGGTCAAATGTGCCTGGGTAATTGTGTAGTAAGATTCTACTAAGTTTCCCAGCAATGTGACAGAAAGCACAAGCCAGTACCAAGGCACCTCGAGACTGAGTATCCTGGATTTAGACAGCTCTGCCGTTCGGGTCCACTTAAAAGCACTTTACGGCTTGTCAGATAATTGACTGATAGTTAGTATGTGGATCCAATAAGTTTCCTTGGTTTGAGGTATACTGCGGCGCATATTGCTTATATCTCCATGCGGAGCACCAAATTGCGCAGAACTGGTGGGACTGCATAGCTTTCTACCATCACCAGGTTCTTGACATTACTCAGGGCTCTTAACATCATTGTATCCCAATGGAGCCTAGATAGTGTAGACAGCAGCAAATTTAACGCTCCTTGACCACTGATAGAGCTTCTGCCTGTAACATTATTTTAAAAGTGATAGATCGTTGCATGTATATCAGAAGGCTGATACGCTGGCACAACTTTTTCACTCATTTGACAGTACGGTCGACATCTACCAAGTATCCCAGAAGGTGTGCTATGGCAGTGTGGGCAAAGTCTATGGTCGCAATTTGACACTCCCTGGTACGGCTCATCCGGGCAAGCTCATCCGTCGATAGAAAGCTCAATGCAACAAAAGAGACGTCACCCAAGTGAAATCACATCCGCAGACTAGCAAGATTACAAGATCAAATAAGAGGAGCTCTTCTGGGCATAGATCCCTCGAAGAACGTTAATGTTAGCGACATGCTGTCAACGTTCCACAAATCTGCTTTCATCCCGTCTCATACTACACTACAACATTTGCGGTAGATGCGCTAAAGGAAAGATGTCCCAGTAACCCAGCTGCCCGAATGGCAGGACCAAAAATGTACATGCGAAGCACATGAAAACCCCTGTCCACGCAGTTCTTAATATTTCATGTAGTACTTGCATTGAGGAAGGAAGTTTTTGTAGAGCAGGCTCCACAACAAACATCTCGAATGCGATACCAACTGGCTGTACCCAGAAGAAGCTTGCCAAGCCCAAGCGAAGCTTGATGGGATTTACTGTCGCAAACCGTGGCTTCGGTGGCACCAATCCTGAATGTGTAACCCCGCTCAGAGCAAATGCAGACACACAGACCAACATGTATTTGGAACGTTTTTGCCATCCATGGTCCGCTAAACCCATCTTTACTGAGATCCAACGTCCCGGTTCTGAGACAATATGCCGCATCTGTTGGTGCCACCATTGGCCCCAGAACCCTCGAATACCTTGCCTTGCAATGGCAGAGAAGGGTCCAAAATGTGGACGCCAGGTATGTGGAGACCAATTTTCTGGTATGAGACCCACTGAGTTCAACAGTACAGTTATGAGCATCGGTGGCAAGAACAAGACGATGAGAAGTGAGTAAGCATACATAGCCATGATCAGGGGCCTGAGCATGAATATTGGCAGTAGCGCCCTGAGATGACCTGCTAAACTTCTTTCTTCGCTGTCATTGTGTCCCATGGTATTAAAGATCGACGTCTTGGAGACACCAAAGTAAGGGTCATGTTTAGCCAGCTGCGTCGACAGCGGCAAAAAGATGAATAAAACAGGCGCAAGGCGCAACAATGCTTCAACCGTAAACTCAGATCGGGAACGCCCTGAGAAAGGGTGGAGAACCCTTCGATCATGTGCAGGATTGTCTATGATCCAGTCGTGCAATGGCCGACTCTGCGGGAGCATCATTGCCCAAGCCAGACGGCCAGCGAAGGTTTTTGGATAAGCTTTTAGGGTAATTGTATTCTGCCCCGCGACCTCTTCATCTGTATGGCTAGCATTATCTCCTGGTTTGCCCGAATCTTTTGAGCAATTGCAGGCCTTGGACCTAACGGCGTGTCTGAAGTCTCGCCGCGGGTCCTTGAAGAAGTATAAGAACAGCGTAAGGTACAAGCAATCTGTCGAGATAACGTCATTACCACCTAGTACAAGCCATGCATGGATCGTGGCTGCCAGGCTGATGGGCAGGATGATTGCACATAATTGTGCGTGGCTCAGTGTCGACGGAGGTACCAAAAGTCCGAGGGGAAGAAGAAGCTGTGGAATAAGGTAGCTCCAAGTTGCTGGACCGGGCACAGTTGTGGTAATCAACTCAAAGTAGGAATTTTTGAGCTCGTCAAAGGATAGGTGCATGATTCGTTTTGCTCGAGATGCAGTGTCGGTGGCGATGGAGACAAGATCATGACGCCCATAAGGAAAGTAGCAAGTGGGGCCGATGTGGGGCAATGTTCTCTCGATTACCGGTGAGGAGCCTCAAAGATGCGTATCGTTGCACATTCTGAGGTCTTGATCAAACTTACATATGTAGTCAGTTCCGAGCTCGTGTAGGCCAACTCCACTCTGAGATGGCATCAAGGACTGGAGCATGTCACCCGTACCATCAGGGCGCCGTATGAAATCTGATAGACGCTACGCTAAGAATAAATGCAAAGAACGTGGGTATCATCTTGCTTTTGAACTTTTCTCTCTATCTTTGTTCTGTATCGCCATGTCCATTCAACTCAGCCGTCAGTGGTGTGGAATCAAGTTCGACTGGCGCAATTGGTTTCCTGTTGACCCTCATCATGCCACCCAGTTCACTTGCCTCACTTGCCGGCCCAGGACTCGATGGAGACATAACAGCACCACCTTCCGGAGCGAAAAGGCTGCCTTGGACCGCTATGTATCTCCTTCTCTCGGCCTCTGTGGCATCGAGTTCTGTATTCCATTCAGGTGTCTCGTTGGGGTTATCGCGAGTCGTGACAGCATTTGCGGGCGCCGTAGCAACAGATGTTCCTTTAGAGCCCGTCAACGTCTCATGGGAAACCTCTTCGTATCTGTGTTTGGTTCCGTGTCCGTCCGCAACGTCCATAGTCTTCTCCGCGATAGTTTTCCTGTTCTTCCGCCGCCGCCAAAGCAGGAACGCTGCCAACGCTCCCAATATGACAAACAGGGGAACTACAGTCCCAATTGCAGCCTTGGCTCCTACCGACAGCCCAGTATCTCCATCTCCTGACCCGGGGCTGTTTGTACTTGTGCTTGTGCTCAAGTTTCCGTTCTCTGAGGTAGCAGTGGAAGCAGCACTTGCACTCAATCCGACATCAGTGGATTGATACCTCAACTGCAGCGCCGTGACCCGCGCGCTCAGAGTCGCCGGCCAACTCCCCGCTGTGTAGACCACATTCTCGTTCTCCTCTGCATCCGCCTCACCGCACTTTACTACGGGCGTTGTTCCGCTGGTCCCAGGGTTGCACATGCCTCCACTCCCTCCTATGAACCCCGGTGGACAGCATTCCAATGCTGTTTCGCCTTCGACCCAATCATTTGCGCCCTCTGCGGCAGTGCGAGTTGCTACGGCCGTCCAGGAGGTCGGGCATGCAACGGCAGGCGAGTAAAATACGGAAGTCGCAGGGACAGAGCCAGTTGCCCAAGGGAGACAGTCGGTGTTGACAGAGTTGGGGAGTGGGTCACCGTCTTCCTCTGCGAAGACGCACATCAACCCATACTCGGCAGCGTTGGAAACAGCGCGCAGGGTCGCACATGCAGATGATGGGGCATTCTCGTAAGCCGAGATCCATGGATGTTGATTGGGACGTGTTGATGTCATGTCTAAATAGCCACTTAGTCGATCAGGTTTGGTGTTGAGAGCCAGTCAAAGCGAGTGTCCTGCACGAACGAGTGATCGGTGCAAATCGTGGTGCACAATGTATACGAAGAGACGAGAAGGCAGCACATGGATATCCTGGGGCTGTTGAGGTGATGTACCTAGCAAGCACAGCCTCCCGGGAAAGTACCGAGCCGGTGGTTCCCTTAAATTACTGCACCCAGGCACGTCCGAGTTGCTTCTTGGCAGTTTTGTACTTCGTAGGATCGAAGTATCCTTTAGCACAGCCAATAGGCTTCCAAATCACAACTGAATGCCTCCACTTAAGCGCGACTGCACTAACAAGAAAGCTGCCTGTCAATACAATATTATTCATCCTTCGTTTCTTGCATTGCAGCTACGTCGGTGGCAACTCGGACGTGCCTGAGTGCAGTAAGTCAATGTTATCATCGTAGTGACATGGGGCCATAGGCTGAGACGGGAATAATACCCACAATTTCTGTGTACCAAGCCGCAAGCTTGCTGTTGGTCTCTTGGCTGTAAAAACCAGAGGCGAATTGACTGACGTGCAGAAACATATGCGACTCAATCTTGTTGCTTATTGAGCAAGCTTGCAGGCTTGGTACCCCACCATCAACATACAGCTCGGAACCTATAAAGTCAGAAACGGTGTACTATTTATGGCACGGTCTTCCGCACACGCGTACATGCAGCCGATCTTACTAGCTTGGTGACGTATTTACAACATGTCTGAGAACGTTCCTTACATCTATGCCTTGTGCCCGACCTCTGTCAACGCCTCCTGCAGGCTCTCAATCGCTTTGGTCAGATCCTTGCGATTGGGATCTGTCACGCTGACACCCATGTGCCCACACCTGATGTATTTAGTAGCGATTTCCTTGTGCAGACCGCCGGCGAAGATAACGCCCTTCTTCAGTAGGTTGGGGAGAACGTCAGGGGGTGTCACGCCCTCTGGCAGGTAGATAGCGGTCATGCCATTGGCTTGATTCTCAGGCTTAGAAGCAAGCTGCTTCAGACCAAAGTTGGCCACAGCCTGCTTGATCTTATTCGACGCGGCCTTGTGGTCGGCAAAACGCTGCTCAAGTGGTCGCGACAAAATCTGCTTGAGCGCAGTGTCCAGAGCATGAACGAGCTGGGGCGAGGGGGTAGCGAAGTAGGATGGCTTCTTGGCTTCGTAGTTTTGCATGACTGTGGACATGTTAGTCACCAAGCATCTGGCTCATCTCGCATTGCTTACTTGGCAGCCAGTTCTTCCAAGAACCGAAGTACGATGTGGGCCTTGTCTTCCTGTTCTTGAATACCTCGATTGCCTTGCCGGAGGCCATCAGAATGCTAAGGCCAGCAGGGCATCCGATAGCCTTCTGTGATGCAGTGAGGACGACGTCCAATTTCCAGTCATCGAAGCGGATCTCCTCGGAACCGACACTGCACACGCCGTCGACTACCAGCAGTGTCTCGGGGCTGACTTTTTGAACGAGGTCGCTCAAGGGCTTGAGCTCACTGAGTACACCAGTAGACGTGTCAACATGTGTAACTGTGACGATTTTGTAGTTCTTCTCTTTGAGTGCCTTCTCAATCTCGTCGAGCTGCGGTCGGTCACCGATGGGTGCCTTCAACTGTGTGACCTTAGCACCGTATGTCTCGAAGCAGTCGGCGAACGAATCAGCGAAGTATCCAGTGTGAAGAACAAGAACCTCATCACCAGGCTCAGCCAAATTGGCGGCGACCTGGTCCCATCCGAGTGTGCCAGAGCCGGAGATGACGAATGGTTGCGAGGCAGGGTTGGAGGTCTGGAAGAGCTTGCGTAGGTTCTGGAGTACTTCGCTGAAGCAGTTGACAAACGGCTGGCCAACGTGCGATTCACTGAGGGGTTGTCAGCGTGCATTCTGAGGTGCCATTGGATCATGTGCTGTACCTGTAAAAGCTCATGGACTTGAGGACTTCATCGTCGAACTCGATCGGTCCAGGGATCATGAGGGCTGGGTGGGGAGACTGGGTAGATGCCATCTTGGGTGGTTCTTCTCTCTTTGGCAATTGCTCTGGTTCGGGCTGCTTGGCTTCTTGGGGTTTGTTACGTGCGATGCGGTTGCCTTGTGCGTCTTCGAGATGTCCGCTGCGTTCCGTTGAAAATGGTGTGTTCAACTCGAGGAATGGCTTGGAGTCGAGGTGCTTGGAGAAAAGATTAAGGCGGGAGTTCGCCGACGCTCGTGAGGTCATGCTAGATATGGTGGGGTAGCTCCGCTTACTGACGGAGCTGAGAAACGCAGACAGCTGCCTCGCGGGGTAAGCCAGCTTGCCGGTCTCGGAGATGTCGCTTGGTGTGAAGGTTGCCGGGATCGGTGCCGGCCGGTTGTCAGCCTTGTGCAGGTACGCAAAGTCACGAAAAACCCTCTGGATCAATTAGGGCGATGGAGATCTCTTGAAGCTGAAGCCACCTCTTCGAAAGGTGGTCGAGACAGCGCTAATTGGGTCAGGACAGCGACTGCTTTGAAAATTGTCAATGAGAGCGAAGAATTTGGACAGCGCTTTGTAGAAATTTTAGAGCCACAGCAGAGGTAGCGAGAGGAATTGTCAACGGGAGCGGCTCCGAATTCAAGAACGGGCGTCGCTGCGACCCGGCAGATGGCTTTCAAAGTACTCCGAGCTCCCGCCACGTGATGCTGTTCCCGCGGGTTCTACCACGAGCTAGTCTTGATGAGGACATTTGTTTGGGTCCGCCCTGGAAACACAGCTGCGACACCAGCAGTCCATTCGAGTCACAGACATCAATTACATCGTCCACTTCGTCAATTCGCTATTCATATGTCTTGCAGCAACCGATAGTCAGTGCGACGCCGGACAATCGACTTACCACATAGATTTTGGCCTCCAACACAATGCGCGTTACTCGCGCTGCGCAACGCGCCCAGCAGGACGTCGAAGAATTGATCGAGGCACCCGAGGTCAGCGACCGCGCACTTAAAGACATTGAGCCGAATGCATCTTCACCTGTAGCCCAGACCGAGGAGCCCTTGCCTGCAAAGACGCCCGCGAAAACACCAGCAAAGAGGAGCAAGGGCAAAGGCGGGAAGAAGGGCACCAAGAGCAAGAAGGCGCAGTCAGAAGATGTCGAATCGGTACAGGCTATCGAAGAAGCTGAACAGCGAGAGACTACGGGCTCAGCTGGCGAAACCGTGGAGCATGAACCGACCCAAGAGCTTGCAGATGGTGAGTGACTGGAGACACAACGACCACGACACTCACTAACATTGCATCTAGGCGGTACTGAACCCTCAAACAACAAAGAAGACTTGAACGCACGGCAATCTTCTGCACTCAGACTTACGCGCCGCCAGCTTGCGAAGTTCGAAGAAGATGAGACACTCGGCAGTTCAGAACGCGCGCCCTCTACCCGAGAAGAAAACGCGACCGAAGACACAGTGAATCCGGTTGTAGAGCCATCTCAGGCAGCTGTTCACGAGAAGACTCGTACCTCTCCTGAACAGGATGACATGCCAACCAGGCCAAATCAGCCCATTGAAGTCGAGCCAAGATCAGCACCAAAACCTGTGCGAAGTACGCGACGTCAACAGACAAAGCTCGAAGAAGAACGTGGGGCGCAAGGCTCAGAGAAGGCCGCAGAAAAGGACATTGAAGGATTCGAAGCACCTCCCGGGGCGGAGCATGATGTTGCGACCAAGGGAGACGACTTGGTCGCAGATGCCACAGAAGGCGAACCTGAAGTGGCGCCAAAGCCCAAACGTCTTACCCGACGACAACAAGCGAAGCTCGATGAAGAGCAACAGCAGGCGCAAGTCGAGCAGCAAACCACACCTGATCCAACTGAGGCGGTTGTTGTGGATGCAGTCACAAAGCCACAAGCTGTAATTGTGGGAGAAGAGCAGACCTCCGAACAGATGCCCGCAAAGGAGGTTAGCGAAATTGAGGATATCGCGCTGACACCAGCGTCTGCCGTAGAGGAGCAGTCAACAGTGGAAGAGGAGCTTGAAATAAGGTCATTAAGAGCAGTTGAAGAAGTCAAGTCAGCACTGAAGAGGGAGAGTCAAGATATCGAGGTCCAGGTGTCTGAAACTGTACATGAAAACGACCGTTTTGACGGGACAGTTGAGACGCGTCCAGCAACACCCACAGACGCCGAGTTCGAAGCGGAACTTGGAGGGCAGGTCGACGATTCAGTTACTCATGAACCTGTACCTTCACTCGAAATTACTTTAGAAGCAGAACCAAAGATGCTATGCGATGAGAAACCGTTCGAAGCATTGGCATCTACACCAAAGATGAAGCAAGGCTCGATTCGACGAAGATCACGAAGTCCATCAAAGTCTCCAATGCGTATCGAAGAATCAATATCGGCTATCGATCGACTCGAGGAGGATCTCGAGTCTATTGGCAAAGCAATTCCCGACCTTGGTCAGTCTGATGAGGAGATACAGCATTTCACAAAGTCTACTGCTTTGCGTGGAAAGACACCCAGCAAGACGCCTATAAAGGCGCTTGCCGCCCGAGCTCCAGCGAGAATTACAAGCAAGGCATCAACCAAGACGCCCTCCAAAGCACCCATCACTACGAAGGCGCCAGTCGCTTCGAGAATCTCAAAGGTGCCAAATGCCGCCCCTAAGAGCGTGAAACCTACCACAGCGTCTCTTATGCGGGCAAGTAGCGTCCGCAGTGCCCCGGTCAAAGATGGCGGGAAGCCTTCGACTGAGACAGTCGATTATCTGGCGTCCAAGCGCCGCCCTATCAGTTTGTCTTTTCCCACACCTCCACCACCACCGAAGGGCAGGGCGCCCACGAAAGCGACCTTCCAATTGTCCAGCGACAATGTTGCGGCAAGGCTCAAAGCGCAGAAAGAGGAGCGTCTGAAGCGAGAGGCAGAAGGCGCAGCCGCTCCAAAACAGCGACCACTCAGTATGCCACCACCACCCAAGTCGACAAAGCCACCCACAGTACCAAGTTTCCAACTTCCTGGTGAGGCGACAGCCGCAAAGCTAAAGGCGCAGAAAGAAGAGCGCCTGAAGCGTATGGAGAAAGTGGGGAGAGCTGAAAAGACCGCCACACGACCGATCAGCATGCCTCCGCCGCTCAAATCGACAAAGCCAGTGACAAAAGCCAGCTTTCAGCTGCCGGGTGAAGCGACAGCAGCACGATTAAAAGTACAGAAAGAAGAGCGTATGAAGCGCATGGAAGAGGCTGAAGCTGCCAAAAAGGCCACTCTTGCTGCGCCAGTTCGAAAGCCAATCGCCCATCGACCGAGAGAATCCTTGCTTGTCAGAGACGCACCAGGTGTCAGCATTCCACTACCTCAACGGACGGACGTCCCGCAGCGCTCAACGTCGCTGGCAAGCAAGCGGAGCAGTATCATTGGACCCTCGGGTTCGCGCTCGACGTCGACATCGTCGGCGAACCGCAACAGTATTCTGCTCGCACAGTGCGGTAAATCAACAGTTGGTTCTGCAGACGCTGCAGCTCTGAAGATGAAGGGCAAACAAGTTTTCAATCGAGACACGATCGAAAAGCAGGCGATGGAGCGTGAGCGAAGGGAAAGGGAAGAAGCAGCCAAGAAAGCAAGAGCAGAGGCTGCCGAGAGGGGGAGAATTGCATCAAGAGAGTGGGCTGAGAGGCAACGACAGAAACTAATGGGATAAAAAAGGTCCCGTCATGGATCTCCTATGAGTCTGCGTTCTGCTATGGTGTTCTGGTTTGGGTATATCCCCTTGGGTCCTGGATTGGCGTCTCTTGTTCTAAATATGTGGTCCTGTCAGGGCACACAATACATATTCGCTATTCAATGCGAAGCAGAGCAGTACATATTTTACATTGCTACTCTTTGACGTTTCAATGATAGCTAACTAGGTCCAATATAGAACTTGTAGCTATGATCATACTCGAAGCTAAGAATTAGTTAAGGAATACTTATATTGTAGGTTAAAAAAAAGTTCTCTGTAGAGTGTTTGTGTTCTCTCCGCCTTACTGTCGCATAGTAGAATGTTAGTCCGCCGTTTATCCCGCAACGTGAGAGACATCCACTTTCTAACCTCCAACCGACTGTCAGTACGTCGCTGGCACCCGACCCACCTTCAAGCTTCCGCGGCGTTCTCGATCTCCCTGCGAACGCCCACTGCCGCAGATAGAACTGCTGTCTTGCCCAGACCCGCCTTCCAAAGGCCCCTGACCCTGCCGGACGATGCTGCACCTCCGCGCTCGCTTCGGTCAGCGATTAGAGGAGTCTAGAACCGGCGGTGGGATTAGGGATCTGTCGGGGATGTCGGCGTGTGGAGAAGGCAGGGCTCGCAGCATCACAACTAAGTGGGGAATTTGCGTGCTGGGTAGCTCGATGCTTTGTGGGTAAGTGGCGCCGGCGACGAAGGTTTCGGTTTGAGATACGAGAAACTGTGTGTCGTGCGGAAGAATTGCATATTGGCCGGGTATGCTCCCCGAGAGAATGTCATGGTGATGCTTGGATGCAGCTGGGCAAGTAGGATGCAAATGTCGTCTACGTCACTGTAATGTGACTTTCACAATACAACCTGGATATCTTTAGACAATTTAAAATACAAGCTCGAGAAGTTTGCGTTTATCTCCGTGCTTTCAGCTATCAGAGCGAGATGTTGTAGGATCGCGTACATCCCTTTTGAGCATAAGGAGATACGATTTTGTGCACGCAGAATGTGATAAGACTGATTCAGTACTTGGGATGTATGAGAGCATACTTGACAGTACTTTCAGCCTCACTCAGGCAATATCGCGACGCCCGTAGCTCAGTACCTGGCAAACGTGGGCTGCACGTGCTTGCGCGACAAGACTCCTAAGGGGTCAACAGATCTTCGATTCATTCAACAACCCTGCATATCGCCAACAAATTTGTCCATGCACAATGGCCTTGCGCTTCTGTGTCACTCGTGGCACACCTGATCGCCCTTGAGCCTCATCAGCACGCCATTTTGAGTTTTCATGAGGCTCCTGTCGGGGAGAGACCTGTGCTCTCCGGTGCGGTACCGCGATGCCGGGCTGAGGTTGCGGTGAGAGCGCAATCGGCGGACTGAATGGTGCAGCCAACGTGGACGAAAGTCTTTGTTCGTGTGGCTGCACGTTCCCGCCTCCGAACGCCGACTCGGTGGTATGGTGGACCCTTGTTTGTGATTAAGTTGGAAGAGTCGACAGATCCGCACACCGTGAGCACTCATCAGGCTCGGAAGCAGCCGCCGGGCCCTGCAACTCATCGCAGAAGCAAACGGCGCTCTTCAGGCGATCACGCCGACGTGGCCAGATGGCAGAACAGGATTTGCCGGCGTCGCACCAACATGCCAACCATCAGTCGACAAGCGTCAAACCTGCTGCACACGATGACATAATGCGTCGGAATTGCTAGGCCCGGGTGTCGTGATGTTCGGGAGCCGACGGGCAACGATAATGTCCGGGTGCCTTGTGCTTGCGCTTGCTGGGACGAAGTGGAGCCCCGGGTGAGCTGGCAGCCCGGGAATAGCCAAGCAAGATGCCAGGAGTCAGATGGAAATCTCTGTCGGGCTGCGTCGCAGTCATGGTAGATCAGCTACATCCAGTGCTGGTGGTGAGGTATCTGCGAAACTGCGCAATGCTCTTGGGCTACGCCATGACGACCGGCTTGCCGATCGCAGAACTTGTCCGAATGACTGCTGCACGCTGCGTGGGATGATTGCTTCGGCAGCTTGCTTCCTGCCACACTATTCGACGGGCCATCGCGCGTCCCCTGTTCAACCCCGCATTTGCAGCGACCTAGCGCAAAGCAGCGCCGACCAGGCCCACCACTGGAGGTGCAGACGTCAAGGGACTGCAGCACTTGGGGCCCAGAGGAGCGGAAGAGATACGGCGCCTGCTGCTACGGCTGCGTCCCGTGTTGGGTCGTTGAGGGTGTGCCGTTTTGCCTCCCAACTGCGAGAAGCGTTGAGCAGTGGTCAACGTCTGGATCGTCGCGAAAAATCTTCCTGGTCTGTGTGAGACAGGAGGCAGATCGCGACGGCAGCCACCACATTGCCCATTGTGGTGACACGACGACTCAGCGAACCGGGGTCGCAAAAGCGACGGCAGCGAAAGGGTCTGGCCGTGTTCTGGAGGGCGCCCCCAGAGGGCCAATCTCCAACTCAATCAACAGTCATGAAGTCACGTGCGGAGTGACACCCGGATATGCGATGATCGCAACACAAACTGACGTCGGACAAGCGGTTGTGTAAGGTCATCACAGAGACGTCACTGACATGTGGAAACAATCGTTGTGTGTCAAAACTGCGCCATGAGTGTAGCTCATGTCTGCGCTTTCCATTGGATGCCGAAGCAGTAACTATATGATATGCAAGAGTAGAAAACCGGTACGTTTATGAACGTCCGTATGAGTGAGGGGATATCCGCCAGCAGAGACGCTATGCTGCATGTCAAAGCAATCCATCTTCCATGCCATGCCAGAACCTAGGCTGAAAATGCTCGTAAACAACGTCCTCACGGCCACGCCTCCTGCGGCCCGATGAGGTGGATATATGTGCTTTTGATCGTACACCGCGCCGCCATGCGTAAGTAGGAGATGATACAATAGTAACGCAGCGCAGCAATCGATACGATGAGTAAACTCCGGGGACCACGCCGGGTCCAATGGTGACAAGCCCGAGACCGAGGCCGAGATGCAATCAAAAAGCAAAGGGTATTGTGCCGAGTGTCGTAGTCATCCGGCGTCCGTGATTTTCGTGATGCTGAACTCCGAGAAATGATGAGATCGTTTTGCAGAAAAGAGACAGAGAACAAGCATGGTTGATCAGGACTGGTTGTACCTCCTCTTCTGCTCTCGTGTCTGGTCAAACGATCGCACATAGTTATTCAGCTGCGATGCTGCCTGGGCGGTGATGCCGGACTGTGTTGTCGACGAGTTGGATGACAGCGATGAGCGTGATGATGACGGTGTGAGGCTGCGCTGCCCCGCAGTTGGTGGAGCAAAGTACGAGCCGTTCGCAGTAGTATAGTAGTGGTGCGGGCTGGAGGGACCCATGTCAAATCCTCGCGATGTCGAGGGCGCCTTGTACTGGGAGAAGTTGACGGCCGGGGGGAGGTAGAAGCCGTTGTTGGACGAAGATGTCGACGAGGCAGACGACGAGAGCTGTGCGTTCTGTTGCTGGCCAGCCTTCTCCAAGTCGGCCAGCCTGCAGGCCTGCGAGCAGTAGGTGCCGCCCTCCATCTGGCGGTCGCAGGAGAGGCAGAAGTCATGAGACCACTCCATCTGGGAAGTCATTGTGGGTGGTGAGTTGGGGACTGGTTGCGGTGGTGTTGAGGCAAGCTGAGACGCTGACTAGGTAGTCGGCGGCTTGGTGATGAGAAGGGTGAGGGTGGGAGTGCTCAGAAGGGACGAGACAGAGGATCTTTATCAAGGAGATTCTTTATCAGGGAGAGGGTGCTCAGACAGGAGTCATGAGAGAACTGGGTCTGCAGCGGAGCTTTGTGGAGACGGGTGTTGCGGGAGCAGGCGATGAAGATGGTCTTAACTGACGCTCAGGTACACAGCACCCGACGGACGGCCTATCAGGCCCCAGTCATGCAGACCCGCAGTCAACAGGGTACCTACCCACGCACTCCGCAGCGTGAGCATGGGCCCACGCTGCAGCCAAGAGGATATTTCTCAAGGAGCCGCCGCAAGCTGTGCCCTTGCCAGCCCGCCAGCCCGCTTGCTCATGCACCCCTCTTTGCCCGCCACACCTGAAGCGGTAAGGCCGCGTTTGCGTCGAACAGGTGCCGCGCAGCGCCCTGTGATTCGCTGCGACGTCCATTTGGCCACCACGGTGCGGCCATTACGCCCGCGCTGCGTGAATTCACCTGCGGCGTTTTTCACTCACCCGCAGCATTGAGCGCAGCATTTCAGCATTGCAGCATTGCAGCATGTGCGTGCTGCGCAGCGTCAAACTCTGCTCTGCGTGCTCCACCTGGCGCGCACAGTCATGGCCGACGCAATGCAGCTGTTTCTTGTGTGACACCACTGCCAGAAAGCGTGATCGCAGCACGACCAGCCTCCTAAAATGACGAAGAGCCAGTCCCCGCTCGCTAGTCATCTGCTCTTCCGGACATGGCGGGTGACGCTGGAGTTGGGACGCTGCTTCTTCGTGATCCCAAAGAGGACCGAGGAGCTATCGGTTCCAGCGGTCATGCGTCTGCTCTCGCGCATGCACCTGCACTCGCAACACTCCGTGGGGTGATTGCGCGCCTCCCACTCCAGGCGTCGACTGTCGAGCAGTCGCAATGGATTGCGTGCCTGTGAAACATCCACAACCTCGTCCCTTGAAGGACCCCTGGAGGACGTTTCGCATAGCCGACTCACGAAAGTGGGCTCCGGTGTTCGCCATTTAGCGTGTGATGGCGAGCCATTGCAATCCATGGACGCACCGTCCGTCTCACCTGTCTCAGCCCTGCCGCTGGGCCAACTTCCCCATCTCGTCCGTCCAGTCTCTCGTAAGCTGCAAAAAAAAATCTTTCTGGAATATGCGTCCAATCTGATCATCAGCCTTGGACTCTCAAGCCACCGTCCATGGCGACATCCGACAACGTTATCTGCCGCCATCACGGTAATGCTCGCTTTCGGCGCCAGAATTGTCCGTGGTTGTTCAAAGCACATGATATGGGTGCGTCTAGCCTGCGCCGCATTACCGCAAGAAGAGCAGCGCTGCGTATACCATGCCCCGTTGCCGTCCCGGGCACCCTCAACAGCCTTCAGCGTGTGCAGTGTGCACCATTTTGAGGGAGATCAGCACGCTCGCTGCCTCAGCAAAAATTTTTGCAACGCCTCGCGTATAGGGGGAGGTTCTGGCTGCCTGCTGGCCACCTCACTGTCCTCAATGTCGGCCATGCTCACCAACTTGGCCTCGCTTAATCCTCGTCGTTCGTTTTAGGCATACGGCGAGGGCGAAGCAGTATTGATCGGTGGTCAGAATGGAGCACTGCTTGACGAAGAACGCCTGTTTGGTAGGCATTGCGCTCTTCACGGCTAGCCAATTTGCTAGGATGTTCATCTCTTGCGCGCCCCGAGCACTGTTCGCTTCAAGAAGCGAGATAACAATCATGCTTGTTGCCTTGCCATTTGACGAAAGGAGTGAAGGGCGCAGTGATGTTCGTCCCTGCAGCTTGTCAAATGCCTGCAAAGTTTAGTTCCCACAGGAACGCCTCAGGAAATGACTTGCAGGCAGGCTTGGAATGCTCATTCGTCCGTCAGATACGAGGACGGTTCAGGCGACTGACCAAGACCCCCACGCTGCTCGCACTAGGTTCAGCACGCAACCTCTACGTGAGGCATCGTGATGTCGACAGGCTGCAGGAACGGTAAGCGCAATCTACCCTTATCTTGATAATCATTCATCGCGGTTAACGGGCTTCACGACTCGTAAGCCCCTCACTTTGGAGTGAAGGCTACAATAAACGCTACTGAGCTCGAAGCTGGCCCTCACACGACTCAGCAGAGACCGCGTGGCACGCATGCAAGCGGAGTGCATGTCGGCCGCGGTTGCCAAAAGAAACATGTAGGATGCACAGATGTGCGCATCACGCATTACCCCACAAATGCGGCGGCCACCAGTCTCGTTGAGACATGGTATGGGGCGCATCAGTGGAGAACCATGCACTCAGTACACCAACAGCGTCTTGAAACGTTGAAGGTCTTCTGTGGACATAGCAGTTGTGCAGGTAAGCTCGATCCATTCAAACATCGTCCAATCTGCGCCTGCAGCAGCATGCAGCTCACATTGGCTCGTCCTGTGTATGTATGTAGCTCTATACTTGTCCGAACTTGTTCATGTATGTAATCTCAGTGTACATACATATAATCACAATGCACAACTCCACGACGGCGACGTTCTCCTTGCAGGGCCTCATCAGCACATCAAAGCACAAAACAATTCCATTTTCCAACGCAGTGTCACCAAACATCGAAGCACGGATCACTGCCATCCCGTTCCAGTAATCAATAGCCAACCTCAGTCTCGCCTGTGGCGGCGTGAATCTCCCGATTCGGGCCGAGCTTCCTTCATCGTTCCCGTCCCCGTTCCCGTTGTAAGGGCGACCCTGACGGCTCAAAGCAGAAACGTACCTGGGCGCGAACTTGCAACCTCAACCGATGCCAAAACAAACCTCAATGTTGGCAATCGGCCCTGAGTTGCGCATATCCTTGTCTACAGTATATTGGGCTAAATGACGGGCCTCGGAGTTGTTGACAGGATCTCTTTCCTAGTATGACAGGCACAAGCCAATTCTGGCCGCCCGCTAAGAACCTCACAATGGGGCCCTCAAGACAGGAAACAGCGAGAAAAGAGAGCCCACAAAATTTCGGGCAATCGTAACTCCGAGCACGTGAACATGATGCTCGACTCACCTAGCGAACATTGAACCTTTCGCAGTTGCAAGCCGTGAAGCCGCTGACATCCCCATCAACCCATTGAAGAATCGTTCACCGCAAACGCCATGTCATCCCAGCCCTACGCCGCCGAGCTCAGCCTCGCCCTCAGCGCCGTCCACAACGCCTCGATCCTCACAAAATCGGTGCTACGCTCGCTCAAGAACCATGTCTCCGCCGAGACCAAGGCCGACGACTCGCCCGTGACAATTGCCGATTTCGCGGCTCAAGCTCTTCTCATCAGCGCAATCCACGCCGTCTACCCGAACGATCAATTCCTCGGTGAGGAGAGCGCAGACGCACTGCGCTCCAATACCGCGCTAGCAGATCGCGTGTGGGATTTGGTACTACGCGCAAAAGCGCTGCATGCGTCACGGTCCGAAAGTGGCGACTCGCAGAAGAAAAGTGCAGAGTCCGGCGCACAGACGCTTGTGTTTCCGGCGAGCAAAGAAGACATGTTTGAGCTCATTGATCGTGGCGGCAAAGGCGAGCAGACAAGCCGCGGCAGAGTGTGGATCATGGATCCTGTGGATGGCACGGCGACCTTCATGCAGGGGCAGCAATATGCCGTGTGTCTATGCTTGCTGGTGGATGGAAAGCAAGCAGTCGGTGTTATTGGATGTCCCAACCTGGCATTTGATGTTGAGGGACCGCTGGGACAGAGCAGGGTGCATGAAGACCTTGTTGATGAGACGGGCTATGGAGTCGTGCTGTTTGCAGTGAAGGGTCAGGGTACATATGTCAGAGGTATGACGGAGAATGGGTGGGGAGTTGCGCGCAAAGTTGATCTGAGCACAATGCCTGAGAAGAAGCTTGAGGATCTCAACTTCGTAGAGAGCACACTTGGAAAGACGAGCCTCTCGCAGAAAGAGCATAAGGCTGTGTGCGAGCAGCTTGGTGCGCAGTGGCCAGGAACCGTCATCTGGGCGCAGCAAATCAAACACGTCGCGCTGGCACTTGGATCTACAGACGTAATGGTCCGAATTCCCAAGACGGTCGACAGATTTACTTGTGTATGGGACCATGCCGGTGGCCATATTCTCTTCACCGAAGCCGGTGGAATGATCAAAGACTTCAATGGTGGAGACATTGACTACGCACAGGGTCGACACATCGCAGGTGAGCGCAATTATGGCATGGTGGCAGCACTACCTTCCGTGTTCGAGAAGGTGGAGCGGGCCGTAAAAGACGTCCTCGCTCGGAGAGAGCAGTGATGCGGAATGGAATGCACGTCGGAAGAATTTCCACGCGGTACGAGGCCAAAGCTTGCCGAATTGCAAGTTGTGTGACGACGGGAGCTCGGTTTCACAGAGCCTCACCGGATCATCAGGCCACCATCGCCATTTAATCAGCGCCGCAAGTCCCACAGAAATGACAGAATGTGGGGTATATCTGAAATGGACACTTGCATGGGTCCCGGCTGCGCTACGCGGTCTATCTCAGGGGGACAATGGAAATAGGAGACACAAATATGCACAAGCATGCACTGACTACGTGTCTGAACCTATGCCCGATGTGCAGTTCGAGCTACGTGGATACTGCGCTTAGCTATGAACAGTCCGCTTTGCAGCCTCCGTGACACAGTATGCAAGACTTGACACGCCCATGTTCGTTGATTTGCAAGGTAAATACCGCGATAACTGTGTTTTTTGGACGTCCTCGGAGGATGCAGCAGCTATGTGGTATGCATGCATTGAATTAGTGACTAAATCGTAACAATAACATCGAAGTCGCTGTGTATTCGAATTGCACCCGAAATACACTATTCCGTCGTATATGCATTGTGTTGCTGTTCCATTACTGTCTGACGACAAAAAATCATGCCTATGCTGCACCACCACCATTTTTCCTAAAAGATACCTTCTCTACTGCAACGTTCTCGTTCCCGTCTGCATCTTTGCGTAGCTGGTATACGTAAAGCACGAGGACGTCTCCTTGAACCTAAATCACCGTTAGCCGGTTGTACTACCGAGCCTCTTTGCTGATGGGCAAACTCACGTCCATGAGCACAAAGCTTGGTGTGGGGTCTTCTTCTTCCGTCCACCACCCTGTCGTCATTGCACCTGTTGCACTTCCTGGGTTCACGAAGAATTTGCCTTCCATCTCGTACGCCTCGAATTTATGTGTGCCGCCCCAGAGCAGGATGTCAACGTCCATTTGCCGAGCTGCAATCAGCAAGCTATCGCCATCGCCGGGCGGTATGATGGTATGGCCGTGTGTGAAGCCTATGCGCAGCGACCCGTGTGTGACGACTTTAGAGAGGGCGAGGTTGGGTGCTTCGACGTCGAAATCGCCCTTGACGATCTGTAGGTCGGGCGCTATGCCGCGTAAGAACTCATATGTCTCACGGTCTGTGATGTTTCCGAGGCAGAGTATCTGGCCAATCTTGCCGGGCGCAAGTAGCTTCTTGAACTGGAAGGAGTGTAAGTTGCAGCCTTGTACACATCGGCAGGCGCGGTCGGATCGGTATCGGCATTGGGGTATAAAGCAGCTCATACCTTCGCTGGAATGTCCTAAATAGCCTGTGAGTCTGTGAGGTCTAGCATCGCATACTCGTGACTGAGACGTACTGCAGCGCGATCCGGAATGAACAAGTCCCCTAGGACCAGCACCAGTCGCGAAGCCATTGTGGCTATCTAGAACACTTCTCAAGCTGTTCAGGGATATAGCACGAGCGAGAGTATCTAGGCGACTCGAGATCTCAGAACAGAGAGGAGATTGAGTGCCTCAGGCGGAAGTTGGTGGGGCAGCAAGTGGAGGCTGAGCTTGGGGAAGCTATGCGGGCACTCGGAGGTCGCGGGCTTGGCTTGGCAGGCACACAACACCATAGCTGATGACTGACCCAGCGACTTAACACACGAACAGTCAAAACGGCTCAATGCATTTTCGGCACGGTAGTCTTAGTCAAGATAGCGGCGTATTGTGTTGTAATACTTCCGAGCCAATACCCAAGAAATAACACGAACTGTAACGGCAGCCGCGAACAGCTCACCAAAAGTCTTCTGAGAGATATATGTGTCCAAGCCTGTTAATACTGTACTCTGCTATAGATGCGATGTCTGTTGTTGTCAATTGCACCTGTCACAATCATCGGCCGTGCAACGCAAACCTGGTACTTGTCCATCGGTCGACCTACTTTGCTACTTTACTTTTATGTATTCAAGGCAAGAAGACATGAACAAGTTTCAGAGTCCTAACATCGGTATACTGATGTTGTATACATGCACTCCCAACTTCGCCGAGGCGCCCTTGAAGTAGCACACCTGGCTTCCGAAATGAGTGGTGGCCAGATAAAACACACGTACATATCAGTTCAACAGACTCGAGTTAGCCACCTAAAGGAGACATGTACAATGAGGTGCGCTGTAAGTCAGTATTGATGGACCGGGGCTAGATCGCTCTTTTCAGGCGCATCTTGGCAAGTCCAGTTAAAAAGGCTTTCTAGAAACTATTGGAATGACGTAGGTACCCAGCCTCCTCATGATTACCTAAGTAGGTACTGACAACATGCGATGGAATCGCAAAACAGGTCGCCATGTAGAGGCTACCCTAGATGTGTAGTCCTCTTGGATTTAACCCAAACACCCTTATCTACACAACGTTGCAGCATCAAAGATTTGTATCGACGGTTTATATACGTTATGTCAGAGCCATGATTCGCAAGTCAGCCTTGCAGACGTTTCCAGGCCGCAAACCATTAGGCATCCCATGGGCGGAGCCGCATAGCCGTTACCACAACCCAGCACAGTCGCACGTGAGCAACATACAAGCCAATGATAGCACTCTGCCGTATCCAAACGCGCCGAGGCCTGCTCACGAACTCACAATGACAACCGCATACGAGACTTGGTGGAGTCATATCTACAGGGCCCTGTATCCAATGTCATGCCAGGAAGTGTATAAAGGCACAGTATGTGCCCAAACATCAAAACAGTAAGATCTGGTTTTCATGGAGCAATACTGCTTTTGTCGAGGACACTTCCAATTGCGACATCAAACACGTCCCCCATAATTCAGGTCCTGATGAACACACTGGATCAATTGCATCACACGACCCTCCTTCCTAAGCAACGATCAAAACCATGTCAACCTCACGGCTATACGTACGATCAGAATACAGAGAGGATTCAAGGTCACGAAAAACAACACTTATCATCGGCATTGTCTGTGGCATACTCGCTATTGCCTTCTTTACAGCATTCTGGTTGTGCGGACGTCGGAGAGCCGAGCAACAAGTCCAACACGACGCTGAAGTCGCGCGAGCGGAGCACCGACGGGTGAACGGAGGATGGTGGGGCAGGGAGATATCCGAAGAGACTACAGTAGAGAGGCGGATGAGGATGGTTAGGGAACGGAGAGAAGGGATTGAGAGAAGCGCAAGGGGGGGAGAAGAGACAGGAGGTGGCGAGCCAGCGCCACCCATGTACCAGCTACCGGCTCCGACTTATCCTTCCACGCCGGAGATGAGAAGACAATGGCTAATGGCAAATCGACCGTCACCCAACCTGCCATTAGCGCCTATCGACGCACCCCCCGCGTATGATTCACCCGCAGTTTGGCCCACCAGGAGCTGAGAAACAGTGCTTGAGTTGTTCAATGTTCTAAGTTGCAGAATAAACGGTGGATTAAGGGTGTGAACCAAGTATTCTACCACGCAGCAATAAAGTACGGAGAATGCAAGAAAACTCTTTCAAACATCTTATTGCCTACAATATAAGTAACGTTCAGCTGAGTCTTATCTTTAGTCATTATGATAGCTACTAGTTCTATATTAAAAATTGGTCAGCTTCTTTTGTTGGAATATCAGAGGTAGCCTCATGTCTGCTGGGGCCACTTACTTGCAGTGTTACTGGATAGATGGGATCCGACTCCAATTTGAGTACCAGTCTGAGAACAACATAGACTTTAGTTTGCGATTGATGAAATTGTGATCAATTTCACACGGGCGCGCTAGAAGTCTTTCAAAGCTACTGAACAACACAAGTGCTAGAGCTTTATTAGACAGTTTCTAGTCACTGTGAACACGCGGTGAAGTGCAACTTTCTCGAAATCGTCATTGTCTTGCGATTCTTCATACAGAAGCGAGCTGAACTACAAAGACTAGCTTTTATGCATCAATTCAAACACATCGCTAGCAGCTGATCCTCGATTCGAACTCTCAAATCGACGTGAAATAGGGAGAGCGCAGAAGCTCTTCTACCTACTCTATCCTAATTACACTATGCGGGAGGGGCAGTCTGGTCGGGTCGAAGAGCACAACCAGCGTTCTTGAATACTGGGTTAAGCTTGCCAATCGACCAGTTGAGAAGCGACAAAGGCAGAGTAGTAACAATCGACAAGCTAGAAGGGACTGGCTGCGTTCCAAGCTGATACAGCAAGCACAGAACGTCGGAAGCAGTGGCAGCGTCGGGGAGCTTGCCGTCACGAATGACACCGAAGGGTGTGGAGAGAGCATCGAAGTTATTCGTACCGACATTGCCACCAAATAGTTTTGGATACTGGACATATTGGGCGAGGATCTCGAGGGTGACGTCGTTGTTGGTGTATGTTGAGCGACGGTTGTGCCAATTGTCTGGGATGCGCTCAGCGCCTCTCTGCCAATTGCCGTTGGCGTCCTGGGTGGTACCAAAGAATGAGGAGATGGTCTTCAAATCAGGAACACCTTCGGGGCCGTAGCTGGGAAACAGCTCATACAGGAAGGAGGATGCGCCGTAGAGCAAAAGAGCGAGGGGACCGAAGAAGAAGTTGGGATTCTCCTGGACAGACTCGTCGTATCGCTGGCTGCGGTAAGCGGCAAGTGTGTTGCGATCGAAGTTGCCACCCGACACACGATCTGCGACATCCTTCATCCGAGCGAAGAGGGTACCGTTGAAGGAGTAATTGTCACCGTTGTGGGTAAAGTAGTCGTCTCGCGTGAGCGATGAGTCGCCCTCGAACTTGTTGTGTCCATTCAGTCCTGGCTGGCGGCCAAGTAAACCTCCAAGTGTAGCTGTACGAGAGGTGGCATCACAGCCAATGCTGAGCTTTCCGGTAACAATGTCGCCATCAGCAACGACTCCAAGGGTAGCCAGGAGGGTTGCAAGATCCCAACCAACGTTGTACAGATTCTGCTGAGCATCGACAAGCTCGGTGAAGGTTGTGACACCATCGTGAGCTAGAAAATTGTGGTTGGCAGCAGCGTTGAGACCAGGGCAAGGGCCACGAATATCGTTGGGTCCAGGAGCCTGGAAGGCGTGCGCAGTGTCACCGTCGGCCGGAACCTTGATGCCGCCCTTGCCTGTACCAGGCAGACCATTCCGTGCACCTGTGTACGGATATTGGGCGGTGTATGGGGCTGCAGGCTGATGATTTGAGTTGAAGGGACAGTTATCCTGCCTCTTCACATTGCGGTTACGGCCCAGCAAAGAGGAGTCGACACCAGGCTGGTCGGCTACCCATGGGTATGCTGAGACGGTGGAAGCGGAGAAGAGTAGAAGTGCAAGCGCATGCATCTTGAAAAATCTGGAGCTGCTCAGTAAAGCGAGAGCTATAGCGCTTTGATCTTTGTGTTGGAACAGGGCAACGAAGATGATGATCAGTTCAATGCCACGGACACGGTCCTACTTGTACATTCCTGTATTGTGTCGCTCTTGGTTCTCCGTTTAGACGACCGAGGCACGTTTGCGCATTTCCATCGGCTTGTACCAACTGCAGGGAGACTATGTTCAAATCCGCCGTCCCTCATTGGAGGGTGCAAGGTGAATTGACGTGTTGCACGCGGTGCGGCTGATCGACAGACCCCATGGAGACGATCTGCAGCCCCACGAAAAGCCCCGTTGGCGTGTTAGTTACGGACTTGTTGACGGAGATGTGGTATGGTACGAAGGCCGAACCAAGGACATGCGTAGGTGGTCTGTGACCGAGGCTGTGGCGTTCCTACACAAGGTTTGCGCTAAGTCGCCGGCACTACCAGAACAAGAGTGGTTCCTGCATTTAGCATGCTGCCTGGCGATCTTGTCCGCAGAAGGGAAGTGTCAGTCGAGCAAATCCGAGTTGGTGGAATGCGGGGTGACATGTAATGCGGGGTGACATGTTGCCCAATAACGCATGATGCGTTTCATCACCGAATAAGCACCCAAGTTACAGTTTTGGGCAGTGATTGTCGTACTTTCCTTGATTGACCCACACCAATTTGACGATTCAAAGCCAAATGCCTGTTAGAAGCAAACATGGTCTCTGGCGATACGGCCAGAATTGTTTCGTGGCTACCTGCGCATACTTGCTTACTGGCTCGACCACTTCCGGTCGAATTTCCACATTCATGTTGTCCCTCGCAGGTGCGAGTGAGCTTGCCGGACTGACTTGTAGATGGCGTCGGCAACCTTGAACACGATTCATTCGAGCAAGACTGGTGCATTGCTGTTCAGAACCGCGTTTTTCTTCTTCTTCTTCTGCTGCTGCTGGGCGTTTACAAACAATGGAATTGAGAGACAGATGTAGGCTCCAAGGATGGTCTTATGACAGCGGCCATAAACTGTGAGTCTCCTTCATCGTTCTGTTTGCTGTAGTCCAAGTTGCTGGCGTGCCACTGGCAAGGCTCTATGGGAATAACCAGAGGTCGTCCAGATGAGGAAGTGGGTGCGACGCAGGAACGACACCTGACCATACCTAGGTAGCTTCAGCGTCTATACAAATCTTAGTCTTGGTAAGCAGTAGTGGCTTCGGCATTTCTAAGTAGGGTAGCTCTCTAGACGTTCCCGGATGCACTAATGGAAGACGTCAGATGCACGCCGTTAAACTACATGCCCATACCCCACAACCTACGCCATTACAATTTGCTAGTGTCAACTTCCAATGCCTCCGAGGCTGGTTGATGGAATTAGTGGCAATTTTTCCCGTGGCTGTGTGGTGTAGAAACGAGTAAATGGTAACTTGCCAGTGATCTACTGAGGATGTACTCTGCTCTCTCTCCTCACATATTCAAAGCAAAATTACATGAATGTTATATAGGTAAGCAGGCTTGAGTCACGTTGATGTATGCCAGTTTTGTTGGTGACGCCCACCACTAAGAGCCTTCGACAGATGGACGGGAGTGAGATCGTCGCGTGTGATACGCACTCGGCTGGCTCCAGCACTATGCCCGGTTTGGAGTCTTGCACTGATTGTGGGCGGTGTATGTTACAAAGACATTGACGATATGGCTACAGGTACTCTAGTGCAGCATGTAAGGTAATATTGGAGTCGAGTGACTTTGGAGTACAGGACGATTTCGCTCAGTTCGCTCCATCAGGACTAAGCGTCGTCGAAGGGCTCAGTGCTACGTTCCTAGATACCTGCCGTAGTCACAACCTCAGGTGGGTTGAAAACGACGTCAATAAGGTTAAAGGTAGCGGGAGAAGTATCTTTTGCAGTAACGTCGTTGCATTAGGCCGATCTTAGGGGCGCCCAGACCTCCTACAGTACAAACGGTAATAGCTAAGAGCTGATACGTCAATGTTTGTCGACTCTCGACACATAGCCTTCGGTGTTCGTGACCGATAATTCGATCTGTCTGCTCTTTTCCGCACCTGTTGCAGATACTATTGGACTCTTGCATGTTTAACCACAGAGTCTGAGAGGGGTCTCCATGGCTTCATAACAGACCGAGGTATTATCTATATTCCGACTCTTCATTGGACACTTATGTGCGATCCCTTTGAGGCCATGCCTGCGAGAGCATTACGTAGTAACTTGTAGGTCAGTTGCTTCGCATGAAGGCCCATAAATGGCACACATTTCGTATGTCTACACCAGTCGCTAAGTATCTTGATGATTGTTTTTGCTAGCTGTCAACCGCTGATCACATGTTATTTAGAAAGACTCGGTTCCTGGAGCTGTCTACAAATCTCTCTAGCAGTCTTTTGAAACTGTCCCTGCTATAATCATTGGGATTATGCTGTCCTTCCTTTCGTGGTCTTATCAGTTGTTAATGCCAGTATGTCACAGCGTGTGTGCAGGCGTTGCACTGGAGCTTGGATTCTATGGGATCATATGAGTTTGATCAGCTTCATAGATAATCTGCCTTCGACTTTCTTTTCGACTGCAAGAAGCTATTGCGCATTTCAGTTCAGCTCATCTACAGCTGCTAATTGTCCTAACTTTCTGACGTATCAAGTATTGCACCCAAGGACGTCCGACTAGCCACTTGGCGAAATGCAGCATCAGACAAGCAATCCAAGGTTAAATGGAGTTATTCAGTCGTTTTTCTGTGGTTTGCTGGCTACGATAGTGATGATCTGGACCCTATAAATTGCCAAGCGGCTGCTTGGGCATGTCTGCGTGCAATAGATAGCGACATATGGTTGCGCGAGACATATTTTGTTCCCTTGGTGTGAGCCACTTCGTTGACAACAGAAGACCCCCACAAGACGACAGTCGGTAGCAAGTATGCTCTGCAAACAAACGACAGTGCACCCTCTTCTGCAAGCCACGTGAATTTGCTGCCGTGCCCTGGATCTCTTGCCTTTACCTGTACTAGTAGTGAAGCAGATGGGAGTCTCTCATCTGCCAGCACGAGCCTTCCCAACATCCACCATCCACTTGCCAGCTTTCATTTACGACAAGGCTCTTTTCTACCTCTTCCGCAACACACACGAACAGACGCCAACGATGCCGCCCGAGTCAGCAGTAACCTCTTTCTACGGCTCAGATTTTGACGACAATGACGTGATCACGGACGCCATAGATCTACTTGACCGGGACGTGGACGAAGATGCTGAGCTATCTGTCGAGAGAGACACTGAGGGCGAGGACGAAGACTACAACCCGGAGATGGAGATCCTCCACCCAGATGGAATGATTGGGTGGTGCAAGTGGAAGAGCTGGCGAACCCGACCACTGCTGCAGATGCTGGACCGCAGGAGGCCGCTGACGCCAAGTTCTTGACTGAGGTTGGAGACACAGCCGAAGCCAAACACGCTCCGTTCCTTGGACAACTTCGATTCTTCAAAGTGATCAATCGCGCAGCATGTTGGCGCCATAATATTACTAGCTCTTCTGGACTGTTTCTCTATTACAGAAAGCAAACGCCGCCATCAAACACCAACCTACGGTTGCAGTGCAAGTGGACCAAAGCAAGTTAACGGTTCCTCAAGAAAAGGTTGCCACGCGATTGTGCGAGAATGGCATGTGGATTGAGATAGAGGGCCAAACCAAGACCGGCAAGAAGAGAAAGAGCATCAGAAACCTACCGTTGAAGAGCTTCAGTCCTTGGGTGACCGGAATCCCTGCGCCTGCGATAGCTGCAAGAAGTAGCGTGACTTTCAAGGATACGTCGCTGGCGAGGGTCGCGAGGAGTGGCAAGACACGCTCTAACGCCAACTTCAAGCCCGACTTTGGCCATCGACTCAGAGAAGGCTGAAGTGATGCTACGTGGCTCGTGAACGGGATACTTGGTGGGACAATAACACAGAACTTGTGGCCATTGTATCCCTAAAGCTAAAGTTTAGTTGAGTGTTAGCTACAATTGTCGGTGGAAAAGCATTCTACAGTGTTTTCCGGTATTTTCCCTACTTTGCTGTCGTGTAGTGTGTACTTCGCTCACATCCTTTGTCTGCTGTTCATCCTGCAACGTGAGAGCCTACTCAGGGGTACTAGGTGTTCGTTAATCATGATACAGATTGCCAGATGTGATACCTAAACCAGTACGGGCGATTTCCTGACGTAACGGCTAAGTCGGGATGGCGATTTGCAGTGCTCTGCCAGGCAACAACTTCACGTGCCATCGATCCACATTTCACGTGCGTTCCACAGTCACATTTTTCAGGTTCACCCGGCAACGGAGGCGCTAGCCGCTAGCGCCGCCAGCCACTAGCGCCGCCCTCTCGCACATATAAACCCGCTCGCCCTCGCCCTCCCTCTTTCTTCTTTAGCTCTCTTTGCCTTTTGGCTTAGATCAAGTGTAGTATCTGTTCTTTTAAGTTTAATCGCTTAAACGCCTCTAATGAGGCTCTACGATTATACCACTTTTTGCAAACGGCTTTTGGGTCACTGGGCTTGCTCATACTCATCAGCACAGTGTCGCCGGTATTGCACTACCTCCGGTGTACGCGAACTCTTTTCATTGAGATGCCGGCTATCAGCCGGTACTTGAGGAAGAACTGTCAGTGAAATGCGACTTTGAAGGCTTGCTGTTGATACCCATGGACGACTCTAACGTCACTGAGGGGTGAGAGCAGCGCAACTTGCTGTAAGTTTGTTTGCGAGCGGAAGACTACATTGTGCCGATGCCCATAAGGTTCTGCTCTTTGACGTATATAGGCCCTGTTGCGAGCTATTCAACGTGAGGGCGTGCGGCTTGCGATCGTGTGCGGCAAACTTTTCGGAAGCGAGCATGCACGGTTCGTTCTTCTGTTCACGATATGCAACAAACCAGTTGAACTGCTCGTGTGCAAGTACGGGAATTCAAGGCACCTAGCAGACACGCAATTCACAGTTCAGCAAGGGCTGGATGGACTTGAGAAGAAGCCCAATCGCACCCGACATGAGGTACCTACCACACATTGCAATAGTATATGCATAGTCCCCAACCTGCTGAAGTTGGAGGAGCACGCGTATGTTCCTAGATCCTGTATCGCACCCAGGCAAGGCGGTGTTAAGTAAGAGTGCGCTTAAATGAGTAATCCAGTCGTAGTCTCGTTGTTCATTGACTGCGACAACAATGGGTTCGACCCTACGAAAGTGCCAATGTATGGTAGGACGTACATGGGCTACAGTAACAGCTTCAACCATCTATTTGTCCACTATCTTACCAATCCACTGGCGTACACAGTACACACTTGTGCTTACTGGTAAGTTTGCTGGCCAGAACGAGCATCTGCACGGTCGAGGCGACGCGTTCCCTCTCATCGGAGCTAAAGGAGAAACCATGAAGCAAAAACTAGGAACCACGTGAATAAACGAGAGGCCAACACCATGAATGCACGAGCCTTGCTTGATACATGAGACATGGGTGATTGGCTGATTAGCCTTAAGGTGCATCCCGATGCCTATTGATCACAAAGACTTTGCCATGTATGATATCTGTTTCGTGCCCGCGTTATTAGCTACGCGCTGTTCGTCCGCGTAAGCATTGTCAGTCCTGAGGACCATACGAGGCGCTCAAAACAGCAGAGGCTTTCGGCAGGAAGGAAATATATGATATATCGACCCACGATGTGCAGATCTCTGAGCTCATGTGCTTCAATCATTCAATTCGAAACGCTAACCCTGATGCCCTTTCCAACGCCGGAGCCTACAGTACAATGCTTTGATGCATGTGACCCAGCATGCTTCTTTTCCGTCCCTGTATGGTATTGCCTCTTTCAATCAGAACCACCGTCAATCACACAAGCTTCTGCTTGACGAAGAACGCTCGAAGGTGCGTTAGCTGCCACGCGCAAGTGACACCAAGGACCGCAAGCTGAATCAGGGTCCATCGGACGACACGGGAGTTGGTGCTCTCAGACTGGTCGCGGAACTCGGCCTCGCGCTCCTGTACAGTTGTTAGCGACTTCCTGGCAAAGCGTAGGCGCTGGAGACATGCTTACCCTCTGGAAGATCTGCTCACGCCTAACATCCTGCAGCCTTGAATTCAGGTCCTGAACCTTCTCAGTCAACGTCTGGACATGCGCCTTATCTGTGCTCTCAATCCTGCTCGTCTCTCCAATCGCCATATCCAATGTGAACTTGACAGAGCCGTGGATACCGCTACCCAGCCATCCTCCGCTTTGAACGTTCTGAGGGGTAACGCAAATGCGGTGCTGTCCTGAATCGGCGGCGCTGAAGGTGAACTTGCCCTCGCGGGAACCGCGTTGGGCGACGATGCGGTGGTTGTTGTCGAATGTCTCTTCGACGGTAATGAATACACCGGTGTCCGGGTTCGAGACGAAGGATTTGGTCGCATCGCTCCATACTTCGGCGTGGTAGTGTCCTGCTCGTTGTTAGGCCTGCCGTGTGCTTCTAACTGGCTACCAAAGTGATCATACCAACGACCAGAGTGTCCTTGGGAAGCTCTTCAAAGAAACACTTCTGGACTGCGCCATCAATGAAGAAGTGCAGTGCCTGAGCGGGCACTACCAGTGCGGCAGCGAGCAAGACAGTAGGTTTCCACATGATTGTTGGTTTGCTCCGCGCGTGATTGGGCGTTCGCGGAGTGTGTAGGCTGGATCGCTGAACGCTCGTGGACCTTGAGACCGCGGTGTCGCCAGGTGGTCGATTTGTATTGGCCCGTGCGTTATCCCCTACAAACGCGTGAAGTGCAATGGTGGAACCTAGTGACCACCAAGAGCAACGGCATAAGACCAACAACGTTATACACACACCTCATAAGGCCCTGCCAATCAGAGCGATAATTAGTGAAACTCGCGGTCTGGTGGTTGATGATATTCAACGTCACAGAAGCCCGTGTTTGGAGACATCCCCAACGGATTGTTGCGACCAATCTAGGTACCTATCGGTCTAACACCTCAAATAGTCGAAATGAGATACACAGTTCATGCGTGCGAGCCGTCGAGTCAGTTTCGATGTCCAGATCCCTCTCCGCAATTGCCGACCCCGCATGTCGGTAAGCTGACTTTGGCCACTTACCTAGGTAAGTAGAAGCTCGTCGGTTCTAATGGTAAACGGAAGGCGATCGGATTCTGAATCCTTCATGCTTTGATTCGAGATCTCACACATCTACATCCTTGTGACTGCTTCGCTTGTCTCGCAGACCACTCAATTGAGCGTTATTCAGACCTCGGTTCATCCCAACAGTCATCTCAACATCGCTCGGTACTCACATCCCTATTTTACATCACAATAATACAATTTTCGACATGGCACTCTTTGAACCCAATAGCGAGAGCTTGAGTATCCTCAAGTCAACGCCCAAAACTATTGTCATCACGGGAGGTTCTTCCGGAATCGGTCTGGCAACAGCGCAGCTCCTGTCGGCCTTGAACCCCCAACACAACCTCGTTCTGATCGATCTTAATCCGCCGCCTCAAACTTTCAAACATGAAAAGTCACGTCTCCTGGTCCATACCTGCAACATCAAATCATGGACCTCGCAGCGCGCCGGCTTCGAAGCCGCCCACGCACGCTTCGGACGAATCGATTGCGTGTTTGTTAATGCCGGCATCGCGGAGCACGGCGAGCAGTTCTTCACAGACGAGCTAGACGGTGATGGAAAGCTGAAAGAACCAGACCGCAGGGTGTTGAACATTGATGTGGATGCTGCTAGTGACACCACCAAGCTTGCGATCCACTATCTGAAGAAAAACCAGGACGGTGGTGAGATTGTCCTAACGGCAAGTCTTGCGGGATATTTGGCGAGCGCGGGGGCGCCGTTGTATAGCGCTGCTAAACATGGTGAGTCTTCGTTCATTGATAGAGATGGGTGGAAGCTGACGATAGAAAGCAATTGTGGGTCTCATGCGCGCACTCAAGCAGGAATGCGCTAAATTGAGCATTTCCATCTCTGTGATCGCCCCAGGTATCACGGTGACACCCATCTTGACAGGCAATAACAGGCGCCTCGGTGCCTCGCCAGATGTCTATGCAAAGGAGATGGCCGCTAAAGGTGTACCGATTAACACCCCGGAGAGTATTGCATTAGCAGTATGCTGGTTGTTCAATGAGCAGAGCAAAGCCAATGGTGCCGGGTTGCTGATCCAAGGAAACAAGTTTGCGGATCTAGAGAAGGGTCTTGCGAAGAATCGAGAGCAATGGATGGGTAAGGAGATGCTAGGTCTTTTCAGGGGAGGAAGGTCAGCGCCATTGTTCGACCGACTGAGTGCGGACGTAAAGGCGAAGATTTGAGACGAAGAGAGCAGAGCAGGACTCTCGATAACGCATGTGCTTTTGGAATTTCGCTTTGTCGCTTTGCGGTCGAGCTTTATCGATATCAATTGTCGCAACGGAACTGCACTGAATTGGCCAAACTCGAGGCTCTCCGCTCACAACAGAAACTGCTCTGTAATGTGATTAAAGACACTGGGCTATATCATCTCAATATTTGAGCAGAGTCGGCTGTGACCAAATGTATACTATGATCTGTGCTACGTAAACTCGAGTTCATCAACGTCTCTGTACCACCTTTCACGCAACATGAGGGTCTTTGGATCACCTCCAGTGATCACGAATAGGAAAATAAATGATAGAGGAACACTCCAGGTACTGGGACAACCAGTCTCAACCTTGGTACATCCCTCGTTTAGGCTTCGACTGAGGTCCCTGATCCATAAGCTAGGTATCCTAGGACCCAGGACCTAGGTACACGTCTTCATAGGATGCCACCAAATTTCCATCGCTCGCAGCTTTGGCTTCCATTCTGCGCAGCCAACGCTCATCTTTCTCAGTTAAGCCGTGATACCAATCCATTGTAATGTAAATTCTCACCCATCCCTTGTGAGGGTTACGAACAAGAGAGCAGCGCGCGGGGCACCCGCTTATGGGGCACACTATCTCTCTTGTTCGGTTGGTGTTCTTGTCGAAGAAGGGCATTGAATTCCTGGACCGGAAGAACAGGAAAGGATTTTTCTTGCGGCAAACTTGTTTGAAGAAGCCCGGCTCGTGTGTACTTAGGTGCGGGCATAGCTTGATGTCTGTTATACTGCACTCAGGCACATCTGAGTTGCATCTTGGCAGTTTGGAAGGATTACAATCTTTTCTAGCAAAGCTAGTAGGCTCTTAAACTATAACTAGATGTCTACAATTAAGTGCAGCTGCAGTAATAAGGCAGCATTATATTAACGTTAATGATCTATTGTTTCTTGCCTTGCAGCTGCCTTGGTAGCAATTCGGAGCCTACAGCATGTGGTAGTGGCCGTCGGTCCCTGATGTAAGATAATTTGGTGGCTACGAATGTGTGATAGGGAGGAGCTTTGGGATGATAGCGTACATCCCTTATATACCTGGATGATGACAACGTAAACTTTACACTACATAGATATTACTCATATATAGATATGGAAGCCAATCATGATCATCTAGCATCCACTATCATTGCGGCGGTGAGCGTGCTGGTGGCCATCATCACCGCCGTGCACGCCCATTTTCGCAAGCCAGTAAGTAAATCTGTATGTATTCATCAGCACTTCATGCTGACAGATGATCTAGGCCAAAGACCTCGAAAGAGGCAGACCCACATGTAAGCTACTTTCCGTCATCCTCCACTACTATGAGTAACTCCGGCTACACCGCAAACACATGGCTGTGATTGGCTGTACGGTGAAGCTGCGTGCGCCAAGACGCGCGCGCGCGCCCAAGATCCCTGCCTGTGAGCTCGAAAACATGAGATACACATGAGCTGTCAACCACCTCACCATCGCGGAGCCACCACCATCGTCGGCGCGCCCTTCGCGTCAAAAGCACCCGAGTATCTCCACGATCCATCATGTTCTCACCAGAAGCCTCGCTGCAAAGCGCGCGCAGCTCGTTGCGCGGGAATCGTCGAAGACAGCGCGACTCCAACGGACATGACCAGCCTCGACGAAAGCGCAGTAAAATTGCGGAAGACGGCGCATCACAGATCACCGCCGGATCGGAACTGAAAACAAATGGCAGCGTCAATGCGAACGGCTACGCTGGCCATGATAGCGTTGAGAACAGCGTCGTCCTCGTAGAGATGCCAGTCCGTGAAAAGAAAGCACCGCCAAAGAGGACCCTGAAAGAAGACAGTGTGCAGTACTTGGTAAGTAGCATGCATGAGCCTGGAGGCAGTCAGCTAATTGAGGCGCAGACGCAAAACGACAATTACAGTATCAGGAAGCTACCCAGTTTCCCGTCCGCTTTGACGCGTATGCCCTATACAGCTTCTGCGATCTCGTCCGCCGGACTCGCGTTAGCATTCACGACCGATCGCGCCCTCGTTTGGGACTACAGCAGCGCAACGGGCCCTACAAAAGTCGTGACCCTTCCGTTGCCCTTTGACTTGAAGCCCTCCGATCAGCTCCCGCTTGGCGCAATTGTTCGGAACGGTCCTACAAACGACTACGGTGTTGTCGCAGTTGCGCCATCAACCGGCAGGATCACCTTCTGGGAAAATATCGACAATGCCGAGGCCAGGAGCTTGTATCCACAGCGGCACCAGGGGGTGGACGGTACCGTGAAGCTATATTCTGGAGAGACTATCACCCATCTGGTTGATATTGAACACGCAGGGTTCATCTTAAATTTCAGCAGCGGCAGACTCGCGCAATTGACTCTGCGCGATTCGCAAGGGCGACCGAACGTCAGCACCACTGTTCTGAACGGGCCCAATGGCTCGAGTAGCAGCCTTTTCAGTCTACGAGGATTACTGGGAGGCGCTATTCGAAAGACTGTTTCATCTGTCAAGGCGCGTCCATCCGATACGAAAGGTCAAATGGAGGTGATCACTACAACCAAGAACGGAGTTTTCCAGTTATGGGACTTGAGCTGGTCAGGGCAACAGATCTTCAAACATGAAGTCGACGTCCACGATGAGATGCTCTCAGCAGTACAGGCTGGGTCTCCGCCCGAACTGCGCGCTCAAACCGACATACAGGTCTTAGACTTTGCAATCACAGAACAAACACGGACGCCTGGATTGGTCAAGTGCCTGGCACTCGTGGCTTTATTCGGACGCCATACACTCGATTACTCATTGCTAGAAGTGGATTTGGAGGCTTCAGGAGGCACGATTAGCAGGTCCATTCCGATCAAGACCTTTCATCAGGAGCACATGCCTACTGAGCCAGCAGGGACACTCTTGGTTCCCCAGCCCGGTCACACGGCATTTATACAGTTCCCTGGAGCTGTTGTGATCGCATCCCTTGCTCAACCAGAGGAAAGTCCTGAGACACAACTCCTTGCGGATTCCGGCAAACCTAACTTGCCTTTCCAAGACGTCGTGTATTTTCGAGAAGAGCTGAATGTTGTAGTCTGTGGACTTTCTACGGCAGCAACCACCCGAAAAGAAAGGAAGGCCACTGCCTTGATCTTCGTCCAAGGTGCAGGCATCCTACAGTTTACCGCGCAACCGCCAATCACAGACGATACCAATGTGGAGAGACTCAAGGTCACAGCTCGAAGCAAGTTGGAGCAAGTCACTTTCTTCAGTTCTAAACCAGGCAACGTACTTGACTTTTCCGTCAAATCGCGATTCAGTTTCTCCGAAGAAGAGACCGCACAAGCAGCGCTTCAGGTCAGCTTGGGCATCATCAGTTCCTCTTACAATCATCTGGACAAGGTGACCTCTTCCATGGACGAACAGTTCAAGACACGTGCTGCTGCTCTGCGGACTTTAATATCGAGTTTACGATCCGATTACCCTGAACTGCCTTTCTTGACAAAGTGGCGGCTGTTATGGCACGCTGAGAAGCTTGCCGCTGCACACAAACTATGGAATTGGTACGAAGCGAAATTACAGGACCAACAAGCTCACCCAGATGCATATCCAGAGAAGGTTTTGATGAGTGACATCATCAAGGCGATGCACGAGCGTTATAAGACACCCATCAACCCTGATCTTGGCGAAACTGATCCGGTGCGACAATACTTTCTTCGAGACATCGACACCATCGGCGTCCTCGTTCCCTGGGGCTGGAATTACTTACGCACTTTTTACATGAAAGAAGGCGGAAAGGAACAGCCAGCTGTTATGCAGCGGCTCAGCGAAGGCTCGGATGTCATGCTGGTAACTTTGGAAACAGCGTTCAAATTTCGACAAGCGGCCCTTGAATCATACGGCCTTGATTCCAGCTCTCTTGAAGATGGCATTCTGAAACCAGGCCAGGGCTATGATGAGCTGCCAGTATTCTGGACCTCTTCGCACAATATTGTCAGCTCTGTACGCAGTCTTGTCGATGTTGGGCGTAATCTAGCTGTTGAGAACTATGAAGAGGGCCTTCAGGAAACGCTGTCACAGAAGATCGCCAAAGACAACCCTCGCATGGTCCGTATTGGTTGCCAGACTCATATCGAACGATTCCAGTGGTCTCTCGAACAGGCCGATGAGAAGTCACGGGACAACGGACGTGTTCTCCGAGATGAGTGGAATAACAAGGTCCGACCGGAGCACATTTGTGGTCTCATGGAGCTTGGCCTGGCGACCGAGGGCATGAATCTGGCCGAGCACTACAAGGACATGCCGACCCTCGTAAACCTGGTTTGGGACGAAACCATCTGGCTCGAGAAAGAGAAGGCTGCAACTCGAAGCAAGATGGAGATTGCTGAGAGTACAGTCAAGCTGAAGAAGATCAAAGAACGCATCGTCCGTTACTTCGACACGTACGGAGATGACTGGGCTGAAGCATTCTATCTGAAGCACATCAAGGAGGGTAAGGCAGCTCAGATGTTCGAACCCGAGCATTTGAACCAGGCGGCATTGAGCAAGTTTTTGCGATCTGACCCGTCCCGCGCTAGGCTTAGGTGGATCAATGAGGTCTCTGGCGAAAAGGACTTTGAAGCTGCCGCCGAAGCACTTTTCGAGACCGCCAGCAAACAAGAGACGAATGTGTGGTGCAACAAAGTCGAGTTGTCCATGTGCAAGCTGTCAATGCTCTGTCAAAAGGAAGACAAACCCGGCCAGACACATGTCAGCAATCCTCATGAGCCATCCAAGGCGGAGAAGATTCGCGAAAAGAACTACAAGATTGTGCAAGATCAATGGGAGTACGTCACTATCCAGGGGCTCCTCTACGATCACCTGTCAGCAACCTTTGAAAGAGCGCTTGATGACACGGTTGCTGTGGATCTTTTGATGGAGGAGTATGCGAAGGGTCCAATCGAGGCGCGACCGGCGCATATGACGTTGCTTCGGGAAGGGTTGGAGAATCTTATACACCACAAGGTTCTCGATCCCGCGTTGACGATCGACATCCTCACCCTCATGAACGATACCAGCGAAGAGGAACCTACCTCGGTGATACAATCTAATGAGTTCACGTTTGCCTTGAGGGTTCTTGCAGCCAACTGGCACAGTATCCACCGCACGACACGAGATGGGCTCCTGAAGCTTATTTGGAAGCGCTTATGTAACAAGGACAACTGGGCCGAGATCAACAATACCAAGGACATCTCCGATGCGACACTGGAAGAGTTCTTGAGCACTACTCACGTTGGCCGGACCTTTAGAGGTCTCACGAGACTGATTGGTAAGTCAATCTTCGGCGTGGGAGGAGTTCTTTGGCTAACCTGCTTCTAGACCTTGACGAGCATAACCGTGTAGTGTGGCCCAAGCAACTGACGGCCTTGGTCGGGGCAGGTGGCACTCACGGAGAGCTTTGTGTGCGTTTCCCGTTCGAAGATCTTCGTGAGCCGATCATCAAGGACAACTTACTTGATGATGAGATTTTGCAAGAGAACCTCGACAAGAATCGCCTTGATCCATGGTTCAAAGCAGCGTGTAGAGCAGGCAAGCTTGCCTGTGCGAAGGAGAAGGAGGATATGCGACAAGGGTCCGCCGCTAAAGCAGGGCGCGTCGATGAGGAGGCGCTTGATGAAGCGTTTCATGAGGACGAACCTTCGATACTTGATGGTGGTGATATTGTGAATGGGGCTGACCAGGATCAAGATCAGGAGATGCAAGGGTCGTAAGAAGCGGACGGCTATCAAGGCCGCGGAGGCGAAGGTTCATGTTTCAAATAGGCGGACAGCATGGGAAAAGCATTGGGCAAGGCGTTTCGAAAAGAACACAGCAATGGCGCTTCTTTCATCTAGCGATCGGCGGCGGGCGTACTGTTCATAGAGCATGCTACATTCAAGCTGCTAACGGCAACGGAGGTCTGCATGGCGGACAAGTGCAAACTCTGGCAAGAAATAGATATGTTTCAGACTCCAGTATCTTCCACTGTCCTTGAACGACGATCTCCGGAGCTGGAGCGCTCCTGATTATACTTTGTAGACGATAGATTGTGTCAATAATTGAGGCGACGTCATTCGGTATCTGCGAGCATGCAACTCCCAAATGCCGGACAGTAGCGTCGTATGACCTCGGCCAGTTCGCTGGAGGTTCTGATTCGCGTCGCCATTCACAGAAATGTGTAGTACACAAAAGGCATCGGCACGCTTGCACAGACTGCACAACGGTTCCAGACCCTGAATCGATGCGAACCAGTTCATTTCCTAAGTGGGCCCAGCCCCGTTCAGGGCAGAGCCCCGTTCAGGGCAGGGTGTGGCTTGAGCAAGCCGGTCCAATCACGCCGCTTGACCGTTTTTCGCCAGGCAGTCCACTTGCCCAGGTTCCGGCGTGGCAGCGGCATTGCATCACACATAGGAGGAGAGCGTCGCACCACGGCAAGGCGAGCGTGTGCAGGGCGGCGACGTCTGCAGCGAGAGGCGGGGGCAGGCTGGCGGCGAGGGCTGACCACGTCAACGTGCGGCCGTGGCGAAGCGTCACGTGTGCGAGCTGTGCAGCGCTCGATGCACCGCGATTCGTAGGACGTTCCTTCCTAAATGAGCTGGTGGCCGAAGGAATGGCCAGAGAACGCAGGTACGACGACGGCGGCGAGCAAGAACAACAACAGCCGGCCGCAACGCCAGCCGGCACCCGCAGGAACGGGCAGCGCTCGCAGTGGGCTCGCAATGGGCTGTCGGCGCGGCGTGCATGTCAAAGACGCACCCTTTTCTGGCTCTCTGCCCCCGTGAAGGCTAGCGGAGCGCGCAGGCTGTCCACAGTGCACTGACCGTGCTGGAAGCGGACCTAGCGCGCGTCCAGTCCAGCCGCTGTCTTCTCGCGCACCCCAGGTCCCAGGTCTTTTCCACCGCGAGTCGATCACTCTCCTGTCCTCACCTCGCCCATTGTTTTGCCAGCGCAGCGATACTCTGCATTGTTTGCCCAGCTGCCCGCTGCAGCAGTCCCGTTGCCTGCCCGTCGAGTGCACTCAGAGACGCCCTTGAGCCGGACACGAGTCGCCGGCCTGCATAGCCCCAGCCGACCTCCGGCGCCGCCCATCGACCTCCATCGCTCACCGCACCGCGACTCTCCTGCGTCCCCCGCCCGCCTCCCCAGCTGCTGCACCCGTACGCTACCCTTCCTCCACCATGGCGAGCGGCAGCACCTCCTCGAACGTCGTCGGCGTCCACTACCGCGTCGGCAAGAAGATTGGCGAGGGCTCCTTCGGCGTCATCTTCGAGGGCACCAACCTGCTCAACCAGCAGCAGGTTGCCATCAAGTTCGAGCCGCGCAAGAGCGATGCCCCTCAACTGCGCGACGAGTACCGCACGTACAAGATCCTCGTTGGCTGCCGTAAGTTCTCTCGCCGCCCCTATTCCACCCACGTCGCCCCTTCAAGCGAGGGCAGGCACGGTCTGTACGCTGGACGCTGCCTCGCCCGCATCCATGTGTATCCGCCGCGATGCACACTATGCACGCCTGCAGGGCAACGCTGCTGATGCTGCTGTCGTCTGCTCAATGGCGTTGTTGCTGTCAGCTGCGCATCGCTGCCTGCCAATCAACCTTCTCTTCAGCACACGCATGCACTCCACTGACACTTCGTAGCCGGGATCCCTAATGTCTACTACTTCGGTCAGGAGGGCCTGCACAACATCCTGGTCATCGACCTGCTGGGCCCCAGCTTAGAGGACCTGTTCGACCACTGCAACAGAAAGTTCTCGATCAAGACTGTTGTCATGGTCGCTAAGCAGATGGTCAGTGTACACAACAAATTTCCCAACCACAAGCCCTGACACATGTGCAGTTGTCGAGAGTTCAGACCATTCACGAGAAGAACCTCATCTACCGCGACATCAAGCCAGACAACTTCCTCATTGGCCGACCGGGCTCCAAGAGTGCTAATGTAATCCATGTCGTCGACTTTGGTATGGCAAAGCAGTACCGTGACCCCAAGACAAAGCAGCACATTCCCTACAGGGAGCGCAAGTCTCTCTCCGGTACAGCGCGTTACATGAGTATTAACACCCATCTCGGACGCGAGCAGTCTCGCAGGGACGACCTAGAGGCTCTTGGTCATGTTTTCATGTACTTTCTTCGAGGCGGTCTTCCATGGCAAGGACTCAAGGCTGCGACCAACAAGCAGAAGTACGAGAAGATCGGCGAGAAGAAGCAGACGACTCCTATCAAGGATCTCTGCGACAGTTTCCCTGGTACGTCCTGGTCGAGCCCACTTTGTCGAGCACAGCTAATAAGCCACAGAGGAGTTCAACAAGTATCTGAGCTATGTGCGTAACCTCGGCTTCGAGGACACGCCTGACTACGACTACCTGCGCGAGCTCTTCACCCAGGCGCTTAAGAGCACTGGAGAGGTGGAAGACGGCGAGTACGACTGGATGAAGCTGAACAATGGCAAGGGCTGGGAGGTAATGAAATCCCACCCCTCGGCGGTTCAACAGATGCACCATTCCAACGTCCACCAGAACTCTTCTACCGCGGTCAACGTCCACGGCCAGCCTCACAGGCAGCCAAAGACGCACCTACCCGTCGACCACCACCGTTTAAACGAGCCTCTCCCAAAGCCGGGGGCGACACGGGCCCAGCCCGGAAGAAGCCCAAGGGAGCAAGCAGCACGCGGGGCGGAGGTCAAGAGGAAGAGCATGGGCGAGTTGGCACCGCCCGACGCAGCCTCCAACCAGGCTCAGTTTCAGCACAGCCAACCGAACCTCAACCAGACCCAGAACCGCGCGACTCCCACACAGAGCCCGAGCGCACAACAACCGAGGCGACAGGAGCCTGAGAAGGAGGGCTTCATGCAGAAGCTCACCCGGGTCCTTTGTTGCGGCGGTGGCAGCAACTAGTGGAGCTGCCCCATCTGATTTCCTGCGTATTGCGTTGCATCCCGGAGTTCGTTCATTGAGCGAGCTTTACCAGCCACGTCTTCCCTGTATAGGTAATTTTTGTAATGATTGATAGACGGGATCGAAATCTCTTTCCGGTATCTTAGGTAATACACTCACGACGACCAAACCACCTCGACGCCAGCCTGGATCTCTTCTTTTCATCATCTTCTTCACACCTGGCTTTCGACAGCACGAGCGGCACCTGCACAGCAGCTTGTTTCCCGGAAGCCAATTATACTGGCGTACGCGGCGTTGCGTCTTTGGCGGTACGAAGTTAGCATTTCTTTGATCATCATTATCATTTCATGTTTGTTCGGTGGGAGAAAAACATAGCATGTAAAGGAGTCTCTTTCGCTGGAACCCGTCTGTATTGTGGAAGTGAGCGATGGGTTTTGGTTGTTTTAGTTAGATGAAAGCGAGCAATTAGAGACGAAATCTTCACAACTTGGCTGCACGTCGACCTTTGATTAGTGACTCTCGGGTGCTCATCTACAGACGTCCATAAGGCGGTACAAAGGGAGTCAACGTGAGTACGTGCTCTTCTATCTTTTCAAGCAACCCCACCAAAGTACATTAGTATCTGTAAATTACCGAGAAGTTGCCTATCCTGCCTAAAGGCATCTAAGAGTCGTGACTGTGTTGCACTTCCACACCCGGCGTCTTGCCAAAATGGTCGAGTGAACATAGGCTTGGCACCGCGGCGCGCAACTTCGCGAGCATTCGACACGCTCAACACACCCCTGCGAAACCATCGACCACAACTTTTTCCAACGCTTTCAACCTGCCAGATCGAATCGAGACACAGCCGCGATGGCATCGAATCGCGATGTGCGCGATATGCTTGGGCTGCCTGTTGGCGAGGTCGCACCCCCGACTGCGAACAAGAAGTCGAAGAAGGGCGGGCAAACGAAGAGAATACGTACGTTCTGAGGGCATGCGTGAGTTTCGCAGGGCAAGGCGAGTCGCAGCTAACACGTGTGCGTAGAGGGCGTGGCGCGCGAAGTTGCGGCACTGTATGGCGAGCGACCACCACCGGTTGCAGTATACGAAGAGAAGAAGGCATACCGCGCGAAGAGGCAGAGCACTGGGCCTGCAAAGAAATGGTATCTACATCGCCTTTCAATCATATTCTATTGGTCTAATCGCGCGCCACAGGATCCAGCAGCCCTTTATCAACCCAGCGCGCAACGACGGACTCGTCTTGAAGCACTGGCGGCGCAAACCGACAAACGCACCACCTGCACACGAAGGTGACGATGCAGCGATGCAGGACAGTGATCCTACAGACTACATCGAGAACTGTGCCGATTTTGTCAAGTATAACATCACGGTCGACATGCCCGACTTTACCGATGAGGACTACGATGCACATCTACGGAGCGACGACTGGAGCCGAGAGGAGACAGACTACCTGTTTGGAATTGTGAAGGACTACTCATACCGCTGGGCTGTAATCTGGGATCGCTACGAGTGGCAGGCAATCAAGAGGCGGGAACGAGAGCTCGCACAAGCGGCACAGGAGAACGGCGACGCCGATGTGAACGCCCTGGCAACGCTGCCGTTCGCGCCTCCGCGAGATAAGGAGCGTTCTCTCGAAGACATGAAGGCGCGCTTCTACGATATCTCCGCTAAACTCATGAAGCTTCGAATCTCCGAAGTACAGATGGATGCCGATCAGTATAGCTTATACGAGACTCTTTCGAAGTTCGACCCCAACATGGAGAAAAACCGCAAGATGCTCGCTACAGCCCTGATGAACCGCAGCATGGACGAAGTCAGGGAAGAGGAGTACCTTCTTACAGAACTTCAACGTATCAACATGGCCGCTGTTCGCCTTGATGCCGAACGCGAAGAGCTGCGCTCGCGACTCGATGCACCACAAGCCAATACCTCCTCTGCAGCAGGGCTACAAAGCTTCACATCTAGCACAGCACTGCAAGCGCTCTTCCAGCAGCTTTTCCAGCAAGATCGGAGTAAGAAGAGATCGAGCGGCGGCACCAATGCTCCTGGGCGTCTCAGCCTCAGCGCAAACGACATGATCAACACACCTTCAGCCTCTAATTCCGCCAACCGTCGTACATCCATGGCTCTCCCGCCTGTTGCACCGAGTCAGACACCTGTCAAGACGTTGAGCCCGCACCAGGAACATCGATTCGCAGTCAGCACGCACGATCGCCTCACCTCAGGCGTCACCTTCGGATCAGATAAACTGCTCAAAATGCGACAGGCCAAGTCGAACGTGCAGACACAGAAGATTGCTTCCGCGCTGCAGGAACTCGGTGTGCCGGAGATCATACCGATCCCTACAAGCAAGGTTGCGGACATATTCGAGCAGTTGGTGTCCAAGGTCGGACGGCTACTGGATGTGCGCAAGGTCAAGGAGAAAGAGATGGGCGAGTGTCGCGTGCTGTCGCGCATGAAAGCCGCACGCGACGGCACGGCTGGCAACGCAGGCGTCAAGCAGGAGGGCGAGGGGTCAGCCGAAACGTCGGGCGAAGACGCGAAGAAAGACAATCAGGACACGCCCATGGGTGACTCAAATGAAGATAACATGGGCGACTCAAATGATGATGACGACGACGACGACGACGACGCAGAAGGCGAAGACGACACGGGCGCACAGAACACGCCAGCAAATGCAGACAGGGATGACGTTGGGGCTGACGAAGACGACGACGAAGACGACGACGATGCAGAGGGGGAAGACGATACAGGCGCGCTAAACACACCCGCCAATGCGGATCGAGACGACGTTGATGCAGAAGGTGAGGATGAAAGCGCTGCGCAGACAAGTCGGGCTACGAGTCAGGGCGCAGGGCACAAGAGGAGTGCCAGTGAGCTCAGCGAAGGGAGTCAGCCAAGCGAGAAGAGGGCGAGGAAATGAGCCATTGATTGTATTGGTACGTGAAGCATTGTCAGCATAGCGTCGGCGTTCGAGATAGGAAATCATAGCCAGATCCACTCTCAAATCATCACTTCACGATGGCTTGTTTCTCGTGTCGCAGAATGCGTCAGACGCCGTAGTCGACCGACTCATACATGAGAGCTACAGGGTCTTTATAGACATCCAAGTGGAGAGGTTTACTCCTATCCATCTTTGCAACAAGAAAGTCGAGCTTACATGTTGTATGATTATAGACGGCATCCGATTCAAGGATTGCAAAGAAGGTGATAACGCAGACATTGTGTTGCATTTTATACATATGTTTTATCTCACTTGTTACAAATTGCCATATTGCGTTAATCATTGTACACACCATGCGCCTAGAAGCGATGGAACAGCCACCGGCAATGACTTCCCACAGACCAGCTAGCCAACTGGTCTACAGCCATGCCTATACCTTAGAGCACACATAAGCTTCCCTGCGGGATTGAGCTGTGAAGCCTAGGTCTACCCGTATCTTACAACTTCCTGTCATGGTCCTCCTCATCAACGCTCTTGTTGGAGCTGGAGGTTGTACTCTGCTTCTCAAGCTCCTCGCCAATGGGGCCATGGACCTCTTCCTCAAAGACAGGCTCGGTCTCAATGGTCTCGAACTTGGTCTTGAAGTCTTTGAGCTGGTGCGTCGACGAGTTGCTGCGACGCCGGGCGTTGTTCATGTTGTAGGGCATGTCTTCGACTTCGTCGCCGTCTCGGCCCCTGGTGCAGTGTCAGCATTGCTTGTTCAAATAAACATCTGGTGTTGCTGCAGTGTGAGGGCCAGTCAGAGTTGGCTTGGGAGGCAGCCAAGTGACATCAAGTGATCTGACTAACCAATTGCCCTTTCCACTACCGTCTTTCTTGGTCTTAGTCGGATCAGTGTCGGCATGGCCTGCCTTGGCGAAGTAACGGGGAAGCCTTGCTTCCCGATCAGCGGTACCGTCGGCAATGCCGGCATGGTCACGATCAGTCCATTTGTGGGAGCGAGTCACTTTCAAGTGTCAGTACAGAGATCAGGCGTTCCTTTCAAATAGGGCATTGAGGAGATTGGTGACTCTGTGGAAGCTCAATGTGCTATTACGTGACCGGATGATGAGCAGAAGGTGATTGAACTTACTAGTTGATGGGTGTTGAGATGGTCGAGCACGAGTTGTACGGAGAGCAGGTCAAAAGCGGGCAACGTGAGGTTGAAGTAGTCCAGTACCGGAGCTCGGGGCTTGAAGCTATCAGTGGGTCTGTACGGTCACGTAAGAATGGTCTCGTGATACCTATGGCGTAACGGCGGGGAGTCGCGGCGATCAGCGTTGGCGGGGAGCACATACCTCACAATGCAAGATGAGAAGAAGATAGGTGGTTCTGAATTGCACAATTCAGTGCAGCTGTTAACGATTGCGTGCTGGCCACCGTGATATGAGGTGAGATAAAGGAAGATGCAAGAGCACGCGAGCTTGAGCGAGCGGGGTCAGCCGTGACTTCCCTTTATACTATTCCGCTTCGAAACTCTGCAGCTACCCCTGACAACGATGACCACATTCCAGCCGGCCGTACTGGTGGTACTGTACGGTCGTTTATGATGCAGATGCACTGCCGTTTCCTGCGTCTGGGGTGACAGACCGCAAGCTCTATCTACGTCACAGCATACTCGCGTGTAGGGGAACCCAAAGGCACTGTGTACCAGTCTAACGTCCAGCACGTCCTCCAATGCCTCGTGATAATTAACGCGGAGGATTGAAACACGGTCAAAAGGGGCTGGTCCAGTCCAACCTTCAACCACTCGCATGGACAGAGCATGAGGGAATTGCGTTGCTTCCACCGGCGTCTTGTGGAGGTGCTTCTACGGCGTTACCCCAGATTCTGCTACTGCTGCAAAGTGGGTCTGACGGAATGCTCCAGCTCCCCTGGCCAGGTGAGCCGAGCTCCGTCGCCTGATGGTCACGCTTCGATGACTGTACAGCAGCCCACGATCAGCCAATCACGCAACCAACCAATCGCAGACCTGCTGACCGAAGGCGCGCCACTGAAGTGCTTTCTCCGAGTGCCGGAAGTGACAATCGCGAACTTTAGTCAAATGCGGCAATATTGCGAAGTTGATTGCTCAGCGACAAGATACGCTTTTGCTTTTCCCCTTCGCTGTTCCCCACGACCTTGATTGACACTCTTACTCGTCACATAAACACGACTGCAGTCGATTTTCTCCCAACCCCACCACAACCCCGCCATGACCTCGCGAACGCTCATTATCGCGCCGCCCTCGGTTGCGGCGCACCCCGAGAAGTTGAACGGCATATACGAGATCCATGATCGCTCCTCGACCGACTTGCAGATGCTTGACCGCATCGCGGCAGGCCTGGCAACCCTCCCATCTTCCACATACGACGTCGTCCTGCTCCTGACCGATGCCGCTGGCACCTCGCGCGAAAGCCACGCACTCCTTGTCCGCGATGTTATGCACAAGATTGTCGGTGCGCTGAAGGTCGGTGGAGTCTTCAAGAGCCAAGATGGTGCACTGCAAGGCTCAGAGAAGACGGAGGCTATCCTGGCAGGCCTCGTAGAGCACGCAGAGGGCATGACGAAACCCGCGCAGGAGGAGCCAGTATCGATCCCCCTTAAGTTCGGCAGGAAGAAGGCCGCCAATAGTGCAAATGGCACAAATGGCATCAACGGCACAAGCACAAACGGTGCCGTACAGGAGGTCAATGCAGACGGCTCTGTGCCGTTGAACTTGAACCGCATCAACCTAAACGGCAAGCGACCTTCACCGGAGCCCGTTGCGAAGCCCTTAGGCGTGGGTTTCGTCGACTTCAGCGACGACCTCGACGATCCCATTATCACAGGCGAGGACGACTACCTGATCGACGAAGACGACCTCATCACAGAAGAAGACATGGCCCGCCCTGTCGTCCAGCGTTAGTGCCCCCTTCCGCATATCCTTTACACGCAGACTAACTCATTCACAGCCTTCGAATGCCTCCCCAAGCCCGGCAAGCGTCGTCGTGCCTGTAAGGACTGCACCTGCGGCATGAAGGAGAAGATTGAAGCCGAAGACGCTGCGAAGCGCGCAGACGCCGACAAGGCGCTCAACACGATGAAATTCGGCGCCGACGATCTTCTCGATGAAGTTGACTTCACAGTCCAAGGCAAGGTCGGCAGCTGCGGAAACTGCGCGCTGGGTGATGCTTTCAGGTGCGACGGGTGCCCATACATCGGACTGCCAGCCTTCAAGCCGGGCGAGGAGGTCAGATTGCTCAACAACGATATTCAGTTGTAGAAGATTCGGTCAGTTTCGAGACATGCATGAATGGCGTTTGGGATATACCTCATGGAAGAAAATAATGTGGAGTTTAACGGTGACGGGCGTTGCATGGACTGGGGTCGTTGCATATAGACAGACAAAACTAGAATAAGATTAACGACGTATGAGACCTCACCTCGCCTTGTTGGATCATCTCAAATTTGTCTTGCGAAGTGGATATGAGTAAACGTTTTCCGTATCCTAAAAGCGCCAGTTACAAGTCAGCGTGTCCTACCTAGACAGACCGTCGGCCCGGATTCATGAAAGTACTACCAGCTACGAACCTATAATGCATCTTGTCAGTAGCAATAATAGGAGAGGATAAATACATTTATCGAAGATCATCTTATAACCCGATCGCCCATGGAGGCTCGTAGCATCGGGATCGTTCGTCCAGTCTTTTGGGCACTGTCATTCTCATCTAGGACTACATGGACTACGACTCGCTAGCAACAGGTATATAGAAGCCAACATCACAACATGCTACGCCAAGGAAACCGCACAACGCCCTGGCCTACTTCACACAAAGACCTTTACGTCGTCCTTCTCCTTATCCCAACCCCATACACTGCTCCGGCCCATGAAACTCTTCAGCCCCTCACCCCATGTCTTCCTCCCCTTTCCCGGTGTCTCTACTTTCTCCTCATCAACACTCGCACCAACGACCGAGAGTGGGTTGCGCTGTCTCTCTCCTTGCAACTCAGCCGCACTCGAGCCCTGCGGGAAAAGACCAAGTCCTATGCTTTGCCTACCAGGCACACCTGATGGTACATTCGAACCGCGGGTACTAGGCCGTGGCGGCCCGAGTGAGGAGTTGAACACCATACTACTACTCCCAAGTGTGTCGTCGCCGTAATAGATCAGGTTACCCGAAAAGTCACGAGTCACGGCGGCTTCCTTGAACCTTTTTGCATCTGATACGGGCGTCCTTTTGGCAGCCCCTGTGCTGTCTGTATCTGCACCTGTGACATTGGGATCGAAGAAAGGAAATGCGGAGGATTGGGAGCGCGAATGCCCGCGTTTAGCACCAGAAATGCGAGATTGGTGACGAGAATGAATCGACCGGCGTGAATGACGCTCGCTGGTAGATCCGTTGTTGGATTCGGCTCGGGAGATAGGGCGGGCCTGGGCGTCGCGGAGTATAGACTTACGTGGAATTGTAGTTGCCTGTGAGTGGCGAGCGTTGGACGAGGCTGGTCGGACAGGTGATAAGGCGGCTCGTGGCATGACCTTGGCTTCTGGAATGGGAGTGATCTTGCCAAGGGTATACGTTGATGACATGTTCTCTTTGCCGCCATGCTCTTTCGCCAGGTAGTGTGGTGTAGCTTCGCGTTCACTCGTACGTTTCATCTCTCGGCCGTCACTCTTAGTCTGGCTATTGCGCTTGCCGCTCTTCTTTTCACGCATAGTAATGCGTCTGGAATCGAGTTGCAGGGGAGGTAATGTGAAGTGACCAGGCTTAACCGTCGTTCGCCTATTGTAGTCTTCGATGTCGTCCTCTTCATCTGTGTAAACACTCTCGCTCAACTCGGCGTTGTCGAATATTTCGGACCCTGTGAGGTCGTTTAGACTAGCTTTGAGCTCAATTGCGAGTAGGCTATTGCGAGTACTTGCTCGTCGACCCATTCCAGTGTTGACAGTGGCAACGGGTGTTTCGGGTCGGTGTGACGACTCATCGTTCGTTACTTCCTTCGCTAGAGATTTTGTTGAACGGTGCTTGCGCAAACTGCCAGGAAATTTACTCTCTGCGTTCCCTTCTGATGAAGCGACAGGTACGTCTTTTTCTTTGCCTTCCTCGACGTCATCGCCTGGTTTGACAATCGTTTTGACCCCAGATAGCGAGTGGAATATCCGTGACCTCCTCTGCTTCTCGGTGAGGAAAGCAGGCGGAGACTTGTAAGTCGAAGATGATGCTCGGTAGCCTGCGCTGAAGAATGGCGATTGTGCAGAGGCTCGCTTCCGTATGTAAGAGCTACGTTTGGCTTCCATGGTACGTCGATCAATGAGACTACTGCGACTGGATGAGGGTACAACGCGGATACTGTGTCGCTCTTCCGTCGGGGTTGTCACTTTGGGGCGTCGAGAACGAACAGTGGGTCCTTGAGCACAGGCTGTAGGAACTGTTGAAAGACTACTCGTGCGCCGAGAAAATGAGGTGGAGCTCATAGCACGTCGAAGCGACCCGAAGTTGTTGTTACTCCTCGATGGGGAGTAGGTGTGGCGCCCGTGTCCCTATAGATGCCGCTGTTAGCTCACACTCGTCAAGGATATCTCGGAGGGGAACATTGCCAACGCGGAGAATGCTTATGACGAAAACAGTGGGTGCTTACTACCAAGACGTTAGTATTCAGTCTTGATAGTGGTATCTCAAACACGTACCCATGCCTGTAATGCGTCGATTAACAGGAAGCCCGGAGCTGCGGTGAATCTGGTCCCGATATACAGTTGTGGTCCGCCGTGTATGCTTTCGGAAAGAGTTCGCAGAATTCTGGGAGGATCGTTTGGCCAACTCAACAGGGATCTTCATCGAATCATGTGGGCGATCGGACGGCGCAGAATTTTTGTGAATGTATCCCAACGAGGATTCTCCAAAATCTTCGAGTATCCACGTGTCAGCATCGCCAATCGAATCTGTTGGCGATACACTGTCTTTGCCAATGATAGAGAGGTTGAGATCGAGCTTAGGAGCGTGCTCCGGGGTACGCTCCGAGAAGACGTCGTCGTGATCCTTGCCCTTCTCAAGGTCTTCCTCTTCAATGTCTGGCCAGCCAATTGGTATGAACGTTGGTCGCGAGATTTCAGATTTTCTTGGACTCCTCGGGCTTGCAGGCTTAGGGCTGAGGTAGCTTTTAACCTGCTTTCTCCTGCGGCATATACAGAAGATGCACAAGGCTAACAATACAGCGCCGCAGAGAGATGCAATCACGATACCCGCAATAACACCTGCACGTTGACCGCTTGTGTTTGTATTGGAAGTGTCGAAAGTGTCACCGTGACCAGAGAGGGTAGAGTTGTTGTTTGTAGGGGAGTTTATTCTCTCGATTAGGGTGATGTTGAATGACTGAGCCTCCTTGAGACTTCCGTCCTTGGAGGTAGCCGTAATGGTGCATTCTACGACCTGTGGCGTTAGATGCTTGGGAATAGTTCCAAATATTGTCAATGTTGTCTGGTTGAAGTTCAAATATTCCCTGAGGGTTGCGAATTCAACAGAAACAAGTTCGTCATCTCTGAAGAGTATGGAACGTGGCAGCTGGACTTTGAAGAGGTCGCCCAGTGTAGCGTTCAGTGTGCCAACAGGACTAGTGAATAGCTCCGACAAAACATTCAAGCGTATGGTGTATTGGGCCTGGTCTCCGTATATATCCTTTGCTGATATAGTGAGATCCTGTGAAGAGAGTTCAGCAGGCGCTGTGCCCGAAACATCGAACGTGCTCCCATCGAAACTCAACCAGTCCGGTAGCTCAGCAGACGGTGAATGTATATCTCTATCACTAATAGGTGATTGATCGAGAAAGAGTTTGCTCTTCAGGCCCGTAATGCGCACTTCGTCACCCTGGGAGATGTTCACAGTCTGGATAGCAGGCTGGAAGAATAGCTCGTGGATATTGATCGATAATGTAAAACGCACCGTGGAGGCAGCGTATCCTGGGGTGTCAGAAGCGATCAGGAGGACCCCAAACGACTGCGGTATGCTTGTGGGTGGAGTCGTTCCGGCGAAATATAACGAAGAGGGATCAAAGCTGATCCATGCCGGTAGTGGAGTATGGTCAGAGAGAGTCGCAGCATATGTCAGGTTGCTGTTTGATCCGAAAAGATCCGCGGGGAACGTGATCTCGAAATTTTGCGAGGCCTTGATCGCAATAGTAGTGGGTCCTGATAACGAACCCGCTGTTGAAAGGATTTGTGAGATGTTCGCATGCATTTCCGGACGCTTATCTTGGCTCACGATCAACGTAGACTCCATTCTGGCGACAGCACCAGCGGACTCAACCGCGACGACTGTGAAAGAGTCAGTGCCGACATCGCGCGCTCCAGGTGTCCCAGAAAGTGTCCCAGTCGTCCGATCAACAGACAGCCAGGATGGATTGTCATTCAACGAGTACAGTAGACTGCCCGAGTCCGATTTGAATGTTGTCGATGCAAATTGAAACACGTATGGTTCGCCAACGCGTGCGATCGGCGGAAACTGCGAGTTGAGTGGGTAACTGATCTGAGGTACTGCCCCGACAATTGCGAACAAGGCAGTGAGAACCGCGACGCGCAACGCCATAGCACTAGAACTTCTGTCAGCTGGCTTCGTTTCAAGTATCTAGGTTCTTACAGGAGTAATGCTGCCCTAGCAACAGTTCACAAGTGTTGGTTGTCGCAGAGTTGAGGGTAGTTTTTGGGAGCAGACCTGCTGAAAGCCGTTCGTCACTGACAGCCACCTCTTTCCGAGCCGTGGAATTCGTTGTCGCGCTTGAACGCGTGGGCGCGTGGCCGTGCCGTGCGCCTTACGTGCTGCCCAAGGCTGGCAGAGGAATGTGAGGATAGCGAAGAGCAGAGGGGTGGCGACTGCAAGGGATAGACAACCTGCCACCTCAGCATACTGAGACCAGCCATGAAATACACAATATTGAAGAAATTCACCTTCATTCTGTGATAGCCAACTCCATTTTCAGCGCTGTTCGCCCGGGACCGTAATAGTCCTCGAGCCGTTCAGTTTCCTGGAATCCGCAAGACGTGTACAGGGCCCTAGCTGGGTTGCGAGCCTCGTCAACCCACAAAACGACTGTTCGACAGCCTCCCTTCTTCATCTGCTGGTACAGGGAATGTACGAGACACCTAGCGATACCTTTACCCCTCTCTTGCTCGATAGTAGCCAGCTTGTGTAGCCAGGCCAGGCTTTTCTGTCTTTGAAACACAAGGTATCCCACAAGCTCATCACTCCCTTGTTTCGAGGCTAGTACAATCCCAATGTTTTTCTTCTTGAGCTCAATATTGTAGTCGAAGGCCTCACTAGACGGAAATATCTTCTTTTCGAGCTTCGCTAACTTCGCTGCTAAGGCATCGCGGTCCTTCGGTGGACATGCAGTGATAATTTGTAGTGCAAAGCCCGAAGGGACGTTGTTCGTATATATGGCAGTTGTCATCGCTTCTCTATAAGGAAGCCAGCAAGCGCTTCACTGGATCGTGCTGAGCAGTTCGTGCGGAAATCTTCCAAGTAGAGTGTAGCGCAGTTTTGTGCTACCATGAGACGGTACTGTGATCTGTCCTGTATTTGGGGGCAAAGTGCAACCCCTGACAAAGTGGGAAATCTAGCAAAGTACGAAGTCTGGTTTGCCTGTGTGCGTCGTGGTGGAGAGGTGAAGAAGCGGGTTCGGAAAACTTTGATTGGTCAGGCAAGAGGCAACCAGGTGACAGCGCGATGAGGCTCGCGCTTCCCACCAACGCGTCTGATCTCTTGCACCGCACAGCAACTCCTGTCTCGAAGAAGTCCTCCAACACAACTATGATCAGGCTGACAGTCGACCAACTCTTGATATCCACTTCCACTAAGCGATCGCCCTAAACCTCGTTCATTTCTGCGGAAAGCCGAGCAGGGCGGCCAATTGAGATGTCTGAAAAGAGGAAGAGACCATACTCAAATGTCGACTTCACGTTGAAAAGAGTGTTCAAGAAACCATGTTTTCGGTACGCCAAAGTTACATGACCTTAAATTGTTGGACTAATATTCCAAGGCCGCTGCAGCGCGAAGTCATCATGGCTACTTTAGAGGGCGAAGATGTTTTCTTGCAAGCAGCCACTTCGTTTGGCAAGAGTCTGTGCTATCAACTACCAGCTGTCGTTGATCTCGGTAGTGTGTTATCACTTTCAGTGTGGAATGCACGCCTGCTAACAGCATAGTCACCATTGTCATTTCTCCTCTTCTGGCACTCATGGTCAGTCAACACGCCCGGAGAGGTGCCAGGTAGTTAACTTGCTTAGAACAATCAAGTCGCATCTATGCGGCACTCCAAAATCAAAGTTGAGACAGTCAACAGCACAACTCAGCGACATGACCGGGAGCGTATATTGGCGGACCTCCAATGTGGCCATCCTTTGACCAGGCTCTTATATGTGACACCGGAGTACTGCTCAACAGACCACTTCCGCAAGATCCTCCGCATAATACATTCACAGAAAGAGCTCGCACGTATAGCAGTTGACGAGGCCCATTGCGTGAGCGAATGGGGCCACGACTTCAGGCCTTCTTTTCAACAGCTCTCTTTCTTCAAAACGGAATTCCCAGACGTTCCAGTCATATGTCTCACCGCTACAGCAACGGCACGTGTGCGCGAAGATGTCATCAAGACCATGGCTCTTGACCCTCTCAAGCTACGCGTCTTTCGCATGAGTACGAGCCGCCCGAATCTTCACTACGAAGTCCGCTTCAAGTGCGATGAAGATGATCACTACAGTGACTTCCTCTCATGGCTCAAGAACATTCATGCACGGCGGGCTAATTCTGAGCGGGCCACCCAACTAGCTTCCCAGCAACAGCGCGCCGACAATGTTTCTGGCATTATATATACGCTCTTCCGCAAGGATTGCGAATCTCTCGCCGCCCGCCTCCGCAGTGACGGCATAAGCGCAAAGCCTTACCACGCCGGCCTTCCACACACGGAGAGGACTGACACTCTCCATGGCTGGGTCGCCAACAAAGAAGGCTACGATGTTGTCGTTGCCACAACAGCCTTTGGCATGGGCATCGACAAGGAAGACGTTCGCTTTGTGGTGCACTGGCAGATTCCCAAGTCCTTCGAGGGTTTCTACCAGGAAGCTGGGCGCGCAGGCAGAGACGGTAAGGCTAGCGTATGCATCCTGTACTACGGGCGTGAAGATCGCGACCGCGCAGCAACGCTCATAGCGCGTGATCAGGCACGGCAGCCGACCAAGGGCGAGGGGAGGGCAGCGCAGCGGCAGCAGATGCTGAATAGGGCTAAGAGCTTACAAGCACTCGTGGACTACTGTGAGGCGACCAACAAATGTCGACACAAAGTTATCGCGCGTTATTTTGGCGACGAGGAAGTGCCACCGTGCGACTTCGCGTGTGACTGGTGTAAGGATGCGGAAGCGCTGGTCAGGAGGAAGGAGAAGGGGCTGGCGAGCGAAGAGTGGTGCAGTACGCAGAGAGAGATGGGGAGGTTTGACGGCGGGTACGACGAGTATGACTGAATCCGATCGGTGAGGTGGTATGGAGTAAGTGTCACGATTCACAAGCATCAACAGGCGTCATAACGAATAGGAATCATGGCACAAGTATCTTTGCATCTCATTTCTTCAGATGGCAAGTCAGATCCGCCAGTCCCTAGATTTTGTCAAATCAGTACTACTTCACTCCTCCTGAACGCCCTCCAATGCATCTTTTCGTGACGGTCGTATGTCTCTCACACCTCGACTGATCCGCTTAGCCAACGATCAAGGCGGCGCTAGGGACCATGCCAGCCTCCTTGAGCGTCATGCCGAAATCGCTCTTGTCGAACGTCTTCTTGGGGAAGTTAGTCGACAGCCTGTTGACCGTATGGCCATCCTGCTCCAGCGCGTGCGCGACCTCAAACAGCGTCGTGTCGACAGGGAATGTCTTCATGACTCGCCCACCATGGATCTGTAGCGCCAGTCTTGTCTCTGTGTACGCACTTGCGGGCTTGCTTGTTGTAGGGCCAGAGGATGTAGGGAGGGTCTCCTGCTGGACGGGGGGAGGGGCCTGGCCGGCGCGTGCGGCCCTCTCGACCTCAGCCTTCCTCTTGCGCTCCTGCTTGTCTGCCTCGAGTTTGGCTAGCACCTTACGCTTGGCCTCCTGGTCGGCGAGCTTCTCTGCGCGCTTGGCCTGGGCTTCCTTGATCTGCTCCTTCTTCTGCAAGTCCTCCTTGATGTCTTGTGATTCCTTCGTTGACTTCATGCGGATCTGCTCGTTCTTCTTGCGCTCTTCCTTGTCCTGTTCCGCTTGCGCGGCACGCTTCAGTGCAAGCTTCGCCTTCAACTCGTCAAGACGCGACTTTTTCTCCTCCTCGGTGAGCGGTGCGATCTCCTCAGTTGACTCGGCGAAGTTCTCGTGGCCGGTCTTGCTGCCGTGGAATTCAGCTTGTGCAACGGAGCGGAACTTCTTGCCGCAGTCCTCGCAGACGAGTGACTTTGCTTCTTCGCCAGGCTGCAGCGCGGGTGGCTCTTCGGCGGCAGAGGCTTGCTCGGCTTTGATCTCGTCGAGAGGGCGATCTTGGTTCTTCTCGATCCAGTCGAGAGCTCCCTGCAGATTGCCGCTAGCTTTGAGGGCAAGTGCAGAGCGCTCAGGGTCGAAGCCCATGGCAACGAGCTGTTCTTGGTCTGACATGGTGGAGGTTGTGAATGTGCAATGTGGTGAGCGTGTGGCGGTTGGAGGTGAGTTTGGAGCTTTATAGTAATCGTAGCAGAGCGTGTCAAACTTAATTCCAAACACGTTTGATAGCCCAGGGATTATTCAAATTGAGTGTTGCAGGGTGATGTAAGTTGCTTGGAGCTTCTGTGGAGTGGGAGCTCAAGTAGTAGTGGGGTCAACCGCGGGCGAGCCAGTGGAGCATCTCGCACCTTCTACCTATGCTATGGTTCATCTCCTGGTGAACCGCAAGGCCGCATCGCCGCATTGTACTCCCATAGTTAGTGCGTGCTTCTACTCTGGCTAGCTGAGCCTTGCTGTCTAAGCTGCACGGGACTGCCGCAGTTCCGGAGCGTGATGACGACGCGTTGGTCGTCCTAGCCAAGTGACGTCGGGGTTGCTCTGCCGCGATTCCAGATCCATCATCGGCAAGCGAGACAACAACGCTCCCCTTCCTTCCCCTCTGCTGCGTCCACCACCCACACCACGCCCGAACGCTCTCAACCCCTGCATACCGCCCTGATCTGTCCCCGCAGATCGCCCACGTGCCGGCACTCACCACACGCCTGTGTCGCATGCGCCGTACACCGTAACCTCGGACGCCAAACAGCCACGATTACCAATACCGCCCGCCGCCTCCCTCTCCCACCGCCGCCATGTCTGTCGAACTCGACCCCGTAGAACTTGGTTTCAAACGTGAGCAACGGATGCACACGCCCCTGTATACAATTACTGAGCGTGGCAGGCCCCTTCCAGCAAGAGGTGTCGCAGACCCTCCGACTCAAGAACCCTCACTCCGACCCGGTCGCATTCAAGGTACGCAGACTCAACACGACTGCGCTGTTAGGAGCACACCATTGAATGGGTCGCTAATAAACGCAGGTTAAAACTACCGCTCCCAAACAGTACGAGTGCATCCCCGGGCCATCATCCAACCCGGCCTGCTGACACGGGCCAACTAGGTACTGCGTGCGACCAAACAGTGGACGCATTGAGCCTGGGCGAGATGTCGAAGTTCAGAGTACGGCCACCGTTCAACGCGCTGATATGCGCAGCCCAAGGACGATATGTTGACACGTGCGCATAGTTCTCCTGCAGGCAATGAAGGAAGACCCACTGCCAGATGCCAAGTGTCGCGACAAGTTTCTCGTTCAGTCCGTGCTTGTCACCGCCGACAAAGAGTTCACCAACGTTGGATCTCTGGTATGATACTAGAGTCAGCTCACGCCATCCACGCTAACACAACGCAGTGGGCACACATCGAACAGACCGCGAAGTCGTCTATCCAGGAGAAGAAGATTAGAGTTCTCTTCCTGCCCGCCGATTCCGACTCCACACCTGCGAGGACAAATGGCGTCAGCCGTGACTCGCTGCTGTCGTCCCCTCAGTCAGAAGCTGCCGCGACCCCCGTACGAGGCTCTACAGAGCAGCCTCAGGGCCCTGTTTCCCGCTCTGAAGATCGCCCGGCCAGCAGCAAGCACCTGGGAGAGATTGAGCGCGAGACGTACGCTCCCGCCTCGAGCACTAGCGCGGGTATCCAGCAGTCTGTAGCCGCAGCTGCCGCCAGCGTATCGAACGCACTCCCTACATCAACGGCCGAACTCCAGGCCCAGCTGGATGCAGCCAAGCAGCAGATCGCACGATTGACACAGCAGGCTAGTGAGGGTCTCCGCCAGCGAAAGCCAGACACCACAAGCGGTGCCAAGGGTCAGTCTGTGACGGCCACCCAGCAAACAGCTCCTGCGGGTGGTGTCTCCGTCCAGATCACAGCGCTGCTGTGTCTCGTGAGCTTCCTCATCGCCTACTTCTTGTTCTAAGCGTTTCTGCAATACCCGGAGTGGAATCAAAGCCATGCGACTGGCGCCAACGACGACCCCGGATCTCCGACGAAGCACGGATGTGGGGATCAGATGACGTATGCACGAGTTCAACGAGCGTTCAGACAAGTAGACAAGTAATGCGTGGATGGTGCGGTGGTTTCTCTATTTCTTGTGTTTCATTTCTGCTTCTCTGGCGGCTTTTTGGGTGTGATAAGAGCACGGGTAGGAGCGGCATGGCTCAGCGTGTATCGAATATTGCTGCGTGGAGGCATTCAATGTATCAACACCTTTGGAACCGTGACTCGCTTAATTGTGCCATATCTGCGTGCCACATGCGAATATTAGTCAAAAGTGACTAACACCCGCCGCAATTGTGGCCGGCCAACGCGCATCAAGCTTTAGAGGCAACATGGAAAAGGCATGGCAGCCGACGGGAAGCATGCCGAGTGTCTCTCAGCAACACTTGACAGCCCAGTGGGTGGAATTGATGTGCTCGCGTGGTGGGCGTCCACCAATGGCAATGCACGTGAAGGCTCAAATGCATTCGGAAGCACCCTCGCCCTCCCCGGAATGTCGCCCGCGCGTCATCGGCCACCGCCTTGGTAGGAGCGATAACGGGCTCCACTAGAATCGATGGATGGCTCTGCGGCTCTAGGGCGCATTCTGAGCCTGGACTAGTGGGGCACGCCCGTCTGGTCGCCGCTTGCCGTCGCCGGAGCCAAGGTCATTGTGACCGTGAAGTGACTCAAACGTTAGATTGCTCGGCATTGAAAACCAATCTCGTCTCTGGACTGACACTCCTCTCTCTCTCTACCTCCCCCTCATACAGTCAAGATGTGTGGTATTTTCGCGTGCTACAGGTATGTGACAGCGATGCAATGCCTCGAACTGCCCCTCCAAATCTTTCCTGCTAGATTGAACAAGACTGATTGTGCGCAGACATCCCGATGTCCAAAAGTTCAAGCCGACCGCCCTGAAAATGGGCAAGCAGTACGTATCTCCTCGCAGTCTGGCGGTGAGCTTATCTAACTGACCGTGTAGAATCCGACATCGGGGCCCGGATTGGAGTGAGCAACAAAACACCATGCGCGGGCGAGCACGATAACTGACAATCTGCAGGCGGCAACCACATTGCCAACGACACAAGTAAGCGCGCGGAAGCAATTGGCTGGTTGTTGAGTGCTAACCAGCGATAGTTCTCGTTCACGAGCGTCTCTCCATTGTCGGTGTTGGTATGCAGTCACACGATCTTGGAAGCTGGGTGAATACTTACACTGAGCAGACTCTGGCGCACAGCCGCTTGTCAACAAGGAGGGAACCGTTTCTCTGGCCGTTAACGGCGAGATCTACAACCACCGCATCCTGCGCAAGAGCCTGAAGACGCCCTACGAATTCAAGACACACTCGGATTGTGAGGTCATCATCCCACTGTACCTCGAACATGGCATCGATGCGCCCAGACACCTCGATGGTATGTTCTCGTGGGTTCTCCACGATAAGAAGAACGACCGACTCATCGCGGCCCGCGACCCCATTGGTGTCACCACATTCTACATCGGCAGGTCGAGCGAGACCCCCAACGCCGTGTACTTCGCTTCTGAGCTAAAGTGCCTACACCCTGTCTGCGACGACATCCAGGCCTTCCCCCCGGGCCATGTCTATGACTCCAACACCGACAAGCTGACGCGCTACTTCGACCCCAAGTGGCTCGTCGAGCCCACCAACATCCCCACCAACCCGCTTGACCTGAAGGAGCTTCGCAAGGCGCTGGAGCGATCAGTGCGCAAGCGCATGATGGCCGAGGTGCCATTCGGTGTGCTTCTGTCTGGTGGTCTTGACTCGAGTCTGGTTGCTGCGATTGCCCAGCGCGAGACTATGCGCCTTAACGAGGAGACAAGAAAGCGCGCCGCTGAACACAAGACAGCGACATCAGACCCTACTGAGCTTGTTGGCATCGACGCTGACGGTCAGCTCCAGACCGACTTGATCCTCGGTCAGCTCAACTCGTTCTCCATCGGTCTGCCCAACGCCCCCGATGCCATTGCCGCCCGCGAAGTGGCCGACTTCCTCGGCACAAAGCACCACACATTCACCTTCACCATCGAGGAGGGTCTGGACGCCCTCTCAGACGTCATCTTCCACCTCGAGACGTTTGACGTGACTACGATCCGCGCCTCGACGCCCATGTTCCTGCTGTCCCGCAAGATCAAGGCCATGGGCATCAAGATGGTGCTCTCGGGCGAGGGCTCCGACGAGATCTTCGGCGGCTACCTGTACTTCCACAACGCGCCCGACAAGGCGGCGTTCCACGAGGAGTGCGTGCGTCGCGTCAAGAACCTGCACTTGGCCGACTGCCTGCGCGCCAACAAGTCAACGTCGGCGTGGGGCGTCGAGGCGCGCGTGCCGTTCCTCGACCGCGAGTTCCTCGAGACATCGATGAACATCGACCCGGAGGAGAAGCTCATCACGTCGTCGCGCATCGAAAAGTACATTCTGCGCAAGGCCTTCGACACGTCGGACGAGCCCGACGCGCCGGCGTACCTGCCGGAGAAGATCCTGTGGCGCCAGAAGGAGCAGTTCTCCGACGGCGTGGGGTACGGGTGGATCGACGCGCTCAAGGACACGGCGGCGGCGCAGGTCTCGGACGAGCAGCTCGCCAACCCCAAGCCCGAGTGGGGCGCCGACGTGCCCGATACCAAGGAGGCGTACTGGTACCGCTGCATGTTCGACGAGCACTTCCCGCAGACGTGCGCGAGCACCGTCATGCGCTGGACCCCGACGTGGAGCAACCAGACGGATCCGTCTGGCCGGTGAGTTTTCCCTGTGTCTGTTGGGTGAAAGGGATGTCAGCTAACGAGTGTAGTGCCATTGGTGTCCACGAGCAGAAGTACAAGAACGCCGAGTAAGGTGTGTGGCGTGCGAGACTCGTCGGCTTCGCTCTACGACTGCGATGCGATGTCTTGGTCCGGGTGTTGGCGCTTACATATTGCTAGACGGCGCTTTTCGGATGGAGACAAATCTACTGGGCTATTACACGATATCACATGATAGAATAAAAGCAAGACTAGACCGACTTTATCTGTTGTGTGCTGTGGTGTTGAGCGGTGAGTTTCGTACACACCATGTCTGATAGCGAGGAGTCATGCTCATCCGAGCCTGGCCGAGAACACCGACATACTGTCACGCACTTCGTATTGAATAGTCGGGTATGAGTTGTGTATAAATACATTCAATGCGGACTATAGTGTAACACAACGTATATACAGTGCTGCAAACAACAAACCCTGGAGTCCACCTGACTGGGTATCGCCATGCGTCGTATCAAAGCAGACGCATACTTTTAGTGGCCGAGCCTGGCCACGCCCAAACGCCGCGACAAACAAGTAGGTAGCACCTACGCCTCCAGGGCGGACGAGGCCTCGCCGCTGCCAAACGCGCGGAATTGCACAAAGATGACGGCGTCCTCGACCATTGTGCCCAGCGAGCCAATCAGCCACGGCAGGTTGGTGATGAAGTACTCGCGCTCGGTGGAGTGGAACAAGATGCCGGCACCATAGGTGGCGTTGCCGAGCAGACTCAGCATGAAGAACAGCAGACTGAGTCCTTCGCACGAGCGCTCGCGCTGATTCTTGATGATCTGCGGGATGCGCGCGCCGAGGTAGCAGATGGCGCTGGCGTAGCCCAGGATCTCTGCGCCGAGGGCGATGGGAGCCGCGTCCTCGGTGTCGGTGGGCTGGGGCAGCCACACGCCGCTCTTCCAGGCGAGGGCCCAGCCGGCGGCGCCGACGGCCATGACGCCGAAGATGCTGAGAGCGTTCTTCATCCACTCGCTGGGCTCGTCCTCGACGTCGAGGATGGTGGGCAGCGACGAGGCGCGGCGGCGGCGCGAGGCCTGGCTGTCGCGGCGGTGCGAGCCCGGAAGCCCGACGTTGGAGCTGTCGCGGCGGCCGAGGAGGGGGGCTTCGACGGAGACGGCCGACTGCGTCGAGGTCTTGCGGGCGTTGCGGCGGGCGTTGATGGTGTTGTAGTACACGCACTGGGAGATGAGGATCTGGGGGGGTTAGCAGGCGCAATTGGGCGTCGTCGGGGCTTATCGCACCAGGTCTGCGACGCAGAAGTACATGGCCAGGGCAATGACGGTGGGCACAAGGCCGGCCCACAGCGCGCCGGCGAGGTTGGTGACATCGCCAATGAACCAGATGGCGAGGAAGACAAGCGAGATGCCGTCTGCGGAGCCGGACTTGTAGTTCTCAATCAATTGGGGGACCTGCGGTTGTCAGCGGTCGAACGGGCGGTCGCGTGAGCTGTAGCTGCAGGGCACACACCAGCAGGAAGATCCAGGCGCACAGGCTGATAGAGCCCCAGATGCCGCTGAGGGCCTCGCGCGTCGTCAGAGGGTGGCTGGCCACGGCGGCCATGGCAGAGGTCAACATGGTGTGCGGTGGAGGAGGATGGTCGTGCTCGTACGACGAGCTCGGTGGAGAACTGAGGTTCTGCTGCAGGGCTTGAAAAAGTGGTTGACCCCGGGCGGTATGACGCCAGTGGTGCCGGAACGGGTGCCTCAACGAGGGCTGATGCGCGCGATGAATAACAGGGATGGCCGCGGCGTGATTGGCCAGCACGACGCCGCATCCAGCAGCGCGGATTGGCCGGCGGGCAGATTGGCTGGCTGTCTGTTTGGAACACGCTGGTCACGGCGGAAACAGACGGGCGGCCGCGCTGAGACACGGCTGCACCGTCCCTGGCGGCTCCATGGCGGGCTGCGGAGGCTCCATGGCGGCGCGCGAGGCCTGCTGGCGGTGCGCTGCGAGTGTTGGGGGAAGAATTTTCGCAGTTGGCAGTTTTCGCACTGCCTGGACGCGTCTGCATGCAGGGCGTGCTGCGGCTTGCGCCGACGGGCAGGGTGTGATTGCGCTGGGCGCTGGGCCTGCGAGGTCCCGTGCCGCGCTATTTTGAGCGTCGCAGTGCCGGGCGCTGCTGGGTCAGGCCGGGCAGGCTCTGCTCCACCCAACACGGGCGTCTCTGTCATCTCCCCGGTGCTTCCGCAGCGCTCGCCGTGCCTCGCATTTCTGCCTCTCTCTTTTGTCTCTTCACCCGCCCTCGTTTGTCCCTTTGGCTCCCGCTGCCACCACCCGCACCACCCGCACCCCAACGCCCACCGCCGCAACCCGGCCGCCCGCGACGCGTCAGCCGCCTGACACGCCCACCGCCCTTCGCTCGACTGTCTTTGCTCGCCGCCTCTGTTCGCCGCCTTCGTTCCACGCCGCCGTAGTTGCACGCCCGCCCTCTGTCCGCCCCTGCCCGCCCCTGCCCGCCGCCGTCATGATGCGCCAGGCGTGGATCTTCGCGGCGCTGTTCGCCCTCTTCGCCATGGGCTCGGCCTTCAACCTCGACGCCCTGCACATGGACGGCATCAACGAGTACCTGCACTACAACGAGAAGCGCCAAGCCTCGGGCACCGGCAACACCCCGACCTCGACGCCAGCAGCATCCACCTCAGCAAGGCCCACCTCGTCGGCCGCGCCGCCGCCATCAAGCGCCGCACCCCCGACCAGCTCTGCAGCGCCGCCGCCCACCTCCAACACACCCGACCCCACGTCTGAGGCCCCCGCCGAGTCCTCGCAGGCGCCTGCCCCCAGCAGCAACAACAACGACAACACCCCCGACCCGACTCCCACCCCGTCCGCCTCCGCTGTGACGAGCGAGCCCACGGCCGCCGGATCTGCATCGCGCACGCCAGCCGCCTCGTCCTCCACCCCCCGGACCACCGCCATCGTCCGCACCACGCCCCTGGTCTCCACCTCCGTTCAGCTCTTCACCACTGTCATCAGCACCGTCGTCAACGGCCAGGCTTCTGAGATCACCTCGACCGGCTCCAGCACCCTCGTCTCCACCACTGGCCAGGCAACCGAGACCATTCCTCCCGAGGCCCAGAGCGCCAACAACGGCGACAGCGGCGGCCTGACCGACAACAACAAGAAGGTCATCGGCGGTGTTGTCGGTGGCGTCGGTGGCGCTCTGCTGCTTGGCGGCATTGCTCTCGTCTTCTGGCGCATGAAGAAGCGCCAGAGCCGTGTCACCGAGGACGACGACGACCTCATGGCCGGCACCGGCGCTGCTCTTGGAGACAAGACCGCCAACACCGGCTCCACGCCCTTCCAGTCGAACCTGGAGCAGTACCACAACCCCGGTGGTCGTCCCAACGCAGCTGCCAACTTTTAGTCGGCCCCAACTACGCACACTGCCAGCTCCTGCTGCGCTCACGACGACCACGACACCCTTTCTGAGCTTTGCGAGATCTTGGACTCGACCGGGATCCAAAGATGTATATACTGAGCCATTTACGACTCGATACTTCTGCTATAGGATACCCTGGATCGCCACGGTGCATTATAGGCGCGCTTCTTTCTTCTTTCCAGCACTCCAAAATTGGACCTTCATAGATGTCATTCATAGGTCGCAGAAAACCTGTAATAGTGTCACCTGACCCCATCACTTTACTGAATCCATTTCCTTGTCAGTCTTCTGTACGGCATTGTAATAGCATACCCAATCAAACTACTATATCATATTAAGCATAAATTATCAAGCAAGGATTAAGCGCCTTCGTTATTCCCACACTCAGCCAACGTCATTCGTTTCAAACAGACCGAGTCATCAGTCGTGGTCGTTCGCGATGCCCAATCCAGATTCGAGGGGGATGTCGCGTTTCAGTACTGTCGCAACCCATCCACATCGCCCCCCAACCCGGTGCAGACTGCAAACACTCGATCTGACAGTCCCTGTCCCGGGGCGCGGGCGGCAGATCGCTATGGTGCTACATATGGTCGCCACCCGTTCACACCATTACTAGCACACAACCACAACGCAACCACCCACCGTCCCGGCGACGACGCTCCCAACCGCCAGAATGCTCGGCCTCCCCCGCCCGCTGCTCGCCCTGCTCTACCTCGCTCTCACATCCGCCTCCGCCGCGCCCTCGCCCCCACTCATCACCACCGATTTTGCCATGTCGCTCGTCCCGCGCAACACGCTCTTCTACCGCCAGATGAAAGATCTGCAGTCCTTCGACGGCGCCCTGGCCGGCGTCCGCGCCTCGCCCATCATGAACTCGGGCATTCCCGACCGCCCGTTCCAGGTCGACGGCAACAACTTCCCGGACTTTGCGTCCGCGGCCCAGAGGAGTTGCGATGAGCAGTTCCAGGGGTGTCAGCTGGCGGCGAACCAGGGCGGAAATGGCAATGGGAACGGAAACGGAAATGGAAATGGGAATGACAACGGTAATGGAAACGGCAACGGCAACGGCAATGACGAGAGAGATTCAAAAGGCAAAGGCAAGGGGAAAAAGGCGCGCGACGATGGGCCGGGCGGCGGACCTGACAACAAGTCTAACAACGGGCCTCGCAGCCCCGGCCCTGACGGCGGCTTGACAGTGAGCATGTGCGAGCAGCAGCGAGGTAAGACTTCTTGAATGGGCGGGAGGAGCGTGTCGGATGCGAAGCTGACGAATCCCAGACCAGTGCAAGCAGACGCAGCAGCAGGCGCAGGTGCAGGACTTCCAGTCGCCTGTCGCGAGCACAAACATCGGGCCCGATCCGCTGTTCCCGGATTTCGATCTCATCTGCGAGGGATGAGGGTGAGGTACTTGCAGACTTGTGGGGGAGGTGCTGGGGCCGTAATGATCCAGACTGGACGCGAGGGTAATACACCGGTCTAGAAGGCCACGTCCTGTAATGCGAAGACGTGGATGATCCGGGGCAGTAGAGTAGTCGTAATACGCAGCCGCAGCTCGGCTCAGGAATCGATGTCGTGCGGTGTTCCAGATGCATGCCTCTCTTGCCAGTGACACGCGGTCAACATCTCCAAGCTGAAGCTCTACCAAGACTCTGTCCACATCGCAATAAAGCCCATCGCGCCTCGCTCTAGCGTCTCCACGCCTCACTCCCCGCACCACTCCACCATGCTCAGAATTGCCTCCTCGCCCACCCCCGCCCCCGCGCCCTCCTCCCCACTCACAGCCAGCAACTGCCGCCGATTCGCCTCCCACGCCACCCACGCCGCCGCCTGCAAAAAGCAGTCCGTAACATCATCCAGCTTCGTGATCTCCGCCGCCGAAGGCACGTCACCGGCGCTCTCTGCGCCCTTGGGAGCTTTCTTGCGCCGCACGGCCTTGCCCTTGGGCAGCAGCGCGGCGAGCGTCGAGGCCGCGCCGGCGTCGATGGTGAAGGAGATGCGCGGCATGGAGTGCGGGGTGGAGGGGCGCGTGGACATGGGGTCGTGGGCGAGCCAGGAGCGGAGGATTGCGATTTTTGCGCTCTTTTCGGCTTTGCTGCGGCTTGGTTGCTTCGGGGGCGTGGCGGGGGGAAGGTCTGGATCTGGATCTGAATCTGGGGCGAGGTCGTGAGCTTGCACGGCGTCGTGCGCGAGCACGGCGCGGGCTTGCTGGCCCAGCCAGTACTGGCCGACGCGCTTGGGGTCGACGGCATGGACGAGGTATGCGTGGTGGGCGATCGGGGCGGCTTGGTCGCGGTGGGGTGCGCGGCTCTGCTTCAGCGTCTCCAGGACAGCCCACAGCATGGCTTCGAGCGTGTTGACGCGCAGGGTCCATTGCTGGACGGCGCTGCCGCCGCCGGAACGCCAGCGCTGCTTCTCGATGAGTATGATGTCCGGGCTGGCGCTGAGGACCTCCTTGGTGATTAAGTGGAATGCCGTTTTGGAGAGGACCGAGGGGGAGAATGCGTCCAGATCGGCGTCTAAGGCATCTGCAGCTTCCTGGAGTTCTTGTGGGGGACCGCCGCCATTGGAGTATGTGCTGTTCATGAGATCGAGTTTCTTCCAGCGTAGAACGTTCATATGAGTGTCAAAGCCCTGCCTCTTGCCAGTTCCCAGCGCTGCGTGGGAGATCTCGGCATCGCAGAATGCTAGGTTTTTTATTCCCATGTCTATGCTCATGATTCGGAGTTTTTGGCCTGGATCCCCCGGCTGATGCTTACCCGGCCCAAGTTGAACATGAGGAAATCCTGGACGTAAAACATCGCGTTGGAAGCGCGCAAAGAGCGTGTTTTTCGTTCCAGAAGACGCAGAGCCGATGCGCGTGAGAAGGGATTGCAGGGTCTTTGATGTAACTGCGAGCTTCTTGGGCGCCATTGTTTGGGAGGACAAGTCTTTGGTGTTTATACGATCAGCCAGTATGGCTGTTAGGGGCGTGAGGTTGATACGTGTGATGTGCCGCTGTGGCGTGAAAAGTGGACGTCGATAACAGAGTTATGGAGCCAAAGTCACACATCACGAACAAATTTTATCAATCACGACTTGTAGTTTCAGGGGAGCATCAACTCCATCGTGTAATAGGCTTGACGCGCAGCATCGTGGTTGTTTAGTGACAGATGGGTGGTGAAAATGAGCGAACAGCACTAGCGCGTCGCGTGGTCACGTCTTCTGATTAAGCGGAAAACCCGCGACACCATCTGCCAAATCCTAGGCTTGTCACTATGTCGAATGTAGTCTTTATATTTCCAAAGATCCAGCATAGTAATTGCTACATATATACACAAACACCGCCTGCGCCGTGGCTTTTCCATGAACAGACAGAACGAAGAGCTTAGTCGGAGAGCTCATTTGCACGAGTGATTTCTTCTCTCGACTCCGCTGCCTGTGCAGCAAGCAAGTTTAGAGCGCTGCCCGCAAGCACGAACGCACTCTGGTCCTTGGTGAGGGTATGCTTGGTCTTGACGACAACCTCCTTGCCATCCTTCTTCTTGACAATAAGCTCGATCTCGCCCTTCCCGCCATTCTGTAGCGTCTCCAACAGTCCTCTTGTAGAGACCTCGTCACAGGCATCAATCAGGTCGTAGTCGGACTCGTTAGCAAATGTCAACGGTACCATACCCTGCTTCTTCAGGTTGGTTTCGTGGATGCGTGCAAAAGACTTGGTAAGGATGATGCGGCCGCCGAGGTACCGGGGTTGCAGAGCAGCGTGCTCACGGGCAGAACCCTCGCCGTAGTTGTGCTCAGCGACAACAAGCCACTCGGTACCCTGCTCCTTCCAGCGCTTGGCAAGCTCAGGGATCGAGGTCTTGGAGCCGTCGTTGTCGTAGGCAACATTGACTTCGTCAGTCTCGGCGTTGACAGCACCAATCAAGGTGTTCTCAGAAATGTTGGGCAGATGTCCCTTGTACTTGAGCCACGGACCGGCAGCAGAGATGGTATCTGTGGTGCATTGGCCCTTGACTTTGTAAAGCACTTTCAGTCCCTTTAGATCAGACGTGGGGAAAGGCGAGAAGGGCTCGAGGAGGGCCAGTCGCGAAGATGTAGGGCTGACCTGGACTTCGACACTGGAATCAGGAACGCCTGGTGTGGGAAGGAACTCAGCCCTGCCTTCCTCGAATCCTGCTCCTGGCAGATCCACACCCTGAGGTGGCTGGAATCTGAACTCCTCGCCAGATGGTGTTTTGATGCTGTCAGTCATGGGGTTGAAGGTGGTGGATCCAGAGTAGGCCATGGCGGTGATGAGCTCGGGAGAGGCAAGGAAGTTCATCGTAGCGCGGTTGCCATCGTTGCGGCCTGGGAAGTTACGGTTGTACGATGTGAAGATAGCGTTGGACTCGCCCTTCTTGACCTCATCGGTCCTGGTCCACTGCCCTGTAGATCGTTAGTATGACTGCAACAGAGAGATGCACGGGATGTCAAACCAATGCAAGGTCCGCAAGCGTTGGCGAGAACAGTACCGCCAGCAGTCTCAAAGGTCTTGATGGTGTCGTCCCTCTCAAGAGTGGCTCTGATCTGTTCGCTGCCTGGCGTGATGAAGAAGTTGGCCTTTGGCTTCAAGCCAGCAGCGGCCGCCTGCTTGACAATATGCTCTGAGCGCTGCATGTCCTGGTACGAGCTGTTTGTACAGCTACCAATCAGGCCAGCACCGAATGTCTGCGGCCATCCCTTCTCCTCGACAACAGACTTGAACTTGGAAAGAGGTGTAGAGAGGTCGGGTGTAAAGGGACCGTTAATGTGAGGCTCGAGAGTGGAGAGGTTGATCTCGATGACCTTGTCGTAGGCGGCTTCGGGATCAGCTTGCAGGAGATTGCGCTCCATCGGCGACTGAGCAATCTTCTGTGCAGCTTCGGCGATCGATCCGCGGTTTGTTGCATGGAGGTAGGGAATGTGAGCCTGCGAGAAGGGGAACAAGGAAGTCGTGGCGCCAACTTCAGCACTATATCAAAGTCAGTACTCAAAACGTGTGATTCGGATCGTGAGACAGGAAGCTCACCCCATGTTACAGATCTACCAGCGTGTTAGTTTGTTGAATCATAAAATCTTGGATGATCTTACCGTAGCCATGCCAGTGGCACTCAAGGACTTGATGCCTTCTCCAAAGTACTCGATAATGTAGCCAGTGCCACCCTGTTAACTGTTAGTATGAATACTCTCGGCACTTGCTAGAGACACTTACGCGGACGGTAAGCTGCCCAGCCAAGTTCAAGATGACGTCCTTGGGTGATGCCCATCCACTCAGTTCACCTGTGAGCTTGACACCGAGAACCTTGGGGGCCTTCAGCTCCCACGGTGCGTCGACAAGAGCATCGACAGCGTCAGCACCACCGACACCAATAACAATAGCGCCGAGCCCGCCAGCATTGACCGAGTGGCTGTCTGTTCCAAGCATCATGAGGCCAGGCTACAGGCTGTCAGCGCAATGATTCCAATGGCTTCCAAAGGCATCAACTCACAGCCGAATAGTTCTCTAAGACAGACTGGTGGATGATACCAGCACCAGGTGGCCAGAACTCGATACCATACTTCTTCGCCGCACTCTCCAGAAAGTCGAAGATCTCCGAGTTGTTCGCGATCGACTTGGGCAGATCCGCATCTGCACCAGTCTCACCCACGATGAGATGGTCACAGTGAATACTGGCGGGTACTGCTGTAGCCGGCAGTCCACAGCTCATGAACTGCAAAAGCGCCATCTGCGCGCTAGCATCCTGCATGGCCACGCGATCCGGCTTGAGCTTCAAGTTGGCTTGTCCACGAATATCCCTTCCATTGTTCGTGTTGGTCAGGAGTGATTCCTCGGGAGAATCCAAATGCGAGTACAAGATCTTCTCGGCGAGGGTGAGCTGGCGCGAGGAACCGAGGACGCGGCGGACTTCACTAAGACGGCCAAGAAGCTTCTTGTACGGGGGTGTTCGCGAGGCAATGTCGACGTTGCGGGCATTTGGTATGGAGGTAGAGGTAGCGAGGCATCGTGCCTGGGTGGGGAGACGAGAGGTGAGGAGGTGAGGCTGTCCAAGTCAGTCTCCACTACTACATCATGACCTATCGTGAACGGTGGCGCCAGTGTCCAATTCAAAGTTCTTTCAACACTCAATTGCGCGGGCAATTCACTCACCCTGCAGCCAACAGCCTGGCCAGCTCTCAATATTTGTGACCGCATCTTGTGGTGGTTGTCTGTGGCGTTGGCGCAGCACCAGAGTCAGAAACGCATTGGACACAAAAATGTCCAAGTCCTTGACTTTCGGCAGTCGCGTGCTGGGGCCGGTATCGCTCTGGGGGCCCTTGTCAATCTTTCTAGCCAACCACACACGGCTTGGAAGTCAGCGAACAGCACCTCTATCAAATGCAACACCGCCATGTTGTGCTTTCCAGGGCTTTTGCTTTTTTTTCCAACCTCTAGCGGAGGCGTTCAGGCAATCTTAGATGAGTCTGGATCGTGACACAGGGAACATTTCATCTTCAAATTTTGTATTGGCTGCCGAATTGCAGCTGCGCAATGGTATAAACGACTGTACTAAACAGCTGCACCAGCCTACTCATTGGTGAGACTATCCCATGCCAGATCCGAAACCAGAAATACAAGACCGCACTTGCACCGTTTGGCGGCACATTCAGATGAAGAACCTGAGATCTATACACATCGGCGAGATGCTTGAAGTTGCAAAAACACTTACAGGCCTGGTGGCGGGGGCACTGCGCCATAGCCAGCACCTGGCGACCCAGCCGGTGGTGGAGGTGGAGGTGGAGCTCCATAGCCTGCGGGCTCTGCGGGTGGTGGCGGCGGTGCTGCAGCCCCAACGCCAGGTGCGGGAGAGTGTGTCTGCCCTGTGTAACCTTGACCGTAGTACTGTCCGTAGCCACCCTGTTGGTACTGCGCCATTACTGCTGTAAAGCCCCCATAGGCAGCATAAGGGTCTTCGGCTGGGTTGGCAGCATAGTAAGCGGCCCATTGGGCATACTGAGCGGTGTAGTCAGCGGCATGAGCGTTCGGATCTGTGGCACCAACAGGCGTGGCAGGAGTGTCAGCAGCACCGTTGTGTGCACCGTAACCGCCGCCATAAGCACTTCCACCTCCGTATCCGTAGCTGTGACTTCGATCGCGATCACCACGGTCACCGCGATCGCCGCGGTCGCCGCGGTCGCCATAACCTCGTCCGCCGCCGCCGCCGCCACCACCATAGCTGTCCCTATCACCGTATCGATTCGGTGGCGGGCGCTCCTTAAATGCTTGATAATCGGCCTTCACCTTCTCCAGCAGCTCGGTGCACAGCTCCTTGGCCTTGGCTACGCCTTCTGGTCGAGGGCCACTAGGACGGGTTAGGACGTCTGAATAGCGTCGTTGGGATATCAAGCACTTACGCAATGTGAAGGTACATGGGCTCTTCAGCTTCCTGGCCGGATTGAGGCTCCATGAAACCTGAGTTGCGACCCTTGATCTGGACCTTACAACTTGTTTCCTGTTGAATGTACTTGACATTGTCACCTCCACGGCCAACAACCTGTGCTCGCAAGTTAAAACCACTGATGGGCTCCAAGCCCACAAAGAGCTTCTCCTCGGGCCATTTGCGCTAGACGTGCATGTTAGCGAGGCGATTTAGATGTGCAAGTCGGTAACACATACGCGACCAAACTCGTCGCGCTCAAAGTTCTCAGGCTCACGGCGACGGAAGCGACGTTCATCAACCAAGTTAGGTAGTTCCTGTGTCAGCATCTCCTCAATCATCTTGACAGCTTGGTCGAGTCCCTCTTTGGATGTACTAGTCACACGGAGGTAGAGAGGAGGGTTCTGGTGGCTATTAGTCGGTCTCTTCTGAAAGACATGCGTCAGCTTACAGCAGCAGTAGCCATGCTCTTGTCCGGGTAGTATTCTCCTCGAGTAGTGACATCTTGAGCAAGTATAAGCAAAGTGTTCTAGCGAAGTCAGACTCATGTGTTCGGGATTGCGTACCGGCGCCAGTCTCGTCTTTGATCTAGTGTCACATCAAGGTCAGCATATGATAAATGGGTGCGGGGCTAGAAGATCAAGTAAGCTCCAGATCTCCGCGAGGAGAAATGCGCAAACAGCGTGCACGACTCGAGGCTCACGACGCTGTCGTGTGCAGCAGCGCCGCAGCGGCCTCGAGAAGACATGGATCCTAAACGATCAGTGAATGACAGAAGTAATTTACCCTTTTTTGTACAGGTCCCTTGGTCAAGGTGTAGCGATTTCTAAGATCGTTGATTTCAATGTCCTTGATGTAGTCACCGTCCTGCTGGTAGACCTCGCTGGAGACAGGCTCATTCGGCTTGGTGGACGGCGACTGGACGACTGGAGGAGTGGGCGCCTGCAGAGACGGTTAGTGAGCGGCGGCCAAGAATGCGACAACAGCACGCACAGAGCGAATGGGCGGCACATCGACATGCTGGATGCCTTTCTTCGCCTGGATCTGCGCGTTGATCCTCGCAGCCGCCGCCGCCGCCGCCGCGGCCTTGTTCTTTGTGCCAGCGTTTGACGGGCTGTCCGTGGCCTCACGAGTCACCGGGCTGCGTTCACGATGCGCCTCGGACTCTCTGCGCGACGGCGATCTCGAGCGGCGGCCTGTGTCGAAACGCGAGCGTGTTGGGCGTTCAGGCTCGTCGCTGTCGAAGCGCGATCGCGAGGGACGTTCGTCGGACATGTTTGCGCGCGGGGTGGGTGGGAATTGGTGTCGCGGCGACGTGACGGCGAGCGGCCTGGCCGCAAAAGCGTGACGGCCATCTAGCGCGCTTTCAGCTTTGCGGTTGCAGCTGCGTCCGTGCACTGGCCGCTTGCGCGCGCAGCACGTCCCCATCGCGGCTGGCCGAGGTCGGAGGCGCATCTGAAATTCGGCACTCTGGGGAAGCTCGCGCCCAGTCACCGCCGCCAACCACGCCCACCACGCCATCCACCCTCGCTCCACGCTCGCAGTCACCGCCGCCGCTCAATTGCCACGATCCAGGCTAATTGACATCTGATGGCAACCCCGCGGGCTCTGCTGCCCCTGCGCAGCCTGCTCGGCCGCCCATGCGCCGCGGCTCTGCGCCAGCAAACAAGGGCGTCCAGCTCCAACTCGTCGTCCACGCAGGCGCTGGCGTACAAGGCCCTGCACCGCCGCATCGCGCCGCTCCCGACCGAGGACCGTCCCCCGGCCTGGTCTGCCCCGGCTGCCGTCAGTAGCATCCTCTACGAGACGCCTCTGCCCTCGCAGAAGCCGCACAAGAAGCACATCCTCAACTGCTTGGTGCAGAACGAGCCGGGTGTGCTCTCCCGCGTCTCTGGCATCTTGGCCGCCCGCGGCTTCAACATCGACAGTCTCGTCGTCTGCAACACCGAGGTCGACGACCTTTCTCGCATGACCATTGTCCTGCAGGGGCAGGAGGGTGTCGTCGAACAGGCCCGCCGCCAGCTCGAAGACCTGGTCCCTGTCTGGGCCGTGCTCGACTACACAGAATCTCCACTGGTCCAGCGCGAATTGCTCCTTGCCAAGATCTCTATCCTGGGCCCCGAGTACTTCGAGGAGCTCCTTGCTCACCACCGTGACATGGCACACAACCCCGAACTCGAGAACTTCAATCCGGATGAGTTGACCGAAGAGGAGCGCCAGGCTCTCGCAGAGGAGGCAGCTCGGGACTCTCTGAGGAAAGACTACCATCCCAGCAACCTCGCCGTCAGTCAAGCGCTCCGTCACAAGCATGAGCACTTGCGCGCTATCACCTTCATGACCCACCAGTTCAAGGGCAAGGTTCTGGACATCAGCACCAACAATTGCATCGTTGAGCTTTCTGCGAAATCAGATAGGATCGACTCGTTCATGAAGCTTATTGCTCCATTTGGTATCCTGGAGTCTGCACGGACCGGTGAGTACAACCTTACATATACTGCAAAAGTGCAAGCTGACGTTGCCCAGGTCTCATGGCCCTTCCTCGTTCGCCCATTCACAGCTCCGAGGACGTCGGTGAGAAGGAGGCTGAGGACATTGTCGACACAAGCTTATTGCCTCCCGGCTAAATGCGAGTAAATCTGCTGAGTCCAAGTGGGTGCAAACTTCTGCCGTTATGAAGATGTCTCCATCTTTGCGTGTAATCTAGTCAGGGTATGGTTGGCGGAGAGGCATCATAAATTGAATGTTCTCAACGGACAGAGACGGCGAGCGGGTCAATGGAATGGTTCGTTGTTTGCATGCGTTCCGGCACTTGTGTCGGCTTTCGTTACGAGATCTGTACAATATGTACCACCTTCGCGTGGCTTTCAGGGCTCGAGTCATGTTCAATTAGAGTCGGAACAGCACTTATACATGCTTCTGAAGCCGTACCCATACGTTTAAAGCACATGTTTGCTCCCGCGTCCAATGGGCAAGCTTGAGACCAGTCTTGCACCAAGTCCACTTGGTGCTCTGTCAGTGATAACTGATAGTTCAAGTACGAGGTCAAGGTTAAGGTTAGCAAGCCCGTCAAAGCTGTCTCCACCTCATCATGCGGATGTCAGCACGCGACTATGGAATAAGATCACCAATACCTGTAAGCTGAGATCTGTTGAAACTACAGTGAAGAAACAGCCAATCAAATCGAACGAGTGACGCCTCTTGAATCCTTCAGTCTTTAGGATCGGGTGCCCACATATGCACCACATCGCTGCGCTTTGTGACCGAACCATTGCATCCAGCAGATGGGTCGCAGGTGCCCACAGTTCCTTCCGGTCTAGTTTTGTTTTTCCGCGGGCGAAAATGTTGAGTCAAGCACATTTAACGATCAAGTCGAAAGCTTCCTCGTCTTGGCTTGTCAAGTGCAGGTGTGAATTGCTATTGGTGCACTCCCATTACAACTATGATTCAAAGCAGAATCTGACTACATGTTAGGCCGTTTGACAGGACAATGCATCGCCCATGTCTTCCCGCCATAGGGTCTACTTTACGGCAAGTGACGAAATGAAAACTGGTAACTCAATTCTGAGAAGCAGGATCTAGCGGGTCCGCGCGAAGTCTCTACACGAGCTCAGCAGAAACGACCACAACCACCGCGTCTGGCTCCTGTCCTGTCAAGCCATGTGACGCTTCAGGACCTACAACATTTACTCAATACCATAGCCGGTGGTCTAGTTCCGTATCATGACCCACTGGCCGGCCCCGTTCCCCGGTCCGCGACCCTGAAGTTTTCATTGGGGAACTCCATGCAGCGTCCCCATCGCGGGTGGTCGATACGAGGACGCAGTTGCAATGCCTCCACATGGACGACTCGAATCGCAACGCAAGAGGGTGCCGGTCACGGCTTTACGGCAACTTATCATCTTACCATTGATGCCGCTCCTGCCTGATCTAGAATACAGGGACATCCCGCTCTGTCGCAGGCTTAGGTAGGTATACGAGTCTTCACATGTCGGTATGCCGACCGGATGTTTACCGAACGAGCCCCAATGCGGACGGCTACTTACTGGAGTGGATCCTGTCTACTCACTGATTCGTTTCGCCAGTCATTTTGAACGCGCCTACCCTGAGTACTGACGATGTCTGTGCCACGCGGATGTAAGGCGTTGAAAGATTTTTTTTACACAGCTGAAGACCCTGGTACCCGTTGTTGGTGGCTGCATCCAGCGTCAATTTTAATCCTTCTCGAACTTCGAAACGTGCTTCGTGAGGGAACCCAAGTTAGCGCGCCGGCCGTCCTTGCTAGCTAGTGACGGAAACCTGCAATTGAACCTGACGTCTAGCAGGGATACGTTGCGATCCACGAACGACAGAAGCTAGACTGCAACGACTGGCGTCACCCTCGTCACAGTTCGCCCGTCGCCCGTCGCTTGTGGTCATAACAAGAGGCGTTTCTGTGCCGTGCTGTTCACTTTCACCAGTCTTATCTCCTGCGTGCCTGCCACTGGAGCTACGATAGCCGTTCGCGATCACTGCACGCGCTTTCGGAGAAAAAGCCTTGGCTCACCACCACCAATCTCCAGTCGTACCGGTCGGTGAGTATTCCGCAACATTCCATTTCTAGCAATCAGCGGCCGGCTCATTGCGGTGGTTCATTACCTGCTACGGTACGAATGCAATTGAGCCAGCCAATTCATATCTCGCAAGCCGAGCCCCGTTATCTGACATTGGCGCTACAGATCTTCCGCTCCATTCACTCGTGTAACATAGCACAAAGACCTGTGAACCCCTCAATTGGAGTCGCGACACATAGACTGCTCCATCCTTACTTCAGTTAAGGTCATGAAATACGGCGATACTTTGCGCCAAAGGAGCATCCCTGAGTGGGGCCATTGTGAGTGACGTCGTTGCTTGACGCACCTCGGTTTGCACCACTGACAACATTGCGCGCGCAGTCAACATCGACTATGACTATCTCAAAGACCTAATCAAGCACCAGACGACTTCTGGCACGAACAAAGCCGTGTCGATACCCGGCCAGGGCACAGGCAGCACCGAGAAAGCCTTCGGCGAGACGTTTCTTCGAGTACTACAAACACAGCACGACCGCATAAACCTATTCGTTCGAAGTAAGAGTGGCGAGATCGAACGCCGATTGGACCACATTAGCAAAAGTCTAGAACAACTCAGCTTCAAGAGGTCGCCGGAGGTCCGCCTGCCAGCCCGGACGGTCGAGAGATACGCAAAGATAGACGCAGATGTCGCAAAGTATGCACAGCACACAAGATGGCGTTGAACCTATGGTACTAACTTGCTACAGGACTGCCGAGGAGATTCGTTCGCTGTCACGCTTCATAGTCGTTCAGCGAACAGGATTCGCCAAAATCCTTAAGAAATACAAGCGCTGGACGAAGGACAGGGAGCTTTCGTATACGTTCAGAGACGAGATCAGCAGCCGTCCGGACAGCCTCTTCCAGCTGGACCTAGGCTATCTTCTCGATCAATACATTGATGTTCTTGGCGCCCTTCGCTCAGTATTTGATGGAAACAATGCAACGACGACCCTCGTCAAGGGTTCTGACGCGCAGCTACCAGCTGCGCGCATATCAAAAGCCCTTGAGCATGACGATCAATTAGATTTCGACCTAGCACTATCTACTGTTCCTCTCGGAACCAACGGTCACAAAGCTACATACTGGGTTCATCCTGATCATGTTGTCGAGGTTCAGGTCCTACTACTCCAGTATATGCGACTCCATACCAAGAGCACCAAATCGACATCACGAAGGCCCTCTGCCAATGCAACACCCCGCCGTCGTCAGTCCTCGAGCGGAAACACTGATCGCTACTTTGGGAACGAAGACCAGATTGGTCTCCAAGTCTTAGATTATGCGGAAGCCTTCGCCGTCAAGCAGAACGCCAGTACGATTGGCTCAAGCGAAGAGGCCAAGGGAAATGTCGGAATCAAGGCGGCTGCTAACGTCCGTTTTTCCGCAGCTGCTGAGGCAGCTATCGTGGTCTGTACAGCGATTGATCCTCGCACACAGTCAGCTGGAGATCTGAAGATCGCGAAACTGAAGCGCAGATTCACAGAGGCTTTCATAAATACTTCAAAGACATTGCCCGACAAGCAAAATATCCGCTTCGTAGACCGCACAGGATCTTTCTATGATGGCGAAGAAGAAACTCAGACCATCCGACAGTGGTTGACAGAGCACAAGGAAATCACTCCTATTGCTGGGATAGGTGCAAAACGCACAAGATTTGCTGGACTACACAATAACTTGTCAGGCGGGATGTGGGCAACTTTGGATCGCGAAATCTTCATGAAGGAGTCTTTGGTGAAGGACCTCGCGAACGATGACTGGGCGCAGACAGCAGTCCTAGGTTCGAGCGCTTTCCCTCATGCTATTTTGGAAGTTCGCCGCGAAGGCAACCACGCTGCAACTTTGATCCAGACACTTGATCGAAGCCATCTTGTAAGTCACATCGTCAGATCAGCATGCAACTCAGCCCCACTAACGTGCAAAGGTTGAGCGTGTTCGTGGTTTCTCGATTGAGGCTCATGCTGTCTGGAGCTGCTGCAAGCCCAGCTCCATGTCCGCCCCGCACTGGATCTCCCTCCTCGACAAAGACATACGTAAGCTGCCAGCACTAGTCAAGAGGCGTAGTCGCAAGAGCAGGGGGAGTGTAAGCGGCTCCAACACACAGTCTTCGCCACCGATGACCTCGACATCCAATACCTCATTCGACGGTCAGTTAAGTCCTGCAACTCTGCGCAACGGCGAGTCTTCTGCAACATCGGCACAGGAGTTCGTAGACCCTCCGTCACTACAGGCTTTCAGGAAGAAGACTCGCAGATCAGCGGCAGACTCCACCCCGGCCGTACAAGAAGAGCCAGAAACTCAACGCTATTGGAATGAGTACGACCATCCTGAAGACGAGGACGATGCCTACTACATCTACGTCGACCCAAACGCATCCGTCAAGTTTCCCGGGCAAGAGACGCTCGAAGCCTGGTCCAGGAAGACCAGACAAATCTTTGGTATGCGACTCCAAGCTGAAGAACAATCACTTCTGTCAGGTGTGGAAGACGGCACAACAGATGACGAAGATTCTGGAAGCGAAAGCCCGCTCGGCTGGAATCCTCGAACCAATTACGGGACCCTCTCTTCACAAAACGGCAGTGCCTACGAAGGCTACTTCAGCACCCTCTTTCGCGGCAGGGTGAACCCTCATCACGACGCAGAGGCTCTGCAAGACCGCAGATCTCTGATCAGTGAATTACAAGTCCGTGATCACGAGCGCGAGAAGACCAAGTTTCGTTTTTATTCAACGTGCTTGGCTGCTGCATTTGCTATTGACTTTATCCTTGGTCTTATGACAATGACGAGTCGTAAGAAGGAGAGAGGTGCTGTCGATGCTGGCGTCCTCTTTGGTGCCGTATGTACACTGGTGCTGTGCACTGTTGCTCTCATCAGCATGAAAACTAGGAGGCAAAAGCTCGGCTGGGTTCACCAGGGTGTTGTGTTGAGTATTGTACTTGCCCTTTTAGGGCTGGATGTTTTGTTGCTACTGTGGGTCTTGAGGATTTGAAGAGGTGGATGATTCGAGAAGCGGAAGATGGACAGTGTGGCGGATATCAGGAATCGGTGTGAGGTGTTGGTATTAGTTCGTCTAGTCTTACAGCGAGCGTGATTGGCGCTCCGGAGCGATCGTTTGGCAACAAGTTAGATATCCTTGCATTTGGGTTCGATTTGGATTGGGATGGGTTCGGATTGGGTGCTGGTTGAGAGAATGGCGCGGGTATAGGCGCGGGCGCACACACATAGTACTAATATGCAAACATAACAAACGTGAAAAAGCTCGGGTCGATGCGGTGATATCTCGTGATTGGTTGGCAACTCTTTTTCTGTAGGAAGTTAGCATCAAGGACCTGTGCGAGTCTTCCCTATGACTTTTTCGTCCGTGTATGATCCGGCACAATGGAGATGGGAAAGAAGCCCAAGAAGCCGGGTTCAGAATGTGATTGTCATTGACAATCATCTGGATTGGGGCGTGCAAACGACATGCGTGGAAGCTTAACTCTAGTCCCACGTCTTGAGCACACTTCCCAAAACATCAGCGCTGCTCTGGTATGCTGAATCCTTCCTCACGGAAAGACATTCTCAAGCTTCTCTAGATTTCTACAGTATTCAATTAATGTGGCTGATGGCTGAAATACCTCTACTCCTTGATCCGCCCATCCCTTACCATTTCCCTGATCGTGTCAATACTCTTCTCCACCGCCATCTTCGCCATCCCCTTCAGCCTCTTCACCTCCTTCTCCTGCTCCTCACTCCCCGCCTTCACTTCTGGCAGACTGAACTCAAACATATACGTCATGTGCAGATCAGTCTCCTCGCCCGACGGCCCATCAGAAACGACATTGCGAATATGCGTTCCATCCTCCTGCTCGAAGTCGACCTGCACACTACAGTTAGCACTGTTTACCACAGAGTCAAGAAAGCGAACAACAATGAACAAGAGCAAGAAAGATCAAGCTTACCCAACTCGGCCAGAACTCCCGCACCGTCTCCCTGGCTTGTGGCCTCGTCCCCTGACCGTCCTTGAATCTAACATCGCGCACCACGGTCCCGTCCGCGTGCTCCTCGACCACGTCGCACGATTCAATCACCGGCACGAACTCCTGCGCGAAACGCACTTTGCGCCGCAGACCCGCCCAGATCTGGGGCAGGCGGAGGACGGGCGAGGCGCCGGAGGCGTTGATGGGAGAGGTGTAGGAGATATAGACGGTTGTCATTTTGGAGTCTATGTAGGATGGTGCAGAGGGTAGCAGCGGGATGGTATTGAGAACGGGGTGGCGAGAGTGGTTGGCTTTGTTGACGTCAGAACTTCAGTGACTTGATGGATGAGTTGATTGATATGAGAATTGGTTCGTAGTCTGACGAGCATCACTTATATACGTGTACAGGCAGCGCTGCAAGTTGACGGGTTGCCGGTTTACCGATCTGTTGCGGGACATCACCAGCCGGTGATGTTGGGGGTTGCTGGTTTCGGCTCCGCCTTGTCCGCCAGGTTAGTCCGTTGAGCATGGATCTCGGCTTACTGCTTGTGTAAGACTGCTTACATAGAACACAACACAAGACAGTCCGAGAAACCGACTGCTTACATAGAGCACAACACAAGACAGTCCGAGAGACCGAGGCATGTCACGAGTGTGAGCGTTACAGGCACTGAATGGGTGGATGGAGTGTCGGTTCAAATTGTATTTAGGGCTTGTTTGTCACAATATGACGATTGGTCAGACAGGTAAGTATGTAACATGGCGGGCATGAATGTCATTTTGGTATCATTTCACAAGCCTTTCGCTGTCTAATATAGCAGCTATTCAGCAACCCGCCGGAACGCCATGCTTTTGGTATGCATCATAGTCCTTTAGTCCTCCCAAGATGTACTCGCATCTAGTTGTCCTCAACGACCTGGGTGTGGAGACCCTTGGGGTTCTTGACGTTGACAGCCTGGACGTAGGAGTAGAGCTTCTCCTTGGCGCCGTCCTCATCGTTACGCTTACGCGAGATGCGGACACGGAGGCGGTAAGGAACGCCCTTGATGCCGGCCTCCCAAACCTTCTTGTTCAACTGGGGGTCGAGGCGGACGTCAGAGGTGCCCTGGCGTGATGTTAGCATGGTTTTTCGTTTCCTTTTTTCGAGGTTTGCAGCGGTTGTGCGTAGTGGACGCGCCGCAGTGCCTCTGTGTTCTACGTACCATGGCCTTCTCAGCGAAAGCACGGATCTCCTTGATGGCGCGGGGAGCCCTCTTCTTGAAGGAAACGCCGTGGACCTGTATGCCATATCAGCCTTATGTTCTCCTTCAGTCTTCCGCCCGATGCCCGCACAGCCGGACAGACACTCGAGCCAGCGTGATCGGTCTGGTTGAGTGCCCGCCCAGCCGTGACAAGCCATTGATGGACTTCAACAAACTGAATCAACATACGCGCTTGTGGAGGTGGATGGTGTATTCGCGAGCGACGACGTCAGCGATGGCGCTGCGCTGGGTCTTGCCGGAGGCCTTCTTGGTGGAGGACATTTCTGTAGAGACTGTTAGCAGCAATTCTTCAGAAGCGCAGTTGCGCAAAGAGGTCCACGACCGCTATAATTGCAACTATATCGTCGGAGATGTACGTACTGACGGAGATCGGCTGTTGGTTAGTCGGTGGAATTGAAATGCGGCGTGAAGTTCGAAGAGTCGCGACTGCCACTCGAAAATCGATTGTGTTCGCTAAGCCCTTGGCAGTGCTAGAGGTAAAAAGTGGGCCCAATCCATGTCTCAGTAGATATTGGAACACCAAATTTGAAGGTAATGCTAGTTCGATTTTTCTATGTACAGTGTGTACAAACATGTTTTCCATGCGCGTATCCAAGTCCAAGCAGGACGCAGTGTAACTGTGAACAAAACGCCTTTCGAACGTGCTAACGATGCCCGGGTAGATCCCAATCCGTCTTTCCTTTGTGTTCATCGTTCTCGTTGTCATCGTCGTCGTCGTCGTCATCATCTTCATGGTGACTGTCGTCACTGCTGCTCACATCGTCTTCGTCTTCATCGTCCCCATCGTCGTTATCAGCGTGGATGCGCTGCTCGAGAGGTCCATGAGCCTCTCCCCAGAACCGCAGTCCCCCAGGATTCTGGTTCTGTGCCTGATCCTCAGACAGATTCAAGTCAGGGATCTCCTCTAGACCGGGATTTAGGTCGTTGCGGAAACGCGTGAGAGCTTGTGAAAACCGCTCAAAGTAGTACTGAGGTAGGTACGGGCCTTTGACTTGTGTGCCATCAGTAGCTTGTGTCGTCTCACGCCTATCGTCGCCACCAAGATCGATGAACGGAACTTGCTCATCTCGTACTTCGCCGGTAGGGTTGAGGTAGGCGTCCATCGAGCGACGAAAGCGATCGAGCATTTCTTCAGCATCGCGGCGCATCTGTGGCATCTGCGGCATTTGAGGCATTTGAGGCATCCGAGGCATGTTGGGGAACTGCGGAAATTGGGGTAAACTTGGGAAGCCAGGCAAACGGGGCATCTGTGGCATGTCTGGCATGCGTGGTCTGCCTGGAAATTGCGGCATTTGAAATGGAAACGATGGTAGTTGCCCTGGCAGCCACGTCTCTTCTGGTTCGTCGGGCTGGAAGTAATATCTAGGCGACCGTAGTGCTTGTGATTGAGGAGAACTGGCGCTGGCCGGTGATCTGGTACCTGAATTTGCATCGGCGTCCAAGAGCGTATTGGCAGCTTCTTCACTGTTCGGCCCGTTCAAGACGCGCAACTCGTCGGTGTTGTACGAGTCGCAGTTCTCGCACTGGTTGCCGAGCCAGTGATACTTGGCCGAAGACTTTCTCGAGCAGTCGTTGCATTGGATGATCACTCTGGTATTCTGGAATTGTTCGGGCATAGGTTGAGATTCGATGGCCGACGTCAGCTTGCGCCACTGCAAGTCCATCTTCACGGCACTCTTCTTGCAAATCGGGCACTTGTACGCCGTTTCCATGTACAATGTGTAGCATTGCTTGTGCATGTAGTGCCCACAGGGCATCGAGACGACAGCGGTAGATGAAGTGAAGAGATAATCGGTGCATATGGGGCATCCAGAGTCGGTAGCTCGTGGTATGCATACATGAGAGTCCGCATGAGATATGGTGATACAAACATTGCATCTCTAGGCGATGTGAGAAACGAGATTATCTTTTTTGACATGCGAGAACGTACCTGACAATGCTTGTAGTCTTTACCAAGGCCCGCCCCACGTCTGCAGATTCCACAATCTGGACAGTGGTAGATATTTTTCCTTGCATTGTTGTCCCAGAGCCTGCAGATGTCGCAATAATAGCATGCCGCCTCTGTACCACACTTCCTGCAAGTGCCAGACGCTTTCTGTGGGGTGCCGCACGCCATGCAGAGCATGTTCTGTGTCGCCTTCCTGTTCAGCGCATGATCCTCAACTGCATCATGGCAATGTCGACAGGTGTACCAGCGGCGGCAATCGTAGCATTGAACCTTTACATTGCGCTTGTAGTGTTGACAGCCCAGAACGAACTCCTCCTCAAAGTGGTCCTCCTCGTCATCGTCGTCATTGTGTTCGACTGTTCGATATGTCGGGCTGGTATCACCAGGTCGCAGCTTGTACAGGATCTCCGTGTCGACCTCAGACGCGGCAGAGAGAGGAGACGAGGCATGGTTATCGGAAAAGACAGAATGCGCAGAATTCGGCGTGAAGGGACGGTCGTGTGAGACGAAGCTGCTTGGCGACGTGGGGCGCATGTGGCTGTATCGTTCGATCATCAAGCCATGCACCATCTGCGCCCGCTCTTGCTCGGGAATGCTCAATGCCCTGATTTCGTGGATGCGCGCGCGCAGATAGGCAAAGCCATCGTCGGCCGGCAAGGACTCGGACATGCCGCCAGCATTCTGACCCGCAGTGCTTGGTTGTGAGCTGTGAATCGCGGTTGGGGCAGCCGGCGCGCTGAAGACGGGGGGGTCGAGGTCGAGACTGCCGAAGCGGTGCTCGAGTGCGCGAGAGGGATTCGAGGACATGTTGGCTGCATCGCTAGGGATGTCTATTGGCGCCGTTGTCGTGTTATTCCCGCCTTCGTCATCACCCGCCTCTTCATCAACGACAACATCGTTTGGCTGGCGGGTGAACGACGAATACCTGCGGGCTCGTTCCAACAGGCGCAAGGATTGCGCGCTAGAGATCTGGGGTGCTTCGCGAGCTGCAGGGGCTTCGTTATCCGCGTCTGTAGCGGTATCGCCATCGCCTGGTGATGCGGTCGCAAAGCTGGGATCCTGATTGGCATGTGATGGCAATGTTGGCAATGCGTCACTAGCTGGCGCAGGCACAGCTCCAGGTGCCACTCCGGTGCCGGTTGAAAGACGGCGAATAAAGGAAGGAATCATTGAATCATTGCTAGAATAGAGGGCCTGAGGTAGGTGAAGAGTTTGCGAAGAGGTTGTGCTTAAAAAACGGGAAGATCTCCTGGCAATGCTGGCTGTTTGCACATGCATGTGACTGCGACCAACGACGCTTCTACTACGGTAACGGCGTCGTCCGGTCCCTCTCGAGTCACAAACAGAGCACGCACATTGATCGTAAACTCCCAGATCAGACATGTCACGCAGGGCGGAACCATGACGAGATTGGCCACATTTGGGCCACATCCATAAAGGCTATTTGCATGACGTTCGTACCGCATACGTGCAGAGACCGACTTCTTCACAAATGCTAACATCCATAAATCGTGCTGACGTACTGGGCTCAAAGGTCATAACGCACCATTATTACAGCACGATCCCATGCACGCGCGTTTGTAGAGAAGTCTCGTGCGTCGTGCGACAATGCCCAAGAGCAGACATGGTCACGCGACGACCGTGTTCAGCCTTGCTACTTTCGTTTCAATCGACACAACTGGTGTCTCCAAACAGCAAGCCACGGTTGACATCTCGCTTGCTCACTTGAGGCCGGGCACATGACGCCCCTATCTGCACCGCCTGAATTCGGCAGGGAGAGACTGTGGCGGTGCCAAAACACGGTTGAGCTATTCACGCGAGACCCAACCCACGGAACGTCAGCGACGATGCTTCAAATCTCAACTTGCAGCGCTAGCTCACCGGACGGCCGCAGACCACCCGTCATCCCCTATTTCTGTTACTGTACACGGTAAGTTTGACGATTGTCGTCGGCGGCTTTGAGCGTTCCACGGTTGCCCTCCCCCCCTTAATGTCCCCAAACAGCAGTTCTCTGTCGAAAGCGTCTGATACTGCAACCCTACCATGGGTGAGAGAATCGAGACAAAACATTTGCGCAAGCCCTCGTTACGGTGTCATTACCATTCAGGTTCTGCTGACGCCGCCGCAGTAACCTTGCCAATTGACAGATTGTGGCCTTATGGGCGACGAGGAACATTCGACGGTTCTTCTCCCCCGTCGATCACCTCCACGCAATATAGTTCCGTGTCATACATGCAGCTTTACATTTCATAGAGTATTGAGCCTCCGGTGTGGGTCTAAGCTAGGGGCTTGAGACGACTACAAAGTCTTCAGCTACGCGCTACCTTACGCCTCGTTCAGACAGTTCATCCTACAAGAGGAAATTTTGAGTGGAACCATTGACAGCTGTATGCTTTCCACGGTACACTTTCAATGATAATCTCCACATCAGGCAGTATCTGTGCGAAGCTGTCGAAGACTGTTTCGTTACCATGGGTTGAAGATCGGACTTGAAACGCCACGGCGGCTGCATCGATACAAGGGCGCCTATTTCGAAGACAACCATAGGTGGCGAGCGATAAGTCATCTTAATTGTTTGAACCAGAGACCGAAGGAGCAATCCAAAAATATCTTAATCTGCAAGTAATAGCAGGGCATGTCGAAACTGGGATGCCCGTTCTGCGCTATGTGCTGGTCCGTGTCATACAGCTCGTTGTGACCTCTGACCTAACTTCATAACCTCGTTATACGCCTCCTAAGTCGATCCATTCGCACAGCATAATGGGCGCTGAGTCTACCTTCCCCTCGTGAGTAAGGGCTTGGTATTTCAGGTCGTCAATGTTCTCAAAAGACACAGCACTTCGGTCCGCCTTATCACAGTGGCCAGTTGTGTGTATAAGCAACTTGATATTTCACTCGCGAGTCTTGTTAGGATAGGGAGTGCTTGCTAGACAAGAACAGGCGAAGTCTTCATATATCGATACTCTTTAATTTCAATGTAGTAGACCTGGTTGCAGAGGAAGTTCATGATCTTTTTGATGAACCTCGATAAAGAAAAGCTCAGGTGAGTTTTGCATAGCAGTGTATCATTTAGCTAGGCTAGGTAGGTTAGCTAGGGTTGACTGTCGGACTATGTTTGACTGATTGACCAGATTTGAATAGGATTGGATAAGATCTACTGGGGTTGACTGTTAATGGCGGCTCGGTGGGGAACCGGGGCATATGCATGGGGGCGGCGTGGGTTAGAGGTGGGGATGAATGGGCTGTGCTGTAAGGGTGTACTACATACGAATGCTTTGTGTCGGGAAGATTACTTACGATGTTGATTGTGTTGCTGCGGAGGTGCTAGGACTGTTGTGAAGTTCTTGTGGTATTGTAGGCGTGAACGAGATCTAGGCGTATGCAACAGCTACGGTGCAGTGTAGAGCACTGTGCTGATACTGTAAAACTAGCATTCACATGCCGAGAGCCAGAATACCGTGGTGGCTTTATGTCAGACACTTACAGTCGCAAACTATCCACGCGCTTAGACGGAGAAACATACACCTGATGATGTGCGTGGAACTACTCCAATGAATTTTGCTCAATGCCCATGCTTATCGTAGTGCTGCCGCTGTCACGTCTAGTATAGCTGAGGCTTGTCCTGCAGCCTTGAAACTCGACGGGATGAAGTCGCACGAAGCGCGCTTCCATGAACGAGATAATCTGCCGATTGGTCAGCGATTGGGATGGACGAACATGTGTGTCGTACCCAAGGTATGTCGGCACGATATTTGAACATTTCGTTGCCATTTCTAGGTAATCCACATGCGTTCAGCCTTCTTCTCTTGAACACGAACGAACGAACGATCACTATGAAGGCAGTAAAATTGTTGTTTGTCTTTGAGTTGGTGATCGCGAACAGCTTGATCTGGTGGATTTGTGACTTCTGGAGAAATGCGCGGTCGGACGCGTTACCTACTTTGATGTCGCCCGAAGACTTGACGACCCCCGACGTAGGTTTTGCAGCGAGGATCTTCCAGTAAGAAAAGCTTGAGCTGATGTGTCGCAGTGGATGTCAGGTGTAGCAGTAGCTCATGCGTCAAGCGACAGCAATCAAATACTGCTCCTTTGGGCGTGCACGCTACTATCGATGGCAGGCATCAGCGCATGTGTCTGGCAGAAATTGAAGGGCAAAACCTACGAATCCAGGACATACGCAACACGTCATGGGAAGCCTAATACATCAGTACCCAGCGGAGCGAACAATTCATTTACATTGAAAGGAATGACAGCCGGGGTGTTGGACGAGGCCTTCCCCAGAGCTGGGGCGCTTAAGCAGGTACTACTTGCCAGGTCGCCTATCCGGGAGCTAGCAAGCTCGTCTTCTTCGAACCCTTGTGTTGCGGCGGATAGTTTCACTGCAGCGCTTGTCCCCGGGGAGACACACACGCATGCTGCAGGTACGACGATGAGCAGATTGGCGTTCTCGGGAATAGTACCCACCATGGATGTTCCACCTTCTGTGCCTAAGCGAGTGGACGACGATGCTATCATACGGCTTTCGGAGATGCTTCAAAGATGGTGAACGGACGGCGACCATCTTTTTGGAAGAACGACCACCCGCTGCTCTTTCTCTTGTCCCGAAATTGAAGCCGAATGTGCACGAGGTTATTCCTTGGCGGGGTGCAAGCCCAGCGGCTGCGCCAGGGAACCCTTCACACCTTCGTTCACGAGATCCTTCTCGTCTACAGAGTGTCTTGTTAAATTTGGTCTCGTGATTATTGGCCTGCTCTTTGAGCAACAGTTCGTCAAGAACGGAATGGTTCATCGGTGGTAAAGACTAACCCTCCTTCATGGCATGTAAGCCCGGAGCCTGGCGGATCTGCCAGACTTGGCGGCGTGTTGCGTGATAAGACACCTGAAGCGAGGAACACAGGGCATCGGTGCACATGCTGTGGATAGGTGCTGGTTTTCTTCATGAAGAACGACGGTCAGGGCTTATACAGAGTCAATATTGAATGTTCCGGGCCAGAGTTGATGGAGGTAACGTTGAATGTCATTTACGACAATGTCTCCAATTTCTGTTCAGCACACCAAACCCTCGTAATGTAGTAAGCAGTCGCGTCGGCCCGGGTATTACCTTCCAGATCCGTGTGTTGTGCTCGTGCGTTGTACGAGTAGTCAGGATGCTCATGGCAGTTGGTGGGTCTTGGCAATACGGGCCCTTTTCGGCATCTCGCCCCAAGCTAGGTTTCCAGCATGTTGATTCATAGCAGCATCATCCTGTTCGTGACAAGTGCATCCGCGGAGGCACCCCGAGTGTCCTCTACAACACGCCTGATGAACAAGACGTGGCTGGTCTCGGTAGACCGACAAACACCGTCGAGTAAGCGGCGCCGCCCGATTGAGTTACGCTCAAGCCTCGTGAACCGTTCACCGAATCCGAGCGTCCGAAAGGAAATCCGCTATTCGATTTGAGCATGGCGCCGGACGACAAAGCGCAAAATGCGGATAAGTTAATGGAGCGCCCAGACACGACAAGCTTCGTTGTCGGTGGACCACGAGCCAGGAAGGCTGGCAAGTGGGTAATGGGTCGTTGTGGGCGCGTTTGTACTTCAACATCTCCAGGCCCTTGTCCCTGCGTCTCCTCGCCTTCCGCGATACAGTTGTATCTCAGTCACTGCTACGCCCGCGGTGCGACAAGACCAAAATGGCCATGGACTACCGGAAACTACTCTCTTTGTCACTCATACCGTCGATACTCTTCTTGCTTTTGTCCATCGTCTCAATAGCGTTGACGACACACTACTGGATCATTGGGGATTGGATCATTCCAAGAGGCGTGAGAGTACAGACAGACACTTTCAATGACCGTACACAATCATACACAATTGATGAAACCATTGTGTACTTCACCGCGAACGACACGGATGCCACCGTCGTCTCCGGATGTTTGTGTCTGACCGCTGCGGTCGTCGCCGTCATCGCATGGGCAGAGCTACGGAAGCCGGGCACGGATACACAGCTTGCAACTGTATGCGCAAAAGGACACCCTCCATCTACAGCTTACTGACAGTAATAGAACAAACGGCGATTCTGGATACTTGCTGTTGTTGTGACGACCCTTGTTGGTGCCATCACTGCGCTCGTCTCTATCATCTTACATTATACAAACAAGGGCGATGATGCGTTTGGCTGTAGATCTGAGACTCTTCAAATGGCTGGCAGGTTCAACACCAATAAGTATTGCACAAGGGAGATGGCTGCATGCAACTTCCTACCCGGATACCTGTCTAGAGGCGACAGAAGTAATGCGGCGCTGGGATGCACTGAGGCAGTAGGTTTGCGACATCCGTGTAGGGACTTCTGCTGACAGATTCAGGTTACTGTCAAGTGGCTGCAGGTTGCTCTGATATTGCTTGCGCTTCTCATTCTCAGCATCTTCGCGCTGCAAGCACGACTTCGTAGGACGACACGATCATCGAGAATGGTGGCAGCTGAGAAAGAGCCTATGCCAGTCGACTCGAGCGAGCGCTTCCCTTCCGATCGTATTCCTTCTAGGGAACATATTTGACCTCGATGCAACACGGCTTAACGAATTCACGACTCACGACTCCCTTAGGAACATGACTTCATTCTGCATCACTGGCGTTGATTTGCTCCTTCGTAGAAACCGGATTCACATCACAACGACACAACACACTAAATCACGACTGTGCATGTAACGGCCGCTACACAACACATCATAGTTATGACGCTAACGTAGCGGACCATCCGCCGCGGATAATTCCTCACCAAAGACTGCAATAGCTTACTCTAGACCAGTCGATACGCCGAATATAATAATGTTTCGATTGCCTGTAGAGTCATCCTTTTTGTGAACGCGCAACATCTCTCGAATGGAGTACGGCTAGTCGGCACAATGCGTGCACGGAGGCCTGATGACCTCACGGAAGCCCGATTCGTCTCCAGTCTCCCAATCTAGCCCCAGATTTGCGCCTCAACCGCGTTCGCTGCAGCTAGCCATGGTGCATTGGCCTCGTGTCAGCGTCACCGCCACACCTTCCAAGAGCGTCTGCCAAAGCTTGCTCACCTTGAGGCATGCTCTTTTGCTGATCCGAAGGTGCAGCCCTTCGGTCTTGGCGTCGTCTACGCTCCTTCTAGTGAGAATTCGCAAACCATGACTGATGTCATGTCACTCTATCTTTCTTCTTCACGAGCACCATCCATGTCTTGAGTGAAGAGTCTATAGCGACATGTAACAGAACATCATATGTCTGCTCCGCTCCCTTCACAGGCTCGTTCGTGAACGAACAGTGTTCATATATCCATGTACAGCCAGGCTTCAACAGGAATATAGGCAAAGCTAACTACATGAAAACACCCTTCGTCATAGCTACCAAATTCAGAATGTCCTCGGTGCTATCATTGAGAGACATTACGCTAACAGATATCGAGAAGCATTTCACGTCTGGTGAGTTGACATCGAGCAAGCTAGTGCGTGCCTATATCTCTCGCATATCTGAAGTCGACAGAGAATTCAACTCTGTCATCGAGATCAGCCCTGATGCACTCGCCATCGCGCAAGCTCGGGATGCTGAACGGGTTCTCGGCCATGTCAACTCCCCCCTCCACGGTCTGCCCATTTTACTAAAAGACAACATCCCTACGCTGGATGGCACGAACACCACATGCGGCTCCCTCGCCCTTGTCGGCGCCTACCCAAAGCGAGAAGCCGCAGTTGTCACAGCACTGAAGAAGGCCGGTGCTGTCATACTAGGGAAAGCGAACATGGCAGAATGGGCCGGATTTCGCTCAACAAGCGGCTGCTCTGGGTGGTCTGCTCGCGGGGGACAGACTTACGGACCGTTTGTCGGGGGATCCAAGGCGAGTGGCAGTTCAAGCGGTAGTGCAATCGCGACAGCCCTGGGGCTATGCTTTGCAGCCATAGGAACCGAGACATGTTACTCGATCGTCAGTCCTGCGGAGAAGAGCGGTGTTGTAGGTTACAAACCGACAAGAGATCTTATACCGTCAAAGGACATTATATATGTGAGTAAGAAGCAGGATACAGTTGGTGTGCTAGCAAGGACTGTTCAGGATGCTGCGCACATCACCCTCTTGCTTACTGCGAGCTCAGCGATCGCCAACTCTTCGAGACACCTGACCGATGAAAGCCGATCCGAATTTCTACAAGGATTTCATACAGTAGCAAATTCAAGTCTAATTGGTCTTCGAATCGGCATACCTTGGGACCTAATCCAACTTGAGACTCCTCCACAGTGCAGATTGGAAGCCTTCGAGCGAGTTCTATTCCAGCTGGAGGCAAGAGGTGTTACCATCGTGAAGGACGTCATTATCCAGGGCTGGTGTGAGTATGAAGGTTTGTCACAGGATGAAAAGCAAATTGTGCTGGACACGGACATGAAAACTGCTATCAACGAATACCTTGGAGGCTTAAACACTAACCCACAGAACATCAAGAACCTTGCGGATCTAGTTGCCTTCATCAAGACGTGTCCAGAAGAGGATTATCCCGCGCGTAACGCGGTAGGTCTCGAACGAGCTCAAGCTACGGACCGGAACGACGGTACTTTGTACATGGCCATGTCAGAGAAAGATAAGTTCTTCGCTGGTTGTATCGAGAGTACCCTCAACCAGTATGACTGTGACGTGCTATTTACACCGGTTCTCTCAATTGCATTTCAGACTTTTGCAGCAAAGGCTGGCTCTCCCGTCATCAGTGTACCCATGGGCATCTATCCGCACGGATTTCCAGTTGAAATCGATTCCAAGAACAGCCTGATAGCAGCCGCACCTGGTATTCCGTGAGTCCGAATGTTACCTTAGGTAAGAAGTTTATAGTCTGACGTCAAGCTAGTTTCTCAGGGTTCGTCTTTGGAAGAGCATACGATGATGTGACGGTGCTCAAGATAGGACACGCCATTGGAATGTCCATAGGATCAACAGAGCAGTTGATACCGTACATATTACCCAGGACGGAGATTCGTGGCCTGTCTGACAGCTAGCATAGGTGGTTGTACTTGTAGACCTGAAGCTGTGATTCTGTGAAGGTGAGGGTAAACCCGATGGCACAGAGGTCCATAGGGTATACATGAACGTTCTTATTGTTCACTATGATAAATTACATCAGCTCTCCATTAGAATTTTTCTGCCAACTCACTCTGAGACCTCTTGATTTATCACGATGTGAGCTCTGATCTTCATGACGGTCTTGGTGGCTCTGGTATTATGCTGTAACGCGAAAGCTTACACAAGAGATTTCAGTCATACCTAGACCATATGCTGACAAAATCATTGATAGAGAGACTAGAATGTGTGTTTCTGGCAATAGCCACTACGATTTCGAAAGCGATAGATATAGTACTGTAAGCTGTTTTCAACTTTGTAAGGAGATGTACAAAAGGGTTTCTTTCGCATGATGGTATTTTTGAACCACGTTCTAATAAAAGGCTGAACGAAGGTTACAGTTGGAAGGGCCAATAGAGTTGTTTTGGAGATCGCAGAACTTAGGGAACAAGGCATGAGAGCGCTCTCAGCCATATGAAGTGGTTTGAAACACCACAATAGATTCAATGATCGCTGAAGTCTGAATTCCCAAGCCAGACGATGTTACGTGGTGTACAGTAAGCACAATCTACCAGATTCAAGCTCCATTCCAATCTGTCGAAGCTTCTCACGTTCGTGTTACCTGAAAGCCAGCCACTTGTTACAGCTGAAAGGCCCTCGGAACACCATTGGCACTAACGAAGGCCCGTAGAGTCGGTGATTGTCTCGTGGCCATTGCCCAAGAATGGAAAGTCTCTCGTTCCAGGTCGTCGATGGAATGCTGTGGTGGACCCTTGGCAGTATGATGTTGATCGCGAAAGGTACAGCTAAGCGCGAAGAACTAAACACAACCCTTGTGGTCATTGCATTCTGTCGACTGGTCCCCTGTGTTGATAGTGCTCGATGTTCCAACCGTGATGGAAGAGAATTTGGCGATGAGATTGGTCGTCATTGCTATTCAGGGCAATCTGGCTACCTACTTCAGTGTCGCCAGACTCTTCGACAGCCCAGCTGGTAAGAATAGCTGCCTCAGAGCCTCCGACTGGTGAATCGCATCGCCATCCATACGTAACGTTCAAGCGACCTGCGCGTTGTAGAGTTCGCACGTGTTCGTCAATGATCTTGTTATAGCTCTCAACGCAGCCGACGTTGATTTCAAGTCTTTGTAGTACTATAAACGGCGCATCCAACAGTAATGGACTGATGGACTTTAGATCCAGATGAATTGTCCACTGGAAGTCAAGGATCTCCTCTTGCGGACCCAAAACCTCGTCCCGTGCTGGAGAATCCAAGAATTGCAGGTGCGCTTCTAGACTTGGCCAGACGCCAAAAATATAAACGAGGCTTGAATCTCCGATGCAGCTGAAAAAAACGCGAACTGCTCTGCAGTCTGCCTCGGACCAGCGATAGGCTCGCGAGCAGCGCGGGATCATCGGCGGCCATTCCCTTCAGACGCAGCTGGGTTATCTCAATGACAGGCATACTTGCTGCGCACTATCCTCTATGTCTCGTGCGATTTCCTGATATACACGTGCGGCTTGAAAGCGAGGTTGTGCAGCCCGACAACGAGGAACGCGGGGCAGCTATTCTTTCACGCCGACAGGGGTTAGCGGCTTGGCAACATGCTACGTGTAGTCTTTCGGTCCTCCTTCCCCGACAACATTGTATCACGAAGGCAGCGAAAACGAACAAGAGATGTACACACTTCAGCTTGTGGAACCGTCGTCTGGGACAGTTGCCTATGGGTCACCGATGCCAAAATGTAGACGCGCTCCAAGGAATACGGCGATCGCTACTGTTTACCAAGTTGACGCAAATCACACTACTTGGCAAGGCTTGTCATCACGCCGTTTTACAAAAATAGTCCGCCAAACAAAAGCAAGCAAACGCTGTTGTGCATCTGTAGTGGAGTAGACTCAAGGCTGCCAGGATGCTGATCACTTGCTCGCAAAGGCAGCCTAAAGAGATCGCAAGGCACAGCCTTCAAGCCACTGACGGTTGGCCGCTCACCGGTGAGTTATCCAGTCCGGTACGAACCGAAGCTTGTCCAACCTGACTTGGTCCCCCAAACCGAGTCTCTTACAACTCTTGACGAGCTTTTTCACATTATTCGTCGGAACGTTTAATCCTTACCGTGTAGGGCTGTGAGTCAGTTAACTTCAGCTCCCGCACCGGGCGTCCCCTGACCCGCAGGGATTCGTTCCACGCTCCCGGTCTAAGCCCCCAAATTTGATAGCCCACATACTGTAGGTGACTGCATGTCGCTGTCAGGGCTGTATATATCGTCTCAGGGGAAGGCCGCTCGCGTCTCGCGTGCTGAATCTCCCTGTTGTGAGCATGATGCCTTCTCGAAATAACAGCTTGCAGGACTCGTCAAGCACGTCAAGCGACTCTCCGGCGGCTTCTGACTATAGGCCAGGTAACAGAATATCACAGCCTCGCAAACCAATACCCAGAAAGGGACACACCAAATCACGTCGCGGCTGCTTCAACTGCAAACGTAGAAGAATCAAATGCAATGAGAAGCATCCAGAGTGCAATCACTGCATAAAGGCAGGGCTGCAGTGTGACTATCCAGCCAACATCATCCAGCTGACGCAGAGATCGACAAACTCTCCACATCCACAAGAGGCTATGAACCTGAGTTCGACGCCTGGCATGTTTGTGAGTGTTCTCCAGGCATACATCAGCCGGGACGAGCCCTGACAACGATAGACAATGGCTGATATGCGTTTGTTCCACCACTTTCTTATCACTGCATATCCACACCTACCTGTCGGCGCCGACAAAATTTGGATCACTGTTATCCCGAGTTTTGCTCACAACGTACGTCGTCCCATCTCGCCTAGATTTCTGTTCGCTTCGAACTAACTGAGACAGTATGAGTATCTTATTCATTCAATCCTGGCACTAGCCGCATCGCACTTGGATGCTGTATCAAGTACGAGTGCAGCTGAACAGGCCATACATCACCGTATTCTGGCTGTAAAATCTCTCAACGAAGCGCTGTCGACGCCGCCAAAGTCGAGGAGCGAACAAGATGCCAGAATGGCTGCTGCGTTAGCACTCGCCTTCCAGTCAAGCCATCTTCAGGATGGTCTCGCGGAGTTTTTAACCATGGTACGAGGATGCAATTTGATTGCAGGCGGAGAGACCTTGACGGGACCGGCCCCGGCGTTCGATGTGAGTTTGTCACCTTCGATCACTACAGTCAGTCCCTTCCCGCAAGCATCGCAGACACATCATGGCTAATCAGAACAGGCGTTTGGAGAAGATGGTCATCTTCAAAACATGAAGGATCGTATTGGAACCGACCCGCAATTCAATTGCGTCAACCACGAAGACCTCGATTCCGCCGCTATTTCGTTGCGCTCCATCGAGTACCTCAACATGTCGTCCTTTGAGAGGACCTATTGGAGTACCCTCAATGCCACTGTGCAACAAGCCTACGACCGTCCCATTGAAGCATACACCTCCTTCGTGGCGCTCTACAACATTCCTTCACGGTGGACACATGACGAGTTCCAAGCTTTCATCGACCCGAATAACACCGTCGCGCAGATCCTGCAAGCACACTTCATCGCCGTGCAGGCCATTCTCACACCTATCCTGTACCTTGAGCGCGTCGGCTTCGAGGGCATCAACGCGCCAACCGCGGTGATGAGCTGGATCGAAGGCATATACAGAAACGTGCCGCCTCATCTGCGGCACCATGTCGAGTGGCCACGACAGGTATCGCGGTTTCCGTTTATGAGATTTCTGGGACACACGGAAACAAACTACTTTGATGATCTTGGATTGCTGAGTATATAATTTTATGGGGTTGGGGAGTTTTTATTGTCGGCGTTGATGGACTATGATGATGAGAAATGATGTATGCCATGATACCCATGACGGCCTTACTACAGGTTTGACAGATGCCACGCAGAGAACCAACATGTTTGAAATGATTCCTCTCTCTCTCTCCAACCAAGTTTCGATACGCGCCTGTTAAATTATGTCCATAAGTAGCGTCCTCTTTCATGCCTCTGGGACCATGAACACTCAGGCTGCTCATCAACACCATATCGTACCGTATCCGGAACTTCAAGCTCCCTTCTTTCTCAATAGCGTGATTACATTGCCACAAGATACCCCAGACGGTTTCTGTCAGGTAGAGGATCAGATCCGTGGCAGTCCCCCGCATCGCTACCATGACAGAGCAGCATCACGACTATACAAAAGCCTTCCACTATCGGCTCGGAAGAACACAGCCAGCAGCTGCAAGCAAAGCATAACCAGTGGGGTTTCGTGGTCCGTGAGGCCATGGCTGTCCTTCTTCATCCACCCGATCATGACAGGATGAGACGCCGTCTCGTGACCGCTCAGGCCCGAAACAACCCCCCAGACCCCACGCTGTCACGTTGCAGGACAAACAGTGGACTCCTGTGTTACGATGTGAGCTAAATATTCTACTATGCACTAGTAAAGTTAGGAAAACATAAGAAAACTTAATAGGAAACTGTTTTACCTATCGTATACCTAGGTAACACTTTGATGAATTTTAGATTTAGGTGTTATCATAGCTAAGTCCTGTGTTAAAGTTAGTTGGCGTGAAGTTCGCTTGTCTGCCGGGTTTCCTGAAACATGAGAGCCCAGGTTCAATTCAGTCCAGGGGCCGCATCTCAGGACCCCTCTTCACCCATATCCACCTTCCATATCAAACATCACACGAACCTACGCACTCAGATACACATTGCACACGCGTAATTACAGATGTAGAAATGAATTGCTACAATAGCACTCGACCAACGGCATCTACCGCTGGCCTTTGCGCCGTAGACTTGCCAGAAGAAGATGTGCAAAAACGCCCCGCAATGCAGGAGAGCGCACTCCGATCCTGATTGAAACGCCGAATGCCTGTATCCCGATGCATCGAGACATCCTTTTATCCGTTAACGCCTGTGAAAAAAGAATAGTCCGCTGTGGACAGTAGGGTGAAGGGATGGGGTACGCCCTATCCTGTTCATGGGAGAATGCCGTAACACGATGACAAAGAGAAGAAGGAAGGTGTGATCTGGGGCCGAGCTGTTGCTATGCCAGGACTTTTGGCGCCGCGACTCGCATAACAGGTGTGGCGGGCGGTGAGGGGGGCGCGGCAACACCAACGGCAGCAACCTCTTCATGCACGTGGCTGCATTCAAGCCCAGAGCCGCACTCGACGCTGCCGCCGACCCACTTCTCCTGTCGTGCCATCCACATGACGAGGTTGAGGTCGAAGGTCTCGAAGAAGACCTCATCGAGGAAGCGCGCCTTTTTGCCCGCGTACGTGTGGTACTCCTCGCGCACCGTGTCGAGGTCGAGGCCGCAGATGCGTCGGAAGCAGGCAATGGTGCAACCGGTGCGGTGCTTGCCTTTGTTGCAGTGGATCATGATGGGATGGTTGGTGCGGTCCATGATCAGGCGCAGGGCTCGCTGCATTTCGCAGGAGTCAATGCGGACTTGGCCCTTGTTTGCGCGGATATGGACGCGGAAATGCTGTATGCCAGCGGAATCCATGAAGTTCTGATACTCAGGGGCAATGGGCTCTGGTACTAGGGTCAGAATGCTCTGGATTTTAAGGTCCTTGATAAATTCGTAGTTTTCGGGCTGAGGATAGCTGCAGCGGTAGATACTTCCAGGGACGACAGCACCGTAGTTCAGGGGCGGGATGCGCATGTTTAGGCGATCAGGCACAACGGATCGGACAGAGGACGGTGTGATGGTGCCTGTTTCGGTAGTCGAAGCCGCCGAGCTTTCGGCATTCTCATGTGGGAGGTCTTCGTGGTGAACGTCGGCCGCGTGACGGGTCAGCTTGTCACTTACGGCGACGTTAAGCGCCTCCAGGTACTCCCTGACTTTGTCCATCATGGTGAACTGAGCAGCATAGGGCTCGGTAGGAGCGCTGTTGTTGCTGTCTCCTGGAGTAGCCATCGTAAAATGCGAGGAGCGAATTGGATGATTCGTAATGCTTAGGTGGTGCAGGAGACTGGTGCTCAGCGTTTGTCTTCTGCAAAGTGAAACCTTGCTTTGAAGGAGTTGCGCGAATCCGATCACTGTGGGTGACTTCTTGGGACTAGAATCGGATTCTTGATTCTGGACGGGGGCTGAAGTCGTGTGAGGGTGGTCGTGTGCGTGTGGAGTAGTGGTTTCAGAAGGGGAAATTGGTCGTGTGCAGAGAAACCGGGCGGAGGCCGACAGAAAGACTATAAGCAAAGTCAAAAACAGGCGGAACAGTATTTGTGGTTCAGAAGTTGAGAATCATCATCAGGGTCCGCGAACCACTGTGCGTCCACGATGCCACAGTCAACGCGTAGCGAACGAAGGTGGATAATGTCGCGCCAACCACCAAAGCCAGGCGTGAACAACAACGCAAAGGAACAGTGCGGGGCACTCACTCTGCGGTCAGCTCGAAGTTAAAGCAGACATTGTATTTGCTTCTTGCGGATGGGCGAAGAGGCGAGATTCATGGTGTTGGTGTGCGAGGTGGAGGTGGTGTGTTCGGCGTCAACGCTGGCGCGTGCGTGTCCGTGTGGGCGCGAGAAGCGGTAGCGAGCAGTCGGCAACGGGCAGGGAAAGGGGGACGGTATATTTTATGAGAGTGGGTGCAGTGGTGTTGTGGGAGGACGGTGTTCCAGGGTTGGCTCTTTCACCCTAGCAGTTCCATGCAGAGCCGACCACTTATGCGATAGGCGGGCACTGGCCCAAGTCGAGCTCGCCAAGCGGATACCTGCGTCACATCCGGACTTAAGACGCTTTGTGCAGGAACAAGTGGAAATTGGGAGAAGCCTCGACGCCCGTTCTGGCGACGTGCAGCTTTGTACAAATGAGGCTCTGGACGGCCAGGAGGCAACGCAGCACGTGCGCAGCATTGCACAGCGAGCGTGCACGCATTCCGTCCGCAGGGCAAAAAGGCAGGGCGCCCGCCAAGGGGCTCGCGTCGAGCTTCACATTGATCACCCCGCTGTGGCATGACGCCGGTCTCAACGGTACCGGACTGAGAGGCACCGAAAATTCTTGCAGCTGCGTCGAGGTCCGTGGCGTTTGACTCGCTCGAACCACACTGACGCACGCATATGATACGACTTGTCGTACAACTGCATCGCCTAGCTGCAGCCTCGCGCGTGCAAATCTGGCAGTGAGTGTCTGGACGGGGCGCTGGGCGCTGCTTGTGTTGGCCGGCGCTGCTCTTATTGCTCTGAGCCTCTGGCTGGCCGCCAGCCTCGGCCTTTGCAGGCCAGCAGTACCAGTGCAGGCTTTGGCTGCTCGCGCGCACGCAGCGTCAGGTTTGTGTCCCGGCCATCTCGCTGCAGCCCGGGGAGCGACGACGGGCTCGCTCCACCGCGCTGCACTGCCTGTCATGTTGGCAACGGCCCGCTGCTTTCACGTGAAACATCATTCGATCACCCACTACGCCGCATGCGCACTAGCCCCGCCTTCCCCAGAGTCCCGTGCTGCATCGCGATAAGTTGCTATCGAACCTCGGTCACTCCACGCAAGACGGCGGACGCTATAAGCAAGCCGCCCTGCGCTGTCGGCGCACCGCCCTGAACACACCATCAATGGACACGTCACGCTCGCCCTCGGCGTCGCGATCGCGGTCACGGCGCTCGTACCCCAACCTCCACAACCTCTCCCTCGCACCTCTCAGCTCCAAGTACCCGCTCGACGCCTCCTCCCCGCCGTCCCCCACCGAGGACGCCAACAGTACCGACACGCCGCGCACGTCGTACATTGCGCAGAAATCCGCCCCCACAACCCCCGGCATCCTCAGCCTCAGCCAGAGCCGCAGCACGTCCCGCACCGGCCGCCGCACACCCTACGCCTACGACACCTACTTCGCCCCGCCGCGCCCCGACCCTCGCGATGCCGGCGATATCCCCAAGGCCCACAGCACAACCGCCCTGCTGCCCGCTGTCTCCTTCGCCGAGCCGGCGCCCCCCGAGCACGCGCGCCACCACACGCGCAAGCACACCGCCCCCCTCCCGCTGCGCCGCCACCACACCAGCGAGGGCAACGACGACTGGCTGCACCGTGCCGGGCTTGTCATTGCGGGCGAGACGCGCGACGCGCGCGGCCAGGGCTGGCTGGTGCGCCGCGAGAGCTCTACCGCGCTAGTGGGCGCTCCAGAGCCGGACGCCTTCGCCCTGCGTGACGCAAGACTCGTCGCGCGGCTGTCGGGCGAGCCTGCTGACGGCCCCGAGTTTCCCACCTTCTCGCCGCGCGGCAGCAGGGCGCCGAGTAGGCTGGCGTCGCGCGCCGCGAGTCGGGTGCCGAGTGCACGGCAGAGTCGGCGTGGGTCGCGGGTTGGGTCGCGGGTTGAGCTCGCCATGGCAGGGCGGCACGGGCTGGAGTTCAGAGCGGACGAGGGCGACGAGAGCGCCATCGAGCCTGATTTTGTCGAGGCGGACGAGGAGGGCCTGGACGATGAGGAGGAAATCGCGCGGTTGGCGCGGGAGCGTGGGTTTGGGCTCGGCGGCTGGGTGGATGCGTTGATTGGGTGGTCGCTGTTCTCTGTAGAAGAGGACGGCGAGGGGTCCGAGGATGAAGAGGAGGGCCAAGTGCAGCCGGCGAATCTGACCAAGGATGAGGCGAGGCTTTTGAGGGAGGTAGAGGCGAAGAGGAGGAAGATGGAGCGCGAGAGCATTATTGCTGCGAGTGCGTTGAAGGTACACGACAAGACCGAAGGCGGCGAGGTCAGGATCGATGTGCCCAAGCCGCCGGAGGGACAAGAGGCGGGCGGGTGGCAGGATGCGGCGTGGCTGCTGAGTGTCGCTAGCAAGGCGCTGTTCTAGTCTTCGTCGTCAATGAGCTTTCCACTGCCTTCTGCGACATTCAGATACCAAGTTGCGAAGCCCTCAATGAGGTCATTACTCTACATGTATCGTACACCCAAGTGCTCTACGCCTCACTCGTCCAGACACCAGACTACCACATCCCCCACCCTCCTTGCATCATCATGGAAATGACTGTTGAACCCCCTCCAACACTCCTTATACCTCGTATTTCTCAACACCTCTCCGAGCTGCTCCTCCAGCGCCTCGAAGAACACCAGATTCTGCGGCCAGGCTCTGCGATACTTCGCTCTAAACTTCGGATTTTGGGCAGCCAGGAATTGGGCGGAGCGGCTGCCCGCCGATGATATGGTAGCCACAGCCTCCATATTGTCGCGCAACCAGCGCCGAGGGCCTGGGTTGAGGTAGAACGCGTCGGCCTCATCGAGATAGTGGGTGCGGTCGGCCAGGGGGATGCCGAGGGGCGGCTCACATGTCAGTGCCCAGGCGGTGATGGCGGGGTGCACGAGGTGCGAGCGCCAGGGTGTGGAGTGGCAGGGCATAAGGAAGCCGACCGTCGTGTTGAGCGTCGTGGATGGGGTGGAGGAGTAGGAGGAGAGCGCGTTGCGTGCCTCGTGCTTATGTCGGACATATTGCAAGACGGATATTACGCCGCGTTGGTGGGTTTGTGAGGCGTAGCCGGCGATTGTAACATTAATGAGGAGAAGAAGACCGATGAGGGCCTGACGCGATAGTGATGCTCGTTTTGGAAGGAAGCGTGACAGAGGTTGCGCGGATATGACGTGCAGGAAGGGTAGGATGGGGTAAAGGAACCGGACTTCTTTGTGCGAGATCAAGCTCAGCGCGAAGGTCATGATGAGTATCGTCCATGCTAGGCGGGTCAAAATCCCGTGGCTAATTGGGGGTGCATTGTTAGGAGGCGTCGGGGGTTGTAAAGACTGACACAGGCCTATCACGGCGAAGGGCAGAGCTGTGGTCAGCAGCAGCGGTAAACCCTCAGTGAAGTAGTAATCTGGGCGGTTTCTGCCATAGAAAACAGCCAGAGACTGAGCAATGTTGAAATATAGGAACTGCAAGGGAGGGAGAGTCCAGGTGCCGTAGTAGAGTCTGTCAGACAGTACTGAACAGCCAAGCACAAACGATCTGGATCAGTCAGTCAATGTTCAGGCACGGCTGGGCCTATGACCATATTCGGACGCATGCATGAACACCTACTTACCCGCATAGTATAATCTCACGGATCAGAATATACCGCATCTTCTTCGGGGCGTGCCATAGTGTCGGAGCTGAGATGGGTAGCCAGATGAGGATGTTTGTGGGCCGCAGTATGCACGCAAGAGCCGCCAGGAGCAGTGACGAACGTAATCTGTGCCAGCGTAAGCTCAAGATCATAGGTGGGTTGTGGTGACGGCTCACTGCAAGATAGAGTCGAGATGGCCTTGGGCTGCAGCGGATGGTTTGCCTTGTTCCTGGGATTTGCTGGATGCTGTCCAATGCCAAGGCCAGTGGTAGACGGCGACGGAGGTGATAGCGGTCTCAAGGCAATTGGACAGCGTCCGCGTTGAGCAGAACCACTGCCACGGGCTGCATACAGATAGTGCGAGCTAGTGTAACACGCAATCAGACATGCGAGATTGAGGCATATTTGCAGGGTGACAACATACAGTAGCGAATGCTGTGCGACTGCGTCGACCGTACACTTTCTCCGCAAGTTTCCAAGTGTAGCAGTCGAGTAGCGCAGCGGACACAGCCTGGACAACCTTGGGCGTTGACAGCAGTAGTTCGGCTTTGACAGGTAGGCTCGCGCCACAGAGGTCTGCTAAGTGTGCCGCGACTCGGTAGGCGGCTGCAAATAGCGCAGGATGCAGGGACGACCGCAACTGCGTTCTCCACTCCTGCTCAGTGTGAGACGGAGCGTTGCAAGGCAATTCCCCCACAGAACCAGATAGATAGGACTGTCAGAGGGCGAAGGGGGGTTACCCAAGTGATCCACGCATTGCTGGACTCACCAAAAGCCAGCTGCCATGCAGGCTCGAGCGACTGGAAGAACTCGTCGGGCTGGAAGAAGGTGCGCAGCGTCAATGCATTCACGACGCGGACAGCCAGCAGCAGACCGAAGACGCCGAGGGCCGAGTCACGATAGCTGGTAGACTGGGATTTTGGCGAAGCACCAGTCGCGGCGGCAGTCGTGGCATCTGCGGAGTCGCTGGCGGGCGACATTGGGCGATCAGACCGGAGGCCGCTGCAGCGAGCACGAGCAAGCGGGCGGGTGTGGACAGGCAAGCGAGGGATGGACTTTGATGCAGAGGGTGACGAATCTCACGATGGCAGGCAGGCTTGGCACGATGCACCAGCCCAATGCGTGCTGCACCAGAGCGTTTGTGTCGGGAGTGCAGAAGTTGATGATCCGTTCTATGCCTGTCTGGGTATTTCACGATAGACCACGGCCGGCGTCTAGACTGCACGCTCGTCTGTTCCGAGGTTGGCCTGGCACGACGCTGTGCAACCTGGCCGAGCGGTGGTCTGTGAGTGCACGATAGGCAGCGATGAATAATGGTAGGGTAATAGCATCGGGTGTGCGCGCGGCAGCGGCGAGGGCGGCCTCAACAACACCAGCGGTCCAGCGACCGAGTTTGCAGATGCCAGAGCGCAGCGTTGTTGCGCCCTGGAAAATCCGGGGCAGCGAGAGGGTCCACGGGCCTGCTCGTCAGCGTGCAGGGGGCTCTTGGGGTGTCGCATCCTCGCAGACGGAGGTTTAAGGTTCGGCGCCTTGGCCAGCGCGCGCTGCTCTTATCGCGGCTGGCCCATAATTGCTGTGACGAGCGCGCGCGCTGCAGCGCAGGCCGGCGAGGCACAAAGGCACCGTGGCACCATCGCACCATCCCTGGCTGCTGGCTGCTGCTGGCTGCTGGCTGCAGACGCACGCTGAAGGGCTCCCAACAGCGCCAGGCACGTCTGCGCAGCGAGGCAGGACGACGGGCAGGCCACCGCAGGCTGCGCTTATCGCAGCCGACGGCTGTGCAGCGAACCACGGCTGCACGCCTGCACTGCACGCTGCACGCTGCACGCTGCACGCTCGCAGTGCGCCACCAGCGAGGTGGTGAGGGCCGGGGCGCGCCAGCCAATGCGACGGCGCGGGCGCATTGGCTGGGGCTTGGCATGTATGTGATTTCGCCGGCCCGCAGCAGCGAGCGCACGCCGGGGGAGGAGGCAGCGCCGGCCAGCAGTACATGATGAGGCCGGGCTGCTCAACACGGCGCGCTGCACTCCCTCTGTCCGCCGTCGCCGTGCCTGCTGGTGTGCCTGCCCGTCCGCCTGCCTGCCGGCCTGTCTGCTCGTCTGCCGTCGGCCGTCTGCCTGCGCCGTGCCGCTGCGAGCCCTGCGTGCCTGGCAGCTCGCCGCCGTGCTTTGTTGGATGCTGGCGCCCCGCCGCGCCGCGTCGCTCTAACCTCTAACTCGCCCGCCGCTGCGGCTCCACTCTGTTGGGCGCTCGTCATATCACTGCCCCTTCTGGCCGCTTTGGGGCGATCGTGTCTCTCAACCAGCCCATCCCGGCCGGCAGCCAAGAGTCCTGCCCTCCCGCCGGTTTGCAGCAGGAGCCTTCACGCCGCACCTCGACCGCGCCCTCGAGCACCGCAGCACTCGCCCGCCCGCCCGCCGCCGCCCGCCTGCCGCTGCCCGCCTGCACGCCGTGAACGACTCGGGGCCTGCGAGCGCAGCATGCCACGCCCGCCGACCGCGCCCCGCGAATAATCTGAGCCCGCCGCGGCCCTGACATGGTTGCACTGCGCGGCTGAACTGAGACGACTGCGCGCTCGCCCGCCATGACTGGCCCGGCCCCGACCGCGGGGGAGCACCTGGACGCCCCGGCGCGCTCCCACTCGACGCCCCGCGGCTGCGACGGCGACGGCGACGGCGACGCAACGCCCGGCCAGCAGCGCCCGCCGCTCGACCCGGCCGACTGCACGCCGCGCCACGAGGCCCCCTCGTACGCCGTCGCCGCGGAGCCCAGCTACTTCTCGCCGCAGCCCCGCCGCACGTACTCGTCGACCATCACGCGCAGCACGCCCGCCTCGACCGACCCGTCGCCCGCCGCCAGCGCCAATGCCTCGACCACCTCGGTCAACACCACCGCCAACCCCTCCGCCACGCCGCCCGCCTTCGGGCCCGCGCTGCACCCGCTCAACCGCCCCGCCTACGAGCGCGACCTCTCCCGCATCTCCGACATCTCGACCGCCAGCACCGCCACCGTGCGCGCCCACCCCGCCGGCCCGCTGCACCACCACTTCGCCTCGGAGCCCTCGGTCGCCCAGCACCGCGATGGGCCCGTCTACCCCAACCAGTCGTACGCTGCCCTGCAGTTCCAGCAGTACCCCACGCCCTACACCCCGCCCATCCTGCGCGCCCGCAGCTCGCACCCGGCCCACTTCTCCGCCAACTCGGTGTCGGCCATCCCGTCGTTCGGCGCCTCCAATGTCCACTACCGCGACATCATGGAGTCTGCTCCGCGCACCGCCGGCAACTCCCCCGTCAGCAGCCCCGGCCTCTTCGACCCCAACCGCCGCATCCCGTCTGGCTCGACGGAGCCGACCGACGGCCTCTACTCGAGCCCCTGGCTCCACCACACCCACCGGCAAGCACCGAAGGAGAGCCACATCGCCGACGTGACCCACGACCCCGTCTCCGGCCGCAAGGTTGTCAATCAATACGAGATCATCGACGAGCTGGGCCGCGGTGTGCACGGCAAAGTCAAGCTCGGAAAGGACCTGGCCTCGGGCAAGTACGTGGCCATCAAGATTGTAGATCGCTACTCCAAGCGCCGGCGACTGGGCAAAAACACAAGCCACGAGGACAAGATCAAGCGCGAGATTGCCATTCTCAAAAAGGCCCGACACCCCAATATTGTCAGCTTACTCGAGGTCATAGACGACCCGGCTAAGAAAAAGGTCTATATAGTGCTCGAGCACGTAGAACTCGGCGAGGTCAAGTGGAGGACCGAAGGCGCCCCCGAGGTCACGTTGGTCGAATGGCGGCGCTTCCAGCGAGAAGCCGGGGGTATCTTCGACGACGACCGAGCAGCACAAGAGGACGAGCGCATCATCAGGATAGCACACCAGAAGCTCGCCCGACAACGCCGCCGCGAAGCAAGAGAAGCCCATCTTCGCCGTCAAACAGTCACCGGCAACGAGCCCTGGAGTTTCGAGTTTGGAGGTGATTCTGATGACGATGTTTCTTCAGAGGCAGGTCGAAGTTCTCGCACCTCGAACCGTGAGGACCGCCCCCACAGTCGCGTTCAGTTTCACGAACGGCAAGAGCCTCTGTCCCACACCGATGACACTATGGAAACCGCATTCCGCGCATCGATGCATACCCTGGGACATGACAAAGACGAAGAGCAGGCTGCGACTGGCTTGGAAGGTACCATGTATGGTGCATATGACACTGAGTTCATACGTGGCCGAACCCCCAGTGTTGCCGAGAGTAGCTCCTCCCATCCCGAGGGCGAACACGAGGGGATACCAGAACACTTTCGCTACGTTCCGCTCATGACCATTCAGGGTGCCTGGGACGCTTTCAAAGACACCGTCTTGGGTCTTGAATACCTCCACTACCAAAACGTCATTCACCGAGATATCAAGCCCGCCAATCTTCTCGTGACCAAGGAGCATCGTATCAAGATTAGCGATTTTGGAGTATCCTACCTTGGACGCCAGAAGACTGATGAGGTTCTCGGAGACCAATCAGAGAATGAGGTACAGGAGGAGGACGAAGCCATCGAGTTAGCAAAGACTGTGGGTACACCGGCATTCTACGCACCAGAACTCTGTCGCACTGATTTCACTGCCGAGACTCCTCACATAGACGGGGGTATCGACGTCTGGGCTCTGGGGATCACGTTGTATTGTCTGGTCTACGGTCGAGTGCCGTTTCATGAGAACAATCCTTTCGCTTTGATGAAAGCCATCAGCGGAGACGAACCTTACATACCTCGCTACCGGTTGAAGCCTGTCTCTGAGCGCGCAACGTCCAGGCCGAATTCTCATGGACGCAATATGCAGCCAATATCAAACGCTAGGAGAGCTCCCCATGACGTCGATTACGAAGAGATCGACGACAACCTCCGGGACCTGTTAAAGCGTCTGCTTGTAAAAGAGTCTGAGCATCGCATTACCATACATGAGATTAAGAGGCATCCGTGGCTTCTCCAGGGCATTAACAACTACACCTCCTGGATGGAAGAGACAGACCCCAATCGTTCTTCGCAAGGCCGCAAGATCGAGATTACTAACGACGATCTGGAAAGAGCCGTCGTTCCTGTTGGCTTCGTTGAGCGTGTCCGGTCAGCTGCGAAGAAGGCCACAGACTATGTCACCAAAAGCTTCACGAGGGGCGGTTCCAACTCCCGTCGTCGCGCACAGAGCTCTGCGCATGATCTGCCTCCCAGTATGAGCACCACTTCCTCGAGTAGTACCATTAGTCAAGACGCGAGACGAGGAAGCATAGCTCCCAACGCAATTTTAGACATGTTAGGCAGATCCCGCGAGTGCGAGCATCCTCTTTCTCACAGCGTCACCGCAAGCCCAGAAGCAAAGGAACGGGCAAAATACTTTGATAGCCCCGATTCTAGGAAGTCTTCGCCTATGCAAAACGTGGAGACATACCGACCGGCTTTGCAAGATCGATCAATCTCATCTGTATATACCATACGGCAAGCTAATCTGGAACCTCGAGCTACATCACCAATGGTTCCTTCAGCATTGCCTGGCACTCCGACTGCGTTGGACACGCCCACTGGATCGCACCTAGGCGGTCTGTTCGGAGGTCTTCCACGTAGGGTTGTCAACAGCATGAAGAGCAAGGACAAGCTTAAGCCTCCCCGAGACTACGCCCGGAAGAAGTCGTTCGATAATTCTATCGACAGACTAATGATTGGCGAGCAAGATCCTCATGGCGTCCCAAGTCTCGCACTCAGCACAACTAACGCGTCCGGTCACGTCGATCAGCCGGACGTGAAAGAGCTTTCACCCATCGCTCGCAGTCGGTCGCCAAGCTATTCGGATGCACAATCTCTCGATCCTCTTGACTATTCATCAAGACAGTCGTCTTTATCGTCTTTGTCGTCCCGTCTTGCCGGCAGATGGGCGCTTGCCAACGAGCTCGAAGTTGGGCCTACATTGGACATACCTCATGGATCATGGAAGTCGCAGAACTCTTCTCGTTCTGCCCATACCGCGAACTCTCATTGGCTTTCTAGCGCACACGAGACATCGGATGAGCGATTCAACCGTGCCAAGGATGAGTTCATTCGTCGGAGAGTACAGGAACAAAAGATGGGCCGCGAGCGTTCGGCATCTACGACCCAACGACCTGGCTCGGCTCTTGATCAAACTGCTTGTCCCCCCAGCCCAGACGATGTGATATTCAATGAGCGTCAAAAGGTAGTCAGCCAGCATCAGAAGGTCGAGGAGTACCTTGGCACACATCACGCAGAGTCTTCCGAGAATAGTCCTATCGGAGGACAAGAGCGAGGCTTAGCCTTCTGTTCTTCAGAAGAACAGTTCACGCCCATGTCGCAGTCAACCTCGAATCCGTCCATCCCATCCGTCGCATCCGCTGGCTCGTCAGTCCCAGACGAATGCGGGTCTCTGGACCAGTTCGCGAACATGTTACCAACAGCGTCTGCGGATTCGATTGCACACAACCAGTTTGATGCTCCTCTCGATGACCTTGCCGGCTACGACGGGGATCACGCTATCGATAGCGACGAAGAAGACAGTAGCGATGACGATGGTGGCCTCTTTATGGGCAGGAAAAAGCCCGCGCCCAAACCTCGACGGAGCAACTCAGTTTCAAACGGTGAGCTTGCTCGCTCCAATATCTCGAAAGATATCAGGAGTAGCCGCCGCCGCTCAGCTCGCAGTGGTAGCAACGGCACCGTGAAGAAGATCCCTCCGCCTGGTGCGGCAGACGCATCGGCCACCGCCTCTGCCGAACAGACCCCGGAAGCTTGAGCACATCTGCACTTCGCATACCACACATCATTGTCTCTGTACGAATCTGCATACCTCGGGCGTCTCGAAACAGCACACATGATATATCGGAATACCCATTGTTCTTATTGTATAAACACAGCACCAACATCACCACATATAAACCCCCTCCCCCCCCCATATGGACTGGCGCGCGGCGTTTCACCACAAAACTTCAATTACGGCGGGCGTTCTCTTATCCATCTCCTTTGGCCCCAGCCACTACCCTTCAGTACCCATCGAGACCATTTTCTGCTTTCCATTTTGCATGGCACGAGGCGCGTCGGAAGATCAGATATACATTCAGGCGACAAGGCGGCACGTATGATTGACGAAACGAAGGAATGAAAAGGCAAGCTGCGATGAGATGAGCCGGGATGAGCTGAGGCCTAGTGTCGCAGGCTAAGGCTCGTTGCAAAGTGTTTGCATCGTGTCCGGGTTCGCAGGGCTTTAGCTTGTTTCGGTAATGTGCATTAGACCTCTCTCCTCTTTTGTATTAACAGTGGCCCTCGACGAGGTAGAGGGTGCGCTGCTTGTGGCGGCGGTAGTGATAGTAATTCCTGGTGCTGCAAGGCCCACTTGTACCATTCTCGCTCTCGAACGTGCCATGCCGTGCCGAACTCTGATCCGTCATGTCTTCTTCGCCCTTCGCACCGCTCCTGCCGCTCCTGCCCAGCCGCACACCGATCGCGTGCACTTGTTTACTCATCTAATACCATGTGCAAACGCCTCTCGTGTCGCCTTCCTCACCTACACAATATTCCTCGTCTTCCTTGCTCACTAACCGCGCCGCCCTCGCCGCACGAATCGACTCTCCCGACCCAGTGTATGGCTCCCTGCCCATACCATGCAATGCCGTCCCATATGTCCCCGCTTCGGGTACCGTGCAGTACACCTTGCGCACGCCGCACGCCATGTCAGCGCTGATCGGTGTGATAGGATTCTTGCGCGCGTGGAGCGGGAGGCACGTGGTTTGTCGGGCTCTGTTGCGCTGAGTAGCGCTGAGTAGCGCTGAGGACGGGAGCATGGGGGTAGTGTAGCATTAGGTTTAATAATTTCCAGCGGCAGCGTCGGGGTAGTAGCTAGACATAGCGTGGAGGCTGGTTTGTAGAGATAGGACTGTTGGGGTGTGCACTATCGTACAGTACTGTGCAGTGCAATAGAGGCTGAGTGAGCAATGTGTCATCGCACTTGCATTGCATGTCAGTTCTGTCAGGTATGGGACCGGGTGCTGAAGCCGAAGCTAAGGGCGAGAGTGCGGGGATGAATGGGTGTGGACACGCGGTGGCGTGTAGTGGATCTATGGAATTACGTCAACTCTGTCGCTGCAACGTACTGCATGCAGCGTGCTGCTTAGAGGCCTATTTGGGCTGGGGGGTTTTGGGGGCGTTGTTGTGTGGCGTCGGCCGTCGATCGCGGTCTTGGAACGTATAGTTTTTTCCTGCAAGGCTATGTGGCTTCAGCGCCGTCTTGCAGACATATGGTTTTTTGTATCAGCACAGTACTGGCAGTGCCTCAGATGAATCGCCTGGGAATGACGTGAGACTTGCGGCTCGCCTAGACGATGGTGTGGATGAGGCCTTGATGCAACAGCCACAGGACGCAAGAGGCATACGGTAGGTGGTCTTAGAACAGCAGCATAAGTAGGACAGATTTCGCCTGACAGTTATTGGGACGATAACATAGCGTCCTAGTAATCTGGATCGAGTCTGACGCAGGCACTTGCGGTCACACATCACACCCACCTGCACAGCAGGAAGCGCCTGGTCAACAACATGCCGAAGTTATGTCACGCGATTTTAGTGATATTGCATGTGAACGTTTTTTCAGAGAAGAGACTGAACAATGGAATAATCTGTCATAGAGGGCGAACCAAGGTCATCAGCATGTGCTCTAATGTTTGGCTCTGAATGAAGCTCTCAACTTATGATTCAAAGTTACAGCCGCCTGGCATTGGTGGGTGCGACCTATTGTGCCAGGGTGATGAACGGTTCCCAATCTTGATGGGTTGTACAACACTCAAGGTATTTGAAGGAAGGGTCATACCATCCAAATCTAGATAAAGATCTTCCCAGAGCGAGACCAATTCGGTGCCCATACGTTCTTCGAAACTCCTTGCGGCACTACTACGACAAATACACGACCAGCTACTTTTTGAGTATGACCTGCATAGCTAGCAAGTGCAGAGTTGAACGACATCGTTTCGCGACCCTACTTGCAGGTTTTAAGCGCATTTGATGATGGAGGGTGCAGTCTGAATAACGACTGATGCCGTGGATCGTCTTCCTGTCTGATGACATGTCAGATTCGTGGTATACCGGCTTCGCAGACCGAATCAGATCCTAGAAGCGGCAACAAGTACCGGATGAAGTTGAGTCTTTCGTGAGCATCAAGCTTGGTACTTTATGTAAGGACCAGAACAGAATTGACTCCAGCGTCTCACTCGCAACATCAAGTCCTCCCGAAATTCCCTATAACATCGACACTCAGCCTCGATCAAACGATTTCATCCACCTGGAAATCGATTTTGGAGACGATACCTGCATCAAATCGCTAGACTACGCAACCTTCTCCAGCTGGAGTGCCGTCGAAGAGCTCTTGATAGATATGGAGAAAGACGGCATAATCATTGAAGAGCTCTGGGATGTGGCTGGGAGCCTGCAGGTATGTATGGGCGATTGGGACGCTCGTGTTCGTCCAGGATGGGATATTCGAATGCACGCACGGGCAACGCTAGAGACACATTGTCTAGACAACAGCAGCGACAGCGATGGTTCTGAGAACATTTCAGGCCAATGGGTTGAAGAAATTCTCGATCAGTATCAAGAAGAGTGGTGCCTTCCAAGATGGAGGGCCAAAGTTGAGCAACAAGAATCGATGAGCATCGTCATGCAGGAACCATCTTATTTAATGCTCGCACTGGGTTGCGTATTGATGGTATTTTTCACAGTCGCGATCGTCGTGTACACTGCTTGATACCGAGCTCATGAGAGGGTGCTCAGGTGAAGCAAAGCAAAGCGGACAAGACAGGTGCAGAAATCCAGCATTTGTCTACCGCCTGCGATCCACGTCGGCCTAGCGCGCGAGACTAGCGCCTTCTTGTGCGTGGATGACGTGGGGGAACACCTTCGCCAGGCCTCAAGACACGAACGAGTCCAGCAAGACAAACGATGAACAACATGGCTTCGCGAATAAACAATCTGCGCTCGATATTGCCGGATTTGGAATCTGCGCTCACCTCTTTCACACATTCGTCATCGAGGTTCCACATCGTTCGCACCATCAACCCCACCAACACACAACCGAAGACACTCTACATCCTAGACTCCAGTTTCAATCCGCCTTCGATTGCGCATCTTTCGCTTCTACAATCTGCATTGCAAGACAATGGCCAGCTGGAGCATAGTCCATACAGGCTACTGCTTTTGTTTAGCACGCAGAATGCAGACAAGGCTCCCAGCCCCGCAAGCTTTGTGCAGCGCATCGCGCTGATGACTGTTTTTGCCGAAGATTTCTCGCGGACACTGAAGAATTCGTCTGCTGGCACAGATCTCGCGAACATATCAATTGACATTGGCCTTACCAAAGAGCCGTACTATTCGGACAAATCGGTAGCGATAAGGGATACCATCCCTCCCTTCTACTCTTCCGATCCTATTCACGTTCACCTCACCGGCTACGATACGCTCATCCGCTTCTGCAATCCCAAATATTATCCCAAGTATGATCCACCGCTCTCGGCACTGGGCCCATTCTTTGATGCTGGCCACAAATTGCGTGTGACGCAACGACCGGCTGACCCGACTGACATGTCTTCGAATGAGTATGGTTCTGTGGAGGAGCAGCAGAAATATGTGGACCACTTGAGGGACGGTACACGTGAGAAAGATGGCTTCAAGTCGGACTGGGGTCACAGCATCGATATGGTAAAGGCTAAGGATGGCGTGGGAATCAGCTCGACAAGGGTGCGGAATGCTGCGAGAGAGCGCAAGTGGGACGTGGTGCAGGAGCTATGCACAGAGGGCGTCGCCGCGTGGCTTAAGGATCAGAGTCTATACCTTGAAGCTGGTGGTGTCTGAAGGGACAGCACTGCTTCCTCTACGACCGGCAGCGATAATGACCTTCAAATTCGAGCGCTTTCCGGAAGCTTCCTTAGTTCTTTGCTGCTCTTGCTGCCTCACCACCGTGCTTGCCTCGTCCGTATGTTTAGCGGCACCACGTGGCTCACGTCCAGCAATGTCAAAAAGTAACGACACCAAAGCTCACACCAGTCACTCCGCCACCACAAATCAAGCATGGCGTCGAACTTCTGTTGTATCGCAGAGCAGGAGGGTCGACCGGACTCACCAGAGTTACCCAATGCTCGTCTAAACGGCACTACGCCTGCAAAACAACCTCTGTTACCAAAGCTACCTGGGTCCTCAAACTCTCGCTTTACGAGCTTTCGATCCGACGAACTTCACGAACTTCACCAGATCTTCGATCGTGCTCAAGATGGCGCAGACGACAACACCACTCCTGCCCGGGCATCTCGTGCACGGTTCAGCCGTGCATCGGTCTACAGCCTGCACAGCTTGCACAAGATGACAAGCATGCGTTCCTTGATAAGGCGAAGGTTTTCGCGAGATCTGACAAAGAAAGAATCGGCCTTCGAGATCCACACCGAGGCAACGGAGAGCGTCATCACGAGCGATCACGACACTGTGGTCAAGATCTCGAAGATCGAGGCTACTCAGCAACTTCAAATCACGAAGCACGACCTGCGCAAGGATCTACTCAGCGATAAGAAGCCAGATCAAGGCGGTTACGACTCGGATGCTGAGATACTTGGCGTTTTAGCACGTAATGCCGGCAAGAAAACACCCAGCAAAAGAGCGAGCATACACACCGTCCGATGGTCACCATCTACTGGCAGGTGAGCTTATGGTCACAGCTTATCACCTCGTCATGAGTCTGACCTGTACAGCAAATCAACGCCAGAATCTTCAACCAAAAGCCGCACCGATGGTGAACGTGGTCGCCACGAAATACCGCCTTACCAGATCCAGAAGCCTCCAGCTGTCTCACTGGCCACCCGCGTCGGCCATGTCTTCAGCACACCGAACCTACGCGTAGACGTCTCAGGTGGGAGAAACTGTGCGTTTAGACGCTCTCAGTCTGCCACGTCAATAGGTCTTCCACAAGTGCTGCCTCTGTCACCACTGTCACCGTTGCGACTTCCTAGTCTTACCGATCATGACCAAAACGGGATCCCCTGGGCTGAAACAATCAATGAAAGTCTTCGTCTCTCGCAATTCCCACCCCCACCAGATCATCTTAGTCCTCGAGGCTCACAAACATTACCACTGCCCGATGAGGCCGTTAAAACAACACAATGCGGGAGCCAAAAATCTAGCCCTGATGAAGGAGACCCAATACAAAGACCGAGCAAGTTGGCTACAGCTGCTGCCCAACCAGTCGGAATCCATATCCAACCACCGACTTCTATGGCCAGTCCCCGCCCGATCAACTTCGTTCGTGGCACACTCCAAACAAATGCACAACCTCTTTACGTTGAGGAAGCCAACGAGAAAGAATGTGAGAAGGAGGACAACTCACGTCATTCGGTGCATCTCTATAGTATGCGCATCTCGCACCATTTACGCTCCGGTTCACTGCTCTCATGGGAGCAGCTAGCTGATGCACCCGTACTCCCCTCACCAACGCAAACATGCCATGATCGAACCACTTCCGATCAGAGTGGCATGTCCCAAATGAGCAGGCAGATAATTAGACATGAGCGGCAAACGTCCAGCTCAGAATTCGCGAGCTCACAGGTGCCATCTAGATGGGGCAAAGTCTTGCTTGGGGATCACGACGTCCGAAGCGATATGGCATCTTCCATCTATTCAAGCCGACCACAGAGCCCCCCTGACAGCTTTGTCGCATCCTTGACTAGTTTAGGTCAAGTAGGCACGGCTTATGACAACTCCACTGGTAAACCTATCCATCTTCCTCGAATCCGTCGATCGAACTCTCCCCCAACCGACAACGAGGAAACACCTCGGGCGGCACCACGATATGGGTCTTCGAACCTGAGATCTGTACAAGGTGCACCCTTGACGGAGTCTTTGTCAGGAACACCTGTATCACTGGCACGAAAAAATAGCGTTGCAGATACCAAGAAGTCCAAGTTCCGCGAAGAGTTCAGCCCTTCCCCACCGCGAAGGAGGATTGCCCCATCTGAATCGATTGTCAAGTTCCTGAACCTGAAGCGACTCAGTGGTAGAAGCCAGAGCGCAGCATCTCTGATACCTGAACCTCTTATTCAAAGAGGTGACGCTACCTTCGATGAACTCGACGTTCCGACCAGCCGAGAACGACGACAGTCGCAGTCTATGATGAGCCTACAAGCGGAACAGAGTGCTTCATGCAAATTCAAGGGCCCCAATCATGTTTGGGACCAAGCACTGAAAGCCCATCAAGAAGAGAAAGCATCTTTATTCTTACCCATAAATCGCGACCTGGCTGCACGTGCCAGTCCCTTCCGCGAACGCAGCGGAAGTGTTATGACTCGCCATAGCGCGAACGAAAGCAGCGCTCCAGTAACGTCAGATCCTCGGACTGTATCTGGGAATCTTTTCACTCCATCATATAGTCCGTCTCCGATACCGAATCTCTACACAGATGATGAGCTGTGCCATTCCCGTTTCGTCTCACGAAGAAGTGCCATAACGGACGTCAAGGCAGGAAGCGTTGATCGAGAGGTCTCCGTCATTTTCGAGAAGCAAGGTGATAACCCTGATATCGTAGGAGCATGGGGTCGATATCCTTCGCATACTCGCGAAGATCGCGCCAACTCCGCCAGCAAATCAGACCGTGTGGCGAGCCGCGATTTTGCGCTCGAAGCTGCGATCAAGTTTGCATCCGCTCAATATGTCGATGAAGATATGATCGATCCCACTGAGCGTATACCCTCTACGCCACTGACACCAGGAGATAAGAGGAGAAAGAAGAAAGTAGGCGGTGAACGTATGGCAAAAAGCAACTCTATGACGTTTGGCAAGATGTTCATGAAGAACTATTCGAACATTTTCAAGAGCTCTTCCCTTGAGTTCAGGAAGCATGGGCGAAACCATCGCAGTTCCATTGCAACTGGCGGTGTGTTGGAGTTTCCAGAGCTTGAGCTACTTCCTGAAGTAGGGAAACAGGGATACTCTGTTGATGGTAGTAGCTATGGGAGTCTTGGCCGGCACCACTCAACGACAAGACGTCGTCGTACCAGTGATGGTCATCCCGCAAATGAGTTGCAGATGCTTGATTCTTCGACTACGTTGCGGCCTAGGCGGAATTCTTCAGCACCGAATCTCAACTTGCTTACTTATGACGGTACGAATGAAGATCAGCAAGGAAAAGATAACGCTCGCGTCTGGTCCATCTACTACGATGATTGCGTTCCCTCATATCCTCGCGCTAGTATCGACAGTTTTGGTCCAGCTCGGTTCGCTTTCGAGAGCCGAAACCCATCTTTGCGATCACGCACCATGCTTGGGCGCTCAACAAAGCACTCACGCGACAACAGTCGGTTGAGCTACGCCAGTTTTGTTAGCCGAGGAAGTGCACGCCCATATGCCAAGCCTCAGGAAGAGGATGATGACTTCGCAGAGAAGAAGAGCGTGGTCAGCGTTCGGCACAGCACTATGGATTTGATATCGAAGTTCAAAGAACAAGAGATTGCCGAGCATGAGAGAGTGCTCTCTATGGGAAGACCAGGGAGCCGTTACGGGAGTGGAGCATTGGCAGCGCTGTAGGCTTGTGGGTTGGACGACCGGGTCGTATGCGATACGTTTGTATTCCTACTTGCAAGTCTGTATGGATAGAAACAATTATGTCTTTCTCCGAACGAGGATAACAGTTGTTTTTGCTCATGATTCTGGGGGTATTGCCTAAATCACGTCGTCGTATCATCGCGGAAAAGTGTAAACTGCTGCTTCTTCAAGGAATCGAGAAGCCAAGGGTAAATTCAGGTGGTCAATGTATTGGACCACGGGTCGTTCATGAGATCAGATAGACGAATGTATATAGAGAGCACACGCGGTATAGTACCTTAGCCATGAGTCTTGTGCTCAGTGGCCTGAGTCGCTCTTTTGAGCGTCACAGCAATACTTGTGACAATCTCTGCGTGTTTGAAGCAATCCACACCAGCTCTAAGTGCGTGCTCTACTGCGACACAACATTATGGACGGAGGTAAGGCAGAGATATGAAGAGGCTTACCCGCCTATAGATAGTCTAGCACTTTCGTGGTTTTACCTGAGATTTCTCATATGACAGATCCTCTAATAGCCGGACTTCCTGCAACATTTACTCGAACAGAGGCAAAGTACTTATTTAGGATTGCTTGTTGATAGGATCCGAGAAGCATACAACAGAAAGGGGCTCTTAGATTTGAACTCGAGCATCAAGAAGAAGCAACCCTGCACAAGACACCACAACGACTTAGACAGGCTTACTGACACATACCTAGAGGGTGTTCCGCGTCTACTACTGCTACACAATCCTGTCACCGGTTTTTTGGGGCTTGCGATGTCTGATCAGTGGCTGACGATCAGGAATTCACAACACCAAATGCTTTTTCTTTGCTCCAGGGGTGATAGCTGCAGGAACAAGCATAGCTAAAGACTCGTAATGCGCATTATCCCATACGCAAGCATGCTTGACACAGAGTCAAGCTCTGATGCCAAGCCGATCCACTCCGCCTTCTAAAACTGCCGTTGAATTGTAGAGCTGCGTAATTCTGGACGTAATTATTGGTTGTACAGTGCAGCGGAGTCTCCAGAATCGTCAAAATGTGGAGATTCGGGCGGGTAGTGCCTTCATCTATGCCGTATGTGGTTAGCCCACCGCGCGTCTCGCACGCTCCGGCCTTATGTATACGTACAACACCAAAACCCCATGTCACGACAAATTGGCAGGCAGGGTAAAGCTTGTGTGTCAGGGCCTGCTTTGTATTATTAGCCGGCTGATTGGTGCGCAGCAGCTTACGCGTGTGGAGAGACAAGCGTAATGTTTGAAACGAGACCAGGAAGAGGAGAAAACAGGGCGCATTGGTATCAACGAAATACTGTAGCTGGGTATATTGGGGTTGTCATGGAGAGCATCAATATCGATTCGTACGTGGAGAGTGCGAAGTCTGCGTCGATATGGAAGGGCAAATCGCTTTGATCGAATGTGGACTTTCATCATAACCACATTACGCCACCAGAATCTCGAGATCTCAAAAACTCCGAGACGACAACTCGGGCCCGCTTTGCAGGCTTTTGCCAAGACGGTTGTCCGTCCTCAATTCAGTGCCTTGCGTATGCTTGGTGACGACTCAGCCTGAGCGAGGCCTGAGCACGACGATATCAACGCCGAGAAAGTGGAAATGCATTGACGAGCTCTGATATAAAAGTCCAGGTATCAGGCGCTCTAACAACCATCATCAACTCATTCACTTCTCTACAACAGTCTCTTTATCTCCAATCAATCTTTCAACATGAAGCTCATTTCTGCCCTCGCAGGAGCCGCTTTCCTCGCTCAACAATCCGCTGCTCATCCGGGTGACAGCCCCGAGGAGCATGCACGTGAGATTGCTCAGCGGGCTGCATATTTGAGCACCCATAAACGCTCACTCGCCCATTGCGCCGATACACTGAAGGCTCGCGGCAATGACCTCGCTATGGCTCACCGCCGTAGTCTCGAAGTCAAGAAGATGCGTGCTAAGCGCGCCATCGATCAAAGTAAGTCAAGTCGCCGCGATCTCACTCAAGCAACATCCACTAACCGCTACTATAGAGAGGAATTACCTCCGAGCCCGCGACCTGGACACCGTCCTGGCGACCTCCCACGCCTCGAATTTGACGGGCATCACTGCTGACACTGATCCCTCTGTTCTTTTCACTGGAAACAACTCCTGCATTCTCACTCCGGAGGTTACTCAGGGTCCCTATTGGGTCCAGGGCGAGCTTATCCGTGAAGACATCACTGAGGACCAGGAAGGTGTACCTCTGCACCTCGACATCCAGGTCATCGATATCAACACCTGCGAGCCCGTCCCTTCAGTCTACCTCGAGCTGTGGCACTGCAACTCCACCGGTGTCTACTCCGGTGTTGTTGCTAGCGGCAATGGCGACGTCAGCGACGAGTCGAACCTCGACAACACCTTCCTTCGTGGTATCAACCAAGCTGATCAGAGCGGTGTTGTACAGTTTGACACCCTGTTTCCAGGGCACTATACCGGTCGCGCCACTCATATTCACGTCATGACACACACACTCGATGCTACAGTGAATGACAACAGCACTTTGACTGGTACTTCGGTCAGCCATGTTGGTCAAATGTTCTTTGACCAGGACCTTATCGAATCGGTAGATGCCGTCGAACCCTACGCGAGCAACACCCAAGAGATGACTACGAACGCTGAGGACTCCATTCTCAGCGAAGAGGCCAGCGACGTTGACCCTATGATCGAGTACGTCTTGCTCGGTGATAGTATCTCTGAAGGTATTTTCGGATGGCTAGCTTTCGGAATGGACTCGAGCTCTTCTTACAACGTCACTCCTGCGGCCAACCTCTACGCTGAGGGCGGTGTAGCCAACGAGAACTCTGGTATGGGCGGCGGTGGCGCCCCTCCGGGTGGCAACGGTACTGGTGGTGCTCCTACTGGCCCAATGCCTTCCGGTGCTGTTTCCTCTGGTGCCGTATTTTCTGGCGCCGCTGCATTGACTGGCGGCTCAACCTTGACAACCGTTGTCTCCTCGTCTGCTGTCGCTTCTTCTGATGTCGCCTATTCCACTGTCGTTCCTTCTGTCGTCTCCAGTATTGCTACTTCCTCCGCTCCCTCGGCAGCCCCATCCAAGGCTCCTCAGGGCGGTAATGGCCAGAACCAACAGCAACAGAATCCGCAGGGCCCGCAACAGCAGCAGCAGCAGCAGCAGCAGCAGCAGCAGCAGCAGCAAGGCCAGAAGCAGGGCCAGCAGCAGAACCAGAAGCAAGCCAACGGTCCCCACCACAACTAAGCCTCAGACCGGTACATGTGTAGTTTTCGAACACTGCGCAGCAATTAGCTTAAGCATAGCGAAGGAGCACTCTTAATCCAACTTTACACACTCGTTTAAGAAATTCAGTATTACCTGCATATTCATCTACCATTGCGAGCATTTGCCTTTGTATCCCTTCGCACTTTCGTGACTTCCTTTACCGTGCATATCCTGCGTGGGTTCTTGCCACTCCAGCTCCAGCTTCAACTCCGATTCCTGACAACCCACAACTCTCTACGCAGGTCAAACCTCACTCCACCCACACCTCACCTCTCACAATCCTGCAACCCCCTAAGTAATTCATCCAACGCCTTTTGCCTCGCACCCTCCCTCCCATTACCTTTCACTTCACCCCCCTTTCCCACTGCCTCCGCGTTCACCACCCCTTCCTCCCCGACCAACCCCTCCAGCTGCCTTCCCACCGTCTCGCGATCCAACACGCGCCTCGCGTCCTCGAAACCACCAATATCCCTGACATTCGTGAACCCCAGCTCGAGCAGTCTCTTCCGTGCGATGGCGCTGCGCCGCCCGCTGCGGCAGTACAGCGTGATTTGGTCGTTTTTCGCAACGGTGGTATTTTGCGCGGCGTAGATGTCGGCGAGCGAGTCGATCGACGTGTACTCGATGTTCACCGTGGGTGCGATATCCGAGACGAGAGGGCCAGTGGAGAATTCGAGGGGCGAGCGGACGTCGATGAGGAGTTCTTGCGGCATTGTGACCGGGGATGTGTTGCGGTGTCAGCTGTGCTGGATGAGGGGTAGCGGCATGGCGGGGTTGTTGACACTTTCTCGACTGGCGGAGGAATTAACTTGAACTCTCCGAGGAAGACCTCTGAGTCTAAACCGGGGACACTGCACTCATGAACAGCGAATTTGCCCACTCTATTTCACACGTCTACACATGTATACTATGCCCCTCGGAAAGCGGTACATGTATCAATCGTAGACGCAAACTCTATTCAAATCAATCAAGCAATCTGAATGATGATATATTGCATGGCGAATTGCTGATGGACAGAGCCGCATGGCGGGCACACAGTCGACAAAAAAGAGCCGGCACCAAGCCACCAACAAAGATCACATCTTTGTCACAATGTCACCTTACGACAACAACCTAAAGTAATACCCGGAGCTACGTTTTGCCAGGGAAAGGGGCACTCTACAATTACAGAAATTCAAATACTATATTCCTGGTGTTGTTACCTTGTCACAAAGCTGCGAGCAAAGTTAAACTTAGGCGTCTGCTCTTTTGTCAACACCAAGGTCTTTTTCGCGATGTTGACGAATATAACTAAGTAATCTCGATGATGATCCATTGCTTGGCGAATGCCTTTCTATGTACATGGATACTGTGACTACGCAACACTGCTTGCGGCTCTTGCCTTTTCAGTCTATGCTCTTCAATGCCTGAGCCGGTGGTGTATGCCTGCCGTGTCGATGCACCCTTTTTGAACTCCGTCCCAGTATTAACAAATCCCATGGTATAGAACAGCAAAGCATGTAAAAGACGAAACATGATATCGTAAGCATCGCGAGAGAAAACGCTGGGTCGGTAGGCGTCTGAGCGCCTTTACCAGCTGTGAGATGCCAATCTGGCGTGGATAATATGAAAGTGTATCCAGAAGGTGACGCGACGCTTGTGTGCGTCTTGATGTAAATCTATGAGCCCTTCATCAGGCTGTTATTTGAGAAGTTGAAGTTGAGGAAATCGAATTTGTCCCTCGAAGTGTTACGACTCTCGACTGTGAGTGTGCTTTGAGCGGTGGTGTCCACAGAAGGGGATCCTCGAGTAGGATGTTGGAGCTCTCGTGGCTCGAGAAGGAGAGAGCGACGGTAGTAGCTCTGAACATTGGCCTGGTCGCTCGATCGGACTCGCTGGATCTGCGTCTCCATCCAGTCCTGCATCTCAGGGATGACAGCAAGACGGTAAGGGACTTGGAACGATTGCAGCTGACCAATGATCTTCGCTGTCTTCATGTGCTTGTCGAAATTAATCACGGACATGCTGTCGGATCCTGAGTCGCCAGGAAGTTGGCGAGTAGTACCATTACCGACGTCGACAAAGGTGAGATCAGTAAGATAGATTCCAACGAATGGAATACAAGGTGCGACGTGATTATGTAGTCGCTGACGAAGGACGGCATAGTTACGTCCAACGTCGGTGATGGCTTTGAGCTCTTCAAGGCGAACCTTTGTCTTTCCTGAGACAAGTTCCCAAGTCTTCTTTAAGCGCATAACCATAGATGAGTTGAGAGAGCAGATGATAGCCATAAGAGAGTCGTAGTTGTTCAACTCTAAGCACTTCGCAGCAATCTTGACCCAGTGCTTGATCATGACAGCTCGCTTCTTCGCATCCTCAAGATGAAGGATCGTGTCCGCAACCAAATTGGCAAGGTCGGTCGACAGTTTGGACATTGCTTTGACATTGATGGCCTTAGAGTCGCTCTTCTTGGTCCACTCCAAGGCCAGGAGTTCTTCTGGTTGAATGTCACAGAACAACTTCGACTCAATGATGGTGAACTGCCTAGCCAACTCCAGGGGATCGAAATCGAGGATACTGCATTGCGTACGGCCTTCTTTGCTCGATCTCAGGGCATTAAGCTGACTCTTCGTAATGATTGAAGATGGCGCATTGCTGTCGTTGGATGAGAACATCGTATGCGAGATACCGGTCTTGCCAATAGAAGAGACGAGTCTGGGCACAAGAGCGCCTGCGCGAACCTCGGTGACCTTAGATGTGAGCTCTGCAAGACGTTTACCTGCTGTGGGCAGAGCAGATCGGAGCTTCCCAGTGGCAAAGGACAAGACTAAGCCTAGAGCGGCCGAATCGCTATCGGCTGACCAATGGCTCTCAAGCCAGCCTTTGAATACGTTGTATACTCTGAGCCGAACTGGAACACCAACTGCCTGGCTGTCACCAACATAGTCGAAGCGATCGATAAGAGTTTGTGCCAGCTCGACAGGCGTAGTGAAGAGGCGAAAGGTAAGATAGAAGGTCGTGACGAAGACGGAGTCCGGAGTAGATTCATGAGTTGTGAGCTGCTCGACAAGGGCTGGAAGGGAACCACCAGAGATCTGACCTTCCTTGTTGTAGACGAGCTCATGAACATAAGTGGTCTCGAGCAAGTGTTCTTCACCAGCTGCGACGTCTTCGTTCACCAAGGATCGGAGCTCAGAAGAGCTGCCAAAGCTACTTAGCAAAGCATGATTCTTGGAGGACAAGTGATCTGGAGTAGTAGCCCGGGTGGAAGTATGAGAGACCACACTTTCGTTCCCAATACTGAAGTTAAACGTGCTGCTAGAGTCAGCCACCGAGGCATTGACGCTATCACTGCGAGCAGTTTTGGTAGTTGGTGTTGTAGTGCTTGCTGGGCTTCCTGTGAGCTCATGTGCCACGGATTGGTCCGGCGTGGTGGCGTAATCTTCATTGACAGACTGCAACGATGACGTAAAAGACGTTGATGTCGAGCTCTCCATGCTCTCTGCAATGACAGCAGGTATAGCGGGTGGCAACTCTAGGCTGTCCGTCTCTGAGGGCGACTGAGGGATGTCTGGCAGGGGTTTCGACTCGGATGTCACGGAAAGTACTAATGCTTGTGGCTCTTCAACTGGTGGCGCAGGTAAAGGCTTGTCGGTCTCCAGTGTAGGCTCTGGGGCCTTCCGTGTCGCCTTCTCTTCTTCGGATTGGTCAAGTTCGACTTGTTCGAAGATCGGTTGTGATAGTCCTAAACCGACCACTTCGAACTCAAAGTCTCCAATCTTCTCGATGATAAGACGAGTTTTAGCGACACAGTCACCAGAAGATCGGACACAGCTAGTCGCAGCAGCAACAAGCTGTTTCCCTGAGCTTGGTGTGAAGACTGCTTCGTCCATGTCGGTATCTGAAGAATTAAACATGTCCTTTGTAGCCTGCACCAGTTCGGTAAGTCGCAAGTACATTGTGTCGCGTGATTCTTCCAGAGCACTCGATCTCTTTGAGTCGCGTTCCCATACTTCTTCGACAATGGTGAGGAGCTGGCGACACGCAACAACAGATTCTTGAGTGATGTGAGCCAGCTCTTCCGAGGACCGGGACTGGAGATGTAACCCGATGAAAGATCCAATGAATCCCAGAAACGAGTCTTGTGCAGCGTTCAGCCGCTCCGAAGCAAGGTTTTCCTTCCGAGCACCTGGCGATGCTCCTGTGTACGACAGGCGGTGGGTGACAGAAAGCCTCTGAGCTTGTGTCTGGAGCTGAGAGGGTAGTATAGGCGATTGATACGATTCTGGTTCAGAGGGTATTGAGAATGCAACAGAGAGACGACTGAGGATCCGCGCTGACTGAGGTGTGGTGTCCAGGTCATCGCGCGCCAAACCGGGCGCTTGTACTACCAGAGAGCTGCGTTGATTGGCTGACGAGTCATCATCCTCTGCTGGAGTAAGCGCTGACAATGGTAGTACGGCATTATCAGCAGAGTCGGCTGGCGGTGTCAATGGGCGTTGTGTCTCCTTGTCTTTCAGCTGGAACGATAACGACACCGCATCCGTTGCCCATATGTCAAGAAAACGGACTGCTCGTGTTACCAGCTTGAACGCCTTAAGCACGAGCTCGTCGAGCAGATCAAACACTGGTACAGCATCGTCAGTTGATTGAAGCGACTCTTGTAGCTTCTTCGCTGTCTTTACGAGTGTTGATAGATCACCGAGAAGCCCTTTACGCATGCGCCGCAAGCCAATATGCGCCAAGACTAGATGCGAGTCTCTTGATAGACAGTCGGTCCTTTCCTGCAAGTCGTAAGTAACGTTTAGGTAAGCAGGCTGTGGCTGCTTGATCTTACCAGGAAGAACCGTATACCAGCGATCATTCCCCTAACATAGTCCTGCTTGGTAAAGGCAACCAGGTTTCCACCCTCTCCATCTCGAACAAGATCCCAAAGATGTGTCAGTGCATTGAGTAGGTTGCGGATAGTAGGATGGTCATAGGGTTCGCAGTAGTTCGTGGGCAGCCATCCACGTGCTCCAGATCCGAGTAATGTGCCATCAGCCCAGCCATTGGGGTGTACCGAATGCACCAGGATGACGTCGCCCTGCTTGATCGCTACCGTTATCGAAGATTCGTCTGTCGACGAACACACCGTGGAAGCCGGGACGTAGTGGTAAAAGGCGCGGAGGTAGTGGTGGAAGACCGGCTGGGCAGGAAGCTGCCGTGTCATTGAGTCGCCAGCTGTTGTAGGAGTCAATGGAGGGGAGATCTGAGAGTGCGACTGCGATTGGATCGAGAGAGCTCGCGACGATTGGCGGCTGTGGCTGTAGGCGCTGATGTGCGACTTCCTGGGGGACTTCGAGATGTTGAGAGGCGCGACGATGTCGCTCGAGTAACGCTCCGTGTCTTCAGAGTCGACGGTGTAGTCGCTCATCCTGGCGGCGATTTGCAACAGACTACAGCAAGTGGCGATCCGGAATGAGAGTCGCTAATTGGGCGCCGCTACTTGGGTGCGTCGCAGCATTGAATCCACGTAATTTAAGGTCGGTTGAACCGGGGGAGTGAATGCTCTCAATGGCACCGCGCCGAGATAGCGTAGGTATCGTGAAGAGGGGTCCGTTTGTTATGACGATGCGTGGTGTTGATGTTGTTTGATCGCTACCACGCTGTTATTATTATTGTGATCGAGGTGTTGGTTGGGTCAGGAATGGGACGACCCAATTGGGCGTGGAGGAGGAATGTGGTCAACGTCGGCCAAACACGAGGCAGCGCAGCAAATGCAACGGACAGTGGCAGTTGGTGAGGGTGGCGCGGTGCAGTGAATGCCAGCGGGTGGCCGGCGTGATGCACTGCACGGCGAGAAGAGGTCGATTACCTATTCTGGGACAGTCGGATGAACAGCCGACGTGGTTCGTCGCGGAACTGCCTGATGAGTTCAATGCGCCGAGCAAAGGTGGAACAGAGGTGTGGCGCCGACAGCGAGCGATTGGTGAGGTCTCAGACACCGTCCGTCTCTCGTGGTGAGGCCAAACGGATAGCAGTGGTGATAAGGAGGGGTGGGTGCGCGCTATGCAGCAACGGCGGTGACGCCTTGAAGTGCCGGTCTTTGCGGAAGGGACTGTGGACTTGTACAGTGAGCTGCAAGGGTCGGGCCTGCGTGCGGTCGGCGCAGGGGCAAACAAGCCGTGGGGCCCCCTCTCAACGGTCGTCTGCGTTGGTGAGGCTCAAGCGAGCCAGGGAAGGAGCGACGGGTGCAACAACACACAACAGCGTCCAGATGGAGTCGACGCAGCAGCGAGACGATCAGGGACCAGAGACCAGAGAACAGAGACCAGAGATGGGAGAACGACAATACGGCCATGATGCACGCAGGGCCGCGGCACTAATATTGCTCGTCGCCAGCCGATCTGTCGACCCACGACCTGCACCAAACCGCCAGCTTCGGGACAAGCTCGAAAAGCTTCAGGGCCCTGCGCGCGCCGTATGCTGTCAGGGCACGGCAGGGATGGGCGGCCAGGGAGCGTTGGCGGCCCTTCGGCGTCGTAACCACCCTCGACGATGGCTTGGCGGCCGGCTAGTGGGTCACGATTCGCTCATTCCAGGCCGTGCTCGCGAGGGAGACCAGAGAGTTCTCCCCGGCCACCGTTCCTTGCGCTTGCGCCGCCCACATGCAAACGTTGAGCAGTTCGCGCTCCATCGCGCATCGCCGCGTCTGAGCCCCAGCCCGACGTGAGGAATCTGAACGCGCATGGCGTCGCTTGTCGTGCTGTGCTGCCGTCACCAGCCTGCGCCCAAGCCTCCAAGATTTCCTGCCCGTTGCGAGCCAGAGCATCACCGTGACTCGAGCTGCCTGTCACAACTGCGGCTGCCAGCATGAAGGCCCGCGCAGCAAGCACACGCCAGCCCGACAGGGTTCCTGCGCGAGGCTGCCTGTCGTGCTCCACCAATGCCCACGCCCCGGCCACTTCTCGCGCTCTCAATGCGGCAGGAATCCACACGCCTGCTCAAGCCACCTAGCCTGCATGGGGCATTGTCTCGAGCGGCACTCGATCCCCGGTTGCCATGGCGGACGCCTCTAATCGGTCCCCGGGACGCCTCCTGCACTACGCAGCGATGTATGCAATGTGCTCATTGGCTGCCACACGAAATGTTCAGCGAAAAGCGAATGCGGCTCGTACTGCAAGCCCTGTAATATCGTATGATTTGACGCCGTCGGAGAAGCAAGCAGAGAGCACCTAGGCCACCTAGGCCACCAAGGCCCCTCCGGTTGGCAGCTCGTCGCACGCACCCTGGTCGACAAAGGGCAGCAGTTCGCCAGACGTCATACTGGCGGCAAGGGATGTGTTGTTACGTGGGGAGCAGATAGGTACCGATACCGGTAGATTCGAGCATTTGAGCCCCACGGGCGTTGCCTTGCCGTTCCACTGAAAGACCCTTCAACGAGCGTTGTGGCCTGGCGCGCCGCCCAACGCCGTGTCCGACGACTGAGCTCGCAAGGATTCGTTAAGATTCATCACCACGGGTAGCAGGCGATCAAGTCTGCATTGAGCGGCAGCGAAGGGCGGGTCCATCGTGACCGTCAGGCATTGCCGTGATACTAGGGTCGTCATTGCATGAACATTCACCGGAGTCTCCACCAGAATCGAGAATCTGGAGCGGAACGAAAGAGCCAAGGTGCAGCAAAAGCACACGTGCATTCCAAAATCGACAGCCATTTGCGTGGCGTTGATGCCGTGTAACAAAGTCTGCACACATGGCACACTGACGGCTCGACTCGAACTTTCGATACGTACTGCCAACGGTGGCAATCACAAAGCTTGCGATTACTCGTCTCTTGTAACGATGACCCACCATTGTTTTGGTAAGAAGCAATGCTCAACATTAGAAACGTCCCGTCCACGAGCGCTTGTATATGCAATGATGTAAACTTCCGGAGAAGCCACCCACAACTGGGTACGTGCCGTTGACCTAGGTTCTGGCCATCCAACTTCCGAATCGTCACTCTCAGTTCACCGGCTCTCCCCGGATACAACGCTTAGCCACATAACCTCATGCGAGAATGACTACTATGTACACTGCTGCTGGGAATGGGAGCTGTTCATGTTCCAGCATCCGTGCAACCGACCCCTGCTCCGAAGTGGCTCGTCCTCGAAGCTTGTTAAGAAAGGCTCGCGATCTGCACAAGGATCGGCCGACTTCTTGTATCTTTTCGCACAAGTTGTCGTTCTGAACGTTGATTGCATGGTATGTGGTTGCTTTTGCTGGGCCTGGAACTCCTTTTGTTTGCCGATTGGTATCTGTAGATGCCCACTTGATGAGCTACCTAATACCACAAACCAGCACTCACTTTGTGGGTAGGGACGATGATGTCGCACCCCAAAAACGTGCCATCACCAACTGCCAATATTCCAATGTACCAAACAACATGTTGTAAGAGGACCGACCGACAACACAAGGATATATACGATGTGCGCCACATGCAGCACGCCTCGCCGCGGAACTAACGGGTCTGAACCCAACACTGAATACCGTTCAGCCTCGACGTACAGAGGACCATCGCGTGCCAACCTCACTCCGCCCAGCTGCTGTCAATTGGACCCAACTCTAGTCATACCGCCAGACGCGCTTGTATGGATGTCGGCCTCAGACCGCAGAATTCACGATCAACGCGACAAGGCCAAGGTTTACATTTAAACAATTACTCGAACGGTACCTACGCAGTCATTGACGCGCCCGAGCTTGCAAAGCTTACCTCACCAGCATGCCATAGGCAGGGTCTGCTGTGTGGGGGGCATCTTATCGTATTCTTCCGAGCTGAGGTCCTCGTAGGCGCTTTCTCAACAAAGCACTCCTGCGAGGTGATGGAAAAGGCACAGTCCTAACGCGCGCGCCGCTCACGGAGAAATCTCCTAGCTGCCGCGATTATATCGCCGACGTCCGCTAATGCCCAATCTTCAAGCTTCGCACAAGGGCTGGTTTTGCGGTCAATTAAACACGAGTCACTTACTGTTAGTTTCATGTCGTGACAGCTCCCCGAATATGTCAAGATATGAGGATCTCCTCCAGACTCGACGAATGCAGAGCCTCAGGCCTTCCCTCATGGGGTGCTGCGCAAATTGCTGGTTCCCCTTTGGGTCGGCTAATCCTTGTCTGAAACAGCCACTGACTCGTTCGGGCGACCCGGGAACATGGCACTCGCAAAAATCTTGAGTAAAAGCGGCAGTCAGCCCGATGCATGAGTACCGGGCAATGGGATACATAGAGGCTCCACGGATAGTACCTAGCGGTCGAGTGAGCACTATCAATTCGTGACCCAAAGACATGGTTTCCACGACGGACGAGCCGGCTCACATGACGCGCAGCAGATGCATTTCACGATTATAATTAATACCTAGGTATCGCATTCATCCGCACAGGGATAAAAGCGGTAAGTACACTACGGCGGTCTCGTCACCTCACTTGCGCAAGCTTCACCGCGGCACACTCCGCTTCGGTCGCGTTCACCCTAAGTATGCCATGATGAGGATCCAGGCTAATTAAACTACCCTGGCCAGTGACTTTGAGCAACGAAATTCACACGATACCCCAGCAGCTACCGTTGCCATCGAACACGGATGATGCACGAGGTAACGATACATTCCCCAGAGCAATACTTTGCAACACGCACCATGTGAACATGTCGTAACACACTATCGACGGATACAGCGTGCGCCATCGGGACTTCATCTACCTACAACGTTGTCATGCGGCACTTGACGTGATTAAAGGAACTCCTAAATATCCTGGACACGGAGCTGGCTCGGTATCACATCGCTCCGGTCTTATGTGGGCAGCGCCTACTTGCCAAAGCTATGAACGAATGACGGTCAGTCACAGTCACGATACCGATCAGCACGCAGCGCACAGGGCGGCCGGCACGGACAAGCTGTTCACAAAAGTCCTGGATCTCGCCCCGGATTCTATCAGATTACCTTCATACGACCCCTTGCATGCACGATGTCATTACCGCCTACGCGGTCTACTGGTCGCCGATTGAAATCCTTCGCGCAATCAACTCTTCCGCGTCTGAGGCGGCAGAGCGGCGCAACGGATACGATAGCCATCAGCACGTCTCCTTCCGCCGGTACCGTTTATCAGGCTGAGCGCCATGGTTACGAGTGGTGATGTGTGGGCCATTGGGCTGCGCCTCGTTGGCACAGCTGGGTATAGACTCCTCTGATAGGCAAGTCAGGCATGCAAATCTCGCTCTTTAACTTGCCCAAGGTGGATCGTGAGCATCATGAGCCCTACGCAGGTACCATCTCACGTAAAGAACTTCGCCTGCAATTAAGCGCAGACCTGATGTGCGATCTTCGAACCCCTTCTGCGCTCCAACACAGGGATTTTCGGAGAGGTTCCGAAACGTCAGCCGCATTTGCTTCGGAAGCGCGACGTGCTTTGTAAGTAGGGTATGTTGCCAAGCAGATCCTACGTTCTTGAGCAGACGATGACGCACAGGGGTTGGTCCCGTGGCTCGGTCACATCGGTGGTACATCATTTGCAAGGGAACTTACACTCTCGTTCTGCAAGAACAATGTCAGCTTCGTGTGGCTCGAGACAGCCATTACATCAGCTTGTAGCGTCTCAGGGACTGCTTCGCACCACGCGGCACAAGCATCATCTTGTGAACGACCTACGGATGATGGGCTTGTCCCGGTATCTGCGTCTACGAGGGGGACCATTGACTGGGCACAGACGGACAGTGTCCCAGCTTCAGCACGATGATACATTTATATATTTGGACAACAATCCTCAGGCTCTGCTGCGCATATGGACTATGCTATAGGATGCTCATCACGCGTGATTTTGGGAGTGGTAAGCTGGATGGAGTTCATTCCAAGATCACATTTCTGTTTCCGACTTTGTTCAGATCATGAGGGTGAATCTACGTCAGATGTATCTCGACCGTACAAGGCCGAACACCTGTTCGCGAAATTCGACCTACATGTCGGAAATATCATGGTCCACTATAGGTCGGCATACCTATAAAATCGTCTCACGACACCCGATGCACGTCATCCCCGACGGAAAGCTGCACTGTGATTGGAGGAACAAATGCACATCCTCCACCTCGTACACGGTCATCTCCAGAAAGTCCACGAGGTTGCTATTCCTGTACCACGTTTGATGAGCACAGAAGCTTTTGCGGCGACATTGACAGGCTAGCCGCTACGTATTTCCAGAAGAGGTAGGTATGATAGCAAGATGTCGATGTCTGCTATGAAAATCATACGCATTGTATTGCAGCTACGACGTACTTGTCGTCGAGGAATTGGGGACTTAGAGTTGTTCCTGCATCCACAGAGCCTCCGTGTTCATCTCGCTATCATTTCCACGAGCCGAATATGCCAGAAGAGGGAAAAACAATTGAGGAATGGACAGCTGCTATGACGATCATATGGATCTCGTTGCAAAGTCTATCTTCCTCCTCATCTCCAGGCCCACATCCTTCAGCCTCATCACGCCTACTTCATCTTCCAGAGTCAGGTACCTACCTTGCATCTCCGCAAGAGGTAGGTTCATAGCAACACGTCGAAGGCTGCTATGGAGATCATATGACCTTGCTGCAAAGTCTATTCTACTTTCATCTCCACACTTGCATCCTTCATTTATTAGATATTCGAAAGTCACGCTACACGTCTTGCACTGCCACAACAAGTAGGTATGAAGTCAGGCATGGAAGGCTGATATGGAGATCATATGGCCACTAACATGGTATTCATTTTGCAAATTTCTCTTTCATCCTTCGAATATGGGCCTCTGCTTAACGCCTGTCTCTCGCACCAAGCTGCGTCTACATGGTGAAGGAAGACATCGAATATCAGGCAGCATTGTTACTACTCTCTCTCAACGACCACCACCGAGCAGACAACACTGCAGGTAGGTTTGCACGTTGAAAGAGTGTTATTGAACTCATCTGTCAGAGAGTGGTGAGATGAACAGGAGATGAGTCGACCCGCATCACATTTTGGACAACCCACACCGAACGACATTGAGTAGGTTACGATGAAAACTGTGGAGGACTGATATGTAGATCATATGGTCTTACTAGCAAAGTTCGGCATCACTTTAGGAACGGGGCCTCAGCTTGACGACGGCTTCTGGCAACGTGGTTACGACGCTGGTTGGACGGTGAGCACGGTATGTCCGAGCAAGGACTGTTGTGAAAGCTACTACTCTTTCGATCTGTATTGTAATCACTCTGCATAAAGTAAGAGACGTTCATACCTGACATGCTGCGCCGCAGATGTTGTTGGTATCAGACTTGATCTGCAAGTACCTACCAAACGGGATCAAGGATTAATACTCCCCGACTACTGCATGCTCTGCTCTATCCTCCTACTCCTCATCATCGCACCTCCATGCCAACCTTGATTCGCTCAAGCAGAAAACCTCATCAGAAGGACGCATCGCCATTTCGTCCACCGTCGAATCCTCACAACCAAACCCTCGCTCATCCTGCCTCCGCTGAAACCGAAAAGCAAGTCACCACCACCATTCAACCTAACGACCCTCGTCCGATACACCTCGTCCAGCAACCCATAACTCAAAAAGCTACACGTATGTCAGCTGCATTATAAAATTTGAGTGCAAACCTCGCTGGACGACGCGACCCGCTATCCCGCCTTCCACAAGCAGTGTCGTGCAGTAGCGCGAACGTTCTTTTATGTTCTTTTGCTCTCGCTTGCTCCTGCGGCCTGCGGAGCCCCGGGATGGCGTACTAGCTTGCCGTTAAGGTTGCGAGGCTGTCTCAGCCATACGGCTGTCGTGCTGCATCCTCGAGGGGTGCAGGAGTGGGTTTTGGCCCGGGGTGGTCACGGTTGCGTGCAGGCGAGTCAGGGCCGCGAGCTTCCCGACGCGCAAACTTTCTTGAGTAACATAAGTATGTAGGCGGGAGAACTACATGTGTAGCTGAACTTAATGTGGCCGTTTGGCCGCCGCAAAACTGGGATACCTACCTACTTGATCATATGGCGCGTGGCTTTCTCGTGTCGCATGTGATGGATAAATGCAGCATGGGCCGGGATCACGTGTGAGGCAGCATGTATTGGGGCTTCTCCATTGGGTATGTTAGGGCGTGTCTGTACTTGCACTACTGATTCGATATTCTCCCAGAAACCTTCTGCCGGTTGCTCAGATCAACCCGTGTCAGTCTTCAAGACACGGGTCGGATATCGTCTCGGTGTACGATACGTGGCAGAATTAATGTTGCTACGCCATAAACTTACCGTATGGACTGATCCTAGCGGGTATCATGCCCTTCTCAGCCACGATACGTCTGCTTTTGTTCCACGCCCGACGAACCTCAGTTTACTCGTTTTTCACAACCTAGATTGCGTTTCCAAGTGACAGGTCCAGCATGTTCCAGCCAAACATGATTTCATAGATGTGTTGTTGCTTTATCGGAGCGCCACTGTTACTCATGTGTTACACAACAGTCGCACATGGCCTACTGTGGGCCCGTCAATAGTTGCGGCGGCTATGCATGGGCGTACAGGGATCGGGCCGTGCATGCATGCAAGCGAGCCGCATGTGCGAGTATCTTGTGTCTTTGGCAGACATTTGCCGGTGGCTTGGTTTACCGTAAAGAAGCGAGGCTCGGTTGCCATGTAACGATAGGGAGAACTTCATGTGACTGGGCCCGAAAATCACATGCTCCGTTGTTGATGCTGGGTGCGAAACGCTGTGAAGATACGCCGGCAATCTGTGGTGTCGGCGCGGCGTACGCTCACTGCATGTCCATCTCGTCGTCATCGTAGTCGCCTGCATTACCAGAGTAGCCGTTCTCTGCTTCTTCTGCATCGCGGTCTTTGCGTTGCTGTTCTCGTGAGGCCCCGATTTTCCTGTCAACAGTCAGCTCTCCCACTCCTAGCTATAACTGAAGCCTGTTACCTCAAGCCGTCGATCACGCCTGTAATGAAAGATCTCCCCTCTCCTACTTCCATGCCTCCGACCCCGTTCATCTTGATGCCTCCGGCTGCGTCCAGAACGTCGACACCACTCCGGAGTTTTGCCATGCGCACTTCTCGAAGCCCTCTTAACAGTTTCCGCACCTGATCTGGCTCTTCAAAGTCGTCTGCCGCAGCTTCAAGCAGCATCTCGCCGAGCTCTAGCCAATGATATGGTAGCGCGTCTGGCGCAGCGTCTGCGATGGAGGATGGCAAAAAGGGCGGTGAAATCGGGAGAGGATTATCAGAGAGCTGTGGCGGAAGTCGTGGCGGCGGCGAGAACGTATCTGCATGCTCTGTCTCGTGATCCAGGATCGCGGTGAGAGAGTGCGCGTTCAGCCAGGGTGGAGGGAGGATGTTGGCGCGACGCTGACGCTTCAGCAGAAGGGCGAGCCAGAGGGGAATGTTGCTTCTCTGAGGTGGTAGAAGAGGCTTCAGAGGACCCTATTTGAGTGTCAGGCTACTGTCGAGACGGTTGCTCAATATAATCGTAGACGGAGGGGCGCTGGAGGGGTCGTACACCAAGCAGCTCGAGTCCCTCGAGTCGCTGACGAGGTATCACCGTCACGAGCTCCATTTCGCAGAGAAAAGCAATCTCTGCAGGCGTAAGCCCCGGCGGGAGAGGCAAAGCCATGATTGTGAAGCGTGCAGTCATCTCAATTGTTTGAGGAAGGGACACACAGACGCGTCGGAGGCTTAACCGAATCGGCGTTAGCGCAAGGCTCCCCCGCGGCTTCTGCCCTCTATCATTCGATACCGTCGCCAGAGCACCATCATCTTCTCCCTCGTTGTTACCCGCCCCTTACAGAATATGTATGAAAATTGGCAGGGCCATGTCGCTGCAGCCGTCTTTGCTGCAAGCACCACTGTATGGTTCGGGTTGGTGAACATACATGTCCCGGACCCATATCTGGTGAGACAAGCACCACGTCTGTGATGTTTAGAGCTGAATTGCAAGGATGAGTTCTTCCATATACCTCAGGCTCAGAATTATTGTGCAGGAGACTATACGTGGGACCCGAAGATCACCACACCTCCAGGCTTGTACGACCACATGTTCCGGGTGCGAACTTAACTAATGTTGTCTAGATATCTGGTAGCTAAGCTACTCTCGCCAGTGTTAGGATGCAGCGCAAGAACCCTGAGACTTCAAAATGTGTTTACACTCGCTTTAATCTTCTCCCAAGTCCTTCAGATACGCCGATTTATCCAAACCCAGGGCTACACTCAACGCAAAAAGGAGGGCTTGGTTGACAAAACTGGTGAAGATGTACCAGAAGAGCAATCGGGAGACTCCGAAAGTGACCAGGCACCCTTCTCTACTGCACTCACTGCCTTCAATATTGCTTCGTTTCCGCCGCTGTTCTTTTTCGGTTCCCTTTACTACACAGACATCATGTCAACCGCGTCTGTCTTGATAAGTTACTATGCACTCCTGCGAACTACCGCGAAGACGCAAAGAAGTTTCAGCGATGATCTTGTCGCCGTACTCAGTGGTATTGTGGCCTTGTCCTTCAGGCAGACCAACATATTTTGGGTGGCAGTGTTCCCTGCCGGTTTAACAGTCGTCAACGAGCTGAAAAAAAACGGGCACACATCAAGCACCGCACGTAGGCTAGGCTACATGGCCATTGTTCAAGAGAGTTGGTCAAAAGGCACAATATCCGATAGTTCCGTGCGGGATGGAGGTCTCGATGGCTCTGGTAGGTGCATGCAGCCGAGCGAGGATTTTGGCTAACTTTGTCTAGGCTCCATCATGTTCCTGTTGACTACTGTAATTGCGGCACTGAGCTCTCCTGTCAAGGTTATGAGGTCCGTGATTGCTTATGTGTCCCTTCTCCTCTCTTTTGCTGGATTTGTGGTCTGGAACGGTAGCGTTGTCCTCGGTAAGCAATGCGCATTCCCCCAGGATCATAATCTGACGACAGCAGGCGACAAATCAGCACACACTGCCACCATCCACATACCTCAAATGCTCTATATATGGCCATATATCGCCCTGTTCTCGGCGCCCGTCCTCATAGGGCCTTTGTTTTGCTGTATGGCTCACCTTTTACCATCAAACATTGGAGTCAAGCTCGGTGTCAAGCAGAGATCTCCATACACCGTCTACCCGCAGCCTTTACAGGCCATTGTCTTCATTGCTATTGGCCTAGTCGCCGTACATTTCAACACCATCGTTCACCCTTACACTCTCGCTGACAATCGCCACTACGTGTTCTACGTCTTCAAGCTTCTTCTCCGACACCCAGCGCTCAAATATCTCGCCGTTCCAGTCTACTATGCATTTTTCTGGCTCAGCATACAATCTCTCGCTCATCCCACCTCAGTCCCCGAAGCTTCGAGACTCAAGGTGCCAGCTAGGCCCTGGAGAGAGGCTGTTCAGATTAGCTTTGTCATTATATGGCTTGTTACGACGGCGCTCTCCGTCGTGACAGCTCCGTTGGTCGAACCCCGTTACTTCATCGTACCATGGATCGTCTGGCGCCTGCATGTACCTCATGCACCAACCGTTTTCTCGACTGGCGGTCGTACGTACGCTCCTGATCTACGAGTATTGGTGGAGACTGTTTGGCTGCTTGCCATCAACCAGACTTTACAGTATCTGTTCCTGAACAAGCCTTTTACCTGGCCAAGCGAGCCCGGAAAGTTGCAGAGATTTCTATGGTAGACGGATGTTGGAATGTAAGATGATGTCACTATGGAAGAGGGAGTGTTCATGAATTATGAAGCAAGCCAAAACCTTGGTAAACTTTGCGATATTAGATTTGTAACATATTCCGGTAAAATAAGACCTCGAACGTAGAGTCGTATGACATGTTGGGCAAACATGGAGATGATATTGAAGAAAAGGAAGATGGTTGAGTGGTGACCGATTGTATTCTCCGCGTTGGAGAATGCCATATTCCAATACCTTAGCCTTCGCCCCACTTCCCCATAAGAGTGCAGTATAGTAAGAGCTTTGTAGTTTCTCAACCTTAGTTGTCCCGTCCAAAACACTTTCCATATCCCTTTCTAACAGCATCAGTAATGCTAAAGTCGTTGAACAACCATTGATTACTATGTCGCCCATAAGCATGGGCCTGGAAGCTGTCCTTCTTCTTTCGGCTCTCACTGCTGCTCTGCGCACTGACATCTGTGCCCCTTCTATTATGTCTGGGCACGCGTGGCGTACTGAACTCGCCCGGACTGACCACGACATCCTTGCGGTGAAGCGCGCGGCTTGGGTATGCATACAGACCCGAGAATCGGGTTGAGCTGGTTGAGATTGAGGACATAGTTGAGGATTTTGAGAAGCGTGGGAGTGAGTCGAAGGAGGCGGTTCGGGGGACTCTTCGGTTTCCTGACATGGTGTTGGCGTCATGGGCGATGGAGCCATGGAAAGATAGGGTGTCGTTTTGCAAGAGGCGGTCGAGGCGAGAAGACAAATCTCGGGCGTTAATAGATTGGTTGAAGTTTGTCATCGGCAATGTGGGTCTCTTGTCTCTGGAGTGTGGTCGGCTTGAGATGTAATCGAGAGAGAGAGAGGTCGAGTTCAATATTGTTCGATGTTTCGTACAATGCAAGGGGTTCGCTCGTTATGTGGTATGCTCTGTTGAACGATCGGTTGAAATCCTGAGGCCGTGGTTTGGACCGGTTAGGGAACCAAGGGAGGTATATATGGTTTTCAGTTCCGCTCGTTTAAGATAATAAAGCCGTGTTATCCTGTACGCATACATACTCAAGACTTTGTTCCCCTCGTAAGCTTCCTAGGTGCGTCGCTAGCATCTTGTTCTAACCTAATCTTGACAAACTGGTGTATCTAACAGCGAGCCGAGAGAAGCAATGATGCCCTATCAATGCAAGGGTGGACGCACATGTGACCGTTTAACCCTAAGTGAACAGGTCAGCCTTACGCCTCAAACGGCTATCCGGCAGCCCGTGCACTAGCCACACCAGCCACGGCGAATCCGGGGACATCTGAGACACGAGTCTTCGAAGCAAATTCTGCACGTATGACATAACAGGTCTGGGCTGACAGGTATTGCATAGGTCTCGTGACTTGATCCATGGAGATAGATGTGCCGACATCTCCGGCTAGCGGTACTTTAGGACTAGTGCGGCTTGGTGGTTACGTAGTGGGGCCGTTTGAGCCGCATCCCGTGTTCATCGTGCCCGAGGCTGACTTTGAGGTCATCGGTTACTCCGGTCAGCAGCACGCATGCGGGCTCGCGTCATAATTGTCGAGCTGAGTCCCGGAGCGAATGTACTGAAAAGGTTGTGGATATTCTTCGTATAACGAAGTTCGCCGAGCGACCCACCGAACGATCATACATGTCGACGGTCGACCTGTACCAGAGGCTTAATCCGAAGTTTGGGGTCGAGATGAGAAAGACCAAGTGTGACGTCGAGATCTGACTAATCTTTCGAAATGCTCGACAGTTCCCAGCTCCTGGTCAGATGGTACACATCATATGTACAGGCTGCTTAAGTTTGCTTCGTTGGGATCATTGAGTTCATCAAGGATGCCAACGTCTCTTTTGAACTGTCGTAGCCATTGTGCATTATCGGCTGCAGTCTGGTTCCATGGATCGTCGCTTTATGGCATTAGCAGAGTGCTCAGAGAGGCGTTAATACTTGATCGTACTCATCGTATACAATGCACCTGGCCTGGTGCTGGATTTCCTCGTCAGTTGGAATGTGACAATTCGGATTATTCGGTGACATAGTCGCTGCAACCCACCGGGCAAGATCGCGGACAAGCCACGAAAAGAAATTGGCACTGTTGATGAACATCCTTGATCGAGCCGGGGAAATTGCCTGAGCACTATCTCGTGGAGGATCCAATACCCTTGCCAGATAATATTTTACCGGATCAACATGTCCCTCTTGAATATCCAATTGAGAAGAATCAATGATCGACTCCATGTACAGCGGAAAAGGCTGCAACACTGGGCCCAAATGATGAGTCAGAATTGACCCAGCGTCTTGCGGTTCGAGATCCAGTGCAGGTCCAGACTCAGAAGAGCAGGCACGCATTTTGAATTCCGATAGCCAATCTGTATCTGCGTGGATGAGCTTGATTAGCCAGTTTGCAAAAACATCGGATGGTGTATTCGAGATCTGCTCCATGTAAGTCACGATCTTACTTGCTTCATTTTGCAGGGTTTCGTCTGTTACAGCTCCCACAGTTGCTCGTTCAGCTTGGACAAAAGTCCACAGACGAGCCTCGAGCGGACAAAGCTCAAATATGTTGTCCCGGCCGTTGATCTCGAGTGTCGACAACCGGCACTCATTGTGCAGTCGTAACGGCCCAAATTTAGCCTCATTCGCGATATGTTGGCTCGACATGATTAGGTCGCGCAACCACGAAGAAGGGCATGTGTCCTGCTTCGTTGATAAGGCCTCAGACGCGAAGACAATACGGCAGGCCTCAAGTTGCATACTTGAGTTATCAGGCATTCTACCAGAGAGGTCGAAACGTGTCTGCATGGAGTGGTCGAGCTCAATCTTGATTAGCTCATAGGCTGTGGTAGGTGATCCATCTGGACGCTGACTTGCACTAAAGGGAGCGGGCGTACTACGTTCGTAGTCGATGAGATCTTGGTTCCGATAATTAACACTAGGTTAACAAGGTGTATGAAATACTCACATGGCGGAATTGCATTTTCGAGAAGTTTTTGGTGTCGATCGTCCAAACCCCAGTCGCCTTGCCAACTTGCCATCGTCACGCCCTGCTTGAAGTGCCCAGCAAGGTGATCAACGCGCTCCTCCCATGTCTCCATCTTGAGATCGCAGAAGCCACACCTGGTCTTGATGCTCGACATCGGCACTCTCCATGAGCTCATTGTTAATTTGTCAAATTTGGAATTATGGACCAGCTGCAAGTGCTGATTCAGATGATCTTTTCGGTTGAATGTACGCCCTTCGAGTTTGCGCTCACGACAAGAATGATAGTTATGAGTTCCAAGGTGTGCATCATTGGGCTCAGGCTCATTACAGAAGACACAGCACATATGGCCAGTATCGAGCTTGAGAGCTTGGGGACCATGGAGGGTGCATATCCACTGCTCTGTGGGTAGGTGCAATGACTTCTCGTGACGTTGCCAATCATGTTTAGTTTTGAAGTCTTCGGTGCAAAAGGTGCACTGATAGGGTAGCAGAAACCCTACCAAGGATGTCCGTGGAATGCGCGCACGCATTCGTCGCTTGCGAGAGTAAGCTGCGGACTTGACAGAGTTTATGGACTTGGAATGTTGCGAAGTAGCAGAGAGATCGCTCGAGGCTGAAGTTCCTGCACTGCTGGCCGAGGATGTATTGTACCACGACTGATTTGTGTCGTCCTTGTACTCAAAACGGTTGTTGTTGTCTATGAGTATCGCTGTCAGAGGTCACATCCACTTCCCTGATTATATGATTCAACTTACCTGAGAAAGTTCCAACGTTCGATTCGACAGCGCGAGCGATGTCAGAGACTGCTGCAGGTTCGTGTTCTGGTGGGGAAGATTGCCACCTTTCCATTGGGTTCAAAGAGGGCACTTTCCGCTTGAAGGCTGGTGTGTCGGGCCTGGGTGCGATGTCAACTGGCCTACTTGAAGTATTTTGCGAAGAGTATGAAGAAGGTGCTCTCGAGAGCTTGCCTCTTCTGCGAGCGTTCGCAAACCAATTCGCTATTTGAGTCTTGTTCAATCCAGTACGTCGCTGCAGCATCTCCATCTCCTCGTTAATCGGGTATGGTCGAGCCTTGTGAGCATTGAGCCAGTCTCTTAGCACCCGCACCACCTCTCTCGAGAAGCGTCCCCCACTTTTTGGCATCGGCTGAGAGTCGGGCGTCGACTCCCCGGATATCGCGTCATTCAAGATGTTTTGGAGATTGTCTCCAAGTTCCAAAGCATGCTGACTGTCACCTGGCGTTGATTGTCCGGATGGGTAGATAGGCGAGTCGAACCCATCACTGTCATGAAGACCTGTGAACTCAAAAGAGATGTCATCCGAGGGCGGGCTGAACAGTGCATTCCACTCAGCATCGACATTCATGTCCATATTTTAAACCGATGGTATGCGACAATAACAAAAAACATGGAGGAAAGACTTGTTTGACAACAGTGCTGGAGGATCTGGAGTGGGGAAGGCGCCAACAAAGACGGAAAGTCTAGATTCGCAGCCCATTTGTGATTGGACGCTCTCTTGACAAGCAGGTAGGGCGCAAACTTCGTCGACCCGACAAGGCCTGCAAACTCGCACAGGGCGTAGACAAGGCACGCTTGCACACAGAGTCTGCTGGAGGATTCCTAACAATGATAAGGCAGATTTTCTGACCCACGCAGCCAAAAGATACGCATCGCCTCATTGGCGCTTGCCGCACCGCTACGAGTCGATGATGTCCATCGCTAGATTTTGATGGCGCAGCAGGTCAAGATGCGTTCGTGGAGGTGACGATGGGGTGATTGATGTTGCAAAGATTTTCACGGCTTGGAGGTGCTTATAGGTGGAGAGGTACTCGATTATGATAGCCAGCATCTACATTCAGGAAGACGATAGTAACCTCACAAGACGTAATTGGATACTAGCTTGAGGCCTTCTCAGCAAGTGCCTGATTGAAGCCCCCTTGATATTCTTAGCATGTCGACTACAACCCAGCTTCAGCAGCCGGAATTGGAGCTCTGCCACTTCCCCGAGATCAACAAAGCCTCCAAATATTCTTCAACACTGGAACTGCCTTCATTGCCCAACTCAGCCGCGGTCTCTGAACTACATCTCACATATGAGTCTCGAAAGCAATCAGCGTCAGATGAAGAGACACAGACTCCGCCCCGCTCACCCACGCCGACCTCCACCACAAATGGTCCCGGAGCATTCAGCACCACTGCCATTCCTGACGGCGGCTACGGCTGGGTTGTGGTCTTTGCAGGCTTCATAGTAACCTTCTGGATAAACGGGATGGCCAATTGCTGGGGGATTCTGCAAAGCGCACTTCTTAAAAGCACACTCTCCCACGTGCCTACATCCACGGTATCGTTCATCGGCTCATTGAATCTGAGCTTTGGTGTTGCATTCGGCGTCTTGACTTCTAAAGTCGGGCACCACTTTGGATCTAGGTACACAGCCATGATGGGTATCACAATGATGGGGCTCGGTCTTATTGCAGCTGGCAATTGCACATCGAACCTCCCGGGTCTATTTTGTACAATTGGGCTGTTGGCAGGCATTGGCCTGAACGCTGTCTTCACTATTACCAATCAGCTGCCTGTGCAGTACTTTTCTGGACGCCTTGGATTAGCGAACGGTCTCATTAAGCTTGGTGGTGGTATCGGTGGGACTGTCATGGCCATCGTTCTCGACAAGATGGTTCAGCGTGTGGGCATCGCTTGGACATTCCGTATACAAGGACTATTAACAATTGGTATGGGACTACCAGCTGCTTGGTTCATGAAAGACCGCGTCGCTTCTATTCGTAAGGCGCCTTTCGTCGACCTGGCCATGTTTCGCAGCGTGCCATTCACAGCCATGTTCGCGGCAGGTGCGATTGGAACATTCGCCCTCTTCGTGCCGCCATACTATCTACCTCTTTTCGCACAATCACTCGGGCTCTCGTCGACAACTGGTGCCGGTCTAGTGGCTGCATTCAATGCATGCAATGCTGTCGGCCGCTTTGCAGGAGGGCCTCTGTGCGACAAGGCCGGCCCTACAAATACCTTCTTCATCGCCATGGTCCTCAACGCCGTTAGTATGCTGGCAATCTGGCCGGTCTCTAACACCCTGGGACCGCTGCTGGCCTTCGCTGTTCTCAATGGTGTAGCCAATGGCGCTTACTTTACTGTGTTTCCTACAGTGGTCGCTAGCATTTTTGGTCCTGGACGGGCAGCTGTGGCGATGAGTATGTCAACCACTGGATGGACCTTTGGGTTTTTGCTGGGTGCGCCTGTTGCAGGTTACATCTTGCAAGCCTCAGGAGGACAAGAGAGCGCTGGGCTGGGCAACATTGATGTGTATCAACCAGCAATCTTCTATGCCGGCGGAGTGGCGTTGTTGTCAAGTATCTTCGCGTTGTTGGGTAGACTACATATGGCGAAAAAGGTTGCTAAATGGGTGTGATATAGGAAGTTTGTAGATGGATGGCTGAAGCAGTGATGGTGGGAACCTTTAAATCCTGTCAGCTACTGAGTTATCAGTGTCCAAATATGTAAACTGAACGTGCACTCAGCCGCCAAGCTAAGAAAAGGGAAATGATCCAGCAGTACCGCCAGACACATGCAAAATAACACGATACAACTTCGTGTCAACATCCCATTTAGCTTCTGCCAATTCCAATACACTGCAATCTCTCCTGCCCTCCTCATGACACTCAACAATCAGCTGTTTCAGTATCCCAGCGATGTGTCACCTTCCGATCCACTTCTTGAGACATAACACATGCTGCCTATGGTAGAATCTGCGACTCCTAGTGCTTTTTGCCATCAGCCATGGTCAACCTCAGCACGAAGTTCACAACGACAGCGGCGAACAGCGCCAGCGTAAGGATAGTAGGGCCGAGCCTGTCGTCGAAACCACCCTGGCCTCTCATCCTTATGCTCTTCGCGCGCCAGTGGAATGTGAACAGCGCGTATACCATGGCCATCATAGCAACAATGGTGAATAGCCCTGCGCTAATCTTGCCGACCTTGTCACCGAAGTTGAGAAGGCCAATGGCGAGGCCGCCGAGGATGACGGTGAAGTTGAGCCACGAGAGGAAGGTACGCTCATTGGCGAAGAAGACTTTGGGCTCGACGCGGGTTGGGAGAGCGATGCGCTTGCCTGCACGTGATTAGCAGCTAATCGGGCGCGTTTGAGAGCCTGACGTACCCGGAGCAGTCTGGAGGAGCGGCTGGCTGGACATGGCGATGTTGTGCTGCCCTACGGTCGGTAAACGAGCTTTCGAGTGACGTCGCGGGTGCTGGATAGGCAATTGGCTGCAAGACGGAAGCTGTTGTCGCACAGAACTTCACAAAGTGCCTTCGAATGCGGGCAGGGTTGTTGAGGAAAGCTTCTGTGCACGAAGCTCCAGTTGATGCGAACCGCACTCGACTCGACGCATGGCAGCTGTGATGCGCTTGCAGCCAATCAGAGCGCCCACGTGACGTGACGCTCAACTGCGTCCGCGCGCGGCCCAAACGGGTCTGGAGCCAGGACGGCAACCACGCTAACGGCGCAACAAACATTCACGACAACACACGCTTCCGGCAATCGTTATCGACAACAGCCACCACACACATCTGAATATCTTCGCGAGTCTATCAAGATAGTTGCTACCCACACATACATCTACAATGGCCGTCAGTGTTTTCTGTCCACAATCCTGCTCAGGTTATTGACAGTAACAGGCCACTTCACCGCTTCCCACCGAGCAGCTCCAGCAGATTGCCAGCAACGTAACTATCTCCGGGCTACAACACCAAAAGTATATCTGACATTGCTTCCAGGCCTGCGAACAAGCAATCGGCGAAGCTGCGCTCTATGATCACTCCAAAGTCGCCGACTGGAACACGACCATCATCGTAAGCCATCCGCCCCGTCACAGCGCACGCGAGCAGACCAACATCGCCTCTGCCGGCCCTTGCTGCGCAGCATATCCTTTCACATGATGAGAACATTTGGTCCGTGTTAATGAAGCGGCTTAAGACCCCGCCACGTGAATACAAAACCACAGCGCTTGTCGCATCTCTGACACGACCTTCCTGACCCCCACCTACTAAAACGTGGTTTCCACTCAGCAGCTAACACAATGTCCAGCAAAACATTCTCAAAGCCGTCATCGATGCCACAACAGTAAAGACTGAGGGTGGCGAGACCAGCCAACCAGCCTTCAAGTACATCGCCAATAGCACAGTCATCCAGCACATCGGCTCTCCTTCGGAGCCCGAGAAGCACGGCCGCCGCGGCATGCACAGTGCCGTGGGTGCCTACTGGAACAACGAGAAGGATGGGACATACAGCTACAAGTGGGAGGCCGCTGAGAAGAAAGGCATGGATATTGTTATCACAATCACCTGGATCGCCATATAGGATGTTGCGAGTGAGGGTAGGCCTTTATGGGCCCTGCAGGTAATCAATGAGCTCAGTACAAGCTCACAGCTTTCACTACAACAGAGGCTCGATCACTCGGTATACATCGCAGAGTTGCAGAGCAGGACGGAAAAGCTGGCTCAGTCTTGGATGTGTATATGGAGAACATCCACCGTGAAGGTGACATCGATGTATCGTACAAAGGCGTTTGGTAGCATGTTCATAAGCCAGCGATTTCATACATCCATTTTATAAGAATATATTGCTTGTCACTCATATCACTCCGTCCGTCACCCACATGCGTCGCGAATATTCGACCCTACTCTCTCTACGAGCCTGTCAGCATCTTTGTAACTAAAAACGTTCAGTCTTTATGTTAGTTGTTCACAAGTATGACAACCTGTATTCGGCATGGGGCGGCATTGGTGAGGATCATCCACGGTGTATCCTAGAGAGATCGATTGGAGTAGCTGCCGTGAAGCCCTTGATTACTGTGACACAACAAGAAGATACGTCGTCGCCAATACGGGCACTGTAGACCAACCCACCGCACTGACGTACAGCAATATGACGTCGTACACGATGAAGATATTGCGGAGCCAGATCAGTGGTACGACGACAAACGCAAAGCGAACCAGGTCCTTACGCTCGGAAGACTATTGTTTTCAGTGTCGAATTTTTTTCGTAAAATGGAGGTGGCAATACGTACCCTATAAGCAATCTTATTTGTGGTGCCATACTCAGCCAGGACTTCAATCGTCATACTCGGCGATGCAGCCATCACAATCGCCTCGTGCACAATGACTGCAATCCGCACCGCTTGGTCATGATGCAGCAAATTACTCCACGACAGCGTAGTGCCATCGCCCACGCTCCCCGTACTCACGTCGCGCACACACAGTCCTCTCCCCTAAGCCCCTAAGCCCGATGCTAGCATTGCAAACATGATGCATTCCAGACCCTGCTCTTGCGCCGCGGCGTCGCAATCTCCGTCCCGTTTTCCTGCACGTGGGACGCGTTGATCCACACGCCGCCGTTCAGCAAGATAGTGAAGAACAGCGTCGCGAGCACCGCTGTGAAGCTCAACGCCGAGATACTACCCGCGTACTCGGCTCTAGCAACACTGTACGCAGTGCGCCCATTCCATCCCAGGTCAGCTTCGATCATACCCCCCGCCTGCAGTAGATCACACACAAAATGCGCTACATATACGACGAAGAGACATAGCAGCGCCGGCCATAAGAAGTAATATGTCTCCAGCGGCGTGTTCAACGGCGCGGCGCGCGCGCTGCGTCCACTGCGAGACGAGAACTCCGCGCTCTGATACGTTTGATGGTTGGTTGGGGAGTAAGGCTGAGCAGGGTCAGCGCGCCGGCTGCGGTAAGGATGTCAAGAACGAAGACGGTCTGGTATGAGGCGTGCTCATTCGCGACGCTGAGGGCTGTCGTGTCAAGTCCAGAGGTTCAATGGGCAGGGCAGTGGTTGTCTAGGGGGATCATGTTGTTTCGAGTGTCAGAGGGAGTGTCGGAGGTGTTCTGCGTGCGCTGCGTCGATATGACGTTCGGAGACGAGGCACCCTGCATGGGTAGGACGGATGGTTAGCGGGTGTTGGCTGAACACATGTTATGGGGATATCTTGGCTCGCTGAAACTGTAGATACGAAGGAGGTATGTCGAATCGCCAGGCTGCTTGGAAGATGGGGTTTGAGAGGATCGGTTTCTTTTGCGTCGTGGAAAGACGACTGGAGTATTCCACGCATGAACTGGTGACAAATAAAGACCACTCGAATCGGAAAGGAACTCTGCAATGCATACCAAGCTGAATATAAACTTAAAGGGTTCGCAGGGCGCAGGAGAGCATCCAGGACATCAAGCAAAGAGGTCGCAGTGAAGACGTCTCCCGTCTGACATGTGTCGGGTTTGTCTGTCCCTGATGTATTGAGTCTTTCTTCCTTCAACACATTGATTTTGTGATTTTATCAAGTGGTATCTGTTAAAAAACATCAGAGCAAAACATTATCGAGAATCTGATGAAACCGAGAAGCCGATTCGATCACGGGTGAACGCCTCTCTTTCCTTGAAACCGCAGTGCTCATGGGCGAAAACGGCGCTTTCACCATGTCTGAGTCTCGAGAGGTATTACCCATGCATTCGGTAGGTATTTGAATACTGAACATGGCTAGCAAACGTTCCCCGCTTGGTAACCGATCAGTCGCCGCCATCGCCGCCACTTGCACCTTGTCCGGCTTCACCCATCTCAGCACGATCATGGCTTGTCGTCCGGCGACGGGTACCAGTACTATGAGGGTGGCTCGGCTTAGGATGTTCGCCGTGCTCTACCAATGGGTAGTGCAGGCCAGGCTTACTCGATAATGCGTCCCTGATCTCATCAACAGTTTTTGCCGCCCAACCTGCACTGCCCAAATCGCTCAACGGATAGAGAAGCTGGTTGTCAGGGTGCATGACCACTTGCTCGATGCTGGGGGGTTGTTTACTCATGATGATGTCGATGTCCTTTCTGATCTGCAGACAGAAGGCTTCCAGTGGGAGATCATTCACGTCTTCTCCAAACGGGTTCTCAATTTCGCGACCGATAAGAGCGATGCCCAGGATAATGTATGCTGCAAATACGCTCGCCGGGATTGTGATCCATTGTAACAACCTGTAAAGCTGGAAAGGCAGTAGGAGAATGTACACCCATGTTATTTGGCTGATCGCAATGCTATAAGCGAGGGGAAGCGGCGTGGAGAGGATGCGGTTGGTGCCTACCAGCACATCGTTGAATGTTGTGAGCGCATTGAGCGACTGTGTTTGATAGATGGAAACTTTGAATGTGCCGTTGTCGTAGATTGACTTCATATAGACACTCAAGTGACTTAGGATCTCGAGTGGTAGGTTACCGAGAGGAACGCGTGAGCGCTTTAGGAGCTTGCGTGGATTAGATTCGGCCATAGGTAGCCCAAGGAACTGGCCTGCTGTCTTGAACACATTCTGTTTCTTTTGGTTGTCTGGTTGATCGGCATCGCGGGCGAAGGTGTCCAGATGACCGACCAAGTGCTTCAAGTCGTCGTAATGCATGTATGGTTCAAACCGCAGCTGGTGCTTGAGGGAGACAGCGAACGCTGCAATCAAGTTCAAGCAGTTGATCTTTGCGAGGAGATCCTGTTTTCCAAGTTCACCATCCTTCTCATGTCGTTCGTCAACATGGATCCATATAAGCCGAGCAAGGTTTTGGGATGCGAAAGTCAACTGAGCCCAGTATTTGCGACCATCGTTGTACCGCTCATATGCCGTGGAGCTTCGGAAACTCAAGGCAAGACCGACCACGAAACCGAGGACGGTCAGTAAAAGCTGATTTACGCTGACTGAATGTTATTAGGGACCGTTGGCGACTGGGAGAGCTATGGAAACATACGATCATGTACAAACTTGGATATTAATGTTATCATACTAGACCATCCGGCTACGAAAAGGAGCGGCAATACCATCTCTGGTGTCACACTGCCGTGGACGCGAAGGAAGACGGGCCATTTCGAGTGATGGTCGAGGTCGCGGGGTCCAATCTGTCTTGTGTCAGCCACTTTACAGTCCAGCATGGAAAACAGCTTACGAAGTAGTCATCAAAATCTTTATCACTATCTTGCTTTTGCAGCGGAGGTCGAGGGAATGAGCCACTTGCTTTGTCCGACGCGTTCGCCATACTCTGCAGCTTCTCTGTCTTGGAAATTGCTATCTTCCTTCAACGTAGTGGGTGGTTGGCGACAAACTTGAGCGGTTGTCTGGGATATGCGAGCACTTCATATTGTGTCGCGTGCCCCTATCTTTGACGGCTTCTTCTGCACTTCACCACCCAATAAGACCTGGCGTTTGAACGACTTCGAATGACGCCGAGTGTCAAACGGCACAAGTCCAGCCATACCACAAGGGGCAAGGCAGTGATAGGCGAGACCAGTGAAATGATGTTGCCTCGCGGGAACGGTCATGGACAATCCTAATGCAGATACAGCCCGGCTTGGCGGGGTGAAATTGCGGGCTAATTTGATGTGACAGGCGGTAGTTGGAGATGCGCTGGCGCATTGCAACAGTCTCTTTCTTAGCGATGTTGTTGTTGTTGTTGTACCAGTCATGGGATGTGCTCGTAAGCCTTGTCGCTTCAGAAACAGGGTGTGTCTACACAACGCGGGGTACTGAAAAGGAACGCTAAGCCGACAGGATTCTGGATCCACCTCCTGTTGCAAACTGCGGAAATTCTAAGACTGAAAAACCGGAAGTTGTTCAGGTATGGCGATGCGGTAGTGATGAGCGCAAGGGTGAAACAGATTGGCTTGGTGCCAAGATAATGTGATTTGCTTGTGATTCAAGCTTCAGCTCGACTTGACGGTCGAGATCGCCTTGGCATTGTTGACACCTGGTTGCTTGATGTCGATGTAAATAGGTACTAAGGCCCCTGAGGTCCTCCCTGTAGACAGCCTTGCAGATGAAGCCGAGATCTGGGTTGCGGTGAAGTAGATGCAGACTTCACAAGAGCAATGGAACTGGCAGCAACGAGGCGAAAGAAGGCAAGCCTTCTCGCCAGGCCAGTATGGAGCTCAGTCCTCCCAACCCGATGGGTTTCGTACGGATGGCCAGCAACGTTACCTATTTGTTGAAGTCGCACCAAGGGCTCTTGCCACCGCTCCACACCACAGTGGAGGAACTCATCAGTCGGTACCTCTCACGTTGCAGATGAACGGTGGATTAGGGATATGAGCCGGACATTCTACTACGCGACAGTAACGTACATAGGGAGCATGCAGAAACACTCAATTAAATATTTTTTTGCCTCTAGGGAAGTAACAAAGGCCGACACAATGGACATTCTACAGAGCCAAGGTTGACTGGAGACTATGAACAGACGCTGGGGATAGATGACCCTGATCTTGTGAACGGGTGCGTGCCCCGCTGCCCGATCGGACTGGTGCTTGTCTTGTTATGTATTGAAGAGTTGGTAAGATTCGAGCGTGACGACTTGGGTTGTTACTGTGCAGTACCAAGTATGGGGAGCAGCACAGAGCTGTCGCATGTGCCACGCAGGGATTGGCTATCTGTGACAGTGCTGACGCCCCGCACCCACAGTTTCACAGGAGGCTGCACTTACTTCGTAGAGGCTGGCGTACAAAACCGACGTCCGTTGTGCGCCTGAGTCACTGTGTGACAAGTGTACATCGACTGCGATTGTGTAAGCCCGTCACAATGAAGTATACTCTATTGGGAACGGGCGTCCACACGCCGAGGCTGTGTGGAGAGCGCGATGTCTAAGACACAGTGCAGAACGCAGCGCAGAAGGAGTCCATTAGTCTGACCCGTTCCCTCTGTCGCAGCAAAGGCAGGCACTATGTACACAGTACGTTGTAGCTGCATGCTGAAGATGTGTTGCGAGGATTTGAAGCCTCCACGACATCATGTTGCCGCAGCCACACGCGTGCAGCAAGCAGGTGAAGCTTCTAGCGCAGCGGCCCAGCTTCCACATCAGCTTCTGCGCGTGCAGCCAGCGTGTGGCTGCACGGTAGCGTGCTTTTGGGTGGAGCAGAGATGCAGCTGGTGCAGCTGGTGCATCACAGCACCACAGCACCACCTGTCTGTAAGAGCACCACGCGTCGCAACGACCGCGTCCTTGCACCACCCCATCTGTAGGCGGCGATGTGATTCGTTGCGCGAGTACGGGCTCTGTGCGAGGCGATGGTGACGGCAGCGGGTGTCACGCAGCTGGCTCCGCCGCGCCGCCCGCTTGGGCAGTACAAGCGGTGAATGGCCATTTTGTTGGGAGCTTCACAGGGCGACGGGAAGGGTCGGAGTGCTAGCACGCAGCATGTGAAGCGGCCATGACACGGGCAGCGTGCTCGGCACTCCGCGCGCAGCAGCCAGCCAGCCAGCCAGTGCAGCCGGCCAGTGCAGCCAGCCAGCGCGCCGCCAGCCTGTTGGTCTGTTGGAGGTGCAGGCTGGTGCGGCGGACTCGACGCCCGCGACGACGTGTGGCACGGCGGGCGGCCCAGCAGCGTCCGCCGTAGCGCGTCGAGGACCCCTGCAGGCCCCGCAGCAGCTTTTCGTGCGTCGACTCAGGCTGGCGCGTCCGAGCGAGATTCTCACCTGCCTTGCGTCTGCCTGCGCTGCCTGCTCTGCCCACCATATCTAAGCTGCCGCCGCCCTCCTTCGCCATGTCACCGCCCACCGACTCCCCCGCCCCCCTCCACTCCGTCGCAGGCGAGGCCACCGCTGCCCACCCGCCCGCCGGTCGCCCCGACCCCACGCTCGAGAGCAATGCCTCCCAAAGAAGACTCTCCGCCTCCGGTCCCGCCGCCGCCGCCGAACTCGCCCATCTTAAAGTAAAGCTCAAGGGCGCGCTGCGCCAGTTCCCCGACTTCCCCGCCCCCGGCATCCTGTTCGAAGACATCCTGCCCATCTTCGCCGACCCCAGCCTGTTCGAGGCTCTGGTCCACGCCCTCGAGCTGCACATCCAGCAGACCTTCACTGAGAAGCCCGACGTCATTGTCGGCCTCGACGCGCGCGGCTTCCTCTTTGGCCCGACCCTGGCCCTGCGCCTGGGCGCCGCATTCGTGCCCGTCCGCAAGCGGGGCAAGCTGCCCGGCCCCTGCGAGACTGCCGAGTACATGAAGGAGTATGGCGCCGACTTCTTCCAGATGCAGGCCGGCGCCGTGAAGCCGGGCCAGAAGGTGCTGATTGTCGACGACATCATTGCGACTGGTGAGCTGCACCCACGCCTGACCCGCGCAACAACATGCTAACAGCAGCAGGTGGCTCCGCAGCAGCAGCGGGCACCCTTGTTGAAAAACTCGGCGGTAACGTCATCGAATACATCTTCATTCTGGAGCTCGATTTCCTCAAGGGCCGCGATAAGCTCAACGCGCCAGTCTACACCCTGCTCTCCGGCCAGGAGGAGAAGCTCGCCAGCAAATAAGCGGCTAGACACTCAATTATCACGCGGCAGACGAAACACCGAGTTGCATGGGCAGGCGTTTGCAGGTTCTGGGCAGAGGACAGGAAAAGTCCCGGTGCTCATTCAACATTTTATGCGTTCGAGGAAGGGGACCAATACCTACACCCCACGATGCGTGGTGATCAGGAACACTCCCATGGAGACTGCTATATATTTACATTACATACTATTGAACCAGTCCACTGCTATATCCCCAATGTCGGGCAAGACCGACCAGAGAGCCATCTGGTGCTCTCCTGCCAGTGGACTGCGCAACCATTGTGACTGTGGCCCTTGCTACTGTGTCTATTTATACTCGTAAGGTTGCTTAGACTCGTGTACTCACGCCTTGTCCAAGCATATCGTCGTCCTAACCATGTCGCTGCGGAGCAGTTCGCCATACCATTGAGGGCTTCTACTCAGACTCTGTCGAAGAGCAGAAGGCAATCTGGCTGACTCAAGCAGCTTCGAGCTGTCGCAAATCTGGTCTCTACGCGTAGCCCGCATGTACTGATGTTTGCACAAACAGGGAACCTAGTAGGACGCACTCTAGATATGCAGGTGTAAGAAATACATCGTATCAAGTCAAGTCAAGCGCCCAGTCTGTGCGCTGCGGCCAGGACATCTCCGCAATCGGACCCCCACCTTCCTGTTCCGTACACGCGTCTTTCCCGTCGGCGTGCTGTCATAGCTCCGCACCCGATGCTAGCCTGCATTTACCTACCAGACACAGACAAACTGTCCACGACCACTGCTTCTTTACATGCTCCGCCCACTTCTTCGAGCTTCGCGACCGACCTTCTTAGCTTTGCAACTTCCCGCTCAAGTCAACAGATCTATCTTACCGCAAACGATCACGAGAAACATGTCTGGAATCAAGATCGTTACTACAAAGGAAGCCTGCCCTGGTGAGAACTCTTGGACGTTGTGACCTGAATGAAGCTGACAGTAGCACAGTTGCGGGACCTTATGTACGTATAACGAACTTCTTTCAAGCTACACCATTCTCCACTACACCCACCATCGATCATACCTTCGTTCGTCCCTTGATTTCCCCTCCAGCCCTGCAAAGTCTCTTGCTTTCACCATCACCTTCCTGGGTATACCTGTCTCACACAACATAGTCTCAGGCGATTATTGCTGGACCCCAGGTCTTCGTTTCCGGCCAGATTCCCGCCGATAAGACCGGCGCCCTGATTGAGGGCAGCATCACCGACAAGACCACACAGTGCTGCGAGAACATAATCGCTATTTTGAAGGAGGCCAACACACCCGTGGAGAAGATTGTCAAGGTCAATGTTTTCCTTGATGACATGGCGCACTTCGCGGAGATGAATGGCGTGTTCGAAAAGTACTTTGCACACAAGCCTGCACGTAGCTGTGTAGCAGTCAAGCAGCTGCCCAAGGGTGTCCCAGTCGAGATCGAATGCATTGCTTATAACGGTATGAATGCTGCGAAGCTTTAATCCGGTGCAGAGAAACTGACAAAATGTAGGTTAGAGATACTCTCGATTGGCCTGGTCAGGCTGATAAAACATCAGACCAACTCTTAAAACAATCATCTTTTACCAGAACATCACGTTTGTCTTGACTATCAACTGCCCTGCGCTACTTGGTAACAGTTATGTGCAGAAGTTACTCCTGAGTTATCAATCATAAAAATTCCTGGCGCGTCTAGCCTACATTCACTAATATTGCAGGAGAGTACTGCACGAGTGCATACAATACCAGATTCCATCAGCATTTCCGGCACTCCCACCCTTACTGAGCCTCACTGTTTGTACTCTACTCGTGATCGACTTGTAAGTCGTCGAGCGAGATTCGTACTAGCACCCCGTTGTTAGGTCCCTCAGAATACATGACATGCTCCTTTGGAGAAAATTCACGGGTGCCGCGCACTCATGTTTCATTCTGAGCAGCCACTGCTGACAACGCCCTGATGCTTAGTCATTTAATTGCTAGTCTTGATACTGGCATCGAACTTGAAGTGACTTGACACCGATAACTCTTGGGTCTGGAGGTGAGCGATTTCTTTTTCGAAGCGTGCAGTTGGATCTGCACAATAGTTCGCTCCTGGATGGATACGAAAGCGCGTGCTTGGTGAAAAACATTCAGCAGAAATTTTGGATCGATAAGGTCTCTAAGCACCAGAGGCGAGTAAGTCACATTCATGGCGGAATCACTTATAGCCTCACGCTCAGGATTCTCTGATAGCTGTAGACCTTAAAGCACAGCGATGTACAGCGAGACTGGAGACACTCCTGAATGGTGGAGGTTTGGATCCGCGCAACATAATCTCCCGACGAATCGTAGACAAGTGAGATTGTATTTCCGAATACCTATAGGTACGCTTGTTGCCATGACCGCAACCGCATGCAACTACTAGAATGCAACTTAGAAGGCGGTCGGATACACACTCAACCAAGATCAACCATACAGACTACCCTGTGTGCGCTTGCTGGCCTGATTCTCGTTATGCAAATGCTGAGTGACATCGAGAGTTGTTAGGATATGGTCATAGCCGAGCCTCTCCTCCTTCCTGCTCGCTAGCAAGCGCGCAATCTTGAGAATGTTCTTGATCTGTCGACCATTCATATTCATGCGGGCAAGCTCACTTAGTTGTTCTTTGGTAATTATGTGCTCCTGTGTGGAACTGTTCAGAAAGTTATCCCACACAGTCTTACGCGAGTCAATTGTCAACTCCTGGTAGTCAAGTGAGATGTGGATTCGTGACTGGAATGCAGGGTCGAACGTCTCCACTCGGTTTGTGGTAAGGAACATAGTTCCTGCAAGGGTCAGTAAAACTGGATCAAATGCTCTTAACTTCGCCCGTCTCAATATCCATGTCGTAGATAATCGTGAGGGGGCCTGCTGGAAGAGGGTGGAATTCAAAAGGCATTGATTGGATGTCACGTACCTTCGTAATACTCGAGCACTCTGAGAAAGATGCTAACGAGCTTGTTGCGCTCAAGCTCGTGCAGTGATCGCTGCTCCAGGAAAACATCAGCCTCATCGAGTAGAAGCACCGCGTTCCATCGACTGCACATCTCTAGGATATCCTGGAGCTTGGTTTCGACGTGTCGGGGGTCGAAGCCGAGATCACCGGCGCTCATTAGATACAACGGAACTTTCATCTCCTCAGCGACCGCCTCACTGGTCAAAGTCTTGCCGACCCCTGGGGGTCCGCAGAGCAGAATTATCATGCCGCGGCCCTTCCCTTCGATGACATCGTCGAATGTATCACGGTTTTTGCGCTGCGATTCAGTGAAGCCCAGGATCAGCTCCTTTTGATTCTTCGGTAGAACTAATCGGTCGAACGCATCTTTCTGCCATTCAATCTGCTCGACGCAATTGACGAAGAAGTTGAGCCACATCTTGTTCTTCAGGCTATATCCGCGAAGCAAGGGGGTGCAGATGAGCTTCTGTTCCGCAGTGAGTGGTGTGGGTTGTGTGCTTTCGTCGTCCTCGTCTGCAAAGCGACCGTCGATGGGCATTCCACCATCGTCTTCGTCATAGTCTTCGTCTTCTAGATACTCTTCGCCGTCATCAGCATCTTCGCCATCCTCGTCATAGTCGATCTCGCTACTACGCCCGTCTGCAACGACTTCTTTCTGGCTCAGAGGCGTAACGTACACAGCATTACCGGGATTAAACCGATTCCAGCCATACGTGTCGATGACGATCTGTACTTGTTAGCCAGTGTCACGAAAGAAGTTCGGCATTACTGCTACTCACTCGACCCTTGACGTTGTACTTGTCTTTTGTGCCAAAGGAACCCATCTTCCAAGCGACGCCGTGGTAGGCTCGATAATTCGATCCAGCGAGTTCTTCCGTTTTAGCCCCACGTTCAGTAAGGCGCCTGCGTACGGCTTCGGCATCATGATGGTAGTCGATTGGATATGCCTTAAGGGAACTAATGGTACGAGTGCCAGTAAAGATGGGTATGCAGACGTTCAACTTCTGTGTGCCGAATTTTGTGCCGTCCCAATCTATGTACTTGCCAGTGATCCAGAAGCATGGGACACCCTTCGAATCCAGACCATAGCGAGTTGTGTTCAAACTTAGTGCTGTCTCTTGACCGTCCTGACGCGAAAAGACAGTCGTACCTGGCTGATAAAGAGTCCATAGCAGGTCAAAGTTCATGACTCGCTTGCTCATCATGTCTTGGGATGTATCGATCAAGCTCTTGAACTCCTTCACGAGGATGCCCTGTAACAATTCCGCATGCTGCTTGGTGATTCGCTGTTCTTCGGTGGCACTGCCCAACTTGCTAATGGCCGTCTCCAACTCTGCCCAGCGGTGTATAAGCGGTTCAAACTTGCCTGAGAATTCGAGGCGATTGAGACCGACAGTCACACCAGGGTAATTCTTCAAGACGGCAGCGAGCAGCTTCTTGAGCAGCGGACTCTGGACGACAATCGAATGGATCGACAGTACCTTCCTGGGGTCATTATACACTTTGACGTTGCGAACCAAGAGAGCCCACTTTGCTGTCTCTTTGTTCTCGACGGGATCACCGATGTCTTCTGGAATCGTGTCCTGCCACTGAAAGCGACCTTTCTTGTCTTCCTTGCCCGAGTAAAGATTCTTGAACCCAAGCTTCATACCGAGGTCGATCTGTTCATTCTCTTCTACTTCTGTCTTCTCCTCTGTTCTGCCATGGGATGTACCCTCCCCGTTGATAATGACGTGCTTTACTCCGTTGGTGACAGTGGCAATTTGAGAGTCCGACTCATCCGAGCTGGAGGATGCAGATGTTGCGGCTTCACACATGCCGGGAGACATGGTCAATCCCGAGCAACGGATGGCAGTTGCTAGATCTGCGAGCGCAGGTTTAATACCCGAGCGGCCAGCTGATCGTGGTAATTAGTACAGTGCAAAAATGCGTACAGGCCCTCGTAATATAGGAAGGGAGGTGACTGATGCGTAAGTGGAGATGGTGCAGCTGTGAAGAAAGAGAGAGGAAGACCAGATGTGATCGCAGGCTGACTTATGTAGTGAAGGTGACAGACACACGGTTGCCTGCTTGCTGCCTGCTTACACAGCCTTGCGTGTTGCAGCAATCTTCACCTAGGAACAATCGATGTCAATCAATACAAACAACGTTAGATGGCCCTTAGATCAAGGCACGATCGCATCGGCAGTGTTTGTTGCGGAAAGGGCTGCAGGTGAGAGGGCGCCGGCACGTGTCTCTGCCTCAGCTTCACCTGTGCAGCAGAGCACCACCAGGTTCGGCTTCGTACGTTTCGACGTCAGATGCGGCTGCAGATGCTTGAGCCAGTCGTGACTGCTTGAGCCACCCTTGACATTCAGGGCGCGAATGAACGCATGGGCGCCCGCGCACAAGGGCGGTGCTAGGCTGCAGCAGCCATGCCCGCAGCAGACAATCCGGGCGAGACGCTTGGCCACTGGCAGGATGATGGAGTGGCAGCCAATGCCCGACTGCTTCTCGACATGTGGCTGTGATCCCCAGATGCACTTGGGCTCTCAAGTTTCAGCAAAAGCGGTGGATAAGCGGCCTTCAAGGTGACTAACTTTAACCTAGAACTTGTAGCACTTACAAGCTTGAATTCAGATAAATATAAAATATATCATAGGCAAGGAAGCGTTTTCTAGGGTTTCTGTTTATTCTATCTATTTTACTGTCGCGTAGTAGTACATCTGGCTCATATTCTTGATGCGCCTTTCATCCTGCAACGCGAGGGGGGGGGCAGCGAAGTGGCCCGTGCTATGCTTAACCCCGCAACCGGCGTCATTTTTGCGATTTCGGGCGCAAACACTTTTTACGTGGGAATGCAGACGTCGACGCGACGTCTGTTCTCCCACAACTCCCCGCAATGACGACTGTGATCAAGGTGCCGTGCTCGTCGGCCAACATTGGCCCCGGCTTCGACGTCATCGGCCTTGCCCTCAACCTCTACCTCGAGCTCCACGTCCGCGTCGCCAGCCAGGACCGCTCGGAGCACTCGCTCAACTGTAGGATCACCTACGAGGGCGTTGGCGCCGCAGACGTGCCTCTCATCGCCGAGGACAACCTCATCACCCGTACCGCCGTCTACGTCCTCCGCTGCCATGGCGTGCGCGCATTCCCCGCCGAGACCCACGTCCACGTCAAAAACCCAATTCCGCTGGGCCGCGGCCTGGGCTCCTCTGCCGCCGCTATTGTGGCCGGCGTGCAGCTGGCGAACGAGGTCGGCAACCTGAAGCTGTCCAAGGCGCGCATGCTGGATTATTGCCTCATGGAGGAACGCCACCCGGACAACGTCGCTGCGGCGCTGTATGGAGGCTTTGTCGGCACCTACTTGAACGAGCTGTCGCCCGAGGACACGGAGCGCCTCGAGATTCCGCTCAGCGAAGTGCTGCCTGAGCCAGCGGGCGGTGTGGATACGGGCCTGCAGCCGCCGCAGCCTCCGCTCAACATCGGACACTACACCAAGTTCCCCTGGTCGCCTGACATCAAGTGCATCTGCATTATTCCCCAGTTCGAGGTGTCTACAGCAAAGGCCCGTGCTGTATTGCCAGAGTCGTATTCACGCAAGGATGCCATCTTTAACATGCAGCGCTTGGCCGTCCTGACCACTGCACTCGGACAATCACCGCCTAACCCCGACATGATCTATACAGCCATGCAGGACAAGATGCACCAGCCTTACCGCCGCGGCTTGATTCCTGGCCTCACCGAAATCCTCCAGTCTGTTACCCCCCAGTCGCATCCGGGTCTACTCGGCATCTGCCTCTCGGGTGCTGGCCCCACTATCCTCGCACTCGCGACTGCCAACTTCGACTCGATTGCGAACCATCTCCTCGCCGAGTTCAAGAAAGAGGGCATCACATGTGACTGGAAGCTGCTTCAACCTGCCACAGACGGCGCGACCGTGTCGAACTCTCTCAACACCACACAAGCCGAAGCAATGACATATGCCTCGTCAGGTGTCAGCATCGATGCGGGTAACCAGCTCGTCCAGCAAATCAAGGCCTCCACAAAATCCACGCGCCGTCCCGGTGCCGACGGTGAGATAGGAGGCTTCGGCGGACTACTTGATCTGCAAGCTGCCGGCTACACCGAGGCGCCTATCTTGGTCGGTGCCATCGATGGGATTGGCACAAAAGTCAAGATTGCATTCGAGATGGGTAAACATGATACTGTTGGTATTGACCTTGTTGCTATGAACGTCAATGATTTGGTCGTTCAAGGTGCGGAGCCTCTTATGTTCCTTGACTACTACGCTTGCTCGAAGCTTGATATCGCCTCAGCAGCCAAGTTCATCGAGGGCGTTGCGGACGGTTGCAGACAATCAGGTGCTGCGCTTGTCGGAGGAGAGACTGCAGAAATGCCGGGCATTTACCAGGAAGGCGAGTACGACGCGGGTGGCGCTGCTATTGGTGCTATCAAGAGAGGTGCTACAATTCTTCCTGATACAGTGGCCATGCGTGAAGGCGATGTTCTTCTTGGAATGTCGTCTAGTGGCGTCCACTCTAACGGTTTCTCGCTTGTCCGCAAGATCGTCGAGCGCAGTGGTTTGAGCTTCCACGATACCGCACCCTGGAGTCCAGAACACAATATCGGCACTGCGCTTCTCACACCCACGAAAATCTACGTCAAGCCCCTTTTAGCTGCTGTTCGGAAGAACCTATTGAAGGGTATGGCGCACATCACTGGCGGCGGTCTGAGTGAGAATATTCCACGAATGTTGCCAAAGACATTGGCTGCGGAACTCGACGCACAGACATGGCCGTTGCCTGAAGTGTTCAAGTGGCTAAAGAAGGCTGGGAGCCTAGAGCCCCAGGAATTTCAGAGGACTTTTAACACTGGTCTTGGAATGGTATTGGTTGTCAGCCCTGAGAATACGAATGCCACCTTGGAGCTTCTGCGAGCGGAGGGCGAGAGCGTCTTCCAAATAGGAAAGCTTATCAAGCGAGGCAGCGACGAAGTCGTTGTGCACAACATGGAAGTTTGGGGGTAAGAAGCACAAAGAGTTCTATCTGCTTGTTAGATTTTCTATTATATACTGTTTAAAAATAGATATTAGATATTTCTAGAAACTAGGTTTATTTAAGTTTTAACTATAAATTTCTTAATACTATATTCTTAACTACTAAAGATATTATAGAGATTTCTATATAAAGCTACCTTAGCCTTTTATTAGATATATCTTAGGCTAAGGCTAGGTATATAAAGCTTTTATATAGACTTTTTAAGCTAGCCTAGAGCCTAACCTACTCTAGGTTAAATTTAACATTCTAATTTTATAAACCTCTTTTTTTCTTAATTTTAGAATAAATTTGTCGCAGTAAGTTACTGATTAACGACCCTCTGAGATTGCAGAGAAGGTTTAGATTATATAACCTTAATTACCTTAACTGCACAATAAGTCTAGGCTATAGTAATCTCTAATTAGCTTAGTATTTTAGCCTAATTAAGCTCTAAACAAGGTATATATTTAAGTAGTTATAATACCTTAGAGAATATAGAGAACCTAATTAATTTACTTAATTATTTGTTCTAGTCTATTAATTAATTTAGTTGCTTATAATCTACAATTAATAATAGTTATAAGCCTAGTTTGCTAGAGCTATAAGGCAATTCTTTCTACATACTCTAAGCAACTAAATTAATTAAATAGACTAGAAATCTACTCTAATCCTCTCTAACTCTTCTAATTATAGAAGAAATAATCTTAACTAGTTAGATCTTCCTTAGAAGCAGATTAGACTAGCTATACTAGTATACTTAGCTTAAGCTATACGCTTAAGATAAGGTAATATAGGATTAGATTAACCTAGATAGCAAAACTATACCCCCTATTAATTAACAGGAGCTAATCTACCTAGATTTTAAAGAATCTGCAGGTACTCTATTAGGCAGCTTAGCAAGCGCCTTAGAAATAATAATCTTAACTACTATAATTAGCAGGATTAATTATGCTAAGCAAGTTAATTAATATAAGGTCTAGACTAGCTAGTAGTCTAGAAAGGCTACTAAGCTAAGTAATCTCTAAGACTAGATTAATAAGACTGTCTTAGCTAATCTTATAGCACTAGCTTTAATTAAAATAATAAATTAAGATAAGTTAACACCCTAAGCCCTTATTTAAATCCTTAAAGATAATCTAGCTCCTACTAATACTAATACTATAGCTCTAGTTAGGCAGTAATACTAATTATACCTTAATAAAGCTAGAACAGGACATATAAACGCTAATAAGTAGTTTAATAAGTAGCAGGTAATCTATAGCAAGGCTTAAGCATTTAAGATTACTAATATTAAAGGATAGCTTGTAATTATAGATTTCTTAGATGCTCTAGCTCCTAAGATTGCTCTAGAATAGTTCTAATTAATAAAGCACTATATTAATATATAAGCAGCCTTAGGAGAGAAACTACTTATAATTAATAAACTTGCTTAAGTATTTACTCTAGAACTATAGAAGCAAGCCCTCTCTCTAAAGAATAAGGGATTAGGCGTTTACTTAATATTTAGATTAATCTCTAATTAGAATAAAAATAATAAGAAAGATAAATAATTATTTAAATGCCTCTATAAGCTAAATAGGAACTACTTCTAGAAGCTAGTTAACTGCTAACGCCTTAAGACTACGCTAATTAGACTAGGCCTAGCTAATAGTATACTAGTTAATCTAAGCAACAAAGATAAAACTAAGATTAAGGAAAGGGCTAATAAATTAGAATAGACTGCAATTAAGAAACAAGTAATCTAGTCTAGATAGAATTCTAATCCTAGTAATAATAAAGGAACTTCCTTAGTTAAATATCTAGGTCCTATAGTTGCAGCCCTATTTAATCTAAGCACCTTCCTAGCTAATCCTAAACTAGTGTTTAGCACTGCTTATTAAGGCTATCTACTCTCTAAGAGCACTATCTATAATAGAGAATTAGTAGTCTACCTTATTAATAATTAGAGCCTCCTTGTTCTAGGTACCTTTAAGGCATTAACTGTTCTAGAAACAGTTAACATAGGCACGTAATTACTACCTGTATTAGGCACTAGTAATAGGCTAATTAAGAACTTCTTAAATAGACAAAATAGACCTTAAATAGAGGATCTCCTACTTAAGAATATTAAAGTAGTTAACTGCTTCTATATAAATGTTATAGGTAGTAATATACTTAATTAAGTAGGTGTATAGTACCTAGGATTAGATAGGATACTTTAAGCAGGATTACTAGAAAACAATATTGTACTAGCAACCCTTAAGAAGAAGTTTAAGCTACTATTTATTTAATATATTAAGTTTAGCTTTTATACTACTCTACCTATACTTATTAAAGTAATCTAATTAGCTTATTCTGTTTAAAGGTCTAATAGCAAAGATCTCTAGTATAAATAATCTAGCTATCTAGGCAAATGCTTAATCTAATTACTTATTAAATTAGCTAGAAACGTCTTAATTAATAGTATAAAAAGGATTAACTATAAGTACTGCTTAGTTACCTACTTAGCATAAGTAATCTTAAGAAGGCTAAGAGAATAATTACCTAGACTATTCTATAGAATATTATAGGATCTATTTAATATGCTAACTAGAAGGCTTTATAAAGAATAGGCTCTAATTATTAAGAATAACTTCTTAGGCAAGCTATTTAACTTTAATATTTAGAGCAAGACACTTAATAAGATTATAAGGGTAATTACTACTTTTAAAAGTAAGATTATAAGGAAATACTAGCAGTAGATTGTTAAAATCTACTAAGATAATAATACTGCTATAAGACTATAGAGAGGTTAATTAAGATATAAGGAATAGGTAGAAGAAAGAGGGATTAAGATTATTACTCTACTATTATATACCTATAAGCTAAACAGATTAGTAGAGAGGATAGAGCAGGAGCTTATTACTATATCTATAAAGATAAGGATTAGAGCGAACCTCCCTGCTTACCTCTAGCTAGAGGTTATAGACGCTATAGCTTACTTTTATGCTCTAAGCCCTATAGCTATTTATAGGTATTAATTACCTAACAAGGTTCTAGACTCCTAGTTTAGGTAGTACTTTTACTAGTATAAGCCTCTAGAGATTAGGATTAGAACTGCTAATCTCTACTCTAATTAGAGTAGAATATATGCCTATAGCTATTAAGCATATCCTTTAGATAGGGAGCAATTAGTAGGCAGAGATAAGCAAGGATTTAAGGTTAATCCTTATAGTTATATTAGGTACTTAGTTAGCTATTCAGCCTCTAATATCTATTTAATCTAGGTACCTACTCTTAATTAAGTAATTATTATAAGAAACGTTATGTTTAATAAGAATCTATTCTATATAAGTAGCAAAGATAATAAAATACTAAAGAATTAAGCAATTAAAGTAGTAGACATGCTCTATATTAGAGAATTTAAAAATCTAGAACAAGATATTAAGATACTAGTTCTAGAGGAAGAGTACTAGGCAACCTAACTAGAATAATTAACTACTAAGCAAGATCTTAGGGGTAAGTAGATTAGAATATTAACTAGTATAGAGGGCCTACCTACTAATTAGGAAACTAAGGTTATAGAGGCTGCTTAGAACGCATATAAGGCTAGTAAGCGTCTAGAGAATTAAGTAGATTAATTAGAAAGTATAGGTTTAGCTACTACTAAGCAAACGCCTAGACTAATTAATTAAGGTATAGGTGTTTAGGAGGATTTAGGAGCAGGTAATTAATAAGGAGTTAACTCTCCTATAAGAGCTAATCTACCTATCTCTAGTAACTAGATAGGGTCTAGGGGTTTAATATATAAGCGCTTAACTAACGTTGCCTCTTAATCTAGTTAAGCTACATCTATAATACTAGGCAAAGTATATTAAAATAATCTACTAATATAATTAAGTTATTACTAATAAGGCTTAAGACTTAAGATTAATTAACCTATAAGTAAATACCTTCTAGTATAAAGAAATAAGTTAGATTATAATAATTAAATAGGGGGTAGATTATTATAAGGAAGTATAAATATATTAATTATAGATCTAAGTAAAGAAAATAATCTATAGTTAGACTTATATAATACCTTCTTCCCTAGTCTAAACAGAGACTAGAATAATTAGCTAAGTTATAAGACTATTAACTTAATTATTATAGTAGCAATACTATATAATTAAAATACTAAGACTTTAAAGTTAGGAGTAGAACAACCTTATTAAGATTAGCTCCTACTACTACTAAAGACCTAGAAATAATTACTGCAACATCTACTTAAGGATTAGTTCCTCTAAGCCTATAGTAAAGAGATTAATTAGCTTATATAGAAAGGCATATAGACTAAGATCCCTATATTAAAAGATAATTAACTACTTCTACTTAAGTAGGTATAGACTTATAAGTTTAATTAAAATAGCTACTTTATTAAGTATAAAGCTTAGATTGTTGTTAGAGGTAATCTTTAAGAAAATAATATGTTAAGTAGCACATATATAGCTACTCTAGCTACTTAATCCTTCTAAATAGCAATAGCAATTATAGCTTAGTTTAATCTAGAAGTATACTAATATAACGTAGTTAGGGCATTCCTAAACGCTCTAATTACTCTAGATAATCTAGTAATCTATAAACTACTAATAGGGTTTAAGAAAGCAGGTTATAATATTTAACTAAATTAAGCGTTATATAGATTAAGAGAATCTCTACTCCTTTAGTATAAAGAGTTCTCTAGAACACTACTTAAGCTTAGACTTATAGCATTAAAAGAAGAGCCCTACCTATTCTTTAATAAAGAGTAATTAATGCTAATTCTATTCTATATTAATAATATTCTACTTCTGTTCTATAAGTCCTATAAGTAGGAAGCTAAGGCTATCTAGAATAAAGTGTTTAGCAAGTATAAGATTTAGGAGCAGAGACTAGTAGAATAGTTCTTAGGGATTAGAGTAATAAGAGATTAAGTAAAGAGGATAATTACTCTAGTTTATAATATATATATTAATAAGATTATAAAGAAGTTTAGATTAGAGGATAGAACCTTTCTACCTACCCTACTCCCCTTAGAAGAACTAATCCTAAATTAGAGAGAAGTAACTAAGTAGGAGGTTAGGTTATTTTAGAAAAAGATTAGATTAGTACTATATACTA